ACCCCAACCCCAACCCCAACCCCAACCCCAACCCCAACCCCAACCCCAACCCCAACCCCAACCCCAACCCCAACCCCAACCCCAACCCCAACCCCAACCCCAACCCCAACCCCAACCCCAACCCCAACCCCAACCCCAACCCCAACCCCAACCCCAACCCCAACCCCAACCCCAACCCCAACCCCAACCCCAACCCCAACCCCAACCCCAACCCCAACCCCAACCCCAACCCCAACCCCAACCCCAACCCCAACCCCAACCCCAACCCCAACCCCAACCCCAACCCCAACCCCAACCCCAACCCCAACCCCAACCCCAACCCCAACCCCAACCCCAACCCCAACCCCAACCCCAACCCCAACCCCAACCCCAACCCCAACCCCAACCCCAACCCCAACCCCAACCCCAACCCCAACCCCAACCCCAACCCCAACCCCAACCCCAACCCCAACCCCAACCCCAACCCCAACCCCAACCCCAACCCCAACCCCAACCCCAACCCCAACCCCAACCCCAACCCCAACCCCAACCCCAACCCCAACCCCAACCCCAACCCCAACCCCAACCCCAACCCCAACCCCAACCCCAACCCCAACCCCAACCCCAACCCCAACCCCAACCCCAACCCCAACCCCAACCCCAACCCCAACCCCAACCCCAACCCCAACCCCAACCCCAACCCCAACCCCAACCCCAACCCCAACCCCAACCCCAACCCCAACCCCAACCCCAACCCCAACCCCAACCCCAACCCCAACCCCAACCCCAACCCCAACCCCAACCCCAACCCCAACCCCAACCCCAACCCCAACCCCAACCCCAACCCCAACCCCAACCCCAACCCCAACCCCTTTTAAATAATTTATTAATGAAAATTAGTGAGTAGATTTTAAAATATTTAAATAAATTTTGAAATTAGCTTCAAAATTTTATTTGATTTTAAATATTACTATTTTTATAAAAAATGATACAAATATTTTTTTAAATTAATACTAGTTACTGGGTTAAATAAAATTTGCTTCTTTTTTTAGAAGATATTAAAATTTTTAAGGTAAAAATTAATTTAAAATAAAAAGCTTCTAATTGAATGTTTGGCGCAAAATTAATCTAATTTAAATTTGAAGTTTTTAAATAAAATATTCGTTAAATTTTTGGATTCAAGATTTCCTTAAAAAAATTAAATTGAATAAACTCATGTTTTGAGGAATTTTTAAAAAAATAAAAGTAGAAAATATAAGTAAGATCTTTGAATTTTAATAATAGAGCAAAGCAAAAATATATATAAATTAATAGAATATATAATATTTACTACATAATAAACAAGTTATAATGATCTATTTTAAATGAATTAAATGAGATTAGATTAAAGGAGAAAATCTATTTATTTTTTATTTGAATATATAAATAATTATTTATGTTAGGCATTTTAAGTATTAAGATAAAATTTTGTCAATGTAGCTAGTTAGGTAGGTAGGTAGTTTAAATCGGTCTAGTTGATTTTATTATTCATAGAAAATCTTTACCGTTTATGTTTTTTTATTTATTTTAATAGTTAAATTAATAGGTTTTAAATTAGTTCACATATGTATGTATGTAAGTTATCAATTAATTTATTTTCGTGGTTATTACTTTTTAAGATTTATTGTTATGTGGAAAATAGAGATTACGTGTGTAATCAGAAAATATTTTTGATTAGTATGGAAATTATAATAATAATAGTTGTTATTTAATTATATTTTGTGTAGATTAGTTATTAGTTTCTAGATAAATTAGCTGTTTGTTTCATTCTGAAAAGTCGTTATTTATTTGTTTTTTTGATAATTTATTTGTTATTTATTTGGTTTACTTATTTTACATAGTCTAAGAGTAGCTGATAATTAATTTAATAGTAATTTGTTTCTATTTATTAATTTTAATTCAATCAATTAATTCAAGATGAGTTTGATTATTGAGCTTAGAGTGAATCAATTTGTTAATTCTACTACATTAATTTTTATTTTTCTTTTTCTTCTTTTTTTAGTGCCTTCTTTGATTTCTTTTTCTTTTCGCCCTTGTCGCCTTTATCATTTTTTTCACTCTTTTCATTCTTTTCTTTTTCTTTCTCTTTCTCTTTTTCTTTTTCCTTTTCCTTTTCTTTCTCGACTGAAACTGGTTTTTCAACTTTTTCAGGCTTCTCAGCTTTATCAGCCTTATCTGATTTTTTATCCTTCTTCTTTTTAATGTTAGGTCTCATCTATTTCAACATTAAATTTTATTAATTTCATATAAAATATTTAATATTTATTTTTTTATTTACCTGTTTGAGAAATTCTTGATATTGTTGAGGATAAATTTCTGAAATTAAGAGGACGTAATCTAACATTTAATCATCAAATTTATAATTTCCATGAACATCCATTTCGAAACCAACTTGTATTAATTCAGGATGTGCTTCTTTGAAATGTTTATTCATTTAATTTTCTTTGCATTCTTTTTTACACAAATAATAGGGACATTTGAACTTCTTGCTTGACCTAATTTTTACAAATAATTTTAGTTAAATAAAATTTAATTTTTAACATTACTTGGAACTAGCCTCCTCTTCTTTCTTTTCTGAGGATACAAACTCTATGCCTTCTTAATGAAGTTCTTTGATTTTATTTAAAATCTTTTCCTTTTTTATTTCTACACTCATTTTTTCTATTGTTTTTAAAATAAATAATTTTAATTTAATCTTAATTTTTTTGCTTTATTTATCAATTACTTTATTATTCAACGTAATCCTTGATTTTATTGAGCTGATCTTTGTTTAATTATGGGAATCCTTCATCAATTAGATCATCATCATAGCTATTTCCTATTTTTTTTTTTGATTTAATTAAAATATTTAATAATTAATTAAATTTTATTTTTAAAAAAATAATACCTTGAGGAACATAACCTCCGTTTTGATATGCTTGGGAGTTCTAGAACTATTGAGAGTTTTGTCTAGATGGATCGTTGGGTTTCATGCTTTTATTCATTTGATTTGGTGGTTGACCAATATTTTGACCATTAGGCATTTATTTCATCTAACCTTAATTAAATTAGCCTGGCTTTACATTATTAGGGTAGCCTTGATTGGGATACTATCCATAATGACCACTGCTGTTATTGCCGTTTTAATTGGGATAGTAATTTTGAGGATTTTAGCCCATATTTGGATATTAATGAGGAGGGATGTTTTAATTGTTGTGTGGTCCGTTACCCATTTAGCTGGATTAACGACCCATTTATGGAGGTTATATTCTTTATTGGTATGGAGGACCATTTGGTTATCCGTGTGGCATATTGGGATTCATATTTCCAGGAATCTAATTATTTGGACCCATCATATTCATTCCATTACCCTATCCACTCATCGCTGCTATAGATTAAGGCTATGGAAGATTAGGAAAATTAAGAGGGTGATTTTTCTCTTATGTAACTTTAGCTTTTAAAGTGTCAAATACTTAAGTGAAATTTTCTTGACTTCCATCCTTTAAATTGAATTGCTCTTTAACAAAATTCGAGTTTAACAAATGCTTATTCTATTGCCCAGGCTAAGGAGGAGCATTCATACCATTAGGCTATTTCATAGGAGGCATGCCGGGTTAAGGAGGTTAAGATTTATTCCTATTAAAAGTAGAATTAGATGATTTATTAAAACAAAAATTAATTTAATAATTTAAATTAAAGCTTAATTGCAAATCTTAATTTAACATTAAGCGTGTTTTATAGATAATGAAATCAAATTATTAAAGCACTAACTAGCTAGGGGGTTGATTGATTGATTAATTAAATGTTAATTCTAAGGAAAAAAATTAAATCCAAATAACCTATATAATCAAAATCAATATATGATTTTTGGAAGAGAAAAAATTTTATATATAAAAAGAATGTTTGATTCATTCATTGATTGATTGACTAATTAATTAATTGAGAAGTTTGGACATTGTAAATTAAAAAAGGCTTTATATTGATGACTCTAGCTTAAATAGCTCTTTAAAAAGCATGTTTGCCATGCTAGTTTCATGGAATTTTAGGCTTGATAATTACAAATAGAATGAATTTAGACAATGCTTTTTTCTTAGATTTGCTGTTTTTCTCATTCAATTTTGATAATTTGATTTTTTTATCAAATGAAAAGAAAGATAAAATTTACTGATAATTGTTTGGTGGATATTAGTTATTAGTTTGAGGTCTCTAAGTCTGATTTGAATTGTATTAACTTTAATTATTATGCAAGGGAGGCATGTGATTGTACTAAGGGGCCATTGAGTTTGGTTAAGGTAGGGATTGCTAAGATTGAACTTGGCTGTTCTAATGATGCTAGTTTTGTATTTGTGAAGTGTTTTGCCTATGTAATTAGGGAGGTGGAAGTGAATTATTAATGCTTGGATTTCCTGTATTATTAGTGTTTGTATTTGGAGGGTCTTCTCGCTCTGTAAAGGTATCTAATTTGAAAATAGTAAATTGGTTGAAGATGGTAATGCTTGAAAATGTTGTTGGGTTTGAGCTTCAGACTCTAATTAAAAATGTAGTAGTCTGATTTGCTTGGGAACTAAGGGTAGGAGTAGGGGAAAGTAAAGGCTTTGGGATTAAGTTTGATGTGTTTTGATAGATGTTGTTTCTTCCTTTAATCTAATTTATAAATACTATACAAAAATCTTTGATTTTTTTTTAATTATTTTTTGTTTCTTTTCGTTTTGTTTTCTTTTAAATGGCATACAATCTAAATAAAATCAATCGAAGTCTTTCTTTCTTTCTATCTATCTATTTAATTTATTATTTGTTTGTTTGTTTGCTTATTTGCTTGCTTGATAGTCTGATTGTTTATTTGTTTTTTGTTTGCTTGTTTATATATTTGATTGTCTTTTTGTTGTTTGATGAATTTTCTTCTTTTTCTTTATGTCATATCATAGTTTTGATTTTACTAAATATTTTTTTCTCTCATTCTTTTTTCCTTTGATTTTCTTGATGTCCTTTTAAGCTTTGGCATATTCATTAATTAATTAATTTCATTTTAATGACCTTTTACTTGTTTTTTGTTTGTCTCTCTCTCTCTCTTTCTTTAACAATAGTTTTTCCTTCTTTTTATCAATTATTATTGATTGATTGACTGACTGATTGACTTAATTTATTTGCATTGATAAATAAATGCAGCTGATAATTTTTCACATTTGATAATTAATAAATAATCTTTTTTGCTTTTTTTTCTCTCTCATATTAATCTTTAATACTTGCTTAATCTTCTTCTTTATTTTTCTTTATCTTTCTTTTTTTTTAGTTTTTAGGCTTTCAAAAATTGCAAAATCATCTGACTTGATATTTTTCTCTCTGATTATATTGTTTTTAGAGGAAATTGGCAGTCGATCGATAATCAACATATTTTTTATTTAAAATTTGTTTGATTTTTCCTCCTTTTCTCCTTCTCTTTCTTAATTTTTTATTATTGTCTCATTAAATTTATTTGCCAAATTATTATTCCTGCATTAATTAATATATGTCTTTTGTTTGCCTCTTTTCTCACTTATTGTTTTTTCCTATCCGATTTTTATTTATTTTTATTTTATTTATTTATTTTTTTTTCCATTTTGTTCTACTAGATGTTGGACTGATCTTTTAAGGAATTCAATTTTATGAAAACCAATTTCTGCCATTTTTATTTTATTCACTTTTTATTTCAGTTTATTTTTAGTAATCAAAAGTTAAATTCAAGTTTTTCATCTTACAACAAATATTTATTAATTCTGATTTAAATTCAAAGTTCAATATTAATTTATAAGAATGCTATTATTTTTTTTTGCATCTCTTCGAATTATTTAGAGAAGATTGAATTAGAATTTGGGAAGTTCTTATAATCTTTTCTTTCTAAAATTAATATAGAAAAAGAAGAAGACGAAGAAAATAATCATCAATCATGTCATTGATTGAAATTAATCCAGAAAGAAAAAAAAATCTTTCAAAAATTTTTAAATATAAAAATTAGAAAGATATTCGTTTAAAACATCCTTATCTCCCTTTGAAGCTCGAAACCCAAATATTTTTAAGAATTTTATTTTACCTTTTTAGGGAGCTTATTCGCCTGTGTTTCTATGGAAACGCTCTCCGTCTATGTAAAGATTTGTCTTGTGTATTAGTAAATAAAATTATCAAACTCCAAATATTTATATTAATTAAATATATTACCACATCAACCCATTGTTAAATCTTTTAAAGGTGGCTCATTCTCCCACTACCAGATTTTGTTAAAGTGTCTTTAGGATAAACTGATTCAATAATAATTTATTCTTTTGGTCCAAATAAAGGAGTGACATTGTCATCTTGCACTTATTTTTTACAAATAAATTTAATATATAATGATAAGATATAGATTTTAAGTTTATAAATTTAATTAAATAAGAATTTCTAAGATTTAAATTAATTTAAAAATATCCAAATTCAAAAGCCAAATCATGCATAAAAAATCTTGCAACTTAATAGTTTTTTTAAAATTAATTTGTAAATTTTAGGCATATTTTTAGTGTTAGAGTTCTAAATTTTAACAGATTAAATTTTAAAGTTTAAAATTATTTTTTATATTATTTCTATTTTTCAAATTAAATTGTTTTTAGAATTTTTTAAAATTATTTTAAAAACAACAAAAATATTTTTCATTTTTTATTTTTTATTAAGGTGATTTAAAATTTTATTTTATATAAAATTAATTTTAAATCCTTTTATTATTTTTTTAAAAATATTAAGCATTGATTTTTTTTTTTTTAAGAATAAATTAAAAATAAAATTTTTGACTTTTAAAGTTATTTTGTGAACTCAATTTTTAAGTTTTCTTTTTGATATATTTCTATTTTAAGCTAAACTAAAATGGTTTTATTTATTATGATTTTCAAAATAAAAATAAAAGATTTCTAATATTATATATTAAATAATAGAACAATTTATTTAATTTTTATATTTTTTTTTTTCATAAGTAATTAAAAAGTTTTTAATTTTTAGCTTAATTGATTATAAAAAGTTAAAGATAATTCATTTTTTATTTAATTTATCCAAATAAAAGAAACTATTTTAGCTTGGTTAAAAAATAATAAATTTAATATGTTTACTTAGAAAACTATTTTCTACCCATTGAGTTGTCTTTTTTGAATCATTTCCTTTCTTCTTTGGTTCTTGACACTATTTGATTTTATCGTATGTTGTTTCTATTGATTAAATGAAAAATTTTTAATCATTTTTGCTTGAATTAGTTTTAGTTTATTAAATAGAATAATTTGAACTAGCTATTATAAAATATTTAGAAAATTAGGTTGGCCACTAAAAGAAATCAGTTAATTATATATAGTGTTAACCATAATTTAAACTTTAACAATGTTTAATCATTTATTCATAAATTACCAATTGTTATCTCCTATCTTTACTTTATAAAAGATAGTTTTTCTATATCTTTGAAGGGAAGCTCTAATTTTTTCTTCAATTTGTACTCTGTATCAATATCAGGTATATCTTAAGCTTAAGAGGCATTAGCGGCATCTTTTTACTGGTTGAAAGCAGTCAAATCCTAAATTTCAAAGACGAATTGTTTTTTTCCATAGTGAATTTTTGTAATTATCTTGAAAGTATCTTTTGCCCATATTTTTTTATCATTCATCTTGAGCTTATCAGTGTTTAGTTCACTAGGTTTCTACTTATTAGCATCTTTCTGATCCTTTTGTACAGTTTCTTTTATATTTTTGTCATGTTTTAAACACATTTTAATGGTTTTAAAATAAATAAATTCTTAATTTGTGAAAAATTACTATCAAAAATTTCCAAAATTTAGAGGAAAAAATGGTAAAAAAAGAATAATAATTCATTTTATTACTTAACTCTTCAACGCTACTGTTTACATCATGGTAAATTTGGTAAAAATTAAGTTGGAGGGTTTAAAATTTAGATTTCTGATAACAAATTACCTTATTTAATAGCACTATGGGTAATATTGGATTCTCTTTGGCTTTCTGATACGGAATGAGTAGGAGAAGGAGGTGCCTAAGCTCTATCGTTCCTATCGTATTAACTCATAGAATTCTCATTTAAAGGTGGAATTGGTGGATTTCCTAGTTTTTAAATCCGAAATATTATTAGAAAATTTTTTGATTAAGAGTAAATAACAATTATAAGTAAGAAAAAGATATTATTGCATCATATTTAAGTGACTTTTCATTGAACAGTAAAGAAAACAGTTTAAAAATTAGAGAAAAAAGAGAAATTGTTACCATATCTTGAATCTCCTCTTTAAATTGTTGGCTAGGAAAATTGTTAGTTCATTTGATATTGATATCCAGGTTAATATTAATTCTATTTGTTAAAATTTGAAAAATTACTAAATAATTGAGAGACAATTTGTGTTTAAATTTGGGTGTTCTTGCTATGAAATGAAGCGATAATGGATTAAATTTTTGCAGAATTGCAAAAAATGCTATTTCCAATACTTTCATTAAATTATATTTAAAATAATACTAAGAAAATGAATTTACTTAAGGATTCATCTTTCCGTTTTTATTTGTTTGACAAGTGATTCCCTTTTAAGTGTTATTATTATTTAACAGGATTAATAGTATTTTGTTTTTAATGTATTTCTTTCTTAATATTTATTCCAATTCAATTTTTCTTCTTAATTTTATTGATCCATAATTAAAATTTTCAAATTGCAATAATTCTAATGTTTAAATCTACTATAATTTTACATTAAATTTATAATGCATGTTAGTAAAATAAAAGCTAGTTTTCTAACCTAATTTTTTCTTCTTACTTTCTTCTAAGACTTCAACAAATAAAATCATTTACTTTGCTGTTATTCCTTAAGTAGGTTGGCAGGTAACATCAATAATAACTACCTATAAAAATGATAATTAAATATATGAATGAATCTATAATATTTAAACTTCAAAGACAATAAATAAAATGAAATAAAAAAATATTTTTTTATAAAACAAATAACTTAGTCTTGGTTGAGTGGTGTTTAAATTATTTGTAATTAATAGTACGATACAACATATGCAAATTAATATTTTAATTTTTGGTGGTATTAGATAATCTAGAATTGATTGATTTTATTAGGATATTAAGCATTATAATTTTATAAAAAAATTTAATTCCATTTAGCTAAATTTTATTATTATCATTGATTTATATATTGATAGATAGATTTAAGTTGAAAGAGGAATGGGTGGTGGATCTTCTAAAAATAAAAAGGGTGATAAGAATAAGAAAGGCCAAAATGGTGTTAAGTCATAGGATGCTTTAGAAGTGAAGAACTAAGAATAGCTTGAAAAGGAGCATCAAGAATTAGAAAAATAAAAAAAGTAATAAAATGATGAATAAGATAAAATGAATTTTTTCATTGCAAACAATGAATAACTAGAAAATAACCCTAAATTGACATCGCCATTAAAACCTGGTGAAAAAAATTTAACTTTGATGTAAATCGAAGAATAAGCCATTATAAAAGACTCTAAAAAATAAAAACTTTAGGACTCTCTTCATGTGAATGCATCTCCATTAAAACCAATATAATAAGATTCACTTTTACAAAAAGATAGTCCCTAAAAGCCACCTTAGCTGCAGCAATAAAGGGCTTCTTTAAGCAATTTTAAGAATAATAATCAGCAAAATATTAAATAATAAACTGAATAAAAGCAAAGCAAACAAAATCTTAAAAGAAACGATGATTTGTCTTTTGATCTTTCAAGAGAAATGCAACCATATGTTTAGAATAATTCAAAAAAGCCTGAATTCTAATGCGATATCAGCGCTATCTACTCAGATGATGAAAAAGAAACACCTTAATAATAGGCATAGAGGATATTCAAAAAAATTTAGCAAGTGGCAGAAATCAATAAATTATAAACTGCAAATGATAAAATGAGATTTTTTAACTGGCCCAACTCAGGAGAGTGCAAAATAATGAGTGTAAACTTCAAAATAATTTATAGTCACAAAGATTAAGATTTAAAACTGATAAAATCGTATAATTATCACACTGCTTCAACACTTCAATGGTAAAAGAATGCTTAACTGAAAAGTTACGATTTTGTTATGCAAGACAATCTCATATTTGATGCTCATAATGCCTCATCTACTCATTTAGAGAATAACATCATTTCTTTTGTAGTAGCAGAAAATGGTGACTTCGTATGTTTTAATTAGTGTTTATTATCACAACTTTTTTATCTAAAATAATTTTTTTAAATGATAAACAAACTAGGTTTGCATTAAAGATGAACAAACTTTTGTTAATAATGTCAGAAAAAATTAAACCATTATAAACAGTAGAATGAATTCAACAAATAATAATGAGTAATCAAGCATACCTTAAAGAAGAGCAAGACAAAGTGTAGCAAAGAATCAAAAAATAGAAAAAAATAAAGTTATTTCTGAGACAGAAAATTAAATGAAGCAGTAGATTTCTATATAGATTTTTTTTTTAATATAAATATTCTTTTACCAAATAAATTAGAATGTGGTAGCAGTCAATTACAGAATTCCTAGAAAAAGAAAACAGTTAATTTGAAAAAGAAAACTAAAATTCTCAAAAAAGTAACTTTAATAAAAATAACTAAGAAGATGATGATGATGATGATGAAAAATAAAGACCTTATAAAGCAGAAAAAAAAATAGTGAATTGCAATATTACTCATAATGGATTCAATTGTCAACTTATTCAAAAAATTGATATTCAACCTCGTGAAAAAATAGAAAATTTTTTAAAAGAAAATCTTCTAAAAGATGAAAAATTTTATAATTTTTGCTTTAAAAATCCGAAAATGACTATAAGAGATAAACTAAAGCAATGGGATGTGGTTAATGAGTAAGAAGACATAGAATTAATCCCTAAAAAGTTTCGATTCCCTGTATTGAGAAAACATTAAATAACATCAGGTATAATAGAAGAAAAAAACTAATTCATAAGGCCTCATACTATCACAACAGATAATTGTAAAATCGTAGTTATAGATCATAAAAGAGATTTGTTTGTTGATGTAGGCCAAGAATTGAAGCTTTTGGTATTTTTATGGCCTGAAAGGGGAGATAATTAAAACGAAATCCACTTTTATGAAGAGCTTAGTAAGTTTAAAGATTTGTGTGATGATGCCTTAAAAAGCATGGTTTTAGATCTATCGAGAGTTAGATCTCTTCCACTATCTTACAGACCTAAATTAAAAAAGAAATATTTCGAATTATATTGAAAAAAGATTTAAAAAAGAATTAATAATTAATAGAAAAAATAGTGAATCTAACTAAGTATAATAAAATTTCATTTTAGTTTATTATTTGACAATCAAACAAGTTTACAATATCAATAAAATTTATATTAAAAGAGTAAATTAATTAATTTGTTATTTTGTTAGTTAGTTAATAAATAATATTTTCTAACATTTTTATATAAAAATTTATAAATGCACACTCATAATATATGCAACAACTAAATAAATAAATAATTTAAATAATTCTTTAAGTTTTTTAAAATATTTTGCTTACAATCATTGTTAAGTGTCGATAAGCCTACTTTTTTCAATGTATTCTTATTTTATTATTTTTTTGGTTTACCTTTTAATAATTTAGTGTTTAAAATTAATATTAAATATTATTTATTTTAATACAAAACAGTTAATTAATTTTACAGAGTGATAGAATATCCTGAATTTAATAATTTAGAAGTTTTTTCGCCTGTTGAGTCCAAATAGTTTAAATCACAATCTTAATCATTATTTTATAAAGACTTTCTCTTTCCCAGTTATCCTTGTTCTTATGATTTTTGCATAAATTCTAAAATTTTGGTCTGATTTTTGTAGATTATTGGATTAACTTTTTTAAATTCAAATTTTCTGATGATATTTTATATTGTAGATACTGACCATCCAGTCTATTCAGATATATAATAAATTATTTAACTTTTGTTTCTTTTGATGGGATCATAAGAATTTAAAAATTGTTGATAGATTGTCTTTTAAATATTTTCTCTTTTTAAAATAATATCTTTCCTTTTTTTTTGATGTGTTTTTATATCATATTCACTTTAATCTTCCTCTTCACATGAGAGTAAAATCACTTATTATTATTCAGGTTATTCTTATGGCTTACTTAAGGTGTGAACACATTATTTAGTCTATACTTATTCTTAATTTTACTAATCCTATTTTATGCCTATTTTATTTAATTTGTTAGTTTAGTTAAAAAACAAAAAAAATACTTTTAAGTTGCTCATTTTTATTTGATTTTTTAGGGCTTTGAAGCTTACATATTAAAAGATTTGTAACTTAACATATTTCATTAATAATTTATTCTTTGAAAGTTTCAATGAAGCACAATTAACTCTCAAAATTTTATTCTATTTTATTGTCTTGCAATTTTTATAAATTCTCAATTAAACTATAATTTAAGGAGTTTTATACCATTTTTAAGCAGCTGAAAATATCTTAATTTTCCATTTTTAATAGTAAATCAATGAAATTATTTATAAATTTATTTTCAAATAAATAATTATATTTATTTTTTTATTTCGCCTATTTACAAAAATTATAAAAATTATTTGAGAATAATATTTCTAAAAATTTTCATAAACAAAAAATTATATTTAAGATATGGTAATTAAAAATAACAAATCTATATATACCATTTAACAAATTAATTTTATTTATTATATAAATTGAATAAATTTCCCAAAAAAAATTAATGTTAATGCTTTAATAATGTGTTTGTATATAGATTACATGTATTTATTTATTTTACTTTAATCATAAAAATTAATTCTTGATCAAATACAAATTTAAAGTATTAGCTCAAACTTTAAGCATATTTAATTGAAATTTATGATTTTAACATTATTTAATTGAAGTTAATTATTTATCCTAAGAATTATTTAACAAGGTATATATATGAGTTTTTTCAGATAAAATTATATTAATAAAATAAAAAAATTTTTTAAGATTAAAAATAAATGTATTTATATTTTAATATATGGAAGATTAAATAAATCTTCTTATTTAAATGAGTTTTTATAATAATATCTTTTAAGATGTAGATATCAAACAAATTTATAGCAAGTTAAAAATTAAAATTTAGCAGAAAGATAGAGAAAATTTGTGTTTTTTATTTTATTTTGTTGAATTTTTATAAAATGTATTAAGAATGATAATGTAAATTATTAAGAAAATAGTATGGTCTATTTATATATATATATATAATTCTCAAGCAATCAACAAAAGTTTTTTGATTTATTCTCCTCTTTTATCAAAATATAATTTTGTTTATTAATGTTTATTATTATATTTTTCAAAATTTATTATCAAAATATAGAGAATGAATCATACACATATTCGAATCAAGTAAAAGTAAATAAGTGTAAAAACTATTTTTTTCAACTTTTCAAAAAAAAAAAATCAAATACCACTGCAAAATTCTTATTTTTGTTGAAACGCAATTAAAAAATTTGTTGATCTACTCAATTAATAAAACTGTAAAATGTTTTGATGCAAAAGATACGAAAAATATCGTTTTTTGTTTGAGAATTTTCAAAATATTTTCAATCTGCATATGAATTTTTGAAATATTGTTTTTTTTGGTATTAATGAATGAATCCTTCCTTGTTTGTAATTGGAATCTATTTGCTACTAATTTGATGAAGCACTTGCTTGAAAATTATTTTGTGCAATCTAAGAATATTTAATAATTAATTTATTTAATTTCTTGCTTTGTTTCTGACTTTTTAAATTGAATTGAATACTTCCCTAATTTTATAACATATTCTTATTGCTAAAGGATTTGCAGATAGATATATTAATTTTAATAGGTATTTTTGACTAAATTAATTTAATTGCGAGTCAATCATTCATTCATTCAATTAGTTCTTTATTTCTTTAATTAATCAAGCAAGGAGGAGTTTATTGATTGATTTGAATATCTGAAAATTTATTTATTTGGTTGGCTGCTTGCTAAAACTTAAATGTAAAACTATAAGGAAAGGTGAGATTAAGGTGAGTGCAGTTTAAAAGATTATGAATTTAAAAAGGAATAGTTTAAATAAAGTATATGAAGATAAATAATCCTATATAAACATATTAAAGCTAGTAATTATTTTCGACTTATATACCTATTATGGTCTTTATTAATAGTAACCTAATATGAATTAATATAGCCTTTATGCGACCATAAACTTAACTTTTTATATTTTTTACAATAATTATTAGATTTCTCATTTGTTCTTTCTGACAACACCGCAAACGACACCGTGTCTACCACTGGTCTTGGTGTGTTGACCTCTAACCTTGAGACCCCAGAAATGTCTAAGACCTCTGTGAGACTTAATTTTCTTGAGTCTTTCAAGATCTTCTCTCATCTTGGTATCTAAGGTGTTAGAAGCCATTTGGTAGTTTTTACCATCCTTGAAATCATTAATTCTGTTGAGCAACCAGGTGGGGATACCGTGAGCTTCGGGATCAGCGATGAGATCGGTAATCTTGTTGCATTAATCTTCGGTTAATAAACCAGCTCTGGCGTTGGGATCGATCTTCAAAACCTTGCAGATGATGTAAGCGAATCTTCTGCCGATACCTCTAATACCGGTTAAGGCAATAGGGGTGATTCTTTTACCATCGATGTTGGTGTTGAGGATACGATGGATGTACTTGAAGTCAGATTCTTTTTCGATAACGAAGGACATTTTATGTTTTCTTTTCTTTTTACTTTTGTTTATCTTTTAATATTTATTTTAATTCTTAATTTTATCTTCCTCTTAAAATTTCCTTTCTATTTGTTTTGCTTCTTTTTTGTCTTATTTATCAAAGACTATTTTCTTTGGCTCTATCTATCTTCAATATTTTTTATCTTCTTTCTTTCCTTGTCTTCTTTTTCTTCTTTCCAGCCTATTCATCATAATTTCGCACTTCTTCATTCTTCCATATTAATTTGGACCATTGTCGAATACAATATAAATAATCATTCTTCATAGCCCTCTACATGAAAGAATTTAGCCATCGTAATTAATCGTCTAATTAATATTTTAAAATATTTTTCTCAGTTTCTAATTTTTCTTATGTTCTTTATTCTGCTATTTGTAAAATATTATTTTAAAAATCTTTAAATTGCAAATATATTATTTATTCCACATCAAATTAATTAAGTAAAATTTCAAAAAAATCAGTTACTCTTGCTATTAATCATTTATTAACAATACTGTCAAAGTATTCAATTTTAACCAAATTGTTTTAAGCTAATTTATTCTATTGTATATTTAAGGGTAGTTAAACAATTAAACATATAAAAATAACCTATTATTAATTAATTAATAATAGAAATCTTGTTATAAGAAGCCCTAATTCATATTTTAATTCTAAACTGCTGATTTTTTTATACTTTTTACATTTAAAATTAAAACACGAAAATAAATAGATATTCGTATCTCCTTTAAATTAAAATAAAATTTTCAAAAAATATAAATAAGATTAATTGTTTTGAACATTTAATTTCTTAATAACTAAGATGATATATCTTGTAAACTCTTCTAGTTTAATAGAATTAATTAATATATAAATAAATAATCTTTAAATAAATAAATAACCAAAATTATTTTTCAATATAAAATATTTTATTTGAAAATTTTTAGATTATTTTTTGTTTTTTTAAATGTTCATTATTGAAAGTTAGTTATTGCTTAATATTTGAGTTCTATCAATAATTAATAAAATAACTATTAAGTAGATTTAACTTCTACCAAAAAAATTTTTTCAAAAAATAAAATAAATACAAATCAGAATAAATTTTATAAAACTTACTTAAATTAAAAAATAAAATTCTTTTTTAAACTATTTCAAATTGAAAAATATATATTAAATGAATTCAGCTAGCATAAAAACTTTTGGATCTTTTTAGCAAACATTAATCATAATTCAAACCAATTAATATAAAACTAATAAGTAAACATCTAAAAAAAGTAATCTTTTTAAACTTAATAAATTTTCTTAAAGAAAAATAAATTATTTTTTAGATATTAAATTATTAAATGCTAAAGTATTATAAGTTAAATTACATGTAGAATGTAGAGGAGATTTAAATTTTTTATGTATAAAAGAAATAAAAACTTTGAGGAATCTATATGATAAGTGTAATAGGATTGCATTTAATTATTTAATCAAAAACATGTAAATAGAAAGCAGAAACTATTTTATAAAGCTTAGTTTAATCAACAATTATTAAAATTTGGCTTTCGTAAATCTTTTAATAAATTATTTATCAATAGTAATAAATAATTATAATCAATTATAAAAAATCAATTATTAAATATTTCAAAAAAAGATATCTTTTCAAATTTAATAAATTTTCTCAAAGATAAAATAATTATTTTTCCAATAAAAATTATTAAAAACAATAAAAACTAAATAATGTGAAGGGAAAATTCAAATTATAAATATAAAATAAAATATTTTGGAAATAAAATTGATAATTGTAATAAAATATCATTTAAATTATTAGATTTAACAAATTCATATTGATTTTAAATTATCTAGAACGAGTGAGACATGATACTTATTTAAATTCTGTTAAAATTTTGAATATTTAATTTTTGTTGAACTTTAAAGAAAAATTACTATATATCAAATAAAGTAAGATATTTTTTAAAATTAATGTGTAAAAAACTAAAATTTTTTTAAAAACTATTCAAATTAAATCAAAATTGATTTAAATTTTAATATACCGTGCATTCTCATTAATTAAGGCCAGTTGACAAAAAATGTTTTTTCTCAAAAATTGGCCATATTTAAAAATTCTCTTAAAATGGCCTTAATATAAGTTGGCCTTAATTAATGAGAATGCATGGTATCTTAAAAATATTTCTAATTTTATCATTTTATATATCTAAAAATTTTATACTTAAATTTTTTAATAAAAGTAAATTAAAAAACAGACAAATTATAAATATAATTTAATAAATGAAATAAATTTTATAAAAATTAGAAACTCATTTAATTTAAATAAACAAAAATAAACTAATATTTAATAACAATAAATTTAAATAAGATTAAAATTTAATTTTCTTATCTAAAATATAAAAAGTAATTATAGTTTTTTAACAGTTTTAATGTTATGCTATTCATCGCTTTAATTAATTTAATTTTTAGTTTATATAGAATTATTTTGTTTTTTATTTATTAAAAATAGAAAAATACTATTTAACTACTAATTTTATTTAAAAAACTTTTTAAAATTTTCTTTATATTTTTATTTTTAAAAAATTTGCAATATAAAAATGTGATGACAGTTTAAATTTAAATAAAAAAATATAATATTTAATGACTCAAACATGTTATTGATGTATATTTTATATTGATCTTTCAGCTATAAGTACTTTGCCATTTGCTTAGTTAAATCCTATATAATATGTTTCAAAGATAGTGTTTCCTAAAGAGAAGTCAATTACTCCTAAGTAAGTATCAAATAGCAATTCATATTTATTAACATCTAGTTTTCTTGTATACTATGAAGGTTTAATAATTACTGTGAAAGTAGTGTTGTCTTCTTCTTTGATTAATTCTACTTAGATATCACTTAACTTTGTAATGTCTGATACACTAATCATTTAGGAATCTTAAACCTCTTTATTTCTTATTTATCTTTTTTCTATTAGGTAATCTATTTTGTTTTCTTTTAATTGCTTTACTATGTAAAAATATGTCTCTGAGCTTATAGCATAATAAGGGGAATTAAATTTGAAGGAAACATTTTCTGTTGATAGCTTAACAGGCGATCCTAAAAATTAAATTTTTTAATTGCTGGCTACTGCAAAATAAAAATTTTTATTAATCACCGATTTCAAAATTGCAAGCTGTTCTCCGTCTCTTATTGAAAGCATATTTGGTTATCCTATGTCAATTTATCCAATAATTTCATCTGTATTTTAATTTTAGAGTACTTTATTTAAAGTTAAGAAGGTTACAGGTTAATCTATTTATCCAAAATCGTATAAATCTCTGATAACTGAGTTTGCAAAATCGAAAGAGTTATAACCGAAGCATAATTCTTTTTTCCCAAAGTCTAAATATTACTTCTTGTCAGGTACTTAGAAATGAATATAAGATTAAACATTTGACATATAAAATAAGCTGATAAAAATAGGAATTCCTAAGGCAGTACTACCTGTTTGGAATGAACCACAGTTTTCAGATTAGTTTTATTCGTCCATTTATTCTATAGAGATAACTGTAGAGCATTTTGTAAAAACCGCAGCTGCTTCAATTTTGCAATGCTTTGAACCATAGGTTGTCTAGATAATTAGGTTTTAATCTTTTAGTTTCAATGGTATTGTTAAAGTTTAGCATTTTAGAGAAGCAAAGCTTAAAAATATTGCAAAAAGTATAAGTGCAGCTCTCTAATGAAAAAGTAATTTCATTTATTTTTTTTATTTGCTATTTAGTAATTGTTTTAATTATCTAATAAATTATAACAAAGCTTGAAGCTTTCTTTTTGAATTAATTTTTTTCTTATCAGATTTCTTGTACATTTCTGATAGTTTTTTAATTATTATATCAGCTTAAGTAAGTTATTGAGTTTATTTTATTTTTGTAAACTAGAAATCTTGTAATTGAAAAAATAGAGTTTTAACTTTTTTTTTAGTTTTTCATATAAAAGAAATTAAAAATCCTTTTTAAATAATGTTTATATGAGTTAATAAAAACTGAAAAAGTTTACAATAAACCATACAAAAGATAGCACTTTAAAGATTTACTTTTAAAAAAAATAAAAACCTATATACATGAAAACACGAATTTAAGGTATATTTAATCTTATAAAATATATAATGACATAAAATAATTTGAAAATAATTAATTATTCTTTCTATTTGTAAAAGAATTAGTTAGTAACTACTGATACTTAATTTTTTTCAAATCGAAATTATTTTCTACTTACCTCTTTTAGCCACTTATATTTTATTGTCAAGCTGATTGAATCCAAAATAATATGACTAGAAGATAGTGTTTCCAAAACGGAAATCAATTCCAGAATCTACTTCCTCAAATAGTAACTCATAGTCATCATTTTCAATTTTTCTAGAAAATGTTTCTGGTGATATGGAAATGGTGTAAGAATATTCAGTAGATTCTTAAGTAAAAATAACCTAAATATCATCCATCTAATCAATATATGGTACAATATACATAGATTTATCACTTGACTGTTTTTAAGGATTAGCCTTGATTTTATACTAAATATCTTTTTTCTTAAAAGTTTTCAAAATTTGCTAAATAACTTCTGTGCTGAAGCTGTAATATGGAGAGTTAAAGTTAAAATGCGATTGGTTTGTTGAGAGATTAAAAGTTTATCCTAAGAATTAAAATTATAACACATTTTTAATAGAATAATATGATCCTCGGTTGCCACTTATTAAATATTTTAAGTAATCGCTCTTTTAAATCTTAGGTTAGTAAAGCTCTCCTAGTTCGATAAAGCCAGTAACATCTCCTTTTTTTTGATTTTAAAGAACATTATCAAGATACAAATAAGCTATAGGTTATTTTATTTAGCCTTAGTTAAACAAATTTCTGAGTACTGATTATAATTAGTATGAACCAAAACCGAAACACAAACTTTTTAATCCATAATTTAAAGTTTAATCAGGACTTGGGATATTGAAGGTGAGACTTGTTTTAAGCCCATTTAAATCAAAAGGGGCAACATATATGTTATCTCCAGTGAGTAAATCAATTTCACCTGTGCTTTCAGAACCACAATTATCAGTGGATTAATTATCTGATAATTTAGATATAATACTTGTGCATAAGTTGAATTGAATTTCAGCATCTATTTAGCACTAATTTTTACCGAAAGCTGTAGATAAAACTAGTTTATTATCTTTGAACCTTAAAGGAATTTTAATTGACTATGCTTCAGTTTAGATGAGTATGCATAATACAAAAAGTACTAACAAGAAATAAATTCTTCTTTAAGCCATTTTAGATTGATTATCAATATTTGTTCTAAAAAATTAGTTTTTCAATTTTATTAATAAATTAAATTATTAAAAATATTAATAATGAAGAAAAAAATTAAATAATAAAAGAATTGAATAAAAAAATAAAATTTTCTGTTTAGATTTTATAAGAATCAAGTTAACATATTACACAATAACCTTTTAATAGATTTAAAGATTAGGTATGATGATAGTCAGTTTATTTTACTATATTATTTTATTAATTTTATTCTTTTATTGACAAAGTCAAAACTAAAAGAATATTTAAATCAGTAATTAGACAATTAAAATAAATTAATCATAGTAAGAAACAATTTATCAAAAATCCTCATAAATTAATGTGCCAAATATTCAAAAAATATCCATAATCATATCTAAATAATTATCTTATTAGTTAATACTTTTAATTTTTTATAAAAATTAAGTTAGAATTTGAGATTTCCTTTTTTTATCTTTAAATACCATTAATATTTTTCACTTTTTACTTAACAAACATACATTTTACTAAATATAATTTATCTCTTTTGATAGAAAATATGGTTAATTCATAGCTTATTTATATAGTTAATACTAAGTTTAATATTTTATATGTAAATTTTTTAGAATTAGGTTTAACAAAATTATTTTATACTACAAAAAATTTCATCAAACAGAATTAGGGATTAAAGTTAATTTTTTAATGAAAGATATTTATTTGGAAAAAACGATAGCCAAAAATTCATCATAATCAGACTATTTTTATGACTCCATTAAAAACCAAGATTATCTATTGTCAATAATAATATCTAAGCATTTTTTCAAGTAATAAACAAAAAATATTATAACTAACTGAAAGTACACTAACTTTTTGATATTTTCGCATTAAAAATAATAAATTTTAGATTAACTAGATTAATGATAATAGTAATAATTATCTAATATATTAAAATATATGTGTTTTTTTAATATTTTCAAATGTACTTTAGCGTTTTAAAATATTTGCTTGTAAAAAACCAATTTTTCAAATTTTAACTAATTAATTGCTATAGATAAAGTAAACATTCACTCACTCATTAGTATTAAATTTGATTTTAAATTATAAATAATTTATTTTTATTTGAAATAATTAATTATTCTATCATTTAATTTCTTCAAAAAAATGTTTTTTAATTTATTTTAAAATTATTATATTACCATTAATTTATAAAAATCAATTAAATTATAATTTTCAATTAAAATTTAATAAAATACTTTAATAGAAAATATAGTTTATTTATGTATTGATAAAGAACTATTTAAAATAATAGGTTTTATTATTATTAAACTTGTTAATTATTTTGGAAGTTATTCTTTTATATTTATAAAAAATTAATAGATTTTATTCATTAAAGTATTCAAAAAATTAGATTTGAATTATTTTTTTTTAATTAGAATACATTTTACTATTTTTAGGATTTAAAATGCATTGAAATCATTTAATTATATATATTTTTTTAAAAAGTTTTATTTATTTTTTGTTTGTTGTTTAAAAATAATTTGATAAAATTCAATTATATTATTATTTCTTTGCTTATTTATAAAACCCCACTTTCAATTTTTATAATGACTTTACATTAACATAATAAATTATGTAAAATTTTGATTTTAATTTGTTGTAATACAGGTTTTGATTAAGTTCCCTAATTTTATTACTAACTTTTCTACTAAAAAGAAAATATTAATGCGCAATAGAAATTTTAAAATTTTGATTATAAATAATAGCTGTTAGAATCTTTTTTGAAAATAATCAAATTTTTAATTGCTCTTAATCTTTTTTTAGAAATTTGAAATGTGTTTAAAAAATTAATAATAATAATAAATATTCTTCAAAGATTTGATTTAAGATATCATATATATCAAATATCTAGTGAGGTTCAAACTTAAAAAGATAGGTATTTTAGAAGAAGGTTCTCAGAAAGAAAAAATTTTGGGATATTTCACAAAATTTTAGCTGCTGAGTTAATTATTTAAACTTTGAGTATATTTATATTATGTTGATTTGTTTTGAATAAAGACTTAAATCACTTTAGTATTACATAGAATTAATTTTTTTACTGCATTTGAAAGAAGAAGAAGTGTAATTTTTTATTTTCCTATCAATAAATGATTACTTTAATTCATTCAATTGCGTGAAAGAGAAGACAAGAGTGAATTAAATGATTATTTGTAATAATAAAAATATGATCTATAAAAAAAGTTGAAAACTTAAGATACTTATCGTTGAAAGAAAAGGTGATAATTAATAATAAGAATAAAAAAAATCAAATTTTGGTTTATAATTATCAATCAAAATATAATATAAAAAAGAATCAATTAAATAAATAAAAAAGAAAAAAAATCAGAATAAGATAATTATAAAATCCTCATATAATTCATTCATATTCACAAATATTTACTCCAAAAAAATAGAGTTAGAAAGACATTTTCATAAGTGAATATTTGATTAAATACTGTAAGAAGATCTCTTAAGGAGCTTATATTGAAATGACAAGTAGAAGCAAAGACACCATAGGTATTTAGCTGAAGGAGAAAGGGCGCAAGAGATTAATAAAGCCACTAGTCAAAAGTACTTCTACATTCTTTATTTTGATCAAGCAAGGCTGAATTTATTCTTATAAAACCCGTTTTTTTATCAACAAGGTTCTGAAGCTCTTGAAGATAAGAGCGATTCATTCAAATGCAAGAAAAGTAAAATGAATTTTTTTAAGATGTCCTCATTTATTAAAATATTAATAATACATTATAAAGGACCATGGAGCGAAGAAGAAGATTTATTAGTTATAAAACTAGTCAAGGAGCATGGACCTTAGAAATGGACCTTCATAGCCACTCATCTAGAGGGAAGAATAGGAAAGTAGTGCCGTGAGAGGTAATATAATAAATATTTTTGAGCAAAATTTTTTAGTTTGCTGCAGTAGCAGGCAAGCAAGTATATAGTTGAATTGGTAATAAATGGGTTGAAAGGTTCCAATTATATAGATTTTGTTGATTAAAAACAAATTTTAAATGATTTTTAATATACCCAAAAAAAATAATTAAGAGAGTGAGAGAAATAAGTAATAAATAAATCAATAAATAAATAAAAGATAGGTATTAAAAGCATATTAAAAATCTATGTATATTTGAAATTAATTAATTAATAACTTAATTTCTTTCAGCTTTTGAATTTAAAGAAATTTATTAGAATGTTAAAAACATATATCAAATTCAAAAAGAGATATCATTCATAACAAATTAATCAGCTATATTCAGTACTTTTATTACTCTCTTGAAGCAGACAATTTTTTTATTCAAAAATCTTTCTTAATTAATAATTAATTATGTTTTCCTTCGCTTAGCGCTTAATAAAATGCTAATAAAATCTCCCTGTAAGCTTGAATATTAGTCTCCAAATATTTTAATTTGGTTTAAAGATGTTACAAATTTCTTACTTACAAATCTCAGATTTTACTTATACACACAAACATTTTACAATAGGTATAATTATTCTTAAAATAGCAAATATTTGCTTCTTGAGTATTACAATAATATGAAACTCTTGAGCTAATGATAAGATAATTATTTTGGTAATATCAAAATGGCAAAAACAAACAACAAAAATAAATATGTGTGTGCCCTAAAAAAAGATTTGAATTTTTTTATATCTCAAATGTTTAATTTTAATAATTTGAAAACGAATTTAGATTTAATTAAATCCACAAATTAATTTAAAAATATGTTCGTTACATTAGTATTTGAAATATTTCTGCAGCTTAATCAAATTATCATATCATATCAATCAATCAATCAGCAAAATGCATTTATTAATTTAATTATTTACTTATTTTTGAATTTATAAACTCCTATTTTCAAAAATATCAATTTTGCTTTTCATCTATCAAAATAATAATAAATTTATTCTTCATTCATTATTTAATTCACTCACTCATTCACTCCTTTATTCAATTTTAATTATTTTTTTTTTGATATTGATTAGCCTTAATTTTTCAATTTATCATTTCCCCACACTACTCTCATATAATTTTTTATATTTTATTTACATTCCAATCTATGTTTTTACCATATTTCGCATTTTTATTTGCATATTTTGTTAATAATCAATAAATAAATAAACAAATAAATCTTCTCCCCATTAATTACTTTTTATCTTAATAAAGATTTACTTTAATTTAAAATTACTGTTAAAAAAATTAGATTTACCAAAATTTATTTATTAGAAATTATTATATAAATTAATTCTAAATTTAACTGCTCTTTTCAGAAATTTAGGTTTAAACTTAACTAAAACCAAAAATTATTTTAAACATATTAAAAATTACTTACCTTTAAAATATAGATGGCACAATCACCTTAATCCAAACATTAAAAAATGTTCATGGAGTGAAGAGGAAGAATGGGTCCTTTATTTGTTTCACAAAGGTATTGGAAATAAGTGGGCTGAAATAGCTAAGTACATAATCGGACGTACTGATAATTCCATTAAGAACCATTGGAATAGCGGGATGAAAAAACGCCTAGATGACTATGCACGCAAATTAATAAATGTGAGAGAAATATTTGCTGAAGTTGGAGAAAGCTACTTTGATAGAGTATCTCTTCCAGGTGAAAAAAAGGCTTTAGAAATTTTACTCTTAAATAAATAATATGTTCCCAGTGATTGTGATGAAGACGAGGAAGATGATGAAGAAGATGAGCAAAGTTAAGAAGATAATTAAAATTTTGTCAATACTTCTACTAATTAAAACATCAACAACAATAACAGCTCTAATAATAATAATTCTCGCAATAATCCCATAGTTAATAGCTCTAAGGAATCAACTTTGAAAGAAGATACTGATAATTCCTAGAAAACCAAAGAAAAACACTCAGTAAATAGTAAAGCATAAGTAAATCCTTTTAGCTGGACTAAAACTGAAGATGAAGGTATAGAAAAAAATTCATCCACTGTAAAAAAAATCCAACCTATTCCTTAGTTACTCAAGCACTCATAATCTTTATAGCCAACTCAAACTACAGCTGTTTTAGATAAAGAAAATACCACTTTTACCCCTAAGTCAAACCAAATTAACACTTAATAATAAAATACTAACTTAAGTAGCTATTCTTAAATCCTCAAAGAAAACAAGAGCGAAACCAACAAATAACGTGCAGATAAAAAGAGTTTAAGATAACTAAGTCCTTCTATCAAAGAAGATCCCAAGAAAAAGTTAAAATTAGAGGAAACGAGCCCTACCGAATTTGCAGATAAAGCAAAAAAAAATTAAAGTTAAAAAGAAAATATTAACCCATAGAATTGTAAAATAGAAAGCCATGATAGCATTAAAGGAGATTCAGATCGAATTGATGGAAAAAATAAAGAATACGGCTGCTACTAAGAGATAAAGTAGGAACATATAAAGGATAATTAATATTACAATTACTGTGAAGAGAGTTAATAATTAAACCCCAATTAATAGTATTAGAATACTTAATTACAGAATGAAGATAAGCCATATCCGTATTAAATTTATGATGGATAATAACCTGGTCCATATGCAGGCTACCCAAGTGGCTATCACCCATATCCTCTACACAGATCTTAATCTTTAAACGGATATATTGCTCCACCTCAATCATCGTAAATATAGTAATAGTGCTATTCAAGCTTATATACTCCTGTAAATGCCTAATAAAATGTAAATGGTGCTCATTTCCCTCATCATGGCTAAGTTTATAATCCCTATAGTCATGTATAGGCCTATAAATATGACCCTCACTATTACTCTCATTACTAACCAATGAACTTTATGTATTACCCTGCTGCTCATCCTAACTAATCTTAAAGTGGATATCCTTAATAGCCATATCCATACTATAAAGATTATTAGTATCCTAAAGGATAGTAACCTTAAATCGAATAGTACCCTAAAGGATAATAGCCTCACAGTGAAAGCGCTAACCACAATCGCTAATCTACATATCCAGTACAACCATCAACCTAAAATTATTATAATAATGCTTCCTCTAAATATTAGCAGCCTGTAGGTTAAAATCATAGTAAAAAAGAAAAACTAAACCTACATAAATCAATATCCATGCCATCTCAATCAGATTCTCAATACATTTAAGAATTTAATTCAAACTGTAAAAACGCAAGTCATCTCAATAATGATGCTAAAAAATAAAATAAAGAAAATTAGGAAGAATAGTCTAATAGAAACAGAGCAGACACCAAAAGCACAATCTATTCATAGTAAATGTAGTCTACACAATAATCTAAGAATAACCAAAAAGAATATATGGATATGAATTTCATGTAGTCAGAGTAAAAGAATAATTACTTGAGCAGCTTAAATAGCGATTTTAAATGTAAGCAACTTGTATCTTCTCCTTTTTAGTCTAAGAGAGCCTCTGTTATGAGTGAATGCCTTTAAAGTAGTGGAAAACAAAGCGAAGAAGATGATTTAGAATCTGACAATGATCAAAAAGTTTAAAGAAATTTCACTAACTAAATCGCTTTTCCAGGCATCAGCGGTCTTAATTCTTAGGTGAATAATTAAAACTTAGGCATTAATTATGAAAGCCCTTCAAAAATGCTAAATTTATCAGAAAGAGTGATGCTGAAAACTCTGAGCTCAAATAAGCAATACATTTACAATATGAATTCCAATATCAAGTATCCAGCTAATAGGTCTAGCATAAACCCACTTAAGTAATATATTTTATATTTTAATATTTAAAAATAATAATTTATTTTTATAAAAAAATAGTTTAAACTCTCTTTTTAACCAAGAAGATGAATTTTTTAATGAAAACAGTCAACAATTAATTTGATTGAAATGATATTACATTTCTAAAATGTAAAAAATAGACAAATCAACATACTTCTTTAATTTTCCTGTAACTAAATAAATATAGATCTAATTAATATATCAACGATCATTCTTTAAACTATACTCATCAAATAGAAATATTGATAGACAAATAGATAAAATGTCATTCGGAGTGACATCAATAAAAATAATAATATTAATAAGAAGAAAAACAATTTTCATTTAAAACTTAATTATCACAATAAACTGAAATACTTTTACTAATAACGAATAATAATAATAATAATTATACAACCATAACCATCAATATTAATAAAAAAAGAACTTCTCACCATTATAACTATGAAAAGCTAATTTTTCAGATAGTTTCTTTAATGTAAACTGTCATTTAGCTTTCTGCTTAACTTATTTATGATTTTACTATAAATTTTTGTCAAAACTCAGCAGGATAATCCCTGTCTGTCACTATAAAATTGTTCTTATTATGGCAAAATTGAATAAATAAATAAATTAATTAAAATTTGAATTCACTTGAGACTTAGTCTATTTAGCTGTATTAACAATACAAGCACGAGATTATTCTGCAATGAAATAGAATGATTTTTTGAAGATTTATATAAATTATATTATATAGCAATAATTTATTCGATATATAAGATAAAATTAACAATATATTGGCTCAATGAGCTAACTTTTAATGCAACTAATTTGCTGGCTTAAAGCAAAATAAATAAATAAAATACATTTTTCATTAAATAGATATTCTGATATAATTTTCTAATCACTTGTATTTATTGTAAATAAAATATTATATAATTATTTCATCTGAAATATTTTTCTACTATTACTTTATCTTCGAATATTTAGTGATAAAATATAACTATTTTCAAAAAGATTTCATATTAATTACTTTTTAAATTTATTATAAAAATTTAATTAAAAATGGTTTCTTATTATTTTTAGATCAAAATTTATTTTTATTTAAAACATAAAATATTTATTTAAGTTTTCAAAGTTTCTTTTTAATTGTTTTTTTATAATTAAAAAATATTATTTTAATGTATAATTCTTAGCTAAAATTGTTAAGACTGTCTTGGAATGATAGCTCCTTTTTGTAAAACCCAAAAACAAATAAATAAATAATTTATTTTAATTTAAAAATTAAACATATCCTTTTGAATACTTTTAGGGCGAGTTTTTAAATTTACTTTAATCAATATTCAATATGTATCTAAGTATGCGCTATCGATAATATACTAAAGATGAAAATCATCTATTGTTTGAAATTTCACTATTTTAAATTATTTGAATTAGTTTTGTAGATAGCATTCATTCATTGTGATGCCAATAAACAATATTTTTTTGTTATTAATAAAAATAATAATTAAAAATTATCATTAAGAAAAATATTAGAAAAATTAATCAACCAACAGCTTTAATTAAATATTTGCGAAACATTCATTCAATCTATCATTTAAAATATTTGTTTTGCAGTATTTGCTACATAAAATAAAGTAGAATTAGTATATAGGAATTTAAATTTTGAAAGTAAAAACTATCTCTGCTGTTCATTAAAACATATACTCAAATAAATGGAAGAATTTAAAGGATAATTTGAATCATTTAACAAGCTTGACGGTGATAATAGCATTTCAAAATTACCAATCAGTCATGCTTAAATGGCAGCTTTCAAAGCATAAAGTGATCTATCCACAAACTCAGAAACAAGTGAGGAATTTAGATAAAAATCTATTTTTGGAGGAGAAAATGATCAAAAATTTTAGATGGAATCACCTAATTTTTAAGTAGGGAATTTTACAAAAAAGGATTAGATTGATTCAGCTGCTAACGGATTCTTTGGTTAAAGCAATTTTTCAGGAAAAATGGGAATCGAAATGAATAATCCTAATTCGATAAGCACTCGTATAACTACTAATACTAATAGAGTTTTAAATAATTCTAATGGAATTTCTGATACTCCCTCATCAACATATAGCAATGAAGGCAAAAGATATGAGTTCAAAAGTAAATATGACGAATACAAAGCAAAAACTTAATCTCAAACACAATCTGTTTCTTAAATCCCTTAGCAATCTTCTTTATTGTTTGACAGAAAAGCTCCTTTAGGGTTAGGGGATACAACCGTTTCAATAAATAATGAAAACAATGTTCCTTTCAATCCATACTCAAAAATGTAGCGCCCTGGAACTGGAGAAGGTTTTATGCCTTCTTTATAAAGCTAGCCTTATGAATTGACAAGCAAATATCGTTTTAATAATGACTCAACTAAAAACACCAGCTAAAATATTTCATCAAATAGTGGATACTCTGGTATGAATAATCATATGTCTAATCAATAATTTTTTGATATTGGTGATGAACAAGATAAGAGTTATTTCAAAATATCCAGTAATTTAACTCCAACCAGAATGAATAAAAATAGTGGTGGTTTATTTAGCTAAGGTTAAGGTTTAAATTTCCCAAATAATAATAATAATATAGGGAATTTCTCAAATTCTTTCTTAAACAACAATCCTATGTCACTAAATAGTCACAACACAAGTGGAATATAAGAAAATGCAAACACTTATGGAAGAAAACTTAGCGTGGATTAATTTAAAAGAAATATTGATTTTGAAAGCTCTCTAAATAATAGAGAATTATCTAATGACAGCAAATTACAATTTAACAATATAAAAAAGTAGTTTTTTAAAATTAGTTTATTGTTTATTTAGTTAAAAAAATAAAAATCTTTGATTTTTAATAGTTGTTTATTTATTTATTTAAAACAGGGTTAATTATCCTTCTAATCTGCCAACAAATGGGTTCAAAAGCCTAGGAGAGTCAAGAATAAGATCATCAGGATTGTAATAATTGCCTTAAATGAATGCAGGAGGTTTGTAAAATGGTCAACCTCCTCTAAGACCTCCAAAATATCCTGGAAGTGCACATAAATCAAACAGTTATGAGCAATCTATAGGAGAAACAAGCCAACAAATATTGAATAATTAAAAAATGCAAAATGTTGTAAAGAAAAATAATTTAAATATCCCAACTGATATCCTAACATATGATTAGGACTATTTCCCTTAGTATACTATGTTTTTGCTTGCTGAAGAAGAAAAAGTAATAAATTTAATTAACAATTTTTAATTTTTATGAAATCAATCTATTTTGAAGTCGCTTTTTGATAAGTTAATTAAATTATTAAAAAAATATAATATAGAATTTAAGCAATTACAGAGAAAGAGTAGAGAAGGAGAAGTAAAAAATTGAAGCAGATTTTGATCACATGAAACATGAAATGAATAATTTGCTAGATGATTTAAAAATAGAACTAACAACAGGTGTAGATGAACACTTTAAATCATTTATTGAGCGTTATAAAACTTTTAAGTCTGAAGTGATAGAATTCAAAAGTATTAAAGCAGATTTGCCTAATATTTAAGCTCCTCCTCCAAGTTAAATAGATTAAAAGAATGCATCAAATGTACAATTGATAAAAGAACTAGAAGAACTACGTTACAGAAACCAAATGTCTAAATTATACCAATATATTGGAGAGTTATAGAAAGCAAATATAAATAGAATTTTGCAAGCCTCTTAATTGTTGCTTGGCTAAATGAGTAGCAGTGCAAGTCTCTATAATTCTGAAGGATGCTAAAAATAACTAAAGGAGCTAAAAAATATGTTTGCTATGAACCTCTCCCAACGTTTTGACCCTTTAAGCAATTACGTTAGATAAGTTTATAACTAACCTCCAAATATTTAAGCCCTTGACATGAATAACATAAATGCAAGTACATTTATTCCTAATCTTATGTAATAATAGAATAGCCCAACATAGTAGTAACAATAATATTAATTCAGTGCTCCTCATCCTTTGGGAAATCCTCCTACTCTATTTAATGGCTCCATCAGCAATTTTAACTCTATTTAACATCCAGCTTTATAATCACATGCTTATTTAGCTGATTCACCATCTAGATCTAACACAGATTAGCAATTTTAATTCCCCTAACATTAAAACTAAATGATAAATATGAATTTGCTTAATCATTTTAGAGCTATGAAGGAAGACATCCCTGAAAATCAAAATGCAAAAATTAATTAAGAAATTCCTAACTTTGGTTCATAAATGAACAGCCAAAATGAGGAACAATATAGTCAACCATTTCCATTAAAACAAATGTAGGATATGTTCTAACCATAGTAAGGCTAACAACAACAATAAAATCAATAGTTTTAATAGATGCAATAATTTTCTCAACCATTTATAATTTAAAATTAAGATGAAAACTGATAAACCAATCAATATATCTATTTTAATTAGACATTATATTAAATTATTAATTAATTAAAGAGCAAGTAAATTATATGTTATATATATAAATAGTTTCAAATCTTATAATAAACTATCAAAGTAAATTATTAATATCATTGTAGTGAATGTCAAATTGTTAAAAAATTTTTTGGAATGGAGAATAAAAGTTTTTCAAATCCAATTAGTTTCAAATTATAAAAAAAAATTTTATTTCTAATTTAATTAAATGATATTGATTAGTATAAAAAATAAAAAAAATGAAATTTATCTTCATAATATCATAAAAACTAAACTTTATTATATTATAAAAATAATAATTAATTGATTGTACTTCTTAATAATCTATTTCTTTTTTATGTTATTAAATTCCCTGCTTTAGAAAAAGGCATTCTGCAGACACACTAATTGCAGATATTACTAAATACTGCATAGCTAACTTGCATCATATGTTAGGATAAAACAATTTATTAGCTTGCCACCAAGTTAAAGGATTTTCTTATAATTAAATGTCTTCTTCTTTTAAGTATTTATCTATTTCTAATAGATATTTACATTAACTTAAATTATGAGTTTATTTTGTATTTCCATTAATACCTAGTTTTTCTCCAAGTATTTTAGATGAGCCACTGAACTATTCTACTAATTGTTATCCTTCCTATTTTTTAACTTTTTATAACATATTAGAAAGTCATTTCTTTTTAATCTCACTAAAATTTTTTTCATTTACAAAATAGAGAGAGCTAACTAAATATTTTGGATTTAAAATTGAAAATTAAGCCAAAGATATGAATTTATCACTAATATTCTTTTAGTAAGCATCCAAAAAGTAATTTAAAATACCATTTTTAAACTCTTTTAATTCTTCTGAATCTCCTTTTGAATCTTAATTAAATTATTTTTAATATTATTATAGATAGGAAGAATTTAATATATAGTAACATGTGTAGGAGAAGATAAATAAATAATCAGTGATATCTTAGAATGGATCAAGAAAATTTATTAAATTTTCTATTTATTCCTATTACTCTAAAGAAAATATTAAGACTGCATATTTTTTTTTTAATTTATATTTACATAGTTGACTTTTATGTTAATGAAACTGTATTTACATATGTTTAAAGAATTCAGCATTTAAAAGACTGAATTCCACCTAATTATGACATCCATTTTCAATTTTTTTTGTTCAGACCCATTTTTTAAATATACTTATTATAATAACTCTCTTAAAATTTATTTCTTTCTAAATTTTTATACTATTTTTCTACTTTGACTTAATCAATAATTAAATTTTCAGAAGATAAGAGCAAGTAATGCTATTATGAATGCTGAATTTGTTACTAAAAATACCTATATTTATGATTATTTAGTGCTTATATCAAATTTTTCAAGCTACTTTTAAACTAATTCGAATGTTTTTTAGGCTGTATGTGACTCTAGGAATTTCATATTAAGACTCTAATAAATTTATGAGCTTCTAAAATAGCACTGACTTTAATATCGATAGAGGAAGCATTTCTTAAGCTAATAGTTTGATAATAGTAGAAGTAATTAATTCTTATTTAACTTTGGATATGATTATACTTTTTTTTAAACCATAAATTAGGTGATATCTTACTATTTTAACTAACTTTATTATGTAGCTATTTAGTCTTTATATTCTTTCTCTTTTACTTCATATTCATTTGAGTGCTGCTTTTTTGCATGATCTGTCATAGAGCTGATTCCGTTTACATATTTGAATGTTTTAGTTTCTATTGTGCATCATTTACAAGTTGCTATTTTTTATTTCTAGTTATCTGAGAAGAAAAACCATGTCATAGATCTTTTGATGTTTTACATGTTATCTAAACTTTCATCAATCAAGTAATATTTCTTTTCCTTTAATTAAATTACTAGTTTTTCATTATTGTTGCTTATTTAAATTTGAGATTCCTCAATCATTATTTATTTTATTTTATTATGTTTTATTTTTTTTATTTTTAATTTCTTTTTATTTTCTTCAAATTAAATTCAATTTTTTTCCCTTAACTGACAAATTGACTGCTTTTAAATAAAAAAAAATATAATATCTATTATCCAATTAAAATCCAATGGATTAAATTTTTTTAAAAAAACTATAGATTGGATATCTGATCCAATTATCTATGGATATATCCAACCAAAATATAATCCTTGACATTCTCTATTTCATTGATATAAATCTAGCAAATTTTGATAAATATTGTATGTCAATAAAAGTTATTCTTCCCAAGAAATTTAGTAGATACACAAAGTATACCTTAGATTTTATGTTTAACAAATATAATAAACCTTTAATATATTTTTTTTATATAAATTTGAATAGAATACCTACATATCCTGCTTCAAGAATAAACTTGTCGGTCGGAAAACAATACAGAATTCCACTTTTGTTTCCATTATTCCAATCTATTTGCAAATTATAATCTGAGATCTTTATAATATTCAGTAAGTAGAAATATAGATAGTATTTTGTAAGTATTGATTTAGAATTTCTTCAAGAAAGCAGAAATAAACTAACGACTTAAACCTTCATGATTTAGATCTTAATTATTTTCTATCTATACTAAAAAATAGTGTTAGTTTTCTAAAAAATAGTGAGCTATTTATTTTTATTGATCCTCTCCATAGACCTATAATACTCCACTATTATAATAATTTTGCTCAAAAGTTCATTATCCTTACCTAAATTCTGCTTAAAAATGTTGAATGCTTCTTATTGACTAAATAGTATCTTCATTCACATCAGATAGGTAGGATTCTTTTTGCAAAAATTCAAGAAGCATACCACACTACAACCTAAATCATTTTCAATATTTTTAATATTTTTTTTCTAATTTATTATTTAATGAAAAAACAAAAATTTATTTGTAAATGTTTCATTCAAACATGAAAAAAAAAAAATTTCCCTCTAAATTAAAAAATAATATTCGTAAAAAATAACTCACTAAATTTACAACTTAATGGGTTTGCTACTTGATGAGCATTTTAAGGTAATTTGATTATATAAATTTTTAATTTTAAATAAAATATTTAATTGATAAATTGACATTTAAATAATTTGTTATTCATTTTATCTTTTTATATCTATTTATTTTCTATCATAAAATTTATTTTAACATACCAAATTGATAAAAAAGTAAGAATCTTATTAAAATATTAAGTTTATTTTTAAAAAATCTCAATAAACTTTGAAGATTAGAAGATGTAAAATTTTATTTTGAATTTAAAAATAAAATAGATAGTTTAGATGTATTAACACATTTATGAAAATAAATAAATTTATAACTTTATTAATTGTTTTTTTTAAATACTTTCATTTCTTTGGAATGAAAACAGATTAGCCTTAGTTGAATTATCCATTGTTGTAGAAAGGATTAGACTATTGAGGCATTTACTATTATTATTAGTGCTATTGGTATGGGTGGTTTTGATAGGGAGCACCATAATTCTAAGGAGGGTACTAGCTTGGAGGATACTAATTTTAAGGAGGATATTAGTTGTAAGGGTTATTCTATTATCCATAAAAGTAATTGGTAGGAGGTGCTTAAGGTTATACATATTAAGCATTAAATCCTCCTTAATTCATATTTACTTTTGATTATTCGTTATGGATCATTTAAATTAAATTATTCTTTTCAATTTCACGTGCAGAGATAAAATCAGAAACCTTCTTGTCTAAGTCAAGAAGTAAGCCAAGTAGATCACCATAGAATTTCATTCCCTATTAGCAATCATCAAATAATTCAACTAAAGTAGTGAGACCACCTGAATATTTTTCTGATTATTACATATTTCCACTTTAATTTCCTCCTTTTTAATTTCTCTTTTATTATAGTTCGATAGCAAGATTGCAAGCTTCGCTAACTTTATTGCTATAATGAGCAATCTATTTAAAATAATTTTTTATAAATTAAATTAAAAAATCTACAATAAAATTATTTACCATATCATTAAGAGCTGTGATTTACAAAGAAACAGGTTATAGAACAGTTTCTAATACCTTGTCTTTAGGAACTTTTTGTTGAAGTACCTTGCTAACTTCTCCTTAGAAATTTGTATTTCTAATGGAATTGTTGATATTTTGAATAGAATCTTTAATAGCAGTCATATCAGAGTTGATTTGGGTGTCTGTATTTTCAAGCTATTAGAGTAGTTATAAATTCTATTATTTGAAGCTGTCCTCAGAAGAGCCAGAGACGAAATATTTGGTATATTCAGCAGGAGGTTTCTCCATTAATTCTGCTACTTCTAGATTCTATTACCATCTTTATTGTGTGTCCATATCAACATTAGTTGCAATCTTGAAGTTTTCTTCTAGGTCTATATTATAAAAAAGTTTATTAATTAATAACAATAAATAAATAAATATATTTTATATTACTCTTTAATTCATTCAAATATTCTTTGTTTGAAGTAGAAGATTGAGCTCTAGTCCATTTAGCACCATAATCTTTTCTGAAAGTATCATCTTCACTTTATTCTTTTTCAAGTTTTTATCTGACATTGTTGATAATCATTCCACATTGGATGTTGTTATCCTTAAGAGTTTAGATGAAGTTTTTAAGCTATTTAGTACCTCCTTAACTGTTAAATTTAGCAATTTTGTCGTTTACTTTTTATGGAATTTACTATTGTTGCTTTTGACTTATTAAATCAATGAAAAAGTTGACATAATTCTCTAAATAGGCGCTTTATTTCATATCGAAGATTTGTTTTTAGACATTTTCAACCTCATTACACCTTTATTGAGCGAATTGCTTAATTTCCTATACCATTTGTAAAGTTTCTTCTGAAACGAAATTTGCAAATGCACTTTCATCAACAGCAATATTTTATTGCATTTCTTTTGGTTCAGCTGGCTATATAATTAGCTACTCCATCAAAGTGGTTCTGGGTAATTTCTTTTCATCAATAACTTCTTAATTGTAAATTTATAAATTTCTTTGATTTAATTCATTGAATTCTTTTTCACAATCAGCTCTAATTTGCTATAATTAATCCTATTGCTACTTTTCTACGAATTTCATAGCGGCCTATTTTTATTATTACATTTATTCATTAAACAAATAAGATAGATATTAAACTATTTTTACTTCATTTTTCAAAGCTATAGTTATAGTATTAACACTGTTTTTCACATATCCTAGAGCCCAGCCAATATGTCCAGCAGTCAAGTTATCTTCGTGAAGGTCTTTGTGATGCTTAGACATCTTTAAGCCTGCAATAGCCATATATTTAACAGTGTTAAAGAAGAGGAAAGCCTTAACTTTTTAGAGATGATCCTAAGGAATGATATGTTCTCCGCTTTGAATAATACCATTAACCTTGCTCAACGCAATTGTATAGTTTTGAGATGCCTCACCAGCTAAACTAGCTGTTTTATTAATAAAATAATTTTAATTGAGTATTTTCATTTTTTTCTTTGTCTGTATAGTAATTGCAAAGTAACTATAATTTTATTGAGTATATTAAATCAATTACCAATATTCTTAACCTTGATTTGATCTTCTTGAGGTAAAAGGTTATTGAAGAGTACAGCATAGCAGTTACCTAGCATGGTGTGATAGAGAATATCTAAATTAGCCTCACAAAAATCAGTCAAGATTGCCTTGATTTCAGGAGCCATATTGATAACTAATTACTTAATTTACTAGATACACCATAAACCAAATCTGAATTTTTGAGTTGCAACTTTTCTCTATTCTGGATTTCCAAACATTAAGTTATTACCCTCAGTGTAATAAATGATAGTTAAGTTATAAAGAATGCAAGCTTTTTCTAAAACAAGACTAGGAGTTGCGATTTATTTCTTAGCATCAAAAGAATTGCTCCATTAGAAAGGAATATTAACTGCACCAGGTTAATAATATTCGAATCTAAATCTGAATGTTTGAAAATAAATTATAATTAAGCTTATTAAATAAGATTGAATTGAAATTACTTGTTTTGAAGGAAGAGAAGATGCTTGTAGTAAAGGGTGAGCTTTTCCACAAGTTTTGCACAGGTAGCAGGGTCATTAGCAACTGTGAGATTGTGCTAATCAAATAAAAACTCGCCTCTAAGCTGACTAACTTTAGTGAAAAGACCTTTAACAGGTTACCATGTTGCTTCACCATATATTTGGGTTATAAACTATTCAAATATGACATCTATTGGAATGGGTCCAGTAACCTTGAGAGGATATGTTATAAATGACATTTCTACTTCTAAATTTTTATTTTTATTACAAAGTAAATTAATTTTTTTTGATTCTATTCTTTGATCAATAAATTATTTACAATTTTTATTTTATCTTATCTTATTAAAGGTGGATTTTTTCTATTTATTTTAAAAATAATTCTAAAAGGCATGATAAATACCTGATATATCTTTAAACGCTAAGTCAATAAAAAATTATAGTCTATCTGATATAGATTATCAAAGATACCAAAAGTTAATATTTGCATGAAGGAATAAATAAATAAATGCATGCATGTGTTTTTTCTTTGTTTAATTGATTGATAGGTTGTATTAGCAATCCTAATAATAATAAAAAAGTAACACCAGAAAGAAATTATTTATGTACGATGATTTGTTATAGATAAAAAGAATTTGTAGTTTTTACTACAATAAAATTATCACTATTTTTAATTCTTCATTAAAATTTTTTTTAAATATTAAGTTAAGACTAATCAGCTATCTATAACATTTCATAATAATTAATTGATGAATTCTTAATTTTTTAATTTTAAAAAATTTTATTATTAGAAATCAAAAATTTAAAATCAATCTAAGATTTTTACAGAAAAAATTAATTGATTTTTATTGCTAAATAAATTATTTATTTCGAAAAAAATATTTAATTATATTAACTAATCAATATTCTAACACTTATTTAAAATCTAAGCAAAAACATATATTTTTATTTTCTTGTATTTTTAGTTTTTTTATTTCTATTAAAATATATCCTAAAAAATTTAATATCCTTCAATGCTCTAATTTTAAAAAATAGATTGCAATCTAATTTTATTTATTTCAACATATAAAAGTAAAATACATTTCAATTAAATCTTTAGAAATTTTTTTTTTTATTTTATTAAAAGATCAAAAAATTAATTCAGAAATATAAAAAACATAAAATGAGTTTATTAAAATTATGGAAAATTTTATTGAGCAAATTGAAGATTCAAATAAATAATATTATCTACCATAAAAATAATTTACTTTTGTTATAAAAATTATTGATAAAAATTAAATTAAATAAAAATAAGAAGCTTTTATTACTTTTTTAAATTTTGTATTCATTAATTTTTTTTATAAAAATCTAAAATGTGTTATTTCACAAATAAAAAAATAATCAATAAATACTTTTTTCTTAAATATGCTAAAAAATATTTATAAATAACTTGCTTTGCTGATAATATTTAGGAATACTCATTTTTTATAAAATAAATTTTCTAAAATGTAACAAAATTTATTCAAAAATATTGTATTTTTTTTATTTATTATAAAATAAAGAAAACTAATTTACTCAAAAATTTTTAAAAACTTTTTTTGTTTTGAAAATCAGAAATAAAAATTAATTTCTTAGTATTTTTTAAAGAAATTTTAGTTAGATGATTAGAATATTAGATTTTTATTATTTTATTTGATTTAGCAAAATTAATATATTTTTATCATTTAGTTTTAATTTTATAATTTACTTACTTTCTTTTAGTCATTCATTCATTAAATATAAATCAAATTAATATTTTTATATTGATTCATTAAATATAAATTAAATTAATATTTTTTATTATTCAAATAGAAATAATGTAAAATAGATTTTTGGTTAAATAATTTATTTTATTTGATTGTTTTTGATAAATAGGATGTAAGAAATATTATTAGCTTATAGCAATACGTTATTAATTAGAAGAATTATATTTTCTTTGATAATTTATTTTATTTAGAAATAAGAATTTGTTTAGAAAATTTAGCTAAAATTTCAATAGAGTTTAATATTGATAATTACTAAAATTTTTGAATACTAATTATTTAAAATTTAGAGTAGCAAAAAAACACTTTAGGTGGAAGTAAACAATGGAGAACTAATAAATGAGCGATTTATAGCAAGCTATTTCAAAAATAGAAGCAACTTAATAGAAGCTTATTGATTTTTTGTCAAGCGGGCAAGATATATAGATATCTAACAAAGAATATATGCATTGTTATGAGTAAGAAAGACATTTATTTATTCAAATTTATTTTTTTAAAATCCAAAAATTTCTCTCTCTATTGTAAAAAAAATGAGCAAAAAATAGAATCCAAAGGATTATCTTTGCTTGCAGATAGCATTATTACAAATTATTTTCATTTAACAAAAAGTCTACTTTGCAAGGTCAACTTTAATAGGCAGAATAGAGAAGAAATGCAATTATTTGATTGGTTTTCTCAATAAATGGAATAATATCTAGAGTAATTTGCAAATTAAGTAGACATTTAATTAATTTTTCTTTTAATTGCGCAGCAATCAATTTTAGAGAAAAATTTAAGTGCTGACAGGTGAGGAGTATTTAGAAAAAGTTAAAGAAGAATGGCAAAATTTATAATTATATTTATTTTGGCTAAAATTCATCTTTACCAAGTTTGATTAGTCTTACAAAGCACTCCATGGGTAATCTTTATCTGGAAAGACTTTTACGTTGCTGAGAGAAAGAATATTTATAAGAAATAAGGAGATTATATATTAAATTATATTTGATTTTTTAAATAAACACAGGGATGATCTCTAAGTTCCCTTTTAGCTGATAGTCAAGATTTTACAAGTAAAAAACACTTTAATTCATCAAGCCATATTAATAAACTTAAACATAAAATTGAAATTCATTCAAACTTAAAAGCAATAAATTTCTTTTAAAAAGCAGAATTTTATTAAAATAGTATTTTGTTGAGCTTGGGTATGCTGAGAACGTTCAATTAGTTAAGTATAAAGATCTTTAAGGTTTTTCAAAGTTTGGATATGTATCGTAGTAGTGTAAAGAAGATTTGAGTTATTATAGGGAGCATTTTGAACAGAGATTAATTGATAATGCAAAAGAATACTGGAATAAAAAGAGTGCTTAATGGCTTGAAGATTTTTCTGTTCCAGAATTTGTAAAAAATGCTAAATACGCACTAGAAAGAGAAAAGGAAAGATCTTAGCAATGTTTTAAGTGGAGTTATAAGCTCTACATGGATACATGTGAAAAGGAAATTATATCAAATAATGCAAAAGAACTTATTGGAAATAAGTCAAGTGGATTAGCTAATATGATTAAGCAAGATAAGTATTAAGAAATTTAAGAACTATACAATTTAATGAATTATCGTAGAGAAGATACGATTTCTATCTTATCATCTGAACTTAATAGCTACATAAAGACTGTAGGAAACGATATAAATAATAATGAGTAACTGAACAAAGACTCAAAAGGTAATTTTATATTTATAAACAAAAAAAAAATTTTTTTTAAAGAGTTTATTCTACATTTTAATTAAAATCAAAGAAAAGATCTGATCTAATTAATTATTTTATTAAAGAATATATTAGGGAAGTAATTAGCTTTTATAAAAAAATTGATGGTATTATAAAGGAGTAGCTAAATAAAGAGTAAGACATTCAAATGGCTAGAGATAGAGGATTCAGGGAATTTTTAAATAAAAATGATAAATATATTTTCTTCTTAGCAAAGCATTGTGATTAGGAGCTGAGAGTTGGTAACTTATTATTCACTAGTTTTTTATTGCTATTTAAAATTAAATATTTATTAAAATAATTTAAGGTATGAAAGGAAACAGTGAAACAGAAATAGACGAAAAACTTTAAGATATTATTGATATATTTTTGTGTTTTGATAGCAGAGATTCTTTCATTACTCACTACCAAAAATTTTTAGCATTAAGACTTTTGTAAGGAAATACCCTTTCAGATGAAAATGAGAAAAAACTGATTACTCTTATTAAAGTATTTTAAAATCAAAAATTTGTTATGTTGACAACATTTAATTAATGTTTAATTTATAGAAAGAAATGGGTAAATCTACTACCAATAAGTTAACTGAAATGTGCACTGATATGGTTGTAAATTAAGAAACAATGAACGACATAAAGAAAAAGATGAAAGAGATAGACTCTAGAAAATGTGATGAAATAGATTGGAAAATTACCATTTTAACAAGTGGACACTGGACCATACAAAAAGATATTCTTGATGTACCAAATGAATTAATTTGGATAGCAGATACTTATATCAAGCTTTATAAAGAGAAGCACAAAGGTCGTAAAATAGACTGGGCTTTCTCCCAAGGAAATGCAGAAATTTCAACTAAATTTGATAAAAAATACACCTTAGATGTTACAAACTACTAACTATTGATCCTTTTAATGTTCAACAAGGCAGATTCCTACACTTTCAAAAATATTTCCGATGTGTTAAAAATTCCTTTGCCTGAACTCCACCTTAATCTAATAACCTTGTGTAAACACAAGCTTTTTAACAGAGATAGCAAAAATGTAATTGAATATTTTTAAGTAATCTTAATTTAAATCTTTTATTCATCAAAAAGGACCTAAGTGAATTTAAAGATGATGAAGTGATCAGTGTGAACACAAAGTTTAGTTCAAAAATAGTTAAAATAAAAATGCATCCTAATCCTGAATTAAAAAAAGTAAAACTAAAAAAAATAATAGAAAGTATATTTATCAAATTTAAAAAAAGGCATTGAAAAATCAAGAAAAAACAGTAAATGTAAATGAAAATGAAATCGAAGGTGAGTTAAAAAAATTAAGAGAGCATTAATTAGATGCATGCATTGTAAGAATCATGAAATCTAGAAAAACTTTAGCTCTTAACGATTTGAATGCTGAAGTTGTAAAACTTATTGGTCATATTTTTAAACCTTAACCATAATAGATTAAGCAAAGAATAGAATCTCTTATTGAAAGAGACTATCTAATCAGGCATATTGATGATAGGTAATATTTTTTATTTTGATTTAGATTAATACAAGTTAAAATAATTTTTTAATAAAAAGAACAAAATTCATTTACAAACCATGAATGATTATGGTAAACTAGTGTTAAAAAAATAACAAACTAAATAAATTAATAACTAAAGAAATAAATAAATAACCAAAGAAAATAAATATTTAACCTTTGATTTATATTTCCAATATAAATTTCAATAATTAAGAATAAATTAAATAAATTATTTACTCTAATTTATTTTTTGTATAAAATTCTGTATATCAATATACTAACCTTTTATATAAATACTTCTAAAATTAACTAAACTCTTTATATAAAAGTTTTCTTTTTTGCATACTCTTAATAATATCATAATGAAGCTTTTTAGATAATATACTAAGTATTTATTAAATGCTTCTTTTTTTAAAAAAACATATTATATACTTGCAAAAATAAACTTAATTACTCTATATATAAATCACATTAATTCAAAAAGAAATGCTTAAGAAAAAAAATAAACATTAAAAAATTATCTATTATTTATTAATTAAGTTAATTCATTTATTTATTTTTTCTAGAATTTTTCTAATTTTAACTATGTTAAAATAAGCAAATAAGGTATATTTTTATAGGTAAAATATTTTTAAAAGTAAAGATGATTGAAAATTTTTTGTGTTTTAATAATCATGTTTATTTTGATAATTTGGCAAAAAATTAATTTTTAAATAATTTTCAAAATTAATCTTTAATTTACTTCAAACTTAATATTTATATATTTATACAAAAATTTACAAAAATACTAACTTAATTTTTATATTATTATTAATAAATTAATTATATTTATTAAAAAGCATATTTTAATAATCTAAATATCTGCTTTTTACATTTTCAAATTACTGCTATTATCCTTATTACATAATACAACTTGTCTCTCCAGCTATTTTAGCTATTTCCTTAATAATTAGATGCAAAATACCAAAAATTAAAGGTATTTGGACCAAGGAAAAATTAAAAAATTGATTTAACTGAAGAACTATCTGCTAGCAATACTCCGATGCTAGTCACATAAGATATTACTGTAATCATACCAACACCGATAAAAATAATTAAAAGAAGTGGCATAAAGAATCTATTTGAGAATCCTCTTCTTTTAAAAGCATAAAGTATTAGTAAGCCAGGTATAAATATCCCAAGAGCTGCAAAAGAATAAACAAAAACTATTATAGTTCCAAAAATAGATCCTACTACAAGTAATGGACATAGAATTAAAATTATAAATAAAATATAGACTCTCATAAAATGCATTAAACAACTAACAATTTTATCAATCTTCTATTCTCCTTCTGTATCTTCTGCTATATCCTGAATAATTCCTAGCCTACTATAAGCTAAATGCTAAAAAGATAAAAGTACCTAAGGAGAGCCTAGTGTGTGTAGAATTAATTATCCGTATTATACTAAGCCAGTTATTTTTTCATATTTAAAAGCTATAAGAGATAATGGAAGTATCATCATATCCTTCACTATCAATATGACTGTTACAATTAATTATACTATAGGAATTTCTTTTTCATCTAATAAGTGTCTTTTCTTTTTTGTTTCAACATAGCTAGGAACCTTTTCTTCATCATAAATTTAATTGTCTCCTTCTACTTCCAAATATAACGGCTTTTTGAAAAGCAAAACTTTCAAAAATTCGATGCCAACAATAATTATAAAATCTATTAAAGAGAAACAAGAATAATTAATGAACTCATAAAAACTGCTCGCAGTATCAAATTAGTCTTGATTTGAATCATTATTTTTCATATTATATTAAATTTCTAGATCATTTTCTAAAGGTAACTCAGTAAAATTATATTTTAAAGTCAACCTACTAGGGATATTGATAGCACATAAGACTACTATAGAGCACAAACCACCTAAAAAAAAGAGCCATTTTATACACTTAGACATTTATTTATTTATTATATTATATTATTTTATTTAGTTAGATTTTAAAGAATAGATAAGATTTTAGTAGAATGAATATTAATTAGTTAGTTATTGAGTTATTTAGTTATTTATTTATTTGTTTAATCAATTAATTATTTGATTCTTTCTGTTAATTTTTTTAACAATTTTGAAATACATTTCAAATCATATCTCTAATTTTAATATAAATCACCTACTCTTCACTCATTTAAATGTTTAGTAATTATCCAATATTTTCATTTTAAATCATACAAATATCTCTTCCATTTAGTTTAAAAGGAATTTTTTAATGTTTAAATAATTAAGTGAACTACAATTTGAATTTCTTTGATATTTTTTGAATCAGTTGAATTATTAAAGGAGAAAATAGAATTTTATAAGAGAAATAATATATAAATAATTTGATATTAATAAAGATGATTGATTTAATTAAATGAGGAGCGAGTATTTATGATACATAATTATAATATTAGCAACTGGAAATATGAAAATAGATAGATAGATATTTATATAAGATTTAATTAATATAATTTAATTTTTTATTTATATTTTAGCATTGTTTTATAGCAGCACCTTATACCTAATTAAATTATAATTGTGCTTTTTAGTTTGTTGGTTTATTTATTTATTTATATATTGCAATTACAATCAACAAGTTAGGATATCAATTAGTTATTTGATAGATTCTTATTTTTTACTATTGATTTTACAAAAATATTTAATTTTATTTTTTTTCATTTTCAAAATAAATTACCAGCTGTAGAGCTCCCAGTAAGTAAGGTATCCCTTTTGTTCAATATCAACCTCCTTAAATAATCTTTTTTTATATAATAATATTTATAATTATTCAATAATGATTTGTAATTACTATTTAGAGAGATTGAGGGCTGTGTTATGGTAGTTTTTCTTTATTATAGATGTGTGTATAAGATGTTCAGTTTCAAGTCTTGTAATAAATCCTTTTCTATCAACATCCAAAAAGTTAAAAACCTAAATTAATTTTCCATTTTCTTTAGATTTATAATCACAAATGCTCATTAGAACTGGTCCTACTTCGTTGACTTCAAGAACTTAATCTTAATTCTATTTTTATTTATTTTATTTAACAAATTTTATTTTAATGAAAAATGTATTTACAATATCCAAAAAGTCAAAGAATCCATCTATTTCATTAGTAGGGATTGTGGGATAGTGGTAGGTCAAGCGGTTTCTGAAAGCCATTTTTGTCACCTTGTCTTAGAAAATTTGATTACCAAAAATAATATCAAAAACTTCTTAAGCAGTTTTATTGTAAAGAGTGAATCTAGAAACATAAAATGCTTTATCTGTATTGGCACAAACACTAGCGCTAGTCAAAAACATTGGGAGCTAAATGCTTTGCTTCAAATTTGGAGTATTCATCAAAGATTCTTTTAAATTTTTGGTGGAATAGGGGCTTTTAGCAAAATTGATAGATTTTTTAGGAATTGATGAGTCTCTTAGACGAGAAGTTACTATTTCTTAAGGTTCGTAACTACTGAAGACGTTGCTGTTTGTTTATAGAGCTCTTTAAGCACTTCTCTCAACTGAGCGTTTTAAAAACTCTTTTGTCTCTTGCTCTATCAGTTCACGTTCTGAATTGACAAATTGCTTTTGACTTTCTGGTGAATAAGATATACCAATATTTTCCTTCTCAAAATCCACATTGCATTGTTTCATCAACTAGGGAGAAGTGAACAAATGATTATATTTTTTCTTAATAGGATCTTTGGAGGGATCAAGCTTTTGGTATTCTCTGCTGGGAGAAAGCATACTGGTGACTCTATCCTATGAAATAATGAAAAATATTTTATGTATTTGATAAAATAGTTTTTTAAAAATTTATTTATTGAATAGTATAATTAAAAAATCAATCTAATTAGCCAATATGATCTTACTTTGTTAGCAGAAGGATCAGCAGTTCCCCTAAGATATTCCCTTCTGAATGCAGGAGACTTGAGGATAGAAGGAGGTAATACACTAGATGAATATATTTTGCCATTTGAATTTTATTCTTAGGAAACGCCAACAGATTAATACTTAGTCTAAGAAGGTGTGCTATAAATGTTTATAGGAGCAGAAGGAATTGTCTTCTTTTAGAAAAGATTGTGGTTTCCTGATAAATCAATTGCTACTCTTTCAGCGTAGTAATTATCATAGGTTTTTTGAACAACATTTAAAGTTGTACTGTTATTAATATTAACTGTTGGGAGGGAATAAGAATTGTTTTGTTAAAATGATTGCTCATTCTAAAATACCTTCAAAATTTCGCTCTTAGGCATGTATGTGGGTTAAGGAGCATTTTATAAATTACTTTCACGGACAGATGATTCTAACATTTCTTCAACATTATACTTTAATTCAACCTTTTCGTTAGCAAAGTTAATAGAACAGGAATCGTCAATCTCTTCATTAGGTTAAGTAAATTGATTAGTGGCACTTCTTACATAGTTGTCAACATTGTAAATTACTTTGGAGTCATATTATTATTGTTCCTTTCTAGCAGAATATGGTTACTATACAGATTCCTATTCAAATCCACTCATGGCACAATTAAATAGATTCATATGGTTGAATTATTGCTTTTCTGCTGATACTTGTTATCCATAAGCAGATGAAAATGACTTTTCTTCGAAGAGATTATTTTAATCTCTTGAAGCACTCTTTAGTTTTTATTATTCTAAATAAGCCTTTTCCATTTGAACTTCAAAGTTATGCTAAATTAACTCAGTTGTGATTTCAACATCATTATTACTCTTTCTCACTGAATTATATTTATTTTAACTGTAAGAGTTGGAATTGTATTTATTACCACTTTCCTAAGTATCATTTCTCTTTGAGTTTTATGTATCGAGTTGGTATCTTTATTCACCATTTTCATCGCGTAACTTAACATCAGAATACTAACTCTTAACATTAGAGACTTATTATGATAATCTCTTTTATAAGCTGAAAGGATCGTCATTTGATTCTGTCATTTCTTCCATTCTGTGTTTGACAGGAGCATATTAAACTCCGCTGTCCATATGAACTGGATGATTCATAGGAGTAACAGGATCATCTGCAATTTAGTATGAGTTTCCTCTTTGCAGACTTCCTAGCTTAAGTAAGTTAGGTTTGGCTAATGTTTCTTCCTTTTAGTCAAGATCATTAATTTAATCAAAGAATTCTTCTTCGTGATGGCCTTCTGATTCGTTTTCATCTTCGCAGCTTTGATAGTCTTATCCTTAACAATTATTCTCCTCGTTATTGCAGTCTTCCCTATTATTTTAGAAATTTCCAAAGCGAGACTACTCAGATCTTTAAATAGCTTGTTAGATATATTGTTCTCTCTCCCTTTTTACTCTTTCCATTTCTTATTCTTATTATAAAATTCTTTGCTATTCTGCATAGATAGCTTACTCCATTTATTGATCACTCATTTCGACATGGCCTTCAGATTATCCCATGCTGCTTCTTCTTATTTAAGAAGAAAATTATTATTAGAAATAATTCTATTAGCTCTCTAAATTATGTAAATATTAATTCTACTACTCTAGAGTGAGTTCCTAAGAATTTTAAGTTACCATAGCTGAGTCACTAATTGCAGCTTATTAGCTCTACTAAGATTCATATTAATTTTGTTTTAGCTCACTTAATTGATTCTATGAGAATTGAGACTAAGTATTCAATTAGTATTCTTCTTATTGTTAGTAGACTTCCTCTTATTATTGTTAATACTCTAACATATCTTAATTTTGTTATTCAAGATCTTAGTCTTCCTATAATTCTTATTCGTTGTATTATTGCTCATCTTCCATATTTCCCTCATCATTTTAAGTTTCTTAAAGTCTTTTACGTAGAGTGCTCTCTTCGTTTTCATTTACCTCGACTTGTTGGTTTTAAACTGATTGCTATTGCATCTATAAGACGTGCTAATCCTCATCTTCATTGTACTCTGTGACTATCTACTCACCTCTAGATTAAGAAGTGTTGACGTAAGATTATTAGTGATAATCATTTGCATGAACATTATCTTAATCAAAGACATTTTGATTTGACTATTTCAAAGGGGAATTAGTGTTATTTAATTCTTGTATTTGCTATTGTTAAGGGCGTCTAAAGGGACTCATTTTTTGAGGATATTAGTTTTACTATTTAATTTATTATTCAAGCTACTATTATTGCATTAATTATTACTGTTATTATCTCATTTACATCTATAATTATTGTTAAACTCTTTGTTGTTCAAAAGTAAACTGCTATTAAAATAGAATATTTATTAAAATTCATTGCAAAAAAAGTAAATATTTACCATATTTTCGTCTTAAGATGAATTATTTTATTGCACGTTTAGAGCATCTGTAAAAGTTTTTTGCTGTCTATAAATTGAATCTTATTCGCTTTTTCTGCTTTAGCGCTAATCTCCAAAAGTTTATTAAAGATTCACTTAAGAGCCTTTTTAGTTAGGAGTAGGAGCAATATTGGTGTTAGAAGATGGAGTTTAGCCGCCTCTGAATTTAGTCTTATTTAAGTATTTTCTGAGATCAAGAGTTAAGTTTTAAATATCTTTTGATATAGATAGATTGATTGTTAATATAATTTAAATAAAATTCAACGATATAAAATAAAATTTTTAAAAACAGTCATTCAATCTGAATAAAAAAATTAATTCATTTGGATATAAAAAGTAATTATTAAAATTTTTAAATATATTGATTTGGACTATAATTCCTTTCAAAATTTAAAAAATGTTAATAATCCTATTAAAGAAAGAACGAAAATTAATTAATTAATTAACTATTTAATATTTGTTTAATTATTAAGAAATTCGTCTTTCACTATTCATGTATAAATAAATACAAATTTCAATAATTTACCTTGTTTTTTTTTATGTTTCAAAATAATCTCTTCTAATTCTTACCCTTGTCCATCTTTAATAAGATTTCTTAAATTTAATCTATCATCTTTCATTATTTCTATTAATTTACATTTATTTCAATTTTAATATATTTCTTTAATTTTTTTCAATTGCAAATATTTGAAAGCAAAATTATCAAAATTCAATTAATTAATCATATTATTATTACATGTGCATTTATCTAAAAGATTTAGTAATTCCATTTACTCATGCTTAGATACGCCTTTTGATGCTACAGTTTTAGCACCTGTAGCTACTGCTGCTGGCTTTTAGTTTGCAGTAGGCAATTGCTATGCTGGATTTTGAGATTTCTAATTCAAAGCTTTGTTGAAATTTTTAAGCATTTTAATTTCTTTTTTCTTTCTTTTCTGTTGATTTTTATGTTTTTGTTTTTAATTTAAACGTTAATCAAAAAAGAATATATTTTCTTTTTAAATTGATGAAAAATTCAAAACACAAAACACGATATAAATTTTATAAATAATTATAAATTGAAAAATTGATTAATATTTCTCTTGAGTTCTGTTTAAAGAAATCTATTTATTTATGTATATTTTTTTAATTCTATAAATCATTCATCATATTTTATGTGTATTTATGATGATATTGCCAATTTTAAGAAAGAAAGAAAAAAAAATTATTTAAACTGTTAGATATTTATTAGTCAAGTAAATGGGTTTCGCCATTTTATTTTTTTAGAAATACATGTAATCAACGAAATGTTTTAAATATTAACCACCAAATCTCAATAATATGTGCCTTATGCTCTCAATTATATCAAAATAATTTATTTAAAATAACCAGTTAAAGTTAATAGTTATAGTTGCTCAAAATTAAATAAAGCACATGAAATTATATTCTTTTTTTTATATTTTAGAAAAAAAAAATATTTTTTAAACAAATAGTTAATTATTTTATTATTTAATAAAGATAAATAATTTATTCTAATTAATACATTTTTAGATCAATTTTTTTAAGTAAATAGCTGAGAGAAAAGCAAAATATATAATTCAATTGAATAATCTACTTGGCTAACAGTAAATTTTTATATTAAAAAGAAAAAGATCTGCAATACATCATTTGAATTTTTAAATTCGTTATAAAGCAAAAATTATAATTTTGCTTATACTCTGACAGTTCTTGTCATTTTTAAACTCTTTTAATTATTTTGAAATAATTTTTTTCTATTTATTTAATCCTATTTATTTTTAAAAAACTAAAACTGAAATGAATTTTAAAAAAAAAAATATTAAATTTTATAATAATTTTATTTTATACTGTTTTTATTAAGATTTTTATCAAAAGCACAAAATTAATTAACTTTAAGCAAGTAGAATTAAAGGCATGATCATCTGCTTGATCGCTTTATTTTGAACAACAAAAATTGATTGTATTTAATCATGTTAATTGCTCATAGTGAATGTTTAAATCTAATATTTTTAGATAAATCAATGAAAAAGATTCATCACATTTGATAAATTAAGCCCAAAGGTTAAAATTTAATTTAATAAATTATTTATTTAATAAACAAAATAGCAGTGAATAAAGCATTATCATTTACTATTAACAAGCAAGCATAAATTATACACAAGCAAATATGAGTCATTAAACAAATTAAGACTGGAGTAAATGGGACTTAATCCACCCATAGGTCCTTTAGTCACTTAAGGACAATAATTTCAATAATCCTACAGAAATTTAAGCTTATGTTTTGAATACCTATAGAAATTATAATGATTTTTTAATCGCATCCCAAACAGTAAATATTTTTTTACAACTTAATTGTAAATGTAAGCATAAATTCATCTATTATTTTAATACTAAAGGGTTCTGGTAAAACTTTAAGTTTTGGTATTCCAATTGTTAGTGAAATTCTTTATGACAAGTCTGGTGCATTTGCTGAAAAAAAAAAGGATCAAAAGAAAAAGGAAAAGTATATTAGATGCTTAATTATTGCACCAACTAGAGAATTGGTCCTCCAAATTGAAAAACATCTCAATTAAATCAGTTAAAACTCAAAAGATCAAATCAGAATAGGTAGTATAGTTGGTGGTATATCTAAAGAAAAGCAAAGAAGAATTCTTAGTTATGTTCCAGATATTTTAATTGCAACTCCCGGTCGTCTTTGGGATATGATTGATAATTATGAGCATGAGTGTTTAGAAAAATTATACATGCTTGACTATTTAGTTTTGGATGAAGCTGACAGAATGGTAGAACTAGGTCACTTCGATGAATTGGATAAAATTCTTGAAAAAGTTTATAATAAAGGTGAAATCGTCGAAAATAAGGCTGATATTTAGAGACTCAATCAATTAATTAAAGAAAAGAAAACTAAAACTATTTAGCTAAGAACAAAGGCAGAACTTCCTCAATCTTCTAAAAATAAATTAGATTAAGTCGGTGAAAATGAAGTCATGACTTTATCAGGTGATGAAGCCAAGAAGTTCTTTGCTTCCCTTAGAAAGAATAATTAACTTGATCAAAATGAATTAAAAGGCATTAATCTTGATTTCCTCGATGATGAAAACTACATTAATTCTACTTAAGACAAAGAATCATAGGAAGGAGAAGAAGACGAAGAGGATTTTGAAGATGTAGATGATGATGAAGAAGAAGAAGCTGATGAAGAAGAAGAAGCTGATGAAGATGAAGATGATGAGGAGGAGGAAGAAGAAGAAGAAGAAGAAGATGATTAAGAAGAATAGAATGAAAATGAGTTAGAAAATTAAGAAGATGAAGAAAGCGGAAATGAAATTGATGAAGAAGAAGATGAAGAAAATGAAGAAGATTAAGAAAGTGAAAATGAAAATTAAGATGAATTAAATGAAGAAGGTGATCATAATGAAAACGAAGATGAATTAGATGATTAAGAATTAGAAGGTGAAGAGGAGAATGAATAAGAAGGAGAAGAAGATTTAGAAAACTTAGAAGGTTTAAATTTAGAGAAACCTAAAAGAAACACTAAACTGAAAGTTTTCTTAGTAAGTGCTACATTGACTAAGCAGTTTGCTGGTAATAAACATAAGGTGAAGGCATTATCTAAAAAGGAAAAGAAAAAACTTAATAAGGAGAAAAAAGAGAAGAAGAAATCTAAAGAAGAAGAAAAAGAAGAAAAAATGATTCCTAAAATGGAAGCCTTAATGAATAAAGTCAAGTTTAGTGGAAAATACAAAGTAATTGATTTGACATAAACCATGTTGATTCCTAAGAATTTAAAGGAATGCAAGACAGTTTGTGTAGAAGAAGATAAAGTTCTCTATCTTTACCACTACTTATAACAAAGACCTACTGAAAATGCTATTATTTTCACTAATTCGATCTCATATGCTAAAAAGATTGTGCACTTATTAGAAATTCTAGGAATGAAAGTTCTCTGTATGCACTCTGAAATGTAACAACGTTAGCGTCTTAAAAAACTTGATTAGTTTAAGAATGGACAGGTAATTGATTAAAATTTTTTTTAATTATGTAATTATAAATATTTTTTTATTAAAATTAGTACAGTATTTTGGTATCTACTGATGTTGCTGCTAGAGGTTTAGATATTCCTTCTGTTTAAAATGTAGTTCATTACTAAGTTCCATTAGATATTGACACATATATCCACAGAAGTGGTAGAACTGCTCGTATCGGAAAAGCAGGTACTTGCTACACTTTAATTGGTCCTAAGGATGGTCAAAGATTCTAAAAAATAATCAAACAATTAGACAAAGAATAGGGAATTTAGAATATTGAAATTAATCATACAGAAAGAGATAAGATTAGTAAAATTTTAATTTTTCTTATTTATATTAAATCTTAATTTTTTTAATTTATAGGAGTTCTAATTGACAGTGCTTAACAACTTGAAAAAAGTGATTTTCTTGTTAGACAAAAGTAAGTTGAGAAGGCTTGGTATAGTAAAAATGCAAAATTAGCAGAAATAGAAGTTGACGAAGAAATTAAAAATGAGTTAAATATAATTAAAGAAGATTTATCAAAGAAGAGAGTAGTAATGAAGCAAGATAGAGTAGAATTTAAAAAGATTAAAGAAGATATTAAATAGATTCATAGAAGACCAAACAATATGTTCCTTGAGCCATCTTAAATTTAAAAATATTTAGAAAGAATAGAACAATTAAAAGCCAGCAAAAGCAAGAACAAATCCTAACAAAAAGAATAAAATAAGTAGTAATAACAGTAACAACAGTAACAACCATAATAAAAGCATGGAAAAGGAAACAAATTCTAAAAATTCAACAACAAGAATAAAAATAATAATTAGAATAAAAATAATAACTAACCTGATAAATTTAATAAAAAGAGAAGAAATTCTTAAAGATGATTTATAAAATTTTAGTAAATTTCTGTATTTCAAATGTTTGTAAAATTAACTCTCACTTTTTTTTCAAAATCTAAATATAATTTAGACTGATTTCTATAAATTTTATGTTTTTCTATCAAAAAAAATTAAAAATAGCATGAAATGAAATTTTATTTCCACCATTAAGATTTCTTAAATAAAAAACTTGTTTACTTTTTTCAGAAATTTTTTTATTATTTTATTGTTATATGAAGGAATTATGTCAAATAAAAGAAAAGTTATTAAGTTAAGTAATAAAATGTATCATTATTTTTATAAATAAAATATTTATTAAATTATACTGCAAATTTAATTGAATATTAGAACAGCATTTTATTTAGGCAAGATAAAAGAAATTTTTTTATTTATTTTGATTTATTTGAATTAAGTAGAAGTGATTTTAGTTAAAAATTTAAGAGAATTTTGAATATTCAATACTTAAATCAACAAGTAACTATTATTATTGTAGCTACACGTAAAATATAAAGAGATTGATAGTAATTTATTTATTTATTTAATTGTTTCTTTGTTAGTTTCTTAGTTTAATAATAAAGAAAGTTTTGCAAATCTTCTCTTTTTTCAAACAAATTAAATCAAATCAAATCAAACTTTGATAACAATCAAAAAACAATAAAACTTTATAAATTATTAATAGATACATTAATTAAAATCTTTAAATTAATTTATTCAAGTAGGAGAAAACTTAAAGAACTCAAATAAGAATGAAGGTTTATATAATTAGCTTTTTAATACTAGCTTCTGCTTTTATTTACTGCCACGAGCATCCTACTAAGGAAGAAATATAAAATGAATTAAGTATTATATTATAGAAAAAATTTACATAAAAAATAATAGTCTAAATTTTAGAAAAACATTTAAAATAATATTAAATTTAGATCAAAAAGCAATTTATTATGGATCAACCCTTAGAATTAGAAATTAAAATTCAAGACATCAGTAATTAATTTTTATCATATTCATATAATAAGCTATCAATTTGTTTTATTTAAAAAGTTTATACAGCATGGATGTTTCTTATGGTTCTGGTTCAAGAGGCTAAGTTGTAACTGGTATTTTTGATATTTTTAAAAAATTTAGATATGCTAATTTTAAAAAACTAAATTCAAAATAGCAACTGAAAGCGACTCTGAAATTGGTAGCTATTTCACAATCAAGCACGGTCATGGAAAGCCAATTTAAACTTTTAGTAAACTAATTAAATACCTAATTACTGAATCCTAAATAATTAATTTACAAAACTTTTATAAAGCCAATACTGTTAAATGTGGTGATATTATTCGTCTTGAGCACATTAACACAGGAAAGAACATATATGGATCTAACCATGCATCACCTGTTAGCAATAAATTAGAAGTAAATAAGCATTTTTGATTGATTTTAAAATGAATTATTTTCTTTAAATATAGATATCTGCTCAAGGATAAAATGGTGAAAGCGATGGAAGTAGGAAATTTATTTGATATTATTTAGCACACATTTAACAATACATATATATAAATATAGATGACAATTTTGTGATTGAATGTATAGGTTAATCCAAAGGTTCAGATCTAGTAGGAAAGACAGAATTTTATCTTTAACACTTAAATACAAGCTAATTTTTAACAACAAGCAGAAGATTCTCCTTTAATTAAAATAACTGCGGTTTTAACTGTCCTATTATGAATCATTTAGAAGTTTCTTGCTAGAGATCAAAAGACAATGAAACAAAATGGAAAATTGTTGGAGTAAATAAATATTATTTTTAATTTTAAGATAAATAGCTTGTTAATAAATCAAAAGGGTATAATCTTGTAAAAAAGTTAATTTTCTAACGATAACGATAAAGATCCTTTAAATGACTATGATGATGATGATGACGATGATGAAGAACATTATAACCCATCTTCTAATACCAAAAAGGATGCAAATGTTGAAGAAGATGAATATGAAGAAGTTAATTTCAACAGAAGAGATGATCTTTGATTTGTATTTGTATTTTTAACTTTGAATATTATGTTTATAAGCAAGCTCCTGCATTGTAGCTCATTAAATATTTTTAACAACTATTATTTATTGTAGCTACATTATCGGTATGTAAATAATTTCTGTAAGTATACTTAAATTATAAATAAAGGATGTGGTAATTAATATATGAAATTGATATCTAATCAAATTATTTGCTAAATTTTATATAAGAAGAAAAGAAAAATAAAGATTATTTATAGGAAATAAATACAAATTTTAAGAATTTAAACCTAATAAAAATGATTTAAATTGTAAAATAAATAAATGTATAATTAAATTTATAAGTAAACTTGGTATCATTAATTTCAATAAAAATGGTATGTATTTTTTAGCAAGCAATGCTCAAACACTAGTTAGTTGATTATAAAATAATTAATTCTAGTGTAATGGTTAACCCTAATTTTTATCTTTTTATTTAAATACTAAATAATGTAAATAAAATAATTTAAAAAAATTTACTAACTTTAATATTAATTCATATTTAACTTTAACTTTTTTATTATCCAGAAATTAATGTAAAATACAAATACCAATACTTAATTGAAATTTTTTTATCGTTAGGATATTTTTTTGTTGATGCAAATAAAATTTAATATTCCTTAATTTACAAATTTTATTTATTTTTTGAAAAATAATAATTTAAAACATTAAAGTATATTTATCATCATAAAATAAACAAAAGTAATTTTTATTCATTTTGTCAATATTTAATTAAAGTAGGGCCAGAATAAAATGGTGCATATCCTAAAGGTTCTTCAGAATTTTGGATAATTAAATTTCTAAAGAATTGTTCATGAGTCTATATTGAGTATCTTTCATCATCATCATTAGTTGCATAATAAAGCTCGAAAACTAGATTAGACCAAATACTTGTCACTACGTTTTCATCTAGGGTGAATAAATTGCAATTGATTTCTTTAAAGTGGCTTCTGAAGATGCTAACTGCTCTTTCAGCATGATTAAAGTGTAATGACCACAATGAATTCACTTCTCTTTCAATTGCTTCACTCCAATCATGGTCACTTCCCATTCCTATTTAACAATCTGTATCATTTTCTTTGATTGAATCTAGTAAATCTTGATTTTGTATGTCGTCTAACGAACCCATAATGGCAAATGTATCATAGGCTATTTTTATAGCATAACGAATTGATTTATTCATGATTAAAAATATTTTTGTGAAATCTAAATTTTTAGGAGCATTTTTGAAGATTCTAATTTGTTGAATGTTATGACTGTCTTTAAAATTTTTAAAGAGCAGCTCTTAATCAATTTAAGTTTTGTCAAAATTACTATCGTTAGTTAATAAACTAAATAATAGATAAACAAGTTTTTAAATCTTTTCCATCTGTTTAGAGACATTTCCATTTGAAATATCTTTTGGCGACCTCTCACCACTTACTCTAGTGTTTGACTAAGAAGAATTACTACCTCCAGGTATATTGTTCTTTTAATTTGTATTCAAGCGTTAGTTTTAGTTTATATTTTAGCTATCATTTAATTCATCTTCTAAATTGAGCATCATCATTGGAGGTGCTTATGCTTTCGGACGCTTATCTTCAAGCAAATCTGCCAAAAAATTATCTATATCGTCTTTATCATCTCCTTACAGATTAAGCTATCTTTAAACATTTTAGGCATTATGATTTTATTGAGTCTTTAACTTGCTATCTGAAGCCTATTGCATCGATTAATGAAGAAGTGAATTATTATTGTTGTTATTTTTATCATAGTTGTTGTAATATTTATCATTTTACATATTCTAATTTTATTATTCTTTGTAAGTGTTTACTTTTTTATCATCTTCAGATATCATTTTCTTAAGGTAGTTATCTATGTCATCATCATCTTCTTCGATAGGATTAATTTTTTACTTTTAAATATTTTGTTGTTACTAGTTTTGTTACTGAGGAGGAGGAGTAGCTATATTTTCTCTTTTTGGTTAAATGTTAAACTGCTGAGAATTGAGAATAGGTGCTTAGATTTATTAGAAAAATTCAGAATTATTATTATTTTAAGTGCTGATTGAAGCAACTCTTCCATTACTTTGAATTTATGAAGTTACTCTGCTAGCATTATTCAAAGCTGCTAGTTAAATCTGAGGGTTGTTAACTATTACACTATTTGCATTAGAAACAAACTAGCTATGAGCTTATGATCCTTACTAATTATAATCTTTATTTGACGAGTTATTTAGATTGTTATTTCCACTTATATTTACACTATTTTATTTATTGTTAAATCCTTGATGGAATTAATCGTTTGGAGTTTTTATATGTCTGCTCTAAGCAAGATTATTCTCCATTTCAATGTTCTTTTCTTAACTTTCAGCTTGGTAATTGACTGCTTGATTTTTTCCATAATTTTAAAATGGGTTATTGATAGGAGCCTTAATTTCTTTTTTTTCATAGTTTTGTTGCTTATTTGACTTGACTGATAAATCGTCTAACAAATCATCCAAATCATTCTTTGGTTTTTACTGATTATTATTAATATTTATGTTATTTTTTGGATTTTATTAATTTGTATTTTAATTTACTTGAACTCCTAATTTATTTGCGTTATTTTTACCCCAAGTGTCTTCATTTAAGACGTTGTTTTAATTGTAATTATTATTATTATTTTGCTTAATTTTTGCATCGTTTGGCATATTAAAAACAGGCTCTTAGCTTTTTTTGTTAGCAGTTTGCTTATTCTCGTTTGCTTATGGTTTCACATCAACAACTTTTTTACTCTTAAAAAATCCATCTAAATCCTCATCTAAATTAAATCCAGATTTTCCGTTATTAGCTTATTTTGGGTTATCAAAGTGTGCTGTTTCTTTGAATTTCATTTACTGTAATTTTTTAATAGCTTCAGAGTACATGCTTTTTTTAGAAAAAGGATCAAACTAAATAAATGTGCTAAATTAATTTGGGAATTTTTCTGTATGGTAGTTTTGGTGAAGAACATAATCGCCATAATTTTAAAGCAATTTATCTATGATTTCTTCATCTTCAGGCATATAAATTACTTAATTAGCAAAATAAACTAACATTTTTAATAATATATCTTTGAATCCTTAAACAAATCCACTATCTGTTATAATTCCTGTGAACTGTAACTAATTTTCTTCATATGCTTTTACTTTAAATTGCTAAACAGGCTTTATTGATCCTAAATAATCTTTAAAGAAACACATTTTTTTAACATAAGTTTCCTCTATAATTCTATCTATTTAATTAGCTTCGATGCTATGACAACTTGTCATTTCTTATGACTCTAATCCTCTAAGCTAGACCACTACATAGTTTTACCTTTAAAATATAATTATTAATATAACAACATCAAATAGTAACAAATAAAATTACCCATTTTCTAAAATTTAAATTGTAGCAAGATACTTTTCAATTCTAATCAAGAAAAATTCACCAACTTGAATGTTTCTCTTTCTTAAAATCTAACTAAAAGAGGGTTAAAAATTCTTTAAGAACTTTTAATACAACAAACTTTCTCCTGAATTCTTAATCACTTGCTTCACTTCAGGCCAAAATCTTTTTGGTCTAGGGAAACCTATAAAATATAATGGCAAACCCAAGAAAGGGAGAAATGGAATATCTAAAATGCTTGTCACGCAAATACCTAAAAATTAATTTGTAAAATAGTATTAAATATTTTTATTTATTTATCATTAATTAGTTAATTTACTTATTAAGTTTAATGGAAGGAAAATTGTAAAGGATAAAATATTAAAAAGGCCTAGTCTTTGTATTCTTTATTTTTTGGAAGAGTTCATCTTAATAATTGAATAAAGCCAGATAAGTATTCTTTTTAAAAAGTTGCTTATAGCATAGTTTCCTATGTACAAAAGAGGAGAGTAAATTAGAATTAAAGATGGTTTTTCATTTCTTGCAACGCTGTAAATATAAATTTCGCTAAGCATTAATCCTGTCATTAGAGGATTTGTATAAATCTAATGAAATAATCTATAAATTAGAACTACTTGAATGAAAATATAATTTTTATCAAATTAAGTAAAATCGTATTCAGAGAATGTTTATGCAGCACTTAGCGAAACTTAACTTATTGCTGCTGTAAATATAATTTACTGAACCAAGCATAATAATCTATTAAACTTATCAGTTATTCCTGTAAATCTTTCAAATATGTATGCATTCTATGAGTATTAACTAATAATATTTATTACAAATGCAATCAAACTTATTAAACAAATAGTTTTTCCATCATCAGTTTAAGAAAATACTAAAGGGAAGATAATACTTGAAGCTAATAAAATCACCTTGAATGTCCATATGTACAAAGCGCTTTCTTTGCTTTTAGTAGAACTTGCTATTCCTAGTTTGAAAAGATAATTCCAACTTAAGATAAAACCTAAAATGCTTGATAACAAGGTTGATAGCTTTACTCTGTCGAGTAGATGTTACTTTTATTAAAGAAAATAAATATTAAAATTAATCTAAGTAGAATGATTTACTTTTGAGTATGAGTTAGCAACTATAACTGATATGATTAAGATTACAATTAATTAAATAGCAGTACTTATTGTTAATCTTAAATCACTTGAAGTTGTTTCGCTATTACCAAGAATGTATTGATTCAGCTTTTCTACTCCATAAATAAAACTTACATATAAACTGCTTAAGCAGCCTAATGCCCATAGTAGAGGAAGTAAGGGTATAAGTATGCTAAACACAATATTATTGCTTTTAGTATCTAGACAGAAGTTTATTATTAAGAGAAGAAGAAAATACTAAGATCTCATGTGAGCCGTTGAATACCTACCTAAATCGATATTATTGTTGCTAATTTATGAAAATTCAGAGGGAGACGCACTAACTAAGGAATAAAAACTCGTTAAACTAGTGATTAAAGTGAGAATTTAAACTGCTATTCCTGCCTTTGAAATAAAATTAGAAGCGAAGAATGATAAAACACCCATAATAAATACACTGTAAATTAAATTTAAGGGTGATTTATGCTTAACAATTGTACAATAATGCTTAACGCTTTCACTGACCAAAAGTGGATTTTCATTTATTTTTTTTTGCCATATTATGGATATCACTTAAAGAATTAAGTTAATCACTAAATTAATAACTCCTGGAATTATGCCTCCAACTACATAGTCAGAATTACTGCTTGCCATCAGACCACAGATGAAGACAATAATCGGAAACATAAAGTAGAGGAGTAACTAAAATAAGTGAAAACCAAAGCTCAAATCAATATTGCTTTCCTCATCGTTTATTAAATATCCTCCTAATATTGTATGAATTATTAGCTTTTTAAAATATGTTTCCTTATTTTTGTTGAGAACTGGAGCAGCCCTAAGGTTAACTTGGTTTGATTATTCCATCTATAACTTTAAATATTTACTAATTGAATTGATTAATTAATGAAATAATTTGTTTTAAATTTTGTTTAAAAAATCAAAAACTTAAAAATTTTTTACTAACTACATTTACATATAAAAAAAGCTAAATAATTAAAGGATTTAATCATTGAATAATCTTGTAAAATAATAAATGTTAATTTTTGAAAAATCAAAAAAAGAAAAAAACATTCTCTAATTTGAGTGTGGTGGTTGAAAAATAATAGTTAGTTAGTTATATTTATTATTTATTCATTATTATTTTGCAACTCTATTTGATAATTTGGAAAACATTAATTTTGATTTATCTTATAAATCAGGTAAAAATTACTATTTATTTTATTTCCATTTATTATTAATTTATTTATTATTCATTATTAATGTAAAGTCAAAACAATTAATTATTTTAATCTATTTTCATTTCCCAAGATTTCAGCTTTAAGTTTCTTAAATCCTTAATTTTGTTAATATAAAAAATACAATTTACAGGAATTGATTACATGCATACATGCAAAAATCTCCTCAAAATAAATTAAGAGAACATCAATGCTTTTGTTAAACTTTCTCATCAAAATAAAAAAGTTATTTCCTTATAAACTCTGTTATACTCATTGATAAAGCCTTCTAAGGAGTATTTTATATTAGTTTAGGTACCATGCCTATTTATTAATTATTAAATCTAAGTAAAAAATAAGAAAGTTTAAATATTTTACCTTTGAAAAATGAATAAAATCCTTCTTTCTTGTAAATTTAGGCTATACCATGGAAAACATTATGATAACCAAAACTATTTAGTTAGTTTTATTGGACTTATAGTCTTAATTTGGCCATAAATAGAGGGTTGCATAAGAAGCCTGAGAAACAGCCAGCCATAGCTGCTAAAAAGAAACTTTACCAAAATCCAATGTTTTTAGGATCCTTAATGTAAATTTCCTTAAGCTTTTCATAAGAAGCAAAATATATTGCAACAGATGTGCCAAATGAAATCAAAGTAGCTCCAAAACCCTAAATTTATAAACATACGAATTTGAAAAGATTTTTTATATAATTAAAAATATTTAATATAATAAAAAGTAGAAATGACATAAACTTATTTATTTATTACTCTATACAAAGCAAAGAACCCTTCGCTTTAAACTATTTTCTAAAAAGCATCTAAGGAATTTTTATATTAATACAGTCCAAGGTTTGATTGCACTTATAATCTTTATTTCAAAACATCTACCGGTAGCCATAAAACGCAACTTACTAACTCTGCGTTAAATCCGCATATCATGTGCTTTATAAAATTCTACCCCTCAAATATCTTATTATATAAGCAATTGATCAAAATTTAAAGAGTGTATTTGATAATAATTTACTTGTTTTTTACTGATTACTTATTTGGTGTACTCATATGATGTCATAAATAGCGAAAAGGCAGGAGCAGAACCAATCTATTTTTATTTATCATATTTGTTTAGATTTTCTTAAAATAAATTATTCATGAAAAGTAATTTACAGCAGAAATACCAACTCCTTTATAGAATCCTTTAATTCCTTCTTGTTTCCAAGTTTAAACAGCTATATAAAATACAATCGATTTAAAATATTTTTTTTCATCTATGTAATTTATCCTTACTTATTTCTTTAAAAAAATGGCGTGTTATGTTATTAGAATCTAGTCTTAAAGTTGAAACCTATAACATAAATTATCATTTTTATAAATCTTAATTTCATAAAAAATATTATTTTCATAAATACTTGTAGCTTATTCTTAAGTGTATCAAGAGGGTGAACTAAAAATTTGGTTAAAATTCCAGATACAGTGCTAGCAATTGATGTAAAATATATAAATTTTTCATCTTGCTTTGCCTTTTACTACTAGTTAATCATATCAATTAAATTTCAATAAAGGTATATCAATATATAATATTTTTTTGTAAATAAAATTTTGGCTAAATTTTAATAATATTAATATTTAAATATGTATTTTTGCTAAATATTTGTAAACTAAAAGTAATTAACTTTCTCATAAATATTTTTATGGATAGGATGGATACAATAATTTTAAAAAAGTATAAAAATTAGAAAAAATAATATGTTGTTAAAATTAAATAAAATTAATATTGTTTTTGTATTTTAGGAAGGCATGAGAATATACTTTTTTTAGATTTAAATAAATTATGATAGTAACAAAATTTAAATAGTACTCACAGGAAATGATAAATAGAATATCTTTTTAATTTATAAAATCTATGGCTTTACAATAAAGGTTATGAATGAATTACATAATAAATATTGTGAATGTGTGAATGTATGAATTTTTTTTAACTTTATGACAGACAGAGACTTTTGAATAATTTGAAGGAGCTAAATTATTAGGTAAATTTGTTTAAAAATTTTAATTGAGAAACTAGATAGTAAAGTTAATCCATGTAATTAAATTTTAATAAAAGATACATTAGTATTGTTGATAGATATATAGGAATTGAAAAGTTAATATTCAATTAAATATTGGATATTATTAATAAAAAAAAATTAAAATACATAATTTTAGTAATAGTTAAAAAAATGTAGCAAAAGTAAGAACAATTGCACAAATCAACGCTCTAGGTATTTATAATTACCTAGATTGCTTGCTTTGGAGGCTTTCTTTATGGATATGTTATCTCTGAGCTCACTATCGTTTATGATTAACTAGCTATTGCTTTTGGAGTTGATAAGTATAAAGATAATTAAATTTATAATGAAGAAACTCCTGATGATTATACATCTGAATTCCACAACTTAAAAGTAAATAATATTTAGTATTTCTTATCTAATAATGTTAAAATATATTATTTAAGACGATTTGCACAGTTTTTATGCCTATTGGTGCTCTTGTTAGCAGCTACATTGGCAAGTTTATCATAAACAAGATGGGTAGAAGATAGTACATGATGCTTAGTGATATCATAATGATTACAGGATGTGCAATCGCTATGATAAGCAATTTATATTCTTTCCTAGTTGCCAGATTCATCTTAGGTTATGCAGTTGGTATGAATACTGCGGTAGTTCCTCTTTATGTCAAAGAAATGTCCCCTGTTTCTATATCTGGACTTACTGGTTCTATCTTCCAAATTAACATCAACTTAGGTATTATTTTATCGATTTGCATCAGTCTTGGATTAAATCAAGTTGTTAGCAACAGCACTCCTGTTTAGGGTATTTGGAGATTGATTATAGTCTTCCCTGCTATTTTCTCTACCTTACGTCTACTTGGCTTGATATTTTACTCTCGTACTGACACGCCTTTCTACTACTTTTCAAGAGGTATGGTAGATTAAGGAACTGAGGTTTTAAAGTCTATTTACAAAGAAGAATATGTTGAAGAGATAAAATAGACTATGACTCAAACAAATGATGGCGATGATGGTGTTTAGGATCAAAATTAAGAGAAAAATACAGCTTCATACAAAAGACGTTTACTTGTAGGAGTTTGCATTCAATTTTTTTGTTAAATGACAGGTATAAATGCAGTTATATAGTTTTCAAACAACATATTTGGTTTAGTAACTTCAAATTATACTACAATCAATTATTTAACTCTTTCTAGTAATATCTTTTTGATGTTTGCTGCATTTTTAGGCTCTTCCCTTTCTGTCAAATTTGGTAGAAAGGTTATCCTATAAGGAGGTTACCTTTCTTGCTCTATCCTTCTCTTAACATTTGGTATAATAGCCTTCTTTAATGTTAAAGATTACGTTGGTCTATAAGTCGTATCTATAATTATTATCTTCATTTTTTACGCTTGCTTTAATTGCTCTATAGGGCCAGTTACCTGGATATTTAACAGTGATATTGTTAAAGAAGAAGGAATGAGCTACGGTGTACTTTCTAATTGGTTCGGTAACATAGTAAGTACTCTCATAAATCTGAACTCAATAATACAAATAAATTTCTTAGTATTTGGAGGTTTTAGCACAGTTGGGCTTCTATTTATAACAAAGTTTGTCCTTGAAACAAAGGATAAGACTTATCCAGAAATACAAAGAATCTATGCAGCTGGTAAGGATGGAGAAAAATAAGAATTATTAGATAATTGATTGGTTTTCTAAAGCTTGTAAAAATATAAAAGCATTATATAAATAGACTTTTGTATTATTAATTGTAACAAACATAAAAAATTTCATTTAAGTATAATATTTCTATAAATTTCCCCTTTAAAAAAATAGTAAGAATAAATAAAAGCATTTCTAATACTTTAAAATTGTAGCTGTTTAATCGATTATATTTTATTTTAATTATTTCATATTTTTTTTTTATACACAGATAAATATTGAGGAACTTTATTGATTAAAATATTTAATAAATAAATAAATAAAAACCTCTTTTCCAGAAGATATTAAAGTATATCATTTTTGTAAAATTCTTGGCGATATTTACTTACCAAGACAATAGTTAGTAAAAGTGAATAAAAATTAGAATAAACAATAGATAAGATACTTATGTTATTATCAATTTAAAGTTATTATGTGGTATATGTGACGTATCTTATTTTAATCAAGAGTAAGTCAAAAAAAATAAAAGTGATGTACTTTGAATATTCATAATTATCTTTAAAAAATTAAAAAAATCAATTAATATTATAAAGTATCAATTATTATCTTGTTCATTCACTTAATCAATTGAAGATCAATCAATAAACTGCGTTTTATTTAAAAAAATAAGTTGAAAAATATATTTAAAAAAATATAATGAGCTTAGAAAATAGTATTAAGTAAGAAACAACAATTAAAAGTTAAAGCGGTATTGTATTTAGATGCATTGCAGTTGGTCTTGGAGGATTTTTATATGGCTATGTCCTTTCAGAATTAACTATTTTAAGTGGAGTCTTAGATATAAAGATTTAACATTATAATGTAAAAAATATTATCGTTTGAATGGTGAAATTACTAATTTTTTTTATAATTTAGAAATTACAAACAGCTTTTGTAGGAATAATGTCTTTAGGAGCTTGTTTAGTTTGTTTAGTTTCTGATTATCTTGTAAATAAATATGGAAGAAGAAATTATATCATAGCAAGTGACATAATTTTTCTATTTGGTATACTGGTAGGAACAATCTTCGTAGCATTAATTGATGATAACTTTTACATTCTTTTAGTTGCTAGATTCATAATGGGTATTGCTATTGGTATGAACAGTAATGTTGTTTCGATGTATATTAGAGAGATATCACCAGAATCGATTTCAGGATAAAATGGGTCAATCTTTTAGATATAGATAAATATAGGAATTATATCTGGTATTGCTTTGAATTTCGCTAATGATTATGGAAAATACTATGTTTAAGCAAATTTATGCCCTACGGATAACACTAAAGATTATCCTTAATGCTAAGAAATTGTAAACAGTCATTGGTGGGTATTTGTTATTGCTTTTCCAGCTTTGTTTTCTTTAATGAGATTAATAATTTTACTAGTTAAATACAAATTAGATACTCCTTACTACTATTTCAGTGTTGAGAAATTTTAAGAAGGTATTGAAATACTCAAGGAACTGTACAAAGAAAAGTATGTTCTGAATGAATGCTAAAATATTTTAGCTACTTTCCCTAAAAAAGTAAGAGCATCTTATATAGCTTATAGAAATAAACAACAACAACAATAGGATAAATCAATTGATGATTAAGTAAATTAAATAGAGGATGACTCTTAAGGAAACTAAAAGAATGTTGATATTACAAGCAACAGTAATCTGAACTATGATAATGATGATGATTATTTTAATGAATAAAATAATTAATATCCTTTAGAAGGAGTGGATATTTATTCAAATTCATAACTAGAATACAATTGTATTCAAGATTTAAATGATATTCAAGAAAGCTTTACTCAAAAAGCAAAAGAATAAAAATAAAAATCACTGTACAAAAGAATGAGAAGAGGAATGATTTTGAATTTGTTTTAACAATTAACTGGAATCAATTATATTATTTAATATACTAGCACAATATTAAAAAATATATTAAGTAATAGTGATAACTTTAGAGTTAACTAAGAATTTTCTTACTTTAGTAAAAATAGCAATATTTTAACTGAAATAGTATTACTAAGTAACATTTTCCTGTTAATGGCAGCATTTGTTGGCTCATTCTTAAACAAGTCTTTTGGAAGAAGGTACTACCTGTTTGGTGGCTATTTAATATGTGGTTTTCTTCATTGTATCTTTGCTATTATTTCCTATTAATATAGAGATAGCTAAGGATAGACATTCCAAGCAATTTTTATTATTGTCTTTGTGTTTGTATTTTATGGAACTTTTAATTGCTCAATTGGACCTGTGACTTGGATTTATACTAGTGATATTTTGAAAGGAAAATATCTTTTTTGGAGTGTAGGATGCAATTGGTTTGGAGTGTTTTTGGCTTCTTTATTGTAACTCAACGATAATTACTAATACTAATATATTAATTTTTCTTTATTCTCGTTTTTTTGCTTTATAGGAGCAGTTTATTCTTACTATAAAATAATTGAAACAGAAGGCAAAAGATATTTTGAAATTATTAAAGAATATGCTGAATGATGTTTTAATTTGAGGTTTTATTAATATATTTAAAAATATTTTAACAAATAAAAGCTATAAATTAAATCTGTATTATTTATTTATTTATTTATTAAATTACCTAAACTGTTTTTATTAAATTTGTAAAATTAATCATCTAAAATTAAAAATAATTTTTTTAGATAATTTATAGCTATTTAATGCTTTCAAACAAGCAACAAACTTTAAATATTTATCATAACTAATTTTATAGATAAATAAAAGTTGAAAAGGTTTTTAAATTTTTATTAAGTCCTTTAAACTAGACTTTATAAAAAAATATATTTATTAATTTTTTTTTCAAGAGATCCATTCAATTATAATAAATTATAATAGATAAAGTAAATTTTTTGAAGAACTAAATAAATCTAAGAACAGTTTAAATATTCAGAAAATTCTACCTAAATAAATAAAATTGTAAAAATGTAATATTTATATTTTGAAAGCATAATACTAGTACAATATTATTCTTTTTAAATATTTGTTTTTGCTATTTATCAAAAGTGAATTTTTAGTTTTTTAATCTAAATTAGTTCTAAAATCCTATGACTTATAATACAAAAAATATATTTTTCTTTCAATAAATTTATTTAAAAATATCAATATAAAGATTTTACTTTATTAACTAAATTTTCTTTAAATTAATAAATATTTTTTCAAAGGAAATTTTGATATTTGATAAAGTTTTAGAACACATGTTTTTTTCTAAAAATAGAAATCATTTCTAGATTCATATTCAGATTTGATAAATTTATAAATAATAAAGAAATATCTATTGAAATGATGCTAAGTATTTTAGTATAAATCAAATATTAAGATAAAGATAAATCAATAATATATTTTTATCAATATAAATTAATTTATTATAAATATAAATTCAAAACTATTTAAAATTTAAATGATTATCGATAGATAATATTAATTCTTAATTATTAAAATATATTATTTACCTAAATAATTTAAATTATTTTAAAAATATTTCTAAATGTCTAAATAAAGCAAAATTAATAATTAAATGTATGTATGCATATTTACCAAATATAAAACTAGTTTAGTATATTCAAATTGTAGTTAATATTATATTTAAATAATAATTATGATAATTATTAGTTAAAATATTTTGTAATGAAGCTATATGTACTTTTAATAGTAATAATTTAAGTAGTCTGTCTCTAAAATTTGTTTTAAATTACTAAGATAAAATGAAAATAAAATTACAATTGAGCTTTCCTCATTGTATATTATACTTCAAATAATGTTGTGTATTTTATTTATTAAAATATAAAATCTTCGCAGCTTTATTAATTCCAAAATTAGTTTTCACCTCAGATTTAGAAAATGAGTTGGATGTGTTTGGCTTGAAGAATTTATTGAAAAACCACACACTTACATAAGGTTTCAAATAATCTAAGAATTTAGATAATTAATAAAAATCTCTAAGTTACAAACCTTAATATCTTTAAAGATTAGTTACTCAGAGTACTTATCTAATTTGATTAAAGTAAAAATCTATAAATAGAATAAGTACTCTTTAAATAAATATATCTTCTATACTTACATATGATTAATGCACTATTTTTATATATTGAGTACTATTATTATTAGTTTTTAATATAAGTTGATTATATACTTAATGAGTAGTAAAGTGAATGATCCACTCTCTCGTTCTACTAAATTATTTTTAATTGTGTTTTATAGGACCAAACCAATCGACACAATAAAATGGTAAGATTAATTATTTATTTTTTTTAATTTAAGAAATGATCTACCTATTTATATTATCTATTTATCAATTGATTATTATTTTCATACTTTTTTCAAAATGCATAAATTTATTTTTCAGATTACTCACATGAATATTTTTAAAATTTAAATTGTGGAGCTATTATAGCAACTTTACTTTGATTAGAGAAAAAATTCCTTTTTTCAGGACCTTTGATTAAGAAAATTCAATTTGTAATAGTATTATTATATGAGGAAAAAAACAATCGATTAGATTAAAAGGTATCAACGATTCGATTACCTAGAAAAGGTTAAAAGAATAAATATCACAAATCTCGCTTCTGGTTTACTTTAATTTGAATTAATTTAAACGCTATATAAAATATTAAAAAAATTTGTGGATTACATCAAACTGTTCCCTAAATTTAATATCACTATTTTTTTTATTCGAAAATAAAAATGTACTAGAGATATAAGCTCAGGCTAAAGTAAAAATTTGTCTGAGACAATTTTATTTTGTTATAAAATTAACTTATTGTGGAATGCGTTAAAATTAAAAAATTTTGCTTTTATATTGCCTAGAAATAACATGCAAATAAATATGATTAAAGAGCAATTACAAAATCTAAAAAAATAATTAGGAGTTTTGAAAATTTTAAATTTGAGAAATATCATATTCAAAATAAAGCAAGCAAGCAATCAAATTATTAAGACAAATAGCTAGAAATCTATCAATTTAGCTAAAAAGCAATTAAAAAATACAATTATTAAGAATAAATAAATTAATTAATTAATAAAAAGTGTTAGGTGTTTGTTTTGATTAATACTTGATTGAATATAAATAAATATTTGTACAAACGAATGAATGAATGAATGAATGAATGCATTATAATTTACAAACTATCACAAATTTTTTTTGTGAAATCAGAGACATCTATTTTTTAAAGATTACTTTCAATAGTTGAATGCAAATTACTGTTTTGAGGTAATAGTATATTGTATGTATAGATACTCTATTAATAACCATAATAAATTTTTAAATAAAAACTCTTTAATATTGCAAAAATTAAAAAAGTAATAAAAAAGACTAAAAAAGTAATAACATAGAGTAAATAAAATACAGTCTAACTTCATCAAATAAAATGTCTTAAATGCGTGACTATCAACACAAGTCCTCACCATACTTGTATACTAGAGTACAACATGCATGCTGGGGTGCATTTTAAGCAGGTTACACCATTTCAGAGCTTGGTATAGCATTTGGGCATCTCGCATTGCTCTATGACATTCACGAAAGTGATTAAAGAAACTATTGCGTAATTTATTATATATTTACAAAAAATGCCAATCAATTTTATTTGAATTATTTTCTATAAAACATTTTAAAAAATAAATTGAGAGATTAATGAGCAATTAAACAATAAAATGAATGAAGTAAATTTAGATTATTGTTTTTCAGATACATCCTAGCATTCAGAAAAAAAAAAATTTTTAATGCACATAAGCTTTCTAATCTCAACTTCATCCAATTAAACTTAAAGTCAATTTGTTAAATAAATAAATAAGTATTATAATAAAAACAAATTTGAGAAATTAATTAATTAATTAATAAATTAACTAATAATGAAATATAATTTCTCAAAGATTTGAAATACAACCACAAATCATTTTCTGTAAGCCTTTTAATTTTTTTTTGATGAAGCAAAGAAAAACATAATTTAAAAAATCAATTATTGAGAAACACTCTTTCTTAGTCAATCGAATATAGGTTTTTAAAAAATTTGTAATATTTAAGTAGCTGTGATTGGCTATTCTCAATAAAGCAGAATTGAACAATTTATCTTAAAAAGAATTATAACAAAAATATATAAAATAGCTCTTGATTTATATATCATTTTTACATGAGCTAGATTTATATTTTAACTTGAACATAAAAAATCTATTATTTTTGTCTGAAATATTATGTTTTATGAACAGACATTTATTTAACAAATAAATAAATAACTAAGTAAGTAAAAATATAAATGTATAAATAAGTAAATAAGCTTTGTTGTTTTACCATAAAGTAAAAGTAAAAAGAAAAATTTAGTATTTATCTGAGAAACAAAAAATAATTAATTTATGCAGATTACAAAATTTTTTTTTGCAAAAAATTGTCTCTTAATCTTAATTCAGAAACACTGTTGAAGAAAAAAAATATATACAAAATTTTATAATTCGTTCACTAATTTATTGACTCATTAATCGACTAATCTTTCATTTATTGTTAAATGCTCAAATATTAAATGTAACTAAATATATTTCTTTCATTATAAATAGACCTTAGTTGTTACTATCTTATCAGTCAGTGCCTTAATCAGTGCTTACTTGTCTTAGTTCTTAATGCATAAAATGGAACGTCGTAAATTTATGATTATTGCTGATTTATTCTTCTTACTTGCTTCAGGTTTAACTTAAATCAACCAATGGTGGGTATTCATGTTTGCAAGATTAGTTATGGGTATTTCTGTCGGTATGAATACATCTGTAATTTCTTTATATATTAGAGAAATCTCTCCTGATAATATGGCTGGTAAAACTGGTGCCTTATTTTAAGCAAATGTTAACCTTGGTATTATATTTGGTTTTATTTTAAATCTTCCTCTTAAGAGTGTAGTCAATGTAAGCGAAGTCACTGATATCTGGCGTCTTGTTTTCTTATTCCCTGCTTTCTTCTCTGTTATTCGTATTTTCGTTATGCTCTTTGTCTATAAAATTGATACTCCTTACTACTATTACCGTAACCACCTTAACACTCTTGGTCGTAAGGCTGTCGAGTAGATTTACAAAGAAAAATATGTCCTTTCTTAAGAACAAGTCCACCTTGCTCCTGGTTCTGTTGACTTTACTGATATGTCTACAGGTGACTAAACTCTCATTACCGAAAGCGAATAATCTTACAAGAACAGACTCAAAGTTGGTATGATTACCAATTTCCTTTAATAAATGTGTGGTAACACTTATTTGGCTGTATATTCTACTGGTGTCCTTAGTTTGGTAACCAGTGATTTTTACCACATGCGTTCCTTTGTCCTTGGTTCATATATTTTCCTTTTCTTCGTTTCAACCCTTGGTGTTAGTTTTAATAGAAAGCTTGCAAGAAAGAGATATCTTGTCGGAGGATTCCTTTTCTGCTCTCTTTGCCAAGTAGGACTTGCAATTATTGCCTCTTTCAAAGAAGATGTCTAAAATAATTCAACCCTTCAATTCTTGTTAGTCTTATTCTTATTTTTCTTCTATGCTGCTTATAACTTCTCAGTAGGTCCAGTTACTTCTATTTACACTTCTGATATCTTGAAGGATGAAGGTATGAGTTACAGTATTGTCATGAACTGGCTTGGTAATGTCATCTCTTTAACACTTTTCCTTAACACTTAAGTATATGTAAATTGCATAGTCTTTGCTACATCTGCACTTTGCGGATTTGCTTTCTGTTCAAAGTATGTAGTCGAAACCAGATATATGAACTTTAACGATATCCAAAAAACTTATTAAAATAACTATGAAATGAACGTAAAGCAATAATTGGATACATCATAGGTATTAAACGACAGCGTTAATAACAACTCTATAGTTTGCAGTCTTAATAACAATAACTCAATCGTTAATAGCAAAATGTGAAAACTGCTAAAGCGAATATTTAATTTTAATATAGTTATACTGCTATATTTAGTTATAAATTTATTAACTTTTTACTATTTTTTCAATCTTAAAATCAATCTATCAACATCTTAAAGTTTATAAAGATGAGCGAATGAATCTATGAATAATTAAAAACTATTATAAAAACATGCATAAAAGCATTAAATTTGGTAATATCAACCATATAAATTTAAGTGTAATTTTCTTTATTTTATATAAAGTAACTTTCTTAAATGTATTTTAATCATATTTTAAATTTTTCAAATATAATTAATTCCTTTAAAAAATAAATAGTTATATTAACGAAAACTTTATATCCAAATTTCTTCTCAATAAAAATATTATGCTGTTAGGCCATTAAAATAAATTTTTCTATGATATAAACAAAAGCTTAATCTCATAGTAATAAATTTTTGGCTGGCTAAATAAATGAAAACTCTCTAAAAACATTAATCTGTGGTTAAACTAATTTTGTCTTAACAAATAAAACTATTTGGAGAAAATTTGATGGCAAAATTTATTTAGAAAATTAAAATCTAAAGAGGAAAAATATTAATTTTCAAATTATTAAAGAACTTTTTAAAATAAATCTGTAACCCATCTTAATTTAATTTTCATGATTTAGATTTATTATTGCGAGTTTACAAAATTAATAATTTTTTTCCCCCTTTATCAAAAAAATGCATTTATATATTTTTTCCAACATACAACTACAATATCTTAAATCATATCATCTAAACATTATAATTACAGATATAAATTTAATAAAAGCTATTAAATTCAACTTCTAACTAGCATTTTATTAAAAATATTTGATTTTAGCATTATTTTACATTTTTACATTTATTTTTTTTATAAACTATAAACATTTCTATTTGGTTAAAATTTTTATTTTAGTCTAATTCATAAATTAATAAATGATAAGTTTTAAGATTTATCTAAATTATTTTTAAATATTATTTTATTTTATTTCAAAATATACCCTATTTTAAAAAAAACCTACCCTTTTATTGTATGTTCAAGAAATATTTTTATGAAATTATTATAATTTAATAAAAAAATATAAAAGATATTTATTTGTTTCTTAAAAATAATATATTTTTGCAGTAGATTCTTATATTTAATTTGAAACAAATAAATATTAGTCATAATTTGATTTAAGTATTACTGTTTATTTCATTTTATTATCTATCAGAATTAAATAAATTCTTATCTACTATAATATTTTTATTATCAAGTTATTAATCCGAAATTTTTTCTTGTTAAAAAATATCAATTAAATGATGGCTTTTTGAAAGAAAAATATTTTAATTAAGTTGTTTTTATTGTTAGAATGCAGACTAAGATCTTAGATTAACATTATTATTTTAAGATATTTTATTAGATATATCTCTATATTGATAGCTGTTGTCATAAAGTAATATTTTTTCTTATTGAATATTCTATAAGTTAATAAATTAATCAGCACTTTATTTAGGATTTGCTCCATTATTAAGACTATTTTAAGTGTTTTTATATGACTCTAAAGGTACTTCTACTATTATTTCTTTAGAAACCTCATTATTTTTTAATATGAATTAATTATCCATTTTAACGTATGACTAAATTATGTGATTGTAAAGGTCTTTATTATTTTTTATAAAATTTAATATTTTTTCATCATTTTCATTTACTTTTTTATCAAAAATTTCTTTTTCTATTCGATTTTCTTTTTTCTCTTCTTCGTCTTCATCTTTATTATCTTCATCATCATCTAAACCCAAATGGGCCTTCATTTAGCTAATAGTCATACTTTTCTTTTGTAAGCTTTGCTGATAGCTATTTGAATAATGCATTTCATTATTTACTCCTATTGAATAATTTTAAGCTTTTGGAATCTCTTATTAGTTTGTATTTCTGCTTTAGCTTTATCTACTTGGTAATTTATGACCATTTTATTGATAAACATCTTAATTTTAGTTACTTAAAACTGATCTGCTTTACAAAATCCTTATTTGATGCTAATTTCTAGATATGTTATTATTGAAAGCTTATCCTCCTGTTTAATTGCTTTTGTCTAAATCTTTATTTAATTACTAATTATTATTGTCATCCTATATCTAATCAGCTGCTTGACCAATACTTAAAATTTACCAACTCTTTATATATAATCCAAAAAATATTTCTTGTGTTTAATGCTTTACAAGCAAAACAAGTGCCACCTCAAAGAGAATGAGAATTGCTACTGCCATTAAGATGTATCCCCACTAAGAATTTTCATAACTATCTTGCATATTAAAATAAAATTAAATGACTTTAATTTTAATATTGAAATATAATTACATAACTTGAAAATATAAAAGGACAATAATTGCAGCAATGTTTCCTAACATAAAAACCACTAACCAAAAAAAAGACACTAACTAAATGCACTTAGTATCTTAGCAAGCTTTTGTAGGCATAAATTTTGAAGAGACTTCAATTTCCATTTCATATTCTTCATTACAGAGCTCACATTTAATAGGAGAAAGCAAATCATATCCTTAACTAACAATCCATGTCTTCAAGCATTCCTGATGAATATTTCCAACAGATCCTTAGCACTTGCAAGGAGTTATCAACATATTATTTGGTTCGTTATTATCTTCTAAACATATCTTGCACAATTTAATATTTCTTTAATCGCTCAAACTTGGCTGTATAACTACTTATGGCTATCGATTGTTTAAATTTTACTATTCTTCTTCCTATTACCTTATTTATTATTACTCTTCTCCATTTTCTTTTTCATCTTCTTCTTATTTTTTCTCTATATCCATTTTTTCCAAAAACAAATTTAATTACTATAAAGAAGAGAGGTTATTGATGTTTTAACTAGATACATTGTTCTAATTTTCATTGTTTACTAACTGAGTTTCTGTATTCTATATCTACTAAATAGGTATGATGCTTTACTAATTATTTTAATTTTAATTGATATAAGATAAAGGAACAATTCTATTTCTCATTTCATTATTTAAAGCTAATCAATCTAAGATTAAATTACTTAGATGATATTTTAAAAGCTACTTGTGTATAAATCTTTTTTTACAAAAAATTTAATTTAAAACATGAAAATTTTTGTAAAATTTTACAACAAATTTCAACCATAAAAAAATAATCAAGAAATCGAATGATTAACAGTAAAATTTAATATATTATTTTAGTTTGATTGAGAGAACAAATTAAATAAACTTATTTGAATGCCTATAATAAATATTTTGAATGTTTATAAAATTAATTTCTATTTTGAGATTAAAAGAATGATTATTTATTTATTTTTTATTTTTTTAATGCATAAATGATTTTTTTAGTTACAAAAGTAAGTAAGTAAGTAAATAAATAAATGAATGTATTTTAATTTAATGAAAAAATAATAATAATTAAAATTTATATAAGTTTTTTAAAATTAATTCAATATATTCATTCACTTATTAATTGAATAGAATAATTCAAATTTATCTTGAGTAAATTTTGATATCTCCTATTCTCATTTAAATATTTTCTATATGCTTTAAATTAATAAATTAATTAGATTAATAGTTATTTATTTATTTATTTATTTTTTGGTTAATTGGTTAGATAGTTAAATTATAGTTACTCACTCAAAACTTAAAAGAAGTATTAAATTCTCTAAATATTTTATTACCTATTTATTTTAGTTGTTTTATAAAATTATTTTTTGCTTTTTAATTTAAATATTTTAAATCACATTCTAAATGGAGGTTAATATTAATTTTCTATATTATGATGATGATGGCTGTTATTATTATTATTACTATTTTAATGATTATCATCTTAATTATTTTAATTTATTATATTTTGTTAAATATTATTATTATCATGATTATGATTATTATGATTATTATTGTTATTATTATGAATATCGTTATTGTTCTGAGCATGTTACTACTGTTGTATATTTTAATTTTAATGAATTTCCTACATTTCTTCTTGTTGATTTTCATCATGTACATCATTTAATCTAATTAAAAGTTCTTTCAAATCTCTCTTGCATATTGGACATACACCATTTATTTTAACCCACTGTTTGATGCATTTAGCATGGAAATGATGGCTATTTTTAATAAATAGATTTTATTAAAAACTACTATATAATTTTATTTTTTGTTACTTTTTGTTACATGGTAATATAATTATTTCTTCTTCTTCTTCATATTCTACTAAACAAATACAACATTCGAGTGTATCATCTTCCTCTTTCCTTTCAACATCTTTTAGGTATTTTATTGGCAAACTATTTATTGCATCCTTTAATTAAAATGATAAAATTAGATCAGATACCAAATTATTTAAATAATTACTTCATCTAAGCCTCTTTGTATTCCATTTCTTCTTCTCCTTAGAACTAAATAAATAACTAGCATGAATGGCATACAAAGGCATATAGATGCAAAGAAAAAAAGAGGAATACCAAGGTAGAAATAACCCTTTTATAATGAAAATGTTTAATTATAGTCAGTAAATAATTCTGTAGTTGAATAAATTACCATAATAACGTAAACTAAAGCTAAATAAAAATGATTAGGATAACTAGATAAATACTATTCTTCATTATAAAAAATTAGAAGGTTTCCTTAGATAAAGATGATCAAATAAAACCTAGTTTATATTTTTCAAATAAAAATTAATAAGTAATCTATTCCATGTTTTACTCTTCTAAATTATGAAATAAATATTATAAATTGTATTAAAAATGTATGGTCTATTTTATGAAAAGTCTGCAAAGCATAATTCCTAATCCAATTTTTTGATATTTTATTCATTCATTCACAATTCAGAAGAAAATCAAAATCATGCAATATTTATTCTAAAAGGATATTTAATTTACAATTTAGTAGAGTCTTAGAGGAAGGAGTTAAACCAATTTTTCTTTGTTATGAATTCCGTAACATAAAATCCGTTAAAGTTAGGCTACACTTAGTTGTTGGCATCTTGCATTTGCTGATAATCATTTTCCATTCCTTCCATATTCTACCAACGGCTCATTATGCCTCTATGTCTGTGAATGAAAATAACTACAAGCAAGGTAATAAGATGTATACTATAGAGAGCATCATGTAAGAACATTAATTTGAGCCAAATACATAGTTAGCCGTCTTTGCATGTTTCTTAAGAGCTGTTTTTTCCTAAGACAATATAAGCTATCATTTTGTTAACAGAAATGAACAAAAAGAGAGCGTTAATTACTATACTCTCATTAATTGCTTCTTCTATTTAACCTCTAAAATTATTTCTCACATTAATTCTATTTTGCTTTTTAAAATATAAAATAATTTTAACAAAATGTGTTGTGTAAATAGCTCTTTATAAATTAAAACTAACCAAGCCTCATTTTAAATAATTTAATATCAATTTTTTTAGAAAATTAACTACTTGTCTTTATGACAATCTCAGCGAGTCTCTGATAAATGATTATACAGAATTTCTTTAACTATTTCCTCTTCCCTACTCAACATCTTCATTTTCATTTTCATTCTAATTGTTATTGTTATTCTGTTAATTTTAATCCTGCTACTCAGCTACCGAGTTTTAATTGATCATATTTGGCTGATTCATAGGAAGAGGAGCCACCCCTGCTAAAAGAGGCTCGTTCATGCACTTTGTATTTTCTGAATTTAATTAAGTGATTTGTATGTATAATTATATTAACTATTTTTTCCCTTATTTTTCAATTATATGTTTTTAGAAAATTATTCACTCACTAATTCCAAATACAGAGTTAACTACAAATCATAAATAAAAGCTATAGACAGAGAATTTAATAATACATTAGACTGAGATTTATGGTAATCATGGTAAACTATTTTTAAATGATTTGAATACTATTTACTAAATAAGATATTATAGATTTTATTATACTACATGCTATCTATATTCAAAAAAATATATAATCAATCAATCAACTAAGTAAAAAAAAATATTTTTAAAAGCTTTAAAATACTATAATCCAAAAGAAAAAATTACATTTAAACCTTATTCAAAAACTCTTTCTTCTCTAATGTAAATGAAATAAATTAAAATAAACACCTAAATCCATTTATAAAGAATTATTTTTTTTAAAAAGCAACACAGAGAAGTTTGAAAATAATTTTATTTTTGAATTTTAATTCAGTTTTTATCCCTTGATAGCCTTTGAATAACTAAACTCTCAAGCATTTTTCCTATAATTAATTATAAAAAATACATAGATTTTCAATTGATTATCTTTATTTTCAAATAACGATTATAATTTAAACATATATAAGAAACCTTTTAACCTTCAACCCAATAATTTTACTAAATTATTTAAAAAATCTTTCTAATGAAATAGAATATATAAAATTTATTTAAGTTTTATAAATTAATAGCTACAATTTTTTATTGCCAAAAAAATTAATTAATGTGTAAATTTCAAAGCAAACTGTTTGAAAAAATAAAATTAATATTACATTAAAAATTCGAAATTTAAAGTAAGCAATTTATCAGAAATTTGTAGTATAGATTAATTAATTTATAGTATTCCTTTACTGAAATTATTCTATTCCTTCTAAATACCTATTTTTTATAAATTCGCATATTCTTTAAGCATTCAAGCAAGTATTTATGGTAAATCTACTGACTTATAAATTGTAAGGGTATTTCTCGAAAAAAGAATATTTATAGAAAAAAGAAATAATTTCTTTATTTAGAAAGAGTGGTTTAACAATTAATTATTTCGCGGAAAATTAATAGTGTAAATTTAATCAATTTTTGAATGAATGAAAGATAGAGGTTTTGAGACAGACAGCAGTTTATTTATTTGACTAAGATAAAATTTAATTTATTTGAAAGATAATTTACAACAAGATTCGCATTATTTTCTAAAGGTTCTAAAGAATGAATTCAAAGAATTTAATTAAGTTATTCTTTCAAATTAAGAGAAACAGTTTAAGATAGAAAAGATTAAAAAAACAAAGATTTCTAAGAATTCAAGCGAAGCATAAAAAATTTAAATAATTGTAAATAGGCATATCAATTTAGCATGAGTAGCCCTAACAAGAGTAATAGTAGGGGATCTAAGTCAACGTAGAAGCTTGAAGTTATAGATAATATTATAGAGAGAAAAATAGGTTTTGGATTATATCAAAAAAGAGCATTAGGTTATTTGTGTTTAATTGATTTCAACGATGGACTCGAATTGATTTTAATGTCTCTCACACTTCCTATTATTAAGAATTAGTGGAATATTGAGCATGCAAGTGAAGTTGGAGATGGTGAATAATACATCGATTCCTCTAGATACAAATGGTTGGGATCTATTTTCTTCTTAGGAAATCTCCTTGGGGCACTCTTAACTGGTCCTCTTTCAGATAAATTTGGTAGAAGAAAAGTTGTTTTGATAAATTCAATCTCATATGGAGTCGTTGCCTTCCTTTTCTTGTTTGTTCAAAGTCTGGGAGAACTTTATTTTTTGAGATTTATTTATGGATTTGTGTATGGAATTACGCTGCCAATATCAACTACTTTTTACTCTGAAATAACTCCTTAAAAAATGCGTGGAAAAGGAGTGGTTACAATAAATTCAGCCATTCCAGTAGGGTTAGCAACAGGAGTTATAATGGCTGCAATAGTTTTAAATGATACTTCTAGTGGTAATTGGAGATTGCTTATTTCCCTTTCTTGCATTCCAGCATTCATATTATTTTATGGAGCTTATAAGCATTTATTAGAATCACCTCGTTTTTTAGTTGTAGATAAAAGAATTCAAGAAGCTGCAGATATTATGAACTAAATGATTACAATCAACAAAGGAGATGGCGGAGAGGTTGTCACAGATGATGAAATGGAGTAGCTAGAGAAATGGAGAGCTCGTAAGTATGATCATTTCTAAGGAATGACATAAATAGAGCAAGTTAAGAATTAGATAAGCTTAATTTATTTAAAAATTTTTCAGCTTTTCAAGGATAAATACACATGGATTTCAATTTCTTTATGCGTTTAGTGGTTTGGCATACATTTTATGAGTATAGGATAGACTTTTATTTTGCCATTTGTCTAAGCTCAATAAAAGAAGGGTTTTGGTGATATGTTGTTGGTTTTTTTCGGAGAAATACCAGGAGTTATAATGACTTTTTTGATTATTGATAGATAGTACTTTGGAAGAAAAAACTCACTTATATTATTTTTTGGTGGCTGCTTTGTCCTTAACTTGCTTGCATATTATTAAGTTTCTTTCAGTTTTGTTTTATCATTATCAAGATTCTGTTATAGATAATGTCATGCAGTGCTTTATGTTATTACAAATGAGATATATGAAACGCCACTAAGAACAACTGGTATAGGAGTTAATAGTGCTTTTGCAAGATTTTCTACTGTTATTATGCCTTTCGTCTTGGTAGCTATATTTGATGCAAGTACATATGGACCTTTCCTATGCCTAGCTATTATAGGAGCAGTTTGTTCTCTTATGGCATACAAATTACCTTTTGATACTACAAATATAAAATTAGATCATGTTGATGAAGAATTAGAATAAAGAACTCATCCTCTTGATGTTGTAAAAGAAGAAAATATGAGTTCTAGCCAAAAATCTAATAATAGCCATTAACCTAATAAATAAAAAGATATAGAAATTCCTCTTATTTAATAAAAATGAATATTTATATATTTTAAATTCTAGTTTTTATATCTTGTAAAAAAATTATTCTAAAATTTATTTCTTTAAAATTACAAAATTAACAAAAATAAAATTTTTCTAATTTTTCGTTTAAAAATTGAAAAACACACAATAATTATAAAAAAATATATGATTTTATAAATAATTCAAAATAATTATTAATAAATTATCAAGACTAATTCTAATACTTTATAAAGAATTATTTTAGTATATTATTTGATAATGTGCGTGCAGAAGATTATTTTTAAAAAACAAATGAGTATATTTTTAACTTAGTTTATGTTTGTTTTATTTATTTTCTTAATTTTATTTTATCTTTCTTTAATTATTAATAAATTTGTTACAAATATATTTTTCATTAAAGTAATTGTATTTTATAAAATATTTAAAAGGCCTCAGTTAATTTTGTGAGGGAGAACTATCAGACTAGATTTTGCTCAATCAAAATGTAATAATCTCTCAAGTTTGAGACTTTAACTTTGATAAAAAGAATTTATTTATTTTAGATTATGGTATTTTTTATATAAAAATTAATTTAAAATAATAATGACATTTTAATTTATTTATTTATTAGATTTGAAATTTATTTCAGCAATTCTTTCACGATAAAAATTTACTTGAATAGGTTAATCAAAAACAATTACTCCATTAATTACTATTTTAAATTGAAATTTACTTTTTTAAGAATTGAAAAAATTTATTAGAATCTACATGATATTTTTTCTAATTTTTATCAATTTTCTGGAAATAGTCAATAAAACTGTTATTAATTTCGTAATTATGTTTTTTGACAATTCTAAAAAAGGCTTAGTCATTTTATCCAAAATTATAACATTTTTAAAATGCTTTGTCTAAATATGTATAAATTTTAATAGAAATTTATATAATTGTTTGGCGAAATTTGGTAAATGTTTAGTGCATTCTAAATATAAATATATTCAAATTTAATAGAGTAATCAATTAATATTACTTTTAAGTTAAAAGTAATTATCTCTAAATAAAAATAAAATAAGTTTTATTACATAGAATGTATGATATCTAGGCTTCTAAAAAATATATTTAAAATACATACAAACCTCTTGTTAGAAAGAAAATTTTATTTTATTTTTTAATTTATTTAAAAAAAAAATCAGTTCTGAATCATTTTAAATGACAAATCAAGGTATTTTCAAAATCAACAAATAAGAAATGCTAATTTGTTTTATTTTTAAATGAAAAAAATATATTCAAGATAAATGAAATAACTTTATTTCATCACTTACTACTTTATTAAATTACAAGAATAAAAAAGTATGAAAAAAAAACTTAAAGTATAATTAAGTGAGAAAAAATTTCATGATGATTATATTTTTTATTACAAAAAAACAACAAACTTATCAAATATTACAAAAATATTTACATAATTTTTAAATTAAAGCTTTCAGATAAAACTTAAAGTTAATTTTAGTTAATTTATTTATTTATTTGGTTATTTTTTTGTTATAAATTCGGAGGAATTTGAAAATTAAAAATAAAAAATTACTTTAAAAAAAATAAAAATTGAAATGAATATAACAAACTTTGACATATTTTCAACTTCCTTTTAATTTAATTTAGGTAAATAAAGATTAAGAAAGAGAACTCTTGTTGGAGCCTTCTTGTCTGTCTCTGTCATTTTGATTGCTCTTTCATACTTCTTATACTTACTTTATCAGTATCTGAATAATTTAATTGACCCTAAGTTTAGAGCATAAAGCTTTATCACAGAAAGTGATATAGATATGGACTTTCGAAATGATCTTGTTGGGTTCAACTTTTGGCCAAAATAATATCTCAGCTTAGATACTGTGTAAGCTTAGCAAAATAAAACATACTTGGTCTTTTAGGTATATTTATAAATTATCAACAATACTGATTATTCAGTGGTTAAATTAGACACCTATGAATGCCCGGGATAATAATTAAGTGGATTTAATTGTATTGACTTTTCTAAGGTTTAAAACTACACTTTATCTTTTCGTGCTCAAAGTAATTATCGCTGTAATTTAGTTATCCTTGGATATAAATGCTAAGATACAGATGCTTGGAAGACAACTGTACCTGATAACTGTGCAAGTCCTGAAGAAATAGAATCTCTTGTCACATACCCTTAAGCTGATTTTAATCTAAAGTTATTGTCATCTCAGTACAATACTTCATCAAACTAGATATAAGTAAATTATAGAAATAATTATATTCGTTTATCACCAACTATGTTCAGCTTAAAAACATATAAGACATAAAAATAAATCACTACAATAAAATAAGGAGCTGTTATTTAGAAAGAAAGTTCTTTCTCTTCTCCTATTTCATATACTTCAGACACTTAGACACAAGATCTAAAAACTCTCTAAGCATAAACAGGTTTAGGAGTATTTATGTAAGCAACGATTGAAGTAGATGAAATTGTTTAGCATTTTACAATTGAATACCCAACAATACCTGAAATTTTAGCTCTTTGTAATAGTACGTTAGCAGTCTTGATGTGTGTTGGTTTTATTGGAAGATACTTTTCAGAGTAGCTAATTAGAGAGGATTTTTTCATTTTTTACTTACAGAATATGTATTAACAAACATATTAAAAAATTTTGAAGTTAAATAAGTTATTTTAATGTAACAAGGAAGCCTAGAAAGGCGAAAAAATAGAAAATGTTTAATTGCAACTGTAATAAAAACCCAATGATAATAAAGAAAACATAGAGGAATAAATATAGAATGATCAATGCTAAGCTAACTTTGTTCCTTCAATAATAACAAAATCTTCTAGAAAATCTGTTTTCTCCTCAGATTCTTAAATATTTTAGTTAAATGTAAACTGTAAATACACTGATTGTGACTAAAAGGATTAAATTATAGAAAACACATAATAAAACATTAAAGAGTAGAAAATCTAAACAAATCAAAATAATATTCTGCTTTAAGAATAAATGATTGGCTCTTAAAAATCTGAGGATCTCTAAAAATTAGAAAGAGATTAGTCTCAATAAATTGAAACTAAATTTTTAGAAACAGTAATTAATTCACCAAAATCACTTATTAATAATACATAAAATAGCGATATTTATCCTAGACAGTTGAATTTCGATTAAAGAAAAATGATTACTTAAAAAAAATCATTTTAATTTAAAGAATAAAACATTTCTCCAAAAGAAATTTGTGAATTAAATGCTAAAAAAGAGAAAAATGTAAAAAATAATTACATAAACTTAATTACTTAATCAATAAAAGCAGTTCATAACTATCCTATATCATAGAAAATAAGAAAAATTATATTTGGAATAAGGTAACGAAGAATTATTTATACTTTTTTATTTAATTAATAAAAACTAAAACATTAATTTATTTTTCATTTATTAAATAGGATTTGGAAAAAAAATGAATACATTTAGAATTCTGGGTTAGATCCTAAAGCTAGAAAAATAATTATTTAACAGATAGAAAAAGGACTAGATATTTTCTAGCTTTATTCAGATATTCTTTTCTTAAAAAAAGCAGTAATGATCCTTCTAAGTAAAGATTAATATGCTGCAATAAAAATGATTGGATTTTCTGATTTTTTTGCTTAGTAAGAAGCAAATTCAGATATCACAAAACATCAATCAAATTAAAGTAAAATATTTTTTTAATTTCTTAATTATAATTTATTTTAATTTATAAAGCATCTAAAAAATATTCAACTAGTCACTTTGAAAAATTGTTTTCAATATCATAGTCTGAAGAGTTGCAAATAAAATATTTGCATGAATTTATAGATAGATATCATTAAAGCTCAGATTTAAGTTAGGTAGATCAGAGAATATTTTCTTCGTTAAAATTAGCTGAAATAAATTGATAGAAATATTTATTTATTTTATAAAAAAAATAAAATTTATATGTTTTTTTTTGTTAATATTTGATATTAAAAATTTATTTTACTCTTTATTTTATGAATTATTTCGTTTTTATTTTTAGAAAAATAGATTAAGAGTTTAAAAATATAAAATCTCTTAAAATTAGTTCCTTATCAATAATTATCATTCTTATTTTTAAAATAAAGAATTAGAGTAAAATTTATTTAATTTATCAAATTAATATAAAATAAATAAATTTATTTTTAAATTACAAATTTTCTTTTAAATAAATAAAAAAATAATCTATAAATATTCTTTTTTCTAATATTAATAATGATAATTAGATTTTACTTTCAACTTTTAAAAAATATTTTTATTTAATTATTTCCTTATATTAGAGGAAAAATAAAATATATTTGAAATTTAAAGAATATCAAATCACTTAAATTCAATAAATTTTAATTTCTTTTCTTATTATTATCATAAATGATCTTTTTTATTTAAATCTTTTCAAATATATACAATTAATTAATTGCAAAAAAGCTTATTTATTTTGAAAATAAATTATAATTTAGTTATTATAATTACAATTTATTTAATTTAAAAATATTTTATTTAGTTTATTATTTTAATATTAAATTAATTTTATTTGAACTCGATATTTTTTTTTTGAAAATAAAGTAAGCATTATCTCTTTTTATCTTAATTTTATGCAAAATATTAATTTGAGTTAAGAAATATTAGAAAATTGTTACTTTTACATAGAATATATATATACATTTATTTACCAATTGTTAGGTTTCTATGTTTGTTTATGAAGATACAAGTTATAAATATTCAATTTTAAATATTTTTAAACAATTAAAATGCTCCTACTCCAAATATGCTAAACATAATTAGATAATCATAGAAATAAGGATAATTTATGACAGACTATAATTTTGAATTTATTTATTCAAGTATCCCTTTCTTTTTGTTTGATCTGTGATTATTATTATTATTATTGTTTGCCCTTGCCTGATTAAGGTTTGATTAAGAATCTATTAATTATTATTATTATTAAAGATTTATTACTTGTTATTTTTGAAATTTTTTTTATAATTCAAAGTTATCAATCTAATTTAATTTGAATAAAACTTAAAATATTTTGTTTTGTTTGATTATTTAACTAGGTTATTTTATAAAGATTTATTACATTTTAAAATTATTTCAATTAGTTTCAACAAAATGTGTTTTTTCTGCATGAGCTATAAGCTCTTCAAACCCATTAAAACTCTTTCCACAAACATCACAAACTTCTTTTGCTAAATTTGAATTGTTTTAATTATTATTGTTCGTAGTGGTGTTTTGTTATTAAGAAGCTTAATTACCTGAATTATTTTACTAAGGTTAGTGAGCTTACTCTGCATGAGAAAGCAATTCTACTATAGTTTCAAAACTTCTTCCACAGACATTACATATCTATATTTAAAAATTACTTAAGTTTATAAAGACAAATTAAAAAATTACCTCTCTCTAAGGTTCTCTATAATTTGAAGGCTAAATTCTTTGATTTACTTGATTTGTTTAGAGTTATTATTGTTATTATTAGGTTACTTATGGTTATTAAATTTATTGCTAAACATTTTATGAATGAATTGCATTCCAATATCCTATATTTTGCTGCTAGATTTATTAGCTTTATTGATTTTGATTTTAGTTTAAATTACTTTATTGCTATTGCTACTATTATTAAGCTCTCATTTACATCATTTGTCTGCGCTGATTTAGCTAGTCTTACTAAGATTATTGTGAATGGTTTGCTTAGTTTTGATACTATTGGTTTGTTTATTATTGATAAGAATTTACATTATATTCTCTCCTTTAATTAATAGCTCCACCTAAAACGCTTGGATTTTCTTTTACTTATTGATCTAAACGAATTTGCTCAAGCCTTTATTCAACTTAAACTATCTTTTTTTGATTAGGATCTCTTTTAATTCTCTAGCAAACGTGTTCTTCAGGTATTCTATGTTTTAAGCACAATTGTCTATCACATAATTTACAGACAAAAGTATTAAGATCAGTAAGAGCTTGCTTGCATTTTTTACCTGATTCGCAAAATATTTTTTCTTTCTCTTTCAGAATCTTGTCTCTATTTTTTTAATCACAATCTGTAGCCTAATGTATATCTAACTGTTTTAGAAACAATATTATTAAATTTTATTTGATACTACTTTAATTATTTCAAGATTGAAAATAAAAAATAACTGCTTACTGCTTCAGTTTCGGTATGAGATCCATTATACTTTATAGTTTATAAACAGAATGGGCAAACAATTGCTTTTTTTGCATATCTGTCTGATTAGTTGCAATCGTGAGCTTCTTATCTAAAGTGATCTTGGCAATACTTTTATTTTATTAAATGGCTATTAATATATTAAAAATTTAAAAAGAGCTATAAATTAATTACAGTTCTTTCACAGCAACTACATTTATAAGGTAGAAAATCTTTTTATTTGCAATGAAGTATAGAGCAAACCTTTCCTAAATTTTAAAATTCCATTTTAACTAAGTGTTACTTATTTTTTTAATCTATTTTTTTTTTTTTGAAAATTTTTAATTTGTAATTTTCGCCAATTAAATTGCTTTTAATATAGTTAATATTAAATGATTGGCTTTAGAAACGAGAATAGAGGTTTTCCAGAAATTTTCTTTGGCGATTCTAAAATCAAATTATTCTAATTTTCTAAATGCTTACTTTGAATTCCTTTGATATTAATTGAAAGCTTAATGTTTTTTTTCTGGAAGAAAAAATGTCTATTTTAGTTTTTAACTCTAAAATATTAAACAAACAAAATCAATTCATGAATAAAAATTATTTTTAAAATAGAAAAAACAAACAATAAAATATGTTTTTTTTAAAAAAAATAAATTCAAAGCAAAACTTAAAATGAAAATATATTTTGTTTGATCAAAAAATAAAAATGTCAATATAAAAAAATCTAATTGTTAATGTGAAAATTAAAATGTATTTCAGAAAAAATTGTTAACAAATAAATAAAAATACTTTGCTAAAGAAAGATTTTTATAAAATTTTCAGCACTATTTTAACTGAAAAAAAGAAATCAAATGAAGAGAAAAAATAGGTTAAAGTATTGTAATGTGAATGAAAAAGAGACTTTTTCAAGAATGTATATAATTAACATAATTTTTAAAAGATAATTAGCTGAATTTAAATTTTTTTCATGTTAAGCACAAATAAAATAAGAAATAAAGATATATCAATTAATTAGTAGTCAGTCAGTCAGAAACTCGTATTCATGCATTATTAATTATATTCACAATATTTTTTCAATTAATTAATTTTTAGCTGGCAATAAATAAGAAATTTTCGCAGACAAATATATTCAATCAATCAAGTAAATGAACACATTTACTTTTGGTAAAGGAAAGTAGACAGAATTAAAAATTAATATCAAGAGTAACGCGGTCAACTCAACAGGAAATATTGAATACATAGAATAGGTTGAAAAATGCTAATGTAAATAATTACTTCAGTTATTATTGAATTACATTTTTTATAATGTGGAGTGTTTAAATAATCATTAAATATAAAAATGTGTTTAACAGAAATAATAAGAGATGATAAAAACATATTAAGACAGCTTATTAAAGAGGGAAACAGCCAAGTTATGTCAATAATTAAAAGCAAAAAAAAGTGTAAAATTCTTATCAAATTATGAAGCAATTAAAATTATTTCTACTCATTTTTTAATTAATATCTTTATTAGTTATTGATTAGATGTAGACAGAACTCAAGAAGTTCTTAAAGACTTATAAAAATTAGCAACAGCAAAACGAAGGAGTACTTTTTTAAATTAGTTTAACTTACTAAATATCAAAACTAATGAAATTTTTATTCACGTTTTTTAAAATATAAAAATGGTAGGAATAAACTTAAACACATAAATAGTAAAATCAAAATGATAGCTTCAATAGTCAAGTTATAAGTGAAAGGTAAATGTCACGAAACAGTACACACTAAAACCTTAACTAGAATAACGGAATTTAGAATAAGGTTTAACATAATAACGCAAATAATAATTCTACTACTAATAATATGAATAATTAAAAGGCACAAGAAACTTAAATTAGTTAATCGTATTAGCACCAGTAACAAGTTTATACTACTACAACAAACATAGGTAATAGTAATAAAGTAAATCTTATAACATATAGACTGAATGCTCCTACGCCTATTAATTAAAGCAAAGTAGTTTCGTTAATTAGCAAGGATCAAAGCTCTCCTTTAGATAAAAAACCGAGATCTCTATCATAACAAGAAGCACATACTGAAAATAAATTATCAGCAAAGCCATAATTATAAAATTAGGGAGTCTCTATGACAGACTCAGGTTTTATTAACATTAACTCTGCAAGAGTTTAAAAGAATAACTATTATTTTAAAAATGAGGATTAAAATAGCAAATAGCCAGTTTCATTAACAAGTAGAAATGATTCTAGCTAGCAAGCTATAAGTCCTAAAGAAATTAATTTGCATAATAAATTGAAAAAAGTACCTTCGATTCCAAAATATGCAAATAACTTAGCAGTCAATCAAGATAACAAGCAAAAAAAATCTCCTACCCCTAAGCATAAGAGTCCAATAAATAAATAAAATGTATAAAGCAAGGATGGTAAAAAGATTACTAAGAAAAATAATATAGATACAAGCAAAGACGCTAGCAAGGATAATTCATAAATTCACAGCCAAGATAAATTATAAACACCAAAAGACACAGTTAAGCAAACACCTAACAAAAAAGAAAATGAAAATATAGCATCTTCAAAGTTAAATGCAAATGTTTTTAGCTTTGATTTATAAACAGCAAGCTAACCACAATATTAGACTAATAGATAGAATTTGTTATCACCACAACAATTTTAAACAAAAGTATTTAGCGAAAACTCAAATAAAGTCTTTGGAATAGCTGCTTAGGATTAGTCAGAGAGAAAATTTTCCATCACTTCTTCTTTAAGTAATACAGAAAGATAGTTTAATAATAAAAACAGCGAAAATCTTTTATAATTAAATTAGCTTTCTTAGAATAATAATTATTCTGTAAATTTAGTAAAACTAGATTAAATAATAGGTAATCAGAATATAGATTAGTAATAAAATAATAATTAACTATCTTACTTGCAAAATAAAGAAGATGAAGTAAAAAGAGCAAACAAGGTCTCGGATTATACTATAAAAAATGAATCTACACCTTATCAATAAAGTCCATACTTGCTTGATATAAACTCTAATTCTGATGCATATACACTTAATAGGATAGAAACTATTTACTTAAATAGCGAACATAACTAGAAGAACAACTCTAATTAAAATTATGATTATTAATAATATGATCAGCTAGATGAAGTCAAATAAGATTAAAATCAAAAATTATCTACCTAAAAGTCTAATGAAAATTCATATTAAAAATAAAATTTTGTTGATTAAAATTTCAATTTAGATACTGTTGAATCTAATAATTACAATCCAAATAAAAGTTATGACAACAAGTAAGCCTAAAGGAATTTTACACCATAAAATTAAAAAATTGCTAGTTAAGATAATAGGCAATACAATTAGTAAATAGAAGAAAAAATGTTTACTTTTGAATCTCCAAGCAAATTTATTTCTCATAAAGAATCCAGCAATAGAAAATAGTCAACAGATGGTAATGTTATATTTCAGGATGAGTATTTTGCACTGTAGGACACACCTACTAAATAAGATTAGTAAAATAAAAGTATTTCTGCTTCAGTGCAGAAAACTGGTAATTTTAGTATCACTTAAAATAGTTATTTCCCATAAAACTAATTAACAGATGCAAAATCAATAGATTAAATATCTAAATAGAACTCAAGCTAGAAATACTAAAGTCCTTTTGAAAACAAGAATATCAGCCATTTGCATGATGGAGGAGTTTCGCCTGTTATACCTTCTCATAAATCAAATAATTAAATTAATTTAGTAGGATAAGCTTATAGCTATAATGGTAGTGAAGTTAAACAAGGACGTTCTTATTCTGAAAAAGACTCTTATGGAATGAGCTATAATTTCTTACTGTAAGACCCAATAAAATAATCTTACAAGTTAGAAAATTCTTTAGCCAATATGTATTCTTTAAAATAGCCAAATTAAATAGATTCAAAAGATGATCCTATTTATAATAGTAATTAGAACTCTGCTGTAAAAAATTATTTAGAATCTCCATAAAAAACTCAGGCAGTTTAATATGATTATTTTAATAATTAAAATTTAAATAAAACTGAACCTACAGATTACACTTTTTAGTAGAGTAAAACCTAACAATTTTCATAACAATAATAATAATAATAGAAAAGAACAGATTAAACAGAAACCAGCATTCTTCTTACAGAAATAAATGAAAGAGTCAACAATTTACTTTCACCAAAAAGCGAAAATTCAACCTAAAATTAATATTTCAGCTTTGCTAACAAAGTGGGTAGTTAAACTTAAAATGTAGTCAGCTAATATGGTTTAGGTTCTATTCAAAATTCTATATAGCCTACAAATACTACAACCAATAATTCATACTTTAACGATTATGCTCACTTTTCTTCCTCATCAACAAGTAAAACTCCATAAAATAATTATTATTAAAGTGGAGTAAGTAATTTGTATGGAATAAGTTAGCCACCACCAATATATACTTTTGAATAATAAAAGCAAAATAATATAGATTCATCAAGTATAGGAAATTACAGTTACAGGGAAAGTTTAAGTTAGCCAATAACTTAAAGAGAATCAACTTATACTCCATCTTATTTACTTTAAAATACTAACGCTGCTGAAAGTAGCTAAAATGCTAAATAATCTAACTCTTTACTTACAGATTGGAGTACATTAAATTCTAAAATAGAAAATGAAAATAAAAAATTGAGCTACTAGTATGATATAAATACTAGAATAAATAGCCTTAAACCATTTTAATTTACTTCAGATAAGTAAAGCTTTCCTAATACACATTAGCCTGATAATTAATATTCTCAATCTTTCTGCAACATACAATAAAACGATGACTAAAAAAACTAAAAATAATATAACTCTTTTGTTTAACAACCTTTGAATCTCACATATTAGCTTCCAGAAATACAAACTTCTTTCACACCAACTACATCATACCAAAATTAATAATAGTAAAATAGCAGCATTTCTTCTAATAAGATACAATTCAACTCTAGCATTTAGGAGATTTTAGATAGATACATCCCTAAATCTACTCCAGCACAAACAAATTAATAATCTATTTAGATAAATTACCAATAGCCATAAATGAATGCTTATAGCTCATCCTTCTCTTACTTAGAACCATCAATTTAGATGAAATTCGAAGAAGATAAAATAAAAAAGCAGAGTAAGTAACAAGATTATTGTAGTGTTGGAAGCAATTTTAATGAAGCAAGCAACTTCAAGAAAAACTAAGTCGATGATTTAGTTAGTAAATACATTAACAATAAGTCTATTTAGTAAGCTAGCGATTTGTCCTAGAGACAATCAGAAAATTATTTAGATTGTATTGTATCAAATAGACAAAATTATCAAGATAATAATAATAATAATAATAATAATGAGACAAACAAAAATTGCGGTCTTATTTGTGGTATCAATTCTAACGACTAAAAAGATAAAATATTTATTGAAAACCAACAATTAAATAGCAATAAAAATTAAAACACAAATTTAAACAAGTTAGATTCCACTCTAAATTAATAGAATGGAAGATTCTATTCCTTCCAAGATAATGATGGAAATAACACATTATATAAATAATTAACGAAATAGTCAGAACAATAAGAAATTTAAATTGATAGTAATTCAATTTAAGATTTGAGCAATAATGTAAATAGTAACCAAGTTTTATTTGAAAAGAATAGCTAAAACCTTACATTTAACGCTTTAGCTAGTAAATATGAGTTTAATTCTATAGATGATTTTGAGAAATTTAATAGAAATATTAACGATGAAAGCGATTAGCAAACTCCCAATAATGCCTATTAAAATTAAACAAGTGAAAAAATCTCTGTTGTTAATGTTGCTTCTATTTTATCTTCACATAGCATAGACCATCAATAGCCATATTTTTATAGTTTCCATTCAAATTCTATGCTTGAAAATCCTATTAACATTCCCTTGCCTAAAGAGGACTGTGAATAAATCGATGATAAATATAGTCAATAGCAGCTACTTACACCTAGGCGACTTCTTCATCTACCTACTTTAAAGCATCATCTCAGTAAATTTACTTGTGAATAAGTCCTAGAATAAATATTTGATAATTTTTCACTCTCTCTATAAAGTCTGACCAAAGAATATTTCACATACAAAATGCAAGTATACTTCTTAGTTATTTTATTAAATTCAATTTAAATAAATAATTTTATTATTAAGACTTTAGTAAAGCAGTATATCCCACAAATTCAATCTATTATTATTCTAAATAAAGAAATAAATGCACTCTTCGAATTATCCGATATGGTAAATTTTTTAATTTGCAAGTATGTTTTAATGAATTTCATTAATTTTTAGAATAAGGATTGGTATTTGGATATAAATGAACTTGGATCCACTCTTAGCTAAATATGTAAACCTTCAGAAGAAGATTTACCAATAAAGTAGCTTTATAAAAAGATAGACTCTTAAAATAGAGGCAAAATAACATAAAATGATCTTTTAAATTTTGCTAATTCCAGAGGATTTGATTTTATTTCCTTTACAAAGTAATATTTATTAATTTATTGTTTTATTTATTTATTTTAAATAAAATAAAATAAGTTTATTTAAATAACTTGATGCAGGGAAAAAAGGCTTTGTAACTTATTATGATCTATTGCTAAAGTAATTTATTTTGATAAAAAATTAAATAATAATTTTAATTTTTTTAAATTATAAAGCTAAAAGAATAAATTGATTATGAGTTTGTTGTGAGTGATGAAAAAAGAAAGATCTAATTTATCTATTTATTTAGTAATGAAAATTAATTATCTTAAAAAATATGTGTATTTCATTTATTTATATCTTTAGTTATTTATATATTTATATATAAAATGTATCTATATTCAATATCAGTTTTTTAAATAAACAAATAACTTACTTTTAAAATTAGTTTTATTTATTAATAACTTGATATTTTAAATCATAGGTTTAATTATTTTATTTTAAAAATATTGATATGAATTGTTATTTATTCATAATAGAGGATGATTCTTTAATTAAGAGGATAATTTTTGAAATAAACATTTATTTTCTTATCTAAAAGTACTTAGTATTATTATGATTTTTTAGTTTTTATCTCTATTTTATAAGAAATTAAATTGAATTATTTCAGAATAAATTAGAAATATCAAATCTTTTTTTACCCATTATTCTTTCTTTCTTTATAAATTAAATTAAATAAAATAATAAAAAACTGAAATTTTAGTAAAATAAGTATTTTTATTATTAATATTTAATCATTTTATTTTGCACATTAAACTAAAATATTTGATGTTTCTTCATTTTATAAATTTTTATTTTATAAATGGCATATCATCAACATACATTTAAATTATGTAAATAATTTAAAATTGAAAAAATTTAAAAAAAGCATATTCTAAGTAGAATTAAATACTTTATTTCCTTCCTTACAAATTATTTATAGATGTAATTTAGGATGACGTATGATTTCCCTAATAATTGCTATATTTTTCTGAAAAAGTTAGAAATATAAAAGATTTCACAATCTTGATATGAATAGGTCAATCAATCAATAAATAATTTAATAATTAATTAATTTATTGATATACTCTTTATCAAAATAGTTAGCAAAGGAAAAAAAATTAATTATTAAAAAACTAAGAAAGAATAATGATGAAGATTTTGATTAGAATTTACAATGCTGTGCATTTTTTTTTGAATATGGTTGTTGTTTACTATATTCTTAGTTCTCTTAGTGTTCTTTATGGAATAGTAACATTGAATGGCTTCAATGTTTAGTGGAGTTGGGCTGCAATGACTTGCTTTTTTTTAAATGCGAAATTAAAAAAAATAGAAGGTTCACAAGAACCTGTCCGTAATGAAAAAGCTCTTATTTTAGTCAATCATAGATCTTGGAGTGACTTCTTTATACATGACAAAATGATGGATTACACAGCTAACTTTTTAGCAAGGTATTTACAAATAAATTTTTATTAATTGTGAAATATTTTAAAAATTACTAATTGTTTTAAATTCATTTTTAGCAATTTATTTTATAATTTAATTTAGATATTTGGTCGCTGTTGCATTCCCAATTTCCTTACTTGCATCACCATTCATGAAAACTCTTTGGTATTTCAACAGAGATGCTCCAAGAAAAGATTTTAAAAAGTAAAATATTAAAGTTAAAGTTGTTAATCAAGCAAAATAAATATAAATATTTTAAAAAATAATCTGCAAATAAGATTTTATTTGTTATTATTAGAATTTAATAATTTTTAATTTTTCTATGAAAAACTAAAATTAGATTCTATAAGTGGTGTGATGATAAATGGGCTGTTTCTAAAAGAAACAATTTGCTTGTATACCCTGAAGGTCACCGTATGTTTGATTCCACTAAGCCAGGACCTTTGAAAAAAGGAATGATAATTGTAAATACATATTTCATTAAATATTTTTTAAAACCAATTAATATAAAAGTATGCTTATGAGAGAAAGCTTCCAGTATAAATAGCTATTTGTGTGGGTAATGAAAATTTAATTCACGAAAAGAATATTAAAGTTAATAGAGGGTAAAATATTTCAAATCTTAACTTATTTTTAGTAATTTTAAATTCAATTAGATCTGAAATGTCATATTTCATTGATAAGCCTATTAAATCTACTGATTATCAAACTTTTGATAGCTTTTACGAGCACATATAAAAGAGATTTGGCGAAGTATTTGAATAAGTTCATTAGACCCACTACAAAAAAGATAAATGAAATAAATTTATTATTCTGTTTTATAAATAAATTTATTTATTTGATCAAATAATAAAATTAATCATTTTCATTTATTTCCATTGTTTAAAATTGATTAACCTTTCTATTTACTTGCAATTATTTATTTATTTATGTAGGGAATATTATTCATTTGAAAAATCTTTGAAAAAATATAACCTTAATAAAATGGCTATTAAATAAATTTTTAATTTTTTAACATTTTCATATTTAGTTTTAAAAAAGATTTTTTAATAATAAATTCAATGAAAATATTTTTATGTTTTCCTAGTTATTTAAATTTAGAATAAATAAATGTCTTTATCATTTGACTGTAATTTTAAATTACAAATGATTAAACATATGAGATTAATAAAGGCTATTAAATCAATCAGAAATAACTGGAAAATTTTATAAAAACATTATTTTTATTAAATTTATTCACTTTTATTTAAAAAAAATATTTGGATTGATTGATATATACTTAATAAATAAATAAAAATTAATTTAAATAGCATTTAAGGATATTAAAAGCATTTTGAGTTTCAAAAATGGAAGTTTGTTCACCTAGATAGCAGCTAATTATAGACTTATAGCATACTCATTCAGACCATAAAGAGGGTTGGAAGAATCTTATTAAAAAAACTTCTTAAGATGGGTTTGTTCACGGTAATCCTCGTCCTCATAGTCCTATTAAGATTTAAGCATACACAAAGGGAAGTTGGGAGGATTTTATAAAGCGCAGTGATATGGTATTAGAAGGCAAGGGTATCAAAATTCCTCCTCACAAAAAAGATCACTTTGAACTTGGCTATGGGACTATTGCTTTAGTGGATGAAAAAGATATGTTTAACCTACGTGGTTAAAAAAGGATAAAGGTAGAAAACAAATAAAGTTAGATATTTGATGCCTACAGAAAATAATATTCTACTAACATTATGAGTGAAAAAGAAAAACTTTTATGGATAGAAAGGTATAGAAGCGATTATACTAAGTATCACCACACTGAATATCCAACTCCTTAAAAATCAGTTAATTAGTTAGAGTACTCTAAAATTAAAAAAAATGACAGTATTATATAAAATCCTAATTAAGGAAGCTACTTAGCGATATCAGCAACAAAAAAGGAAAAAAAAGATCAGAAGCAACAATTAAATTTATTTAAAATTGAATAAAAGCAGAGTAAGAAAAGTATTCAAGATAGTTATTTAACTAGCTCTAGAGAATCCACCAAGTTTCCAAATTAATACCCTATTTCTTACCAATAGTATAAATAAACCAATAGAGTATAATCTGCATCCATTTAGCAATCTACTATTGGATCATAAAAATAATCTTCAAGAGCAATTGATATGCTTTCTCCTCAAAGATCAAAAAGAGCCTGAGCTTTGATTGAAAATTGTATTCAAAAAATAAATGATTAATTTAATTGTATATATAATAGAGATATATTTTTTGTTTGATAATGAAAATAAGCAGTAATTAAAGAGATAGTGGTGAGTTAGTTATTAATTATCTCTTAGACAATACTAAAGCAAAATAAATTACTAATAAATTTATTAATATATATTGTAATAAATACTGACATATATATAATATATGTAAGTAAGTAAATAAGTAAGCAAGCAAATGTGTATATTATTGCATATAAAAGGAACCTTTCTATTTTAGTAAGCAAAATATTTTTTATTTTATTTTTTCAAAATAATTTTTAATAACTTAATTTCATTTTATATAATTTTAGCAAAAAACATCATTAATATTATTAATTGTATAATTAAAGATAATTGATTATTTTTATATTGAGTGCTGAAATTAATTCCATAAATCAACTATTTAATCAACCTATCAAAAAATTCAACCAACTAACCAATCAACCAATCAGTCATCATTCTTTTTAAGTTTTTTAAGTAATTCACGATCTTATTCAAATCCTTCTATCAACATCTATTTCTTTCTTTTCAAGAGCTCTTTGTCAGTTAAAACCTTTTCATTCTACATACCCAAAGTATCTATTAGATTTAATATATTTGTTAATTTTTTATTTGTAATAATTTTAAGATTTTTTACCTGCTAAGCTTGCTCTGCTCACTTAAAACTTGTAAAAATCTTAGAATTCTTTATTTTTTTGCTTTTTCTTGTTGCCATAACGATCAAGTGTAGGATCTGCATTAATTTAATCTACTTACTTGGGATCATATTCACCCTCTTTATCAGTTATTATTTTAAATCCTCCGTGTTCCATTTTTGATAAAAATTCTAGTTTTTCTTCATCTATAGTGTTTGCCTTTTTTATAGTAAAATTATGAATTAAAGTTTAAGTGCAAATTAATTTTAATATCAAAAATACAAATAAACAATGTATTTTATAATTACTTCGTATGAAGATAAAAGATTTCTTAAGTATTATTCTTTGCCTTCAGAATCTTACTATCTACGCTAGTACTTCATATATTCTTCAAGTTTAGTCTAGAAAAGATCATTATCAAAGCATTAAGTCATATCGTATTCATTTTTAAAGACTACCAAACCAAAGTAAATTTTCTTTGCTATCCCTTAACTATTTTAATATAAAACATGCTTTTTCCTTCTTAAATTAATTTATTTGCCAAATTATATTTCAGTAATTCTTTTTATTTTGAAAACATTCTTTTTTTTAAGAATAATAAACATTACGCTTTCTTATTTTTATATGATCCAGTATAAACTTATCTAAGTTTTCCCATAACTTTAAACCATTTTTTAACTTGCTCATCTTCAAATGGTCTATCAAAATTAATTATCTATAATGTTCTATGCTCAGGAACTGGTTCTTTTTCTCCTTTTTAATTTCTATTTAAAGGTTGCTCTTGCTTCTTTTCGGCTTTCAACTAATCAAATATGTCATAAAGACTCTTACTTTCGTCTTTTATTGCTTCTAACACATTCTTCTTTGCATATCTTCTATAATACAAAAATAATTTAGATCCGTTAGATTGAGGGATAGTTAGCAAGTGATAATTAAATTATGATGATTCAGCGTATCTACAGTTTTCAGTCATTTTAAGCTTGTAAAATAAATATAAACAATTTTAATTACTTTTCTTATAAATATTTAAGTTTAAATTAATGTTTTTATACTTAATATATATCTTAATTAAATTAATGTTATTAGCCAAACAAAATATTGCTCTATCAGATCTATCTAAAAACTGCTGTCTATAAGGTTAAAATAAATTAATTGCAAAATGACTTAAATTATCAAAATAAATGCAGTAGAAGTTTTCGAAACATATTTACTTTTAGGAAATATTACTTAAATTTTTTAGAAAGTAGAAAATTTTAAATAATTTTTATGCTTGATAATAATTTAAAATAAACAGAAACATTTCAAAAAAATATATTTTCATTAATTGAGATAAAAATTGAATGACTAATCAGCAAATAAATATGTGATATTGAGATAAATAATAAGAAATATTTAGTATATTTCAAACAAGCAAATGTATAAACATAGTATTTACAAAACTTTAATATGATGAATTAAATCATACTTTTAAATAGTTATAATGTATTTTTTATAATAAAAATTTGAATATTATAGTAGTTAGTAGAGAGATAGATAGATGGATAAATAAATAAATAGATATTCATTTATTTTTTTATTTTCAATTTTTCATTTTAAATCTTTTTTGTAAGTTTAAATGTTTTTAAATTAATTATTTTTTATTTATTTTGTTAAATAATATTTTGAAATTACTTGAAATATATTGTTTTTTCAATAATCTTTAACTCACAAGGCTGAGACATAAATATGCGAAATAGGAGCCATATCATTTTAATATCTTTGCTTTTCTTTATTTATGGCATCTCTCCATGACTAAGAAAATTCATCAAATTTATTCATAAACTCGTCATGATAGCCAAATATTTCTTCATGCACTACTTATCCTTATTGGCCTTCTCCATTTAGTTTACCCAAATTCAAATTCATGTTGTTATTAGCAGGATCCTTCACTTACAAGCATCCAAGATTAATTTTTAATTTATCTTTCATTTAAGCATTAATCATCTTGTTCGATTAAGAAGCGTAAGCAACTTCATTTACAGGGATAGAGAGTACATCACTTTCACTGTCAGTCACTAATTTTTTATATTAAATATTTAAGAAAAGTATTATAAATTTAGAATTTTATTATTGATTAATAACTATAATTATAGATTAGTACATATTGCTAAAATGATAGAAATATATTAATTGAAACTGAATAAAAGTGTTGTTAATATTTAAAAATAAACTGCAGAATGAATGGCAGATTTTAAGCTAAGTAAAATAATTTAAATAAAAGAAAATTAGTAAATTTAAAGAAAAATTATTTACCTGATTTTTCAGAGTATAAAGGATCTAACTCATTATTATGTACAGGTGGTTAATAATATTAATTATTCTATTAGTCATTATGTTATTAATATTCCATGTAATTCTGCTAGGGAGAGCAACTTTCAGATTATATATGTTCGTGTTAGTAAAATTGAGTATCTTAATTAAAGTTATTGTTTTTTAAGAAATTTTACTGCTGAATTTAGAATGAATTCTGTTGATTTGAAATTTATATGTTATTATTGAAATTCATCTAGCCTTCTTGCATTTTATAATTTTTTTGGTGATAACTTTAAGACTAATCTTTATTAACTATGAATTGAATATTTTGATTTTATTGATTTATACATTCATTTTCTTCTAAATATTTGTTGTTGTTATTTGAATTAGAGTACCTTCCTTATTATTGCTATTCCTTAAATTCGTTATTATTACAATTTATTTATGCTCCTTCAGTGTGTTATTTAGTTGAAAGTTTTTAGAATCTCATTTTGTATTACATTTCTGCATTAACTTATTTAGGTGAAGCTAGTAAATTTTATTAGTCCTCAGATGCACAATCATCATTCCACTACAAATCAGGAACATTCTTTTTATATTACTAATTTTTATATGAAACTTTGTTATTGTAATTTTCCCTATTATTGTGAACATCATCTTCTTAATCATTATAGTTATCAGAATCTTCATCATAAACAAATCCATGACTATTATCTTTACTATCAGAAAAATTATTTTCGTATTCATCATCTTCCTCTATTTCTTAATTTTCATTTTCGTCATCTTCTTCATTTTGAGAATTGACATAAAAAGGTTTTTCATTATCTTTTTTATTCTTTTTTTATCTTTGGATATGAATATTAACTCCTTATCTTTTTGAAGAAGGTTGTGATCCTTTTTAGTTTGATCCCTGGTTATGGTTTAATTCTTGATTTTAACCACCTTAATTTTTATTTAACTTAGCAGTATTTTAGCTGATATTATGATCTTGTGAAAGTTCCCATGGCTAGTGTTATGAGAGCTAGTTGTGCTCAGGAGATATGAAATCATTAATTTTCTATTGTAATCTATTTTAATTTTCCCCATTTGGTGATAATGATTCTGGAGTTTTTACATTATCATTATATATTTCATCTACATTAATACCTAATTTACGTATAGCATATAATAATTTCATTAATTTTTCTTCTTTTTGTCTATTTGCATTCATTTGCTTGCGCTGTTTTTTAGCTACATTTTTCAGTTTTTCGTTTTCTGATAATAGCATTTGTATTTCTTATTAATTTAAGTTAAATCCCCCTCCAAGATTGTTCATATTGCTGAAATTCGTATTGTTGTGACTGCTAGTATTATTATGGCTAGTATTATGTGAGTTAGTATGACTGTTTGTAGATTGGTTGCGGGATTTTTGGTTGTTTATTTGCTGACATTATTTCGATAAAGAAGTCACTAAATCTTGTAGTTTTTCCTTTTCCTTTTCCAAAATGTCTATCTTCAAATCAAGCACAGCCCTTTCTTTTCTCTCTAAATCAAGCTCTCTTACAATTTAGCTCTTTTTTTGTTCAAATTCTAATTTTTGTTATCTTGATTCTTAGAGTAAATTCTAAATTGGAGATTCAAGAATGTGCTTTAGATTTTCAAAAAACCTATACGTTGCACTACTTTAAGTACTGTTTTAAAACAAACTTGCTGCAGTGTTGTGACTGGAAGAAATTTATAACAAATTTTATTACATTTAAAGATTTTACTGCTAATTTAGCTATTATTATTGTTAAGAAAAGTTTAGCTTTTAGTTTACTTGCGTTCTTCGTTATATTTCATTTAAAGTAATTAAAAAATTATCAAAATAGTCAAGCTTTCTTTCATTGCTAAATTTATTTTTTTAAATAAAATCCTCTAATAACTCATCATAAAACCTAAAACTGTCCTAGTATGTTTTCTATTATTGATGAAAATGAAAGTTAAATTATCATTAAAAATAAAGAATTTAAATTACTGCATAAATCTTTGGAGATGATTTGTTGTTTTCATTGATAGTAATAAAATTAGTAGTGATATTTGATAAATTTGTTTAGTCATCGATAAGCTAACTAGCTGAGCCATGCTAATTTTAAGGCTATTAATTGCTTCTTTGAGGATTACTCACATTAGATTTTTATGTCTCTTGTTCTCTCCTCGAACTAGCTTGAGTCTAAGGTCTAGGTTACTGTAAAAATTATTAAGGGTTGCTCTATGAGTTTTATTGTTAGTTGTTGCTGTTTGATTAATTCAAATTGTTTATTTATATTTTATGTTTTTTTTAAATAGAATGAATGCTAGGAGATTGACTGATTTAAGCTTGAAGCACATTAAAATTTTAATTTAAAAATGAATAATCTGTGGACTCTTTAGAGCTATTTAAATTGACCTAGGTAGTATTTCCTATTGGACTTTGAACATTAAAATTAGCTATAAAGGAGTTTTTGCTAATAGTCATACTTTTACTATTTTTTTAATGATGGTATTATGGTTATGGATGAGGAGGAGCTGCATTTGACTGGAAAATATTGTTATTCGTATTTAAAAAATTAGCTTGTGGTGACTTTATAGAATTTTAATTTTAGCTCTAACTCGTTTAATTTTAAATGCCATTTGTATTTATCTCTGCACCAGTTATGCTTAGATTTCCTTAATTAATGAATGAAGTCTATTGATATTAGCTTGATAGTATTTGTGAGTTATTTTAACTTCCATTTCCACCTATTGAATTCGAAGATTTCCCTTTTTTGTTTTAATTTATTTTATCTTTAACTTACTGAATAAAAGCCTATGCTGCACTTCCACTTTAGGCATTATTAGTTGTGCTAATTTAATAAAAAGTTTTTAATAAATTAATTAATTAATTAATTAATTTTATTTTACTTATTATTTAAAAATGTATTAAGAGGATGGTAGTTAGCTGAAAGAGAATTGCTATTATTGTAAAGTGCTGGATTTGTCTTATTGTAATTATCTGTCTTATTTATTTAGTTGTTAGCAGCTGAAACTGGAGAAATTGTCATATTCCTGTTAATCTGTGCAGGTTGGGTGTTGTTATTAAATTAATTAAGATACAAGTACTGTTGATTCTACTTTTATTTACCTCCACTGCCGATAAGATAATTGTTATTATTCCTATTACTTTCAATCAACGATGTTTAAAGCATCTGATTTTATTGACCAAACGAGCGATCTTTTGAAGTATCTTTAAAATAAATTATTAAATAAATTAAATTAATAAATAAAATTTACTTAAAATTTCGTTTTTATTCAGAATTGCTGTCTTGTTTTATTTGTAGATTCTAGCTGCATATGGTTTTTGATTGGGTTTTTAAAGCATATAGTGAGGCTAAGGGGCAGGGTTAGAAGAGGATGAAGATGACTATTATGGATAACAACCGCTATTTTTATTACTACTTCCTATCGACTAATCCTGCTAATTAATTAAACTGTTGTATTAAGGTGCTGCATGTAAATTATTTTAATTTACACCTTAACCAGATGCAACATTACCTTCAGTAAGTAAAGGGCGAGTTCTTAATTCTAATGATTGCCTAGTCTTTCTTAAAGGAGAGGCATCCTATAAAGTATGAGAAACCTATCCAATGTTATTATTGTTGTTATTTATACTTGAATTAAATGCGTTGCTATTTTTAAGGGTTTAATTTGTAGCTGGTAAAGTAAATGAAGGGTTTTAGATTTAGTTGTAAGCTTAGTTAAATTATTGTTGCCCTTAGAAGCTGTTATTAAAATAATTTTTTTGATTGCCATTAAAGCTACTATTCATAGTTAGAACACTTTGTTCAGTTGCAGATATCTAGTTTGGAGATTATCTCCCTCCTTTTGTTTGGTCGAGCAGCTAGTTTAGCTTCTGTTAAGCTAGTGATGGACGAGTTTGCTGAATATTTGTAGCAGCACAACTTGCATTAGAGTTATTTAAACCGCTTTATTGTTATGCACCTTATCCTATATAACTAGTTTTTAATGAATATTTTTATCCTGAGAATTAATTTCCTTGCTAGAGCTAATGTTGTTAATTTTGAGTGGATGTACTATAAGCAGGCTAATTCATATAATTTCCATAACTTGTATCCAAAATATTTGATTTATTGAGACTATTGGAAAAATTCCAGCCTTAATTTTATTGCTAATTCATTTGATACTACTAATTTATGTTATTTGCAATAGGCAAATGAAATTGCTGATGTTGTTAACCAGATAGACCTTTATTGAAGCTTTGATTTTATTTCTATGTGGCTTAATTGCAGTTTTATTAGTTTATATTGTTATTCTATATTTGCTAAAACACAAGATGATTATTGTTGAAGCTGCTATTCTATTCTTAGCAATTAGTTCCGTTTTCTGGTATGCTATTTTTATGAGATGGTGGCATATTACCTACTTTTTTCTACTTTTAAGCTGCTAATAGTGCTACTGCAATCTAAAAATTATTTTTTTCTTCTCCTCTACTTCCTTATTAAGAATTAATCAAAGGTATTGCCTAATTTCCTGAAACTGAGGGAGTTGTAGATACCCTCTTTTGCTGTATTTTCATGCTGTTTTGATTAATATTTTATTTACTTTTAAGTATAGTTATTGACACAGCTTTCTTTTATTAATTTTTTGAACTTCCTTTAATATTTCTTGTCTTTTGATTGAAATACTAATTTGTATTTGATTTTTTTTTTTTAAAGTTTACTAACTACTTAATTAATTAAAGCATTTAATTATTCAAAATCCAAAATAACAGAGAATTTAATTTTTGCAAATTAACAATCTTTTTTAATAGTCATTAGTCATGCAACTATTTACATTAGATTGTATAATAAAATAAATACATTGATATTTTTAATAACACTTACTTTTATTTATTTGAAAGTATTAGAATAGCTGCTTTAATTAGCATTTTATACCAATAAATTAAAAAAAATTCAAAATTTTATGTCTTTAATCCATTCATTTATTCGTTTTGTATTATTAAGCTAGCCATTTATTAATCATCCATTTTTCATGGTCTTAATTACTAATTTCTGCAAGTATTTTAAAAATATGTGATCAATATTACATTAATCAAATTATTCATTGAAAAGAATCAAATTTATCTATTAAAACATTTAAACCTATTTACATTTTACAAAATATTTTACTAATGAAATATTAGCAATATTAATAATTTATGGAGCTTTTTAAAATCATTATTGTTAAAGGATTCATAAATTCGATCAAATTAGATTTCAAAATAATCATTATTAATAAATATTAAAAAAATTTTTTTGACTTTTTAGTTAAAGCCAATAATAATTTCCTTTTACATTAAATTTAATATTTATTTAAAAATAGATTAACTTTATTGTCATTTATTTTGTTTAAAAAAACTTAATTATTAACTCTTTAAAAACTAAAAGCTTCTAGATTACTGCTATTATCTAAAATTTTTAAATTCATATCAATTACTAATTTATAAATAACTTCTAAAGAGAACATCAAAGTTTAACAAGTTAATGTTTTACATAATTTTTGTTATTAAATCTATTTTATATTAACAAAGATTTTAAAAATGAATAACTTTTGATGTTTTTATTTGTAAAATATAAAATTTATAAATATATGCTAGACATATTATAGTATTAAGTAACTAATTTATTTAGAAAATCTTGAAAATATTATCTAATGGATAAATTGTATATAAATAAAGATTATAAATCTAAATATTGAATTGATTGAAAAAAATTTAATAAAATCTATTTTTAAAAAAATTAAAAATATCTAAAATATGTAATAGAGTGTTACTATTTGAGCATTTTAACTGTTTTTATTTTATATTTCTAGCTTATATAGTTTATGTCTTCATTCATTTTTTAGTACAAACCCTTAAAATTTCTTCCTTTTAATTTTCTATGTGAAATGATTTACAATTTTAATAATATTTTAATAACTCATGTAAAAACATTTAAATCATGAAGTTTGAAGGGAGATTTCAACATGTTATTTAAATGTTAGTTCATATGTTTATTTTCCTTGATATTTAATTTTGATAGAATGAAGAGCCTAAATTTATGATAACTAAGATAATATTTAATTGTGGAGGATTGATAATTGTTCAATTTTAAACAAAATCATTTTATTTGATATTATAATAAAAAAGTTAAAATTAAAATTACTTATTAATTATTTTATTTAAATGTAATAATAATGAAATGTTTATTTTATAGCTCACTTCGAATTTACACTATTTAAAGCGTGAAATCTAAATATATTTGCAATAAGGGACTTATATTACTTTACTCATCTTAAAAAACTTATTAAATTTACATTATATCTATTTTTTTGAGATTCTGATATAAGGAAATTAAAAAGAAATATTAAAATTTCTATAAGTTGAACAATAAAACTATTCATCATTTTTTAAAAACAAATGGGTAATTGCTTATTTTAAAAAAGTGGAGGATTTACTAATTGGCTAAAATTTAGGAGATTAAAGTTTATGAGATAGTACCTCATAGTTATGAAGTAAATTTAAATAAAAACTTTATAATCCTACAAAATTATTCTAGTAATTAAAAATTAGATTTTAAATCTGGTGAGAAAAACTTGGTGAGTGTAATGAAAAAATTTAGAAAAGTTAAAATATTTGACCTAGATCTTAAGTAAATAGCCATCCAATTTTGCATTTGTTAATCAGAAATTTTATAATAAATAATTAGGTATTACTGCTTAGAAGAAAACAGTGTTTCTTTCTTTTTTAAACAATTGGCACAATATAAATCATTAGAGCAAATCAAATTAATTTTAGCGTAAATTAATATATTTTTTACAAATAATAAGTCTTTGTAATTTATCATTGCTAAATATTAAGCATAAAAAATTATCTTAGATTTTAATCGTTTTATATTTAAGCAAAATGTTTTTACATAAAATACTAATAATAGGGTTAATTTGATAAGCTACTCAGGTGCAATGTGTATAGCTTAGAATGTATAGTAGTTATAAAATCTTATAATATTTGAAATAGATTTTGAGTACTTTGTTTTAAAAAATTAAGCTATTAATTAATATTAAATTTTCTTATTATTAGGGCAAATCACATAGGATTTAATGAAATAAAGACACTGGCTAGGAGTTTATCAAATAGTAAACATTTATAATATGTAAATTTAAATTATAGGTAATTATTTTTATAAAATAAATTATTATGAGTATTAAATTAATTAAAATTATGTAAAAGATATAATCGAATCAGCTATGATGATATTGAAAGAAAAATTACTTTAAAAAACGAATTCATGAAAAAAAACTTACGTCTTGTTGTGCTTAAAATTATATTTTGAATCTTTACACAAAATCTTTACTGAGCCAAAAAATTTTTAATTAAATTGGGTTTTTTTTTTTTGAAAGATTTTTTCTATCATTAAACTGAAAATACTTAAAAATAAAATTTATCAATAGCTATGATTAAATTTCTTAAAATAATTAATCGAATTTTCAAACACAAAATATTTAGAAAACTCTAAATAATTCTATTAAATCCTTACTTCTCGCAAAAGAAATACTTATAACAAATCTACATATAAATAAACCTAGTTTAAAAATTCATTATTTTGTATATTTGATTTTCTCATACAATTGCTTATTTTCAAATCAGCATAATAAAATTTAAAAATATGTTTATATTTAAACTACAAGGAAGTGACTTTATGTTTAAAAATGAAAAAAAATAATATCTAAAATGCTCGGATACGAAAAAAAAAAAAAATTCGTTAAATCGTTAAGTATCTAATGTGTATGTATTAATATATATCAATTGATAAGTTGCGCGAAACAAAAATTAATATTAAATTCCATTTTATTCAAATTGTAAAAAATCTAATTATCAAGTTATTAATTTAATCTAATAAGAAACAAAGAAAGAAACAAAAGAATTCATTTCACTGAAAAAATAAATATAAAAAAAAAAACAAATATTAATTAATACTAAAAAGATAACCCAACAATTCTTAAAAAGCATTCATAAGTAGGAGAACTTGCTAATTACTATTAAGTATTCTATATAATATTTCTGTTTCGATACCTATCTTTCTAAAGCCAAGCAAGTAACTCTCAACATATTTTATGTCTAATCTTTTCCAAAGATAGCTTTCTTAAGGTAACATTTATAATTTTTTAGATTTTCATTCATTAATTAAAAAAAAAAATCTTATTAGGAGATCAAGTCAATTTGTAGTCTCCCTTGGCTCTAGCTTCCCTGAATATTCAACAAATCTAATAAAAACCTCATATTTCTGGATTTAGTCCCAGTCACAGAATGTTAAATCAAAATCAATACAACTAAGCTCAAATAAACTAGCTAACTTCTCTAACTAATGCATCTTCTGAATCTTCACTTGCTGATTCTACTTCTGCTCAACAACCAAATGGAATTCAAGGGTTATCACCCTATATTAATAATTAGTATGGTGCCTTCTAAAATTTTGGGTACTAGGCAAATAAAGAAAATAGTAGTCCTATCTTTTTGAGAGAGCAGCCATTCTCAGTAAACTCATCAAAAAATGAAAATAAGTTTAATAATAATGATTTTATAAATCCTACTAAGCTTTTCACTTAAGAATTTATCAACCAAAATAAGCTAAACTAATAACCTACCACTAAAATGCCTCTTTAAGTACAATAGTTTAGTCCAAACTTGTAGATTCCAGTATAGATTTAATAAAATTATAAAAATGATGCCTAATCTGCTAGAAATGACTATTTTAATAGCTTGAAAGCTCCACCTATTTTACAATAGCAACAACAGTAATAATATAATCCAAATTCTTTTTACACAAAAGAATAAAGTAAGCAAAATATGCATGATTCTTCATTCAACTAATCATAGATAGATTAGACTAACCTTAATTATGATAGCTATCATAATTACAGTGGTATACCATCAAGTTCTTCTATACCCTACTCATAACCAACTTTAAGCAACAATAATAGTAACGTATACTAGAATTAGGCAGAAAAGTAAACTTCACTTTCTAATATTAACTTTAAAATTGAATAAAATGAAAGACCTCTTTCTCTTCTTTTAGAAAATGCGATATAAAAAGCAATAAATCAATCAGAAAGAGTTATATCAAATCCTGTTGAGCCAGTAGACTAGTAAATAAATTACTATTCTTAAAGAAATATCTACTAGCAGTAGTAAGTTTCCAATCCAAATATTCTTGTTGAAGATTTTTCTAATCAGACTCTTCCTTTTGTATAGACATAGTAGAATTATTTTTCTGTAAATGACAACTTGACTCCAAGAAATACTTCAAACTAAGATTATAATTATTAGTCAACTAAGCATTCTAACAACTCCAACTCTATAAATAATAGAAATAACAATCAAAATAATTCTTAATTTATAGAAATTTAAGAAAATAAACCTAATCTTTCTCCAATATCACCTATGAATAAAAGATAATAATAAAATTTAAACAACTCTACACTTTCATCTAGTAATTTAACAAACAGACCTAGTTAAAAAGATTAGCAATAACGCCTCACCTTAGTAGAAAGATAAACTTTGAACACATCTCACAGTCCTTCTAAATCTCATATTAACTGCAAATATCCCCATAATACTGAAGAATCAAATAGATAATAAAGCAGTAGTAAAAAGAAAATTTAGAACTATTCTTAAGTTCCTAAAAATTAAACTATGTAGTAACCATCATTATTACGCTCTAAGTCAAATAATAGTTTAGTCACTTAACATCCTTACTTAAAAAAATAGACTAGAAATCATGGTTCTCCCTCTGAAAAATCATATCAAGCTAATTAGAGCTATTAAGCTACTACTGCTTAGGCTAAGAAATTAGATAAAAATGAGCCGTAAAAATTTTCATACAAAAAAGAAGCTCAAAATCGTTCTCAACATCAAGCGAAATTAAATAACTCCTAAATTTAAAATAGAAGGGATGCCTCACCTAATAATACAAAACAATAAACTCCCAACAAATAAATGTAACCAAAATAAATCTTGAAGCAAAAAACTTAAAACGAAAGTTAATTAAATCATAACTAAAGCAATTAGTTCATTTTCCATTAGTAAAATATATCTCAGCTTAATCCAAGTCCAGATATGTTGGAATACTAATACAGTTACCAAAATAATAGCAATCTTCATGCCACTCCTCGTTCATAATCTCAGACAAGTCTATTATAAAGTTAGAACAACAATAGTACTTATAATAATTTAACTCCATAAATGATTTTGAATTAAAATCCCTATCTTGCATTATCACCAATCAATAACTTAAAATAAGCAGCAACTCCTAAAACACCTTTGAGCACTAACTTCTGTTAAGCTCTACAATAAATAAAGAACTCTACCATACCTTCAGATTTCTTCCAAATGGAATAAATCATCACAAACTATGATGTTTAACGCTTTTTGTAAAGACACTTTTTAGTTGGAGATAAGCTTATTTGTGAAAATTGGAATTCCATTCCTATTATTTATTTTATTAAGCTTTTGATCACAGAGTTTCCTGAAGTACTTGAAGATCATTAAATTGGAGAAAATTTATTGACAGAATTAAAAGAAAAAATCGCTTTTCTTGTATAAGATGAATAGAATAACGAATTTGTGAATCTTTTTAAGCTCTAAACATATACTAAGACAACTGGTTTACTTGGCTTGATTCTCAAAGCGCTTAAAGATTTAAGCTCAGAAGAAAATTCCAGGCTCTACACTGGAAATTTTTAGTCGCTTATGAGAACAAACAGTGATATTCAATTAGTTTAGCTCTAAAACTAGTAAGAAAATGCAAGCATTTACAGCCATTAAGCACATAATTCTGTTTGCTCACAAAATCAAAATCTTTTAGAAAATTTTTAGACAGTTTTCTAAAAATAATTGTAAAACAATGGTATCCAACATTATATTCAGTCAAAGGATGTTCAAAATATAATGAATTTAATTTAGGTAATTAATTAATTAATTTATTTTTTATAAAAAATAATATTTAAATTTTTACAAATTTTAAACTAAAGGAATTCGTTGAAGGACTCTACAGAGATATGGAAAATGAGATATATTCTAAATTTAATGTAGAAATGAGAAGAATGATGGTTAAATTTAAAGAGACAGAGCAAATGCTTAGAGTAGTTTCTGATAAAGTTACTGATAATTATGGTCTATTTTCTCAAGAAGCATCTCAAGTCAAAAAAATAAAGTAACTTCAAGGTGAAAAAGCTGAATTAAACGAAGAAATTAATTCAAAAGACTTAGAAATCAAGTAATTATAATTATTGGTAGATTCTTTGAAGTCTGAGAATTCTAAGTTGCTTTCTGAAAACGATAAATTACACGAAAAATGTGAAAAGTATTTAGATTTTGGAATGAAGAATATGCAAACTCTTTATGAGAATAATCTTTAAGATCAGTATCAACAGTTAGTACAACAATAAAAAGTTTTCTTTGAACAACAAATAAAGCAGTTAGAAGAATATAAAATTAGATAATCCATATCAAAAAATGCTAAAAATGCTGACCAACCTAAAGACCAATAAAGTAACATCAAGCAAACTCCTCGTATACATACTGATACTTCAGATAATGAGAGCTGTAATCTTAGTTATGCATTAATGACATTAGAGGATCAAGCTGTGCCTTAAGGTGGATTTTAATCTTCATCAAAAGTACCTCAATCAGCAATCAAAGCACTTAGCGAATTTTAAGTTCATCAAAATTAAAACGCTTTCAAAAAAAATAAAACAGAAGGTCAGGTTCTAGAGCCTATAATGATGGACAACACTTAGTTCTTAGATACTAGCGATAAAATTAGCTTGCTTAAAGTATTGGATGTTTTCATTTCTTAAAGCTAAATTAAAGACTTTTCTGAGAAAGTTAGAAGATAGAATCTCTCTTATGGGTAGGGAATATCAGGATTTGGTGGAAATAGCAATTTTGGAAGCTTTGTAATAAATGCAGCATCAATTACCGGAAAATACGGAATAGGAAGAGAAAATTAATAAATATCATCATTAAGTTTAGACCAAGCTGTTGAAAAGTTATAAAGCATGATAGATATTCTCCCATTAATCCGTGAAGTGCGTCTATTTAATTATGACTAAATATACAATTTCCTCAAATATTTTTATAGTCTATAAATGTACATCTACTAGCTCTCTGACTACTCAGATCAACAAAGTACTCCCGATGAAACTACTTCTAAGAATGTTCACATTACATCAATTCCTATGAACAAATGTTGGAAAAAGATTTTGTCAGAAAACAATAATAAAGAATTTTTCTGCAGCTTTGTAGATACAAATAATAACGTTTAGTAAGCATCTCTAAATTCTAACAATAATTTAAGTACACCAATTCGCTCTCAAAGACAAAACCTTTAAAAAACTGCTTCATCATCTAATTTAACTCCTACAAGCAAACCTGATATATTCGAATTGTAAAAAATATGCCATGATTCAAAGTAAAGCTAAATTTAGTAGCTAAGCAGATTGAGAAATGATTTGTAAACATCATTTGCAAACAATACTTAGAATAATAACGAAAGTAGATTCCATCCTAAAAATTTAATTATAAATAATCAAGGTATTATTGACATTTTAACACATGTGCTCACTTAGCATCTTCATAAATTAGCTTCTTATGAACGTTAATACCAAAGTGCAGATTCTAAATCAAAATATTTCATTTTGAAAATGCTAATCTACTTAAATATTTTGATAATATCCAATAACAAAAATGATATTATGACTATTTTAAATAAGTTCTTCTCAGAGATTTAATCTCAGATTCAAGTTTAGTCAGTCTCTGATTTTATCAGAGAAAATAATGTTTTAAGTGTTATTTTTGTATCACTCCGCAATATAAACTTTGCAAACACTTAAATAGTTTGTTAAGCTCTTGAATTCTTAATAAGCTTCAAGTAAGCTTCATCTAATTACATGTCTTTTATCCGCTAGTTATCATAAGACTCAAATATGATTATATTGCTGCAACTATTAGAATGCCAATTTGATAGCAGAAACATTCTCATGTCTCTTAACATAATAAAAAATGTTTCTTACTCAATAAATTTCAAAGGTACAAATTATTTGCATTTTTTTATTTTTAAAATTAAATTTATTTTTTTAAAAAGATAACATCCAATCAAGAATCAAGCAAGTTTTAGATTTGATTTAACTAAGATAAAATGAGACAAAAGATAAAGAAATTGAGGACCTAACCAAAATTATAAGAAGCAACATCAATTGTGGAGCAAACATAAGGACAATATCCCTAAGTCCTTAATAGATAAATTGCAACCAAGGAATAAATACTAAGCAGAATTGAAAAAAAAAATAAATAAATATTACATTACTCTAACTATATTAAATAATTAATTTAGATTTGAATATAATTATAATAAAACTTATTAGAAATTAATTTATGTTTTATATATGTAAATATATTGCTCAGATATTTTACTTTTTTCTTTTATTTAGTCTTTTGTTTGTTTATAATAAAGATTATAAAATATAAAATAAAATACTTTTTATTTACTTAAAAAATTGTTTAAAACACAATAGTGTCAAAAATTTTTTTTATGATACCAAATTTTTAAAAATAAGAATTAAATATGATGTGAAAATAAATAAACAACAATATTAAAATTTTTTTTTTTTAATTTAAATTCTTAAATTATTTATTTAATACTATAAACATGATTGAAAAATTTTAATTTATATTTTTAACAGCTTATTTCCTTTTTTTCTTACTCAAGAAATTGAATAGCCTTGATTAAAATATCAAGTATTTTTAACAGTTTTAATGATTGAGAATCTTATTTTAATATTTACCAGAGTAAACAAAGAATTTTTTTATAGTTTAATCTATATTGCCAATTATAATTTGTAAAGAAAAAATATTAAGATATTATTGAATCGAAAAAAATTTATTATATATATTAAAAAATATTTCTCAGCTAATTTTATGAATAAGACATGTAATGTAAATAAACAAAAATTGAGAAAATATATAAATTGATTTTCAATAATTTGGTTACTACCTTTAAAAGGAAACAATATGAGATGGTTATATTTTCTTGATTTTAGTTTTTGTCTTTCTTTGACTCTAAGATGTTTAGCTTCTATCTAGGTAAAAGTTCTGCTGGGTATTTGCATTTTGAATGTTCAACTACGATTCTCTAACTTTAGTTTTTTATTCCTGCAATTTTTAAAATTCTTATAACAAGCTTGTATTTTGATTTAGGATAGACTTTCCTTAGCTCATATTTAACTCTTCTTTAAGAGTTTGGGGTTTTTGTATTTTATTGTCTAATCTTTTGTGGTTATTTATTTATGAGTTTTTGATTGAAGATTCCTTTGCAATTTGAGAGAGTTTTAACTGAATGTTTTAGTTGTCACTCTTTTACAAATTTTATGGCATATTGAAATCTTCTTCATGCTCGTAATTTTAATTGTCCAAATTTATGACTTACCCATTCTACTCATTTATTTAGTTTTATTATTTAATGAAAACAGAATTTTTATGTGATTAATAATTAGTCATGCCAAAGTCTTAACCTATAGTGTTTTCACCTTAGTTAGTATTAAAATTATACTATTATATAGATAAGTTATCTCTTATATCTTCGAAATTATCTTTAGTAGTAAAGTTTTAATTGCTATTCTTCCTAATATTATCCTAATTTATTAATTAAATAATTTTTATTGATTGATCCTTTATTAATACAAAAAATAACAATAATTTTATAAATTTAAAATGATACTTGGTTAAAGTTCTTTAAATTGTTTGCATTCAAATCTTTATTTTTATCACTTATTTAAAGCTTATTTTTTACTTTCTTTTGTAACAAGTTTTATAAGAAGCTTTGACCATTATTATGTTGTTATTCCGAGAACTACTACTCAGTTTAAATTTACTATCCTTTTTATTCTTACAACTAATTCATATATGTTTATCCTTAGTATTAATCTATATAATTTTAATTATCATTCTCATCTTTCTATCCAAATTGAGGTACTATATATGAGTTTGTTGTAGGCAACTACTGTGCTATGTTATTGTTTAAAATGATTGGTGTTTCTTAAGAATTAATGAATTCATTTTTAACAATTCCAGGTAAAGCTTTCAACTTTTTTATGTTAAAATTATTTTAGCTCTATCCTTATCCTTATACATTTTACTCTGGCTAATTATATCTATTACTGTAAGGATTTTTCATTTATGGTTTTTAGTTTATTCCTTGGGCATAGCTTTATGGGAAATCATAATATCCTAATCCATCTCTATAATTTTATAACATTTAATTATCTTGATAATCCATTTATAATTTTAGTTATTCTTCCCTATAATCCCTCATTTCGTGAATAGGAGTTTAGAATTATTTATTTTGATGTTATTCATTTTCATCTATAAATTTTCTAACTCTTGATTGAATTTGTAAATCATCGACTAATTAGTTTCTGTCAGACATTATTCCACTTTAGTTGTTATCTCTCCATTTGACTAAAGAAGAATTAGCACTATTTCTCAAATCGTTTTAATCAAGGTTAATTTATTGGTAGTCAATTTATTCACTTTACTTTTTATTTAAACTCTATTCTATTTCTGATTCGTCATATACCTGCAACTTATCTATTTTTATAACTCTATCTAGCTAGTTTTATATCATTGCTATATTATGTACTAAAGGTTTTTATATTTACTAGCTTCTTCTTATTTCTTTTTATTCTGTATTTTCTTAGTCCTGTATATTATTTTACTATATTTTTGGTGAATCATTTTCGATATTAATATTTCTTGCTCTTGGCTTCTTAAATAGCTCATCTTACTCTGTAAAGTTTACTGTAGTTTAAACATTTTATCTTTAAATGATACTCTAATTATTTATAATATTGGAATTATTTATTCTTGTAACTATTTAATCTAAACCAGAATTGTTAAAATTAAAAATATAGTCTTTCTGAATCTAGTCCTAATACTAACTCGAAATGTCGACTTGAATTTATTTTTTTGATTTTTATTTATTGCTATTTTCAGTGATATATTAAACATCTGATGAGAGTTCTTCTTCTTCTCTCTCTACACCTAGTTCATCTACAACTCTTCTTTTTTTAATGGCAGACACACAAAACTTTCTTAAAACAAAAACCAAAAATTGAAGAATTGATGCAACAAGATTCAAAAGCACTGCTAAAAGAATAAGCACTAGTAAAGCCCAGCCAAAATTTTGAGAGTTACTGCTGTTGGAATATTTGATCAGCATGAAAACTGAAAATGCAACACCAAGCATGAATAATTCAGTAAGAAGAAAGACAATATTATCAAGCATTTATTTATAAGGTCTTACTAATAAATAAAATCCAAAGAAAACAAACTTTGCTACAATTATTCCCAAAGCCTAATACAATATTTTGAACAATTAAAATATTGATTTTTTTAAAAATACTTACCTAAATTTCAGGATTTCCTAAGATAAAAACAATTATGGCTGTGAAGATAACTTTAAAAATTAATTGTGACAATACAAAATTTTTGGAAAAAATATCTTCTTTCTTATCCTCAAATAAGCATCTGACCTTTTAGTTAATTCATTCATTTTTTAGTTTTAAGAAAAATATTTAAAATAAATTACAGGATAAGATTAAATGCTCTTTTAAACATTTACATCAACAGCTTTTTCATCGAATACCTACTAAGTTTTTGAATCTTTAAAAGATTGCTTTGCTATAAATCCTATTAGAACCAACACATAGGAAGCAACAACAATTATAGTAAATATATCCATGGAGTCCCAAATATTCATTTTAGCTTATAAAAATAAAAACAGCATCAATTCCATAAATGTCCTAATAAAGATCTGTAAGCCTAAAGAATAATTAGTATAGCTTTTAATCTTTTCTATCAAAAATCTCTTGTTATTATTTGTTTTAAGATACTATCCAAGGAAAGATATAAAACCCATAAATATCCAAACACAAAAATTTAAAAGTATTAATGGAAGAAAAACGATTCTCAAAGGATAAATTCTATTGTTAATGCTAAATTTCAATTGAGGATTATCATATTCTATAATTCCTGAGCTAAGCAATCTCTTATTTGCGGTAACCTTTAGATTTTTAATTTATTTTAAATAAAATAGCAGAAACAAACAAAGTTATTTAGTATTACTTATTAATTAGATTCTAAAATTGATGTAAAGTGAGACAGATATAGCTTTTCTAGTAAATCTTTCACATTAAGTGGATATTTTATATTAATATACTAGAAATAACTTATAAATTAGCAAAAATCCATTAAATTGAAAAAATAAAATGGCCCTAACCCAACTATATAATCTATCATGCCTACACTTTCACCAATATAAAATCCAACTTATGAAGTCATAGCAGTTGTCTATGCAGAAGTACCACTACTATTTTAGCAATTTACTTAATTTACTTCTAAATATCCTGGAGCACACTCACAAATTCCATGAATTGGATTTTAAGAGTTGTCAACTCCTCTTTTATTATTGTTATGTGATTTAATAAATAAGTATAATAATTTTTAAAATGTTTGCTTTACCTAGATTCTATGCATTTAATGCACTAATTTTCGGCAGGTCCTAAACAGCTTAAACAAGTTGGATGGCATTCTATTATTTGAAAAAAAGTTTATCATATAATTAAAATATGTTAAAGATAATACATTTGCACTCTTTGTTTTCATAATACGTAGAGCTTGGACATGTTACACATTTTTAAAGACTTTAATCTATCACATACCCATCTTAGCAGTCTGAGACACATTAGGTGTCTCCAGATTTAAAATAGCCGCTTCTACATGTGATACAACTCTAACTTGTAGATCCAAAGCAAGTTTAGCATGATTTATCACAATCGCTGCAGCTACCCTAACCATTTGGATAAGAGCCTAAAAAATGTTGATATAAATTATAAATATATTATAATTTGTGACTAATTAATTAATTATTGATTATGCTTTCAATTAAAAAAATTTTTAAATAAAAAATATCCTGAAAGTTTTAATGAAAAATTTTTTTAGCATTGATTAATGTTAAATTACATTATTTTATGTTTATTTATAAAATATTTATTAATACCTGGTAGGCATGATTCTGAGCAAATATTGTTGTTATAAAGATAAGGTGTTTTACAGGTATTACATTTAGTATTTCCACTTCCAAAGCAAGTACTGCAAAACTTTTTATTTATATAAATGATTAAATAAATAATTTATTATGTTTCTTACATTATGGCAAGGAAGGCACTGAGCGGAATTTGTATCTGGGTAGTACGATTTAGGGCAAACAGTAACACAACTATTTGACGTTGGGTGCATAAAAAACCCAGTTGGACATTATGTGATACATTAGTTAAGATAGAATATTCTTGGAAGTTTGCAAGATTAACACTAATTTTTATCTGGACCATAGCATGTATCACACTCTCCATTGCATTTTAGGCAAACAAAATTAACTGAATCTTAATAATAACCAGGAGGACAAATACTTAGACAGGAAGTTCCGTTTTTATAGAAGCCCGTTTCGCATGTTTAACATTAGTTTTATGCTTGTTTGATGTTCATTTAATATTCATTAAAGTTAAAAAAATATTACTTGGGCCAGTGCATGTTTTACAATTTGGGTGGCAATAACTACAAGTATTATCAATATCATCTTGATATTAATTTATCTTAGGACATTATTTTACACATGTTTATGAAATCGAATCAGAGTATGTACCGCTAGGACATTAAGCATAACAAATATGATTTAAAAGGAATCTTCCAATTTAACACGAAATACAATCTTTATCTGATTATCCTTAGCAACTTTAACAACTAGTTAAAAATAATTACTATTTTAAATATTTTTAAAAAGAAATAAATTTACGTCTGGTGACATTAAACACACTATCTACTATTAGTATCTCCATAATAGCTAATAGGACATTTATCACAAGTAGTAAATAACAAAAAGTAAGAGCTACTGCAGGTATAACATTGACTATTTTAACCTCCATAACACGATTAACATTAACTATTACATTACTTGCAACTCCTATTCAAATTTAATATTAAAAAATGAGATCTTTTAAAAAAAGTAATTAATTTCTTTTAACCTGAATGGATCATAATAATCCCCATATTCTCCTGGGTAGCAATTACTTAAACAAGTTAATACTCCTTCCACTGATCGCCCCCAATATGGTTTAGGACATTAATGATAGCAAATTGTATTTAATTAATAATCTGTCGGTTTACAAGTAAGGCATTAGTTTGGATTAGGGCCAGTGCATTCTTAGCAAGCTTTTAAATTAGCAATTTTATTTTAAGTAAAAATTCTAAAAACCAAAAAAGAGTAATTATTTTTACCTGGATTACAAGGAATACAAGAATTAGTTGGACTATCTTTATACTCTGTAGAGGAACAGTAAGTAAAACATCCATTTACTGTGGTACTTTTGAAAAAGCCAGATGCACAGGCTTAGCAATCTGTTGATGGATTTGGTCCTGTACAAAGAGTGCAGCTAGGATCGCATTTTGTGCATTCAAAAGTTGAACTACTTGGATAATATCCAGGTTCGCATGATGGATTACAAGTCATCGTTTTCCTGTTTCCATAAAGTTATACTCCACCTTCTATTGGACATACTGCCAAGCATTTATTATTGTGAAAAAACCTCATTGCTTAATTTTAATTTTGCTCACACCATTAATTAGTCATATTTAAAGCAGGGCTACAAAAACAAGCAGTACAAAATGTAGAATCATATTTACCACAAGCGAGACAAGTACTATCGCAATTTTTACACTGAAAATTATTTCTAAATATATGAAATAATTAAATAAAAATTAAAATAAATTGATATTAAAAAATTAATTTTTTTTACGGATCTGTTTTATCCATATACATAGAAAAATGTGGGCATGATAAAACGCACTCAGAAGCTCCTCCAACGATAAGTAAGTATCTATCATTTCCTGAAGAACCATCACAAGTTAAACATTTATCACTGGTTCCTCCGCTGCAACTTCTGCAAGTTGTATCGCAAGGATCACAATTATTATTATTAGGATTTGGCCAATGGTTTATATGATCACAAGAATGTTTACATTAGTTGTCTTCAAGAAAAGTTGAGGGGTTGCATTGAGTACATTCTATATTAGATGGCCCTGTACATCTAGCACATGAGCTATCACAATCTTTACAAATTCCAAGATTATCTGAATATTGATTAGATTTTGCACATAAATTTTAGCACTATTTAGAAAAATAAATCATTATATTAGAAAAATCAATTTTTTAATTCTAGTTACAGTTCCATCATCGTTTCTTTTATATCCATTTTAGCATAGGTCACAAAACTCTGAAATACCTACAAGAGAGCATTTTTAGCATTTTATATCACACTTAATACACTTTCCATCTTTTTAATAATATGGATCACCACAAGTTCGAACACAAGTATTTCCCTTTAAAAACCATCCTAGAGCACAGCTTTAGCAATTTAATGAATTCTTTTGTTTATTTTATATGTTTATTAATATGAAAATTAAAAAATTCATAATTTAAAAATTTACATCTTAGCATGCAGTACAAGAAACATCACAAGGTTAACAAGTATTATCAGATTATCTTTGATAATAAGAAGTATTACATTAGTTTTAGCAAGTACCTGTAGGGTCAGATTAATTAACTAATTATAAAAACGTCTAATTTGCACACTTAGTACAATCAGTGGAAGAACCTCCTAAGCATCTAAAGCATCTCTATAAAATATTAAACTTAATGAATTTATAAAAATAAAAAGAATTTTACTTAGGGGTTGTTATCATTTGAAAGATTACTAAAGCATGGTAAGCATTTGTTGCCAGTTGCAGTTTGGTAAAAATATGAACTGCACGAGGGTACACAACTCCCACTTTCTAGATATAAAGCACCAGAACACGTTTTACATTATGAAGGCGATGGGCCTACACAAGTATCACAAGTAGCATCACAAGGATAGCATATATTCCCTGTAGAATATTAATTGTTAGCACAGTTACTTAGGCATTAATTTTACCAAAAATAACTAGTTATAGGGCAAGTTAGGCATTTATCATGTTTTTCAACACATGTTGCACAAGAAGCATCACATGGTTAACACATATTTGTTGCATTATCAAAATAATAATTAGAATTACAAATGCATAATCCTGTAGATGTCAATTACATATTAGGCTGACATGATTAGCAGGCTATTTTTAATTTGAATTTAAAAGATAATTTATTTGTATTAGTTACATAAGAGAAAAAAAGTTAAGTAAGTTAAGTGTATCAAAAATATAAAGTAATCCAAATTAATTTATTATATTTTAATTAATATCTTAGATAGATTATCTATAGGTTGGTTATTCATAAAATAAGTCTTACTTGTAGCAGTTTGGCATTAAAGGCAAAATGGACTGCAGGTAAAAGCATAAATTTCCAAACTGTTAATTATTAAAATTTTAGTTAATAGATCAGCATTTTCAATATTTCAAAATACTTTTAAATGGCCCAAATTCCAGTAAATCCAGAATTTGGGATATCAATTAGATCCATAATTTATAAATCTAAAGTATCATCACTGTGAGTGATATCTTGAGTAAAAAATCCTTAATTATCTCTTTAATCGGGGTTTCCACAAATTAGACTACCACCTAAAGATGAATTAAAAGGTGGTGTTTTATATATATTGCCTCCTAAAACAATTTGTATAAATCCTCCTTGCCAATGACTAATTTTTAAAAAAGAATGTAGAACATACTTTAATTAAATTTCAAAAAATTATGAAAATTTATTTAAAAAATATCTATAATGAATTTACGCATCTATTTAAAAATAATTAAAGCTTATTCTAATTTAAAAATGTGTCAATTTATTGCCACCAGCATCCTTAATATCGATATTAGCATTTAAAGTTGTGCTAGAGCTAATACTTTCAAGCACATAATGAGCCCCACACTATTATGATGTAAAATCTGTATTTGCTTGAAAAGGTGAAGCAGATATTTGACAATCAGTATCTGTATTAGTATTCATGCAAAACTATTTAACTAATTGCCATTGCTAACTATTACCTAATCATTAAACAATAAAATAAGTAGCTTAATATAATAGTAAACGGTATTTCTATAAATTATTTAATTATTATTAGATAAAAAATATTTTAACATCCTGATGTAAATTTTAGAAAAGTGAAGCAAAATATTTAAAGTAAAAAATAATAAATGAATACCAATCTTTATAAGCTATATGAGAAATATTATTCTCATAAAAATAAGAGTAAATATCATTTTGCGTTTGTAAACTTATTTGCTATTTATCTCGAATAACTAACTAACTAACTAACTAACTCACTAACTAAATAACTAGCTTTGAACTTTAATAATATATTGACTGATTAACCTATTAATTACTATATTTAAATTTTGAGTTTATTTTCTAATTTTTATTTGATAACAAATATTTCAATATTACATTAACCAAAACCAAACTTTTTAATAGTTTAAGATTGATATAATAAATTATTCGAAAATCAATCTCGTTGATATATTAGGAATGTATCCTAATATAAATCTATGGTAATAAAAGCATCAATTCACCAACTATAACATCAAGCTAAAATCCATGAAATATCAATCAATTCGAATATTATTTATAAATAATGTATTTTAGTATTTTATTATCAACATTAATTCATTTAGTGTAACAAACTATTACATATAAATTCTTTTATTTTAACACTATTCTTAACTCATAAAAAATAACAAAGAGGTAATTCAATTTTGTAAAATTTTATTTTTTCAAACATATTTAATATTTAAAATAAGAATTTTATTATAAAAATATATTTTTAATATTCATTTATCATAATGAATAAATTTTACAATACAAATAAGTATTACATATAATTTTTTTAATTGTTTTCTCCTTTTAACTTTAAAAAAAAAACAATTAATATTAATTTTATAATTTTATTTTATCTTATCTTAAACTCTTAAAATTTAATTTTTAAAGACTCGCACTCAAAAAAAAATTCTTTAATTTACATAAAATAAAGTCTATATTATGCTTTTATTAACAATTTAGACAGTATACTTTGAAATTTTTGAGAGATTGTAAGATATATTTATTCCATCAATTTTAAGTTTTTTAATTTTTAAAATGAATTTCATTTAATAATTTTATATGATTTTTAAAGCTTATTACAACAAAATTTTTTTACAAAAATCATTAATTATTCCTTTTATTTTATAAATTAAGAGCTTAGAAAATTATTTTAGATTTAGGGATTTAGTTGAAAGTAAGTATTATCCTGTTTAATATTATCATGAAGATTATATTTTACTATTTTCCATTCTATCTTGATTTGTTTTTTACCAATTTTTAACTCTTGCAACAGAGTGGTGATTCTCATCGTATAGTATCAAAAATTTATTTTCAGAATCTTAAAAGTACTATTGAGCTTTTTTAAATTACCCTAGCTAGTAATAAGCAATTCCTAGATTCTCATATATCTATGCAAAGTGCAAAGTTGGTATTTCATTCTAGAGCTAGTTAAAGAGTTCTAGTGCTTTTTCATATGATTATACAGCTAATTCAATTTCTGCCTCATTGAGATGTATATTGGCTATATTATTATATGTTTCAGATAATTCTTTTTTGAATTTTTTGAATTTATGTTGATAAATACTTAGAGACTTTTAATACTCTTCTTTAGCTTATTTATACATATGAAATTTTGCATAAAGACATCCCAAATATGAATATGAAAAAGCAAGTTAAGGATGATTTTAGCAACAAATCTTTTATTTGATAGCTAACGATTTCTAAAATGCATCTAGACTCTCATCGAAATCCATATTTTCTAAACAAACTAGCCCTATGCTTTCGTATAATTAAGCAACCTAAAGTGAATCTTTGCCAAAAAGCTTTTCTGCAAATTCCAAACTTTTGCTATAATAATTTATGCTGAATTGAATATCTTCTTGCTAAAAGTACACATCAGCAATTTGCATAGAACAATCCCATAATTCTTTAAGAATTTTTTAGTGAAAGGAGAGGATTTCAGTATTCATCATCGATTACTAACATGAATGATAGAATAAAGTTTATGTATTTTATTAATTCTATTGCAATTTCTAGGAATTTTTGAGCATTGGAGATTACTCCATTTCACTTTGCTATTACATTTTTTATTCTACAATATTCTTAATATCTGTATATTTAAGATCTGATTCTTCACTCTACTATATAGAAAATTATTCTTATTCCTCTTCTTCGAATTCTTCAAATTGTCTCATGTACCTATTTTAAGTATTTTGGTTATCCTAGTTTTTTGATTACGATTTGCCATCACCTTCAAGATATTCAATTTCATAATCGTCTTCCAGTTGGTTATTTTGCTCTTATTCTTTAATTTAAAGAAATTTTTTTTCTATTACTTAAAAGCGCTTATACTCTGAATCATTATAATCTTAATAATCCTCCCTAACCTCAGATTATTAATTTGTATAATTATTCGTGGAATCATTGAGTTGTTAATTACATTTCTATGACTCATAGCTATTCCTTTCAAATTGCTAATATTCATCTTCATCATCATTAATTTCTTAAATCTAAGGTAAATCTTATTACCTATAAATATCCTTCAAAGTATTATATTTATCATTTAGCAGCTCCAGGCATTTTTCATAATTGGCTATTATAAATTAAATATCTGCTAATTTCCCATAAGCAATAGCAGTAAAGTAAGAAATTTCATCTCCGTCTTCTAAATTTAAGTATTCGAGCAATTTACAATATTCCTTCTCTGCAGTTTTGAAATCTCCCAGCTTTATTGACAAATTGCCTTTAAAGAATATAATTTATTTGAGCTTTTCTATATTTCCAAGTTTTGCATATATTTCCAACAGCCTGTCAGCCTTTTTGATAGCTTCAGCTTCTTTCTCCATATCTTCTAGGAAAAACATGAGTTCTTCTAAAGCATCAACTTCACTCACATTAAATTTGTTAATATTTTTATTATTAAAAATTCTATTGTAATAATTTATTGCCATTTCTGGTTATCCCAAAAATGAATATGCCCTTGCAATTTTTATATATTTTTTCACTGTCTTTTGTATCTTTTCTTCCTAAATGCGAGTATAGCTCATATTAAGCCTTTATTTCTTTCCATGTTAATTCTTGTTTTTACTTTGCTCAGTTTAATTTTCATTTTAATTTAAATTACTTTTGTTTTATTATTATTTTTAAATAGAATTATTTTCATTTTAAAGTTCATCCTCACTGCTATCAGAATTTTCATCGCTATCATTATTCAATATTGGGCTAGTTTTTTGCAATACGAAAATGTTTAATTGATTTCTATCAACATTTTCTAAACAAAATACTTTAATTTTATTTTCTTTTGCTTGTTCATAATTTGTTTCAAACAAAAAGAAGGAATTATCTATTGCAAACAAAATAGCATCATCAGAACCTTTCTCCACAATATATATTTTCATATTATAATAATAGTTGCTAATATGATCATAGGTTAAAAAAACTTCTTAATCTTCTTAAAATCTCTTGTTGTCGTGTATCTATCATATTTAAAAAATAATAAAAAACCATCATTAAAATTTAAATATACAACTAAATAAAACTATATTTTAATTTTTGTTGTTCTTTAAAATAGTATCTAACAGCTTAACACTTTTTATGATTGCTAAATATCTTTCAAATAAGTTGCTCAAGATATTTTGCTATTAATAGATTTTTTAAACAAATTCAAAAAGTTTGATAATTACTTCCTTTATCTCAAGCAAATATGGAAGCTATTTGGATTTAATTGAATAAATTTTAATTGTTAACGGATCTGTCCTCGAATATTGCTATATTAGCAGCCCATTTATCTGGTGTTAAATTCTGTTTTTTCGTAGCTAAATTTTATCCTATTCGCTCATAGAAATAAAACTAGTGCTATGATTAACAAGTGATTGCTGTCTAACTAAACTTTGATTCAAGCGTATTGCATCACTTAAATCCTATAGAGCCTCTTCTACTACCTTTTCTGTCATAGATTTTTTAAAATTAAAGTTTCTTTGCTGGCCTATCTCATTCTGCTAAATATCTTTAGTAGCATTAGTAGGGTTAGTAGTCGTAAATTAAATAGCAGATTAATTCATATTTTTGAGCTAAGAGCCACTAATAAAACTACTCTTTTTTAAAGATAGGCTCTTTCTAGGATATGGAGAATAATATATCTAACTCTTCTAAATATCCTAACTCCCAGTCCCTGAATCTTGTGTGGTCAGTATATTATTCATAATTAAATAGTCAAGTAAAAAGTGGAATCTATTACAAAGAATATTTCTTTAATTAATCTATTAATTGATTTTGATAAATTTGAGAAGATTCAATCAATAATGTTGATCGATCAACTACATATATACATAATATAATAAATCATTAACTTAGTAATACTTATATTTGGTATTTAAAATAAAATTACTTAATTAAAATCCTTTGTTTTATATATTCATTTTAGTTAATTTAAATTAATAATTGATGTCCCAACCATTAAAAAAGTAGCAATTTTATATTATTAAGAATAACGTAGAGAATTTTATATAAAAAATAAATTAAGTTTTCTTTAATTTCAAATCAGAAAGCAGTATTAATTAATTCATGAATATTTTCTTAACGCTATTCATTCATTTTATTTAATTACCAATATAGAAAAAACAATATAGATTAGATTATATCTAAATCTTCTGTTGAAAAAAAAGGATAAATTAAATCCTTTAAATTAAGCAAATAATAAAATTTAAATATTTATTTGAAATAGAAATTTTAAATTATCAATGCTTGAAAAGTGACTTGTTGAAAATAATTCTTATAATGTATTTTTATAAGTATTAAACATTAATTTAGCAATATTTATATTTTTAAACTAAGAGATCTTATATAATAGCTTCTACCTCTTACTCTAGCTGAAAACATTAAATATTTATTTTTACTAGTTTATTTATAAATATAAGCCAGTAATAAATAATATATTTATTTAAATTTCTTGATATTAAAAGTTATATTTGCATCAATAACATTAAAACTAAATTATTTTCAATCAATTAAAATTACTAAATCAGAAATTGTTGCTTTGCTTGAGATTAAAAAATAATTTTCTATATTAAATTAAGATCTTTTTAAAAATGTAAATGAATAAATTGGATAGATAGATAAATAAGTAAATAAATTTAATTGAGTCTATTAGAAGCTTTATAAAAAGTAGATTTATTTATTTTTATTATTATATTTTGTTAAATTACTCAGAGACATTCAACCTTGTATATTTTTAGCATATAAATAAAATATATTTTTATGTTTCTTTATGTATTTAAAAAAAAAATATGCTTTTTGATTAGGTTTATTGATATTTATACAAATATTTTTAAATTTCATAACTCCTTTGCTAATTTGGTTTTTAGTTTATTTCTGTTTTTAATTTCGAATAAAATAAATCAATTAGAAATTCAAGCAATAGTACTTTTGCGTTTTAGAATAAACACTAATTAATTTAAGTTTTAGAATAAAATAATATCTTTTATTCAATCATTTTATTCATTTATTTTCATACTTTATAGAAGCAAATACTTTAATAGTCGTACTAAGAAAATATCAGATTTCAATAAAAAAATAAGAATTAATATAGAATCTCCTACAAGGAAATAATTAATTTTTCTATATTAATAATTAATTTGATTTATCTACTTACTAATATAAGATCATCTAGTCGTATATGCGTTACTTAAATTAATAAATATATATAGTCCTCCTTATTTGATAATCCATAAAATCCGATTTAAGAAATGTTTCATTATTTGGAAAATTGATAATAATTACAACTATTTTAAAATATCTTAAAAAAATAAATATTTATTATGAAAATTTATTTGTTTGGCTGTATACTTTCAAGGTTAAAATTAATTTAAGATAAAATATCTATCTTTAATGAAAATTAAAGTATTTATTCTTGTCGTAGCAGCTTGGTATTTTAATGACACACTGAAGATTTAATTAATTCAATATCAAATTTAATTAGTACTTTTGATTAAGAAAAATATTAATTAAAATAAAAGACAAATAGTTTCATTCAAGGGACAATCAATCTATTTAATCTAGCAACTGTGTTTGATTTATTTGTAACTAACATACAATCAAATTCTGAAGATTACCATTATAAACTTATATAATTAAAAAAAAATAAAAATTTTAAAATAAGCTAAAATACAACTCAGTTATCAACAATAATAAAATTCAACTAAATTACAAATAATATCTCATTTTAATAAAATGTGTTCCACTACAAGCCAATTTACTCAAAACTTAATCCCATCCTCTGATTATTAGCAGTATGATCTTAAAGTTTAATCTAAAAACAATGCCAATTCCTAATAAAATATAAGTCTTAAAGGTGAATCTATAATTGATCTAGGTTATTTCTAATTTTACAAGTAAACTTACAAGCCAAAAATCCATCCTAATAACCATTTCTTAAATGTAGTTAGCACTAAAAAATCAAAGCACTTTGTTGAATTGCATCTTTAAAATTCTAACAGAAATAAAAATTTCTCTAATTTATTCATTTGTGAATAATTGTAAGAAGTATGCGCCACTAAGGTGACAAAGGCTAGCTAACTCTATTACAGACTTATAAATGATGTTAATAATGATGTAAACTCAGACAACTTAGACATATAGCATGAATTCTCACAATCTTCTGACATCATATAGAAGGAAGTCTTTTTGAATGCTGAATCGATCCTTAATTAGAGAGCAAACAATCTTTTCAAGTTTAATCTTTACTACATGACTGAGGATAATTAAAAATTTTTTTTAAAACATGGAATTTCAAACTCTGCTCTTAGTGCTTTGAAAATGTCACCTGATTTCTACTAGTATGTTCATATTAGATTCGGTGCATCTCCATTTGTAGACAGATTTTATCAAAAAAATTTTTTCGAAATCAACTTCAGACTTTTGGACTAATCTTATAGCTAAAATGACTACACAACATGCCAGAACAAGTATGTATTTAACATTTCTTCTGTTGGTGCTATCTATGGTCAAGCAGAATGCGAAACTATAAATTTAAATAATGGCTTTTATCTCGAAATCCAATATTACTAAAATGAGAGCATCCTTACTAGCCAAGTTTCTGAAATTAACAAAAAGTTAAGATTCCAAGCTCAAGAATATGTTTATTCCTCTGCTTCTTAAAATTTTATATAAAAATACTACCCAAATAAAAAAACATGGCAATAATCAAAATTATTAGAAGTTGACTCTGATATTGTTGAAAGACTCGTTAAAAAGAGATAATTAAACATGCAAAATAATAACAATTAATAATTAAATCAAGACTCAAAATCTATTTCATAATATTCTGAAACCAGCTCATACAGCAGTCAATATAATGAATGCTCATAACAACTTATAAAAATTAACTATTCACAAAACTGATTTACAATAAATAACTAAATAAATAAATATATTTATAAAATTAAATTATTCAATTAAAGTTCTTCTATATTTCTTATTTCTTATTTCTCTCATTTCTTAATACTTGATTTATTGGAATTTCTTTATTTTTAAAAAGACTGTGTGATAAAAATAACTTTTAATTCAAAACTCTCTTAAATGCTCAAAAGATTAATACTTTATTAAATTTACAAGATTGCTTCAAATTCATTGATTTCATAGCAAGCTTAAATTCAATATAGTAAGGGCGTTAACAAAACAAATAAAAAACATATTTTTTTATAATTAATAAAACAGTTATTTTATTAATTTGTCTTTACTATTTTGAAAATGTTTAAAATCACTTTAAAAATATTTTTTTTTTTTTAATTCGTTAAATTTTTTCACAGATTAAGAAAATAATGATAGTCTTTTAAAGGGAAATGAATTCTTAAAAATGAATTACTTAGAGAATACACAAGAGTAAATTTATAAAAATGTGAATTGAATTCCTTTGTAATTTTATTTAATATTTGCGATATCAAGTTATTTTTTTATGAATTACTGTCAGCCCATTTATTTATTTACTTACTTATATTATTTATTAAAATAGACAAATAAAATTAAAATATCATATTTTGAGAATAATTTAATTGTGACTAGTAATTTATAATTTTATAGTTAATTTTGTAACGTTTTTTCTAATTTGCTAGAAATATTCATTTGTCTGGTATGAAATTTCAAAATATAACAAATAAAATGATATTTTTTGTAAAAGTGAAAATAAAAGAAATTTTGTGAATTATAATATTCTTTTCCAACCTTTCTTACATTACAATATTTTAATATTAATGATAAACATATTGATTGAAATATTATTTCACTTTATTACCAGTGAGAGAGAAAGAGAGATAAGTGGAAATAAGTGCCTCACTTTTTTTTTAAAAACATTTTTATCAAAATTTATAAGTAGTTGCAAAAAGTAAAAATGAAATTCAAGCTGGTAAACTCATTTAGTTTACAGATTAAAATTAAATAAAATAATGATAAAGTTAATAAGCTTTACAATCAATTAAAGTGTCTAGTAACGTCTCTTAATTAAAAATTGAGTTTTACCTTTAACGCAAATAAAACAAGCGTTTAAGATCTTATATATCGTTTTTATTAATTTAAGGCTAATGCGTTAGATAGGTAATATCGAATTTTAAATATAATCATCCTCATCAAAAATTTAAATACTAAAATGAAATATGATATTATAAATTTTTGTCTCTTTCATTTTTTCAATTTTTTTATATAAGTATTTATAATGTTTGTTATCAATTCTTTTCCATTAATATTTTAAAACCATATTATTTCATTCATTTTTCATAAATTTATTTCAATGTTTCAAAGAGAGAAAGACAATAGTTTTCTTTAATTTTTTATATTTTATATACTTTATAAAATTTAAAATAAAATAAAATGATATTTTAATATTTTAAAAAATCAGCAAATCCTAAAATTTTTGATTCCCTATAGTTATTATTTCCTTCTTTATTTATTTGCACTGTACTTATTGATATTTTCATAGAGAAACCTGTTGTCTATATCATTTTATCATTAATATCTGAGATGTGCTCAAACCATCACTATCAAAGAGTATATAAAAGCACAAAATAAAAATCATCGTAATAGGACTATAGAAAGAATAGAAATTCCTAGAATTACTGCTTTGTTTTATAAGTTTTTTATTTATTTAAATTATATAGATCTGATATATGCATGTTAAAAATGATTTATACTTATTATTATTATAAAAATAAGTAAATAAAAAATTCCAATTATGTTTAAATATTTTGATTTAAGAATTTAACAAATAGTTTTGCAAACTAAAAGTATTTCTTATAATAGTTACTACATATTTTTCTATATACTAATTAAATATAAGATTTAATAAAATACAACTAAATATAAAATTTTTAATTAATTTCACCTTTATAATTAAAAATGGATTAGGATTAAAATAGATTTTTATTAATATTATTCTATTTTGGTTTTTTTTTGTTGTGTAAAATTAATCTAAAGAGAATAAATAAATAAGTTATTTATAAGTATGAGGATCATAAATACATTTCTTTATAAACTAAAAAATAACTATGAGAATATTCAGATTTTACTTGATACAGAGTAACAATCCTTAGTTTTTTAAACTATTTTCTTCATAATATTTTTAAATAGCAGTTGATTTTCTAAATTAAATCAATAAAATATACAATTTTTGTTAAAATTTGTTTTTGGCAGGCCATTCTTTATTTTGTTTACTTTTATAAAATCACTCTTTAAAGATTTAATTTATCATAGAATTTTGTAGAAAAATAAAAATTAAATTTCACACATAAATTATTAGATTTAAAACTAAATAATAAAATTGACATCGCAGTTTATTACTAAAATTATTTACATGGTTGTACTGATTGATTTAAAATGTATGTATTGCTTTTTTTATAATTTTAATAAATTACGCAATTTTATTATTTGAAATATATATTTTGTAAAATTTGAAATAAAAAAATAAATCTTTGTTTCTGCTTAATTTCAAATTAAAAACTAGCTATAAACATTAATTTGAATTTTGCTTAGGATTTCATTTAATTTTATAATATAAAAAATATAGCACCTCTAAAATTTAAACTATTATCGCAAATAATTTATTTAGCCTTATTTTTAAAAAATGCATTCACATTAGAATCATCAATCATCTTCTTAATAACAGAGTCATCATAGAAGCTTTACTCCAACAGGATAATACCCTATTTAACCTAGCAAATCTCAGCAGTCAATTTAATAGATGATTTGTATACATTAAAAAAATTAGTTCACACTTATTTTAACATTAAAAAACATAAATAAACTAAAAAAATCATTTTAATTTAAAATTTAACTATTTTCCAATAAAAGAACAATAGCAACCACCTCATAGAATCTCAAACCCAAATATTTCTTAGAACAATAACTCCTTTACATAAAATAGAAATGCCATTAATCCTGATTCCTTTTCATCAAATAGATAAATGATTGAAAGAGGTCAATATAATATTCCAACTCCTTAATATATGCATGGGGCAAGAAATGCTTCAACTGAAAATAAAGAAAATAACACTCCTCCTTATCAGTCTGTATAAACTCTCCCAAATTACTAAAGCAACAAACCTTCTAATTCAAATTATCCCCCTCCAGCTTACTAATAACCCAACTAGAATGCTTAAAGTTCAAGCTATTCAAAAGAATTTTTTAACAATCATAACACCAGTCAATAACAATAGTATAACTCTTAAAGAGTTCCAGTCTCGCCAAATAACTAATACTATCAATAATAAAATTCTACTCCATCAAGTTCTAGGTTTACTCCAGAATAGCTTAAAAACTATGTAACAGAGCAATTAGAAGACTTTAAAGTTGAGTTGATGAAAAATTTTTAAAATGTCGTCTAAGAAACAATCTAAAAGAACTAAATAAGTAGCAAGTAATTCAAAAAAAATCTCATTTGATTTATATTTTTAAAAATATTGTCATTTATCAATATAATTTTAAATATAGTGCAATCGAAAACTTGAAGAGACAAGTTGGAAGTAATAAGTTAGACATAAACTAAGTTCAGTAGAAAATGGAGAATATAAATATTCAAATTGATGAAATTAGGAATTTACCTCAAAATCAAGAACTTAATTTAAATTAGGAGTATTTAGAGAGAGAAGTCTAGCAAACTATAAGAAATTTATATGAAGATAAAATTGAGAACATCGAAGCAAGCTAGAATGAGATAAGATTAGTGTTGGACAATTTAAAGGATTAGCTTGTAAAAGAAATAGCTGACTAAATGAATTCTATTGGAAATGCCATTTAAACAAAAGCACAAGAAGAAGATGAAATAATCTACCAAAATATATCAGACGTTAAACATCAATGGGAGAAAAAACTTAATCTGGTGTTTGATTAAATGAATACAAAAGTATTTTATTTATTTATTTATTGAGTAAAAATACTTAATTAAATTTTTACTTATATCAGATAAATAATATAGAACAAAGTCTTGAAAACTTTAAGAAAGAAAAGGCTATCCCTAAAGCTGAGTTCATGTAAAATGAAATATACCAAAAATTTGATGAATGTGTGAAAAGATACGAAAGTTAATTAATGCATGTCAAAGCTTAAATAGACAGCAAACTAGATAAATCTCAACTACAAGAAGTTATACATGGATATAAAAACATCAAAGAAAATGAAATTTTTAACAAAATTGGCTTAGAAGTAGAAAATCTAAAGCGTTTAATGGAAGAAAATTCTCAAGAAGTAATAACATTTTTTTTAATTTAAATGAATAATTAAAATAATTAATAAAGGCTTTATTAAATGAATTACAATTTATTTTAAAGATCCCAATAATAATTAAGTTTTTTTATTTATGAATAAGAAATTTTAGATTTTATATTTTTTATTGTAATACAAAAGCAAAATTTTTCAGATTAAATATTCTGACAAAAAAAAAGATTATTAATAAATAAATAAATAAATAAATAAATAAATAAATAAATAAATAAATAAATAGAAATATTAAATGCAAATAGATAAATATTAAATTGAATTGTTAAAAAGAAAATTATATGAATAAAAGAAATATAAAATGATCTTAACATTTTTTACTTTTGTTAGGTTGAAAAGAGTGCAATGGAATTCGAGGGAAGAATAAGAAAGTTTGAGTAATATGTTGAAGCTAAATTAAGAGACTACAACCAGAAGCTAAAAGATAAATTTGAGAATTCTGCTTCAATTGAAAATTAAGTGAAGTAATAAGAATATATGATTTAATAATTTGAAGAACAAATAAACTAGTTGAATGAATAGTATGAGAATTTACAATAAGAACTAAAATCTCATGACTCTAACGTCTTTGAATTAAAATAGTAAAGTGAAGAAAGATTTGAAAAGTTAGTTAAAGATTTAAATATGTTTGAAGATAATATGAGTAAAAATAACTCTAAGGTGTAAAATGACTTAGCATTAAGTCATCAAAATATGGATGATAAAGTTGAGAATTTAAACAAAGAAATGTAAATACTTCTCACATAGATGTCTGCTTTCTAAAATGCTTTAGATGAAAATATTTAACAGTTTAATTAAAAAATAAATCTTGAACAATAACAAAACAATAAAATTTTAAACCAAATCTAGCAAAATCCTAGCGTGTCTCCTATTAAAAAGAATCTTCCTTAAAATAATAAAAGTAATTTCTAAAGTGATAATTTGAATCAGGTTATAAACGGTAAGGAAAGTTAGGTTTCTACTAAATATGATGACTACTTGTAAAAATATGAAGATTTTAACAAAGAAGTTTAAGAATATCTTTCACAAAGAAATGAAATACAAGAAGATGATTTAGATAAAAATCAAAGTAATTTTTTTGTCTCCTATCAGTTATTTATTTATTTTTTTATTTCAAAAAAGATCATTAAGATTATGATGAATACACAAAAAGTAATTTGAACTAATAAATCCCTAATGAGTAAGAAAGTGAAATTAAAAAAGCACAACAATAAAAATAAATCAATTCAGAAGTAAATTAATTATATATAATTTTTGGCATATTTTATTAATTTTATTATTCAATTAGAAAAATAGAGGCAGACGCTTTAAAGAAGAAGATAATGAGGAAGAAGAGGAGGAGGAAGAAGTAGTTTACGAACTTGATGATAAAGGATATTTAATAGACGAAAAAGGAAATTACATACTTGATGATGAAGGAAAGCCTATTCAGCTCTCATAAGAACATATAGAATATCTAAAAACAAATCATATGTTACAAGAAGATGAAAACTGACTGAGCTTCAAATTTTAAGAAAGAATAATTAATAATGAATATAAAACAAACTTTTTAAATTATAAATAAAAACTACTATTTTGACAATAATAATAATAACCAACTTATAACTTATTAAAATATATGTAATACATTGTGTTTACTACTTCGATAATAGAATATTTATTTCATGCAACTCACAAATTTTCATATAAAAATATTTAATATTCAATAAAATAAAGCTTCTTTCCAACAGATTAACTTAATAGGACATTATCTTATGCCTTATTTAAACAAATTTTAAAAAACATTTCATTATTTTACTATTTTTTCATAAAGTATTTTTTATATCGTTCATAATGTAGAAAAAATAAGAATATATGTCAAAATTGTTGTAAATTACATCAATATTAATACAAAATTTAACTCTAAAATATAAAAATTAAATATTTAATATATTAAATAAATAAAGGATTATTAAAAAATTAAATTTAAATGGTCTCATTTTCTAATAAATTAATTATAAAACTTCTTCATCAAAAATTTTTTAACAAAATAATCTTAAATTTAGTCAATAAAATGAATGATTCTTTTTGCTTTAAAAATAAAAAATTTTAATTAAATTATATTTTAAAACACTTAAAGTTTAATTTGAAAATTAAAAATTATTTTTTTACTTTTTACAAACTAATCAAAAAATATTTTATATAATTTATTCTTAAATTTCAAAAATCAACCTAAGAAAATATTTATTAGATAATATTAATAACCTTAATAATAAATATAATTTTTATAAATTAAATCATTTTTTATTTCCTTTAGTAGAGTCATTAAAGAATATTTTCAGTAAGCGCTTAATTTTTCTTTTATATTTTCATAATCTTCAGGTAACATTGAGTATAAAGCAGTATCAACATTCTCTCCATTATATCTAAAACAATCGTTTCTAATTATTCCTTCTAATTTAGCTCCATAATACTCAACACTTGCCCTCGAAGCTTAATTTTTATTATTAATGTGAAATTCTACTCTTCTGCAAATCAAATTATACAATTAATTAAAATAAATTATTAATAGATTAGTAAATAATAAATTAACCTTACGCCTAGGGTATTAAAAGCTTGGTCATACATAATACTTTTGACAAGTGCATTTAATCCATTTCTCTGGAAATTTATACCGTTACAAGTATATCCTAATAAAAAATAAAGAGCTTAATTAGAAATTTGTAAAAGATTCTAAGTTTATCTATTGCAATTCTTTTATTTGGTTCTGAGATATCATATAAATTTGATGATCCGCCATATTTATTAAACTTTTTATCAAAAATTGAAAAGAAAACTCTAGTAAATCCTACCTACACTTATAGCTTAAATATAAATCTTTAATTTTTCCTTTGTATCGCAAAAATAAGAATTAATCAAAATCAGATAATTTACTTAAATGTAAAAATATCTTAAATCAAAATCTATCAAAAAAAACAGATTGATTTCTCATAAAAAATTTCTGATAAAAATAATAGACTGATTTTATTGGTATTTCTAACAAATTTTATTTTGAATTTTTTATTACAAATACAAATTAGAATTAATTGTATTTTTTTTAAACTAAATAAATGAATAAAGATATTAAATTATTTTTTATTTTTTAGTTATGATTCTTTATATTTTACATCAAAATTAATTACTAAATATTAAAGTTAATTATTTATCAATCATATTTAAATCTTAATCTTAGCTACTTTTAATTGCAACGTTGTCTATATATATATATATATATATAGAAATAATAATAATAATATGTTAAAATTTATTTGTATGATCAGTCAATATGTAGTCTATCTTTCTACTGAGCATATTCATGTGAGAGAATAGAAAAATTAGCTGTATCCCTTAATGTTCCATTATGTCTAACAGTGTGCTATCTAAAAATGCCTTCTAATTAAGCACCATAATGCTGTATTTAAGCTCTTGAGGCAGCATTATTAGAATCAGTATGAAATTCTATGCGATTACACTTTGAAAAATGGAAATATTAGATTTGTAAATAATAAATTAATCTTACGCCTAGGGTATTAAAAGCTAGGTCATACATAATACTTTTGACAGATGCATTTAATCCAGTTCTCTGGAAATCTATACCGTACCATGTATATCCTAATAAAATATAAAAGTGTTTAATTAGAATTTTGTAAAAAATTTAAAGTTTACCTATTGCAATTCTTTTGTTTGGTTCTGAGATTGCATAAAAGCTTGATGACCCGCCATATTTATTAAACTTTTTGTCAAAAACTGCAAAGGAAACTCTAGTAAAATCCTACCTACACTTTATAGCATCTTAAATATAAATCTTTAATTTTTCTTCTGTATCACAAAAATAAGATGGGTTATGAGTCCATATTCTAGGATCTAAGCCAATTTGACTTAATGGTTTCAAATGATCTAAAGAAATATGAGTCAAAATAGCTCTAGAGTTTTCCAATTTAATTGAAGGGTTAAGTAATATTTTACTCCACATTTTTCCTACTTATTGATTGATTTTTAATTGTTAAAATTATAAATATTAAAGAATCAATTAGTTAAATCTTTTATATTAAAAGATTTGTTAAAAATAACATGTCATTTTACTACTTATATCAATACTTATCATTGAATTATTAAGCAATAAGCAAATAAGCATGAGAATATTCTTATCTTCAAATTTAATCTGAATCAGAATTGTAAAGATAATTAGATAAACCATATTTAATGAATTAAATATTTAACTCAAGTATTCGCTTACTCATACTAGATATACATTTTTAAAAGTAACATAAGATTTAAATTTTAAAAACCAAGTCTATTTTTATAATAATTACAATATCATTGAATCATTTTTTACAAGAATAATAATTAACATTTATGGGAAAATAAATTAAGATTTTATTTAATTTATTCTTTTTTATTAAAATTATTTGTTCTTTTTGATTGTTATATGAAACAAATAAAAATATTTAAGGTTGTTTTAATTGTTTTAAATAATTTTATTTTCATCTAATTAATTTAAGAGTTTTAAAGTTTAAATTTTTAAAATATTGTTAGAAATTAAATATTAATTTTATTTACTTACATTAATTTTATTTAACTTAAAGAAATTAGGCTAAAAATATATTTTTTATATTTTTAAAAATACAAAAAGAGAAAAACAAATAAAGCACAAATCTATTTATTTTACAAAAATTCATTTTATTTTTCAAATATTATTAGATTAGATAGTTGATTATTCCTCATTTAAATTTGTCTAATGTTTTATTATTAAAAAGGATTTTATTTAAAATTTTTGTTTATAACCAATCAAATTTAATTATTATTTAATATGTTTATGAATAGAAAAAAAACTAGATTGACTAATATTGATATAATAGATTGATAGATAGCTTTTGAATTGCAAACAAAATATTCAAACAATTTTAATTGATAAATTTTTTAGTAAATATTAGTTGACATTTGGTAATAATCTTTATAAAGCTGTTCAATTATTTAATAATTACTTTAAATAATTAGAATAGAAATCATTTAATTAATTTTCATTAAACAAAAACTACCAAACAAAACTTTTAATTATCAGTATTTTTTCTGAATTAAATTCTACAGGTTTTAAATTGCAAATTTTTATAAAATTTTAGAACAAATATTTAAGAAAAAAAATATTATAAAAGTAAAATAAACTAGTTTAGCATAACTATAAACATGGAATTAGATCCTGTCACCTTTACTCTAAATAAAATAGTAAAATTTTTAACAAATTTCAAGAATATTGAAGCAAAAGAATGCATTTAAAATCATCATAATTTAACAAAAGGCAATTAGCTAGGAATTAGTTAGCGATGTAGTTAGCAGTATAATGTAAACTATAATATATCACAGGGCATTAGGAACAGTGTTTGTAAACTTCTAATAATGCTAAAAGCTCACGAATACAACATATGTAAAAAAACTTGCATTAGAAATTAAATTAGAAAGGTATTTATAAGATTAATTTACTTTATTAGATGTACTGTGGTGATGAATAAGTAAATGAGTCCATAAAAAATTTGATTAGCTAAATAGAGAAAGACATATAGTCAAAATCAGATAAAAATTTAATTGGATAAATAAAATTGACATTTAAAAATTAAGAAAAGACAAAGTATTTGTCCTTTTTAGACAAAAAACCTGCTAAAGTTTTTGAAAAGTGGCTGATTTCTTTAGAAATAAAAAAAAATTAAGAAGCTATTAACATTCAAAGAGTATGTATATTTATTTCTTTTATATATAGGTTCAATCCTTAATAATTAATTGATTTTTTAAATAGGTAGAAAGTGATATTTAGAATATAGTATTTTAAATAGTAGATTTTGCAAATAAAAATTATGATCATATTGATGAATCCTACATCTCTAAATCTAAAGATAAAATTGTAGTGTTTCCTTTTGAGGTAATTTTTATTGGAATAAACTTTTTATAGAATTTATTTTTAATTATTTAATAGATTGAATGGGTTTCTTAATAATCTAGAAACTGAATATTTTTTATTGATCATAAAATCAGAAAAATTTAAATAAAATAAATATATTAATAATTAATTAAATAAAATAAAATAATTTAAAGCTAAGAATACAAATTAGTATATTAAATTTTAAAACTCTACTTTATAATATATTAATAATTAATTGTCTTTATATAAATCTTAAAATTGTAATCATTTTTATTTTAAAGTTAATAATCATATCAATCATTAAAATCAAAATATTATAATTCTATCTATTACAAAAAAAGCTTTTCTTAAACCTTTTTTAATTCATATATTTAAAAAAATCAACCATGATTTTAGTAAATCAAATCACATTTTTTTATTTAATAACTGAGTTGGATTTAAGATATTGAATTTTTATTTATTTAAAATTTTACTAAAATTAAAATAATAAAAACAAGAAATTTTACAATAACTTACAATTATATTTATCTTAAAAAATCCTTTAAAATTAATTTTTCTCATTTCGAGATTTAATTTTTCAAACTAAAATTCAAATTTCTGAATATTTTTTTGTCAAGCAAGAGATAAATTAAAGATAGATAGTGATGATAAAGTGGATTGAATACATATTTACAATTTAGGATTCAAACTTAACCAATAAATTCGTTTAATATGGTTAAATTTAAAATAATTTTCTTTTAAAAACTTTTGTCTGGTTTTTAAGGTTATTATTTTGTTAATTTATAGATTAATTTATTTATTTGTTTATTTATTTTAATTGTAATTAGTTACCTTATAGTTTATATTTAACTACTTATTTATAAATTATTTAGATATTTTTTATGCTTTTTATACAAAAGAATCATGGAAAAATAAGATCCATATGATCTTCATTAGTAGTTGCTATTTAATCTTTTTTGGTTAGTATAAATATGAGATAAACTATGATTGACTTCATTAAATTTATCACTAGACTTTTCTCTCTCTGGGGAATAGTCTAAATTACTGATTCCTGCTGGTTTCCAGACAGGAGGATGAAGCAACATTCTTATTCTTTATACAGTAATAGGGTCAGTATAGTCTTTATACATTCCCTTTCTGAGATTAAGTTTAGGACGTAAATTTTTCCATAAGATAATCTCATGCTTTTTCAATAGTATTTATTTTTATTTTCTTCCATTTTTTTTTCTTTCTATGGAGTCTTCTTTATTATTAACACCAGAGCCATTTATTTGTGGTAGTACAGAATGTTAATTATTAGCAAAAGAGTTATTTTTATTTGGGTTAGGAGTTATTGAGCTATTTCTTAGATTAGGCATGAAAAAGTTTGGTCTGTTTCCGCTTACTGATATACTCCTTCTCTTATCTTAATTATTACTACTAATTTATGAATTAGAGTTGTTATTATTGTAAATTTTATTATAAGGTTATTGATTAATTTTAGCATTTAAATTGTTTCCATTACTGCTTTTAGTTCTTCGCTATTCATCAGAGCTATTTCTAATATGATTGGCTTGATCTTCTTCAGTATAGCTATTTCTCAAGTAATTTGCTGTTTCTTTATATTTATCTTGATTTTATTGAGTGTTTTAATCATTGTCGTTACCATTTCCTTCAATGTTTGAATTCGATTGTTTTATAGCTTCTAAGTTTTAAAATAATAATATTCTTCTATTTAGTTAAGATTAGAAATTATTTTTAATTACCTTTAGAAAATATTGGATTATTTTCGATTGAAGAGTTTTGATTGCTTTTGCTTGATTCAGGTATTATATTTTCATCTTACAGAAAAGATTTTAAATTTTTACTATTGCTATTAGTGCTGTTCAGCATTGCACTTTTCCTTGATGGAGTTTACTTTATACCTATTTTACCATTTGACTTTTGCCTATTTTTATTATAACATTTATTTTAAAAATTAAAAATTATTATAAATTCAAAATTCAATTTTGTAGAGAAAATAATATATTGGACAATTGTTCTAAAAATTTACACTGAATCAGGCAAGTTCTTTTTTGTTGAGCTTTTACTTGGTGTTCTCTTAGATAGGCTTGTATGGTTTGGTGATACGCTGTTATGTTTTTAAGCATTTTGAGGGGCTTTATTTCTCAAAACAGATTTTGATAAATTTTATTGTTTAGTTGGGCTCAGCCTAAATTTACTGCTTTCTCTGAATAACTGTTGCTGTTGGTTGTATTAAATTAGGTTTTGTTATTGCTTATTTACAAACTCATCTTCATCGCTGACACAATTTCCTTTAAAGATATTATTGACGAACAAACCTCTTTTAACTCCTTCACCAGGAATAAATAACTCTCCTTCACCACTTTGAATACCTCTTTCCCAAAATCCCTAGTTTAATTTAAAAATTAAATAATTTTAAAAAAATTAAAAGTTAGTTTACTTTATAATAGCTTCCATCAGTCCAAAACATTTCTCCATATCCGTGCCTTAAGTCATCAAAATAATTTCCTCTAAATTCATTTCCTGATGCCCATCTAAAAACACCGAATCCACATTTTTTATCATTTTAATATTCACCTTCATATTTATCAGAATTGATGTCTTACAAGTTTCTTCTCCAAACACCTTTATAATTAGTTATTTATTTATTTAGCATATAGATAGATTGATAGATACTTTTTGATCTAATTTAAATTTACCTTTTCCATGCCTTAGTCCATTTTTAAAAGTACCTTTATAATGGCTATTATTTGCCCAAGTATACTCTCCATACCCTTCAGGTCTTCCATTAACGTATTGACCTTGGTAAAGATCTCCATTTGAAAATCTTTCAGACCCTTCTCCATGTTTTAGACAAACTTTGAATTGTCCTTCATACCTGTCACCTGATTATCGAAGTAGAAATCTTCAAATAAATATTTTACCCTGAAAATTTTAAATTACCATTGACCCATGTGTGAACACCATATCCATCAGATTTTCCGAATTTCCATTCTCCAATATAGGAATCTCCCTTTGGACCTCTCCACATTCCCGATCCATGCTTCATACCTCCAAGCCATTATCCGTCATATATTTCATTATTTGCCCATACATATGTACCCATACCTTCACTTTTTCCATTCACAAAGTATCCTTCGTATCTGTTCCCATTTGGGTAAAGCTCAAAACCTCTTCCAAATTTATAATCATTTTACCATTCTCCCTCATAGGCTCTTCCATTGAAATATATCATAATACCTACAAGTAAAAATATAATTAATATTAATATAATTTAAAATCAAATTTTTCTAATAGAAAAGTGTAAGCTAATCAAAGTAAATCATTGATTGATTTGTTGGCTATCCTTATAGTAAGTTAATGATGAAAAAAATGTAAAAAATAACTTGAAATATTTTATTTCTAATCTTGCTAATTTTGAATAGCAATAAAAAGCTAAAATCAATATTATAGAAAGCTCATTAAATTTCAAAAAATAAAATAATAACATCATTTTATATTAAGTTGAAGGATATAGTAGTTATATATTTATTTATTTATTCATTTACCTTTTCCACACCTTTAATTATTAATCATATCTCCAAAATAAACTGACTATTTGTATCTTTTCAATTTAACATGTTCAGACTTTAAAATTTCATCTATAGTAATAATATCAGGGTTATGAACTGTATATGCTTTGAAAAATTCAAGAAGACTATCATGGTCTTAAAGAGCCTATATCTATTCCTTAAGATACAATATACGTTAAAAAACAGCTTATTATTGTGTATTAAAATTTCCTTCAAATATTTAGCTTTATGTTCCAAATCCCGTGGTTCCTTAATTATCAATTGCCACAATCATATTATGATGAGAGCGATTCAAATTAGATTCGTCTATAAAACTATCACTTTTTTAATTTCTTATTCTTGAAGAATAACCCATTTGCTAAGGCTGTTACCTTTAAGATATATATTAATCATCTACGTTGCTTATCTGCATATCTATTGAATTTTATCCAGATATTATATTTTCTTTATTATTGCTTGATTGTGGAGTTTAATTTTTTCCTGGTTTATAGTTAATGCTGTTCATTTGAGGACTTTACTAATTAGAACTTTAAATATTAGTACTATTTAAATCTTGCTAAATAGATCCATTTTAATTATTTTTATTGCTCCCGCTACTCATCGGATGCTATGATTAAGTTTAAATTCTAGTTGAAGGTTCTCCACTTCCTATGTCGTTTTTTTAAAATTCCTTGGCTTGCTGAATTTCCTTTAGATTTAACCTAATAAACAAAAGATTAGTTTTATTTATTTATTAATTAGTCGTTGGAATTAGACTGATAACATTATCATATAAACAAAAAGTATTTAAGAAAAAAGGAAGAAACATTTGTTGAAGAAAAATCAAAAGTGATTAATTTTCTTAAAAAATGCTAAATATTCTTTATTAAAACTAAATAACTAGTTTTTATTTCTTGCAGAATGTTTTAAACCAAAGAGATTGATTTTAGTAACTTTATTTATATTGATGAATTAATGGACTAATATGCTAATTTTAAATGATTTTAAACAAGTTTACTATTTATCTTATGGAGGATCGCTAACTTTTTAGTAGGAGTTATTTCTATTGTATTATTAAGTATTTTTATTGGCTGCTTCTTTTTCAGGTGGATTTTAAGAACTATCTTCAAAATTGTGAGATGTTTCTTTCATGAATATTATATATAATAAATAAGAATTAATATTTATGATTTAATTGGTAATATATTTAATAAATTATCTTCTTTCTTATTAATTTAATTTAATTACTCATACTATTAATAAAATTCACAAAAACTAGTGAATACTATTCACTGTTTGTTTATTTATCTATCTGTGAATATTATTATTTCCTTAGGTTAGTGCAACTCTGTAAAATTATTATAAAACACAAAACAGTCTCCATTTGTTATATCAATTAATGTTATAGGAGATATATTATTTGGCTTATTAATACATTAAATTTACTCATACTTTTATCTTAAATTTAATAATATTTTTAATTAAGATACTATGTCTTTTTTATTTTTCCTATTTTAATATCCAATCAAATTTATTTCATTACACCACACACAACTAACTACTATATTAAAAAGTAATAAATTATATCAAAATAAAAACTATAATTAGTACACAAATTCATAAAAATAGTCAAGTTAAATTTGATTTTAGCAAAGCCATATTTATACAAACACTTTCATATAAAAAATATACTCAATAAGGAATAACAACATTTGAAAAAGGATTACTTTTAAAAAGACCTTCAGAAGATCCTTTTTCAAAATATTCCTGCTTAGAAATAAAGTAATCATTTAATTTATTTCCATATTATTTATAAACTTTTTGCATACCTAGCCAAGCACCAAATATAGGTTCCGACATAAGATTAACTTAAACAACACTTCCTACCTTGAAGTTAGAAGTTAAATCTCTTTCCATTCTTTTAGCTAATCCTTGCATAACACTACCTCCTCCCTGTAAATATATAAAAAAATTAAATAAATATTATTTTCTTTAATTTAAATACAGTGATTCTTATATTTGAAAGAAGCTTTGCTTATGTTTCTGCTGGGAATTTGTTAAGCACAAATGTGATAACATCTGAAAGACCTGATTGATCAACTCCAACTATTCCTGGCTAGAATATAGCTTCGTTACCTCTAAAGCGATCTACTGAAAGTTCTATAAATGGTTCTTACATACTAAGACCGTACGGATTTACTTCACCAATTTTGATTTTATCATCAAAATCTAAAATAAAATAATATTAGTAAACAAATATATTTAAAAATAATTGAATAATTATTAGCAATTCTTTTAGAAAAAAACCAATTAAATATTGCTTTATAAAATTATTAATTTAATCTTCTTTATTTAATAACTTCAAAGAAAAAATTTCAAAAGAAGAAAAAAAAATTTTTTAAATAAAAAAAGTATTTTTGAATTACTTGGATCCATTTCTCTCAATTCTATTTCGATTTCATTTAGCTTCATTTCTTAATTCTCTTCATCTGATTCATAGTCCTTTTGTATGCCAATATAGATATTCCAATCTTCATCGTTCATACCAAAATTATCATCTTTTCCGATCTTTGAATGAATAAAAAGTAAATTAGATTGTAATATTCTTAAAAATAAATAGATTGAAATACTTTCTCAGAAGCTCCTAACTAAGCAATAGTTTACATTCTTTTTTAGTTAACTCTAGAATTTCTAGTGGAAAGCTCTTGTTGATGTTTCTTTTTTTCATCTACTTTCTTTATTATTTTTAATCTTTTTTCATAAAGCATATTCAGATAAACTTCTGGGTTAGAAGTTTTCATTTTAATTATTTCCTCTTTTTTCTATTTTTCAAGAGCCTTTTTTTCAGCTCTTGTTTCTGCAGCTTGCTTCTGTATTATTTGTAATTTTTTTTGTTTTTGTTGCTAAGCTGTTAGCTAAGAATCTGCAATATTTATTAGGGTATATTTATCTTCTTCCAAAGTGTCTTTTGGGAGAAAGCCTAGTTTTACTTTGACTTTTTATATTCTTTTACGAACTTCTTCTATTCCCTTACCTTTACCAAAATACTGCTCTATAACCATCTTTTTTAAAAAATAAATATTTGTTAAAATATTTCTGAAAATATGAAAAATAAAATTTTTATTGGTGATTGATAACTTCCGCCAAAATAAAAATAAATTCAAACTTATTAATTGAATTAGCAAATTGAAAGTAATTTATTTCTAAAACTAATATGAACAGGTATCAATCTATCTATCGAATCATTAATAATATTAATAATGCACCATACAACTCTATTAAAAAATATTCCTATTTAAATTTTTAATTTACTTTTGCTGATTGTTAGTCTTCCTTGAATTTAATTTCTAATGATTCTAGTTCTGCTAACTCTTTTTCATGAGCTCTTTTTTTCTCTTCCCTTTTTTTTTGCATTGCTTCTTTAAGTCTCTCTGCTTATTTCTATCTAATTTCTTACTTTCTTAGAAGTTCGCTTTCATCTATAATTTTTTATTGTATAGGGAAATCTATGTAAATAGGTTCTTATAGACACTCTAAATCAGTAAGAATGTTGTTTTCTCTTACAATAGGATTGCTATAAAATTTATTTTGGAAACCATCTGTGCCTAATTTTAAATATTTAAGCTATTCATCATAATTAACAGCAACAGAACAATTATTCAAATGTATTGCTTAAACAGTTTAATAATCTAAGTGATGTTTTTAATGATTGTTCTTTAAAATAAGCTGCTTATATAGAACTTCAAAGCTATTAAAATATCCAACATTTATTCTCTTTATTTCTTCAAAAATTATCTAGCCATTTACCATAGGAATAATGTGGCATGTGGTGTGGCCTATACTTATAATTAAGCATGTTTCAGATTGATATCTATCCTACCCGAATTCATAAAATGTTGCAAAAAATGTATCTACACCTATCATCACAGAAGGAATCTAATTTTTAAAAATATATCACCCTTAGCGTCTAACTAACATCTTTTTTAAAATAAAGATATTTTGTAAATATTTTTACTTCATAACATTCGAAATATTATTCAAGCAAATTTTATCTGCAATATTCTGGGTTGGCAACAGGTTCAGTTATAATCAAAGGATGATCTACCTTGGATTCAACTACACCAATCTCATTAAAAATAAAATCATTAAGGTTTTCTAGCAAACCAAATTGCTATATTATATTTCTTTCATAAGGCGATCTATAATTTCCCTTGAATAAATCAACATCTTTTATCTTGCTAGAAGTTAATGCCTAAGTTATGCTAGTTTTTGAGTCTTTAGACTTGCTAAGTAATGATTGCACTGAGAGATCAGGTTTAGTACTATTACCCCAACCCTTTAACAAAAATAATTATATTAAGCGATTAAAAAAATAAGCAATTAAAATTGTAAATTACAGCTTTTGTTATGCCACTACCATAGTCAATTAAAATTGGTATTTCTGTATTATAATCATTCTAAATCAATGTAGGTTTTCTATCGCTAGCAGGTTCATATAATGGATTATTGTATTAACGCACATCATATATCAAAAATCTTTAAGGCTCTCTTAAATATTTCTATGTCTTCATTTCTACCTATCTATTCTTTAGCTATTTATATCCTTTTTCTTTAATAATTATTAATTGAATTTAATTTTGCGCAATATCTTTCAAAATCAATATTTTTTATTTAATATTTACAAAACATACATAAAATAATAAATGAAAGAGCAAATGAAGCAACGATCTATATTTAATTTTAAATAATATATTTTATTTGTCATTTAAACAAACGAACGATTAAAAAATACTTTGTATTAAATGAAATATTAAATATTAAAACTTATTTGAATGCTTCAAAAATCTTAATTTTATCAAAAAAATAGTTGTTTAAAATTAATTTAATTTTATATTTTAATTATGAAACAATTTTTAAAAATGAACGAATCAGAAGGTAATCCTTGTTTTTTGGTTAGACTCTTGGGTATTTATTTTAAAAAAACTTAAAATTTGTTAATCATAAGAAAAGAAACTATTTTTGGTCAACATATTTTTAAAATATTTTTTTCATCTCTATTTACTAAGAGCATACTTTAAGGAAGAAGGTAAAATGTGTCATTTTAATAAATTAAAACAGATCATAACTGCTAACTAAACAATAAGTAGGACATAAAACTAAAATAAATGTTAATAATAATGTATTATCATATTTTAAAAGATAATAAGTTTACAAAGTTACCATTTAATTCATGTAATTTAATAAATATTTTAAGGTTAATATTCAAAAATTAAGATCTGAATTTCATTTTAAAAAAAGTAAGGATGATTTCAAAGAATTTAATAATACATTCAATCATAAAAACGGAACAACATCTGTTAAGAAAAAAATTAACTTTGTTAAAACCCATATTTATTACAAAATATTAGAAGGAATAATCTTTTCTTACTGAAAAAATAAATATGACTCTTTAATTTACAATTTATAAATTTTGGATGTATTCAAAATATATTTTCTAAATTCCAATTAAATATTTTATATTGTTAGATCAATTATTAAAAGTATTAACTTTTAAACATTCTTTGAATTAAATATATGATTAAATAATACAATAAATTGTATTTCTAAGCTAAAGAAGGTAAAAATGTAACTAAAAAAAAATAGAAGGAATTGATGAAATTTGATTTTGTTTTTACAATAAATAAATGGATTATATAGGTTTCAATTAAAGAACACTCAAAAAGCAATCATTAAGATAAAATAAATTATTTATCTGGCTTTTTTATTAGCACTTAAATGTTGTTTTTTAAATAGCTTTTTTTGTTTTTGTTTAGTTTGGTAATGTAAATTGAGAAAATAGTAATAAATATTTTTTCAGATCATATTTATCATACAAAAAGCAAATAAGTGAGCGAATGTGTGTATAAGAAAAATTTAATACATAAAATTAGGTAAGAGAAAAATAAATTTTACTTCCAAAATTTTTCTTATAAAATACTCTATTCTGAAAATTTTGATAGTGATTAATTTAAAAAAATATGGGTATGTTTTTTGCTATTTAATTAAAGATTTTCTTTATAATTGTAAATAATTCAAATATTTTTTGGATAAAAGATGTATTTGCAATAATACTTTACAATTTATTGTAATCTGCTACATAAAAATCACTTAATTTATTTACAGGATGAACGAAAAAGTAATTTTTTTTTCTATCAATAAAATTTATAAAAATATCATAGAGTGGTTTTTGCTTAATTATCAGATTAATTTAATTTAATAAATAGTATTAAATATATTTGTATTGAGGATTATTCATAGTAAGATATTCACTAAAAACACAGTTTAACTTGTGAATTCACAGCCAATCATAAATTTTAATAAATTCTTATTTAGAGGATTACAAATTGTAAATTACCAAAGTATTTTAATGGTAGGAATGAATTAAGGTTTAGAGTAACATCAGCTCACTCTTTTATTCAAATATCATATTATAATTTATTAAAAAGTGAAGCAATCAAAAGAATAGCTATTTTTAAATTTATTAGCTGATTAGAATTATTTCGAAGACAAATTTTGTGGGATTTTACTTATATATTGGGAGCTTTCTTAAGATATTGTATAGAAATTAAATGAATTTTCCTGCTTAAAGAAAAATATTAATTGTATTACACTTTATGTTTGCAAGTGGGTTAATGTGTAATTTAAATTAAAATAAGCAATTTTTTTAATTATTAAAAACACAAGAAGCAAGCAATATTTGCTAAATTGTAAGCACAACCACCAAAAGAAATTTTGATTGTAAAAGATACTTGATTATCAAATACAAATCATGAGTAAAATTATCAAAAATCAAAAATTTTTGAACTAAATATACAGTGCATTTCTATTGTTTAATATAATTTTCTTTAGTTTGATGAAATTATTTTGTTATTTCTATTAAATCAGTGGAGGTGTTAAAGATGCCAAAACATAGAATAAAGCCACATTTTAAAAATTTCCTTTGGTCTAAAAACTTACATCTCTGCTTTTAAAATATAAAAATTTTTTATTTATGATAGTAAATTTATTGTTTATTATACTATACCTAAATTATCAACTAATAAGAATATATATAAAAATCAATTTAAAGGAATTTCATAAAAGATTAGAGCTTGGCTGCTGGTAGGAAATATTCAATTCAAATTACATTACATTACTCAAAGTGCACATGTTATTCTAATTTAAATAAATACTTTTAAGCTTTATAATTAAAACATCTTTTCTTAATTTTATTTTCAATTTACCATGTAATTATTTATTATTTGGAGTCTAAAATTATGTTTCTAATTTTAGAATGGTGTAAAATTTTTTTTCAAAAATGTTTGTGTGTGTTTATTATATTGTACAGCCAAAAGCAAAAGTGGGGAACAAAAGTTGAAAACAAAAATGTTATCGAATAATGTAATCTATCTTAAAGAAATAAGTTATTTGATTATTTATTATTTTCTATTTTGAACTCAAAGCTGCTTGAATTTATGTGGATCTCGTGGTATAGGTTACAAATAATTATCAAAAATAAAAGATAAAAAAATTAAAGATATTTAGTATCCTTTTTTTGTATCTATAAGATATTTGATTATAAGAATATGAGGTAGTTTATTAGAAAACTATAAGAATATAAGTGAATGTATGAGAAAGAAAAGAAAGATGAGAAAACAAACAAATAATTTACACATAATATAATAAATTTTAATAATCATCTAAATAATTAAGTAGTAATTATAATGTAATTTAAATTGAAATATAAGATGGAGATAATATAACTTTAATGTCTTCCTTGCTGTTTAATTTTTACACTCTTTTATGTTAGTATTTTTTATTATTATTGTTTATATGATTCAAGTGACTGTATTTTGATTTGCGTTATGCTTTATGAGCCATCCAAAAAGTTTTTATTTCTCTTTTAATCTAACTAAGTATTTATCTTTTAATAAACTATCTATCCTCTGCTTAAATTTGAATTTCTTCAGAGCTAAAGAACTAAACGCATCATCTAGCTTATTTTTGTATTTTTATTAAATATTACCAAGATAAATAACTTGGATTAAATGAAATAATCAATAAGGTTAGTATAAAAATCTACTTAAAAACTTTAATTTTTCAAATACTGAGATGAAAAATTAGTTAATTTTTAGAATTTTTAATAAAATTTATTAGATGGTGATGTGTGAATGAATGTATATATTAGTAAGACATAATCTAATTTTATTCGCTAATAATTTTGAGTTTTCAATTTATTTTTGTTTTTTTTGAATGAAACAATGCTAAATTTATGCTATCGCAACTTATTAATTATCTCAATGAACCAATTATTTCTAATTAGAATTATAAATTTGATACAGTGCCATAAAATGCTTGCTTGATGATCAATTAAATTAACTTTAAAGACATATAGGATCAGTAAATTTTTCTTTGCGTGGTTATTAGAAATAATAAAAAGTTGAATTTTTCATTTTATTGGTATAGAATATAATTACAATAAGCTCCTTTAAGTAGAATTATTTAAGCCATAATCACTTAAAATTATTAAAAATAAAAATCAAGTTCAAATTAGGTATTTTAGATCTAGCTCTCGAATCTTTGAGAAGAAATAGATTACTACAAAAATATGATTCATGTAGAGTTCATTTTTTTTTTTTTGAAGATTAATGCTATTCTAATTAGTTAAAAATATCTTGGTTAAGTCTGCACATTATCTATTTCAGATTGATCTATTCTTTTACTTTAGATTGTAAGTAAGTGGGAAATTTTAAATTATTCGTTCCTGAATTTATATAAATTTTCTTAAAATTTTTTGTTTTTGTGATTGGTGATATATTTATAAAATCAAGGCCTAAGTTATTGACTAAAAGCGATTATTATTAATTACTCAAATTTGAAATTATTTACTTAAATATTAGTAAGGCTCAATAAGCAATTTCATTTAAAAATGCTTTTTTTAATTGGAGGTCAGTTTATATTTACTATTAACAAATTTAATTGTTTTTTGGTAGCTAAATAACATTAGAATAACTAATTTAATTTTAAGCTCTAATTTATGAGGGTTTGGTATATTTTGGCAAATAATTTAAAATAACTTATTGGTAGATATGCATTTTATACATATGAATGCAACAAAATAATAATTTATTAAAATTTGAAGTTATTTTGTTTGTTTACGCTTTTATTTTATAGTTTATTATATTAAGAAAGACAAAGATAAATAGAAAAGAATGAAGGATGAGAATTTAGAGGAAAACAATAGTTGGAAATTTGGGAAAGGGTGTTTTGGTTAATATGGTTGATTGGTTTATGTTTTTTATTTTATATTTGGTAGTCGAAATTAGTATTTTGTAATAAGTTGATCTATTTATTGTAATTTAATTATGGGAAAGTTGGTAATATATTTGTTTATTTGTTTAGTATTTTACAATCTTGCTATTCACATCTGAAAATTTTTTAAAAGTTTTGTGGATCAGTGGGCTTGGATCGAATTGCAGTTCACCAAAGAATCTGATGTATCAGCCACTAAAGTCATAAGCGAAAGTTGAGAAACGTTTGATTTAGTTGACTTGAGTTGATCAAGCAATTTTTTTGAATTTTCAACAATCAAGCCAAGATCGTTGAATAGGTTAGAGCGCTTGTTCTTCATTTCGTTTTTAAATGCACGTACACACTTGTACAAAATGTCAGATTATTTATTCATTTCTTCTAGATGGCTAACTTATTCTTCCATTTTTTAGAGGAAAAAGCGACACATGTCACATATTTTTTAGGTGTTTTTGTGATTGCTTGTGTAAATTGTATATGTCTCCTTGAAGTATTTCCACTCTGTAGCGGTGTCAATCATGATAAAGTCTTCGATACTTACCATTTATGATGTATTAGGAATATTTTAAAGAGTTTAAATTTAAACACCTGTAATCTAATCCTCATTTTAGATGTTTACAAAGGTAGTATTTTTGGAGAAGTCTTTGTTTACATGTTGTATATTACCTGTAAAAGTCTAGGTATCAATAGAATTTTTCGAATCACCGCTGCTTGATTTAATACGGTTTTTAATATTGAATTTTTAATATAAAAGATTTCTAGTCTTGATGATATCAATTTTCAACTCATTAAAATTTTCGCAAAGCTCTTAGGCTTTTAAAGTGAATTTGGTTTCTCTAGAAGTAGGTTTTTCTTTTCCTACAGCACAGCCCATTATTTTATTTAGAAGATTAGTACTTAGTTAGTTTGTTTGTTTGCTTTGTTGCAAGTTTAAAATAAAATATACTTGACTTTCAAAATATTATTCTTCTTACAAAACGAAAGTAGTATTTAAAAGAGTTTAGTATGTTAGTGTAGGTTTAAGTAAGCTGCAAAGATTTCAACAGTCTAATGATTTAGTTTATACAGATTTCTAGTCAGTTGGTTACTAATTGTAGTGATTTTATAAGGATTCTTGTAATTTTTATATTAGATTTTCGTGGTTTTTTTATTTAGTATAATAAAGTTAGACTTTATTTTGTTTAGTTGATTGATGGATGGATTAATTGTTTGTTTATTTGATTGTTAGTATCTAATTTTTATTTGATTAATTTTTGTTTAAATGTTTATAAATTTTTTTCATTTAAATAATTAGTAAGGAAGGATGAAGAGGCCAAAGGAAAATTAATTAATTAATTAAATATTAAGTTTTAATAATAGAAGAAAAATATTCACCTTAAAATAAAAAGCTTGATTGGGTTGATTCGATAATTGCTTTCTAAAAAAATTGCATAATTTAATAATAAACTACAACTTCTTTAAATTAGCCCTTTTTTTTTTACTTTTGTGCGCTATCGAGCAGCTTAAATAATAAAAGCAGTATTGAATGCATTTTTTATTATCTAATATAAAAAATATTACTTTTAAAAAAAAAGTACAAAAAATGTCTATTTAAAAAGCAAAAATTTCATCTAAACAAAATACGTTTCTTCTTCAATTCGCTTCAATATTTCTCGTATCATGTAGCCTTTTTTAATTTAAGACACACACATACATACTTACAATTTTTAATTTAAGCTGGTTTATTTTGCCTAAATCAAATTATTTATTTTTCATTTTTGTTACAATAAATATCAAATAGCGACCAGGTAAATAATTTAAATTACGTTGAAATGTTTCTTAAATAATTTAATCAGTATAACTAACTAATGTAGATTGAGGAATATTTTATTTTAAACTATTTTAAAATATATGCCTGCAAGGAACTTAAAACAATAAATTAAAACCACGCATGCAGATTTAAATTTAGGAGCTACCCTCAAATCAAAATTTGCCTTTAAGTAATTTATAATATATAAAGTTCTTTATATTATTACATCTCGCTACATATAATTGGATACATTCTCAATTTATTTCCCACCTAATCTATTGAATTATGCTAATATTATTATCTTTTTTATTTCCTTACTTTTTCTAATCGTGATATCAATTCTTCTATTTATATTCTTTTTTACACCATTCGATAATCTAGTCACTCATTATTCATTCACCTATCTGCCAAATTACCTTCATTCATTGGTACATACATACTTGTATGATTTATTTCAAATCTATTTAGCTTAAATTTAGCTTAATACCTATTTATATAAATACTTTACTATTTTATTTTTGCCATTAACTCCAAATGTTTAATTTCTAACTTTAAAATGCATGTTACTTTTATTTGATTATTTAAATAATTAAATTATTTAATTACTTACAAAAAACACCAATCATTATATTTGAAATATGTAAAAGTTAGGTAAATACATATGCTATTTTGATTATTAATACCCCCATTTCGATTATTTCTTCTCCTTAAAAATACATTATTAGAATTGTTATCATGAATTTTCCAAAAATTAAAAAAACTCATACTATTTTACAACATAAGTCTTTTAAAAAATTAAAGAAAAGTTGTAATACGACCTAATAAATTATTAAAAATTTTGATCAAAATATGTGTCTATTTTTTTTTTAAATATAAATTTTAATTTTATAAATGTAAACGAGTTTCTACCAATCATCTATCAATATTTCATTAAGCATCATAAAAAAAGAAAATTTCAAAAACAAACTTTTCTATATCAACTAAAACTGAAAAAAATATTCAATCAAGAGTTAAAAAAGTTAAATGAAAATAAAAAACAAAACATAAATACTATTTTTATTTTATGTTTTAAGGATAAATGAAATTTTGTGAAAAATAAATTAATTAATTTCTCTCAAATAAGGAATCCAAAATTTTTCCCTTTTAAATGTTAAGCAGAGTCTAGTTTGGCAATTAAAAATTTCTTCATTTAGATAAAGTTAATCAAAAAGTAAAATTGTAAGATTATCGACTAAAAAATACTTTAAATATCAAATTGACTATTTTTCCTAGTTGTGTTAATCAAATATTTGCCTTTAAATATCATTCAGCGGATGTTCTTAAAAGAAAAATGTTTGTTATTACTTTTGAATTTATGTTTTAATTAAAGATCACAAAAAGTTAACGTCACTATTTTAATAAAATAAATAAAGATAAACGCATTTAATTTTTATTTATTCAAGTAACAATTAATAAACTACTAGGAAATATCTAAAGAAATTTTTGAGCAAATAATAATATAAAATAAACCAAACAGAATTACAAATACTACTTAATAACTTAACTTTAGTTATAATAAAAACAAACATGAATTATATTAATAAATCTGCATCAGCTATTTTATATTCTCAATATTAAAAATTTCTTTTACTGTTACAATTTTCAATTTTAATTAAAACTAAATAATTCTAACCTCTAACTTTACTAACTTATTATAATTAATCTAATGGTGTTTTTATTTACTGCTCTATGCATTTAAAAATCATGATACCAAAAATAATTCATCAAAAGAATACAAATAGTGAAATTTGAATACTAATATTTTTTTTTAAATAAAATACAAACTAGTAAATTAAATCAATTGAAATAAATATTTGTTTAAATTATTCTTAAAAGATATTAATTAAGGTAACTCTAAACAATTTTATTTTCTTCTGTAAACAAAATTTTGATTAATCAAACCAACCATCTAACTAGCCAAATAAATCAATTATAATATATAATTTATATTCATACATACATACATATAGATTGATTGATTGATGATCTCAATCTTCAAATTTAAATACTAAAAATTTTTAATTAAATTAAACTGTAAAAATATACTATCTATTAAGTTCTTGCATATAATTAAGGCTATAAAAATATACTTGTTTCTAACTAGCTACAAAATAAATACAAAATATAATTAATATTTTTTGATTAGTGAAAATGCAAACAGCTTTTTATTTTTTGAATTATTCAATCTCATTTATAAAACACTATTCTAGTAAAGTAGAATGCTTTTTCTTTGTAAAAATCTGTAACTTTTTACATATTTTTGGAATTAGTAACTAATCTTGTTCTTACTCATAGATAAAAGAATAAATAAATTAATATAAATGAATTAAGCCAGCATCATAATTCTTAAAAATTCAAGTGCTTGAAAATATTTTTTGGAAAATTTTTGATGAAAACATTTAATTAAAAGTCATTTTAATTAAATTTTATTTTTCTTATTATCTATCTATTTAATAATGCTTTTTATTGTAGATATAAATAGAATATTTTAAGATATCTCAAAAATACCTACTATTTTAAATGCTAAATACTAGAAATCTAAATATTTATCGAATTTTTTTAATCATCAATAAAATTCTATTAGCAATTATAAAATAAAGTATCAATTGTTGGTTATAAATTTCTATTATTATTTTATAAAATTAATTGACTTTTATAGATCTTGTTTCAATATTACTCATTTTTATAAATAATTGTGTTATATAAAGCAGAATGAAAAAATTATATAATAAAAGAAAAAACCTTTATTAAATTTTTAAAAAATTAGCTTTTAAGTTTCTCTCGAATTATATTTCACTTCTTTTTTTATAAAATCTTTACCAATCACTAAAAAAATAATTAAGGTTTTTTCTATAAATTATGATTAATATAATCAACAATATATAAAAGTAAGTTATAAATAATATATGAACAACTCAAGTATGCTATTTTCTATAAAACAAAATATAATATTTATTATTTAGCTAAAATAATATTATTTTATAGAGTAACAAACATTTTTTTAAATATGAAATGTTAGTTTTTAAATTAAGGGCATGAGAAAATCTATTTGCTAAAATTAAAATCAACAAAGAAATAAAAAAAATTGCCGTTTTTAATTTTTGAGCAGTACTAAAAATGCTGCTTAAAATTAAAAATTTTTATTTTATTTAAGACAAACAAAAATTTTCAACTTTATGAAAGAAATATTAAATTTTTTCATAATAAAATCTTTAGTTAAAAATCTGTAAAAACATAAATTTTAAATATGTAATCAATTAATTAATATTTTAATTAGGAATAAAATATTCCAACAACAAGAATTTAATTTTTATTATATTTATCTGCCAGCGAATTCTGTTTATATTTGATAAAACTTAGAGTAAAAAAAACTATTTTTATAACACCTTTTATATAAGCAAAAAATAAAACAGATTTTATTAAACAAATTGAATATTTATGAACATTTTAATTTTATTAAAATTAATTTTATGAAAAAAAGTTAGGATTTTCGAAATAATCATAATAATTATTAGCTATTATGGTAATTAAAAATACAAATTTTGAAGAGTAACTTTTATGCTATTTTAAGAAAGTAACAATCTGATATATTCATTTATATTAGTCATAAAAAAAAAATTCTTTTGAAACACAGAAAAATTTTATTTTAACACATTTAATAATTATAATCTACTTCATGTTTGTTAAATCTTATAAAAGCAGATTTTAATTTTACATTTAAAATAATACAATTTTTATTTTGATTAAATTTTTTACTTCAAACTTGAAAAAATGTTGTTTGATGTTTAAACTTTAGACGAAAAAATCATTCTATACTAGATAATTGATATCACAAAATATATTCTAAAATATTCTTTACAAAAAATTATTGTAAATTTTAGAATATTTAGAACATTCGAAAAAGCACATATAGTTATTATCATTTAAATTAGAAATATTCTGTGATCTCAATCTATATTTTAAGTTTATTTTACTATTTATATCAATAGAAAATGTATGCTTATGAATAATAAAAACTTAAGTTAAGTTAATAGCATAAATAAATATCAAAATTATTTATATTTTATGTTTTGTTATTCTAATTTTTAAATAATATGTTAGAAAAAAACTAACTTTTAAAAAAGAGTAAAGAGCTTTTTTTAAATCTGATTGAATATAACCTATTTTCTTTTTAAGTTGAAAAAATAAAATAGTTAAATAGGAAATCTATTGTTTGCAAGAAAAACAGTTTAAAGAGATTTGATTTTACTTAAAAATTTCAAATTAAAATTAATAGGAGAAATCAATTAGTCTTTAAAAGAATAAAGTTTTATCAGAAAAATTCTATTCAATCATATAATTTTGATTAAAATTTGTAAGATTTGATCTGTTTATTTCAAATTTCCCTATTGTACCTTGTAATATTTTACCACAAACGAATATTAAAAGATTTGATTAATGAATTTAAATCAAAATATGTAAAATTTAGCTAACCAAACAAGAGATTCATTCATCAATTAATTAATAATATAAGAAAAAAGATTTAATTGTAAAGTAAAAAAAAACAAGAAATATAAAATGAGAAACACTATTTTAGCAGTAGCATTAATATCTTTGGCATTAATTGGAGCTACCACTCTTCTTTTTAGAAAGGATGTCTCTGCTAGCTAGATTACAGTTGCAGATTGGATGCAATGCTATAGCACTAGCACTCATACTTGTGATGACATCTCAGACTAAGCTGATGATTACTAATTCTGTAAATAATCAGAGAGATAATTTGAAGTTGAAACAAATCCTATTTAATGTTCCTAATTTTGGGGTTTTATTAACCATGCCAAGGGATCTGAGTACATTGATCAAGATAACTTATTTTCAAATTGCTTTTTGACTCATGAAAAGGAATTCTAATCTCTCAGTTATTTCTTCTATTCTCAAGTATTCTATCCTCGTTATCACACATGCTCAGGACTATGATAAAATTTCCTCTATATTAATAATAATTAAATAAATAAAAAATCTAATGTTAATTCGTGAATTCAAATTATAAAATTTATGTCATAATTCTAAAATTCTTTTATAACAAAAGCATAATATAAAGAAATAAGCATTTATTTTTTAGGCATATGTATCAAATATACTCTAATAATTATTGATAAATAGGTAGATAATACTATACAAAATATATTTACTTAAATAATCTTCAATTCTTTTTCATACCTTATAATACTGAGAAAATAAAATACTTATGCAAAAAGAAATTATAAAATAAATAAATTTGATAGTATTTTTATTTAAATTCTTAGATTTATCTTACATACATACTTTCAAAAAATCTTCTAGATAAGATTAAAAATTTCATCGAAAAGACTTTCTATTTATTTTGTAAAAGAATTAATAATAATTTATAAAGAAAACAATTTATTAGTTTATCAAAACAAAAGTTCTTTTTAAAAAATTTAAAGTAAGTGTAAATAAATTTAATTTGTTTATTTTAAGTATGAATTATTAGAAATAAAATAATGGCTCTATTTATATTTTATCATGAATAGAAACCCTAGATATACCAATCAAACTAAAAAAAAATAAATATTAAAATAATCAAATTCTTTGAAGAAGTTTACTATATCTAAAGTTAAATATATTTCTGATCAGTGCATATATATTGCATTTTTGCTACAGAAAAAATAGTATGAATCTATTATTTTTGGATATAATTAATCCAATAAATAATATTTGCTTGTTTTGTTAGATATTAGTTTTTTTAAATTAATTTTATTTCAATAAATACATTATAAAATATTTAAATTAAGGCTACTCTCTTATTTTTATAATAGTTTTTTTTACATGTAATGTTTTTAATACTGAAGGTATAATATTTTATTGAAAATGCAAAGATAGCATGAATATATTAGTTTTGGATATAATTAATGCAATACATAATATTTGCATGTTTTGTTAGATATTAGTTTTCTAAAATTAATTTTATTTTAATAAATGCAAAATAAAATATTCAAATTAAAGCTACTCTCTTATTGTTATCATAGTTTTTTTATATGTTGAGTAATTAATGTTTTAATGTTTAAAATTAAATATTTTATTTAAAGTTTATTTTAGTTTAATTTATGATATTTTAAAATGCTGAATTTTTTTTGAAATTTGGTTTATTTATATCAACTATTCTTAAATAGATCAATCTATTTTTTAATGTTTATATTTTTAGAAGTATTTTAGATTAGTAAATAAAAATTAAAATAGATCAGAAAATTTGAACAGTTTTAAGTCTTTTATTTTAATTTTTGTGTTTATTTTAGAATAACACTTGCAATTTTCTCAAAATAATATTTCAAAGATGGAATATACAGTTAGCTGTTAATTTTGAAATATTTTAAGAATATTTGTTTCTTCAATTTTAATTTAAATAAATAAAAATAATAGTAAGCTGATTGCTTATTTTTAAAATTTTAAAAAGGAGATATTTATTTATTTATTTAGCAAGCAATTAGACAAAACAAACTGATAGATAGTAAATATAAAAACATATAGATAATTGCTTTAAATCCTACTTATAACTAATTAGTGTCAATCAAAATTGCTTAAAGCCGAGCTCTGTAAGTTTTTTGAAAGCAGAAGCAAAGTCTTTAAAGAATAAATCCTTGTTTTCTTTATATTCAAGAGCGATTCTTTTAAATTCAGGGTCATTTCTTATTTCAAGATCAGCAGGAAGCATCATTAGCTTTTTGGTATTGTCTTCATATTAGAGAGGTCCCTTCCACTTCTTCTCAGTCCATGTCTTATCGAAGAGTTCCTTAAAGTAAAGGTTAGTGAAAGTAGTAGGGGCATTAGTCCAAGGACCATCATATCCACTTCTATCGGTGTGGCACTTACCAATACCGTGTCCACCACCAATCAAAGCAACAATTTCTCTATCATTTAATCCCATTCTGTAGAAAACATCTCTAATATGAGAACTTCCCTTGCTTGCATCAGGAAGTCTGCCATTAGGAGGGCAGGAAGCTTCTGAAGGAGCATCCTTTCTACCAGGAGTAAAATCGATTTTAGGACCTCCCATTTCTTCAATAGCTACGTAACTAGCCAAAACCCAGAGATCAGCATATGAAATACCCTAATTTTAAAGAAGTAATTTATATTCTAATTGACAAAATGCTAAAAATATGAATTTATTTTTCGAACAGCCAAAAACTTAATCTCTTTTTCAACATGGTAGATTGGATTGAAATTAAATTTTATTATTTAATATTTTATCATGTTTGCAATTAAGGTTTATCATTTGTTTGATGTTTAAAAAATTACAGGGTGTTTAGCCTTGACAGGTTCAAGGAACTTTTGGGCATGATGAAGACCGGCATTAGCAGGATCATTCTATTCCTTGTTAAATCTCATGGTTGCACCATCGGAACCACCAGTCTTATCAGCTTTGTTGTAGGTTCCTGAAGCATGCCATCCAAGTCTAACAAGAACAGGGCCAATATGATTGTAGCCATCCCAACCTTACTATTCAAGGATATCAGCTATATCACCTCTGACAGCTTGATAATCAAGCTTAGGTTTAGCTAATTAAGTAAACTATTCTTTATTGTAGTAGTAGTAACCAGCAGTACCGAATGCTAAAGTTCCAAGAAGAAGATTTCTCATTTGTAATGTTTATTTGTTAATTTATTTGTGTTTGCTTGAAATGCCGTTTTGCTTTATTTACAATTTATTTCAGAAATTTGATGAATTAAAAAATTTATAATATTTTGTAGATATTTTGAATCTTAAAATAGATATCAATGATTACCCATTCTTAAAATCATAATTTAATCAATCGTCATAATTTATGCCTTAGAAACATTACATGATGTGTGATCTAATCTAGTATATCATTGATATCTGCCAGAAAACAAAAAGAATCTTTCGAGATAAGGTAAATTAATGTAGAAATGTGATACTTAAATATGTTTTATTTTAAATGGAAAGTAAGGTGAAGTTTAATTGCCCTCATTAGTTGAGGATTATTTCTAAATTTAAATTAAAATAAACATGTATAAAGACCTCACTAATAAGTTTTAAATAAATAAATAATAGCAATTAAATATATTTGAAAAGAGAATATAAAAAAAAAAAATGTTAATTATAAATTCTTCTTACATTTATTTTAATTATCTATTAAAATAATTTTGCCATTTAATGCTGCAAAATAGTACTTGATAATTCCTGCTTATAAATTTTTTGAGCAACCAAACAATTATATTAATTTTTCAAATTTTAAATATCTCCTTAAGTCATACACAACAAAAAACTTTTAAAATTGAACTATATTTTATTAAGGTATTCATATTAATTGTATTGTGTAATTATTTTAAACATAATTTAATTTTGTAATAAAGATTTATAAAATTAGAACAAAAATATGAACAAACATTTTCAATATTTAAAATTTAAAGTTTATTTAAAGAAAAATAAAATGTTTACTCAACGATATTTTAAGCATAAACACATTATTACAAATAAATATTATGGGAAACTTATAAATTTAAAATAATAGATTTAGTTGTAGATTTAAAATGCAAATAAATTGAGAACTTTAAAAAAATAAAATAGAATTTAAAATTGAATTTTATATTTAAATAAATAGCAAAATCCTAATTAAAAATAAAAAACTCATAATTAATAAGCTAAGTTAAATTAATTTTATAAATTTTAATTTATTTAATGATTTAGATTTTGTAAACAATTAAAAAAATTAATATATTTATTTGCCTTGAATTTATTTTATTTAGTAAACCCCAATTGATTAATATTTTAGTATGGATAGCTAGCTATCTAATAGAGATTTAAGTCGAAGGGAAGGAAGCAAGAGGAAACAGGAATAAAATCAAAATAAAAATGGAAAGATATACATTGGAATATTTATATAATAAAGAGAATGAAAAAAAATGGATAAAGAAATGAATCAATTTAATAAAGATTGCAATGCCTCATTTATTAATTTATTTAATATTTAAAGAATGACCTTTTTAGATGAAATATCAAAAAAGTAATAAAAGGGAAACAAAAACAAAAGAAAGAAAAATATAAATTAAAAATATAAATAAAAAGAAAGAATATTAAAAGATTAATTAAAAACAATTTAATTAAGGTTGAGAGAAATGTCAGCTATTTTAAAGAGAGCTGCTAAGTATAAGAGAGTTTCTTCTATTCTTTGTGAAGGTGAAGCCCATTTAAGAGATCCCTTCACTCCCCCTCCAGTTATCCTCAAGCCTCCTGCTCCTCGCAAGGATAAGAAGCCTGATGATATCACTGATTTCCCTGCCCAAAAACTTATCCCTCTTCCTGAATCCATTCCTTACTAGGTATTAAAAAATCCTAATAAAATCAATATATTATAGGCATAAAAGCAAAGAGATATCAAGATATATCCTTGATTTGAAAGGAAAAAAGCAATAAAAAAGAAAAATATGAAAAGATAATTCAAAGATAGTATAGTAAATCTAAATGTGAATGGTAAAAAGAAGTCAGATACGATAGTTTAAATTATCTTGATATCTTATGAAGCATGAAATTTATAAATTTAGCAGTTGAGCTTTGTTCATTTTCGAATTTACTCATTTATCAATTTCATTTTGTTAAAAATCATGCTTGCAAATTTCAGAATATTTGAAACTAAATAAAAGATTTTGAAATGAAAGCATAATGAAACATGATAAAAATCATTGCAATTTAAGATGCCCTCTTTCGCAAATCAATCTTTTTCTATTATTTGTAATAACTTTCATTTTTTAAATACTATAGGAAGGTAAATACAGACCTGCTAGTATCCCTATGGTTGCTGGTTTCTTCCCTTATAACTGTTATTTACAATAAGGTAAAGTTTATTCTTGGTGCAGTTGTGGTATTTCTCAATCTGGTCCTTGGTGTGATGGTTTGTGCAACTCTGTAGTAACTAGATGTCGTCCTGTTGTTTTCAACGTTTCTTAGAGTGGCTACTATAAAATCTGCAACTGTAAATTCTCTGCCAATGCTCCTTTCTGTAATAATACCCACAGAAAGATGGTCAGATATCACCACTAAACTCATAGAGGTTTCTATGAAATTTGGGGTGCCGCCTTATTCGTTTTAGGATGGGTCTATATGGGCTTCAATTATTACACATGATCTGGATTTTAAAGAGTTTCCTTACATAATAAATTAATAAAAAGCTTAATAACTACAAGAAAATTTGTAGTAAATCATTTACTTGCAAAAAGAGATTGCTAGTTGCCAAGCCTATTAATTCGTTCAAAGCTTGCTTAATTATATAAATATTATTATTTTAGTTAGCATGTTTACAATTAATCGTATTAGTATCTCAATTTTGCAATCATTTTATCATAAAAAACTGAATCGTTATTCCAAGGATTTATTATTAACATGAAGTTTATCAATCAATCAATCAATATATATTTATCATTTTTTAATTTAAATTCTTATCTAGAAAAAAGTGAGCAATATCATTTAATTTAATTAAAAGCACTAACTAATATCATTTTAAATAGTAGAAAGAATTTATAATTTAGAATAATAAGCACATTAATAAAATATAATTTATTGAAATAATGTTTTAATAAAAACCTAATAAAATATGAAACATCTACTAATTAGAAGCCATTTTGAAGAAGAATATGTTTAATTTCTTAATTTATTTTTGCTATTCTACTTTTACTTTGTAAATAAATGTCTAGCCATCATGAAAATTAGTTTGAATATTTTGTGATATTTAACAAATAAAATACTAAATATTTAGAATTGAATACTTTTAATGATAAACCATCAAATTAAAGCTTTAATTTATGTCAGTTGATTATATTGAATTAAATACTTACTACATTTCAAAGAATTTTTGGAATTAAATAAATACTTTTTAGAAATAATTTAAATTTCTATGTAAATTGTACAATCGTTTTTTGGCATTTCTGCAGATGAAATTATTCAAATAAAAAATTAAATATTTACATTAATAATTTTATTAATTGAGTTTATAAATTTTAGGTATGTTAAATAAATTCATCAAAAGTAAGTTATTATTTTTTAACTTTTTAAAATTCGAATATGTAAATAAAATAATAAAATCTTCAATATGCTTTAGTTACAAAAGAAAATAAAAGTTAATTTTAAAGTGGCAAAATTTATATTAGCGTTTAATATTTTTGAATATATATTCCAAAAGAGTATTATTAAGCTTTTTTTATAAAAAATAAGTTAAATGATTATTTAATTAAGATTTGGTTTGCTTCTTTTATAAAATATATTTAATAAATCAATTAGTTTTCAAAATATAAACTAATTTTCTTATTTATCATATTTTATTAATTTTATCAAAATCCTCATTTTGATTGCACTAAAAATAAGTTAAATTAAAGTTTTTCATCCTAAAGATTTTTAAAAATTATTTAAAAAAGAAAGAAATTACCAACACACTATTTATTGTTTTATTCTTACCTTTCTTTTAACTTGATCAGGTTCTTCTTCTACATTAAATAAAATAATATCAATCACTTTTTATATGAAATATTTAAAAAATTATAATTTTTAATTGGTCTCTATATCTTTAATTCACTCTAACTTCACAATTTAATTTAATAATACCTTTTTTTTGGAAATTTATATATTATTTTCTAAAAACATTAAAAAATCTTTTACTTTAAACCTATAGTTATTTTAGTTATTTTATGATCAATTTAAAAATGGACAGATGACCTATTCGTTATGGTTTATTTGCAAAAATAATTATTACAACTTTAAATGATATAAAAATAACAGTGTATTTTTTTTAAAAAAAGTGAGATTGTAATTTTTCATAAAATCCATATTTTTGTTTAATAATTTAAAGTTATTATATTTAACCATTAATGATTTTTCTTAGACAATTTTTTGGTTTTTCTCTGATGATTTTTGAAAATTATCATCAAAAAAGTGTTAAATTCATCATCTAAAATATTTTTATTAATTTATTTTATCACTAATAAGTAGATCTAAAAATTACTTAGGTAAATAAATAATATAATTTTGATATTTATTTGAATAAAAAATTTCTCAGTTTAATTTTCTTAAATTAAAATTAAAAAAATTTTATTGAGAATAAGTAAAAGAGAATTATCAACATTTTTTATAACTATTAGATATGTATACAATTTTTGTAAGTTTTAAAAATGTTTATTACTTAAATATTTTATCTCATAAAGAATATCTTAAAAATATAAAAGATAAAAATATTTTAATAAATTTATTTCTAAAAAAGGAAATATATACCAATAATATATATCAAAATAATAAATAAGACAGACTTAATGTAATTAATTTAGAGAAATAATTATGATTAAAATAATTGAATATATGTATTTGTAAAATGTATATTATTCTTTATATTTAAAGCCAACTAACTTCTTTCGTACTTTTTTAAAGAATTGAAATATTTTTTCAATAACTAAACAGATAAATTTGAGATAACTATTATTGAAAAAGTAATTTATTAATATATAATTATTTCTTTTTTTATTACTTTTAAATTTGATGCTTTTTGGACAACTTTATAAATACTAGTATACTGAAAATTATTTTATGATTCAACAAAAATTACTTATGCTTAATTACTAGACATTCTTCTAAATTAACTAAAGAATTTTTTATATTTTTAATGATTATTTTAGTGATTTTTTTTTTCTTAAAAATAATAAATAAAATTATTCATAAATCCAAAACAATTTTTTAATATAAGAAGTGAAACCTGTCTAAACTTGGGTACCTACAGGACCAAAGATGTTTCTCAAAATATACAGGTGTTAAACTTATAGATGGATTATATAATTTTATATTTAAATTTGTGATAAAAAAAAAGTTTGCACATTTATAACGAGTTCTCATTATAAGAGTATCCAGTTTGGCAAGTTTTATTTTATTTACAGATAAATTATAATAATATAAACACTGCATATGTTTAGTATTTTTTAAGTGATATTTCATACAAAATATCTAATTTTATAAATTAGCTTTATATTATTTTACAATTTTATGTTTTCTGTCCAATTTTTTTAATATTTATGTACTAAAAATTGTTAAATTATTCAATTAAATTTGCTTATTTATTTTTAATTATATTTTTTTTTCTAAATCAACTAAAGAGTTTTTAATATTTTTTATTAATTTTTTAGCAAATTTCTTAATAATTTTTTATCAAAAATATAAAATAAAATTATTTATAAATCCAAAGTCATTCATTTTTTATAATATATTTAATTATAAATTATAATAAAATATATTTTGATTGGTTTTTTTAAAAATCATAATTATTTTTTAATTTCAAAATGTAAATAATTTATTAAAAAATTAAAATTAAACAATTAATTAATGAGTTTTTAGATTTTTATTTTTATTCATGAAATTAAATATTACATTTATTCAAATGATCCTTTTTATCATAGATAAATAACATATTTTTTTGATGTTCAAATTAACTTTTTAAATTGTTTTATTTTTACTGTAGGGATTGATAAAAAATTCTCTGTTACAATTTATTTAGTAAGAATGTTTATTTTTTATAATTTAAATCCTTTTGTTGGTATCTTTTAATAATTTGTCTAATTATTATCTTTCCCAGCTTACTTATTATTATATTTTTAAGAAAGAATCAAATATTTATAATTTTTCTATTTTAAAGATATTTTTATATAAGATGGTATTTAGTTGAGTATTACAATTAGAATTATTAAACGAAATTCTATTATTTATTCATAAACATTACACTTTGAAAATATTTTAGTAAATTAAAACTCTAAATTTCAAAAGAGCTTCATAATTTTTAAATTATGTGGCTATATTTTTTTAGTTTTATTTGCATTCCATATTAATAGTTCAAAATTTCAAATTGAATGAATGAATCAATAATTTTAGATATTTATCCATTTTTAAATTGTTACGAATAATAAATTGTACTAGTAGCGCCTTTAATAAGATTATGATTGATAAATACTTGGAATTATGAGAAAAAATAAGTAATAGGTACATATTTTTCAATGCAGCTCATAAAAATTATATCAAATTTTAGATCAGCATTAAATTTTTATTATAATATAATTACGTAATAAAATTACGAAGGATAGAAATTTTTTTTTGTGAAAAAGACCTTCAAGATGTTTTTTGTACAAATGAAATCAGAATTGAAAGAAAATAAAATTAAATAGACAATTAATCTTAAAAAGTAAAGTAATTAAAAAATCAATAAGTTTATAAAATCAAACATTCACTTTTTCACTTTTTGTTTTTATTTGATTATTTTAGAATAATATTTTATAAATTACATATGAAAAATAAATACTTGTTAAATTTCTTTGTGTATTTTTATTTAACCTATTAGTATTAATTCAGGTTATTTAGGCACATGTAAAAGTATATTAATTTTTCTAAATATCTTTTAACATGTTCTGTCTTAGAAAGAGGGTACTTAGAGTTTAATATGAAAAATCTAATTTTTAGATAAATACTATTTTGTATTAAAAAAGAAGAATTTATATTTTATAATTCTGATAAATGGTTTAGATTAATTTTTTTTGTAAAGTAAAATAACAATTTCAAGCAGTAAAATAGATAAAAATTGATAAATAGTTTATCAGTTTTTTATGAGTAATTAAAATTAATAAATAGTTGCTTGTAAACTTTTAAGCACTAGAAAAGAATTCAAAATAAACAGCATTAATTCACTTTTTTTGGAAAAATATCTAAAAATACGGAAAGAACGGCATAACAAATATCGGTATTTTTTATTATAAAACACTTTATTTTAATTATTAATATCAAATTTTCAAGATAGAAAAAATTTTATTCAAAATATTTTGATTTTAAGTGTATATCCTTAATTCGTTCATTGATTACGTATACTTATTTCTGCTCTTTTTGTTTAACTTTGAATGTATGTGTAAATGTATGTTTTTCTTATGTATCTAAAATGCTCTCGCTAAGTAATAAAAACTTGTAATACAAACACCTTTTTAGTTTACTTTTATAGTCTTATTAAGATTGTTATGTAAAATATGTGTCCGCTTAGAATAAAGTGAACTATTATATTTAATAGATCTAATAAATTAAATGTTAATGATTATGTTACAAGTTAAAATTATAAAATTTTAATTAAATTAGCTAAATAGAAAATTTACTAATTTCAAGAAGCTCAATTTTATCAATTAAAAAGTTGCTTACTTTATTAAAAATTTAATATTTTTTTCTATTTGAAAGAAGTAATAATTGTTATACATAGATAAAACAGTAATTTTACTAATATGAGACTTAATAATTATTTTATTCCTAGAATCAACAAAAGTTTGAGATATGTATTGCTCTTTAAATTTGTGAGCTTTTCGTTTTCTATTAGATACTTTTTTTAAAAATTGTCATAACTTAAATCCTCATAGACTAATTATTACTTTCTATATTAATTGCATCAAAATGAAATGGCATTTTCTTGGACATCGTATAAAATTTATAATAATAGGTTACTTGATAGAAAGTTGAGTCATAACTAACTTTTAAAATCAACAAAGAAAGTATTGTTAAAGAAAATATTTGAATTTTTTGAGATAGACCATTTGTTTAGATTGAATAATTAACAAAGTCTAGCTTTTATCAAAAAAATTTAGTAAATTTCTAAATAAATTAAGTAAATTGTTTTTTTATTTAAACTTAATACATCTTAATCATCTTAAACATGTAAAATTTAGATGAAAAATATTTCAAATAATGTTAAAAGTAAAAATCAATATTAAATTGCTTTAGTTTGCATTTTTAATATTGCGTTTCTGTTATTAAATATCCAATAAAATTAAAAAAAGCTTATACTTTTTTAGAAAATTTATCTTTTAATTTATTTTTTTTATAAGTTAAGTTTTTATTGATTTTGGTTTCTGATAATATTAAACAATGGCACAAAAATTTAAAATATGCAATATTAGCATCGAAACAAAACCTTTTTGAAAAAGGAATACTGCACGTATAATAAATAATATGGTTTATTTACATAACAATTAAAACTTTTTAGTTGATTATTAATGTTACAAAAAGTAATTTGTTTATTTGATTGCTGTTTAGTTTATAGGCAATTTGTTAGTTAATATGTGAGTGAGTAAGTAAGTGACGAATTTAGTATAGAAAGGAAATTAATAAATAAATAAATAGATTAAATGTAATAGTTTTGATATTATATTATATAATTAAGTCATTACATAAATCCTCATTTTGTCTGGTAATGTTCAATAAAATCTACACACTATACATTGTTTATGATTTTTATGAGGAATTATACGATAATCTTACAAGTTTCTTTGTTCTAAACTTTAGAATCATTTAGCCAGAACTCTTCTATATGTTCTAGAAAGTAATGAAATGCTGGTTTTACTTAGTTACTCTTGCACATAAATTTAATGCACTTGTTATTAGTAGAGTTCTCTTTCAAACTGAAGTTGATTTTCTTTTTTATCTGTCCAAATTATACACCTCCTCCCATTTTATTTACATACATATTTTTAGTGTCTTCTGATAGATTAGAATTTATATGCCTAAGGAAGGCTTCTTTAATATTTTTAAGACAATTCTAATCTTTAATTTACTTGTACTCTTCGATCAAAACTTTTACATTCTAATCGTTTAAAAGAATTTTTCTTTTCTCTTTAGTCTTGCTGATTTTTTTCTTTTTTTCACAAGCTCTATTCTCTTATTTTTAAAGTTTTTCATTAGACAAAGACTTTATATCGGATTATTAGCTCTAAGTCATATAAATTGAGGGAAATGGGTTGTTTTGCTCAATTTTTAAGTTAATTGTCGAAATATTATACTAGGTATTAGATATCCTATTCAAATACTCATTATAATCATTTTACTACTTAATTGATTACTCTTAACTACTTTTACGAGAAAGTTACGGAAAAAGCAGCTTGTAGTGACAAATTTTACTTTGAGGCTTTACTTTTAAGTGGGAGGATATTTTATTACTAAATTCACATATAATCGTATTTTTGTGAGTTGAGCTAGGATTTAAATACTTAAAAGAGCATCTCTTTTTTCCTTCATTATATTATTCATCAATACTTTAGACTAAAGAAGAGCAACTGTTACTTTACAATTTTGTAAGTCTTATATGGCTTAGATTTTAGTAAGTATCATCTAAAATGATATTCTATTAGTTCATAGGGATTTTAATCTTCATAATTAGATTTATTTATTTGTTTGTTTGTTTTTTAAAAAGTTTCTTTAGATACTTAAAAAGCAATATTTTAATTATTTTTTATTTATGTTTAAGCCTGATAGCAAATTTTAATTTATTATGTTTTTTTTTATTTGACTAGGCTGGGAAGTGTAGGAAGAATGCTTTTTATTAACTTTATATTTTTTTTGTGGATCAATTTTTTATTTATAAATGAATTAATTTACTAATCTTCTTTTTTTATAAACAATCGCATGCTATTTCTAAATAATATCATGAGCACTGATTTCAGGGATAGGGTAAAAACGATTCATCTCCTTTAATTTATTTATTATTTTTAAAATTAATAAACGAAAAATTTTTCTTTACAATTTACTTCTAATTAGATGTTCAAATATTAAGCTGATGCTGATGCAAATTTAAATAAATAAATATACTTAGCTACTTAAACGTATCTACTTAGTATCAAATTAATCAACCAATTCTATCTATTTTTTGATATCTCAACATTATTACAAACTATTTTACGACAGTTTTTTAAAGAATATAATAAGTAATTATAATATTTTACTAATGATCATGCTTTTTTAACCTTGAGATCTGATAAAAAAATCTAGTTTTAAAAAAATTTTCATTAATTATTGCAATAATATAGATATTTTTTATTTCTTTATAAAATGGATATATTTATATAATCCTTTGATAAAACTTATTAATAAAACTATAAGAATATGTTAATATCTTTAAAAGTTGCATATGTACATTCAAATATATGTGTTAGCTTTATAATAATTTTATAATTACTCAGAACTCCTTTTCAGTTAATTGGTAGATCAAAGCTATACTTTTTTACTTAGTTTTCATTTCAGAATTCTAAAAGAGCAAAGCCTTTAATCTACTAGAGAATGAATATTTTAACTTTATCATGTATTTTCACTAAAAATACAAAAATATGTTGTTTTTTAAACATATTACTCACAAGAATCCTTCTTTCTTTTATCTAGCCATTAAACTTATAAAAATTGGAAGCTTTTTTCAATTTTGATACTTGATATTGACTGTAAATTTGAAAAAAAGTAAATTTTCTGTTCTTCATTTGAAACTCTATAAGCTAGCTCAATTAAGAATAAAGAGCAGACTAATTTTAGTTATTTTTTTACTATTAAGCTTTCTCTTCTTTAGTTATTTATATACAAAATTTAATCAATGAACCTCTCCTTCTGATACAGTTAAACTAATAATTTTTGTAGCAACAAAAAATGAAAAATATTAAGGATGTTTGAAAAAAAAAACTAACTTTTATCCATTAAAGAATATATATTCCATTACTCTTACTTCTAAGGAATAAACCAGATATAAAGCTACAAATCATTTGACAAGATAAAGAGGAAAAAAGCTGATTTTGCACTTGACCACTTCAGTAAATTTAATTATTTTTTAGAAACAATTAAACACACGTAGTAGGTATTATAAAAAATAAAAAATAAAAAATTCTTTTCATACATTATAGATGATATTCACTTTTTAAATTTTAACATTTTTTGTAAACTTTTTTGAGTTTTTGGAAAATTTCTTTTGAAATTTTAGTTGATTCTTAGTAACTTTTAATAGGTAACTTCTGACATGAATCTCTGAAATTATACATAGTTTATATAAAAAATTAGAAAGAATTATTTAAATTTATTTTTGGCAATATAAATATAATCAGCGCTTGAATTATAACTAATATAACAAAAATAGTATTATTTCTTTATAAAATATTTAAATTTTCGAAATACTTTGAGTAAAAAAATATTAAGATGATAAATAAATTAATAATATTTACAAAATAAAAAAATCCCAAACTTATAGGTAAATTTTCATACATTTAATAAATGCGAACGAACTATTATTTATTTATTTTCTAATTATCATCAAGTATGAACTATTTATTTAAAATAATAATCAAACGCATAAAATTTAAAAAATTTCAGGGTGGTACTGTATTATCTTTGGTATTGTTCTAACTTCTATCAATAAATTTGTAATCTAAATGCAATTGTTTTTCTATCGTTTGGTTCCTTCTTCTTTAAATCAGATAATAGATTCCAAAAATTATTGATACAACAGTCAGTGTTGAAAAAAAAATTGCTTTTACATTAAAGGGATCAGAGAGATGACTATTTTACAAGTCCCTTTAATTAATATTCTGTATTGTAGTTTCTACACATTAGAGATTGCATTTATTTAAATTTTCTATTTCTTTACTAAATTTCCTCAAGTTAAAACAAAATTAAAAGCAACGATGCACTTATTTAATTTTATTATACTCTTCAATTGTTTTCGGGTTTTCTATTTTTAAGCACTCTTCTTTATACAGCATGCAATCTAGAATTCCAGTGTATTCAACAGCTAGCATAAAATTATTTTAAACAATTTCTAAATCTTTAGAGCAAGCAGATTAGCTACAAGTTTAAAATTCTAAAATGTCTTCATCATCCTTCAACTAATTTTTCTAATTCTATTATCAAAACAAAATAAAGATGCCACGAATCTAACTTAAAATGTTTACTTGAAATATTTCATTAGCTTTGTTAGCAAATGCCCTAATTACTAACGAAAAGTAAATATACAAACTAATTTTATACTATAAATTCATCTTTTTCCACCTTTTTGAGTTACTTAGATTAAGTAAATATATTTTTATTATTTATACTATATTAATAATAAAATTAATCATATATCATAAAAAGCAATTAAATTATATAGAAGCAACATATTCTATCACATTTTAAAATGCTATCTTTCTACAATTTTCAACTCATTTTCAACATTTTACCAATTATTTTATCTTGCTAACACTTTAAGAATTTATTTTATCTATTTACATAATTAAATATAAAATTGCATCACAAAAGTTAAAATTTGTATTTAGTAAGCCTGGCTATATTTAGAAATAAATAATAAATTAAAAACCTCTGTTTAAATCCTAACTATATTAATTAATAAAAAGTGATGTAAATTTTAAATCTAAAGTCACGATTTGCAAAGAAAGTTTGAAAAATTTAACATTTTTGTAATTGTTAAAATATATTATATGAAAACATACATTTATACATAAAAAATATGTGATATGATCTAATTTATAATCATTTTAAAGAATATTTCATCTATTGCACCTCTACATTTATACCATTTGTCATCGAATTTGGGACAGAAGTAACCCCAATTCAATATCCTAATGTAATTCATTCTTTCGTGTTAATTGTATTAACTAATTAATGAGCAGCGTGTCATAGAATTTGCCACATTATTAAAGCTAAGCATTTAGATTTCTTTAGTCAGTTACATATATTTAGTAGGTTCTATCCACTTAAGTTGTAAGCCTCATTGAGAAGTCACTCTGACAAGATATTTATCTCTATTATGCTAACTATTGAGGAGGGATTATAGTAACTAGTACTTTTTTAATTTGCTAATCCTTCACATCTTTAAAGTAAAAGCAGCAACTATCCATATTTCTCTTACAAATAATGTTACCAGTCATAATCTTGCTTTGATCTTGCATAGAATAGATAATCTACTTTACTTGAGAACCTATTTTTGCTTTCTCTTAACTAACTACATTATGCGAAATGCAGTAAAGAGATTTGGAAAGATTTGAATAAATTGAATTTTCAATATCCAAATAAAATTATTTTAATTTTTAGCTAAAATACAGAGAAAATTCTTTATTTACTGAATCCATACTACCTTATTTAACCTTTGCGCGAATGAATAGCTAGAAATCTATTATTTTTTCTTACATTTATCTCATCCATATTAGCCAAAGCTAAAATTATCTTAGAACATTCACCTGATCATCGAAATTCTTCTAAAATGAGTTTTCAGGCCACTTTCCATCAATGATGAAATTAAAAATTTAGCTTTTGCATCCTTTTTCATAGTGCTATAATAACTCCTAATATTTGTCCAAGGGCTTTTAATTTTTTCAAAAGTTTTAATTATTTACTTTTCTTTTTTTTTTGTGTGTGTTAATGATAAAATATAGTGAATAATTAAGTAAATTAATCACTCAATTAATTAATTAACTAATTAATTAATTAATTTTTGAGCTAATTTTTGGGATTATTATTTGTTTAAATATTTACACTTTATTATTTTAACAGAAATAATGAGAAATTTAAAGAAAAAGAAAATAAAATAAAATAATTTTAATATTTAGATACTCTTTTAGTGTAATCAGGTGGGTTTCCTATCTAAATTTGCATAGTCACGAAATTTTGAAAATTATAGTTTTGAAAGAATTGAGAAATTGCATCAAAATCTATGTATTTATCAACAGTGCAATTTGAGTCAGAGTAAACTAAAGAAAAGAGTCTTTGTTCACACTTGAATGCATAAAGCAAAAGAGCTAAAAACTTTTCATTCTCTATTTAATTTTTTTATTGAGTTATAGATTCAAAAAAGTAGTAGTCTTAATATTCTACAGTGATATGAAAAACTCTTTATTTGATTAAGAAATTATATAGAAATATGGAGTAAATTGGTAGGGACTTGACTTCGATTTAAACAGCACTCTTGAAATATCCTTTCGTATGTGAATCAAATAGCTAATAAATTGTATTCAGTTTAGCTAAATATTATATTTCCTGCTAAAGAATATTAGCATCAAAGGGTACTGATACTTGAATCTATTATTATTAGTAGGGGCTTAATTCTTACTGCACATTACTAAAATTCTAAATATTGGGAGGAACATTGTTTAATTAACAAAATCTATCAAAACAGGCCTCATGATTTGTTTTGTTATCATACATAAGAAGATTTTCCATTGTTTATTTCAGCTTTTTAGCTAAATTTTAATTTTTCTAACAAAATATTTTAGTTCTTTCTATCACTTTAGGTAAATCAAAAATATTTGGTTGACTATCGAATGAACAAGAGTTTAAACTTTAAATATTTGACCTAAAGTATTGCTAAGCTTCACTCTTATCTTTACAAGCAAGAGCGAGCTCAAATTCCTCAAGAATAGTGTTTTTAAATTTAGGAACAACTAATTATGCAGTATCATAATTATAAATGCGGTTATTTTCAATATTTTAGTTAGCAGAAGGATTTTAGAATTAAACTGCATTCAAAATAGGTTGTTACACATAGCCTTAATTTTCTACTACATTTTAAGATTGAACATTGTTAAATTAAGAAAGTTAACTGCCTTAGTTTGCATAGGGTGGCTAGATTTAGTTGCTTTAAATTTATGAGTTGCTATTGATGGGAATATTTTCTATTTTTTAATTTCTAATACCAGACTATTGAATTTATTAAGTTATAGGACTAGAATTTGTAATATTAATTCCCTAAAAGTTGAATCCACTTTAGATTTAATTATTCTATTGTTAAACATTTTGCTAGTTATATTAGCTTGCTGTAAACTATTTGGGAACTTAACTAAAATTGAATGCCTATTGATTGAGTTAGAATAATAAATAAGATTAAAAAAATTTCAAAAATTGAACATTTACAGGTTAAGTCGCTGCTCTCAACTGCTATGACTGCTATTCCTGACTTTACTGTTAAGACCTAATCTGCGATGACTATGTATCTTAATTTAATGGCCTAGGAGCAGAAATCTAAATTTTTTATTTAAGCTTTTGATTCATTTTTCACCTATCTACAATATATAAATTATTAATTAATTATTAATTTTTTGTTAGAATATTTTATTTTACAATTTTTTTTCTTATTTTAAACATTAAAATCAAAAATTTTTCGAAGAAAACTATTCTAATAATATACCTTAATAAAAAAACAAAGATATGTGCCAACAAGAAAAGACAGATTGACAAATGCATCATATAAAATTTGAAAAGTAATTAAAATCGATCAAATTTTAGTTTGTAAAATAATTAATTTTCTTTTTTTATACATAATATTTATTAATAGCATTCATTCAAATGTATAGATTTGAATTAATATTTTTGTATTAATTTTCTTTTTAAAGTAAATTTGTGTTTTTAACTTTAAGCTTTAAATATGCTTTATAAACGATTTAATAATCATTTTTTTTACCTGACGACCTCATTAAAACCTTTTTAATACAATTTATTATCACAAAAAATGTCCATCTTATAATATAACTTTGAATAAAAATATATCAAAAGAAATGTTTTTGATAAAATATTTTATCTCATATTTTTTAATCCTAAATTAGAATAAAAGTTTTTAATTGAGAATCTCAAAATATTCAATTTTGGTAAATTTTGTGTTTTATGAGGTAAATGAAAACCTGACTAAGAATGTCATTTGATTTATGTTTTAAATGATAAATTATAGCTTAAAAACAAAATTTTGATACATTTTTATTTAGCAAACAATAAGTTGTTAATGTTAAATTTTTTTTAGCATCATAAATTTTTTCATTAGTTACATTAAATACTTTTCTTGATGAGAAATGTTTTTAACATTTACTTGAATGAAATTTAATCAATAAAAAAACTATCTTTAATTCATGCAAATTAATTGTGTAAAAAGATATTTTGAAAGATTTATATAAATTTTTTATTTTTTTTACATTCATCTACTTAACAATTTAGAAAATTTTTAGAGATTTTTTTTATTTGGAAAATAAACAATGAAAAAATCTATTTTTATGAATATACCTTTAAGATAAACTTATTTGACTTGTATTGTAATATTTAATTATTTTTAACTAAAAGATTAAAATAATATCATGCATGTTACTTAATTATATACTAATGATTTAAGCCATTATTAAGATTTTATTTTGATTGAAAATAATTTAAGAAATTAAATGTTTTAATTATTTATTATTTATACAAAAGCAATAAAAAACAAATATTATTAACTTATATATAAATTCAGGCTTTAATAGTGTAAATATTCAAGATTGGTGTGATATCAGGTACAAATATTTAGTTGTTTTTAGATGTCTCTATCCAATTTGGTTTTTCAGGAATTGAAATCCTTTCAACCATTTATGGAATATCAAATTCATTTCTATTAGCTGTGTCCCAAATTGCAAATGTTTTATCAGTTGAACAACTTATAATTCTATTTTCATTGAATTTTGCAAAAACACTTCTCATAACTTTACCTAAATGGCCATCTATAATATATTTTGGTTTTTTTAATTCCTTCTATGTAAAACAAAGTATGTGTCCAGTTTCTGTACTAACTAAAATCTAAGTTTTATTTCCATGTACATTATAAATATTGGGAGGGCACAGCAACTATCCTGGAAAATATTTTTAGCATATTTCATAAATATTATTTTATCTCAATATCTTCTTCTCCTCAATATCCCATAAAATTAATTTGCAATCGAAGCCACTTGTTATACCTTTTAATTATTTTCATTTTTATTATATAAAAATTATTTTAGCCTTCATAAGACTAACATCTAAATTTATTTATTTATTTACACATGGGCTTCGTATAGTTGCTATCGCTATAACAAAAATCAGTCGAAAATGATATCTGTTTGTTTTTTTAAATAAAAACCCATTTAATATAAGTTTTATATTTTTTTGATTTTACATTTATATGCTGCATGCCTAAAGTTTTTTGGCGTTCTAGAGTCATTGGGTCTAATAAATGAGTGTCACCTCTTTTATAATTATTATGAGATTCAAGTGAGTAGAAATTAAACAAAAAGGGAAATATAATTAATTAGTTACTGGTCATCACAGCAAGCAAGGAACTTATTATTTTAATCTAGAGAAATCTAATTTATATCGTCCATTTCAAAGTTGCTTGCTTTCTCTATACTTGTTACAACGATTCCTTCTTTTCTAAGATCATATTAAATTACCTTTAAAAATCAATATTAACTAATTTATCTCTACTTTATCAAAAATAATTACATTTTTAGATGCAGCCACATATATTTAAAACTCTGGTCCAAATATACAATTTGCTATTTATTCTGCCTTCTTTTGTTCATTGCTAGTGAACATCTTTACAGATATTTTTGATTTTAAATCCCATAATCTTAAAGTTTTATCATCTGAAGATGTTAAAGCTTAAAATGGATTGCTTTTATTCACATCTATTGAAATGATTGGTTTAGAATGTGCACCTTTATTTTTACAGAAGAGAATATTTTAATCAATTTAACTTAATGAAATATTTTTTTAATTATTACCTTTTTTACTCTCAACGTAAATACTTGAACTATTTTACTTTGTATCCATTTCAAAATATCTTTAATTCTATTAAAAAGCTTAATCTACAACCTATTAAATTCACAAAATTCAACAAAATTATAATTAATCTAAATTAATCATTATCACATGTTTTACATTAAGCCAGCAATAAACTTAAATTTAAAAGTAAATCATTTTAAAATATTTGCAAATATTTATTAAAAAATAAAGCTTTCCATAGTTTTGTTAACCAAATATTTACTTATAATGCAGATTTCTTTAGCTCAAATTCGAAAAATTAATATTTTTATATAAAAAAATTAAAATATTTGAATAAAAAATATTTTAAAAAAGTTATTTATGACAATTATTTTATATTAAAATTATTAAAATTTAATAGACATTCTTTAAACTAAATTTATTACTCTTTGTTAGTTGCACTATGTTTGCTTACTTTATTTTTATTATCTCAACTAATCTAACAAATCAACTACGAGATTATGGTATTTATAAATAAATTACACTACACATTCATAATTTATTAATTTCAAATATAAATTCAGAATTTCCATAATAATTTTTCTTTTTGTTCTTCAAATTTTCTTTAGAAAGGTGTAAATAAGAATCACTCTCTTTATGAAATTAATTAAGCATTGGAGATCATCTAAAATGTATAAAAGAATATATTCTTCAACTGCAGTAATTACTTTAGTTGCATCATACACTCACTTTAGAATGAATAATCAGCAAGATACACTTATTTACACATTCATTAATTTTCTTTTTTAAAGTTAGACTATTTCCTAGAACGAGCAAGCAAGCAATTATGTAGGCAATCTTTTTTTAATTAAAAATAAAGTAAAAATAAATAAGAAATAATTAATTAAATTATCAAAATAATTAAATAGAAATATTATAAATTAAGTAAGCATGAACACTAAAATTATCATCCTTTTGGTTGCATTATGCGCTTTTGCTTCTGCTCAAGCTGCTCCTGGCCAAAGAATCAAATACGAAATGTATATTGAATCTCTTTGCCCTGACTGCATGAACTTCATTTAAAAGTCTGTTGTTCCTGCTATCAATGTTTAAAATTTCTTAGAAATTGCTGATTTGACTTTCTATCCTTATGGAAATGCAAAGAGAGACCCTCAAACTGGAGCTGTTACTTGCCAACACGGTGAAAATGAATGTTATGGAAATAAAATTGAAGCTTGCGGTGCTAAATACCTCACCTAAAACTTACAATATTTCAAGCTCATTGCATGCATTGAAAAGAATATTAAAACTTACTCAGGCAACTTCGATAAGGTCTTAACTGTTTGTGGCTAAGATAAATCAGTCAAATTAACTTAAGATTAAGTCAACAGCATTAGCTAATGTGCTAACAATTCTGAAGGTGATTAATTAATTGCTGTCATTGCTGACAAAACCGATAGTTTAGTTCCTGCCCATAAATACGTTCCATGGGTTGTTGTCAACGGAGTTCACGACACTGATGTTGAAAATGCTGTTATTGATAACATGTTGAAGTACACTTGTCAAAACTACACTGGTCCTATCAGGCTCCCTGAATGTGCTAGATACACTCAAAATCAAGAAATTGAAGAAAAGTTAACTGAACTCCTCAAGTACTTAAGATTTGGCAACAAAAACTGAAAACAAAATATTAAATATTTTAAAATTATGAAGTGATCATTAAAAATAAATGGTCCATCTTTATACTTTAATGTTTTTACATATAAAATTGCATAAAATAAGCACTAACTTTCATAATTTTTAGATATTAAAAAAGAAAATAAAATTAAATTAATCTATATTTTGCATTTATATATATATATAATTAAATAATAATTTTAGAATAGTTATACATATGATTACACAGTGTACTATAACTATAAACAAAATAGTTAGAAGATTGCTATTAATTTATGAGAAAACAAATCAAAAAAAATATATTGCAAAAAATTCTATTTAATAAATTGATAAAATATATTAATCTTTAAAAAAGTTACAAACAAGAATTCATTTTATTTAAAATAAATTCATAAATTTTAAATTATTTAAAAAATTTTAAAGGATGAAAATAAATAATTTAAATAAAATTAATCATTTTTATTGAATTTTAATCAAACAAATATTATTAGTGTAAGCAAATATTTTTTAATGGTTAAAATAGTTTAAAAGCATGCTTATGTTTTGATAATATACAGATACTCGAAATGTATAGATGCTATTTAAGCATATCATTAAAAGTATCTAAACTTACACATATTTTAGAACTTTTTAGTATTCATATCATTTATGTTTATGGAAAATTCCTGATTAGATAATGTGAGGAGGAGGGTTAACTGGTTGAGGATCGAAAATTTGTTGCAATTTATTAAAGATAGTAGGAGCAACTGTAAGTAGACCAAAAGAAACAGTTGTAACAGTTTCCTTGAAGGACAAATCGAATTTACCAAACATCTTGTGCTTGAAAATCTTTTCATCTCTTATAATCTAATTTTTAACTTTTTCTAATGACTCTCTATTAATTTTCATCATTTCAATTTAGAGCTGTGCATCTTCTTGTTAGGTGTAAACTTTTCCTCTAAATCTTCTCTCTTTTCTCTATCCATTTGGATTCAGCTGATCGCTTGAAGTGTAAAAACGGGACTTCTCAATAATTTACTATACCATTTTTTTGTAAAGAGGATTTGAAACTTTTTATTAGAATTGCTCAGAGAAATAAGTATCGTACATTTGTATAAGATCGTCGTAAACACCAATCAATTCATTAATTAATTCTATTTGAATTTAGAAATTCTCATTGAATTCTGAGCTGTACCAGATACGAATGAAGAAAAAGATTGTAACCATCATAAAATCAGCAGTAGTGTGAATAACCATCAGAGGATGTAAATAGACTGAATTAGGACTAATGATGATGTAGATTTCACCATAAATTGACACACAAATAAGACCAATAAAAATGTAGTAAAACCCTAAGAAAATGTAACTTAACTCGAATTTTGTAGTGCTTTCTTGGTCAATTTAGCAAAATATACGACGAGAGTTGTCCCATGTTTCAAGACTGAGTGGACAAGTTACATCGAGCTTTTCTGTAAAATCTTCTACGTACTTGAAATCGCATAACTTATTGATACCCATGTCGATAATAAAGTTACGACGCTTAAGATCTTGATTGTTCATAGTTGTATACAAAATACTAATCATGTATATGTAAAAACCAGAAATGTTTAAAATGCTCATTAAATCAATATGAAGTTTGCTTTTTCCAATCAAGTACCAGAGGGGAATGATAACTTTCAAGCAAATGATAATTGCAAATACTAAGAATGGAGCAGATTCCTATTGGATATTATCAATACTCTTTTCATAGATAGGCCAAAGAATCTTATCTCTTGCACTTAATTTGGCTAATTTAAATTAAAATTTATTTTACTCTAATATTAAGATATAATAAATATGATTTTTACCTTAAATACCAGAGTTCTTGAGTATTTTAAGAGCCTCTATCTCATCTTTACTAATTTTTTATGTTGTGCTCTTACTTAGCTTATTATCAAGTAAATCAAAGAAGAAGAGAGATAAGTCAATATTTAACTCCTTAGCTAATTTAGCAACTCTGTCGTTAAATTCCATTTAATCTTAACTAAATGAATGCTGAGAAAGAGTCATGTGTTTTTAAGTACCTCTCTAAAACTACCCAGCCGACTTTAACTATTTAAGCTATTGATTGTGAATAACACCTAAACCTAGAGTTTCTAAATGCTCCTATCTCATCAAATACCTATTTAAGTTTAAATTTTTATTTTTTTTTTGGATTTAAAGTTAAATGCTTACTTAAAAGAACATGTGAATTTAGGTTTATCTTTCTAGTTTATGTTGTACAGATAGGAAATAAGCAAGATAAAAGATAAGAAAAAGACAAAGCAATTTTCGCACCAAATGTAATAAACATCTTCAGTACCAGAGAGCTTTCCCTGAACTGTTTTAAAAGTAATACCTACAACACTCAATGGTAAAACAATATCCAAAAAGTAAGAGCCAGCTAATTTCAAATATTTTTTGTAATCCTTCTGCTAGTCTTCATCATATTTTTATTTAATAACTCTAAAACTTTCAAAAAGCATTTTAAAAAGGTAGAGAGGAAACACTACAAAGCAATCAAGTAAAAATTCAACCATGAAAACAGCAAAGAACTAAAGATTTTCTTAAAAAGATCTTTGTTGAATATTGTTTGTTTAGGCAGTAATATCAAACCCTCCACTATTTGAAGGTTTAGGCATTAATAAAACCTCTGATTGCTAGTTTGGATTGTATGCGAACTAGCTCATCTTCACTTACCTACTTATTAACTAATTAACTTTATATTTATTATCAATAGCTGAATAATATAATAAATCTTTATGTTTATTTTCTTGATTATATTTTTAAAAATAACTTTTAATTTATTTCTCTTAATCAAATATTTATTTAAAGAATTTGAATCTAAATAAATTATCCATCATTCAAGCAATAAAAACAATAAAAATAAACAAGGTCAGTCAAAAATATTCGTTTTAATTTGGTATTTGTTTCTTTTAATAATCAAATACTTACATATAAAATTTAATTTTTAAATAATTTTAAACAATAAACATTTGCATAACATTTTTAAATAAAGCTAGACATTTTAAAATCCTTATTTTTTAGCAATTTTTATTAAAATATTCAAAAATAAATATAAAACTTTATTTAACAACAAGCAATTATAGAAAATATTTAATATTATAATTACTTAAATGAAAAAACATAAACAATATAAAAAAATTAAATTCAAAATTTAAATAAAATAAATTGTTATTAATAGGTAAAATATATTCATTAAAAATAAATTATCAATTATTTTTGTTATTAAAGCTAAGAGAAAAATTGAGATAATTAGGGTTGTTATTATTGATAAGGTTGTCTATTGAGATTAATTTAAATATGGCTGCATTATTTAAGCTTATACATTTGCAGGTTGTTAAAATAAAATAAAATAAAATTTAATTTAAACTTAGTGTTATTTAAATAAAAACTTTCTTAATTAATTAAAGGATTACAAATATTTATTTATATATTAAAGGATCATAGAGATATTCAACCTTTTTAAAAACTTTATTAAAGTTTATAAACAAATTTGTAGATTTATTTACTTTTTAAGAGTTATGTTTTAATGTATCAAGAAGAAACAACACACACAGTATATTTTTTGTAAATGATTCAAATATTATAAAACATTTGCTTAAAAGGATATTTAATATTTTAATGTAGACTATTATAATTTGGTGTTTAATTTATAAAAATCTTAATTATCTGAAATTGTTTTTATAAGCTCAGAAATACTTTTATATTAAGCTTTTATGCGAGCTTTAGTTAGTTAATAAGTAAGTTAATATTTAATCTTGAAAACTCTTGATAGAATAATTAAATTTTTTTTTCGCTAATGAAAATTATAACAAAAAGTATCAAAAAAGAATATTAAAATTAATCAAAGTTCTTATTAGTTTTTTGATTGATTTGCTTCCACTAAAATGCAAATCTACTAAAGTTAACTCAATCATATATATAGAGAAAATGAAAAGTATTAAAAGAAAAGAATTTCTACTTAGGCAAAAGCAGATAAATCTATAGATAGCTTCAATTAACAACTAAGTAAAGAGAGAAGCATAAGTCTGTTTGATAATTCTGATGCAAAAAACTAAATTGATGTACCTTTTTTTTCTTAAATAAGCATCACAAAAATAAAGTAGTAATAAATAAATTATTATTCAACTTATAGATTTAAGAAGAAGCTCAAAGATAAATCTTTAGCATAATAAAACACAAAGAGCCTGTGATTGCAAAGAAATACTTAACCAACCCTTCTTACTCTCCGTTATCAAAAAAACAAGTAAGCATATAAAAACTTAATTTATAGATTGATCCTTAAAATAACTATTAACGTCTCTATTGAGAATAATAAATATATCATTTAAATTTAAATTCATTTTATTGCAGCAAATTATGAAGTTTTAAAATTTAATAAAAATAGGTAAACAATTCAGTGATATTTCCACAGTACTCTGCTTAGCATTAGATAAAAAAATCTCCTTAAAAATAAAAATCTAACTCTTTTTTATTGGTAAAATAAATAATCATTAAGCTTTAATTGAGTAATTAGCTAACATATAAAATTTATACAAAAGCCTAGCATTTCTCCTGAAAAAAAAGGGAAAAAACAAATAATTGGAAAATTAGAGGAGTATCTTTAAAAATTTCATACTAATCTTTTAGAAATTCTTCATAAAGAAAACTCATCTTTTTCAGATATATCATACTTGGGTAACATGCGCTTACATTTAGTCTAATAAATTTTATTAAAAATATAATTAATTAATTAATGATTAAATTGAACTAACTTTATTTTAATGTTAAATAAATAGGACATGAAAAAAGCTAATTTTACATTTAGAAAAAGTTTTATAGCGATAGACTACACTATAACATACTCTCCAAAAATTACATTAGAAACTAAGATGGCTCTTAATAAATATACAATGAAGAGAAAGTTAGACATAAGGGATTAGAGGGAAAAATTAGCTCAATAGTAGATTTACTCGCTTATGATGATGTTGGGATGAGACTTTTTTATGAATCAGGAGTAGCTAGTTTAAAGCAAATGCATGATAAGTATAGAAAGATAAATATTTCTTTCAGTGAAAATGATTTATTATGCTTAATGAGGTAAATGATATGCAATACTATTGAGTTTATTTAAAATAAATGGTTTTATAATAATTATTAAGACTTGAATGGTTTTGTTTTTGTTAAATAAAGTGGGTATCAAGAATACTAAATCAAATATGCAAATCTTGTTAACACTTCAAACAACTAAAACGATTATCATTTTGAAAATATAGTTTTCAGTAATACTAATACAAACTTTTCTTAGCACCCTTCCACAATATCAATAACAAATAGAAGCGATTCTGATTAAAAAGATGAAGTAATTGAATCCTAATTAAACTCAATTTATTCTTAAAATGAAATTCCAAAAAAAGAACTCAAACTAAGTCCATAATAAATCAACTTGCATAGTGACAGCAACTTAAACTCTCCTGATAAGAATAGCAATTCTAATAGATAACATCAAGTTAACAAACAATAATACACATAAACATTAAGCTAAAGCTCAAGCAGTAAATTAAACAAATCAAGTAAAAGAAAAGTAGTTGAAGGACTTCAAAGTAGCATTTTAAGCCCGAATTAGAAAGAGCAAAATGAAACATGGTAAAAAATATAAATATATGAAGTGATGCAAATATGTTCGTTAATATACAATATATTCTTAGAATAGAATTTTGCAAATATAGATATCCGGATCAAGGAGGAAAATGAAATAGATTTCTTGAGCGACTACCCTAAATTACAGGATTATTTGCTTTCTTTTATAAAAAATTCTTAAAATTAAGATGCTTTTTAGTAGAATATCAACAAGCTAAGAAGAGATAAATCTATACCATAGTTTATTTAGATAGAAGATACTATTTTTGAATAAATAAAATAAGAATAAATTTAAATGCTCAATTTGAATTATTAGCAGCAAAAGCTAAATAAACAATAGTATATTCTCTAAAAAAATAAAAATAAAGAGGACTCATAAATTTCAGTCAGCAGAGAAGAAATCAAAAGCATAGCTATGATAGCGGTTTAGACTATTAATAAATAATTATAAAATGAACTTTAGATTTTATAATGTAGCGAAATAAGTCCAAAAATGTTACCTGAAAACTAAGAATACTATGATAAATTTATAAATAGCACTATAATTTAGCACTATGATAAATCAAGTTTATTAATAGTTGCCTAAATAGCAGACTAGCTCTTAGCTAGAATTAACGAATAGAATAATCCATTTTACTATGCAGAATAAATATATTGCAAGGCACTTGCTTAATTTAAATCAAGTAATTAAATTAATCAATAAATTAAAATTTATTAACATGTTATTTTATAAAAAGATTCAGATTCTACGAACAATATTTAGTTACTGAAATTCTGTAACCAAATTATTCAAAAAATATAAGGAAATGAACTGAATGAACTATGTGGAAAATCATACTTGCTTATGAGCTAAATAACTTTAAAACTTAGTAATAATAGATCTAAAGCTCTGGAATATGCTTAATTATCTTATGAAATAAGGAAATAAGTACATGGATCATAGAGCAGGACAATAGAATTCGTTGATTCTTTGAAGTAGATATCTTTTATTTATCAAATGAAAGGACAATATGAGGAAGCTTTTAAATATTTAGAAAAAGCTTATATTATTTTACAAGAAATATAGCATGAGTTGGATAAATCTATTGTTCAAGTATTGACTGAGCTCTCTATTCTATCATATAACATTTAGAATTTTTAAGCAAGTCAGAAAAAATGCTTAAAATTATTAGAAATTTACAAAAAAAGTGCTCCAAACGTAATAAACTATTGTTTTCCTTTTGCCATGAATCTTTACTCATTAGTCAGATTGAGAACTTTGCAAAACAGTTCTAATGGAAAAAGCATAGATAATTAAGTCATGAAAGATATATTTAAGACTAGCTTAAAGGCATAAAAATTAATAGAAAGTATTAGAGATGAGCAAAAGTCTTCAAACTTTCATTCAATTTATTATAATATTAAAGTACTGTTTCAAAACTTTCTAAAGTCAATAGAAAGTGAAGAGTATCTGATTAGCTTGTAAAAGACTCCTGAATAAAAACCGAAAAGTAATCCTATATATAAAAGAGTAGAACCTTTCTCCCTCCCTACAAACCCTATAATACAATTAGGGGATAACAAAGCAAGCCAAAATAGGTAATAAGGCTAATATAATTACAAATAAAGAAGCGTCAATTATATAAACGAGAACTAGAGAAATATAATAGATATATCTAACCATTTTTGAATTTAAAATGCTTTCTTTGCAAGATCTAATTAATTAAAGCCTTTAACAACAATACATAATTTTTTACTAACAAAAGAGTATTTTAATAATTTGTATATAGCTAATTTTTTGTAATTTAAATTATTTATCTATCTATCTATCTATCCCTTTGTATATGAAATTAAGTTTTATTATATTATTTTTATTGAAGAGAAAAATTATTTTATTCGTTAAATAAATTGATACATTTTTTTATTTAAATTATTAACACATTTCAAATTTGACAAGAGAGGAATTAGTAACAATTTAAGTAAATTAGAATTAAAAGAATACAATAGATTTATCTAATCATTTTGAATTCGAAAATTCTCTCTTTGCAGGATATAGTTAAATTAAGCTATTAACTGCAATTTATAATGTAGTATTAAAAAATGGGTATTTAAACTTACAATTAGCTACTTTTTTTAATTTAAGTTATTTATATGATATTTGTGTATAAAAATTAAATTTTACTAAATTATTTTAAATTATCAAAAAATATTTTTAATAAATAAATGATTTTAAGTGAGTTATATTTGCTATTTTAATTTACCTAAGTGGAAATTATTATTAAAATAATAGTATCTTTTAAATTATAACAATATTTTAGATAAATGAGAGCTAAAGGAATATAATAGCATCTCTAACCATCACTGAATTCGAAATATGTTCTCTTTGTAATATATTATTGATTGAAACCATTTAAAAAAATTTATAATAAATAGTTAAAATATTTATATAGCTGAAAATTTATTGTTGTTTTAGTTATTTAAACTTATTTTTATATATTTTGTGTATAAAAAGAATAAAATTTTAATAATTAATTTCTAATCTTCTAAAAAATTGTTTTAATTTTAAATTTGACTAATGTTTCATATTAAGTTATTTTAGATATTGTATGTAATTTGGAAAGAGAGGACTTATTTAAAATAAATACTATTTTTAAATTATAATAATTATGTCATCCTTTAAAAGAAAATATATGATCTTACGCATTCTAAAAATTAGTTGTAATCTTAATGATTTTCAAAAAATAATGCAAATAGATAGAAATAGTTTGCTAATATAACCTAAATGGGGATTTCTTTATCAAATAATTTGAATTGACATTTAAATCTAAAATTCGAAATAATCTAAATGAAAAAATCAGTTAAAATTGTGTGTTTTATTTTCTTTTTTATAATAGGAATCTATAAAATAAGTTAAAATATTGTTAAATCTCTTTTAACAAATTCAATTAATTTTAAAATTAGGTTTGTTTTCATATAAAACATTTTAATTTTTATTTATAAACTGCTTTTTTCTTTTATTTAATAAAAATTAAGTAACGAATTCACCTTCATAAACATTTTTTAATAATATAAAACATTTATGGATAAGCTTAGTGCTAATAAAAAACACTTTTTGACATATAATGATTTGTAAGTATTTGTAAAGGAATTGCTTTTTTTTAAGCATAGAAATATTTTTAAATTTTGTAAAGTGCATAAATAATAAAATTATGATAAGAATATATAAGTATACTTATTAGAGATGTTCTAAAACTTATGACTGATCGACTGACTACAAGAAGAGAAAAATAGAAAGAAAAAAATTATTTATTATTTTTGCATTTTGGTCATTTATAATTTTCTTTTCTTTTCCAGTTAAATAGTAGGATTTTAGAATGAAAAATAATAATAATAATAATAATATATACAAAGAAGACGTATTTGATTATTAAAAGCTTTTAAATAGGTAATAACAAATAAACAATAATAATTAATCAAAAAATAGAAATTATATTTAAAAAACTAAAAACAAAAGAAACAATTTCATTAATTATTGAGAATAACTGCTCCATGGACGAGTTTGAAGTGATATACACAGAAGAAGATATCAAGGCTGTCTAAAATCAGCTTAACTCTTTGACTAAGAGCTATAATTAGCTCGTAAAAGAGAAAAAAGATATAGAAATTTTTGTTGATACTCTCAGAGAAAAAGTTCATTCTCTAGAATCAACTAAATAGCTCTATGAATAGGCCCAGTAATAGCTACAGACTTAAAAGCAAAGCATTTAAGACCTGTAAAAAAAGTAAGAGGCTATTCTTGCTTAGAAAAATGAGTAAGACAACAAGCTAATCAAGGTCATGAAGGAAAAATACAACATACAACAAGAAGTATTAAATTTAATAATTTTTCATTACTTATTTATAATTAATTAACTAACTAAAATATGGATTAGAGTATTTTAATTCTCTTCTCACTTTTTAGTTTGAAAATATCTTCCTAATCGATTAACCTAAAAAAAAAAATGAGTTTGAATTCACTTTTGTTTAGTTTTCATATAAAAATTTAAGAATTGAAGTAAATTTCTTTTTGAAAAAAGAACTTTATAATAAGAGTATAAAGTGACTATTACTACTTTTTCTTCTAGTTTTTTTATGGATTTTTGATCTGGTTTTATAAATCAGAAAGATAGTCTTTTATCAGAACAACTGAAGACTTTTTAATTAGAAAAATAATTAATTACTCTATTATCAATTGAATTTCTTAATTAAAAATGCTTTAATGAATATAAACTCACTTCTTATTATAAAACTTATTGTTTTTCAGATTATTCTCACTTTCAAATGAAAAATTATTTGCAGCGGTTTTTTCAACACTTTTCGATTAACCAAATTTACAATTTGATAAAAAAAATGCTTTTAAGCTAATTAAATTTAATTGCAGACATCTTATTTATTTATTTTATTTTTTTTGAAATAGCTCGAAAAAATAAAAAGCTCTAATGAAGAACTGTCAGTTACTATGATTGATGAAATGGAAGAAATGAAAAAAAAGATGAATATCACATTTTAAGAATAATCAAAAATTTAATAAGAGGCAACACGCTAGCAGATTCTTCAACTCTAATAACTTTCCTAACAGAAATTGATTGAAAAATAAATGGAATATGAAGAGATTTGCAATTTGCTAGAAAAGACTAATTAAGAACTTAGTTATTAACAGGAAATGTGCAAAGAACTTGAAAAAAAATTAGAATACTCAGCTGAAAAAATAAAGGAATTGAGCAACAAATTAGCTGAGGAGAAGGCAAATGTGGAAGCATTGAAAAAGTAATTAGATGAATACAGAGAAAAATACTAGAAAAACTTAGCTTCTCAGAACCAACTTAAAGATGAATTGTTGAACGCCTAGGCTAAAATCAAATAATTAACAACTTAACTCTAATAAATCACTGATTAATAACAACTTATTTCTGGAGAGTCTTCCAATTATAGAAGCTAACTTTCTAAAATGGAGGAAGAACACAGAAATTTAGTTGAGATTCAAAAATTTTTGAGTAATGAAAACTCTGAGTTGTCCAACTAATCTCTTAATTTCAAGAAGTAAATTGAGTAACTCCAAAACTAATAGTAAGAATTTAAAAAAGCCATTGAAAGTAAAGACTAAGCTATTGAAAAATTGAACTTAGAAAAATCCTAAGATTTAGTAAAGCTAGAAACCAATTACAGAAGCAAGATAGATTCTTAGATGAAAGACATTGATTAGCTTACCAATCGTTTGAATGAAGTTGAAATGAACTATGCCAAAACTTTAGATAAGCTTGAATCCAGTGAAAACACTTGCAGAGACTTATTATAGCAAATTTAAAACTTGCAAAACGAGCTTTAATCTCAGAAAATGATAGCTTAAGAAAATATCAATTAGCTTACTTAGAAACTCAAAGAGAAAGAAGAAAAACTGGCTGCTGTTTAGAAAAAGTATGAGTAAAACTTGTTCGAAATTTCTTAGAAAGAGCAGCAAAACAATTCATACATTTAAGATCTCAACAAAGAAGTAAACAATCTAAAAAATATTGTAACAACAAAATCTAGAGAAAACGAAATTTTATAGAATTAAAATCAGTCAATTGTTGTTTTGGAGGAAAAGCTCAAAATTAGCTTGTAATAGCTGTAATAAGGAGCTTAAAAAGAAGAGAAATACAGAATAGAAATTGAAGAAATTGCTATGTAGAAAGAGTAGTATGAGAAATTGATGCATGAAACTACTAACCGCATTAATTAAATGAGTATGTAATTAAAATAATGCAAGGAAGAAATTTCTTCTTTGGAAACCAAAATTGAATAAGATAGGAAACAGTATAATGTTAATTTAGAGGAAGAAAAATAAAAAAATGAATTTGCCAACAGCTAAATATAGGAATTGCAATTTTTGTGCTAGAAACTAAAAGAAGAAATACTAGAAAATGAAAATGTGCTATCTTACACTTAGTAATAATTGCAATAAACTGAAGAATAGTTGTAATCTGCCAAGGATTAAATTAATATAATGAATTAAGCTATGTTTGAAAGAGAGTCTTATCACTCAGAAGTTTTAAATCAACAATAAAATTCTAATCTAGAATTAAATACTTTGAAATTAGAGAAAGAAAATTATCTCAATTTAGTAACTGAGTTGCAAACCACAAATTAACAAATAAAGCAAGATAATAGCTATTTAAAGAGTGAGAATGATAATTTAAAAAAACAATTTGAAGAACTTTTGCAAAATAATTAAGAAAATTTGTATTAAAAAGATGAATTGCTGTAATAAAACGAAAATTTAAGCTAACAATATAAAGTACTCAAGTAAGAGAATCACCTTATTTTGGATAATATTCAATAAATTAAGCAAGAACTAGAGTCCAAAAACAAAATTTAATCTGATGATTTAAGGAATGCAAATAATTAAGTCAACATTGCCTTTAGTACTTTCTCATAGCTATTTAGTCACTTGGCTCTAGTAGTTGGCTAATAAGTAAGAGATGAACAATTGCTAGACACTTTTAATTAATCTAGCTAAATTTAGAATACTTTGGATTAGCTCAATTTATCATCAAACTTTGAAAGCAAACTTAATTTTATGAAAGAATCAATGACATAATTTCTTTCTACTATCAAAAATATGAGTGATGAAAGACTCTAGAATAACTAAGTTTCTTTACAATTAAAGTAATAGGTTGCTCAACTGTAATAAATCAACTAAAACTAACTAGAGTAGAGTTAGAGCGAAAGATAATAGCTTTAAAGTTAAATCTAAGAGCTTGAATAATCTAACTAACAACTCAACTAAGAAATAGCTAAGTTGAAGTAACAAGCCAACTAATGTATCTCCCCAAGCAACTAAAACTCTAAAGATAATTTCTACAATATGAACTACGAATAGCTTGAAAATGACTATAAGATATCTCAATCAATATTGCTTGACTAGAAGTAATAGCTCAAAGACTTAAAGTATGACTTGGAGTAGAAGATTAAGAAATACTAAGAAGAAAACTAAGTATTTGCTTAATAGAATAAGGAACTTTAAGACAAAGTCTCTTTACTAGAAGCCCAGAAAACAAGTCTTTCTAAAGAATATGGAGAACAATAAAACTGCCTTAATGATTGTTTTGACAAGATATAATATCAAGAACAAGAAATCTAAAACTTGCAATAGCTTTTAGAAGAATCAGACTTTGAAAATGTTCTTTTAAAGAAAATTCAGCAAAATAATGAACTAAACGTAGAAGAAGAATCCAGAAACAAAATGAATTCTGAAATTATTGAATCTGCCAAACAAAGCATAAGCAATATTGCTAGACACTTTAATCTAAATCAAAAGTGAACTAATGTTGAAAAAAATAATTCAGAATAAAATATGCTATTTTCTTACATAAAAATAATAAAAGGCAATTATCTATCTATCTAAGTAGTTGAAAAATGAGCATAAAATAAATATTCTGTTATATGATAATAATTATATAAACTTTGTTACAAAGCAAAAATTACTTTATATAATACCTATATATACTAATATACTTACTTGTAATCCACTCTATATTATGTTATTTAATTATACAAAAATATAATTTTTATACTTTAATTTATATCAAATTACTAATTACTAACCTATTCATAGCAAATTACAATTTACTTTTAATTAGAAAAGTATTTCGACTCAATAAAAAAATAATAAATATTTTTGCTTTAAGTTGCTTGAACAACAACTACAAGATTAAGGTCATTTCATGCTAATTTGTAGTCTCTAATACCTAAACAAAGAATATTTTTCAACATATAAAGATAAAAAAGAAGAAGAAGAAATTGATATTAGAGATAAAAACATATTTATAATATTCTTAAATCAAACATTTTCATAAACAAATGCCATATGCAAAAAAAATATCTTTCTAAAAATATTATTTACTTTTTTATTTGCTTATTTATTTATTTATAACTACAAATAAAGAAGACATTAGCTAAACTTATTCCAAAATTCTAAAAAATTAATTATGGTTGAAATTGTAAATAATATCATCTCAAATATTATTTTCTACTTCAATTATAAAAAATAAAATCGATCGTATATAAATTATTTAACATATTTAATTTAGGAATTATAATTCTGTTTATTTAAGCAATATCTATGAATTTAAAATCCATCCAAACATTAAAATCTAAGTTTTAAAAATTTTTTCATTAAATTATGTTTTTGTTCTACTTAGTTACAAAAGTTAATTCAAAATTCTTAAAAGTATTCATTCAAATATTTAAAGTTAAGATTTTTTTTTTTCTGAGCTAATTTTAATTATATTTATTGAATTCTATATATAATTAATTTATAGGACCTAACCATAAGATTTGAGATAGTATTTATATTTAAAATAAAATTCAAACTGTCTCAAAACTGATAATCTTTATTCTTCAATAAAAAATATTACATAAATATATTACCTAATTTATAATTTTTGAGAAGCTCGAATAATGAAGGGTATTTATGTTTAAATATTGCAAAATATTTAAGTTTATTTTATTTACCTTAGAAATTACAATAGATTCGGCTTTTTGGATGCATACTGACTTATTTTTATTTAAAAACTCTCATTTTATATCATGTAAAATATCAGTCATTGCTTATCTTATTTTTGGTTTAATGTCTTATCAAATTAATTGTTATTTTCCACACGAATAATAATAAATATATTCACATAAAAATTTAATACAATACATACGAGATAAAAGAATTACATCTAAATTTTGTTTCTAATTTAGATTCTTTTAATTAAAGATTAACTGTCGTCTAGAAAAATATTGAATAAATATTAAGAATATTACGTAATTAAAAAATAGAAGATAATATCACCTTTTTGTGGTTAATCTGATTGTCTTTTTTTTATATATTTATTTAATTAAGATTGTTTATTTTAATTTAATAAAAATTTGTGAAAAAATGTTATTATAAATCTAAATAACATTTATGTGAGTTATCTCAACAAAATAAATATCTTATTTTTAATTACTCTAATATTGAATAATAAGTTAACCTTATCTCGCTTTTTGCTTGAGCTTTATTGATTGTAACAAATGATTATAAATTAAGTTTTTCATATCAAATTTTATTTTGGTTATAGGCTCTCAACTGTCGGTAAGATATAATTTGAGAAAAGATTTAAATGAAGAATAATTTGCATTATTAATTTATAAATTATAAAAAAACAAAATATAATTTCAAATAAAAAATACAAATATATTTTTCTGCTTGTTAATGAGGCTATCTTTTTAAAGTAAAGATTAATTGATTGAAGAGAAAGAATTATAAAAAGTGATTGATTTTTCCTGTGTTTTGCTAGATCAAAAGTATTAAACTAATGATATTTAGTATCTTACATTAACTGAATGCTTATTTGTTACTGATTATATATTTAGTCTTTATTAAAGTAAGAGTTATTATTATTCACTTTGTTAAATAATAAATATTTTTGCTTGATAAAAATAATAAAATACTTATTAAATAGTTGACAACAAAGAGAAAACATCTATTATAGAACAAATTAAAGAGTTAACATTTATTTTTAAAAAGTTAACAAGAAATGATTTTAAAATTTATCTAACTAATGTTTGCTCTGGGTATAAAAAAAGAGACCAAAATATATAAATAGAAGAGTATTCATTTTTAAATAATTTACTTATTGTTTAATATTTTTATCATAATAAAAGTTTGCTTGAATATTTTAATACTAAATTAATTGTCTATATTGAAAATTATTGGATTGAATTATAAGATTAAGGCATACATTTCATAACTAAAGAGTAATGCAAAGAATTTATATGCAGCATAACAGAAAAATACAGTAATTAGCTTCATCATTAGTTCATAATAAATTTAACTTTAATTAATTAATAATAATAGATGTCTAATATTCCTAGGTTGATGAGCTTGTTCAAAATGCTTTAAAAGAAATTCATATGTTTGTGTTTTTTGAAGATTGCATATCTATCTTACTTTAAATTGCTAAATAGCTTAATTTTAAAAAAAAGAAATTTAATTCAGGTAAGTAATGTGCTTGTCAAATTTTTTGATAAACTCTTATTTGTTATTACCAATTACTTAAAAAAAACATAAATCATATAAAAATCTATAATTAATTCTAGTTTTAATATATCTCTAAGAACAATCTTCATATAAAATTTAATGTGTAGAATTTATATTAATAAAATTAAATAAATATAATTTTTTTTTGTGTATCAATAAAGTATTTTTTTTAAATAGAATGTTTTAAAACCTAATCACTTTAATAAATATTTAAAATTACTAAAATTCTAAAATATTTTCAAAAAATAGTTTTACAATATCAATAAAAGATATTAATTTTTATTTTAAATTCGCAGGTTAGTTCTCTCACCTAAATTAACAAACAATTATAAAAGAATAAAGAATATTACATTAATAAAAAAATAAGAATGTATGCATAATATTTAATCAGATTTTATGATAATTATTATTACCTAATTGAATTAGCTTTTTGTCTATCGACTAAAAAAATATTTATTAAATAAACAAACGACTTCTGAATAAAATATCTGCAAAAAAAATAATTAATTTGGTTACTAATTTCTTTTTTTACAAAGAAAGCACTACTTTAGAAAATTGTATCAATTCCAGCAACAAAATTCTAATTAATTATCTTTATTAGATTTATTAAAATGTAGTTTTTAATTTCAACTCTAATTTAAGATTGGAATAAAATGTTTTAAAACTAAATTACTTTAATAAATAGTTAAAATTACTAAGATTCTAAAAGATTTTAAAAAATAGGTTTTACAATAACAACAAAAAATATTAATTTTTATTTTAAATTCGCAGGTTAGTTCTCACCTAAATTAACAATTAAATAAAATGATAAAGAATATTATATTAATAAAAAAATAAGAATGCATGTATATATTTCATCAGAATTTTATGATAGTTGTTATTACCTAATAGAATTAGCTTTTTGTTTATCAACTAGAAAAATATTTATTAAATAAACATTTATGAATAAAATATATGCAAAAAAAATAATTAGTTTGGCTACTGATTTAATTTTCTACAGAGAAAGCACAGCTTTAGAAAATTTATATCTGTTCCAGTAACAAAATGCTGTTTCTCTTTAGTAAATTTATTAAAATGTAGTTTTTAATTTCAACTCTAATTTATGAATGGAAGGAATAATTTATTTAATGAATAATTTTATAATCAATCAGAAGAATTCATTTATTTTAAAGATATATGACAAAAAATTTATTTAAGATTAAAAATATATGATCATTATTATTTTCTTACAGTCTTTTAGACAGAAAATAACTCAGAATATTAGAAAGTTGTTTTTTGTAAATTAAATATCAACTTTATTTAAAATAACTGTTCCTCTCTATAACCAACTTGTCTTAAAATTAATTAATCAAATTTTTTTAGCAGATTTATAAAATTAATTATATTATTCTACTTAATTTTGTCTGCTTTAGTCATACTAATAAATAAATCAAACTATATTATTCTACAAAATTTGAAAATATTCACAAATTTAGTTGAACATAATTAATTATTCACACATAACATCAGAATTTAAAACTATTAAGATGAAGGAAACGCAAATATATATGATAAATAATTTTAAAGAATAGATAAATAATTACAAAATAACTTACCTGTATTATAAAGAAGCTTTTAAATTTTAAAGTTTTATTGAAATATTTGTCAATTCTATTATCATAAATTAAAATTCATTATCTTTTCATAATGAGTTAATTTTTTAAAAGATATCAATAAACAACTCGACTGTGTTTTACTAAAGTACGTTTGAATAATTGATTTTTTAGTTAGATAAACACTACTTAATCATAATTAAATTTACAATTTTATGGAAATATAATTAATATTGTTTTTGCAAAATTTAATTTAGTTAACTCTAATTTTGTGTTTATTCTTTACTTAACTTGAAAGTGATAGAGGTATTAATTTAATAAAATTATGTAAACAAACTCAATAAACTAACTCTTTTCTTTTTAGACTATAATAAGCTAGCTAATTTAATTATATAACCTTAAATAAATATACAACTAAATACCTTGTATGCTCTATTTAACTAAAAAAATTTACAAATTTTATATTTTCAATAGGTGGTAAAATATAGATTAGTTATTTAGATTTGGTAAAATGCTTAAAGAGGTTATTTTAGTCGATATATTACGCTATATTTAATTTTGATATTAGTTATGATTATTAAAGAAACTAGTTTTTTAATTGAAGAACTTAATTAAGATAATATTAATGTATAATTTTTATTATTAATAATATATTAAAACTCTACAAAATTATTAAAAGTAAAAGATCTAAATTTTTTATCAATAATGAATATACCTAATTTGATTAATGAATAAAGGATTCATATGAAAGAATCAATAAATATTATAGAACAATCATTTGAATAAGTTAATTTACAGTTTAAAACTTACGATATGTGCTTTTTAAGCTACTTAGAATGCTTATTTGTAACTGACTATCTCTTTAGTATATATGAAGGTAAGAAAATTTATTTGTTTGTTTTTTTTTAATTTCTAATTTAACTTGCCTTTGGGTTATTTGTTTTATTAATTTGATAATATAAAAAAGCTGACGAAATTTAAAAGCAAACTATATTAGAAAATGTTAAAAGTATGACACTCTCTAAAAAATACTCTGCTTAAGTAAAAAGAGATGATTTTAAGGTTTATCTTGCCAATGCCCTTTCTGGTTTAAAAAAGAGAGAAAATAATATCGTGATAGAAGAGTAAATAAAATTTTATTTGTGTTTGTTTAATAATAATTTAATAAAATTTTGTAATAATTAATTTCAGTTTACTTAAATATATTGACACTTAATTAATCATGGAAATTGAAAGATATTGGAATGATTTAAAAGAATAAAAAGATATCACATTCATTAGTAAAGATGAAAGTATTTAATTGATTTAAGACATAATCTAGAAATACAGTAATATTTTTTAATTTTATAAAGAGATTATATTGACTTTTAAAATAAATTAATTAGGAATTGATTATTCGCTGGTTTGTGAATTAGTTGAAAATGAATTAGAAGCGATTCACAAATTTGTTTTCTTTGAAGATTTTATATCAATTCTTCTCAAAATTGCAAAGGAGCATAATTTTTATAAAAAAAAATATATCAAACGACACAAATAAGATTGTGGTTGTTAAATTTTTTGATCTTAAGCCAGCTTTCTAAGTCTTAATAACCATCTAATTAATTAAAAATATTAGTTTTATCACTTATTTATTTTCAATTACCTACCTAAATTTATTAATTTAATCTGAAAGATGTAATAAACAAAAGTAAATAAATGCTCTACTCTATTAAAAAAACTATAATCTGCCAATATCTATTTTCAAAATCTGAATCAGTAATATCACTTAGTTATCAAATCTAATCTCAAAATTAAATATATATCAATATACTTTACAATAATAAATTATATTAATATCTCTAAATTTCTAACATTTTTAAAAATAATAAATGTATTAAATATCCATATATAATCAATTGTATAAGTATAAGCTCTATTACGAAAGTTAATCTATTAGTTAAATTATATCAAAAAAATAAGAACTTTTCTTTTTAATTTTAAATTGTGTTTCGCTTTTTTCATTTTTACCTTTTAAAATCCAAAATCTAATTTCTTGATTAATAGATTAATTTTATAACATTTAAATATTGAAAAAATTTGTTTATATTTACCAAACTTTTCAAACAATTCCAGAGTATTTAAAAAAATTAAAAACTATGACTTATTTTGAATCATTTAAAAATAATTACAAAACAAGTAATTCACTTTGTTAAAATGTTAATTTCTTTTTAATATAAAGTATTAATTCTAATTTAAGCAGTTCATTTTAAATAATTATTTTTAAAACGCATCTCCCTTTAACATAATTATTCTAAAATTACTTTTTGAAAAAATATATTGAACAAATTTTAATTGAATACAGTATATTGATAATTGTATATTTAGATATTTATTTATTTAGTTAAAATTGTATAAATTGTAGTAAGATTTAAATGAAAAGATATATATTTTTTTTAAAACATTTAACAAGTTAGGATTTATTTTAAATACAAAAGTAATCAAAATTTTTTTTTAATTAAACATTTAATAAAGTAAGTTAAAGTCATTAATTTAATAAAATATTTAATAATAAAAAAGACAAATTTTAATAAACTTAGAGCAATTCTAAATAATTTAAAAGTATGGAAAAATCAAAGATTAGTATCTAGGTTAAGAGACTTGTCAAATTCTATTAATAAACTTCTAGATTGCTATCTTAAATATTCTTATATTTGTGAATATTTTTAATATAATTTTATAATCAATATCAATCAAATTTTAAATTTTATTTATCAAACTGCTTTTTATAAGGATCAATTTATTCGAATTTATACCAAAAACAATGATTTATCTCCAGTAAAATACTCTTAATTCATATAATATAGATAATTTTTTGCATAAGTAAACATTTAGATTTTAATAGAATTTAATAAAAATTTAATTTTCTAATAAATTATTTATTTATTTTAAGTACAAAAAATTCTTAAAATTCTTTTCTTCAATTATATTTTTAATACCTTATCAATTTTAGCTTTTATTTTTAACAGACAACAAAAGAATTCACATTTTCATGTTTTATTTTTCATATTATTCATCTTATTTTTAAAAACATGATTATTTCTTTTTAAGTATTTTGTATTCTTGAATTTTAGTTTTTTAAATTTAAAAAATAAATAATCACAATTTCAATTCTAAAGAATTTTAAAATATTTGTTAACATTGCTCTTGATAATTATAAAATAACAAAAGATATTAGAAGAGATTATTTATATCTCAGCTAATTGATTTTGTTACATTTTTAAATAAATTGCCAGTAAAATTTATTTTATACTTTTTAATAGATTCTGATTATGCTAAAAACTAGAACGCTCTAATCATACAAAATAATGCTTAATTGCTTGATATTTGATTATGAGTAATTTTAATAATTAATTTTAAAATTAAATTAATATTCGAAGAAAAATAATTAATTAAAAATGAATTTCTCAGCAGAATAAGAAGCAAATCTAAATAAACTGAATGAAAATATAAACTTTGCTTATTAGTTGGTTAATAAAAAGTATAAATACTATGATCAAACTTACATCTCTATCGATTAGAGCCTATTTGTAACTGATTATCTTTTTAGTAACTTTGAAGGTATTAATTATAAATACTAACTTCATACCAAATTTAATTTTATAATTGACTTATTAATTTTAAAAAAGTTGATCGCAGGATGTAATAAACAATTATACATGAAATCTAGAAAATGGGAAAATCTTAAAAAAAGTAGTTATTGAGAAGAGATGATCTCAAATTTTACTTATCTTCGAATTGTTTAGAGTATCCAAAAAGAGAAAAATAAGTTTTTATATAAGAGTAAATGTCAATAAATATTTTTATCAATTTTAAAACTAAATAAATTTAATAAATTAGTGTTATAGATTATATTGATGTAAAACTGATAAGAGAAATAGAGAAACTGTGGGTTTTATTTAAAGAACAAGAAATAAACTTCATTACAAAAGAAAAAGCTATTGAATTAGTATAGATCTTGATTAAAAAATATAGTAATTAATTAATTTATTTATTAAATATATTTTCTAAATTAATGATCAATTTAAACATTTTAAATTTGTATCAAAATAGATGTTAAATATTCAGATGTGAATGAAAAAATTGAATAATATTTAAATAAACTATACAAACATGTTTTTTTAGAAGACTTTATTGCCCTAATTATTTAAATTGGAAGAGACCATAATTTTTAATCGAAAAAAGAAATTGAGTAAAAATAAAATTGCCGATGCTCTATATTTTGACCTAATAGTTGGCACCTTATTTTACACCAACTAAGATGCTGTTTTTACTATTTATTCTATTTATAGCTATATTTTTATTTTAATTTTCTTTTATATGTGTTGTTATATTTTCTCAAAAATAAATTATAATTACATTGCTTAAAAAATTATTTTTTTCTTCGATATATGTTTTAACTTCACTTTTTTGGTTTTAATTTTATAATGTCTAAATCATTATTAAAAATAGAAAAAAAAGATAGATTATATTATTATTTTATAATAGAAATCTTCATACCAACTAAGATATAAATTCTTTTAAATAAAATTTATTTTTTTTGCTGATTATTTGAAATAAATCTTTAAAAGTAAAATTTTTAATTTTAAAAATATTTAAAATAAATTTGGCTAATTTTTATATAAAATTTTTATTTATAAAGTAACCCAAATTTTAATTTTCTTTTTAACTTTTAAAAAGAAAATGAAAGGAAATGAGTAAATAAAATAATTGAGGTTATTTGAAATACCTAGAGATATTATTTTTTTTCTAACAAAGTGATCGATCATATTACATTACATTTAAGTTAGTGGTAAGTTTTTGTGAAATAAAGCAAACATAATTTTTGATAAGATTAATAAATAATAATTATTAAAATAATTAACAAAATCTGAAAAAACATAAAAAGGAAAAGACTAAAAAATTTAATTGATGAATAAATCTGAATAAATTACAGAAACTCAAGCTGAGATACATGAATTAAAACATTTTATACATGAATCCTACTAGCAAGTTAATTTGCATTTTAAATGTGATGATACATACTATATCAATTTCGATGAATGTATGTTTGTGATTGATTATCTGTTTAGTATTTACTAAGGTATGCATTTTTATTAGATTAAATTTTTTCTATATTGTCGTTTTTTTTAAAAAACAAAATAATAACTTTTAAAAAGTCGACTCTGCCTACAAATAATAGATTGTAGAACACATTAAGGGTATAAAATTTTAAGAGAAACATTCAACTATAAAAAGAGATAAATTTATAGTGTATCTCTTACAAGTTTTCAAAGGGTTAGTAAAAAGGGAATAAAATATTACTATGGAAGAGTAAGAATATATTTAAATTATTTATACATTATTTTAAATAGCTCTATAAAAATTATAGTTTAATTGTATATATTGACACTAAATTAATTATGGAAATCGAAGATTATTGGGATAGATTGAAAGAGAATGATTAAACATTTATTAGTAAAGATGAATGCATTAGATTAATAAAAGATGTTCTCTAGAAATTTGGTAATTTATTTGCTCATAAATTTAATTAATTTAGCTTTTTATTCGTAAAATAGATATTGATTATTCAAAAGTTAGTGAGTTAGTTGATTGGGATTTAAAAGAAATTCACAAATTTGTTTTCTTTCAAGATTTTCTTTCAATTGTCCTTTAAATTGCTAAACAACAACATCTTTAACATAAAAAATACCATGATAAGTAAGCCTGTAGTTGCTAAATATTTTGATAAGCATACCAAATTATGATGAATAAAAAATACTATTATATACGATTATCATATCTGAATTCCATCCATATCTCTTTCACCTCTAATAGTCAAACCATTATAAAGTGGACTTAACCAAAATAAAATTTAAGCAAAATTTAAATGCACACTAATAAAATTATATTTTCTTTAACTTTAGATTAAAATATTTCTTGTAATTAATATTATAAAAAGTAAAAAGAATTGCTATTTTCAATTCTTAAATGCTATATTTTTGTATATGAATTAAAAAATTGTATTAATTTAAATTTATAAGTAAGAATATATTCAATTTTATAAAACTTCAAGCAATTATATGATTATTTAAAATTATTATTTATTAATCTAAACACAAAGATAAAATAATTTCTTTAACTTTAATTTTCAAAAATATAAATTATAATTTTTTTTATAGTCAACAAAATATTACTTTTAAGGCTGTTACTTAGTCTTTAGCAAGTGATATATATTAATAAACATCTTGAGATTATGAAACAAATTAATTTACTTGCCTTTAAAATTAATTAATAATTTTGTTGCTTATTTGGTTTAATATAAAGAATAATTAAATGAAAATAGATCTAAAAGTAGAGGTAATTGTTATTTAATTATTATGGTTTGTTTGTTTTGTATTTTCTTATTTCCATTTTGAAATAAAATTTAAGTGATTTAGTAAAATAGATTAAAAGCATATATATTTTCCTTGATAAAGTTATTTAATGTCAGGTTTTCTATTTATGAATATAGAAACATTTATTAATTTAATTATTAGTTGCTATTTTATTGAATAAAAAAATACATAAAAATTCTTGAAATTAATTGTAAAAAATATCCATTAAATTATTTTTATAGAAAAAATAATTGCTAGTAAATATTTATAAATCTATATTATATTAGATAATCTCATACTATTACCAAATTTGTCTTAAAATTAATTATATTTTCAGTAAAAATGCTCATTATGTAAATTTAGATACAGCCAGCCTAATTAATTAAAAACATTTTTGGATTTTTTATGGCTATTATAATTAAATCTAATGATAAGTAGTTATTATAAATCTTGTTGACATTCAAATAAACAAATTTCAATAAATTCTAGAATAAACAATTGTGTTTTCTTCTTTTTTGTTATGCATTTCAATAAATGGAGGATTTAAAATAATGATTTTTTTATGCTAAAATTTATTTTTAAATTTTATCTAAAATTTTATCGTTTCTAAAAAAATAGCTTATCAGTTTAACCCTGTTAAATGCCATATAAATTTTTTATTTTCTAATTAATAACAAAAACGACTCAATATATCAATTATTTTTAATTTTAAAGAATTATTAATTTCTAAGTGTTTAGTTAATTTAAAGTGCTATTCTTAGAATATTTTTATAATTTTTAATATTAGATAATTTAATATTCAAAATAACTTAATAGTTTAAACGCTTTTAATGCTTAAACTTAAAAATGCTTAAGATTTTACTTTTGTTTTTTATATATTTAAGATTTATTTAACATGTGTTAATATATTTATATCCAGTAATAACATATTTTTATTAAAAACGATAAGATTTAAAGCTGGTTAGTAAATCGATAAAAAGGATGCAATCTATTTATATAATTTTGGAAATCTACTTAGATTAATATAATAATAAATTAAAATAAACATTTATAATAAATATTAAGAGATGGAATTATCTGATGAACAATAAACTAATACACGTACTATTAGTAAAAGTATATACTCGGCATATGAACTAGTAAATAAAAACTATAAGGATCATGATTTTACCTATATTTCTATTGACCAGACTTTATTTGTTACAGATTATGTTTTCAGTAATTTTGAAGGTAAAAATATTTTACAATATTTGCTGTTTGTAAAAATATTATAATTATAAAAAGTTGATAAAAAAATGCAATAAACAATCATAAAATAAATCAAATAAATGGGGAAGACTAAAAAAAAATAATTAATAAAAAGAGAAGATCTCAAAATTTATTTGTCTTAAATATGTATGGGATGCCGTAAAAGATAATAAACTGTAGGAATTGATGAGTAATAAATACATTTTTATCCTAAAAAATTATTTTAATTTAAAAACTTAACATAATAAATAGTGTTGTAAATCATATCGGCATGGATTTGGTCTTGGAAATAGAAAATATGTGGATTTAGTTCAAAGAACAAGAAATATACTTTATAACCAAAGAAAAAACTATAGAAATTGTAAAGAGCATCATTTAAAGATACAGTAACTAATATATAAATTAATTAATATACTTATCAAATAAATTATTTATTTTACAAAACTTTCAAATTAATTTTAAAATAATTTTAATTTAATAAATAAATATAGAAATCGATTATTCCAAAGTTAGTAATATAGTTGAAAAAAATTTGAATTCACTTTATAAACATGTTTTCGTAGAAGACTTTATTTCATTAATCACTTAAATTGGAAAAGAGCATGATCTGCGCTAAAAGAAAGTGAAAATATAAAAATAAAATTGTGGATGCACAATTTTTTGATTCAGCAAACTAAATAATTAGTTTTTATTTTATTAATAACTTCTACTGGTACTACTTACTCTAGTTATAATTATAAATAAATTATTAAAATGTTATATTAAATATATCTTAATATTATAAAACTATTCTTTTTTGTTTTATTTCTTCTGTAAAATGTTAAATTTTTAATAAGTCAAAATAATCTGAGTAAAACTTAATTTCAATTCTTTAATAATAATTAAAATATTCAAACTAAAAATCAAAAAAAAAAAAATTAGTAAGTAAGAGAAATGCATTTCATATTTGATCATTAATCAATCAATTATGTTTACCTCCATTTCCTTCCTGATAATTTTTAAAAGAAAGAAAAAAATTTATAACTTAACATAAAATGTTGTCATATTTTTTAAAAAGTTGTCTTCATTCCTTTAAAACCATAAACTTAAGGGATCATGGGATTTTCATATATAGAGAATGATAAATTTTATTTAATTATTTAAGTTTATTTTTATTAATATAGTTTTTCTTTGTTAAAATTTTATTTTTATAAAATACCAATTTAAATTTATTTTTTAAATTAATTTACCATAATTTTTTTAAAAAAGTATCATGGCTGGCTAAAGAAAATATTAGCCATAAGTAAAATGAAACAGAATTTTTGAATGGCATCTTGCTATACTATAAGTTACTTTCTATGAAATATATGTAGTTTTTTATGTATAATAATATTGATATATATTATAAGTAAAACTTATTGCATAAAATATTATTAATTATCATTTTATATTTGCTTTTTCACAATGGTTATTGTAAATCAGTGTAATGCTGTTCTAGTTTGCTATATAATTCACTTGTAAGTTAAAGTATATTCTTTTAATATTCATTATCCAAATTTTCAACAAAATTTCTTTAGATAGTTGAAAAGAGTTCATCGAAATGCTTTTATGATATTTTACCATTCAAGGGAAAATTTAATAATTTTATACAGTTATTGCTTGATTTTTTATCATTAGTTTCTTATTATTATTTTTCAATTGTTTTTATTAAATCTTTATTTGTTTCTTCTAATTGTTTTATAAAACTGTTGTTTTCTTTAATATTCTTAAGATATTGTTTATTTTTTTTTTAGTACTCCTCTAGAGTTTATTTATATGATTCAATCTCATTATCATAATTTGAATTTTAATCACTTACATTCTAAATAAGTTATTAAAGTGAGTTTATTACTTCTACTTTTTCTTAAATTTAGATATCTTTGCTTCTTATTTGGTTTTCTAGTTTTTCTATTTCCTCTTATAATTCAAAAGATTATTACTATTTATTTAGATTACCTATAAAATTTTCTATTTATTCTTATTATGGATTATATTTAAATTCTTAAAACAATTTATTTTACTTTTTCAAAGGATTAAGTTTTTAAAAAATCATTTCTACAATTTATTTTTTGTCATTTTCATCTAAATTTAATTCCTACTGTATATCTTACTCATATGATTTATAAACAACTAATAATTATTTTAGAGTTTATTTGTTTAACTTAATAATATTTTAATAGCAAGTTAAATCTAAATCCTTAATTTCCTAATATAGTCTGAAGTAATTAGTTTATTCTAAATCATATATGAATTTCATATCAATTTATTTCTGAATCGCTAATAATATTTTATTGGCCTAATTAATTATATTATTTTATATCTATTATGGTTTTTATAAAAGCTGGATTTTTTCAGCAATTTCATTTATTGGGATAATATTATGGTTTTTATTATTATCAATATGGTCTATTCGACAGTAGAGACACATTATTTCACATTCGCACTCCTCATCTAAGCAAATTTGATCTTTATTCGAGGCATAGTGGCCTTTTATTGGGCATTAATTTAAGAAAACTTAATCCATATATAAATTCACTTTTTTTAATTAACTTTTCTAAGATTAAAAAATTTTTTTTCATTGGAAAATTAAATATCTACTCAATTTAAATATTAATATTAGAATATTAAATAATTATTAGAATATTCATAGGAAATTAAATTACTTTTCTTTATAAATCCAAAATTTAATTATGATTGGAAAACTCATTAAAATAGAAATTATTAAATTATTATATTTTATTAAGTATTAATTTTATTTAAATGAAAATAAAAACATTTTTATTTAAATTAAAAAAATAAACCAAATAAATAAAAAAAATTAATCTTAAAGAAAAATTAAAAAAAATATTTTTTTGCTAAATAAACCTAATAAATTTAATATTTTATAAATCTTTATGAATTTTAAATATTTAATGAATAAATAATCAAGAAATAGGAGAAAAATGTGAAAATAGTTAGATTTTTTAATACTTAAAAATAATTGATTTAGTTTAACATAATATATAAAATTAAAAAAAATATTTTTTTGCTAAATAAACCTAATAAATTTAATATTTTATAAATCTTTATGAATTTTAAATATTTAATGAATAAATAATCAAGAAATAGGAGAAAAATGTGAAAATAGTTAGATTTTTTAATACTTAAAAATAATTGATTTAGTTTAACATAATATATTAAGCTTTGAGATATATAAAATTTTGTTCTATTAATTAATGCAAATAATGTAGGTAAGATAATTATATTTATTTGATTTTCTATCAAATGCGTTCAGTAAGAAATTAATTTTGGTATTTAATTCTCTGGTTGAATTGAAAAAAATATAAAGATTTATAGTTTTTTTAAAATATAATATTTGAGCAAAGATTTTACTAAACCACAAAATAAATATACAAAATAATAACAATAATATAAAAAGCAATTTGCATTAAATAAAGTGATATTAATAAACAAATTTAGGTCTTTCTACTTTTAATTAATATTACAAATTATATAAATCTCTTAACAAGAGCACATAATTTTTCCTAGAAACAACAAAAGGTTAGGCATAAATAATGATGAATTTTGATGAGAATAAATATTAAAACTTGAAGTAAATTTTATAGGGAAATGAGGTGAATCATTTTCATACAGATTAATACAAGCTTCACCCAGATAAACAGAAAAGCAAAGTTCGTCTCATTATTAATGATAGTAAAGAAAGATGTGATTCAGAAGAAATTATTGGAAATAATTATGATTCTGGCTTAATGAACGAAAAAACAAGAATTAGTGAACACAAAAGTTTAAAATAACTTAGTTCAACAAAAAGCAAGTTAAATCAAAATAGTAGTTCCCATATATTCGACTTAGGTGATGATACTACATCAACGCTCGAATAATAAAGAAATAAAAAATCATTAAGCTAAAATAAATACCAATAGTTTATTAAAAATGTTAATCATATTTCAAAAAAGATAAATTTTTCACACACTGATACATAAGTAACACCTGTAGGTAGTGCAACAGGTTTATTTAAGGCTAAATTATCGAATGAGCTAAGATAAATTTCCTAACAATCCTCAAGAAAGTTAAGTGATAAATTAAAAGGCAATTATAGTGTAAGAGGGCTAAACCAAACAGGGACACTATTCAATAAGTAGTTCCATCATCAATAAAATTTAACATAGGTATCAAATAATACAAATAGCAGCTAATCGCCTATGAAAAAAGTTTTTAAAGATAAATTGACAATAAATACAGAGTCCTCTGTTCAGATAAAGAGCTTGAAAAATATTCCTTCCCCTAAAACATTAAGAGAAGGAGTACATAAGTTAGTATCACCACAATTCAAATCACCTTAGGCTGAAAAGCGAGCAAGCCTAATAATTTCGGTAAATGGGGCTTAAAGAATGTCAAAAGTTTTAGCTACTGAAAATAACATTACAATAAAAGATAAAAACATCTCTAGTAACTAGAATAATATCAAAAGAGAATCATAGCCCAATAAAATGCTGCTTGATCCCAGCTAATCCTAGCAATTTTTTCATTCAAGGTAAAAATCATAGAAAACGTTTGCTACAGTAAATACTTTTAACAACTTGAACTTCAATTCCTATCAACAACTGCCAGAATTAAATAGAGAAGAGATGATTGAGAATTTTAAAACTACTTTAAATCTGATTGACACAAACGAAATGAAAAAGTATGATTTTAATGGAGCAACAAACAACTATGAAAAATAAAAAGAATAAAAGAAAAGTGATAAACCTTGCATTTTCAAACCAAACATACGTAAGAGAGATTTAGTTATATTTTAAAATTATTGTTCATTAAAGAATAATTATTAAGTTATTACTTGATATTAAATTTCAAGTAGCACAAAATAAAAGATTAATTAAATCTTAATTTTTTAAGTTTTTCTTCTTGATGTAATAATTAATTAATTATTATTTCCTGGTTAAACAAAAAGAAACTAATTTTTAATGATTTATTTACAGATTTTACTAACATTTTATGTAAATGAATAATATCCTCAAACTATTAAAATCAGTAAGGTCTTTTCGAAATAGTAAATAAGAAATCATATAAAATTTTATTAAACAGCTATACTTGTTACTTTTCAAAGCCTTTAAAATACTATTTAATTTTAAGATAATTTAATTTGAGATAAATAAAATATATTTATTTATTTGTAAATTTATTTAAATATAGCTTCAAATGAACAAGTGCTTAAGGTGGGAAAAACAAACTACTTATATCTCGGAGTAAATGATTTTACTTATTTTTGTATTAGAGTAAAAGGATAGTAAAGTCCTCTAAGAGTGAAGATAAGCCAAGATAGGATTTTAAATTACAAAATTATGGTGAGTAAAGAATTTCCAACTCCTAATTAGTTTAATTGTGATTATAACCTTTAGGGCAATACTTTTTCTTTTGAATCAGATAATAATAGTGGATACTTTACTCATTAAGATTATTTCTATTTTTCAATATATTCTAATGATGAAGCTATTATAAAGCTGACTGTTACTTTTGGAACTGTCTATGAAAGCTTCAAAACTATGAGAGAATATAGAGATATTAACTAAGCAAATTAAAATACTTCTGAAGTCTAAACGAACAAATAAGAAATTAAATTATCTTGCTATGCTCTCTCTAATGATTAATTGAAACAAGAAGTTAAGTATATACTCGAAAAGAGGAGAAGGAAATTAGGAATGACTGGTCCCGAACAAAATATTTTAAAGAAAAACATTGAAAGTTTAAAAGAAGAAAACATGCTAGAAATGACTTAAAAAAAGAAAAATTTTCTGGAAACAAAAAAATAAAAAATAGTACAAGCACAAGCCATAAAAAACTATTTGTTTGAAAATCATATTCACCACTTAGCTTAACTTCAAGAAGAAAAAGTAACTTCATTAATTTATCACATCAAAATTTAAATTAATCACAATATATTTAGGAAAGAGTAAAGCAAGAAAAAATATTAAAACAATTTATAGAAATCAAGCAATTCAAGAAAAAGACTTTTGATTTCATATGGCTGACAACCATATACATGGTATTAGCAACTAAAAAATTGGCAGTTAAGCTATAAAAACACAAAGAAAGATAGAGACTTATGAGAGACATGGCTTTTTCACTTCTTCGTCCATTTTTCAGATATAAAACAAAAGCAAGAAAGGTAATTAATATTTTTGTTATAAATGTTAAGTAAATTTTAATTTAATGCTTTTAACAGATAGGAGGATAAAATATATTTGTAAGAGCTGTTTTAGATTCTAAGTACGTTGTAGACTCTTATGTCTAAGTAAAAAAGAAAAAAGTCAAAGCAGAAGCATAAAAGGCTTTGATTTATGTACTAAGATAGAATGCATAAAGACATGAGAGCATACAAAGGATTTTAACATATATTTCTTCAAGCAAAAAAATAATTAAAAAGTTTATCATTTATCATCAAAGAATAATTAACTTCAAAAAGCTTTTGTATAGATTCTGGGAGAAATACTATTTAGAGGCAATTGGTGACGTTATTGAAGTAAAAATAGATTAAGCTACACTTAAAAACTCTTCTCTCACAAAAAGAGTCATTCAAAATGTTTATCAGTCATTTAATCACATAGACTACAAAAGATTGGCTCTTTAAAAATATTTTGATTAAATAATGATCAACTATAAGTAAAAAATAAAAGAATAAATTAAAACTCACTCTACTTCTATATACTTGACCTAGCAATAGTCATCATAAAGCATCCAAGAAGTAATACTATTTAAAAAAAATATTTTTAACTGAATTTAATTATTTATTTATTTAGAAAAAGGAAATAGAAATCAATAGCTCTGCTAGTATTTAGTTAAACATCAAAGATAAAGGTGCTTAATAAACTAAATCAAGTTTTAATATTAACATAAAAGAAAATCAAGAATTAAATGAAGAGCAGAAAGTAGATGATAAAAAATAGTAACAAAATGGTGTTTTAAATAATAATATTTAAGGAAATAAATTGTTTGTCTTACCAACCTATGAAAAATTTAAAGATATCTTATACGAAGCAGTATAACTCATTTGTGCACAATATCCAGATTTATAGAAAAAAATAACTATCAAGTATCAGCCTATTTGAAAATTGTTATAAAAACATACTTTACTAAAATAAAATTTAAATTATTTAATTGTATTAAATTTAATTGACTTTTATGTTATTTTTTTATAGTATATACTTAGTCTTTAAAAAATTAAAAAAATTTACATAAAATGTTTAAATTTACTATTTTACAAATAATAAAAAATTTTTAATTATTTTTATTTTTAGTTTTATAAAGAATTTAAATTGTAAATAATTATATTTGTAACATTTAAGATTAGTGAAAAGATTATGCAATATTTTAATTTTTATACTAAATTATTTATAAAAATCATTTAATTAAAACGAGATGACCATCTTGGCATCCACCAATGATTCCATCATCATCCAACTTTGCTATAGTTAGCATATTAACATATGTTGAAAAGTTCATAATTGCAGAAATATTTTTTATAGCTTCTCCTTTAATGGAAGTAACTTTATCTAGCATTTCATTGCTTCCACTTTATTCTGTTTCATTTAACTTAGCTTCGAATTCAAATTTGAAAATTTTAATGTTTTGTTCTACTCCAAGAACACAGAACATATCGTCTGATAATTCAATCATATCAACTACATTAGAGAACTCATCTCTGAATTACTATATATTCATTAGGTAAAATTAAATTTAATTGAAATTTATAATCTAATAAAATGTACGTGGATAAGAGTTAAGTCTTGTAAGTTCCATAGCATGATGATTCCTTATTCATCAACAGAAACCAAAGTATTCAATCCTTTCAAATACTTAAGGAGTTGTACTTTATTTGTGTGACCATTCAATGCTTAAACAACTTTCAAGTCTTCCCATATTTTAATTTTTCCATCTTCTCCACCACATGTAACAAACTTATTCAAGCCAATTTGTTCTATGCTGTATATTGATCCTTGATGAGGATCTAATTAAGTTGTCAAGGGCTCATCTTGGCTCAAGCTCCAAATACAAATACTTTTATCCATACCTCCTGAAACAAATCTATCTTCGCTTATAGATTTTAATGCTAAGATTGGTTCATTGTGTCCACTAAATTATTTGACAACTGTACCTATTGAATTTTTATTTAATTTATAATTTTAATAAGCTTTTAGTGGAAATTAAAAGGATTTAAATTTGTATCCTTAATATAAATCAAAGAATATTTGCTACCTTTTTGAACATCATAAACATAAATCTTGTAATCTGAAGAAGATATAACAACTAGGTCTTCTCCCATAGTATCAGCTTGTATAATTTTACTGCTGTGCTTAATTGTCTTTTAAATTGCAAAGGTTTAATCATATACGTGCATATTTGTATCATCTGAAAAACTCAATAGCCTGTTGTTTGTTAAGGTAAGAACTTTACGGATTGCTCCATTGTGACTGGGTTAATTTTCATTAACTTTTACAACTTTTTAAGTGAAATTTTCTAGATTAAAATAATTTGGAATGTTGGCTTAAAATGTTGTTGAAAAATTTTGAATTTATTCAAAAACTTCATTAAAATAATTTTTAATGTTTCCTAAATGATCCTTGAATTGAGTGCAAATCATTTAACGCTTTGATTTTTCCTTTTCAATTGTTGTTTCCATGAACTAACTTTAGTTAAAGAGCTACAATGAGAGTTCACTGAGTTCATCTTCACAGAATAAAAACTTGCAAAATAATAGTCTGTTTGAAAGTAGCTTAACTTTTGAATTGAATTCATTTAAAGTACGACTGCTAAAATTATGTTCAATCAATCTAATTTGCTTTTGAATTGAAGACTCGAGATCATCTATCTAAGCCTTAATACTGCTTCTAATCTCAGTGAATAAGCTTTCAGTTGAGCTTCTGATTTCAGAAATTTACTAAAGTTCTTTATACTTAGTTTGTCTTTCAGGGCATCTTTTTTTAACTACATTTTCATACTCAATTAGTTTTTTAACCTGATGGCTTCCATGAGGAGTATCTAAAAAGCAATCACCACATCCGAACTTAACTTTTTCTGTACAATTTGGATCAATGCAGTACCAGTTAGGTCTTTGAGTTGGGTGATGAATACAATTTTTTTATTTGCTAGGAAGACTTTCGTTGTTAGTTTAATCCATATTATTTTCTTGCTTTCTTACTTATTTATATGTTTTATTTACTTTTTTTATATTAATAATTGATTAATTTTTTTTATTAAAATTGAATATATATGTATTAATTTTTCTAATTATACTCTTAAAGGATATTTTCTGATAACATTTGATATCTTAAATGTTTAGATGCAGCTTAATCTTCTAAATTTTATATCCACAAGTATTTGGTAATCAATTAATTTAGATGAATTTTATATTTTAATTTCTCATTTAAAAAATATCACTCAACTAATTTTAATTTGTGGTGAAAAGGGGTCTCATCTTTTTTTCACTTATCAGAATATTTTCATTTTTAATTATTTTACTATTGCAAATTTATATTTTAGTAAAATTTTTTATTAATTTGTTTTATTTTTTAATTTGCTTAATTTTTTTAAAATAAATAATAATAATCTAATTTTTTTATTTATTTGTTTGTTCATTCATCATTTGTTTGTTTATTTATTCATTCACTTATTTTTGTTTGCTTAATCAGTGCAATTTAAATTTTTATTTTATAAAAATAATTTCTAAATAGAATAATTTTGTGTTCAAAAAAAAAAATTTTTATTTACAAATTGATAAATTTATTAAATGGTAATTATTTTAAAAATGAAAGATATAAATAAAGTTATTTATTTATTTTAATTAGCTAATTTTTATCCACCAATCAATTATTTTTTCAGGTAACTATGCAAATATTATATGTAAATTATTAATTTATATTCTTGATACTCTAATAAAAATATGGCTATAAAGTTGATAATTAAATAATAAATTTAATAAAGGGTTGCTCAATGAAGATTAAATATAATTGAATATATTTAATGAATTAGTATGCAAATATTTCAATAAGAATATTATTGCATACTTAATAAATTTAATTAACTACAAACACATTAACTTAAGAAAATAAAAAACTATCTATGAATACCTCATTGTATGGTAACTTTTGCCAGTCACCAATAGCTAAGCAGTATACCTAGGCTAGTAGATTAAATAGTTCTTTGATAGAATTCAGAAAATCTAATTCTAGTACATAGCCAGATGAATTAGAATACTACAGTGCACCTAAAAATTATACTTCAAGTATTAAAAATAATTTAAAAATAGATTAATTTAAAACCATTTTTTTCATATAATAAAACTTAGGAGTCCCTAAAAAAGATATGTATCCAAGCCATTATGGGGGCGAATTATAAACTAAAATTACAGGTTTTACATAAATACGCTCTTAATGATGATTAATTGAATTAAATTAAACAATAGGAACATATAATACCATGGAAAGTAGTTTTTATAAATATATTAGAAGTATCAGCAACTAGTAGAAAATTTATGACGAAAATACATAAAAAAATGAAGAAAAAATGATAAAATTGGATTAGATGATTAAAAAATGTTAAAATAATAAACTCGCTCAGCTTGAAAAAAGACAAAAAAAGGCAAAAGGCTTTATCTAACATTCCAGTGATACAAAAGCAAAATATATAGAAGTATAAATTATTAACTAAAAATACAAATTTGATAATCAAAACTATTTAAATATAACTAAGTTAACTTAAGACATGCTACAGTTGCAGAAGAAACAAATTCAAGATTTGAAAAATAATCAATTAGAGTATATTAAAAAAAAGGAGGAGAAGCAGTTAGCTCAGTTTGCAATTAGAATACCTCAAGATTAAAGAATATCTTATATTAGAATGAGGAATAGAGTTTAGGAAGAAAATGTAAAATATAAAAATTAACAACAAGAAAAATGTAGCTCATAAATTATTTAATTAAATGAAGTATGAATTAGACCAAAATGAAAAGGATGGAGAAAAATTAGAAGAAAAGCTTTCAATTGCAGAATAAAGATATGAACAAATTATGAAAGATAAAAAACAAAAACTGCAGAAATCGAATGAAAAATTTGATAAAATAAAGAAACAAGCAGAGATTAAGAGTTAAAATATGGTTGAATACTATATAAATAAATTTGCAAAAACAATGGATAACAGCAATAAACACTAAGTAAATAATTATAAATTTATAAAGCAGTTTAATAAATTACTTTATATAGTAATAAGCTAATTAATAGCTCGAGAAGACCTTGGTTAAGAAAAAGCAGGTAGATTTAGAAAAAATTAGCTAAAATAGGGAAAATAAAGATATTATGAATTCAACTTTTACAGATAAGTTGCATAATTGCAGTTGCACTTCAAAAGCCGTATTATTTTAATTTGTTATACTAATCTTTATCTTAGTATACTTAATTTTAATTTTTCGAATAGAATTCTCCTCGTAAATACTTTAGACTCAGCAGCAGAATGAGTGTTGATGAAAAAATGCTTTAAGTTAATCTGAATAAATAAATGTTAAGAGAAGCAAGAGTAATCTTTACAAAAATAGTTACTATTTAATTTTTAAAATTAACAAAAAATAAAAATAAAATTAGGAACAACATAATCAGGAAATATTAGAAAAACACACATAGTATTCTTTAACTAATAGTATAAGTAGAACTGTGGGCTCTACTATGAATAATTTTAGAAGGAGAGCTATGTTTTTAACAAAGGAGGATTATAAAATAAAATCTTGATTTTTATTAAAAATAAATTTATTCATTCATTCACCAACTATTTATTATTTTTCTCATATTTATTTTGTAATCTTTATTAAGAATTATAAAATATATAATTCATATCCTTCAAAAAGTGTTTTATCTTTGCAGCAAGTCAATTTAAATAAATTATTAGAAAACAAATTTTATTTGTGTAGTTAATATTTTGAATCTAAAGATTTATTAAACGAATGGATAGTAAAGAAAGTAAAGCATAAATATTATTGAATACATTTACTGGTATATAAGCTATGGTTATAAATTGAATATTTTGTTCATTATACTTTATTAACTTTTAATTTCATGGTAATTTAAATTATTTAGTCAACTAATAAATATGAATTAATTAAGGGAAAACAAACTTTGCTATTTGCTAGTTTGTTTTTAATATTTATCAAATATTAATTTATTCGCAAATTTTAATTAAAAAATTATTAAGTCGAAATTATTTACATCATTTTGGATTTCTAAAAATGAGGGGACCTACATACATTTTAAAAAAGACCCATCTCGAAAATGATGAAAAAAGAGAGTATAAGATGCACGTTTAGAAGCTGCAAAATATTTAGTCTTAAAAACTCAAGGGGGAAGTTAAGAGAAGTATCTCAGTGGATAAAAGACTTCTTGAAGATAAATAAAAAAAGGTTGTTTAAAATAGATTGTTTAAGGAAGAAGAATAAAGAAGAGAGCAAAAATTAGAAAATAAAGCTCTTATAGCTAAGCTAGAATAGATTTAGAAAGGAAAATATTCTATAATGAAAAATATAAAAGATTAGACCTTTAGAGAATCCGTTTATTACTTATCTTCAAACCAAAATTTGAAAACGGGAAATAATTTTAATCCAAGCAACTCAAAAACTAGGCTAAGAACGATGACTGCAAATACAGAGTCAAGTAGAAATATTGGTAGCTAAAACACATATTATAAAAATAGTGAATTCAATGAGGATTAGAATGAAAAATATCCTAAAACTGCTAATTTTTTTGGAGGCAATTTTAACAACTTTAACAATAATACTGATAACACTCATAAAAATAGTAGCAGATCCCAAAGTAATTTAGGAGACCATAAACATGGATATAATGCTGCAAGTAATTAAAACTAAATCCCTAATTAGCATTAGTTTAGTGGTGCTAATTCAAATTATGGAGGAACGATTTACAGTTAATCTTCTAATAACAACCCAAACTCTACTAATGGTTTTAATAAAAACAAAGAAAATGACCCATAAACTTTTAATAAATACCACCTTTAAAGAGCTCTAAAAACAGAGGGAAATGCAGAATATCCAGAAAATTAAAATATTTATTCAAAAAATGATTAAAATAATTCAAACTTGCATAGAGGTTAAAGTAATCCAAATTATTATAAAGATTAAAACAATCCAAATTTGTATAGAGATTTAAATCACCCAAATGCTTTGAAAGATTAAAATATTGATGAAAGGGATCAAAACAACCCTAATTTGTATAAAGATGTAAATAACCACAACTTAAGCAAATAATAAAGCAATCCTCATTATTAAGGAGATCCTAATAATCCTGAGCCTTTAAGGGATTACAATAATCCTAAATACTACAATGATTAAAGTGACCCTAATTTTTTCAAAAATAACCCTAACTTACTTAGGGGTAATGACTATTACAATATAAACGATGATTAAATGATAGGAGATGATGGGTACAGAAATGGTAATCTAGATAATCCTGATAGAATAAAATAATTAAGCAGAGATGGGAAGAGAAGAAGAATTAATTCATCAATAAATCTTGCTCAGCTAAATAAACACGTTAGTGCATCGATAGAGAGATAAAAGGAGCAAGAAAGAATTGCCTTTGAAAATAATAAAATAGTTCAAAGAATGATGAAATTACCACCAGTTGTACCTACTAAAACTAATCTTAAGAAAGAGTTTTCTAAATAAAAGAAACTGATGAAATAAATATCTAAATTTCACGAATTTAAAGAAAGAAAAGTTCCAGCATTTGGGAAAAGTAAAAAAAAAGAGGAAATAAATATGTTAGGCTTACTTGATGGAGTACCTTTAGATGAAAATAATCAAGAGCTGATGGATCAGCGTATACACCTTGTGATTAATGTAAAAGAAATAGCCTTTGTAAACTTTCTACCTGTATCATCTGAGACAGAGAAGTATTTTATGGAAATTTAGGCTAGTATTCATGAAATCAGAAGAACAAATCCAGAAATATATTCAGATTTCTCTAAATCTGTTATAAATGAGTTCTTCTATCTTAGAGAAATAAAGTAAAACAGAATCATTTATATTGGTCTCTACAAATGGACTCCCTTGGATAACGGCGAGCATTTTTTAGGAGACTTTGAGCTAGATTTAACACCTTACTATCTTCAATCTGGAGTTCACCAAGTAATATTTAAATCCTTGAAATATATTTTAATTTGAAACATTATATTTAATTAACTTATAGATTCATTATGATCTCAGAAACTTTAAGTAAATGCATAAACTTCCAAATTATATGGTGAAGGATATGCGTAAAAAGGGGTGGATAGACATTGAAATTAGTGTTAAAAGTAGTGTTAAGTAGTATTTAATGGATTTAGATATAATAAAAAAAGATTATGGATCTTAAGAAGCCAGTATAGCTTATGATAACTAAACAAATCCAACAGAAAGGAAAAAAAATAGTGAAGAATCTTTGGTTTAGTTAATAAATTCAAATTAAAATGGTTAAACTGAAAAGTAGTAAAAACTTTAACAACTAAAATATTAGATGAATCCTAAACAAAAAGGAATTTCATCTTTTAATAGCTAAAATACTAGCTTTAATCAAGGAAATAAAGTGAATGGAGTTCAATAGAAGCAGATCTCTAACTAATCTTATAATAGCTTTAATACAATCAATAATACTCAATAAAATAATTCAAAAGGCTCAAAAAGAGGCAGTAACTCCAATTAGCATAAAAGTAAAATCAATTTACAAGAAGAATATGACTAAGACAATTTTGAAAAAGAGGATTCAAATTCTCAAAATAACAATAACTCCTATTTATAACAATTTTCTGATAATGAAGATGAAAAAAATAAGAAAAGCCATACAGGTAAATAAAATTTTGTATTAAAAGAAGAAGAAATAGAAGTTTGAAAGAGTGAATAAATAAATAAATAAATAAATAAATAAATAAATAAGTAAATAAATAAATAAATAAACAAATAAATTCTTAATCTCTAAAATAAATTTAATTATAGTATATATACTTTGTTTTATTTTGTTTGTAAATAAGTTATACTTTAAAGGATTCGACTATTTCGATATAATCAATTTAAATACCATAATAAATTTAAATAGAAAGATATATTTTACTAAAGGATATATTTCATCCAAATAATCTATATTATTTTAATAAAATGTTATTTTTTATTTTTTATCTGTTAAATAGTTGAAAAGATTATTCAATTATATCTCTCAAAAAAACAACATTTTATGATCAAATTTATATGAAGAAATATCTGACTGTATGATATTTCCCATTAATAATTTAGAAAATTATTTTAGTATATCTTTATTTTTTTGTTATCTATTAAATTGTTGACACATAATTTAATAGTTCTTTTCAAAAATAACAGCGTTTAATTATTTGTATGCATTCAAATTCATGTTAAGAAATATTTTATTGTTAGTTATTTTGATTAGCAATCTATAGAATTATTTTAATAAAACGATATTATCATTTTTGTTTTCTCTTAAATAGTTGACACATAATTTAATTTTTTCAATAGAAAAAAATAAATTTAATTATTTTTATGCAAATTCAATTTATATTTAAGAAATATTTGATTATTAGATATCTTCCATTAATATTCTAAACAATTATTTCTGTAAAGTTTTACTTTTTTTATAAATAATTGGCATGAAAATTTATATTTGCTTTCAAAAAAGCTCTTTTTAAATACATTTATGCAATTGACTTCATTTAAAAAAACGATTTTATTGAAAGATATTTTTCATTAATATTAATATTGATGACAATTATTTTAATAAAATTTTATTGTTTTTATATTTAACATGATAATTATTTTTGCTTATTAACAAACAATATTTAATTATTTTTGTATGAATTTAATTTATATAGAATATTATTTTGCAGAAAAACAAACTATTTAATAGCTATTCAATTTTAAAAATAAGTAAGATTAAATTAAAAATTTAATAAATTTATTATTTTTGTCAATGAGTGGATAAAAATCAATAATTAATTTGCATGAATATCTGTTTTGCAATTATAATAATCCAAAAATTAAATTATAACCTCATCTTATATTAATTGATTTTTTATTTATAACTGCATAAGAAAACTCTTCAATATTAGCAAACAATAAATTTATAAAAAGATAATTAATTGTTTGTTATTCATTTAATTAAATTTTTCATTTTTACTATACCTAAACTCTTTATACTAGATCTAATAAATTATTGAAAGGCAGAAAATATCCTGAAAGATATGTCGTAAGCTAATATTTAGCATGAAACTCATAATGTTTAGAATAATGAACATGATCATGCTCACATTTAGGATCCTTAAAATAGTTAAAATATTCAAGGATAAACTCACCATGACTAGATAAAAGAGTAAATATTTTCTTCTTTTTATGTTTTATGTAAGAAAAAATATTAATTTGATTGAATAGATAAAATGTCTAACACCAAAATGATGAATAAAGCAGCAATAAAATAATTTAAGACGGATCTGCCCATCATGAAAATAAAGGAGTTTAATCTATTTCCGTAATTAGTGGAGCTGAATAGGAAGAATAAGAAGATTATTTAAAGTAAAATAGCATCTAATATTTTGATGAAAAGGAATAGCATTTAAATAATCAACCTTTGACTGAAAGATCTTAAAACTAGAACAGCGAATAAATTCATAAAGAAAAAGGTAATTAAAATGTAAAAAAGAAGAAGAATAATACTAAATTTTTAAATATTTTATCTAATATAAAGAGTAAACATCACCTCCTTCTAACAATGACAATGATCATGAATCAGCTGAAAAAAAAGTAGAATAAGACAATTAAATGCATTTAAGTGGGCATGTATTAAGCTAGTAAGAAAGAGAATTTATAATAAAATAAAATAATCATAACAATAATAATGGTAAAGCTGTTATAAGTGGGAAAAAAAACATAAAAGAAGGTTAAAGTAGCCTAGTCACTCCCAAGAAAAGACTTAGTATTTAAAGATTAAGTGCTTAAAAAAACTTGAATAGTGAAGATAGTACTGAGAAGTAGCTTTATTCAATGAATGATGCTAGTGAAATTACTAAAAGCAATAATTAAATCGAAAAAAATGAGCAAAACTAGGAATTAGTTAAGCTAAGACTGTAAAACGATAAATTGAGGGAAGAACTAAAATCCTTAAGCGATAAACTCAGCATAGTAATTGAAAAGAATTAAAAGAACATAGCAAGTTCAAAAAATAGATTAAATAATTAAACTTCAGATCCTGTTCTTAAATAAGAATTAAATAATGCTTATAAGTTGATTGATGCAATACAGAGGTATCTATCATTCATTCATTAAATTTATTTGTTTCTCTAGAAAAAATTAAAATTAAATTTTAAATAGGGATAATAAGAAATTACAAAGCCAAGTTTATGAGGGAGGTCATTATGAAAAGGTTATGAAGCTTGAAAACGATCTTAAAAGCAAAGATTAAGAAATAAAATTGATCAAAAGGGAGCTAGAGCTTACAAAAAAGCTATAAAAAATAGCTGCATCACAAGAATCTGATAAAAAAGATATTCAAATTAGAAAAGAAGATTTCAATGAAAAATATGTTTTAAAATAAAAAATAAAAGAGCTGTAAGATAAATTGTCAGAATAGGAAGATAAATTCAATAAGTAGTACAAAGAGTTCTTAAGCATGGAAAAAGAATACAAAAAGCTTTGTGAAAAGAATAATATTAAGCCTAACTTTATTTTCAATGAGTAAGAAAATGCATTTGAGAGATAATCAAAACCTTCTTAAATTTAGTTAGTATCAAGAGACAGAAAATCTGGCAGCCTTGCAAATAATCCTAGAAGATCTGAAAGTTTAAAACCCCTAGACAAGAGCAAATTAGTTTAAAATAATTCAGTGGTTGACTAAATCGGTGCTGCAGGTTTGGCAAATGACCCTGAATTTTCTAATTTAGAATTTAATGAATAAAATTTTTAAGAAATTTTATAAAAAGCCAGAGTTTATAAAAAGTCTAAAATATCAAATGAAAAAAAGCTGAACAACGAGATTAACGAGTTAAAGAATATTCTTGGTCAAAAAAATTAAGAAATTTTAGCTCTTAAATAGCAGCTTTTAAATAGGGATAGATAAAGTAATAATCTTTAATCTCAAATAAACTAGCTTAAACGCTAGAAGTAAAATTTAAATGAGCAATAAAACTATAATTAACCATAGATGGTAGATAATAATATTTCGATTGATGAAAATGATGGATATGATAATAATTATATCCCAGGGGCAGATTAAACTAACAATTCTATTTAATATGCAACACCAATGAAAGAAGAGAGATAAATTCCCAAGAAAAAGCTACTACCCTAAAACAGCAATCTCAAAAATAAATCTAAAAGTCCTCTTCAGAAACAAATTGTTACCTAACCAGATTCTCAAACTAGCAGAAATTTAATTTCAAATCCCTCTACAAATTTGCCTTTTTCAACATCTAATGTAATCATTTTTATTTTTATAATAGATTTTCAGTTTTAATTAATTTATTTTATTTTATAGAATTCTTCACCTGTCAAAAAGAGTGCAAAAAAATAAATTCAACTCAATCCAATAAATCATATCAATAATCCTTAGCCTCAATATTCAAGTTATGAACCCAATATTAATAGTAATAATAATCGTTATCCATAATAAAAAAAGACAACCCCTACTTAACCTAAACAGCAATAGCATTCTTTACAAGAAATACCAAATCATAATATTAAAAAACAAACAAATCAAAAGTAATTACAATAACAACCAAGATAATCAGACTAGCAACTATCAAAAAAATCTGATATCAATTAATCTGTAGAAGAATTTAACTCTTATTCACCAACTAGATTTTAAAATGATGAAAAGAATATGCCTGTTTAAAATAATGTGTTATTATCAGAATAAAATTTAAACATGGATGATATAATTTCTCATCATAAGGGTATTTCACCTTAATAGCAGGTTTTGATTCCTTTGACTCTTAGAGATGTTTAAATAGGAGCTGAAGTTGGTGACAGCTATAAATTCACTGATAGAATAACTTTAAAATAAAACTATCATCACAAAATTGTCTTAGTAAAGGTAGCACATGATGAAAAGGGCATTATAGGTATTTAATGCTTCTATCGTTTACAAAAGACTTCGTAGATAGTTGAAGGAGAGATGCATATCATTAAAGATCAAAATTCAAATATTATTTTAGATGATGAGCAATATATTACTGAGGAGTTTAATGCTGATGATAAATAAGATGGTGACTATATTAAATATGTATAAGGAACTTTGAATACAGAAACTAGCTAAATTGTTAACTTAATATTTGTTTCAGCAAAGGGCTATAGAAAATTGCTTGGATTGCAACAACAAAATAATTATGAAAATCTGTAGAGTTTCAATTTAGAAATATCTGAGAATGAAGTTCCTATTTGCTTATACGGCTCTCTATAAAAGTAATATGGGGATAATGAAAATCCAACAGGATCTATATTAACTATGATTGGGTTTAATGTAGAAAGAGATGATAATCAAATTGAAGAAAATATTAAAGCTTTTTACACAGAAGATGATCAAGTAAGAACAGAATTTGAGCTAAATCAAAAGCAATAAGAAATGAAAAAGAAAAAGAATAACAATTCTACAAAATTTATTAGAGATGAAAATCATCAATAGGAAAACAATTAATAATTTTCATAAAATAATTCTCAATTAAATATTTAGCATATTCAATAAAAAGAGAATCAAGATAATCATCACAATCATATTGAATCTAACTAAGATCATGCCAATTAAAAATAAAACAATTCTTATGAATCTCCATACTTTAAATCTGAAGATAAAAGAGATTAATAGGTTGACCATATCAATCCAATTTAAATTGTTAACTAAGCAGATCATCATGAAAAAAACGAACAAATTAATTAAAAATAACATAATTCTGAAGCTATTAGTTAGTAATAATTCAAATTAGATGCAAATCAGTAAAATAGTGTTTAGAATGACGAAGAAGATAATGAATTTACTTTAAGTAATATGAACGTTTAGAATGATGATAAAAAAGATAAATTAGATTCACATGGCTAAGACTTATTATTAAAATCACCTTAAAATCATTCATCATAACACCCATCAAGAAACTCCTAATATTAAACCTAACAAATATAAGGTCATTCTAAGGATATTTAAAAGGCCTAAGAATCGATAAGTAGAAACTCAAATTCACATAAAGAAAGTGAAATAATAGATAAAAAGAATAACCAAAATGAGCATAAAAAGGAAAATCAAGCAAGTTAAAAATCTAGCAGTCCTCAAATAGATTAAACTGTACACCATGATTCTGATATTTCAAGAAATAAGTAATAGCCTAGTTCTTAAAATGATTAGCATGTACCCTCTTCATTATCATAAAGAAATAATGAAGGTTAAAATAATGAACCTAATTAAAAAGAAATTAAAGATAAACATTAAGAAGAGTTAGTCTAATAAAAGACTTAAGTTAATTAATAAAATCAAAAAAGTGAGCATAATCACGAAATTTTAAATAGAGATGAATCTAAAAATGAATTTATTGAGCCTCAAAATATTGCAGAAAACTTAAAAATGCATGAAAAAATCGATAAACCAGATGAAAAATAAAAGAAATAGATCAACAAAGAACAAGATAACCATCATCCATAAAATCCTATTGATCCTACCCACTTAAGCCATAATGATAATAATAACCATTAAAAATAAAATGATTAGGACCATTAAGAGCATAATAATCATAACCATTAAGAACATTATGATCATAACCATTAAAATGATAAGCACAATTAGAATACTAAATTAGAAAACAAATTGGAAGCACAAAATGTTTGAGAAAAATTGTAAATGATAAATAAAAATTGTTGATATATTTTAAATGTTGTATATTTTATATAAAAAAATTCAGATATTTTATAAGAAAAATAATTTTATTGTGAATAATCAAGATATGTTTCCTAATGGATAAATTTAGAAATTTCTTTTTGTAAAAATATAGCTTTTAATGAATGTTTATGAATTAATAAAATTTTTATTAGTAGTTTTATCAATTAATTTTTAGATATTATTTTCATATATTAACACAATTAATTTCAAGTTTTTAGTTAAATAAAAAGAGTTATAAATGATTTCCAGAAATATTATAAAATTAAACTAGGTTGTTTTAAAGGGAGCAAGATGCTTTTCTTCAAACCAAACATAAAATAACACAGTAAAATGTTTAATAGCAAAAATATAAGCCATTTTTTTAATTGAATTGCTCATATAAATTAGTAAACTAACTAGGAAGCTAATTTTGGATACAAGAAAGTTGATATTAACTAGAAGTAGTCAATGGTTAACTAAGTCTTTCACTCAGTTGCAGATAAGTAAAATTCATATGATAATTATAAAATTTATAAGATGCCTATACATTAAACTAAAATGAAAAAAATGGATTTTCATACTTATTTCTTAAACTTTAAACCAATAGGTATGATCTTATGAATGATATATTGAGCTTAGGTATTCATAGATGCTGGAAGGAGGAATTTGTTAACGATTTGGGTGTCTTAAGACCAACCAAGATACAAGAAAAGGATTAGGTAATTGAATAGCCAGCAAGAGTTCTTGATGTTGCAGGAGGTACTGGTGATATTGCCTTTAGAATCCTTGATAAGCATAAATCAAGAAGTTCACTTAATTCAAAAAGTAATCAAAAAATTATTACAAAAGAGATATAATATGATATTATAAATTATTACGTAGATTTAAAGGTTACTGTATTAGATATAAACGAAAGTATGCTCGAAGTAGGTAAAAGAAGAGCACTTGAAAAGAGCTTTTCAAACAATGGTATGACTATCTTTTATCAATCAAATAACTTTTACAAAAATTTAATTAAAAAGATATTGATTTTGTATGCGGTAATGCTGAAATCCTCCCATTCGAAGATAATACATTTGATGCTTACACTATCGGTAAATTAATTTATTAATTAAAATAGATTTTTGTATTAAGAAAACTGAATAAATGGATAAAATGTTTAAAGAAATATTATTATTGGATGAAAATATTATTTATTTGTTATATAGCTTATGGAATTAGAAATGTCCCTAGAATCGAAAAGGCTTTGAGCGAAGCCCATAGAGTTCTTAAGAAAGGTGGTAGATTAATGATTCTTGAATTTTCTAAAGTTGAGTAATTCCCAGTTAGCGAAATTTACAAGTAATATAACATGAATATTCTTCCTTTAGTTGGTAAGTATGTAGTTGGAGATGCCGATTCATACTAATACCTTGTAATAATTTTTTTTAATTGTTGTATTTTTACTTAATTAAAATAATTTTGTAAATAATATTAATATAGGCTGAAAGTATTGATAAATTCCACGATTAATAAACTTTATTACGTTTAATTGAAGAAGCTGGATTCAAATTTGCTTCATACAAAAATTTAAGTTTTGGTATCTCTGCTATTCATACTGGATTCAAAATTTGAGAAAAATTCTTAATTAAATAATAAATAATATTTAGCATCAAGTATAAATTCTTTATATGATTGTAAAATGTATGTATTTATCAGATTATTTTTAAATCATTAATTTTCTGCTTTAATAGAATTTATTGATATTTTACAGCCGACAATAAATTAAATTCATTTGATTTACTTCTTTAATTAGATTACAATTTCTTATTTAAAAATTCTCAAATTTTTTTTCAACTTTAATTGGTTTCAAATTGTTAAAATTATATCATAACCAAAGAATACTTAATTTATTAGCTTACATTTTACTTAAATGCTTAATTTTTTGTAAAATAATATTTGAGATTAATAATTTAAAGCGTTATTTCTTTCTTTGATTTTGTATTGGTAGTAAAATTAGTTTTTTTGGATACTATTTAAAGATTGAAAAATAAAAATTTATTTTATTTCTTCTTGTTCATTCATTCATTCATTACATTACATTTGAATTTCTTTAATTGCTTTTTATATTTTCAATTTCAGTCGAATATTTAATGTAAAAAGTGTAATTCTGAATTTTCTATATTTTTTAGTAAAATAAGTGAAAATTTTTGGCTAATATCATAGATTTAATTAAATTCTTGTAAAATAGAAGTTTCTACATGAGATTCGTTTACTCTAATTAATATGTTAAATGTTAAAGATAAAGTGTTGAGTAAATTAAATAATCTAGAATATACTAATTTACAAAATTTAATAGAGTTGCTTTTAAAAAAAAAAATTGACAATTAATTAACGAGTTAAATTGGTCATTAAATTCTATTGGTCAATAAAGAATTAATTTAAGAATATTTTAATAAATTAAATTATTAAAGAAAAAATTTTAATATAAAAACAAAAAAACAAACAATTAACAAGAAAATAAATAATGTACGCAATTAGAGCAATTCAATTCATTATTAAAGGCAAATCAGAATTCACAAATAAAGGTTTTGCAAAAAATAAAGTAAACTTTAATGAAAAAGACACACAAGTTGATTTATCAGGTTAACACATAATCATTACAGGCGCTAATAGCGGTATAGGGTATTCAGCAGCTTTATAATTAGCACAAAAGGGAGCTTTTATTCACTTGGTATGCCGTAACAAGTAAAGAGGAGAAGAAGCTTTGTAAAACCTTTAAAAAGAAATTTCAAACAACAAAAATGTCCAACTCCATTTATGCGATATGAGTGACTTTTCTTCTATCAGAAAGTTTGTAGATGAATATAATTAATTAGGTGTAACACTTGATGGGCTAGTTTAAAATGCAGGTACTATGATTCATGAACGTTAAACTACAAAGGATGGTCTTGAGTACAACTTTGCTACTAATGTTGCAGGTGTATTTTTGATGAATGAGCTATTCGTTCCTTTACTTGAAAAAACCTACAAGCAAACCTAAAGAAATCCTAAGATTATTCTAGTTAGCAGTGGAGGTATGTACACATAAAAGCTTGAAGCAGACGATTTAAATATGTCAAAAGAAAAGAAATTCGATGGATAAGCTTAATATGCTAAAAACAAAAGACAGTAAGTAGTTTTGTGTGAAAAATGGACTAAATTATATACCCAATCCAAAGGTATTTAATTCTATTCAATGCATCCAGGATGGGTAGACACTCCTGTTTTACCTCAAGCTATGCCAGACTTTTATAAAAGATTTAAGGATGATTTAAGAAAATGCGAAGAAGGTTCAGATACCATATTCTGGTTATAATGCATGCCCGCATCTAGATTAGAAAGTGGTGGATTTTATTTTGATAGAAAATCAGTACCAAAACATTTATCAATAGCTTGCACTTCTCATGATTAAAAGGAAGTTGATAAATTATACAATAAATTAGTTGATATCACAAAAATTTGAAGAACTTAATAAGTAAGCAGTATACTTAAAAATTAAGATAGATCATTAAATTTTAATTTACATTAAAAGATAAAAATCAAAATTTAATAACAAATTATAAATAATCTTTAGGAATTAAAAAAAATTAATAATTAAATTAGTATTTATTTTACATTTTCTTAGTTTTATAAACATTTATCAAAATTAATCTTAAAACTGGATTTTCATAGCTTCAAATTTTTTAAAAATTGCATATTGATTGATGAGATATAATCGATTAGTTTTTTATTAATTTTATCATATAAATATAAAAGAATTATAATTAATTTGAAATATATCTCACATTACAAAAGTTAATAAAGCTCAAATAATATCAAAAATAATTTTCATACTTTCAAGCTTATTTTTTAGTTTAAAAATAAAAAAAATACTTTTGAATCAGAAATTGTTTAAATTACTTTAAATATTTTAATTTGAATTTAAAGATAAAAAACCAAATTTAAAAAGTAAATTTTCAAATAGTTTTATGAATTAAAATATAAAAGGATATAATTCATTTAGTATTTATTTTAAATTTATGAATATTTAATAAAACATAATAAAAATAGTCTCAAAAATAGACTTCATAATTTTAATTTTAATATTTAAATTAAAAACTAAAAACATATTTTTTAATCAATAATTATTAAAAATGATTTGAAACATTTCCTCCTTGTTTTTATAAAGTTTTTTTACTGATTTATTTTTTTAATTAACTTTTAATCAAATTTTATGATAATTTCCTTTGTTTCTCAGCTTTATTTTTTAATAATTAAATAGTTAACAATATTAAAGCTATTTTAGTAACTATTCAAAATAAGCTTTTAAATACTTTTATGTTAGTTTTTATAATTTTATAGTAAGCTAAAATAAATAAATAGCATTTACTTTGAAACTTCAGACATATATTCTCAAATAATCAACAGAAAAGCCTTCATGAAATGCTTTTATCTTCTAAATTAAAATTTAAGTTAAATTATATATAATGTATGAAAAAATAAATTTGCATTACAAATTTTAAAAAAAAACATCTTGTTAATTTATTGAAATTTTAGTTATTTTTAATAAATAGAAATCATAACAATATAGCCTTAAAAATCAAATACTTCTTAAATTCTAGCAGTTTAATATCAAGAAAGTAAGAAAATGATGTAAAATTATTTATTTTAAAATAAAATTTTTAAATTAATTTTATTGTATCAAATAAATAAAAATAAATTAATATAAATTACAAAAGAATATATATCTATATATTTACTATTTATTTATTTTACTTAGTTAGTTAAAGGATATTTTTTAGATAAAAATATAAATAGAATCTCAAGAAATACAATTTTTGTCATTAATATGAATGAGATATTGGAAAAACTATCAAAAATAAGTAGAGGAAGTAAAAAAAAGAAGAACAAAAAGGAGAAAAAATGCGAAAAGATATTTACTTTTTCAGATTATTAATTAAATTATGTTGATTATAATGCATTTTTAAATATCAAGCTTTTTATTAAAAATATTAGGAAAAATAAGATATAATTTCAATAAAATAAAAAAGTAAGAAAAAAATTAGAAAAATGGAAAAGAATTACACTTAATTAATTTTAACTGAATTAGAGTAAAATGGTGAAATCCCTGATACTCTATTATTGGCAAAGAAATTTGAAATTGAACATCAAGAATTAGTTGGTTATTTAAATTCTTTGCTTTTAGAGAACTACATTACTTAAGAAGTTAAGGAAATTTAAAGATGGGTACTTTTATAAGAAGGTTTAGATAATGTTACTAATGGCACTCCCGAATTCAGAGTGTTCTAGGGTATCCCTGCTGAAGGTAAATTTATTTTATCTTTATTTGAATTCATACCTTAAAACAGTTTACAGCAATTTCTAAAAAATAGTTTTACAGCTTAGATTTATTATAAAATTTGGCACATTTCAAAAAATATTTTTTAAATTTGTATGAATTTAAAGCTCAATAAGCAAACAAATAAATGATTTATTTTAACTAATGATAAATTTAGGTATTTCAAAGAATGATTTAGAAGCTAAATTTGATCCCAATGTTTTCAAGTTCGGTTTATAAAATGGTATGAAAAAGAAGTGGTTCAAGATTAAGGACGGTCTTATTCAAAAAGAAGTAGCTGAAGTAGTCGATGAAGATGCTGTTCTTTTAAAAAGAATTGAATCTAACAGCAATTTGGAAGATATTAAAAAGGACGTTTTCGATAATCTTAAGAAGAGAAAGATTATTTCTTAGGAAGTTATCAAATATTTCAAAATTAATAAAGGTGCTGAATTCAAGCCCATTTATGTTGAACTTGAATCTGATTTAACTTATGATATGGTTAAGAACTACGATGATTTTGTCAAGAATGAAGATGGAACAATTAAATCAAATACTGAACTCGCTAAATAATTCAAAAAATATAATTGGAATTCTGTTGGTAAAGATATGTAAATAACCTATTTGAATATTTTTATGTTAATGCTGCTTAAGATATTATATTTTTATTTTTAAATAAACGACTTTTATACTAAAAAATACGATTTATAAAAATAGAAAAACTGGTAACTTGCATCCTTTGATGAAAGTCAGAAAATAATTCAGAGAAGTTCTTATTGAAATGGGATTCGAAGAAATGGCTACCAACCAATATGTTGAAAGTGGTTTCTGGAACTTCGATGCCCTTTTCTAACCTTAATAACATCCTGCCAGAGATGCTCACGATACTTTCTTCATTAGAGAACCTGCTCACAGCAAGAATTTAGATCCTGAATACTGGGAAAGAGTTAAGAAAACTCACGAAGTAGGTGGTTATGGATCTATTGGTTATCGTTATGATTGGAGTTATGATGAAGCCAAAAAGAACATCTTCCGTACTCACACAACTGCTGTAATTTACTGAATTTAACCTTTAAAAATAATTAATTAATAAATAGCTAGAAAAAATAAATAATTAGCATAAAAAATATTTAGAATATTATCAAAAAAAATTAGCTAAGCAAATATTATTGAAATAATAATTAGGTTTCATCTAAAATGTTAAGACAAATTGCCATCGAATATGCTAAGGACGGCGTTTTCAAACCTAGAAAATTCTTCTCTATTGATAGAGTCTTCAGAAATGAAAGCTTAGATGCTACTCACTTGGCTGAATTCCATTAAATTGAAGGTGTTATCGCTGATAAGAATGTTGGTCTTGGTGAACTACTTGGAGTTATTACTGAATTCTTTGCTAAAATAGGTAATATTATTTTAGCTTTTATAAATAAATATTCTATTTTTTAAATTAAATCAATAAATTAAAGGTATTACTGGCTTGAAGTTTAAGCCCACATATAACCCATACACAGAACCATCCTTGGAAATTCATGGTTTCCATCCTGGTTTGAATAAAGTCATTGAATTAGGTAACAGTGGTGTTTTCAGACCTGAAATGTTACGTCCCATGGGATTACCAGAAGATATTTAAGTTTTAGGTTGGGGTCTTGGTTTAGAAAGACCTACAATGATATAATATAAATTCAAAAATATCAGAGATCTTCTTGGTTACGGTGTAGATATGAAACTCCTTAAGGAAAATCCTATTTGCTGTTTCAAGAATTGAGGAATATTTAAAATATAAATAAAATATTAAATATATTTATTTAACAGAAATTGTAAATCGTTTTCATTTTTTAGTTTTATAAGTTCAAATTTTAGTTAATAATTAATTAATTAATGGATTTTAGTTGCTGCACTATATTAATTGATTATCACAATTTCTTACCTTTTAGAAAGCAATTTTTTAATCTAACATAAATTTATTTAAAAATAAATAATTTTATCAAATATTTTTCTGATTTATTTTCAAATAATTGGGATAAAAATTATCTTTATTAATTGTGATCTATATTAATCACAAAATTATATTATTTCATGCTAATTTTTTTTGCTTTATTGTTTTAATTTTTTTAAAAGGAACTTATAAGTTATTTGCTTAAGATATGATCAACATGTTTATTTACAATGAAGTATTTTTAAAAATAATTTGACTCATTTGCTATAAAAAAAAGATTTATTTGAATTAGAATTTAAAAAAATTGAAGAAATGATTAATGTCAAAATTTTATGAATAATAAATAATGTAATTTATAGTTCAAGATAGTTAGATATCTATTGATCCATTTGTATTATGAATAATAGATTAGCAAAAGCATTAATTGATTCATATTGTTTTACAAAATAAATAATTTTAATAAATATATTTTCTACTTTTCAAAAAAAAAAAAAATAATTATAATTTTTAATTTAATCATATCTTTTTTAAGTGTTTTTAATATTCAAAATATTGTTTATAAAATTAAATTTCAGAGACATTCTTCATCTTCATGATCATTGTTTTTGTTTAAATCATGCTCTTCTTCATTATTCATTAGATTCTCATCATCTTCTTAATGAAGTAAATTATGAGAATGCTCATGTTCTTATACTATTTGTTCATGCTCTTAGTTTATTTTAATTTCTTATTCATGATGTTAATCGGTGTTAATTTTTTGCTCCTCATGAGTTTCTTAATGGAGTGCTTAGGTATCTAAATAAAAAATTTTTTTTAATATTTCAATAAGCGATAAAAAGAAAATATTTTGTAGGCTAATTTTTATTTTTAAAAATTTTTGAAATTAGTTTATTTACTTTTAATACCAACGATCTTAGAAATTTATGCTAGTTTTTCAGCATCACTTGCATCTATTTTTTGAATTATTTTCTTTATCTTATCAAGTTTTTCCATTGGGGTGTCACTTTTAGCTCCTAATGCTTTTGGTGGTGGGATATTTGAGCTTGAGCTTCTTCCTTTATTTTATTGACTATCTATAAGTTTTTAGGAAGGGGCCTTTTACTCATTACTATCAGCAGCCTTTTTTGAAGCATTATTTTGATGGAAATTAGTTGCAGTAGTAGTTGCATGTGAAGATGTAACTTGCTTTTTAGGTTTTTCGGACTACTCTTCTTGTGGTTTATTCATTGAAGGATTAAATATTTTTGGCACAACAATTTTATCTGCAAATGAAAAATCAGGTTCTACACCTTTTCTCTTGGCTGCAGCATCATACTCACCAGGAGGCTTATTACAATTACATTCGTAAAACCGCATTAACCATTAAATCATCTCAAGGTTATCCTAATACTTGCATTTAGAGAGTTTCTCTACCTTATTAAAAATAAAATTATGTCATCCAAATCACTTAAATTTATCTTATAAGAAACTAAATTTAAAATGTTTTAAGTAGTTAATTTTACTTCAATGATACGTTTTATTCCTAACTTTGTAAATGCTGTCTAAAGCACTTTTAAGTTATTGACGAATTCCCAATCAAGTTTAGCTTTCCAATTAACCTTTTGAAGAGACACCTTTCCAGGGAACATAGCATCTAAAATTTAACAATAGACTGCACCTTAACCTAAACTTTCAATCTTAGTGACATTCAACTAAATTATTTTAAAAGTTAGATTATGTATTCAATTTAAAGTCTGTAATAATAATTCCTTACTCCAAGAAGATCGTTTATAAATTTAAGAATTTCAGATCTAGGTTTAAAGTAACCTTCATCCATCATACCAAACGCCTCGTTCATTTTTAATGCTATCTGGAGTCTTTAAAAAAGTATGTTTATTTATTTATTTAAAATATTGCTTCAGCTTTATTTTTTGCAAATTAATTTATTATAAATTCAGAGACAGTAGCTAAAATTTTGTTATTTTAAATCAAAAATCAATCCTTATCTATTAATGATAATCTCAAATAAAATTTGGGTATTTATTTATTAATTTATTTTTGAAATTTGTAATTATTAAATATTTCAATTCTTTATTTGAAAATACTCATTACATTAGTAAAAAACTGCCTATTTAATTTGTCGTCAAATTTTAGTGAACATTAATACTTTTTTAGATTTGATAGACTTAATGCCTTTCACTAATTAATTTCATTAAAAATACAGTAAATAATTTATAAATTAATTTTAAGTATTCAACTTTTTTGTATTAAATAACAAATTAAATAAAAAAACAAATATTCTAATCTCGAAATTAAAGCTTTTTGTTTATTTTATTGAATCAAAATGATCAAATCTAGCACTTACAAGAATGTTAAAAAAGTAACTTTACTGATAAAAAACATAAAAAATAGCTAACAAATAATTAAAAAGTTAACCTGATAATTAAGTAAGTTCTTTATTACTGAATAATTCAAAATACTATAACAAATTAAATAATTCACTTTTGCTTATTAAATTGATTTTATATTTCATTTTATTTTAGAATTAGTATAAGTTAATACTGTAAAATAAAAGGTACTTTTTTAATTTCAACTTTCAAAAAGCACTCTTTCTGAAGCTAAAACAACTTTGATAATGTTAAGGTCTATCTTTTTTATCTGAAAGCAAAGAATTCCTTTTTTCACACACTTCTACTTTAAATCCTATTTTCTTGTTTATCTTATCGATGTGTTATTCGATTTCGTTTAATTCCCCTAAATTTACATACTTGACAGCCTCACTAATCAAATCAAGAGTAAAAATGATAATTTCTTTCAAAAATGTGCTAATATAAACAAATAATTTATTTTCAGCATAATTGTCTAACTCTAAGTTTTCCAAGAGTTTGTAAAGGTACAAATGTATCTGTTATTAAAAATTTATTTATAAATGGTTTTATATTAGTTAACTTATTTACCAAAACATGAGGATATATTATTAGTAATTTCATAATCAGCACAATACTCAATCCGAATGGAACTAGTTCAGCAATCGCAAATAAGAATGGTTCAAGCAATAAGAAAGCTATAAAAATTAGCCAACGTTTTAATATATCTATATTTAGAATTTAATTTTCTCTTTCCTCTTGTTCTTCAGGTGTTTATAACCCTTCTTAATTTTCTTCCTAAGGTTTCTAATTTTTAGAGAAAGATTGGAGTGTCTTGTATGTTAACATACCATATCCTAAGTAGCTTTATTTTTTAGAGAAATTATAATATTTAGATTTGTTATTGGTTAAAAAATCATAAATTGTGTTTAAAGTTTTAATAGCTTATCTAAAATACTCATTACGTTACATAACCAGAGAGTATAGACATTTTGTAATGTTTATTTTCTATCAGAAAAATTTGATTTGGTTAAGTATCTTTTCAACTAAAAAGCTCTAAATATTTTTAATTTATAATAAATTTAAAAGAATACATAAAAAACAAAATCAATCAAATATTTATGATAGATCAATCAATTAACAAGTGAATGGGTGTGTTTTAAATTTTACACTTGAAAATTAAAAAAAAATAATAATTATTATTTAGAAACATAAAATGTGAATGAATAAATAAATGAAAAACACACACTAAATGTGTTTTAAAAATAAGTAACAACAGAAACAAGTGAATCTAATATTTTTGATGAATTAATAATGAATGAGTGTATTTCAAATTTATTTTTCACTTAAAAATTAATGTAAAATATTATTAATAATAATTTAGAAACATAAAATGTCAATAAATAAATGCAGAAATAACATTGAATGTTGTTATAAATAAGTAACAATAGAAGCAAGTAATTATGAATAATCTATTTTGATATTTTAATTCGGATGTTACTTTCATTTTTCTATGAGTGATTCTTTTTGATTCATTTTTCACTTATTTATAATTAATAATATTAAATAACTTTATCAGAGTAAGCAAATAATATAAATCAAGAGATTAATTGCCATTTTTAATTCAATTTTTGTCAATAAAAATTATAACTTTTTAGATGTTTTAAAAAAAATTGGTTTGTTTAAGTTATTTTATTCGCTATATTTATTGATGACGGATTAATTTATTTTATAACAATTATTGAGGTGCTAATTAATATGAAAGTGACTATTCATTAATGTAAAAATAATTGAAATTTAGTAAAAAAGGAATCAATTATATATATGATCAGTTGACTTCATGAACACCCTAATAAATTCATGAATCAATAAATATGAAATTTATCTAGGTTTTTATTTTCTTTGAAATTAATCAGATTAATAGAGTCTAAAAAAATACTCATGAATCAAGTTAATTATTAATAGTTAAAACCTTTATTGCTTCAGCTGGACTTTAATTTTAAATAGAAAGTTAAATTTAAAAGGGATATTCTTCATTGTTGGTATTTCATTTTTAAGTGATTTTGATTACTGTTGACTAAAAAAATGATTGGTTATAAAATTTTATATCTAAGAAAGTATTGCAAGAATTTATTAAAACATTTAATAGAACTTGCATAGAGTTTTCTATTGGCAATTTAATTTATCTTGTTTTGATTTTATTTGATTTGAATGGAAAAATATCAATTTTTTTATTATATGTTTAGATTAATCAAATCAAAAAGAAGAGTTTCTAAATTTTTCATTGATAAAAATTAAGCATAATGAAAATAATATGTAAATAATATGCCATGTGATAATCTAAGAAAGGCGCATCTGAACATGGAGTATTCCATATTCATATTCTTCTACTAGAAAGATAAATTCAAGATGAAGCTAATAAATTAATCTCTGGAAAGGAAGACAGTAATTTTGATTTCTTATGAAAAGATGCATGAAGTAAAACTCGCGAATCACCACTTTTTACGCAAGTGATTAGTATAAAGGTGTGGTTTGAGAAACTCATTTTAACATATAAACAATTACAAAAAATCACAATCTAAAAACAAAAAAAAAAATTAAATAACAAAGTCTTTACCTCTAAAAGGTAAATTGATTGAAAGATCAAACAAAAAAAATTAATATCTAAGCCAATTAAAAATATCATTGAAAATCAAAGAAATCTTTAAAGACAAACAAATTTTGAAATGGGTAACATAAATGAAAGCCAAAACACATAAGAAAACATTCCAGACTTCGTTAAAGCCATATCGCATTTTACATACAACAAATGCTTGAATTAGCTTGAATTATAAAACACTATTACCTTGGATTCTAGGATTTACTTAAAGAAAAAGTAACAATTCATTTTCAATAACAAACTATTACCACAATTAATATTACTTATAACTAACATTCATTCTACTTATTTATTATAATTATATCAATAAAAAAATATATTTGTTTATAATACCCAAATTATTATTATTACCTTCACGCATCTTAATCATTCTTTCATATAAAAGGGAAAAAATTGTTGACTCCAACGCTCTTTCTAAACTCGGAGAAGGTCTTTCCAATTTAACTAATTTAAGACACATCTCTATAATTTTGAGGTACTTTCATTTTATTTTATAAACATATTTCCATTTATTAAATAAATTTATAGTAATCAATATTTTTTCAAAAATATAGAGAGTGCCAATTCAACGAAGAGAGTATTTAATCTCTTGCTAAGGGTATATCATCTTTAATCAATTTAGAAAACCTTGAAATTGAAATAAGGTAACTTTTTTATTTTAAACAATTAAATATTATAAATTAATCAATCACTCATTGCCGAATTTTTTATACTTCTCTCACAGGTTTATTAAATATTTTATTTATAATATAGCTCATGCGAGCTAAATGTGAGTCAATGCATCTCAATCATGAAAGAAATTATGAAAATGACTTGGCTAAACTCCTTAACTCTCAATTTAACGTAATAAACTGAAAATATTATTATTAATATGGAATTTCATTTTTCTTATGTATTTAAAAATTGTATTTTCAACCAACAGTAATAATTGATTAAATTAAAGATATTATTATTAATAATATAAAGCAAAAACGACTTAACAAATGAAGGAGTTATTCAATTATCTTAATACATAACTAAAATGCCTTAACTGAAAGAATTGCAGCTATTTTTAAAGTAATTTACAAAATTTTTTAACATTTTAAAAAACTTTCTTATATTTTTCATTTATGTAATGTATATTATTTAAAATAATTAGAGGTAACTATTTCAATGAAAAAGGAGTTTCTCATATTAGCGAGATGCTAAACAATCTCCTTAACTTGAAAGTCATTTTTGTAGATATTGAGTAAATTCAAGTATATCCAAATATATTTATACTAATTTTAATTTTTTTATCATAACAAAAGGAATAAATATAAATAACTAGAAAGCACAATTAATGATATTGAACGTAAGAACGATTCTAATTGTGGTATTTTTGATTCAGGAGATGATACAAGTTGATTTAAATTTGTATTTCACTCTCATCATCATTACTTATGAGATGTAGATTTCTACAAAGAATAAATAAATTAAAGAATCAATAATAAAACAAACAAACAAACAAACAAACAAATAAATAATTAATTACTATCAATAAACTATAATTTTCTTTTAATTATTTGATAAGGAAACACCTGTAAGCCTCAATTCAACCAATATAAAAACACACTCACACATATAAATTCCAATAATTTATTTAAAAAACTACAAAAAAGTAATATAAATACTAAAATTTTACTAAGGAAATTAGCTAATCCTATAAATTGTTTAAGCTTATTTAATGGACTTATTTTTTGGCCTAAAAAATTAATAATCATCTAAATTTATTAAAAATAAACATATTTAAATAAGTAGTCTCATGATATAAGTATTCTAAATTATCTATTCATTTATTTATTATATACCGAAATGTAAATAGTATTTTATTTATATATAATGTCTTCTTGTAATCTAATTATTCAATTTAAATTTCAAAATCCCATACTCAAATTTTGCCTTACTTTCATTTTACTAAAATCAAATCATAAAATTTTGAATCTATTACTTAAATATATACCAACTTACTAAAAATTGGGAGTAATTTTATTCATTAGACAAGTATTATTTTCTAAATAGCATTCACAATATACTTTTGATTAAATAATCATAATCGAATAGATAAATAAAATTAATAAGGTTTTTACTTAGAAATCAAATAGAATATGATGATATCAAATTACTGAAATAATATTTTCCTTATATTTAGGAATTTTAACTAAATTATTATTAAAAAACACCCTAACTAATGAATCAATATTTAGAAATAAGTAAAAAAAATTAATATAAAATATCTATTATATATATTGTAAATATTTAAGCAATAACCATAAATTATTTAAAAGTAAAGAAAATTTGAAAAAAGTATTTTTGATTAGTTTAGAAAATTTTTTTGTCAAAAATTTCTTAGGAAGTAATAATTACTTACAAAGCTATTAAATTGTGATTCTGATTACTTTAATTATGAGTATTAAAACATTTACAAATAATAAGTAAATTAATTTAATTTTAAATAGTTATTAAATATTTTACAATATTATCATGACGTATTTGAAATCAACATAATCAATATATTAATAATATGAAATGAAATAAATATTTATTTTTTTATTTGTAAAGAAAAAAAATATCTTGATATTAGAAATCTAGAATTTATAATTCATATTAATAAAGGAAATTTGAAAAAATAAATACTTACTGTTAATAATAAAAATTACCAATAAAATTTATAAACAAAAATAATAAAATAAAATTTATAATCCTTTAAAAATATATTAAATTTAAAATTAAAATTAAAATTTTAATATTTATTTATTACTAATTATTTTAATATTTAATCAAAAAAGTTATTTTAATTGAATTATATGAAAACAGCAATTTAAATATAATTCAAAATAGCTAAAGAAAATTAGAAAATAATATTTTTAATTAATTTATTAAAATATTTTAAAATAGTATTTATTTCTAACCAATAAAGAAATAAAGTTTTTTTAAAAAAATAAAAAATTTTTATTCTTGTTATTTATTCTTAGTTTATTTGTACAATCCACAAAAATATAACTAAAAAATATTATTAAAAAATAATTGATATTAAAATTCAATTATTTTAAGTTTAGGTTGCCTTTTTCCTTTTATTCCTTAGACTCATGTTTGTTTGAACAATCTGTTTTTTTACAGATCTTTTTGCAGAGTTGATTTTACTAAATATGATCTTTATAGCTTTATTCAAATCTTGTTAAAATTATTGATTTAAACCTTCTTTATCTAATTTTCCTTTAATGGAATTAACAGTATTATATAAATCTGAAATATCCTATGCATAGTCTGATTATGCTACAGAGTTTTTCTTTTTTTCCTCTTGCTTTTCATCTTTGATGTAATCAAAAATAGTTTTAACAACATTTTCCACCTTTTTTTAAACTTCTTCAATGCTCTTCTAACACTCACCCTGCATTTATTCATTTTTATCTTCTATTTATTTAATTACATTGCTCTAGAAAAAGTGTTTTAAATCTCTCATTTCTTATAGCAATTCTTGCTTTAGGATTAATTCTAATTTTATTTATTAATAAAAATTATAAACAAAATATTTTAATTTAATTAAATAAATTTAAGAACCTCTTTCTCTTTATTCAATCTTTTATTTCAATATTTCATCTTATAAGAGCTGCAGCGAAATATTTGCAAGTTATTATTACTAAGAAATTTGTCCAACCATCAAGCTACTTTATATCAGATTAGGATGATTTAGCCTTGATTCAGAAGGATTAAATATCTAGCTAGACTTACCATCAAATTAAGAGACCTTACTTTCTTGGATCGCTGGAAGAAACAATTGTGATTACTTTAGGTTATGCTATGAAAGAAGTTGATAGCTTTAATTTAGAAAGCTTTAGTTCAGATTAGGATTTTAAATAAAATTATTCTCATGTAGAATTTAATTGTAAGAATCATTAGCTTCGTCTTAGGATAACTAATTTAAAAAGGATGTATTCTAAGTAGAATTTAGGTTCTTATTTTTGAATGAGCTGTATCCAGTTTATCCAAAGATATTTGGTTCTTCAATCATAAGGCTAGAGTTTTTAGGCACAGGAAATTATGAAGCTGAGAGATTAAATATTTAAATTAATTACAAATTGAACTATTAAAATAAATACCTTGTGAGAGTATCTACTGAGTTTGTGTATTGCACTGCATTTGAATGGTATTCTGTGAGTTCTAGCTATTTTAAGAAACCATTTATCCCTTTGCTGTAAAGCAATTTGACTAAAGTGATGTGAGAGCTGCAGCCGATGACTATGAAGAACCTAAGTTTTAGCTTTTCTTCTTATTGATATATGTTTTCAGACTCATATTTGTATTTTTTCTTACTTCTGATTTTTTTAATCTTTTTGGTGTTTTTTATTTTGATAATTTAATAATTTTAATTTGTTGAATCTTAGCTAGAATTTAACTTAGCATAGAGATATTTCTGATCAATAATTTAAAATTGAAGTTGTAGCTAAAAAAAAAATTTGAGTTGAACTAAATAACAATATTCTCTAAGAAAATAATATTTTTACAAAAAATTAATAATTAATACTTTAAACATTTCACTAATTATTTTGTTATGTTAAAAATAAAAAAAATTATTATGGCTGCAAATGAGTTTAAAAATGTTCATTTTAATCAATCAGTAAATGAATCTTTTATTATATTTTTTTGATCATAGATTTAAAATTTACATTAAATTAGTAGTAGACAAACGTGAGTAATTTTTTTTAACACAGAATATAAATGAGTAATTAATTAATTAGTTAGTTAGCTAGTTTTATTTCTTTTTCATAACTTTGATTCATTAAAGAAATTGTTGTAAACTGCCATAAAAGTAGGTCCTACATACTCAATAACATTTGGAGCAGTAAGACTAAATTGATGTTTCAAATAAGCTTCATAACTTGCCTTTCTAGTAATGCAAGAAGCCAATACGCATCCTAAAAGGATACAAGTAGCTTCATCTAAGCTTGTATCTTATAAATGCAAAGAAGATAAATTTTAAGACTTTTCTTAAAATGATCTTTTGCCCCAATAACTATAAAGCCCTGTCAAACCACTAAGAATATCTCCTATTCCTCCGCATCTCTTTTTTGAAGATTTTTCAACTACTAAAAAAGCTTTTTTCCCGTTAGTAATTACATCAACCATTCCTTTTTGCACTATATTTATATTATTCAGTCTTTAAGAAAGCTAAACTGTATCTTTTACAATAGGGTTTTCTAAATTTTTAATTTCAACATACTATAATTCTGCATATTTTATTTATTTAGTTTATTCTAATTCTAATTTGTAGTGATCTGCAATAAAACTTTCCATGTACTTTTCTCTTTCTTCACGCTTGATTGGAGAACCTTCCATAAAACTTTTCCATAAACGCTCAAACTCTATTTAATTAGGTGTTAAAATATGATACTGAGGATCATTAATGATAACACTCTTAAAAATCTTTCCATTGATATTTTATTTAGAGTATTCATGTATTAAATACCACAAACCATCAGCATCTAATACAACTATTTGCTATTTTTTAAACCCTGCTATTATATCACCTAAATATGATTCAATCCACTCATCGCGGCCTAAACCTGGACCAATAACAAAACTGTGGAGTGCACCTTCCCAGTCATCTACTAATTTTATTGATTTTTATAATTTAGATTATATTTCTTAAGCTGTGTATTTTTCAGGATTTTCTTCTTCGTTCAAACTATATAGATATGAGTGAACTATTATTTCTGGGGAATATGCTTTAATTGGTATTGCAGCTTGTTTTGTACAAAAAATATGAGCTAAATCGCAACCACCTTTTAATTATGAAATGGAAGAGTAAAATGGGGCGCCAGTGTATTCTAAGCATCCGCCTATGATTGCTAATCTGCCATTTTATCCTTTATATGAGCTAGATATTATTTTAGGAAGAATTTATTTCATCATCTACGTTTTCTAATATTGAAAAATATTATTTATTTGTTATATTTTATTTTTTTTTTTAATTTTCTCAAAGTAAACATATATATAAAATTCCGTATTTTGATGGAACAAGTAATAAGATATTTTCAATTGCAGAAATAGATTTGTTGTTTAAAATACCATATCAAAAATAAATTAGAAAAATCTAAGAATTTAGTTTAAAGTTGTCATTTTATAAATGAAAAAGAAAGTTTGTTTTAAAAATAAGATCTAATTAAAAAATTAATGACATTTTATGTAATTTAAGATTCCTTTTTTAGCTCAAAAAAGTAGAAAAATAACAACTTAGACTCAACAATATTGCCATGGCTTAGTAAATTGCTAACTTAATCAGATAATATTTTTATTATCATTACAAATTCCTTAAAAAAAAACATCTTGAAACCAAAATTTACACGTTTATTTATTTATTTTTGAAAAACTTCTACTTCATAATCACTTAAAATTTAAATATTAGAAATAATTATATAAAAGAAGAACTTAATTTTATTTAAAGCTATTGCAATTATTTCATTTTAAAATATTAACTGATGATAAAATATTTTGATAGCATAATTTGTTAAAATTAAAAAATAGAATTAGTAAGTTTCTAAATGAAAAAATTATGAAAATACTGCAATTTTATTAAAGCAGTGCTCAATTTACCATTTTTAATGATTTTAATTGATTGGAGAAAAAAAAAGAAAAATCAAAAATTAATATTTAACTTATTGATAGAAGAAAAGGAAGATACACTTTATTTTTAAAGAAAGAAAAAGAATAAGTAAGAATAACAAAAATAGGTAAAAGTACCAATGAATTAGCTTAGAAGAATATCTAGCAAGTGCTTCAGACAATTATATGCCAAGCAGAGCTTTAAAATGGCTAGCAACAATCAAAAGAAATATGATTAAGTTAAGGAATAGCATTAAGAAGAAAATGATATTGAAATGGGAATTAATCTTTTTCGTCCTAATCAAAGCTAGTAGAATGGTTAAATATAACAGCGAAAGCAAGATGGAAAAACAAACTTAAGCTTTTATGACAAAAATGATATAGAATTCTAAAACGAATATAGTCAATAGCATTATTCTAGAAAGAGAGCCATTTAAGATGTTGTTGAATCACTTTACTTCTAGGATCATTCTCAAACTACCTAATACGAATTTTTAAAGAAATTATCATCATAAAAAGTTAATGATGAATAAGATGAAATAGAAAATGATATTTAAGATGTTGAGTCATAAGTGAAAGCAAATACTAACATCAACGAAACAGATTTGAAAACAAATTTTGATTCTCTTTAGAATTTTCTTGAAGAAGACCTTGTTATCAGTGATTAAGACTATAAAAAAGTTTTGGATCTTTCATCTTCTGCAAGAACTGCAATATCATCTAATTAAGGTAATATTTAGATGAAAAGAATCCCTGAAAATGCTTATGATATTCTTCCAATCATACAAAACATTCACCTAAACAATCACTTATTGGCATTCTTCGTTAAATATTAAAAGTAAATTATATACTAACAACTTTTTTTGCATATTTTTCAAATATCTTTAATTCACTCTACGCCTAAAATTTTTAATACTACAATTTAGTTGTTAAATTTAGAAAATTGAGCCAGGTATTATTTAATAAATAGAAAGCGAGAGAAAGATATTTTTTATTGTATAAATTATTAATTAAAATTTTTAAACAAAAAAAGGTACTTCTTTTCTTTGTAATACTACGCTTTAATCAGCAAGTTAAAATAAAATGTCGATGATTTGGAATACATTAAAGAGTTCGAAATGAGCAAGTATGAAGAGAAGAGAAAATCTCTTTAAGAAATAAATTCTCAAGCTAAGCCTAAATATAAGCCTGTTTTCTTGAATGCTGAGGAAACAAAGGCTCATTTCGGTTATAGCGTTTTAATAAGAAATATAAAGCAAAAATTTGTAATATTATTTGAAATATTTAAATATTTAACTATCTTTTTAATATTTTTAGGAGCATTATGACGCCAGAAAATCAATAACAATTCTGAGAGCTTTAGTGGCTTTTGACAATAACATAAGTGACGAATTTTTCGATCTTATTGGAAAACGCTTTTTATAGAGTAAAAGTGATTTTACTACATTTGAGTTAGTTTAGTATCATTTTTTGCTTGCAATCTAAAGTGAAAGACATGGCTAAATTGTAAACAATGATCTTCAGTAAAAAGTGATTAATGAATATTTAAGTAGAGATGAGTCTGAATTTACCAGTTAAATTTTAAATCTCATCATTAAATTAAGAGTTATGTTTCCTATCTATTCTGTTCACTAAATTAATTTAGTTCTAGTTAGAATGCAAACACAATTTACACGTTAAATAACATTTTTCTCAACTAAATAACTATTAGAAATTGCTATGATCTTTTTACAAAATAACATACATTTCAACAAGTATTTTGTTGAAATACTCTTCATTACCATACTTAAAAATTTACCACAAGAGCAATCTGTCAAATCTAAAAGTGTTATCCAAATTCTTAAGTATTTTAAGAATAAAAATCTTTATTACTTATAGCGTATTGATGATAAATCATAGATTCAATTAAGTAAAGAGGATTCATGGGAAAATAGAAGTGGAGAAGAAGAAGGAATTAGTGACGATTTTGATGATTTATCTGCACCAAGCGAAAGCTAAAATAAGAATTCTGATGATATTGAAAATTTATAAAAGGAAGACTCTTAAACAAAAGTCTTTAGAAATTCTATGAAAACTAGTTTAAAAATCGACGGCTTATTTGACACAATGTTATCAAGCATAGTTAAAGAAATAAGCTCTGGCAAAACTCTTAAACCATACAGTCTTCATCTTTTAATTAATATTTGCATTTAAAACTAAGTAACTAAGCAAGCCTACTACGATATTTTTATTACTGAATATGCTAAAATTCTTCCAAAAGCTAGCTTTTTAATGTTTGCTAGAATGTATTAAATTCTATCAGATTAATTTTTAATTTAGAAGCCTTTGCATATTCTTTCTTCAACCAAGGTCAAGAACAACATCAAATCCGAATATGTGTCTTATCAGAAAACATAGTAGCTTTTAATTACTTTCGACAAGCAGCAATAATCAAAAGGTAAGTTAAATCATTTGCTATAACAAGAATATCGTTATTTGAGCGAAAAATAAATGAAACTTACTCGTCTCTTACTCCTTAAATTAAATTTTGGTGTTTCAAATTTATGGAGTTATGTGCTTAACTAAATCCGCTTTGATTTAATAGAATAAACAGATGTTGATATTATGTCTTCATCAATTAGTTACTGCAATAGCCTTATTGCAGATATAGATAAATACGTAGATCAATAAATGAATTGTAACATGAATTTGCTTTAAAATGCTTAACAAATTAATAATTTTATTGAAATACATTTGAAGAAGGTTGTCCCTTTCATTGATATTTCCAAATTCGTCTCTAACATTCACATTAACATAATTGATCCAAATAAGAATATTAGATATAGCTCCAAGGTTGATTTAATGTTTTAACTTATTAAGCGTTAATTTTTCATTAAATATTAACCTTATATCGAAAGAAATGCCTTAGTCAATTAAATGATTTTTGATGTAAAGCTAAGCAATATTGAAACTTCTTCAGTAACATTAATCAATTTTGTAAACGAAAGTCAATGTAACTATAAAGGAGATGAAAGAGGTACCACATATCTAAAAAGACATTTCTCTAAAACTAGTAACTAGCCCTTTGTATTGATTAGCATTAGGGAGTTTGAAAATTATATATAAGAATTTCTAGAGGAAAGCTCAAATCAAAATGAAGTAATCCAAAATTTTATAGAATACAAATTGTAAGACATTGCTCTTCCTAAAGATCTAAAGTTGCCACAAGAAGTTCAAAACACTATAGATTTATTTGAATAATAAATATCCTAGATATACAATGAATGTAAATAAGAATATGAGCTCACAAAGGAATAAAATAAAAACAAATCTAAAAACAGATTCTAAAAATACACTAAAAAACCAAGATAGTAACAAAGTGAAAGATTATAAAACCAAGAAGAAATTGAGAATGAAAATCTTTAAATTAATGAAGAAAACTTAAGTAACCAGAAATAGCAATAAAATAAATTATTTGGAGACCATAGTAAATCCAATCAAAATCAGGAAAAGAATAATAAATATTACCAAATTGATTGAAAAATAAAGAAGGAGAAGAATAAGTTGCAATTTATGTAGTTTATTCATCATACATTTTATTTATCTGTTTTAACCTTAAATTAATTTTTATAAATACTTTCAATAAAAAACTATTAAAAAAAATATTAATATTAATTAACATAAATAATTTTTTTATTTCAATTAATCTCAATGTTATCTATCTTATTATTAATATAATATTTATCTTAAAAAATGATCAAATAAATAAAATTATTTATTAGTTAGAATATTATTTTTTATTTTAAATGAAATTAAATTATTAAAAATAAATTAATAATTTTGATTTAAAAATTGCTGACTTAAATCAAAATAAATTTTCCATAACCTCTTAATTTTAGCTTTAATACTGGGAAACTAAAAAAAATATCAGCTATTTTTCAAGCTAGCAAAAAAAATATAAAATTAAAATAGAAATAAAAATAATCTATTCTTTAAATGTCAGTAATTTTATTTATTCACTTATTAAGAAATTAATTAATAGAACTAAACAAATAAAATAAACAATAGTTAATTAATTAATGGATGCTTTTGAAGAGTTTTTTTTTGGGAATATTTTTAATTTTTATACTTTAAAAAACAGGGAGTTAATTTAGATTGTTTCTTAGCCTTTATAATTTAACTAATCAGATCATACTAAAAAATAGAAAGTTTTTAGAAAGAAATTTTTCAATAAATACATAAATAAAAACACAGAGAGTATATAAAGTATTTAATTATATAATAAATTAGAGTATATTGTAGTATTATTTTATTTAATAGTTTATTAAATTTAAAGAATTTTATTTATATTGTCGGCTATAATATAAAGTAATCCAATCATAAAAATGCAATGAAGGGAATGACAGAGGGTTCTTTGCTTGATCAATCTGATTTAGCTTTCTCTTTATTATCTTCTTTTTAAACATCTTCAAGCTCAATTAATACCAGATCATCGTCTTCGTCGTCATCTTTTTCAATTAAATGTCTTAGTTTAGAAACTCTTTCTTTCATTTCGGTCAACTTCTCAGCATTATCCAACAGGTGTCTAATAACTTTCTTCAATTCTAATAATTTTTAAAAAATTTATTTTAAAGAAATTAAATAAATTATTTTTTCATTTAAATTTTTGCAATTTTTGTAATAAAAATAAATATGCTAGAATATAAATTCTTTAATACATAAACACTTAGTCTATAAATCGTCTTCAGTTTTCTAGAGTGTGCAATCTTTAATAGAATACTCACAATTGTCATTAAATTCAATCAAATTTAGAGTAATCTCTCTGAATATTTCAGTTATTTTAGTTAGATTATTTGCTACTTCACCACGTTCTATAGAGTCAGCGACTTTATTTAAAGCGTAAGATCCTACAATACCTCCTACCTTATAAAAAAATTTAAATTATAACTCTCAAATAAATAATATTTATATAATTTTACTAGCCAAGATATATGCATTCTAGGCATCAAAATTTGCACTGGTAAAGAAGAAGTACCAATAAAAGAGTAATATAGTAAGATGAGAGCTCCCATAGATATATTTGAAAGAGCTATTCCTTTAGTCCAAACTATGTTACTGAGGCTCTTTATGCTATAGGATAGCGTGCTCTTGAAAAACTTTCTAATTTTTTCTCCTACACTGCTACTAGAGCTTGCTTATAATTGTTCCTTTAAATCTTTGTAAATTTATTTTTCTTCTTTTTCGCATGAAAAGTAGTTATAAAGTTCTGCTCTATCAACTAAATCAGCACTGATTTCTATTTGTATGCACCATTCAGATATTTGGTTGGCCAAAGCTTCTAAGTCTTTGACTATTGGTTTTTAAATTTATTTTTTAGTAGGTTTGATGGTTTAAAACTTGAAAACTTTAAAATGTTAATATTAACAAAATGCAATTTAAAATTTTTACATAAATGATAATCTTTTCTTGCAGCTTAGAAATCCAATCCTTTTGGAATAGCATAATTATCATAAAAAACAAGTTCAAAATAAGGCTGTTTCATCTTCTTTTGGAATGAATAAAGCAAATCCCCATCAACCATATTTATAAACTCTCTTTTGGAATCTTGCTTTTCTGCAAAAGATAATTTCTCTAATTCAATTTCAAGTGAATTGAATGCATCACGTCTCCATTCTGAAAAAGTAAATGGTATAAAAGGAGGTTTATGGGTGTTTAAATCAGTTTTCAAAATTTTGTTTGCGATGATATCGTAATGAAGTTTTAAATGTTTTTTAATATCAGTTTTAGATTCCATTTCAATTATTTTTTAGAATTATATTAATCTTTTGTATATTAAACTTTTTGAAATTTTTAACTCAGTTAGTTTCCTAAACTAATTTATCAAAAATTTTTTATAGAAGACAAGATAACTTCATTTGATTTTTCTTCTTCTATTTGTTTTAATAAGACACTTCTTGATGAATATTTTCTTTTTTTATTACTCTAAAATAGAAAGAAGGAGCTAATCTTAACATACGAAGATTAAGTAATTAGATAATTATTGTTTGCTATATAAATTTATGATCAAAAATAATACAAATACTTAAAGAATATTAAGAAGCTAACTAGTAAGCATTCATATTTTGATTTGAATATAGACAAGACAATTTATATTAGTTTATTGTATAAAAAATAAATTAAATAATATTTTAATGTTTAAAAGCTTATTGAATCATTTTTATGATAATCTTTCAAAAATATTATTAATCTTTTTTAATTATCTATTCATAAATCATATTAGAAAATTAGATAATTAATTTAACTTTTCAAATATTCTAAAAACTCAAATAAATAAATTTTTACTATAAATAAAACATATTTTATCCAACTAAAAAAATTGATAAATTTATTTAAATTGCTTAACTTTGATTTTTGTTTAAAAAACAAAATCTAATTAATTTTTAATCAGAAATAATATTAATAAAATGAAAATTTAAAATGTTCTAATGAGCTAATGAAAATAGCTTGTTTTGAAAAGCATCAAAACATCAAAACGGATATATACTCTTAAAATTATATATTTAATTTAGTATAATTTATATGTTTAAAAAAATAAAGTAAAAAACACCAGTTTTTGATTAAAAAACTAGATATAAACAATTAATATTTTTTTAATATTGTATTTTTAGTATATAAAAATGAAATACTTAACAATTTAAATTGCTTTAATGTTAGTTCTGGTAAGTTACTGTCAAAGCGCAGTAACTGTAAAAAATTCAAATGGCAAAATTTTAAGAAGTGATTATGTTTCTTAGGTTTTTGATGAAACATAGAAATTAATTATGACCTATAATGATATTGAAGATAAATCAATAGAATAACTATAAAATAAAATGTTTATTTAAGATAATTAATCAACATGCTAGACAGATAATGAATGTCTAAACGATGGGATTTGCTATGAAAAATAATGCTATTGCAAAACTTTATTTGTTGGTCCAACTTGCCAGTATTAACTCAGTACCCCACCAGAAGTGAGCAAATTTTGGTTTGCAGTAATATGCATTTGCAGTATCATTGCTGGTATACTTCTCATGATCTTGGTAAACTATATTATAAAATTGAGATCTGAAGCTAAATTTAAAAGAGAAGGCGAGTACAATGATAACAAATATGAAATATGGTAATAAAAATTGGATAATTAGCAGTGAAATCTCATGGAATTATCATGTAAACTTTACATATGATATGTTTCTACTTTCTTGATTTAATCCTAGAATAGTTATTACGTTTTGCTTTACTAAAATTTATAATATAGATTCTAAAAACGGATTATGCTAATAAGGATAATATTTTTGATTTAAAAACTTAATTACCATTTTCTTATTCACCTTAACAAACAAAAATACCATAAAATATCATAACTATTTATTTTAAGCAGTTTTGTTACAAATTTTTATAAAATATTTATTCTTAAAGTAAAATTTGCAATTAAATTGTAAATTAAAATAAGCAATAGATTTAAAAGATTTATATAGTTATATTAAAAATTAATGTATGAATCAATTATTAATTATAAATGCACTTAATATTTTAATCAAAGATGTCGTTTTATTATCTTCTTATATTTTATGATGATTAATTGTGAATTTATTTCAAACTAAATGTATATTTATTTTATCAATTCTACAAATTTAATTTTAATAAATAATTAATTGCTGAATTTTAATATTATTTTATTTAAATTAAAATTTGTTTTTTTTAACAAAAAAAAAATATCCAAGATTTTAGTAAATTATTTTATGATTTAATAAAAATTCAACAAATGATTATGAGTATTGAAAATATACCAAAATTGGCGATGAACTTGAATTAAATGTATTTTAATTTTCAGATACAATAAATAATAAATTATTATACCAATTTAAAAAATAGTAAGTATTTCAGCTGATTATATTTTGAGGTATAATCAATATGCTAAAATCGTCGATGATCTTAACTTAGGTGAATATTTGTTTTTTTATATAACCAAAAGGAAATATTTTATTAAAATTAGTTAATCTATGGCAAGAAATATGACAAGTGAATTACAAGTAAGAAGGTTTTGGTATATTCAAGTTTAAGAGTAGGAGTAGATATGAAGGTTATTTTAAAAGAAAAGAAATATTTTACTACTATTAATCAGGTAGTTTTAAGAGGTATAAAAGAGAGTTAGAGTTCAGAAATCGAGATAAATATTAAGGAAATTTGAAAAATTATAAAAAAAGAACTTTATTATAATTATGGAAATAAGGAAGAAGGTGAGTTGATTGATGATACTTTTTAAAATTGATTCAAATAATAATAAAAAAACTATTAAAAAAATACTAAAAACTCAAACTCCTAGGATGAATATATTAAAAAGTCAAATTTTCTTCATAAGTAAAATCTTTTATATGTATGATTAAAAAGTAAAATAGTTCTAATTGCATACATATTTAATTATTATGTTGGATATTTTATAGTAGTAGATAAATATAAAATGAATAAGTTTAATAGATTCAAAAGCATTTATAAATATTGATTGATGAACAAGAAGATTAAATACATTGATTTATATGAATAGATAAATATTATTAATTGGATTAATTTAAAATGTTAAATAAATAATTGATATTCATTTAATTAATTAAAATATAAAATATTTAAAAATAAATTTGGTTATTTTTTCTTTACATTCAAAAAGAAAGAAAGGAAGTAAATAAGTAAGTAGAATCTATGGATGGATGGATGGATGAATAAAAATTAAAAGAAAATTTCAATATTTTTTAAATTTTTTGTTTTATTCCTCATATTTGCTTGGTTTATGATTACCATAAGATCCTTTTCTTTTATTTTAGTTATTATACTATCCGTTTGCATGCTAATTATTGTTATTATTATTATTATACCCGTAAGAATTATTAGATGGGTTAGATTAATATTTATTAAATTGTTTTGGAGGGGCAGTTGAATAATTATGTCTTTTAGGAACAGGCATATGATCCTAGCTATTTATTTAAGAGCGAGTTGGTTAGAAGTGACAGTCTTGTTCTATATGAGGCATTCTGTTTTTTTATATATATATTTATTTTTTTAAAAATAAACTTTTAGTTTAAGATGATTTACTCTGAAACAGGGCAGGGAAGTGGTTCTCTCTCAAAATATTCATGATGTAATGCTTAATTTGAATCTAATCTTTCTTCTGGATTCATGGTCAAAAGGGCTTACAAGAAATCTAATGTACTTGAATCGATTGTAGGTATTTTTTATTTCATGTATGATATTAAGGAAGCACTATACTCTTTTTTGGGCTGTTTTAAAATTAAATTTGAATATATTTTAAAATTAAAATATTTTTTTATATACTTGTAAATCTTTCCAAAATTTAAAAGTTGTCAAGCCTGCCCAAGAATCTGGATCAGGAGAGCCACATTTTTCATAAATTTATTCTATTTAAGTACTTTCATTTTTTCCATTGAAGATAGGCTCTCCCAGAAGGAGCTCTGCCATGAAGCACCCAGCACTCCAAACATCACTCTTAAAACTATAATTTTTATCACCTGTTTACATTATTTTAACTTACTTTGAGATTCCCTTATGATATTTATTAATTTACCTAAAAGAATTTCAGGAGCTCTGTACCAAAGAGTTACTACAACCGATGTTAAAGGTCTTAAAAGAGGTCTTTCAACTTATCTTGCAAGACCAAAATCACCAATTTTTAAAACTCCATCTTTATTTAACAGTAAATTTGCACCTATTAATTTGATTTAAATACTTTTTAATTGTTCGCGGAATAAGATTAAATTTTGTTTATAAGCAAATTCAATCAAGTATTTTTAATTAATAATTGCAAATTACTTTTTAGATCTCTATGGATGACATTGCTATTATGTAAGTAATCTAATCCTTTAAATAGCTGCTACATCACACATTTTATTTATGGCTAAGTGAATGGCTACTTTTTTCTAATTAAACCCTAAAAGTCATGCTCCATATAATCAAATACTAAAAAAGTTGTAATCTTTGATTTGCCTTTATCCTTGCTTGCTTTAAATACAATAAATTTTTTAATCATTAATTTATGCAATAATTTGCTAAATTTACTTCTCATAGTCACGATTTCATTTATTTTCAATACATTTTCCTAATCTAACTTCTATAAAAGTTTTATCTCTCTAAGTGCTGTGATTGGAAACTTTTAAGTAAGATTAAAATTATAAAAATATAGATTCTAATATGTTGTTTAATCTTTACTCCATCTTTCTCTTATGATACATCTAGCTACTTCAATGCATACAATTTATTACTGACTGACTTTCTGTTAGCTTTATAGACGCGACTTTTATGGAAAAATACAATTTTTTAATGTTATAGATGCTAAATAAAAATGATTAATTAATTACCCATAAGTACCAGATCCTACTTCGTGTAATACTTCATAATCCTCATTTATATCTCTGGATCTAATTTAATCCAAAGTAACTCTATCATACTAGTAGTCGTCTGCAAAATCTTTTGCCTCTAATTCACCTTCCTCTATATCATTTAAATCTTCTTGACTCATTATTCTGATTTAGTTATTTATTCTATTAAATGTAAAACCCTCTAACTTTTAGACTTATTAGTTAATTAATATAAGATAAATTTAATATAATGAAAGTAAACAAGCACATTCTATTTTATTATTATTATTAAATATGTATGAAATTAGCTTGCTAATTTCTTCTAAAGATATATAAATAAATAAAAAAACCAACATTTAATTTATTACTTTTGCTAAAATCATTATCAAAAATATTTATTTTATAAAAAAAATATTAATGAAATATTTTCAGTTTAATTTAAAAACATTTTACATAAAATCAGATCTTTGATGCTCGCTCAAACTTAGATACAAAATAAATTAAGGATGAAAATATTTTACTTTTTAATTATATCAAGAATTTATTTAAATTTTAAATAGTTTGTGAATTTATTATAAATTTTTAAATATTTTAAATGCCTCAAAATAATTTCAGTACCATAAATCTCTCACTTAGATGCACCAAATATATAAATTGTTCCATGCTTTGAACCAAATATGATGTAATACTGATCTGATTATTTTGTTCCATTTTATTTGTCTAGTTTTTTAGGTTAATAACATGTCAATGATCTCCATCTCAGACCTGACTGTGATGCATTTATTGATCTTAAAAGCTATCCGTCAACTCCTTCCCACATTTTTATCAAAACATCTCTTAATTAATAAAATTAAAATATTTCAAAAAGTTTAATTAATTAGCAATGCAAATAATTACTAATCTCCAGCAGTTAGGATTATATTTCTCAGATTCAGACCATCTCTTACTTCCCACACACAGAGCCCTCTTATCATCCCTTCATGAGCTTTTTCTTTTTTGAATACCTTTTTTGAAATACAAAATTTTAAAAGAATGTTTTTGAAAATTTAGTAATGAATACCTCTCTATTTGTGTAAACAGATAAAGTAGAACTATCAGAAGCAGTAACTAGAGCGTATGTCTGATTTTCACCAAATGTAGCTTTTGGATAATATTTAAGAACTTTCATAGACTCGAAGCAAACTGACCAATCTGGATCTTTCCTTTCTAGAGTATTCAAGCAGTCTCCATTTTAATTATATACTTTAACAACTCCGTTTTCTCCAGCAAAACAAACAGCAAATAAATCTCCGTTTGCATCTTCATTTTCATCCAAATTATCTTCTTCAATTTGATTTTATTATTTTTTTCTTCCTTGTTTATTTTCTTCTAAAATTTATTAATGGAAAGCATCTATCTTTTTTTTTATTATATTTATATTCTTATTTATTGCTGACGATTTCCTCTCAATACGACAAAGTGAAACTATTTCCCTACCATTTTCTTTTGGATGTATTGTACGAATAGTAAGACCATCAAATATTGCCCAATCAATGAGAACAATTAAGTTTTTTCCACCACTATTGCAAACTAATCTTAAATTTAAAATATAATTTAAATTTTCTATTTATTCTTTATTTTTAGTTATAATTTATTAGAACATATTGCTTATTTAAAATTAAACTCACATTTTCTACATAAAATTATATTCACATTTTTTGAAATAGATGTGAAATAAATTAAATAAACAAATAAATACCTTGATTAAGGATTTTCAAGCAAAATAAAATCATTTAAGAACTATGAACGAGTTTATATTTCATTAACACATTTTCCCAAAACCCAATTCCATATTTTTATTTTTCCATTTTAGCCTGTCAGTAAAATATTTGAGCATTCTAAACAAGTTTATATAAGTTTTTTTTTGCTGATATTATTCATAAGCTGCACTCGCATTACGAATATTTCTTTATCGTGTGCTTGGCTTATTTCTTTCAAGACTCTAAACTTAATTTTGAAATAAAATATCGTTATTATAAATTTTCAAAAATAGTAAACTACATTATAAGGACCTTCACCAGCATAGTTAACCCAAAATTTAATTGTCATATCATCACTACAAGAAACTATACAAACGTTATCAATAATTTCATTTCTAATACCTAGCTTGTCTATTTCATAATCAGTCATTTCAAAAGTTATAACCTTTTTTTAATTAGGAATATTAATATAATTAAATGAACAAAAAGCATGAAATAAGCTAAATATTTACATTTCTAATCCAATTTAAATGAGCAATTTTTATTCTTTGTTACTTTTCAATCTATTCCAAGTTTATCTTAGGAAAGTCTTAAATCTTATGCTTTTAAATCTAAACTTCATTTAAAGTATCAAGAATCTTATATAGTGATTTATATATGCCATGAATATTTTAGTAAATAATATCTGTCTTTTCATTAATCATATTTTGTATTTTATTTAAAAATAGCTCTCTCATAACTTCTTTTCTATAGATCTATTTTGTCTAAGAATAGAATTCAAAATATTAAGTTAAATCTCCAATCTCTTTTATATAAGTGCTAGTAGTCATTTTATTTTGATCATCTTATATCCTGTTAATGACATGTATAATTTAAGCTGTATCTTTCTCACTGTTTTCCTTTAATTAATAAAAATATTCTACTTATCTATCTATCTGCATTAAGTTAATTTATTTAAAATATATTATAGTTACACAGATATAAATCCGCCTGCTTATTTTATAATTATTTATTTATTCTCTTAGCAATTTGAGATAAAATTTAAAAAAATTACTTTAATCTGTTAAATGAAAGCTTTAGCTTGATCATCAATTTATTGAAGTAATAAAGTGATTTTTTTCTTCTGTTAATCTATTAGGAATTTAAAATCAATCAATATATCATTAATATCTTCTTACTTAGACTATCCAACTTTATGTTATTTAAGATATGAATCAATTTAACGCAAATAATAATCTAAATCTCCTGTTTTTTCTAAATGATCTGAATGGTCTTCAAGTAAACATACGTGGCATATAGGACCTTTTTTCTAGCAGTACAAATCACTGCACATCAAAGTTAATTTTTCTTATTTATGAGTTAAACAATTTTTATAATGACTTTTTTTTTGTATTTCATCCTCACTAGAAAAGAATCCACTAGATTGAGAATCTGAATCAAGGTAATTCTTTTGGCTTTAATGCTATTTTACAATCAGCTAATCAAGCTTCATATTTAAAGTGTCTTCTGATATTATTTTTTTAATCTTTTTTTCGCTTTATGCAACCCCAAACGCTTCTGTAAAACTCATATTGTAGCTATAATTTTAAATTTATTTTTTAATGATATACTAATTAGTAAAAGATATAGAGATATTTGATATTTACTTATCTATTTTCTTTTAATAGTAAAGATCATCTATTTCTGATAAGCTCATAGATAATTAGTTTATTAATTAGTTAGTTCTTTAAAAATGCTTAAGTAAATGCAATTTAAATTTACTTTAAAAATGTAAAATTTTATAATTAGTTAATATTTGCAAAATTTAAATATTATATTTTTTATAAAAATGCATGTTAAAATTGCAAACTGAAATACCTATTTTTTAATTTGCCTTAAATTTTACCAATATTTGATTCCTCTTTAAAAACTAAAATATGCTCATCCATAAATATATTTAAACTTATTTAAAAAACAAATATGATTTTTTATTGAATATAATCAATTAACAATCTGAGAATTTTAAAATTATATAATTTAGTACCCAGCATAATATTTTCGAGAAAAACAGAGTTGTAAAACTAAATAAACTAATGTTTTATATTAATCTTATTTCAGTAATTTTTTTAAATAAATTTAACTATATTTTATGAATTTGATAAATAAACCTTTTACAATTAGTTAGATTAGATTGAATTGTATTTATTAATAAAAAAAAATTGTTAAAATGTATTTATTTTGTACTTAAAGAATTTCTTAGTAGACTAATTGCATAATTTGCAGGACTTAATTCTGGATTTAATAAAAATATTTATAAAAATCAAACCATATATTACTTATTATTTATTTTAATTATTATTTAATTTGATAAATAAATTCTTTTTTATTATAAAATATTACATATTATAGTATGCAAATTTAAATAAAATTATTTGCAACGACAAATTACAAATATATAAATTACTACTTATTTGTAAAAAAATTGAATCAAATTATTTGATATGAGGGTATGAATAGAATATCTTTATAACTGAATATATTTATTATTCTGAAAAAACAAAATTATTAGATTGAATTAAATGTATTTACTCAATAAAAAACATCTTTTTTGTTAAAAATATTGGTATTTTTGAAACATAGACAATTAGGCTCATTAATTATTACATTATTTAAAATTTATAAATTTATAAAAATTAAATTAAATTATCTAAAATATTTTTAAATGCTATTTTACTTAATCTAATATAAACAAACACTGTTATTTTTCCATTCAAATATTAAGATAAATAAAAACTTTTAAAAAAATTTTATTCAAAATATATGCAAAAAAGAAATGATGAGAATAGTATTTTCATTGAATTGATTACTTTTTTAGAAGACTTCATCAAGAAAATTTATTGTAAAATTATGAGTAAATTTTTTAGGAATTAAAGAATAGTTTCTTTAAAATTTTTAATTAAATTTTAAGCAACTAGAAAATATAAAGAAAATGATTTAAGTATTTGCTGATCAAAATATTAAAAAATGAGCATATTGTTATTGAAATATACTAGGTTATTCTAATACTTAAGTATATATTCTGATAATTATTTTATATTCTTTATTATATGCAGCTTTCTATCTAATTTTGCCATTATTAATTTTAATTGAATAAAATTTCAAAATACTTTTCCTATTTTTAATGTAATTTTAATAAATTAAAGACAAATATGCAATTGCTTTTCTATTTAAAAAATGTTCTAAAAATAGTAATTTAATTTTACAAAAGAAATTTAAAATGACTTCAGATTTAAAATTGTAATATATTTAATGATGCACTTAAAGACGCAGCACCAAGATGATATATCAGAATTGAATGATCATAATTTGATAACATCGTTTTATGATGAGAATTAGTTTAGTAAATTTTCTTAATTTTTGCATTAATTTACTATAATTAAGGATTTTCTGACGGACTATTTCAAAATTTTTGATTTTTTTAAACACCAATTAAAATTTTTTTGTAAATTTTGTAAAATTTTTTCAATCTTTACAATTTAGTTTAAAAATATTAGGAAAGAAGAGAAGTATTCAAAATAATTTCATGTTTGTTACATTGAGTAACAGCATTATTAAAGAAAATAAATATGAATTACTGCATATATGTATATACCTTAAAGGTATGTGAACGCCTTATCTAAATCATTAGTTAGTTATGATTTTTTTAATGCAATATTTAATGCTCTGGGTTAACAATTTAATTTGTAAACGGATTAAGCTCAGCTTTGATGTAAACCAGCCTTAAGTTTCGTATTAAATTATTACGCATTATTTTTGAAAATCTTCTACCATATATTGCGTAAAAAACTTTGAATATAAAATAGATATAAATTTAATAATATCAGTAATTCATAACACTTTCTCATTTTAAATTCCTATCAACATCATTCATATCATCATTATTATTTTTTAAGAAAAAAATATCTATAAAATTTAAACCCTAAAAAAAGTAGAATTCTTTTTCATACTTATTTAGATTATAGCCCTTAACTCTCATCACTAACCATCAAAAACTTTATAAATTAATATAAGATATAGCACAACAATAAATGGAGAAATTATTCCGTGAAGTTATCAACCCTAACACTAATAAAATTATAGCAATTGGTAAGAATTATCTTGCTCCTAATGAATAACCTCCTGCTGAACCTATTATCTTCTAAAAGCCCTTTAGTTCTATTGTTCCTCCAGGTGTAACTCATTTTTCATTCCCAAATAATGGTCGTGATGTTCTCCATGAGATTGAACTTGGAGTTATGATTGGAAGAGGTGGTCGTAATATTAAATAAGAAGATGCTCTCACTCACGTTGGTGGCTATTTCCTTGGATTAGACTTGACCGATAAGTAATATTTCCTCTCCTCTAGAGAAAAGGGATTACCTTGGGATTTAGCTAAAGGTTAAGATAAGTTCTTCCCTATCAGTGAATTCATACCAGTTGATAAAGTCAAGGATCCTCATAATTTGATTTTAGAACTTACTATAAATGGAAAAGTAGTCTAACGTGATTTGACAGGCTCTATGCATTACAAAGTAGATAAATTGATTAGCTACAGTTCTGAATTTATGACTCTTAACCCTGGTGATTTATTCTTAACTGGTACTCCTGGCGGTGTTGGCCTTATAAAAAACGGTGATATTGTAGATGCAGTCCTTCTCTAAGGTAACGAAGTTATTGCACGTATTCACATTGAATTAACTGCTCCAGTTATGCAAGCTAGACTTTGAAACTAATAAAAACACTGTTAAATAAAATAATATTTTTTATACTTTATTGTTAGTATTTATTTTATAATTATAAAGAATGATTCTACTAAGTTAATTAATATCTCTTACATAAATCTTTTTAACTTTAATTATTTATTATATTTTAATATTAATAATGTTTAAAAAAATAATAAGGAAATAATGAATTTTGTTTTCTCAAAATTATTTTACATTAAAAATAATTTATATTAATTAATTAAAGAAATTTCAAACATAAATTTTAAAAAATCAGTAAAATTAAATATAAAAATTCATAATTTATTTTTAATCGTTTTAAAAAATGATTTATTATTCACTTATTTACAAATATTTTCTTTTTAAAACTATTTTCAAATTTTTAATTTTTTGAAAATAAACATTTTTGTTCATCGTAATTAATAATGGGCTTTGTTTAAAATTTAAAAAGCAATCAAATAAAAAAATCTTTAAATTAAAATTATTTGCTGTTAAAATGTATTAAAAATAAAAAAATTTTCGAGTTAAAATATAACGAGCTAAAATTTATTTTTGTGAAATTAAACGAATTTATTATTTTAATAAATATAATAACTTATTTATCAAATTTAATTCAAATATCTCAAATCTAAATAATTTTATGAATAAACACAATACATACCTTGATCGTATATGAATTAATTAATAAAATATAAAACTGATCTATTATTTAAAAATTAAGTTTTTTTTAAATAAATAAAATGATATATTTATCAAATTTCAATTTGGAGAATTCATAAATATAAATAATTTCATTAATAGATAGATTACTTTCAGTGCACATAAATAAATTAATAAAATTAAAAAATGATCTGCAATGTAAATTTAAATTTATTTTACTAATTGTTGTGGTAATTAACATTTAAATTAACATACTTATTTGCTATTTACTTACTTAATTTAATAAAATCTTTTATAAATTTTTTAAAGTTTTAATGAAATTTCTTTGTATACTTATTATAATTTAGCTGATTTATTAGCTCAGTTAAACTTCATAATAATTTAGATTGATAAACTGGAAATATAAATAAAAAATAACTGAATGAATAGATATTTTATCTGCAAGAAATTTTAATACGTGAAAGAGTTAATAATTCTATTAAGAATTTATACCTGTATTTGACGATAGTTTCATCATTTCTTATTATAGTATTACGAATTAAATAAAGTATGACTTGGTTTATGGCTTAACTTAAAATATTATGATTAATTACAACAAAACGAATAATTGATGACTTGTTTTGTATAAAATTAAAAAGTTGAAATATAAGAAATACTTTAAAAAATATATAAGTTTTTAGCAGTATTAAATTACTAATTAACTTATTTTAATTGATGAAGTTTCTTCTATGTTTTTATTTTTGTAAGCAATTTTTAACAAGCTATTAAAAAAAATATACAAAAACTAAAAAAAGTTGATTTTATTTAAGTTGTACTAAAGGTTTACAAAACATTATAAAAGACTTTAATAATTAAAATCAAAAAAATTACCAAAATATTAATTATTCATACAAGCAAGCAAGAAAATAAATTAGGTTGATATTCTGAAATACTAAATAAACATATAAAAATACATAAATATACACACACACACCCTACTTAATTAAATAGGATTTTAAATTTCCATATTTAAAATATTTATATTTTAGATTAAAAAAATGAATGTAATAAAGTCTGAGTCTGATTTCGAATCTGTGTATAATCCAGATGATACAATGCAAAGTGAGGAAATGTCCTTCTTTAATAATTTCAAATACGAAGGAGACGATTATTAAAATAACAGCTGTGATGAAATTCTGAATCAAGTCATTTTATCAAGTTAGAAATAAAAGAATACAATATAGGTCTTTAACAGTATAAGAAATAGCGATAAAGAATGCTCTAGGACTATCGAAGATTCAACTTAGTTAGATAATATTTTGAATGAGATAAGCGATAACGATAGCGATGAAGCAAAAAAATATGATAGAAATTCTATACTAAACGAAACATTTAATGAAGATACTTAGTATGAAGTTTAAACATTATTATTTAAATAACAAGCGATTAATTTTATTTTAAATGAATCTTTAACGTAAAATATGACACGCATTTTTATCAAAAAATAGGTTAGACTCGAAAAAATACAATGTAATTTTTTTAGAGGCAATAAAGTAGAATAAAAAGGAAAAAATACATAAAATGATGAATCCAAATTTTCATAAAGGGCTTTTGGATGTTACATTTAAGTAAAAATAATTCTTTTTAAATTTTAATTTAGTTCAATTTCATATTATTTGTTTGGGAGATCTTTCTGAAACAAAAATATTTCTCATTCTTTATCATTCATTAAGCTTGTTAAGCGCTTGAATGATCTGTAAAGATATTATTAAAGTATTTAAGCTATAAAATAATACTAATTAACTTTAAAAGGTGGATTTGTTAATTTATATTTTATTTTCAATTTTAAGAAAGTAAAATTTATTTACTGAAATTAATAAGCAATAAGAGAAAATCCAATTTATTTCTGATCAAACATTTAATAGTACTTTTCTAATATAACTAAACAACTATTCAATATGATCAGAATTTATTTTTAATTTAATTTTAATATTTTAGGAATGAAGAAGGAATGAATTGTATGCTAATGTGCTGCATGGTTGATAATATAGATTTGTTAAAAAAGTTAGTTAATGATTACAATAGCAATCCGTCAGTCATAAATTCATTAAATAAAAGAGTTGGTTTGCACTATGCTTGCATGCACAACAACCCTGAAATATTAACTTTTTTATTATCTAAAAATACAAGTTTAAAAAATTTTTAAGATTTAAATGAATGCACTCCTCTTTATTATGCAGCTTTGAACAACAGTGAAAAATGTGTTGAAATATTATTAAACTATGATGCAAATATTCATCTTCCTAATAATTAAAAACTCACTCCATATGAAGTCACTACTAATTATCATATTTAAAAGCTTCTAGAAAAGAAGATGGTTTAATAAAATCAAATGGCATAAAATACTTCTTCATACAATAGAACTTAAATTCAATGCTCAAATAGGCTAGCAAAGAATTCTCGTAAAGATAGAGTAAATTAGTTAATGCAAAAATGTAAAGACAATTACTATTATTTAAAAGAGTAAATAAATTATTGTTTATTTAAAAAAATAATTTATTTTTTGAATAACTTAATCAAACTATTTATCTTAGTCTTAATCTTAAACTATTTATTTATTAGTCTTTTTTTAGTTTTAAATAATATTATCATTTTATAATAGCTTAAATAGACATATATAGAGTGAATAGCATTAAAATTAAACTTAAATATAATAACCTTAAACCTTTAAGAAGCCTGTTTTAATTGATGGGGCATTTTATGGATAAGAATAGCTACAAAGATTTTAAATTACAAGAAAAAAATTTAGCAGATTCATCTAAAGCGTTAAAAAATCAATAGAAACTTAAAAGGAATACAATGAAAAATGCAAAGCTTACTAAGAAAGGATGTAGAAATTGAACGATCCTATTAAATTGAGACGTAAGGTAACAATAGATGATTTCACCTTTTATAGGTAAATAGGGGAAGGGTCGTTTGGAGAAGTTTACTTAGTAAAAATAAATGAAAATGCAGTTAAATAAACAAGCAGTAAATCAAGCAGTAGTGGTAGTAGTGAATCAAGTGTAATTGAAAAAATTAAAAATGACTTAAATAACAGAGCTAAATAGATGGAAAATAAAGAAAATTCAAATTAATAAATATTATCTATTGCTGATGGTAGATAGACTGATATAATGATCAGGGATGAGAACAAGGAAGAAGCAGAAGATAATAAAATAGATCAAAATGCTGCTCACATTAAGAGATTATAATTTTTATTAAATAAAAATAACGATGAATTGGATGATCCTTCATAAAAGTTTTATGCATTAAAAATTATTAGAAAAGAAGCCTTAAAGAAAAAGAAATTAGCTTAGTATATAGAGTTCGAAAAATCTGTTATGCAAGAAATAAAGCATCCTTTTGTTGCTAAGCTTCACTTAACCTTCCAAAATGATACACATTTATTTTTGTTGATGGATTTTTGTAAATTTGCATTTTTGAAATTTATTTTTTAAATATATTTAGGAAAACAAATTTAAAATTACCAATAACAATTTATTATTTTAAAATTAACTTTTTAAATTTTAATAATAATTAGATCAAGGTGGAGATTTAGGAAGAATTTTGGAAAAGGACATAGAAGTAGATGAGTTTTAAGTTAAGGTATGGGCAGCTTAAATAGTACTTGCACTTGAAGAACTTCATAAGAATGATATTATTTATAGAGATTTAAAACCAGAAAATGTTGTTTTAGATGCAAAAGGTAATCTTCATCTCATAGATTTTGGTCTTGCAAAGAAGGGTGTTAATGCCATTACTTCAAGCTTTTGTGGTACTCCAATATATCTTCCACCTGAAATTGTAGGACGTAGTGGCCATAATAAAATGGTTGATTGGTATAGTTTAGGAGTTATAATATACGAACTTTTAATTGGAAGACCTCCTTATTTTTCAAGTGATTGCAAGTAGTTATTTAATGATATATAAACATAACCACTTAGACTACCTAAATCTCTTCCAGAAGAGAGTAAGAGTATTCTTATTTAGGTAATAATCACAAAATTTAAAATTCATTTTCAGATTTAATAAAAATTTAATTAAAATAGCTTCTTAAAAAGAATTACAAAACAAGACTAGGATATGAGAAAGATGCTGAAGAGGTCAAATAGCATCCTTGGTTTGCAGAGATAGACTGGGAAAGAGTTAAACAAAAGTAAATTTGTTGAGTTCATGGAAATTTTTTATTGATATTATATATAATTTATAAAAGGAGATATTAATGTATGTAGCCAAAGCTATTAAATATTCCTACAAATCCTATGGAATTCAAATTAAAATAAAGTGAAAAGAATTGCCATATAGAATTGTAGCATAAGTGGTCATATTACAATATTGATGAGACTCCAACACCTAAATAATAAGCATAGGATATTCAAGTACTATGAATCGAAGGAAATCATATTTGATTTGGATAGATAAAATTAATAGGATTAAAATATAAAACTTAAAAATAAATTAACAAATACTACAAATAAATTACTATTAGTAGTAAAAATATAACTTAAAATAATAATTAGCTAACAAATTATAATTATTTTATTAAAAAAACTCCAATAACAAATTTCAATCTTATATTTATGTTTATTCTAATGTAAATTGTTCATAAATTATACAAAACTACAAATTGCAATAAAATTTGTAATTTTACTGACCTGCTCTCAAAATTGTAATTTGATTTTTTTTTTTTTTGAATGGCATAACAATGTTTTAGTTTTAAATGATCTATCTTGCTTTGATGCATTTATAAAAATATCTTTCTAATTCATTTAATAACATAACTAATTAAAAAAAAAGCAACTAAGAATTAGGTAAAAATTTATATTAAATATAAAGAATTTACTTGCTCTACAAATAAATAAATATTTATTTATTTCTGTGTAGAATATAATAGAAATTTACCATAAATAAAGATAAATATAATTTAATTTTTACTTTATTAAGAATATTTTATCACTTGAAAATGGAATTTCATCGCTCAAGCAAGCTGAAAGGCTCTGAAACAACTAAGTATCAAAGATTACCTTCACCTATGACTTATATTTAAAATTACAATAAGGTTTGTAGTGAAGAAAATGAGTAAACTAAACAGTGTGTGCCTATAGATAAAAAGCACAATACACTCTTCTTATGGAATGATGGCTATATTTAGCTAAATAGAATAAAGGTACCTACAATTATGGAAGAAAGAAAACAAAAACGCAAGGCCTTTTAATAAAATACTTTGTCTCAGCCAAATATTACAAATAATTAAAATTAAACATACACAATTCCAACTCATATGAGCTAATACGCTAAAGACATTTCAAATAAAATTCAAAATGTTGATAGCGAAGAAGATAATTAAGATCTTTATAAAAATTATAAACAGCTGAGAGAGAAATAAGAAGAGTAAAAGATGTAACTACGCACTGAAAAACTTGAATAAATGATGAAAGAAAATAATGCAAACTAAACTCGAATAAAAAAAAATAGAGAAGAAGTTCTATTAATAGATAACAACTAGCGCAAATTTTTTTCTCATACAAAACAGCAAATGATCGAATTGTAAAATCACATCATGGGTAGCTAGAAAATATCTAAAGAAATTATGGACAGAAGAGGACTTTCTCTAAGGAAAGTTTTATCCTCTATTCCTTAAGATAAATTAATGCAAATAATTGATTATAAATAGTATCATTTTTAAAAAATAATGAATGAAAAAATATTACCTAAGCAATAATTCCGCTTAAAAAATGTCATTTCGCCTAAATTTACTGGAGAATACAACTATGATTTTAATAAAACTGCAAGAACTAAATTTTTTAATCAAACAAATAGTTAGTTTATGCCCAACTCAACTAATTCTAAAACTCCTTTAAATAAGCCTATGTCTTAAGAATAACTTTTTAGAACTAAATCTGTAAATAGTAGAAGATAAATTGAATTTCCTGATAAAAATTTGAATGATGAATACGAACTAAAAAAAGTATCAAGTATAAAAATAGAAAAAAAAGAACACTAAAATTTCAACAACCAAAAAAGTAAAAATAGCATAGGGAGCATTCATTCACAGGGTAAAATTGATATTCATTAGCATAACAACTATGTTGATAATCATTTTGAAGATGATGAAGAAGCAGATAGAGATACTTAAATAAAAGACATTCCATTAATGAAAAAAAAAGAATTGAGAATAAAATCAACAAATGAAGTTCAGTAAACTATTTAAAAGCTAAATGAAATATAAGAAGAGAGTATTAGATAACAAAAAATACAGAATTAGGGACTTAGGATACCTCCGGAAATGATGGGTTAATTGTCTTAAATCACTTATAAACCTAAGTTTTCTCTTGATAAAATGCTCTAAAAAGATGATGAGATAGAAAGATAAATTTTCATACAAAGCCTTTAAAACACTCAAAAGGAAAATGAAAAGAAAAATTTCTTTAATTATAGCAATTACTTTTATGGAAAGTATTCCAAATAAAATAATGGGCTTTCGACTAAACTTAGCTAAGGTGCAATTAGAGAAAATGATAACTTCTAGCAAGGACTAATTAATTTAATTAACTAAGTCGATCAAGATCACAATGTTAAAATATCATTCTGAATAGTCAAATTAGAAAAATAAATAATAAATTTTTGTTTAAATGTTAACTTTCTTAAAATAATTTATTTGATTTATAGTTAAGAGTTTTTTTAATTTTTACTGAAAATTAGTGAAAATTTTGCCAAATAAATTTAATTTTTTTAAAAATGTTAACAAAATCAATCTCTTCAATTAAAAACTATAGTTTGAATTTCTATTTAACATTTCTTAATTTTTTCTAAAAAATTTTTTTTAATTTAAATTTATTGATATATACAAAGTAAATTATTTTTTTAATGAATTTATTTTATTTTTTTAGGTCTGATGCAAAAAAGATAAAAAATTTACTACAAAACAAAATTTTTGTAAAATTAAAATGTAAGAGATTGATTTATTTTGTGTTTCTTGGTTATAATTTGACTAATTTTTACTTAAATAGTTTTAATTACTCAAAATCAGTTTGAATATTAATTTATAAGTTAAATTAACTTCTTTAAATTTAATAATAATAATTATTTGTTAGAAATATTATTAGATTGTTGAGAATGATAGCAATAAGTAAGTATTATAACAAATTGAAATGCCCTTCTGAAGATAAGACTCATGTTTTTGATAATCCGAAATAGTTTATTTCTCACTTGGCTGAATGTGAAATACTTAAAGAATTTGCTTTAAAAAACGGTTTATAAAATTATTTAATTAAAGAAATTATAAATTTAATATTTTTTATATAGAGAACCAAGATGGGTTATTAAAGTTTCTTGTTTGCCCAAAGAATTTTTATCATCTCAAATTAGTTAAAGAAGAAAATGATTTTGATCTTCTTACTTTAAGCAAAAATATAAATTTCTGTAGATGTTTAAATGAAAAAAATAGTGTATATGCTAACTAATAAAGAACCATCTAATTTAAGCAAAGTGAAATGAAAGATTACCTAAAATTTTATTTTATTGCTGAAGAAAACAAATTACATTAAGATTAGTAGAGCTAAATTGTTTATTAAGATTTAGAAGATATAAGAAGTTAATTTCTGAAAAGCCAATTGCTGACAAAGAATATCTAAAAGAATAAACTAATTTACTTTAAATTTAATGATGAATTATATTAAAATGTAGCTTAATTTCGTTTAGTAAAAGATCATTAAGGTATGAAGTAATATATTTAAAAGCACGAAAAAATAGATGAATAATTTGAAATTATTCCACGAAATGAGATAAATCTTATTTGTGAGGATTAGGCATTCATAAGGTAATCCCTAAAACCTAGAATAATTATGGAAGTTGAAACAACCAATTTTAATTCATTCAGGATACAAAATTATTTCGGTAAAAAGAATTTTGTCTCTTGTGTAAGGTATAAAGATGACATATTACTTATGTTTAACAGTAAAAAACTGCTAAATATGTCTAACTCTGATAACTCATTCTTTATTATGAATCTCGAACAATCAGAATATTTAAACTTAGTAAATATTTTTTTTTCTTAAAGGATAAAATTTTTTTAAATTTTAATTATTTTAATAGAAAGAAAGAGAAAAATATGATTTGCATATTGCATATTTAAGAGAAAGCTATAAAATAAAATAGGAATTATAAGCTAATCTAAAAAACAAATTTGTTCCAATACAAACCTAGGAGCTAACCTCATCTAATTATTATTAATCTGAAAATCAAAAGTCAATTATGTGCGAAAATTAGAATATATTAAATAGCTCTCAACATAATAATTAACCATAAACATCAAATTCCCCTTAAAAAAATACTGTTGAAAATAATAAGGATAAACCTGTATTAAATAACTTAAGAAGAGTTATTAAAAAAGTAAACAAAAATGATCAGACTAAAATTTTAGTAGCAAAAAAAATAATTGTTTGTCCTAAAAGGGTAGATGAAAATTTAAAAAAAGTTAGAGAGAAATGTCTTTCAAAGATAGTTTTACTTAAAGAAAGATTTGAATTTTATTTAAAAAAAGAAATAATTTTTTAAAGACTATAAAAATAGGAATAAATCTTAGAAGAAGAGCTTAAAGCAATTTAAGAAGAAGAATATCAAAATTGATTATAAAATATATTTTATTGTAATTTTAGATATCAAATAAACACTAAATTTTAACTGCTATGCAGAGTGTGTATTTTTATTAAAAAATAATAAAATCATTTATTTTTTTTTTTGAATAAATCTAATTTTAACTCATTTTTTAATAAAATTAAATATTTTTTACATTTTAGAAAATATCTTTTATTCAAACTAAATGAGTGTAAATAACAACGATGCTAACTCTAAGCATAATTTTTATATGAATAAATCTTAAAAAATAGGAGTTATATGCTAAAACTCTGATGAATTTAATCTATTTTTAATAAAAATTTTATAAAAACTATTTTAATTTTAAATAAACAATAAAATTTTAGCTATGGATGGTAAATATTTACCTTTGAAAGGATTGGATTTTTTATTCATCTTCTGATCAAATATAAGAATTAATTTGCTTTTATCTTGAATAAATTTAAGTTAAAAATTTTAGTGAATTAATGTTATTTAATTAAAATGGATAACAAAATATATTTTCATATTTAAATTAATATAGCAAATAAAACCTAAATTTGTAACTTTGTATGGGAAATATTATTTTATTAAAAATTAATTAAAAGTGATTATTTATTTTTGATAGATCTGAATTTATAATTTATTTCTGATAAAATAAAGTAAGTAATTTTTTTTACATTTTATTTGAATTCAACTTAAAAAAGAAAATATTTTGATGAAATTAAACTATTTTTTGATAAAATTGATTATAAAATATACTTTTTTGATTGTAAATCCCAATAGTAAACATATACAAAACTTTTACTGCTTTTATGAATATTATTCATAAAGCTGTTTTTGTGTGCTAATTTATTTTAGAGTAACTTTAATTTTTTCCTTTTTTATCATATAAAATAATTTATTTATTTATTATTCATTTTACTTTAATACTTCTCATAAAAATAATGAATGATTAACTTAAAATTTTGGGTAATTTAAGCTATTTTTTCAAAACATTTTAAAATAAATGAGAATGAAAAAAAACAATAAATTAATAACTATTGCATATTTATAAAGAACATACATAACATAGTTTCTTTTTATCAAAATTATTACACAAAAACCTATTAGAATTGTTTTTAAATAAATCTTTTTATTAATTTTTAACTTTTGAATTAATAAGAAAACCTTCATTTTTAGTAAATTTTAAGATAATATGGAAAAAGCACTTATACTGTTGAAAATTCACCCTCATAGGGTTGTAGAATAGATTCAAAGCCAAGATGATGATAAAAATAAGGAAGTTTTTAAACCTTGGGTTTGTTCTGGCTAGAAACTTAATCCTAATTAATGTAAGAATAGTTCATAATTTGATTTGAAAATCACTAATCCTTAGGTAACTAAATATATTTGCGAATAAAAATGCCCTAATTTTATGATATGTAGCTCTTGCGTAAATGAAATGTAAGAAGTTGCAATGTTACCAGAATAAATTGATCATCCTTTACATACAAAACACACATTATATAGAAGCTACAACCAAGAAGATTGGATTTGTGATGCTAAAGATTATCTTGGCTGCCTTAGTAATATGAGTGCTTAAATTGAATCTAAAGGAATAGAAAGATATAATTGCAGTAAATGTGATTTTGATCTATGTTCAAAATGTATCTTTTTCTATCTAGAAAACCCTTAAATGACATATTTATATCAAGTAAACTCAAATATCCACGAACATGTAATGACTAGATGGTTTGATGATAATGGGTGGTGCTGTGATGGATCAAAGAAAAACAAAGGTGGATGCCTAAGTGGAGTAACAGGATTTGGATAAACTACAAATTTTAATCGTTGGAGATGTGTAAAATGTGATTTTGATTTATGTGAAAAGTGCCTATTTGCAACAATAATTGATGCTTGCCCTTCTTAAACTCCTCCATCCAAGCAATAATATTAGAGTTTATTAGAGTCTATTTAGAAAAATAACTCAAAATGAAAGACTAAAAATTAACTAAGCTTTACTATTCAAATAAATAAAGTTTATACCAAAAAAATTTTGTTTATTTGATTTCACTCATTATAACTATATAATGTTAAACAAACAAAAAACCAAACAAACGAATAACTTACCAAAATTAGCAAGATAAAAAATAAATAAACAAAATATCATTTATTAATTAATACTATTAAAATAATTAACATTATTTTTGAAAAATGATGATGTTATCTCCTAAATATTATCCATAAACTAACAAAATAACTAGTCATATCTTTTTAAAGTAAATATATAATGAAAAATATTTTTGTTACTAAAATTCTTATTTCTTTAAAGCTCTCCAAGTATTTATTAATTAAGTTAAACTTAATAATGTTGTTAATTTTATTATTTTAATATATATCTTTAATTTTTAACACATTAAAAATAACTACCATATACTTTCTTGACTTTAGTGTATTTTTAAACAAAATATTAGAAGGGCAAAGTGGATTAGATATTATTTTTATTTAAATTCTTAAGATTTTACTATTGTAACATCTAATATTTGCTATAGTGTATGAAGTACATTTTATTTAGTGTTTAAAATAACCATTATTGTGATTAACTTGATTTCTTATATATTTACTTACTTACTTAATTAAAGAAATAAAGGCATCAAATAGTTTTAATTGATATATAACTTAAAATGAAATATCGTAATAATTTTTGATACTTTATTTTTAAATAAATAAGGATTTTTTTGAAATATTTTAAAATTATTCTTTTGAAAATATAAAACTCACTATAAATTTATAAATTAATAGACTTTGATTTTAAACAAATCTTGAATATCAATAATTAATATTAAATAGATTTTAAGAAAATTCTCAAATTGATTAATCCAAAATCTAAAACATTAGTGATTTCAAAAAAAGGAAATAATTTACTAAAATAATTTCATTTTTAAAATTGAACTTCAAATAAACAAATGAATTTCCATGCATTCGTCTAATCTACTAAAAATATAGAAGAAAAGAAGAAAATTGATTTAAATTTAGATGGAAGATATTATGATTCAGGAGAAATTTTACAAGTTACTTCTACATCCTTTTTAATTTACATTACTTCTTTCACAATCCGCTCTCTCTTTATCAAGAAATTCAGTCCAGCTTTCTCTTTAAAATCTTGGGATCTTATTTTACCTCTCTGGTACTTGAAAGTTTAGTCAAAAAAATATAAATAGTCTTATGAAAAAGATGAATTCAAATCAAAAATAGATTAAATCATGGATGGAAAAATTGAAGAATAACAAAAAAATGAATTTCTTCGCAAATATAATATGCAATATTGGACAAACTCTTAATACTGGCATTGAACAAATTTAAAAATAGAAATAATTATTCTATTATTATATATTCCCATCTTGCATTAATATCTATCAAATTGTATATAAAATTTAAATTTTAAATTTGACATATTCTATATAAATACATAAATTACATTTTGTTGCTAAAAATTAAACAAAGATTTATTTATTGATATAACATATTTTTTTCATTTAAAATAATAAATAATTATGAATCATAAACTCAATTTATTGATTTAAATAAGATTTTTATATGAGTAAATTTAAATACTATCAAGCAATTAATACTTAATATAAAAAAACTAAGCATAGATTATTAAATTTATTTTATGTATTAGTTATATAATTATAAATATTTAATAATTGTGTCTGACTAAATCATAAAAACATTTTTTTAATAAATGAAATATTTCAATATAAAAAACCTTTAATAAAACACTAGCACATACATTCGACAACTGCTTATGAATAGGCTAAAGTTTATATAAGTTTAGAATTTAATTTTTATATTAATTAGGTTACTTATTGAAGAAAGATAATTTAATCATCTTTTTTATTTTGAAAATTTATTAATATTACAAATCAATTATATTTAATTTTTTTAATATATTTAATGTGATTATATTTACTCTTAACAAAAATCTAAAACAATTAAATATCCAAATTAAGACTTCCAAAGCTATTTTGATTCAATAGCTAATTGTTCATTTAGCTGATAAACGAGCATTTAATAAAATTGATATTTTTTATAGTTATGAAATTTAAGGTGAATAAAAATTGTGGTTAATTAAATCATAAATTTATTTTTATTCTAGATGAATTAATTCTATATGAAAAGGACTATTATAAAATGCTAACACATGCATTCAACAACTGAATATGAATGGATTAAAGTTTATATTAGTTTAGAATTGAAATTTTATAATAATTTGATAATTTGTGGAAGAGAGATAATTTAATCATCTTAGATATTTTGAAAATTTAGTAATATTAAAAATCAAAATATATAAATCTTATTTAAATTTTTTATTGATTGTAACTTTATTTACACTCTCTTAACAGAAAGCTCAAACAATAAAATGTCCAAACTAAGAATTCTAAGATTTATTTTATTACAATAGCTTTTTTTTTTTCTCTAACAGATAAATGAGGTTTTATGTGATGGTTACATAACTACGAGAAAACCTATTGTTCAGTATAATATGCAAGCAAATGTGAAGTATTTTTAAATTGACTTCAACTTGGATTAAGATATACCAGCTAATAATTATATTAGATTGTAATTTCCTCTAAGTTTGCACCAAACAGCTCAAACAGCTGTATACGCATCAATAATTTAAGCAACTAGTAGTCCACCTAACCCAACAACACTCACAAAAATATAATCCACCGTAAGTTTAGGAGCTAATGAGTATACATTTATTATTACTAATGACTTAAGTATGAATACATTCTACTCAATATATGTTTTTCCTGAACTAATAAGTACATTTGGATGGTTTAGCTAAGGAGCTCGTATTTTAGTAGTTTCTGATAACCAAAATCCTATTGTTTATACTAAGAACGTCAATAGTGGTAGTTTCACGATAAATAATCCACTAACTCCATTATACAATAATCAAAATAACTTTATAATCAATAAAATTGCAGATAGTGATAGTAATATAAGGAATTATGTTAATTTAAGTGTATCTACTTCTTTAGGGTTAACTACATCTTTAGCTGCGCCTCCATTTACTACAATGGGAACTTCTTATTGGTTATCAATAATTATTATTTCAGACTCAAATATACCTGGATCTGCTTTCTTCAGGTTTTCAATTAATTCTCCTGGAACCTTAGATTTCATATTACTTAATTATTGCCAATTAATTTAGCTTTCCAGTAATGTATTGACTAGTCCTCCTGTTACTTCTTGTAATGTGGATACTACTGAAAATTATTTAGAGGCGTCAATTATCTCTGATGTGCAGGTAAATGATCAATTTTAAATACTGGTTCCTGTTTAAAATGCTTATTACTCAGTTGATAATGATGTAACTTTAATAATGGGAAATTACTATACAAAATAGCTATCATCATATAGGATAAATAAATAAATACTTAGTACTCAAGCTATCACAATAGATGTTGAGCATCTAAATTTATTTTTTGGAGTGGCTTATAATGAAGAAGAAACAAATTTCCCTCTTGGTGTCTTTTAATCAGCAAGCAGTACCTCTATCCCTGTTTATAATTCTATAAGGCTTACATTTCATTCTGAGCAAAGCTTTTCTCTTCCTAACTAAAGAATTCTTAGAGCAGTGCTGAATGTTGCACCAGCAACTGAAGTACTTAGCTCAAGCATAACTACTACTCTTCCAGCAATTTAAGGAAATAGTGTGTATTGTAAATACTTAAATTCCTAAATAATATGTGATAATATAGGTGCAATAGTAGCATATTAGAGCTATAGTATAGCTTTCAAAGCCTTTTTTAATAACTAAGTACTATAAAACTAATTCTCTAGCTTTTGCTCTCTTAATATATAAGAATATAACAATCCTCAAAATTCATTTATTTAAACAAATGGGATTTAGGTCAAGCTATTTGTGAATGCAGATCTTAGAGATTTATCACCCACTGGCTGGCATTCATAAGGTATTTTATTTAATTAACTTTTTAATTTTTTAACTTAATTGGTTTATTTTAATAAATAGCTTTTGAGTATACATCTGTGATTTCAGCTCCTGAAAGTACAAGCTTAAATAATATTTATAACACTGCATATTCTACCACAACAGGCTCTGTTGGGATTACTCCTGATTAAAATGAATAGGCTATTTTGTTTTTATTAAATGTATCTTTTTTAGATTTGTATTTTTAAATATTAAGAAATTTTTAATAAATTAAAGGTACCAGCATAAAATTATTGTGATTAAAACTTAGCTTTATGCTCAAACTCCTTCATTAGCTAGCTTTACTTTAGATAAACTGTACTTTTTAATTATAATGTTATCTAATTCAGTTCAGGTAAATAAAATCTTGGATTAGATTTTGCAGCTATGAATAACGCTGGGTAACTTGACCAAGCAAGCTTTAGGTATTTCTTTTGTTCGTTCTATGAAATATGTTTATTAAAAAATTTTATTTTTAAAAATAAGATGTGTTGCTAATAATTACTGTGCCAAATATGATGCAAACAGTATAAAAAATACAAAGACTTTAATTTTAAAAGGTATACAAAATGCAATTAATTTTAAAGAATTATATTTTTTATCTATTAAATAGATCCTTCTTTAACTGATGAAGTCAGTTTGGGTTTAGCATTTTTTGATTGTGGTGTTTTATAATCAGAACTTGATCCAGGTACAAGCCCAAGTGCAGTGTCAAACTGCTTTAATTTTTAAGGAAAGGGATCAAGTGTAGGAGCTAATGGAATTATTGCACTGAGAAATGTAAGATTTAATCCTTAGTTCACACATACTACCTACTTAGCAGATGACAAAGTGCTAGATTTTGTAGTAACTTTTATGAAGGGTATCATGACCAATCAATAAATTCCGACTTCATACAATTTTGTTTCAACTAACTTAATTAATGCTTATACAATTGTAAGACAGACTCTAACAACAGTTAAATTTGGCTATGCAAACTTTTATGTTGATTCTACGAATTAATACAATAATGGTTACAATATTCCTGTTTTATTTCGTTTAGGAGGCCAATTTCCAAGTGCATAAGCTTCTGGAACAACTCAATTAGCAATATTTTTAGATGAATCTGTAGATTTAACTAACTTTTTTTGGAACAAAATTTCAACCACAAATGTTGCAAAACCTTATTCTTATGGGTGTAGTGAAAAGGAGTGTTATGGTTACTAAGTAACTAATGCTGGTAATTTAGATTCTTATTTCCTTCATACAATGGTGTTAGTAACTTTGTAAGCCTCAACTGATATCACTTAGCCATTTAATATTATCATACCTCTTGCAAATAACAAAAGCTAAAAGTTACCAATTAGAGTCGTAGTAGGTTTAATAAATGGATAAAATAAAATGTAAGCAATATTTAGATTATATGGTCCTCCTTCATTAGGTGATACAACAGTAACAAATCCAGTTACTGTTTTATAAGGCTTAGCACCTTAAACTAACCCTTATTCTTTTCCTCTCTAACCGCCTGGAAAAAAATTTTCTTATTCTGCAGATGCTTCAAACGTTAGATCTTCATAGACTGGTTCTATTTAATTTAATGCTGCAGCAGATACTTCAATAACTGTTAGTGGTAATTCAAATTTAAAAAAAAATAAACACTTAAAAATAAATATTAATTTAAGGAAATAATAACGGATTATGGGGTGCAGGTTTAACAATCGTAAGTAGAAATCAAGACGTTTTTAGTAGTTCAAAAATGAGTATTAGCTTCTAAATATATCCAGGATCATTTAAATAATGTTCTTTGGCTTCGTAATTTAAATATTTAAAAAAATAATTTCTTAAAAAATATTATTTAATAAAAAAAGATATAACTTAGTAAATCATCCTGCTGGGAATGGATAAAACGGTATTTATTTTGTATTATTTTGTCCTGTCGACGATCCAGCACTTTCTCCAACCTTTTTTGCATCTGGTAATGCAAATATTATAAATATTAATACTCCTTTCTCTTATTTTTGGGGTTCTAACTTGAACATGTAATATATCTTTCAATATGCTGTTTCTAATAACAATGGTCTGCTTGTTGCTTCTTATATTGAGACTAATAAAGTTCAGGCTCCTCTTTCTAATATGCAAAAATGTATTATTGATTCAACTTCGCCATCTATATAGCCAAACACTTAAGGAAAGTAAGTAATAACAGTACCTATAAGTTTCAATTAAGATTATTCATTTGATCCTCTATCTCTAACAAGTATTTTTAATTCTTTAATTAGCCATTTTAAATAATTTAGTTGTTTATTAAAGATATAAATAGCTTTATGATTGAAATCAACTTTAGTACTTAGGTTGCAGGTTTTGTGTTGGATGGATCATATTGCTAAATATAAGGATATTTGTAGTTTTAAAATTATTTTTAATGCATACCAACTTGGACTAATTCTTAAACAGCTAGAGCAAAATTAGTGGCCTTATAGAAATTTGTGTTTTTGAAAGGTTAAACATTCTCTCTTACTTTTTAAGTGAATGATAATTCATCTACCAACTTTGATAAAACCAGTGTTGTTTATAGTGCTAACATCATGCTACCTGATTCTAATTTAAATCCTACAGATAATTTTCCGTCAGTTTTTTCTGCTCCAGATACAGTAAAAGTTATAACTGAGTCATGCTAAGGAGGTTCACTGCAGTTAGGAAATACGCCTCTAGGTATTATATAAATAAATATGTAAAAAAACTTTAAAAATATTTTATTAAGGTAATTAGCTATAAATAACGGATTTGAAAACTAAATTTATCAATTCAAGGGGAAGGGGCTACATGAAATTACAGTTTTAAGTTTTAAGCTAAAGATATAGAATTAATTAAGGAACTTACTTCCTACTCAACATTGGGTTTTTGATGGATTAAAACATGAATGACAATCAAAGAATGGATATGTAATTAATTATATTTCATTTATTTATTCAATACATAAAAGCTAGTCTACTATATGATTAATATTATTACAGTAATTTTTAGTTACAACCAATTAATTACTGAAAAATTGAATTTTTAAATTATTTTAATTCTCATTTTTCTAATTTTTTATATTTTAGAAACATAATCTAGCTTAATAATTTATTGAAATAATAATTATTGAGTTAATTTACTTTTATTTTTGAATCTTTTACTTAAGATAAATTTATTTTTATTTATTAAATTGTTGAATTAATCATAGACTTGATTGTTAAGTAAACTAAATGATCACAGGCAGTCCTAATAATTAATTTTAGAGAAGCTACTTGTTTTCTTAGATAGTTTTTACTAATTCAAATCAAATTTAAATTACTTTAAAAAGTGATTTGCTGAATCCTTAGAATTATTCTTTTTAGCTTTACTGTGTTAATGTAAGAATTTTTATTTGAATCTAAAATTTTAAATTTCTTAAAAAAAATAGATTAGAGTACCAAGCAGCACATATTAAGGTAACCAAATTACTATGCAAGTATTTGATAAAGATAATATCTAAATATATAGCAGTGTTTAACCAATCATTTTTAGCAGCATACAATTTACTTCTATAATCTAAAATACATAGATCTAGCTACTATCTTGGACTGGGTATAGTTTAGGATAATTCACTAGTTATAAATTTTAAATAACCAACTAACTTGTTGGATAAAACATAGACCAATACAGCGCCATTTATGCTAATTTCCCTGCTTCATTCAATAGCTTATTATCTGATTCTATAAGTTGTAAATAAAATGGAATAATAGTTTAGTGTAGCTTAGATCCTTCTTAGCCTCGATAACTATTTATTTAATTGAGTTAGGGTCCAATACTACCAAACGGCTAATTTACTTTAGAAATAAGTAATTTGGCAAGTTCTTAAATTGACCCTTCTGCAAGTGGAATTTACATTTGCTTAATTAGAGATTACAGATCTTAAATTAACCAATAGGATTTTATCCTTTGTGATTTTTAGAGTATTGTGCCTCTTTTATTAAAAACATCAGTTAATCCTTCTAATGTTAAAAGTATAAGTGTAACAAAAGTGTATAACTAAGCAGCTTAAAATATGAACTAATTTTATTATGGAAAAAATCAATTATTTAGCTTTGACATGAACATATCTTAGGGTGCATTTAATTATATCTACTACTTATTAGTTGAACTCCCTCCATAATTTTCCAAATATATTCTTGACACTGACCCTGTCTCTTGTGAAATCAAAACAAGTTCAAGACAGGACAATTTATCATATGGATGTAATTTCCTTAATCAAAGATATATATAAATATCTTTAGTAAAAGATCCTTAAAACTTTTTTGGTAGCAGCCAATACACAGTTAATCTCTACAATATCTATATTCCAGAGTCTTTTACTGGAATTTTGTCTGATATGCTAGTTTTTAATTTTATGATTTATGATATCAATCTTCAAAATATCATTGCTTCCACAACTTCATATGCGGCTTTACCTTTAAAATTTGTCTCTGATACGACTTTATCTCTTCTAAAATGGATAAACACAGACAGTTTTACAATTTATCAAGGATATTACAAATCTTTATTTACTTTATAACCTTTAGATAACACAGTATTTTAAAGTTAATTTACAGTTAATACAAGCTAAACACTTTCTACTCTCAAATTACAAAATTTTCCTTTGTAAGCTATAATAGCAGATCCTTATGAGTCCTTCTAAATTGCAGGGCTATCCAATTCTAATATTGGTAAATTATTTATTTATTACATTTAATAACATATTATTATAAATTTAATTAATCAAAAAAGGATTTTATAATATTGATTTTGTGAAAAGTTAGAACGACCAGATATATTAAAGAGTTCCTAGACTTTCTATTATTCTTTCCAATCTGCCTTGTATTTTATAAAATTATTTTAGCTAAATACAAATTGTATAGGGAGGATAGATGACTATTTAAGTAGACTTAAGTTAATGCATCCCTCTAGATGCCTTTCAACTGTAAGCTACCATTCTAGATCCAACATCTACTGGTAGCTTCACTTTTTCAGACGGAACCTTAGTTAATTCTTCTAACATCTCAGTGGGATAAACTAGAGTTTACTTCGAAGTAAAATGCAATATCAATGCTAATCCAGGTTAAACTCTCTAATTGTAAATGGCCGTATAGAATAGCTAATATTTTAAAGCTAATTCAAATAACATAGTGCTACAAGTAACCAGTTCAAGCACTTAGGTTAGTACTCCTCAACCAGCTGCCATAGTGATGAGCCCCTAAACTGGAAATTCAATTTAAATTTAAGTAATTATTTTAAATATAAAATATAATTAACATTTACACAAATCATAAAAAGGTTGGCTGTGATTAACCAGGTTATATCCTTTGGGTGGCTGGACCATAAAGCCTTAGTTACGATATTTTTGATTCTAACTACATGTTCAACACTCTAATAACTTAGAAAAACTATGTTAGCTGCATAAATAATGGGAACAGTTACTGTTATGATTTCATTTTGATGAATTAACCTTCGATGCAATTTTAAGTAACGATTCCAAATTTAGTTAGTAGATAGTTTTACTACTTTTAATACTACTGCAGGAATTAAATAGGTATGTTTAGTAATTAAAGATCCTTTACATTCAAAGCCTTGGACAATAAAGGAAGAGTAAATAAAATAACTATTTAGGTAAACACTACAATATCAAATATCGTCTAAATATAATCTGTGCTTTGTTTTACTAGCTAGAAGATAATAGCTAACTACCTAAGAGTTATTAATTCTAATAATGCTACTTGCTAAGATTTAACATCCTATCAGAAATCGATATAAACACCTCCAGATAATAACTTTTTCATTTATGTTTTACCTAATTAAACAGTCAGTTTAGATTAAACAACCCAACAAGTACAAAATGCACTTTAAAGTCAATCTGTCTATTTTCCAATATTCAATAGTATTGGTGCAACTATTCTGTAATATAATATTCAAAGTTATGATGACCAAATGACTCCTAGTTTTAATGTTTCCTAATTTAAAAATGATTTAAACTCTCTTAGTATGTAAGTAAATTTCACAAACTCTAATGGATACCTTGTAGTAGGAATAATTACTATTTCTGAATCGCTGCCCTAGAAAGAACAATTTTTAAATTCAGTTAATTATTAGAACTAGCCATTAATGAAAATTTAAAAGTATTATATGTAACAAAATTTACCAACTCTTATTAAATTTGACTATTCAAGTATAGTGTAATAAGGTAGATTATATAATTGCCTATTTTTAGCGATTCCTGATAATCCATAATTCAAAACAGATTATTCTTCGAATCTGTTTAATTAAACTTTTACAATCCCTATTACTCAGGCAAATGTGAATGTTACAAGCTAGTCTACTAACTCATAGATAGCTAATGCCTTAAAATCATTAATTTTATTAGTTTTATTATTTTTATCTTGATAAATGAAATAAAATAATCTATAAAAAGCTTTAATATATTTGTTTTTATTTTTAGTATTATCTTCAAAAAATTATATGAAATTGTTTAAAAAATTTAGCTATTTTATTTAAAAGTTTATGCTCTCTCAAACAGTACATTATTTATAATTAATAAATTAATGTAATCAAGTTATTTGAATTGAATTAGTGAACACACATAAAGGAAAACTATGCATTGCAAATAAATTTTAAATTATCCATAAATAAATAATTTTAATTTTAAATTAGGTTATAATAGAATAATCAAAAATAAATGGTTACTCCATTTAATTTTAGTTTAAATCTTCATCAGAATCTGGGTCATACATGATCTATTCAATTTGTTGATGATCAATTAAGAAGGATTATATGGTATTTAATAGTCTTTGTACTAAATTAAAAGATACTCTTGGCTCTCTAATTAACTTAGGGGCTAGTAACCAGTAGTTAATAATTAATCAAATTTATAAAAAAATGAATTAAATTTTTTATCAAAAATATAAATTAAAAATAATCTAATTTCAGAAATTAGATAAAGTAGCAATTTTTTTATTTTTAGGACATCAATCAAATAGCTGTTAATCATGGAGGAACTTGTTTAGATGGAAATTGATCTTATTGAACTTAAAAAATAATCTAATTAAAGTTGTGCATTGGCAATAGCTTTTCTTGCGATATGGATATATTTATATGGATATTTATCAGGGATGAATATTGCTTAAATATATGCATGTTGTCTAATTTAAATGATATTTTTACTAACTAAAAGGAAAACACAGTGCTCCACTTTATTCATATTCTTTCCATTCTGCTTAGCATTATTAGTATTAATTGATTTAATTTTAATTATCATTAATGTTATCTCCTAAACTGACCCTTTCACTTAATAAATACTAATGTTCCTTACAGTAGTATTTACTTTTAAGTATTCATATTATGAGAATAAAATTATGACTAATCTTTCAATAATGAATATAATGATATTAAATGAAGTAATAAGAAGATATCTTCTTGAAAATTACTAAGACGAAGAGAACAATTAATAAAAAGTTGAAAGAATTTAGAGTATTGACTCAAGTTAAATAGATCCTGTTTATGGTAAGAATTGTACAATTTGTAGTGATGAATGTGGTCTTTAAGAAAAAGTAGTTTAGCTTAAATGTCTTCATATTTTCCATAGTGAGTGCATCCGCAAATGGTTGCTTTAATAAAGGTATTGCCCGAATTGCAGAGATTAAGTATTTTGAAAAAATTAATTAAAAAAGCAAATAAAAAATAAATAAAATAGTTTAATATACCAATTAAAATCCTTGAAAATAATTAATTGTGATGCTTTCTATAAAATCAAGAATTATTTACCAATTTTATTTTATTATTATTTAGAAAAATTTGTATTAAATAATGAGCATTCTAAAATTTGTATCTCTTTAATGTATTAACTACTCTAATTATTCTAATTTATAAGAAAACTAAATCATAAATTTTAACTACTCTCTATAATTTTTAAATATTTTTTAATTAGATATGCACTAAAATTTTTACAGAACCAACTATATATTGTAATAAGGTAGATTATATAAATGATAATTATTAGCAATTCCAGATAATCCATAATTTAAAACAGAATATTTTTCCAATATGTTTAATTAAACTTTTATAAATCCCTGTGACTCATGCAAATGTGAATGTTACAAGCTAGTCTACTAACTCTTAGATAGCTAATGCCTTAAAATCATTAATTGTATTAGTTTTACAATTTTTATCTTGATAAATAATATATAATAATCTATAAAAAGCTTTATCTTATTTGTTTTTATTTTTAGTATTATTTTCAAAAAATTTAGCTATTTTATTTAAAAGTTGATGCTCTCTCAATCAACACATAATTTATAATTAATAAATTAATGTAATCAAATTATAAAAAAGTAAACTAAATTTTCTATCAAAAAAGGAATTAAAAATAATCTAATTTCAGAAATTAGATAAAATAGCAATTTTGTTATTTTTAGGATAGCAATCAAATAGTTATTAATCATGGAGGGACTTGAAGAACTGGAAGATGATCTTAATAAACTTAAAAGAGAATCTAATTAAAGATCTGCATTAGCAATAGCTTTTCTTGCAATATGGATATATTTGTTTACAACCTAAAATTTTGAGGCATAGATATTTGTCTAAGGATTTTTATCAGGGATGAATATTGCTTAAATATGTACAAGTTGTCTAATTTAAATGATATTTTTACTAACGAAGAGGAAAATACAGTGCTTCACTTTATTCAAATGCTTTTCATTCTGCTTAGGATTACTAACATTAATTGATTTTATTTTAATTATCATTACTGTTATCTTCTAAAGTGACCCTTTCAATTAAAAATACTAATTTTCATACTCAATTTTAGGATTTATGTTCCTTACAGTACTAACCATTTGGATATAATCAGATTACGAGTATAAAATTATTAAGCTTTAAATAAGAATGGTTTTAATATAAAATGAGATAATAAGAAATCTTCTTCAAGATTACTTGATTAATTAAAATAATCGTTAAGACGAAGAGAACATTTAATAAAGAGTTGAAAGAATTTAGAGCATTGACCCAAGTTAAATTGATCCTGTTTATGGTAACATATGTACAATTTGCAATGATGAATGTGGTCTATAAGAAAAAGCAGTTTAGCTTAAATGTCTTCATATTTTCCATGGTGAGTGTATACGCAAATGGTTGCTTTAATAAAGGTATTGTCCTAATTGTAGAGATTAAGTATTTTGAAAAAATTAATTAAAAAACAAACAAACAAATAAATAAATAAATAAATAAAATATTTTAATAATCTACTTATAAAATTAAAAATATAGTTTAAAAAATACAAAATAAAATCCTTGAATATAATTTTGGTGCTTTCAATAAAATCAATAATTATTATTAACCAATTTCATTTTATTATTATTTAAAAAAATATCTATTTAATAACTAGTATTCTAAAATTTATATCTTTTTAATGTATTACCAACTCTAATTATTCTAATTTAAAAGAATACTAAATCATAAATTTTAACTACTCCCCTTTTATATATTTAAATTGAACACCAACACAGTATTATAAAATGAATGGATAAAATATTTCAGTCTAACATATATATAATTTGAATTTTAATAAGAGATGTTTCTTTTTACAATATTTTATCTGTAATTATATAAATTGTGTTTTTTTTTTTTTAAATTTTAAATTAAGAAATAGCTTTTTGTAAATTGTTTAAACCTTAATGTAAAATAGAGAATAAAAAGACATCTTATATTGAAACTAAAATACTTATTAAAGAAATATATATATTTAATATAAAATATATTTAATTTATTTCATTTTATATTGAAATACTTCTGCAAAAAACTGATATAAGAATTTACAAATTCTTTCAATAAAGTAGTAATTTCTTGATTCTCATTCTGAAAAGATTATTTCTGATTTAGTAGAAAACTATTATAAATATTAAAAATCAAAAAAGAAATTGACTCAAATCAAAGGTAGCGTAATACTTAAGCGATGGATTACTTATATTAAAATGAGAAAATAAAAAAATAAAGAACAGAATAATATATCCACTTGTTCTTTTTAGTAGCTTGTATTGCAATATGGATTTATTACTATAAAATTTATAGTTTTACAGTTATTTTATTGAATAGCTAATTCCTTCCATACTTTACTATTGGCCAATTTTCATTTGGATGTCTAGTTTTATTCTTATATTTGTTTACCAGAAATAAACCAAGATTTATTAAGTTATATTCATTTCTATCTGTTATTTCTCTGATATTAATACTCCTAGGTATTCTAGTGATTTTTGGGTTATGGATTATGCATCCAGATATATTTTAAGAAGAAAATCATCCTACAAACTATTTATTATGCACTACAGAATTAGTGCAATTATTTACTTATTTTCTAGTATAAACTACACATAAAACACTGAAATTGATGATATAAATAGAATTCTTTGAGCAATACATCCATTTATTATTATAACACAACCTAGTCTTAGAAGGTGAAACAAACCTATAAGCAGAGAGAAAAAATATAAGAGTTAATAGTGTAAGTCATAGCTAAATGAATATGATTTTTGGAAATTAATGTACAATTTGTAATGAAGATACTGATATAGAATAAAAAGCTGTATAACTTGAATGTATGCATGTATTCCATAGCGAATGCATCCGCAAATGGTTAGAAAATTCATAAATATGCCCAAATTGCAGAAGAGAAGTTGAAGGGTAGTGATATTTAATCGATTGATTAATAGCTGCCTATATATAGCTTAACCTTAAACTCTCATATAAAACTACAATTAGTAAGCTTATCTTTTATAATTAATAAATAATTGACCTCAATTATCAAATACTATATTTTGACTAACTTAATATATAAATTTATCAAAATATTTATTAATAACAAAACATAAATGTTTTACCTCTGTATTTATTTTATTAAATGTTTATTTAGCACCTGTTATTAATAATCAATTTATTAGTTTTGATTAAACTGTTTTAGTAAAGTTAAAATTTCAACTTACAAAAATTGTAAATTAATAAAATATTTATTGCTTAAATACAAAAAATAATTAAATGTACACATACATAATTAAGTAAGTGTTTTTCAATATCCTCTCTATTTGTTAATATCTATATACTATACTCTTTATAATTTTATTTCAATTTAATTTTTATATATGGAATAAAACATAATTTATGATATTTTATTGAATAAATATCTTTAATATTCTCTATTTTGTATTTTATAACTCATAAATAAAATTTGTTTTAAATTTATTAATTTTAACATTGTTTACTTTTAAGTTAACTCAGATAATCCAAATCTTTATTTAAAATGAATAAATCTCTACAGCAATATGAAACTTTGATTTAAAGTGTTTAAAATCATTAAACAGTACTTAAAAATATTAATCACATAAAGATTTCCACATTTCAAAAAAATATTTGATTCAATTTTATTAAATAATTATAAAGAAATCTGATGCAGTTTTCATCTTTAACTAAACCTTGAATGAAAATATCTTTTAAAAGTATTTATTATATGTTTTTCACATTTTTAATTACACGAAACTAGAATCATTTAAATTAGTTTATTTTAATCTATAAAATCAACTATCGAATGTCCTTATTTAAATATTTTTAAAATTATTCAACCAATCTTGGTAATTAATTAATTAATTTATTTATTTATTAACCATCGTTGGATATTGTAGATTCTAATCATTCTAATATAAAAGTATAACCATAAGTAAAGATAATTATCAAAAATGATAATTAATTAAAAAGTTTCTTAAACTATTGTCACACTTATATTAACGATTGATTAATTTATGCTATAAAGAATAAATAGTCTGTATATTTGTTAATAAATAAGTTATTCAAAAACAAAAGTTAAGAGTAAAAACTATTATTAAAAATAAATTCGGTTAATTATTAGCTTAGTATTATTCATTAGCTATTAAAATGAAACAGAGATCATAAAGTGCGACAGTTAAGTCAGCCTGTAAATTATTTTAAGTTTTGGATTAGAAAAACATTCAACTGTTTAGATTTAAAAATGCTTAATGTATGTTTTAAATTAATATTAATTTAATAAAATAAAGCTGATATGACTGTAAGATAAATGTTTGATGTGGCTACACGTAATCAAATATGGGGCATAGAAGGTTATGAAATATCTAGAAAATATGTTGATCCTTAGAAATAAGTAATAGAAAAATGAAATTATTGAAAATAAATCTTAAATTTAAATAAAATACTTATCATATTTATTTGTTTGTTTTAGCAGTTTTCAGAAGTAAGTTTTACATTTTAAAATTTAAAAGATTAAAGATAGAGAATTTGCTGAACTTAGAGACAAGAATAAATTACCTACTAAGAATAAAAATTATGTAACTAAAAGGGGACATTTCTACAATGATTTAGAGAAGCAATTCAAGGGTTATCCTGGACCAAATAAATATAAGTTAGATTATGTTTGGGTTTCTTAAAATGATATTGAAAAAGGAAGAAAGAAACCTCACGATACTAAAAAGAATACATATATAGATAACATTATTGATGAATCTAAGAAAAGACCTGTTCCTGGACCAGGAAAATACAATATTACAAAGACAGAAGAATAAATCAAAAAGGAAGTTTAAGAAATGAAGAGCAAGAAAATTAAGTAAGATTCGACTTTCTTATTATTTATTAAATTTATATTTTTGTTTCTTAGTTTGTTTATTTATAAAGAAATATATATTATTTATTACTTTATATTTATGTGAAAAATTTACTTATTTAATTGATTTAATATTTAGGTAAGGTGAAAGAGTTGATTTTCTCTGCGAATACTAATATGTTGCTGCTTAAACTCCAGGTCCTGGCCAATACAATGGAAGAGTATATTAATTGTTATTATCAATTTACTGATTTAAAAATGATAAAAAAAGCATATTAATAAAATATTTTTATATCAAAATAGTAAATATAGCCTAAGTTGTAAGCAAATAGAACTAAACCTGATGATTGGATAAATAAGCATAAAGCAGAAGGTAAGAAAAGAATCAAATCTGCTTTTCCTGATGTAGGTACTTACAAGCCTATTCTATTTAATACCTTCAGTAAAATCGAAGAAATGAATTAGAAGCAAGGGACCAGACCTAAAAGTAACTATTTAGGTACAGCTGAGAGATTTGGTGGATCATCTAAAAAATCTAAGACATCAGGACCTCCTGGGCCTGGATAGTACCCTCTTATTGCTAATTGGCCAGGTAATTAATTAACTAAATATAAAAATATCATCATATTATATTTAAAATAAATAAACAGGTAAGGAAGAAGGAAAAAAGAAAGATAGCAAAGCCAAAAATTGGATGTATAATATCACTAAAGGTACATAGGAAGTTAGATCTATTTACTATTGAACGAACAAAATCAATAAAGAAGTCTTTAAATAGAACTTCTAATTACTTAATTAATACCAGTTCTAAATAATTTTGCTTGATTAAAATGATATTTTTACCTTTTAAAATATCTTTATTCATTAATTAATCAATCAATCATATAATGTTAAAATACTTATTTTTACATTTATTTTTGTTTTCAATCTTTTTATTCAAATATTATAAACAAAAATGAAAAGTACAAAGTTTTTTTATTAAGATGATATCATAAAAAAATTTGTTTATGTCTTATTGAAAATCATTTGAGTTGATTATCTGATTTTTATTCTAAATTCTAATAATTTTAAAATAAATACATATTTGTTTAATTAATATAAAATGATTTTAATAATAAAAAATAAAATAAAAACAATTTTATAAACTTAATTAGATTTTTCCTATCTACTTTTGAAAAATCTTATAAAAAAATTTTATAATTCTAACGCTGCTAATTATCTATTCTGATATAAACTAGACAAATTTCCATAGGACCTAAAATATAAATATGAATAATAGAATGAAGTTAGATAGAGTTAGTAATAAAAGATGAATTAGTATATTATTACTTCTTGTTATCTCATTTGTTTTACAATATGGATTCTTTAAAGTATTTCCATTATTTTATAAAATATTTTTAGTTTTTAAGAAAATAATTATCTTATTTAAATAGTAGATAAAAATTATTTAAATTAGAACTTTTGAATTTTAAGAAATTATTTATTATATTTATTTATTTTGTTTAATTAATTATTTATATATGTTAAAATTGAATTAAAAATTTTCAAATACTTTTTTAGAATTAATTATTTATTTAAACATTTTCAAATATTTAAAAAATTAAGAACCAAATTACAATAAATTATAATAAATTATGATAAAAATTCATCTGATAATATAAAGTGAAATTTAATAATAATTTTAAATGTGTTTAAATATAATATTTGAAGTTATTATGCACTTTTAACATTTTATAAATTAATAATTATTTAATTAGCTTGAATGTATATAAGAGTGCTTGCTTGCTTGCATGACTACCTGAGTTTAAAATTTAAAAATTTTAAAATATCTATATTTATTTTTTTAGAATTTACCAAAGATATTTATCACATTAAGTACAATTAAAGAATATCAATTAAATATATAATTTTTGTAAACTTTAATTAGTCCGCAATTTATTAATTATTCTAAACAAAAGCATTATAAAATAAATAAATGAATTAAAATTTAGTAACTCTGTAATTTGGTCCACTATCATATGCATATGGAAATGCATATTTTTATTTGGAAGTAAATTAAAGAATATTAAAATGTGTAGTTTTTACAATTAACTCCATATGATAAAAAGGGATAACAATTTTTCGAAGAAAATGATCCTATTGAGCATTCTAATTTGTTTAAAAATATTAGTACTAAAACTCCAAGAAATATTGCTTGGGGAAAAAAGGATGAATTAGATGTTTTGAAATTTTATTGCAGTGCATTCATAAAAAATAAGAATAAAAAAAATGAGCAGTCTACACATAATATAGATCCTTTAAATCCAATTGAATCTCTACTTTGGTATATTACTTTTTACCTTAATACCATCTAAATCAAAAACTTAAAATTTTAATGAAATAGGGAAAAAAATAAGGTTTAAGTTATTTAGCAGTAGGGTTAGAACACTGAAGATTAAGAAGAATAGAAGTAAATGGAATAGCTGATGAAAAACAAATTTTTCCCTTTATTTAAAGAAACTTAATTTGATCGTAAATATTAGGTAGAATTGCCTCATTTATTAGATCAAAAGTTTGAGGTTTATCAAGAAGGGTAAATTCTAGCAAAAACTGATTAATTGGTAAATATATATTGAATTAGACATTCACTAAACACATTTAATAAAGGCTGAATTGAATGAAGACAAAATTAGATTAATTTTAGAAGAATCCGATTATGTAAATGGGTTTTAAGTATTTGTTGATGCTGATTCTGGTTTTGGTGGATATTGGTAATATTTATTCAAGCAATAATTCTTATGTAAATTGTATTTAATATTAAAGCGAAGAAGTACTTTAAATAGTTCTTGATGAGTGTCCTAAGAAACCTATTATTACTTACAGCTTATATGACTATGAAAATAATAAACTTTAAAATAATAAAAATTTCGTTAATGAAATTATTTCTTTGGACAGATTCAGGGAAATGTCCAGTATTTTGGTTCCAATTAATTTAAATAGATTAACTAAATTTTCTGACTATGTCAATTACAACTCAAATATGGAATTATTTGATCGTTCAATGGTAAAAATATATTTATATATTTTATATTTAATTTAATTTTATTCTTATAAAATGTAAAAGCTAGTTGCAAGCTTATTTAGTGGACTCACTGGAGGTTATAGAGCTAAAGAAAGCAACGGGTTACAAGACTTTTACAAGAATATTGTTTCTTACCCTAGTAATAATATCTTCAACTCTACTTTTACTATTCCTTTAATTAAAGATGAAAATGGCACATTGTTGAATGAGCATATTTTTAACTACCAAACAAAAAGAGATTAATTTAATTATCTTTATCATGATTTTGATAAGTATTGGAATGACGAATAATGGGGTGCACCTGAGTCATTTGGTGAATCATATTTCTTAAGAGGAGTAGTTTAAATGCCTTAAGAACCCCCTAAATCAAATAGTATGCAAATGAGAATTGTGGAGGCTTTGCTCCTTTATAAAACAAAATATCATCGCCACTTGTTCTCTTAAAATATTTAAGAAAGATATCTTTATTAGCTTGATTCCTAGGAAAACTATGATGAATTTTCACTTCCTCTGCATACAGCTATTTTTTCAAATGAATAATTCTCTACTAAAATAAAATAACTAACTAAGGGGTAGGAAAACTTAACCAAGAGTACTAAAGTTTCTTATTATCAATTAGATTATTCAGGTAAAATAAATTAATTACAATACTTTTAATAAAAACTATTTTAAATAAAACAGAGGAAGACTTTGAAGAGTTAAAAAGCAAATATTAAGATCTTTTTGAGTCATACGCCAAGTAAGAATAGTTGCATATAGAAGAAGAAGAATTTGAATGATAAATTTAAACATATAACTTAAAATAGAAATTAAATAAAAGAATTGAATAAATTAATAAAAAAAAACAAAATAAATATTTTATATTTTCAATCATACTAAAAAATTATTAATATTCTAATTTAAATAGGCTTTCGTCCTTCGTTTATATTTTAAATTTAAATATTTTATATCTTTTATCGTTGTCAAAGCTTTTTTTTTTAGATTTTTTGATTATAAGTTAGTATTAGCCAAGAAAACAAACTAAAAAGGAAGTTGCAATATATTCAAAAAAAAATTAAATTTTGTATTAATTTACAATCATAAATAAATATATCATCTATCTATCTATATATTAGCTTGAAGAAAATAAGTTTCATCAAAGATTACTAAGATTTATTTATTAATTTACTTATATATTGATTGTACTTAGTAGTATTGAATTGTTATATATTTGTAAATTGATATTAAATATAAAGTTTTTTAGAAAATTAATAATTGACTTTGCATAAATATATATATAGATTAGCTATTAATTAATTTCAATAAATTAAGATAAGCAAGAGGAAAATAATATAAGCACAAATTTCATTAAGATGTCCAGTATTTAGGAAATTAAAGAAGAAAAAGAGGGCGAATTTTACGTTATGGAGGGTAATCATCCTATTTAATTATTCAGTTTTCAAGCTTTTTTATTGCCATTTTTTACAAAAATATTTTTAAATATAATTGAAATTTATAAATTATAAATTAAGCCGTTGAATTAACCAGTGAAAGTGAGCCCGAAGATTTAGATGGATTATCAGAAATCGATGATATGAAAGTTGATGATGAAGATATAAATGATCTTGATAAATTAGTAGCAACTACAAGGAGTAAAATAAATTATTTACCAATATTCATTAGGCTAAAGACTAATCTCACTATTTATTAAATTTGTAACTAGAGGAGGTAATTGTTCCTCCTAAGGAAGATAAAAAGCCAGTATCAAAAACAGTAAAACGTTTAGAAGTTGTGGATGACTTTATTAGAAATTTCTTGATTAAGCACAAAATGACTCGTTCTTTGGAAGTTTTTCAAGTAAATAACTAATTTATATATGCTGAACAATTAAATTGTTAATATGTGAGTTAATAATTATATTCTTTATTGGTATTATTTAGTAAGAGTGGTACGAGCTAAGCCAAAAGGGTAGACTTACAAGTGACACTATTGGTTAAGTTCCAGATGTTTACATAAGAAATGAAAAACTTGAAGATGAAATGGATTATTTAAGAAACGAACTAGATAAAGCTAAAATAATTGCTGAAAAAGCAAAGTAAATAGTTAATAAAAATCTTTAACAAATGATAGTAGTTATTTTTAAATTTTCAAATGCTTTTAATTTACAATGAGCATCTGTTGGTTGATCTATCTCTATACAATTAATTGCATTAGAATTATTTATAAACTTGAAATATCTGTGATTTGCAAAAGCACATAAATTCAAACATTCAGATGGTATCAACCTTCTTATTCTTTAATGCTTTAAATAGAGCTCTAATAAATAATTGTATTAGAGTTCTCGCTCTTTGGTTACTGTTTATTTTTAGTTTATAAAAGCATGGGTCTATTTAGAAATAAAATAAGCAAATAAATAAATAAATAAATAAGTATGAATGAATGAATGATTTAGCAATCAATAATTTTACACTTTTAAAGAAATCTAAACAGTAATTGAGGAAATTGAAATAATGTTTAAATATTTTTAATATAGGGCTACTTATGATAAATTGAGAAAAGAAAGAGACTTCCATAAGATGCATCACCACAGAGTTTAATAAGAGAAAAAGAAGTTAAATAATGATATTGAAAAACTAAAAGCACTTCACTAGTAATATGAAACAAAATACGAGGAACTCTCACAAAAATATGCTCATGCTATGAAAGAAAAAATGCTTTTAAAATTAGAAAGAGATAGATTAGTTGCTAAAAATGAGGCATTATAAAAAAGTTTATAAAATGTAAAAAAAATTTTTTTAATTTAGCACATCCAGCATAAAAAAATTTTTAATGAATCTAATAAATCATTTGATTTACTTTGTAGAAGTTAATTGCTGATATCTTCACTTCAGACTTTTTTATAGCATCAAGCAATATTTTTTTATTTTTTTAGATTGAAGATAAAATGGGCAAGGAAGGAACAGGATTAGGACCTGAAGGATTACCAAAGTTAAATGATAGCTATAAATAATAAAAAGATTAGGAAGAAAAGAGTCCTAAGGCTGGAACATAAAAGAAAAATAAATTAAATTATACTCCAATCCCAAGCGATAATAGACCTAATCCTTATGCAGGATTAAATTTTGATACATAGCCATACAGAAATGCTGTGCTTTAGAAAACATTTAAAGGCCATATGATGGCCATATCATCTATTGCTATGCACCCTAAACGTTCTATTTGTGCTACTGCTTCTGATGATTTCACTTGGAAAGTAAAAAAATTATTAGTTTAACTTTTTGTAATCTTCTATTTTGAATTAATTTTTTAGATTTGGACTTTACCTTAAGGTGAGCTTATTCTCAGTGGTGAAGGACATAAAGATTGGGTTTCAGGAATTAGTTTCCACCCCAAAGGTTCTCATTTGGTAACTAGTAGTGGTGATTGCACAATCAAAGTATGGGATTTTATTAACTCAACTTGCACTCATACTTTTAAAGACCACATATAGCCAGTTTGGGATGTTGCATATCATGACACAGGTATATTATTTAAATAAATGAAAAATACTTTTATTTTAATTAAATTTAAATTATCAATAGGCGATTTCATAGTTTCTGGTTCAATGGATCATACAGCTAAACTTTTTGATTTAGGTTGTGGTAAAAGAGTTCACACTTTTAAAGGACATAAAGATTCTGTTAATTGTGTTAAATTTTAACCTTATTCCAATATACTTGGTATTTAAATTCTTGAATAGTTAATTATTTATTAATATAACTAAATTAATATTAAGCCACTGCTAGTGCAGATTAAACTCTTTCTTTATGGGATATGAGAAGCGGTCTTTGTGCTTAAACTTTTTATGGTCATAGAATCACTGTAAATTATCTTGACTTCTCATTAAAGGTATTGAAAAATTAATAAATTAATATGTTTATTTAAACTTAGCAATCATTTTTTATTAATTTTCTAGGGCGATACCCTTGCTTCATGCGATGCTGATGGTGTTGTTAAAGTATGGGATGTAAGAATGGTTAAAGAAAGGTATTCAAAAATTTAGTATTTTAAATGAAATTTAATTTAATTTAATTATAAAAGAAATTAATATATGGGTTCCGTAAAAAGTGTAAACTCTGTAGCTATAGATAAAAGTGGTGTAATGATCGCTTGTGCTGATGATGAAGGCAATATAAAACTTTTTAACGATTCTACTGGTAAATTGGAGCATACTCTCAAAGGTCACGAAGATAAAGTAGAAGACGTTGCCTTTGATTTTAATTCTAAAATGATTGTCTCTTGTGGAGCAGATTCTACTTTCAGAGTATGGCAATGATATAAATTGCTAATTAATAAATAATCTCACTTTTTATTAGATTTAAATGACTACCTATTTGATAATAAATTTTCTTCTTACAAAAACTTAATTATTTATGACATGAAAAATTTTTGTTGGACGATCAGAATTTACTAAAATAAATATTAGGTTGAAAGTATCATTAAAAAAGTAACATTAATAATTAAATTAAGGCAAACTATTGATATTTTTATTTGTTTTAATATATATAACAAGTATTTTACTTACTAAAATAAAAAAATAATTTCTTTATGCTCTGTAAGCTTTAGTTAATTTGTGGTCATTTTTCCTTTATTACATTTTTTTCCTGCTCACTATTAAATTTTTTATTATAAATCTATTTTTTTCTGCTGTGTTATTTTTTTTTTTCTGCAGGATTTATTTTTTCTGATAGTTTTTATAATTTTTCCTGGAAAGTTTAGCCAACTTATCATAAGTCAGTAAGGAAATGTTTATAATAACCATACCGATTTTATATGGTGACAACAAAAATGTTTGATACTTTTTGTGGGTGCTCAAAAATAAAATATTTATACTTATACAATACATATCTTACAAGCATTTTTATTTAAAATAAATTAAAAGTTTTTTGCAAGCTTGGTAAATTAATTAATTTTTATAACCTTAAATAATCTCCTAAGCAATCTAAAAGAAAAAATTTGTTAATATTTATTAGGCAGAGTCATTGCCTAATTAATAATCAATAATTATGAAAAACTAAATATTTCTAAAAAAATATCTAGGAATATAAAAAAAATTAAAATAAATTTTATTTTAAATATAAACTAAGTTTGAAACTAGTTACAACCTTGAAAAAAGTTTAAGATATGGAAGAATAAGTAAATGTTTCTTTAATTTACTATTTTTATGAGCAAAAAAGATATTTTTTTTATAGGAGAAATTATTAATTACTTCAACGAATGAATAAATAGATAAAACCAATTATTTTATTTACCAAACAAAGATAATTAATTTTACTTATTAATTTAATAGCTACTCATAATAAGAGAACCTTCGGTCAACTATGAAATAGAAAAAGTAAAATAAATTTATAAATTTAATTACTTTGTTTCTAATAATTTTATCCATTATTAGATTATTAGGGATCAGCCAATCATTTTATAAATTATCAAAAAAATTACCAAAAATGGAAATTTAAATTAAAAATATTAATAAATTTTCTTAATATCCAACTTAAGTTAAAAAACAAACAATTTTTTAAATTACACTTTTTTCAAAATAAAATAATAATTCGCATATCGCGTTTTTTAAGCAATCTATGAATATTTGTGAGAGAATTGTCTTAACTTTTAACTTCAAAATACATCATTTATTGGTTTATGGGTATTTGTAAAGATTTTACACCTTTAAAATTTTTGATATCTTTACATTACTTAATTTTTTTTTCAATTTCTTATTCTAATCAGCCAAAGAATATAAAAGATTTATTAAAAAATTTAAACTAATACTAACATATTTATTAAATTTAGTCTTCAAAAAAACATAGACGTGCAAGAAGACAAAGTAAAGTAATGCATAATAATAACTCCTTTATCAAGGATTTAAAGTTCTTACAGCCCCTTGAAGTTTAGCTTCAGAGTAATAATTTGTTTCAACTTTTTTTTTATTTAATATTTATTCAATTCCATATTCAATCTTTTAATAATAAATTATACATAAAGGAGATGAGTACACAAGCAAATTCAATTTAGAAGCAAGGATAAATGATATTAATGAGTTCAGAGAAATTGATATTTTGGATAGAGATATCCATAAAAATCAGCATGGACTTATTTCGCTCTATAATCATAATTCCAAGATAAAAATTGAACCTAAATTAATGATTTGCATAACTATGTACAATGAATCAAGAAAAGAATTGGGTAAATTAATAAATTTCATGATAGTTTTTCAAGTAGAAGGAGATAAAAGATCTCAATATGAAAATTTATAAATTTATCTTGCTTTTTTGATGTTTATATTTATTTTGTAAATTTATTAGAATCAACATTAAATGGTATATTCAAGAATGTAAAGACTTTTAAAGAGGAATGTCTTGTAGATAACTTAGAAATTGTAGTCGTTATTATATATGATGGTATGAATAAGCTTTGTACTACTACTTAAGAAGAACTTGTAGATATAGATGAGGATATGCTGGAATACTTCATGTAAATTACACTATAAACCAAATTATTAATTTAAAAAGTAAAATTGTAGAGCTTAAGACAAGAAGATATAGAATGATGATAAAGAATTCAACATGAAATATCAGCATGAAACTTACTGCTATAATCTCAAATTGTCTTAAATCAAAATAGATGAAGAAGAACACAAAAATAAATTTGAAATATTTGACTAAGATAAGAAGATTAAGCATAATTACGAACAATGGAAAATCTCCAATCAACACTATAATGAGAAAGAAGGAAAAAGAAAATTTTTGCAAGATGAAAAAGACGAAGCCTTAAAATACATCTAAAGCAAGAAGAATAATGGATTGTATCTCTTTTCATTAGAAAATATTCACTTAATAAATTATAATTCATTATAAAAAGTCTCTATTAGATATAATCATCACTTGAGTAAATCGATGACACTATTAATGATTTTCCCGATAAAAATAAGAAAAAATCTAAAAACCTAAATACTAGTAAAAAAGATAAAAACCCAGATGATATTGATGATGAATCTATCAGCATTTTCCACTGTGTTAAATATTAAAACGGAGGTAAACTATCCAGTCATTTGTGGTTCTTTAGTGGTTTTTGCGAATTATTCTAGCCTTCATACACAATTTTACTTGATTGTGGTTTAGTTCCTGATGAAAAAGCTCTTTTCAACATGTTTTTGGCATTCGAAACAGATAAAAACATAGGTGGAGTCTGTGGTTTTATGGGTATTAAATTCTAAGATGTATACACTGACGCTGGTCAAAGAAGTAATTATTTCTTAAATAATTTATTCATTTATTTCATTTTTTTCAATAATAAAAGAGGATGAATATAAAAGAGCTCAACCATAAATTGATTTTCTATCTGACCTATTTTAAAAAATTTTCGATGTATAAAAGGCCTAAATGTACGAATATAATATGGGTAATTTTAATTTCAAGTCTATTTTAACCATTATTTCCTAATCAAAATAATAAATAAAATAGGTCATTTTATTGATAAACCTTTTGAGTCACTTTTTGGTTATATTTAAGTACTTCCTGGTGCATTCAGTGGTTACAGGTGGGATGCTCTTAAACGTGATGAAGAAACAAAGGATTGCATTTTAGATGATTACTTATCCAGTGTATTGGATTAATCAAGAGAACTGACATTAGAACAATAAAATATGAATCTCGCAGAAGATAGAATTCTCTGTTTAAAAATTTACTCAAAGCATGGAAAAAAATATACCTTGAAATATTTGCCTAATTGTCGTGCAAAAGTCGATCCTGTTACAGATTTGATGACATTGATCAGCTAAAGAAGTAAATTTTATTAAATTAGATATACAAATTTATGAATTTAAATTAAACAATAGGGAGATGGATTAATGGTTCTACTTTCGCTTTAAAACTTGTAATTAATTAATTAATCATTTTATTTCTTTTTTTACAAAAATAAATTTAAAAAAAGTGCTTAAGAGACAGTAACCTAGTTTATGATTCAGATCACGGTATGTATGATATTATTAAATTTAAATTGTGCATGGCTTTTGCTTGGTTAAATAACGTATTCTACCTTTTTACTTAATTAATTTATTTTTTACTAATATTCTATAAAATAAATAATTAAAGTTCTTGAGTTATATTTCGTTGTCTGTATTTTTCATTATTGTCTTCATTATGATAGAAACAAATGTTAGCTAAGTTACTTTAGAAGGCTCAATCCTTAATGGTTCAGCTCTATAATTACTTATTACAACATTATTCTTTGCTGTTTATTTTATCTCTGTCCTAGTCATTATATACATTTCTCTAATGCTTGATACAAGAAAACCTGAGGTTATAAGATCATTCTACCCTATTTCTACATTCTTAGGTAAATTTAAAAATAAATTTGTTTTATTTAATTTATTTTGTAAATTATTTTAAATAGGCTTAGTCATGCTTGTCGCGTATGTGTTTATGATTATCTACGTTATTTTGACAACTCTCTTTACATGGGATTATTACATTCTTGGAAATAAATTTTCTTAGTATGCTTAGTCTGGTATTTTGTAATCATGGAATGAAAATTTCCTTAAGGAGTTTTTCTGCTACTTGATTGTTGTTGGATTCTTTATAACTTTTATTCCTTATATTTTTAATCCTCGCAAAATATTGGAAATGATTATTTCGTTCATTCATTTCATAGCTTACCAGGCATAGTACATACATCTTTTCACAATTTATGCATACTGTAGAATCGATGACTTTTCATGGGGTACCAAGGGTCAAAGTAATTAATTTGTTTATTTCTAACTTTCTCAATAGAAATTTATTTACTTTTTATAAAAAGACACGGCCTCATAATAGTAAGATGTAAGCAAAAGTATTAAATTTAAGTTTGTATTATAGTGGTTTTTGACAAACTTCTTTATTGCATTTTTGTTTTCTTCATTTTTAACCTCAACAATCATGCCTGATGAAATGCAGGAATATGTAAAGCCAGCTATTTTGACAAGTATTTCTGTTGTTTTTGTTGGTTAGCTTGTTTTGAGAGTAATTGGAGCTTTGTTTTATGAACTTTACTTCATTTACTTCAGAAGAAAAATGGCAAGTAAATAAGATGCCATCCACCACTTAAGAGAATAAGGAAGTGAAAAAGAATTACTTAAAAAAATCAATGAAATTAAGCAAACAATTTAGAGATCTTAAGCTCAAGTTGTTGAAGACAGTATATTATAACCTATTGATAATTAATAAATGACTTAGTATGATAACTAACAATCACATTTAGTTTAACAATTCACTTAGTTTGGCTAATAAAATACTCAAAATGGCTAATAAAACACTATATATGCTTAATGAAAGCACTATTGAAGGGATTAAATATAGTATTTAATCAAATAAATGCTTTAACACTCTCAGAATTAGTTAGAAGAAAGTATTGAGAAAATAAGAGTTAAATTTGAATTAATATTATATATTATTTCATATATAAATTTATTTTTGTTAGTATTAATCAGTATACTTACCTTATCAGAATAAAATTAATTAAATTGAGCAAAAAACATAATTATTCACTAAATTAAGGATTTGATTATAATTTTGCGTACTATTTAAAAAACAACAAAATTTATATTTATTTTTGAAATATTTACTAAAATAAGATGCAAGTTAACATAACAATATGCAAAAATGCTTCTCATTTTTTATATAAAGAAAAAGAATATAGAATTAATAGATATAGAGTGTAAAAAAAAATGAGGGATGATAATACGCTAGTATTTCTTATGAAAGAAATCGTAATAAGAATAAAATAAATAATTTAATTAATTTCTCAAGTTAGATTATTCATTTAATTTTTTGTTTAAGTTTGTCCTATTATTTATCATTCAATTAATTAAAATAGTAGGCAAATATTAGTGTTTGTTTGATTTGTTTATTGTGTAGACATTACAAGAATTACCACTTAACTTTAAAACAACACAAAATTTTTTTTCTCCATCCAATACCTCTATCAAAAATCCAAATTAAATAAATCCAATAAATTTGATATTTCATAAAAAATATTAAAAAAAATATTCAATTAAGTCAAAAATTTTTATAAGCTGTCAAAATGAATAAGACTGTTATTCACGACAATACTTACGTGTCTACAGACAGAATAAAAAAGATTTTATAGCCCATAGAGCTCTAGTTAGCTAGTAAAATTATTTAATATGCTTTACAAATCAATTTAACATAAATATAATGATTTCGATACTTATTTATTAACCTTATTCTATGATTATTATTAGAGGGTTAAAACAATTCTTTTAAGCTTTCTTCAAGAACTTTGACATAATAAAATTGGGCAAACGATATTTAAAACAAAAAATTCCAGTCCTTAGAATAAGAAAGCCTTAGCGTTGAATAGGTTCTGAAGGTAGGAGTTCAAAATGGTTTAGTTTCATTGTTTAACAGATTTAACGATGGTATCTGCATCAAACCTAAAATGATTATTTGCGTTACCATGTATAATGAACCACGTAAAGAACTAGGTATCATAATTGAACTTACATAAATTTGAATAAAAAAATAGCTTACTTATCATATCTTATTTGATTCTTTAAATAAAAATTAGAGGAAACATTAGATGGTATAGTTAGCAACATTTCAACTTTTAAAGAAGAATGTAATATCTCTAATAATGAAATTTTGGTCATTGTTGTGTATGATGGTATTGATAGAATGAATGCTAGTAAAGATAGCGATGACAGTATGTTAGACTACTTTAGGTAATATAACATTTATTTTGTGAATTCTAAAACGAAATACATTTTTATTTTTTATGAATTGAGAAAAAAATACAGCTCAATTCTTTAAATCATACTTGCTAGGATTATTAAATTAATATCTAAAATTTATTTTTTATCAACTTTAAAATAAAATTCAAACTTAAGATTTATTATGTAAACCTAAATAGTACCTGGGATGAAGTTGTAAAGACTTAAAGATAAAGTGAACAAAGAAGAACTATGAGATAAGAGTATGATGAATATTGTTATAATCTTAAAATCTCTAAGTTAGATGTTGAAAAAATTAAGTCAAATGATTTCAAAGAAATGAATTCTGATTCTAAATTAATGAAAGGATTTAATGACTATAAAATTGAAAATCGTGATGACAAAAGAACTTTAGAATAACAAAAGTCAGAATTTCTTTACAAAAAGAAAGAAGAAGCAGGAAAGTATCTCAAAGATAAAGCAAATAATGCTTAGTAAGCAATTTTTAAAAAAATTAAATAATTTTAATTAAATAATATTTTATTTAATTAATTAAGCCTCTACTAGATGAGACATAGACTTCAAAAAGCCACATCTGGAGGAGAAGACGGAGATAGCTAAGAATTCCTTGTAATTAATTTTTAATTTATTTATATTTTTTAATAGCTATTCTCAATAAATTATAAAGGATTCTGATGATACTCTTAATATTATGCATTGCGTTAAATATTAAAATGGTGGTAAATTATCAAGTCACTTGTGGTTCTTTTGCGGTTTTTGTGAACTTTTCAATCCAGACTATACTATTCTATTAGATTGTGGTTTAGTTCCTGATGAGAGAGCTATGTTTAATATGTTTTTAGCTTTGGAAAGTGATAAGAATATTGGTGGTGTTTGTGGTTTTATGGGTATAAAATTCTAAGATATTTATACTGAAGGTGGTGAAAGAAGTAATTTAGATATTATATTGATACAACTTTTATATTAATTGTTTTATTATTCTTGAAAAGATGATAACTACAATGAAAATGAAATTAACTGTATTGCAGATATGTATTAAAGAGTATTTAACATACAAAGAGCTTAAATGTATGAATATAATATGGGTAATTTATTTTTATCAACTTATTGATTTTATTAATTCTTAAATTGATAATAAAGGTCACTTTATTGATAAGCCTTTTGAATCTCTATTCGGCTATATTTAGGTGCTTCCTGGTGCTTTCTCTGGTTATAGATGGGAAGCGCTAAAGAGAGATGATGATAATGAAAGTATTCTTGATGATTATCTCAGCAGTGTTTTGGATAAAGATTAAGAATTAACTCTAGAACAAGAAAATATGAACTTGGCAGAAGATAGAATTCTCTGTTTGAAAATTTACTCTAAAAGAGGAAAAAGATATACTCTTCGTTATTTGCCTAATTGCAAAGCTAGAGTCGATCCTGTCACTAATCTGATGGTTTTAACTTCATAAAGAAGTAAAATTTTACAACAAAAAAATATTAAATAAAATCCCTAAATTAATTATTATAAAAACAGGAAGATGGATTAACGGTTCTACTTTCGCCTTAAGAATGGTAATTAACTAATTTTTAGTGGAATTTGCATACTTAAATTCTTTATTTTAATCTAAAAGTGCTTAGAAAATAAAAGTATAATTTATGAATCAAATCACTCTGCTTTTGAGTTGTGCCTTTTCAAATTCTGTATGTCATTTGCTTGGCTCAATGATGTAAAAATTAAAAAATTATTTAGAGAATCATTTTATTTTTTATTTGTAAAGGCTTTGAGTTATATCTCTCTCTCTGTTTACTTCACAATCGTTTTTATTATGTTGATGACCAATGTTAGTTCAGTCACTCTCGATGGTGCTATTAATACTGGCTCAGCACTTGCAGTTTTCTTTGTTACTCTCTTCCTTTCTTCTTACTTTTTAGTTGTCTTAATGATTATTTTCTACTCTTTATCATTCGATACGAGAAATAGGCAAATGCATTAGATATTCTATTCTCTCTCTGCTTATTTAGGTAACAAACAAACAAATCTTTTTATCTTTTTATAAAAACTAATTTAAATAATTTCAATTTCTAAGTTATAATTTTAAATTTATAAAATAGGTGTTTTGATGATAATTGCTTATGTTATTATGCTTATCTATATTATCCAAATTACTATTTTTACTATCTAAAAATACATACTTGGACACGAGTCTGGATTTGGAACTGATGGTGTTTTAAGTTCTTGGAGTGATGATGGATGGACTAAAAAGACTTTCTGCTACTTAGTTGTCGTTGGTTTCTTTATCAACTTTGTCCCATATATTTTCAATTTATCTAGAATTTGCGAAATGTTAAAATCTTTTATTCATTTTGTAGCCTATTAGTCATAATATATTCATTTACTTTTGATTTATGCTTTCTGTAGAATTGATGATCTTTCTTGGGGTACTAAAGGTTCTGGTAATTAAAAATATTAGCCCTGTTTCTTTTTTTAGTTATTAAATTTATTTTTATATGAAAAAAGATGTTTCTAGCTCTTAAAAGGATGTAAGTAAAAAAATTAAATTCAGCTTCGTTACTAAATGGTTCCTTGTCAATGTTATTCTTGGATTCTTATTTGGTACTTTCTTAACCAGTCAAGTCCTTGACTAGTAGTCTTAATATTAATATGTCAAGCCCTTTATTTTGATTGGTATTTCTGTCGTTTTCGTAGGTTAATTGGCTATCAGAGTTGTTGGAGCTGTCTTGTATGAGTTAAAGTTCTTATTCTTCATGATAAAGATGAGCAACAAGAAGAGACATATTAAGAAAGAAAGAATGAACAGCAACCTTAATGAAGAAATTTAGGAAAAAGAACACAGATTCTTTAGTGGAGATAAACCTAGAAAGGATAAAACTAATGAAAGTGGCACATTAAATACCAATAATATTTTACCTTCAAATAACAATATTTTAAGTGATCTTAGTTGAAAAATGTTAATTATATAAATAGATAACAGCTATTAAAAAAGTTAATATTTATTTATAGATTAATGCATATTAATTATGTTTTTTGTTAACAAATATTCTCTAAAAATATAAAACATTCTTTAAATAAATAAATAAACAACAAAAATAATTTTGAGCTAAAAAAATATCTTTTATTTTATTTATTGAGTTTTAATAAGAAAATATTTTGAATTTAATCATTCTTATTCAAAAATTAATTTTTAATATTTATCTGGTAAAAGTACTATTAGCCATCTAAGATTATCTTTTAATGTATATCTATTTTAGCTCTCGTCTCCATAAAGTAACACAATCTAACGGTACTCATCTATATGGTGAACAGTGATTATACTCATTAGGAAGAAAGAAAAAATGAAAAAGACAAATACGAAAAAAATCAAGGCGGTTCCATCATAAGTTATTTGTGAGAAATCATAGCATCCAATCATCATCAATACCAAGCTAAATAGAGCTTTGATAAAAGTGTTTGCAGCAGAAATCCCTAATTAAGATAAAAAAATTTTATTTAAAGTTATTTATGTTCGAAAAAATATAAATTTATACATTATCCCCACATATTTAAATAAATTAAAGCAAAGCTGCATAAAAGCCCAAAAATGAATGCAATAGAGATGTACAAAGAAAATATTCCATGGTTTATAGACTACATTATCTTTCTAAAAGAATTGAAAAACTCTAAGAAAAATATTAACCTAAGCAAGCAACTCCCACAAGATATACTTTAATACCTTTATCACCAATTTAATAAATTTAAATTAATTTTGAACAAAATAACTAATTAAATTAAATTAAAGATTTGTCAAAATATTTTGAAAGATAATTGTAAAATATTTTTAGAGCCAAATAAATAAATAAAATGAAAAAATATCTTAAGCTTTGAGTGAAAGAAATAATTTACATAACCATCAATTAATAATTTGATGTTTTGGACCCAACATCGATAAACTGGTTTTAGGTAGGAGTGTATCCTAAGCTATACGAATCAAGATAGCATTATTAAGAAACAGATAAATAAATAAATACTTAAATAACTAAATTAAGGATTCCTATGAGAGAGAAAGCATAGCTAAAACCATATTGAATGATCTAGTAAGTGTAAAATAGTGTAAATAAAACGTTAATATATAATTTAGGATCAAATGAGCAGGTATGAGCACCATCAATAGATTTGTAAATTTTTGAAGTGTATGAAGAGAAAAATCCAAAAGCTGTATTTTCACACATAAGTTCTAAGAATATCATAGTACCATCTTCTTCGTTCATAAGGGTAAATTGTATAAAAATAGCTCTTATACTTGGATCATTAAGGACATTGTTCTTAAATAGTTAAAGCATACTTACTGTATAATCATTGTATTCAAAAGTTTGAGGGATATCATAAATATAACCACTGCTATCATAAGTACCAAACTAACCTTCTATGTTTCTTAAAGTACCTGATTGATAAACATTTTAGTATATCTCATATGCATATTTACCATGATTTATTGGGTTTTTTTCCTTTGTCTACTCGTTGTAAGCTGTATAATAACATTAGATGTCCTGAACATCTACCCTACATTTACTTTTCCTAGTTCTCACTTGTCTCATTCTTATAGCACCTAAGAAATATTTAATTGTTTTTTGTGATAAATACTTAGATAAAATTTAGAAGCTTACCTAATACAGAAAAATTCTATCTAAGTTATGAATTTGTTTAGAAGAGCTAAATACTGAAATGAGATTAAACTAAAAAATTTGTTAATGATTCAAAAGAATTCACATTAACAAAAGCAGTGTCAAAGTAGTTATCAATATCCATGTAATATACTAGCTTTGTAGTATTGACAAAGCTTACTCTTAAATTTTCATAAGCTAACATAGAAGAAAGAGTGAGTGAATAGAGCACCACAACTAATATGAGAGCAACACAAGAATAATCATCAACTTATAAACCTATTTTTGTTTAATCTTAATTAGTTTTTTCAACAATATCTTAATCTTTAAAAGCAAAATATGATCTGAGTAGTGGAAGGTTATAAAAAAATTTATCAAATGCTTTGATAATATCATTTTTTTTATTTTTTAATTGCTCTTGTTAATCTTTTTCTTTATTCTAGTTTTTCTTTTTGCTCCCATCTGCATTGTCTCCTCCTTCTTTATTTTCATTTAATTTTGAGTCGTTCTCAATAACTTTTTTTTCTTCAAGTTTTTTTTTCCTGAGTATCAAAGTAGATAATTTCTGTTCAGTTAGCTTCTAAAGAATTGCATCAATTTCTTAATCCTCTTACGTTATTGGGTTCACTAATAAATAAATAAATTTTTTAATTTGATTCTTTTGATATGAAAACTAACATTTATTTTATTTTTACATTCCAAATCAACTAATTCATACTAATCTTAGACTTCTTATTTTTGATAGTTTTGAGTACCCCAAAATTTCAATGCTGTTTCTTTAAGCTCTTTCACTTTTGTCTTCTTTAAAATTTTGAACGTGTTATAATAAATCTAATTTTATTTTTAAAAAATTATTTTGTTTATTTAGAATAATGAATTAATTAAATAAATAAATAAATTACACCCAATTTATCATCATTTGAAGGACTTTTCCTACTCATTGAAATAATATTTTTTATACAAACAGCGTTAGTATTAGACTTTTAATATTCAGAAAGTTCATTATTTTATTAACTTTCACCTGACATTAAGCGGGTTTATTCTTTAATATCCCTCTTTATTGAGTTCTCAAGCTCTGTTAAATACTATTCTAAATTGAATTCTATTTTATCTTCAAGTTTTAGCTAAAATTCTTTCTCATCTTCATCCTCCTATTTTATATAAATTTAAATGACAATTACTATTAATAAACTGTTTAAAATCTACAGCTTTTTCGTTAGCTAAGTTAGCCAAAGGTAGTTAATTTAAAAGGTTTTTTTCTTTTCTCAAGACTATTCGATCATAGAATTTCTATATATCTTCATTTTCTCTTAATAAGTTATCTTTCTTTTCCTACAGTCTTTTAGTCCTTTAAGATTTGTCATCAATCTTTTTTTTAATATCATCAAGTTTGAGAAGCAACGAATTCTTTTAATCAACTAATCTTTTTATATTCTTTTCTTCATCGTTCACCTTAATTTTGCTTGCCATGATTTAAGACTTTACAGATACTTAAAATACAAACTATAATAATCCCTACTCTAAAAATATTTATTAATTTTTCTTTTAAATTTGGTAGTCGTTTTTCTAAAATGCAAAAATTAAATTGATCAAAAATTATAACCAAATTGCAATATTATAAATCCTAATAATATATTTATCAAAAACTGAATCTTTTTTTTAATTCATATTATTTTAGGAAAATATTTTTGCTTTACTTATTAAAAGTTAATAATTTACTTTTTCAGAAATTATAGAAAATAAAAATGGTAAAATTATAAATTAAAACAGTTTTGTTCTTATAATTTAGAGAGATACATATATATTTTTAATTGTAATAAGAATAATTCAGTGTATACTCAAAATTTTTGCAATTAAATTTAAATTGATTAAACAAAATAATTTAATATTTTCATTTTTATATTATTTTATATTTTTATGAAATACTATTTTGTAAAATAAATTAGATAGAAAGGTGAGAGTAGATAGATTAATAGATTTATAAATAAATCAGCAAATTTTATATAGCAATTATAAAATAAATTATCTGTAAATATATAAAAAATATAAAGAGCTTCAGTATATGGAATTGATTTATTAAAATTTCAAAATCTGAAATTATAGATTATCTTTATAATTGGTCAATATTTTGTATAAAAATTTAAATCTTTTCACAAATTTATAATTAATTGTAGAGAATCTTATTATCATTTTTAATAAAAAATATTAAATTTTCAAATATTAGATTTTTTTGAAAGGATTAGTGGAAATAATTTAAATTATTGATAAAAATCTAATATTTAATTAAAATCCAACAATTCGTTAACAAATTAATAAATAAAGCAAATTAATTTATCAAAAGAAATAAATATATACATATGACTTCTAAAATTCAAAAAAAGGTTTTCAACAATAATCACAACCATCACAGAATCTTTAACGATGGCGAAGACCTAGAAGAAGTAGAGTAATAATAATTAAATGAAAAATTTAACATATTAGAAATTGAGCCATAACAAAAGAGAGAGGAAAAAAAGATTAATCCCACATACAAATCACAAATATTTTCTTCAGATTATGATGAAATTCCTCAATTTAGAAAATTGCAAGGTCAATAGTAATTGAAAGATTAGACCTCAGAATAGCTATTTGGTGTGCATGGAGATATGCTTTAGCGTAAAAAAAGAAGCAACAAATCAGCAACTGAAGAATAAAGCGCAAATCAAGCAGTTATAAAAAAAGATAATGAAGAATAACTACAACAATAGAACTCAGCTAAAAAGTATAACAAAGAAAAATAAATGGTATTCAATGCGATGTGGTGGGATAATTCTTCAAAACCAAATAATGATCTAAATCAGTATAAGCCAGATTTTGCTAAGTAGAGAAAGTTCTAAGATTATTCAAGCAATAATATATTTTAAACAGAATCTTCAATTTAAGGAGATAGCCTAGTTTAAAAAAATCAAGAGAAAGTTTAAACAGAAAATAACTAAAACAAACAATAAAAATTTAACATTATTAGTAATATGAATGAAGACTAAGTAAGCCAAATATCTGCTATGAAGTAATTAGCTGATTAAAAGCAAAATCTCTAGTAGTAAATTTAGAGTGATATTGATGCTCGAAAGGCTAATCGTAACTACTCTAACTTATTTGGAAGATGTTAAACTCCTTAAATACCTTAGAATGCCAATCACGACAACGAAAAAACTGCTGACTTTTCTAAAAACACAAGCACGGTTAATAACAAATCAGAACTTTTCTTGCCTACCAATGCAAATATTGATCAATTTGATAGTAGGAAATACAATCCAAAAACTGATAAAGAAAATAAAGATATTAATGCTTGCTAGCGTTACTTCAAGAATCTTTAATCTGTATTAGATACTCATACATTTTAAGCAGAATACAAGAGAGGAGTTCTCATCAATAAAGATAAACCTGCAAATTATGAGGAAGGAAACATTTTGGATAATTTCAGTGAAATTAGAAGTGAATTACTAGGTGAAAATAATTCTAAGCCACCAAAATAAACTTTTATCCATGTAGGAGAAATGGAAAAAATTTAGTAATTAGAATTTAAAAACATGAAAACTCACTTTGACTAAGAAAATTTCAAAAGATTTTGTGTCCAAAAAGGCTATAAAGTTTTAGTATTTACTTCGAGTTCGAATGGAAGAGGAAGCGTATTCCTGAGATTAAATCGCAAAAACCCAGATCCTGTTGATTCTATTATCTCAAATCTCAAGATCAATGGAGTCAATATTGCTATATAAAAGGAAATCACAGGGAAGGAATTCAATTAAAGAAACTTCGAAGCTCCAGCCTTGGTCAAAAAGCAAAAATAAATTCCTCGTCCACTAACAGGAAAAAAGTAATTTAGTGGTAAAAGTTCGAACATCCAATCCCACAATATTTTCAAAGAAGAGAAAAAAGCGAAGGAGATATGAAATGAATTGTGTTAATTAAATATCATTTATACTTAAAAAAGTATAGGAACAACAAAAAAAAAGAAGTCAAATAAATAAATGTATTAATTTTAAATTTTAAAAATAAAAATTGAATTAACAAATTAAAACTAATAATTATGTAACTAATTAATATAATGTGTAGAATTTCATTAATGTTTTAAGATTTATTGATTTTTATAATTTTATATAAAATGTTTTATTTATTTAGTTTTGTGAAGATTTTTCATTTTGCAATTAAAAAATTTCCTAACTAACTTTCATAAATAGATAAAATAAAAATAATTTATTAAACTTTGTTGAGTTTATGCAGCTAAGTTTCAAAAATCTATAAAAAATTAAATTAAGAAATAATTTAAAGTTGGAATAGAATTGATTAAATGTATTTAAAATAAATATAATTTATTTTATAAAATTTAAAAATTAACATATTAAAGAAAGATAATAATAGATAAAGTTTAAAAATAAAAGGATTAAAAAGCGTTTGCATCCATAAATAAATAAATAAAGTGGCTTGATAAAAAGGAAAAATGCTATAGAGGGTATAAAACAAGAAAAAGAAATGAATAGAAACAAATATTTATGAATATAAAATGATTACAAATAGAATATATGATAAGAAATATCATGAATGTCCATTCACTTTGAATGAAAATACACTTAAAGATACTAATAGTATATGCTTGCTTTTAACAATAAATTAACAAAAATAAATGAAGATACAAAAATGGAAGAGCATTCATTCATTCAATCAAAATGAATGCCTTGTTGTTAAAAGAAGATTAAAAAATGAATATAACTAGCTATCAGATATAGCTGCTGAATGATATAAATAATAACACACACCTTCATAATAAATTAATAAATAAATGAATAGAAAGGAAAGGGATTGATTTCCTTAATTGTTTATTTATTTATATGAATGATAAAAACTCTTTTTTAATGAAGAGATGAAAACAAGAGCAAACAAATTAAAATAAAAAATTCAAAGATTAAAGATAAAATTAAGAAGAAAAGAAAATTAGACTAAAAAAAATTAAAAGAAAAAAAAATATTTAGATAGAAAAGTAAATTAAAAATGAACAAGGAAAACAAGACTCAAGCTGTTAACAAGGCCAAGAACACCGCCAAGGTTGCCAAGAAGGGATCTTCCATCACCAAGCACAAGACCTACACTGGTGTTAGATTCTTCAGACCCAAAACCTTATAATTAGCTAAGGCTCCCAAGTACTCCAGAACCGTCAGAGCTCACCTTAAGGTTTCTGGTCACTTAGATAACCACTCTGTCGTCAAGACCCCCTTGACCACTGAAAAGGCCATGAAAAAGATGGAAGACGAAAACACTATGGTTTTCTACGTCCACAACAGATCTACCAAGCCTTAAATTAAGTCTGCTTTCGAAAAGCTCTACAACGTTAAGGTTAGATCCGTCAACACCCTTAATACTATCACTGGTAACAAGAAGGCCTACATCAGATTAGCTGCTGATTCTGACTCTCTTACCCTTGCCAACAAGATCGGTCTCATATGAGCAAATAAGCTTTTCAAAATTATCATACATATACTTATATAGCGGAGAATCCAGCATATTAGTTTATATATCTTAAATGTAAAGGAGATGCATATGGAGTATTTTGCTTTATCTATGTGAATTGAAAGATTGACAAAAAGAAGTAAGTTCAAAATTAGCTAAATAAATATATTACTTCTTAGTCTTCTACAATTAGTATGAAATCTACTTTTGTAAATATTTAAATAGCACATATAGCTTAAAATATTGAACATCAAGAATTAGAATTTCAATAAATAAATTAGTAATTGCATCCAATAGATTAGCAAATTTATCTCCTTGAAAAAGATATTAGTTAAGAGATTAAATGTTATATAAATATATTCACTTAAATGTAAAGTACGTGTCTTATCATATTTACTATTTAAAACATTATTTCTTCGAAATATATAATTTATTTCTTGTTCAATCTCAATCCATCTTCATTCAAACAAACTAACTAACTAACAGATAAACATCAAACCTCACAAAAATTGATTTTTTTTAGATATTTTATCAAAATTCCTATTAATATCTTAATTAATTTTGTGTGTATTCAAAGTTAGTAAAAAAATCAAATAAATATATTGATAGATAGATACATTTATTCATTTACAGCATATTTTTATTTTCTACTAAATGAATCAAGCAAAATCTACTTGATAATTACCAATTTTGGCGAAATTTTATTGAATTACAATAACTTACAGTTTTTGAATGATAAAACTTATTTTTAAACTAATAAATTTATTTTAACTCCTTCTGTCTGTCTGTCTTTCAAAATATTTTTTTATTGAAAATAAGTCCCTAACTAACTAAAGCTCTCTTACTTCAATTAAATGTTAATTTTATTAATATTAAAAAATATAATATGATCCAATCAATTCATTCAGTAATCAAATTAAAAATAAGTTTAAAATATAAAATATTATCTTGATTGCTTCAAATTTTTACAAAATGATAAGGAGTTCAATATATTTGAAGTTTAATTTAAAAAATAAAAAATATTTTAAAAATAAATTTAGACTATTTTAATTAAATTTAACTTATTTTAAAAATAAAGCAAGAGAGAGGTATACTTAAACATATTTTATGTTATTTTAAACCAAAATAATTAATAATATTTATTATATTTAGCTAAATATCATTTAATTAATTAGTTTTGAATTTAAAAATATTTTATATTTATTGAATAACTTGTTTAATTCGTCATTTATTAAATCTAAAATTTAAAAAGTAATAAGAGTCTATAAAATTTAAAATACAATGTTTAATTACTTACTACTAACTTTTCCAGTACTTTTAAGCAATTCAAAAATGTTTAAATTTAATTTTATAACAGAAAAAATAACTATTTTAAAAGTAAATTTAGATAGCATAAATTAAATTTAATAATTAGTAAATAATACAAAGATAGAGAGATATATATATATATATATATAAGTATTTTTAATGTTAATTTAAACAAAGAAAATTAGTAATTGTCAGTAGGTTTAGTAAAAAATTAATTTGGCTAATTAGTTTTGAATATGAAAATATTTTAAAGTTATTGAATAACTGGCTTGATTCATCATTTATTAATTTAAATGGATCATTATAAAATTTGATTATTTTAGATTTAATTAGCATATGATTATATGTCTATTTGTTAACCAATCATTTTATATTATATAGCTTATTATTTAGGAATTAGGTTTCAATTTTATTAAGTTTTTAAATTTTACTATTGCAGTATAATAGGTTTTTATGGGATATATTATTGCTATTTGTGATATTGTTATTATTAATTACATTTTAATTTATCTTCTTATTAAATATTCTGATATTATTTATACCCAAGATATGAAGGGTCATGATTAGTATTTTAGCTTGCATAATAATTATTACTTCCTTAGACACCTTTTAAGTGATTTAAGGATTCATAATGATGAGTATTAATATTTTATAAATTTTAATTCTTATACACTTATTCATTAAATTAAATCATACCATACTAAGGATAAGTAGAAGGGTTTATTAGCTCTTGGTTTATAACAGTTGATTGATAGTTAGTTTATTGCTGGTGATTTTACTGCTAAGGATAAAATTGCTATTGCTTATTCTCATATTGAATTTGAATAAGCTAATTATTTTCATTTAAAAGCATTTAGTTTGAATTTAATAAGTAAGATTAATTTTTCTAAATTGAAATATTCATTTTTTATTACGTAATTGTTTATTTTTAACTATTTTTTATTTAATCTTCTCCTTTATTGGACACAATATCTTCTTTTTGTTAACTTTTGTTGATTTGATTACTTTATTTTTATTTTTATATTTATTTTTTTTTTCTCCTTTAACATGTAACTGTTCTTTTCTTTTTAATAGGCATACTTGATAATTATGTAAATAGCTCTGGGATTTTTTATAATGCTTAAGGTCTTTATTCTTTGTTAATAGGTATAATTTTAAATTTTGAGTCAAATAATTCTTTAGATTGGTTGAGATCTTATTCTTCACTTTTTATTGCATTTTAATTTCTTTGAAAAGTCATCTACATTTACTATGAAGCTTTAACTTAGATATTATACTCATTTTTTACATGGTATTCTTATTCTAACTTTAGATTATTCAACTAAAGTTATTACTAGGGTTAACCAGAAAGCTATCTTTCTTCCCTTTTTATTTATAATTAGTTGGAAGTTAACTTTAGAGGATTATTTTCATCTTTTACAAATAAATCAGAGTTATTATTTAAAAAATTACTAAATTCTTATTTAATTTGAATTTAATTTTGGTTTAATTTTTATTAAATTTGTTAGTATTCTGGCAAATAATTTTAGTGATTTGATTATATTTTTATTTAGTTGGTATTATTTATTTAAATATCATATTCCAATTTTACCATATTTTATTAAATATTTACTTCTTTTCCGTTTTTATTTATTTATTAATTTTTAATTTACGGTTAATCATTTTATTTGATTTCTGACTATTAAATATCAAATCCATAATCATTATTTGAACCAATTTTGTTTTAGATATTTTCTTATTTTATTTATGTTTATTATTTTAATAAATTTTACTATATTTATGAAAACTCATTTTCTTTTTTTAATAATTTTTACTATTATAATAAATCTTAATTAAATTCTTAAAATTCATTTTATTCTTATTTTATCTTTAATTGTACGTTATATAAATTTTTTTCATCTTTTTGTAAAAAATCTAAGCTTTGTTATAATTAAAATTCTTATTTTTAACTAAATTAATCTAAAAATATTTAATTTCTTAGATTTTAAAATGCATTTTGACCTATTGTTAGGTCTTCTTTCTTTGCTTCTTATTTTTAAATAATCTAATTATTTTAAGTTTTTTACTCGTGATTTGTCAAATATTATAGCTGCTCAGATATATTCTATGATTCCAATCCCTTAATTTATTCTAATTTTTCTGTTTTAATTGAAGAAGAAATATTTTATAAAGGCTAAACTTAATTTTAGAGTTCTTATGTTGGATCAAACTCTATTTTTATCTTACTTTACTGCGAATTTTGAATTTAATTAGGATGAAAATTTAAACTATTTTGATCTTGTTTTTATTATAAGCTGTGTTAAAATTGATTATCTTATCTCATTTAGTTAAATAATTTATTGTCATTATCAATTTCCAATTTGATATTTTAGTTATAATTGAAATTTAATTATTTTTATGGTATCTATTAATCTAAGCTCTATTGATCTTATTTTATCTATATATTATATTCATTTTCATCTTATTTTACAGCATTTTTAAACTCTTATTTAACGAAATCTTATTAGTATTGCTTTTGATTATTATTTCCTGACATGCAGGTACTTTCATTTTCTAACTCAGTAGCTTCTTACTTTAAGTTTCTATTGTTAATTAAATTAATATGCAGTGGAATTTAAGTTTGTGTTTAATTACTGTAGTTGCTTGGTAAAAAGTAATTAAATTCCTCAACTTTTTAAGTATGTATAAAAGGATGATCGTAATTGTAATATTAATGCTACTGCAAATGCGAAAATTAATTCGATGTGAAATTCCCATTTATTTATTAGCTCTGTTATTGATTAGAATAATGAGGAATCTGATTTTTGTTAATGAATGCCTTCGTCTCGCTATTTTCTTCTGAATAAATTAATTTAAATTTAATTGCATCATCTTATTCTGTTTAGACATTTTAAAATAATTAAGTATTTAAGTCATGTTTTTTTTACTCATGTTTAACTTTTCTCGCCACATCAAATTTTGTAAGTTTTTTCTTTTTAATCTAATCTTCTGGAAAAGCTAAGTTCCATATTTCATAAAAAGATGTTTAAATTATATTCTACTGTCTCTAATCAACGTAATAATATATAATAAGGCCTACGAACTGTTTGCGTATTAATTTTTATTAAGTATAATTGTGAGTTAACTATGATGCATTTTCGTATTCTAGAGAAGATACTATTAATTCTTACATTCTCTTCTTAAAGATAGGTACTTAATTATACTTTTCCAGATATTAAAAATATGTTCCTATCAGAGTCATAAATTTAGTTTCTTTACCATTCACATGATCATGGATGAAGCGTTTTACTTCCTAGATACTTGAGAACTTCAACTAATTTATTAAAAGTGGAGCAGCATATTGCTCTAAAAAATAGTTTTTCACAGAATCCTAAAACCACTTATTTAAAAGGTTTCTCTAGCTTTTTTCAGTTTTTACATGGCATTTACCTATCAGAATTTTTAAATCATTATTTATTTTTTACTTTGCCATGTTAAATAACTCAGAATCAACCATTTTAACTGATTATTTTTATGTATCAATCAACCAATTAACCAATCTACCTTCTTATTATCGTTTTTTGAATGAGAAAGATTTTGTTTATAAAAATTTAATTATGCTTTTAAATAGAATATTATTCACAAAAAAATAAATTCAATAACCAAGAATTCCACAAAAATACTAGCTATTTTTTATCTAGTTTTGATATTATATGGTAATTGGCAAATTAGGCTAATATTATCATTTTATTGATATTCAAGCTAAAAATATATTATGATTTTTCTTTTCTCCATCAAATATATTCTCAAACTGTCAGAATTTTTTTTATAGTTTTTATTAAATTAAAAAAAATATTTTTTGCATTTTTTAAAAATAGTTTTCTAAATTTTCTCTTAATCTCAAGTTAAAATTTCAATAATTTTTCTTAAATAGTGTTTTAAAACACTTCTTTATTTGATAGTATTAAAAGATCTATTATCTATTGTTATCTGATGTTAAGTAAAGAAAACAAGTAAAAAAAATAATAAATAAATAAATATTAAGTATTTAATTATCTTCTTTATCTATCAGACTATAAGGATATTTATTAAATTTTAATAATTCTATCTTCTTTTGCTTTTTTTAAGTAGTATTAGAAATATAAATAAATGAATTTAGTTAGCTAAAACAACTTAGAAATTTAATAAAACATTTAATTGTAGTTCGATCCTAAGCTTTTTTCAGAAATATATCTAGAGTACTTACTTTCTACAATTTATACTTTAACTGATTGATATTGAAAAATATTCATTTACATTTTTAAAAATAAAAAAATAGAAAAGCTTCGTTTTCAATTAAAAATTCAAATAATGACACAGCAAATAACAAATAAAAATAGTAGAAATCTGTTATAGATAGCTACTTTAAGTCTATACCAACTAACTTATTCGGAATATCATTTATTTTCTTGTAAAATTTAATATTTTGCTTTTTTATTTTCATCTAATAAAATTATTAAGAGAATAATAGGATATCCAAGGGAAAGAAATGCAAGATTTAGGCTTAAAGTTAGATTTCTATGCTTATAGATAATATTTTTAGCACTTGCAGAATATTTCAGTTGACATTATGTAAATCTATTCAACAAAAAACTAAATTTGCTAATTTATTCATTCTAAAAAACATAAAAGGCCAGGTAACTTTCCAAGCTTTGGCAGTTTAAAATTACTAATAAAAACGATGAATCTTCTTTAAAAAGTGAATAATAAAATATTATGGGTTAGGTAATCTTTAATTTAAATTATTATATATTAAATACTTTTAATAAACTAGATAAGATAAAATAGTCGAACTAAATGAGTGTATAGAATTGGCATTAATGTTTTATGAGTAAAGAAATTTAAAATATTCTCTCTTTTACTTCTCTAAAATGCTTTCTATTGAAGTGTATAATGGATAACTCTACATTGACATAAGGTAAATCAATTGATAAGCATAAAATGCTTTAAATAATTTAATATAATAAAAAAAGAGAGAGTGTGTATATTAACTCTGAAAGCTTAACAAAAATATTCTAAGCTCTGTAAAAATCTTTTCCTTCATTTTATGATTTGCATATCAGAATAGGAGACAATAACTCTTTGAATTCAAATATTATATAACCTTTCTCTGAGTTTGTCATGTAGTATGCATAAAATTTATAGAGACTCAAAATTTTTATTGGAAACAGAAACTATATTGGTAGCAAGCTTTTTAGTAAATTAGGATAGGCATTTTTGCCAAAATTAACTACCTTTCAAATGGAGGTTATGAGCAATAATGATTAACTATCTACAGACTCTTAAGGATTATTCGATTTTCTCAGAAATCAATAAAACCTTTAATTCCTCAGCTTAAATTATGGTTCTAAAAACTCATTAAATGCTAAAACATTTGAAAACTTTGGAAAATCACTGCAAAATTTAAAAAAGCTGACTGATTTAGATATCAATATAGGGTAAGCTATCTCAACAATTCTAAAATGATTATTTATTATTTATTATATAAAATAGACAATGGAATAAGATTGAATCTTTGGGATGCAATAATTTTACAGAATCAATTAAAAACATGAACCTTAAAAAGATTAAGTTAATATTTGAGTAATATTAGAAAATACATTTATTTATTATTTATTTATCCTAATATTTTATTTTTGACAAAAAAAGAGGCTAAAATGGAATTACTCCTGATGGAGCTTCTAAGTTCTTTGATATTCTATCTACTTTCAATGGCCTTAATTCAATCTAAGTAGGATTTGGAGATAAAAATTGCTTGGAAGAAAAATGTATTAGAAGTTTTTCAGATTGTTTGCATCGCCAAATATATCTTTCGACTTTATCTCTAAATTTAATTCACAAAATAAATACTGACACTTCTATCTTGTTTTAGTCAATCGAAAATAAAAATGCCTTATATAATTTGCAACTTAAGATTGGGTATTTATTAATAAATTGATAATTTATTTTAAATTATTTTAAAAATCATGAAAAGTTAAGATTACAACATTAATGATAGCATGGAGTCACTTTGTTAATCGTTAATTTCCTTAACTCAGCTCAAAAACCTCAGCATTGATTTTATGTAATCAAGTTTAAAGGATGTTTTTAAAAATAAATAAAATTTATTTAAAAATAAAGAGGAACAAAAGAGATATAGCTTAATAAAATGGAACTTCTTTGTATGGCTATAAGAAAAATCCCAAGTCTCATAGGACTCTAATTTTATACTGAGTAAATAAAGATTTTTTATAAAAATTTTTAAAATGAAATTTTTCTTAAAATATTAAAAGTGATTTAGCTGACGATAAAACTTTAAGTATCTTTAGATATATTTTTGAAGGAAATATCAATTTTAAAGATATTAGAATAGGCTATAATGTTATATTTTAACATAACTTTTCTAAATTTGAATTGGAAATAAAGTAATAATTTATAAATAAACATACTATAAATCCTCATTGATTAGCACATACCCCTTTCCAAATTTTAGACTAAAAAATTAAATCAAGAAAATTTTTATTTTTTGGATTTTAATTAAATTGGGTATGTATTAATTGTGAGAATTTATAGTATTTTAAGATAAATATTTTATTAAACTTTTTAATTAGAGGTAAAAAACGTTGGGATAGAGATATTATTTAATCTATTTGCAGATAAATAAGCAAATATCAGCCAATCAAAGATTTTATCATAAAATTTGATGCTGAAAAAACTAGACATTGTTAACCTGAAGATTTGGTTACTTTTTTGAGATATGCTTGTATGTCTTTATAAAAAAACCCTAATAAAAATGGAAAAGTCTTTATTTTCTTTGAGGGATTTTTAGAAATCTATACTCAATCTATTTTGGTTGAGAGCTATAATCTTTATGAATATCAAAACTAGTTTTTACTGAAAAATAGTGAAACTGCTTAATTCTTTGAAAATGAAAATAAGCTCATCCATATCAACTATATGTAATTTTTTATCACATACTTTATAAATAAGAAGAAAAATTTAATAAAAAATAGGCCTAAAAGCACTTAAAGTCTTTCAATTTTATAATTAGAAGACGTTATTTCTTTAGTCTCAGGATTAGGATATAATTGTATTAACTTAAAATCTAGTTTTGGTCCCAAAAAATAAGCTGCAAATAATTAACAACAAGGTTTAATGTAAATGCTTGGCTTATAATAGTAATAATAGCAATAATAAATGGGTGGGGAAGAAGAAGAAGATTAAGTTGGAGAATAAAATGATGATGATGAAGAAGAAGAAGGCCAAAATCAGTAGCAATAAGGCTTAGGAGGAAACAATTAGAATTAAAATAATTTCAGTAGAAATCAGTTTAGTATTATACTTTCTTCAACTATCTCCTCAATAAAGTCTTCTAAATTAAAAAAATTAACTGTCGAAGCAATGAATCATTTTTATATGAGAGTTAGTGAGTCTAAATTTGACTTCTATCTATTTGAGAGGTAAGTATTTAGCTTTCTGTTTATTTTTAAAATGAAAAATATAACTTTATTTAATTTAAAAAAAGAGAAAGTTTACCTTAACACTCACTACAGCAACTCAATATAAATTTAATATAAAAAACCACTCACCTCAAAGAAATATAATTAGATCTTAGGTTATTAAATAAATTATTTTTTTTTTAAATTTAAATATTTCTTTGAAAAATAAAAGGCATTTAAACAATTAAGGAATTAACTCTCTTAGACATCTAATCGATAATCAATAAGGATTGGTTAAACTATATTTAGGAGGACAGTAAATATTTAAAAATCTGAAATATTATGAAAAATATAGAAATTAAAATTGAGAAATTCATTCATTTATTAAATAATTAATTTTAAAATAGAATTAAATTGTTGAAGGAAAATATCAGAGACATGAGCCTATTCCATTTCTAGTTAAGAAGTTTATAGTCTTTGGTTTCTCTAAACTTAGATCGAATGTAATATATAATTTTTAATACTAAAAATCAAAATATAATTTTATTTTAAAGTTAATATTTAGGGCTTAACTAGGAAGAAATACCTGCATTAAATGAACATTAATAGCAACAATTTCGTTTATTCATGCAGTAAAATCACAATGATTTAATTGCCAGATTAGAATAAATCCAAAATCCTACTTCATAATAAGAAGAGTAGGAATTGTAGGGTATTTAAGATTAGATCATTTAACTTAGAAATAAAAAAATGTAAGAATATTTTACTTAGTCTGTTGAAGAATTCAAATAAATAATAGATAATACTAAAAGATAAGTTATCTAGAGAAAAGCCTTATGTGTTATTATGAAATTTTCAAAACTAAAGATTAATAGGAAACTCAAAGGAGACATAATTATAGATATAGGCAGAAGCTTATTAATTTGAATAAAATAAAATTAAATATTTATTTTAATTTATAAAATAATTTGAAATTTTCTATTATTTTTTATTTAAATTACTTAGTGAGTTTTATCAAAAATTCATATTCTGTAAAATAAAACTACTTTTAAAAATATCAATATCAAAACACACTTATTTTTAATTCATGAAACAGCTAATCAAATTGCAAATGTGTTACAATAAGACCGCTTTGTTCATTTTATTAGCATTTATGAGTTTTATTTATGCAAAAAAAGCATAAGAATAGGTAAATTGTAGAGATCAGATATATGAATCTGACTGTGCAAGATATAGATAATGCAAGTATTACAATGTAGATAATAAAGATAATGGCTATTGTGTAGATTTAAAAGTTAGTGAATGCTACTAAATTCAAGATATTTTAGATTGTAGCTAAGTAGGTACTTGCTTTTGGAATTACAAATCTGGTTTATGTTAAAATTTGTTGCATTCTCAAGGTTGCAATGACTTTGATTAGAACATTTAAATGTGTAATTCGTTTAACTCCTTATGTAGGTATGAAGGTTAATAATGCTTAACTATGCAACAATATGAAGACAAGCAAAAAGAGAGAAAAAAAAAAATTTAAGAAATTCGAGAAGGTAGAGCTTCAAACAAAAGCTTTATTTTAAATAAAAATAACATAATTTTGTGCATATATTTTTTCATCATTTATACTCTATGATAACAATAATTAATTTAGCATACTAGAATTTAATTTAAATAAATGATTTTTTATACATGTAGCATCTTTTCATTCAATTCTGCCAAAGTTTTCTAAAAAATTAAATTATTTTTAATTGTTTTATTATTATTTTTACTATAAATTAAAATTAAAAATTATTTCGATTTGATGAAAAATTCTAAACTTCATTGATTAAAATCAGCCAACATTATATAAAATATCACTAAGATAAATTAAGGGCTTATAATTAATGGTTTATGCTTATTTAAAAAATATATAATCATTTTTGATTGAATAAAATCAAAAGAAAATCTTAAATTATTTTAAATTTAAATGATTGAAATTTATTTCTTGTTGCTTAGTTTTGATATAATATATTTGAATGTATGAATAAACACAAAGATTGTTAATTGCGAGAGCAAATATTGAGATGGTTTTAATTGATTGATTGGTAAATGCAATATAAGTCAGAATTAAAAAGCTCATTGTTTAACATACATTGACGTATCTCATGAACAAAAAAATCATCATTAATATGCATATTTTTTACCAATCATATTTAGATTTAAACATAAATATGATAAGAAGTTTTTCTATTTTTTAAAAATTAGTCAATCTTTTTTGAGTGCTCCAAACAAACATATGAATGAATGAAGCACTACAAAATTATTAACTATTTATCTTTTAATTGTTTTTGTTTTTAATTTAATAGCTATTAATATATTTTTAAGAATTATCAAAATGAAGAAATGTTTGATGTATATAAATCTTTGTAGATTGATAATTAAGATATATTTGAGCTTAGTAGTTTTAGATTATTCTTTGAAGCAAAGATATGTTTATTTATATGTTTAAAATAGCGGGTAAAAAAGAAAGAAAATAATAAATCATATATATGAAAGATTTAATAATTTATATATTTGAGATTGAAAAAATATATAATATTAAACAAGAAATTAAATATATATTTTTATATGATTTTTTTTTTTAATTTTTGAAAATCTTTTTCAAATAATAAAATCTGCAAAAATTTAATTAAATTTTTTATATATTATTAGATAAACAATTTGCTTGTTCTTTTAACAAATTCACTAAATTTTAAAAATAATCAATAAACAAATAAAATAATAATAAATTATCCTTCAAATCTATCTAAATAAATTAAAAAAACAAAAAATTAAATAAATTAACAAAAACATAAACAAAAAACACATACAAAAATCAATAAATTTATTAAGATATGTCTTTAGCTTTTGACGAATACGGACGCCCCTTCATCATTATCAGAGAATAAGACTAAAAGAAACGTCTTAAAGGTATCGATGCATACAAAGTAAAAATTATTTACATTCTTTTGCATAGTTGGAAAAGCTTAGCAGCGTCTGTCCATTTTGCAGAAAATTATTTCATAAATGCAATTAGTAGAATGTATGTATTTATTTACACACAAACTATTGACTCAATATGAATTGCTTTTTCTCAACCATAAAAATTTAACTCATAAACAATAAACTATTATGATAGATTACTGATAAATAGAATTTAATAAATATGGCTCAATAATTTACCTTGATTTCAATAAAAAGTGAATTAGTAGAATCGCACAAGCAACATTTTTAGATAATAGAATTTAATCAAATTAGAGTTTCAAATGCATTAAAAATTTAACTCTTCTCATAGCAAATAAACATTTATGTCAAAAAAAATGAGATTTTTATTTTGAAAAGCTTTTCTAATTAATTTATTCTTATGAAATTTAAAATTTTTTAAACTCAATCTTTATTTAACTTTATAGGCTAACATCTAAGCTGCCAAGACTATTGCTAGCACTTTAAGATCATCCTTGGGTCCTAAGGGTATGGATAAGATGATGATCTCTCCTGATGGAGATGTCAGTGTTACCAATGATGGTGCTACCATTGTTGAAAAGATGGACATTTAACATCCTGTTGCAAAATTGATGGTTGAACTCAGTCAATCTTAAGATAATGAAATTGGTGATGGTACCACTGGTGTTGTTGTTTTAGCTGGTGCATTGTTGGAACAAGCCAACATCCTCATCGATAAGGGTCTTCACCCTCTTAAGATTGCTGACGGTTTCGACAAGGCTTGTGAAATCGCTTGCGAAAGACTTGAATAAATTGCTGAAGACATTGACATCAACGAAAATACCCACGAAAGGTAAATATTAAAGAATATTCAGTCATTTGTTAGGAATAAAAAAGATATAATAACAATTTAAATAAATCATATTTAAAGTATTTATCAACTTACAAGTAAATTGAAAAATAAATTTATTCAAAAAATAGATTAGTCGAAGCTGCCATGACTGCTTTGAGCTCTAAGGTCGTTAGTAAAAATAAAAGAAAGATGGCTTAAATCTCCGTTGATGCCGTCCTTTCCGTTGCTGATCTTGAAAGAAGAGATGTCAACTTTGACTTGATTAAGCTCCAAGAAAAGACTGGAGGGTAATTAATTATTTATATACCATAAACTTACTAAACTAAATATCACATATACAAATAGTTCCTTAGAAGATACTAGACTCATCCAAGGTATTTTAGTTGAAAAGGATATGTCTCATCCTTAAATGCCCAAGGAAATTTAGGATGCTAAGATTGCCATCTTAACCTGCCCCTTCGAACCCCCTAAACCCAAAACCAAGCATAACATTAACATTACTAACGCTGAAGATTACAAGAAATTATACGCCTAAGAATAATAATATTTCAAGGATATGGTTGCTGACTGCAAAAAGTCTGGTGCCAACCTTATTATGTGCCAATGGGTAATTAATTAAACATATTTTTATTGCAAGAAATTAATTCTTACTAAATCAATAAATAAATAGGGTTTCGATGATGAAGCTAATCATTTATTATTATAAGCTGATTTACCCGCTGTTAGATGGGTTAGCGGTACTGATATTGAATTGATTGCTGTCGCCACTGGTGGTAGAATCGTACCAAGATTCGAAGAGCTCTCTGCTGATAAGTTAGGTGAAGCTAAGGTCGTTAGAGAAATTTAATTCGGTACTTCCAATGAAAGAATGCTCGTTATTGAAGAATGCAAGCAATCTAAGGCTGGTAAGGATATATTTAGTAAAAGACAGTTTAATAATTAAATTTTATAATTATAGTTACTATTTTGATTAGAGGTGGTTCTAACATGATTGTCTCTGAAGCCAAAAGAAGTATTCACGATGCTAACTGTGTTGTTAGAAACTTAATCAAGTGCCCTAAGGTCGTTTATGGTGGTGGTTCTGCTGAAATTGCTTGTGCTTTAACTGTTAACTAAGAAGCTGATAAGATTTCATCAGTTGAATAATACGCTGTTAGAGCTTTCGCTGATGCTTTGGAAGATATTCCCAACGCTTTAGCTGATAACTCTGGTTTAAATCCTATTGAAGCTGTTGCTAATGCTAAGGCCTTATAGGTTAGTCAAAACAATCCTAGAATTGGTGTTGACTGCTTACTTGAAGTAATAATTTCATATTTTGACTATTTAAAGTCATAACATTTTTTTAATTAATTAATTTTTAGGGTACATCTGATATGAAAGAATAGAAGGTATATGAAACTTACTTATCCAAGAGATAATAATTCTAATTAGCTACTTAAGTTGTTAAGATGATCTTAAAGATTGATGATGTTATTTCTCCTGATCACTAATGAAAAACATTTAATGATTGATAGAAATAAAAATTTTTCAACTTTAAAATTATAGTAATAATTGTAATGAATTTAACCTAAATAGATTACTGAATTAGTTGGTGTCTACAAACTTAAAATATATTTACAATCTTCCTAATTTGCATTAAAATATATTAAATGATTATTTCATTAATATTAATTGAATTATCTGTTAAGCTTCATAAATTTGTAATCTTCGTATATGCATGCATCATTTCAGATATTCAATTTTATTACCCATTTTACTAATTCAATTTATTTTTAATTAATTTTACATAATTTGCTTCATGTTTCTAAATTTTATTAAATCTTAAAATGTTTAAAAAGTTAATAATATAGGAAATTTATTTGTTTAAAAATAAATATCATATTAAATTTAAATATTAAAATATCAGAAACTATTTGATTAATAAATATAGTTACAATTAAAAAAAAATGTAACTTAAGTGTAAAATCTATTAATTTTATTTAAAAACTTTTAATTCAATAAAAAAGTAATTTGTATTTTAAATTATTTAAATATTATTAATTAATTATTTTATAAATATTTCAATTATATTAAATAAAATTTGCTTAATTATCATGGTAAGATACATATATATTTTGCATATTCTGACTTTAATAATTTATTGTTGATTTCAAAATTTCACACAAAGTAAACAATCTAAAAATCAAATTTATGAAAAAAAATATCATAAAAATAAAAAAATTTTCAAGATTTATTTGAAGAAAAAATATTTTATATTAATATAAATCCAAATTATGATAAATTTAATGAACTGATTTGAATTTTCACGAATACTAAATTGATTAAATTTTCATCATAAATTATTATGAAATGGGTAGCTTAAAATAAACTCAATCACTGATTTATTCAGAATTCTTTTTTTATTCTTCAGACTCATTTAATAAATTTGATATAATTTTTGGTTTGATCCTTCATGCCTAGGAACAGATTTTAGGGATTTGAATAAACTATGCATCAAATTTTTTAGTGATTTGATTTAATTTCGGTGTTTTCTTCTATAAACTCCTTCTTAATTATCTGCTAAATTATGAGTTAAGTGATATGATTAATTTCTTTCATATTATATAAAAATGGTCTTTATTCCCATTTTGAAATTTATATATAAATTAATTTTTTATTCTATTTAGATATTATCTTAACTTGTGTGCTTTATTTATTTTTATGATAAAATATTTTAGAAAAAGCAAATTATTTATATCTATATTAAAAAAAATCTAAAGAAAAATACTGTAAATTTACAATACTTGATGCTATGGTAATTAGTATAGAAGGAATAGAATTTGAATACATCTTCTAATGAAAAGGTATTTTTAAACAAAAAAAAAAAACTTATAGTATTACAGAAAATAAAAATTAGTACTGTATTAAACCACATTAAAAACCAGTTTAGATTTCCATATTCTTGTTATAGATATTCCTGGTTTTTTTGAAAAAAGAAGTATGATAAGAGATTAGCAAATTACTGAAGATATTTCTTGTTATTTTAAAATAAATGTTATTAAATTAATTATTTCTTCCTTTCCATATCTTCAGATCTAAGACAAAAGTGATCTCAGAAAAATGTTTTTAAAAAGATTTAAGAAATAATTGGAAAAAATTTTGAGGAAATATTTCAAATTTTTTCACATTTTGTGATTTAGGTATGAAAAAAGATAAAAGATTAATATAGCAATCATTTATTAAGTAATATGTTGAGGTTATTTTTCTAGTAAAAAAATATTAATTCATAATTAAATTGTTATGAAAGTTATAAAAAATTTTGAAAATATATAATTGTGAAAAGATAAGTAAATTCCTATAAAAATATTTTTCTGTTAATATTGTTTACAGATTTTTAACTAGTTGATTTGGGATAAAAGGTTTAAATATAAGACTAATATTTTAAATTGTCACAGGCTACAATAATTTTTATTTAACATTAAATCAGAAGATATTAAGATTTTATTTTAGATCTTAGTGAATTTGCCAAATAGTAACAAAGGATAAAATGCCATAAAAATGTTAATTAATTATATTGTTCAAATTCTGTGAATATTATTTATCTAATTATCAATTAAATAAAAATTAAATAATTTGTTTTTAGGTCGATTAAGAAGCTAATATTTTTTTTATAAATTAATTAATTAACAGAATGTATTTCGAGTATAAAAAGGTATTTTCTGTATCAATCAAAATAAATAAAATTAGAATAATAAATTCAAAATCCTTAGTTTTTTTTCAATACAAATTTAATTAGAATTATAAAAATTTGTTGACTTCCTAACACTAAGATTCAATAAATATTTAATAATTATATTTTAATGAGGTTTATTTTTCCAAAGAGTTAGTTATTTGTCTTTTATTTTACTAATTTACTGTATAATTGCTATCTGTTAATGTAATATATGTTGTGGATTACAAAATATCAAAATCCCCAACTGTAAAATTTAAAAATAAGAAATAATGTATAATTTATTTCAACCTCTCTTATTTAAATTATTTACATTAATAAGGAAGCTTGAATTCAATTGATTAAATAAATTCAAAAATTCCTAATAATTTCTCAAACGACATATATTTTAGTCTATTATCAACCTTGCTACAATACATTTATAGAAGTAATCTCAAAATTGAATCAATCTAAGTAAGATAAAATAAATTTTAATCAATATTATTTTATTTACAATATTATCTATCAATTAGTATATTGAGCTTTTCAGTTTTTTATTTTAATAACCTTCTTTTCATTCAAGTTTTGAATTTCCTTCAGTAAATATATATACGATAGTTGATCAATTGTTAAGGTCAGTTTTTGTTTTAAAAAATTTGAAATGTATTTGAAATTTAGGGGGCTTCATTATAAGAGGGTTCATTTTTTAGTATTAATTAAAAATAATAATTACATTATTTGACTTTTTATAAAATATTAAATGATATGCTCAAAAATATTTTTTCAAAAAAACAATTTTGATAGATAAAAAAGGATGAATGAGTTATTTTAATTGCAATTAAATATTGAAAAGCCATTTAAAAAATTATTAAATGATACTTTTTTACTATTTATAAAATTAAAAAAGTAAATAAATAAATCAATCAATCAAAATTCAATCTATTAAATCATTTAGCATATTTTTCTTGTAAAAAAAAATAAAATATCCTAATTATTATGGCTATTACATAAACATTCTTTGAAAATATATGATTTTTTTAATCACTTTATTTTATAATATTTTCCCTTTAAATCTATTTTTAAATTACAATCAGTTGTTAAGAATAAAAGGTTTAAAAGTAAAATAATAATGAATTAATATTTTATTTTTAGTAAATTTTCCTTGTAAATATGTTATTTAAAGAACAATAAATAAAAAATTCTTAAGATTTTATTTTAAATTTTAATGAATTAATTAGAAACTAATAACTAACAAAATCTAAAAATCATAAATATGGCGTTTAATTACATTTTACATAAACGAAGAATATAAATAAATTATTTATTTATTATGATATAAAAATTAAATGTTTGTTCTTTGTTCGACTATGAAGATGATTTTTTATTTTTATATTTGCCAAGACTAGATTCAAGTCTAAATACATTTTTGCTGGTAACCAAATTATTGTTAGATTAAAAAATTCGAAATTCATCCTTAAATTGTCTCATTATACATTCATTTTTCTTGGTTTTTTCGATTAATATTAGCATAGAATTATAGAAATCTCTTGATTTCTCTAAACTCAAATTATCTTTCTAATTAACTTTATTTATGTTTAATACACTAAAAATCCTTTTTTTCCCCAAAATTGATGCGTATTTGTTATCTCTTAATTTATTATATGTTATAGGTTATAAAATAACAAAATCCATATTGTAATATTTAAAAATGAGAAATAATAAATAATCAGTTTCTGCTTCTCTCTCTTATATTAAAAATTAGAGTTTGATATATATTAATGTGAATGTCTTTTGATAACAACTAAGAGATTATTACCTTAATCAAATGAATTCAGGTTTCCTTTTTAATTGCCAAATTACATTGAGAGAAATAATCTGTGAATTTAATCAATCTATCTTTCTATGTAAGGTTGCAAATTAAAAAAGTTTTTTTAATCAATATTAATTTCTTTTACATTATTTTCATCAATTAGCAGGTTTTTTAAATTTTTCGGTTTGTTAGTAAAGAGATTATTTTAACAATTTTTTTTGTTTTAATTATCATTGAAATTTTGATTTTCCCTCAGTAAATTAATATATTCTGAATTTTAACTAAGTTTTTGAAGAGCCTTTTCTTAATTTATCAGCGAAAAGTTATTATTTAGTATTATGAAAATACAATAGCTACAACATAATTTATTTTTAATTCTATAAATTATTAAACAGAGTAAATATATTGATATTATAATACATGTAAATGCCATAATTATAAAGCGGAATATTATTAAATAAAACTTCATTGGCTATTACATATATTTAAGATATTAATTAGATCATACTGTTTTTATAAAAAATAGATAATCAGTTTTTGATATTTTTTTATTTTAAAATCACACCAATCAACCCTAGTTTGATTCTAATACTTAATTTTCAGTTCATAAAAATTAATTATCACAAATAAACCCATTTATAAACAATTAATAACAAAATTAAAATACAATAAAATAAAATGTTGATAATTTTAAATTTATGTCTCTTTTTAGGGATTTTGGATCTAGCCAAAACTCTTGACTATATCAAAATGCCTTAAGTAGAAATCAATCAACTTAATTTACTCACAGATTAAGTTTTATCATTAGATAATCCTAGTTATGCTTAGTCACATAGTTTCACTTTTAATTTTGGAGTAGAATTTACAAAAGTGCCTTAAATGTTATTTAGCGTAACTCATGCAGATTTGAAATTAAATCCTGTAGCATCTGTCAGCTTTTTAGTAAATTTAGATTCAATCAGCACAACTTAATTTAGCCTTACTGTTTCAAAGGTAATGGATGAAGTATTAAAAGGACTTCATGTATAGTATTTAGCTATTAACAATTAAAATGCTTATGTAATAAATGTTAAATTTGATTTTTACTCATTACAATAAAGGGAAGTTAATGGTTGGATTAAAGCATAATAAACATATAATTATTAAAGAAGTAATTTTGATTAAAGTCAATGGGAAGTAAGTATCACTGTCTTTATCAGAGGAGTAGAAAAAGTAATGGAACCTAAATCACCAGCATCAACTTAGTTTTTTATTGGAAATTATCAAGTAGTTTAATCTACGAATAGCTTTAATATCATTTTTAATTCACCTGACACATAAAATGCAAGGGACTAAAATTTAATTTATTTTAATTATCTTGAATTCTATAAGAGAAAAAATAATAACTATTTCAACATACAAACATAAGTAGACGACTCTGCCAATCCTACTAATTCAACTAATCCATTATTAAACAATGCTACTCCAGGTAATAGGACTAGTATAATGCCTATGTACAATGTTAATGTTAATAACGTCAAGGCTATTATGTATGGATTATCTGGTTTTAATGTTAGATATGATTATTTTTTTAGACTCGAATTGACAGGGCCATAACTAAAATATGATCCTGTATAATAATAATATTAATTTTACTATTAATACAATACCTGGTTGGACACTAAAGTGCTTTTTGTTCAAAGCTAATTTTTGGTATTATCATAAATAAACTGCAATTAAAATAATACTCTCTTTTTAGATGATTTGCAATCTTGTGTTTCTAAATGCGCTCTAGGTTATTATTAAGCAACCACAATCGATCCTGTATTAGGAACTATTAACTATTGTGGAAAATGTGATCCTTCGTGCATATACTGCACTGGTAGAAGTATTAGTAATTGTTTGCGTTGTCCTTAAGGCTAATATTTTTATAATGCAATATGCCATGATAATTGTCCAAATGGATATTTAAAAAATATCTAAACATAAAATTGTGATACTTGCACAGACTATGACAACCCAGACTGCTTTTCGTGTAATAAAAATTGTTTCTAATGTGACTTATCTGCCATAAATGTTTGCACAAGCTGTGATACTTAAACAAAATATTTGGATTCAGATAATACCTGTAAATGTTTGAATTAAAAAGATTAAAGAAATAATTTTTTTTAATGCAGCTACAATGATAATGCTGTAACAAATTATTTCCTAAGTACAACTCCGAGATAGTTAGTAATTGATTTTGGTTTTCCTATTTATAGCTTATCAAAAAACTCTAACACTCCTTAATCTCTATGCCAGTATATATTTACCTCTGCAGCGATTAACGTAATGGGACCTAATCCTGACTGTTCTATTCAATAAAATTACATTGTTGTAAATTTAGGTAAATAAATTAAATACATTTCTAAAATTATTAAAAATTATTAGCATAAAAATTGAATAATTTAAAATATTATATTAATTTAATAGATGATTCATCTACTCTTACAGGAGCATAAATTTAATTTTAGTAGCCAACATTGTAGTTTGTGAATGCTACATCTCCAATTTCTTAATATTACATTTTCAAATCGACTTAAAACTTTTGTCTAAACAGTACAGTTAATTTCTTATACAATCCAATACAAAGTACTTGTGACCCTCTCACAATTCAGTTTAAAAATATTACAGGAGATGAAGGAAGATAGCTTGTAAGCTTTAATTGGACATTAATTTAGGTTACTGGTACTATAAGTGATTAAGAGTTATAAGGAATTAATTAAGTTTTATAATAAGCTAACACTAACAACAGCACTTCTTTAGTAATAAGTCCAAATCTCCTACCACCTAATATAAATATAAAATTATAATTTAACTTTTAATTAAGGTAGAATTGTTAAAAATAAACATTAATAGAAATTTTTTATTAGCAAAAAAAATTCATCATAATAAACTACTTATAGTCAATATATCCTCCAATTTACAGGTAATTTCTTTTTATTAATTATTTAAATTACTTTCTAAACTATTTTTATTCTTCGAAAAGATATATGAGTTTGAGTTTCTTCTTTGAATTTTACATTCAAAAATGTGAATATGGAATTACATATTATTTACGAGAGCCATTCTAATTATAAATTATTTCTCCTACCTATACAGATATTTAATAATCTATTGCTAACTATAATCAGACTAATTTTGAAGTCGATATCCATGCTTACTCTTTGCCATCTAATTAAACTTTTACTTTTTATGTAATTTTTTATTTTTTATTATACTTTAAATTATGCTTTTTGTTTATTCTAAAATTTTTAAGAAAAAATTTAAATTTTACTAAAAATGACAAAAATTATTAAAATATGAAAACAAACATTATTTAAAATATTTCTAATTTGTTTATATTTATTTTAAAGTTTCCTTAAAAGCATATTTCCTTTATTGCTTTTTTATTTTTTATGTTTTTAATTTTATTTTATTTAATAGTTTTAATTGAACTTGATATCAGATAGTAAAATATAAAATACACAGATTGTGTCAGTAGATGTGTTAATTACTTAATTATTTGTTATGCTTTAAGGAGGTCGTAATCAAATTATAAGCTATCAAAAATTGTATTCTTTGAATTCTATATATAGAGATTATGAAATCCAAGATAGTAATGCTGATTAGATGATTAATTTTAACTGGATTTGTCAAAACCTCTTAACTCCAGATAAGAAATGTTATGATTATAATAATTAATTAATTACTTTCCAACAAGGGAAAAGTAGTATCAGTATTCCAAAAAGAACATTTAAGCCTTACACAATTATTTAATTTACTCTTTAAATTTCTAAGGACTCAAGAAATTCAACTGAATATGCAATTTGTTATTTTTCAGAATTTGATATACCACCACTATTAGTAAGAACTCCAATTTATTAGATGAACTAATAATTTAATCTAAATGAAGATTTGTTTTTCACTTTAGTTTACGATAGTAGTGTTTCTACAAATATACTATCATATGCAGGAGCTATTCTTTATAATAATACAGTAGTTGCTGCTATAAAATTTGATTACTACCAAGTCAAATTTAGAATATGGAATTACTTTTAAGATATTGATCCCTCTTTAAATTCTATTTAAATACGTTTTTCAGTTTACAATCCTTCTTATGTAATGCCCAGTATTTCAACTATAGACCTATTAATAAACATACCTCCTAAAAATTGTGTGTTAACTATTAATCCTCAATATGGCATTGCTCTCTAAACTAAATTTTTGATTAAATTTTCTAACTGCTAAGATACAGATCTCCCTTTAACATTTCAATATTTTTATTATAATTCAGTAGATGATTATAACTAAGAAATTATCTCTCCTTGGAATATAGTCCGAAGATAACTTAGTGATTAAGTTGTTAGTTAACAATTCCAAACTATTTTACCTCAAGGTAATTTATTGATTTTGAGTTAGGTGATGGATTCTAGACTAGGTGTTTCTAATAGTACATTAAGCATTAATGTTTACTCTTAGAATTTAACAGATTCAAACTATTATTAATAAGTTAACCAGTTAATTTAATAAAATTTGCAAAATTATTTAACAACAACTAACTTAGTATCAAACTTGTGTGTAATTGGAGAAGATGTGACAAAGAACACTTAATATTAAAATTCTCAATAAATTAATGATTTAAAATAAAATCTAATTACTAACTTATAATTATTTTCTTAGCAAATACCAAAATCATCATTAATTGCTACCTACGCTAATAAAGTAATTGCATAATTGTAGTATTCTATTTTTCAATAACCAGATTTATAAAAAAGTTCTATATACAGTTATATCTAATCGACTATACAAAAAACACAAGCAAACAAACAAAGCAATACTATTAATAAATTGTAATAGAATAATGACTTATACACACAGAATTTAATTGACTCTTATAGAATATTAAATTCTACAGTAACTCTAAATACAAATAATAAGTTTGATGATTTGATGTAATACAATAATATATCAAATGAAATTGCTAGCTACATATCTAATAACATGATTCCAAATGAAGGAAACCTTGAAATTTAAGGTAATTTATCTAATATTTTATCTGATTCAATCACTGAAAAAAATTTAAAATATTACGTTTTGCCTAACGATGACTCACAATTTTCCTTAAATTCTACAAATACATATGTAATAGCAAGAAATAATTATTAATAAAATATTTATGAGAGCACATCTAGCTTCTAAGCATATGTGAATATTTTGAATAAATAGAATGGTAATAAAGGTTATTCTAAGAATAAATTGATAGTAACATCTATAAACAATACTTAGGCAAATGGACCAATTTTAAATTCTACAATTATATACTAATTTAAAAATGTAAATGTAAGTAATAATAGCAATATGACATGCTTATAATAAGCTGATACAATCTGGACTAACTTAAACTGTGGTGTTTTGAATTAAGATAATAAGGACTATGCTTGTTTTTGCAAAAAATAATCACCAACAACAATAATTGATAATATTGAGGCTGTATTTACGTAAAATGAAAATCTAAAAACTGCTTTTGGAGAATAAGGTGCATAAAATATTGCAAGTTTTAGTGATTTTTATAAGTATGTATGTGTTTGGGCTTTATTTGCATTTACAATAGGCTAAATAGTATTATTCTTAGTTGGAAGATAGTTAGACTTAAAAACTATTTCAAAAATGGATTTAAAAGATAGTCAAAATAAGCTAAACAATGTATTGGAACAAAAAAATTAACAATAAGAATAATTTCAAGAGAAAATATAAAATCTCGAAAAGTAAATAAAATAAGATCCCTAATTTCATTAACGTAAAGAGACAAAAAGCAAAAAAATATAAATTTAAAAAATACATCCCTAGAGTAACTCAAATAACTTGAAAATTATAAAATAGGTATCTCCTTTCTAAGTTTCTGATTTACAATTAATGAATGACAAAGATGAAGATTTTAACTTGTAATAACCACATAACCAAGAATAATTAACCTCATAAAGAAAATCATCTACTAAATAATAGACAGACAACTAAATCACTCGCTCTGATTTAAAATAAATGAATAATTCAGATATTTTAAAAGAGTTATTTTAAGAAAATATATCTCCATATCAAGTATAATACACTTAAAAAAGCAATGATTAAGAAAATGACTTTAAAACAGAAACTTAAGAGTTAGTGATAGAAAGCTTATAGAATATAAAATAATAAACTAATAATAAAATTCTCAATTTCTACAAAAGTAACAAGTTACTTTAATTTGAAAAAAAATAACAAATTTAATAAAAATAGCAACAATAATCACATTCTCTATCTTTTAAATCTGAAAAAAGTAAATCTGACTTCTCAAATAAATAAGAAACTGCATGTTAAATAGCTGAACCTTCTTAGCTAGATCTAAATATAAGTGAAAGCGAATAGACTTATCTATAATTAAATTTTGTGAGAAAAGTAATAATATTTCATCAATTAATAGGTATCTTTTATACTTATGACTCTATCATATCTAGATCTGTAAGATTCAGTCTATTCTATTTAAAAATAGTTCATTAAATAGCAATTTCTCTTGTCTTTTGTTAATTTAGTTTAATTGATTAGAAAATAGTAATAGCAATAGTCAATGCTGTACTTATTGAAATATTCTCGTTTGTTATACAGTTCAGCTACTAAATGAGTAAAATCGGAAAATACTTTTCTACAATTTTTTCCATTCTGGTTTTGCTATTATATTTTTATGTCATATTAGCAATATCAAGTGGTTAGACTGCTGAAGATTCAAATATATCCTTTTTGTTATTTTTAATGACTTTAGGCCTAAACTTGACTTTAGTTTAAGTGAGTTTATCACTACTTTTGATTTATACCTCATTTAAATATATAAATAATTAAAAAAATATAATAATTATTAAAATATTTAATCTTTTTTCTATTGAATAAATTATAAAAAATATAGATTTTTGAATTGTAATTCATCTTAATTATTAAAAATGTATCCCGATGTCAATCTTTGGAATTTTTTATTTAATTTTATTTTAATATTTATGTATTTTTAAAATAAATTAAAGTTAATAATTTATAAATTCACTATCGTTTCTTTAGTAAGAAATCCATTTTAACTATTAATAGATAAAAACATAATTATTATTTAAGTAAAAAATAGGAGAAGTATCACTTACTTATATATTTTATTCTTTTTTATTTACTTTATTTGCTTATTTAAAAGAATATAATCAGAATAATGTGGTCTAAAACCACTTTTTTAAAGATTAATTTTTATAATTTTTTTACAAGCAAGAAAATCATTCTTGATACTTTTTTCACCCTCCAAAATCATTTTATAAAACTTTTTTAAATCATTTTTTAATAAAAATAAGATTTAGGGGGCTTCTTTTTGAAAGTGCTTAATTTTTTAGTAGGGCTTAATAAAGAATACTTACTTGACTTTTTTTAAAATATTAAAAGATCTGCTCAAAATTACTTTTTCATAAACAGCCTTGATAGATAAAAAAGGATGGATGGATGGATGAATGAATGAGTTATTTTAATTACAATAAAATATTAAAAAGCCAAAAAATTAATTATTACATAATACTTTTTTTCAATTTTAAAATTAAAAAAGTAAATGAATAAATAAATAAATCAAACTATCAATCTATTAAATAATTTAATATATTTTTCTTGTAAAAAATTCCAAATTATTATGGCTATTACATAAAAATTCTTTGAAAAAATATTGTTTTTTATGAATAAATTTGTTTTAAAATGCATTTCCTGTAAATCTATTTACAAATTACAATCAGTTGTTTAGTATAAAAGATTTAAAAGTAAAATAATAATGAATTAATATTTCATTTTTAGTAAATTTTCCTTGTAAATTTACTATTTATTAAACATTAAAACATAAGTTCTTAAGATTTTATTTAAAATTTTTGTAAATTAATTAGAAATTAATTAATAAAAACAAAAGCTAAAAATCATAAATATGGAATTTAATTAGATATTATATAAACTCCAAGAATATAAATAAACTATTTATTTATTAATTAAAATGTAAAAAAAAAAATTTGTTATTTGTTAGACAATGAAGCTGATTGTTTATTTTTTTTATTTGCCAAAAGACTAGAGATTTCAAGTTCTAAATAATTTTTTTGTTTGTAACCAAATAATTGTTAGATTATAATATTCGAAATTCATCCTTAAATTGTCTCATTATATATTCATTTGTCTTGATTTTTTCTATTATTTATTAGCTTAGAATTATAGAAATCAATAGATTTCTCAAAAAAAACTCGCGCTATATTTCATATTAACTTTTATTTAGGTTTAATAGCCTAAAAATCCTTTTTTTCTAAACTGTTGCGTATTTGTAATCTCTTAATGTAAAATATGCTATAGGTTATAAAATATCAAAATTCAAATTGATAAATCTAAAAATGAGAAATAATAAATAATTTGTTTCGAATTATATCTTAAGTGAAAAATTATAGTTTGATGATATATTTGTATTTGAAAGCAGAAAAGGATTATTTCCTTAATCAAATGAATTCAGATTTCCTTTTAAATTGCCAAGTTACATTGAGAGGAATAATCTGCGAATTGAATCAATCTATCTATGTTAGGTTGCAAATAAAAAAACTTTTTTAATCAATATTAATTTCTTTTACATTTTTTTCAATCAATTAGGTTTTTTAAAACTTTACGGTTTTTTAGTAAAGAGATTATTTTAACAACTTTTTTTGTTTTAATTATCATTGAAATTTTGATTTTTCCTCAGTAAATAAATATATTATGAATTTTAACTAAGTTTTTTATTTCACTTTTCTTAATTTATCGACCAATAGTTATCATTTATTATTATGAAAATACAATAGCTACAACATAATTTATATATAATTCTATAAATCATTAAACAAAGTAAATATATTGATATTATAATGCATGTAAATGCCATAATTAGAAAGTGTAATATTATTATGTAAAACTTCATTGGCTTTTACATATATTTACTATATTAATCAGATCATTATGTTTTTATAAAAATAGATAATGAGAAATTCATATTTTTTTATTTTAAAATCACAGCAATCAACCCTCGTTTGATCCTAACAATTAATTTTCAGTTCAAAAAAAAAAATAATAATAATAATCATTAATAAACCCAGTTATAAGCAATTAATAACAAAAGTAAATACAATAAAATAAAATGTTGATAATTTTATATGTTTATCTCTTCTTGGGGATTTTGAGTCTAGCCAAAAGTCTTGACTACATCAAAATGCCTTAAGTGGAAATCAATCAGCTTAATTTACTCACAGATTAAGTTTTATCATTAGTTAATCCTAAATCTGCTTAGTCAAAGAGTTTCACTTTTAATTTTGGAGTAGAATTCACAAATGTGCCTCAAATACTATTTAGTGTGACTCATGCAGATTTGTAATTAAATCCCGTAGCATCTGTCAGCTTTTTAGTAACTTTAGACTCAATCAGCACGACTTCATTTAGCATTACTGTTTCAAAGATAAATGATGAAATATTAAAAGGACTTCATGTATAATATTTAGCTATTAACAATTAAAATGCTTATGTAATAAATGTAAAATTTGACTTTTATACATTACAACAAAACAAATCTAATGGTTGGATTAAAGCATAAAAAACATATAATTATTAAAGAAGTAATTTTGATTAAAGTTAGTGGGAAGTAAGTATAACTGTCTTTATCAAAGGAGTTGATAAAGTAATGGAACCTAAATCGAAATTATCAACTTAATTTTTTCACGGGGTATATCAAGTAGTATAATCAACAAATAGCTTTGATATCATTTTTAATTCACCTGACACATAAAATGCAAGAGACTAACATTTTATTTATTTTAATTATCTTGAATTCTATAAGAGAAAAAATAATAACTATTTCAGCATACAAACATAAGTAGACGACTCTTCCAATCCTACTAATTCAACCAATCCATTATTTAACAACGCTACTCCAGGTAATAGAACAAGTATAACACCAATATACAATGTTAATGTTAATAATCTCAAGGCTATTATGTATGGATTATCTGGTTTTAAAGTAAGATATGACAATTTTTTTAGACTTGAATTGACAGGTCCATAACTAAATTATGATCCTGTATAATAATAATATTAATTTTACTATTAATACAATACCTGGTTCAACACATAAATACTTTTTGTTCAAAGCTAATTTGTAGTATTATCTTAAATAAACTGCAATCAAAATAATACTCTCTTTTTAGATGATTTGCAATCTTGTGTTTCTAAATGCGCTCTAGGTTATTATTAAACAACCACTAACGATCCTGTTTTAGGAACTATTAATTATTGTGGAAAATGTGACCCTTCGTGTATATATTGCTCTGGTAGAAGTATTAGCGATTGTTTACGTTGTCCTTAAGGTTAATATTTTTATAATGCAATATGCCATGATAATTGTCCAAATGGATATTTAAAAAATATCTAAACTTAAAATTGTGATACTTGTTCAGATTATGACAATCCAGACTGCTTTTCTTGTAATAAAAATTGCTTTTAATGTGATTTATCTGATGCAAATTTTTGCACAAGCTGTAATACTCAAACAAAATATTTGGATTCAGATAATACTTGTAAATGTTTAAATCAAAAAGATCAAAGAAATAATTTTTTTTAATGCAGCTACAACGATAATGCTGTTACAAATTATTTTCTAAGTGAAACTCCAAGATAGTTAGTAGTTGATTTTGGCTTTCCTATTTAAAGCTTATCAAAATATTCTAATACTCCTTAAGCTTTATGCGAGTATATATTTACCCCAAAAGCTGTTGATGCTATGGGACCTAATCCTGACTGTTCTATTTAATAAAATTACATTGTTGTAAATTTAGGTAAATAAATTGATTAAATAAATACATTTATTTCCTTAATTATTAAAAATTATGAATGTAAAAATTGAATAACTTAAAATATTATATTAATTTAATAGATGATTCATCTACTCTTACAGGACCATAAATTTAATTTTAGTAGCCAAAATTGTAGTTTGTGAATGCAATATCTCCAATTTCTTAATATTACATTTTCAGATCAACTTAAAACTTTTGTCTAAACAGTACAGTTAATTTCTTATACAATCCAATATAAAGTACTTGCGACCCTCTGACAATTCAGTTTAAAAATATTACAGGAGATGAAGGAAGAATTTTTGTAAGCTTTAATTGGACTTTAATTTAAATTAATGGTACTATAAGTGATTAAGAGTTATAAAGAATAAATTAAGTTTTATAATAAGCTAACACTAACAACAGCACTTCTTTAGAAATAAGTCCAAGTCTCCTACCACCTAATATAAATATTAAACTATAATTTAACTTTTAATTAAGAAAGAATTGTTAAAAATAAACATTAATAGACATATTTTATTAGCAAAAAAAATTCATCATAACAAACTACTTATAGTCAGTATATCCTCCAATTTACAGGTAATCCCTTTTTATTAATTATTTAAATTACTTTCAAACTATTTTTATTTTTCAAAAAGATATATGAGTTTGAGTTTCTTCTTTGAATTTTACATTGGAAAATGTGAATATGGCATTAAATATTATTTAAGAGAGCCATTCAAATTATAAATCATTTCTCCTACCTTTTTAGATATTTAATAAACAATAGATAACTATAATCAGACTAATTTTGAGGTCGACATCCCTGCTTATTCTTTGCCATCTAATCAAACTTTTAGTTTTAATGTATTTTATAATTTTTTTATTTATGCTTTAAATTATGCTATTTGTTTATTCAAAAACTTTTAAGAAAAAATTTTAATTTAACAATAAAACGACTAAAATTATTAAAATAACTAAATTTAATATAATTCTAAATATTTTTTATTATTTATAATTTATTTTAAAGCTTTATAAAATAAAAACCTACTTTCTTAATAGCTATTTAATTCTTTAGGTTTTAAATTTTATTATAATTTAATAGTTGTAATTAAGTTTGATATCAGATAGTTAAATCTAAAATACACAGACTGTGTCAGTAGATGTGCTAATTACTTAGTTATTTGTTATGCTTTAAGGAGGGCGTAATCAAATTATAAGCTATCAAAAATTGTATTCTTTGAATTCGATATATAGAGATTATGAAATCCAAGATAGTAATGCTGATTAGAAGATTAATTTTAACTGGATTTGTGAAAACCTCTTAACTCCTGATAAGAAATGTTATGATTATAATAATAAATTAATTACTTTTGAACAAGGCAAAAGTAGTATAAGTATTCCAAAAAAAACATTTAAGCCTTACACAATTATTTAATTTACCCTTTAAATTTCTAAAGACTTAAGAAATTCTACTGAATATGCAATTTGTTATTTTTCAGAATTTGATATTCCACCACTTTTAGTAAAAACTCCAATTTATTAGATGAACTAGTAATTTAATCTAAATGAAGATTTGTTTTTTACTTTAGTTTACGATAGTAGTGTTTCTACAAATATACTGTCATATGCAGGAGCTATTCTTTATAATAATACAGTAGTTGCTGCTATAAAATTTGATTACTATCAAGTAAAATTTAGAATATGGAATTACTTTTAAGACATTGATCCCACTTTAAACTCTATTTAAATACGTTTTTCAGTTTACAATCCTTCCTATGTAATGCCCAGTATTTCAACAATAGATCTATTAATAAACATACCTCCTAAAAACTGTGTGTTAACTATTGATCCTCAATATGGCATTGCTCTCTAAACTAAATTTTTGATTCAATTTACTAATTGCTAAGATACAGATCTCCCTTTAACATATCAATATTTTTATTATAATTCAGTAGATGATTATAACTAAGAAATTGTCTCACCTTGGAATATAGTCCGAAGATAACTGAGTGATTAAGTTGTAAGTTAACAATTCTAAACTATTTTACCTCAAGGTAATTTATTGGTTTTGAGTTAAGTTATGGATTCTAGATTAGGTGTTTCTAATAGTACATTAAGCATTAATGTTTACTCATAAAATTTAACTGACTCAAACTATCATTAATAAGTTAATCAACTAATTTAATAAAATTTGCAAAATTATTTAACAACTACTAACTTAGTATCAAACTTGTGCGTAATTGGAGAAGACGTGACAAAGAACATTTAATATTATAATTCTTAATAAATAAATGATTTAAAATAAAATCTAATTACTAACTTATAATTATTTTCTTAGTAAATACCAAAATCATCATTAATTGCTACTTACGCTAATAAAGTAATTGCACAATTGTAATATTCTATCTTTCAATAACCAGATTTATAAAAAAGTAGTGTTTACAATTATATCTAATAGACTATACAAAAAACACAAGCAAACAAACAAAGTAATAATATTAATAAATTGTAATAGAATAATGACTTATACACACAGAATTTAATTGACTCTTTTAGAATATTAAATTCTACAGTAACTCTAAATACAAATAATAAATTTGATGATTTGATGTAATACAATAATATATCAAATGAAATTGCTAGCCTTATATCTAATAACATGATTCCAAATGAAGGAAACCTTGAAATTTAAGGAAATTTATCAAATATTTTATCAGATTCAATCACAGAAAAAAATTTAAAATAGTATGTTTTGCCAAACGATGACTCACAATTTTCCTTAAATTCTACAAATACATATGTAATAGCAAGAAATAATTATTAATAAAATATTTATGAGAGCACCTCTAGCTTTTAAGCATATGTGAATATTTTGAATAAATAAAATGGTAATAAAGGCTATTCTAAGAATAAATTGATAGTAACATCTATAAACAATACTTAGGCAAATGGACCTATTTCGAATTCTACTATTATTTACTAATTTAAAAATGTAAATGTAAGTAATAATAGCAATATGACATGCTTATAATAAGCTGATACAATATGGACTAACTTAAACTGTGGTGTTTTGAATTAGGATAGTAAGGATTATGCTTGTTTTTGCAAAAAGTAATCACCAACAACTATAATTGATAATATTGAGGCTGTATTTACTTAAAATGAAAATTTGAAAACTGCTTTTGGAGAACAAGGTGCAAAAAATATTGCAAGATTTAGTGATTTTTATTAGTATGTATGCGTTTGGGCTTTATTTGCATTTACAATAGGCTAAATTGTATTGTTCTTAGTTGGAAGATAGTTAGATTTAAAAACTATTTCAAAAATGGATTAAAAAAATAGTCAAAATTAGATAAATAATATATTGGTACAAAAAAATTTATAATAAGAATTACTTCAAGATAAAATATAAAATCTGGAAAAGTAAATAAATTAATATTCATAATTACAATAAGGTAAAGAGACAAAAAGCAAAAAAATCAAAATTTAAAAAATATATCCCTAGAGTAACTCAAATAGTTTGAAAATTATAAAATAGGTCTCTCCATCCTAAATTTTTGATTTATAATTAAGTAATTATAAAGAAGACGATTTTAACTTGTAATAACCACATAACCAAGATTAATTAATCTCAAATAGAAAATCAAATACTAAATAATAGGAAAACAACTAAGCAATTAGTCCTGATTTAAAATAACCTAATAATTCAGATATTTTAAAAGAATTATTTTAAGAAAATATATCTCCATATTAAGTATAATACACTTAAAAAAGCAATGATTAAGAAAATGACTTTAAAACTGAAACTTAAGAGTTAGTGATAGAAAGCTTATAGAATATAAAATAATAAACTAATAATAAAATTCTCAATTTCTACAAAAGTAACAAGTTACTTTAATTTGAAAAAAAATAATAAATTTAATAATAATAATAATAACAATAATAATCAAGTTCCTTATCGTTTAAATCTGAAAAAAGTAAATCTGAATATTCAACTAAACAAGAAACTGCATGCTAAATAACTGAACCTTCTCAATTGGATCTAAATATAAGCGAAAGCGAAAAGAATTATCTATAATTAAATTTTGTGAGAAAAGTAATAATATTTCATCAATTAATAGGTATCTTTTATACTTATGACCCTATTATATCTAGATCAGTAAGATTCAGTCTATTTTATTTAAAAATAGTGCATCAAATAGCTATTTCTCTAGTCTTTTATTAGTTTAGTTTAATTGATTAGAAAATAGTAATAGCAATAGTCAATGCTGTTCTTATTGAAATATTTTCGTTTGTTATACAGTTCAGCTACTAAATAGGTAAAATAGGAAAATATTTTTCTACAATTTTTTCCATTCTTGTTTTGCTATTATATTTTTATGTCATATTGGCAATATCAAGTGGTTAGACTGCTGAAGATTCAAATATTTCCTTTTTGTTATTTTTAATGACCATTGGCCTAAACTTGACTTTAGTTTAAGTGAGTCTATCATTATTTTTGATATATATTTCATTTAAACATATAAATAATCAGAAAAACATTATAATTATTAAAATATTTAATCTTTTTTCTATTGAATAAATTATAAAAAATTTAGATTTTTGAATTGTAATTCCATGTTAATTATTAAATGTATCTCATATCAATCTTTACTTTTTTTATTTAATTTTATTTTTAAAAATGTTAAAATTAATGGAAAAATAATAAATTTATAAACACACGATCACTTCTTTGGTATTTATTTTTAAGTTGCATAAATGAATATTAATTTTGAGAATTTTTTGCATTAATTAATTTTTCAAAATATTTTTTTTATTTGTATTTTGTATGGAAAATAAATTTTTATATAAAAAATTAAATTAAAATAAATAATATAAAAATTTTTTAATTAAGTAATTATTTCATATATATTGTAAAATTAATTTTTATTTGATTTATCACTATATAATTAATAACTCTCTAAAAATATTCTGCTAATATAAGAAAATATCCAAAAAATTTAACAAAAATTTTAAAGATTATTTGAAGAAACCATATTTTATTATATAAATTAATTAACATATAAATGAAGAAATATATAAATTTTACTGTTGTGTAAATACGAGAATTATATGATTTATTTGTTTTTGTTTAAACTAATTTATTGTTAAAATGTAAATTAATTTAGATAAATTGATTAAAATTTTTAAATAAATTATTGTAATAGGTATCATAAAGTAATTAATAACCAAATCACTCATTTACTCACAATTCTTTTTTTACTTCTCCAGCTTCATTAATTATATTTAATTTAATATCTGGCTTTTATGTTTCATATCGAGGAACAGAGCTTACAGATTTGAATAAACTAGGTATGATAGTTTTTAATGATTCTGTTAAATGTCTTTCTCTTCTTCTATAAACCCCTTCTTAATCATCATTAGCTAGAGTAGGAGTTAGTTGATATGAAAAGCGTCTTTCTTTTTTCCTTTCGTTTGCTTATTCTAAAGGTTCTTTATTTTTAAAATATTTTTGTAAAAGTTTATTTTAAGTTTCTGCATTAGTTGCTTTAAAGGCTGCCAATTCCATGCACTCAATAATTTCATTTTGCATGGTCTACAAGTCCAAAAATTTAGAATTATAAAATTTATTCTTGACCATCTCAATCATAGACTATCTTACAGATCTTGCTACAGTTAGATCATGTTCTTCTTTTAACTCTTTCTGCTTCTAAGGCTAAGGCTATTCTTCAGTTACAATATCTCCTGAGTTGCCTCTAAGGTATTGAATTTTCTATTATTTTGTCAATTCTTTATCTAAAATAAGTTATCTATGAATCAGCTTTTTGTAAGCTCCCTCTTCGTCTTCTAGAAGTTCTTCATGAGTGCCCTGTTATACTAATTCACCTTTTTTCATTACTAATATTTTATCACATGTAGCAATCGTGCTCAATCTATGTGCAACTATAAATATGGTCATTTCTCTCTTTTCTATAAGGTTATCTATGCATTATTAAACTTAAAATTCACATTCAGAGTCTAATGCGCTTGTGGCTTCATCAAATATTAATATTTTTGGCTTTTTAAGTAATGCTCTTGCTATGGCAATTCTTTACTTTTCTCCTCCACTAAGTTAAGTGCCTTTGACACCTATTTTAGTTTTAAGTACTTCTGGAAATCTCTCAGGATCAAATATGAAATCTGCTACACCTGCTTTTTCGCATATTTCTTCTATGTCCTAATCTGTGTATTTTTCTACACCATAAGTTATATTCTCTTCAATTGTTCTATTAAATAGAATAGGTTCTTATTATACATAGCCAACTTATATCCTTAACTATTTTAATGGGATACTCATTAAATTCAATCCATTGATAAGAACTTATCCTTAATCTGGATCCAAAAATCTCTCAATCATTTTAACAATCGTAGATTTTCCGCTACCTGTATTTCCAACGATCGCAATACTCTATCCTTCTTTGGCTTCAAAACTAATATTTTTAAGTGCGTATTTTTCTTTTTCTTTTGCATACTTAAAAGAAACATTATCAAACACAATATTTCCTTTCAAATCTTCATTATGCACACTACTTATTTACCTGTTAAGCTTAAAGAAGTCAACATCTGGTAAGTCCTCCTAAACTGTTAAAAAATTTTTTGCAGACTTTATTGTATCATCTGTAATTTAAGTTTATTCTTTAGGTTCCTCTGGTTTTTTTACTTCAAAATCTTCACACAATCCTTAATGAGCTTTAAGCTTGTAAAGCTTATAGACTTATTTCGTCATTAGAACTTTTTCTTCACTGCTTGAGAGCATCAATATATATAAATCTCTAAAAGTATCAACAATATAAGTAAATGAAAAGCTCTAGTTAACTAGAGTTTAGAGGATACCAATCTTTTAAAGGTTTCCTTCATAAATAAAAAAAACAGCTCCTATATATAATATCACTGGAATTTAGAATTAAAGTAAAAAGTAATTGATGGATTACAGTAATTCGAACAAAAAGTCATCCCAATTACTTTGTTTCTCAAGCTTGGAAAAGTTTTATATAAAGGATTTAATCTCTTATCTTTCTTTAGCGAATGATTTCACTAAATGAGCATGTTAAACAACTTCTTCAAAATTCCCTGTGGAACTATTTTTGGAGTCATTCCATCTTTGAATTATTTCTTTCTTCTTTTTTTCTGAAATTTTATTCCAAATATATTAAATTGCTGAAAAACCAATCATTATTAAAGCCAAATGCCAGCTTAGTTTTAAGACAAAAATGCAATTTCCTAAGTATTCAATAAATCTAGACAAACAATCATAAAGTTTTGAAGCACTTGCGAGCTCAACCACAGAGTCTACTCCTTTTTCAAATATTTTCTTAAGTTCTGAAACTTTTATAACTTCAAAGAATGTGATGTCTTTTGAAAGAATGTGGTAGTATAATTCCTCTTTAATTTTAACTTTCATCTTAATCCTGTATTAGAGATAAATATATTGCTTTAAAGGCTAAAATATCCTAAGCAATATTATAACAAGCATGTATTAAAGTGCTTCATATTTTAAAGGCTCGATGTTGCCTTACAAAGCTTTCTTTATAAAATTTTAGACCAAAAAAGGTTTAATTACAGTCATTGATGTTGAAGCTAATCCTACTATCTATGTGAGCACAACCATTTTCCATTAAGATTTAAATACATCCCAAACAAAATCCTTAGCTTCTTAATCAGTGACCTCAACATCCTTGAGAATGCTTTCAGATACTTCTTTTTATGTTTACTCAAATTGCACTAACTACCAAACTGACATCTAAACTCAACAATAAATTTGTATGCTAAACTACTTACTACTTTCAAAAATAAATAAATAATTAAGTTCTCTTTCTCTTTATAACAATAAACAAATAGATATTATTTATAATCAATATTTAATAATTAATTGTAAATTGCAAAGTTAATAAATATTATTATTATTATAATCTGAGTTTGTTTGCTCAATAACTAAATTTAAGAAAATACACTGTTTAACTCATTATTCCTTTGAATTATTTGATTTAATAAATAAATTTGCAAAAATATAATATATCTTGCTGTTACTAGATAGTTTTTTTATCAAGTAAAATATCATATAGACTTATTATTAAGTTCTAAAGAAAGGATACAAAAAATCAAAGTGAAATTATGACTGCTATAAACAGTAAAGATAAGTAAGATCTCACACTATCTTTTGAAACCATAAAAACTTTATAATTTTTCATAAAGGATTGTTCATATTTGCCTTCTTTTATCTCTATCTTTAACTTTTTAAAATCAACTTTCTCTGAAAATGGTTTTTTATGCTGTGATAAAATAATTTGAATTTAAAATTTATTTTTGTGGATAATTATTAATAAATAACTCAGCTATAAAGCATTTGTTTATCTAATATAAAGTAAAGAAATCTGTAACTAAATTAAAAAAAAATGTTTATTATAATTTAAATATTGAATTTTTCAATCTTCTATAGTAATCTAACAGTAGAGCTAACTTTTTCCATTATAGAATCTCAAGCATTTCCAGCAGAATTTTCTAGTAGCGTTATTTAGGTAGATTCTAAGTTTGATGAGATCATTATAATTATTGTTCAGTATTTCTTTGTATGTTTTTTTCTATTTTTGATATTGGTTCTTAATTTATTTTTTTTTTCAATAAAATTACAAATTGTCTTTAATCATAACTGGTTATTATTTTATTAAAAATTACCTAAATAATAATAAAATAAAATTAATTTAGTAGGGATAAACCAAATACTTATTTATATATTTCCCTTCAATAACTAGTATATAGTCAATTGATTAAATATGTTTATTTAGATTCTTTACAAAAACACATTTATCAGTTTTTTTAATTAATAAATAAATAGTTTAAAAAAAGATTTTTACTAACTTAAGACCATTTATTTAACTTTTAGAATTTGATTATTTCTGTGCTAATTTTTTTTAACAAATTTAAAAGTAGAAATTCTAATTACATATTTTAATATATTTGGAGCAAAGTCAAATATTTTCTTTAATTAAACTTAGTGGATATAAAGATTACGCGGTAAAAAAAGTTAAAGATTTATTAAAAAAGTAAATTATATACTTAATACAATTTTTAAGAAATGGGTTTGTTAAACAATATTATAGCCTGTTATGTTTTAGCTTTTGCATTAGTGTGCCATGGGTCTTTACTTCTTTGTATTCATTAACAAATAAATAAGCCAAACACAATTCCTTTAAATGAAAATATCGTTTAAGCCACAAGCAATGAAGATAATAGCTAATATAATTGCCCATAAGTAAAAAAATCACAAATTAATCAATCAATCAATACAAATTTTAATTTTATATTTTCATATTTTTTTATAAACAGTTTCCAGACTAGTTAGTTACATATACAAAATTATGGCTTGATAAGATACCCATTTAAATGATATAAGCATATTTAGAAATTTATCGCTTAGCTGGTACAGAAACAGTTAACTTTTTAATTTGGTTTGGGACTATAGCCTTATTAGGAGATATTATTTTGTTGATGTAAATATTGCTTTAAAAAAATTTTAAAATGATTATAAATAATTAGATTTTATAAAATCATATCATTTAAATTATTTATTTATTTATTAAAAAAGCTAATATACAATTTTAAAACCAATAAAACTACTTAAATCTATACTTGGAGCACTAGTTAGACTTGCAATTATAGCTTTTATAGTCCTCTTTGTGTAAAATTACACTTTATATTTGATTAAATATTTAATGTTACCTCAATATTTATTAGGATTTACTGTCTTTCAGAGCAAGGAATTCTTCCAAAGTACTAATTTTTAGAGGAACTCGAGTTTCTTTAGCTTAATAATATCTATCAGATAGTGGAATCTTCTAGCAGATTATCAATTAAAAAAATAAAACAATTACTCAAAAAATACATGTGAGTTAATATATTTTATTATTTAAAACTCTATTTTCAATGCTTTAAAGAATTATAAGATGCTTTTTAAATTTTTTAAATTTTATAAAATATGGAAATAACTTTAATATTTATGTTGCATTAATTGCTTTCTTAAATTTTATGTTTCAGTAATAATTCCTTTTAGATTCATTTTCTTACCATTAAATAAAGATTTAGTTTTCAACTATATAATCTTATTAACTGATGTTTTACAACTAAGACTCATAGTAAAATATCTGCTAAGCAATCTAACTTGATCTTATAATGAATAAATCTTTTTTTTTGAATGTAGTGAATTTTAAAAAATTAAAAAACTACATGTTACCTACTGTTTGATAGTAATGATGAACTAAATTGTTTTATATTTATTATTCTAATATCAACAATAAAAAAATTCAGAACTAATTTTAATTAAAATTTTTTTTAATTGATAATTAACTCAATAAAAATGTAAAATAAAGGAAATCTAGAATAAAGCTAAGATAATATACTATTATAAACATCTTTAAATTAAATTAAATAAAAGCTTTTAAATACTAATTAAAATTACATTTTATTGATTAAAAAGTTATTCAAAGTTAATTCTAATTCTTACTTTAATTAACAATTAAATAATATTATTTTGGTATTTAAAATTTATATTCAAATTTATGGTAAAATTTAGACTTTTATTTTAGTTTTCAAAAATCCAATAAAACATTATTTTGAAAGTATGTTGATCTTCTTAAATGGTTATTTAAAAAAATATTCTATTAATGATTCATAAAAATTAAAAGAAACTCATATTTTGTTTTTAATAAGATTATTGGTTAGTACTTTTAAATTTTAGAAATTAGATTATATTAGAAAGATACAAACTGTATTGAAATTATTATTAACAATATTTGTTTAATATATTAAAATCTAATTAGCTGTATTAATAAAATAGGGTTGTCGATTTTACATAAAAACTTCATTTGATTTTATTGATAAAAGGAATTCAAAATCTTAATCTACATAAAATTTAGAACTTAGCTTAAAATGAATAATTAGCCTGATTTATTTGAATTGATTATTTTCAACGAAAGAAAAAACATTTTATTTCATTATGATTTAGTGAATGATAAAGAATCTGATGAAATGAAAATCTAAATTTTAGAAAAATTGCCTAGAATATAAAATCTATGTGGTCTTGTTGCTGCGCTCAAGGAATTAAATAAAAAATTCTCGCCTTTTGCTACTTAGAATGTTAAGTTTTTTAAAAGTTCTTTCTATAAATTCTCTCTTTATGACTCTCCAGGAGGTATAAAAATTATATTGCTTTCATCAAACAATGATTTTGATTATTCAGATATTTTAGAAGAAATATTCTTATCGGCTTATATAGACTTGGTTCAAAGAAATCCTTTATATTAAGCAAACACAATTATAAAAAATACAGCTTTTACAAGCAAAATAAAATCTATTTTCTAAAACTAGTAATCTGTTTAATATAAATCAAATTGATAAGTATTTATGATATATATTATGTAATTATTTGTATATTGGAATAATAAATTTTATCATCAAACAAAGGAAATAGTGAGTGAGCTGCAATATTAAATATTTTGTTTCTTTTATATAAATTTGAATGAAATTTTATTTATTTTCTTTAATTATCAATTATTTTTCAATTCAAATCAATAAAGAATTAAGAGTCCTTCAAAAACTAAAATATAAATATCAACTTAAATAATTTATTTATTCTAATTCTACTACAAACTAAAATTCAAAGGTTTAATTAACTTCAAGTTTAAAAAATAAATTTAATTTCATTCAAAAAAAAAGTCTTATGATAAATTTTAATTTTTATTTAAATTAAATATTTTAAAAATTCAAAAAATTTAATTTATTTACTGAGAAAAAATGATTATTTTTAAAAACAAATTTTTAATTAATGTAATTATTCATTTATATTTTAAGAAAATTAAAGCTATAAACCAAAAATATTTTTTATTTTATAAATTCAAAGATATTGAATTCAAAAGATTTTAAATTTAGCTTTTTTAAAAATTTACATTTTATAAATTAGTTTGCTAAAAAATAAAAGTATTTTATCTTGAGTAAAATACTTATTTGTTAATTATCTCTATTATTTTTTTGCTTAAAACCTAAATACATTGTTCTTAATCATTTGAAATAATAACTCAAATCTTTTTAATTATCAAAAATAAAAAAATATCTACTCAAAATAAAAAGTAGAATATAGCTTTTAGTAAAATGGAAAATGTTTAAAATTTAAGTAATCTTCGCATATTACATGAATAAGATCATGGAAATGCAGATTAATAAAAATAATTTTCATAAGCCACAGTGATATTGAGCAGACAGCCAACAGATTGTGAAAGAATATACTTAGATTCCTGTAAAAGTCATAGTGGTACAGATAATTATATAAACGATAATAGTATATATTTTTATTAAAATTTTAGTAAAAAAATTTATACTTTTAAATTTATTAAAAGAAGTGGTAAATATCTTAACTGAAAATGAGAATATAGCAAAGTAAGATTTTAATCCTGAGTTGATATAAAAAATGAAGTTAATCCAAGCTAATAGTGATGAAAGAAATTAAGAGATCGTAATTTAATAAGAATCAATTACCAAAAAGCTCGATAAAAGTAACTAAAATACCATAGTTGATTAGTAAAGAGCAAATCAAGTGGATAACAATAAAATTTTAGAATAAATAAACTTAAAATCTTTTCGTATTAATGAAGAAACAGAGTCTAACTTAAGGTAAAAGGAATAACCAAAAGAGTCCTCTCATTTTCAATATTTGTTAGAGTAATTAAATAATCAAAAATATGTTAGTTTTATGGTTACTAAAGTAGAATCTTAAAAAATGATTAAATCAGAAAGCAAATCTTAACCTGAAAATAATGAGCCAATCCCAGAATAATACTGGTAGGCTTTCTAAAAAATGATTGATTAAGATGAAATATTTGGAAAAAAATATGTAGAAAAGACATAAAAATTAACTTACTTAAGATTAAAGGTAATAAATAATACAAATCTTTAAGAGTAGTTAAGATAAGTAGAAATAGGTTTATTATTAGTAGAAAAATGTTTTAGTTAGATTTAATATGAAGTTGAAGATAAAATCAATTTTATAGGAAAGTTTAATTACCAGATAATATAAACTAAGAATGAAAATGATATAGTAGATAATCATCTCTTCTTCTCAGTTTTAAATGAAGAAGATATTAATGAGAGTAATGGTAGATATGAGACAAGGAATGAAGTTTTTAAAAATAATAATATTTTGATACTTGAGCCTGATATTAATTTACCAGCATCATTAATTGCTAAGTCAGGTAAATTTAATTTATTTTTGTCATATTTTATTAAACATTCCATACTAAAGTTATCATATTTATTTATTTTTTATTTAATTCCATTTTAGAAAAGTGCTATAGAAGTTCTTTAATTAAAATGAAATTTAAAGCAAATGAATCTGCAAGCTGGCCATTACTAAAATGTTTTATGTTACGTGATTTGTTTTAGCATTTAATATCTATGGTTAGTTAGAATGAAATATAAAAAAATACATTTTAAAACCCTGATTATGAATTTTTAGATGGCTTGGTGAATAAAATTCATACTAAATATTTAGAGAATCTTTTCTTGATAGATAAGAAATTAGATTAAATAAAAGAAGAAATTATTTTTGAATTAATAAAAATGCTACAGTTTTTTGGAAAGTATTTTAATGGATGTAATTTTTTTTATTTTTAAAGTATCTTACAATATTAAATATTTTTAAAGCGGATAGATAAATTTATAAAACTAAGTTTAGCTAGAGAGGAATTAAGATGCTTAATTTAGCTGAAAATTAAATGTTTGTTAATAATGATATTTTAGGGATAAATGGATATATTGATTATGTTTTCAGTTGCGAAGTTGAAGATTATTTAGATAGAAGTTAACCAAAGTAGACTCTCTAGTTCCCATTTGAAGTAAAAACAGGGAAAAACATTGAAGGCTATTATGAATAAAATCTACTTTACTGCCTTCTACTTAACTACAAATTAGAAAGTAATCAAAACTTAGAGGGGTTTTTATTCTAATTAGCTGAAGATTAGGATTAATTAAAATCAATATGTCCTACTAAATAATTAGCATCTTCAATATTTAATATCAGAAATAAAGTAATTGATTTAGATTAAATTAAATTGTTTTAAAAATTTTGTTTCCTTTTCTTAAATAAAAAAATAATTTTTCTCTTTAATAATAAAAATACTTTTTATAAATTAAGAGGATTGATTTTATTTGTTTAAAATAAAATAAATGTATTTAATTTAATCTAAATTAATCAATATTTAATAAAAAATTTTCCATTTTTTTTAAAACTTCCTTTTTTATAATTTTTTAAAAAGAAAATTTTACCAAATAAATATTAATTAACAAATGGGTATTCATTCATAAGCATTTTATTATATTAAAAAAGGTAGCTAAACTCACTAAAACTATGAATACTTCTGGGAAAGTACCTTAAAATGAACTAAAATCTGAAAATACTTGCAAAAGATGTTATGAAAGAGAAGCTTGCTATGCTAGTAAAGTTGCAGATGGTTTAGATAATTTAAAAGATATTGAAGATGTAGTTATAGATAAGTAGTTAGAAGATCACAGCTATTCTATATTTTAAGAAAGTTTATCAAAAAAATCAAAGCTCTATCTTAAAAAATGGTTAGATCTTATAGAAATGGAATAGTAATTTGATTCTGAGATCAAATATACTAATTTAAAAAATCTACAATATTAAACAGATAATGATTTATTATTTGTGACTGAAAATTTTGATCAATTTTTCATACCTTAAGTTGAGTAACTCTAAAAGAAAAATTCTAACTTAGATGTAAAGAAGAGTGAAAATAACAATAAATTAACATTTTAATTTGTAGAAAAAAAAGAAAATTGTTTAAACTAGGATATTGAAGCATAGAAAGACTATGAATGTGTTATTCATTTAAAAAAAATATTCCCATAAGATAAAAAAGTATTAGCTATAAGTGATTTGTATAAAGAAGGAGAAAGTTTTGCACTTTTCTAAAATGATATTAAATGTAGATTCTTTGCTGTTTTAGAAGAAAAGGTAGTAGAAGAGTAGAATAATTCTATCATTTTAAAACTCAAAAGCAATTAGGAATAAGTCAACTTTGATTAAAAAAGGGTTGAAAAAATCTTATAAAATAAAACTGGCAACAGCTTATTATGGAGTGTAGAACTAAATGACTTAGAATATTATTCAGTTCAAAGATAAAACGTTTTAAATTTAATTCTAAATAGATTAATTAATTAAAATAAAAGATATAAAAAATTATTATTTTAGACTGAAAAATTTAAGTAGAAAAACAAAGAATTAATAAAAGTAATCATAGGCAATACTCCTCCTAAATTTCAAGTAACCAAATAGTCTTAAACTTCAAAATTAACTTAATATTTAAAATAATATAGAATAATCAATTTTCTGAAGACAGAATATTAAGTATATTAGATAACTATCCAAACCTCCTTATAAATGAAGATTAATAAGATTCAGGTAAAATGTTTATTTCTAAATTTTTTAAACTCAAGTTTTAATGAATGGTTAAAAGTTAGGAAAGTTCTAAAAAGTGAATCGCTAACATGTATATAAGGTATGCCAGGAACTGGAAAGACATATTTAATAGTCCATTTAATAAAAATACTAACTAATTAAAATAAGACTCTCTTGATCACAAGTTATACAAATTCTGCGCTTGATAATATTATTGTCAAGCTTTTGGATTTGTTTCCAGAATTGTCAAATATGAGCTTAAGAATAGGCTCGAATAAAAATTTAGTTCATTCAATTGCATAAGGCATATTATTTGATCCTTCATCTTTTACTAATGAAAAACATTTTGCTGATTAGATGAAAAACAAAAAAATTTTCTTTGCAACAATTATCGGCTCAAACAATAAATTACTCTGTAAAATATTAATTAATTTACTATTATTCACATTTTTTTAGAAAGTAGTAAGATTTCATTTGACTATTGCATCATAGATGAAGCCTCCTAATGTGTAGAGCCACTTTGTTTAGGTCCTATGCTTATTTGCAATAAATCCATTTTAATTGGAGATCATTAATAGGTAGTTATTCTATTTAAATTTAAATATTAAGCTTTAAATATTAATTTAAAAGTTATAACCGATAATTAAAAATGAAGAGGCTGGAAAATTAGGATATTCTATTAGCTTGTTTGAAAGAATGTGCAACTAGTACCCAAGCTGCTACATCAAGCTTAAAAATTAGGTAAATAAATATTCTTTAAAGATCTATTTAATTAAAAATACCAACATTAAATATAGTTTAGAATGAATAATAGTATTATGGAACTGTCTAATATTATGGTATATCAAAATCAACTTAAGGCATTTGACAATAATATTGGTAATAGCCTGATGTAAATAAATGAAGATGAATTATAAAAGATAAGAAACAAATGCATAAATTATTGCCTCCAACCTAGTAATAAAGTTGTTTTTATTGACACAAGCTTTTATTAAAATGAAATCATTGAAAAAGATGATTAAGAAATAGTTTGCAAATAGCCAATTGAAGAAAATATATTTTAAGTTAAACTTATATGTTTGTTAATTAAGAGATTATAAGATATTAGCATTCAAAATAAGAACATGGCTTTAGTAACACCTTACAACTTTTACAGATATCAGGTTTAAAAAAACCTAAAACTAATGAAAATTTAAGTAAAATAAATTAACATATAAATTTAATTTGAGTATTTTTATTTTAAAGTAATAAGATCTTTAGCTTTTTACTGTTGATAAAAGCTAAGGATAAGAAAGAGATGTTATCATTTTGCACATAACTGACAAAATAGGATGTGATCACTTGTTATCAGTAATATTTTTGATAAAAACTCCATTTAATTTATGTTAATTAATTTAAATAGAACTTTAGAAGGACAAACGTTGCTTTGACAAGATCTAAAATGAAATTGATTATTGTTGGAAATAAGAATATACTTAAAAAAAATAATATAATTGATCAATTGATGACTATTCTATTAGAAAAGAATTATGTAAATTAACTTCAAAAAAATTTTTATTTATTTTATTTTATATCTCAAAAAGGTTTATCAGCTAAATTAGTTAGAAGTTAAAGAAATATTTAATGAATTTGTTAAATTATAAAATGATCTTAATTGATGTGAATATAATCAAATAAATTTATTTATTTATTAATTAATTAAAATTTTGTATAAACAAGAAACTACATATCCCCTTTTATTTGTTAAAGCAATAATATTATTTCATTTTATTATATAATTACCATAAAATTTCTATCTTCAGCAAATATCTTAATAAAGGGTTTAGGAAAATTTAGTTACTTATATTTTAAAAATAAAAATAATATCTTAAATAAATTTTATTGCACAAACAATAATTAAAATAAAATATATTTTTTGAGAGTATTCTTTTTAGTTTATTATTAAAACTAATTGTTTCAAATATTTATGAAAATTAATAAAATGAAGAAATTCTAACATTTATTTACTTATTTCAGATTATGTTTATAATAATTAAAATTAATAAAATAATTATTGAAAAATATTTTAATTTTTAATTATTTTAGCTTTTTCCTCAATTATCCGCCAAATTTTGTATAAGTTGATTAATTTTTATTAAAAACTCAAAATATCAAATATTTTCTTATTTATTTTATCAAAAAAAGATATTGTAAAAACAAAGGTAGAAATTTTACTTTATTTAGAGATGGATAATAATATGAACAGCTGGAAAAGATTAAACGAAAAAAATCAAGTAGATATAGAAGATTATAATTAATTATAAAATATTTCAACTGTTCTTAGCAAAGAACCTAAAGCTAAAGTGAAAGTTAGCTATAGTGAAAGCAGTAGCAGTGATGAAGATGATGATGAAAAATTTTTTATTTAAAACTTTAGTCAAAAAATGTCTAATTCAACTTCTAAAAATTAAAATCAATCTGATCTTTAGAAAAATAAGGCTGAATTAGAGACTAAAAAAATGATCAAAAGAGTAGAGAGTTTTTAAGTTGAAAACTAGCAAACAAAAGATAATTAAGCTATGCATTAAAAAATGGAGTTAAGCTCTTCTGATGATAGCGATGAAGATGTGGAGTTTATAACAAATCTTTAGAAAGCCTAGTAATATTAAAATTTGTTGAAGGAAATTAATGAGGAAAAGTATGTAAGCATAGTTATAACAGAAATTATAAAAAAAAATGAAATTCCTTAAGAATACTGGTAAGCCTTTAATCAAATTGCATGTGATGATCATGACTTAGCTGAAAAGGATATAAACAAAAATTATACATCAACATACTTAAGAGTAAGTATTAAGAATAACAAATAACTTGAAGAAAAGTTAAAATTAGTAGAAATAGGTCTGTTGTTAATAGGGAGTACTTATAATGATATAGAATATGATATAGATGATCAAGCTAACTTTTTGGGAAAGTTTAATTATTAATTATTGAAGATGTAGAACTAAACAGATTAGCGCGATATACATCTTTTCTTCTCTATTTTACACTAGTTTTAGCTATGTGATAACAAGGAAAGAGTTATGAAGGAGGTATTTTCAAGCTCAAACATCTTGATTATGGAGCCTGATCAGATGCTATATCCAACTTTGATTGCTTAATCTAGTAATGTTTATTTTTACATTTATTTCTTTTTTTAAAGATGATAAATTAAATAGTTTTTTTATTTTAAATTTTAATTATAGCGTCTTGTTATAGGATACCTTTGATTAAAATGAAGTTTAAAGTTACTGAATCCACTAATTGGAATATGTTAAAGGGTGTTATATTGCATGACATATTCTAACATCTGATGACCTTGCATAGCTAAAATCAATAAATAAAAGAAATCATAAAAGAAAAATCAGATTCATTTTTAACAGACATAATCAAATAGCTTTACACTAAGTATTTAGAAGAGCTTTTTTTGTTAGAAAAGTGCATTAACACTTTCGAAAAGGAAATCAAATATATAGCAAAAAATATGATGGACTTTTTGTAAAATTATTTAAGTAATTATTAATTGCATCTCTCTGTTTTAAATTAAATATTTATTTTTTAAAGTCGAAGGAAAACTTATAGAAACTAAGTATAGTAACAGAAAAATTAAAATTAAAAAGCTAGTTGAAAATGAAATGGTTGTTAATAATGAGGCTCTAGGACTAAAAGGATAAATTGATTGTGTTTTCAAATGTGAAGTTGAAGAATAATTTTCTGATTAAAAAGAAAAAAAATATGAATGTTTTCTTCCTTTTGAATTAAAAACAGGTGGAAAAAAAAAGTAAATTTATGAAGATTAAAACCTGTTTTACTGTCTCTTATTAAATCAAAAATATGATCGTAAATAAAATTTAGAGGGTTTTTTATACTATTTAAGTTTAAATGATCTCACTACATCATGTCCCACTAAGTAATCTTCTGTGAATTTACTTACTAGAAGAAATAAAGTACATTTATTTTTAATTTACTTAAACCATAAATAAATATTTACTTATTTATTTATTATTTATTTTTAATATTTACTGTAATTCCTCATTTATAAAAAAATCTTTTAACTTATTATACCAAAAAATTGCTTTTTTTTAATAATTAAATTTTTGTTGAAAATTTCAAGACTAATTTGAACTAATTAAAAATAATTGTATTATGTATTTATTTCAGCGATATTTATATTTAAAAAAAGCTTGCTAAATTTATAAAGAATATGGAGACTCAAGGTAAAATGCCAGAAATAAATATTGAGAGACCTGATATTTGCAAATTTTGCTATGAAAAAGAAGCATGCTATGCAAATCAATTAGTTGATGATTATGATAATATTAAAGATATTGAAGATTTACCTGAAAAATATAAAATAGATAAATAATTTGAGTATTTTCATTAATTTTATGATAGCTTAACGGAAGGATCGAAGCTTTATTTAAAAAAATGGATAGATCTAATTTAAATGGAATAATAATGTGATTCTGATATCAAAAAAGATAAAAAATAAAAGCTACTTAATGAGGCTGACAATCAGTTAATTTTTATGACTGAAAATTTCGATTAGTTTTTCTCTTCTTAAGTTGAGTAGCTCTAAACAAGTGGCTATATCTAATCTTAGTAAAATCTTTCTTCTAAAGATAGCTCTAGAGATAGTAATGCATCATAAAAAGAATATGAACATATTATTTATTTGAGAAAAATATGTCCTTCGCTAAGTAAGCTTATTGCTTTAAGCGAATTTTACAAAGAAGGTGAAAGCTTTGTGCTTTATTAGATGGACATAAAATGCAAATTCAAAGCTATTTTAGAAGAAAAAACTCTTTAAGAGTAGAGTCACTCTATTATTTTAAAGCTTAAGAGCATACAAGCCCAGGTTAACTTTGATAAAAAAAAGGTTGAAAAAGTTTTAAATAGTAAAATTGGTAACGGTCTATATTGGAGTTTAGAGAGCTATAACAAAGACTAATATCCAGATTAAAGATAGAATGTTTTAAATTTGATTTTAAATAAACTTGTTATGCAAAGTGAAAGTCATTAGAAATTGAAAGAGGCTTATAACTTAAAGTTGACCAATAAGGATTTTACATCTGTTATCATAGATAACTTTCCTCCTAAATTTTAAGTAAATCTTTTGAGATTAAAAATAAATTTAATATTTTTTTAAAAAAGAATAATGAATTTACTGATGAAAAGATAGAAGAAATTTTAAATAAATATCCAAATCTTCTCAAAAATGTTGATTAAGCTGATTCTAGTATGGTTATTTATTTTATTTAGTAAAAACGAATAATTTAACAATTGTTTAATCATTAATAATAAAAAGTTAAAAAAATTTTAAAAAGTGAATCACTCACATGCATCTTAGGTATGCCAGGAACTGGAAAGACATTTTTAATAGCTCATTTAATCAAGATTTTAGCTGATTAAAAAAAGAAGGTCTTGGTCACAAGTTTTACTAATTCTGCACTTGATAACATAATTGTTAAGTTATTAGAGATTTTCCCTGAGATAAAAAATATTTGCTTAAGAAAAGGATCAAATAAAAATTTGATTCATTCAGTTGCTCAAGAAATTTTATATAATCCTTACTCCTTTGAGGAAGAAAGATAATTTTCTGACTACTTAAAAGAAAAATAGATATATTTTGCTACCATTATTGGCTCAAATAATAAATTATTTCGTAAGTTTTCACATTAAAAATATATTTTTAAAATCTCATTATTTTATAGACAGTGAAAAGATTAAATTTGACTATTGTATTATAGATGAAGCCTCCTAGTGTGTAGAGCCTCTTTGCTTAGGTCCTATGCTTATTTGTGATAAATCTATTTTAATCGGAGATCATTTCTAGGTACTGAATAAAAATATAGTTAAATATAATATTCAACTTATTAATATAAAAAGCTATAACCTCTAGTTAAAAATGAAGAAGCTGGCAAATAAGGTCTTTCTATTAGTTTATTTGAAAGAATGTGTAATTAATATCCACTATGTTAAGTGAAGCTTAAAAGCCAAGTAAATAAATAAATATTTTTTTAATTATGGTATTATGACATTATTGATTAAATTAATAAATAGTTCAGAATGAATAACAAAATTATGGAACTTTCAAATATAATGGTGTATAATAATTAACTAAAGGCATTTGATGATAACATTGGTAATAGAAAAATTAAAATTAATGAAGATGACTTAAAAAGGATAACAAACAAGAGTTTAAATCATTGTATGTAACCTAACAATGAGGTTGTTTTTATAGATACAAGCCTTTTGGAATAAAGCTTCAAAGTTGAAGGAGCTGCTGAAGAAGATTTAGTTTAGAAATAATCAATTGAAGAAAATAGATTTTAGATTAAGTTTATTTGTTTGCTGATTAAGAAATTTTAAGAAGTCAATATTTAAAATAAGAGCATGGCTTTAATTACCCCTTACAACTTTTATAGAGTTCAATTCTTAAAAAATATGAACTAGCTTCATATTGAAGTAAAACATAATTATTTCCATACAACTTTAATAGAATTTTAACTAAATAACATTAAAAGTAAAATGACCTTGAACTCTTCACAGTTGACAAAAGTTAAGGAATAGATAAAGATATTATAATTTTACATATATCTGATAAAATTGGAAATGATCACTTATTATCAGTAATATTTTTAAACAAAAATTATATTCTAAATTTCATTTACCAATAGAATTGGAGAAGAACAAATGTTGCTATTACAAGATCAAAAATGAAATTAATCATCGTTGGAAATTAAAATGTATTAAATCGCTATAAAACCATAGACACTTTAATGACTATACTCTAATAAAAGAAATATGTAATGAAATTTTAAGAATTTGTTTATTAATAATTCCTTTGATTATTAAAACAGGTATACCAACTAACTCAACAAGAGATGCAAGAAATACAAGAAGAAGTTCTTTAATTATAAAATCCTGAAAATTGATATAAATTACTTCATTCATAAAATTTTATTTAAATAAAATGTAAATTATCTAAATTTATCTCAAATATTTTTATTACAATATGAAAAAATAAAATAAATATAATCAAAATAAATATATTTAAAAATTTCATTTAAATTAAAAATTAATTACATAATTATCTGAAATTCTTTAATAAAAACTAAAAATATTTTATATGAATATTTATTATTGATTGATAGAGAGAAAAAATTATTTAAATTAATTATTTTCTCGAATAAAAAAAATATCTACAATTCTTTAATTATGAAATAATATATGATATAAACATTAATTTTTTTTATGTAATAATAAATTAATAAATAAATAACACCTGTAAATATCATATAAATATTTTGTTAATTACTTAACATATGTTTTAAGTACTTTTATAAAGTATTTAATACAAATATAATTAATTAATATACATAATTAATACAAATATAATTTAAGTTAAACTTATACTACCTAAAAAAAAAAATCAATTGAAATATAGTAACAATAAAATTACCTTCAAAATGTATGTTTTGTTATTTAAAATGTATTTGACTACTTTTATTTACTCATAACAAATTTTATATTAATTAATTTTTATAATTTTATTTTAAATTAATATATAAAAAATTATAAATAAATCATTCATAAATAATTTTATTTACTTAAAATGTATTTATTTGCAGTACTTTTAATCTATCAAAAATATTGAAAAAATAAATATATATGTTTAATGATATACATAATTTAAAAAAATCTTTTTCATATGAAAATCATTAATTTTTCTCCAAGAAAATTTGATTAAATTAAAAAAACAATACTTTTTAAATTAAAAATAGTTAATTAGAATGCATACAAATAGTAAAAAGATAAATAAATACTAAATTTAATTAATTAAATATTATTTTTCATTTCTTTCCGACTTTCCATGCTATATCAGAGTTAACTCCGTGTAATTAATTTTTAAGCATCTTAGGGTTAGCCCAGGCACTGTTCATGTATTGGTCTTCATCATCATCTTCTAATTTCTTTTTTTAAATTTAGTTAAATTTTCAATATATTAGATATTTATTTTTAAAGTAGTTAGGATTTTTTAAAATAATTACTTTTTATTCTTCTTATTTTTTATAGTAATAAGCAAGCATTTTTTTATGGGTTTCTTAGTCAATAGCAGGCTCTCTAACTGGAGCACCGCTACCAGCTTTTTATAACTTTACAATAATTTTAGTTTTTTCATTTTTTCCTGTGTATTCTTTTAATAACTTTCCTCTGAGAAGCTCCTTTCCAGCCCACCATAAAGTTGCATTTTTAATATCTAAATACTATTTTTATAAATAATTTATTTAAAACTGGTTTTATTCATGCGATTCATACATCACCAATATCGAATTCACGATCTGTGAAGTCAAATTAGTTTTCTAAGATAAGTCTAGCAGGTTCCCATTCTGGTAAACCGTGGTAGCCAGGATATCCAATCATTACAGCACCTCTCAATAAATTAACTTGCTCTTTTAAAACTTCGACCTTTAAGACTACTTTGTTTTCAACCTTAATAATATGTGTCATATTATTAATCATTTTAAAAATATAATAAAAAAATAAGAATTACATTCTTTTTTGAAATAACTTCTTTTGCTTGGTTTGCTGCATTGATCATAGTATTAGTGGTTTCTTCTCCCAAAATAATACCATATCTGTATGCAGTTTTGTCTTCATTATATCTTTAGCCTGGCTTTACCTAAGGCTTAAAATTCCACTATTACTTTTTCTCAGGTGGATAAAGTTCCCTATAAATATATAATAAAATTTGTTTATTTAAAATATTCTTTCTCTATTTGATCTTTATTGTAATTAATTAAGTTTACATTGCAGAGTTCCAAGTTTCAGCATCAGAAAGTCCTCTTAATTCTTCGGGTTTCATTACACCTGTTCAATTATATTTATGTCACCTATCTATCTAAATAACCTAAAATCAATTAATTACCATGAGTTGCCAAGTCTTCTACACTAACTGCAAGTCTATCTAAAACAATTCTCAAGTTGTTAACTAATTTTAAAAATAAAAATGTTAATTAAAGTATGTTAAGAGAAAATATGAAAAGAATATTTATTACTTTCTACCAAATCTGCAATCACTTATTCTATGTTTGTTTCGTTTGTGGTTTCATGCAAAAACTAGTTGAATTCTGTTTTTTTATAATGAATAAGCACCATTTATACTAAATCCTTTTTTTTGTTGAAATGAGTTAAAGTTGTAATTAAAAAATATAATTTTTTTTAAATATTAAATATATAAATTTTTGATTTCGCAAATTTTTAAAATTTCAGATTTAATTAAGAGATCTAAAGATTTTAGATGATTCTATTCGTTTAATTTATTATATATTAATAAACATAGAGAAAAAACAAAATTTATAAATAAATAGTTCCTCTTTTAGATTCTTAAGTTTCATTTATTTATTAATGAAATTTAATTTTCTATATAAATATATTTTACTAATAATTTTTTTCAGAAAATCTGAAAAAAATAGGAAAATTGATCAAGCACAATACAATAAACTGATAAAGAGAATGCATGCATATATTCTGTGTGTTATATTTTAAAAATAAAATTAAGAATATTTGTTATTAAAATAAAAAAATATAAATGCTATTCTATAAATATATTTTTCCTTAGAATACTCAATTAAATAATAATATAAAAAATGTCAATATATGCTTATTCATTATCTAATTATGAATTGCTAATAATATCTAATTTTTGATTTTTTTTTCTTTACAGGTCTCGCATGAGTAAAAGCTCTCATTTAATCATTAGTCACTTTATATGCTGTATATAAATTTTGCTTGATGTAAGGAATTATTGTATGTATAACAATAAAATGTTTACCCTTCTCTCTTATTAATGATTATTTTTTACTAAAATATATAATTTATTTTTACTTTTTACAATTTTAAAATAAAATTTTATTCGAATTATAATAATTTTCTAAATAATACAAATGAATTTTATGTATTTCAACTAAAAACACAAAAGTTTAATAAATTAATATAATTATAATGCCTTAGATGAATCTATTTATTAAATTGAAACCTAAATGTATTATTTTGTTGCTTATTTAAATTTATTTTTTTTGATTTGAGTAATAAGATTGCTACATTTTTAACCTGATCATTTAATAGAAAAAATGAAAGTAAAAGAAAAAAATATAAAAAACTTAAACAAGCTTTGTTTTAATTGTTTAAAATAAAAATATGTTATTTATAATTATTTGTATTATAAAAAAGATAAATAATAAAATAAGAAATGTCTTATTAAAATTGCCAAATATTTACATTATGAAACTAATGTTTAAAAAAAAATAAAGAATGTAAGATAATTCTAAAATCCATAAATTGTAATCTTAATGCTTTGTTTAATCTATCTACAAAGTGTTTGTTAACAGAATTTTTAGTTGTAATGTTTATCAAAATTATGGTAAAAAATGAATAAAATTTTGTACACTGATTCTATGGTAAGTAATTGAATTGGCTATTAATTTAATTAGTATTTGGAAGATTTTTAACAAGTAATTCAAAAAAATTAATTATCATACTTGGTTTAAATCAAGAAATAAAAGTAGGAATAATAGTGCTTTTATTTGAATTGAATTATTTATTTATTTATTGATAGATCTTTAAAAATATATGTTAGACAAATAAAGTTATGATTTTATATAGCTTTTTAATATTTTTGCTATTATTAAGCTAGTAGCTTATTCATTATTTCTTTTGTTACTTGTCTTCAGGTCTTACTTAATGCTTTCATGCAACTTCTTTTCTCATGTTTTTAGTGGCAGCAAGGTTTAATTCAATCTTAATTAATTGACTCTAGTGAGGAGCTAAGGTTTGAGAAGTAAAGCTTTGAGCGGCTAAAGAAAGATCTTAGTGGAGCCAGAGGTCTCTAACGATGAATTCTTGATTTTAAACATTGGGTAAGATATCAGCAAAATTGATAGTAGCACTGAGACTTTCGGTGTCGTTCATATTGACAAAAGCAACAGCGTAGTTGTGGGCCTATACAAGTTCCTTAACCCAAACATCAACTCCGTTAATAGTTCTAACTCTAGTAGCTTACTTGACTAAGGGATCTTAGCTAACAGTTTGGATGACTTCAGCGTTAGAAATAATATCAAAGGTAGCAGCAGTCATATTTCTTAAATCAGTAGATAACATGATAGGGCTGGACCACATAGACCAGAGATTGAATTAGGTTCTGTATTCATCATCAGTCATACCGCCTTGTCCAGTGGTTAAGAAATCAGCCATATGGAAAGAACCAGGAGCTGAGTATTTGGCAATATCTTCAGTAGCCCAGTATTCAATAATTCCCTTAACTGAACCCCAGTTATCTCTAATATCATCACCATAAGTTCTCCAAGTGTTGCAGATGGATCTTAAGTAAGCCCAGTCGAATTCGTTAGGCTTCATGACGTAAGCAGGCCAACTGCATTCATAGACAATATTAGCATTTTGTGAGTCGATTTGTTCATGTAAATCAGTATAGTCATAATGATATACAGGTAATTCTTCATAGCAACCATCCATTTTAAGATAATCTACTCCCCATTCCTTGAAGGTAGCAATATCAAGAGCATAGTGATCCTTGGATCCAGGATATCCACCACAAGTGTGAGTACCAACATCGTTGTACATACCATATTTTAATCCTTTACCGTGGATGTAGTCACCAAGGTTTTTCATTCCGCTAGGGAAGTTAACTGGGTCAGGGAGGAGCTTTTGAGTGACGGGATCTCTTTCCTTAGCTAAGTAGCAATCATCTACATTAACGTATTCATATCCTAATTTGTGTAAGCCTGATGCAACCATAGCGTCAGCAATTTCTTTAATATTCTTTTCGCTGACACAGAGATCAGGAAGAGCAGTACAGTTAGTGTTGCACCAGAAAAGGTTCCAAGTTGACCAACCAAGAGGAGGAACATTGGCTAAGCCGTTATCAAGGGAGTGAACAGCAGCGAAACTCAAACAGAGCAACAAAATAACTTGATGAACTTTCATTAATAGGAAGTAATTTAGATTTATTATACTTACTATGTTTTTTTTATTAGTATTTTTTAATTATTTATTATTTGCTTTAAAAAAATTCGAGAGATAAATAGGCAATTGTTGCATGTAAAAGATAAGGAAGCTGTAAAGTAAGTAAAATTTGTGAAAAAGATAAAGGATATGAATGCTTATAATTTACATAAAAAAGATATATAATTAATTACAAGTGAGCTATATAAGATAGATGTGTTGTAATCTTAGTCAGAATTATTAATATTCGGTACTTAGAGAAATAAATAACTATATTTAAAATAATTGATAATTATAAAATGTAAGTCTGTCGGTCTGTCTGTCTGAAATCAACATTTTAGATACATTTCTAAATACATCTCTCTTAAAAAAGGGAGAATCATATTGATTGATATCTAAGAAATTTGATTAGTTCTATTGGTTGAGTTCAAAGTCTAGCAGATAAATATTTAAAATATTTAGAGCTATATTTGATAAAAATTAAATATAGCAAGCAACCAGAAATTGAATCTCTAAATAATTTGTTAAATATATTCATTCATCTTTTAATTATTTATTTATCATAAATAAATTTAATCATTCATTCATTCATTCTCTCTATCTTTCAAAACTTTTTTACTCTTATGCATATTTGATTATTTATTTATTTGTTTGTTTGTATAATAAGTTTTATATATTAATAGGAAGCAACTAAGCAAGCGAGCAAATAAATGCTAACAACAAGTCCCAAACCTATAAATAAGTAATTAAATTAATTTTTCAAATCTATCGACAAAACATATTTAATTTATAGATAAGGTATATTGTTCTTAAGTATATTTTATTTTATGTTGACTCTTTTTCATTAAGAATCTTGGCTTTAGCTTTCTTCTGAACTATTATTATTTTCTTTGTTAGAAATTAGTTAGCCTTCTTCTTCTCTACTACTATTGCTGTCAATACTTACATCTTATTATTGGTTTTCTTCAGTTTAAACTTATCCCTTTTCTTCTTTTTATTACACTTATTCTTCAGCAGATTTTTATTCTTCTTATACAACCTAATTTTATTGTTCTTCTACATTTTATTAACCTCCTTCAGATTTTTATTCTTCCTTATGCTCTACAGCTTCTTAATTATTTGAAGAGCTTTTTTGTTGTTCAGCTAAATGTTAACTTTCTCCATTAGCTTAATTTACAGTTTCTGATTGAGATACCTCCTATTAATTATTTTCGATTGATGGGTCTTCTACTTCATCATCTAGCAATGATTATTCAGGTTATCTAGGCTGAATTTAGCTACTATTATTTCTCACAGCCTCAAGTCTAGCTCCCGTATTTTTAGTAATTTAGCCAAGCTAATCAATTAAATCAGTTAAATTCATTTCCTTATTTTAAATAAAGTCATCAACATTAACAAAATGAGATCTAACATCTCTGCTCTTATCTTTGCTCAACTACTCAACAATCTAAAGAATTTTAGGATCTTCCTTTAAAGGGCCTTCATAGTTAAAATAAGTTATAATTTTTTATTAAATAATGTGTAATAAATAACTTACCATTTTATTTTATATGTTGAGAGACAGCATGGGCTAATGAGATTCTAACATTAACTACTTTATCTTTAGAAAGTGCTTCAAAGGCATCCATAAAATATTCTTTAAATATTTTATCATACATCATTAATTAGTTACACATCAAAACAAATCTGTTGAAATATTTAAAAAAATTGTAAGTCTTTGCTACTATATTGATAAAATTAAATTTCAAAGTTTTTTTTAAATTTTTACGTTTATCTCTAATTGAAACGATTGGAAATCGAAAAGGCTTTAATATTGTTTACTACACATTCAAAGAAAATTTCAGAAGTTTCTGCCTTTTCAGATAAAAGCTGAAGTAGAATGGAATGAACTTTTTTTGCAGCCTCTTCTCTTACTATTGCAACTGTATCGTTACAGAGTTTAAAAGAGATGGGCATAATGTATCTAAAAACAGTTTCGCTATTGAACATCAAAGTTAATTCATCAATTTATTTAGCAATCAATTCTCTTATTCTCCACTTTTTGGGATCCTTTTGTAAAATTAGGAACACATCTAAAAAGTTTTCCCTTTTTTAGCTGTCAAAGACCTTCATGAATTAAGCCAAGTGAGAAATAGCACCGTACTTGACTTCATCATCTAATTTTAAATATTTCATTTCAATTATTCAGCATTAAGTGTAAGCAAAATTTATACAAAATAAAAATTTAGCAATGCTTGAAAAATAAATCTTATTGATTTTAAAAATTCTTTTATTAAATTTTAAGGAAAGACTTTATCTTTTCCTACAAAAATAAAATTAAGAGTATTTTGTTTTAAAAGAATCAAACGAACAAAGAAAGCACAGTAAGTAATAAAGCAAATTCTTTTATTCTGTGAAATATCTAATAATTTATCAATAATAAGTGGAAATTTAATTAAAGCTTACTTGGGTCTTTAAGAATTTAATCTAATACATTAAATAGATCTTTCTCAGCCTTTTCTTGTCCTAGAATCAAAGCAATTTCATGTAAACTGCATGCAATTGGTTTTTTAACTTTCTGATTTAAATTTTTTAAAAATTTTATACTTACAACTTAAAATATTAAATAATTTGATTACCTTAATGTTGCTTTTCAATAAGAAACTAAAAGTTTTTTAAAGTTGATTCCATTTCTTTTCTCCGTAAACTTTAAGAATTGCAGGGAAGTATTAAGCACATGATATTAATATCTATTATTTAATAAAATATAAATTAAATATCATTAAAATCTAAAAAATGATAGTTTTTTTACAAATATGTTATTAAAATCTTTTAATTTTTAATGCAGATTAAAAAAAAATAATGAAAATAATCAAATACTTCATTTTCATTTGATAAGCTATTAATTGTGTTATCAGTCATTTTAGTGTAATGATCAAATAATTTTTCAGAAGCATGGCAGTTTTCTAAAGTTACGATAAAAGGACCTATTAAGATTAAAACAATCAATAAATATTTTTGAATTGAAAATAAAGTATTCAAAATTTACCTAAGTTTTTATAGGCTGCAATCTTAACCCATTTTGATTAATCCTTTAAACAATTTAAAAGAAGCTCTGTTAATTCAATTTCCTTGACTTTGTTGTTGCAAATATTTGATATTTCTACTATGATTTCTACACATGCTTTTCTTATACCCCAGAAATTGTCTTGACTTTTCCTAAATTTTTATTTTTAAATTTTTGACTAAATTATAACGAAAAATCTTATTTACCTGATATAGAAAGGTAAAAGACGTTGTTAAAAGAATTCTTAAGATACAACTTTGCCAACAATAGGTAAATTTAAAACACTTTCCTTTCTTACACGGAGTTGAGGATCTTCTCCTAAACTCAAAATTTCTAAACCAACAAATTGCTCGCATAATTCAGTACCAAAACAGTGGGCCATTTGAGTAAGTAACTTTTAATTTTATAAATTTTAATTGAGCATTTAAATGCAAAAGGATTTTCTTTGAATAAATTACTTGAATAGCAACAATTCTATTATCATCAACTTAATCATCATGAGCCATATTTAAGACCTTTGTTAAAATATATTTTCCTCTATCGTCTTTATTCATAATATCTCCTATCTATGCTAAGATTTTACCTGAATCTTCTTTAATCTATATGAAAAATAATTGATTTATTTATCTTACATTTAAGATTGAATTTGTAAATAAGAATTAATAGAAAAAGTATTACATCTAAATTTTCGTTTCCTATAAGCTAGAATAAAGCAGGAGTCAAAATATCTCTGATTTAGGCATAACCTTAAGGCTATACCTTAAGATAATCAATAACTTAAGGTAGTTATACAAGTAGTGTACGCTTAATATCGTCGTTATCTGCAATCTTTATATAAATTTGTATTTTTTAATCTAAAAATCTAAGTAAATATTGGTGATTTATCTATTCTTTTATTTTTAGTTACCTAACAATTTCAAAAATGGCTCACATTTATTTATTTTTTAAAAAAAACACATAAATCATTGACATGTTTTTTAATCTTTAAAGTCGTTAACATGAAGAGGGTAATGAATAAATAAATAAAAGTAGGAAAGAATTTAAAATTATATAAAATAATTACAATGAAATCTATAATCTATTTTAAATGCTCGTTTGCAGCGTCACCAATCAGTTATAAAAGATCTGCTAAATGCTTTGTGTAAGTTAATCTATTGATAAAAAATTATATAAATTTATCAATTAAACAATTTGTCTGTCTTAAATTAATTCTTTATTCAATAAGCTAACTTATTTAGATCTCTCTCTAAGTTGCTCATAGATTTTATCGGAATAGAAAATTTTTCTATTAAATGAAGGCTTGCTAAGTATATAATAACGTATTATACCTCTCATTGAAAGGACATTTTGATAAATTTATTAATTTCTGAAGAGCACCGTCTTAACTAAAATCGATAAAAATGCCATCAGTTTAATCCCTTCTAACAAACTCTGGGAATCTTTCGATTTCTTCAACTAAATTAGGAGGAGCCTCATTTGCTTTTAATTTTAAACAAAAATTTACATCATTAATAATCACATAATTTGCTTGTTGATATTCTTTTTGGAAATTGCTATTCAATTTTTACCTTTTCCTTCCTCTTAATTGTTATTACTCATATCTCTTAGTTAATCTTTTGATTATTTTCTCTTATCTCTTAAAAAAATTTTTTTCTCAAATATTAATTGTGATTTATTACTTGATAAGAAAAATTCTTTTTTATTTAATTTATATTAAACAACAAACAATATTAATCTTGAGCTATTATTTACAAAACTTTTATGATTTTTAAGAAAAAAATAAAGTCAATTTCAAAAATATCATTTAAAATCAAACATATATTGCTGTCAATAATTAGCTTATTATTTAATTCATTTTTGATTAAATAATTTGTCGATTGATTTATATTTGTTAGCTTTATTACTATATTCACTCTATATAATTTTCATATCTATAGGTATATAGGCAATATAGGCAGATAAGCTGATACTATTTTAAAAGAAAATTAATAAATCTTTTCAATTTTATTTTTCTTTATTTTAAATTAAAGCTAAAGCAACTATTTGCTCATGAAAATAAAAATTGCAAAATCTAAATTAAGCGAAATTTAGATTCGTAATAAAATTCTTGATTAGTTTAAAATTTTATTTTAAATATTTCTAATTTTGATATCATTTAACTTTAAATTAAACATTTTACCAAATATCTGTTTAAGCCTTTAAAGTAAAAAGAAAACTTCAAATTAATTAAGACTTTATAGTATCTTATTTAACTAAAATTATTTAAATTAATTTTCGAGAGTAAATTTTATTTTTAGCAAATAAATTTTGAGAAAATAAATTGATAAAATACTTTTTTATTTTTAACATCAATAAAAAATTTGAAAATTAATTTAATTCTTTGCTCTCATTTTACTAATAAATATCTTATCCAGAATACTTTCTTGGATTTGATTATTTTAAATAATCTTTTCATTTAATTTTATATATAAACAAATTATTTTTTATTTTGTAAATATCAATTATTTTTTGGTTGATAAATCTCGATTAAAAAAAACAAAACCAAATTTAATTTCCTCATTAAATTTTTTATCAAACAAAAAATATATTTATTTTTTTTTTCAAATATCTTGATCAAAAAAAAAAGCAGCGTAGAGCCATTTATTATTTTTATATAAATATTCTTTGTTTTTTGTTTTTATTTTTCTTTTACTTTTTCCTTTTAATTATTTTATTTTTATCTTTTTATTTTTTTCTTTTGTTTTTCATTATTTTATTTTATTTTATTTTCTTTCATCTACTTTTTTTATGTTTTTATTGCTCTTATTTTATCTTGTAGGTTTTTTTTATTTTTTTCTAATTTTCTCTAGTTTTTTTGTTTGCTTTTGCTTTTACTTTTGGTTTGCTTTGTGCTTTTATTTCTCAATTTTATATTTTTATATTTTTATTTTTTTTTTAGTATTATTTTTTTATTTTTTTTTCTTCATATGATTTTCTTCTTCTTTTAATTTATATTTGGGATAGAAAGATTTTAGGTCAAAGGAGTTTAACTCAACTTTTTCCATTTGCCTCGCGAGTTTTTTTTCCACAATTTGTATAATAGTGACATAGTACCATCCTCTCCTAAAACATGTGGTGGACTGGTAATTAGCAAATAGACTTGTTAGAAAGAGACATCTTTTTCCACGGGAGTTAGGATTAAAGGTGTTCTTTTAACGTTGCCTAATGCTAACAGGGTTACAAAGGTCAGCATGCGTTAGTATAGCAGGGCTTTTCCGGACGTGGCGAAGGTAGGGCAGTCTTTTAGCATATGTGTATGCTAATAAGACAGGTTGAATACTTAATCTTTAAAAAACTTAATGCCAATAAAATCTCTCCTAGGGATCAAGCCCCTTATTTTGAGAAGATTAAGTATTCAACAATTTGCTTTAAAAACTTTGTTTCTGTTGCCAAAAATTTACAATGGAAAAGTTGCCATACCAATATTGATCTTTTATCACGCATGGTGAGTGAATAAGAGGACTTAGTGGAAAAAGGTTACCGAAGCCACCTTGTTTATTGTCTAGATTTTTTTTTCTTAATTTTCTTAAGATTTTCCTCTCTTTATCAATTTTTCTCCTTATGAAATTAATTATAAGAAATCAGGTGGGAAAAAAAAATAAAAATTGAATTTAAATTAAATTAAATCGAAATCAAATTTTTTCACTAATGCAATTCAAACAAAAGTAAAAATCAATTGAAATATTAATTACATTTTTATGATTTGATTTCCCCACCTGATTGATTAATAAAAAAAATTCTAAGCATTAAAAATAAATTAATTATTAGGTGGTTATAAGAATTATATATAATTAAAAAGCAAGTTGATTAATAAGTTTAAATATCAAATAAATATTAATTTATTGATAGATTGAGTCTTTAATAATATTATCAAATCTGTTAAACGTAATTTATTAATATTATATTTGACTGAGGTAAGTCTGCAAATATTATTAATTTACAAGTTATTAAAATAAATGCTATGAACAAGCAAAAACTATCTGATCTTCTATTTAAAATTACAAAAAACTTATCTCAAGTAATTACTCAAATATTTATTTTAAAAAGAATGTTTTGCATGTTTTTATGTAAATATTTTTTATTGCCTTTAGTTATTTGCTAACTTTCTATTATTATAATTTGGTGAAGTATTTAATGAATGATAAGAGATATTGTCCATTATATTACAAAACTAAATTATGCTACATATATATATGAATAAAATTCAAAAAATACTATGGTAAAATCTAATATTTTTAATTTATTATAATCAATGTACAATCTCCATGTTTTCATATCTTGTTTACTTATTTAAATTAGTGTAATATTCTCTATAGAATCTTAGCAGTGGTGACACTATTATCATAATCAATATACTATAAAACTAAAGAGCGATATGTGTCTCTCTTGAAACTAATAATCTAAGTATAGGAGTACAAACTAAACAAGTTATTAAAAACTTAGCATATAATATTCTCAACCATAAATCTTTATGTTCTTTTAGATTTTCTTTTGGTTTTTACAAGAAAGTGTTAATAAGGCCAGATAAAATTAATATCAGTCCAAGTATACCGCAAAAGATTCCTTCTGCTTTAGAATTATTTGTAAAATCACCATACAGATATTCAAAAATAGATTTTCCACTCAAAGCACATACTGTAAACATATGACAAAATCTTACTGTATACTTTATGGCAAGATCTTAAGAAAAAAACTCAGACATTATAATACTTACTTACTACTTTTATAGGTTTATTCTTGAGTTTTTATTAGGATTTTTTTATGATTTATCAAATCAAATTCTTTATAATTCAGATTTTATGATAATATTCTTAATATAATAATCTATTCATTGAATGCAAACAGATAAATCGTTATTGCTGATTTAATTATTATTTATTTTTATCAAGAATTTTATTCATTTAAGTGTAATTTCAAATGCATTAATTCATTAAACAATACTCAATGATTAATTTTACCAAATAGATTGATGAATAAAAATTTATTTGAATAACATTTTTTATTTTAAAGATGAGTACAAAAAATTAATTTATACTAAAAAAAATAGATTAAGCACTACAATAAAATTATAAGAGTTAGTGCTTAAATTTTACAAAAGAAATTAATTATTTAAAATAAATTTTTGAGAATTAAAATAAAATTGATTTTATAAAATAAAAACAAATAAATTAATCATTATAAATTAGCATAAATTAACAATTAACCGTAAAGCAATTTCAAAATTAATTAAGTGCATATGAAACTTAAAAAGATCTATTAGATAAATAAAAAATTAATTTTTTTACTTTAAAAAATTAAAAAATCTAAAAAGTATTTTTGTGTTGATTATTTATAACCTTTAATGATTGTATTTTAATTTTCTGCTGCAACTTTAAAAAGAAATATTTAATAGAAATATATTATTTGCAACAAATACTCACTATTAAAATTAAAACTAAAAATAATTTTTTGATGAGAAATATTATTCAATTATCATAAATTAAAATATTAACTGCGTTTTATAATTAAGTTTATCATCTGAACTTTTTAATTATTTTAAAAATTTGTTATTTACTTAATATTTAATGTTAATAATTAATTAATTATTTATCTAAAATTAATCTATAAAGGTATTTAAATAAATGTAAACTATCATTATTAGAAATATAAAAAATTTATTCTAATTGCAATGTAAATTACACATTAATTCAATACACTTTGAAGGATATATTGTGATTTTTAAATGAATGAATGATTGAATGAATGTAATATTTTTTAAGGCAAATTTTGATACAAGTATAATATAAATATGGTATTTTATTTCATAAAATTCCGTTAGGATTTTTTTAGATAAAGTTATAGGAGTCTCTGCAAATATCTTCTAAAGTCTTTACAGCCTTCCAATTTAAAATTTTTGAAGCCTTTTCTGCTTTAGCAACAAGTTGACCAACATCACCATCTCTTCTTTTAGTGAATTCGTATGGGATTTATCTGCCAATAACCTTAGAGTAAGTAGTAACAGTATCTAAGACACTGATACCAGAACCGGTACCGATGTTGATGGCTTCAAAGTTCTTGGTATCATTAAGCTTAGACAAATAATCTATGGCAGAAATATGGGCACAAGCTAAATCTACAACATGAATAAAGTCTCTTACACCAGTTCCATCGTAGGTGTTATAGTCATTACCAAAAATGTATAGCTTTTCTCTATTTTATAATTTATTACATATTTATATGACTGAAAAAATGATTTTAAATAAATTTACCTTTTTCCAATAACCACCTATTCAAGGAAGGGGAATAAGTTGTTAGGATAGACAGATGGAGAATCTCCAATCAAACCAGAAGAGTGTGCACCAGCAGGGTTAAAGTAACGTAAACAAACCATTCTTACTGAAGGGTGAGCAGCACACATAGCCTTCATCAAAAATTCACAGCATGTCTTTAATGAATATAAAATTAATTAATATAAGGTTTTTATAATGCTTCTTTTAAGTTCATATATGTATGAGTTGTAATAATTTTTTAGATTTTGTCTTGAAAGATATTTTAATTAATTAATTAATTAATTGCTCTTTTTAGTAATAGTTTACAGGAATTCTTGAATACTTTAATTGAACTATATACTAGCAATAGCAAATTTTTTTTTCTAAAGAAATTTAATTTACCTTTGTTTAAGCATAGCTTTATAGGGGGTTTAAGAGGTTGTCTTCATCACAATTATCAGTCTCTCCATAGACTGTGGCAGTGGAGGAGAAGATAAAGTTCTTAATTTGGAATTTTTCAACCATTTTCATGAGATTCAAGGTTCCGCAAACATTATTTTCGAAGTATAAGATAGGATTCTTAACACTTTCGCCAACTGCCTTCTTACCAGCAAAGTGGATAATAAAATTAACGTTTTCTCTTTTATCTGCGAAGCTTTGGAACATTTTATTAAGAGCATCTAAGTCAAGGACATCGATGTTGTGGAAACTGAAGAATTCTTTTTCATCAACTTCAGGATAACTTTCTTTTAAAATAGTGCGAATTTTATTTTCTACTGAGGGCATGCAGTTTGATAAGTTATCAAGGATAGCTATCTTGTAGTGAACGTTTTATGTCAAATTTTTTTCAGTTATGTATTTGTATAATTCAACGCATGTGTGGGAGCCAATAAAGCCCAAGCCACCAGTTAAGAGAATGGTTTCTGTTTGAACGGGTTACACTTCCATTGCTTATAAAATAAATTAAGTTATTATGATATCTTAGTTTTCAACAATTAAAAGATTTTTTTTAATTTTAATTATTCAATATACAAATGACAATTCATTCAAAACATATAAAGAACGAACGACAATAAAGAAGAAATATTTTGTTTGATGATATTTTATGATCAAAAAATTTCTTAAAAGCATCTAATTGTTTCTAATTTATATTACACTTATTTTTTTGTAAGGGCTAATAAATCATCCAATAGTTTTTCAGCTTTTACATTAATTAAATCATTTATTCTAGATCACATCATTTATATTTGTTAATTTATTATCATTTAATTATTGAAAAATTAAATTTACCTCACTTTATAGTGAGCTTATAGTAATTTAAGCAAGGGGGACTCTTGCTGCATAAAATAAATAAAGATTCAAATTGATTATAGCTTTTACTCTAAAAGTGACAATTAAATGTGAAATGAACTTAAAAATGCTAAAAATTTCGTTTTTTAAATTGAAGAAATTTTGGAAAGAAACAAATTATTACCAATAGAGAAAAAAAATATTGGGATTTTGTATATATATTTGTTATTTAGAAATTTAACCTTATTATTTATGAGTAAATATCTAATTATATTAATGCTAATGTTTCTACATTCAGAAAACAAATTTAAGTTTTTCAATAAAAGAAATTCAGCTTTATCCTAAGCTCAAAATCACTTTTATACTAAAAAAACACAATGAGAGAAGAGAAAAACTTAAATATTTTATAATAATAACATATAAATAATACGTGTAAATAAGTAAGTACAAGATTTGTTTAATTAACAAATAAAAAATGTTATACCAAAATTATTAATTTAGTACTATAAATTATTGAATTTTATAAATTAATTAATGAATTATGAGTTTTTTTCATTACAAATTAATTATTTATAGAAAACTTTTAATTTAAATTTAGTCATTTCTTTTTAATAGGAGCTTTAGTAAGAGTCTTTTAAGCACCTATCACATTACTAGCAGCTTACTTATTCTACAATGAGCTCTAAGTTACATTAGGTCTTGTGGCACCTATACCTGTATTTTGATTGCTTGTGGAAACTCTTTTTACTGGATTTACTCCAGTTGTTGCATTTTGCTATTAGGGCTTTTATTCTTTTTCGAAAGACGTAAAAGAATTTTTAGAAGAAGGAATTTTTGTTTGTGAAGACCCTAATTAACTATTGGTGTTAGTATTTATTTCTTTACTACTTTATTTCTAAATACTTTGCTAACCTCCTTATTATATTGTTGTTGAGTTTTATTTTTTATATAAATTTGCCTTTTCTAAATCAAATCCTCCACCTGTTTGTAATTCTGCTCTTCTCCTTCTCTCATCTTCCTCTTTCACTTTTTTTTCTTACTGCTCTTTCAAATACTTTTAATAAGCTTCTCTTGCTCTCTCATCTATAATTAATTAAAAATATTAAGTAATTATTGATTTGTAAATCTAAAATATAACCTGTTTCTTTCTTTTTCTGCTCATTTAATTCTAATTGCCTTTTCTCTTCATCAAGAAAATCTTGTAGCTTTTATCTTTTTTCTTCCTCTCTTCTTTATTTATCTAAGGCAGCATTTCTTCTTTTCTATATTATAATTAAACAGATTTTATATTTTTCCTTACAAAATTTGTGAAATAAATTACCTCTTCTTCAGCTGCTTATTCTTCTCTCTTAAGCTTTTCTAATTTAGATTATTGAATTCTAAGTTCTATCGGTTGTGTACCAATCATTTCTTCACTTAAGAGGACATATAAATAATAAACTCCAGCATTCTCAATATTGATAGTAATATCGTGCATATGAGGCTGATCATTATTTACCTATACAATAAACTAGAGCAGTTATTAAGTACCTATTTCATCAATATACACTTTTTCTTCTTAATATTAATTTTTAGTCATATTTGTAAAATTCTATGCTAATCTTTCAACTTCATCAATTGAGAGATTCTTTTTATCACTAACAAGCAATTAATATCTAAGTGGATAGAAGGGCTAGCAATAAAATAATAGAAAAATTTTAAATAAAAAAATTAAACTTGTAAAAATTCATTTTAAAAAGAAAAAATTTTAATTTAAAATTTGAGAGAAATGTTAAATCTAGAATGAAAAATAATTTTTTAATAATAAATTGATAATTCAGTTTTTGTGTATTCAATTAAATACAATATTTCAATAATTTTTACTTTTAAACCCCAATATCCTGTTTGATCTCTTAAAACAACTTGTAAGACAATGTCTTCATAAGTCTCAAATTTTTAGTTTTTTTCGATTCTATTTTTAAATATAAAATATATTTCCTAATTTTTGATTGTTAAGGAAAATATTACATTATATTGCTCAGCTTTGGATTAGGAAGTGATTTCGTCATAATTTAGAATCCACTATTTATCATATAAAATATTTATTTATGTATGTATAGTTAAAATTTTTTTTATATTTACGATCCAACAAATATATCTCTGAAAGTTTGTGATGTAACATCTTTATGCAGCTTAAACTTAACTGAAGTCTCTGGTTCCCATACATAAACAGTTCCAGAAGAGCTTAAAGCATAAAGTTAGCCATCATAGCCACATCCATTTACAATTTTTACATCGTCAGAAAACTCTGTCTCTTTTACATAGTCAATACTCTCTAAATTGAAGTTTAAAAAGTATTATTATAAGTTTATAAAAATATTTAATTTTTTATATATTATTTATTTACTGTTTGCTGAGATTTATCCTGTATAAAATAAAACTCCATCATCTGTAAAGAAGAGTGAGGCATCAGAAAAAGCCCTTACTTTTAATATTTTACTTCCCTTTAGTTATTCTATCTACTCAAATTGATTAACAAATTAATTTTTATATCCAAGAGCTAGCTATCCCTTTGAATTATCTCCCAAACCATAAACCTGATATTTTTATAAATATTAGCTTAAAAAAATCATTTTTTGCAATAATTACTTTTCCATTTTCATCTGAAATAATCATATGATTATTTCCAACAGCTATGCTAGTAATATTGTTATATTTTGTGCCTTATATTTCTTTCTTTTGTAGCTTATCTTTGAAACTGCCCCACCAATAACCTACATTTTATATTAAGAACTAACATATTGTGAAATACAATTCAAAATTACATTATTTATTAGTATCCAAAACAGCATAAAAATTAGCTCCTCTTGATATTTAAACTACTTCTTTTTACTATTTTTAATTGTTAATTTTTATAATAAATATAAAATTTCGTATTTGTTTTATATAAATCAAATAAAACATTTAATTTTTGAATTAAATTCTTAAAAATTGTGGTTAATTTTTTCAATTTAAATAATTTTACATTGATTTAAAAGGTTTATTCGAAATTAAGACTTTCACTGTTGTTAAATTTATTAGTACCCCACTCATAAACTGCTCCATTTAAATCAATTGCTAAACTGCTTGCTTTATGTGCTCCAACAGCATTAATGAATTTTCCACTAAAGTAACTCAACAATAATGGCTTTTCTATAATTCTTTTTACAATCTCAAATAAATGTTTTTCATAATTAATTATTATAAATCTTACTTATTGTATGAGGAATCTCCTGTAATTTGACCACATGTGTTTTCTCCCCAACCAAACACCTCATATGAATGCTCAAAAGTCTTTGATATTTGGCCATAATTAGGATAAAAGAGTAAAGAAGAGGGAAAAGATTTAACTAAAGCTATAGTGTGATGATCACCACATGCTATACTTAATACTTGTCTATTTTTGATCTAAGGTATTAGAGAAATTTTTGTAGACGTAGCACCTTCTAATCCTAAACATCCTGTATTGCTAAATCCACTGCAATAAAGGAAATTTACTGTCTTCTTTTCTTACTGCAATTTAACTTTAAAGTGTAACTCACAATCTTAGAGTTCTCTTAACAGTAAATCAGAATCACTTTCTGCCCAATTAATATCTTACTCACTTTTTGATCCTTTTGCCTTACCTTCTCCTTATGTTTCCTATTACTTTTATTAAATAAAAGCTTAGCAAAATCCTTCAGCTCTTAAGAATTCTAAGTAGCCACTCCAAACTTCTCCTAGATGAGACTTAGCCTATATTTTACAAATTATTTTAATATTCCCATTCCTAAAAAATTAAAATCTAAAACCTGAGCCAGTATTAGCCTCATATTTACACTAAATTTCTAAGTATTAACGTCCCTCTATCTATAAGTTTAGATCCATTATTCAGTCTCCTAAACGCAATCTTGGTATTATTTCATTTGTAGTAGGAGTTAAGCGCGCTAAATACAATACTTTTATTTAATACTAGGTTCTAAATCTTTCTCAAGAATATATTTTAATATAACACCTGTTGTTTTGTCATCTTTTTTTTTAATGCTTAACTCTAATTCCTTCTTAAGTTCTTCAAAGCTGGCCTATCCACCACCAGCTATATATGCTCCCTTATAATTATAATAAATTTATTAGTTATAAAACTTAAAAGACTAAATCTTTAAGCAATACCTGCTTTTTTTAGTTATTAGTTTACTGAGAAGCTGAACCCATGCTTTTTAGTTCCTCCTCTGAAAATTGCACTAAATTATTAATAATTAATTCGTTTTAAATTAGAATAATATGAGTAGAGTCAGTCTAAAGATATTTATTTTAATTTATTTACATCCTCTCTTTTCAAACATATTTTTTGTAATTGTCTTCTAAGCTATTTCCATTCCAGGCTTAGGCTAATCTTAAGTCTATTTTTTCTAGGCTTTTTTATAAGCCAATCTAGGATCTTCATCATCAGAATCGCTTGAGTCTTTTCTTTTCATTTTTGCAAAATATTTAGCTTATAACTTTATTAATATCTATTAAGTTTAAAATGATGAATTAAATTATTAAACAAACAAACAAATTATTATTATTATTATCAAAATATAGTAGTAAGTAAAAATCCGATCTAATCAGTATATATGTATCTATCAATATATATAACAAGAATGTTTTAACTAAGTTATTGATTTTTTTAAATTGTGAACAAGATTTTTGAAAATTTGATTATTTTTAAAGTTTTACTTATTTTTCAAAAAAATTTTTATATTATAGATTTAAAGCATTCTTAAAAAAATATTTTGAAAATTTAGAATATACTGAGTGTAAATTATTATTTTATTTTTTATAAACTGTTTTTAGAGAAATAATTCAAAAATCCACCAAAAAAATAATTTTTTTCTTTGAAAAGTAAGTATCACAATTATTTTAATTAAAAGAAAAAAATTGTTAATTTAAAAACTTATAAATTTTAATCTTTTTAATTGATATTTTATCATATCTTAATAAACATATTTATTGGTTATTATTTTAATCTTTAAATAATATACTAATTCATAAAAGATATGCTTATTGTTCAATTTTCAAAATGAGGTCTACAATAAAATCATAAGGAGTGTTATATGGTTATGGAATGAGTGTATATTATTTTGATTAAATTATAAAAAATTAATATTTTATGACGAGCTTAATAAACATTTTTATAAATTAAAATTTTAATTTTTAAATAATAATTTATTTCATAAAAGATATGTTTATCCTTCAATTTTATCTATAGGGTCTACATTAAAATCAAAAGAAGTTTCATAAGGCTAAGGAGTGAGTGTATAATGCCACCACTCTCCTGCATAATTAACGAATCCGTATTTTGCAAGTGTGTCATTTAAAAATTATCTGTGGAAGGCTTAAATTGAAGTTATGTTAGGGTTAGCAGTATTTGACTATTTTATTAATTTTAGTTAATAATGAATTTACAAATTAAAAATGAATTTATTAATTACTAAAGGATCCATACAATCGAAACCCGTACCAAAGTCAATAATATTATCATGGAAACGTTCAGTGATATTAGCAAAGCATGATGTTAAATTCATTCCTGGATAATATTTCTCAGATGGTTATGCAGGAAGTTTTACAAGAGCTAAATCGAGAGTAGATCCCTAAAATGTTTTTTAAACAATTAAATTACAAATAAATTAATCAAATTAACTTTTATTTATTTATATATTTAATAAAATTGGATTTAGATTAGATGTTTATTACTTTACAGTGATTTGAAGTTCTAGAGATGTAATCAGGGAATAGTTAATCTTTGTTTAGTAATGGATAGAATTCGTTTTTCATCAAAGAATCTGAAAAATTCAAAGACCATTAATAAAAATCTTCAACGGCTTTTTAAGGTCTGTAGCAATCATAAACTTTAATCGAATAACCTTAAGAAAGAAATTCTTTTTAGGCTAGAGAAATGTTTTAAGCTGCTTCAATTGTCAGAATACACTCAGATGCGTTATAGCCAACTATTGGCCTACCTACAAAATTATGGAATCCATGGTATCTAATATCTTATAAAATAGTGGGATCAAATTCTGACAAATAGACAAACCCTTAAGGAATGCAATAAATCAGATTACAAATTAGCAAGATTGCAACAATTTTTTAAAGCATTTTTTATATTCAAGTTTTACTGTATTTTTGATTGAATAAATCTTTATGATTACAAAAATATTGAAAATACAAAAAAAATTATCTAAATTAATTAACAAATCTCAACTATAATCTGGCATATTTTATTAATTGTTTGATTTATATATAATTTTTATACAAATAGAAAAGAAGTAATTCATTTTAAACTTTAATCAAAAGCCATCAAATAAATATTTCTTGATTACATTATATATTTAGTCCTCTTTAATTAATTTTTTTGAGTACCTCTTTATTTGAATTTCTTTATTTTAATATAAATTTTAGTATTTAATATTTTTTGATGAGTTTTGTTTAAAATACTAAAATAGTTGAAAAAAATCAATTAGATAGGAAAGTCTGTTTGAATTATTTCTAAAAAATTTATTTGGCATGTATGGTTTTTTTTACATACACAAAGAAATAAAGTTATTATAAATTTTTTTATCCTAAGAGAATAAAAATAATTATATTTATTCTGGGTGTTTATTCTACTCATTTTGTTAATGTTTTGATGGAACAGCAATAATTAAAAATAGTTATTCTCCAAAAGATTGGTATTAACGAGTAAATAGAGTATTTGCTTTTAAGTTGGTATAATTGTGATTAACCTATAGTTAATTAAATTAAAAATATCTTGATTTTGAACCTTTAAAGATTAGAACTTAACAATTTTGATAGAGCTAGTATTAATATTAATAAATAAATAGTAGCAGTTAACAGCTTTTTGTTTGGATAATATTTAATATTTCAATAAGATGGGTTTTAAAATCAAATCGTTCAAGTATGTACTTTTGCCTATTTTTATGATATCAGTTATAAAGATAGTCTTGTTTTATTTTGTTGCCTATGGTATTACTAATATTGTGCTGAACTATAAAAATTATATTTACATTAGTGATGAGAGTATACAGCAATTAACAATAGAAGCAGGAGATTAAATAGAAACTTTTTTCAATCGCCACTATAATACTTTATTTCAAATAAAAAATAAGGCTGAGAATATTGCTATTTAAAATTATAAATAAAGTCCTACTTCTTTGTAGACCTACACTTCCAATGTTTTGGATGTAGATAATAATGGACCTACTATTATTTTAGGATATAATTAGAGTACATAGTAGTCAGTAAAAGCTTTTTTATGGTGCAGTAGTGCATCTCAAACTGATATATAAATTAGCTAATTAAATCCTTAACAATAGTAACAAGTAACTAATAATTATTTAAGAATATTTGAGTTGATAAGACCTGTATATGTTGGCTATTAGGCATTTATAAGTGATATTATTATTTATTCTGAGTTTACAAAAATGTATATGCGTTTTCCTGCCAAAAAAGGCAATTAATTTAGTGGGAATGCAGGTTATGATTTTAGCAAAACTCCTTACTATTAAAATGTTAAATCAAATTACCTAAATAATAATAAAGATCTCACTTTTATTTCTTTTTCATCATAAACATAGGAGGCTCAATACCTATGTATAGTGATAGAAATCGATATACAATGTTAAAATAATTTTTGTGGTACTGCATGTATCATTCTTAAATAAAATTTTAATGAATTTCAAAGATGGGTAATGTATTAATAAAAGATATATTAAAATTTAGATAAGCTATTTATTATATTAAGAGCTAGCTAAATTATTTTCACTTCACCTACTTTGCCAAACTCAACTAGCTCCTAATTACTTCCTCTTTCTTAGGAAATAAACACAATTGTAACAAATTATAATACAATGAGAGGAAGTCTCCTCATTAATTAAACTGAAGATGCATGGATAGCATGTGATTCAGTTAATATAAATTACCAGTCTAACTAACTAGGTTACATTACCTTATGTTCGATTTCTTCGAAAAAACAAATAAAAACACCATTTAATAACTTTTCAGATAAAGAATTTACTTATATGTATGAATACCCTACCTACATCTACATTTTCAATCTGGTACTAGCATACATAATTATTTATCGAACCTTTTTAAATTTTATAAACCCTCTAAAGGACTGCAAGAGCAAAATAAAAATGATATGCGAAGATAATTTGGAATTAACTATACCGATTAATACTAAATGTAAATTGATATTATTTGCTCTTTCAATCTTCTTATAATTATTTTATTTACAAAGATTCAATCAAAGAAGTCAAAGAGTTTTATGATTCTTTAAGTTTTTTATATGACTGCCTTAGGTTTTCGATGGATAAATACTATAAAAATGAAGAAGACTCTGTCAAACTTATAAGGCTCTGTAGTGCTCTTAAACATTTTTAAAAATTAAACTATCTAAAAGGCATTATTATTGCAAATAATAACATTGGACTTATTCATATCCAAAATCAAAGATACAAATAAGCAATTATTTCATTCAAGAAATCTCTTGAAATTGTTGTAATAAATATAAAATTAGAATTGTTCATTTTGAAAATTATTTTTTATATTAGGAAGATAAGATGATTTAGTTGATAGGTGGATATCCCTTAGAGTAGTTTTATAATGTGAAACCTGAAAAAGGGTGGAAATATTTAGCAGAAGATAAAAATGAAGAGTTGATGCAGGAAAATGGGGAGTTAATCATTGATCTTGAGAATATCCCTGAGAGTATTATGAAATGCGATACTGTTGAGAGTTTTTTCGATCAAATACTTAATAGAGACTAAATATAGCATCCAAAGAAAAAGGATAACAAAAATGATAAGCACTCTGGAGAATCTTCATACAATACAATGAAAATTGACAGATAGTATTCAATGATGAAAAATAACAATAGATAAAAATTTGAAATATTTAATGGTATTCCTTCCAAACCTTACTCTACACCTATAAAAGCCATTTAAATGCAATAATTTAATATCTTAAAACCTAAAAATATTTAAAATACGAAAATAAAGATTTCTAAGAAAAATTATAACATATTGAAACAAAAGCTAGAGCCTATATATATAGACAGATGTAATTAATTAGCAAATGCCTATTGTATTTATGCCTTTGATATAAAAAAAACTGATAGAAAATAAGCCAAAAGATTGGCTGAAAAAGCTATTGAAAAGTAATTAATTATATACTTAAATATTTTTATGTTTAACTTGGCATTTAATTTAATGAAAAAGATATAAAATTGTTTCAAGATTATTCAAAAACATTGAACCTGTGCCTGATATTCTTAAAAGACACTTCATAGTTATTATTAGGCTTATTTCTTTGTATTTAGAATGCGCAGATTTTAACAAGTTCGTAGATAGGACTCCCGATTTAGGTGAGACAGAGTTTAACAAATCATATGACGCATATAATGAAGCCTAAAAAGTAATTAAAAAAAAAAAAATTATTTATTAATGAAAATATAAAATATTTTATTTTAAAGATACTTTAATAATATGAGTAAATGGGAGGAAATCAAGGCAATAAAGATATTTTAAATTAAGTTCACCACTTTTATATATTTCTTTACCTTAAAGGTGCAGGACTATATTCAGATGCTTATGAATATTTTTAAAAGTGTATCAAAAAATATAAATATTATGATCCTGCTATTAGGTAAATTAATAAAAAAGCATTAATTTTAATTAGTTGTTAAATTTCTTTTTTGAAGAATACATTTTATTTTAAACTTAAAATTAATTTATGAAATTAAATAGATACAGCTATTTGACTCATGTAAAGCAAATATTAGAAAAATTCTACCCTAAAATGCCTAAATCTCTAATTGACATGATACAAGGATTCAAGGTTCGTAAGAATAAAGATATAGCATTTGTGATAAATTTTAGCCAATAAGTGGAATTAAAAAAGAAAAAAAAGAAGAAATAATTTTAAAACGCTAGAGAAATGATAGCTCAGGTTTTTTGGAAAATTTATGATAGGTAGATAAGCTTATTATATAATAAAATATATATTTATAAATTTTATTTTTTTAATAAAATTAAGTTATATTGAAGCAAATGATAGGATGGCTTGTATTTTAATGAGAAAGCAAATTGATGTTATTTTTGAGTTGAAGTATAAGCATAATAATGAAAAGTATTTTAGGTCATCAATGGAATAAAATTTAACAATTAATGAAAATCCTCAAGCTCAAGATAAAAAGAAAATTAATGAAGAATCAGATTTAAATTTAAAAAGTAAAGAAAATTATATAGACTAAGAAGCTTAAAATTTAACAGAAAGTGGCAAAAACGATACTTCTGAATAGCCAACATTCAGAAAATTGTGCAGGAGTATATACACTGCTCGTAAGCTTTTTTACAAAGTAGAAGATAGAAAAAATTTAAAATGGATAGTTGTTCTTACGGATAACTTAGATAATACCATTGAAAGTGATTCATAAAAATAAAAATATTGCAGACTACTAAAAAAGAGCTTGGAACAAAGTATGAACACCTAAAAAAATGAAAACGAAGAATAAACTGATTTAGTTAATTTGATGATTATTGGTAAATTAAATATTAATATTTACAATAATTTTAATAAAAAAAATAAATAAATAAAAGGTTTAGATTTGGATCAAAACACAAAAATGCTCTTTAAACCTCTGTGCTAAGTAACTCAAGAGGGGATATTTATTGAAGACTGCAATATTGATGATATTAATATAGCTTTCTAATCAATAAGTAATATATCTCATTTGTTTGGTGGAGCAGCAGGCTCAACAGGTGTATCTATTAAAGATTTTTAAAAAGAAAAATTCAGAGAAAGTTAAATAAGTGATGAAATTTTTGAGGTTGAAGAAAAACTTAAGCCATGAAGGAATTAATGATGTTTTAATTAAAAAATAATTTTTAAAATAATTAAAAATAATAAATAAATAAATAAATAATTAATTAATTAACTAATTTCAATCAATATTTAAAAAAAATTAAATTTTAATAATTTGTATTCAGAATAAATCTATGCATATTTGTTTTTATAATGACTCAGATATACTATGATGAATTTATTAAACATATATATAAACAAGTTCAATTTTGATGAAAATAATTCATTCATTAGTTAAATGTTAAAATTATATTAATTAGCTTATTTATTTAAATATTATTTTTTATCAATAAAAAAAATGATTCTTAAACAAAAATAAATAATTATTTGAAAAAAAATAAAAGGGGTTTAAGTTAAAAAAATATGGAGTATATGCCTGCTAAGGCTATTTGAATCAATTTGGTTGAAAATAAATTTTTATATAGAGCTGAAGCACTGTATTTTTGATGCAGTCAAACAGTATTTGCTATTTCATGTATGAGTGAATGAATTGATATGATATTTATGGAGATTGGAGGTGAAATTAAGGGGAGAAATTAAATACAAATTTTTTTCATAAGATTCCCAGAGTGATAATTTTATACGTATAAAGATAAAAAAGAAGAAAAAATCAATTAATTTTAATTAAAAACTCAAACAAAACAATATAGTAAAAATGGCTAGAGGTCCTGCTGGTAAAAACAGAGGTGTTTCAAAGATCTCCAAGTGGTACAAGGCTGATGATGAAGCCACCCCCTTCCACAGAAGACAACTTAAGAAGGCTACCGCCACCAAGTTGAGAAACGACATCGCCCCTGGTACCGTTCTCATCCTCCTCGCTGGTAGATTCAGAGGTAAGAGAGTCGTCTTCCTTAAGCAACTCAAGTCTGGCTTGTTGTTGGTCACCGGTCCCTACAAGGTTAACGGTGTCCCCTTGAAGAGAGTCAACTAAGCTTACACTCTTTCTACCTCCACCAAGGTTGATCTTACCGGTGTTAACACTGCTAAGTTCGAAGATGACTACTTCGGTAGAGAAAAGGCCAGAAAGAACCACAAGAACCTTTTCAAGGCTGAAGTAAGATTGTTTATAATTTTATAACCAAGAGGAAAAAAGGAATGACGCAAAGAAACAAACAAATCAAAAAAGTTTCATATCGATTCATTTCTTAAAAAATAAATAATTTAATACTCTTCACTTAAATTATTGTTTAAGGAAGATTTTATTAAAAGTATCTATTCTAAATATGAAAAATAAATAGATAGATACATAGCATATTTTTGTTTAACTATTTTCATTCTTCATATTTAATTCTTGAATAAAAATCAAGATTAATATTCTAAGCACGCTATTAGCAGAAAGATAAAGTGAAACTTTCGCAAAGCTTACAGAAATAGCAAAATAAGTTTGAAAAGCTTCTACTAATGAATATTTTATTCAATAATATTTCATTTATTATCTTATGAATGAATGAATAAAATAAATTTGTTTCGTTTTCAATAGAAATTAGATTTATTAAAAGAGAAGTGGATAAAGCAAAATATATCCATAAATGCTATTAATTATCAATTTCTTATGTGTATTATGTTTGATTAGTTAAATCTAAGGAGAAACATAATATGGGAATATGGATTTTGAGTATTCTTTTGTAGTTATTAAAGTATTAGCAGTCTATATTGATAATAAGTAAAGTTAATATTAAGATGGAAGCATTAATATTTATAACTTACAAAAAGAAAAATAAGCATTAGGAGGTTTATTAAGTATTTAATAGCCACGAATTAAACTATTTGCTTAAGCCATAAAACGACAAAAAATGCCATTAGTAAAATAAAGCATTTCAAAATAATTAGAATAATAAAACAAAATACATTGAAGAATAACTAAAAAAATAGTTAAACAAATTATGCATTTGCATTCTTAATTGAAAGCATTAAGTGGATCGTATTAATATTGTAATATGAAATCAGAAAGATATCCGTTCATTTAAAAGCTCGTTTATTCATTCTGTTTGAATATTATAAATAAGAATATCGATCTGCACCTCTTGAAATTAGTAAAAATGTATATTACATGAATGATTTTTATTTTCAAAAGTTGACCGAAGAATAAAAGAAGAAGGAAACCGAAAGAAAGAATGCTAGAAAGCAAGACTAACAAGCTGTCGATACTCCTCTTCTCGCTGCCGTCAAGAAGGTTGAATTCTTAAAGAACTATCTTGCCTCCAAGTTCACCTTAAATAACAACGACAGACCCCACGAAATGAAGTTCTGATCTTGATGATAAATAGCTTAAAATATATAATAATTTTAAAAAATAACGAGTAATTAAATGTATATATCTGTATACAATTTTATTTAAACGATATTAAATACTCTACTAAATTTTCATTATACAAATTAATTAATTCATATTTCTCAAAAAAGAAAAATAACAAAGATTAAATCATAAATTATTTTTCTCAAATAAAGATTATCTAAATTTGCTAATTTTACAATACTCATTTTAAAAATAAGAATTAAAATGATTTTTTATTTTAATGCATTCCTTATTGATCTAAACCTCAATTTATCAAAAAAAAAAAAATGAAAAGAAAAGAATAAATAAGCTTTAAATTCCTTTATCTTTTTTTGTGTTGCTTTTTAGGAAATTTGTATCTATTTTAATCCATTATATACTAAAGAAAAAAGAATATTCATTGATTAATTAATTATTTACAAATTAAGTTTTCTAAGATATATATTCTCTCACGATATTTTTCAATCTCTTTCAAACAAATACCAGTTTTTAGAAACAACTCAATAGATAGATAGAAAGAAATATAATACTAATAAATGGATTTTTTAAGAAATTTAAATTTTTTTTCAGGATATATGATTGGCTTTACTGCGATGTGGCTGGTTCCTAGAAAATATTTTAATAAGATAGCTATATTCTATTATGATATTGTAGAGACTGACTATTCATAAGATACTCAAAATCTACAAATAAGCTATGAAAATACTTAATAATAAGTTTAACAATAATAATAATAAATCGACTAAAATGTACAGGATTAACCTAAAAATACTAATGCATGATAGTTAATAGTGACCATAAAAAAAAACAAAATAATTGAGAAAAATACATTTAATTTATAATCTAATTATTTATTTATCTATTTATAAAGCTATATTAATGTTTGCATTATTCTACCTAATATTATTTGTTTCTAATAAATAAAAAGCTCTTATAAAAAAAGAACTTTTATATTTCTGCTAAATAAATATATTTTATTTTAAAAATAGTTTAGAATATTCTCTTTTACTTTTATTGTTTATTAAAAATTTTAACTTTTAAGAATCTTTCTAATTTATTCTTACCTAATTTTTTCTTTTTTTAACTTTATTTTGATGTTTGTACTAACTAAGTGTAAATTGTTTTATTTAAAACATCAAAAATAGCTTTTAATTTACAAAATGTTAAATAAAAATATTTTTTTCAATATTTGATATAAATATATTTACAATTTAGAAAATAAGACTGATGACTGATTGATTTCAAGATTATCTCTATCCAATAATATAAGTAGTTATTAATTTTATAAATATTTTTAAAATAATAAAATGATTTAATGAGTACTCATCAAAGTTAAAATAAAATTATTTATTGATAGAAAAATGAAGAAATATTTTCAAATTTAAAATAGAAAGACTAAGTAGTTTTTTATTGATTAATATATTCATTCTAATTTAAATTTTATCTTTTTAAATACAGAAAAACAAACTTTAACTTTATTTTAGAATTTTATAAAAATATTTTTGAAATTAAATATCTAATACAAAATATAAGTTCAAGATGCTACATAAATTAAAATTTAAATAAAATAAAAAAAACTTTCATACTTTTCCTATGGATTAACACTCATAAAATAAAATGATAGTACCCAAGGGTACTTACTATACATATATATAAATATAATAAAAATTTTAAATAAAAATTCATAAATATAAATGTAAAAGTTAATGGTTTTGTATTTTTGATATTAGATTGAGATATTTAAAGTATTATTCTTAGATATTTTTATCGTTTATTTAAACAATCTTTAATGAGATCATTGATTTCATTCAAATATTTGTAGATAGTTAGTTCAAAGATAATATCAAAAAAATAAAAATTCTTTTTTTCAAAGTAAAAAAATAAAAAGTTTTTTTTTAATTAATAAACCAATATTTTGCATACATTTTGAATATAGATTTTTATAGAAAACAAACAAAACGATATACTAAATAAATTTAGTATATCAAATAAAAATTAATATTTACATAAATAAACATAATACAAGATCATAATTGTTTAATAATAAAAACAATTATTTCAAAGTATTCAAATCTATATTATTTTATCGATAATCCTTGAGCTTATATTATTTAAATTCAAGTTACTCTAAAATTTAATAGAATATTTTATTTCATAGTTTTGATTAATATAAATAATTTATGATAAATATAATAGACTTACAAAGATAATTCGAGTAAATTAACATCAATCAATTCAAAGTTTTAATTTATAAAACTTCTAAAGCCACTACTTTCTCTTCCTTTTCTTATTTTTTCTTGTAATAAGTGGACCAATCTATCTAGAAGTTGTACAATCTTAGAAGTAAAAGAGCGCTAAAAGCGATACCAGTGTATATGTAGAATATATTATTAAATCCAATTTTTGGTTTCAAGAAATATACAAAAATAAATTAGAGGAAATTTGAGAAACCAAAAGCCCACCTTTAATTTATAAAATTAAGTTAGTTATTGACCATGTAATTTATTTAAATTAAAATAATACCAATAGGTTCCATATATGGTAGATCCTACCTTAACTCCATTAAGTTAGGCTGAAAAAACAGGCCACATTGCGAGTACGCCGCCAAAAGTAGTATTAATCAAGAACATCCATATGGCAAAGAAAACTTCGTTAACATTAGTTAATTAACAAGTTAAAGATAAGAATATCTTTTTTAAAATAAAATATGATAAGATTTGTATTTCTTAATTAACTTAATTACCTAAAAGCAAAGGATACAAGTCAACATTTGCTTGAAAGTAAACTTATCTAACAGTGATGCATATGCAGGTCTTTTTAAATAAATAATAATTTAAAAAAATATTTTTTTTAAAAGTAATAAATCTACCTAGATAAACCATTAGCAGCGCTGACAAGTGCTCCTACTAAAGTCTAATAGCTGTCATTTAAAAATCCATAATCTTTAGCTACACTCTTGTAATTTCCGTTAATAATAATAGGGAAAGCAACTGCTAAGAAAGCTAACAAGAGGGACATGTAATATTGTGGTTTTTTCAAAGCCTCATACACACTTGGAGCTCCCATTTTTTAGTATTCCTCTTTTTCCAACTATTTCTGAATTTATTCTACTTTCTATGTTTCTTTGTTTAAGGATTATTGATCTAACTTAACTGACATTTCTAAAGCTTCGATTTCCTTTTCTATCTCTTCGACATACTCATTTGTGTGGGCTTTTCTATTTTAACCTCCATCTTCTTCCATAAAAATCATATCAATATTGACTTTAGTTTGAATAAAGCTGCTGGTTGTATTTGTTTATTTCAATTAAGCATTTCTTTCATCGTCATTGTCATTTGGATTATAGTTTCCAAAGTAATTTATTTATGCATTTTCTTAATTATTTTCTCCTGCAGAGTAAATATATTAAATTTTTTATTAGTCTTCAATTTTTTAAAGTTCGATATGTTTTTCTATCACTTTTTCTTATTTCTCGATAATTTCTATGTTTTATTGAAGTACTTCTTTTTTCTTTTAGATTAAAATTTCACTCATTCTTTTATCTTGTTATTGTACTGGCTTTAATTACTCGCTAGATAAGAAATCAAGTTTATGCTTGAGAATTTCCTCTTTTTTTTTCTTTTCTTAAAGCAATTTTTTTAATCTTCTTTCTTCTTCACCAATTTGATTAGGGTGATACATAATAAAGCATGAACCAAAAACTGAAAGAATTACATAAATTAAACTCATTTTTCTTAACGCTTCAGGTACTCTCTATGCAACAATAACAGAAGAACCTTAAAAGTATGAATAACCATCCTAATTTTTAAATTAATTTTAACGCATTTCATACAAAAATAAGGAATTTATTTACATGATCTTTTTCCTAAGTTAGATTATCAGGGTTTACAAATGAAAAAAAAGTCAATCCCATAACTAATGAGCATAAACCATAACCTGTAATAATTAATTAATTAATTTTTAAATAACATATTTACTAAGATAAAAATAATTAAAATAGAAAAACTAGTTAGCGAATTTAAATTACCACATAATACTGTGCCAGACACAAAACCTTTTTTTTTGGGGAAATAGAGATAGCCCATGTAGATAGGAATAAAATATATAGTACCAGAGAAGAGGCCAAATAAAATTCCAAATACTAAAACATATTGCCAGAAATAAGTGCAATAACTAGAAATAAAGACTAAAAAGCTGCAAATAATGGAAGCAGCCATAACATAGTATCTTGCTGAGCCAAACAGTTAAACAGCCTTAATACCTAAGGGCATACCTGTTGCTACTGATAACATCATAACTGGGAAGATAGCTCCTCCAACGCTCAAAGCTAGACCTTCATCATTTAGTTGACGGAAATATGATGTTATATAAACATTCAAAGTCCCCCACATAAATCTATGTGAAATAAATAAAATATTAATATTATAGTTAATTTTTATTAGTAAAATCCAATTAGTTACACTGCTCCAATAACTAAGTGAACAGTAAAACCTCCAAATACTGTGAGTAAACCTCTTTAAGTGTTAGTAAGTTTCATTTAAACACAATCTTTTTGCTGACTATATTCTTTAACCTTTTTGTTACTTTTATTACAAATTAATTTAATTTTTTTATATTTTAACAAATAATTATCTTTTTTTCTAATACTTTTAATTATTTCTTTAGCCTTAATTTTAACTATTTTAATTGATTTTACTTAATTGAAAATTTTTAATAAATCATTTATCTTATAAAATATTGTTACTCTGACCTCTGTAATGTTTTTTATTCATATCCTATTACTCTATTTGTCAAATAATATTATAAGGCTTTATATTTCTGAAATAAACTAACTGAAATTTATCAACATTTAAGTAAAATTTTCAACATTAGCTTTAGCAGTTGCAAGTTAAGTATTCTTACGCTATTAATTTCAGTTATGTATTTTTCAAGATCTTTTTCAAATTATAAGTAATTTTTTACCTCAAATTTCGAAAAAGCTTTTATAAAAGCAAATAATTATTTGTTTAATAAAAAAAGTACTTTTCAAGATAATTTCATCATAAAGTATTTTAGATGAGATAAATATTTGATTAATGCGTAGAACATATTTGCAATCATTTAAATTAATTGTAATTTTTTCCTTGGAAAGTTTTTTTCTTCTGAAATTAACCATTCAAATAAAAAACTTTCCTAAATAGCATACAAAAATAATATAGATAAATTAAAAAATCAGTTTAATTCAATGAACTGATATTTTAGTTTTCTTTTATTATATCTATTAATATAACTATAACAGTTTAGATTTTTTATTTTTTTTTTGTATCTTAACTTTTTCGTTCTAAGTTATACTTATCCACATTTTTAATTTTTAATGGTAGGAAAATTAAAATATTAAAAGATATTCCAATAATATGTTCCTATAACTGTTTTAATTTTTAAATACTTCATAAAATTACTTTATAATAAAACAAATTTATTCCTAATAACTTTCTTTATATACATATATATGATCTAAAATTAATTAATTCAGCTTCAAAGAAAAATAAATATATAAAAGAAATTAGTAAATTAATATCTTAATTCATATGTAAAAAATTTTTGTTTATTATTTATTTAAGAAATTAATTACAAAAAAAAAAAAGTAAATTTTATAGACTGAAATAGATATTAAAAATTTATGTATAAAACAATTTTATTTATATCAAATCAAATTAATTAAAAAGGAGGCAAATTATTAAATCAATAAATTTTATCGGATGTATTAGATATTTTTTATATGTATAAATAAAACAATTTTATTTATACTAACGAATTAATAAAAGGAGGCAAATCATTAGATCAATCGAAGTAATAAACAATATTATTAAACTATCATTTTTATTTTTTGTAAAAAAAATACAAATAATTGAGATTCTAAATATCAAAAGTATAAATCTTATCAAAAAATTACAAATATGGATACTTTAAACGAATCTACAGAATAAACTATTGACTTCAGACCATCGAAATACATCAACGAAAGAAAAGGAAGTTATATCTATGGCACTAAAATCACTCTACCTGAAAGCCATAAACTAGAGTTTAAAGATTACGGTTTGCCATTCACCCCAAATTTGAATTTCACTCTTCTGAAAACTATGTGCGGCTTCTTAAATAGGAGTGGAGGGACAATCTTAATTGGTGTAAATGACGATAAAATCATCAAAGGTATTAAAATAAATAATATGGATCAATTAAAGTTGCATTTTGATGAATTGAAGAAAAGATTCTTCCCAGAGCCCTTAGGTTTCATAAAGACTGTAGAAATTCCTGTTAAAAAATATATTGGAGAAGATCAAGAAAAGTATACTTGGTTACCAAACACTTATGTAGTCCGAATCGAAGTTAGTCAGGGTTATCTTGATAAATTATATACATTCAAATTTCCAAATAATGAAAAATAAGAGACTGTTTATTCTGCGTTTAGAGAAGATGCGAGTTTAAGAACTCTTGATACATTTGAGAAGATATACGAGAAAATATACTAAAAAGCTCTTTGTCCTGAAAGTAAATCAAAAGCTATTATTTATGAAGAGCCTGATTAACAAGGACTCGAAGAATGTCAGAATTTTTAGAAGCCAGAAGAGCATAAAATAAAGCATAACTCCTTAGCCTTTACTAATATATTGAGAGATAGAATAAAAGATTTTAAAAAATATCTAGAAGATTATTTAAAGTCTCTAGGATTTGTATAATTTTAAGATTTTAAGATAAAAGTAATCTCTGATTATATTACTATCTTAAAATCAGATAGAATCAGCTAAATAAAAGATGCAATAAATAAGATAAACAAATCTTGTGAATAGGTATCCACTTTTACTTATAAATAAGAATCGCTCTAATTTGGATACCTAAACAATGTAATCACAATTAAAGGAATTTAAAAAGATAACAAAGAATTCATTTCTTAAATTCAAAAATTAAATTTCGTGCATAAATTCAAAGAAAATGGAGATTTGGTTATCTATGCAAGTCAAAATATGAACGCAGTTCCTAATTTTTATTCATTTTGCAAATAAAAAAGAGTTCAAATCTTTATAAAATTTGATTGAGCTTTTTAAAATAAATGAAATCTTTTAAAGACAGACAGAAGCTTTTTACATGTTGAATAATTTGTTTGTCTTTGCTTTTTAACTAAATAAATTAATTCAGAAGTATTTTGAAATTTATTTTTATGTGATTTTATTTAGTAAGTGATATTTATGAGATAATTAATAATGTTAAAAGCTTTTATTTCTCTGCTATTTCATTTTTATAATATATAAATAAATAAATGTAATTTAAAAGAAAAAATTAATTATAGTTTGATCTAATTAGTCAAAATTTTAATAGAAATTTGGTTATTTCTACAATTAAAAATATGAAAATAGTTACTGATTCTTTTTTATTCATTTTGTATATTAAAAAAGTAAAGAATATTTTTAAAAAAATATTTGACTGATCATTTTTAAATGAATGAATGAATGAAATATCTTAATGATAAAGTTTCATACATACCAATAAAAATTGTTAAATATTTTATTAGATTTTAAATTTAAATGTATTTAATAAATTCAGTATATTAAATTTTCTATTTTTGTTATTTCAATATATGATATTTATCAGAATAAATAATAGCTTTTATTTTCGTCCTTATTCTCTTTACTTCTATCATAAATAAATAAACATATATTTTTATACTTCATTCTTTTGAATTAATTAGCCTATTTTAAACAAAGATTTGGTTTTATTTATAAATAGATATAAAATAGCATGCTAATTTTTATAATACTAATTTCTAAAAACTTCAAATTTTATAAATTTTGTATAACCTTTTTAAAAAAATAAAATATTCTTTCTTACATATCAATCAATATTATTTAATAATTTTTAAAACTTTACATGAAAGTTTATTAAATTAACTCAGTGTTTTTATTTTATTTTTTTTATGTTATTTTAATTAATGGTATTTACGAGAATAATGAATGACCCGTTTTATTTCTGTCATAGTTCCTAGTTCATTTTTTCATAAATAAATAAATGTAATTTAAAGCTAAATTCTAAAACTAATTTCTATTTTAGTTAATTAATTAGCCTATTATTTTGCAATTTAAAACAAATTGAAATAAATAATCAATGATAAGCTTAATAAGAAATAAAAAGATAAAAATCTTATTTTTTAATTTTAATATTAAGAAATTGCTTATCATAAGAGTTAAGCTTGCCTCCGAACAAGGTATGTGTGCTTTATTTGGATTTAAGGTAAATATTTTTTTAGTAGATCTAAGAATATTGATTTATCAGCCAATATTTAATTAATAAAAGATAGATTTGAGATATAAACAAGTAAGCGGAATTAAAAGTTAAATTTTGACTAGATATTATAAATTAAAGTATTATTTATTAACTCTCTTAATGTAAGAAATAGATGATAGTATTAGCGAAAACATCAAAATTTCTTTGATTGTAGTGAGCTCTCTCTCCCTTATTGCAACTTCTTTTATCATAATATTCTACCTTTTTAATAAGTCTTATCGTACATTTTCATTTGATTTAGTTTTAATGTTGTGTATTAGTGATTTTGTTTACTCTCTGATTAGCTTTCTAAGGGCTTTACTTATGCTTTCTAGCCCAGATACAGTGATTGGGATGTCATTATGTTATATTTAAGGTTTAATGATACAAACTTCTATTATTAGTTCTTACATTTGTAGTTCAAGTATATGCTATTCTTTATTTTAATGGATTGTGAGAGAAGTTCAAATTTTTAGAGTTTCTGCATTTAGATAATATTGGGTTGTAAATTTCTTGCTACCTTTTATTAGTGGAATAATTCTTTGCATTTTTAAGCTGATTGGACGTTTGGAACCTTTCCCTAACACATTTTGTTATATAAACACAGGTGACTAAGACAAAGATTAGTTATTAATGCTAATATTTTACTATCTTCCATTCTTCATATGTTTTACACTAAATTGCTTTTTAATAGTTAGAATTTTAGTTCACTATAACAAAAATAGAAATGAATTCAAAATTATATAACTAAAAGATATTCTTAAAATGTGTTTATATCCATTAGGATTATTTATAACTTGGTTTCCAATAATATTCTCTAGAATTTTAAGATATTATGACATAGATTCTTAGTTTATGGTATAAGTAGGATTCGTGATGGATAATATGAACGGTTTGCTCAATGCTGTATTTTACTACTTTCTATCTATAAATCCTATTACTTGTTGCATAAGTAAAAAATAAAATAGGCCATCTCGGTCTGATGAATAAATAAATACAGATACAATATAGGTCTCTTTAAACGAAAATGAAGATGATAGCCAATTTTAAAGTAAGAAATTAGAAGAAGAGGATATTGCAAGAACGGATTCTAAATTAATTATGATTTCATACTGAATTTATAACTAAAAATATAAATTTGCCTAAAAATATAAGCAACTAATAATATAATTAATTGCTCTTCAAAAATATAAATGAATAAAACTTAATTATTTTGTTTGCAAAACAAATCAAAATTAACAAAATTTTTTTATTTTAAAATCAGCATATGAATTGCTATCTAAAAACAATTTCAATAAATGACAATAAATTATTTCAATAAAAATAAATTAATAATTGCTGAAATAAATATAGAGAAACAAATATTAATTTATATCAACCAATTGCTACAAAACACGTCAACTATTAATTCATCAAATCAATTCATGCTATTGGTTTGTATAATTAATTTTTAATATTCACTTTTATTTTATTTTTTAAAATTTAAATATTTTATTGTAAATGTATAAAATTTATATCTTATTTATATTAATGTTTCAATTAAAAATATGTTAGGCCATTAAGATAAATTATAGCTTTTTTTAATTTTTTCAATTTTTATTAATTTAGCATATTACCTTAACAAAAAGTATTTGACTAACAAAAAAGTAAATATTTCCACTATTCTTCATTTATAAGAATTTATAAAAAGCTCTTTATATTTCTTCTTAAGGAAATTAGGAAAAAATAATAATGAGAGTCATTTTATTATTGATGAATTTTTTATAGAGAAATCGGAGTAAATAAAATATAATTGATATTAAAAATATGTAATTACAGTTTTTAACAAATAATTAAGCATATTGACTAGATTAAATAATTCTTAGTAAATGGGTTTAATACCATAATTATTTACTTTTAATTTTTAAATGTTTTTACTATTTTGTTTGGTTATTTTATAATGTTTAGTATGTTTTTTTTTAATTATATTAAATTAAAAATCAATTTTTTTATTTATCTAGTGCTTCATTACTTTAAGATTCTTTGCTAATTATTTTTTCATGGTGAGGTAAAATAGCATTGTTAGAATGCTAGGAATTTCTTAAATAGTATTTTGACCAATCTAATTACATTTTAGCAAATATAATTATTATCAAAGCTACAATATTAAAAGCAAAGTAGATATAAAATATTCCTGAAAACTTTATATTCTTTTCTTAATTATAAACGAAACCAAATTGAATGAAGTTAGCTGCACTCACTGAAAGCCAATATGTGCCGTATATTTCAGATCCTACTCTAGACCCAAAGAGCAAGGTAGAGTATACTGGATAGATACCAAATAAACCTCCTAAGCAGCATGATACAAAGAATACCCAAACTAAATAGAAGTATTCGTTTTATACAGAAAACTGTAGAGTAACAGAGAGAATAATCTAATAGAATAAAAATAAAATAATTTTAAATCAGTTCAAATAAAATAAAAATGTATTACCTGTGCAACTAAGATGACACTGATTACTTTTCTAAATGAAATTTTATCTAGTAAGCTTGCCCAAAGGAATCTTTAAATTGATAAATAAAGAGTAATTAATAAAAATAAATAAATAAAAATAATTAATTAAATTCTACCTTGAACAACCGTTTGCAGCACTAGCAACAGAACCAATAATTGTAAGCACTTTATCGTTAGTAAAATGTTGCTATCCATATTTTTTATAGTTACCAGAAAGAAGTAAACCTAAACCACAGGCAAGTAGTATAATTATTTATGAAATGTAGAATTCCTTAGTTTTCAAAGCCTCCTTAATTGAAGGAGCTCCAAGTTTTCTATAGAATTGGATTCTTTCATTCATTTCTTCTTCTGAAATGTTTGTTTTTCCATCATTGCAATCAGCATTAGATACTTTCTATAATTATTATTAATCTGCTTATGATTCAAACATTTAAGGGCGAAGTGGCTTGTTTTAAGGATCTGATTCTGTTTAAATATAACCATAGGTATTTACTTGCTAAATCTATTAGTTATCTACTTAGTCTTATTTTTAGATTTATTATTCAATATCTTTTTCTGTATTTTATATCATTTCTATTTGATTTTTATTTGCATCGCCATTTTTCAACTTAAGCTCTTCTTATTCTTTTCTTTTCAGCTTGAGTTATGCTCTAAGTTCTTTTTGTTTAGTACCAACTGAATTTGGGTGCTCAAATAATAAACTAGAGCCAATTAATAACTGAAGAACATACATCAAACTCAACCATCTCAAAGCTTCAGGAACAGCATTTGCAACGGATGCAGTATCACCAAAGAAATAGCTTCCTCCATCCTATTTTATCAAAAATTATTTTAGTTAAATTGCTTAAATTGTGATTTATAATAAATAATACTCCAGCTTTTTTTGCTTTCAAATTATTAGGGTTGACAATGTAAAAGAAGAATTAACTGTATATCAATGATCCAAGACCGTATCCTATTTATATTTAAAACAAAAATATTTAGCCATATTTATTAGATTTTTCAAATAAAATCAACTTCTTGAAATTCAAGATTGATTTTGGATATTTATTTTTGTTACACTAATTTTATATTTAAAATATCTGGGGAAATTTTGTTTAGTAATCTTTTTGGGAAATTAACAAGCTTATGGTAAAAAATCTTAGATTAATATTTCTATGCTCTTAAGATTACAATTCAATTATTGGAATAAATAGTTAATGTAAAGAAGTACATCAGCTTTAATTATTAATTGATTGTAAAATAAGTAAGTAAAGTTAATTATTTAAGATAGTAGTTTTCCTCTTAAACAGATTAACTAATGTTTGATGATTAATGCTATTATTTTAAAATTATTTCTATTTCTTTCAGACTTGAAAATATTTTAAAAATGAATTAAAAAAAACCAAGTTTATTAAAAATTATTTTCATTTTAGTGTGATTTAACTTTAAAAAATGTTCATCCAAAAAATTTACCTGTTAAAATAAAGCCTGATACCAAACCTCTTCTATTAGGGAAATAAAGTTATCCTAAATAAATGGGCACCATATACATAATACCAGTGAAGAATCCAAAAATTATTCCGTAGATAATAACGAAAAGCCAAAATACTTTAGCATAGCTAACTAAAAGGATGCACAAGCTTGCAATAAGCGAGCAAACATAGCAAACAAGACGAGCAGAGCCTACATATTTTATAGCCTTCATTCCTACTGGAACACCACATGCGACAGCAACCATCATAAAAGGGAATATTCCACTTCCTAAGTCGATAGATAAGTCAGGGTTCCCGTTTAAACGCAAGTAAGATGTGACATAAATGTTGATTACACCCCACATATATCTATTTTTAAATAAGACAATAATTAATTTGATTTTTTGATTGGCTTAAGTTTGTTTGAGAATATATTAAAAATTGAATAAAGAATAAATCAATAAACTTCGAATTAAATGAAATTTTTCATTAATTAGAATATTATTTCTTTATTAGAATGATATGATTTTATAATAAAAAGTTTAATTCTTACAAAGTACCACAAGTCAAATGGATCAAAAAGCCACCTAAGATAGTTAAAATACCTTTGAGGAACATAATATCGAATTTACTTTTTGTTATTTATTTTTCTTAGGATATCATCTGCAGAAACAATAAAATAAATTGTGATTTTGTTTTATAAATTGTGCAAGTTTTTAGTTATTTGCTTATTAAATTTTTTATCTAAATATATGTTTTATGTAAATGCCAGTATGATTTGTAAATATATAAAAAGACTAAATACTGTTTATAGAATTAATAACTTTATACATTATCCATTAAGCGCTTTAAAAAATAGAGATAGAATTTTACCAGAAAGGTTTGTACTGTAATTTACCTGGATTCTAATTAAAATTTTTCGTTCTACTAATTGATAAATTAAGTTAAGCAAATGATGAAATTGATAAGTAAACAAATAATAAAATATTGATTTATTTAATTAATTAGAATCTCTCTGATACTTCTATTGTTTGTAGCTTACATTATTAAATATATTATATTTTACATAATAAAGGATATTATTTTTAATTTACTTTCTTACATTATTTGCTTAGAAACATAGCAAGCAAGTTAAGAAGCTTTCTCAATTTCTTATTAAATCTTATTTTGTAATCTTAGATGTATAATTAAAAAAAGTTATAATCATTAAATTTTTAAATTATAACGAAATAATCTAGAATTTTTTGACGTAATTCCAATTAATAAAAACAATTTTTTTACGATTGCATAATTTTGAGACGTACAAAATGTATAATCAATCTAGCAATGCTTAACAAAATATAATAAATACAATAATCCATTTTTGATTTTAATAGACAAAAGTATAATTTAAATAAAAGCATTTCTAATTTAATGTATTAATCTTCTCAGCTTCTTCGATTTAAAAAATTTTTTACTAATGAAAATTAATAGCATATTTTTTAGAGTATCATAAAGTAACAGACAAATTTATATTCATAAATTTTATACTAACATCCAATTTAAATTAAACTAAAATCATTAGTTCTATTAAGAATAAGTTGATTTAATTTAAAATTTTCATAAATTTTAGTCTAAGCTAAAATAATAACTTTGATTAGAACTAATATAAAATTGATATGTTTTTGATTTTTTAAAAAATCCTAAATAAATAATTTAGTTAAGCAAAACTAAATTTTATTTTTATTTAAAAATATATTTTTAGTTAAGTAGGTTAATAATATGAAATCTTAAAATATTAAAGATTGACTGAGTCAGTGTTGCTGAGTTTTTATTAATATACTCAAATTTGTTTACACTTTGATTAAAAAATAAATAAATTTTTTTTAAGATCATAGCTAGTTTAATATTTCTTTCTGCAATGTCTTATTAGAATTTCAAAAATCAATATCAATCACTAGCAACAGTTTGATTACTTTTTTGAGTCAAATAAATTTTTTTTTAAGTGACTTTGAAAAAAATGTACAATTATACCTAAAGAATTTTATTTTATCAAATAAAAAAAGAAATTAGCGTTTATTTATTACATAAAGCTAACAATATAATAAATTTTAAACATATGAGGTGTTTGCTATCCTTTTGAAAATAAAAAATAGTTAGCTAATACCTGATGTTGGTTTATTATTGTACGCTTTTAATAATTATTTTTTATTTACTTCTTTCTCTTTTAATTAAACAATAAAAATAAAAAAGAAGTTGAATATTATTGTCAATAAATTTATGATTTCACATTAAAATTAACCTTATAATTACAAATTTTATAAAATGTTGAATATTTATCTCTCTAATTTTTGTTTACAGCTTTAAATCTAATTCAAATGTTTTTTATAAATTAATATTTAATTCTTTTTAGTTATTTTAAATTTAACTCTAAAATTTTTTAAGTTTTGATAAATACAAAAAATAATGTATGTCAAACAATTTGTGCTAATACTTTACTCTAGAACTAATATACTTGGTGGAACACTGATTTTGATATTATCTGATCTGCTTGCTCAAATATATTTCCTGATTTAATTGTTTTAGGCATATTTCAAGGTTTTTCTTCTTTAATGAAGCATAAATACCATTTAAAATAATAATATTATAATTATTTTTAACACCAAACATAATAAATAGAATATGTTACACAATTTTATAAACAATTAAAAGAAATTTAAATGAATTTTTTTACTTAAAAATATATTTAGCAGTCAGTTTACATTTGTTTTAAAAGAACTAAAACAATTAATTATCTCATATTTAGTGTTTACAGTTTTTTTAATTTAATAATGCATTATATATTTAGTTCTTAGATATAAATCTTATTAATAAAAATTTAAGTTAATATCTACAATAAAATGTATAAAAAATGTAACAAATATCAAAAAATTTAGCAAAGAAAATATTTTATTACTAACCATAAAAAAATAATAATAAACCTAGGAAAAAAAATAAATATCCATCTATAAAATATCGATTAATAATATCAAAAGACAAAATTTATTCGTTGATAAAGATTCTTATTTATATTGATATTAATAGATAGATTTATTAATTTAAAAACAAATTAAATTAATAAAATTTATATAAATAATTAATCCTACAATTAATATCAAAAAAATAAACATTTTGAAAACATTTTTGATATTTATTAGTGAATAAATAAATATATTCTAAATCCTCATTAATTATAGGCACCCATCTTTGGAGCCTACTTTGAGACCCATAATTAAATTAAAAAATTTTTTTTGGCCCTTAATTTATATGGCTCTTAATTAATGAGGATTTAGATTATATATTTATTAAGAGACAAAATATATTATTTACACATAAATGTTAATTATTAAAAAGCACCATTATTTTATATCAAGTATATGGAAAAATTTTATTCTTTAAAATATGAAAAGATAAAAATAAAAAAATTTAACAGGAATTAGTAATAAATAAGGAAAATTTAAATCATATTTTATTAAAGTGAATGTTCATTTTTGTTAGAGATTGAATAATAAACAAAACATGTTTTTAGTTCTTTTTATAATTTATTATTCTTGCATTAAAAAATTACAAATATGTTTCAATTAGATTGATCGTTTGCTTATTCGTTTTGAATAATTTAAATATTTAGATGATGAATTAAAGATATCATAAATTTGCAATTAGGATAGATACAAATGTTGTGTTAATTTCTATCGCATTTAATTTATTTTTTATTTTGTAGATTAGTATTTAATTCAAAATATTCTTTAACAAATAAATTCTTTTTGTACAATATAGTGTAATTCAATTTATATTTTGATAAGATTAATAGTAATTTATTAAAATTTAAAAGATAGTAAATATACTGAAATCTTTTGAATTTTTGTTTTTGATTAACTTAACCAACTAAATATTTATATAAATAGAGATATAGATAGATAGATAGCTAGATAGATAAAATTTTTAAATAGGTTTCTTAAATTTAAATAGATAAGTCATAATTCATATTAAGATGATAAACTATGTAAAAAATTAGATTGCTCTCCTTTTCAATTTTTACATTTACTAATGCTATATTAGTTATTTATATTCATAGGAACAAGAGCTTTAGAAGGCCCATTAGCATATTGAAATACTGAATTTAGAGAAAAATGCTTTGAAAAAAATGATGCAGAAATTTTTAGATAGGAATTAAGAGAACAGTTTTAAGTAAAAATACAATATTTTTGTTTACTTTTATAAGGAATAATAGAAAAATTTTACTAAAAACTAGAATTTGTTTTATTTATGTTGAGGAATTTAATAATATGTTAATTCTACTGATTTAATTGTTGAAATTATTTTTATCATAAAAGTTCCAACCACGAGGATGAGATGATATTAAACTAGCTAAATAAGAGCTAAAGCTAGAATTATTTATAGAATTAAGGAAGCATAGAAGTAAAAACACTTCCTAAATAGAACAGTAAAAACTATTATAGGTTCTAAAACGATCTTCAAAATAAAATAGATACATTTTAAAACACTGCTATGTTAGAAGATGAGGCAGAAAGCGAAAAAATTGGAAGCTCGAATAATGTTACAAGAAATATCCGATAGCTAAAGTCTTACTAAAGTGTAAATAATATCAATAATAGCAGCAATGAACTGTAAAATTAAATTTAAGCTCAATGTATTATGGTAACAAATTTATAGCAAAAACTATAACAATACTAAAGAGATTTGCTTGCTGCATAGTAAAACTAATCAAATCTCTTGAATTAACTTACAAGCGAGAGACAAATCAATTTAGAATATAAAAGCAATATATAAAATCTAATGAATTAGTTGAACTAATTGAAAAATTAAATAAGTCTTTTATAAGAAAATAACTTATAGCATAAGAACAAATTGCAAGAATATCAGTCACAAACAAATAAAAACGAGTAAATAAAGAAGCATGTTAGTGAATTGAACAAATAATTCGAAGATTTGTAGGTAAAAATAAATAAAAAAATAAATTATTCAACAATTAATTTTTATAAACAACCAACTTTGTTTACATAATATTTTCTGACTACTCTTGTTTCAACTTAAATTTAAAAAAATAGGAAAAATTAAATCAAATTGAGCAAGAAAAAGATGAATACAAAACATAGCTTGAGAAAAAATCCATTTAAATTAATACAATTTAGCAAATTAATAAAAATTTAAAAGGAAATTTAGAATAATTGTAAAGCAAAATTTAATAACAAGAAGCCATTCTAGCAGAATTTCAATCAAAAGCTGAAGTCGAAAAATAGACTATCTATTTTATTAAAGAGTTGGAAGTTCAAAGAAAAATATTTTAACAATTCATAGCTCAAAGAAAAAATAAAAATCTATAATCTTTGTTTATTAAAAATTTTTTTAATAAGGAGTCATTTGAAAATTTATTTACTGACCCCTAGAATTATCCTGATCTATTGTTAAAGTTGCTACGATTTAACATTGATATTCTTGCACTCTTTTATGAATAAGAGTAAATTAGACCTAGTTCTTCTCAAGGAATAGGAGCTAATGGGATAAATAATTTATTATTTGGCAGTAGTAGTAATAACAATCAATCTTCTCCTTCTCCTTAATAGCTGTTTTTACAGGGAAATCCTGTAACTAATATTTCAATAATTGAAGATGAAGGCACAACTAAAAATAAAGCTAGTAGAGTCACAAAATTTAGTTCTTAAAATAACTTACTAAGTGCTTAGATGTAGGGTTAGCTACAGCCATCGTTATATTAATAGGAGCTTTTACAATAGTTTTAATAATAGCAATTAATAGCATTTTAAGACCAAATAAAATAAGGTAAAAAGGAAGAAATGGAATCAGAATAATAAAATTAGCTTCAATAGTAAAATGGAATTTTGCAATAGTACTCTAAGCAAAACAATTAAAATCAGTATCTTAAAGCTTAATAACAACTTTAATAACAAGAGATATTTGACAGAAAATAGTCTTTAGAGCCATTCAATTACGAAAATTAAAATATTGGAAATTTTAGTCAAAGTCATATTAAAAACAACATTTAAATTGCCAATGAAGCAACTTCTAATAAATAAGTAGGGCTAGAAAATAGAATGATAGATGATTCAGATCATCTTAATAGCTAAGCTTTTTAGCAGTACCTTTTAAAAAATTCTCATAGTCTATAAAACGCTAGTGAATCTATAGATTAAAATAATAAAAATATGATTTAGTAGTTTTTAATTGAAAAATAAGAAAATTAAGATGACCTAAGAAGATCAAACAATATTTAAGGAAACCAGCCTATGTCTTATTAAAATACAGCTCAATAAATTTCTAAAAATTATTAATACAGCACTCCTAATTAATTTGTGAAGAGTGGATATTCATCTCCAACTCAAGTACTTTTCTCTGAGCCATAATTTTCTGCTGTTAATTAATATAAATAAGGTTTAAATAATAATATTAGTAGCAGTTTTAACCCAAATTTAAGTAATTCTCTCAGCTAATAATAAGCAAGCTATGTTAATAACTAATAAATGAATTAAAAGCAGTAGAGTTAAATGCAAACAAATGATATTAATTAATATTTCGAACAAAGTTAATCAATATAGGATTAACAATAAAGTAAAGATCAAAAGCTGTAATTGAATGAAGCTTTAAAAACATAAGATGACTAATAAAATTAAAAAGGGTTACTAAGTAGTAAAAGCACCAGCTTGTTAAATAAATAATAAATTCCGGATAAATCTACTTCTTAAAAAAAGCAATCTACTGTTAATAACACTAAAACTGCAACAAAGAGCCCATTGAGAACATAAAAATCCATAAAAGGTGATGCTAGTACACCTAAGATTTCAAATACAACTTCACCTAAAGTTAATAATACCTCATATAATGGTATTCTCAAAAAATCATAGTCAATATAAGATGTTAAAAATAACAGTACTATAGCAAATAAAAGCTATGATAGTAAAAGAGTTGATACTAGTAGTACTATGAAAACATTAGGTACAGGCGGAAGCTATTTAGTAGAAAATGAAGAGAAGAAATAAAAAGTTTAAATTCAAACATAAATTCAAGCAGTTAAATAAAAGCACATTTCTGATTTAGACGACCTTGATAAGTAGCTTGAAATGATGAAAGCAGAAGAGGAAGCTGAAGAGCTGAGAAGATAGTAGCAGCAATTACTAAATGGAAAAAAATAATGAAGAAAAATATAAAAATATAAAAACAGTAAAATATAAAGATGTTATTTATAAAAGACAATATAAACTTTTATCTTCATTTAAGTTTGCTATTTAAAAATTTAAGCAAACAGCAATATTTATTATTTATTTTTCAAAAATTATAAGCAGTAAAATATTTTGAAAATTTATTATATGAACTTTTTTATAAGATATCTGAGTATATAAATAAATGTAATTAATTATTTGTTTGAAAAAAATTATGGATGTAAATAAATTATGAGTAAATATAGTGGAATCTTTGAATAGTAATTATTATTATATTTGTCATCTTTTAAATATTTATTTAGCAACAAATACTTTTTAATTTCAAAATTTAATTAATTTAATAATTTTTGAAGAATATTAAAGCCAATTAATTGTTCGTATTTATTAAAATCTATGAAGATATAAGCTTCTTTTGTATCTAAAACAATAGTTTTCCTTTTTTACTTAATTCATTCAGCTTACACCAGTAAAATTTTTTATCATCCATTCCTCTTTTATAAAAAAGTTAATCAAAATATTAATCCTCACTATTATAAACAGCCTGGCGCTAGATAAATACAGAATTTGTAGGTACTAGCTGGCCTAATACACTAAAGAATTGGTAAATAATCGGAGGTAAATTTATCTAAAAAAGCATTAATGTTAATTTTAATTAAATATAAATTATAGTTTCAACTACTCCTTCAAGTGTATGCAATCAAAATGGTATAAAAATATATTTATTCTTTATATATCAAACTTTAAATATATAATTGTAGAAAATGCTTAATTGTTAAGCATTTACCTAAAATGTTAATAATAAATGCTTTATATTTACATATAAAATTCTTAGCTTCGCAATAAAAGATTTTTGGAGGATAAGGAAAATTTGGAACAGGCGTTATATTGATTAAATCTTATTCTAGTCTTCCTCCACATAAAAATGTATTACACATATAAATTTTTTTAAAAATACTATTTATTTATTTGTTATTGAAAATTTTCAACCTTAAATTGAGTTAAACTAAATGCTATTAAATATTTTAGATAAGAATTAAATTTAATGGGTATTTTATTGCTACTCAGGCAGTAGCTTCGGCATCAAGTGTAGTTACTTTTTGTGGAGATTACAACACTGTATCTTATGTGTGCAATCCATTTGCTCAAAAATTGTCTTTTTCTTATACTGATGGCTCGCCATATTAGTGCTAAATTAATCCATCATTTGAATAAAAATATGCTTTTAGTCTAACTTTTGCACATTCTAATCTGAATGTAAATTTCGCTATAACAAATAACTTTTTGCTTTAATCTAGTGCTGTAATTATTTAAAATTAAAACAATTTATTTAAAATAAATTAATTACTATTTAAATAGTTAAGCTTTGCTATATCAGATTTTGAATTAGATGTTGATGCTTGTCATTCAAGCTGTGCAACTTGTACAGGTGATACATTCGATACTTGTGCGTCATGTGTTACAAATGCAAATCTTAGTAACAATATGTGTATTTGTAATCCAGGGTTTTATCCATAATATTAACAAGCACCATGTTTAACTTCACCATGTTTAATTTGCTAACCTTGTTATAATAGCTGTGATACATGTTACGGACCTTCACAAAATTAATGTTTATCATGCAAGTAAGTACTCATAAATTATTTAAAGATTTGAGTGATTTCTATTTCATTTATTTTAACTCAAAAAGAAACACAAATAATCCTTTATTGTATCTTCAAAATTTCACTTGTGTTGCAGGAACTTCTTGTATTCCTGGAACTTATCCAGATACCTTTACCTTAAAGTGCTAGCCTTGTAATCAGAGTTGTGCAACATGCACAGGTTCCAGCGATCTCTTATGCACTTCATGCTAAAGCCTAAGATACTTGAACCCAATTAGTAAAAAGATTAATTTAAATGAATAAAAAATTAATATAAATTTAAACAGATGTTGGAGATATATTTGGAAAATGTGTTAGTACTTGCCCACTTGCTAAAGTTTTAGTCGGTAGTTAGTGTGTACCGTGTGCAGATACTGATTGTATATAATGCTAATGTAACATAAATTATCATTAAGATTTCATTTTTTATGCTTAATTTTTTTACTATAGCTAATGCAGCCAATACTTGTTAATAATGTACTACTGATAATTCGAAAAACTATTTACTATTCAATAATATATGCGTTAATGATAGACCTAGTGATTCCTATTACATAGATAGCACTAAACGTTAAATATTTAGTTGTATAAGTCCTTGCTTAACTTGTAGTCAGTACTAAGGTAATGTTTGCGTGACCTGTGTTACTGGCTATTCTCTCTCATTAAGCACATGTGTCACAAAGTAATAAATTTCTATAATAAAATTTCAAAAATATCATATTTTTTCTAAATAATCTAATAGATGTCCTGACGGTTAATATTCTTTAAATTAAGTCTGCACAAACTGCGACAATAATTGCTTAACATGTTCTGGAACTGCAGTTCATTGCTTGACTTGTAAAACAAATATGTTTGTGGATCCTGTTGATTTTAAATGTAAGGTTTGTTAAGGCAGCACATATGGTGATACTGTTAGTGGAACTTGTAAACCTTGCGATTCTAGTTGCTTAACTTGTAATGGTAAAAGAAAATATTTATTTATTTTTAAAAATCCTAATAAATTTGATAAAAAATTCACATGAAACATACCATATATTCTTAATATTTTCACATAAAAAATATTTACCATATTTGTAAATATTTATAAACAAATATTAAAGAATTTTTAATTTATGGGAGGGTTGGGTAAGGTAGAATATATGAGAATTTATGGAATTAACTTTATTGTAAAACTATTAAAAATTTGTTTAACTTAAAAAATTTATTTATAAATATAAAACTGAAAACTCATAGGAGGTACAAATACAAATTGTCTAACATGTAATTAATCAGGAGCCTAACCATATTACATTGTTTCTTCATTATAGTGTGTGAGCAATTGTCCAGCTTTTCCTTAAGATTTATATGGAAATGATGTAAGTAAATTTATTTGTTTATTTGTATTAATTAATTTTAATTATAAAAAGATAAGTGTTCCGAAACTATGCGTTCAAGGGTAAAATTGCCCTGCATAGTACTACCCAGATGCTACATCTACTCCAAGAAAATGCAATCCATGTAATCCGACTTGCTCTTAATGCTTTGGTCCTTCAAATAACTAGTGCTCTGGATGCTCAGGTAAACCTTAAATAATTGATAACTAATATTTAATATTTATTACTTAATAGGAATTTTAGTTCTTTAAGGTACTGTTTGTATAGCTAACTGCAAACCTGGATATTATCCTGATACTAATAGAATTTGCTAAATTTGTGATACTTCTTGCAAAGAATGTAATGGAGGAGGTCCTAATTTTTGTACAACTTGTAATTCTCCACTATTTCTCTCCATAAGTGCTTCAGGAAGTTTTTGTAAAGTAACTTGTGATACCCCAACATTTGGAGATTAGGCATCTTTGACTTGTGTGAATTCATGCTAACCAAATTTTTATCCTAATGTTAATACAAGATTATGCACACTTTGTCATCCTGCATGCGATGGATGTACTGGAGGTTAGAATAACAATTGCAACTAATGTAAGATTAATAATATTTTAAATTAAAATTTGATTTGATTATAATTATTAATAGGTGCTCCTCCATACTTTAAATTTTAAGGTAACTGCGATTATTGTCCTGATTAATACTATGGAGACGCAGCAAGTAAAACTTGTCTTCCATGCCCAAGTGAATGTGCTATATGTACTGGCTTATCATCTTGCTAAAAGTGCAATCCTAGCTACTACTTAGATGGCTCAACTTGTGTACAGTAATGCAGCTTACCTAAATGGGGTTCGTAATTAACTAACACATGTGAAATGGCCTGCCCAATTAGAACATATGGTATTAAGAAATGATTTACTTTCATAAAATTTTATTTATACTCAAAATAAAAACTAATAGGAGTTATAGTGAATAGCACTTAGAGAGTTTGCATGCTGTGTTCCTAAAATTGTGCAAATTGCTAAGATTCTTAAAATTGTATAGACTGTTTCTATCCATACTTTTTAAACAATAGTAATCAATGTGTTTTACTCTGCCCTTCCAATTAATATGCTAATAGATAACTTAGAATTTGCAAAGATTGTGATCCTTCATGCAAGACCTGTTCTGGTAATTTTTTTAGATCTTTGTACAATAAGTAAAAAAAATATCTTATTTAATTATAAGGAGGACTTTCTTCAAATTGCCAAAGTTGTTAAAGTGGTAGCTATTTATATAATGGAGTTTGCTATACTATCTGTCCAGTAAAATATTTATTTAATTATAAGAAAATGCAATAAATAATTTATAAATAAATAAATACCTTTAGAGTGGAACTTTTTCTAATGGAGATTACTGTTCGTCTTCTTGTTAAATAGGATTCTATCCTGATGTAACTAATAATGCTTGCAAAAAATGTGATCCAGGCTGTTTAGAATGCTATGGTAAATTCTTTGATAATTGCATAACTTGCAAATCTGGGTTCGCCTTGGTTAATAATTAATGCGTTGCTACTTGCCCAAATGGATATTATGAATAATTACTGCCAATTTCTTAAGTTAGTCCAAAAAGTTAAAATTAAAATAATAATATGAGAACTTGTCAGTTGTGTCCGACTTAATGTTAATTATGTTCAAATACTTTATCTACTAATTTAAGTTAGAAAAATATAATTTGCTCATAGTGTTCTGCTGACAACTTTTTGAATGATTAATAATGTATTGAAAATTGCCCTGATGGAAAAATAGTAAATATTCCTAATAGAACTTGTGATAGCTGTCCTGATGGATATTATAAATACGACAAACAGACATGCAAGCGTAATTTAACAAATAAATTAAACATGAATAACCTTTTTATTTAATATACTTTGAAAATAGAATGCCACTTTAGTTGCAAACAATGCACTGGATATAACTATAACCAATGTACTTTGTGTTGGGATAATAGAGGAAGAGAGTATATTCAGCCAGACAAAACTGTAGTTAGACTGCCTTATTAATCTGTTTGTGAGTGTGATCCAGGATTTTCTGATTTAATGGAGAATGAGTGTGTTTCTTCTATAGGAAATGAATTTCGCACAGTTTAAGCATCAGAGAGTTTTTCTATAATTTTTCCCTGTTTAATGTTTTTCGATTTGTATTTTTTCGGCAATCCAATCAATCTACTTTTTTCATTTGAAGTAGTATAACAAATTTCATTACTGTAATACACAAATATCCCTTTATCTTTAGATATTATGAAACTATTACACTTTATTTAAGGATTTCATTTAACAGACTTGCCTAATAAGCCATTCAGTTTAGAAGTAAACTCACCAAACAGTCAAATTTAACCATCAAAAGGAACTTAAAGAATATTAGCCTCAATATAAAATTAAGACTCTTACTATAAATTTTCAAGCAATGATAAGTCAAATAACTTTTTGAATAATAGCATTTACTTGATTGGTGTTCATCTTTTACTTTGGGCTTTTATCTTCTTCTGTAAAATAAGTTAGAAAAACTTTTAGCTTAAAAGGTTGGGGTTCTTAAATAAGGTTTACTTTTATTTAGACTTGACAGTTATGCTGTTTGTGTACTTTTTAACTAATTATGAGATGATATTAAATGTTATTCTCTAACTTAATGATGTGGATACTAGTACTTCATACAATTCGTTCAGCTTTGCCCTATGCATAATTTTTTTGGTTTACTATTTCTTCTTTTTTATAAAGATTATATTCAAAATAAATATTGATAAGATTTTCTTCAAGTCAAAACCACCACGCAAACCTTATTTAATCAACCAATTTACTCGTTGGTGCCTCTTGTTTTTTACAATAAGGCAGAGGTAATCTTTACAAAGGAATTTTTATGTCTTGCTTTAAATTAAAAAGATAATCACTTGCATACTTCTAGTTACTCTTTATAGCATACCATCAGCTTAAATACTTTCAACTATGGTTGTGTATATCCTATTCTTCTTTTATTTAGCTCTCTATAAGCCTATAGTAAACCCATACATTTTAGCTTTACTGCTTATTAATGAAGGATTTATGATTCTTTTCTACATTCTCTCATTTTTGATTTACTAATAATAATACTCATATGATACTTCTGTTCATTTAAATAGGACATTGCTAGCCCTACTATTTTTAGTTTTCTTTGCAAACCTGTTCATTGGATTTTTGATTATCTTTAAAAAGAGAATTTAAATTAAGCAATAACTGTAAAGCATATACACAACTATTCGTGATTATATACTTGGTAAGAACAGGGTAAAAGATTATTAAGAGAAATTATAAAAGAAAAGAAGGAGTAAAAGGGCTAAGCTTGATAACATGGGCGATATAGTAGAGGAAGATGAAAATGATGAAGAAGAAGATGAAGAAAGTGAATAAGAGTAAGGTGAAGACGATTACAATTAAGATATTCAAGTTGAAAACATTGAAGGAGAGAGTTCAGGTTTTTAACCTAATGAAAAAATATTTCGCAGAATCAAAAAGAAAAAACTAAATGACCAAAATAATTCATCTTAAAAATCATTTTTGAATAGAATTGAGTCAACAGAATATTACAATATTGACGATTCAAATACAATCAAGAAAAGACATGGAGTAGTTTATTTAAAAGAAGATTTAAATTATCAGTAGTAAATAGAATTTAAAAATAGGTTAAGACGTGATCAGCGTCTTCCTAAATTGCAACAAAACAATAGCAACTAAATGAATAAAAACATGAATAATAACTAAAAATCTGTACTTGTTTAGCTTTAAATGAGTTCAAAGGGAAGATAATAATAGAATGCAATTACAAGTTCAAATCAATTAAATAGCAGTAATCAGCTCGATAATTCAATAGTGTAGCACATAGATAATAGCATGGATTAAAGTTATTAGTAAATTTTAGTTGATAATAATAAATAGAGTAGTAGTATGTATAATATTGTTGATTTAGATTAAGAAGAGTGGATTGGTAAAAGGAAAATTTTGTAAGAAAAACTTGATTAAGTAGATGAAATGGATGAGATTATTGATGAAGCTCTAGATTAAGACGATGAAATTAATATGGAACGCTTAAAACAGATATAATTAATGAGATCTGAATAAAATTATTATCTTAGGTAATAGCAGAAGAATCAAAGAAATAATCCTTAAGATTTAAGAGAATCTTTTATTTAGCAAAATTATAATAATTATGATGAGTATGTAGGCACAAATGAAGATTTTAACAACCGTCCTTCATCTAGATTAGAAGGATATGATTTTAATAATCTCAATTAGTATAATTAAAATATGGATTAAAGGTATTAATAAATGGAATAAAATAATCCTTACCAAAGCTAAGATAGAGATGATTTTAACATAAATTAAGAGAATAATAACCAAAATCTTTAGTTTTAAGAGTTATTTGGGTTAGATAGAATTGAGTACTACGATCATAGCTTAGATGAAGAACAAAGAATGCAGAGAGAGGCTTAGGATTTAAATTATAGAGATTATATGATGTAGCAATAATAAACTGCTCTCTAAAATATGAATATTTATTAGAATAATTTGAAATATTAATCATCTGCATTGAAAAAAATTCCTACCAGAAATTATGTATCAGGAGCCAGAGACTACTCTGCTTCTGATTTAGTTGATAGGTATAATGAAGTAGATCCAGAGTAGCTTAAAAAGTACTTGGAATATAAAAAGAAGTATAAACTCACACAGAAGTTTGGATTTTTAAGTAAATCTTCTCTTTCTTAATCTCCAGAAAAGAGGCTAAATAGTAACTAAAGCAGAGTAGAAGACCCACAAAGAATAGAGCTATAGCTACAGTAATTTTACTAATAACAATGAAATGTAAATAATTAATTGATTCTTTTTTGTTTAAATAAATTTTATCTGAAATATTTTATTAATAAGTTATATTTCAATTAAATTAAAATACAAAAGCTAAATTTATATTTCTAATATTTTTATATTTTAAGAAAAAGGAAAGTAAAAGTAGGTGATAAAATTATATCAAAATATAAATAATTTTGAAAAGTTATTTAATAATAAATTCACTCAATCTTAATGTAGTTTGCTTAGTTTAAATATACAATTTTATTTCTAATTTTATTAATAAAACAAACTTAAAATGTATTTTACAAGCTTTAAACCATAAAAAATAAGATTTTTTAGATTTTTAATAATATATAATATGTAAATTATCTAAAATAAGAAACTTTTTAGTGTTGCTGTAAGTTTAAACCTTGCAGAATAATGTAATTAATAATGATTTATTTTATTAAAATTGAAAATATGATATATTTTTTATTAAGATATTTTTCAAATTAAACATTTTTATTAAAACAAACTCATTTTTAAAAAATAAAACTATTATTTTAGTTAAATAATAACATTTATAGAATTGAATAAAACATTGAAATCTATTACTAAATTTACTTAATTTTCTATAAATAATATTTTTTACCATTAAATACCATCTTGCATTATTAGAATTATTCATTAATAGCAAAATTGAATTATAAATAGGTGTATTTAATTTTTATTGTAATTATTTTAATGAAAACTTTTTATTAGTATTTGAAGTTTTCATAAAATGATTACAAATATTAAATATAAGATATTTAAAAAAGAGATTAATCTATTTATTTAAATTAATTTTATTAATTAATAATACAATTTGATATATAAATTTATAATTATTATTATTTTTTTAACTTCTTCTAATTATTTATTTATTTTAAGTACATTTTAACATTGAAAGAGAAATGACAAACTTTTTGGTTTTTATTTTAAAGCTCATTAAGAAAATTTGTTCTAATTTTATCAAAATTAAGAAAGTCTGCCATAAAACCCAATTCTTTTATCTTTATGATATTATGGATATGATTTATACTGCAAAAAAGCTAAAACTAGAGATACAATAAGCTAGAATAACTAAGTAGAGAGCGCAGAAATGGATTTTAAGTAAAAAAAATTTAACTCAGTTTCAAGTTAAGAGTAGCAAGTTTAATTATAAGGTACTCCTCTATCAGTTCCTGTAAATTAATATACTTCAATATCATAAAGTGTGCACATTCCTTAACAATTAAAAAAATTTTCTAACCTTTATAGTTCTATATATTCTTATGAAGATTTTATATTCTTTATATCCTATTCACTTTATGCACAATCAACTGCATATTACTTACCTACATTACTGATTCTTAAATTTTGAATTATACTTGGATTATACAGTTTTTATATACTAGTATCTATAAGGCATGGACATTTATCAGTACAAAGTCCAAAGCTCTGTATAAATTTAGAATAAGTTTCATACTTCAAAATAGACTAATTATTTTAACATGAAGGCAGCTAATTTGATTTGTATGTTACCATAGAAACCAACAAAGAAATAGAATAAATAAACATCAGCATTGTTCCTATATTATAAGTAAACACCATAATATTTTTCTTTTAAAATATTCCAATCATCCCAAAAACTCCAAGCAATATTAGTAAAATTCCATAAATCATTAAATTAACTTTTAAACTAGTGACATCTTGAAATTAATAAAAAATAAATTCATTTAATTATTATATATTATCTGCAATACAAATTACCAAAAAATTCATACAACCATGAGTTATCTGCATTAACCAGCACCAAAAAATTAGCTCCTAAGTACAAACTAATCATCCCTTAAATAATTATCAAGAATGAACAAATAGATATAAATGCTTTTGAAAAAGAAGGAGATATTTTTATTTTCATTTTTTTGCTTTTTTGATATGGTAACTAACTAGATTTATAGTTCTTTGTAATAATTAAATAACCAATTAAAAGTAAACAAAAACAAATAAATAATAAATTTGTTGATCAATGTATATTTTTAAACTTCTATCTAAATATTTTTTAAAAACAAAATATTAGATTTAATCACTATGATTAAATGTTATTAAAATTTAAATTAAAATTTTTTTTTTTTATCATTTTTTTTATTAAAAATGTTTTAATTAACAATTTAAGCAGCCTTAAAAATAGCAAATTCAGTAAAGTTATTTATTTCGTTTGTTAACAAATTTAAAATTTTTTCCGCTATTTTCCAATTAAATCTTTCATAAATTTAAATAAATTTTTTAAAATTAAATGTCTGGCTGGATTTTACAAAAAATATTTCATTTTAAAATATTTAATAGTTTTTTTATATTTAATCATTGAAATAAATTTATTTTAATTAATTTGTTGCTTAAAAAAAATGAAAATGAACTTTTATAAAACTCTTAAGGAACTTTTAATTGTCAGAATAACAAATCTATTTGCATAATATATTAAAAATAAATACATTTAAATAAATAGATTGTTTGTTTATACTTATTTTTTTATTTTAAAATAAACTCTCAAATATTTCATAATTCACAATAAATTAAAAATACTTAATGGATAGACAAATTTAAAATTGAGAACATTTAATAATAAAAGATTTGCATAGGTTTTTTATATTTTTGATTGTTAAAGTTACGAAATTAGACTTCAGTTAAAATGCTTTTTCAGGGAAAGGTTTAAAAATATGTTTAATAAATAAATAAAATTAATTAATTAGATAAATAGAAATATTTATTGTTCTTATTCTTAAGATGTGTTTCATTTCCAAATTGTTTTACTATTTATATTCTTTTTTTATTATTATTATTACTAACTAATTTTCTTTTCTTAGGCCTCATCATATAGAATATTAAAATCTCCAACTTTTGTTTATGTGCTAGTGTTTGCACCAGTTTTAGAACTATCATCATTCCAATCATCAGGAATGACAATTTAATATACATTTTTAATCAGTTCAGTTTTGAGTTCTTTATCAATTTTACCTTTAATTAGATTTTTCAGGATAAAAAGAATTTAATATGGAAGGTAAAAAAATTAATTATTTTACCTGTAACAGTTAAAGAGGGAGAAGCATTTATTTCAATAAGCCATGGTTTGCAGTTTTCATCAATTAATATATCATAGCCATACATCTCAAAACAGTGCTTATCATTTATTATTATACTTTAAACAGATTTCAAACTCATTATAATTATATTGTTTATATCATCAAAACATTTATTAGCCATATCTGTACCATAAACCATTTCTAGATAATACCTTAAAGACTGTAATGACCATTTTCCTCCGTGTTTTTCAGAATACTTATCTGAGAACTTTTAAATAGCAACATTTGTTAAGTGAATAAACATATTATCCATTTCAGCAATATCTATTTAAAAATTTTAATTGACAATCTAAAAATATTTTTAATTAATAATACCTTGAGTATACTATTCATTACAAAAACGACCGAATCCCATAGCGTATAAATAAACCTTAAGAGGACGATAAGAGGTAACAAGAGCATATATTCTTAAATCGAATTTTCTCCCTCCAACAAGCAATGGATTATCTATATATCTAGAAACAACATAAGCTTCTTTTAGAGAAAATGCCTGCAGAGGATTGCTATTAGTTCCTATAAAATATTTTGAAATATTAATTACTTAAATTGATTACTGCTTTCAATAAGTGATATTTATTCTATTACTAATCTTAGTTTGCAAAATTAATCAATCAATCAGTCAATTAATTAGCTAGTTTGCTAGTAAGTTATTAAGATAGATATATAGAAAATTAATTACCTCCTCCTATTTTCTTCAACTGCTGTATTTTTCTAAGCAAGAAAATACCTTTTCCTTGAGATCGTGATGCTGGTTTAACAATCCAAGTTGCATTAGGATTTCTATGAAATTCTTCAACAAAGAGTGAATACTCACCAGGAAGAGTAAATGTTTATGGAATAAAATCTAAATATAGATAATTTCCATTTTCGTCTTTCTAGCAATAAGGACTATTCTCTTTTTCTAATTCTTTTTTATATCTCTTGAAGTTTTTTACCATAAGATCTTTTCTTGTCAATTCATAATGATTTGGGAAATGATTTATAATTTGCATATCATTTAATCTAATTCCTAGTTTTTATAAATTTTTTTGTAAGAATAAAAAATCTGATTTAGAAACAACTTAGCTATCTAAAAAGAAGTATAAAAGTTATAATAGTATTTAAGGAATAGTATGTAGTATTTTATAATAAATTTAGTCAGCCTACCTGATTTAGGATTGAAAATATTTCTCACATTCCATACAGTTGCCCAATAAATGTTCCAATCATCGTCATCTTTATCACCACATCTTTATAAAAATAAGTTTTAATATTTGGATTGAATTAAATAAAAATGAATAGAATGTTAGTAATTTTTAATTACCTAGTCCATCCTCTTGCAGCAAAATTATCTGTTAAAACACATTTGTCAAAATCTGTCTTGTATTTTAATTTTTTAGAAGCCATTTATTTATTTATTTACTTGTTGGTGTAAAATTATTATTTAAAAATATAAAATTTTTGATATTTAAGCAGTGATTAATTAATTAATTTTGATGAATTTAATTAAATTAAATCAACAGAAAAATTTCAAATCTCTAACTTGATTATTATATTCAAAATTACACAAAATAGATAAAAAGGAGTACTAATTCATCTAATATTCATCTAAAGATTCATTTGTAAGAACTTCAATCATTAATCATCATTTAATTATTAAGAATATAAACACGATTATAAAATTATGAATAATTTATTTATTATTTTAAAAAATATTGATTTGTTTTTAAATGTGTTTATTTGATTTATATTAATTAAATTAAAATTAATAATTTTCTGTTTTGTAAGCCTTCAATTTAAGAGTGTTAATTTGATAGTGTGCTGCTGAAACATTTAGAAAGATTCTTAGCATTATTCATAATATCTAAATCTTTAAAATATTTTGATGATATTTAAATGAAAATTAACTAATTCAAATATATTTTGAAACAAAGAAACAAAGAAAGATAGATAGATAAATAGATAGATAGATATACACTTTTATAATCCAAATATCAGTTTTCAATTAAAAGACTTGCAAAATGAATCATTTTCTTTCATTTTCTTGCATAGATTAGTCATTTATATAAATATTTATTTAATTATATTTCATAATAGTTCTGAACACTTTTTATTTTTCTTCTTAATATTTACAAATAAATATCAAAAGCTTAATTAGTGCTAATGTATATGAATGACTAAGCGAGTATGTATGTGAATAATTGAATAAAAAAATGAATGATTTAATTAATTGTCATATTTTGAGTTAAAGACATTGGAAAAAAGAAAATCAATTAAGAAAGAGAGAGAGAAAGAAAGAAAGCACAAAATAAAGGAAAAAAAAAGAAATTAATCAAAAGGAAAGAAAATCAAAATAAATAATTTATTAATAAATAAAACAAAGAAATATAAATTTTTTCATAGGAAGTAGCTAGCAATGATCAATAGAAGTACTGCATTCATTTCCAAGAATTTGAGATAAGCCAACTTGACTCAAAGTTCTTTGGCTATGAAGACTCAATATAATCAAATGGGCTTCAGCAGCGATAATCCTTACAATAAGAGATGGGAATACAAGTGGAAGCATTCTTACTACACTTATCCCAGAGATTATGAACACACCGAGGTTAGAAAGCCTTAAGACTCCAAGGATGTCCCACCCATTTACTTTGCTTATTACAAAGATTTTGTTGACAGATGGCTCCCTGGTATGAATATGTGGTGGTAGAGACGTCACAGAATTTTTGATAAGTTCAATGTTTATTTCTTACCTGGTATGTCCTTATTCTTCTACTAATTTGCTGATCTCGCTCTTGGTTTCAAAGTATGATAAACATTTAATAGCAATCAATTATCAATGTTGATATTTCTTAAGCATACTCCATTTCTCATCAAAAGCGAATAGCAAAATAGCGAATACAACAAAATATTACTAAGCTAACTAACAAACAAGCAAACAAAAGGCATAAGGAGAGCATAAAAACATTTTATTACAAGTTTTGGATGAAGATTAAAACTACTTATTTATCATGTGATTTTATTTTCCTTATTGAAGAGTCAAAGTAAAAAAAGATACACTAGGCCTTTATTTCTTATTATTTTTTACAATTAAATGCAATAAGCTGCTTTTAAAATATTTAATGAAAAAGAGAGAAATGAGAGTGATTAAGAAATAGCTTTTCAATTGCAAATTTAAAATTTAACATTTAAAACTTAGATTATGGCAGCTTTCCCCTTGTTCCTTGCTTACACCAGAATTAGAGATAAGACTCTTGACCCTGACTTCAAGGAAACGTAATCAATTAATCTAATTCATTAATCTTTTCCTAAGAAAAAGAATAAAAATTAAGAGCCAAATAAAAATGAAAATAAATCTTAGATAAGCAAATGGGATTACTAAACTAAAAAGCAAAATAAAAGATGGTGAAATAGCTCTTGTAAATGCTTTATTCACATGCATCATTTTATAGAATAAAAAATTGATAAATTAATTGATAAATTGACAAGATATGCGTTTAATTTAGATATAGGATTCACTAATGATTTTTGCAACTCAAAATCATTATTTGATAATTAAGGTCTATTTTAGGATCAAAAGCAAATAACTCAATAATAATTAAAGATTTCTTTTTATCAGTTTAATGCTGCAGATTTTGTAAATTTAGTGAAATTAGTCATCCAGTCAATAAAATAATTTTAAAATGCAATTTGTTTTGGCACACCATTTCTTGTTATTCATCTTAAGAATTTTAACTGTTAATATACTTATTATTCACATTATTTTAAGCATCCATCCCATCCATCTATCTATCAATAGATTCACTTTACATAAAAAAAATGAATAAGATGACTAATTTTTATAGTTTGATTGTTTTACAATTAATATTTTTAGAATTTTGAATTTCAATTATTTTTTTTGATAAATCCAGCTACTTGAGAGATATGATCTACTAAAATCCTGAAATCACTAAATATTTCAACGAAGAAACCATCCACGTTCTTGACTACGAATTTGAATATCTTCCTGGTTATCTTTGCCCTGAAAAGTTCCCTGAATACTAAAACAAGACCTGGTAATTCTTCAACACCGATACTGCTTAAGCTGAAGGTTTCTTCAAGTTTGGTGATGTTGAATCTGGTGCCACCATGACTCTTAAGTTCAAGACCATGCCTATTCCTGGTAAATTCAGATATCAAGTTGGTGAACCCTTCTACTTCTATGATTTAAGAGGTAAATTTAAAGTTAAGTATTTTTAACAAATAGTGTAATAAATTAAATTATGTAAAAAACAGCTGAAATTAAGTGCGACGGTGTTTACAAGGAAGTTGTTTTAGTTGATGAAAAGGAATCATTAAAGAAGATCAGACCTTTCCTCTTCCTTATTTGAGAAATATTTTAAAATGTAAAAGAAAGAGTAAGGCAGTATTAACTATCTATCTAAAAAAGCAAGCAAGCTTAATAAGTGTAATTAAATCATATACCACATTGTTTCATACTGCATCATATAGCCTTCAATTATAAATATAAACCGTTTTATAACTTATTATCCAACCAGCGGTCATGTGTTGTTGTATGATACTACGTACGTGTATTCTAATTCCTTACTAATACTCTTTTAAGTATATAGCTAATCAATCCTACATTTAATAATTATTTTGATAAATTAATTCATGTTAACATCATTTATTTAATTTTTCTAACAATATAAATTAAATGGCTAATATTATTTGCCTTTAACACTAAAACCATTAATAAAATTTCAGATTTAAAATTCGCTTATTACTTGTTAATCATTTAAAAATTAAATACTAATTATTTAAACGTTTAAAAAGTAATTTATGTTTTAGCAAAAGTAAAATTACTTAATAAAATAAATTATTGATCTATCAGGAAATAATTTATTTTAAAGGGTATTAATTTGGTTAGTTTAACTTGCTTAATTTATTTTCAATTTAAAATAAATTGTAAGAGTAAAGAATAAATAAAAAGCTCACAATTTTTACTTATGAGCATAGTGAAATTTATGAGAAAAAATAAATTGAGTTTTATAAAATTTGTTATAATTTAGTTGATATTAATTTTGAGTTACTTATTTATAATATCCATACAGGAGTCTACTAAAAAAAAAAAGCAACCTAATTCACTAAATTTATGAAAGAATTTATTGTTAAGGAAAAACAAACTCATATCAATTCAAAGGAAAAAAATTGATATTCAGAAAATAATTAGCATTTATTTGGTTATTAAATTCAATTAAATAATATGAAATAAATAAACTAATGAAGAGAAAAAGAATAGATTAAATTAGAATTTAAAAAGATTTCTCTATTTAAGTTGTTTAAAAATAAGATACACATGAAAAATTTAAAAATAGTTAAAGTTCTGTAATAGTTTTTAAATATATTTTTAGCACGACAAATAAACTGCTACTTTGCAATTTAATTATACTTACATTAAATTCAATATGTAAAAACTTTAAGATTTATTTAGAAAAATATGTTGAGCTTTTATAGGGAAAGAAAAAAATTATATATTTGTATTTATTTAGACTCAATATATTTTCATCAGCATTTCCTATTGATTAATAAGATTTTGCTTTTGATAAAAAGAAAATAAATAATGTTTTTTATATGATTTAACAAGATTTTGTTTCTTTTACACTCTTAAACGAATCAATTACAAGTAATTCACTATAAATATTATTAAATTAAAAAATATATCGAACAAAATTCTATCTAAGTAGTCAGTCTATCATTTAAAACGTAGAATAAATAAGCTTCAAATTTAACAAATCATAGTAAGGGATCATGATAAATAAAAATATTTTTAGCTCTGACCAGTCTTTAGATTCGCCGATATAAATTCGTGGAAAAAAAACCTATGGTATTTAGTTGTTTACTTACTGCAATATTCTCAATATTTTAATTATTCAAAATATTATTGATAATTTTTTTTATTTTTTAAATTCATTTTTTTTTGTACAAAATTCTAGGTTTTATCTAAAGGATATTTTGCTGTAAATGCTTTGGATGTTGTCAAGTATTTTATAATTCATATCATAGCCAATAATAAAAATTTATCATTATATGCTTAAGATTACAAGTTAATATATTCATTTAATATTTAAATAGGAAGAAGATAAAAGTCTTCTCACATCTAATAATAGAAAAGATATATCGAAAAGATTAATTTCCTAATTTAAATCTGAAAAAGACAACGCAGTATGGCATTACATTTTAAATGATTGATTAATGTTTTTATGAATTCGCATTTATTATATTTTAGATAGAAGATCCTTTGTAAATTCTTATTAGACTCTACATAGATGATGACAAAGAAACGATATTTTAGCTTCTTAATAAAACAAGGTAAAAGAATCATTTAATAATCATAAATACTAATATGCATTTCCTAAATAATAGAATTAATCCAGATTTATCTGAAAAGCATATTTGGAGAGATGACTTAGAGTTCTATCTCCCTTAAATTTGTAATTTCTTCGTCTTTCACGAAGAACTTAAAAACGATAGCCTCAAGGAATTCCTAAAGAAGGCAGGTAAAATAGACTTCTTCTTTGGTCATATGCTGTGCTTCTATTTAAAAAGTGTTGCACAAACTGTAAACAAAAACTAGATTCAAGACATTCCATAGTAAGTTAATTTTAATTATTTAAAATATATGTTTGACTAAGTAGATAAGGAAGGATCAATAATAATTAATATAGAATTTTAATTTAAGTAATATGATTTTGAAAATTTTTAATTTTTTTTTTTTGAATAGAGTATGGAATGTTTTAAATGAGTTTTTCTCAAGTTTCGTAGAATTTTATTCTAGTAAGCAATTAATGTCTGCTGAAATGGTTGAAAATCTTGCTATGGGAAAAAAATACGCTGTGCCTTATAAGCTGAATAAATCAAATAATGGAAATTCAAATGAAGCAAACATGAAAATAAAACAGGAAGTGATTTCATCTTATGGAACTTCCTATTATTAAAGACATAAGATTAACATTTTACCTGAAGACATTTCATTATAAAATTACATTAACATCCAGGATTTTATTTAGATTAAAGAAAGAGTTGAATCTAGCTAAGAAGTAGAAAACATGGATAATGGTATTCCACCCGAAAACCAAAAGCTGAATAAAGAAACTGAAATTAATGGTAATGGAATGGAGCATGACTTAAATAATGGTTTTTTAAGTACAATTTAATTTTTCAATGACTTAATGGACATTTCTGATAACTTGAAATTTTCTGATCCTAAAATTGTATCCTTACGTTATGAATTGTAAAAAATAAATTAGCAACTACCAGCTGCAGTTTATGTACCTTTCTTTGCAAGTAAGATAATTAATTCATTAAAATAATGAAATTGTATATTGTCATCATTATTAAACTGATAATTTATGAAAATTTTTTTGTTAAAAAAAATATTTTAATTATATTTCAAACAGATAATTATCGTAATCATGTTGTTTTGAACATTGTCACAGAGGAATGCAAAGTATTTTCCACTAAGGAAAGAAGTCCTTTCTATATTTGCTTGGAGCTTTATCGTTCAGAAGAACCCAGCAAAGTAGACTAAAACTCTCCTATAATTTATACTTAGGAAAGATTAAAAAACGGCGATGTAAGATATAAGTGGAGCTATGATGAAAGACTCTCTTAGCCATTAACTGTTAATGTAATTTGAATTAAAACCAAATAAAAATGAAATAATTTCATTTATTAATAGAATTAAGAATATTAATCTGTAGTAAAAGATATAGAAACTGGTAATAAGCCTAATTAAAATACTAAAAAGAGTAAATTAATATAATTAATTTTAATTTTAATAAATTATCATAAAAAGATATAGGAAACAGCAGTGATTTCTTAAGTACAAATGCTGCATTACTTGATAGGAAATCAGAGAGTGACGATTAACCTTAAGTAATAATGTAATCTTTGAAAAGTGAAGTTGGAAATCCAGAAACTAAAAAGACTTTAGATATTAGAACCTAATCAAAAACACTGGATGTCACAAAGCCTAATTCATAAAGCATTGCCTAAAATGGAAATAGTAACAATAATAAGCTTACTATTGGATCCAGCAGACATAGATCATTTGGAGAAAGCATACAAAACGAAGTAACTTTAATATTATATATAATTTTAAAAAAACCTTCAATATAAAAATTAATTGAAATATTTAGGAAGTTTCGGGTATTTCTTGTGTTTATGAAAAAGGTATGAGAGTTCCTTCTCATTATAATTTGAAGGATTTAGCATAGTAGAGTGCAAGTTAAATAGAATTAAATAATGATCCCAACAAGAATATTTCCATACCTTAAAATAACAAAGAAATAAATATAAATAATTCAAATGAATATTCTGAAAGCAATTTGAATCAGACTAATAGGAATTAGAGCGAATCGATCCCATAATCTGTAGAGTCAATCAAACCTTCCAAAAAATATAATAATTAAGTTTCAGATGTTTTAGATTTAAATGACGATAAGTTCAAAGGACTTAAAAATTTGTTCGGAGAAGACTCCAGAGATTAAGAAGCTAGAATAAGAAAGCATTCACCTTTTGGGCACTTCAAAAGCTGGAAACTTGTGCATATGATAGTCAAAGTAATATTTAAATGATTTATTGTTATTGTTTAAAAATAAAATTTTCTACTTCTAAAATTAGACTGGAGATAATATAAAGCAGGAGTAATTTGCCGTCCAGCTGATATACTAATTTGATTAGATATTTAAAATGGAAGAGCTCGATTTAAAATTGACTCCTTATGAAATTGTATCTCTTGGTCCTTAAAGTGGTATCTTGGAGATGGTAAAAAACTCAATCACCTTAGATGGTCTTCTCAAATAAATTCATAGTTACAAAGAAATTAAAGATTTGCGTCACTTTTTCTAACTCTACTATGGAAGCCAATTTAAAAAAGCACAATATAACTTCTGTTCATCTCTAGCTGCATACAGCTTAGTCTGCTACTTCTTACAAATTAAAGATAGACATAATGGAAATATTCTTTTACACAAAAATGGCCATATAATACATATTGATTTTGGATTCTTTTTATCAAATGCTCCAGGTAAATATTAATTAATTAATTATAAAATTCCATGTAATATTAGCATAAATTAAAATAAATATTTTCTTAAACTTAAACCAAGCTAAAATCAAATTTCAAATAAGTTTAAAATTAATTAAATTACCTAAATAAAATAAAGGAATTAACAATAATTTATTGAATGTTTTTAAAATTAAAAAATATGAAATAAAAAGAGATTTAAGTTAATTTATTTAATTTGACTCTATTTTTTAAAATAAAAACAAATGAAATTTAAATTTTAATGATAAAATTTATAAATTATTTTAATAATAGGAAAAGGTCTTTCAATTGAATAAAATGTACCTTTTAAGCTTTTAAGTGATTATATTTCAATTCTTGGTGGTATTGAAAGTGATATGTTCTAGACTTTCAGAAGGTTATTCTTTTAGGGATTCTAAGCAGCTTGCAAGCACCAAGATAAAATATTAATTTTAGTAAAAATGCTTTACTCTGGACATGGTTTAACTCTTCCTTGTTTTGAAAAAGGTATTTACTTGTTTTTTAATAAAAAAAGATTAACACATTTTAAATATTTTAGGTGAGTAATGCATTCTCGATTTAGAACAAAGATTCAATCCTCCAAATATATCAAACGATGGTGAACTTAGTATGCATTGTAATATGCTTATCAACTAATCTTTGGATAACTGGAGAGCTAGATGGTATGTTTTATATTTTAATATTGTAAGATTTGAAATAATAAATTAATATTTTTATTATTAATTAAAAAGGTATGATAAGTGGTAATATTTTTGCTAGGGAATCTTTTATTGAAGCTAACTATTCTTAAGTTTTAAAAGCAAAAATAAATTCAAAATTTCTAATACAAAAATTTTTCGGTATTAATAAAATCTATTAAAAAACTAATTAAATAAAAATATTCTTTTAAATAAATCAAATAAGAATTATTATAAATATTATAAAATTAATATCTGTTTTCCTTAATGCTAATTAAGCAATAAGGTTAAATTTATATTTAAATATCTGATATGTATGTATTATAATAAAAAACCTTTTTTTAATCAATTCATAATATCAATTTAATAGCAAATAATTTTATATTCTTTTTAGCATAATAAGGCCATTTTTTTTACAATCATATGATAATGATTTCTAAATTAATTGCTTAAGGCTATTTCTACCAAAATTTATTTAAAGTGAATTAAACATAATAAATATCTTTTTAGATACTCTTAAAAAATTAATAAATTAGTAATATTTATACATAACTGAAATGAAAAGTATACTAGATTTTCTTGTCAAATCTCATGTTGAAAAGATTAAACAGCCCATTTTTAAACTTTATTCATCTCAAATAGAAATTTTGCAAGAGCCTATAGATTTTTATTTGCAACTTCATGTAAAAAAAATATTATTTTAAGATGTTTTGTGATGAATTATTTCACATAATATATACATATTGATTAAGTTTTCATAATTTTTATAGAGTAATTAAGTAAAAATTATGCTATTATTAATAGAAAGGAGTAAAGTATTCTTCCAAAAGAATCTTGATGAGCACCCTTTATTTCGGGACAGGCAATCTTGAGAAATATTTGGTAGCTTAAATTGATAATTCTATAAAAAGAAACAAAAAACTTAAAGTAGGAATGCTAATGGATTACATGAGAGGTACATAGGTTCTTAAAAATTAATAGAAATTTCGAACTATAAAAATTCATCTAAATAGAAAATAAAATATGCATTTTTTTTAATTAAATACTTAAAGGTAATCGTGTTAACAAAAGATAAGAAAGTTCTCGAACTCTTGTAGAGAATTTAAAAAGAGATAATCTACATAACAACAATGTAAAGCTGGCATTTTACTATAATCCTTCTACTAATAAAATATTGACTCTTGATAGTGAAAGTGGTTTAAGAGAAATCTTCGGAGTTCACCATATGAAATTCTATGTATTTGATGATGATATTGTATTAACAGGGTATTTATTAATTAAGTTTTTAATTTTTATTTTTAAAATTAAGTGTAAGCTTGTAAATTTAATAAATCATATTATTTAGGGCTAATTTAAGTGAAGATTATTTTGTTGAAAGGCAAGATAGATATTTTTATATCAGAAATGCTCCTGAATTAGCTAATTACTTACAAGATCTATTTGATGTCATCTCTAATAATAGTTATTAAATTCACGAATCTGGTGAATTAGTTCTTTTTAACAATTAGCCAAATCCTGTCAAATAAACACAAAAATTCATTAAGGTTTTCAAAAATCAGTTTAAAATGTTCTTATATTCTAATTAAATCGAGCCTAAAACTATTTCTTTTACAGACTAAAATTTAAAACCTTAAAATTCAGAAGAAGTAATTGAATCAATTAAGCTATTTCTAAATAATCAATTCATCAATAAATATATAGACAATTTTAAACCAAGAAAATATGGATTCGAAAGTGACAGACTCACATGAAACTAACTAAGAGGATTAATAATAATAAGTAGAAGAAGAAGAAGAACCTGAAATTATTGATATTACTCCTGATAATTATTTTTAAGAAAATAAATAAATTTCGCTTGAGCTATAAGAGAAAAAAGAAAAAGCTACTTAACTGTAAAAAAATAATAAACTTTTTGAAAAATTTGTTAAAAAAAATTTTGAATAGACTTTAAAACAGCTTCAATGAAGTGGAAATACACTAGATCATGAGAAAACTAGAAGATACCCTATTCTACGAAGATAAAAGAAAGAGTGGAGAGTTAGCTGAGCTAGGTGGACCAGTTTACTTTTTCCCTACTGTAAAATAAAAAAAAATATATAGCTAATTAACAAATAAATTAAAAAATATAGATTTAACTCAGTGCAATAAATCATATACAAGATGAGCAATTCTTTTTAGAATTTTTAGATTATATTGGAAGTAACGAAGGCTATTAACTTAAATTTGCAAGTGGATATATGAATTTTACAGATAAAATAATCCAAAAAATAATGAATAGCAAATTTTAATATTAACTTGATCTTTTAACAGCGGCTCCTTAAGCTAATGGCTTCTTTGAAGGAGGAAGAGTAAAAAAGCACATTCCATTTTTTTATAGATATTTCGAGTATAACTTGTTGAAGCTCGCCTTAAAATTTAACAGAAAGAATATTAGAATTAATGAGTATTCAAGAGGATAGTGGACATTTCACTCAAAGGGGCTTTGGTTGTATGAAAACTAGGTATAAAATGGTGAAAGTAATTATGTTTCTAATCCATATCCTGTATTTACAGCTATAGGAAGCAGTAACTATTGCAATAGAAGTTATTAAAGAGATACTGAATTGCAATTCTACATTTACTCATAATGTAATAAATTTTCAAAGGAATTGCATATAGAAAACGAAAGATAATTTAACTACTCATAAGATGTAACAGAAAAAAAATTATCTTATAAAGAATACGGATTAAGTTTATCAGTTGTAGCTTTTGCCAAATTTTTAAGATCCTTTTTATGATTTGTAAAATAAAATAAATTTTTTTAATTTATGAAATAAAGTTAAAAATTAATTAATCTTGACTTTTGTATAAAATTTTAACAAGGAATAGTTGATTTTATTTCATTTTTCTTTTATTTTTTTAATAAAAGTAACAGCTTGCTTTTTTAAGTGTCTGAATAAATATCTCTTTTAATTTTATAAAATGATTTTTTTATTAATTATTTAAATAAAAATAAGTTGGAGCAAAAATAAATTTAAAAGATTATTAATTATTTACCAAATTTTAAAAAATATTTTTTCATTTTCATAATATCAAAAATTAACTATAATTAAAGCCTATTAAATTAAATTTTTTATAAATCTGCTTTCATCAACAAGTTTAAATTTAGTTTTATTTTTACCAAATTTTTTAAAAATGTTTCATTTTATTAATGAACTAAAAAAATTTAATTTACTTTTTTTTCACAAAAATCACTAAAAATTTAAATTAAAATATGTTAAATTATTTTCAATAAAATATCTATGTAAAAATATGTAAAATGTTTTCTATTTTTGGCTTTTCTTGAAAAAGGATAATTTATTTTAATAGAGATAAATGTGTATTAAAATTTTTATTTCAATTATTTTGAGAAAAAAAATGAAAATTTATCAAAACATTAAAATTTTATATTTAAATATTTCCTATTTGATGAATAAGTTGAAAAAAGGTCAAGATGTAACATATTAAGAGAATATGCAATTTTTTACAATAAAGTTAATTGTAATTTATATTGAAGTTTATAAGCTTGATTCTAAGATCATATTTCATTTTAAGCTTTAGTTATTGAATATATTAAAGAGTATCTGCTATTTTTGAGCTAAATTTAAATAAGGAATTTTAACAAACTCTACAATAAACTTCTTCAGGCATACGATTTATTTATTCAGAAGCTTTATCAGATCTTGAAATTAATTTGCTTAGGTAATATTGGCTTTCTAATTCTAATTTTATCTTTACCAGAACCTGGGAATCTTGGGACAGGAAGATTAAATTCTTCTTCTTTGATCTTCTTATCTTCCAAGATTTCTTTAACATTCTATTCGTGCCATTTGGGAACATTAAATTCTACTTCGGCTCCTCTTTCTCTAATATTTTCCATTTTTTTAACAATTCTCTTAGGAGGAATAGTAGATCTTAAGTTGATAGGATAATTTTGAGGGAAGACGTGTTCTCTAATTTGAAGAGGAGTTCTATAGATACACTTAACACTACCACCCTTTTCTTTTATAGCCTTAATAACATTTTCAGAGGCATCACTCACTTCAAAATGAAGAGGTCTATCAATTGTTTTCAAACCCTTTACAATATTAATAATTATTTATTTATAATTTTATGTTAATTTGCTTATATTTATTTAATTTTATTAAAATTTCCTAATTTAATATAACTTACTCTACCAACTAATTTAACACCGTATTTGGCAGTACTAAATACACCAGCATCGTGAAGAACTTTAATAGTAATAGGTTTAGTAGAATCTATTCTTCCCTTGTGAATAGCATACATAATTAAACTCATATTTATGGCTTTAGGACGTTCTTTATTTCTTTTTTTAAGATTATTAATTAAATTTTAAAATAGCTTTAAATAAACACACACATCTTTCTCATGTAGATTGAAAAAATAATAATAAAAAAATATATTTTATAATTAATTTTTGATTTATTTTGAATTTCACTTAATAATAGAAGTTTAATATACTTAAATAAGGTGGAAAGATTTTTTGTAAATAGAAGAATTGTGTTAAATAGTTTTAATTGAAAAAATTTATTACATTCTTGTAATACCTAACTTAGGCAATCTTCTGAACCAAGGAGTTTGACCACCTTCAAATCTGGGAGAAACACCACCACCAGATCTACTATTATGACCGTTAGTACCCTTTCCTGCAGTTTTTCTAGAATTTGCATATTTAAATAGGAATTAAAATATTGCATACAATTTTCATATGAAAAATTTTTAATATCTGTATCAAAAGCAATAAAAATTATTTTAAATCAATTACCCCTTTCCGGATCCAATACCTCTACCTAATTTCTTAGCTTTTCTTCTATATCCTATTTAAATTTAAAATTAAAATCTTTTCTAAACCTTGTAAGAGATATTTTGATGTTTAAGATGCAAAAGAATCAAATAGTCTAATTTTGAAAAATCAAACCTGGATTATTCCATAAGTTGTTTAAAGTAAAAGGCAATAATTCGTTTCTATGAGTAGGTACATCATTTGGTCTTTATTTAATGCAAGAAGAAAATGAATAGACTGAACCCTATAATAATGATCTAATGTTATTAACAGGGAAGCTATTTCTTGAAATATATTAGCTAGCTTTTAATAATAAATTCATTGTGTTAATTTATCCTATATTCTTTACTTTTTTAATTTTACTAATATTTTATAAGAAATTCATTCACTTTTATAAAACATGATTAATTAATTCATGGATCAATAGATCAATTAATTAATCTATGAATAATTATCTTAAGTTTCTACTAATTTCAATACAATTATATTCTTAAATGTATATTCTTAGTATTTAATATTCTGTATCATTAAAACATATCTTTTCTTATTTATTGAAAATTATATCAATATCATCTTATAATTTATATAAATTACAAATAACTCTTTTTACCCTCAAATAAATTTTAATTATAAATACACTGCCTTTATTCAAATAGTAGAATTAAATTAATTTGCAACATTTTTTAGCTCATCAAATATTATTTTATTTCACAAATTCAGTGTAATTTTGATTTATTTTTATAATATAAACAAAATTTTTTTAAAAATTAGATATGTAATTTATATAAATAAATGATTTTTTACAACTAAATTAAATATAGCTTTTTTAATCAGATGAAACTAATATTAAAACTTTTAAATAATAAACAATAAATAAAAAATTATTTTTATTAAAGTTAATGAAATTAGCTTTTATTCAAATTTTTAAAGAAAGCTAGAATTCAAATCGAATTAGATATAAATAAATCTTATTAAAAATATTTCGTAAATAATGAGTATGCACATTAAAATATTTAATTATCATAATTAAGATATTTATCTATCATTAATTGAAATCGTATTTGTCATTATTTTGTTTAAATTATTCTTAGTTAGAAAATATTCTTAGAAATTTTAGTTTTATTTAGCATTTTTCAAAAGAGGACTAATTACTATTAAGATATTTCTAATATTTAAAATTTTAAATAATAAATAGAATATAAAAAAGCACTTATATTAGAATTAATTCAATAAATAATTGCTAAAATATCTAAAAATAAATATAAAAAAGCATTGAATGGTTTTAAATATAAAAGTTATTTATAAAAATAAGTTTTAAGATCAAAATTAACCAAATCAATTTTTTAGTATACATAAATTAAAATCATATTTATTATTATTTATTTCAGATCTTTCTTCATTTAATTCATTTAAAGATAATTCAAAAGATTTTTGTTTTATTTAACATTTATAAAACAAAAATGTGCTTTCAACTTATTATAAATTTTATAATAAATATTATTTGATAAAAGTAAATATATAATCTAAAGAATAAATCAATACTGTTATCACAAATAAGTAAGTTCTGTGGCATAAGTTAAAATTATTTTATTTTTAGTAAAATTTAAATAATTTTTGCAATTATAAAGAAAATCTTTTAAAAATTAAAAAAATTAAACATTTTTTTTGAATTTATATTATAAATATGGCTTTTTCTTATGAAAAATAAGAAAATTTAATTCTTTGTTTGATTAATGAAGAATTTTAACATTTAAATCAGAATTTTACATAAGGATATATAATGATTTGAAAGTTTTTATGAAAATCAAATTAATTAAATTAATAATTTAGAAATTAATTATTACAATATTAACAGAAAAAAAAAAATGCAATTAATTAAAAAAATTTTTGGTTCATCTATCTATTAACTACTGTTTTTATTTTTTCTTATTATCATTTAATTTATTTTGTATTTTTTTGTTAATTTTATTTATTTATTAGGGTTGTAATTATTTATTTAATTCCAGTATTAAAATATTTTTTAGTTTTGTTTGTTTGTTTATTTTTATTTATTTAGTTATTTTTAATAGGATTTAGATATTTTTATATTGTTTTTTTTATTTTTCTTCTTTAAGAAGTAATTAGTAATTTAGACATATACAATTTAGTTAGTTAGTTAATTATATTTTATTTATTTATTTTATTGTTTATATTATATCATTTATTTGCAGCATTTTATATCATCATCTCAATTAGTATTTTATAGGTATAATAGAATATTTTAAAGAAAAGAAGTCAATATTGTGTTAAATCATCAAACTATTCCTCATTTTTTTTTAATTTTGACAGTGTAATAGTTTTTTTACTTAGATCTATTTAACTAAGTTTTAGATATTTTGTTTTGATACTCCGAATATTATATGATGATAATATTAAAGATCAAGTATAAAAATGAAATAATTTAAAGCACCTACGTCTGGAAATGTTAAAAACTAAAATGGAGAAAACTCCTATCGATTCATTTTTTATTTTAAAAACTTTGCGTGCTTTAAATGTACTCTTATTATACTGATAATTCCATTTTTCAGGAATTCTAAATATTTTTTTTTATCAACTTGATAGTTAATTTTTTAATTCTTAATTATTTATGAAAACTTTCTTTTTAGTTTTTGATTTATCTAAAACAAAATACCGTTAAAATTTTTTCTTCTAATTAAAAATTTTTTTCTTAATATTAAGAAATTTTATTTGCATTATTATTATATTCCGCATAAAATAAATTGAATCATAAAATAATCAAAAAATCTGTCATATAAAATTTAGAACTAATATATACATCCTTCCATCAAGACATTATTAATTCCAACTTAAATTTACTTTTAATTAACTTTAAAATTATTTTTATTTCAATATTCTGTTTTCCTTAGTAAAATAAATGTATTCAATGCTAAATTATCTTTTATTTTAATTATTAAATTATAAACTATCTTAGCTTTATAATTACCCTTTAAAATGCAATCTTAAGATTTTATAGTTTTTATTTTTCAATATTTGTATCCAGAAAAAAAATGGATAACTATCTTGAAAACAAGCATTTATTTTGTAAATTAAATTACATAAATATATAATTTTATTATGATAATAAATATATTGTTGAATCTTTTAATTTTCTTATAAAATACCTATCATAAATAATAGATTTCTATTTAAAATATATTAATATAATAAGTGAAAATTATAATATTTTTCATTACTAATTATCTATTTTTGATAATTATTTTCATTTTCGTAAATCTATCTCAATGTTTTTAACATTTAAATAAGATAAAAACAAAAAAAATTCGATTACAAAAATTGCAGTAAAAAATTTAAAAATAAAATGCTTATTAAGATATCATTTAGTTAAATTTTGTATTCTAGAAAGTATTATCGAATAAAAAATAAAATTATTTAAAGAAGATTATCAAATTAATAGTAAACTATTCCTATATTTTACTTGTGTAAAATAGTTAAATCTAAAAATAATAAAAACAAATTTTTTATTCATTGATTACAATTTATTTAATTTTTAGTTTAAACAAACAAAATTAATTTAGCAATTTAGTATTTTAAAATAATTTTATTTTTTCAAATTTTAAAAATATTGCTAAAAGCATAGATTTATAAGGAAGGGGGTGAGCAAAAGTACAAAATACAATTATGTCTATCAAAATCAGTAATAGAGCTTAAAGAATATCAATTTAACAAAAAACAGGCTCAAATAATTATAAATATTCTTCACTCTAATATAATCTATCAAATTTAAATCAAAATCATTTTTAAAAATTGTTTAGCTTTGTTAATTTTATTATTAGAAATTATAATTATTTATAAAGTTTTAAGTTAAAAAAAATTAATAAATTTTTACATTTTCCAGATTAATTTTTTTAAATTTAATACAAAAATAAAGGTAAATAGATACTAAAAGATAGATTTAAAAATAATTTATTTTAAATAAGAATATTTTATTTTATATCCTTAAAAAATTATAGATTTTTCTCAATATATAAATACATAATTATGCTTAATTAATTAAATTCATACAGAGTATTATAAATCATTTGTCTCATTTGAGAATACTACTAATAAATGAATTAATATATAGTTATAAATATTAATCTTTGTAAATTAAAGAATTATCTTTTTATTATAATATTTCTAATAAAAAGTATTTAACATTTAATTAGATATTTAGTTGGCAATATTATTATTGAATTTACAAAAATAAAGAGAAATAAATATAATTTAATTTTAGCTATAGATTTTAAATTAATTTAAAATAAGAAAATAATATTTAATATTATTAAAAAGAAATAGAATTTTCTTAATCTACAAATCCACAAGTAAGCTTAATTAATAAAATACATACTTAAATTTTTATGTATATATAGTAAATCATCATTTTTTAAGGGCTAAAATTTTATAAAATTGAAAAAGAATCCCAGGCAAGGGTAAAAATTTTGGGAGGAGGTGACCTTAATAAATGAGGATTTACAGTAAGTATATGATATATCATTTATATTATTTCAAAATACTACAAATAAGTAAATTATTATTATTGTAATTTTTTAATTTTTAAAATTTATTAGAAAATCTTTTCAATATATTTCATCTAATAAAACAATTATTATTATTTAATTTAATATAATAACTAATTATATCTTAATTCAATACAAAATAAATATTTATAATTAAAATTTAATTTATCTAAGGATTAAAAACAAACTATTAACTAAGAAAATAATATTTTATTTAATATTATTAAAAAGTAATAGATTTTTCTTAATATATAAATTCTAATATGCATAATTAATACTTATGTTTTTATAAATTTGATACACAATTTTTTTCATATCAAAATACTATGAATAAATAACTAATCATATTAAATTTAAAGATATTCTTTTTAATTTGATATTTCTAATAAAATATTCAATATAAAGAAAGAAGGATTAATCTTAATATTATTAATTATTATTTCGAAAATTTATCAATAAAAATTAACATTCCAAAAATATTTAAGCCTTTATTTTTTGTTAGTAATTAAAAATTAAGTTAAAATAAGAAAAATATATTAAGAATAATTAATAAATTATAATAGAAATATTATGTAAATTTTATTTAATTTTTTATGAAAAACTAAATTAAAAGCTAAGAAATCTAATAAAAAAGGATAATAAATCGTTTATTTAATATAGAATTTGTAAATACATTAAGTTATTTTTATATTTTCATAATAAATATCTAAATTAAAAAAATAAAGAATATGTTAATGAATGACTTTTTCTAAATACTTTTAGTCAATGTTAACTAGTAAATTATAATACAATTTTAGAAAAATATTATTTAAAGTATTAAAAATTAAATTAAAAGCATAGAAACCTAATATAAAGAAAAAAAATAAATGATTTAATTCATATAAAATTTGAAAATATTATTTTTATATTTAGAAATAGATATCTAATTTAAAAGAATATAATAAAATGATATTTTATCTACTTATTTTCTTAATGAATAACTAAATAGTTATTTTTACTCAGTTTTTTTGTTAAAAATGATAAATTACTAAATTATATTTCTATTTTTATTCTATTTTAATTTAAAATTTTAAGACAAAAAAGTGATTATGAATCTTGTAGGAAAACAGCTCACTCAAATATAAAATAATTTTGAAGTTTTTTAAAATTTAAATATTTTTAATATTAAATTTTATTTAATTTATTTTTTTATTTTTAATAAGTCTTTTTATAAACTGAAGAGAAATATTTTATTTGAATGGTGAAAAGATTTTTTTTATTGGTTTGTTTTAAGTTTTTTATTTTAATTTTGAATAAAAGATTTTTATTTTTTTTAAGGTTTTATTAAATTTATTAAGATTTTGTTTTATTTTTATTTTACTTATTCTAGTTTTCTTACTTTTTTTTTATAAATTCTATTAACTGTTTTTATTTTTCTTTTTTCTAAACTATTTTCTTTTACTTTTTTTTCTTTTATTTTTACAACTTTGCATTCATTTTTTTTTATTTTTTATGTTTTTTGAAGATTTTCTTAGTCTTATTTTGAAAATGTTTTATTGCTTTAAGGGATTTCTGAGCTTCTTATGATGGTTTCTTAATACCTTTTTTTAAAGTTACTTAAAATTAGAGTTTTGGAAAGAAATTGAGAAGTAGTATTTTTGATAAGTTGATATAACATCATAGGTTCATTTTTGCTTCTTACTTGTTCAGAAGAAGCATAGAAGGAATTGAAAGATAGTTAAATGTTTTTGATGCACCAATTCTTTAATAAGAATTTTTGAAAGAAGAATGTATAGAATTGCTCAAAATGTGCTATTTTGTTTTCTCAAAATATTTCGTTAAAAACTTAGATCAGCTGCAAATCATTCTTGTTTAAGAGAAATGATGATTAAATAAACATAGGTTCACTGTACTTTGTACATTTAAGTTTATTTAATGTTTTTAATAGCGGGATTTATTCTATTTTTAAAAACTATGAATATGGCAATTCAATATTTCAGAACTATTTTTACTTGTTTTTTTTCTTTTCTTTAATGTTTGATAATTATTTTGTTTATATCTTAATAGCTATTGATGATTTATGTTTTTGAATGGTTTATTTTTCTTAATAAACTTTATTATGAAATTTATTTTTAACGGATTTTTAATTTTTCATTTCTTGATTTTTTTCATAAAAATTTTAAGTAATTTAAAAAAATTAATTAAAAAGGAAAGATCTTCAATTTTGAAATAATTTAATTGATTATAAAACAAAACAAATCTTGAAAAAAACAAGAGAAAAAAATTATAGCTGATAGAATCAAAAGAATAGGAATATGATAGATATCATTAAACATGTTTGCATTCTCAAATTTTTTAAATCGCCATTAAAGCCATTATTGAACCATCCATTTCAATAAGCCAGATAAGTTTTTTACAAAAAAATGGAAACAAAAAACGAAAAAATTCATCTCAATCAAAGATGAATCATGTCAGTAAATAGGTGAAATCAAATATTTCTGAAAATTCAATTTCGTTTAAAAATGCAAACAATCCTGATTCAAATTCTATTGAGCACTCATATTCATTTGAATATAAAGGAAAAATCAAAAAGTCCCATCTCTTTTTAAAAACTTCAATTCTATATTTTATTTAGAAATAAGTTTAAAATAATTTAAAGATTTTCCTAAAAAGGAATCATTCCTTACAATCAGACAGACTACTTCAATATCAATCTCCACTCTCTTTATATAAATTAGAACTTATGAATAAAACGATAAAATAAAAAACAACACATTAAACAATGTTTATATATCATCTCATCTACTCTATAAAATTAATAAAAAAAAGAAATTAAAAAAAATCTACTTTAAAATAAATAAAAATGATAATGCTGATCTTTGTTTCTATAAAATAGTCTTAAAAAAACAAAAATAAATATACAAATTAAAAAAGTAAAAAAAAGAAATATAAATTTTGAAACTAGAACATTAAAATCAACTGATTATTTTAAATTTTGAAATAATTTAATAAATTACCCAAAATTTGTTTATAAAACTTAACTTGCATCTCATTATTTTTGAAATAAAATTTTATTTTATAATAGAATATTTTTTATAATAGAATAATTTTAAAAAAATAAATTATTTATTTTTATAATAGAATAATTGTATTTTTTATAACGAAATTATAAATTGAAAAAAGCTTTTTTTTGTATGTATATAGGTAAGTAACTCTTTAATATAAATACTATTATATAATAATGTTAGTATTTTTAGTTATATGATTATCAATTATCTTAATTTTCATTTATTTTTGTTAAAATATAAATTTATTTTATTAAAGAAAATACATGATTTTAAATTTAAGTAAGATTTTTGTAAAAGAATTTTGTGAGAACTCTCAATTAAATTAAGTTGAGGTGAATTACTTACTTTAATATTCATGTATTTACAAAAAGGGGACAGCATTATTTCAGGCTATTAAATACTTAGAGACCTTTTTGATTAATTTTTAAATCCTCATCATTTTACTTGTTAACGGCAAAGAGGACACGATTTTTTCACTGCCACCCAATCCCTTAAACAATTATTGTGAAAGAAATGCTAGCAAGATTTTAGCTTTATTATTTTACTCTATTTATGAATAAATTCTTAGAGACATATAGCACAAGTGATTGCTGTATTTTATATTTTTTATTCCAAATTCTAACTACTTTAAGAATTCAAAGCATTAAATTTTATATCGCTATTAGAAGGCAGTTCAAAATAAAGCTCTGTAAAAATTTAAGGAGCTTGCTCAAAGCTTAATTGTTGTTGATCTCCGCTCATTAGATTAGCTAAAAAATTTAGAGATTTTAGGCATTTGTTAATCGTATAAATAAGGTGTATTTGGAATATTATTTAAAGTAAAATAAACGGTGAAACGAATTATTGTGTTAGTTATCTTAATAATGAAAGATCATTTTCTCCAATCTACGAGATAGGAACAACATAAGCACTAAATTATATAATTTTTTCCTGAGCAAATGTATATAGTAAAGAAAAAATAAATAGTAGTAGCGATAGTAGTATATTGATTATCTAAAGTATCTTACATTTGGGAGCAATTTTTTTTGATGATTCAACATAATCAGGATTTACATATCCTAAACCAAATCTTTCAATGAGCTTCTTTCTAACAATAATAATGAATAAGACGCATAGTACATTTATAAAATAGCTAATATAGAAAAGTATATTTATGTAACAAACTACTAACAGACTGATTTATATTATGCTTATTATTAAAATTAGTATTATTCCTTAGCACATCAATAATAGCCTTACCTTCTATTTAATTTGGTAATATATATATATTAACTACACTTAATTATTTACTAAAAATGATAATTAAAAGCTTTATTTTATTGTTCTATGGTTATATTAAATATTTCGATTATTTGCTTTTTTTTGAGTGCTCAAATAAATTAAAAGAAATGTAAATGTAAAATGGCTTTTTTTATATTCAATTCATAAATTAAATATAAAAATAATGTAATATGGTAAAATATTCTATTTAACTTAATTTTTAAATATTTTTTTTTTTTGTATTTCAAGGGTAGGTTGCAGATTTATTCATCCATATAAAGTTAAGACTTGGCAAGAAATCTATTTAATATTGAAAGAAGGGGAAAAAAAAATGAATAATATTTAGATAAATAAGTTAACTAAAGAAGCAAATCAAGGAAAATAAGAGAAATACTTAAGAGTTGGTTACTATCATACATAAAATGATCGTAATAATTGTCATTAACAAATCAGCTTGCTCTATTACAATAGAATTAGTACTACTATTCAAAATCTGACTAAATAATGCTCAAATAGCTTGCTAAGATATCTTTAAATGGAAATATATTTAGAAAAGTATATGTGAAGAGGATGATTTTTGTATTTTCTTATTTCTACTTAACTTATCTAAACTAAAAAATAAATTAATGAAAAACAAATGTATGTAATTATTTTATGCCATTCACTTATCTAGTCGTTTTCAAACGACGAAATTTTTGAATGGCATTTTGCTATAATTTGATTTTATGAAAGTAATGATTCGCTCAATCAGTTGGTAATTAAACCACAATAGTAGGCTCTACCATTTATAAAATCAAAGATGCAAAAGGGATAGACAAAATAATTTTTGTAACCTAATATGACTCAGTAATAGAATAAATTTCCTTAGTAATACTAGGTATTCTTTCTTACTGTATCTTGGACACAAGCCAGGATCTTTTAGTTATTGTAAATAACGCAGGAAGATGACTTAAATACACTAACAATGAACTCAAGGAGAAATAAATTTTATAGAAGACGATAATCCCATATAAGAGGATGAACGATTGAGGAAAGTCTTGCATTTCAAGACTTGTTAAATTAAAGAAGAAGAGGAAAAAGATAATGAATAGTGCCCTGCAATTTACTACTCTCATCAATCAATAGATGCAGCTTTATTTATCCGTATAATTAAGACTTGATAAGTTATCTATTCAATATTCAAATAAAGAAAAAAATTGAATACTATTTAGATAAATAAGTTAAACTATAGAGCAAATCAAGGAAAATAAGAGAGATACTTAAGAATTGGCTACTTCTACGCTTAATTATTTAAAAATCAAAACAAATGTAAATGTAAAACGGCTTTTCTATTATTTAATTCATAAGCTAAATATAAACAAACTTTTTTACAGTAACTTTTAATTAATTAATTTATGAAAAATTAAAAGTAATTTATTTATAATTAAAAGTGTTTTATTTAATTAAGTATAATTCAATAAACATAAAACACTTTTAATTATACATAATTTACTTATACAGAATATACTTTAATTATACAAAGCAAGGGTGGGTTAGGAAAATTGATTAGCTAATACAGTAGCTCGTACTAGCAATAATCTTTATTTATATTGTCAGATAGATAAAAATTAAAATTTGGAGCTTTTGTGGTAAACTTATAACTGTATAATTAATTTTCAAAAAATAAATTAAAAAATTTTTTTTGCAGACCTTAGAACTTCTATTGAAATTTGATTAAAAATACAATTAAATAAGATTGAATATATAAAAACTACAAAATCTTAAATAAAAGAAGAAGAAAAAAAAAAATTTAAGCTCATATAATAAAAATTAATAAAGATATTATCTCATGCTATGCAAGTCTATCATTTTTACTGCCTGCACCTCCTTATTTTTCTAAATGATACACATGCTTTGATGATTGGAAAAACGGGAGTAGGTAAGTCTTATTTGAGTAATTTGATTTTAGGAAAGGAGTGTTTCTCTACTTCAGCTGATAATACAACCAGAAAATTAGGCTCCATTATCCGCTCAAATAATTGGCTAACCATCATTAAAACATAAGGTCTATTTTATGGAAAATAAAAGAGCAAAAACCTGCTAAATAACATCATTTAGATAATCAAAGATGTAAAAGGGATACACAAAATCATTTTTGTAACCTAATACGGCTCAGTATTAGACTAGCTTTCGTTAATAATACTGGGTGTTCTTTCTTATTGTATCTTGGGCATAAGCCCAGATCTTTTAGTTATTGTAAACAAGTCAGGAAGAGAATATGAATACACTAAAAACCTAGAACAAAAATATAAGCATTTTGGAGACTAAATTTTCATAAAAGAGGAATAGTAACTGAATAAAGATATATCTTATATGTATGAGAAAATCAAATATTGGTGGGGTAAAGATTTTATTCTTTTAGATGTTAAAGATTTCAATGCTTGCTAATCTAATGAAGAAGAAGAAAAATAAAAATAATTCTGCTCATTTTAACTATGCTAAGAAATCTTTTATTGCAGCTTTATTAGTCAAGATTAAGTAAAGAATTGGTAAGAGTTCTATTCAGCATTCCAAAAAAAGGATATAAAAATATAATACTATATAGATTAAGAAAACATAATAAGGGAGGAAATCAAGAAAAATAGCAAAAAGATGAATATCATAACTATCCCTATTAGTAAGAGATCTTTCTATGTTTTATTATAGTTTCAAAATAAAATCTGATGAATCTAAGTTCGAATAAATCAAAAAAATTACTGATGAATACAGAAAGTATTTAACAACAAATAATATAAAAAAGGATGAAAAAAATATATAAATAATAAATAAAATCCTCAAAAATCTTTGAATGAAAGAAGAAATTAAAAAAAAGAATTCTCAATCAAAACAGACTTTAAGACATACCATATTTTGTAATATCTATGATATAAGATGAAGAAAATAGAAGAGAAGAGATCACAAATACTCAGAACATCTTTGGAATAAATTTAATAAAATTAAGATAAAGTTTATTATATGTATTATGTAGTTTCTTTTGAGCTTTTATTGATAAAAATCTGTTTTGAATTTGTTAGAATATAAATAAATCATATTTTTAAAATCTTGATCAAAAATAAAAATATTTCATTAAGTATTTTATTTTTTATAACCACTTTAAGATGTTCAAACACTGGAGGTAACATATTCTTTTTTTAAACTCAACAATAGTTAATAAATAAATTTGGATTTATAATTTATTTTACTGCTAAAAACTTTTTTTTAAATTAAGAAAAGTTTCCTCTTAAACGATAATAATGGGTATACTGAAAGCTTATTTACAAAATGGATTTAATTATTTATTTTCTATAAATTTTTGATAAATAGATTATCTTAAATTATTTTAAACTATTAATAGTGGACAATTGAATAAGCCTTTTACGTAGAAATAATATTTTTTAATATGGAAAATTTTTTAAATTAAAATAATTACTATATAAATAAATAAGTGAATAATAATATATATCAAGACATAAAATTATTAGCCCATCTTCCTTTTATAACTTAATTAGATTATGTGTAAAAAGTGCCTTAACCATGAATTTTATCTTATTTAAATCCACCTACATATCTTTCTCCATTAGAAACAAAAAGAGTACCAAATCCCTCTTTTTAATCACTCTTAAAGTCACCCTCATATTTTAACCATTTTTCTTACAAATTATTAAAATTTTTATAATCAAATGGTCCTTAGTGTGGCTAAACAGAGTTATTATAAAGTGTACCATAACCATGAAATTAATCATCTCTCCAGCTACCATCATAAGCAGTAGAACCGTCTGGGAAATACAAAGTGCCTTAACCTAAAAATTAATTTTTAATTAAAATTATATAGAATAAACTAAAATTATAATTACCATTCATCTTTCCATCCTTCCAGGAACCTTCATAATAGCCGCCATTGTTATAATAATATTTACCCTTTCCATCTCTAACTCCATTTCTCACTTCTCCTTCATATCTTGAACCATTTTTATAATTTTCACTAATTTTTTCCCTTCCTAATTCTATTCAAAAACAGCTTAGTATATTGTTATAATAGAAAATAATAATTACTTGTTCCTGCCATACTAGAAGTAAAATCTAAACCTGATGTACCTGATAGATAATTACCAACTCCTGCGCTTGAAAATCCTAATCCCATCATTGGAGGAGGCATTGAAAACTAACCTAAGAGGTTATTGTTGCTATTTAAATTAAAGTTTGAATTACCTCCTAGTCCTAATATATCAATGCCTTGGTTTGCATTTTAATGTTAAGAAATACCAAAGTTTGGAGCATCGTCTGCAGCTCCTATTCCATCGATAATAGAAAAATTATCAAAAGGTTTACTTGCCACCAAATTTAAATTGTTTGGTTTTACACTGTTTAATACTTAAGGAGCAGGCTTGTGAGTCATATAACTTTGATTCAAGACAGAAGCTGTATCGCTTTAGTCAGGATTTTAGATTTGGAATTACGCTTAAGCTTAATAATTATGATTCAAAATAGTTTTAAACTTTGGATTTCTTTAATTTTTTTCAAAAAGAGTTTGGAAATTAGGTCTTTGAATTTCATTAATCGTTAGCATCTCTTTAAGCATATAATATAAAGAGTCGTGGTACTTAGATTTAATTTCATTCAATCTATCTTGAATTTTATCTTCTAAAACCCATGCATGATAGTAATCAAAGCAGGAGTCTGCACTTAATAAGCTAGCAGCTTCAAGTATAACCATTCCAATACAAAAAACATCAGATTTTTATTAGTCATGAATAGGAGTTTCGATATGCCTTTCTAAACCCTATATTAATTAAATAAATTTTAGATAATTAAATCATGCTATCTCATTATATTTATCTAATTATTAATTCATATTTGACAAGATTATCTTTTTAAATTTAATAGATTATTTAATTAAATTTAATTGATCACTTAAGTAAGTAAGCTATTTTTGCTAATGATTATAATGATTTTTATTTTAAATATTTGAAAATATATGAAAAAATATTCTTCTTTACATGAACTTGAGCAGGTGACAGAATAATACCTTTATGATTGTTATCTTGATTATTGAAGACAATGTCATAGTTAACTTCATAGTTAAAAAGACCAGGATCTGCTACTTTAAAAGAACCATATTAAGTGATATAAACATTTTTACTTCTTACACATCCATGAGTAATATTAACACTATACAAATATTTCATGCCATTTATCAAACAATATGCCATATTCCAAATTTCATCTTCAGAGAAATACAATCCCTTCTTGTTGCGATTTTTTAAGTCTGTGGCTAAATCAGTAAGCAAATAATCGAAAAATAAATAACTCTAATTTATTTATAATAACATATGTAAATATACTTGAATTAATAGATATTCAAAAAGTAATAAATCTTAATAGAGAATTCTCTTAAAAAGCGTTAAATTAAAGAGCATACTTTGTAGATAACAGAACAGAATGCATCTACTGCCTTATGAACAATATCTTTTTTATAAATTTCAAAAATATAAAGTCACTTTTATTTAGTTTTTAAAAAATAAACTCTATTTTATTTAAAATATCTTTTCAAAAATCAACATGAAATGAGCATTTCAAATAAGGAATAAAATAAAAAATGTATTTATTACATCTCAAACGAACAATGTGTTCATGGTTAAGCTTAATTCTTCTTATAAACTATTACTGAACTTACTCTGCTTCTGTTTCAGAGCTACTTTCAACTATTTTAAGAACAACTATTTCTTTTTATATCTTATGCTCAAGTATTTAAACATCCCCTTTAAATATGATTTTAGAAAACTATATAAATACTTTCAGAATCAATTTATTTTATTTTAATTTACTTACCATACCATTTATCTTCTGCTTCTCCTTTAAAGTCAAATTCTTTTAATACAATCATTAATTCCTTATTTGAAGTTTCTCTGATCAAGCAAGGATTCATCATTCTAGGATCACATTCCGTGCATTGGTGGCAATCTTCGCATTATAAACAGTTACCACAACCTTCTTAGCAATCTTTTAGTATTTTTTAGTTTTCGCAATTGCAGTTGCATGCACAATAAGGCTCACAAATGTTACCCATATTTAAAGATTCAATAAATATTTACTTATTATTAAACTATTTTTAAAATCCTATAAGTTATCTATATGTTTTGATTAATATAAACTTATTGTATCAAATTTTATGAATATATTATTTATTTTATTGATAAATTCAGATTTTATATTTTGAAATCAACTATTTCTATTAAATTTTTATCAACTCAACATTAAATGAATCGTTAATTTCTTTGATTTTTTTTGAATTATTTTATACAAAATTTTTAATTTTTAAATTGATTGAATGAATATCTTTTAGAATAATAGTTTGGCTTTATTCCCTTTTTCTATCCCTCATTCATTCATTCTCTATAAATTCTACCAAATGTTTTTTTACATATAATTATTAAAATAAATATGTTCATTTTAATAACTCTTAGTAATTCATAAACACATATTTTATGAAAATTTGGATATTATTAATCATATTCTTAAATAGGAGAATCTAAAACATCCATATAAATTACCATAAAATCAAAAAAAGGTTAAATATTTATTAATTTTATTCAAACTTAAGAAATTCATTTTATTTTGAACCTCTAATTTTCAAAAATTAAAAAATATACCTCCAAAAATGTTAACTTTACATTAATTATTAATCAATTATTTTTATTAATTTGATTTAACTCATTTTAAACTAATATTTGAGAAAATATAAAAAATATAACCACTTTATTAAATTACAATTATACTCAAACAATAATTAAATTGAATACAAAGAATAAAGATTTAGTATTTACCCTTTTTTGAATTCATTAATGAAGCAATAAAAGTTTTATTTTTTATAAATTTACTATTTTAACTTAAAACAGTACAAAAATTAATTTATTTTTAGTGCTGCAAATAAAATCAATTTAATTGCATCTTAAGCAAACCGCATAAAATTAAATATATTGCTATAATTATAAATCCGTATTCCTTTAAAAAGGATTTCTTTGGCTATTCATCTTATCCACTTAAAAATTAGTCTGATTTAGCCTTTTGCTTATTTAACATTTCTTATTCTTCTTCTTCTTGCTATTTAAGAATCTTTTTGACCTTTTGCTCAGTTTAAGAAACACTTAATTGAACATAATCCTTGAAGAAATCAGCAGAAGCTACTTCTGGTTCAGGATTTCTATCAATAATTTCACCTTCAATGTGCCATGTCAATACTTTGGTAACTTTGATAATAACTGATTTGCTATTTGAATAGTTAATTTTGTCAATTTTAGTAATTTATTTAAATAAATAAAATTTACCCTAGCAATTCTTCTTCAAAAGGCAACATAACCTTTGCATATTACTTTGTGTGACCAACTAATTGAAGGACACCTTTCTTATCTTCTTTGTCATTAATCCAGATTCTTTAAGTAGTTCCTAATAAATGATCCCATCTCTTAAATGTATCAAATAACTCAGTAATCTTCTTAGAACGCATTTTTACGTCTTGAGAAGGTACCTTTTTCATTTTCATAGCAGCTGTACCAGGTCTAGGATAAAATTAGCTGATATTTAGGATAGGGAACTTATACTTATCTACAAGCTTTAAAGTATCATCAAATTATGCGTTTGTTTCTCCAGGGAAACCACAAATTATATCAGTTGCAATAGTCATATTAGGTACATTTTTAAGCAAATAGTCACATACTTATTCAAATTCCTCACAAGTATATTCTCTATTCATGTTCTCTAAGACTGTGTTATTAGCAGCCTATAAAAATAATATAAAATATTAATTAACAGAGTTTACGTGTTTTGTGAGAGTATAAATTTGTAAACATTTTCATTTAATTACCTAAACTGGGATATGAAGAAAACTAAAAACTCTAGGGTGTCTCAAAATGGTTGACATGTTCTATAAATGTTCAAGGATATAAGGAGGGTTGGTCATACCTACTCTTAACATGACATCATTTGGCAAAACCTCAACGATTAATCTAAGCAATTAGGAAATATCAGTTCCAATATCTCTACCATAAGCACCAGTATCTTCAGAGGTAAGCCATATTTCTTTAACACCTTCTTCACAAACTGTTTTGACTCTATTAACAATAGCTTCAGGTTGGTAACTACCAAGCTTGCCTCTTGCGTGCTTAGTCTTGCAATAAGTACAACTACCAAGACAACCTGTATTAATAGGAATGCTAATACAAAATGAATTATTTAAAATATTAGAATATCAAAAAGGTAAATTACATTTCAATAAGATTGTTCTTACGAATTTTAGGTAAATCCAAAGAAGGTAGTGTTTTTTTGCCATATAAACGAACTTTATTTCCTTTTAATGTTTCCTCTACAACCTCTACTACTCTATCAATTTAACTAATACCAATTACACTTACATCTTCCAAACCAGGTATGTTTCTATCACCTTATGGTACACAACCAGCAACGACAATTGGTTTCTTTTTGTGCTTATAAGTTTTAACAATAGTCATGAAAGCATCCTAAGAAGGATTCTTGACAGTACAAGAATTAACTAAAATCAAATGTGCATCTTTGGGATCACTACATAAATTGTAACCATACTCTGCAAGTTAACCCATCATAAATTCGCTATCACTTATATTATGAGAGCAGCCAAAAGTTTTGACATAGACATTTTAAGTACCAGGAACTTGATTGTTGACAGGCATATCTAATATTAATTCATTATAAAAAGCATTTAATTAAAAACTCAAAAAAATTTTTTAGCATATTATAATTTTATGGTTTATTTTATTTTTGCATCATCTTCTACTTATTCAACATAATATTTTTTGTATTTAAAATTAATGAATTTATTAATTCTCCCTTTCAAATTTAAATTAGTATGTTTGCTTTTAGACACATTTTAACATATTAGTTAATTTATTCATATTTATTCTAGAATTTATTTATTATTCAGACTTATTTATTTAATAAAATAATTTGTTTACCAAATTTAATTTCATCATCATCTTCTGGTTCTTAAAGTTCTTCCTACTTTGGTTCCTCCTCAACTTTCTTAACCTTTTTAGGTCTCTTTTTAATATTTCTATCTTTAACTCTATCCTTTTAAATAAAATCATCAGCGACGTCTCCTGCTATAACGTCTTCGATATCTGCTAATTCTTATTGACTCATGTATATATGTAATGTGCTTGTTTGTTACCCCTATTTAGTGTATTGTAATTTCTATTTTTAATTAAATTTATATCGTTGTATCAAATTTATATTTATATAGATGATTTTTAGATATTATCAAGTCTGCAAAATAAATTTTTACAATTTCAAAATTTCAATCAATGCCAATGAATTAGTTAATATCCAAGCTGGCAAGCAAATAATCTTCCTTCTTAAATTGTCTAGAGATTTCCGAGAAATTTTAGGAATATTATTAATAAATTCCAACATACATTATAATAATTCTTCTTTATTTAATTTAAAATGAAAAAAAAAAGAATAAATAAATAATTTTAAATATTCATTTTAATTCGAAAGAAATTAAGGAAACTTCTCAAAGATATCAAATTTAAAAAATAAATTAATTAATTAATTTTTGTTTACAAAACCGAAGAAATTAAAAGTAAATTAAACTAAATTTATTCATGCTGTTAATATTGATTGCTTAATTTTTATTAAATATTTATTCAAATCTAAAAAAAAAAAATTTAACTTTTGTTTTTAATTTGTTTACTTAACTTTTTTTAGGTATGCAAAATTTAATAAATAATTATCAAATACTACTTAAAGAATTATTAATTAGTGGAAATAATTTATCTTTAAAAAATCATCTACAAAATGATAAATTGTAATTTTAACTTTATTTGTTTAGTTGATTGATTAATTAATTAAATATGAAATGAGGGAGGATTAAAAACTATAATAAATGACTGAACGGATTATATAATATAAAATATATTTTTTTATTTCATAACTTTTAATTTATATATGTTAATTTAGGATAGAGAGTAGATGTAATAATAAGTCTGAAATATCTTTTAAATTTATAATTTTTTATAAAGAAAAATTTTGTTCTACTTTATTTTAATCAAATTTAATCTAAGAAATCGTAGGCTTATCTCCAATATACCATTTTGCACTTAAAGGGTTCGGCATTAGGATTGTTAAAGTAATTTTTTATTCTTTTTTCTAAAGCAAAACCAGATCTAACATAACCAGTAGAGTTAGAATCCTTGAGATGGAACATAGGGCAGAAGTCATTTGAACCATCTCCAAAGTAATGTATATTTTCGTATTTACCAGGATACTTAGCAAGGTGCTCACGTATAATTTTACTCTTGCACATATTAGGAGTACCAGTGCAATAGGTGCATTCATGAGACTCATAGAAACGCTTGACAATAAGCTAATCGTTTTCAATTACGCAAGGGTTGGTGTAAATGGCAGTGAATAAGTGAGATATTTCATTCTTTTCAACTATCCACTTGATAAAGTTTGAATTAGCGTCGCTTACTATAATGATGTCGCTACCTTTGGATTTAATTTTTTCAAACAATTCTTTCATGCCACCAATTAAATGGCACTTTTCAAGTTCTGCCTTAAGTTGCTAGCTAGTGACTCCGACCTTTTATTTGATATATGTGAGTACCTTATTCATGAAAGCAGTCCATTAATTTTCATCTTCTACATCTGCTAATTCCTTAGGGAGCTTTCCGTTTTCGAAGAGATTATAAAAGCAGGTATCGCTATTTTCTTCGATAATGGTATAATCGAAGTCAAAGACGTACAAGTCGCATTAGTTGCCAGTATTTTCAGTGAAGCTCATTTTATTTGTTTAGTTGATATTTAGATTTTATTGATTAGATAATATCAATAAATGCTTTTTTAATTTAACTTTTTTGTTTAATAAATATTTTTTATTTAGTTAGTATTAGTAAATTTGACTGATTCGTTTATTATGTGAATTTAAAAGGTGCATCAAATTTTTTTAAGAATATCATTTATACATTTAGAACGTCATAAATTGGTTCCTGACAAATTAAACCTACTAATTACATTTGATTGCACATAAGAAATCAGAATTTTGAGTATTTAAGAAAAACATTAAACTTTTATATATTTTTTTACTAATATATTCTGAATCAATAAATAAATAATTAAGTAATGATAAAAAAGAGTACTCACCACTTAAACTTTTTTACTATTTCTACTTATAATTTGCAAGTATTCTTTACATTTTATGTGCTTCAATTGCAAACTCCTTATCATAAAATACCAATTATGCCCAATTCAACTGATTTTTAACCTTTTCAAATTATTTTTATTCAAGAGAAGTTTTCATTTTATTATTTTGCAAATAACTCTTTAGTTATATAGTGATGAAATTTGTTTTTTCTTTACGTAATACTTTAATAAAGCAAATGACATAGATTTAGTAAATCTCTTTGAATATTTAGATCAACTTACTTAACTTCAAGTAATGTTCTAAGCTACTTTCAGTTCAAATTCAACAGCATATTAATGAGATGTAAACTGTAGAAAATTGTTTTATAAGATAAATAAATTTCATTTGGCTGATATGAATTAGAAATTGAATTTACACTTTTATATTGTAATAGAAAGAAACTTTAATGAATAAGATTACTAAATAATTTTTTTTTCTTTTTCATTTTTATGTTTACAATTAAAATCAAAAGCAAATTCTTTTTTAAATAATTGCACATGAGCAATCCATACTTATAAATACATATATACCATGTTAAATTAAAAAAATACTTTTGTCTTCTCTCTCAATTTTATTCTAAATCTTTATACTTTAAAAATAGCTGAATTTCCTTTAATCTAATTTTACTTTTGTTACTAAAAAATATAAATTTCAATCCAGTCAACCAATTGATAAATCAAAGAGAGTATGCTCACCCTAAATGTTTTGGTTCATTGGGCTCAAATAGTTAAGCTAAAAAGCTTTAAAAGAGAGAGAAATATTTAAATTCAAGCTTAAGCATAGTCTTTTTAAATATTTAGATTATCTTGGATGGCCATATTAAGTAAAAAATGATCCTAGTGTAAATATAAATTCAAAATAAAGTTCGTAAATTTGTAACTAATATCAGAATTTATTAAAATAAAATAAAAAATAATAATTTCGCAAATAAATTTTGTATTCCATGCTATTTAGGTCATAGTGCATAAAACTGTACTTTTTATTTCAATAATTATTTTGGCATTATTAAATGAAAAAAATAAAAAATTTTAAATATTTTATTGACGAGTAATAGATTTTCAAGAGGAAAGTATGAAAAAAATTTTAAAAAAATTTTTCTATCTAAGTTAATATTATCTATTTTAATTATCCAACTAATAAGACTGAAATTCAAGAAAGAGAAGTCAAGTATCAAATATAATTACGTAAGAAACAAACTGACTCAAATTAATTATCTTAATTTAAAATTTAAATAGAAATATTTTTTAAAATCGCCATTGAATATTATTAGAATCAAAACTATTTTCTTTTCTATAAAGCAATAAACAAAAAAAGCCAAAATTTATTTAAATATAAAATAAATAATGAGCAAAATATTATTAAAAAAATATAAAATAATTAAAAACAGCATTTGATAATATTAGAAAGTAAATTTAAACAGTTTATGATAAAAAAATATTACTAAAGTAAATTTTTCAACAAATTAATTTGTGATTTTGTTTAAGGATAAAATAATTACAATAAGAATGAAAACGAAGAATTATTTATATTTAACAATTCTTTTTATTTCAAAATAACTTTTGAATAATTTTTAATTAATAAAATTTACTTATTTAGTCTATTATATATTTATTTATAGATAATATAAACTTTAATAGTAAACAATAATAAGTTTCTTAATTAATTTATAAATTATTTATCTAATTAAATGGAAACAATTTACATATTCTACTTCAAATTTAAAATTTATTTCAAATATATTAGTTGATAGAATTAAAAAACATATTCTTAACTTTTATATCAATAAAAATAATTAAAAAAAGTATTTGATAAAATAATTTTTTAGTTTTGTCAGATAAAATATTATAGATAATTAATAAACTTAATTTAATATTTTGATAATGCACTTTTTTATACATAATTAAAAGAATTAATTTAATTTAAAATAAAATTAAGATTCATTCAGTTTTTTGTAAAATAATTTAAAAAGGAAATTTCAAATAAATTTATGAAATGTAAATTGAATAATGATATTCTTAAATAATTTTTAAGTTTGTTGAAACTATTTATTAGAAATCAATATATTTATTAATTTAATATTTTAAAAAAGTTATTAATTTATGAAAAATTTTTTAGATATGAATAAATTTATTTTTAACTTATAAATATAAAATTAAAATTGGTTATTTTGAAATTACCATGAAAAGTAAATTTTTTATTTCTAATTTACATTTTTAAATAAAGAACAATGATTACAATTTTCAAAAACAAAATATGTTTATAAATTTAGATTAAATTTAATTATCAAAACATAAAAATTGACCAATACTTTATATGAAACCCTGGTAAATATTATTAGAAACAAATAACTTACATAATTTATTTAATTATTTGTAAGTTAATTTGGTTTCAATTTCAAACTTACATTTTTAACAACTGTTAGTTTCATTAGAATTTTACAAAATGCAAAAATTCATTAATTTTATTTAACTCTAAAATATTGAATATTTTAAGAAAAACAGAGCAAAATTTAAATAGATATTAGAAAGAAATATTGAATTAATTTATTTAATAATTCAAAATAATTTTAACTCTAAATTTAACTAAAATATAATTTATATACAAAAGATTATAACAACTTTCTATCATTCAGTTATTATTTTCTTGCTATTTTTATTATATATTTAAAAATATTAAATTAATTTTAATTTCTAACTGTCATCTATTTCGAGGATATTTAGATACTTATGTAAGATACTCAGTATATATGTTTAATATTTTCTATTTTTCAACATTATTTTAATAATCCGTTTAGATTTTGAAAGTAATTTAATTTTTCCCATAAAATTGAAAAGTTAATTTAATTAAATAGATGCCATATAATTTTATAGATAATGAAAAAAATACTACAAAATTTAGGAATCGCATTTATTATAATCAAAAATGAATAATATTAATTGATACATTAAGTATTATTTTCCTTGATAATAATATTTAAATATAATAATCTTCCTTTGAGGTAATATTTAAAAGCAGTTTTAAATGAAATAAATGTGAAATTAAAAATTAAATTTATTCATAGGATTATAAAAAATAAAATTTAAGTTTGATTACACATTTTAAAGATTGATTTTAGACTTTTTAGTTATTAATTTACAGCTCCTTTATTTAGTTTCTATTATATACATAATTCAAGTGCAATGATCATTATTTCAGATTTTACTGTTTATATATTTTTTAATTTATTATGGTTTGAATTTTTATAAAGATATCCTAAAATTAATAAAAGTTCAATCAAATATAAAAGTGACTCAATCATTACATCATAACAAAATACATTACATAAATTGTTTTACCATTCAAAAATGAAAAGAAAGACACAAAGAATCGGCATACTAATACTTTTATTTGCTAAAATAGTTTTAGGGTTATGGGATTTAGTAACTGACATTATATATGTAATAAAAGCTTAGTTTTAGTTTGAATACATGAGGTATCTGATGATATTTTTTATAGTAGTAACTCCATTTATTATGCTTATAACATGGAGCGTTACTCTTGGTAAAATCAAATTAGATAGGAGAAAAGATATTGAAAAAGAGAGGAGAATTCAAGAGCAATATTTGGCTAATTCAGAAAATATTATCCAATTTTTCTATCGATTTATAAAGGTTAGCTTGAAAGAAAACTACTTAATTTTGAGACAATCTTTAAACTAAGTTTTTAATGCCTTCATTATAACTCTACTTTAAACTCTTAAAGTTTTTCCTTTCTTTCTGATAGCATATACTTTTAAAAAATTTGAAGTAGTTATAACTCCTGAGTTACTGAGGTATGCATCTCAATAAACAACTTTTTACAAGAATTTACTTAGAGAAGAATAACCAGAAAATAACTAAACTCTTAACGATGGTATATTATTTTTAACAGATAACATTACCTTTATAGAACTTTTCTTATTTAATTAAAAAGAATATCGTTTAGTCTCTTTTTCTGATAAATAAGCATCAGAATCTATAAATGAAAACATAAATCAAATTCTAGAAGTCAACATCAAGCCTACTTTCTTGTAAATAGCCGAAGTAAACATATTAATAAGCATATACTTATAAACTTTTATTTAAAACTAAATGTTTTTTTTAATTAAATTTTTCAAAATAGGATAGGACTATGAGAAAGCTTATTGAAATAAATGAAATCTTTTTTTCTATTTTTGAGGCCATGCCTATGGCAGTGTTATAATTTATCAATAATTACATGCTAAATTGTATAATCTCTTTAAAGTTGAGTTGATATTAAATTTGTTTTTTTAAATTAAAAGAATGGACAAAAAGTGATGGAAGCTTAAACTGGTTTATTATACTCTCATTTGTTTCTAGTGCTGGCAGTGTTTTATATAATATTTTTATATTATCTCATTGGATGTTTGATAGTGAGATAAAATCTTTCTTTGATCTGCTTACTTGTATGATGGATTCCTAAAAAGGTAGAAAGGAAGAAAAAGTAAAAAAAGTGTTTTCTTTTTTTGATATCCCTTAAAAAGTACTTATAACCAGTCAATCTTAGCTATAAAAAATGGCACTACTTAAACCTGATAGATTTTCTCGAATAAAACAATTGCACATCCATCTACCAAAAAATAAAAATTCGTTTGATATTCTTCTAATTGATATGCACACAATTCTTCAAAATTTAATTAATCAAAAAATTAAACTAGCATGTTTTAGTCTTAATTTAAGTGAGTGTAATATGACAAGTGAATAAAGGTATGAATTAACTTAGTAGGTTAGAAAGATAAAAGCAGAATCTAAGTATTTGAATTTGAGATAAACAACTGGCGAAGCTTAGTGCAATTTATGCGATAGTATTGTTGAAAGAGCATTAAACATGAGTATAAATTCAAATTTCTTTTATTTTGCTGAAGATTTCACATTATACAGAGTGTGCAAATTATAGAAAATGAATGAGATTGATAATTTTTTAAATTTACACAAAATAAAAATGTTAAAACTTGAAGAAGCCATTTTCAAAAGTAAATTTTATGTAAACATTTAAGAAGAGCAGTAATATTCTCCTTAATGCTTAAATGATTTACTTGCAGAAAAAGAGGAAAGTATTGTTTAAATATAGATCAAGCTTTCTGGGTCTACTCAAAACTACAATTTTATAGATGGATATACTTTAAAATTTCCTCTTTATTTAGATTAATTTTTTTATTTGTAGGTAAATTCTCCTGATCAAATAAATTTTTCTTCGCTTACTAATATTTTGCTAAATAACTTGAAACAAAATAGCTATTCAAATGGTGTCATAGTAAACGCTAATTTTTAATTCAACTAATCAGCTTCATTAGTAGATATTTTAAAGTATTTTATGTCTCTTTACAAGTTTGAGTAAAAGTGTGAGGATCAAAATTATTTAGTTGAAGATGAAATTTTTTCAAAAAACTTAATTGACTATGAGGATTAAGAATTAATTAGTCCTAATTAGTAAGAAAATGATATGGTTATAATAGAGTGTAATTAAAGTATTTACAACTAAACTCAACCTCCAAAAGTAAGTGTTTTATAGAGTATGATGGTAAAAGAAGATGCAATTAATCAAATGGGAGTAAGTAACTTAAACAACTAAATTCTTTTTCAAATCATTAAGATTGATGATTGTATTCTGATTGGCTGCTCTAAAGCTCTGTTTAACTAAGAAGATTTTTTAAGTTATTTGATTAGTGAAGAGGGTAATTACAGTTGTTTATTTCTATTTTTAGATTTTGAGATACCGCAGGAGTTTTTGTTGAAATTATAAGCACAGTTGTAGGAATATTTTAGGTAAATGAATAATTTAAGACACCTACATTTGATAATTGGAGAAAGTGGATCCTTTTATATCGATCTTTAGCTGCATTTTACATTTATTGAAAATGTGATGATATATTAAAACGAATTATTCTAATTTAAATTTACAGATCATAAGACTGAAAAGGATTCTTTATAAAGTACAAAATAAGTAAATATTTATACTTATGCTGATTTAGTTTCTGATGATATTGATAAACATATTAACTCAATATGCAATAACGAGTATGCCTAACAAGTGCTAATTAATGCAAAAAAAGGATTAAATGCAAATAAAAACTTGATTTAAAAGGATTTGGAAAATATTTTATCATAAAATAATCTTGATTATGAAGAATAAGTTGATAATAAATTTTAGACACGTTCCTTTTCCTTTAATTCTGTATAAGTTTGCCTTCCTTTAGAATTACCTCCTCTTAGTGCAAAACTTCTTCCACAAGCATTAAAGTAAATGAATATGATTTAAAAGATAAGTATTTACGATAATATTGGTATAGACATTTAAGATTTTATATAATAAAATAGCTAGAGTTTATAATATTTAAAAGTTCTAAACTCTAAAATAGAAAGATGCAATTGTGGATTAAAACACTAAAGCAAAACTTAATAAGAATAGAAAAATCTATGTGGTAGTTCTTAGAAAATGATGACTATCAGCAGAATTATTTACAGGATTAATACAATTTAAATAATTGACATCGAAATGTTAAAAGTATTAAAATATTTAAACATAACACAGTCTTAAATGTATTTATCTTCAGATTACTAACATTTTGTAAACTCTTTGTAGTCTTTAAGCAGTAAATTATAAGTAGTTAAACTAGGATTTCAAAGCTGCAATATATGGTTTAATAGCAGTATCACAGACTTTTTATGTAATAGTTTTATCTTGTAAACATTTTAGATAAATGCTGTTAGCAGTTATAAGCTAATCGGATTAGACTGCATTTTGAAAGGGTTGTCATTTAATTTCTTAATTTCTAATATAGGAATAAAAATTAATAGCAACTAAATTACTTAGAAAGACATGGATTTAATAGATGAACTTCTATAAAAAAGAAAAGCAAAGGGCAGTCTAAAATCATTTAAATTCTCTTTGAAGAAATCAATAAAAACTTCATCTAATAATTCGCTAAATAATAAATAATATTTAGATTTTTACAATAAAATGATGTGCAATTTGATGCAAATAATTGGTATTAACAAAATAAGTCTTTCTTTTAAAAATTTCAATGCAAATATCAATTAAGTAGATCTACCTTACTTAAGCCCTTTACTCTTCTAAAAAAATTATAAAACGATGAAAATAAATATAAATGGAAATACAAATTAATACATATTAAGCTAGTAAATTTTACAACAATTTTAATAGGAAGCAAAAAAAGATCAGCAAGAATTCAATTGCTTAAGTTTTAAATCAGATTATATTGGAAAGTAAATAGCAAGAAATAACATATTTGAAGCTGTGTTTAATTTAGATACAAAAAAGAAAATATTAACTATACCTTATGACATATTGGATAATAAACAGCAGAATACTTTAATAAAAGGATAATATATCTTCCTAAAAATAGAATCTGATTTAAATTTAGACTTGATTTCAATGATAAGCTTTGAAAATAGTTTAAGCTAACTCATTTTGGATTTCTCTTAAAATATTTATTTATTATTTGAAGATATTTTAAATTTAATGAATAAACTTGTTAAAGAAAATTAAAATATTAAGTACCTATGCATAAAAAAACCTAATTAGCTTCTTTCTTCTAGCTAAATTTATTAAATTAAATAATTATTTAAAAGTTTCTAACATTTCCAGCCTAAAAAATTTTTATTAAATTGAAAATAAATAAAATAAATTTTAAACGAATTAAACCAATAACTAAAATAATTTAATATTTCTTAAAGTAGAAATATCTCTCAACATCTTTATAATAAACAAATTTTGTTAATATAGGTCCATCCATTAATGTGGGGGATAGTTAGCATTTATAATTAATATAAATACTGCCCCAAAACCTAGACTCATTAGTCTGTACTATTTTAAAAAAAATAATAGTTATTTTTCTAACAAATGTTTTTAAAAGAATAATTTAAAATATATAAAATTATATTAATAAATTTAAGTTTATTTAAATATTAGTACCTATAATAGATATTAACTTATAAATAGTTCATATATGTTTATTTACATTTTTATTTAGAGTAATAATAAAATTAATTCAACTTTTAAATGAAAATTTTCAATTAACTTTGCTTATTTTTTTTATGTTTATGATTATTAAAATTATTAGTTGATAAAAAATATAATTAACTTTTTTAAAAAGATCAACAATTGCTGATGAATAAATCATAAGAATAGAAGAATTTTTATTGACTTTTTATTTTAAAGCTCAGTTATTATAAATTTATTTTCAAATTGATTTTAAAATAAAAATATATATAAATATTTTCCTTCACTTTTCTAAAAACTATTTATCCTTCATAATAAAAATGTCTGTCTTATTAAATTTAAAAAACTACTAAAAATTTTTAAAGTTTTCAAATCTATAACTGATAACGGTAATTTAATTTAACAAAAAATACTTCATGTATAAGTGAAGTAGACAATTTTTTATGAAACTTTCTTAGAATTATTTTTTTTCTACATTAATTTTTAAAAGAAAGATTAAAAATTGATTACTGATTTATAGATGTTGATTTGCAAAGTAAAATAGCGTCTATTTTAATCTAAATTAAACACTTAAAATAGACTTTAAATAAGTCTACACATGAATTCATCAAAATGAATAAAATTTTTCTAGTTTAGTTCATAAATTTTAAAAGATTTATTTACTGGCTTTGAACATTATGTTTGACGCTTATATACAATTAAATCTTACTAAAAAATTCTTTGGATTTTCTAAATTTTGAAACTAGATAGTAATAGAGAAGATTCTTGATATAGTAAATTTCAATTTAATCAGAAATATATTTCTTTGTGTCTTTACGATAAAAAATAAATCATTATAAAAAGAAGAAAAGCATTGGATGATTAGACTAATTAATAATTTCAGTAAACAAATAAAAAATACAACAAACAAAAAATATCTGCTAATACCTTTAATAGCATATTCATTTGTGAAATCTCAACCAAAGTAGATTTAACTCTATACATAACCCAATCAACAATAATTTTCGTCTTCACCAATGCAAAAGTAGGAATTCCCTTTCAAAGTTAATAAAGAAGAATTAAAAAAACGTTTAACACCTATTCAATATAAAGTTACTTAAGAAGCTGACACAGAACGTCCTTATACAGGATAATACGATAAGCATTTTGAATAAGGTGAATATTTATGTATCGTATGCTCTGAGAAGTTATTTAATTCAGACAGCAAATTTAATTCAGGTTGCGGATGGCCTGCTTTTTCCTCAAGTGAGTAGGGAAAGATTTAAGAAAATGTAGACCAATCTCATGGTATGGTAAGAACTGAGGTTGTTTGCAAAAATTGTGGTGCACATTTAGGTCATGTTTTCAATGATGGTCCTAAGCCCACTCATCTCCGTTACTGTATCAACTCTGCCTCAATTAACTTCAAAAAAGCTAATTGATATAATATTTATTACAAAATCTAATTGCTAATATATATCAAATAATTATTGCTTTTAGATTCCTAAAAATCAAATAAAATAATTAATAACCGAATCATTAATAAAATCTAAGCTGTTTTTATGTGTTTTTTTATTGATTTTATGCATTTCTAATAAAATATATAAAATAATATCCTTGAATATAAAATTATTAAGTTAATAAAAAAAAAAAACACAACAAACAAGTAAAAGAAGAAATCTTTAAAATTATTAAAATATACAAAAACACATTAATTTAAATCAAATATATTATTGCATGAATAGTTCAATAACTTTTTCCTTTCTTTGAAAGTATTTTAGATTTTAAACAGTTTATATTTGTTTTATTAGAATTCTTTTTTATAGATATGCTAGCTGTAACTTTACGAAATCATTCTTATGACATTTTGTTAGAAAATAACAATGACCAAAAAGTTTTTTGCTAATTGAGTAATAACTATCTTTAATGACGAATTTTTTAATAATATTTTATTTTTCATTTAATTGCTTTGCTATTTGTTAAACTATATCTGAATTTTATAAAAAGAGATTAACACTCTTTATATCTAAAGTAAGTTCTACTAGTTTACTTAGCTTTTATATGTGTTTTATAAGTAAAAATACTTCTAATTCAGAAACAAGATCGGTATTATTATTACATTTGAAATCTAGTTTTTATAATTCAGATAGAGAAGCAAACGATGTAAAGCATCTATTAAGATTGCAGCATGACTCATTTATGTTAAGTTTTAAAATCTGTAAATTTTTTGAATTGGAGGACTCTATAAGATTAAAAAATTAACTTTATTAAATATTTTACTGCTAAAATTTATTGTCTTAGCTGGTAGAAGATTTAAAGTTTATTTTTATTTTCTTTATATTTTAAATATGAAATACTTTTCCTAATCCATTAAGTAAATCTTAACTGAATAAATGCCCATTAAGCACTTTAATATCGAATTTCTAAAGCCTATTCCAACCTTTTTGCATAATCTAAATAATAGTGAATAGTATTCCGCATTCATGAAGATTAACTCTATTTTAAATAATAAATAAATAAAACCATTTATTGAAATTATACAAAAGCTGGATATTTACGGCAAACTAATTTAAATTTCATTAACCTAAGAGAATAAAGGGAATATTTAGTTTATTTTATTCAAAACCTTTTAATCTTCTAAATATATGGCATCCTTAAATCTAATTTATAACAAAAATAGAATCTTTAAATATTTAAAATAATTTTTTAAGCTCCATTGATAAATAAATTCATTTTAACAATTATTTTATTTGAATAATTTTTATAAATTTCCAATATTTAAATTAATTAAATACAAAATATGAAGTTGAAGTTATTGACATTATATTTCTCTAGTCACATGATTATTTGTTAAAGCATGTTTATTCTCGCAATTTTTGCATAATAAATTTAGACAGTTAAAATTTAAGCAAATCGAAGATATGTTTAAGGTATCATTAAATAAGTTTTTGCATTCTGAACAATATTATGAGCTTGTTTTATTCTATTGTTTGTCTTGTAAGTTTTATGCTATTTTTTGAATGTAATTCATTTTTATATTTATTTGTTTATTTATTAATATTTATTTTCTAAAAACATTTAAAATAAATTATAAATCAATCGATTGATTATAAATAAAAGATAAAAAAAGATGATATGTAATTAATTAATTAAATCTTAAAAATAATTTTAGTAAAATCAAAATAGTATAACCATATTTACTTTACATATAACAGAATTGTGATCTATTATTTCACATACAAATTACATTCTTAATTTGTAAATTAATTATCATAAAAATATATTTAATTATTTATTTATTTATATATTAAATTTGCTTTTTAGAATTATTTTTACTTTTTTTAGAAATAATAATTAGTGATTCTAAAATTAAAAATAACTCAAAATAGCAAAATAAAGTAAATTAAGCATGATGCTAGAACAAATATTGAAGAAAATGCTTTTTGAGTTGTAGTTTAGTCTTTAGGAGTAGTCTATGGTTAGCTTAATACTTATACAGTAAATTATCTTGATACCTAGTTTTAATTTGCAGAACTCTAATCAGTTCCTGATAAAAACCTAAACCTTGAAGCATCAATAACCATATTAATTTATATGACATCTTCTAGAGAGGGATCAATTAACTACAAAGCTATCCTTAAACCAGTTCCATCCCAATTTGCAGTAGTAAGGGAAGTATAGTCATATACTATATTCCTTGCATCTTTTAGATACAAAGACACAAAATCAAGCTTTTTTGTATAAGTTGGATCCAAGAAAGAAATTTTGGCATAAAAAATGTCACCAATCACGTAAGAATGACTAGGGTCTTAGATAGTTGTGTATGTGTTATCAGTATATATTTATCCTGTAACGCTTAAATCTGCTATGATGACGCAATTACCTACAGTACAATTTTAAGTAGTCTGTTTGTCAACATCTATCTAGAATGTATGAGTTTCATTTCTTTCAGTATAGACGTAGAGGCACCATTTATGAATTCTGTCAAATGATAGTGAAGTTCCAATCAATATTTACAAATATACAACCTGAGAAATTTAACTTGGTCCCACTGTTGTTGAATAAGCTAAGTTATAGATATCGATTAAAGGAATTTTTATCGATTATTATCCATTAGCTCCGGCTGTAACGTATTAGCTGGGCAGGTCTTCATAGATTGAAGTATTAGGGTTTTCATATTAAACTTTTGTAATAATTTCAGGATAGCAACATACTGGTAGTACTGTTTATGTCAGATCTAAAGTCACGATTGAATTCACAAAAGATTGGTCATTTTCTGTATCAAAATAACAGAGTGTGTCTACTATAATTGCTGACATTTACTCAGCTATACTTATTTAGCATGCATCTAACTAGCTTGCTCCAGTTAAGAGATGAGCACAATTAAAGAAATTATAAGGACAGTTTACCTTTAACCAAGAGTTTTCACCATTCTAAGATTAAACTAGTACATTTCCAGATCTAAGCTAGTAACCCCATACACCATCGTAGGCATTTGTAGAAGCTGAACCTCCTAAAGAGCTTCTACTGAAAGTTACTCCACCACAATTTGGATCTGCTCTACAAGCATTAAGAGCATCATTCAAATTTGAGAAATCTATGCAGTTCTAGTCACATCCTAGAATTTGTGAACCTTAATAAGCCTCAAAATCACAAGGATTATCTGGAAGCTGAGGATCAGGACACTAATCTTTTATCCAACTATTTTCTTAGTTAGGTTTGAATATAGAGCCTGAACTAGATGCTCTTAGTTAGTAGCCATGACCATTTCCACTTGCATTTGATGCATTTGGTCCTCCTACAGCTGCAAAACTCCAAGTAACGGCTTTGCAAGAGGGATCAGCATTACATGCTACTTTAGCTTCGTCTAGAGTTGCAAAATCCTAGCAACCCTAAACACATCCTCCACTATACTCACCATTAGCATAACCGTATGAGCAGCCATTGCAAATTTGCTTTTTCCAAGAATTTTCACCGTTTTAAGAGTAGTCAAAATGTCTTCCAGCTCTTAACTAGAAACCGTAAACACCATTATAAGCATTTGTAGAAGCAGAACCACCGAGCTCTGCTCTGCTAAATGTGACTCCACCACAGTTAGGATCAGCTCTACATGCATTTTCAGCATCCTGTAAAGTAGCGAAATCCTTACAATCTTAAACGCATCCATTTAGAGTAGCACCTTATTACCCTTAAAAATCACATTGACCGTCATAATTAGCATTGACATTATTATTTGCAGGGCAACTTCCTTTAACCCAGGTATTCTCTTTGTTAGGTAAAAAAAGAGCACCAAAATTTGAAGCTCTGAGTTAATATCCGTGGCCATTACCAATAGGATTGGTAGAAGCTGATCCTCCAACACCAGCAAAACTCCATGTAATAGCTTAGCAAGAAGGATCAAGATTGCATGCTACCTTAGCTTCTTCTAGAGTAGCATAGTCTCTACAGTTTTCAGCACATCCTGGACTGTATTAACTATCAGTATATATGTACTCACAATCAACATAGGGAGTCCTATAGTAGTTTTCAGGACAAGGACACGATCTCTAATACTAATCTATTTAGCTTCCAATAAAATCAAGTTCACATCTCAAGCAAACATTAGATCCAGGGTCACATTAGCAGCTACTATTACAAGGTAAAGCAGCTCGTGAAATTGAAATTAAAATAAGTGTAAGGAAAAGTAATTTTTTCATTTTTTATTTTAATAATTATTTAATTAGTTTTTAATTTTTAAAATTTTATTATTGAATATTAAAATTGAATGAGTTTTTAAATAAAAAATGTGCGTTTAATAACAAGCAATTTATAATTAATTATTAAATTAATTAAAAAAAAAATTAATACCTAATTTATATAAAATTAAAAATAATTTTGAAATAAATTTATCATATTTTTTTATTTTAATATTGAAAGAATACAATAAAAAAATAATAGAAAATAATTTTATCCTTCAAAACAATTTCTTAATATTTAAAAGTTGATTTAATAAAAGGATAAATAAACAAATTATAAAAAAAACAATAAAAATTTATTTAATTGTAGAAAGTATTATTTACAAAATACATTAATTGTAAAGTAAATATTTTGTATTTTATGCATACATACATAAATCCATTATTATTATTATTAAACTTAACCTAGTTAAAAGTTTTAATACTTATAGAAATTTGAAATAACTGAAATTATAAAGAGTATTATTTATTTATTTAATTATATAGAAAGATTTTTTAAGATAAATATTCTAGATTAGTAATGCAAATAAGCAATATTAACAAAAAGTTTTTAGTAAAATGAAAATACAATAATATACATTTTAAAATTATAATAATTTATATTTTTTGAAATACAAAATATATTATTTTCCTTTTAAGCTATTTACAATAAATATTTAATTTACATATAAAATTAAATACAACAAATCCTCAATAACTAGGATTGAGTGATAAAAAAGCACTAAAATTTATTAATTTAATTTAAATAACTTAATTTAAATTATGATGGGGTAAGTAGGTAGTAATCGTTTGTGAATAATTATCTTATATAAAATAATAATAATTTTTTTATTTCATTCAAGTTATTTTATAATATTAAAATTTAAGTTTAATAAATGCATGAATTAATATCAAAAATAATTAAAAATAAATTTTAATAAAATAATTATTATTTTTACTGTTATAGACTCTCAAAACATATTTTTTTCTTTTGAGCCATCGAATTTAACATTTATAAAATAATAAGTATTTTTTTGTTTTCTAATTTAATAAAAAATTATGTTATAATAAATCTAGATTATTAACAAAGTAAATTTATTAATTTTGTCTTTATTTTATAAAATAACTTAAATTTTATACTGTAAATTTCATATTTATTTACTTAATCAAATAATTAATGAGTTATTTTACAAAATTGATTATGTGCTTTTATTAGAATTGCCAAATTAACAAAATCTACTCTAATTATAAACAAAATATTAAGTTTCTATTATATTATTTTTATTAATTAAACTTCTTATTAATCTTTCATTTTTTTAAACATATTTATTTATGTATAATTCTAAAAATGATAATAAATCAATAATTAAGGAAGAATTTTTAAGAGTCTTTGTCTTATTTTACTTTTAATCATCTTAAAATTGTTACAAATATTTGTTCATAATAAATAATAAAAACCATTGATTGATGTATTTATATTATTTTTCAGAAATTATTATAATTAAATTTTGAAAATTTAAATAGATAAAAAAAGATACAAATTTATATTTTTTATAAAAAAACAAAAAACCTAAAATTTATATTTTTATTTACCTACAAAAATCTGAAAACATTTTAATGAAATTTAATATTTATGAAAGAATTGATATTTAATTCGCATTTTATTTTTTGAATCATTTAATTTGATATTTTATTCTTTTATATATCAAATTATTTTGAAAAAAAATCGATGATAATGAACAGTAAATAAGTAACATTATATTTTGTTGAACTCATTTTAAATTAAGAAGAATAAGTTTTACTCTATATTTTATTTTATTGAATTACAAAAGTATATTCATTAATAAAACAGTTAAACTGATGATAAAATAAAATGTATTCTATAGCCACTTAAATTATCAAAGTTTATATGAAAATGTAAGTTTAAATGGATTTTTTTTGATAAAATGATATTTAATTTTTAAAATTTAGACTTTTTTTAATTTTGTTAATTTTTTAATATTAAAATTTTTTTTTTTAAATAAAGCATCATATTTTTATTTAAATTAGAAAATTATTTTATTAAGAATAATATTATTTTAACAAAAAATAAATATATTTTAAAAAATTAAAATATTAAATTGATTAATTTAAGGAAAAAGGATTGAATTAAATACTCAAAATTGAATAAAAGGGTCATACATTTAAAGTTATTTCACATTTGAAAAATGCAAACAAGTTAATAAAATAATTATTAATTTGAAAATGATAAAAATACTATGTATGGATTGTGCTTAATTTTTAAATGAAAATAGTTAAATTTGAAATAAAATGTTATTTTTCTTAACTTTGAATTAAAAAAAAGTAGTTAATTAATTAAAAATTAGTAAAATTAAAAAGAACAAGAGACTCTTATTCAGAATAATGAGATTAACATTGAAAAAGATTCGTTTTACCTATCTGATCTTCAGAATATAGAGTAGGATGAATTGAATACAAAGATTGCTTGCTTGCTATTAAATTTAAAAAAGAAAGTTTTTTAATTATTTTAAATAAAATAAAAGCAATAAAGAGTCGAAGAATAGAACATATTAATTATTGTTTATCACAATTAATTTTTGTTCAAAAAAAAGATATCAAAAGATAAAGAATTACCTTCATATATAATAAATAGGCAATTAAGATTTAAATATAAAATATAGAAATGGCCAGCAACGTAACTGCAAAATAATAGAATGCCACACCTATGGAATAGGAAGAAGTTGATCCTACTACCCAATGGTTGAGCGAAATACAAGATCTTACTGATGAATAAATTAGAAATAGAACTAAAGATCTTGAAAATAACATTTCTTTAATGAAAAAGGAATTACAAAGAATTAAAAGTGACACTAACAAGACTACAAAACTTATAAATGACAACAAATCAAAGATTAAAATGAATAAGTAGTTACCTTACTTAGTTTCTAATATAGTTGAAATTTTAGATATTGAACCTGAAGAAGGAGAAGATGAAGACACTGCTACTGTCGATATCAATTCTACTCGTAAAGGAAAAGCTGTTGTAGTTAAAACTTCAACCAAGTAATCTGTTTTCTTACCCGTTATTGGATTAGTTGATGCTGAAGAGTTAAAACCTGGTGAGATTGTTGGTGTTAATAAGGATTCATATCTTGTTCTTGAAAAATTACCTGCTGAATACGATAATAGAGGTAATTATTTTAGATAAACAAATATATAAATAAATAACTATTAGTTTGCAATATTAAACAAAATCAAAGATAAACTTAAGATCTTTGAGAAGAATATTTATTGTTTGGCAATACGAGCCAAGCAATTCATAGAAAGCTTAATGATTTACTTAGATTTACAATTTGCTTATTGAAAAACGTTTATTTTATATTAGTTCAATAAATAAATCTAAAATTGGTTTCAATTTATAAAAAAATAGATGTAAAAATAAATAAATAATTAATTAAATAGATAGATAATTTGCAAACTAAACAGTTAATTATTTATCAAAAAACTTATTGATTTTTATTTTAAAATATCAAATTTTAGTTAAGGCTATGGAAGTAGATGAGAGACCTACTGAAAAATACACCGATGTTGGTGGTTTGGATAAGCAAATTGAAGAATTAAGAGAAGCTATCGTCCTTCCTATTACACACAAAGAAAAATTTGAAAGCATTGGTATTCGTCCTCCTAAAGGTGTTCTTATGCATGGCCCTCCTGGTACTGGTAAAACTATGATGGCAAGAGCTTGTGCTGCTGATACCAAAGCCACATTCTTAAAACTTGCAGGTCCTCAACTCGTTTAGATGTTTATTGGTGATGGTGCCAAAATGATTAGAGATGCCTTTGCATTGGCTCGTGAAAAATCACCTGCTATTATATTTATTGATGAACTCGATGCTATTGGTACTAAAAGGTAATTAACCTAATCATAATATACTTTAGATATTTAAAAAATATATGAATTTAATTAAGTCATGCATGATATACTTTAGACACTTAAAATATTTGAATTTTATCATTTAGCAAGAATATAAACAAACAAAAAAACACACTTAGCATAAAATATTTAGCACAAATTAGGGGAAAATTAATTAACATAAAAATTTATAAAATAAAAAGATTTGACAGTGACAAGAGTGGTGATCGTGAAGTCCAAAGAACTATGTTAGAATTATTAAACTAGCTTGACGGTTTTTCACCTGATGATAATATTAAAGTTATTGCCGCTACCAATAGACCTGATATTTTAGATCCAGCTCTTTTGAGAAGTGGTAGATTAGATAGAAAAATAGAATTCCCTCTTCCTACTGAAGAAGCTAGAGGTTAAGTTATGAAAATCCATTCTAGAAAAATGAATGTAGCTAAAGATATTAACTTTTCCGAATTAGCTAGATGCACTGATGGATTTAACTGTGCTTAAATGAAAGCAGTTTGTGTCGAAGCAGGTATGTGTGCTCTTAGAAGAAGTGCTAGCTTCATTACTCATGAAGATTTCGTTGATGGTATAGCAGCAGTAGAAGCTAAAAAGAAAGAAAAATTAGAATATTTTGCTTGATAACAAACATAATTCTTATTATTTAATAAATATTTTTTATAAGTGTAATTCTTTTCTCTTAGTTATTTTAATATTTTAAAAATAATAAGATAAGTTTTGATGAGTAAAAATATATTAAAAAATAAATAAATAAATTCTGATTTCTCAAAATTAAAATCTATATCAATTAAATAATTTATAATATGTATAATACTGTCTCTATATTATTTCTCAATTTCATTTTGAAAACTTAAAAATTAATAAAATTAATTACATTTCTGAAATTAATTTTAAAAAGATATATAGACTTTAATGTTTCTATCTATGAATAATATTTAAATAAATCTAAAACATTACATCATAATATAATAATTATAAATATATTCTTTGTATATTAAATATTTTAAAAGTTTAATTTAAATGTATGAAAAATTTTATGAAAAATACAATTTTTCACTTAATAAAAATAAAATATATAGAAACAAAACAAAGTAGTAAATCAAATTAAATCTAATAGCACGATATTTAAACTAAGTAAATTAAATCTTTATATTGTTTAAATAAATTAAATTTAAAAGATTTAAAAGAATGCTTGAGTCAGCATCTTTATTTATAAACATACAAATTCTATTTTATAAAAGTTTTAATGAATTTTTAAAAATAAAATATTTACTTTCTATTAAAAACTTCAAAATTTATTAAAAATTAAATATAATAATAAAGGTTTTTAATAGCATTTAAAAGATATCTAATATAACTCAACTTATTTCTAATATGGCTTTTAGTGTCTGCATACTTTAAATAGAATTTAATCCAATATATATAAATAAAAAAATTATTAATAATAATCTAAAAGAGTTATTTAATAGTTTACTAAATTAATTTATTTTTTTAAAATTTCTATTTTTGAAAATTATTTGAATAGATTTAATTTCTTAAATAAAAAATTTAATTTAAAACAAATATTTATTACTTAAAAATAATTTTTAGATATCTTCAATATAGTAGTTAAAATATCTGAGATTTCCAAGTCTGCTTTAACATAGAGAAATAGAACAAATCTATAATTTAAAGCAAAAAATGCTTTTAATAAAATACTAATTAAATAAAAAAATAATATATATGTGTAATATAATTTATTTAATTATTTAGTTTTCATATTAAAAAAGAAGTGATATCTTCAATTTTAGATTGTTTTTAACATTAAAATTTTATATTAATTAGTCATTATAAATAATTTTATCATACAGGATTTAATTTTATAGTATTAATTCTCTTTCCTATTTTACACTAAACTTCAGAAACATCAAAGATTACTTAGCCATCAGTTCCAGAAGAATTAAAACGATTATCTTTTACATATAATTTAAACTCTGCATTTTAAGTAGCTTTATTGTTTGTCCAAAGTAGACTCACATGGTGCTTATTTCCTTTAAAAAATGTATCAAGACCGTAGGCTTGGAGACAGTTATCTATTTAATTAACAATGTCTTTGACTATATTTTTTCCTTATCCTACACTAGCAGCTACAAAAAATCTATTTCTATCTTCGTTGCTGAAAACCTTAAGTTTATTCAAGTCTATACTTAAAGAAATCTATTGGAAACTCTTTAAATATTCTATTTAAATAAGTAAAAATATTAATTAAAATCATATATCATAAATATTTTTAATACTTTCTCTAAGAGAAGACATAAAAGGCTCTATTTAGTGGCGATTTAAGTAGAATGTTTTGCTTAGAGAAATATGGAAATTATCAGGTTCTATATCTACAAATTGGTAATCTGGATAATCTCTGTTAACTCTATTTTTGAAATTGCTTTAAGCTTTGACCAACTAAGCTAGTCCTACATTTACATCTATGTAAATATAACAAGCAAATTATCCATCTATATGAGGAACTTTCCTTGTTTTTTGTAAATCTTGAATTTCATATTGCTAGCTTTTTTTCAATACTGTTTGTATGCCCATCTATTTTTATTCTTCTTTGTTATCCTATTCATTTTCTTCTTCATTTAATTTCAACTTTTTATGAGGAATAAATTTTCCATCTTCAATACCCTTGTCCTAATACTATTATTTGTAAATATATTGTATGCTAACATTTATCTTTTAAAAAACATTACATCTTAATTTAAAATTTCATTTAATCCTAGTAATTTCTTTTTTTTGGGTGCTTGCTATGGCTTTTAAGTCTCTATCACTTTTATCTAAGTTTACAAAAAGTCAGATATTTCATTTAAAATAAATTTACATCATAAAAATGTATGAGCTTTTATACAAACAAAAATGTAATAAAATACTTCTTTTTCCTTTGCTTCTGTAACTTATTTATTGTTTTTAGTTAACTTTGATTCATTTTCGCTTCCAGACTCATCTGAATAATTAACGATATTCATTTCTACTTTATTTAATATTGAATTTAAAGTTAAAACTATATTTGTTAGAAAAGGAGACACTTGATTCTTATAAGATATAAATAATAAATAATAAATTATTGAACCAAATATTTATTTTAATTTATTTTTAAAAACTTATATTTAATCAGCTTTTTAAATTATTAAAATTATGATAAAATTAATTTATTTTTATAATATTATAAAAATAGGTTTTATTCAAGTTATATCATTTTATAGATATCATACTTAGAGCCAATAATTATCCCACATTTTAATTCTTAAGATAAAAATTTATTATTATTATAATCACCTTAAGTAATTTTATCTAAATGAATGCTTTAATAATACTAAATTAGTCTATATATAAATAATAATCAATTTTAATTAATAATTAATGAGTGAAATTATTAAAAATCTTTTATCCAAAACAAATGATTTTTAAATTTATTGTGAATTTATGAATTTGTAGTAAGATATAAATTTTTATATAGCAGAAATACAATCAAATTTATGAATGAATTAATGAGCATTTTTTAAATTTTTTACAATAATTTAGTTTTTAATTTTTGGTTAGTACTTTTAACTATGAAATTTATTATATTATTTAAAGAAGATTGGTTTATATTTTTAAATATGTTGGTTAAATTATTATTTATATGTTTAATTTATTAAATATTTGTTGTTTGTTAATTTATTATTTTTCACATGTCTAAAGATGTTTTAAATTCTGTGTATGATATTTCTCCATCATTATCTATATCCATGTATCTGAATAATAAGTGAATGCCTTGATCATCAATAGAGTCGTCTACAATACGAGCAAGTTTTTTTAACTAACTAAGTTTCATGTATGGATGGTTCTTTTTAGTAAAATTTTTGAATACAAGCTCTGTTGATATGTTTTTAGAAAGCAATACACTCTTTAATTCCTTTACGATATTTGCTATCTGCTTTGTTTATACATTTGCTTCGTCATCTTGTAAGAATATTTTGCGAGTCATCACATTACTGAATTCATTAAAGCTAATTTATTAATCTTTATTTAAGTCAAACTTATCAAAGATTTATTTTATTTCATTTTTTTTAATTCCAGGAGCAATCAAGAGGATCAGTTCTTCAAACTCTTAAAGAGAGAGATTTCCATTTTATCCTTTATCAAAATTTTTGAATATATTTTCAAGATCTAATTTATTCACTTTAACAATCTCTTTTAGTTCATTGATTATCACTTGGGCTCTATCTTACAGATTTGAGAAATCCCATTCATTAAACATGCTCTCAAATTAATCAAAAAGCATGTAACCATTTTCTTGCTTATCAAGGATAGAAAATAGATGCTTGGCCTATGATTCTTTGATTTGTTTGTCTAATTTTTTTAGGAGAATAAAGAATTCATCACCAGTTAATTTCCCATCTTAGTCTAAATCGAATCTATCAAACAAATCTTTCAAATTGATATTGTAAAACATAACTATATCTTACAACATCATTAATATTTTTTTATCAGTTTTATTTAAGTCTTTTAATTTGTTCTACTAAGCAACTAAACTTTGGTTGAGAATTTAAGATTTAGGAAGGCTTTTGGCATTTTCATCATTTTAGCTTTTTTCCTTTAGGTTTTACTTTTCTTCATAAGCATGATTTTTATTCTGCTTAATTTCTTTTGTTTTATTTTTTCTAGGAGAATTTAAATAGCTATTCTCAGATTTTTTGCTATTTTCATCTTCATCTATTTCTTCTTTTTTGAAATCTAAAGAAATCTCAGTTTTGAAGTGTTTTTTATTCATAAAATTAGATTCAGTATTTTATTTAAGATCTTTTCTTGTTTCTTATAATTGTTTAATAGGAGATGCATCTCTAGATAGTTAAAAAGGAGACTGTTACTGTTTGGGCTGAGCATTTTCCCTTTACTTTTAATCATCTTCATCAGAATCTTTCTTTTTCTACTCCAATTTGGGAGTTTAGCTTCTCTCATTTGAATCATTTAAATTCTATTTTGAATTTACTTTTGATAAATCGCCGCTAAACTATTTTTAGCTCTAACTCCTAGGGATAGGAGAAAGTTCATCATCAAGCTAAAATAGTTCATGATTAAAGACTTAATCCCAACTAAATCTTTTATATTCTTCAAATTAGAGACATCCCTTTATAAAATCCTTGGAGAAATCAGTAACAGGTTTATCAAAAGGAAACCTTACTGGAACTTTTCTTATTTAAATCAAGAGAGAATTTATATCTATTTATTTTTAATTATTAAAATAAGTTAAGCAAGCATATTTATATTACTTTCATGTATTGTAAAAATTTTAAATTAATTTTGAAATTAATTACATTTTCTGCCAATAATTATCAAAATAAGTGTAAATAGTTCTTTTTATGAAAATAATTCAAATTTTTACCAATAATTTATTAAAATAAATTGATTGATTGTTTGATATATTTATTGAATTAATCAAAAATTAATAAATTAATTGATGGACAAATAATTTGAGAAATTCATTTAAAATAATTTCTTAATTTTTATACCTAAATACTTCATAATTAATTTTTATTTCCTAGGAAGTATATTTAAAAATCAGTAGATTTTTATTATTACACAAGCAAGCAATTATTTTGTTATAAAAATATTATTTTCTTTTAATTGTTCTATAAAATATAACTAAATCAAAGTATCAAGGAGAATGTAAATGAAATGTAGCTAATTTAAAATTTTCGTGTTTTTATTGATTAGGGAAAAATTAATCAACTTAATAAATAATCTATAAATTTTATCATAATCATTCGTTTGCATTAAAAAATTTTTTAGCTTTTGTGGTAATTTCATTCTATTTACATGATTATCGTATTTGTGGGCAAATTTGTAAAAAATACTTTTTTTTAAGATCGTTTCGCTTTTAATTCTATCTTACAAAATAGAGTAATTTGAATATAAATAAATACCTCTGCAAAGCCAAGGGAGTTTTCCAAATAGTATTTCATAATAGAGCAATCCAATAGACCAAATATCACTCTTGGAAGAGTATGGCTTTTGCTAAAGTAGCTGAGGGCTCATATACAAAGGACTGCCAACACACTCTTTTAATACTTAAGCGTTCTAATCTTGGATTTTTGTTGCAAAACCAAAATCTGCTATCTTGAATGTGTTTTTATTTATAAGAATATTTTCTGGTTTAATGTCACGATGGACGTAGCCTTAGTCTATTAAGCTCTTAAACCCCTAGAGTATCTGTTACAATATAGAAATCGCTTGAGATTCAGAAATATTGTAGTTATTTTTTTCAAGCAAGCCTCTTAAATCTCCATCACCACAATACTCTATAATAATATAAATATGAGTCTCAGTTCCTACCAAATCATATATTCTCACAATGTGTTCACTTTTTATTTCTTACATTAAATTAATCTCCTTTTTAAGCTAATCTATCATGAATTTTTAGTTTTGAATTTGTAGCAATGATCTGTTTAAAGCCTTGATAGCTACTACCTCGTTAGTTGCGATAACTCTACCCTTATAAACAGTACCAAAAGATCCTTTGCCTAAAGTATCTGAGCAATTAAATTCGTATAAATCATTCAAAATAACAGCATCTTTACTTGACATTTCAGTTGTTTCAAATAAATTTATTCACTCAGACTAAAATAAAATTACTGCAGCTAATGCTCTTCAATAGATAAAGAAGCGATAAATATTTTTGAGAACCAGTATAACCTTATGTAGCTTTTAGCTTATTCTATTGTTTTTTTATAGTTTTCAGTGCTTTTAATATTTAATTGTGTAAAAATTATTTGTTATCAAAAAATCAGGAAAATAGAACAAATAAAACAAATCTGATTTTTATCAGATTTTGTTTTCTTTACGTATTTTTGGTTTTTAAATACTATTTCCTATGTCTAAAATACATTTACAAAAAAATCCTTTGTTTTGCCTATGATTAATCAAATTTAATATATAATATGAATCTTTTAAGGAATAAAAAGATTGTGGTTACCCTATTTTTCATTTGTAAGCTAAAATTGGTTTCACCTTTATTCAATAAACTCAGTAAACTGCTTTTATATTAATTTTTCAAGCTGTATTCCAATAACAACTAAAACTCATTCAATTTATATCTACTCAAAATATGCATATTAAGAAAATTAATGTTACAACTTGAAATTTGTTTTAAATTACTTTTCCATATTTACATTAAAAAAACATACAGGTAAAATAAATTAAAGCTGATTAGATAGTAAATTAATTAATAAATAAGTAAAGAAAATATGAAAATTAGAAAGAACAAATTAAGGTTTAGATTAAATAAAATATATATTGAAAAAAAAATTTAAATGTAACATCTTTTTATTTGCTTATGTTTAGAAGATATTAAAGTGCTTATTTATTTAATTTTAAATTTTGATTTGTATAAATATAATCATCAATATGTAAGCCGCCTCTATCGATTTCTAAAATTCAATTTTTTTAGTAAATTATATATTTTGATTATCTAAAAAAAATCTATATTACAAAATTTACTCAAAATAAAAAATTTGGAATGAAAAATATGCGAAATAATAAAATTTACTTTTAATTAAATTTTACTGGCATTAAATAGAAAAAAATAAAATTGTAAATTATTTATTTTTTTCCAAACATTTAATATAAAAGCATATTTATCTTAATGTAAGCAAATTTAATTAGCCTTTACAAACTGATGCTTAACTTAATTGTAAGTTGCCTAGTTTTATTACAAATATTTTTTAATTAATACTATCAATCAGTAGATATAAATAGAAACAGACAACCTTAAAAAATTATTATGTAAATTAATCATCAGTTACTAAATAATAAATCTTATATGAATTAATAGTTGTTGTTGATACTATAAAAGTTAGACTGAAATAATCTGTTTGATCACTTAATTTCTCTAATTAATAATCAAAATATATTAAAATTAAAAAATATTTTTAATTAGGGTGGATATAGATTGATACAGCTAAATTTAATGATTAAAAATACTATTTTAAGATTCAACTTTTCATAATTATGATATAAAAATACCATTTATAAATTTATACTACCTTTTCATTGTTGGTCATTTAATAAAATGTATTTTATTTTTCTAATTATTTAAAATCAAATTGTAAATAAAACTAAGCACCTATGAAAACTCAAAGATATTGAGTAATTTTTTATTTCTTCTATTAATTAAAACGAACTATTTCAAAAAAAAAATTTAAATTTCAATCTCTTTTTATAAAAGTATTTTGGGCTCGAGATAGGATTACTCAACCTATATATGTGATTATATAATAATAAGCATTTGCTAAAAAACTTGATAAATTTATTTTTTTATTTGTATACAATATGTAGTTCAAAAATTACCTTAGAAAAATTTTTTGAAATAGCTTATATTGGATTCAATTGCAAAAACTTATTCAATTTCTCATTAACATTCAAAGTTGTTTTATTAGTTTCATTGATTTTGAAAATATTTATTACTGCTTGATTAAAATATTAAAAACATACTGATATAAACATTTTAACTTATTTATATTTAAACAGATCTATTTATAATTTATTCTAATATCTTAAATTAATTAAGTGACTATTGAAGTGAAAATTATAAATTTAGCTTTTTAAGATTTCCAAAGTTTACAGAAAATATATGATATGATATAGTTTTGTTTTTGAATATTTACGTCTGACTGAATAAATTTAAATATAAGATATTTATGAACAATTTATTATAGATAATTTTTATCACTTTTCAACTCATTTTTACTTTTATTCACTTTCGGATTATTGTTTATTTCTTTAATAACGAATTTTTTTAATATATTCAGGGTCAAGTTCATCAACTTCATTAGTTGCTTTTTCTTCTGCAGTTTAGGAGAATGCATATTTTTTAGCCTTTTTTTAACTTTCTTTAGTTTATTTTTCTAGCTCGTTCATATGGTCGAAGGTGTGAAGTGTTTAATACTTGTACAGAGTCTTGTTTAAAGTCTCATCAATACCTTTAATATCTTTATATCTTGTAGAATTCAAGCCTTCTTCAGTATTAATGGGAAGGTCTTCGATTTTTTCAGATTAATTTTCATTTTACTATGAATTAGTATCTTAAAGTCTTTAAGCATTTTCAGATACTCCTTGATAACTGTAATAGTACCTCTTATTAGTCTTTTCTGAATAAAATTCTTCAAGGAATTCCTATTCATTTAAACGAGGTGAGTACTTCTGTACTTTGTTTACAAAATCAGGATCTATACGATAGCAATCGAATTCAATCATACCATCTTCGAAATCTTAAAATGTGCAGGTTTTAAGGTAATCAAAATTTTGCTTGAAATAGTCAGCCATCATGTAAACTTCAGGAGAATAACGGGGGACTTTTTCAAAGAAAATAGTACTCCAAACAAGTGCATCAAGTTTTTGATATGCATCATCCCCCTTGCTAGTTATAGGATTTACACGGAAATGATTGTGGAAGGCATTACGATTTGCTTGCATATAGTGAATAACGTCCTTGATGAAATCATTTTTCTTCTTAAGATGAATACGAGAAATACTTTAAAGTTAATTCTTCTTTAGGGATACTAATAATTACTTAGCCATAAATCTACTTATAGGAGTATTAATTTCATTTAAGCGATCAACCATCAGCCAAATATGCATGTTTAAGATAGCATGCTCGATATGGAAATCAGCAGGAATGTTCATGACACTTGTAAACTCAATTGAGTTAGTGTAAATGACAGTACGAATTAAGAGCATTGTGCATGCCATTTCATAGCGACGTCTAGAAGTTCTTGAGTAAATTCCTCTCTCAATTAAATAGTAAAGAATTTAGCGGAAAATTCCTAATACAGATTTTTACTAGCCAACAATCTTTTAAGTTAATTAATTAATGCTTTCCTTGCTTTCCAAATCTAATTTTTCATAAATTGGACGTAAGTCATCATAAATGTTAATGTTTCTTCCACGCCAATTCTTCATTAATTCTTATCTTCTCTAATTCGAAAGTGTCCAATTACATTTATATCTGATAGCATTTTTGATAATGTATTTTGAGTATTTTTCTCTCTTCTCTACTAAATATCTAATTTATATTGAAAATGTTAAAAATTCAATTTATCATTTTACTTTTAAATTTATTCAATCAATAATTCATTTTTTAGAAAATTCTTTTTTACTATAACTCCAAAACTTTTAAAAATGCTAAAATATATTTTTATGTTTTACTCAAATTAAGTTTATCTAACAACTAAAATATAATTTCTCAAAAAAAAATGAACAATTAATTTGATAATTCTTGTATTATTACCTCATTTCAGTGTCACGTTCAAAAGGAGTTTAATTCTCATCACCAAAGAAAAATTATCTATACAAACCAACAATTTTATTCTAAAGAGTTTCATACTCTTTATATTACTCAAGAGGAACGACATATCCGCTGATTGGTAGCTTATTAACATACTCATCCATAACTTGCTTGAAGTGATCCTCTTACAATTTGCTTATTATATATTAAGAGTTTATCTAACCTAGCTCATGTAATTTTTTCATTTTCTCAATATCATAAAGCTTTTTTAAAGGAGCAAGCAATTAATAAGACAAATCTACTCCTTTTAAACCTTCAGTAATATACATTTTTGGTGCAATTTCTTCCTTTTTAATACGTCTTCTCATCAAGTAAGCTTAAATACACTTGTCATACTCATGGATATGATAATCATATTTATATTCTCTTCCATTGACAATTTCTTGCATTTATTGAGCTTAATTAGAATAAACTGAAAATCTGCGTTGTAATATTTTTGATAACATTGCTATTCTTTTATGTTTTATGCTTAATAACTCTTTTTAAAATATTTTAAAGAATCTGCTATACAAATTAACTATGTCTAGTTGGTTTTAGTTTAAATTTTTACTTCTTTTTCAGCCTTAATGTATAATATTAACAAATAGGTTAAAAAATTAAAATTATAAATAATTAAATTAAGATACAATTTAGTTAACAATTAATTAAAAATAAATTAGATAGATATTTTTCTCTTTCTAATTTTATTTATTTATTTCATTTCTTGAAGTTTCTACACATAAAAATAATATAATTAAATAGCACTAAAATAAAATCGAATATTCTAATTTAATATATCTTTCATTCATTTTCATTTCTAATAACAATTTATTTTATTTTTAAATCAATTTTATAAAATTTAAAAAAATAAATTAAATAGATTTATTATGAATATGACTAAACAGTTTTCATTTAATTTATTAATTACTTAATTATTAACAGCTAATTTGAAAATTTTACTTAAATTTGTAAATTAATATAAATATTTGATGTTTAAATTACATAATATACTTAGTATTTGAGAACAAGTATAAAAATTTCATAAATTTCAAAATATAATAAGAATTGAAATTGAATTCTATACTTTCAACATAATAAATTTCTTGATTAAGAATCTTATTATTTTCATAAAAAGTCTTTCTTGAATCCACAGATTGGAATTTTTTTTAAAGTTAGTAATTTATTCGAACCTTCGAGGAAGGAACTCCATAATCCATTCATTTAAATGGGAGATTCTTTAGATTCTCATATATTATTCATTTATAATGGGATACAAAACACTTTTACAATATTTAGTGTTTAAAAATTTTTTTTAAATCATTGACGGATTGATGATTTAGATAATATGTTTAATGCTAAATTTTAAAAAGAAATTTTGGAAGATATTTTAAAATCTTATCTTTCAATATTTTATCATTATTTTTAATTATTTAACAAATCAGAAATATTATAAATTAGAAAATTAATTAATAATATTTAAGTATTAGAAATTTATCTTAAAGTTTTATAAATTGAAAAAAAAAATAATTTTGGTTCTACTATTAGTTTTTTATTTTACAAAAAGCATATATATTGTTAAAATCAGATATTTTTTATAAATATAAAGAGTTAAAATAAATCTGATTATCTAAACATATATCATTTTAATTATTTTTAGGCTTTAATCCTGTAAATTTATAAGTATTTATAAAAATTTTTACAGATTAATCAAATAACTTTACTAAATTTTAAAGATTTAGTTAGTAACTTTTATCATTTATTTTTAAAGTTTTAATAAATTATTTATTTCATGCTAATATTTTTTTAAGTTAAGATTATTTAAGTTTTTTTTGTATGATTTGTTGATTTATTTTTATAAAGATTAAAATTGAAAATATTTAACTTTTTTTTATAAAATTTGGTGACTTTATCTAAATTTCTATTAGAATAAAACTTGTTTGAATGCCAAATGAAATTTATACAAATTTAAAGTAATAAAATAATTTATTTTTTATATATTTTTATATTAAGTAAGCTTTAAGGGAATGAATATTCATAAATTATATATCAAGAATCGCTCATAGTTTCTTCCTTTTTTACTTCTTCGTTATTAGCATAATCTTCTAAACCTTCATAAATTGACATATCTTCTTTAGTTACTTTAGCCAATATTTCCTTTGTTAACAAAATTTTAAATTAATAAATTTGAAATATAGCAAAATATATTCATTACTGCACATTCTTTTTAGTTGAAAACAACAGCTTCATCAAAAGGAGTTTTTTTAAGAGAATTGCAAATATTAGGATCAGCTTTTAATGCTTCAAGCATGTAAACAATTACTTCTTTTTATCCGTTAATAGCGGCCCAATCTATTTAAAAAAATTAGTGATGAGAACAATAAAATATTTTAGCTTAAACTTTTAAAGCAAAAGATAAAAATTATTACGTAAAGCAGTATTTTAATCACAATTTTTATGGTTAATAAATTTCTATTTCTTTTCTTCTTAGTTTTCCCATTTATCTAACTCTTCTTTAATTAACATAAGAGCTTAAACATGTCCATTAGCACATGCCATATCTTTTGATTTTAAAACAAATTACATATAGAGCTCAATAAAAGTTTATATATTTACGAATGGCATTATTTAATCTATTATCAAACCATGTAATATCGCATCCTTGCTAAATACAGTCCTTAGCTTCTTCTAAGTCGCTATTAAAATATAAAATTATTAGCAAACTATCTAGAATTATTTCATTTTACTTATATCTGCAGCAATCAACAAAGTACTCTTCTAAGCATGAGTAGGGTTCACCTTCTTCTTCTTAAGGATTGTTCATTTCCAAAACTTCTTCTTATTTCTTAATTTCTTCAGCCATTTTTAAAACTATGTAATATATTCTATTAGCAAAATGTTGTATTAATTAGTTATTTTCGTATTTTTTAATTAATTATAAATGAATATGTAATTTTACCCAAATATACTAAAATTAATTTAATCTTGTTAAGTAGAAGATTTATTATCCAATAAAAATAAATTAATTCTGATAAAAATTCTTGCTTTAATATACATTTTTATGCTCAGTAGATATAAACAAGTATCATTTTTTATTTTTATTTTTTGCAATCAAAAATTTATAAATTTGTTTATTTTTTAATGAAGAATATTAAATTCAATTTTAAAATAGTAAAAATTATTTTTTAAGTATGAAATTTGCATAAAATAGTAAAGTTTGCTGAACAATCAAAAGCAAAAATTTACTGTAAAATCTCAAAAATAAATTTTGTTAAAATTACTCCCAATCAAAAACAAAACAAAAAAATTATATTTATTATTTAAATAAAAATCATTATCATCTAAAATTAATGTTCTCTTTAAAATATTGCTAAATTTAGTAAAAATAAAATTTATACTTGACATCTCTCTAATAAAGAATATTTAAAATATATATAACCTACAATTAATATATATTATAATGAAAATATTTTAAATAAAATGATTGATTATTTTAATCTTAATAATCAAGAAAATATCTCTTTTTCTAAAAATTCATAAATTTAGCCAAATTTAGGTAACTAAATGAATCGAAAGTCATCTTTTCTTTGTTTTTCTCTAAAAAGAAAATAAAAAGAGAATAAATTTAAGATTAAATGTAATAATAATAATAAAACTTTTATTAAATTAATTTTTAGCAATAACTTTAAACTAATTATTAAAAATCGGCATAAGCATAAGTTTTAACATTATTTATATTAACGAAATGTGAGATATTAATCAATTTTTAAAAGATAAAAGAAACAATTTTAAATGGCTTTTTAAATAATATATTTTTAAAATTAACTGACATGTAAATATATTTAAAAATAAATGATTTATTTTCTAAATTTTAAAAATAGGCAATTTAATTGCTAAATAAATGTGCCTTTAACAATAAATTATATTCAAATTTTAAAAAATTCAAAAATTTATTTAGAATAAAAACCTAGGGAGTTCTTTGTATTTTTGAATAAGTTATTTTAAATATGAAAGTTAGTTTAAGGTAAAATAAATAAAATTGTAATTGAATTACTTTATTTTTAAATAAAATACTATAGTTTAAGATGAATTTTTAAATAATAAAAACATATAATATCATAAAATATATATTGAAATACCATTATTTAAATTATTAAAAAATGACAGATTATGAGCTTTAAATATGGAGAATCATTTTTATTTCTTATTTTTTAATAGCTTTTTGATTTTCGTTATCTTCATTATATTGTATTCTATTTTAATAAATTAAAGATTAATTATCAAAAATATTTAATTTGAAAGAATTTTTACTTATGTATTAAGAGTATATGTTTGAAACAACTGAAAGTAAGTTTTTTGTTTCTGTAAAAATACTTTATTAGAACCCTTTTACTCCTTCTATTAACCCAGTAGCTATTTTTCCATTGTTTTTAAATGATTTATAAGGAAGAATAAATACATTTGCTAAATTTTTTGTTATGTTAGTGATATTTCTGATTAAAACAACGTCTTTCATAATTTAAAGAATTTGACTATTTTTCATTATATGCACATCAAATATTTTTGTATAATGATTCTACAAACAGAAAACTAAATCTTCATTAAATGCTATTCCTTTTTCTTTAGAATTAAAGTATTGATTGAATATTAAGAGAGAATCTTTCAAAATGCTGTTCACAAACCAATTAACAGTTATCTCGATTTCGATTGGACATATTTAAATCAGTGATAGTTTATATTATTAAGTATCCCCATTATCAAATTCATTTTAATCTCCATTATAAATTTCATAATCATCGTCTATATCCTCGTCTTCTTTTTAATTATCCAGATTAATTTCATTTTATAAAGGAATTTCTTAATCTTATTCATTTTATGATTATTATATTTTGGAAATATTATTGAAAAGTATAGCTTCACTGTGTTCTGGTTTAATTTAGCTTTTATTCACAGAAATTTATTCTAAATCTATGTGTACTTGGCTCAAATCTTCAAATAATTATTTGTGGACTTTATCTATAATTAACTTAATTCTAGCTAAGTAGGTTCTTAAAGAAATCAATCTCTTTAATTCATCAATTGTAATATCTAACAATATCATTTTCTGCTTGTTGTCTTTCTTCTAAATTATTTATTAAGCTTAATTTGCTACAGTGCCTTTTAAATGAATTTAAAGATAATATTTAATAAAATAATTTTGTTTAACAAAATAAATAAATAATAATTTTCAAATTTTTGTATATTTATAATAAATGCTAGCTTGTTTATTTGTTTGTTTGTCTGTTAATCAAATAAAATATTTGATTGATTAATTGAATGAATTAAAAATATCTTTATGTTAATCAAATGATTTGTTATAAATTATCTAAAATAAATATATGAATTACCCTGCAACTCTATTCCATGAATGCATAAGTTAATTTTTTTAACGGTTGAATATTAAGAATACAAAGCTCTGAGTTTATAGAATGTTAATAGTAAGTTTTGTTTAGTATCCCTATTTTAAAGTCTTTTTCTAACTGGTGTAACAGTTTTTTGTTTTGGTTCGAAGCTGAAATCTTAACCAGAAAATATTTATATCTCTAGTTTATTAATTGAAAAATCAAAATATGTGATAGGTATTTAATCATCTAAATTTTATTTATGGAAATATTCTATATCTTGATCTTTTGCATTAGTTTAGAATTAAGTATTTTGGTCTTCTTCTATTTGAAACTCCTCTCCAAAAACTTCAAAATCAAAAGAGTCATTGTTTTTTCTAGGCTAATTATTGCTATTTACCAAGTTTTAATTTTTATTTTCTATTTGATTTTACTGCTTTTAGCTTTTTTTCATTGAATTATTTAAATTACTAGATTAATCTTTCATGTTTTATGAGTCACTTAGATCAATATTCTGTTGTTTTGTTAATGGCTCAGTCAATCTTTAAAAGAGTAAAGAAATTAATGTGATGTGCAAAGGGAATGAAATTATTGAATCTTTGCAAGAGTTTATGTATAGCTTTTCAATCTATAAGTTGGCAGAAAATATTTCTTAGCTTTGTTAAAGGTGCAAAAAACATTCTATTTCTACGATATTTTAGAATCCTAACTGCTCTAGCTAATTAACAAAGTCATATTATTTGTTATCAAGATGTATTCTAGACTCTAACGATTGAATATCTTTAAAAATAAAATTTTGTCTGCATAAAACAATTGGGTTGAGATATTTTTTTAAATCATCAAAAATTAAAGTATAGAAGTCTAAGCCTTTTACTTCTAATTAGAATTCGAAGTTATTCTGCTAATCCTTCTTTGTATCATAATAAATATTTTAACTGATAACGAAAGCGTTTTATGAAGCATATGTCACATTGGTGTTTACTTACTTATATTTTAATTTCTTTATGATAATATTTCTAAGAAGGACTATTGATCTTTAATTAGTGAAAAAACCACTTTTTTAATTTGATTCAGCAACATTTTGGTATACTTTAGGTAATTTTTATCTTATATCTTCATCGTGGAAAGGAAAGAGGTCTATTGCAATATTATTAATAAACATATTTCCAATTTCCACCTGCATTATAGTTTCATTTTAATTTATTTATTGAAATTATTTAGGAAATTTATCATTTTATATATCTTAACTTTGCACTATTTTATTAACTTGATTTTATAATGTATTTTCTTTTGACTAGATTTATGTCCTGTTTCCAAAGATATTAGCAATATCTAAAAAGTTTTGAATAATTTCTGATCTGAAATCTCCAAATCGAATTATGAAATCTTGAATTGCAATGCTTGAGAAAATTATTTTATTTTTTGTTATTTTCATAACATTATCTTTAATGGCTTCTTGATCTCCATCTTCTGAGAAAACTGATTCGTTTAAATTATTTGAATTTTAATCTTAACTTTTAAGATTATTAGGATTTGGATCACTCTTTATTTTTCTGTTTTCTTATTCTACTTTATAAGACAGCTTCAAGTAAATTACAGGCTATGCTTTTGATTAATCTCTTGCATCCTAACCTTATACAAAAGATTAGCTTGGCCTCTTATTCTAATCATTATTAAGAGAATCTCTTTAGATTTTTTCATTTTTGTCAAGGTCTATTACATTTAATTTATTTATCCAAGAATTTTATTCTTCCTCTATAACTCTTGGGTCATAATAGGAGGCTGAGTATATTAGAAGTTTATTTTCTATTTCTTTTGAATCACTGCTAATTTGTATAAGTTAATTATAAGTTAAATCTTCACCATTTTAGTTTTGTTTATAGTTGCCTAGGTTTATTTTACTTTGTAAATGATCAACAAGATAAATTTCATACATTTTTAGGCTAAAATTTTATCCTCTGTCTATATTGATGAAATTGTGACGAAATATTAACTAAATGCAAAAGTTTTAAGGGATAAGCTAATATTTAAAAGGTGTATATTTTTTGTCAGTTGAATTCTTTAAAATATGAGAAAGTAGGTTTCCTTTATTGTAATCGTTGCTGCCTGCTAAATTGTTATTTTTGATATTTTCTAAATAATTCTTGTAATTTTTTAAGTAAATTATTCTAAGGTCTAACTTGTTAATATGAAGTTGGATATAAAATTAGCTTAAAAAATTGCTGATTTCTTGATCCTACTCATAAATAAATTCTGAATTAAATTATAAAGCTAATCCTTCATTATATTCCAAATCCTAGCCTTATCCATCTTCAGATTTATCCTCATCATTTTAACTATATTTTTCAGTCAATACTTTTGATGATCTACAGAGTTCTCTGTCAAATTTCTATTAAAAAAATAAATATAAAAAATTATAATTTAAGTTGATTGAATTACTTAAAGCTTCTGTAGCAAATTTTGATAATCTTAAAACAAACCTTGTGACTACTCGACTAAATTAAGTATTTTATCTAAATTCCAAATATTAATTTAAAGTGATCCAATAGTGAGATTTAAAGAATTCTAAAAGAGGGAAGATCCTTATTAATTAATTGATTATGAATTTAATAGAATTAAATTTAATTGAACTGATTCAATATCCAATAAATTATTAAACTTAAATATGGGTTCTGTTGACTCCAAACACAAATCTTTATTTATCTTCAAAAGACCAACAACTGTTTTCTCCATATTTAATGAAATATTGTTGCTATTTTGTTAATTTGATTTCTAGTAAGTAAAATTTATATTATTAAATTAAACTGCTAAATTTTCAGCTAAATATTTCTTATTATTTCTAGCGTCTTTCATTAGATTGGAGCAGAAACACGTGGTATTATTAACACAGATTAAAGAAGAAATATTGTTTAAATCATATTTCTTTAGTGCTTGCTTGAAATCACTTTTCTCTTAATAAGAAAAGTAAACAAATTTAAACTTTTATATATTCAATGAAAACTCTATCTAATAAGCTTCGTCTTATTGATTAGCTTCTCCTTCCTTCTATTTTTTTTGATTTTATGTATTTAGAGATATAAATTTTTCTATTTACTCACATTATTTAGCATATTGGTCAAGTAGAGTAATATTTTCAGTCTTCTGTAGCCTATTATCATAAGCTTTATATTTCTCAGTAAACTTTGCCCAATCATCACAAGGATACATAATCTAATAGAAATCCCTTAATATCCTTAAATCAAAGCTCGTATACATGGATCCTATATTAGCTTAGCCATCAATAATAGACCCTCTCTTAATTAGTTCCTAATTAAAATAATTTAAAATTCATTATTAATTTAAACATTTAAAAAAAATAATCTTACCATTTAAAAAGCTAAAGGTAATTCATTTTTTTAGTTTTCATCACTTAACCAGTTTTAATTAAATAAAATATCTTGTTTATATTAAACTCTTGAGATATTGTTTGCTGAAAAATTACTACTTTTTGCTTAAGAATTTGATTTTTTCTAGTTTTTAATCAACAATATGTATGAGATGCAATAATGCTAGTTCTGTTTACTTATTTACCAAGGTTTTAAGTCTAATTCTTACTTTTTGATCTCTTAAACTTCTTCTTTAATTTCTTCTAAAATTTTAGAAGCCCTATTGGATTAGAGGAGAGTGCTTTGTTAATTATCCTGCATAGAATAAAATAATTCATCGTCTGCACTCTAATCATTTATAATTGATTTAAAAACTTAACTGTTACTTTAATTTATTGACTCTCTATAACTCTACTTTTAAATTTAACTTTGACCAAATTGTCCTAAAGCAGATTAAAAAATATCATCTAATTAGCTTTAATCCAAATTTTGAATTTAACTAATTTTAGAAAGCTGCTGAATATTCCTAAGAATTTATTTAATAAAAAAATTTTAAACTAAAAATTAATTAACTTTGAATTATTCTTACATCTTTGAATTATCTATTTATGAAATAGTCTAAGATGGGTTTACATTGTTCTATTTTATTTCAGAGAAAATTCCTGAATTATTAATCAAATTAACATCAATTAACTTTATAGATTTAACAGAAACAACTTTTTTTGTTGGAGATTGGGTGATGATTTTAAAGGCTTTCAGTTAAAAAAAGAAATAGCTACAAGGGATGCTATCGTTGTAAGAAGTTTTATCTAAAAATATTTAAGATATACCCTAAATACTTTATTAGTTTTAAGCTTTTCCTAATTAAAATCGATTTGTTTGCTTAGCAATTTGATCTTTAGGATATAATACTCTCTCATTGATCTCATCATAGTAGTATATCCAATTTCTTAAATATAAATAATTATCATTTTCTTCATTATCTCCGTCTTGCTTACTTGGTAATATTCTTTTGTTTTCATCAACTTTTATATGTTTTTTGAGCAGATAAATATTTATGGCATATATCTTAAAATCAAATTAAGTATTATAAAAATCAAATTATATTTAATTCATTAAATCATATTCTTCATTCTAGCTGCTACTATTATTCAAATTAATATTTTGCAGGTCTTGTTTTTTTTCTGGGCTTTCCCTCTATTTATTCTCTTCTTACATTCTTTAATTTTACTCTTCTTATCCAATTTAGAAGTGACAATCATTTGTCACAATCACACTTTTCTGTTATTGCAAGTTCTCAAAATCCTCTTCCTCTTACTTCTTATTTTCAGATATATTTTTTTTACGTTATCTATTTACTGCGTTATACATAGGGATTTCTATTTAGCAGAAATTATTTCTTTTGTATTCGTTAATTTTTCTCATTTTTGAATAGCTACTAAACTAATCACTAAAATTTTAAAGAACCTTGAGCTGAATAGGATCAAGCTAAATTTCTACAGGAGGAATATAAATTTTGACACTTTTAACAGTGGCTTCATTAGGATTAAACAACGTTTCAATTTAAAAGTGATTAGGTAAAAAGGACTCATCATCAAAATTTTAATTTCTAATATCTTTTTCTACCATAGATTTTGTGAAATCAAATAAGTAAGATTAATTTAACTTATCAAATTCCTTTTTATCTTAGCTTTAAATGGCTTACCTAAATTATTTCATCTTAAAAGATGTGGTAAAAATACATTGTACGTCATTAATGTTAGGGTAAGAGAATGGAAACTCTGCTAATTTGCTCTACTTCTTTATTAATTAAATAAATATATTAAATCAATCATATTTTATTTAACATTCATGTTATTTTATCAAAATGGCATCTTTCAGTATAAATAAAAGATTTAATTAATTAATTAATAAATAAATATTTGTGTTAATTACTTCGTTTGGCTTGATAATAAAAGCGCTTATTTCTTTTAACTTAATCCAATAAAGATTTTCAGATCTGTCTTTTTAAACCTTCAGTTTTTTATATATATCATCTTTCTTCTGCTAGTAGATTTTTAATTTCTTGAGCCTAAGCATTAGATAAGGCTGTTTTTCTACTTCATCTTTACTCATATATAAATCAATAACCAAATCATTCACACTGAGCTTGATATTTGAAAGTACTTATCTTATGAATTATTTAAACATATCTTATTTACCTTATTTCTATTATCCATTTTAATTTTAACACTCATCTTCTTCTTCATCTTCATCTTTTAATTCAATATCTTAAATTTCAGGCTCAGGAGGATTGTTGTTTTACCCCATTTAAAAATTTTTTTATTTATGATAATTAGTATCAAATGCGAATACTAAATGAATCTTATCAATCTAAACTTCAATGTCTTTCGAAGCTAATTCTTTAAAAGATGCTATTTTAATTTTTAATTTTCCTATTTTTCCTTCTTTCAATTTGTATGGAGAATCACTAAGATAGGCCTTATTTATTTTAATAGCTGAAAGAGGTAAATTTTCAAGTTCTAAAATATTATTTTTAAAATCACTAAGCTTAATCTCTCTATCTATGAGATTATCAAATAGCCTGCCAAACAAAAATTTAAAAAGCTTCCTCACAGGTCCTAGTTCGCTAAATTTATCTAAAACAAATCCTAAAAATCTTTGCATTGATCAAAAACTATTTGCTCTAAAAATTTATTTTATTTACTAAAATTAGATAAAATTTATTCTGCTTGAAAAAATTTTCACTACAATATATCTGATAGCTATTCTTATCAAAAAAAGCTTTCTATTTTATATAAATATTTATTTTTATTATTACTTAATCATTTAAATTACAGAACATAATTCAATAAAGATTATAGAATATTTCACCCTTTTTTAACACGTAAATTTTCTATTCTTATTAAAATAATTCTAAAACACAAATAAATTACAATCAATTTAGCTTTTTAGAAAAAATCTTATTAAAATGAAAGCTTTGTTTAATACTTTAATAATAGGAAAAATAACTTTAAAATATTTGTAGTTTTTTTTAATCTTATAAAAAGAAAAAAAAATGAGTAAAATATTTAAAGCAACTAACTATTTAAAATTTAATTAATCAATTATTTTATTTATAAAAATATTATTTTTCTTTTCAATTTTTTTTTAAAAACAAAAGCAAAAAGTTAATAGAAAAAAAATAAACATTTTTTTCATTAAAAAAAGATAGCAATACTTTATGTTGAGAATTAAAAAATATTTAAATACCTTAATTTCTCATAAAAATTTTGATTGGTTAATTTATAAGAATTAAATAAGTTTAAATAGATAAATAAATACTTACTTATCTGCATATTGTAAAATTGCGAAAAAGAAAATTGATTTTAATGTGAAATCAATAAAAGAAAGTTTTAAATATTTATAAATTATTTGAAAATTTTAATTGAATTGATAAAAAAAGCTAAAAATAATTACATTTTAACTAAATAATAAGCAGGATAGTTATTTCATATTAGATATTAGAGTAAGTTAATGTGTTTTTGATATATGAAAGCAATTACTTAGAATTTTAAATAGCTAAAATTATAAGATAGACAATTAGATTAGGTTTTAAGAATAGATAATAAATAGAAAAACAAGATCTGAATCGAATAGCAAACAATAGTTGTGTTTATTTGAACATACTTTAAATGTAATTATAGCAAATAAAATTTAATTTAATTTCTGATTTAGTTGAATAAAATTTTTTTGATATCTACTAAAAGATCTACTTCTATTTTTGCAAAATTCAAAATTATTGCATTGTAAAATTATAAATAATAACTCCGAATTTAACATTTTAATTAAAAAGATTGATTGATATTTTGAAGAAAAGTTAATAACACTAGAAATAAGGATTAACCGATCATAATTAAATATAATTTAAGAATTAAATTAATTAAATAATTTAATGATATTTTTATTGGATCTATCATATCTATCTATATTATTTTCTACGAATACCATTTTTAATAATAATAAAATTTAACTAAAAGAGATAAATTAAAATTTATTATTCTTTTTCAATTTCAAAAAACACTTTTTAAAAGTGTTAATTATTAACTCTAAGCAATCTGATAAAATTCAATAATATTATCATCTATAAATTGTATATAATAATATTCTAAGATTTGAAATATATATTACAAATACTACTGCCATTAGTTCTTTAAAATACAAATAAACTTTCACTAATAAAAATACTTATAAAATCAAGTTTAAAAATTGAGTGATTAACATTTATTATTAAAGGTAAAAAAAGTAATTTAATAGCTCAATTTCAATTAAAACTATTTGATAGAAAACATGAAAATATGTGCAATAAAACTTCCCTCCCATTTAACAATCAATCAATCAATCATACAAAAAAATAAATATGCAATTGAATTAATCAATATATCGATCAAAAAAACAAGCAAACATACAATATATAGATCTTATAGTTAAGAGATTGATAGAGTAATATTTAATTAATAAAAAAAGAATTAATATTATACCAAATAAAAACTATTAATAACTATAAATCCGATTATAATACATTAAAGCGTGAAAGCGTCCAAGAGAATACAGATTTATTTAATAGTTTTTTTGTTAGAAATTTGGAAGAAGAAAACACTTTTTATCAAAAGTAAATAGGAAAAAGAATAAAGCTTTAACATAAAAATTATTTGAGATTTCCTTTACATTTAAAGCTTTGATATGTCAGCCAACGAGAATTAAGATTAAAAAGCCAAGTAGGAATAAGTACCTTAGGGTGAAGAGAAAGTTAATTCAGATCCTACCAATAATATTAATAATAATAATAATTAGGAAAGTTTAACTATTTCAAAGCTTTTCGCTGACTCTCCTGCGGGTAAAAAAAGTGATTTGTTTCATGGAGGTTAAAGCGGGAATTCAATGGGATTTTACTCTTACGTAAGAGAAAATTTGCATTTAACTCCATAAAATCTAAACAACTCTATCAATACAAATGATATAAAGCTAAATCGTCCTCCTATGTAAATAATTATATTTAACTTAAGGAAAAGTTTGTAGTTAAAATAGAACTAAAAAGTTTTCAAAATAAACCAATTCGATTAAGAAAACCAAATAAAATTAATTTATTTTTAATGTTGTTAATTTATTTTAATAAAGGTTGAGCATTTGGTCTGATAATGACTTCATGAAAAATAAAACTTATAATGTTTTGGATGCTTTATTATAAAGCGTGGGATAAGATTTTTCTGAATTAACAACAAGAAGCGGCATAAATGGTGTGAATTAGTTTCACAATCCTTTAGATTAATTTGGATTAACTAACAGCCTTTTAGTAGATCCATTAGGATAAAACAACAGTGCTAATTTTGATATATTTAATAGGTTCAAAGATTCTACAAATTTATTGAATTCTTCAATTATACAACATGAATATTAAAGATAAATTAAGGAAAAGCTAGAAGAATAATAAAAAATTAATGAAGAAAAACAATTATAGGAAAAACTAAAGCAGGAAAAATTAATTGCATAAAAATAAAATGGATCAAACGAAGGAACTGAATGCTAAAACGGTGAAAATGATAGCGATAATATTAACGATTCAGAATAAAAAGCTAGAGAAGGATGTCGTTGCAAGAATTCAAAGTGTCTAAAACTTTATTGTGAATGCTTCGCAAAAGGAGCTTACTGTCGTGATATTTGTAAATGTTTGTAGTGCAGCAATACAGAAGAATGTGAAAATGAAATAAAGGAAGCGAGAAAGGTGACTCTCACTCGTAATCCAGACGCGTTCACTTCTAAACTTGAAGTGGTTGGAACTATTGTCTAAGATGAAGATATTGAAGCAAATAGAGGTATGTTAGGTTACAAAAAAGGCTGCAAGTGTAAAAGAACCTATTGCAAAAAGAAATATTGTGAATGTTACAATGCTGGAGTAAAATGTTCATATTTGTGTATATGTGAAAATTGTCACAACTAAGAAGATGACCCTAGTAAAGAAAAAGATAATGCCGCCGAATAATAAGTCCATAAAAACCCAAACCACGCTGGAGGAGTAGCAAATACTAACTAAGCTTGCACTTCAAACAACAGTAATAGTACATAAGATGGAAAAGTAACATCTGACTAATCTTTAGAATATAATGTTTAGCAATATTCAACTGCTAAAAAGAAAATAAAAACTAATTAATACGATGAGCCAGACAACTACGAAAATCATCAATTAAGCACAGATGAAAAAATAAACTTCCAGTTCACACCAAATTTTTCTCATAACAATAAAACAATAGATCCAAGTAGTATATAGATAAAAGGAATTTAATATACAGATTATAACTATAATTCATGAATAATAAATAAATAAATAAAAATGAAGCAAATCCACAACTCCAATCACTTCTAATATAAAATAATAATAATTAAATAAACTTATCATTTTCTCTAAAAAATTTATTAACGTCTTTAAAATTATTTAATAAACTCTTAGTTGATGGTACTAAGTTAGCAAGTAAGTAAGTAAGTAAGTAAGTAAGTAAGTAAGTAAGTAAGTAAGTAAGTAAGTAAATAAATCCATAATAAAGGAGCTTTTCTAAATTAAAAAACATATATAAAATATATATTAACTAAAATACATTATATCACACATAAAGTGAAAAAAATAAATAAATAAGTTATAATTTATACATTCTATAAAATAAATATCTTCTTATAAAAATATTTATCTGCTTATAGTTTATCATTAATAATAAAATATTCATTTTTATTTTCTCTAACTCCCCTTCCACTCATGTTTTATAGAACAATAATAATTAAATAAACTTATTATTTTCTCATATAAATTTCATTACATATTTAAAATTATTTAATAAAATCTTAGTAGATGTTATTGCTACAAGAATTTAATTTAAAATAGATTTTTTTAATTAAATAAATGAATAAAAATATTAATAAATCTTAATTAACATTTTTTAAGTAAAACATAAAATAAAATTAGTTACAAATTAAAAAAAATATATTTTTCTGTACTAATGATTGAGCATAAACAAACATATTCCAATTTTAATTATCTTTAGTATTTACTGCTTTAAAATAATACAATTATTATAGAATAAACTAATTATTTTCTAAAAAAAAATTGTTGACATCTTTAAGATTATTTTAATAAGCTCTAAAATAATGTTATCTCTAACTAAATCCATAATAAAATAGTTTTAAAAATTAAAAGTTAATTAGATAAATTATTAAGATAATATAAAAAAAATATAAATTAACTAAAATCATACATTAGAATAAAAAAATAGATAAAAATAAATGCTTATTTATTAATATATTTTTATATTTTTGATTAATCAAAAACAAAAATAACAAAAATTGTTTTTTTTCTATAGTATAAATACATACTATCTAGCTTATTTATTGATTTTATAATATTTTTGTTGTTTCATAGAATGTAAATTATTAAATTATGATATACTTTTTTAAATATTCTAAATCATTTAAAGTTATTTTATACAAATTAGAATAGTTTTTCTATTTTTTAGATTATTTAATATATCATAAATTCTATTAATTTTTACAATCAATCACTTAATATCAATTAAATCATTAAATAAACTATAATTAAACAAATTGATTTTTTTTATATCAACATCCATTCACTTTAATTAAACTTATATAAAATAAATATAAATTTATCAGGTCGATTAATTGGAATATTTAAAACAAAAGTAAAATTATTTATAGAACAATATATAGAAAAGAAAGTAATTAAGTAAGTAAGGAAGTAACTATCTTTTTTTAGTTTTTATAAATATTTCACACTATATATAAAACTAGTTTTATCAGAGGTAATTAATCAATTACGTAATAGATTTAGATTAATATGTTTTTTATTTATTTATTTAAGTTTTATATTATATTAATATATTGTTAGTTATAAAGTGGTATTATAATTAATTAATTAAATGAATGAATGAGTAGTATTTATATAATGTTTTATTTTCTTAATTAATTGCAATTTAATAATTACTAAGACTTTTGATAAAAGGAAATTATATTAGAAAAAATGAAATTAATCATTTAATAATTTTTCCTTTAACCTAGAAATTATCTCTCTCTTCCTTGTCTATTTTACTTATTATTTTCAACTTTCTATGTTAAATGAATCCATAAGTTAATCAAATGTTATATTGACAAGGTATTATATTTGTTTTTTAAGTTTCTAGATTGATTCGAAGCTTTAAACGCATTCGTTATTGTTGCTACTGTTATTACCTAATTATTTTTTCTATAAAAACATAAGAGAGATTATATTATTAAATTAATTTACTTCAAGCTATGCTTATACGCTATTGATGATATTAGTTTGCATAATTTACTAAAATTTTTCTTTGAAGCTATTCATATGCTTAAGGCGATTTATTTCATAATTTTTTGTTTCTTCTTTTTCTTTATATGCTATGCCTATTTTAATTTAAAAGTTAAAAATAAAATTTTTCAACTGCAGCCCAGTAAAAGTAGTTTTTTTAGCTGATCAAAGTTGTTAGAAATAAGCATTTTAACAGATAAATGTTAAAAAATCAATTGCAATTATAAAAGAATTTTTAATCGGATTTAGTCCATCACTTTCATTCACAAAAAAAAAGAGTAATTGAGAGAAAGAAATAACAAAAAAAATTAAAAAATTAATGCTTCTATTCTATTTTTTTTTATGAGTTTCCCTCTTATTAAATTATCATATAAAAGAGAAACAAATTTTAATATTCTTATTATAAATTTCTGATAGTAAGTAGCTCCTTTGTTTATTTGTTTGACTTTGAATTTTACTTTTTATCTTTAAATTAAATTTTCCTTAAATTATTCAGCTACTAAGAAAAAAAATTAAATTAATTACTCTTTATTTCATTCATGTGGAAATTTCTAAAGAGATCTTCCTAGGAGATGTTTTGCTAGCAGACAGGGCAGTTACCGAATTTTTGAACAGAACTTTGAATGCAGCTCTAATAATTTAATTGTTAAAACAAAAATTTAAGTTAAATAGAAATTGAAAAATTAAATCAGTTTTGCATAAAAATAGTTTTTTGTAATATTTTCATGTATTTATTTTTTTAAATTTATGGTGAAAAATAGCAAATTATATTTAAATTTACTTAACAAAAAGAATGACCGCATTTGGATGTGTAACAATTTTCAAATGGCAAGAAGCAGATTGGGCAGTCAAATTCTTTTAGTAAATTCTAAAACTTTTCTTCTATCTAGTCTGCTACATCCTTCTCCGATTTTTATTGAATAAATGGATAGATGATATGTTTTCCATTATGAATTTCGTAATATTCAATAATTTATTTCATAATAGTTTGCTATTTGCTGGAACTAATACTCGCGTCTGATTAAAAAATTCGCTAGATCAATGGTAATAATTGTGCTTCCATGACACATACATCTATGTCTAGCATTTTAGATGATATGTTCCCATCTTTCTTATAAAATTCTGGATTCAAAGTCGCCAATTTCACTATAAAATCATAGTATTTCATAGATTTCCTGATATTGATTTCCCACATAAAGCTTATTACTTCTAATACATCATCTTGTTAATCAAATTTAAGTATTTAACATATAGAAGGTTTCATCAGATATTCAAAAAATGCATCAAATTCCAAGAGGAAAGCTCCTCTGACGAGCTCAGCACGCTCAGAGTTATCAAATCCAATATACCCACTGATACTCAAAAAGATTAGACGTCTAAGAATTCCTTTAGTAACTACGTCACTAAAGTTGGTTAAATCGTATACATTATGCCTAAAAGGGTATTTTTGCATCGTTGCTGGAAAGTTTATTTCATCCATATCAGAAATGATAATCTTAACAGTGTATGGATCTTCATGCGATCTCCTTGCTATAGACAAAGGCTATATTTCTTCAAGTGGCCTTCCTTAGTTTTCCTAAGCATCCCTCTACTCATAAAGGTTATTTTCGCTATTGTTTCTTCTCATAGAACGCACTTCACTATCTACATTAATTTCTACAAAATCCTCACCTCTTTAGTTTTCATACTAATTTTATGAGAACTGGTTTTCAAAAGAACCCTAAATCGAACTTTTATTTTTTTAACGGCGATTCTGATGACAAGGCTAATCTGCTTGTGCATATAAATTTTATTGCACTTAATTTATTCCTTAGTGTTCAGGGTTGATTTTGCTGAGAGCAGCCTATCTTTTTGCAGAATCGTAGAACTAAAATTGTCTGTAAAGGCTTAACAGCTCTTGAGAGTTTAGATGGTCTGCATTCCATAAGTTATTTCTGTATTTATACTTTTTGATATCAAACTCTTCATTCTGTAAGAGCTAAGTCAAATACTGCATGTTAATTTAGTTCTCTACTTCTATTAGTTGCATTTTTTTTAAATCTCTTTTAAAATTTACTTAAAAAAATAGTTGTCTTTTCCTTTGTTTGTTTGTTTTTTTTATTTTAAAATAATATTTTTTGAATGGCTGGATTTTTCAGAACGAGCTAATAAAATATTTTCTTATGTTGTTTTCCTGTCTAAAATTTATATATATTTTAGAAGAGTTTTTAAGATTTATGAAAATTAGTTGTTTGCTTGATTGCCACAGCTTTTTTGAAGCAAGTTTTTAATGGTGTAAAAAGAAAAAGACTTATTTACTTAGTTTAATTTTCCTTTTTATTATTTTTAAGTATTTTTTGTTTGCAAAAATTAAATAGAATTCAATCAAGCAATATTTTATCTTATATCAATAATCTTCTACAAGTCTAATTAGTAATTTAATTTTTTAAAAATTCAAAGTAAGAGATGATTGATTGTCAAATATAAATCCTATTTGTTTGTTTTGTTTCTAATAAAAAAGCAAAGAAGTCTAACTAAGATCAAATATCAAAAAGAAAAAGTAAAAATAATGAAGAATTCGTAAGTAAAATTAAATAGAAGAAAAGATTTATATATAGATAGAATAATATTTTTCAGCAAAATAGCAAATCAAAGAAAGTATCTTGGTTATCAATCATTAATTTTGATAATATTTTGCTAAAATTATATACATAATATTGTAATAAAATTGAATAATAATTATAAAAATAGATTTTATTAATATTATTGTAGTTCTTTTTTAATTTACTTGTCTAGCAACTTCTTTATCAAAATAGATAGTTTCAATAAAATTTTTAATTTTCAAAACTCCTATGTGATCTACTTAAAAATATTGAAACTAAATTTGTTTAAATTCAACTTATGAAATTAAATTCTAAGTAGAATTATTTTACTTTAAATTCTTGCTAGCTTCCTATTTTCAAATTCAGAATCAAATTTTTCTTAACGAATTTTTTTCAACATATTTAACTAATTTTTGCATTTTATATCTATATTTTTTAAAATATATTTGATTATTTCATAAAATTATAAAACCTACTTTATAATTTATTAAATGAAATAATTTTCTTTTTTTTATATCTAAGTTATTTCAATTGAGTAATGCTAGTTTAAGCTTGAATTAATTTTAATATGATTATGGGATGTTAAATAGTTAAAATATAATCTTGCTAATTTAGTATCATAAAATAGATATAGTAATTAAAATAACTATTTTATTTATTCTTTTGTATCTTATGAGGAATATTAATTTAATTAATATTTATTTAATTTGAATATCATAAATGAATTTTTAAAAACAAAAATTAATTTTAAAGTTAATAAAAAGCAATAAAATAATATTTTTATTTTTCATATATTGATAATGTTTTAGAGTATTTTTTGGTTAATATTTAAAAATTAAATATTATCAATTTTTGCAGATAAAAATAATGATGAAAAACCTTTATGATTTTGGAAATGTGTTTACTTGGTGAAAAAGTTGTAATTTACAAAAGAAAGGAATTGAAAATGACTAACATTTAGTGATTGATTGACAATTTCATTTTGTAAATTAGCTTAAAATAAATTCCCTTAGAAAGAAGAATATTTAGAAAAAAAGAATTAAGGAAGTATTCTTTATGGAAAGGTCGGTCTTAAGTGACTATTTATTTGATTTAGATATTATTTGAAAAAAAAAAACACACACAAAAATCAAAAATAGTAAGAAGAAATACGAAATCATTATCAATAACAGTATAAAATCTTAAAAAATTATATTTGTAAAAAACTTAGATTATCTTTTTAAAAGAAAGAAAATAATATAAGTTAGGAAAAAGAAGTGGAGAGCAAAACCAATAAATTATTACTACTATTCAATAATAAAAGAGCAAAATGAGTTAAATACCAGAAAAGGGAGAATACAATTCTATTTTGATTCACAACATACCAGAAAATGTTACGAGAGAGGAGATTTAAAACTCCTTCAAAAAGTTTGGCACTATCAAGAATATATAAAGTTTTAAGCGCAAGAACTACACCATAAGAATAGAATATACAAATTCTGAAGATGCATAAAAAGCTATGAAAGAAATGAACTTTCACACTTTTTAAGGCGAAGAAATCAATATTCAATTCTTTTTAGATAAGGAGAAGAAGGAATAAATTAAGCATAACAATATTGTCATTAAGAATGTTCCTATTAATATCAGCTAAACAGACCTTTTTGAAGCTTTTAGCATGCACGGAGATATTTTTTCTCTTTACCTCAAAAAAGGAGTAGATAAAGCAAATGTAGGAATAGGATATGTTTAATTCTTTAAAAATGCAGATAAAATCAAGATACTTGAATTGTAGGATTCATAAGGAGGCGAGCTAACACTAAATCTGAAAAACGATACCGAAATTAAGCTAAAGCTTGAGGAATTCTATTCAAAGAATGAAGAAGAGGCTATATTGATGTAAAAGTAGTAGCAATAATAGTAGATTTAACTATAACAACAATAATAAATTTCTTAAGGGTAGGTTGAGTAATCTTCAGGAGAACTAAAGATAGAAGCCCAACCTGGAGTTTAAAATTTGACCATTCAGTCAGCACTAATACCATAAATTTAATAGCTTTAGCAAAATTCTTTGCAATAAAGTATAGCAAATTAGGTAAATAATACTCAATAGCTCTAGCAATCTATCATTTAATAAACTCTTTCTCCCCAAGCTTTATAATTACCTAACTAATCTGATAATTCTTAAGCTTCTACTGCTGTTGTTGCGTCAAATATAGAATATGTTGTAATTTTTATTAAAAATTTTATGGAAAAGGAAATTAGCACGTCTGAATCTAATGAGATAAGCTAAGCTTTAAAAAATATAGAAATTAGCATTAAATAAGTTATTGAAAAAGTTTAAAATGAGCTCAAAGGCAGTGCTCCTAAATTAGAATTTTATGTTTAATATAATGCACAGAAAAAAAATTTCTGGAGTCATTTGTTTGGAGTGGGTACAGCTGATGTTTTTCAAAATATATTTGAAATTACTTCTAAACTGCTCAAACAGACTTATCCTTCATGCGAAGTAAGCTTTAAGTAGAAAAAGAAATAGCAAGAACCATCAGCAAAGCATCTTATTTGTTTTGGAGTGAGACCAACTATAACTCATGAAAAAATAAAACAATGGCTCGAAGATCAGATTTTTAGTAGCCTAACTGTTTCATCTATAAGCTTCAATTTAGTCAAAAAGAAAGAAAGTAGCACTTCAACTCAATCTTCAAAAAATTTTGAAAAAGATTCATAAGTGCTCTACATCTTCTTTTTAAATGAATAAGAAGGCATTTAGTTTATGGAAATATGCAAAAAGAACTTAGCTCACACAAACAACATTTTTTATAAGCCAAAGATTTCTTAATACCTAACAGATAAGCAAAGGTAAGATTTGAAAGCTAAAATGAATCAAAATAATTCTAACAATCTAGGCAGTTAAGGCTATTCAAGCAACCATTAAAATTACTAAAATCACCACTACCAATAGGGAAATTCAAACAACCATCACCAAGTATATCACCACAACAACGGCAACAACAACAATCACAATTATAACCACAATCACCACCATCACCATAATTATAATTAAAATAACCACTACAATCCTAATTAGCATCATTATTATACTAATAATAACAATTAAAATTAAACTAGCAATCATAATCATCATCATCATCATCACCACAACAATATAAATAATACTGCTTATCATAATAATAATCCCAGCTATCATAATAAAAACCAGTAGCATTCTTAGCAGGGAAATAGCCATAGCCACAATCACTATTAAGCTGGAAATCATCACTTCCATTAGGCTAATTTTAATTAATCTCATAATAGCAACCATCATAATGGAAATAACAGTCACCACAGCTAGCATTCTTAGCATCCCAATCATTAGTCTGGGTATAATAATTAGAATCAAGCTGGTTAATAGAGCAGGTAAAGAAATAGTAAATCTATGAATTATAGAACTAATTAAGCAGGAAATAACTCAAGTACTAACTATCAAGGAGGTTAGAATTATTTAGGAACTAATGGGTAAAATAATGCTAGTTCAAGTTCAAGCTAATAAAATCAAAGTAACCAAACTAATCAACAGCAAAGAGGTAGCTAAAATATTAGCTCCTCACAATAAAACAATCAATATAATTATGGATAAGGAAATAGTCAAAATAATTAAATGCAGTAAAGAAATACCGCATACGCTTAGCATAGATCATAGATTAATAATTAAAATAACTCATAATAAAGTGTTCACTAAGGTACAAAGAATATACCAAGCAACTACACATAGCACCACTAAAAGAATTAAGGCATGCAAAATGAAAATACTAGAAATAATAGAACTAGAAATTAGAACAATCAGCATAGCATGAACAGTAATCATCACAGCCACATTGCAAATAGTCAATAAGGAAATAACAATTAAAATAATTATCATAACAATAGTTAATCATATGCTTCATCTGGAAATTCTTTCTTACCTAATTATGCTAATAACCATTAACGTATTGATTAATATTCTTAGAGTGCTAATATTCATAATAGCAATAACAATCGTAGGTCACAAAACAATAATGTGAATAGCAGTAATTTGAGCTCTGGAAATAATAACAATTTTGATAATAATAATAACAAACAAAATTTCACAAATAGCAAAAGTGAGACTAATAACAGCTACACTAGCACTTCAAGTTAAGGAACTGCCTAAATATATGTTTAGAAAAATTAATAAAATTCTAATAATAGCAATGGCAATAAGCACTTCAATGGCTCTAGCAGTGGATTAAATAATTCTTATAGTAGTTTTACATCTCCTCCTTAAGGAAACAGAGTAAATAACGCTAATAACACTCAAGGAGGTACTTTGAATACATTTGATACATTCCCTAGTAATCATATTACTTAAAATACCAACTCATTTGGAAATATTGGAAGAGGTACTAATAGTAGTAATTTCCATAACACAAATTCATCTACAAACTAAACAGTAGCATAATAATAAAATTACTCAAATAATACTAATAATTAGTAATACTTTTAAGCCAATAGCAATAAGAACTAAAATTATTTTAGTCCTCTAGGCGTGAACAGCTAATCTCAATAATAGAATTAAGTTGGATAAGCTAATGGAAGCATCTAAAATAAATCTACCAATTACTTGGTAAATATTTCTTCAAACAACCTGATTGTAAATCCCAATAACTCAACTGCCAACACGACAGCTACAGCATCTCCAACTACTGCTTCGTCATAAAATGTAGTAAATTCAATGTCTAGTAATGCATTTACATCATCTCTGAGTAGCTATATAATAGCTTTGAGCAACGCAAATACTCAGCAAGTATAGCAAAATGTAATTGAAAACCTTAGAAATGAAGTTCTAAATAACAAAGTAGAATTTAAGGCTCTTTAGGATAAAGATTTAAAAAATAAAACTATTTCATATATAATTAAATAAATGATTATCAATTTATCAAGCGCTGAAGAAAAGGTAGGCTAATTACTCCAAATCAAAGAAAGTGATAAAATCAAAGCAAAAGTAGAACATTTTATTTCAATTAATGAGTAAATATGCCAGCTTTTCACAAATTGTGTATTTAGCACTGACGAGATTCTGCAAATAATCGAAGATTAAAATTAACTTGTTCAAAAATGTGAATATTTCACAAAGCTAAAAACATCTTGATTGATTTATTACAACATTTAAAAATAAATAATATTTAAACACCCTAAATTTAGAGTTTAACTATCTATCTATCTTTTTATCAACTCATATTTTTAATAATTCTAATAAAAGCTATTTAGCTCAATTAATTTTTTTAAATTCTTGTCCTACCATAACAATTAGCATACTCGTAAGTTAACACATCGACCAAATGATTTATTGATTAATCAATTTAAATGAATTGAATTGAAGTTTTAAGAATTAAATAAATAAATAAATCTTTATTTAAATCATAAATTAATTTTTTGTTTCAAATTTAATTTTATTTATAATTTAAATTTAAAATCCTACAGAATCCCTCTTTAAAGTTTATATGTATGTCTTCTATACTATAATTAATTTGCATTTATTAGTTAATCAATTGCATTCTTTTTTAGTTTATTTATTCATTTATAACTTTTTATACAAATAATAATGATTCAAATCATATTTTCAAATGCTACAAACAAGCCTCATTTAATTTATTATTTGTAATAAATTTTGAATGTATTAAATTGAAGTTTTAAGAAATGCATAAATATCTTTTTTTAAATCATAAATTAGCTTCTTGTTTAATTTTTAATATTATATAATTTAATTTTAATATCCTACAGAATCCCTCATTAAAGTATATATGTATATCTACTGTAATTAATTTACTTTTATTAATCAATTACTTCATTTTTTAGTTTATTTATTCATTTTTCATAACTTTTATATCACTTAGTAATAATCCAAATCATTTTTTCAAATATTTCAAAACTCAATTTTTTGTAATAAATTATTTTAAAAACCCTTATTTAAAAAAATAATAAATCAAAAGAAAGTATCTAGCAATAATATTAGTTATATTTCAAGTAAAACTAAAACTAAATTAATTAATTCAAATAAAATGAAAAACTAATTAAACTATTAATTCAAAAGATTGAAATGAATTTTCTACTTGATTAAATAATTAATACACTTTTTATCTATTTTTAAAATAAAAATTTTTAAAAATTATTTAAGAAAGTTTTTTCTTTCTTTTTAATTTTAAGTAATACAATTTATTGAAAATAAATATTAAACAATTTCTGACTTTGTTTTGTTGTAATTTACAAATTAATCCGTTTTAATTGTTTAAAATGGCAATATAATTATATAAATTAAATATGCTTTTTAAACGTTTTATATATCTATCTATATACATTTCAAACTATCTATTATTTATTTTATTTGACTTTATCTTGGAGTGTTTAAATTTTTGAAGCATATATTTTTTGGAAATTAACATAATAATATTGTATTTTTGGTAAAATTTTTATTGAAGAATTAGTTTAATATAATAAATTTGAGGGAGAATGAATCAAAATAGATGAAATTATTAAATATAACAAAAACAATGATATTTGAGTGAGTAAGAATGAGAAATTTTTTTAATTAAGTAAGATGTTTTATTGATGTCAATCATAAGTTATGGATTTGAAATATTAAAACTAGGTAGGCAACATGTAATTCTTATCTAGTAAGTACTTAGTTGACTATTAAGTTCTTATTCAAAAACAATACTCTCTAACAGTTATTTAAATGAATTAAATCAATATTTTCTTGTCCAAGGTTTTTTATTAGTTGGTTCCTTAAATTCTCTATCAATGATAGTAGCTTCAACATTAGGATTTTCTTCAAAGTATTTTTTAGCTTCATCGTATCTTTTGTATTATTATTGATATGCTTTGAAACTATCAGGGAAATGGAATAAATCCTATTCATAAGGATCATAATTCTTCTTCCAGAATTCACTTTCAAGAGGTGGTAATTGTTCTCTCATAAATACTCTGTTTTAGGATAAGATATGATTAGCATTTAATATATAGAGTAAAACTATGCAATAAATAAATAACCTTTATTCAATGTATTCTTCTTCTTCACCTTCCATGGGGAAACCTAAGTCTCTCATCTTTTGTAAAGCCAAAGATTCATGATCGTATTCAGCTTCAGCTGTCTTTAATTTTAAATAAATATCATCAGACACTTAAAAAAAGGTTACATTGAATTTAATAATATCCATAAAATTTAAGTTTTTACAATTCTATCAAAGTCATTGAGGACTTCTCTAAAGCTCTTTTCAGTTTCTATTTTTTAAAAATGAAGAGATTAGTAATTTTGTTTAATCTTAATTAATTTGTTTTCAAGAATAAGATATAAATTTATAAATGATATTTATTTTCACTGATTGATATTGATTATTGACTATCTAGAAATCAATATTCAAACACAAAGATTTAATATTCTATGTAATATCAGGCATTTAATATTTATATGGATTTAAGCAACTAACTAATATCTATTTATTTATTGTCTTTGAGTAAGTTATAAATATCATCTATAAATTTAATGAATCTAGCTTTGTGCTATTTATATTGTATTTTAAATAAATTATAATTTTATTTGTAGCTACCTTCAGCATGAATACGAGCTAATTGGACACATTCTTGGTGATGCTCTTACAAAACTTATCTTTCTTCAGGAGTAATATCTCTTAAGTATTGAGCAGGAGAACCAGCCCAAATCTTTTATTTATTATAAAAAATATTAATTTAATGCAACTTCAAATCTGCTTTTTGTCAATTAATTCTTTCACTTTATGTATGCCCTTATTACTATTTTTAAAATTCTATTATGTTTACATACATCTAAAAATCATTTGAAAATCTTTTTGGCTATTTTTGATTTGGATGATGTTAGTTAAAGTTATCTTAATATGTCAAACAGCTAAAGTAATTTTAATATTTATTTTACTTGGTTAGAAGGAACTTGGGTGTTTTCAGGAACAACTGAACCAGCAGCAACAACGGCGTTAGAAGCGAGATTGCAACCGGTAGAGACAGTGGAACCCATACCAACGAAAGAATTATCATTAATCTTAGAAGATTGGATATAAGAGTTAGGTCCAATAAATACATTGTCTCCAATTTGAGTTTTTTAATTTTATTTGCCTGATTAAATGTTAACTAAATCTTAAATAACAGTTTATTTGCCAATTTCAATAGGTCCTAATTCACCTCTAAGAGTGGCGCCATACCATATTGAAGAACCTTCCTTTGTAATAACATCACCAATAACTACGCTATTTGGTGCAATAAATTCGCTCTAATTTTATCAAAAAATATGTGAATTAACAAGTTTTTTAGTCTTACTTGTTTGAGATTTTATATATAAAATTTCTTTTTATGATTAAAGCTTTTTAATGAAAAATTATTTTTGTTTTTTAAATAATTTTTCTTTAAAGGCTTTCATCTTTCTTTGCTGCTAATTGCTATATGGAATTGCTAATTTTTATAAATAATAGCATACATCATTAATAGAAGGAATCTTGTTAGTAACTCTAATATTTCTCAAAGAAGGCACTAAACGATCATCAGAAGTATAAGGTTATTATATATTGAGACCAGTTTGGGCAAGGCTCTTACCAATTCTACGGTATAAGGGCCCTAAAAAGGTCATTGAAATCTTTTCATAAGCATCAAATAATCTAAGTCTTAACATCTCTATTGATATTTATTTATTTGCTTTATTTCCCTTCTTTTATCTTTATCTTTTAATGCAAATATGTTAATATTATTTATTTATTAAATTTCTTTTGTTTTATTTAAGTGGATTCTTTTCAGATATTCACACCCAATCTCTTTTTAATATTTTCTCTTTATTTCAATTTTATTTTACTAATTTACTACTATTTTTTCTTTCACATTCTAAATATATAAGGCATTACAAATATTATTTAATTAACTAACATTCATCATTACCTTTGACATAAATCAATTAAAACCTAAATACTCATTTTTTTCAATTGATATTTCAAATAGAATTATAGTGCTAATAAAAAAAGACACATTCATTTGTTCATTCATTCATAAATTGAAATTAGATTTTTAAATTAAAAAAATCATTCAATTCAATAAAAAAGATTTTATATTTTATATCTTTAAATAAAAACTAGAAAAATCTATAAACTAAAATTTAATTGTGGAATTTTAATCTCTTTTCATTTACTCAAAATTTTAATTTTCTATTTTTTTAAATTAATCGTAAAATATTTTTAGAATAAAAAATAAGACATTTACTTTGATTTATTTATTAACATAAAATAAGCATAAATGAGTTTCATTTTATAACTTTAATTAAATCCCATAAAATTTCTTTACGATAGGCTTATAATTTGTCTTAGATTATGCTATATTAAAGCACAATTTTTTATTTATAAATTTAACAATTTTTAACTTCTTTCATAAAGCTTTCGAGAACACAATCTCCTTTGAATTCAATTAATATTATCATTTTATTCGAAAAAAGCTATATTAAATTTTGAATTATATCCTTGTAAATTTCGCTCTCTTTATCAAACATCTTCCATCTGTTTAATAAAAAATAAATCAAATTCATTTTCTTTTCAAAAAAAATAGTAAATTACTTTGAAATATTGAAGATAAATAATTTTAGATTTATAGCCTCATTTTATTTCAATATTTATAATAAGCTAAATACTTTTTTAGTAGTCTCTACATTCTGAATCTTAGAACTTATTTATTATTTTAATCAACAATTAATTTTAAAATAAGTTTAAATTATTACTCGCTGAGATTAATTTGAAAACTTTCTATGCATTTTATATTTTATTCTAAAACTTCTCTAATACTATTTAGCAAGTAATTCATTCCCTTGTCTGTGACTTGAGTCCAACTATTTTTTAGATAATTAATTAGGTTTATGTAAAATTATTAATTAATCAGTCAAATCTACTTTGAACCAATAAGAGAAAAATTCTTTAAATTGTTTGAATTTTTTCTAGCAAATTTTGATATCTACTATGATAAAAATATTATATCCTCATCCTTTAACTGTTACCAACTAGATTAAATTCATAAATTAAGCAAAATTATTTCTTTTATTTTAAAATGTTTACTTACTAATCCATATTAAGCTTAAAAGAACTTGTTTTAACCTCTGCAAAAGAATTAAAAAGTCTTTCAAATCCATTTCTTTAAACTTTAGAAATGCTTAAAACAAATAAAAAATTTTATGATATTCTAAAAACCAAATTTACTGCTAGAGATTAATACAAATTTCATCTTTTAATGTTTAACTTAGATTCAGTTTATCTAAAGTCTTCCCTATAAAATTTAGTCCAGTTTCTTAAATGTGCCACCACCTTTATATTAGAAAATGAGTTATTAAAATGTTTTTTATTGATAATTTAAAAATACCATGAAAAATTAAGTCTTAAAGTTTTAATTGGACAATTTAAGCTAATATTTATCAAAGAATCACCAAGTTAGATGATGTCCAACTCAGTACATTTATCCCAACTAATAAATTAAACTATTTTTAATATTTATTCTTTAAACTAAATAATAATACCTTGAAAAATCTAAATCCAAATAAAATATATTTTTTTTTCTTTGAAGATCATTCAAAATAGATGTAATTTTTTATATGAGAGTCACAGGAGCACTGTTCCAGCTTTAATTTTTATTTAAAATAAATAAAATTAATTTTTAAACATTTTTATAAAATGATTACCCTGATAAATTTAATGTAAATTATTTAAGTTAGCAAACTTTTAATATATCTCTGACTTTTTCAGTTAGATCACTTACTTATTCTTCTCCGCACATATTCCATCTTTTTGTTTAAAGGAATAATTAATTGCAAAAGCTTAATTTGACATCATTTTTTACTTTTCAAACTATAATTTTAAGTTTTCTAAGCTTTGAGCATCAGATAAATAATTTAAAATACTTGAAACAACATTCATACTCTTTTTCTAGTTTAATTGGCTTACACAAGGTTAATTTTTACTAAAAATACAAATTCTGTTATCCATAGTTTCTTTTTGAATTGTAAATAAAATATTTTACATATTACAATCAAAGACAAGCTCTTTTAAGTCTTTTTAATTGTTAAAAAGGTGCTTTAAATAGTCAATTTTGTCTTAAAGAATCACCATTTCTGATCTATATTAAAAAAAAAATAATTGATTAACCCTTCATAAAAATGAAGAATTTTACAATCTAATGAGTATTTGATCAAATTTATATTATTTTTAACTTCCTTAAACCTAATCTAATAAAAATTATTAATTTTTTTACAAACACAAGAGCCTAATTTTATATATAGTTTACTTGACTAATTCTACATTTTATCTTTTTTTTACTGCTAAATTAAAACTAATTGATAGAAGTTAATTTCAATATACAATTTAATTAATAACTTTGTAAAGATACGAACAAACTAGCTATTCAAATATTGATTGATACATAAATAAAATTAATGTAATAAAATAAATATATTCTAAATGAGGTTAAATAACGTTAAATTTTTAAATAAAATTATTATACTTTTATTTTAAATATATTATAAATATTAAATGGTTTTCACTTAAAATTTCTGGCGCGACTATTTATTAATAAACAAAAAAATAAATAATCTAAAAATACTATTTAAAAAGAATTTATAAAATATTAACAAATATATTTATTAATTAATTAAAAATTATTGGTTAAAGATACTATTTGATATTAATAAAGAAGTATATATAGAGAACAGATGTCAGAGGGTCTATTAAAAATTAACTTATAAGACTTAGAGGAGGAAGAAGAAGATGAAGATTATGTTCCTCAAGCAAGCGAAATTGAAGAATACAAGAGAGAAAAGAAAGAACTCAAAGATTTAAAAAAAAAAAAGAATTAAGAGGAGCTGCATCAAGAGATACTATAATCATGGATTGAATTAAAGAAGGAAGTTAGAGAAAAAGAAATGAATTAAATAAATGAAATTAGGAAATAAACATAGATGCTGTTAAAAGATAAGGATCTTTTACTATAAATAGCCCAAAAAGCACTTCGCTTAAACGAAGATGATAAATAAAGAAAAGTAATATTCGCTGGTTAAGAGTTTATAGTAGATTCTAGTGGTGAAATAGTAGGCAGAGCAGATGAGTAGGCTTATTTAAAAGAATTTTAGCTTTTTGAAAGCAAGGAAATCAATTAAATGAAATTTGAAGAATCCAAAAATGTCAAAGAAGAAATCATCGAAAGCAAAAAGGAAGAACCATAAGAAATAATTAGTAATAATTATAAATTTAATGCAAGAAATAGCATATAAAATGTATTTTTTAAAATCAGTTGAAGAAAATAATAAAGAAGAAGTGTAAGAAGTCTAAGAAGTCTAAGAAGAAAAAGTAGAAAAAGTAGAAAAAGTTGAAGTAGTATAAGAAGTAATTTAATAGCTTGGTTAAGAAGAAAAACATAGATTAGATATGAAAAATAGATTTTAATACTTATAAAAAGTTATGGATAAAATAAATAGTAAATCAAAGAGCATAACATCAATACACAAATCAAAACTTGATTGGAAGTCTTTCACTAAAAAAGAAAAGTTGGAAAAGAAATTCGAACAAAATAGAAAAGCAGGCTATCTAGATAAATAAAATTTCATTGCAAAAGCCACCGAAAAGCAAAAATAAATTTAAAAGTCAACTAGAAGGTGACCCAGGTATATATATATATATATAATTTTTAGACAAACCATAAATAAATAAATAGAATATATCTATCTAGATTAAAAACGAATAAACAAACAATATTCCTACCTACCTATTTAGATATCTATCTATTTACCTACCTACCAATATAAATAAATAACATTTAAATTCATTATAAAAATGTATTAATCAAATTTTTAAAATTAATTTATATAATATGTATTTTCTTATAAAAAAATATTCTAAAATAAAAAATCATTGTAAAAGAAAAAAGTATTGTGGAAAAAATATGAACTAAAATATAATCAAGATCATCTACTTAAATTCCATAAAATCATTGGTAAGATTAAGTGAAACAAACCAAGCAATATTTAACTCTTTCAAAAATACTTAAACTCAAAAAATGGATAAATTCACTTTACAATTTAATTTTAATTAATAACAAAGTTAATTAATACCTAAAGAAAACTTATTTCAATAACTCAATACAGAATAATTAATTTATTCTACTATTAATTATTTTTAAATTATAAAATTTTCAAACTTTTTTTTTGGTGGCTATTTATTAATTATGAAAGATTTTAACAAAAACAAAAAATGTATTTTTGCTTCATTAACTGACCAATCTAAAATATCTAAAATCATTTCGTATCAAATAATTTCACATTGGCAAAGATTATTTTAAAAATTTTAATTAGTTAAAATGTATTTTGTAAAAATTTTTAGAAATTATTGTTGATGAAAATATTATTTTATCATTTTATAAATGATTCATATTTAGCAAATTTAAATATTTAATTAATTAATTAATTATCTTCAAAAGAAAAACATCATTTTATTAATATATTAATGTAAAATTATTTTAAATATATCAAAACTTTATTTATAAAATTAGTTTTAGAAAAAAAAAATATAGCAAATATTTTAATCAAACTTCATAATGTTCTTCATGTTAATTATTATGCTCTTTTGATTAAATTAAATTGATTAATATTTATTCCAACTAAAAACAATAAACATACCACTTTAGTTTTTTGATAAGTTATTAGATCTATGTCTTTATCCTTACTGGCTAGTATGTAAATTCCTAGTAGGGGAATGGGAGCTTTGAAGCTCTCTAGTTGGTCTATCAAAATCTACCATAGATCTAGACATAATTTACTCTTCAGAATCTTTAATTTAAAGTAAAATTGATTGATTAAGACATGCTATTATAAAAAAATTACCTAATGGAATGTTATATTTTTTAGATATCTTTTCAACATTTATTTCCTTTCCTGTTTGGAATAATTTATTTAAATCACGCTTTAAAGTTTATTTAGCTACTTCTGTTTATCTTAAAATAGTTTCTTTTTCATAAAGAGCATCTTTTTATTCTTACCTTTTAATAATTAAAATCAATTTAAATCAATTAAAACTGAAAATTTAAATTTACTCTCTTTGTCTTCTCCTATCCTCAAATTATTATAATCTTTCATTAATTATCGCTTTCTTATTTTCTTATTAATTTTAAATTCTTTAAATATTTTCTTATGCATTTAAAAGCTTCATGAGTTTTAGATTAGACTATGTTTAAAAGAACCACTTCTTCTAATTTTATAGGTTCTATGATATTTTACAATAATATTATACACTAGCTAACTAAATATATAATAATTTACATTTGCTTTTTCTGTTGCTGCTCTTTCTTTTAGCAAATACTTTTCATGTCTTTTTGTTAACTCAGTTTAAACTAATAATTATTTCTTATTAAGAATTTCTTCCTCTTTTATTCTCTTTTCCATTAACTTTTCTTAGATGATCCTCTCTCTTATTATATCTCTTTCGTGCTTTCTTTATTCTTCCCTATCTAACTAACTCATAAACTCTTAATTTGAAGAACTCATTGTCATTGCTTTTAAATTCTTTTAGAAAACATTAACTAACTTGTTAAAAACCCAAAAGATAGATAATATTATACATTCGCACTCTTTATCCTTGAGTCCTTGTGTAGGTTTTCATTTATTTTATTGACTATCTAAGTTTATCTAATTTGTTCAATCATTTTTTATCTTTCTTCTAAAATTCTTTACTTTTATTCTTATTGCTATACATATTATTACAAATAATAAATAAATAAATAAAAAAGTAAATGATAATAAACATTTTTTAAATTTTGAAAAACTTTATTTGCTAACTTATTACCATTCTTTTCTTTTCCAGTCTTTAGAAATTATCTTGATTTTGTTTATTATACTTTTCAATAGCTCTTTCTCCTTTTTCGTCTCTTTTTTAACCTCTTATAATTAGATTATATAACATATAAAATATTTTAAATATTAGTTTAGTGTTAATTACACTCTTTAAATGTATTATTAGAATAGCTGCTATCTCTGCTAAAATTTTTCTTCCTTCTCTAAATACTTTTTCTCGACCTGGTACCTTTTTTGCTCATCCTTTTAAGCAATAGTAGAGAGAGCTATTTATGATTTGACCACCTGTTAATAAACATAATTTAAATATTTGATTTAAAGAAATACTTATTTTTTTTACCTTTCTATCTGATTCGTCTTTCCTAAACCTTTAAATCATTGATTTTAAAGCCTAAAGGTTATGATTGGAGGCTTCTTGCTTTTTTTAATATTCTTATTCTTTTTAAATCCTCATTTAAGCGTCTTATTATCTTAACTTCTCAAGATTTTATTTTTTAACCAATTAATTTTCTTCAAACTGATTTAAAAATAAAATATTTTAGTTTAAATTGTCTAATACTGTATATAATATTTATACTTCAATCCTTCTTCTTTATCTGATAACTTCTTTTTGTTGAGATATTAAAAGCAGACGCTGATCTTTTTTATTAGACTCCTCAAGCAATTTATAAGTTCTCATTTCGTTTCCAATCATATTCTCTATCTCCCTTCTCTTGATAAAGTAGAAGCAAATATTATAAAGAGTTAAAATATAACAGTTTTCAAATTAAATTAAATTATGTTTACTTAAAGATATTTTGTTTTTTAAAGTTTTGCATTTACAACTTGACTAACCATACTTTGATTCTCAGTAGGATGGTAAAATGATCTTTGCTGAGACTGTATTTTAATAAATGTTTAACATTATAAATACCGCTTTAATTCGATAAACATTTTAAATTGTTTTCAAAATTAAATACTAATTACATCAAAATTAGTTTCAGACTTATACTAACTTTGCATGATACTATTATTCTTAAGCATTATAGACTATTGCAAAATTTTTTTATCATCTCTTGTTAGATTATCATTAATGATATTTTCTCTAGCCTTTTTGATAAATATAAAAGAGAAATTAAAAATAGAATATTAAAAACACCATTAATGTATTAATATCTTAAAATCAAATATGTTTTTTAATTATCAAATGAAGTTTGTACTTTTATCACTTCTTGAACTTTTTCTAATCTTCTCTTTTCTTAATTTTCAGATAACATTTTGAGTCCTTGTTCGTTTAAGTTTGATTTATTTTTTAGCGTTTTATACATCTCTTCAGGAGTCTTTTTAATTAGCATTTTTGGATTTATTCCTGTTATTTAACATGCCATTAATGATCTAGGAGAGTTTAATATAGGCTCTCTATGGTTTTCAGGATTAAAATTTAGAATTGAAATCAAATTTTCTTCATTTTCTTATTAGCTTGCTTCGTTATGCATTTAGCTGTTTTATTACTCCTATTAACTATTATCATACTGTCCCTAATTATTTTCACTACCTTAATTCATTTGGTTATCTTCAAAACCAATATTTTATCCTTCATGCACTTTATCATCCTATTCGTTGTTTTGAATTTCATGATTTTATGATTATATCATTTCATTATTTTCATGTTCTTTATTAATTTAGTTCTCTTAATGCTACTCTTCAACCTAACTAGACATTCTACGATAATATTTAAGATATTTTGATCAACTTGAGAGTAAGTATAAATAGCAAACTATTCTTTCTGCTTTATTTTTGCTAATAATTATTTGCAAAATAAGAAATTTAATAGATTGATTTTTGCATGCTCAAGCTTTTAAAAATTTTTATATAAAAATATCTCTTTTTAACTATTTGCTTTTATAATGAATGTTTGATGTTTGACTGATTCCAATTTTTTTATATATCTATCTACTACTTTTATGTATGCTTGCTCATATGATAAAATAGCATTAAATGAATGATTTGTAATATCTTGATAATTTATATTTACTGAATAAAAAAATATAAATTGAAACAACATTATTATAAAGTTAGATTTATATAAAAATAACTAATTTTCTATTTAAAATTTAGTGCTAAAACTTAATAGTTTGTGTTTTCATTTAATCATAAAAAAATCATGGTAGTATTAATGTGAATCCTTGAGGGTATTTGGAAGCTTAACTTTATTTTGGTTTGCATAGCACTTTTCACATAAGTACAATTCAAAACAGGTTAAGCATTTGTGTACTAAAGAGTATGATAAATCTTTCTAACAAGATATATTCGTGCATTTAAGCTTTTTTTTAAAAATGAGTTGATTCTTTATATAATTGATATTAATTAATTAATTTATTTACTTTTTATTTATAAGTTTATTGAGGTATTTCGTGAACAATTTCTAATTTATGGTTTTCGTTATGATTTCCAATAAATAATTCTTTTGGAGATGTATTAAAGAAGCAATCTTAGCCTATAATTAAAATAAAAAATAACTTTAAAAATATTAATTTAGGAAAAAATTACATATAGAGAAAGAGTTCTGAGTATCTATCTTGCATGTTTCACAAGAAAAATACAGCCCAACGATTGGTTTCATCTCACATTTAAGGCATTGCTACTAATTGAAAATAGGAATTTAATTATTTTTTATAGCTTGAATATCTTAGACTTTAGTATGATCAAAATGAGCTGCTTTATCTGATTCTTTAGTATTGATTTGTTGATTTAAATTTTTACTTTAGTTTATCTCTGGTTAAAACTTATGCTCTAACCCAAACCAGCCTCCTCTGATTACTTTCTGTTTAGTAAAAAGTTCTATTTTTTTGCTTCCTGGCATCATCAAATCAATAATATCGTATATTTAATCTGGACAAGATTAATTCTATGGTTGATGAGAAACTATGATATTGTTTGATACCTTTGATTGATACTCAACTCCCTTTGAGGAAGGGTGCTTTTTGACACCTATTAAGCACATTTCATTTGAATTATAAAAATATTTGTCTGGCTTGTCTTCTAAAATCATTTTCCCTTCATTCTAATAATAAAATAAAATAAAACAAAATGTTAGTAATTAGTTAAATTACTTTATCGATTTTCACCCAAATAATTTGATCAATAACATCATATCCCCATTTAGACATTATTTCATATGAAGTAGCTGTTGGAACATCTTTTGCCCAGAAAAAAAGAAATCCTTGCTTAGAGATCAACTCCACTTTTAGTTCAAATACTTCTTAAATCGATATTGCATCAAATGGTGGAGCAATCATTACAACTAAATTTTTAACAATTTAAAAGCGTTAAAATTAATTAAATTAGTTTTGATTTTATTTTAATAAAATAAAATTTTTTAATTAATAAATTTTTTTGAATAAATAAAATTAAAAATAAATATATTGTTAAATTGAATATTCAATTACCATCAAACGAGTCAAATATGTTTGTCAAATAAGTAAAATCAAAGTATCTTAAATCACATTCGATGATAGATTGTGAGGTTCTTTTTTCTTCTGGTGTTTTAGCTAGTAAGGTATTTTGAAATAGCTTTTTTTTGTCTTTTTTGTTTGCTCTTATTTCACTGCTGTGCAAAACAAATATTTTATTTAGCTTTGAGAGATGAATCAAGTTAGGATTTTGATGTCTAAACTCATCATCTTCATCCTCTACCTTTACCTTAGATCTTTCTTTAATAACTTTCTCTCCTTTCTCTTTTTTTTCTCTTTTTTCACCATTTCCCCTCAACTATCCATTTTTTTAACTTTTTTTTGAGACTTTCTTTTTCTTGCGACCCTTCTTTTTCTACTAATAAAATCATTATCAATTTAGTGTGATTTTTAATTTAAATTTGAAAGTATTTTACATTGTTTTTATAAAATCATATTTATAATATATGCATAAATTAAATTAAGAAAGGTTTGTTTTTAAATATTTAAATCTAAATTATTTACTATTGGCAAAGGTTTTTTCTTTTTAGCTTTTCTACCGCGCTTCTTTTTTTTCTCCTTAAATCCTATCAAGTCATCTTATTTTTTAAATTATTAAAATGATTGTCATTCTAAGTCATTAAAGAAATTATATAATTGTTAATTTAGAGATGAACTTACCTTTGGCATGTTTGGTTGATTCTCTCCTTTATCTTTTTCCTAAAATAACATTATTTGAATCATGATATGATTTAGCCCTAACATTTGTTGCCCTCTAAACCTCGACAGAATCAGAGTCATCCCCACTTTCCTCGCTCTCTTCTTCAGATTCTTGTTAATCCCTTTTCTTTTTGAATAGAGTTTATAATTAAGTCAAATCGATAAATAAATTGGATATTACCATATTAAATTCAATTTTAGCAAACGAATTTGTTATTTTATTAGTCTGATTGATTAAAATATATAAGTAAATCTGATATTATTCAAAATTAATAAATAAATTAAAAGACTGATAGATAGATAATATCAAATTATATAAAAAATAACTAATTGATTTTTTTTAAGCGAAAAGAAAAATATTATAGTAGTACTATAATACACTCACTATATATAATCTAATTTATTTTTTTTAAATTTATTTATATATAAGTTATTATTTTAGTAATTAAATTCTTGTCATTTTTATCAAATTAAATAGAATATTTAATTACATTATTTTAAAAGCTACCATAATTTGTTAATTTTATTATTTAAAAAAGTTGAAAGTCAAACTTTAAAATTTTAATATAAATTAATTACTTTTTTACAAAAAAGCATAAATTAAGTCAGCATATAATTAAAATTTGCGTTAGATATGATTATTTTAATAAATTTGTTGCATATTTAAAAAATTAAATGTATCTATTTGCATTTGAATTTTAGGAATATTTAAATTATTCAAACTACTAGCTTACTTAATTATCATTTATTAGTATTTTTAAAATTTATTTTTGTTTTTGCAGACTCTTGAAATTCGAAAATATTCAGGAAAGAAGGAGGAATAAATAACTAGTTTTAATAAAAGGAATAAAAGTATAATAATGTAATTAAATAAGCACACAGAATAAAGACAAATATAAGTTGTGAATTAAAGAGTGGATATGATTGTGATATTTCATCAAAAATGATTAAAAAACAATATATGTTTTAAATTAAACATCAATATTTGATAGTTAGAAGTTTAGCTTCTAATAGTAATACATACGTATATTAAATGTAATATTATTTGCATAAATCCAAAATCAATAATTATCAATTGTATTTTTTAATGATTAATTAATTCAATAGTAATTCAAAAAATATGCAGTAAATATTTTTTGGTATTACCACATATTTAAACCACTAAATTAAAAGTCAAATACAATAAAAAAAAATAAATAATTGATTTTGACAAAGAAACAATAAAAAAGATTAAAAAAATAAATAACGAAATTTACCAAAAAGAGTAAAGTAACAATAAATATATTTGTATGATTTAGCTTAACAAATTCAAGTTAAATATTCGAACACGCTCTTAAAGTGTGTAGAAAAATATTAAATCTGATGAAGGCTTATCTCCCTGCTTGAAATTGAATAAAAAAATATCTAGTTAATGCAAGGAGAGCAGCGCAGGAGATTAAAGCACTTTGGCGTTTACAGATGTTGCCTAAGATAGTCCTAAGGCTAATATAATATTTTAAGAACGCTATACTCCAAATGTAAGGGGTAACAGTAATTATGGAAGGACTTATGGTCTTAGTTAAGAATCGAAATTTAAGTAATTAGGAAGCTTTACTCCTTAAACGGTGGAGTCTGCAGATTCTAAAGCATACCAAGATATTGATTAATTGACGAAATATTACTAAAATTTGAAGTAATATAAATATTTAATTAAATATTTCATTCATAGATTATTAAAAAAAAAATAAATTAGTAAAAATTAGAATTAATTTAAATAAAGTAAATGCTTGAATTGTAGAGATTGAAAAGGATTTAGATTTAATTAAATTAAATTAGCACAATATTTATTACTATTATATCATTTATTTAGGTTTTTTATTTAATTTATAGACTTTTTGTATCAGGTTCTCCTTCTAGAAGAAAAAGAGTGCTTTCTTCGTATGTGAAATCAAGCTCACCATACCAAAAAAAGTCTGATGTTTAAAGTTTTAGCATAAGCCTTAAGAATAGCGAAGATCCATAAAATTTCTTATTAACTAATATTAACATTTCAAATGACAATAATTACAATAACGTTTAAAAAAAATACATAAGACCTAATTCATTAAGCTAAAGCCCGAAAAAAAATTTTCTAAGAGAATCGGGTTATACCTCTGTGCTTAAAAACTCTTCTATGATGTAAAGTAAATCACCTAAATAGATTTAAGAAGAGTTGGAGGAGAAAAAAAGAATATAAGATAACTAAAAGATAGAATAATTTGATAACTTAATAAAACACAGACTCTCAAAGATGATGGTTGATGTAAGCATTTTTAATTCTTTTATAAATTAATTGTTAATTGCTTTACTTGGTATTTTATTTCCATCAATCACGTCAAAAATAGAATTTATTTTTAGCTAGCTTAACGTTAAGACAATTACATATTAGATCGATTATAAATTAATTTTAAACCTTAAACACAATTTAAACATTAATTTTTTTGTTAAATATAGCTGAGTAAGTTTGAATCAGAAGATTTTTATGGAAAAGATACGGCTAAGGGAGAAGCAAAACAATAAAAATAAAAGATAAGTATTCCTTTTACGTCATATCTAAAAAAATAAGATAATGACCTCTACATAGAAAAATTTAAAGAAATAACTAGAAATCCTTAAATGAAAATTTAATACGATGATCTAATTAAGCAAGTTAGAGTTGAAAACCTTGAGAAACACTAGATACTCGATAAATGTAAATAAAATTATAATTTTTTGCTAAAGAAGATCTAAATCAATTAAAAATTTTTTGGGGATATTAATTTCTACTATCACTAACTAATTAGCTAACTATCTCTGATTTATTTTATGAAAAAAAAATTTATCCTCTTCACTTATTAATGACTCAAAACAATTTATCAATCAAATCCCTCATCAAAAAAAAATAAGCAGATTCAGTATTTCCCATAGATATTTATTTGTGTATACTAAATGAGTGGAATTAAGTAAATTAAGTTTACAAGGGTTGTTGCGAATGTATCAAATTATTAATGTGTGGTCATTATTTGCAAATAAATATTAAATTTTTTATTTTGGTTTAGCTATTGTTATATTTATTGAATGAATCCTTAAAACAATTTAAATATTAGATATTATTTTATATTAATTACTCATAAAATTTTATAATATTATAGCTATAAAAGAAGAAAAAGATAAATACAAACAAGAGCTTCTAAGTAGAAGTCCCCACGCAACTACAATATATGATATTTTAGCATAAAGTTAAAAATCGAGATTAAGGATTAAAGCAAAACTTAAAGAGGAGTTGCCTTTGATATCTAGATTTAATACCCAAATATGAGTGAACAAATTCTTACATCACTTTTCAAAAAAATAAAATATTAATGCATAACTAACTAAATTCAAAAACCCATTCTTAAATAATCTTATTCTCTAACTAAAAACTAAAGCCTACTGACTATAAATGTGTAAAGTAGTTGGAAATTTCCTTCCTAAAATATATAAATTAATTAACTAATTAAAAATCTGTAAATTTATATTCAAGCATAATTTATTGTTTACAAATATTTGAATCTATTACAGTAAATTTTCTCATCTAAACACAACTTAAATTTCAACTTGATTTTGAATTTTATTAAAAATAAGAGTTTCATATCAAATTTACTATTTTTAATAAGGGAAAATTTAAAATTTAAAATAGTAATCAAATTTTTGTTTATTTATATGCAAAAGTGGGTAATTAATTAGATTCAATCTTTATAAAAATTTATATAAGATTTTAATAAATTTATAAATTCTTTTTTAATGAGTGTATCTTACACGCTTCTGCTTAGTATATGAACCTTTTTTTATGCTAGAGATAAATTTTAAATGAAAAAAATATTACATTAAATGCACTTTTAGAAAAGAAAGAAATTCTTTTTTTAAAAACGAAGATAAAATAAAATAATTAAATAATTAACCAATTTATTTTTCTTAATATGATTTAAATTATAACACAAATTGATTATTATATTTTTTTATTTATTTACTTATCAGATTTATTTACATTGAAAAATCATTAACAACTTATTTGAAATTTAAATCAAATATCATATATTATTTAAAAATATTAATTATTGTTCAAATATTTTTGGTTCATTAATAAATTCGTTTTTAATTAGATAAATTAATTTAAAATATTTTAAGAATTAGCAAAAAAATATTTGAACAATCTTTTTTAATAATAATTATGTTGTTTTTTAAAAAAATTTGCTCATTTTAAATTTACATCTTGGAATCTGCTTTACAAAAGAAAATAAATTTTTCATGAATTTTGGTTGATTGATAAATTTATTTGTAGGAGATTAAATTAATTTAAAATATTTTAGCAATTAATAATTTTTTGCTACAATTATTTTACATTTATTTGAAAAAAGTAAGTTATTTTGATATAGTCAAAATAAATAAAAATTATTTTTAGGTATTTTAACACAAATTTAGTTTATAAACAAATACAAACAGTTAAATATTATCAGAATTAGTTTGGCTCATCAAATTTCTTAGTTAAATTATTTAAATTTGATTCGTAGTTTTATAAACTCTATTTGAGGTAGTCGTTTTCCTATTAACTGTTAACAAATAAATTATGCTAAATAAATATGCTAAATTTTAGCAAAAAATTATTTACTATTTTTTAACTGTTTCATTTGCTTATAGAACTTGTTAATCCTAAGCAGTTTATGTCTAAGATTGTAATGTATGTATTTTTGAAAAGGTTTCTATTTTTCTTTAAAGCTAAGTGATTAGAAAAGATTATTACTCTATTTTATCTTCATAGTGTTTAATTAGTTCTAATTCTTTTTCTGTTCTTTTATCGTTTTAAGCAAGCAATACAGAGTTCTTATTATCAAATCCATGCTCTTTTACTACTCTTTCCTTTATTTTTTATTTTTATCAATAAAATATAAACTTTTTATTTTATTTTATTTTACCACTGGTATATACTTAACGGTTTCAACTACTGTTTCTACTTAAACAGGGCGATCTACAATAACTGGGTCTAACTTAATGGGACCTTTCGATATTTATAGTTTCAGTTTCTGTATCTTTTATTTCTAATGATCTATCTTTTCTTCTAAGTTAAAAATTGTCTTTTCATATTATCTTTATAGTTCTACCATCTGCTTTTCTATATCAGAAGTTTTTCTTTAAATTGTATACCTGTCATAATCTTAACTTTTTATCTTAAGTTGAGTTTGAAGAGAGGATAATTCTAATGCCTGCTAGTGAAGTTGCTGTTCTAAACCTTAATTATCTGATTCAAGCTTTTCTATTCTCAAAACCTTTAATTAAAGCTAAGCTTTTACATTTGCTAGTTGCTCTTCAAAATAGACTTTAGTTGGCCTATCATTATTAAGAGCACTATCTCTAACTTTTTCCTATTATCAAATTAATATATATCAATACGATTTTCATTTTTATTTGTTTAAAATGTTACCTTCAAACTCAATATTTCATTTTATAATTTTTCGATATCTTCTTAGAAAGATTTTTTAATTTAATCTTTTTCTTTCTTACTTTTTTCAGAAAACTTTTCGAATTTTTATTCATATTTTTCCAGTGTTTTTTATAGTGAAGTTATATTCTCTTTGTAAGTAATGTTCTAAGCTGAAAGTTCTGTAACTTATTATCTAAGAGAGCTCATTTAACTCCTTTCTAACTCTATAGACTTAGAGTGAGTAATTTCTAATTCTTTTAGCTGTTCATTCTTTTATTAAAGTAATAATTAATATGGATAAAATATTTCATTTTAAAATCAATCTGATTAAGCAAGTATTAAATGTCAAATAAATTACATATTTTTGTTCTAATTATCTAATTATTTCTATTTTTTATGTCTCAAGAGAAGTAACAAGCTATTCTTCTAGATTAATTATTCTGAATCTAAGTTGGTCTCTCTCTGCTAAGAGTTTATGGTTGATATCAATAGTTTCAATTTAAGATGTATCAACTTGAATAAAACCAGTATCAAAAACTCTTTAAGATGTTCCAACTTAAACTTGTTAAGTAGTTGGTTTATTAATGCTGGAAACATGTACGTGTTGCTAGCTTTGAAAATTTTGAGAAGCTAATGCTTGTGCAGAATCTTTCTTATAGTGGAGGTGATAATGTACTTTTTTAAGCTTAGGATCTGAATAAGCGCAGTCACTCATGATTTTATATAAGTTTTATTTTAAATTTCTAAACTTCTTATTTTTGAAATAATAATCTTATCAACCTATAAGCTAAATAAGATATATTGATAATTGTATGTAAAAATTCATATCCTCAAATAAATATTTGAATTATCTATTTTCAATGTAAACCATTTGATATATATTTTTTATTTCAGTTAATCACTGTTTAAAAATATAATTAATATATTAATAGAATAGTAAGAATAAATAATAGAAATAATTTTAATATAATCCATCACTTAAAATATTTTTAAAGTAAATATAAGTTGTATACAAGATTAGTATATTATGAGATATATATAATATGTTCATTTAATTAATTAATTAATTCATGAAGATTTATAAATTTTAAGATATTAATTAATTTGGGTATTTTTATTATTATTGGTATTGATTGATTTTTATTTTTATTAACAAAATTTTATTTTTCTTTTTTGTTTTTTTTGATGTAAATTTGATATTATCTTATTTGGTAAATATAAATGTATTTTATGGTAATAGTTTGTTTAAATGTAATAGGTTATTTTATTTTAAGTTATATTGGAGATCGTTAACTACAGCATATCTAATCTAATGAAGAAAATTAAGAATGTGAAGAAAAAACTATTTAATTATTAGAGAATAAATGTAAAATTTTTTGTTAAGATATTTTGAAAATCAATTAATTTATTTTTATTAGAGTAGTTGATAAGAAAATATTTTAAATTTCATCCTTCTAAACGGGTACGATGTGAGTCTGAATTTGAAGATTAAAAAACTTTTTGCTTTAAAAACTTGATGAATCATGAATGTTTTCTTATTTTTTTACTCTTTTTTTACAGAATTTTGTAAATATTTTGTCATAATTTCTGTTATTAGGAAAAAGGGGATTAACAAATTTTTCGCTATTCCATTCTAACTTGAGTATTGTTAGAAAACTGCATAAAATAATCATTTTCTCAGTCTCTATTTGAACGCTGTGCTAAAAACTTAATTCCTAAGAAGCCGTAATCTCAGTTGTTATCCTTTAAAAACTATTTTGTTTGAGACATAAGTTGATTATGAATGCTTTTTTTATCTATAATTAGTTAACAAACTTATTTAATTTTGCAAATAATTAATTATTTTTCTTAAAAATTTCAAACCTATATTTTTTTCAATATTTTAATTAGGAAAGGATTTGAACGTTAAGATATTTTATTTTTAACAAATTTTTAATCTTAAGTAAATTGATTAATTTAACTAAAAATATAAAATAAATCCTCCGAAAAATATTTTATTTAAATCCCTACTTTTGATTAAAATTTTGGAGGGCTTATAGTCATATATGAACTAATTATTAGATTAGAATCACTGTTAATTTTTTTTAATTACTAGCTAATAATATTAAAAAATTAATCTATATTAATAAATAAATAGATTAATTATTTTTTTTTTTAATTAATTTTATCATTAAATTAAAATAAGTAATGGTAAAACAAAACTTTACATGAAGATTTGATTTAAATAAATTATAAAAAAAATAATTCTACTGTATTTAATACAAGTTTATAATACATTACTAAATTATATATAAATATATATACAGTTTTTAATAAATTAAAATATAAAAAATGAATTTTTTTAAAATACTAGTTTAATTAGAATAGGTTGTTTGTTTATTTGTTTAAATGTTTGTTTGCTTTTTTTTTTTTGTTTATATATTTATTGACAATGAAATTATCTTTATTAATTAATCCATTAAGAAAAAAGGATAGAAAGAAAGAAAGTAGAACCAAATCAAAACTAATTTTAGTACTCAAATACATTTAAGTTAGCGAACAGAAGGCAATCAGTAATAAATTAAACAAATTAAGAAAAGGCTTCAAAAGATTGTAAATGCTTTTTTAGTCCATGAGCTATCTTCTTGTCTATTTTATTTGGGTAAAATACTAGGTATTTTATGAAATTTTTTATTTCTGGTGGGATTTACTCTAGGATTTTAGGGTTTTATTGATAGTTTTTTATATGAAGCAAGCATTACACATAATACTAAAGATGTTCTTTATTTATTTATAATAATTCTTCAAAGGGATAAATTTCAGTTTTTAAGCATCTGTGAGATTCATCTATAGCGTATAAAAGTGAGCTGCTCAAAAATGGCTCAATTGAACTTATGCAAAACTCTTAATACTCAATATTTTTATCTATATTATTATGTAGTTTACTTTAAATTTTTTCTCTTTATCCTACTTCCTCAAATATGGTTTCACTAAAAAGTTCATCTTCTTAAATTTCTGTGCTATTTGATGAAGGAATTGTGGTTTCATCTAAAGCAATTGAAGAAGGAATATTATTAGCACATAAATTACAATCTTAGCACTATAAAAATTAATTTAAACAATTTTACTAATTTTAGCAATAGCTCTATCCATTTTCTTCTTAATTTATTTAAAAACTGGTTTTATTTTATTCCTAATTTTTAAAATAGCCTAGATCAATCTCATTCTTTATCCCTAGACCAAATGAAAGAGTACATATTTTGCTTACATGCATCACTAAAAAGAATGCAAAATAAATTTATTAATTAGTGAAAGAAACTCTAATTTTTTCATTAATTTATTCTCCTGCAAGAAGAGATTAGACTAGTTCAACCAAAAGATTATCCTTAAAGTTTGATATTAAACAGTCTAATTTAGGAGCATTATCATGTTCTGAAATAGGTATCAAATTTTAATCTTATTTTTATGAATTATTAAAATCTTAAATAGATTTAAATAAGTTAGATGCGTATTCACATTCCATAAATGAGCATACAGAATTAATTATTAAGTAAATTGAAGATAAGTCGAATGGATTTTAGTCCATGAAAAATACACGATTAAATTAATTATGTATTTAGTAATATTCTTTTTTAGAGCTTAAGAAGCTCTTGACGTACAAAGGAATTCTTCCAAAAAACAAATTTTAAATTTCATAGAACATCATATTTTCCTAAATATGTTGACCATTCTCATCATTGCTAAAAGAACTACTTCTTTTCAGTTTGCCGCCATTTTATTGATCTTCGATATGCTCCTAAAAGGTTGGCACCTCCTACTACTCAAAATAAGAACTCTCTTAGATTTATATATTCAAGTTAAATCCCATGTTTAATGCAAGTTCTCTATACAAATTAGAAGATTTTTAATCAAAATTTTAGTTAACTTTAACTAAAATTAGTCTTTTAAGTAGTTCATTTTACTGAGAATGTGAAGCTAACTCTTTAATTCTAACTAAGTTATTTTCTTCCTCAAAGAGAGCTGGGAATAGTAATCCTCTTATGTTATCAAAGCAAGAGTTTGAGTTTGAAATGAGGTCTAGTTAGTATAAATCTTACATCATTATTTTAAAATAAACTCGAAAAAATAAAGCTATAAAATTTTACTTGTTTTTATAAAACGTTTAAAACAATTATTCAGTTTAAATTTATTAATGATAGTAAGTATTTAGTTATTACTTATTTTCAAAGAATAATTATTTATTTTTTTATTTAGGTATTGTTTGTTTTTTAATTTAATTATTTATAATTTAACTGAGCGCCTTCAATCTATTTTGAAGTAGCAACCTATAAATAACTCAGTATACATTCATGCACATTAGAGCACTTAAACTATTTAAAAATTAATTTAGTCACTTTCAAAATTACAATTCTAATACACCTCAAAATATTAAAAACAATAATCCATGAATTAGATAATAAAGCTATACAGCTTCTAATAAAATTATACAGCTTCTAATAAAATCTGTTTACCCATCAACCAAAAGTGATAAATAAAGAAAAATTTATTTATTTTAATAATAACTATTTTTAGAATAGATAATAAATAAAAATCATTAAAAGATTATAAATCCCTTCCCTGAGCTAGATATTTACATTTACAAATTTATAAGATTTTATAAATTAATTTACTTTAAAAAATAGCCAAAGTTTTTTAGTTTTTCTTTTTCTATATCATTATCCTTCACTTATTCAATTAAAAATATACGTGAAAAATTTAATCCACTTACATAAAAATAAAAATAGAGGTTTTCAATTTTTCTTTATTATATTTTTCATGTTAATAAATAGCAAAGCCTATCTCATAAATGAACAAGATGTAGTCTTATCACTTATCCCAAAAAAACTTTTTCAAAAGCATAAAATCTAAATTAAATCAAACAAATCAGCAAAAAATCAATGCATAATTAATGTAATTATGATAACAACTTTTTTAAATAATTGATTAAATAACATTTTTAACGTAAGAAAAAAATTAAAAAAAACTAAAAACAAAAGTAGAATTCATCAATAAAATCTATTTTTTAAAATATTATATTATTTTTTACAAATAGTATGTATTTATATAAGGTTTTGACATTGTATTTAATCTCTTTTTATAAAGATATATGGATAAAAATAATAAATTATTTAATTAATCTCATTAGACCTTCTTTCCTTCGTATTCTTTAGCACAGTGGTAGAGAGAAGCAGTAAATGTCATTAAAAATTTAGGATTGACCTATTTTATAAAATGAATTATAATTTATTATATAATAATAAGATTTGATTTTTAATTTTACGTCTCTAATGTGTTCCCAAACAAGGAAAACTGCTGCACCAAGCTTACGAGCAACAGAGATAGCGTATTTAGCATTGTTAGTGACTTCTTCATCAGTCTCACCAGGAGTTATCAAATCCTAATTGATAGCTCTAGGTTCAATAGATTCCATAATCTTGAAGAAGAAATGTGAGTTTTTAAGAGATTTATCTTTAAATCCAGTTATATGTTTATCTTGAGGAATTCTACTATTACCCCATTCTACTAATTTTTGTTCATTCAATTCACCAATAACCTATTATTAAATTAAAATTCAAAACGCCTTTAACTACTATTTATAATATTAATGAATGAATAAGCTATCAGATATAATTTTTGATAGATTTTTTGTATTAAAATTTGCTTATTGTTTATTACCTGTAATGATTACTTTCTCATGAGTTACCAAACAATAGCAAGGATAAGCTTTTTGTTACCATCTACAATATCAGTACCACCAATACCAACAATTTATAAATGTAAATCCTTAGCTAATTATACTGCGTAGTTAGCGTTTTGTATTTTAGTGAATTTAGAGTTCTATTTTTAATTTAATAAAGAAATAAATTAATTAAATTTAAAATAAACTTTTAGAAAATTCATTCAATTTTTTACTTTATTTGAAACCTTCTTCAAGTCAACTTTTCCTGGAGCTAATTTATCCATAATCTTACATAAAACGATACCATCTCTTAAATCTTGAATCATATTGTTAAGATAAACATCTTCAATATTTAAAGAGTTCATCCACATTCTGAAAACTATGTATAGATAGATTTTTTATTAAAAATGATATAATACCATACCTTAAAATAGAAATTTGATATAAAAAGAATAAAATTTTAGGATAAAATTAACTTTTTCAAATTTTTACTGATAAATTATTGAAATTTAAAACCATTAATTTCATTTTAAATGAATCCAAAAAAGTTAATTATTTTTATTCTTCAAAAAAGTTTTTTTCTCAGTGAAATTAACATTTAATTATTTGACTGATCGGTATAAAGATATAGAGATAAATTTTATTAAGATAGCTTATTTTTCCATTAATTACATAGCAATCTTTTCCTATCCAGTAATCTTAAATAATATCTTTGATTTAGTTAATTACTTTTCTTTAAAAACTAAACTGATATTGATAATATGGGCTAAATATTTGTATAAGATATATAAAATCTTTTTTCAGAAATTAAACTTAAATTCAAATGCTCAGTGTATGCGAGTTAAAATAAGAATTTAATCTGAATTTTTAATAAATTTCTTATTTACCTCTTTCTTCACGAGAAGCTTCAGGATCGTTATCATCATCTATCATGCCAGCAGCATCAATTTTTTCTTGTTCAGTAGGAGTTAAACCAGGGCAATTGTTGAATAAGTGAGCACAGAAAATCAAGTTAAGCTTTTGATTTCCATTTACAATATCAGAAGGCTTAATACAAGGAGGTACTCCCAAAAGTTTAGAATCATTAATAACCTTCTTGCATCTTTCAAGGTGTTCTAAATTTAATCCGTCTTTGTTGCACTTTTCAGGAGCAATTTGGTTGAGTAAAACTGTGTATTCAGTACCTAATTTAATTTAAAAATAAAATTAATTATTTTTCTTATTCTATTTATAAAAAATTTTTTTTCGGATATATAAATGCCTTAATTAATATTCAATAAGCTCATTTCAAATACCTGAGGAAACATCCTTAGAAAAGTTATTAATCTTAGTTGAGTGCTTAGCATTTTCTAAATGGTAATTGAACCAACGGATCAAAAGTTCTTCTTTAGGGAGTTTAAGAAGATCACTAATTTCTTCTTCTTCCTTTTTAAGTCTAATCAAATAAGGGTGGTTTTTCAAGTCAATCTTAAACAACATTTAAGCCTTTTTATTATAAAAAACATATTGAAGGTCTGAAATATTCACATATTTAATAAACAAACAAACATTTAAGAAAAAAAAATCCAAAAATAAAATAAATACCTTGATAATCTACCAAACAAGACCCAAAATAATATGTTCTCTCTTATCTATAATGCTATTGTTTGTAATATTAACGCAAACACAGCCAATTGCTCTAGCAGAAGCTATAGCTAAGGTTAAGTTTTCCTATTTTAAGAAAATAAATTTAATGGAATGAATTAAAATTCTCCTTTTATTGACTGATTGAGATTATTTTTTAAATAATTTTCTTGCAATCAAAATATTTAATATGTTTACATTTTTCTTAAAGATGTTAAGGTTCTTGGTGTTGATGGCTCTAGGGTCAATAGTACCAGGAGTGGCTTTGTTGATTAATTTGCTAAATAGAATTAACAAAATAAAATTCTATAACAAATTTTTGAAAAATCGTGAAATTACCAAAGCAAGACACCATCTCCAACAGCTTCAAAAATCTTATTGCTTTAAGGATCAATTGGCAATAATTCTTTGAGGTCAGCATCATCCTAAAGTTTTTTGATAAAACTGAATAAACTTTTGAAAATATAAAAATAATATTACAGAAAGATAGTAGTTAATATGTTCGCAGTAAGCATTAACTTCATCTTAAGTAAATGAGTGAATAGCATTTGTGTCGCTTTATTTAGCTTCGACATTAGTCTTTACAGCAGTCTTTAAGGTATCCATTTTTAATACAGACTTAATCTATTTTTAATTGCTTTTTATAATATGGTAAATGCTTTTATGCAATGAATCTAATTTATTTTTATTTTATAAATATATATTATTTTTTATATTATTGCGCTATATTTTTAAAGATATTGTAATCAGAAAAGATATTCTTTCTTGCTTATTCATCAATCAACTAAGCAAGCTCATCAAAAGCATCCTTATCTAAATGCATTAAATTTCCATCATTTATTTATTATCCTCTTCTACCCGACCTCTAGACTATGCTCGATTAATTTATAAATACTTTCCTTGAAATTTTTATATTCTAACCTTAAAATAAGATTAATATTTAATTTTTTACAAGTAAGTGCCTTATCTTCAATTTTTTATTTTTAGGTAAGAAAAGGAAATCAACCATATTAATTTTTCTTTTTCATTTTATTGATCCAAAAGTTGTTGAATATTAGTAATATTTTTATCCTATGTATATAAATTTAACTAAAATATTAAACAAATAAATAAATAAATTTCTCTCCAAGATAGTTTATTAAATTACAGTAATTAAATATTTTTGAGTAAATAAATTTTAAACAAATAAGATTAAAAATACTATTTAAACAAGCTAATTTTTAAAGTAAAAATCTATTCATTTACATTTATTATTTAATAAAATTATGTAATAAACATTTTTTATTTTTTCTTAAATTTTCATGATTAAACCTTTAAGTTAAAAATTTTATCTAATATTCAATAAATATTTTTATTTATTCTATTACTATTTTTAAAAACCTATTTGAGTTAATAAACAAAAATTAAATTTATTTTATTTAGAGAAAGTATATTAAAATAAATTAAAATGACCAAGATAAATTTAAAATACTTTAAAAATTGTAGTAATTCTAATTATCATAATAATAAGCAAATTCATTTGAACTATTTTATACTATTAAATAAGATGTTTATTAATAAAAATATCCTTTTTTAAAGAGCTAATCTTAGTCATATAAGTTTAAATAGATAAACTTTAAGTTCTAAAATTTGAAAATGAATCGATTGTTTATAAATTAAAATAATTGATTGTATCAATCTCCCTGTAAAACTAGCTCTTAAAACAAAAAAAATTATGATAAGATTTACTAAATACTTGTATAAACTATTAAATAAAATTTAATATGCCCAAAAGATAATAACATCTTGACATTATATTAATATTAAAATTTAAATTTGGTTGATAAAAAATGATTAATATTAAAAATTTGTAAATGCTAAGATGGTTTTTAATACTTTGAATAATCTTAGCCTTTGAAATTATATTATTAAACGCCATTTATACCATAAAAAATTTGTAATTACTATAAATTATAATTTATTTTGTAAACAGGTTAAAAGTAAAAATTCTTATTAAAAAAAATATCAAGATTGTTTGATTAGTTTTGTCTTCTTACTTAATTTATATTTAATGGTTCTCCTTAATTAATTTTTTTTGAATGGTAAGCACTAATACCAACCACAATTATTAGTTATTGATATTAATATAATAATAATTATTCATTTAAAAATAAATATTAAAAGTACATTAACATTTGAAGAATATCTTCATTTTTTTATAATTATCAATAAGAATTAAAGTTATTATTTTATAAATCGTTAACATAATATTCATTTCTCTTTATTAGAAGTCATTCATAGGAAATTTTAACAGAAATAGCATAGTGAGAATTTTAAAAAATGTTTATTATTTAACAATTAATTCATATAATAATAAAAATTAAAGATTTTGCAAAATAACCAAATCAAAGATCTTATTATCATTCAAAATGATATTTATTGGCAATCATCCAAATATGGATGTGTTAGTAAATGAAATTAAAAAATAAATGAAGGAATGAATGAGATGAAAGTTAAAAAGAAAATAATTGTAATAAAAGTAAATATAATTTATTATCAAAAATAAAAGTAAAAAATTAAAAAAAGTTAGTTAAACATATACCAATTAATTTCCTTTTTGTTGAAATAAAAATATCTGATTTTAAAAGAACTAAATTATACAGATGAACGGAGAAGGTAAATTCATTATTTTGATCGATTCCAAGTGGTAATAGCAAATTGTGCTTTTACAATCATTTGGCGTCAAATATGCTTATAATCTCATCCATTTTTGGCTGTAAAACAGAATAGTATAACGAATAATAAAAGGAATATGATTAAAATATTCAATAAGAATAAGAATTGAGAAATTAAGTCGAAAATTTGGAAGAATAAATTGATGTCTTAAGCGAGCATCAATAAAATTGCATGAAATAAGGAAAGTATATTGAAGCAGAAATGGCTTAAAAAAAGATTAAGGAATTGAAAGAGAAGTTAGAGAAGAAAAGAAAGGAGGAGCTCAAGCAAAGACATTTAAATGAAAAACTGGGAGTAGAAAAAGCTCATCTTGAAGAGTTCAACTAATTCAATGAATTTTGGGATAAGAAGATGGCCGAATTCAATGAAGAAGCTAAAAACATAGAAACAGAATTAATATAAAGATAAGACGACGAATACCAACGTGTTTCTGAAGAATTAGAAAAAGCTGTGCCATTTGTTCCTAAAGATTCTTCTGAAGTTCTTAATTTAATGAAAATGGAAGAACATTTAGCAAAGCAAAACAGGTAATAAATTAATATACACTAGCATAATATTTCAAAATACATTACTAACATGACCTCACAATTCAAAACATAAATAAATAAATATTTTAGATATTTGGAGGCTCATCAAATTCAATAAAAGAGAATATAACTTCAAAAGGAAGAAAGCAATGGATGGAACTAACAAAGATTAGCAAAAATAAAAAATTAACTCAACTAGCTGAGACAGAGACAAAATAACGAACTAAATGCTCTCCGTTAAAGAATATATTCAGGTTAAGAAGAATAAAGAAAAAATAGATCCATCGAATTAGAGAGGTAACAAACGAAACAATTCTTCTTAAATAATCGATTTATTAGAAATTAATCATAAATATCAATAATTTAAATGGCAACAAATATGTTTCTTATTAAAAATAGATTACTTTAAAAGTATTAAAATGTCAAGAAAGAGTTAGAAGATCAATAGTAAAAAGAATTTTTAGCATTTTAGAGATCTTTTACATCTAAAGGTAAATAAAATAATAATAATATTAATGAAAATTATATTTGTTTTTTGTTAAATCTTCTTTTTATTTAAAAAGCCCCAACTAGCTTAACTATCTCTAGATATTAACAAGGATCAAGATTTAACAGCACTCTTAAAGTTTGATTTCTACTAAGTAAATATTCTTGCTGTTGATCATAATTTACCACTTACCTACAATATAAAAAATCTCAATTTGTTTTAATAGACCTACCTACCTACCTACCTTCATACATACATACAAACTTAATGACTTAAATATAATAACATTTACACTCATAATATCAATATTAATTATATAATTGCTACCTACAAAGTTGAATAAACTTCTAGTTTCTCTTTAGTCTTTGTAATTTATTTACTATTTATATACCTGCAAATATAAATTATTCTAAATTCAACTACTTTAATAAATGAATAAATAAAAAAGATATAGATATATAAAAGAATAAAATGAATAAATTAATTAATAAGATTGACTTGTTTGATTTAGTTGATACAAATAGCAATAAAATAATATTATTTATTTTTATTATAATTTTTAATAAATAAATAAATCTATCTAATCAATCAATTATTTTAATTTTTAAAAACTAATAAAAAAAATAACAATTTATTTATTAAACCTAAAATGTTTTTTTATTTTAAAAAAAATTGTAAAAATATAAGATAGTATATCTGAAATAATTATTTAATATATAAAGATACATATGTAAAATAAATTTATACTTGTTAAGATTAATTTTTATAATACATTTAAAAAGATAATTTTAATGAATAAAATTGAATTTAATAAATATGCTTCAATCAGAATTTAAAATATTTTTCTTCTACTTTTCAAATAGATTTAATAATTGTTATTGTATTTCTTGCTAACTTGTTAGTTTCTATTTAACTTATTTTATTAAAGGTATTTATATCTACAAGTTAATAAATTCCATATAAGTAATGACCATTAAAATTGCTTAGATGTTTTAGATCTCACTCTAATAATTTTTTATTTTTATTAGCTAGTCTTCTGAAAAATTACAAATAGGGTCTATACTTAAATCTTCTTCATTAATATTCAAATATTGTATTTAAACGATTTCTTCATTTTCTTAATTTTTTTGATCTAAAATAAAATTAATATCTTCTTCAATAGCGCTATGCTTCATACTTCCTAATTATATAAGCATTTTAACCCATAGTAAATTAAATTTAAATGGTAAAACATTTTGGTGCAAAATTTCATTCTCTTAATTTTATGTTTGCTTTACTTTTTACTCTTAATTTTCTTTTTCAACTTTTTAAATATTATAAATGTGTTCGTCTCTAATTTCTATTTAGAATCGATTATTTTATTGGTTTATCAAGCATATTTTAAGCTAACTTTAGCAATTTTATTATTCAGGAGTGTATTTAATTCTCAATAACAATTTATGCTATTCTATATAAGTTTCTGTTTCTTACAATATTTCATCAATGTCCATTATTCAATTAATAATAAGTCTCAAAAACAAGAAATTATCTCAAAACAATATTTTTGATCAACAAATGTATAAATAAATCTTTCTTGGTATTTTGTTTAATAAGTTAAATATATTTAATTGTAAGTAAAGTTTTTGTTAATTAATTTACTCTTATCAAAAATTACCTATATACTATATTAATATATATAATTACATAAATAGGTAGATAGATAGATAAATAAATTTATTTATATTTACTTATAAAAATGGCATATTGATTACTAAATTTTAATTCATTTATAAATAAAATTAAAAAATACGATTCATTCACATTTTCTTAGCAAACTAGTTCTAAAATTGTGATAAATGCTATTGTATTTATGAGTACGATGATTATGGGTTTTAGATTGAATATATTGATTAATTACTATAATTATTTTGATTACTATTCAAGCTATGTGATTAGCCTTATTAGTGATTTTACTAATTGCTATTTACATAATTTTAATTATTATTTTTATTTTATCTATTTTTTATCATTTCTTCAATTTGCTATTAAGATAATTTTTGATAAAACATGGGCTTGTGTTATACTTGCTGCTACTATAGTTGCGCATTTTAATTATTATGTTATCTATACTAATCAATAGATTAAGTTTCTCTGACTTCTCCATCATCTAAATGCTAAAAATTAACTTTTTTTCCATTCCTATTTAAATTTAAGAATAAATTGTTAAGTTAACTTGAATACTTCTTACACTCTTTCATTTGGTTATCTCATCACTTATGTGCTTTGCGAATGCTACAAATTACCAGAATTAGGTTTTAAGATGCTTCCTGTTGCTTTTTTTCTAAAGAATATTTAATATTGTGCTAAATCAAAAAAAGTTTACAAAAGCTAGTGGTTTCCATTTATTTTTTATTACAATAAAAGTAGTTGTTATCCAACTTCAGCAAATGAATTAGGATTATTAGGAGAAGCTAAGGCTTAAATAATTTAATCAACAGAATCTGATTTAATTAAATAAATAAATAAATAAATAAATAAATAAATAAGAAGATATTTATGATTTGTGTTTGAATTTATATTTACTTTTCATATCAGAAGTTTGATTAAACAGCTAATGAATATTCATATTATTTTATTACTCATTAAAGCCTTGTTATTAAGAGTAGAACGAGCTCTAAGATTGGGAAAGAGTGGATCCAGAATTTATTTATATTTCGTTTCTCAATTTGGTAATCAAATGATCTTTATTTTAAATTATTAAATAGGCTTCGAAAAATAAAATAATTTCGACATACCTTTCTCAATTAAGGCTTTCTACAATTAGGTTAAGTCACCATTTTGGTAATAATTTGTTCTGCTTTGATTTGGAGTATTTTCATTTTAATGCGAATTTTTCTTTAATTATTCGATTTCGTATTTCTAACTTTCTATGATCTAAGACATTTCTATAAGTTTTTCATCATATTTGTTGAGCTTATCATTGACCACATTGTAAGCTACCTAATCACCTTTGTTTTAAATTAATAACAATATTAATTTAAGAAGATATATGTACTATAGCAATTATACCATAAGTAACTTAAGAGTAATTTGCATAATTATCTATTTCATCAGGGAAATTTATATTATTCTATTTTAAAATATGTTACAGTTGTATAACTCGTTTTGCATATTTTTATAAACTCTGATCTAAATCCTATTTTTAAAAATGTTAAATATTAAGAACATGCATGACTAATTCATTCATTAATTTATTTTAAATATAATACTTTGTTAATTTTTTCATATGCATCCAATTCTTCTTAATACTAAACAATAGACTCATCTCTTTCATTTAATCTGGAAGTGAGTGCTATCATAATATCTCTCTACTTTAACAGCAGCTGCTTATATTTATCACTCTCTTCTTTATCTTAAACTATTTGCTATCTTTCTCTTTCCAAATCCTAAACTTTCTATTCATATTCTTATCTTATTTTCCTTTATTACTCTTCAAGCATACTCTTTATTCTCTCATTTTCTTCTAATTTTTGACCTCCCATCAACACTTAACTCTATAAAGCTTTTATTTACTCCTATATTATTATATTAGAAATTTAATTATTAAGTTCTAAACTATTGATTATTCTTACTTCTAACAACTTTTTGGCCTCTATTTCTTCATAGTATTCTTTAGAGCGCTACTGATAAGCCTAAAGAACTCTTTGCTTATCTTCTTCAAGCTACTATATTTTCTACTAATCTACTATATTTTGAGATTTCTTTTATAGTTCACCTCTAAGTTTTAGCAACTCATCTTCGTATCTTCTTAATAAAGCCCTTTAATCAAGATCTTCATTAACAATAGGATTATTTTTGATATTTTTTGCTCTATTTGCAAACTTAAGTGTGGATAACTTTTTAAAAATTAAGACATAAATAAGTTATTGTTCTAAAATATAAAAATTCTACCGATTCTCCAAATGCTTCATTTGCTGGAGATATAGTTGCTATCATAGTAGTTTTGCAGTTACCACCTAAACTATCTTCTAATAAACGGGTTATCTATTTACAGTTAAATATATATATATGCATTTCGAAAAAATGTTATAAAAAATATTCACTTTGGAATCTCTATAAGGGATATGTCCTCTGGTTCCTTTGGGATCTGTTAAAGCTGATATAACATTACCAAGTGCTGATAGACTCTAATTAATTTTTTTGCATTCTTCCAACCTTTACCCTGTTGCTCCTGAAACTCTTACTCTTTCAGAACCAGCAAGATCCACAAGATTTAGTTTACCAACCTTAATTTTTTTAGGCTTGTTTTCATCATCAGTATACATTTACTCAACCGTAATGATAAAAACAGCATGAGATCTACTTGAAACATCATTGAGCTTTGTGCTTGCAGTTGCTCTGGCAACAGCACCTTCATTTAACAAACATATCAGTTAAATAAATTTAGATATAATTATTTAAATAAAAACCTCTTTTAATTAAAGCATAAATATCTCTTGGAGATCTGACAGCCCACTCACTAAGACCTTCAACATAGACACCCTTTTTTCTATCTTCACGGATACTCAAGTTTTGCCTATCTACCTTCAGCAAATCAGATATTATTTCATTGTAAATTTGCAAATAGCTTGCTCTCACCATGAAAGTTGACTTTTTAAATAATCAACAAATTTTTTAAATAATTGCACTGGTTCAATTGATGTTAAAATTTTTATCTAATATTTGGCGCAAAAATAAAAATAACCATTACCTATTTTCCTTAACAGTTTTGGATGTAATTGAAAATTTCATCCACTGATCTAGGAATAATACCAATATTAGGATGATGATATTTATATGAAAAACCTTCCATAGTGTATGTTTTACCAGTGCCTGTTTACCCATAAGCTATGATAGATGCATTGAAACCCTTTTTATAGTTAACAAAGCATTAATTTATTATAAAAAACAATTTAAAATGCTCCAATAAAAGAATTGTATTTATTCTTTCTGTGAAATCTATTAATCAAAATGTGCTTAAATATTATTTTAATGTAAGCTTGTTGTAAATATTTATTTTTATGTCTTTATTTACAACTTTTGTGTATTTGCATTTTAAAACTATGAATTTTTTATTCGTAATTTTTACATCTAAAGCAGAGAGAACAGAGTTTCTTGCTGTATTGTTATAGACATCTTCTTATGAACTATTTTAATCATACACGAAATCGAATGTAAACTAATGCACTGAGTAATTGTTTTAATTATCTAAATATTGAGGAACCTATTCAGGAGGAACTAGATCAATGTTTCTATATTCATAGAGAGATATTTTCCTATAGTCAGGAGATACTTCAACCTTAAAATATTTTTTAAACATAAAGTCATAAAATATTTGTATCTCCCATAATTAATGAATAAATAATCGCTTACTGTAGAAATAAAGTGCTAATCATATATTTCTCTAGGTAAAGGCGGTCTGCATCTAACAACAACCTTTAGGTTTTCATTTTATCCAGTAGCGTTTTATCCATTTTATTAATCTTTAAGTTGCTACAATGAAAAAGCCTACAAAGTAATTTAAAATAATTTTGTTTAATTGATATGATTTCAAAAATTTAATTTACTTATGGTAAAGAAGCTGATTTAACTGGTTTCATCGCTAATATTGAAAATAATAATTTTTGCTAAAGATTTGCTCTATTTATTTTAAGGTACCTAAATAAGAAACTAGATATTGTGTACTTATTTTAATGTATTTGAAATGACAATTAAAATTTTTGTTATTTATTTTTAATTAAAGTTATGTATGGAAATTAATTTGTCAATTAATGAAAAACAAAGATAAAATATAAAAAAATTTAATTTTATTTGAGTTTTTTTATAAAACCAGATATTAATTCATTTCTAATTAGCAATTACTATTATCTAAACTGTTGTTTCCAGTAAAATCAGGGATCTTTAGATACAATTTATTATATTTGTAACATAGTATTTAATACTTTGTATTACTCAACACATTATTTTTAAAGCTAATTGTATAGCATCATCAAGTACAAAATTTGAAATTTTAACATAAAATTAGTATAATTTTAGTTATTTTTATTATCCTAGATCTACTAAAATATTCTACTTAATTTAGATCTAAATAATTTCAAAAATATCTTTAATTAGAATAAGCTTGAATCAAAATGATCATAAATACTTGTTAGAAGTTTTATGAGCTTTGAAAACTATTTGATTTCATTTTGTAGATATTTTATTTAAAACAACGTCAACAAACACACTCAAAAAAAAGTAAGCATTAAATAAATAATAAAATAAAAACACTTATTTTTTAAGTTAGCAAATCTGAAAAGGAGTTTTAAGAAAATAAAAAATATAATTTGTCCTTAAGTATAAAATGAAGGGCTAAAACATATGACTATTAAATTTTATTAAAAATTAACCATTAATCTTATTATTTGCTGATCTAAATTTAAAGATTATAAAATTTATAATTTCAATAATTTATATAAAATGATGGTTATCAAACAAATGTTAACTAATTTTGAAATCAAAATGAAATTAGTTTTATTTAAATTATAATAAAAAAAAAATCTGAATGCAAAAATAAATTAGTTGATTTTTGAATATTTAAAAATGCAAAAATTAATTTTAATTTTAACAATGAAAAGTAGTTGGTTTGATTATTTATCTTTTTGTTTTTTGTATATATGAATGCATAATTTGACTAATAACAATACCAAATAGAATAAAAAAACAATTTAATTTGATTGAGAAGATAATCATGAAATTATAAGATTATGGTTGAAAAGAAAAACGATCAAATCAAGCTTTTTATAATTTATACTTGATTGAATTCATGAAAGGAGTCAATCACAATGTCTGTATAAATAAATAGATTGATAAATAATGAATGAATGAATTGTGAGTGAGTGAGTAGCTGGATTATTATTTATTGGTACAGGATGAGGATTAAAGAAATTAAATAAAGATAACCTTTATTTGAAAGAAAGAAAGAAAAAATATCAAAATAAATAAAAAATAATATAAAAGAAAGGTTTAAGAAAACTAAAAATGGAAGAGGAATCAATTTATAATCTTATCCCTAAAGAATACGTACCTCCCCCTAAAGAGAGACGTTACAGATCATAATACCCAAATGACTTGCCACCAACTGGGTCTACTTTCATTAATCATACAACCTCTCGTCCAGGAGTAAGAATGCTTTTATATATTTTTTTATAGTTTCAAAAATGAAAAAGTTGTTAAGATTAGAAATTGAAATTTTTTATTGAATTTTTAAATAGGTTGCTAATTTAGCTGGTGATTTTGAGTTATCTAAAGGTCCTCATTCCCATAAAGATTTCTGTTCAACTTTTGGCAGAGTTAAAGGTAAAATTAGGTTTTAAGATAATAAATATAACTGATCCAAGATATAAGAATTCATTTTAAATATTTGAATTTGCAAAATAAATTTATTTTTGATTGATGAAAGCGATTATTTGATAATAACTGATATTTTGCATTATAAATAGGATCAATAAAGCCTTCAACAAGTGATTTCAGAAAAAAAAATACAGGCACAATGGGTTCTAACAAAGTATAGTTTATTCTTATCAGCAATTTAAAAAAAATATAAAAAAGTACAAATTAACATTTCAATGCCCAACATACTTTAATTTATAAAATAGCTCCCTATAATTAAGCCTTTTAAGTACGCTGATCATGAGTCAAGAAGACCAAATGTACCAAAAATAGAAGAAAAACCTTTAATGAACTAACAATCTCACAAAAATTACATTGTCACTAATGCAGTTGAAAATATTTTAAGTGTAATTTGATGATCAAATAATTAATTCATTCATTCATTCTTTTTAATAAATAAATTAATTAAATATTTATCAAGCGATATTATCAATCAAACAAAAAGCCTTTCTTTTTAAAGATATTCATACTAATTCAATAGGCTTTTCTAATACAATAATAATAAGTTGTATTTTTACTAATTTAGTTTTACACAAAAAAAAAATAAACAAGACAAAAAAAGAAAGAGTAGCAAAATGCGCTACATAAATGTACAAATTAACTCAAAACTAAATTATTTTTTTAAAAGATGAAACTATCTTCAGAATTCAATTAAAAAAATTTTCATTAAATACTTTTTGCGTTAAAAATAGGCTCCCAAAGCTATGAAAGAACCTGAAAATTATCTTACAAAAAGAGATTATGGCAAAGTTCCTAATTATCTTGTTAGAAATAAAGAACATTTACAAACTGAATATAAAATGATCTAAAATCTTCATCTTTCAGAGGCTGAAGAACAACAAAGATAGAGGTAAACTAAAAAATACAATTCATATTCAAATTTTAACATAATTTTTGTTAAAATTTAGATTCTTGATGTCCTAAGAAGAAGTTAGATAACTTAGAGATGGCTTAAAGGCTAAATGGGAAGCAGTTAATAAGGAGTACCAAACTATCACTCATATTAATAAAATTGATACTGTTGGTTTAAAAAGAAAGTAAATAAATAAATAAATTTTAGAAAAATTAATATTAAATAATAACTAAAAATATTATAGGAAAGAAGAATGTGAAAGGGAATTAACTTAATTAGAAAAAGATATTGAAAAGCTAAACAAGTAATATATTTTCGTAGACACTAACATGTGAAAAACTCTAAATAAATGCTGAACAATTTTTTAATTTAAGAATATTTATGAACAAAGAATCAATGAAATATAATTAAATAGAAATATATTTTATCGATAACAAACTCAATACGAATGAAAAATTTAATTACTATAAATTTGAAACAATCAAAATCATATATAAAGGTTTAATCAACTGCACTTGTTATATATCTATCTATCCATCCATCCGTCTATTGCTCTTATTTTTTATATCAATTTCCTCTCTTACTTTCTACATATATAAAAATAATTAACTCTGTTTATTTCTAATATTCTAGCAGCTTTTAAAAAAAGCATAAATATCTTATTTTATATCAGATTTGTTTAAAAATTACATAATATAAATTTTATTTAAGTAATAAAAAACTAAGTAATTAATTCATTTTTGAATATAAAAAAAGATTTAAATTATTAATTTCAATTCCATCTAATATTTTAATTAAGTTATAAAAATATTTAATTTTTAACAATAGTATATTCTTAATTTATTAATAAGTAGATTATTTCAAACAATAAAATATATTTCTTTCTTATCTAATAATTTTTATCAGAGATAAGAGATATATTAATATTTGTAATTTTTTCCATTTAATATTTTAATTAAATAAAAAAAAATTTAATTTTTAACAAAAGTATATTCTTAATTTATTAATAAATAGATTATTCCAAACAATAAAATATATTTCTTTCTTATCTAATAATTTTTATCAAAGATAAGAGATATATTAATATTTTTTATTTTTTCCATTTAATATTTTAATTAAATAAAAAAAATTTAATTTTTAACAAAAGCATAGTATTAATTAATAAGTTGATTATTCCAAACAAAAAAAAAAATATTCCTTTTTATCTAATAATTTTTAACAGAGATTGATAAATATTTGCAATTTGAATGAGAATATCAATTAATATTTGAATATTCTAAATTTTGCATTAATTTTTTGGATAGAATATTTTATAATATATTGTATGATAATTAAATTTAAAAAAGATTTCTATATTTTAAAAATTATTTACATTAATATTATTCAATTATTATATTTATTTTTATTTATTGAAATAACACAGTTCAAATTTTATTTAAGTTATTTTCATTCATAAATCAAACATAAATAGTGTAAACTACTCTTTGGTTAATTTATTTTAAGAGGAGCTTTAAAAGTTTTTAATTTCAACATCATTACATGTTAAAAAGTTTGTAAAAAGTACTTATATTTTTTTTATCCTTTAAATTTTATAAATTATTTTTTTAGTAATTAAAGCATTTAATAAATAAAATTGAGATAGGGTTATATTAAATAAATAAATAATTCATTTAAGTTAATCAATGAAGTATGTAAAGAAGGTACTTAGTAATTACTCTTGGAAATTATAAGGAATTAGTTTTAGAATTAGATAAGAAATATTCTTGTTATTGTATCATTAAATAGTTAATATGTAATATAAGTTTTGATTATTTAAAATTTAGGAGCAAGAAATTAAGAAGTATTTGTAAAAGTGGTATCAAATTATAATCTTACATTGATATGTATGTAATATTTCCTCATGAAATTACAAGATTTAAAAAAGAATTTCACAGATATAAATAGATGAAAAGTAAATTGCGTAAATTATGTCAAAAAACCATACCAGTTTAAATTACTTGTCTGGTATTTCTAAAGGAGGTGTATAAATGATCCATGATACATCACGAGTTATGGTTTTAGTATAATAAATTTAAGGTTTCCTGTTTATAAAGATAGAACTTAAATAATAATCAACAAAATTTAAATAAAAAAAACAAGAAATTCAGTATAAAAGATAAAATATAGTAGCAATTTATCTGTATAAGAATAATTAATTAAATGGCTTCGCAAAGTATTGACTCTCAAAAATAAGATAAGATAAAGAAAATAAAAGCTTCAATTGGAGTCTTTTTTGTATTTGTTATTATGGCCTTATTCATTATCTACGTCTATCTGATAATTAGAGGTCTCATATAAAGAGATATTGTGATATTGACATTTACTGCTACATAAATAATTTACTAAGTATTCTTTGCAAAAAAGAATTAAACCTTCATTAATTTCTTTTAATACTTCGAGTGCCATAATTATTTCAACCACGCTATTGTTGAATTTGAAGAAGAGATGCAGAAAAATAATTCTATGTTATGCGTTCATCCTCATGGAATTTTAACAGTAGGTTTATTACTTAATCTGAATACCTACATTTAAATGCCAGCTTTGAGCAGTAGATTCTTGCTATCCACTCCTTTCTTAGGAATGCTATGCAAATGGTGGGGTTTTAAGAGCGTTGATGGTAGTAACTTTAAAAAGTTATGCGAAAATGGTTAAAACTTTGCTTTAGTCCCAGGTGGTTTTGAGGAAGCAACACTTAGCAGCTAAACAAAAGATAGGTAAAACAATTAAATTCTAAATAATTCAACAAACCAAAAATCCAGCTTTTAATTTATCTACTTTTTTAAATAGAGTTTATATTAAGCACAGAAAGGGATTTATTAAATATGGATTAAAATATGGCTATAAAATCTATCCTATGTACACATTTAATGAAAACAAGCTTTTTAAAACATTGGATGACACACTACTTAATTTCAGGCTTTATCTAAACAAACTAAAATTAGTAACAGCTATCTTCTACTCAAAATATCTATTTATCTTACCTGATCCTAATTATAATTTAACTTCAGTAATTTTATTTTATTATTCTTACTGATTATAGTAGTAAACTTAAAATTCATTTAATTTGATGAAACAAAATTTTCAATTATTTCTTTAAGTGCTTAAATGGATTAAAAATAATTCATTTATTCTTAAAAGAAATAATTTTATTATCGATTTTTTTTGAATAAAAATAATCAAATTAATTAATTTCTTAATTTTTTATTGATAAATAATTGATATAATTTTATAAAAGGTTGTAGCAAAAGGAATACAGCTCCCTAAAATAGAGAATCCAACCAAATAAGATGTAGAGAAATACCACTAAATGTATATAACTGAACTCAAAGAGTTATTTAATAGGCATAAAGCTAGATTTAACAATAATAACGAAATGATAATTTACTGATATATATACTATTAATAAATTTATAAAACTTTAATTTTACTATGCAATTACTTTTTATAACTAAATTGTTAGTTAATTAACTGACTTATTAATTAATATTTGTACTAAATTTAGAATTTTATTAATATTTTTTAACATGATAAACTACCTATTCCTTTTATTAATTTTATTGTAATAGTTCTTTCCAGTTAATATAGATAACAAATTTAATTTACACATTAAACTGATATATGATTGCCCAAAAAACATTATTTAATCTAGCAATAGTATTATTTATATTTTACGGATAAAAATACGCTTAAAAAAATTTAATTCTCAATAATTAAAAACAAAGCTAAAAAATAATTAAGAATTTATAGAGTAAGGAGAAATGATAATTAGTTTACGCATCGTTATATGTGTAAGCTTACCAATTATTGTAGGAGTAGCTCTCTCTATATACATCTAGTACACGCTATTACTCAGCTCTCTTATGGATTGGTAAATCAATTATTCTAATTTCAAAGAACACCTATAAATATTTTATTTAAAAAGGTAGGATTTATCATAGTAATGGATTGTATCAATTCAAAAGCAAAGCTTGTATAATTTTGTTTTTTGTAATGCATATCTCTCTGAGGCATAATTAAATTAAGTAAATAAAATATATTTTTAATGGCAATTGATATTTGATAGGATATAAGGAGGAGGCAATACTTTTATTTCAAATTTAAGCCTACTACTTACTACTCACTAAATATAAAAGAATCAAATAAACTTACTTATTAATTTGTTTATTTTTATTTGAAAATAGTTAGTAAATTATATGGATACGATGCAAAGTCTTTATAATAAATTCAATGCAAATAAAGTTAAGTGTAATATTTTGCTTCTAACCATTATTATTCATACGTTATTTTAATAACCATTGAACACTAAAATATTTTCTTATGATAATTTTTTCTGATACTCCACATACTTTTAATATATCCATCATTCATATTTATTTAACAATAAACAGTAAAAGTATAAAATTTCAGACCTGTGTAGTGCTCAATGGGTAATTATGATTTAAAAAAATGCAAAGACTATTAAATGAAAGAATAAAAAAAAAATTTTATATATCTGGAGCAGTGGTTTCATAGAGAGATACTTGATTATGAAAATTTACCATATCAATAATAGAATTTACTCTAAATGGTACTGAATTGATAAACATTACATTTTTTATATTTATTAATTCTCAAATTGTTAATTTCTATTTAAATTAAAAATATTTATTTATTTATTCTCACCCTTATTAAAAAAGAACTGGAGATTTGTATTTTTTCCTAAGAGCGTTTAAACTTCTTTAGCCGATGGATTAGTCAAACCTTCTTTTTATTTTAATTCATTTAATTCATCTTTAATGGCAGTTACTCCATCCAGGTAAAATTTTTTCATGCTAACTTTATAAATTGAGCATTATTCTTTTCTATAAAGGGTTTAAAACTATGGAGGTTCAAGCTATATGAATTGTATTCCAGGAAAACATCTTTTAAATTTTGATCCAAGATGTAGGGGCTGGTATTAGCTTGCGATGTAAAATAAAGGTAATAATAAATAATTGATTATAAACTAAAAATTTGATAAATTAATTATCAATTTTATATAATTAAATAATTTGATAAATTTTTTAAATCATTAATGGATATATTTTAAGAGATATAAAATCAAAATATCTTATAAAAAATAATCAATAAGTGTTTATTTTTTACTAATTATCATTTGAAGATACAACTTTTTCTATTTCAACGAATTGTAAATTAATTAAAAAAGGGATTACTTTTTTCAGTCCATACTTGCAAATATCTTCGTTCACCATTGGAATAACTATTTCTTAAAGGTTTGATGATGCTGATGACAATAACCTCTCTGTGTACAGCTTTAATTTAGATATAACTAACTTGGCTGATAGATACTTTAAAGATTAAGATACTTTAGATTAAAACTCCCTTATGGAAGGCTATACTGTTTTCTTTCATAAGGATACCCATACAGTAAAACTGAATAATTAACTTTCATTTTATAATTCAAAATTTTAATTTTAAAAGATATTTTACCACAAAAATTGGGATAGAAGCAATGGAATATTAAATACATGGGAATAAGTAGAATATAATAGAACACTTTTCTAGTTTGACGACTCTTAGGCTTAAAATTTTTAAAGTAATTTGCAAAAAATCATAGATGAAGATTTAGACATAAGTGAAATTAACTATTATTTTAACTCCAGCTCAGATAGTAATATTTTATATTTTGAAAAAGACTAAAATAAATAGTAAATAATTCATTAATTTTTTTTTTTAATATGCTTAAAATTAATAATTTACTGGCAGCTTTTAGAAATTTATTAAAAAAATTTAAATAATTTGACTTTGATACAATAAAAGATAAAAAATCAATTAATGAATTTTTTTATCTTAAAAAAAAGGTTTATCTTATTTTATTTAACTATTTAATTATTTTTAAATTTTTGAGATATAATTTTAAGTTAATTATATTATATTAATGTAGTATTGCTTTGATAATTCCTATTAAGGTAACCAGCAGGATCAATGCTTATTAATCAAATAAATTGAAAGAATAAAAACCATTTTATATTGGTAGAGTTCACACTGATATCAGTGATTTAATATACTAAGCTAATTTTTATTTTTTTGGTATATTTAAAAAACTATGCATTATTGAAGTTTGTATCATATTAGTTATCCTTCTTATATCTCTTATTCACTACTTTGCTGTATTATTTCATATCATTGATATGCCAATATAGTTTTTGTGTTTGTTTTTAAAGCAATTCCATATTAGAGATAGTGGTATTGAAAAATAACGTGTTTAAAAGGCAAATAGTAATTTTTCTGCCACAAGATTTTTAAGCAGAGCTTTCACTAGTCATGAAAATAATAGTGAACCTTAAGTCACATAGAGAATTTAGGTGGGATCCTATAAAAAGATTTTGTTAGCGCATTAAATAGAATAATAAAAAACATTTACTCCTTAAACAAGATAAAAAACTATTACTTTTTATGAGGAAAGTCCAAAAGCTTCTGCAGATTAGTTAAAAAGTAAGAGAAATAAAAGTTTTTTTAATTTTCATCATGACTAATAAAGTTAATAAAGGATATCTGCATTTAAATTAAAAGTAAATGAGGAAAAAAATAAAAATGGTATAAATGATGCTCATAATGGTGATGATAAATAGTGCCAAACTACTCCAAATAGAGTAAATAAATTAGAAGAAGTTTAATATTTAATACAATCAGTAAATGAAATAGAATAATCAAAATTAATTAATCGTCAGCATTCTCAATCAAATGCGACTATACAAAATAATCTCGGCATCATATTCAGCGAGGTTGATGATAAAATTGATTAAAAAAGTATTAATGGTAATGATTAACAAGAATTAGATTTAAAATAAATGGATTATACATTCCTAGAAATGAAAATTATCTAAGAAGCATTCTTACAACTTTAATAGGTTATTTAATTAGCTAAATAAGAGTCTAGCTAAGGAAATATAGAAGCTTCTATTATTAATTTCTGTGTTGTTAAGAACATTTTTGTGAAAATAAAAAATTTTTAGTAAGTCAGTTTTTGCTATTACAATCTAGGTATTCTATGCATAAGAAAAGGCGATTTTCTAAAAGCTGTAGAATATTTGGAGTCTTCCATTTATAATAATTTGCTATCTCAAAATTATGGTGTAAACACAATCTAAGAATTTGCAGAAAAGCTGCAACACATTAATTTTTAAAAAGATTATAATAGTTTATAGAATTACCAATAGTTGTCTACTAAAATTTGTATTTTGGTTTATGCTTTAAGAAACATTACTTTCCAACCTAATTGCTCAAGAAAAAATAAATCCATCTATTTAAAAAAGGGGATATATTATTCCTAAATTTGTAATAAAATGCTTAAAACTTTTTTTCATTCTAATCTGCACCCTAGTTTACACATAAATTATATATTGTTATGCTCTCTTCATATTGATTTAGGTTTTATAAATCAAGCTGCTAAATATTTATTCAAAGCCCATAAAATTTGGAATCTATATAAAGGAGATACAGATTATGATGTTAAAACATTGGACTAGTTATTACTCAACTTTGAGAAAAGTTTCTAAATGTAAAATGAAGACGTTGCTTTTTTATAGCTGCAATAAAATTACCTTAAAATATAAAATAATAATAATAATACAGTTCCACAAGATTTGTTTATTCACTAAGTTTTTCCTTAGAGTGTAATAGAAACTCTAAAATTTATGAATTTAGCTAGAATATATTTAAAATTTAATAAAAAGTTTGAAGGCTGCTAAATTCTTACAAGAGTAATAGAATATGGGTAAATTTTTGATCCTCATACAAGGCTTGAAGCTTTAACCTACTTAAATGAAAATTTTTAAAATATGAATTTAGATAATTTATTGATATAAAATGAAATTGTAAAATATAGAGGAGACCCACTTAATATTTTTATCATTTTGCAATGCCCTACTTCCTACAAAGATTACAGCAATTAAATCAAATATTATTTGTCATTCATTTAAAATCTTTACAACAATTTTATTCATTTAGATGATAAAGTATAAGTATTTTAATTTTCTGATTAAATTGTCTCTTTAAATAATCTAAGTCCTATTTAAACATAGAACCATTTGTATCATCTTTTATTTTAAATTAAGGATCATATTATTTAGTAATTAAACAATAAATTTGATGACAGCATATATGATGATTAAACTGTTGATTACAGTGAAGTAAATGTTATTAATTGGACTTAAGCCCTAAGACATGTAATTTACAACAACATATATGGGAAAAATCTTCTGCTTAAATCTTATTTGTAAGATAATTTTAAAATATCCAAAAGTGAAACCACTTCTAATTAAAATATTTTAGATTAATAAAAAATTGTAAATAATTAAAAATAATAAGATAATTATGATTAAATATAATAAAATAGTTTTGATTAATAACAATCTAATTAAGAAAAAATTGAATATTATAGTAATACTAGGATTATTATTGAAGAGAATTTAAAATAAATTAATAATGATCACAGTTCAATTTTAGATTTGTAATTAATTTAACCAGAATATAGAAAAAGATAGGACATTATTATCATTGTATCAGATGAGGAAGAAGAATTAAATAATTATGATAGCTATGTAAATCCGTTTCAAGGTCTTCCTGAAGAATTTATCCCAACAACATTTCATTACCAAAGGAATATTTTTAATGAATAAAACAATTTCCTAAACCAAGATTGCTCAATAAAAAATTTAGATAAATCATAAAATGATAATACAGCATTTTAATTTCAGTTTTAATGTGAAAATCATAAATATAATAAACATTCTAATTTCAATTAATTTTTTAAGGACATCCTTTCTTACAGAATCTTTTAAAAACAATAACATTTCTGATATAATTAATTAATTAATAAATAGTTCTTATATATAAATCTTTATTTATTTGTAAAAAATTTTAAATATTGCTAAGCAAAATTTTAATTTTATTTATTTATTTAAATTTAATTTAGTAATAATAATCAAACTAAGTTTTAGATATTCTCAAAATCTAAGAAAAAAACAATAAAATTTCAATTAAAACTAGGAGTAGAAATAGTAAAAGTAGTCACTCAGTTGGAATTTCGAGTTGGCTTATCAGGAAATATAATATATGTAAAGTAAGTAAATTTATTAAGATAAATAAGGTAACTTAAGTCAGATGTATGATTAGTGAAAATTAATAATTCATAAAAAAACAAATCTTTTTTTTTAATAAACAAACAATAAAACATTAAAAAATATAAAGCAAAATATTTTATTAATTCTTAATAAATTTTTGATAATTTTATAAATAAACTTTATTTATCTAATGATAAGTATATATCTATTTTTACGTTATTATTTTGCTTTCCAAGTCAATCTAATACTTTTTTAAGTATTACTAATGGTACTTTAAGATATTATTTGAATTCTTGTAATTATAATCCATAAGTATTTGTTATATCTTCTGTAAAATTTTCCATTATGAATTTTACAAAATCATAGCAATTCTAAAAAACAAAATTATATGGATTTTTTTCAATGTATCCTTAAGATTATCTTATTATTTCTTTGATTTAAACTTTTTTTATATTATCTGCTTTATAACTACCAAAGAATTTTTCAAATGATGATTCTATTTTTTCATAAACTAAACAAACTCTATTTTTATTTCCACCTATTTCTAATTTCCAAAAGCTTGTATTTGTTTGTAATACAACAAAAGCATGATCTAAAATATTGCCTGATTATTAAATTTTAGAATAGCATCTGTAGATATTAATCACATATTATTCATATTCTGAATCATCATAATAATCAGTGTTAATTTATTTTTTAATATTTAACATTGTTTTTCTTTTTTTATGAGAGATTTTATTTTTTATTTTTATCATATATATTTATTTATTTTTTTATAAGTGAATTCCTAATATTTTAATCATAATAAATTATTTAAAAAAATACTTTTATTATATTTTGTTCTAATAAAGATAAAATACTTTTATTTTAATAAAGATAAATATTTTTATTTTAATAATAATTAAAACACTTTTATTTTATTTAAGACAAATACTTTTAAATTTTTAATTAGTTTATTAATTTATTACAATATGATAAACAATTTGACATAAAGGAAATTTTTTATTTTAATTTTTATTCATCCAAATTTTATTTTAGTGAATATAGCCATTCCTAGTTTTAAAATACCCCTGATTGGATATATGTAAGTACCCAGTTGAGTTTGTAAAAATAAAACCAGGAACTGCTAAATTTGTTTTTAATTTATGGGGCTGCTTTTAGAGGGTAATTGATAGATTTATTTTTAATTCCTTATATGTGTTTGTTTGTTCTGTTAATTTCTTTTAATTTGATTTTTAAATTTTGTCTTTTATTTTTCTTCTATTTTTATTTGTTTTTTTTAAATATTTAATTAATTTTCTGTATCTTTTAGAATTTTTTATCCTTCTGTAATTTCTTTTTCTTCTTCTTTCTTTATTTTTAATTTCTTTTGAATTTTCTAAAAGTGAAATTATTTGATGATAAAATAATAAATATTTCGTTTTAAAATAATTAAAGCATATAATATTATAAAATAAAAATATATTAAAAATTAAAAATAGAATATTTGAAATTACATATTTAATTTAAAAAATTGATATTACAAATATTTTATAATCAAAATAAAATTATTTATTTAATTAATCTACTTTAAATTTAAGCTAATCCAGGAATTAAATTCTTACTTTTCCACATCCATAAGAATTTAATACCTGGAAGTGCTATATATTTCAACTATAGAAACAGATAAAAATTTTATTTTTATAAATATTTGATGAACTTAATTTTTATTAAAACATTTATGCTTGATACTACTTAATCTTAATGTAGAGAGCCAAGATAAATATAATAATTTATTTTATTTAATTTTTGCCAGAATATGGCTGCTGAATTAGTACTTTTTATTTTCATTTTTTATTTTTTATTATTTATTAGTTTTTATTTTTATTCTTTTTAAATAGAGATAGAAGATATTTGATAATAAATAATTTTTAAATAGGATAATTTAGAATAAGACTAATAAAGAATCTTGGATGCTATCCGTGTATTTTAAAAGTAGAATTTTGATAAAACTAACTTAAAGATATCTTCATTAATTTAATATATAAGACAATCATAAGTGGGTTAGTGGATAGGTGAGTACGATCTTTCTTTGCAAAAACTTAAATTCGAAATGTATAATTAATCTATTACGATATATGAATGAATGATCTTGAAGAATCAATCTATTTCATATATAATTTGTTTGCTTACTTTATCATAACATTCCAAATAAATGGCATGATTTATGTAATAGATTATAATTTTTTTTTTTATGGAGCTTTAAAAACTTAATTCATTGATTTTAAAAAACTTGAAAGTCTTATATTTAAAAAATGGATTCTTTGCTATTTTTTACTATCTTTTGTCTTTATAACAAATTTATTTTTAATTTTCTTGTTTTTTATTATTTATTTTTTTTTCAAATATGTTGAAAATTAATTAAATTAGTTCCTAAAAGTTTAACTGACAGATCCAATCAATTATTAAAAACAAAGAATTTGATTAATATTTCAATTTCTTATTTTTGCAAAACAAATTAAGAAAAAAAAAAAAAGATAAGAAAAAAAGAAATTAAATAATAAAAATGGATAAAAGATAATGTCTGAATATAATATATATCATTAAAATAATTTTTTTAAGCTCCATTTGCAAATATGCTAAAAGTTTTTTAAGTTATTAGCAAAATAATAGTCGAATAAATGATAAATGCATGATTCACTTATAGCAGCATCAACACAACTTGACTAGTATTTAATGATATATAAGACTGTTCTTACATTTCTTTTAAGAATATCAAAAAACCATCTTTAAAAACCTCAACAAACACCAAAATTCTTTTTTTAATAGTTTTCAAAGTTATTTTACAAATAAAAAAAACCCTCTCGATCTACTCTCTTTTTAAGATAAAACATTACTCTTTCCTTTAATACTATATTTAAACGCAAACCATCTCAAGCTTATAACTTATTAACTAACTAACTAAATTGTATATTAAACTAAAATAAAAATATATCTTCAATTAAAATCATATATAAACATTAAAAATTAATGATAAAATTAAAAAATATTACAAACTCACTAAAAACTGCCAAAAAATAGCAAACAACATTCATATATTTAACTAAATCTAATTATAATTCATCATATAATATCAAATCAATAATACAAGTTTTATTTACTATCTAAATCAATCAATATAAATTAATAAAAACTGAAAATTTATGTTTGCATAAACATGCAATTTTTGAATGAATGAATAAATAAATATCTTTTAAGATGAAGAAATTTTTATTTTTTTGGAATTGTTGACTTTGTTAAAATAATTATACAAAATATATTAAATGTAAAGTTGTTTGTTTGTTTATTTAATAATCAGTTTTAATTTGGATTTTTTGGTTAGCGGTATTTTATTGGGGTGACTCTCTATGGTTCGTCTGCTTAATCTTCTTAGAAGAAGTTATTTTTTTTTTAATCGTTTATATTGCTATTTTTATTATTAAATAGATATTTTTAACTGAAATCTTGATCATCTCCGTTTTCTTCTTCCTTTTAAATTAAAATAAGATGAAATTTTAAATTAAAGCTGAAAAAAAAATTACTTTGGATATCTTTTCATATTTTTATAAATTTTAAGATTATCCAGACTAAGTAAAGGATTATTGAGAAATGTTATTGTTATTATTTGTGCTATTAGGATTATATGAAACAAGATCAGAATAGTTATTAGGATTATTAGAACTACTTAGCTACTTAGATAAATTAGGTAAATAATTACTACTATTATTGTTGTAGTTGATTGTACTAGATTAATTTTAAGTATTTATTGCGCTGTAGTTATTATAGTTTGATTATTTACTAGTAAACACCAAATCTGTTTTTTTAAATAATTAAAAATATATTAAATATTTTAAATTATAAAGATAATAAATACCATTAGGATTAGTGCTTTAGCTAGTTGGTGTATATGAGGGTTTATTTTATACTGTATTATAATTTGTAGTGCCTCCAAATGTAGGATTTAATCCTGCTGTTTAACTATCTTTAGCTAAGCTATAAGGTGTTGTAACTCCGTTAGCATTTTATTAAGAACTTTCTGTGTTTAAGTCAAGATATGAGTATTTCCTAGTAATTCCTGCTGTGTTAGATGCGTAATTAGTGGTAGCATATTTCTAATTTAATTTTTTGAATTCAAATAAGCAAATATTAAATGAATAAATTTTCTTACGCTTTCATAATTAGAGGAGAAATAAGGTTTAGCAGTTGTAGAAATCATGCTTGTTTTAATTCCTCCTTCATTTAATTACTTATTCAAATATTAAATCACTATTTACATTAAAAATTCATTTAAACAACAATAAAATTAAAAAGGTAAGCTTACTTGATTGACTGCTCTCTATAGTTTTACAGCTCTCTTGCAACTTCTCTTTATAATCATTGATTTATGTTTCTTGCTCTTTTATTTTGAGATCTTTGTTATTTATTTCTCTCTCCTCTAAATTAATTTTAAACAAAATATTTAAAATAAGTTTTTTCAAAGAATTGCTTTAAAAAAAATTTTAAATTAATTCTAAATTATTAGAAATAGTTCAAAATATTAATTTAAATCTGATTTTATTTAGTGAATAATTTTTAATCTAAATTTAAATCAGATTTTAGTTGATTGAGCAGTTCTCATAAAAAATAATAACTTATTAATAAATAAGCTGATTTTACTTCTAAGGATTTCATTTCCTAATTCATCATTTTTTTGTCTTATTTCTTCCAAGAATTATTCTTATTTAAGCACCATCTAGTTTTTCATTTTTATTTTGTTCTTGGATTTTTATAGTTCTTCTTATAATTTTTCAATAATTTTATTTCCTTTGTTGATTTCTTCACTGCATAAATCTAATTTCTATTCCAATTTTAATATTTAATTCCTGTATTCATCGCATTGTTGCTTCAATAAATCCTTAAATTTAAAATTAATACTTTATCATTTTGAGCAATATGTTTAAAAACTTACTTTCTGGTTATTAAAATTCTCAACTAAATCTTTATTATTCACTAAGAGATTTTCTTTGTCTTCTATTTATTTTGTCATACCCTAGTTGACAAAGGATAATTCTGTAATTTTTTTTTCTTGTTTAAATCTGATTTCATTTAATTCCCTATTTTGAACTCTGAGTTCTTCTATTTCTCTCCTATTCATAGTAGATTCTTTTTCTAGTGTGGCTGTCTTAGATTAAAATTCCTTCAATAAAGCTTGTAATTCAGTAAGTTTTTCTTGAAGATCTTGACATTTATTAAGAGATTTTTCATATTTATCTTGATATAATTCAATATCTTCTCTATATTTCTATTTTTATAAATTCATTTATTATAATCAAAACTCTAATATTCATTGATATCAATAAATGTTACCTAATCGTTTTCTAATTTACTTTATTCATATTATCTTCTTATTTTTTCTTCTTTCATTAAATACTCTTCTTTAGCTTTTTAAAATTTACTTTACTCATCTAATTTAATTTCCTCAATAATCCTTCTTTTCTCATCTTACAATTTTTTAAGCTCGTCAGAGTTTATTCTAACATCCATAGATTTTTGGTTTAATTCTTTTAGTAAATTTATTTTAATTTAAACTTTACTTAAACATAAATCAAATAAATTTACCTTCTTCTAATCTCGAGTTTTAGCATCTCAATTATTCATTTTCCATTTTTTAGATTTATAATTTTTTTGCAATAAAATTTTTTAAGATTTCATCATTAGCCTGTCTTAATTTTAATGATAAATGTATAAGAGACTTGAAATGGTTCATTTCTACAATGTTAAAATCAGCTTCGCTGTTATTTTTGATATCAAGCATGCAGAAAAATCTATTTTTAAAACATTTTATGATATTTATGATATAATAGCAAAAATCTTTTAAATCAAATCATAAACAATATATTATTGTTTTTGAATTTTTCAACGTGATTTAATATCATTTTTAAAAGTAATTACTAAACTTTGCTGTCTAAATCTTAAGTCAAACACAGTTCAACTCTTTCTGCAAATTGCTAAGGGAAAGAGAAAAAATCCACATGCAAATTTTATTCCTTTTTGACGTGCAAAAACTCAGTTTCATTTAATTCCATAAGAAATAAGAAGAGGCTAATTGTTTAAAAACAAATAAACAAATTAGTTATTGATTGCATTTTAAATAGTCAAAATTACTGATTATTTTCATCTGTTAATTCTAATCTTAATACTTGTCCTTAATTGTTTCCTTTGCTACTAGTAAATATTTTAAGGTTCAATATTGTTTGCATATCTTCTTTCCCTGACTATCTAATTTTTATTGGTATTTAATTTTCAAAAATGTCACCACCCTTAACACCTATTTATAAAGTTTTACATATAAATTGATAAATCAAAAAGGCTAATTCATTTTATAATATTGAAGAATGAGAACTTTACTTGGATCATTCATAAAAGATACTCCTGTATTTAATTCAAATTTGCTAGGCTAATATGTCCCAAATATATTATTATTGTTGCTATTCATAATTTAATTAGTATTGATTTCTGTAGTTGATTAGTTAAGATTCTGGACAGAACTTGTGTTCACTTTACTAAATAAATTATTGCTGTTTCCATTTTTATTTAAATCTATCTTTCTGTATGAAGGTTAGTACTCAGCCATTTCTAAAATATACTTTTATTTTCTTTATAAGTTTGTATGCTTATTAAACTTGATTATTTTTTAATTGTTTTTCAAGTATCTCAACTAAAAACAAAGTTTTTTTTGAATTTTTGTTTTTAAATACGAATAATTATTGATAATAGCAATACTCGCATATCAAATTTTAAATTTTTATTTGATTTATTGCCAAGATTCTTTTAAATCAAATTGAATTGAAATATTTTTTTTTTTTTTGCATTGACTCTTGATATATTTAATGACATTCATTTACTCATATTAGTTAATAATTTATTTTTCAGTAAAAAATATAATTTGATTTTGATTTATTTAGTAATTAGTCTACAAGGTAAGTAAATTGTTTCAAAATCGTTTTTCTAAATTTAATTTAAAATATTTTTTATAATTTATTTTTCAGTTAATTTAATTAAAATTAATAAATTAGCTTGTTGATTAATTTAAAAATTAAATTTAGAAGTTAAAGATAATCAATCTTTAAATGTAAAAATTAAATAAAAATATAAGATTTAATTAAAATGAGAAGATATATTAAAACTTATATCATAAGTTTCTTTTAAAAAAAAGATTGATAGAACTAACTTGTATAAAATAGCTCCTATTTTTGGCGCAATAATAAATATATTTAATTAGCTAAAAACATAAATTAAGAGGGAGAAAATAAGTTAAAATAAAATAGCGCACCAATTAAACAGCATAAACGAACAAGATAATAGTAAAATGGCTGATGAAACTAACGAAAAATCCAGAGGATTTGAGGATGTCATGGATGAAGAAGATGATGTCCATGAAGTAGAAAAAATATAGGGTAGGAAGAGTTAGCAATAAAAATATCTGAAATAAATAAGCAACGACGATGAAAATCCATAGCAAGAGGAGGTAACAATCAATTAACGATATATTTTAAAAAAAGAAATGTGAGAGAAAGTCATATTTTTGAATAAAAAATTATTTTTTTAATAAATTTAGATAAGCGATGTTGAGAAGAAAATGAAAACTCTTCTGCTGAAAGCTGAATAATATGCAAGTTTTTTAGTTTCAAGACATTAATAGAAAAAGTAAATATAAACAAATATTTTAAAAATGCTTTATAAAAGCTTAGCAATTATCAAAATATTTTAAGTATTTCACAAAAATAAAATGAGTAATTTCATCATTATAAAATATTTTTAGGAATAAAAAGCAAGTTGTTCAAAAAAGAAGAGGGTAATATTAGGAAGAGAAAGAAGAAGAAGAGTAGCTTATTAAAGAGGAAGAAGAAGAGGATGATAACTTGCCTACCATACTAACAAGCTAGCCAAAAATATTAAAGGGAGGAAAATTAAAAGATTATCAAATGATTGGTCTTAATTGGATGATCAGTTTATATGAAACTGGTTTAAATGGTATATTAGCCGATGATATGGGTCTTGGTAAAACAATTTAATCTATCTCTTTAATAGGTTTCCTGAAAGAATTTAAAAAAATAAATGGTAAATATTGACATTGTGTGAAAAAATATGCAATTAAAACTATTTAAAATAAAGGTCCACATTTAATTATAGCTCCTAAGAGTACTTTAGGTAATTGGTTTAACGAATTTCAGAAATGGTTGCCTTGCTGCAGAACAATCAAATTAATTGCAACAAAAGATGAAGTAAAAATTTTTAAAAAAGTTAATAATGATACTCAATTTACATTATTGTTTATTATAGAGAGAAGAAATTTTGTAAAATTATATCGCTAATAGCAAATTTGATGTTTGTTTAACAAGTTTTGAAGGAGCAAAGCTTTGCTAAAAATATTTGAAAAAAATAAATTTCTAATATATTATTATTGATGAAGCTCACAAGATTAAAAACGAAGAGAGTTAAACTGCTTTGATTTTAAGAAGTATATTTCATTCATTTATAATCTCAAATTTTGATATTAATTATTCTTACATTCAAATAGTGTTTAAAACTAATTATAAAATATTGCTCACTGGTACTCCCCTCTAAAACAACCTTCACGAATTGTGGAGTTTGCTCAACTTTTTATTGCCAGATTTATTCAGCTCAAGTGAGATTTTTGATGAATGGTTCAGTGCTAACAATTGTAAGATATTGTTTTAAAATTTAAATCAAGCTTATTTATAAATTTCATTTTAGTGAGTGGCAAAAATAATAACGAAGAAAATGACACAAAGAATATTGAAATGATATCTCAGCTTCATAGAATTTTGAAACCATTTATGATGCGTAGAACTAAATCTGAAGTTATGCAAACACTTCCTCCTAAAAAGGAAATCCATTTATATGTAGGTTTGACTGAATCACAATTAAATATATATAGAAATCTCCTATCTCCTAAGAAAAGTATAACAGGATCTGAGGATGATAAGAAATTCTATCTTAATATCTTAATGCAACTTAGAAAAGTTTGCAATCATCCTTATTTGTTTGAAGGAATAGAAGAAGAAGGGCTCCCACCTCTAGGTGAGCACATTATTACTAATTGTGGTAAAATGATGTAATTAAAATATTTAATAAATAATTGATTCCATTTAATCAAAATTTATTTCCTAAATAGGGTCTTAGATAAATTGTTACAAAAACTAAAAAATGGAAAGCATTAAGTGCTTATTTTCTCTTAAATGACTATGGTTTTAGGTAAATTTTAATAAATGTTTAAATTTTAATATCTTTCTTTGTTACTTATGAAAATAATAGATATATTAGAGGATTATTGTAACTACAGACAGTTTAAATATTGCCGTATCGACGGTAATACAGATATGACTGATAGAGATAATTAAATTAGTGATTTTGTAAAAGAAGACTCAACTAAATATATTTTCCTTTTGAGTACAAGAGCAGGTGGTTTAGGTATCAACTTAGCTACAGCAGATACAGTTGTTTTATATGATTCTGATTGGAATCCATAAATGGATTTATAGGGTAAAGATTTTATTTCAAAAAAACAAACAAACAATTAATGATTTTTAAATTAAATTAGCCATGGACAGAGCTCACAGAATAGGTTAAAAGAATATCGTTAACGTTTATAGATTAATATCTGAAAATACAATTGAAGAAAAAATTATCGAAAGATAAACAATTAAATTAAAATGGGATCAATTGATTATTCAGTAGGGTAGACTTGCTTAAAAGAATCGTGTTCTCTCAAGAGACGAAATTAAGGATATGATTTAATTTGGAGCTTCTGCTATTTTCAAATCCAAAGGGGGAACATACACAGATGAGGGTAAAAATTATTCCCAAAGTTAAAGTAAAAATGATAATATAATTAATATTTATAGATATTGACATTCTTCTGTAGAGAGGTGAGTAAAAAACCAAAGACCATAATAAAACCATTGATGAAAAATTCAAGAAATCTAATGAATAAGTGGGAGAATTATCTCTTAGCTCTATCAATATTTATGATTTCTTGTAAAAGAACCACGATAATGACAAAACAAAAGAAGATAAAGTAAAATTACTTTTAAAATGAGATATTAAATATATTCTGAAATATTTAATAGGAAGCCTTAGATGAATAGTTAGCCCGTGAGTTAGCTAGTGAATTAAGATCTCGTAGAGAAAAGAAGACTATGAATTACAATATCAATGCATAGTTTTCACATATGATGGCAACTGCTCCTATGCCTAAGGCTGCTAAAATAATTAAATTACCAGAACATTAATTGTTTGTAGAAAGAGAAAAACTTTAAGAATTACTTCAAAAGGAAGAAGATTTTAAATGCATGAGCAACAGAGCTAAAAAAGCTGAAAAAGAGGAAGAAAATTCAATTGAAGAAAATGGGCTTACTCCCAAAGAAAACAAACTAAAGGATTAATATTGGGCTACAGGTTTTCCTACTTGGTTGAAACAAGAATATCTCAGTTTCATTCAAGGATGTGAAAGATTTGGAAAGACTGCCTACAAAGAAATAGCTGAGGTAATTTTTTCAAAAGTTGTTGTTGCTATAAAAGTTAAAATAATTTTATTTTAAACATAAATAGCACATCAAGACAAAAACAGAAGAAGAAGTTAGCTAATATAGCAAAGCCTTTTGGGAAAGAATCGACACAATCAGTGAAAAAGATAAAATCATTAAGAACATTGAAAGAGGAGAGTAAATTCTTAAGTAGAAATTAGTGATGTCAGACTTAGTAAATAATATTCATTCATTTTATGAGCTTTTTCAAATAAAAATATTTATTTCTTCAAATTTTTAGTTAAAAGAGAGATGCAAAATTTATCAAAATGTTAAAGAAGAGTTTGAATTCAATTCAGCCATTTACAATAAATCTAAATCTAAATTCTACACAACTGAAAATGATAAATTTTTAATTTATGCTAGTTATCAAATGGGGTACTGCAATTGGCCTGTCATCATAAAAGAAATAAAAACTAATCCTATGTTTTAATTTGATCACTTTTTCAAGTAAATTAAAAAAAAATTTTATTTAATTTAAATATATTTTATTAAACTTACAGAAGCAGAAGTGAATACGAGTTAAATAAAAGACTTTAGAGTCTATTAAAAGTAGTAGAAAAGGAGAAAGATTTTATTGTTTAAATTGAAGCTAAAAAGCTAAAATTAAAGTAAGAGTAGGAAGAGAAGTAAAGAGAGCAAGAACTCAAAAAGGAATAATAGAAATAGTAACAATAATTACTCGAATAGTAAAAGGCTGAAAAAGAAAAAGCTAATCAACAATAACAACAACAACAGTAATAATAATAATTGAATACAGAAATTATAGTTACAGATAGCTAGCCAAAGCCATAATAAAATAGCAACAATAACAAAGATAGTAAAAATATAAATTCTGCTAAAAATAGCTAAGAATCTTAAGCTAAATAATAAAGTACTATCTAAAAGTCTAGTAATTAACAATCTAACTAAGTCCAACAAACTTAAAAAATTAAAGATCCACAAAACTCTTCTTCTTCTAAAAATAATAATACTAATAGTAAAACAAATGGCTTAAAATAAAATTCTCTATTAAATTATGGTGTAAAAGTAGATAAAAAAGTATAACAAGCACCTATTTTGATAGACTTAGAATCAGAAGATGAAGAAGATGATAAAATAAAAATTAAAAGATTACCAAATGTAATTGTGCCAGAGCCTTTATCATAAGAAAGTAAGCAAGAAACCTAATAGAAGTAATCATAGTAATCTTCACAATCAAGTAATAAATAAAGCACTAGCAATGCATCAAATAATATAAATTCTAAAAAATCTCACAATGTTAAAGACGATAAAATAGAATAAAATCCTTAAAAAAAGTTAAAGCGTGATTGACTGAGTAAATAAATATTTATAATTTATAAAACCTGTAATAAATAGATAAATAATTCTTATATTAAATATTTCATTTGTGAATTTTAGTTTAAACTTATATACTTTGTATACCAAACTTATTTTTCGATTTATATGTTTTAAACAAACATCAAAATTTTATCTTTAACTCAAAACACACAAACAATAAATATTAAGAATGAATAAATGTATTGATAATACCTACTCTCATCCTCTTAAAAAAATTTAGAATATACCATTTTAGTAAAAATGATAAAATGAAATTTATAAATAAAAATAAAGTTATAAATTTATTAGTGAGGTTTATAAAGGGTAATTAATTGGTTTATATTAATCAATGAATTAAATTAGTTGCTAATAAAAGAATTATTAAAAGCTAAAAATAAAAAAATCATAAAGTCTTTATAAAGACCTTAAGCATCAGAAAGTTTTATTGCATATACCGAAAATATTAAATATTGACTCTAATTTTATCTAGATATATTGGTGTTAAAACAATTAAAATATACTCAGATGTGATTTTATGCAAGGGAAAGAGCATTTATGTGACTGTTAAAGGAAACTTTAGAAGTAATTTTTATTGCATTAATTAATTTAATACAGAGGGAGTGAAGAAATATTGGCTATCCGGTAGAGACTAAATTAACTTTAAAATGAGTGGTTATAATGTAAAATAAAATAAAAGATAATTTAAATTAAATATGTAAAATAAATTTAATAGTAAATTCTTTTAGAAAGATAAATCTTTTGATTAATATAATTTTTGTCCATTATTTATTAAATGACTTTGATTATTTTACTTTACAAACTTTTGAGTTAAATTTCAACCAGAAAATAGCTTTCTGAAGTGTATTTAATCATGACTCACTCATTTGAAATTTCAAAGAATAAAAATAACACTTAATAAAAGATTATTAAAATTCTTTTTTAAAGTTTATATCTTAACAATCACTCTAAACATGATTAACGATAGTGTAAATTTTCAAGTTAGTTAAATTTTAGCTTTTTTTTCTAAATTCATCTATTGTTAGCCAATAAATCTACTTCATAATAAACCCATCTGTGACCTAAAACCTTCTAAAATGTTTAAAGATAATTAAAAGTAGGATTTAAAACATAAGTATGTGCTTAAAAATACACCTTGTAAATTGTGAATATTGATTGCCTTATGTTTTTATAACCACTTTTATAAGATTTCAATGACCAAAAATATATCATAAACTGTTTTAAAGAATTATTTTGAAGGTTAAAATTATCAGGAATGTAAATTTAAAAATTATTAAAATTTAAAGAGATTGTATTTTGTTATATAGCAGCACTTAAGAATGCATGGAAATATGATAAGTTTTACTGTATACCAAAAAGAAAACGATTTAAAAACAAATTGGTATTTTTACACAAATTTAAACAAAATAGAATACTATTTTTTACAGAAAAGCTCTTTTTACAATATATATGATTAATATTACATCTTATAAGATTTTTTGATTCTTCCAAATGATAAAAGAATATCAGGAATAATGTAAAATTAGGTATTACTAAGTCTTCGATTGACGTATATGCTGTAAAATTAAAGGTATAAAATAAATATGCTATAAATACAAAATAAAAAAAAGAGAAGTGAAAATGCATAATTCACGATTAATATGATATTTTATATCATAGAACCATTTGCCTAACGCATAGTTGTTTGGAAACCAAAATGTTCTGTTCAAAAGATTTGATCAATGGTTAAATTGCATAAATACCAAATAACGAATTATAAAAGAATTAAGATGTGACTCAAAAATAGCAAAGGCAATCAGCATTGAATTGAAAAGAAAGTAAACAAAAATTAAATAAAATCTTAGAATCATCAAGTGGGAATAAATACATGAATAGGATCTAATTAAATTATTGTATTGAACGCGTGTTTAGCTTTTTCTAACTGCAAAATATAATAAATAATTTACATCAATTTGACAAATAATAATACTGTTTTACATTGAATTATTTTAATCATATTAATGAGTAAGTGAAGTCTTGTGAATGAATCAAATTGAAATAAGCATTTAAAAATTATATAAAGAAAATCAAAATCAAATATAAAATACTCAATAAAGACTACAATGATTTATTAAAACAATTCATTTCTAAGAGCTCTAATCCTTTATTTTTTTGATTGTTTCTTTTAAACTAATTTTAGTATATTTATAGACAGTATATTCTTAGTCATATTTTAATTTAATCATAGTAATCGCCTAGTCTAATAAATAATCTATTCAGTAAAGACTCATTCTTTCTACAGCTGCTAACAATTTTTTTATCATTAAGTCTTAACTTGTCATTTTTGTTTAAATTGAACGCTTACACTAAGAATTTAAATAATATTTTATAGTCTTTTATAGTAAATTATTATAATTTCATGAAAAATAAGATTTTTTAACTTTATTTTAACAAACAAGAATAACATTCTTATTATTTATGAAAGCTTGAGAATTTAAATCATAGATAAAGTGCATACTAATTACTTTAAAAAAATGAACAAACTAATAGAAAGAATTTATTTTGAAGAAGTTTTTAAAATGAATGATTGAATAAATGTAATTATTTTATAAAAGAATTATATTTTTTCAAGGTTTTTAAATAAGGAAATCTGAAATATTAATAATAATAATAATAAGCTATCATATAATTCTTATGTTTGTTTTCATTAAATAAATTTTAAACTTAATTTTGAGAGTCCACTATCATCAATCAGTCAATAAATATATAATAATATTTATTTCTAAAAATTTAAAAATAACTTTTATTATTTTTCTAACATGCTATATATAATATAAATGATTAGAGACTTTAATTTTATCAAATTAATAAAATGAATTTTCATAGGGTTTAAGTTTAAAAAATTAGAAGTAAAACTTTTTATGTGCTGTTTTAAAACGGGTATTTTATTTTCATAAATGATTTCTTTTATAATTTGATATGCCTTATTTTGATAAAAGAATTAAGTTATCCTAAAAGTTTAGCAACACACTTAATGAAAGCTACTGATACTTTATAATCAGAGGCATATAAATTTTTAGATGTCTCGCTGTAAAAAGTAGTGATAAAGTACTTTATACAGAATATTTAGATGGTATTAATTGAATTGATTTTTTAGTTAATATCAGGAAGGATATGGAAACGTATTTGGTTTATTAATATGGCAAGTAAATGTATACATTTATTTAAGTGTAATTAAAAATATGTTAAGCAAAATATTTATAGCGTAATAGATTATGAAAGCAACAAATAAAGTATTTAGAATTTTATCAATTTATTTACTTTAAATTTATCTTTTGAAAGATAAATTAATTAATTGCTCAGATTTTTTAATTTTAATTTTTCAAAATAAATGTTTTTCTTTCATAGGTGCTTTTTAATAACATTTTATAAGCAATTAATTTAAAAAAATATATTTATTTTTTTATTTATTTTTAAAAATATTTGTTATTTATCAATTCTTTCATCTGTTTATTAATTGAGTCATTTTACAAATAATCAAGAAAATTTAATTTTATGAGAAAAAGCAACTCTCGTTTCTTAAAAGTGACATAATTAAATAATACGTAATTATTATAAAAAGAATATTTGATTATTAAATTAAAGGCATATACAATATTTTTTTTACAAATCTATCTGAATACAACTCGTTTAACTTTCATGCTAACTAACTAACTAACAAACAAATAATCAATCAAATTAAACTTCATTGAGGATTACTTTCAGAATCTAAATTTTAAATTAATTATATTATAAATCATCTTTTCTTTAAGCGACTTTCAACGACAAATTATTGATATTTCATGTTCTCATTTATTATCAGCTTAGATCTCTAACAGCTTTACATTATTTTTTTGGCTTTTAAAAAAATTGTGAATGAGGAGGATAAAAACAGCATAAGCCAAAAAAATAAATTTACTTTATAATTTTTAAAAAAAAGTATTGTTTTTATAAATTAATAAAGTCTACCTGAATTGATATTATTTTGAAGTGATTTTACATTTAAAAAGTGTTTTTTTTCTAACAATATATCTGTGACGATTTAAGATTTAAAATTAAATGAAATTAAGAAAACAAATTCAGTTTAGTGAAGATAAAACATTAATATTTTTTTAAAAATGAAAGAAAATTAGAAAAGAATTTTTATGTAAAACTCTTTGTGTTGTGTTGTGTGTGATTTCATAATTAAATTAATCCCTTTCACAAAAAAAAATTTCTTTTTATTTTTTTTCTTTTATATAATTTTATTTGAAATCAAAGCATCCAAGTAGAATACTAATACCTAAAATCTAGAAGCAGTTTCTAACTAACTTATGAAATTTTTATAATTTAAATATTCCAAGCAATTATAATTTTAAAATATAACTTTTATGTTAAAGAATTTCTTGTTCATCAGAAAGAATTATTCTACGACATTAGACCCGATCATGATTGATTAGAAGGCAGTTTTTGCTGTTGTTTAAAAATTTAAACAGTGCTTAATCATAATTGAAAACATTTAAATTAATTGTATTTAAATATCAAAAATATTTAAAAGTTTGGAATATTTCAGAAAGATACTACTTGTTATTTATCTACTTTTTTGATAATTATTCATGAGTATTAAGCACTCATTGATTAATTAATTGCTTTGAATTTCTTTGATTGAGCATTAAAAATAATGAAATCTTAATTAAATAAGCTCATACACGTATGTATTTATGAATGCCAATTCAACTGAAATTAGTCTTAAAGAGCTTAACCGCTTTATTAAATAAAAGAAAAATGAATAAGTGTAATATTAAGGTGAGGGGAATTTACTATTTTGGTATTAGAGTTTTTCACTAAAAATAGGAATAAATGCAAGTACTTACTTGAGAGATTTGTTGGGTATGTATTGCATTTCGCTAATTTAATTTGTTGAAATAATAATATGATTGATTGAATTAGTATGGAAATTTTTGCGGGGGTGAAATTACAAAACAACAAAAGAATTAAAGATTCTGATATTACATGCATAAAAAAGCTTATATTAATTTATCCTTTTTTTGTATTTAGCAGATGTCTTATTTTAGTTTAAATGAGATAAATGAATAATGGTAAGCTTAATATTTTGTATTTAATCAGAAATTAAATTGTAAGAACTAAATATTATTTTTGCTCAGATTAAATTACTAGGCGACTGACTCACTTTGGCATCATGTTGGTGATACTTTAATCAAATATAGATAGTCCAAGCGACAATTAAATGATAGCATTATATTGATTAATTATGATAGCAACAAACTTAAAACTGAATATTCAAATAGATTTTATGTAATAGAAATAATTCTGATATTTATGTGCAAAAAACGTCAGATAATCTATTCTTCGTTAAAATTTATATAGAAACAAGACTAAAATACGTAATGCAAGGTATCTTTAAAAAACAAATAACCATAATAAAGTAATACAAAAAAAGAATAAAAAAATAGATGTGTGCAGAATGAATGAGGAAAAGTGGAAGGAAGGATGGTAAAATGTATTGATAAGACTAGTTTTAGAGATAGATGAACAGTGAAATTTATTAATTAAATAATTAATGCAAGCATAAATGAAGAAACACCAAAAAGTATTAATTTTTTTGTATAAGAATAATCCAAATCGCTTTTAATTAAAAGGTGGATTTAAAAGTTAGAAGGAAATGATTAAATGTTTGTTTGTTTGCTGCAATCAATATAAAAGAATTATTAATTAAAAAAATAATAAAAGATTTTGAAAATTCATATGATTTCAGCAGCGCTGTGAGTGAAGGGGTATAGTAACTAACTAATTGGGGATTAGATCTAATTTCAAAAAGGGAATAATGATATAATTTATTTTAATTTCAAAACAAACAAATTAAAAAATTTATTAAGAATTCTAAAAAAATTTTTTTTGTTGCGAAAGACAAAAAAATAAACAATTGGCCATATACAGCGCTAATAAAAATAACGACAAAAAGACCTACTTCTTTTCTCTCAGAAAGTATAAAAGTTACTCGCTGAATTCCAAAGCACAAATTCTAACTTAGTTTCAAAGAGTAATCAACAACCACTAACCTCTACTAACTCACCAAGGAATAATTTACTTGCAGATTACTCCTATTTTCAGCTTCAATAGTTAAATATTTCTTTTGCTTCTCTGGTTCTACATAGCTAGCTGCCCACACAAATAAATAAATAAACAAAAAAATATAATTTTTTGATCGATCGATTGATTTGATAATTAATTAATTAATTTTTTAATAAGTAGCGCCTCAAATCTTCCCTTTTTTAAAAATTAATAATAAAAGAAATAATTAACCAATACGCATAGATATCTCATAAATCTATCACACACACTCACTAAGCAAAGTTGACTCCTCTTCATAAATTTGTCTATAATTGAAAAAGAACTTTAACAGTAATTTAACTCACCCTAGTATTTTACTTATATAAACGTACTACTATCTAATTATCTCACCTCTTTACATTAAAACTTTACTTGCGGAAATAGTAATTATACCCATTTCATTTATTTACCAGCAATTAATTTCACATTACAGAATTTTAACTCAACACAAATGAATTTCTAACAACAAGAATAATAACAATAATAATAACTCCAATTAGTTCGCGAATAGCTTATTAACATGACCAACATCATGCAATCTAAGCCTGAATACTTTTTATAAGACGCTGCTCATCAAAAATCCTTGATTTAAAGCATTGAAGATTGCTTCCAAATCTTCCCTAAAGGTTGTGCTTTCCTCGCCAACCAACTTATCCACATGGATATCAAGACTGCCTCTTAGTTCTCATCAACTTTCCTTTATAAGGTCACTTAAGCTTGCTTCAATGCTGAAAACACCTCAATGGGCAATAACCTCAATTTGCTCACACTAATTTCCAAAATTGTTTGCGAAGTACCTGCAATTTTCTCTCCTGTTATAAAGAAAGGAAGTTTCCTTTCCAAGATGCTCTCTATGGATGCAGAATGCTTCGGTAATGATGAACAACAATTTGGCAAGGCTCTTCTCTACGTCTCTAAGATTTTAAAAATCTGTGGTCGCGCTTCCCTTTAAGCTACCCATTTAATGCTTGCCAAGTAACTCATTTTCACCAATTTCCAAATCATTGAAAAAGATGCCTGCCTCTTCACCAATTATTTGGGATTGCTCTGCACTCTCCATCCTGAAATGAGCTTATAAGAAATTCTTAAATATAGAATCCCCTCAAAGCTCTTCAATCTATTCGAAAACGCCAAGTCTCTCCCCATCCCAATTCAAACTGGTCTTGCTAAACTTATTGTCAGATACTGCCCATCTAATGCTGACTTACTAAAGTGGCTATTAGCCAAAGCCTTTTTCGTAAATGGAGGTATTGCATACCAAATGACTATTAACGCTTTCTCTTCTAAGTTCCTCATTTCTGAAGCATCAATCATCTTGGAAGCTATCGTATCTTCTAGTAATCCTGAAATCAACGCTTACTACCTTAAAATAGTTGACCACTTACTCAGCAATGCAGGAAATGAAATTTCTGAGACCTTGCTCTTGAGATGGCTTTGCAAATTCTAATTATTGAATCACATTTAGAGCATCTATTTCTCAAACATCAAGCAAAACAACATTTCAGAGCCTGTTAAAGGAGCTATCCTTGATTTCGTCTCATCTGTCTAGCTCAAATGCAGCAACTTGAATTCTATTTATGGATAGTCTTCTAACATCATTTCATCCAAGCTTAATTCTATTGGATTTACTGCCGAAATCGAAGCCAACAAGCATCTCTTAAAGAAGAATCTTGTCCAACAATAATAACAGAATAATCAAACCCCCGTTGCAGTCAACAACAACAGCAACTGAATCGCGGATAATAGTTCATCCCTTCAGATATTTAACATCTGATCTTTGCTACTATTCAGTGTATTCTTTTGACTGATAGCTGAGCTCAAATAAACTTAATTTACACAATAATAACTAAAAATTTACTCTTTTGCTATTTACTCTCCTAGGGCCTACAGTAACAATTAAATGAAGAAAAAAGTTTAAAAAGGTAGAAACAAAATTAATAACTTCAAATCTGACTATTTGCTTCTCCAATCTTTCCTCGTATTTTATCCTGTCTGGGAAGAAGAAGAGAGGTATTTTAGAAAGAAGAGAAGACTAGCATGAATCCTACCTGTGATACACACACACACACATAAATAAATACACACATCTAGCCCTAAAGAAGATAGAAATTAGCAATTAATAATAAGCAACTCATTTTACTTTATAAAAATAGAACTTTACTTTATATTAAAACTTACTTACTTACTTACTTACTTACACACTTACTTCATTCCTACTCTATAATAAAAATATATAATATATTATATTATATTTTTAACTATTTACTACTTACTTATTGCGTTTAAGATTACAACAAAAATAACAACAACAACACAAAAAATGATCTTCTCCTTTCTCCTTTAAAAATAACTACATTTTTCTATAAACCTACCTTATGTGTTATACTTTATGCGTTAGGAGTACTTTATCCCTTAATCCGAGGCAAAAAGGTGTAGCATGTGTTGTAGGCGAATTTATAATAAATGTTGGTTTTTGGCAAAATAAGCAAAATAAAAGGGAAGTAATAAAAAAAAGCGCGTAAATAGTAAAGTTAAACCAAGTAAGTATGTATGATGCCGAATTAATTTAATAATACGAATTTTATTTAATGAGTAGGCTAAGTTGTATTGATTTGATGCACTAAATCAATAAAAGTAGTAATCAAAAATGACAAAAGTAAGTATAAAGTAAACATCTTAAGTAAATGCTAAATAGCAAATAAAGAGTAAATAAAAAAATTTTTGAGTTTTTAAACAAGCAGCAGCTTGATCAGCACTAAATCAGTCTCAAAGAATGCGTTGAATAGGCCTCCCTATTCAAACACAGAATAGGGAGGGGGGTGAACTATCTTGTAATTTAGAATTTTATTCCCCTCTCGAACTTTAAACAACCCTTCGTACTTATAAAATGTACATTAACCTTAATAATTTAGAACTTTAGTATAATATTATATAAATAAACCAAGAGTACTTTAAACCTAATTAATCACCATTAGCATATAAATCATCAAATGCACATTTGCATTTTATCTTCCTATATCTCACTCATATATACACACACATACCCATTCACTATTGATTTTATTTGATAATAAAATCAAGCTTCTATTAGCAGCACTATCTTAGTTTGTTTTGGTAAACTAGTACTTTAAAACCTCCATTATAAATTGTGATAGTCAATCTTAATCAAGAAATAGAAGTATATTATTTTCTTAATCATTTAACATTTGCTCATTCATTTTTTTTTATGAGCTAAATTAGGAAAGTTAAAAGTAAAAACTTTAAATGATTCAGAAGAAATAAAAATAAATTTATCATCATTTAAATAATGATTATAATTTCTCAAATGTACTCAATATATAATTAATTTTGTATTCCTTATATATTCATTTATATACATTCTAATAATTTATTTTATTTTAAACATTAATTAATTCATTAATTCATTTATTTTCTCTTCAATTCCTTATTCATCAAATTTCAATTTTATTTCTTGAGTTCATTTTTCAACAAAAATTTTGCTATAAAAATAAGCGAAATATAAAATTAGTCGATAGCTTACTTATTTTAAATATAAATGAATATTTGTTGTTTAGAGTAAACTTTTAATTTCAATTTCTTTGTGCTAAAGTTCATATCTTGTTTACTTAACTTTCTCAAATAAACCATTTTTTAAAATACCAAAAAACTAATGCTTACTTACCACTTACAACAAATAAAATAAAACTATGAAAGAAAAAAAACATTGCGAATGTTAAAAGTTTAGACTATTACTTGCTAAAATAAACTATGATGGTTTATTAATTAGTTATTTTTACAATTAATTCTAACCTTTTTAGAGACAAAATTAAGATAAAACTATAATTATGAACATATCTTAAAAAAATAAATTTGCTTTACTAAATTTTTATTTGACAAAAATAACCCAACAAAATAAATCACATAAATTTTATCTTTTGTATTTTTAACTATTTTTATATTAATATTTATCAATTTCTTAAATATTTTTTACTCAATTACCAAAATAATAAAATAATCTTACCAATTTTTGTTTAAAAATTATTATTTGAAAAAGTTATTATTATAATTTAGTAAAATGTAACTGTATTCAATTTTCATAATTTTACTAAACTAAAACTGTAAATCATTTATTCAAAGAAAAATATAATTTAATTGTAATTTAATGAATGTGTTAATTCATCTTACAAAATAAATTATATTTTTTTAATCAATTTTTAATATATCTGTATGAATAAGTAATTATTAAATATAAGCTTTTAGTGATTCATTCTATTTTATATTAGTCCATATTTAAATTCTACTTCTAGTTAATTATTTTAAAATCAACTATAATTAATTTTGTCAATTTTATAAATTTTATTGCTATAAACTCTAAGAAAAAAAAATTTGATTATTTATTTTGTTTTAGTTTAAATTCAAGCATTATATAAAATTATGTTATCAGATTAATTTTAAATTCATTAGCTAAGCAAAAGCTATTAAATAACTATCCTAGACTAAGAATAATTTGCATCAAACATGTATGGTACTATTAAAATTACATTTTTAAAAAGCTTTTAAAATATTAGTACCATAAAATACAATTAAATTTTTTGAATCATACAAAAGCTAATTTTATTTAACTCTTTGTTAGATAATAGAGCGAGAAGATGCTATTAATTTTACAAAGATTTCAGGATAAATGTTCAAAAAATATAGAAAATGTAATTTTAATTAATTTTTTTTTCAATAAAAAATTGCATAATATACATTAAGTAGATTAGCCAATTTGAATAATAATAAAAAAGTATAAAGTAAGAGTAAAAGCATAAACATGGAAAACTAAAAAGTGATATTTATGTAAAGAAAAGCAATAATAATTAATTCTCAGAAGTGAAAGGCTTTGATCCTAATTGCAATGGGAGTAATAAGAACTTTAGTTTTAAATTGGTGTAGTAAGAATTAAAAAGAAATAAAATTATCAAATATCTACAAAAAAATTTATTTTACAAGTGGCTTCAAATTTCTTTAATTAATTGATAAATTAATCTCGGTTTTTTGATATTAAAAAAGTTTAAACCAGTTATTTTATTTTATTATTTCTTAAAAATGTGTATATCCCTTTCGAAAATATTTTGTTTTTTCTTCCAAAAAAAATAATTTAAACTTAATATTAACTATCAACTTTTGATAGTATTAACCATAATTTCAAACCAAAGTTATATTTTTTAATTGAGTTAATCATTAAATTAAAAAATTTTTGAGATAAAGTAAATAAATATTTATTATATAATAAATACAATAGATGTTAAAAAATTACTTAAAATATTAAAAATATTGTTAAATATTAAACAAACCTTTTCTTTTCTGAAATTTTTTCATCTTTAATTTGCAATAAATCATAATAATAAACAGATAAATCTAAAAAATTAAATAAAAAAAATATTAATATAATGAAACTCAAGGATTAAAACTTTAAATAATAAAATATTCTTAAGAATTTTAAAAAATATTAAATTAATTTTTTAGATGTATTTTAATTTAAGCTATCATTATTTAAAAAATAAAATAGTGAATCTTTTTTAAGAAAAATAATTATGTAATTAAATTTAAGTTCAAATAAGATTTAATTTTATCAACTTATTTTTAAAAAATACTTCAAGAAGAATATTAATAAATACTAGCAATAAAAAAATTAAAATTTGTTTAACTTTTAAAATATTAATTATTAAAAATGGAAATAAAATTTTATTTAAAGCTCAAAATGTTTATTTATCAAAAAAGTGAATTTATTTTAGTATAAATGAATATTTCAAATTAATAATGGTTACATTAAATAAATTAAAATAGTTCTATTAACTAATTAAATACCATTTTATTAATAAATTTAGATGGTTTTAATTTAATTTATTTAACTTTATTTTTTCAAAAAAGATCACGAAGATATATGCACAGCTTTATTACTTTTACCTTAAATTGAATTTCAAAGTAATAAAGTATTTTATCCAAATAAAAGTTTAAAACAAAATAAATTAAATTGAATTTTTATTACTTTTAAATTTAATTGTATTTAGTTTGATTTTAAATGTACCTGATTTTATAAATATTTGAAGTATTGTTTTTTTGGCTTAAGAGATAAAAATTTAAATATTATTGAGGAGTAATAAAAGAATTCCACTTAAATAAACAAATAAAATATATTTTGTTAAGATCTGCATAATTATTTTATAGGTGAGTTAAAAAATATTTAAATATTTTAAGAGAAATTATTGCATTTTAATTTACATTTTTACATAAGGTATTATTTAATTTGATTGAATTTATATACTTAATTTATATTTTTTAATTACATAGTAATTTATTTGATTTTTTATGTGTAAATTAAAAATATTAACATATGATATCAATATATTGCATATGTTATATATGAATTGGATTCTATTTTTTAACTTAACTTTTAGTAAAAAAGATTACATTCAAGTAAATTAAATAGGAATAGAAAGAGTTTGCTATTTCTATTTATAAAAGTGATTTTTTTTAATAGAATTAAGATGCTTCATTAATATCTTAAAAAGGTTCAAAACTACTTGAAGGTATTTAGTTAACAATAAAATGGCATACCTTATTTTATGTGCGAAATAGTGTTGCTTTTTATAAAGCTATTATTTAAAAAATTTAAAATGTTTTTTAAAGGTATAATAGGGTTTTTTTTAAATTAGATTTAAAGCAAAAAATAAGAAGTTGTTAAAATATAAATTATATGTATAGAGGAGTTAAGAAAAGAATAGAAGCGCAAAATAAGACAGCAATTAAGCTCCTCAATAATTAGATAAATTAAATTATTTTTTTTACTGTTTGAATTCTTGCTTATTTTAAGCTAATTTATAAATTTAGACAATGAAGTTTTGCATAAAATTCGAAAAAAATAAATTTTTAATAAGAAATATTTCAATGAGAAAGAATTTAAAAATATTTTTAAAGAAGGTTAGAAGAGATGATTAATAATTAAATAAAGTGATGATAGATATTATTATTTACTATATATTTAAGTTAATGAGACGATTAATAATTAATTATGTTAAATTAATATAGAAGTGTGTTATTGAAATTAGGTGAATAAGAAATTAATAAAAATGTTCTTTGTTTTTTTTATTAAAATATATATATATAATCCACACTCACTTTATTATGAATATGGTCATTTTTTATTTACAGGGTAAGATGGTTATTAATGGGGGATTATTATGCGCTTGTGCTTAGATTCTTGTTTGTATCTTTTGTACAGATAATTTTTTTCATTCATTAGTCGTTTTAAATTTATAGGCTAGAATGCTAATTATTTTTATCAGTTAAAGTTACAATTAACAAAGTAATTCTAATGCAACTTTGATATTTGTAATTCTAGAATATATTTACCATATTTAATATCTACTTTATTGAATTTAATTTCTTTAAGCTAATATTAAATATTTAATATAAATAAGTATTTGTCATTCATTCAGCTTCAAGAAAGTTTAAATTTGTAGAGCTCATTAACATTTTATAATCCTTTTATGAATATTGGAATGGCCTTTATATGGATATCTTTATTTTTGAGTTTGTCACTTTCATTTACATATTTAGCTGCATATTCATTAAAGAATTTGAGGGAGACCTCTTTGAAAACTTATTTAAATAATATCATTTGTTAGTCATCTTGTGATTCTTGGACTCTCCAACCTTATAGGAAATCTTCTTTGTTCTTTAAATGATTTAGCTAGTCCTTTAAAAAGGAGTTGTGGAAAGCCTCTATAGAGTTGGAATCATTACCAAGACGCTTTTCTATAAAGTCACGGATGACAAAGTTATTCTAAATGCAGTTCATGAGAGCATTTCCAAAATTTTTGAATACATTTTTTTGACGAGATTATTTGTATTTCTTCTTAGGTTTGTATTTCTTAATAGCCTTCTTGGAGTTTAAGGCGCTGCTAGCGTCTTTTAAGGATTCATTTTGACTTCTCCTAGATCTCGGCTTTTTATCAGCAACTACTTCGTCGTTGTTAGCATGGTTATACTAACTACCAGAGAAGTATTGTTCCTCAGAGTTATAATAGCTGCAACTAGCATGCTTGCTTGAATTATTCATATTGCTGTCAGATTAGTCTGAAGAATAGTAGTTGCTATTTTCTAAAGAATATTGTCCTCTATTTTAAGAATTTTGTTCATATTCTTCAGCAATGCTTTCATAGTCATCAATGATTCCATTATCGATGGGTTGTTTCTTTTGACTCTTTTGTCTGTTAATGCTACTTTGATCTTACAGCTGAGGAGCATTCAACATTTTCTAGACTTCATTTTTTAATTCTTTTTACATGATAGGATTTTAAGAGTTGCTAGGTGAATTCTGCATCTAGTTTTATTAAGCTGGCTATATATTTTATTATTCAACCCTGATTACAGGTGACGAAATGTACTTGTTCTAGATTTCAGACTTTTTAGGGATAGAGGAACTTTGTTATGGAAGTACATTAATGCATTATTAGCACATTTTTTAATTGTTTTACTGAGAAGCTGAACAGCTTAAGCAGGGAGATTAATTGATTTGCTATTACTATAATCCATTCTAAGAATTGCTTTGATTCTGACTATTTATAGAGCTTGGTATTTAAACACAATTAGAGAAATTATAATTTTGGTAAGATTTGCCAATTTTCTTATTCTCGTAGCTTTAGTTAGACCCTTAAATTTAAATTTAATATGGATCATTTTCATAAATTTCTTGCTAGTTAGGATATTCTTCTTCGTAATTTTGATTGGCTTCGTCAATATCATAATATACATCCTAATTATTGCATGGAATCATATTTGAGCTCTGCTCCTCATTCGAATTATTCTTGTCTTAATTTTATAGATAGGCCTTTTAGTTAAAAAACATATCACAGATCTCTTCTTGAGATTCAGAAAACTAGGGAGTTTAGGCTATCATATTTGAACTGAGCATTGAATCATTGTCGAAGCATATATCTTATTATTATTATAAATAATAATGTTAGGGATTATCATATTGTTGCGACGACAAATTTTCTTGATATTAAAGTTAATTCAAACCTTTGCCATTTAGTTTTCTTTAGGGCTATGGATAACGAGAAGAGTATGATGCAGGAATATAATTTAAATTGTTATTGCATTATTGAGAGGAGAAGTTTAAGTTTTTCCTTTCTTTTCCTTGAGACATCTTCATAAATATATTAGTTTTAAATTAGGTAATGAGTGAGTCTTGTGATGCTATTTTGTGATTTTTAAATGTAGATTTAGTGCTGTATTACTTAATATAACGACAGTTGCTTTCTTTAAAGGAACTTTACTCTTTGATATTTAATGGGAAATGTGTGGTTTTTTAATTAAATCCAGTTTTTGTTAATTCTGAATTGCTTTTGATATTATTAATTAAATATTAATTTATTATTTATTATTAAATCCGAGTGACAAAAAATTTCCTTCTTAAGTAAAACTTGTCTATTCTGTTTAATCAAAAAACTTCACCCTTTATTTATAAATGATTATTTTGTAAGGAGATTATTAGCTCTAACAAACCAATTCGTAAGCCAGATTCGAAAGTATCCGAGCAAGCTAATCTTGACACATATGGCAACATAAAAAAGAACCCTTTTTTTAAAACATTTTACTTTGGATGCTCTATCTTTAGAAATATTAAGGGCTTTCTTTCATAAAATTTAAATGCAAGAAGTTGTTTTAAGATTTTTGATGATTTTAAAAGATAAACCAAAAGTTTACAAATTAAATTTAAATTTTATACGGCATTATTTTAGTAGTCCTAGCAGCCATTGCGTAGTAGTCAAATGGTTGTCAAATTCGGAAAATCGTTACCGTATAATTAGGTTTTACTTCATATTATTATCATATTGCTTAAAAAAAAAAAATCAAAAGCGGGAGAATAAAAATTTATTAGTATTGATAAATTACAATACAACATTAAAAGATAAATCAGCCAGTGTAAAAATAGTTGAACGATCTCACGAGTAAATAAATACGAATTTTTTTTATATGTATTGACTTACTCAGTCTGGGAGATACTTAACGTTCTTATTTAAGAAAACACATAATTAAATGTGAGAAACAAAAAATAAAAAATCCATATAAAAGGCAAAATAAAAACAAAAAAAACTATTATCAGTAAAAATTAGTTAAGGGGGATATTTATTAACAAAAATTAACCAGTGTGACAAAAATTTAAAGCAAATCGCGACATTTATTGTAATTAAATACTGTACTTTCAAATTAATATCTAACCATGTTAAAAATATAGATTTCGCTATGATAAGTGATTTTAATAGTCAGCCTAAATTTGATTTATAATAGCTATTTTAATTGCTAAATTTTATAATTTTGCTATTTTTATACATAAATAATTATTATCTATAAACTAATTCAACGTTTTAATATAATACATCAATAAAGCCTGTTTATTACATAAACTACTATTGTAAAAGCAATAAAATATGAAATTTAACTAAGGATCAAGTAATAAAGTACTCTGATATCTCCTCTGTAAATTCCCTTATTTTTTTATTACTAAATGCCGTTGAAATATGTTTTAATTATAATTTATAAAAACTATTTTTAAAATTTTTTCCTATAATAAATAATGCGTGGAAGCTCTAATAAAAGCTTGAATATTCAGTAAATTAAAACATAACTTTAATAAAAATAGAACTGCTGAATGAATATTGATTAATTATCTTTAAATATTTTGAATTAAGGCAGAAAAAAAAAAAAAATTAAATCCACTATCAATTCTTATATAAATGAATCTCATTTGTAGATTTACTTTTTTCTGATTATTTCTCCCCAAAAAAAATTATTAAAAAAATTCTTTACACTTTATCTATTTAATTATTTTTTTAAACAATAGTGCATGAATTTGAACAAAATACTCTAATTTAGAGTAAAATAAATATCTTTATAAAAAGATTTGTAAATTGAGGTCTCTCGTTTGAAGAGAGTCTTTTTAAAAATTATAAATAAATATATCATTTCTGATATGGAAGGATTACGTTAATACTTAGATTTAATAAATTACATTTTAAGATTCCTGACTCCAACTAGGAAGTCACTTTAGGGAAAACAATATGGCTTATATTTAGAAAATAATTTTACACATTTCATTAGATATGATTTTATGTTATAGATTTCCACTTAAATATTTTTCATTTTGAATTTTTTTAATGAAATTCCAAAAACTTGATAATATAGATAGAATCCTTACATATTAAAAAAAAAATCAATTAATTATTCATATATATTTACAACAACAAATAATATTTGCCGAACAAGCAATAATAAAAACACGTATTAATCAATCACTTAATTAATTAGATATTTATTTGTTTATTTATTTATTTTACTTTAATTAAATGATAGTAAAAGATATATGTAAATCTTTATTATTTCCTTTCATTCATTTTTATAATTTACATTGAATTAAATTATATATCTTGCAGATTTTAAATCTTTTAATCTTAAACGCCAAAAGTTTAGATATTTTTGAAGCTTTTTATAATTCAAAATACAATAGTTTTTCAATATGAGACACTAAACAACTGTAAGTGGTTAGGAAGATAGATCCTCAAATGTAATTAGTGCTCCTGAATAGTAGGGCTTAGTAGAAAATTGGAAAAGATAAGCAATTAGCGAAAGCACTTTAAATAAATTGCTCGAAAAAGACTATGATCAATAAAACTTTGTTTTGGAGAATTTAAGAGATAAGGATATGGCCGACATAAGCGAAATTCATTAAAAGATGAGCCATTTAAATTCAACACTAGTTACCAACTTGGATGTCTCTTTGTAAAAGAATTATATGGCATTAATAGGAGATATGCATAAAATTAAAGACTTCTCCTTGGACATAGAAAATTGTAAAGATAAAATGCACAAAGTGTAATAAAGCTTGATTAGCTTGCATTCTCTCTTTACATAAAATTATGAAACTATATAAAATAAAATGCCTTTACTCAAAAATGCCAAAGAAGCAGCCGTAATCGTTTAAAAATCAATTAAATATTTATAAAATCTTAAAATTCTTAAATCTTTGGTCTCTTCTCGCTACGAAATTACTGATTTAGTAAAGACTTCTCTTATTTTGTAAGAAATAAATGAGCATGCACCTGCTTTGGCGGACTTAGAATTTTATGAAAACTCGAAATCTTTTCTGCTTCAAGTCTAAGAGCAAGTAGTTAAAAAAGCTGAGAAAAAATTTAACGATGCCCTCCTTCAAAAGAATTAAATTGAAATTTCTCAATCCATATAGATTTTCTTTCATTTAGGGATATTAGCTGAATAATTGGAATAAAGGGCAAATTTTTCTTTAAAGAATTCAAGTGCTTCATGGCGTTAAGTAAATTCTAACATATTTGCTTTCATTAACTTACTAAATACCAATAAATATTTTATCCAAATAAAACCTAAAATTTTTTAAACTGAAAATAGTAATTACAACAAATTTAAATATTTGATAGTAAATCATTAGCATAGATTTTTATGATAAATTAATTTATTTAAATTACAAGGTACTTATTAAAGAATACAGCGGTGAATACTAAGGAGCCCTAATAGTTTAAATTAAAAATTTACTCACAGAAGACTATTCAAATGCTCAATAAATGTGGCTACTAAACTAAAGTGTAAAAGCAAGTAGAGATCCTAAGTCTATGGAAAGTTACGAAACTTTTCTATCAGGAAAGAATGTCTTAAAATTGTTTGATCTTTTCTGGAATAAACAGGTAAATAAAAAATAATTTTATTTCATTTGTTCTGTCTTTGATTAAACATTAAAATTATTCTATATTAAGATAAAATTTTGATTCTCTATTCTTAGAGAACTTTTCAAATTTTACAATCAATTCTTAAATATACTCAAATTCGATTTATTGATTTCTTTATTTATTTATTAAGCTTACTGCAATTTTTTTTCTGTTTTAACTAGCTAATATTCAATTAAATACTTTCTATTTTAATATTTAAAAGTGCCTTATCGTCTAATAGAGCTTTTAAAAGCTTTAAGAAAACTAATCGAAATACACCTAAAATTATAAAACTGTGGTTTCCTCTTATCCTAGAATTTTTGGGATGCTGGAAAACTTTGTAAACAACTTTAATGAATATGTCTTAAGCTTTCCTGATAGCATAATTAGTTACGATTTTCCAGAATTGAAAAAGAGGTTCCTCAATTCTTTGGCTATTTTATCCCCTGCTTATTATCAGAACCTTACCTAAAAAGTCTCAAGTCAATCTCTCAAAGTCATTAAATTGCTTTAGACATTTGATTAAACTCCTTTTAATACTTTAGTATCAAATGTTTAATCCGAATTAGAAACAGGCTTAATAGTAGAATTTAATTTTTAGGCAAAAGATAATTTCCCATCCTGTGCGTTGATTTACAAATAATCTTCTAAAAGTAATTTTATTTATTAGACAAATATTAAGTAAATTTACTGATTCAATTTATTTGAGAGGAACAAAAATTAACCTATTTTCTGATTTTCAGAATTAAGATTACTTACTTTCTCAAAATTACATCAAAGAAAACTCAACTGTTATTTACCATAAACAATACGAAAGAATGAGAAAAAAAAAACAAATTTTATTTAATTTTACTGTCAACTTTTTGATTCTATAAAAATACACTTAACATTTAATTAAATTACATTAATTTATTTAATTTTATGACCTGGATTGTTATTATTTTTTAAAACTATTGCTTGATATAACGGTAAAAATTTATTTTATATAATTTAAAGTATATATCAGTGAATGCCAAAAATTCTTGCAGCAAGTAAAGTAGCTTTATAAGGGAAAGCAAATCACGATAGGGGAAAGTTTTGCTTTAATATATACTTTGAGCATCTACAAAAGCTAAATTTTAGATAATCTTCTCAATTAGGAATACAATGATTAAGTAGACATGGAGTTCTATGACACCGTCCTTGCTGAATATGTAGATTACATATAAGAGGTAACAAGGGTTTACTACTTAGCTGGGTTTAACCAAAACACTAATAACTTCCTTAGCTTATATTTTACTTCTTAAACCTAAAAAGTAGCTTATAACCAAAAGATCTTTACTTAGATGCAAACATTCTTCAAAAACTACAGTCCTTATAGTTACTTTGAGAAATCTAAATACTTTGATTAACTATTTCTACAAGAATACTATAAATACTTTTAAGGATTTTTAAGAGATTTCTGTTTCTTAATAATATATTTTTACAAAAATATGAGTCAAAATATAGATGAACAAACAAGTTTAGGGTAAGAAATAGAGGCGATGTCGTCTATTATCGAAAAAAATGGATCCTCGGAATTTGCAGCATCTGATATGAAGCTTATCATAAATTTGTAAAAGATATTCTATGTAGACTCTAAAAGCGCTTCATAAATTATATAGTAGTCTTAAGACTTTACTTTTTATCTAAAAGAAGGAATTATTCAACTAGCCTTTATACAAAGGTTAGAACAACAAATTAACAAACCTTTGATAAGTAATTTGGATTACAAGGAATCATACTCTTCCTTCAAATCTAAGCTTATAAAAAATATAAAGTCTTTAATTAGTGAGTACATTTAAGAAAACCAAGAATTAATTAGTAAATTCGATGAGTACGATTTCTTAAAAGACCATCATTGAATTATTTTAAGACAAACAAATTATTTAAATTTTAATAAAAAATTCATAATTCTCAAATTTGATAAAATGAAAGAAACTTCTCATCTTTTAACACCAACTTAACTTAAAAAGCTTTTACATTCAAAATTGGTTATTAATAAAAACAACCTTTTAAAATTTTGATAATAAAGTCTTGTTAATATATGAGAAATTACAGTAAGCAAAATTATTTATTTTTCATATTGAATGTTTTACAGATTAATTGATAAAACTGTATAAATAAATATCTAATTAATATATATTTATATCTATCCTAGTTTTATTATTATTTTAAAAATTAATTCTAATCAATAAAAAAGGTATTTGTTAATCTTTAAAAGTTACAATTTCATTTAGTTATATGGACTAATAATTTAATACATTAAGTACTTGCAATTTGAAAAAATATATATTTATAATTGTAAGTGATAGAATTTTGAGAAATAAGATAAAAAGAAGTAATGAAAGAATAATAATTTAAAATATATTTTTTTATTAAATGATTTAAACTAGTATATTATTTGTTAGTTTATTTATTTATTTATATATTTATTTATCTATCTATTATCTGCTTTCAATCAATCAATCATGATTTGGATAAATGAGCATTAGCTGTAGAATAAATGATAACTCATGAATTAAATAGATAATTTGTTAATAAAATCTATTTTTTGAAAATTGTATTAAATATCAATATCTATCTATCGATTTATTTATTTTCAACATCATATTTCTAATATTGAAATTTATGTTTATAAATTATTAAGGTCATTGGTAGTAAATGTAAGATGTGTTTAAGTTAAAAAAGTTGAAATTCAAATGAGATAAGTTTCTTATAGAATCCATATGATGAACAGCTTCGTATATTTGAGTATAGCCGAAAGGCTACTGTATTGAATAATAAAAGAATTTAAGACTTTAAGCTACTTCAATAGATTCAATATATTTATGAGAGAATATATTAGCTTGTTAAATTTAACTGTTTTTTATAACAGCTAATTCAATTTATTTTTATTATAAATCATAAGATTTATTAATTTAATCTGTTCTTACATATAGCTGCTTTTTAGAAGATTTTCCCGTATTTTATTTTTTAAGTGTAAGAGGAGGATTTGAAGGGGAATTTCTGCGATCATCAGGACTATGGGTAATAGCTCTGCCTCTGTAAGTAGAACTTTTTATAGAGTTTTGCTCTGTATCTTAGGCTGCAACATGTGGGTGAGGGGCTTGTGAAAGCTGGAACATTTGAGGACTTTGTAGATTAAGCTTTTTTATTTTGAGATCTTCACTTTTATTTTTAGTTTCATCTTCTACAAAATTTACTTTTTTACTGTTAAATCCATTATTGTGATTTAGATTGTTTGTTTAAAATTTATTTTAGCTAGTATTATTTCCTTTATCAACTAAATTGTTTATTGAATATTATAATATATCTGTTTCATTAGGGTTTTTATTCATAGACCTTGCAGTATTTATTCCATAATCTTATCTATCAATTTAATGCCCGCCGCCCATAAAATTAGATTTATTCTTGTTTTAATTCTAGGGTTCGTTAGGTACGCTTACCGATTCTAGAGATTCATTTTAGGAAGATTCTCTAGAATTTGTTTTATTTGGTTAAAACCTAATGTCTTCTAAATTATGCTATGATTATGTTATGTTAGGAGGTATTTTATAGGTGTAGGATGCATTTTATTTTTCTAAAAATCCATTTTTATAATTGCCGTTATAATTGTTTTGATCAATAAAATATTAATTAATTTATGAAGGTATCTGTAGTTTGAAATCTGATTTAGTATCATTTATATTATAATCATTTTACTGAATTAAAGGTATTTCTGCTTCTAAATTTCTATAAATACTTATGTTGTAGTCAAAGAAAATTATCTTTTGGTTTTATTTTTTGTTTCTATAATATTGGTTTATTAGTTACACTATCTCCCTAAATTGAATTTCCTCTAACTTATCTATTAGAATAAATTCAAAATAGTATTTTCCGAGGAGATCTTTGTATTTATCTTTGTTATTAGCATGCTTTACTAACTCTTTCTTATTATTACAAATATTTAGAAGTAGCTAGTAAAGGCTTGCAGATATTTTAATATCACAGCTGACAATCAAAAACATAGAAGATTTTTTTTCATGGTTGTTTACCATTTAAGTTTGTGGATAAGGACTATTATTATTTAAATTTGGAAAGCTATTTTACCTGATAGTGTTGTTATTGCTGCTATTTATATTTTGATTTATTTATAAGAAATTATTTGTTCCTGCTCTATCAAAAATATTAATGTTAGATCCATTATTATCATGTACATTTTTGTTAGCCTTTTTTTATTAAACGCCATAATAAAAATAAGGATCTGGTAATTTAATTTGAATATTATTAAACTATATCTTAACATCAACTTGAGATTTAATTTTCAATGGAGAGTTTAAATTAGAATTAACAATTGGTAGGGAGGGATTTTTCCCATTTACTTAACTTCCATCATGGAGTTATGTTTAATTATTCCTAATAAGCTGATCTATATTTAACTATTAATTACTATTATTAGACACATCTCTCTCCTTTGGTTCATTTGGTGCCTCTTAAAAAACGTTTTGACTAATATTATTGTATGTCTAATTATAGTATTCTTCATGTAAATTCTTAGATATTTTTACTACATAATATGTTCTATCATTCACTTTATCTGGTACAATTAAAAAAGGCTTTTCTTATTATTGTGTAATAGATTTTGCCAATAATGTTATTATTCCAAAGCCAGATCCACTTTCTGAGTAGCCTTTTGTATTGACATCTTCAATAACTCTTTCATTAATAGTATTATTACTATCTATTAATTTGATGCAAATAAGATTTGATTTTTCTTCTTTGACCTGTATATCAATAGTACCAACTTTTTAATAATTCAAGCTATTTTCTATTAGCAGAATCAATATTCTTTTTAATTTTTCATAATCTGTGTTTAGCAAACACTCACCTTAATTTATTTCTTATAGACTAATAGTAGTTGATTTTAAGTTCACTTCTTAAGAAAATAAACTACGGACCTCCTCAAATAGGTGCTTGAACTTAAATTAACTTATATTTTTTTATTATATTTTAATTACTTAGTCTCTTACATTTGCATTAAATCCCTATTATTCTTATAGATACTCGCGGTACTCTTCCATATCCTTTGTGATCATCCTAAGATACTCAAACTAAAATGCTAACTAATTGAGTTCTTGCTCATTATTTGCATTGAAGTTTTTTATGCTATCTATATTAAATAAAACAAATAATTAATGTTGTTAATGAATGTTTTATTACTCATTTTATTTTCTATCATTAAAAGTATTATTTTTACTTAATAATTTAAAAAAAATAATCACTTTTTAATTTCAATAAAAATTTGTGTTAAACTATAGAAAAAAATTATTTTGTTTTATGTATGTTTGTGTGAGAGAAAGAGCGTTTTGTGGGTAATTTAGTAAATTACTTCAAAACAAATAAAAATATTGATTATTATTTATTAATTATAAAGAAAAAAAAGATAGATGTAGTATTTGGATGGTCAAGAATAGTTGTTACACTATTAAAATTTAATCTATCAAAAATTATCAGAAATGCTAAGAACTGCTCTAAATTAAGAAGAAGTGTTGATTTTATATTTAATAGAATTTAAATCAATCATAAATTAGTAAGTAAATAACTAACTTATAAATTAACTTACTTACTAACTAACTAACTGACTAACTTGACAATAATTTTAAAGAAATTATAAATTAAAAAGAGATTTAATAACTTTATCACTTACCAAACTTACAAAGTAATGAAGTTATACATCTTGAGAATTTTTCAGTACGAGTTTTAAAAAATTATAGTAATCTCTAAGTGGTTTCATCTGTGTTTGTGTTGCTAGTCGTATCACTGGTACTGAAACTCTGTTTTTTACTCATTGAAAAAAATAAACTCCATTAAGATTTGTGCTTACATTTAAATAAATTAGCACTATAAAGCATATTTTCGTGTTGAATTTCAACATCTTATAATTTTGTTCTTGTGAGGAGGCAATTCTAAACACCAATTCCACTTTTTTTTTAACTCTTAAATTGAATCCAAAAAAGCAAGACAAGGATAATTTCTTGCATGTTAAAAGAATTGACAAGTAACCTTTGCTCTTGGTAATGATTAGGATCCCTGTTTATTTATTCCTTTATATTTGAAATACACTTTTTAAGAGAGTCTAAAAACCAAAGTTACTATTCTAAGCCATTCATTTAATATTTTTATTAATTTTTATTATCAAAATTAAATACATTTTTCCTTTAATTTGCCATATGATCTTAGTCTTACACACTCTGATGCTACTCATCTTACACTTCAGATGTATTTGAATTATGATACTTGCAATTATCTACATTATTAAAATGTGCTAAAGAACCTTGGTTCTGCTAGTTAATCATATTGTTTTACCTTTCCTATGATATATTTTTTACAAAATCCTCAAAGCTGGATGAAGAATATTCAGTCAAAAGTTTATATATTTTTTTTTATATTTTTAAAATATCGCTTTTCTAATTGACTTTCATCCTTGACATTAAATTTTGCATATACTTTTTATCAAAATTTTGTTGAAATATTCTATTTATCTAGTAGAATCTCAATTTATGCTGCTCATTTTACTATAAATATGTGAAAAATATATAATCACTTATTCCTTCTTTTAAAGCCTCCTTTTATATTCTCAGTTTTAATTTCTTTTTCTCGAGCTTATTCTTATATTAGTGGCTCTTTAATTCTTCTTAGAAGTTAGAGAGTTCATCTAGTAATCTAAAATACTTCCAAATAACAAACGAATTATAAAGCAAAAAGGCAATCATAAACAATAAATCAATTATTTGATAAAATAGTATTATTTAATATATCATAAATACAATTATAAGCATTAAAACCATTAAAGCAGCATGTCTATTGCCAAAGTTAATTCTTCCAATCAATATGCAAGAATAGTATATGAGAATCATAAACATCTTTATTTGCTTTTAATTCTAATTATAATCAACTGCATTTGTTTCTACTGCAAACATAACTGAGAACGATATCAAAATAATATGGAAGCATGTGAAAGCATTATGACTATGAAAGCGATAAACTAATATGAAATTTATAAAAAAACCTAAAAAGAAACAAACTAATGGTAGTAGCATACTTTATATATCAAGACTAATAGTGTTTTCGTAATAAAAAATTAAATAGCTAAACGCTTAACCAATAATTTTTAAAAAAATATAAGCCTTTTCTATCATCAAAACTTACTTCTTTCTTGTTTTTTATCGACCTTATTGATTTTAAGAGAGTCTTTGCATTTTTGATCTTCCCTTTGTATTGTAACAATAATTTATATTTAATTCCTTTGATCTATTTAGGTGTTCTTACTTTTATTTTTTACTCTTTATATAAATTGATAATTAAAGTGACCGCGCTAGCGCTATTCGCAGTACCTATACTCCTCGATTTATTTCGAAGTAAACCTAACTATTTATTTTTCCAGTATTGCAACTATTCTACTTATGTTATATTTAATATTGTTTTGTTGGAATATTAGTTTATTAAAAAATTTAATGCTTTTTTTTCACTTGTCTTTAGTTTTTTGATATTATTTGTACTTTGTATTTGTTTACTATGAAACAAGCAAACAAAACAAAAAAAACAAACAATTTAATAAATGATAAGTTTTGATTAAACCAAATAAGGATTCTTTTTAATCAATGATTATAAATTTCCTACATTCAAATAATTAAAAAATCATTTATCTATTTAATTACCTATCATTTTACTAACATATTAAAAGATTATATATTATTTAATTAATTAATTAATGAATATGATCTTCTTTAACTTTCTATTGTTAATCAAAATTATTTATTCAATCTAGAATTCACAATTTTTTTGATTGTTTTAAAATCTTATCAATATAGATTTCAGTAAACATTATACTTTTAATCTAAATTTTCAATTTAATTTAACATTTTTTCAATTTAATCCTCTTTACATTAAAATCAAAATAAATAATCCACTTATTATCCTAGCTTTTATCAATGTTTTATTACTTGTTACATTGATGCTGCTAAAAAAAAATTGTATTTTTAATAAAAAATCTTTTAAGTGTGTTATCTAACTAACTAACTAACTAACTAACTAAATTAATTAATTTAAATAAGTTTTAAAATTACTTAAACTCAAATGTACAAATTCTATCCTCAAATCCCTGATGTTAAAATGCTTAGATATAAATATAAAAGAAATAGTTTTAACTAATCCATTTAAGTAGCATCTTTTTTTGCATAACTTAAATAAAATTTAATTGAATTCAATTATATTCAGTAATAAATTTTATTCCACTTTAAACCAATAAAACTCAGAATCATTAAAATATCATAATTTTTTCTATTACATTATAATGGTATGATAACAAAATTTTTATTGAAAAAATAGTTAATGTGATTTTTTCCCTTAAATCATATTCAATAATCTGATTTTGGTAAAATTATCAAAATGAAAGATATTAATAATATGTTTAATAAAGACGAAATCCATAGCTGATTGTGAAATATTAAGGTAGTTTATTTTTAATTGATTTCGATATTTCAAATAGATCTTTATTCTAAATTTAATTTTTATCCTTAAGTAAATTAATAGATTATGAATTATTTTTATTTAATTTCCATTTATCAAATTTTAAGAATTCGATTCTAAAAGTATATAAACTATTATAGATTGAGAGCTGTATTTAAAAGTTTGTTAAATTTAAATCAAAACTGATTATTTTAAAATAATTTAGAATAAAATTTTAGTTTTAAACTTTATTTGTTAAAAATTTAATAAATAAAATCATTTCTTCAAAATATGAAAAATTTGTGGATTTTGATAATTTGATTATAAAATTTTTTAGAATTAATAATTGAATTAAGGCTATTAAATATTGCTGACTCTAATTTTAGAAAATTCATAAATAGGTAAAATATCTAGAAGTTAATAATATATAAATCAAAATTTAAACATCAAAACATTAAAAAAATATATCTACTAAAAGAGAACTAGCATAATTTATAAAAATGAGACATGGTATAGCAGCTTCAATAGCATCGAAAAAGAGAAGGCAGGAAGCATTGGGCAAAGCAAAAAAATATATGTGTACTTAAATATTTTTATTTGTTTTCTTATTATTAATTTTGATAAAAATATGTATTTAGAGGCAGATGAAGAAAGTTAGCAAAATGAATAAGATAATATTTAGCTACTTAAGAAAAAAGTGTTTACAATTTCCTTTTATCCTATTCTAACTTGGACTGTTGGAATCGCAATAATTATATTAGGAATTTACTTTATTTCAGTAATTGCTGCGTAAGACTAAGAAGCAAACATTAAAGGATTTAATTAAGGGTAAATAGTATAAATAATTTTACATTTTTTGTTTACAACAAAATCATCTAAATAAATGAAAAGATATTTTTATAAATAAATAATTCAATTAATTAATAAGGCTTTTTTATAAAATAAAAATATAAGGTATTGGTGGTAATACTTTATCTGTGTGTGCGTGGTATTATTTGGACTTGGCATAATGTTTGTTCAAAAAATATAAAAAATAGTTATTGATAAAGAAGTAAAATTGTTAAGTTGAGAGTTAATTAAAAAATTAATAAAAATTTTGTTAATTAATTAAAATTAGAAAGGTTTGATCTTCATCAGAAAAAGGAATATAATATGCTTATTAAAAGAATTGTAAAAGCCCGTCAACACTTTCTAGGATATTTACATTTTAAAAAAGGGATATGAAAGTAAAATGAATGCATTTTCAAAAGTAGAAAATTAATTTTAAAATATAAAATAAAAGCTAAGTTCAGTAAAGCAATCCATTATACACTTTCTATGAGTTTTTCAGATTAACATGAAAGGGTGAGTCTGCTTGAATTTAGATCTTTAGAAAAAGCAAAAAGAAGAGTAAAAAATAGATTGCCAAAATAATACTTTGAAATTTTTATTTATAATTTATATAGTTCATTTAGATTCGTAAATTTTTAGGATTGGCTACAGATGAATAAAATATTGGAGTGGTAGATGAAAGCAACTGAAGTTAAATAAAAATTAATTTATTACTTTTCAAGAGTTATAAACAAAAATAGCAATTTTGCAATTCAAATTCTTAATTTATTTATATAAAGTACTAAGTTTTTATAAACTAAATCCATTTCGTTTGTTTACAATAAGCTAAGTCTAACGAGAAATTTAAAAAAACCTTTAAAATCTAATTAGCATTTTTTCTCATTTTCTAGTTTTTCTAGATAAATTTTTTAAAGCTGAACAAATAAAATTAGCATAAAAATAATTAATAAATTTTTATAGTTTTATTAAAATATTAAATTAGAATACATATAATTAATTAGTAATTTCTTTACCAGAAATCAAAAATAAAATAAATAAGTGTTTATTTAAGATAGAATCTAAATCACGCTTTTAAGTCATGCTAATTTATTTAATATTCTAAATTTTTACTGGTTGAAATGAAAAAAATATGAAAAATATAACAAAAATACAATATAAATTAATTTTAAAAAAATATTTTAAATTTTTTAGATTTTTGAATGATCTAAAAAATATTTAATAAAGAAAGTTTTATAAATGTCTATGATGGCTCAGTTTCATTGATATTTTTTGATTTATATATATCAAAAATTAGATATTTATAATTTTTAAGGGATTTTACATAATTTATTCAATTAAAGATTAATTCAATCAAGAAATATTGATTTTGATAAAATTGACCTTTAAGTAGAATAAAAGAATATTTTTCAAAAGAAAATGAATAACATTCAGATGATTCAGCTAGTTGAAGAAAATGAGACTTCTTCTTAAAGCAAAAATAATAAATAGAGTTAAATTTCATAAGATGAAATCGTATTCAAATTGATTGAATTTTAACGTATGTAAATTAATAGCATAAAAATTTATTATGATTATTAAAATATTTATTTTTCTCTAGAATAACAGCCTCCAATTCAGAAAAAGAGAATTAAAAAAATGACTGTGTAAAAAATATTTGAAAAGAATGATAGATAAGCTAGATTAAAAACTCATAAGAGGGAAGTTGATATAAAGAATGTAAACGCTCTTCAAAAACTTAAGATAACAAAGCAATCTAAAAAAATATCAAAACATACAGTTATCACTATTATTAGTACAATATTTTAAGCTTTAATGGCTTTTCTTGCAAGCATTCTCTATATCATAAATACCTACTATGTATAACATTAAGAAATGTAATACATTTTATATAAACATAATATTAATTCAATATTTTGCTTGACTTTACTTTTAAATTATTGATAAAATATTTGTGAAAATTTAATCTGTAAAATCAAATATTTCGAACATAGTTTTTATATAAAGAATTTATTGCTTAAATATAATATTAAATAAATAGGGAGCCTACTTTTATTCTTTGGGAAACATTGTTTGGTATTGTTTTTCTTATAGATTATCTTTGGAATTTTTATCGCTCCTAAGATAAAGTAATATTTAAACAGATATACATATATTTTGATGGATAATAAAATAATATTAAGATATAAAATTTTAATATTTAAAAAGGTTAAGTTCTTTTTCAAAATAAGAAATCTGATAGATTTAATAACAATAATTCCAACTTTACTTAATCAAATACCAGTAAAATAAATTTAGAACTATATTTGTATATGAATTAATTTTGATGCTACTATAAATAATTAGCCACTTACAAGTGAATTCACTGTCTTTTTAGCAGGTTTTGTAGGAATTGTTAGAGTAACTCGAATTTTCAGAGTTTTTAGGATTTACAAGCTATACAAAGAAAGTTAAGAGCAGAACTACAGCTTAAGAGAATATTGGGAGGTCAAAAGGAAGCAATTGGTTATTATTTCTTAACTCTTCGTTTCTTTACTAGTTGCAGCAGGTATTTTTAAAACTTTAAATTGAAAAATTTAATTATTTTTTACTTCATTACTAGGACTTATCTAAGTTTTTCATGAGTTAGAATTTGGATTCTAGATAGGACATGATAAATAACTCTCATTCGATTAAGCTTTGTATTACATAACAGTAACTTGTGCAACAGTAGGTTATGGAGATTTAACTCCAGCAAATGAACTTTCTTAAGTTATAGTTCTCATATTTATTGTTTTCATTATATATACTATTACCAAAACAACTACAGACTTTAATGAACTATCAAATGTAAATTAAAAAAAATAAATTTACTTCTTTCTCTTCATGAGTCATATTTTTATTAGATTACTTCTAAATATAAACTTCCATATGAAGGACACCAAAAGAAGCATGTCTTTTTAATTGGAAACGTAAATCCAGAAAATTTTATCACTTTTGCTAAAGAATTTTATCATCCTGACATATGTTAAGACTAAGATGTGCCTTTATTAATTATGCTTCCATAAGAACCTAATAATGTAAATAAATAAGTAATAATAAATTTTATTTACATTTTACTTTGACAAATTAATTAGGACTGGAGAAGTATTTTTAAAAGCTCATAATTTGTAGGTAAGGTGTATTACCTTGTGGGAAATCCTCTCAAAAAAAGCGATTTGCTTTTAGCAAAATTAACAAGTAATAAAATTATGATATTTGTTGATTAGTTTTCAATAGAAAATACAAAAGAAGACTCGTTTGCTTTACTAGCTACTCAAGTCATCAGTGATTTATATCCACGTTGCTAAATATTCACTCAAGTAAACAGTAAAGAAAATCTATTTTGGAATTTCTGGCATGGTTAAAAATCACTCACATCATCTAATTTGCTTACAATGGGTATTTTACTAAATTTTTTACATTTTTTGAGATGATATTAATAAAAAATAAAACAGCAATGTAGTTTTTCAATATTTAACTTACCAATCTCATTTCAAAAAATTTATAAAAAAATTTTTAAAATTTAACAAATAATAAAACTTTAATAAATTGAATCAGGATTTTTATTTAATATATCAGTATATAATATAAAATATTACTAAACCTAATTGATATAAAAAAATATTATTATCTATTAAATAATAGGAACAATTACTTAGAATGTATTTATTCCTGGTTTTTCTACAATGATCAGCAACTTATCTATGAGCTTAAGCGAATGTAATAAAATCAATACTATTTAAATATTAATGAATGAAATATTTCTAAAATATACAAAGCGAACTAATTAGTAGAGGACTATTCTCCTTGGAAATTAGAATTTATTGAGGGAATGAGTAATGAAATTTACATTTTCGATTTCAAAGAAGACAAAAATAATTGCTATGTCGGAAAATCATTTTAATAAGCTTGCTTGGAGATATATAATAAAACTGGAATTCTTATGATTGGTTTAAAGATAAAAAATAGATCACGTAAATTATGAAAAAGGATTTAAAAGTTATAATTATTATATAAAATACAGTCAGCCAAGAATGTGATCATTATGATATTGTCATTAATCCTATTGACTATAATATTGGACATGAAGATTTTGCTATCATTCTTGCTAAAAATTACATCCATTGCCAATAGATTATTTAAACTGCTTCAAATGAATTAGGGGAACTTAGAGAATAAGAATCTTATGTCCCTAATTATCACTAGATAAGTGGTTAAATTGAGTCAATCTAATTCTAAGAATTTGTATATTGATTTTATACAAAAACATTATTTAAAAATTGTTTTATTTTTTTAGAGCGAAGGAAATTTAGAATAAACTTTCTTCAGGATGTCAAAATTTGATATGAGAAAATAAATAATTAATCACATTTTAATCATTGGTGAAATAACATTTGCTGAGCAGCTCGTTGAAGAATTAAGAACAAAAACAAATTTAACAATATGCTATGTGTCCAAGGTAAAACAAATTTTGCTATCAAAATAAGCTATAAACTAAAAAAAATTAATCAAAGAATCCTCCAGATGAGTAATGGGAAGTAATCAAGAGGAAGTATACTAAGTTGTATTATTTTGAATGTTAATTTTTCAACATTGATGAACTTGAAAGAACTGCTATAAGAAATTCATTCCATACCATAATTATGTGTGGAAGTGAAGGAAGTGAGTTATCAGATAGTAAAATCCTTCCTTTGGCAAATATAATATCAGAGAACTTTTAAGAAATCAACTACACATTGTAAAAAATATTTAATATGCTTTTAGATAATAATTAAAATAATTTAATTTGAATTGTAAAGGTGCTTAAGAAAAGAAAGAAATGTGAAATATATTATTAATAGAGTAATTGACGAAGGTATTTAGTTAAAAAGGTATTAAAATTATTAAACAGCAAATGGTAGCTATACAAATCCATTATTTGCTTCATCTAAAATATTTTATAACTCTCAAATCTATTACTAAATGGCAAGAGTAAATAATAAAATTAAAAAAAAAATTATCAACTTAATTATATTAAATTAAAACAGAGCTTACACTTTAACGATTTTGGTAATGTATTGGAAAAGTTGATATCACCTCATTTATATCCTAACCTTTCCAAAATTAGTGAAAATAATTAATTCTCGTATGTATAAATTCCTTATACACTAAGCAATCTCTACACTTATCAATAAGTATAATTATGATTTAGTCAAAATGTATTTTTTAACTTAAATAAAAACTAGGTGTTCGACTTCTTTATTAGAAAGAAAATAATCCCTATTGCTCTCTATAGAAAAGCATTTTCACTTGATAATGAAGAAGATTTTATCTATACTAATCCAAACCCATAAGCTCCTATTTTGGTAATATTTTATATTATAAAAAACTTTAAGTAAAAATATTTTTTTTATGTAGAAAGGGGATTTGCTAATTGTTATTGGTAATTCGAATTTTAATAAAGAAACAGCTCAGATTAAAACTAGTGATAATGTCATAAAATTATAAAGTTAAGAAAGCCTGAGCTTATAAGAAAAAGAAAAGAATAAAAAATTAAATAGAAAATTAATTGAGTAAATGAAATTAGGGTTAATAGGTTTAATGCCAGAACTGAACATTTTCAGTGAAGAAAGAGATTCAAGTGAATAAAAAGGATTGTCCAGAATACAAAACATCTCAAAAAATATAATAGAAATGAACCAAAAATTTAATTTAAAGAATCAATCATCTATCTAATATCTTTGCGAGTAATTTTAAATTTAGCCTGAGCAAATATAATAACTAAATGAATTGAATCACTAATTATAAAATTTAATAAATGATAACTAATAATTGAGATTAAATTTATCCAAAAAAATTGCTGATAAAGCCATAGCTTCTCGTTAAATTTCAATAAGCATTAACTACCAAAGCTAAGATAATAAAAAGTAAATGCTTTGAATGAAGAATCTTAAAAAATAAGAGTAAAAATAATTTAAATTAATCTAGGAATTTTTTATTGTTGAAACTATTTGTTTAATAAAAATGCAAATTAAATAAAAAATATTCAAATTGATTTTTTTAATATGTATTTTACATATAGCCCTTCTTGGTAATTTATTTAATATCCATGCTGTATAGACAAAAAAAGTATTTTTAATATATTTTGCTAATATTTGATTAATTTGTTTTTGAGATGGTTCAAAAGCTGAAAAACAAATGATAATTAACAGTAAAAAACGATATTATTTAGTATATAAAATATATGACTGTTTATTATTCAATAAAGGGAAACAAACTAACTATCAAAAAAGCATATCTCATTTTAAGTGATTTGTATTAAGAATAATCAAAAGAATTTATTTTGTAGAAAGATTAAAAAATTTAAAAGAAATAGAGAAGTACCCCAGATAGAAGAACACATAAGGTTTTAAAAATAGTTTAAAGACTAGGAAATGTAAAAGCACTTTGAACAATACATCGAAGCTCTTAATTAGGGAAAAATAGAGCTTTGCATAGAATTGTGCAAGTTAGAGAATATTAGCGAAAAGGACATTTTATCAAGCTGTTCTTATATTAATAGCACATTGTTGAATTAAATTAAAGAAAATTTACACACATTAAAGAGTAAGTTTCTCTATGATTACCTCTTCAGCATTTATTAAAAGGGCTGCAAGATAAGTGTGTATTTTGACAGCGCAAATGTTTTTAAAGAAGATGATTCTTAAATATCTTCTGAAAATCCTACTGATGAATTATCAGTATCTACAACAGTTTATGCTCTTTCAAGTCCATTACTTAATATTGATATATTTTTGCTATGCGTATCTCATATGAATAACTTAATGACTCAAAAAATAATCTCACTTGAACTAAAGTAGCTCATGAACTCCATATTGTTGATGATTAGCTTGTTTGCAGAAGAAAAAGAAGTTTAAAACATTTGCAGAAGATAAAAATTTATAAACAATTTTATAAAACTATTTAATGACATTTTAGTCAATTCAAAACCTTCGGATACTAACCCAATAGATTAAAATATAGCAGTACTTTGTACTCACATTTTAGCCAAGCTCTCAAATAGGTCAAAGAAGAACTAAGATTACTTAATTCGCAAGAAAGCCCATGAAATATTTAAAGCAATTCTTATGTCTGGAGATAAAAATATTCTTATATTTTAGGCTACTGCAGGGTAAAATAAAAGTTTATATTTTTGAATGAAGTTTAAATATATAATAGAATAAAAAATGTTATAAATTAGTTTCTTTTTCATTTTTTTTGAAAGTTTTTAAGCTGTTTTTATTAATTAAAGATTGATAAGTAACTTAGCGCATAACTAAGACTCAAGACTTTTGATGTGGACAAGTGGAGTTTTAAATATTTGCAAGAAACTTTTGATAAGTTGTTAAAACAACTTAAAGATTGTGGAATTTAGTTATATTATTATAATGAAGTTAGCTTAGGAGTGTAAAGAAGTTGTAGAAGATATTAAAAACGATTAGTAATTTATGGACAACCTTAATCTTATATTAGCATAGCAAGATTTGATGGATATTAAAATTTAAAAATCTGAAAATCTTTCAATTTTCGGTTTAGCTGTTGGAATACTAAGAAAAATAGCTGGTTTCTAAGATTTTAGAGCTGTCATTTTAAAAAAGTATAGTAAATATCCTTTGAACTACATAATTAAAAATCAAGGTATTGTGAGCACAGGACCTAGTTAGATAGTTTAGACTTTCGTATAAAAAGAAGTATTAGCATTGATTGGCGTTTTTGCAATAGAAGAAGAAGGAAGACAGTTAGTTCTGAGATAGGTTCCAAAACTCTCTTCATCAATAATAAAGATATGCTTGAATTCTTTTGAAGATTCTAAGCTAGTTAAAGTCAGTTTAGGTATTCATTTTTAAATAATTTAGTCAGATTAAATCTAAAAAGTATATTTTAATTTTTAAGGTTGCCTTACAAATTTAAGTGTCCTTGAATAGAGCAGAGAAGAAGTTAGTAAAGAAAAAGATTTTTACATTTTAATTTTCACTACTATAGAAAAATATGACTACAGTTCAGGAATGTTAGAATATTGTTTAAAAATGATATTAAATAATTGTTCAAATTAAGTAAGCTTCAAGAACTTTAGCGTTCCAAAGCTAATTCTAAAGTTATTGTTCTTAGGATTTGCTTATCAATCTAATATTTTGATAGTCGACTTAGCAACAAAAATTTTAAAGGCTTTAAGTACAAATGCAGTAGTATTGTAAAATATAATTAAATGCTTTAGGGAATATGAAAATAGCAATCAATCTTATAAATATGCAAGTGTTGTTGTCAATCAACTTAAAATTTTAATTACTAATAATTTGCTTGACTCTGTTTTAGATTTAATTATCTTAATAGCTTGTATATGCACAGTAGACAAGCAATTTATTAACGAATTGCAAGAAAAAACTGATTTTTTGAGTGTAATTAAAGATATTCTAGATACTAATAGATAAAACCCAAAGGATTTGCAGAGACTATCATCATCCTTAGCATTCCTTCCCTTAGAAGAGTTTAAAGGGTTAATTTTAATTTGAGATAGCCAAAAAAATAAAAAGATATAATTAGTTAATAACACTGTAAGCATTTATTTATAAATATATATTTTTTATATATCTCTCTGCTCATTATTAGTTAATCTTAAAGTTAGCAATCTGTAAAAGGTTCACAATCCCATCAATTTATATAGTTATTTATTCATATTTTTCAAGTATTCTGATTGAAATGTAATTTTTTATTCAAATAAAATAAACTGTAAATTATTTTTAAAGTTTAATAAAAAGTTGAAATAATTAATAAAGTAGATATTAATAAACATTAAAATTAAATCAATTTATAACTTTTTATGCTTTTATAAAAGCTTAACAATTTTGTAAGAAATTAGTAAAAATAAACAATTAAATGAATAATGAAATATTTTTAATAATTTGATAAAAATATTCAAAAATTAATTAATTGAATAAATAATTGAAATATTGGTAAAAATAATTTTATAAATATAAAAATGCTTTTAATTAATTTTTTAATTAATAATATTTTATTTATTTTTTCAAAAATTTTTAAATCACAATCTATTTGATGAATGATAACTTCCTACTTATTCTTCTTAGTTATTATTATTTTGTTGATTTTCTATTGCTTTATGTTTTTTAACTACTCTCTTTATTTTATGAGAATTTTAATGGTGTAATACAATTTTTTCATCATTTTAATCTTATTTTTTATCTTTTAGGCCTTTATTAGGTTTTTTTGATGACTAAGTAGAGTGATTATCTTAATATGAATTGGTTGATCCTATCTAGTTGCTTTGGATAGACTCTCCATTTTTTTTAGATTTTTGATCCTCTTTAGTTGAAGCTTGCATATTTTCTAAATCTTATTTAATTTGTTCATGATCATGATCATGACTAGATGTCATAATCTTATTATCTTGTTCATCATGCTAAGAAATATCTAAATCTTCAGTAGTGTGTACAAAATTATGCATATTTTATATATTACCTAAAGCAGTCTTAGGACCTCTTACTTTAATTAATACTGGAATAATTATAGCTACAAACAAACTAATGAAATATCCAGATATGGAAATAAGGATACTGATATTAATATTCAAAATTTAAATCAACAAGGAGCTTAATGAGTAAAAAATAGTGATTCCATAAAAAGGTATTTTTTTTTTACTGAGATCAGGGAATTTCATTTCTAAAAGCATGAAGAGATTATTACGAGAACCTAAAACTATGATTGGATAGACTCCAATAACATAAATAAAGAGGCCAACTTAAACAATAACAGTGAATATATCTCTTGATGAATAAAACTCAAGTATTGTAGAACCAGGATTTCCATCTCTATTAATTAAATTAAAAAATTATTAGTAAGTATGATAGGTTGGTTCTAAACAATTGAATTAGAATAAAAATAAACTCTAATTAAAGCTAATTTATTATTTATTAAGTCAGAATTAATCATCTTTGATTACATTTATAAAAATTTAATTGACTTTTAAAATAAAAAAGTTAAAATATAATCTTATTAAAATATTAGATGAATTATAAAAATATTTTACACTGGATCCTTTCCGGTAACTGCAAAAGCTCCAAATATTCCTATAATTGCATAAACTGTAAAGCAAATTGCATAGGCTACTTTCAAATCTCTATTGTTATTTTTTTGTATTGCGTTATCTTTTACAATTGGTAGAAATAGTGAGTGCACTTAGAAGGATAAGAAAAATACTCCAATAATTGTAACTACGCTAGATGAAAAGAGGGGAATATCAGAGACATCTCCTGTGCTAATATTTTCAACTCCTTTAATGAAGCAAAAAAGTACAACAATTATAACTGAGAGCATACCAAATTATGTTATCTTCAATATGCATTAAAGATTCTTTTAGCAAATAAGAAGAAAGAGAAATCCAACTAATGCTATACCTTGCCATTAATATGAGTATTTGTCAAAGGATGTTTAGCTTCTCATCACAGTCGCATCACTTGTAAAGCTATCTATGATAACTTTAATGACAGGATAACTAAATGAGCATGCTAAAATAAAATAGATTATGGAAATGAAGTATAGCAAGAAGCAATTGCTGATAGAGTATACTAAGTACCATTTCATACCTAAAGTTCTCTTAATTACTTCAGTTAAATCTAATTCATAGTTCAAAGTGCTTTGAAGATACCATTGACAAGTTTTAAATAGTATGACAGCCATTACTATCATGCATATGACTGATAGGATGATCCCGCTCTAATTGAAAACAACTGGAAAAACGACAATACTAGAACCCATCATTGTGTTGGCCAATGAAATCCAAGTTCTCCAACTAGGGTTCTTCTTTACGCTATCATGCTTGCTTTTGTAATGTATGTTGTGATTGACTAAGTTGTGGAAGTGTATAACACGACGGCTGCCTTCAGTTGTAGCCATTGGTAAGAGTTGCTATTCGATCAACTTTTGAATGGTTTTTAGCTTGATTTATAATTAAAGATATACTTGGGTATATATACTTTAAACAATTTTTTGAAATTAAATCGTATTATTTACTAAATTAATTTATCTTTTCTATGCATACTTATAGCTTATTTTCTTTTTATTCCCACTAATTTAATACAAAACACTTAATTAATCAGAAAATATATATGAATTTGCCAAATTGGTCTCAGTATTTAAGTCAAGTCTAGTCATTTACTTGAAATTAATTAATAAGTCAAAACTATATATTCAAACAAATACAACAAATGAATTTATTGTATCAAAAATATAAAAAATTAAAGACTTTTTTTTATTTTTATTTTTTAAATAGTATTTGAATCTAAATAAACTAAGTTAATCTACCAAATTACTAAAAAGTGACAATAAAATTTAATTTTTATGGCTAGTATGAACTGTTGTACTTCAGGTTCTAAATAATTTTGTGCTAAATTGAAAAATTTCATTAATTTTTGCAAGTTATTAGCTTAACTTTTATTTTTCTATCTACTTTTGACTTAAGTTTTTTATTCACTTTGTAGAGGAAAAAAACTGATTTTACATTTTTTTAAATTAGCCAAAGTAGTAATAAAATATTTTTAATATAAAATATTCATATCACAAATTAATAGTGTGGAATATCTAAATTATAATATTTAAAGAGTTTTTATCAACTCTCTTTTTTTAGATTCTATCTTTAACAAAAATTAAATTACATAATCAATAATGCAAAAATTGTACAATTAGTTTTTAATTATTAGTAATATGTAAATTTAAGAGATAAAATAAACTTAAATAGAAAAATAATTTATTTTATTATTCGCTTTCCAATTTTTTTATCATAATTTTCTTTTATACAATCATTATTAAAATCAAATTGAAAAATACCTTAAAAATAAATAAAAAATTCTAAAAAAACAGTTTTAATAAAGTTCATTAAAATAATTTAATTATAAATAAATACTAAAATTCATTAATATCTATAAAAGTAAATATAAATTAAATAAAAGTAAGTATTCATTTGAAAAATAAACTAAACTTTGAAACTTCACTAGAACAATTTTTAATTAAAATTAAAAGCTATCAACAACTAATTTAGATAATAAAAATAAACATATTTTAATAAATTTCAATTTTGCTAAATTTATACTGTAAAAAGTTAAAATTTGGTATTTGTTTTCTATACATTTTTAAATAGACAAAAAAATTTTGATCTAATTTTTGGATACTAAAGTAATAGTTTTTTATTGATTTTAATTATAGTGTTTACAGTAAATCCAATATAAAAATTAAATGAGTAAATAATTGAACATATACTCTTTTTATGAATACTAAAGTATATTAAATAAATTGTTTTTTTTAAAAATTTTGATAAACAAAAATTTCTTACGATAAGATATAAAATTCAAATCTGAATTTATACAATTTTTTTTATAAAATAATATTGATTTGTAACAATATTTATCATTTATATAGGTTTTTTAATATTTTTCAATTATCAGGATTAATTCCAACATCAACAAAGATGTAACCTTGTTCGAAAATGAGGGTTATGTTTTCAAGGAAACTGGCTTGGCTAACCAAAGGAATATCAATACCTTAACTTAATGATTAATTAATTATGCCAAGTAAATTATAGATCAAGAGGGTAGCATTGGTAGAGAACTTATCACCATCAAAATCGATAGATCCTGAGGCTTTCTAAGCTTTAACAATCTATAAGTTGGATACATCTGCACCAATCTTGAAACTAGCAGGAGTGTAAATATCAGCAGCGAAGTAAAGTTATAAGGCAATAGTAATAGCTTCATCACAGTTACAAGTAGCGATATCAGTAACAGGATACTCATCAGGATCTAATTCAACCAAAAATTTAATTGAAGCATTAACAGTTCCAACTAATCTACCACCACTGTATTTTTATGTAAGAAAAAATAAATAATAATATTAATATATTAAATTTTTACACTAATCTGACATCAGGAGCTTAGCTAGGAACATAGAGTTAGAGATAGACTCCAGTAGTTGGAGGCATTTTTCTACGAATAGCATATTCATTGTAGAGACCAGGCAAAAGAAGTTAAACACCTTAGAGATTTAATTATAAAGGAATATTTTTCATAATAGCACTGCTTTAGTTAATTGTCAATGAGAGTAACTTAGAATCTGAAAGTGTCCATATGAGTTGATTGATAATACCAGTACCAAGAAGAATTTCAAAATCATAACGATCAGTGTGATTTGTAAAATAGTAGTCTGGAAGAGGGTAAATCTAAGAGGCAGGAGATACTTCTGTAGAGTTGAGGTTAGTAATCTTTTTGATATCAACAGGAATTCTTAAGTCAGATTGCTATTATTAAACACCTGAGGGGAAATTAATATCAAATTAATAAGTGTAGTCACCAATCTTAATTTCGGGTTATAAAGGTTTCTGGCAGAAATTCTTCAAAGCTTTATTAATTACTGATTATGCAATAGATGCGACGATAGGGTTAACTATTAGCTTTTAAAAGAAAAATAATATTTATTAATTCATTCATTCATATATAATTCATTTTACTGGCTTAAGTATCCAAACTAAAGGTTTAGCAATAAAGTTCCAAAACTTTTGGTCTTAGAGGATTAATTCAACCTTCTTAATACTGAAGGAGGTTTTTTTAAGTTAAGCTTCGAATCCAACAGAATTGGGATCAGATAATGGAGTTAAATGAACTTCTGTGTGGAAGGATAAATCAGTTATATTCAAATTGAAAAACTTTTGTTATTTTATTTATAAAATTATAAATTAATTTTATTTAGAATTCACAATATAAATTATTATTAAAAAAAAAGTTGATTTATAATTTAAATTTAAAAAAAATAAATTTATTAATAATTTATTTTTATTATTAAATTCAGATAATTTATTTTTATTATCGAGGGCAGATATTTTATACTGAAATATTTTAATTTAAGAACATTTTTCTTAATGATTTGAAATACATTTATATTTTTTAGATTGAATTTATGGACTGATTGATTAATTAAATAACTAAATATTTTTTTACATTCTTTATTTTAATAAACCAGAGTAATGAGATGTCTTCGTTTGCTGTGAAATTTAAGGATAAATTGTTTAGAGAAACACGGAAAACATTTTCTGAAAGAGAGTCAATAGCTATAGCATTTTAATTCCAAGGAATAGTGTGATTAGCTAGGGTAAGGTTGTTTAACATGATTTTATATATTCCAATTTTTGATTAAGTGTCAATATTCAAAGGAATTTTAAGGGGTTTTCCATCGGCTATATTATCAACCATATCACCCAAGAAAGAAACAAGCTATTAATTTATCAGTAAAAAAAAATTATTTCATTTTTAAATCTATTTGCCATATTAAATATTATTCATTGTTATTAATCATGATATTCAAAAGCAATATTAATTATAAAAGAATATATTGTTGAAAAGATATTCTTACTTTATTGATTGCCTTAGTACTCAAAGAAAGCTTTAACTCTGGGATATCATCATTAGCCTTCACTTAGACGTCTTGATTGCATTAAGTGAAGCATAAAATTGCAAAGATAATTGCCAAAACGAACTTTAATTTCATTTATTATCTTTTTTGTCTTTGACTTTTATTATTAATATTATTTATGATTATAACAATTTCAATAATCGGCTAATCACTAATTAAAATTTGTAATCAATCATCTCCCACTCTATCCTTTCTATTACTCTATGCAAGCTAATTTTTGATAGATATATAAATTACAGCATTATTCATTTAAACACACTTTTTTTGTAATATATGACATCTCATGCAAAAATAAATGAATAACTTCTTGTTAATATTTAATTTAATTAATTGCCTTGTTTCATTATTAATTTGTTTGTTAATTTTCCCCTATCTCAATTGACTACAATTTTCATTCATTTTACTCTTACTTTCTCCTTCATTGGAAATATATCTTATAATTTATATGTGATCATTATCAAATAATATTATTATTACTCTTTTTGGTTCTTGCGACTTTTGCATCATTTATGCACATTAATATAGTTACTTTCACAAATAAATACTTTGAAATTTACACATTTAAATTTTTTTTTTTTTCTTTTATTAAAGTTGCCCAAACAGGGTTAGTCTTTACAGAGCTTTTAATAATATTATTATTTTTACTCCTAAATAATTTAGCTAAGTCAACACGCTAATTAAATAACTTTATTTAATCAAATATTTGAAGAAAAAAAACTAGTAAATTTATGATATTTGTTCTAAGGTTTAATTTACCACAAAAATAAATGAATAAATAAATTTATTAAATCAAATCAAATAAAAAATAGTAAATTTATATTTTTAGTTAATAGAAATTATATTAATTTTTCAATTTAATTCTCATGTCAACAAAATAAACTTTTTCTAAATATCACTAAATTTATTCATTTTTATTCTTAAAATTAATTTTATTTTATATTAAAAATATATTTATGGAGTACTTCTTTTTAGTGTAATAATTAAAATTATTTACAAAATTAATTAATTTAAATAGTTATATTGAACTTTTTTAAATTTAAAAATATTTTCTCTATAATAAATAAATAATTTATTGACAGATTAAAAGTTATCATGTTAATCCCGCAATTTAATACTTTAAAATGAATAAAATTATGATAAATATCTAGAATAATAATATGTAAGAGAATTTTTTATATAGCCACTATTTATAATTTAAGATATTATTAAATATGGAATATAGCTTAATATAAAATTTTTTATCTTAATTTGTTAATATTTTATTTATTAGGTTCCATTTTTTATCAAATATACCTGATCAGTTATTATTTGAATATCAAAATTTTTTAAAAATAGAAAGTTTTATGGACTACTTTAGAAAATTCTAAGTACCACTTTAAAAGATTGATAATCATCATAATTAAAATTTATAAAAAAACAACATCAGAAAAAATAATTAAAAAAACCATTTAAGTATTTTATAAAAAATCAAAAAAATAAACTAACAAAATGGCCAGCCAAAATAATTCCTAATTAATAGATGAGTAGATAAAAAATAACTCAAGCTATATGTTTATACAAAATGAATAATCTTCTAAATAGGATTTGGATCAATCATTTGACTTACTAATTGCAAAAGATAATAGTTAATCTAATAAAATTGATAGATCCTACTTATAAAGTCATGATGTCCTTGACAAAAGCAAAGAAGAAATACCATCAAATAATGTATAGAAAAAAACTTTATTTGAAAGAATAAAAGAATATATGAAAGGATTTTATAATTAAGAATTATAAAAAAGTAGCCCAATTTTATTAATAGAGTCTACTCTTTTTGGTAGTCTGGGTATAATAACATCTTTTATGAATTTTTTATATGTTAGAAGAATAAAAAACCTTGAGGGTGAATATAAGACAATTTAAGAAAGAGTGAAAAAGATTAAAAGCAATTCATCGAAAATCTTTAGCGATTGCGCTACTGGTTAAAATATACTAATCTATGGAAAAGCTACCCAATAAAATACATCTAAATATACTAATGTACCATATGTTATGTATAATTTAAATTTCCTTGATAATTAAAAATATCAAGCATGTGAATTTCCTAAGCAGAAAAATGTAAATATTAAAGAGAAAGCATATACTATTATTGATTATACTTCAGCTTTAAAACCTATATTAGCATATCAGCTAGGAACTGCTTTATAATTTAGCTTAGAAAACATGTAGCTGAATAACGGAGAAAATGTATTTATATTTGGAACAAAATTAGCAAATTCATCCATTCTTCCTACTTAAATCTTCAAAAATATTGATTTCTCTAAAATAGAAAAATTAATTAAGAATTTAAAAATTGAAGAAAAATTCTTAGGGATTGTAGGAGCTGCTTTCTTTCTTGTTTGCTCTTACAAATTTTATGTCTTTCTTCATAAAAAGTTCAATGAATTAGAGGAAGAATATGGCCAAATAAATAATAATAATTAGAAAAAATATCAATTAAATATTGATTTTAAATTTACTTGTAATTGATAAAAATAAATATCAATTCTCAATATATTTTTATTATTTTAATAGATTAAGTTAAATAAAATAAAAAAAGCCTTTTTACAAGTTTAATTTTTATCTTTTGTTAAAGTGAAACATTTAATAATCTTTATTTTAAAAGTAGCAAAAAATCTAACTTAAACTCATCAAATATAAAATGATTAAATTTTAATTATTCTATCTTTCATATTAATTTATTGCCTAAAACAAAATCTCAATTATTTAAGATTTAAAATATTTATTAATATTGACTTATAACAAATTATGATTATAAAAAAGGAGGTTATTTTCTTTATTATCTCAATTCATTCTTTTCATATTACAGTTTAAAATAATTTGAAGAACTTTTATATATTATAAAAAAGTATAAATCCTCTAATCAAAATTCATAGCTCTTTACATATTTATTAATTTTATGTTTTTTACTTTATCATAATTAAGTGGTTTTAAAATTTAAAATATTATTATTATCTGCCATAAATTTTAGCAATTTTTGAAAATTAAATTAAATTTTTTAAATGTATCTATAAAAAATATTTATTTATAAAGACAAGAAAGAGAATTTACTCAACATTTTAAGATGTATTTATAAAATATATCTTTAGATTTATAAGGAAGTTTTATAATTATTCATTTATTTTTATTTTATTCAACGTTATAAGAATCTTTTACTTTAATCATTTACTTAAAAGATAATAAATCTACCAAATATTCAGGTATGATAGAAGATAAAGCACTTTGAATTTAGTGAATATAATTTCCGTTATTATATTAAATTCTTCCAACTAGATTTAGTGATGATTCTGTAAATTATTCAGCTGAAATATAGCCATTTAAAGCTCCTTGTTTGATTTATTTATTAGTCATCTAAGTTTAAGTCACTAATGGAGTTAAAGTCAAAAAATCTATTTTTTTTCTATATTCTTAGTTTAAACTTCTAGAAAGGTGTAAATTAAAGGCTTTTGTTGCTGAATAAATTTCAGTCATTGGAATAGTCTTTACTCCTGCATAAGAGCTAATATCTATAATAGCTGATCTTTATGACCTATTCAATAATTGAGTTATTAATGCACGAGTGATCAAAGCTTAGGGTACTGTATTAACTACAATGTTTTCAATAACATTCTTGACTGGTAATTTATGATAATACTTTTCGCCTGCTGCTAAATCTATTCCTACATTATTAATAAGAATCGAAACATCCAAATTTTTTACTTTTTCAACAATATTATTGAAAAAAGAATCATCTTTCAAGCTATTTGAGAAATCAGCTACCACAATTTTATAAGATAGTGATGGAAATTTTTTTTTAAGATCATCTACAATAGGCAACGTCTTTTCTTAGTTTCTAACAATAAGCACGACATTAAATCCTCTTTTTGATAAAGAATAGCAGAACTACTTTCCAATTCCATCAGATGCTCCAGTAACTATTGCCCAACTGTTTTAACCAAATCTAGCTTAAAGATCTAACCCTGGCTGTGCCAATCTAACAAAGAAGTCAATTATAGAGATCAGATAAGTTAGTATGTGGTATAATCCTAAAATTACAAAGAACTTAATTAGCAAATTACTATTTTAAAATTCAGATAAAAACACTTAAATTGATTCAATCATAATATCTTTAGTTTTTTATTATAAATAAATTTTCAATAATTTAAAAATTATAATTAATTACTTCTTATCTAAAATAAATAGATAAATATATCAAATTTTATTACCTATATAAAATAAAGAACAATTAATTTTTCAATAATAAATAATTTATATTGGAAATAAATAATATTTAATAATAATGAAAAAACTCTAAAAATAAATATAAAAAATCTAGATAAAAATTATTTTATAAAATAAATCACATTTATTTTGCTTTAAAAAATATATCTTAATTAATTTTAAACTTAAAATTAAAAAAAAGTATTTAATTGATTAAACTAATTAGATAATATTTATTTTGAAAATAAGCAAATAATTCAATTTCTATGTATTGTAAATTTCTGTAGGTTCATAAAAAAATATTTGGTATTTATTTTGTTACTTACCCAAATTTTTTGGTAAAATGTCAAAAATTTTAATAAGGTCTATCTCTATCCCTATGAAGTATGCTAATACATTAAATAAAATTTGATTTTATTATAAAAAAAATTAGAGTAAATTTAAGAAATTTATTTATTTATCTGTATATAATTAATATTTGAGCTATTAAACAATTTCTATATAATAAGAGGGTTCTAAAATTAATTAATTTCTATTTCAATGACAGTAAAATTTAAGAATTTAATTCTATATTGATTGAATTAAGCATATTTGTAAATATTTTAATTGCTGACTGGAAATTCATTAAATATTTCAAAATTGTCTTATTTAATTATTTTACATAAGAAATAATTAAAAATAGCAAAAAATAAATTTATGATTTAAAAATATCTGCAAAAAAATAATATAATTTAACTAATTTAAACATTTTTAATTATGTTGTTAAAATTTTGAATTTTTTCAGAAGTTTAAAACCTAATAATATTTTGATTGTCTTTAGAAAATTATATACATAATCAACAGATAGATTATTATCGAATAAAAATAAAGAAATGCTCAAATCGATGTCAAGATTATATTTTCAATGTAAAGCTATAACTTTTTGAAATATTAGTTTACATATTTTTAATGATAAGAAAGTTAAAACGAATATTTATGTGAAATCCTAATAAATTCCTATATTTTATTTAACAAAATCTTCTTTAAATAACCTTAAAAAAATTTAGATTATTAATTTTATAAATTAATTAATCAAAAACAAATATTTTTGCTTAAAAAATAAAACTACAAATAATGGGATTAATTTTGCAAATAATTATTTTTATTCTAACAATAATATCGCTTCTAGCGCTTTATCTTGTTTACAAGTTTTACGTCAAACCTAAAATTTTAATGGGATTCTATGAAAAACAAGGAGTTAAAAACCTTTGCTTCTATCCCTTTATTGGTAAATATAGCTTTGTTTCAAGAGACATAATGCTAAAAGGAGACGGATTCTACAGTATTAAAGATTTTTTAGCTCAAAATCCTGGTTGCAAATATTCTATGACTAATTTAGGTATATTTTTAAGTAAATTATATTAAAAAATCACCTTTTAAACTTAAATTAGCTGAATTTGTCTGTATTTAGTTATATGATCCTGACATTATTAAAGAGTTCTACAATTGCAAGCATATTGTTAAACACAAATTTGGTGTTGAAATTTTTTAAGAGTTTATGAACGGAATTGTCTTTGCAGAAGGTGAGGAACATACAAGAAAAAGAAAAATTATTTCTCAAGCTTTCCATTACTAATTGTTATAGAGTATGATATCACCACTATCAGAAATATATGATGAATTTATTGATAAGGTTAAGGATAAAAAAGTTGATGATTGCATTTCCATGTTTTAAGATATATCAGGTGAATCTGTTTTAAGACTATTTTTTAGCAAAAGTTTCAAAGATTATAAATATAGAAATAAAACTATGACTGAAACTTTAAGTGATTTGATTAACTGTGCTGGTTAAATGGCTAAATCAACTGAGTATGCATTTCTTGGTAAAGGGGCTTTAAGATTTGGAAAATTATCAACACTATAAAAAACAACTAAGGATATAAAAAAGATATTCAAAGAAGTTATAACTAATAGAATTGATTCTACAAATTTAGATGATTTAAAGCACAAACAGAGAAAAGATATGATTGATTATTTGATAGAGAACTAAGGCATAGATAAAATTGAATCTGAAAATAAAATAACAATTGAAACTATAATTGAAGAGTTTATCACCTTTTATGTTGCAGGTTTAGATACAACAGGTATTTTTTACTTTATGCTTGCTTACAATAAATTATAATTTTTTGGAAATAATTTTATTAGGACACACTCTTGGGATGGCCATGTACTACTTAAGTGTTTATCCAGAGGTATATTTTATTTATTTTAAATAAAAATAAGCTCTATTTAAAAATTAAAAGTGCACAAAAAAGCTTTCTGAAGAGATAAAGGCAACAATAAAATCTTAAGCAGATTTAACTTCGGAAAATATTAAAAATATGAAATATTTATAAGCATTTGTAAATGAGGTATTAAGACACTATACAATAGCAGACTAATTATTTATGAGAACAGTATTTATTATTTTCTTTCTGAAACATTCATTAAATCTTGATATTTTTAAAAAAATAGGCTACTTAAGACATTTAATTAGGAAATCTCAAAATTAAAAAGGGAACTGTTTTGAATGTAGGAAATTTGGAAAACCACTTTGATCCAAAATACTTCAAAGATCCTCATTAATTCAATCCATAAAGATGGTTAGATGGATCTCTTGATAAGCTACCTCCATATATTTTCAATCCATTCTCAGCAGGCAAGAACAATTGTATTGGATAACATTTTGCATAAATAAATATCAAAATTGGCCTTATAAAATTCATACAATCATTTGATTTTGAGATTGATCCAAACTACAAATTAATTTTAACTTTCTAATTTCTAATAGAACCTGTACAACCAATAGCTTTAACATTTAAATCAAAGAAACTGTGAGAAATTTAATATCTGTAAATATAAAATTTCTTATATAAATTGTTAAGTAAGTGCTGTATTATCAAAATACTTAACTTTGTTTGGTTATTAAATTTTTATTTAGTAATATTTTGAATTTTTTTTGACTGTAAACTAGCAATTAGAATCATACATAAATTTGAATTGTAACTTTAAATACTTATTTCTCTTAACAAAATTAAACTCTTTTTTGTTAGCTACAATTTTTTATTTTGCTAGATTTACAAAATATTTATTTAAGATATTATCTTATTTTGTTATATTAATTTTAATTTATCCATCCAATTTTAATTCGATCAAAAGCAAAAAAAAAAAAATTAATCAAATAATGCACTAAAAATTTTTAATTAAAGTTTATAATAAATTTAATGAAGTAAAAATATTGTGTAAATGAAATTAGAAGTATCATCACTAAAACTCTCTTAAAAATACTATAAGAATTATCTATTTATTGTTAGAAATTTTGTAACAAAATTTAATAAGAGTAACAAAATTAATGACTAAAATTTAATTATATAAACTATTTAACTAACTTACATTGTATAAAAGAAAAAAATGCTTGTTTGTTTCTGTAAACGAGATATTACGCATTAGTTAACTAACAATTAAAAAGAACTGTTCCCTTATTTGGTTTTTAAAAAATTAAATTAAATTTCTTTTTTTTGATGAATAAATAAACTAGATGTTTTGTTTTACTTTCTAAAAATTAAAAAGGATTTATAATTATGTTTGGATCGATTAGATTGTAAAATATCTTTATAAATATTTTGTGTTTTTTCAATAAGTAAGAGAAATCGAAAACAATATTTGCTTAAATAAAATTAAAACTTATCTCATTTACTACAGTCTTATATCCATTACAAATAAATTTAATGCTATAATTTTCAAGAATTTTTTACGCAAATTAAAAATGTATAATTGAATTCTTATTTATTATGGCTTCCTTTTTTTGTAAAATTCGTAATTAAATGGATCTGTATTACCAAAATATCGAGCTAATGGCACTTAGCATTTTAATAGAGATTTATTTTTTGAAATATTTATTATTTTTCTAATCGAAACCTACAAATTTTAATCTGGTATGATATTATGTGGTAAAATTAAGCTCCTTACATATATTTATCTTTGTTTGGATACTTTATTTGAATCAATAGTTTGCTAGATTAACTAAGTATTTATAAAGTAGTATTGTTTCTATTATTGCTTTTTGAAATTTTTAATTAAATCTATTAATTTATAGTTATAAATCCAAAAAAATTAAAAAAACAAAAATTTAATTTTAATTTGCACTAATAGCATAAAAATGAATATCTTAATACAAGCACTTCTATTAATTGCAGTTTTATTACTGTTGATGATTTTATTCTTTGTGAACAAATATTATATCAAAACGAGGTCTTTAATGAGATATTATGAAAATTAGGGCATAAATAACTCATATTACTTTCCATTAGTAGGAAAATATAAAAGAATGCTTGATTCAATTAAGGAGCATGGTGACTGCATGCATTATTACAAATAGCTTTTAACTAATTAACCTGACTGTAAGTATACAGTTACAAATTTAGGTAGAGTTTAAATTTAATAGTAAATCAAATTTAAAGTATTTTTGGTATAAATTCAGCTCACAATGTTTGCATTTACTTTTATGATCTAGAATTATTGAATTAGCTTTATAAGTGTAGTGATCTTGTAAAGCATTAGTTTGGAGTTGAAATATTCAAATAAGTAATGGCAGGACTTGTGTTTAATGAAGGAGAAGAACATTCAAGGAAGAGGAAAATTTTATCATAGGCTTTCCATTATCAATTATTACAGAACATGATTCCTTAATTATCATAAATATATGAAGAGTTTTTTGAAAAGATTAGAAATAAAAGGGTTAGCGACTGCATTATGATGGGTCAAGAAATTGTTGCTGAATCGATTGTTAGACTCTTCTTTAGTAATAGCTTCTAAGGCCTAAAGTTTAAAGGTAAGACGATGACAGAGGCTGTTAGTGGAATTATAGAAAGAGTAGGTTCTATGGCCAAATCTGCTAGCTACGCTTTGTTTGGAAAAATTTGCTTTTCTTTTGGATAAATGGCAAGTGTGAAAAAAGATTTGAAATAAATAAAAGAAATTTATAAAGAAATAATTACAAATAGGATTAATTCTACTAATTTAGAAGAATTGCAACATAAAAAATAAAAAGATTTAATTGATTACTTAATTGAAAGTAAAGGAATATCAAAAATTGAATCTGAAGAATCTATTACTATTGACTAAATTATTGAAGAATTCGTTACCTTTTAAGTTGCTGGTCTAGATTCTTCAGGTAATTATGATTCTTGATTATTTTTTAAATTAAAAAAATATAAAATAAAATAGGACATACTTTAGGAATGGTTTTGTACTATCTATGTATTTTCCCAGAAGTAATTTATTTGAGTAATTAAATTATAATTTTATTAACTTTAATTGTAAAGTGTAAGTAGAAATTGGTTGAAGAAATAGAACAAACAATTAAAACTCCAGACGATTTGAATACAGAGAGTATCAAAAAAATGAAATACTTAGGTGCATTTGTTAACGAAGTATTAAGATATTATTCAGTAGCAGATTAAATATTCCCCAGAACTGTAATTAATTCGTTAATTGTTTTTTTATATAAACTAAATAATAATATTTTAATTAAAAAAGTGCAATAAAGATATCTAAATAGGAGACTTGATAATCAAAAAAGGAACTTAAGTAAATGTAGGTATAATCGAAAACCATTACAATCCAAAATACTTTAAAGATCCTCATTAATTTAATCCTATGAGATGGTTGGATGGTTCCTTAGATAAACTAAATTCATATGCATTTAATCCATTCTCATCAGGCAAGCATAACTGCATTGGCTAACATTTTGCTTAGCTTGAAATAAAAGTTGGAATTATAAAATTCTTATAAGAATTTGATTTGGAATTAGACCAAGACTATAAATTTATTTTAAAGTTTTCCTTTTTAACTGAGCCATTAAATCCTATACCTATAACATTTAAATCTAAAAAATAATGAAAAATAAATCCTATGATAAAACAAATAATAATTAATTTTTAATTTTTTATATTAAATTCAATGTTAATATGCATTTTTGAGCTATTCATTAATTAATTAAAATTGTTTAAAATGTATCAAATTTATCTTTATATTTTAGATCCATTAGTTAAATAATTCATTTTTTTTACTAAAATTGGTGCATAATATAACTAAAATATTTTAAAACTTTATTTCTACCACAAATTAGACAAATTAAATTCAAATTATATCCCCATAACAAAAATAATGAAATAAATATCTAAACTAAAAATAATTAATATTTCTTTCTTTTTATTTTAAAATTCTATCTTATTTGTTGTAATTTTAAGTCATCTAAAATTTATTAAATTTATCCATTTATTTTAATTAATAAATTAAATTATTTATTTTTATAAATTTAATTTTTTACTAAAAATTGCTATCATAAAAAATTAACATATTTTCACACTTGTACTTCTTTAAAATCTATAATATCAATTCAATAAAATAAATTCTAATTAAATATCAATTAAATCTAAAAATAATGAAAAAGATCTAAACAAAAAAATTTGTTTATTGCTACTTTAAGTTTCATATTTTTTAGTCATCAATTAGTTAATTAAAATCTGCTACAATTTATCAAATTTATCTACTTATTTTAAATCAATTAATCATATTAATTATTTATGAGTATTTTACTAAGAATTGTTAGCATAAAACAATTAATCACTGCTTTACAAACTACAATCTCAATTCAACATAATAAATAGAAATTTACAATTATAATTTTCAATATATTTATTTACACGTAAATGCTATTTTGAAAAACTTTAAATTAATTTAAATAAGTTTGATAAAAATAAATTTTTTTTAATTTATATATTTAACTTATTTTTAAAGAGTAAAACGAAAACTGATTGAAATATAAATGATAATCATAAATATTCTTGGAATTAATTGCAATTATCTTCATTAATTTATTTATTTTCTTTTATGTATTCTTCCTGAAGCAATAAATTTTCATTTTATTTTTCAATTAACTACTTTTAGAGCTCTATAATTTTTTAGTGTAAAATAAAATCCTCCTCATCGTTTTTATCACTTTCTTAATTTATGTTATAGAGATTATTTAATTAGGTTTGATCATCTTCAATAAATTATATTTATTCAATTTAATTTAATTAGTTATAAAAATAAGGATCTTATCCTTGTTAGCATGACTACTGCCTGTAAGTAAAGGCTTCAATTTGTTAAGGATTTGATCTTTTTTCTGAATAATGTTCATTTTATGAGTTGTAGCCTGCTATTGAAGCACTACTTTGTATTTACTTTTTAGAGTTAAAAGCACTTTAACTTCTTTTAGATCTTTCTGTTGTAACACCTCTTTAACTTCTCTAAGTAGATAAATAGTTATTCTATTCAAAATAGTAAATTTTATTAATTTTTACTTCTTAAAAATATATATTACCTTAACTTAATTCTCACCTTCTTTTTCTGATTTATTATTTGGTTTTTTTTATTTAATTGCTTAATTTAGTTATTTCTAAAATTTTTCTACTTATTTCTATTTTATATTTCAGATTAATTTTTAAGTTAATTTTAAATATATTTTTAAATTTTAAATGAGTTTTTTAACTTGAAATTATATTTATTACCTAATATACTTATAAGAATTTTTCATATTTCTACTACTTTTCTAAAGCTTATTGATTTTTTTCTTTCTTTTCCTCTAGCAAGTTTCTTATTTCTTATTAGCTTAATCTCATAACTTTTTTTATTTCAAACTAAAGCTTTTAATTCTCCTAAAAAAATATTTTTTTTAAGTTTCATATTTAAATTTTTTTACCTATTATAAAGAAATGACTTTTAAGTTGAGTTACTACTCCTTAGAGGATAAGTCTTTTACTATTTTATCTTCTTATTTTACATTTTTTTTTAATTCTTTAATAGTTTATGACAATTATAATATTTCCTTATTTTTTTCTTCAATAGTACTTTCATATTCACTGCTTTTTTGATTATTGATTTTTCCAATTATTTTATTTTTAGAATTAATAATATTTTCAAGATCTCTATTCTTTTTTTCAAGACTCTCTATTTTCTTTTTTAGCTTTTCTTAGTCTTTTATTAAGTCCTTATTTAAAGTTATTTAAAAAATCATTCTAAAATTTATGAATATGTTAAAATTTTTACATTTATGATTTGAGTTAAGTTTTCACTATTTTATTATTAGTTCTATTTAAGCTATTCAACTTAGCTTTCATGTTATTTTTTTAGTTTATCTACAACTTCATTATTTTAAATTGAACATCTACTGATTATTTATTATTCTTTTATTAGCATATCGTCTTTTATTTATTATAAGGTTAGTTGCATGTTTTAAACCTAATTTTATTGGTCGATTACAATTTAATCTTTTTATTTTATTATTTCTCTTAGCTACTGCATTTCTTTAGAGCAATCTAATTAAATTTGAATTAATAATTTAAATTTTTAGCGGAAATCTATAAAATACTTTATAAATTGATTTGCAATTTTTGGTTTATTTAAGTTAGTTGATTCATTACTTATTCCTAATCCTTAATTTTATATTCTAATTTTTTATAATCAATAAGCAGAGGCTATTCATTTTATAGATATTTTTCATTTACTACCTATTAAGGTTCAAAATATGGTCTATTAGGATTGGAGTTCTCTTTATTATTATTTATTTGCTATTAATTTACTAAAGAAAATAATGAAATCTTAAGATTTAGTTAGCTTTTCAATATAAAAAATTCTACTTTCAATAGAAGAATTTCTTTAGTGCATTTTGAGCAGAGATATTGTTCTCTTGCATTTTGATAAAAGGTCTATTTCCTACTAATTTGGTGATATTATGTCATGCTTATTCTTTGAAAAATCAGTTTAAGGACTGCTTGAAATATAAAATGGATTATTTTATCATTTCTTTAAAATTTATTTACTTATAATCTGATAGAAGCGTTGAAACCTATTTGGTTTATAAATTCTATTCGTAATCAATATCTTAATTGTACATCTTAGATTTCAAAAAAATATAAATCTAAATTCTGTGTTATTTGCTTCAAATAATAATTTAATCGCAGGTTTATATTTTAAATCAAATTATTGTAAAAAATTTTTGAATTAATAACAAATAAATCTTTGCTTTTTCAAATCTTAGCATCTAAATTTTGATGGCTAAAAATTTACATTAAAATTATTTTGAATTGGTTTATAAAAATAAAAACAAATAAACTTCATTTAAATAAATAATAATATATAAAGAAAAGTGTATGTGAGAACACTTTTACCTCATTTATTTTTTAATTTTTAAATAAAATATTTGTGATAAAGAATCTTTCTAAAATTAATAAATTGATAACCTTGAGAGCAAAATTTTTCTATTCCTATATATAAATTAATTTACAAAAAACCTAAGTTAGATTAAAACTCCAAAACAAAGTTTGCAAAATTACTGATACTCACTTGTATAACCACTTTTAATGATTACTTTCTATTTTAAATCCTTAATCAGAAATTTTCTTATTTAGATGTAAATATCTTTGACTTTACATCTATTAAATGATTTTACAAATAATTTTCATAAAGATCAAATATTAATTCTTATTAATTTCATACCATGGTTTATTTTTTTATAAATCAGAAAATGTTTAGATAAAATAGAAAATTAAAAACTTCATTTAAGATGTAAATATCTTTTGACTTTATATCTATTAAATGACTTTACAAATAATTTTCATAAAGATTAAATATTAATTCTTATTAATTTCAATTACCATGGTTTATTTTTTTATAAATCAGAAAATGTTTAGATAAAATAGAAAAGCACTTAATAACTTCATTTTAGAAATTAAAACACTCAGCCTTTCTCTTTGCTTTGTAATTTGCAAAATTAAAAGATACAATTTTTTTGTTTGAAAATGCTTTACTATGAATGAAAAATAAAACTAATAAACTCTTTTTAAAATAATAATTCAGCATTGATTTTTATTATAAAACAGTTTTAAACCTTAAATAAAATCCTTAAATAATTAAGCTATTTACTTTTTGTGTAGAGGATATGTAGTTTCTTAACTAAATTAATCATTTTATATTTCAAAAGTTTTTTTGTTAGCTATAAATAACGAATTATTAGATGATATTTCATAGAATAATTATTAAATTGAAAAAAAAAATTAATTACAATAAAAATAAAAAATGAGATTATTAGCTTCTTCTATTTTGTTTATTCTAGCTATTGCTAATGTATCTGCTTTATCATCCAAAGATGCTTAATAATGCCAAACTTCAGCTAAGAATTCTGTTTAAACACTTTGCTTACCAGCTGACATAGATTGTGCTCTTGCCTTAAAAAGTGTTGCAAATTGCTTAAAATTATGTACTTAAGGTCCTAGTTAAAGTGATAGCTATATCCTTAATTGTGCTAAAACTAATTGTACAACAAGTAATTTATCTGTTTAGTCCTGGGTAAGTAAATTTATTTCTTGTCTCCACTTAGGAAAACTCTCACTTAGTTTCCTTTTATTAGCTCTATTTGCTATTGTTTTTTGATAAAATATTATGATTATTCTTATAATTTAATATAATAAATATTTAATTCTTTAAAGTAATAATCCATTTTATATTTGTATTATAATTTTTAAATATCTTTAAAAAACAAAAAAACTTTAATTAGCTTATTAGTTAAAATAACTAAGACTGACTTTGATTGCAATTTAAATTTATCTACTTTATTAATTTTTTATCTATTTGTGAATTAAATTAAATTTTATTTTCTTAAAAATTCAAACTACCTCACTTGTCTTATCGAAAAATATTTTTTGCAAAAAATACTAGTTACTAGGAAATACGGATCACATTTTTTTACTTTAAATAATTTAATAGAGAATGCATGACAAGATTATTGAGAAAACAATCAATATAAAAATATTAAAATTAATATCAAGAAGATTTTTAAAAATAATTAATTTTCATAAAACAAGTAAAAAGTGAATTTAAAAAAAATATGAATTGAGGAAAAAAATATTTTGGCTAACTAGAAGATTTAAATAAAATATTTATGTCAGAATTATTATTAAACTAAATTTTATTATTAAAATTTAAAAATGAGGTCACAAGATATTAGTGTTCTCAAGTATGCTTTTCTTTAGTAATTACTTAAATGTTTTAAATCTATTTTAAAGCAAGTCACATTAAAAGTTTATATTGTATTATCTAAGTTAGTTTTTTTTAGAATTTCATCCAAACTAAACCAATAATAAATAAAATAATTTATTAATAGGTAAATATAAATTATGCTAAAAATGCTAGTTTATTAGAGCATATTGTACTAAATACTTACATAGTATGCAGATAATAAGTAAAAACCATCAAATAAATATAAATTGAAGAAGAAAAAAAATTGAAACAAATTGTCTGAATGGGTAATTTTATTTAATGCTTTATACAAATATTTAAGTAAATCATAATATAAAAATAGTTGAATTGTTTTATTATATAAACTAACTTTTTTAAATATGTTTATTTTTTCATGCAAAATAATCGTATGGGTTAGCGATTTCTCTGATTTGTTTCTTTATCTTTTCGGATAAAGATAAAGAATTAAATGTTATAACTTCATCTTATTCTCTCCAATATTACCCAACAAATTCCTTTACTTTTTTTCTCATGTTTGCATTTAATGTTTTAGAGTTAATAACTTCTCTTAAGGCTTCCTCGGTCCAGGGGAGGATATCCTCTTAGAAGGCCAAAAGGAGAGACATTAAAACTTAAACAGCAATTTATTTTTAATCAGTAAGTTATTTGTATTCTTCAGAGTTTTTGTCTTTAGGAAGAAGAGATTGAGACTAAGATTTGTACTTTTAGAAGATAGTATTTTATTCATCTGTAGTGGCAAGCTTGAGAATTTCACTTAAGCAATCAACAGCTAACAAGGAAACAGAATTATTCTTATCAGTTAAGCCTCTAATTATCAAACTATCAACTTAAACTTAGTTTTCTTAATATTCTTCAAAGTATAAGAAGTTCTAATAAAAAATAAATTATCATGATTTCCATTTTAATACTGAAATTTGTTTACCTTTAAGAAGAGAATTACTTTTTGGCGACTGACCCAATTTTCACTTTCAATTTTTTCAGCTAAAATTCTCTTGATATCCTTTCTTATATTAGCAGGATACTCATTACATGACATAACCTTCAATATTTCTATCTCGTTTATATTCTCAGGCTTTTATGTATAAAAAAATAAATTAATCTCAGCTAGATTTTAAAAATATATTTATTTACCTTGTTGTCAATAATATATGTGAAGAATGGGCGGAAGTAAGACCAGAAGAGATCGTTTTAACGTTTGACAGAAATGCTATCAAGTACTTTGAAAGTCATGTGACTGTAGAGCTTTTTCTTTGACTCTTTCTTTACATTATTGAGCTTGTTAAATAAGTGCTCAATAAACTGAGTAATTAATTTATTATTTTCGAAAGCAGTATAGTCATCTTAAACGATAAGTTTCTTCTCATCAATTAATTGTTAAAGATCTTCTTTAATCCATTTTTCTTGCTTGAGTTTTTTAACATTTACTCTACTTATGATGCATGAGCAAAGAATTTCGGCAAATAATTCGCAATTTTCATCACTTTCTTTAGTATCTTCGACATCAGCATCCATGATGAGCTTCATTCCTTCTAAACAATACTTTCTAGCCCATGTTTGATTTAATGTTAAAACAGTTTTAAGAAGTTTATGATATCTAAATCTTTTGCCTATACCCTTTTAGTGTTTTAATTTTTCCAATATTCTTGAAGCAAATTCTTCTATGACATCAAATGAATTATCTTTTTAATATAAAAAAAATAAATAAGATATTAAATTTATTTTAGTTTTATATATTACTCTTAGAGGCAAGTGATATACTTAAGCACCAGTCTCTAAAAAGTTCTTATGAGCAATTAACAATACATTCTTAAGTAAGATTAACACAGAAATCCATATAAGGCTTTCTTTCTTCACGAGAGAGACGTTAAATCCATTTTAAGATAGACCAAACATAAATAGAAATCACTCTTTATCTTGGTAAATTGTTAAAGTCATCTGCAAGAGATTCTATTTTTTTATGAGTAGCATCAAAGAATCTTTTTCCTAATTTAAATAAATTAACATTTTTAGATTATTTTCTTATATTTAAAAAAAAATTATACCAACTGCCTAGAATATTTTCTTAAAGAGACGTGCGTAGAATTCGAATAAATTAAAATTAAGGTTAATGTTGAATAAGGTTTATTTCTTTTTATCTGAATCGAAAGTGAAATTAAATAAAATTTAGATTTAATCGAAGACTTCTCCTTGGCTTAAATCTATTTGTTGGTTTTCTTGGTCTTATTCATCACTATCGCTTGAGTAAATTTCTTTTGCTTCAAATATTGTTTCAATAAATTCATTAAAGAAGTTTTCATTTAAGAGAATTTTTATAATTGTTTCGGAGTAGATGCCATCGCTTTCTTTCATTTAGTAGCCTGATTTATTATAGAGGGGAGCATAGTCATAGTAAGTACCGATTTCCTAAAAAATTAAATAAAAATGATTGATTATTTTTTGAAAATTTAATTAATTTTTACTCTTGATTTAATTAAGTACGATTGTAAATCTTTTCTTTTTAAGAAATGATATTAAAAGAATTCCTCTAAGGTATACTCACCATCATTAGAATCTTCGACCTCCATGCTAGGACCAAAGAAGCCAGGCATAGGCTCATAATTTTTTTTAACAACTCTTCTCTTATTTATGTTAATTAATCTGAAAAGAAGTGATCTTCCATATTAAGCTAGATGAATGTCAGTCTTGCTTGTAGCAAAATTAATAGAAATTTAAGCAAATCTAGCTATGTAAGGGTGGTTCAAATCATCGAAGATATTTAAAAAGTATACAACAAATAGTCCACACAGAACCTTTGTTTTCCAATGAGTCTTTGGATCATCCATTTTATTGTTTGATTTATTTATAATTTCTAAGAAAGCTTCCCTAACTGCTTTAGCTTTTTCAAGTGAAATGCTGTCTCTATCAATTTTAATTGTCTTCAAACTCTCGTAATATTAAGGATTGCTTTTAATAATAGGAGGAATTGTGCATTTTTTAATGTCATTTGGTCTAAGCTATGAAAACAAATAAGCATCTTCATAGTTGGCGGTAAGTGTTTTCATTATTTATTCGATAACTTTCTACTACCAAATTTTTTTATCTAACATTTCGAATATTTCTACACTATTGAAAATATAATAGAAAGAGTCGGGATTAGCTGCGCAGCATGGGAATCTTTGTAATGACTCAATACGAAGATTAGTTAGCAAGAGTTCTTAAACTTTTTCTATAGTGGGAGTAGCTTCCTTTTAGAAAATATTTTCTTTAAAGATATAGTTGTTCATGATTTAGAAGGCCTTCTTATGCATAGACTCGTACTCGTTATCTTCAGTAAGAGAAAAGTTTAAATCATGGTCAAATCTAATTGACATTCTGAATAAGTAAGTAGGGTGGAATGACAGAATAAAGAAACTGTTAAATAATTAAAGTTTCTATTTGCCTAAATAAGGATTTAAGAAGAAGAACATATCTATCTTTTCATTTAAGTAGGTGATACACTCACTGGCTAAACTGAATCTATTATTGAATAGATTTGGTCTATGGAAATCATTCAAAACACATAATCCATCAATCATTTCATTAGATCTTTTAATTTCTTCAATTAAATAAGATTCTCCAAAGCACTCACGACTTATGTATTGATATAATTCAATAAGAGAAGCATCCTATTTTAATTTTTTATCATGAAATTTTTTAAAAGTCAAAAATATAAATTTACTTATATTGTCTTAGTGTGATGGAACAAGGAAGGTAACTTGGTGCATAAATCAGTTAATTCGTTACGGCAATTTGAGAGCTCTTCAAACATGAATTTGCTTTCAAAGCTTTTATAGAATTTATGGTATTGCTTTACCCTTTCGTTGCATTGATCAAGATTATCTGGTTTTATGAAAGGAATTCTGACATTGATACCAGAGAATGAAGCGAGAGCTACGTAGAGCACTTTATAAAAATCTTTTTAAGTCTTAGAAATTGATAAATCAGTAGATTCATCGAAAAGCATTTCATGGATAATGAGTGCATAGTCCTAATCGATTAAATAAGATTAAATATTAAACAAAATTCATTTAAAATCAAAGCTATTGATTATTTTACTTTTTCATAGTCTAAAATAGGGTATTGTGGCTTGCTAAAGTAGTTATCTTAGAAATAGCTAATAACTACATAGAGGGTTCTATTCAACCATTTCATAATGATGGCCTTTTCTTATTCTGAAGGGTTGTACCATTCAAGTTAAAATTTGTTTAAATCTGTTTTGCCTAAGTTATGAAGATATTGATATTTAGTATTATCTGTGGGACGTTCTGATTTATTTAAATAGCTAACATCAGTAGGATAAATATATCCTAGAGTCAGAATAACAGTGTGAATAATGTCACATGATTTTTCAAAAACACTTAAGTCGTCTTAGAAGAAACAAAGGAATGCAATAGTTTCTATGAAATCTAAGTGTTTGATAATATATGATCTAGAATAGCTCATTGCGTTTTCTAGGATGCTAACGTAGTATTTGATTGATGTATCAGTAAAAATAGCAAATTCTTTTTCTAAAATTTTATCTTTGTTTTCGTTCTTTTCCAAGAAATACCACATTACATTGCTCTTCATGCTTTCAATTGTGGATGGATCTGTTCTTTTCTTAATTAATTTCTTTTCTAAAAGTTCAATAGTCTTTTACAGTAAAACTTCTGGTTCAACCAAACTCAAACAATCTAAAAGGTATGCTATGGCTAAATAAAAAATTATTTTATTTATATTTTGTTCATGAATTTAAAATAAACATTACCTTATTGTCCTTCAGGGATAATATTGTCTTCAAGTCTTGCAAATAAGATATTAATATACTGTAAACGCAATGAGTGAGAGCTATTTACAATGAAAGTCCAGAAAATGTTATTGAAATCAATGATTAAAGTACAACTCTCACTGTCAGCCATATCAAGTGTGCCGATATTCTCTACTATCAATTTGAAGAATTTTATTGCAAAAATTTCTAACTATTAAATAAATTCTATAGCATCAAAATTATGATCGTTAATTAACTCTTAAAAGTCTTTTTCGTACTTTTCAGGATTTTCTGCCTTGTAGCTTTTGAAGAGGTCTTAATATCTTTCGATAGGGAGAAGCATGAAAATCTTAGAATAAGCTCTATGATTAAAAAAGTAAAAGTTAAAAAAATTATATTTTTGAGTCAATAAGTTTACTCAACAAGATCTAAATTATCCTTGACTCCTTATTTCTCAAATAATTTGAAAGAAGTCTTCAGGAATTAAGGAATATATTTCAAGCCTGTTGGACAAAGCTTGCGATCACAAAGAACTGGAATAATAAAAAGCACAATGTTTTTAATAGTTGCGTAATTTAATTCTTCCATGTAAGAAAAGCTTTGAAGACAATGCTCAATAACTGGAATAGCATATCTTTGAGGTTCAAAATAGCACAACCAATGCAAAATTTTGCAAGAACTATGAGAACCATCTTCCATATATACTAATTTTTTTAAGAATCTATCCAAAATTCCCAAAAATCTTTCTTTGCAAGTTTCATCTAGAATGAATTCTAACCAAAAAAAAAAAATAGCTTTATTAAGAAGTTAATATAAAGAAAATAAATACCTGGTTCGAATTGCTTTTTAGCTATACTCTTATTTTAATTCTTTTCCTGCAAGTATTCAGGAATGTGATAATCGCTAATATTGTATTCTAAATCAAAAATATCTGAATCGTCATCTTCTGTGCTCAATTTATCATCTAAATTATACTTATCCTTTTATTCCATATCATATCTAATAATGAACTTTCTAACAAAACCTTTGAATAACTTTAATAAAGTATCACATTGTTCTGACTTGTTATTAGGATTGAATACTCTGTCTATAAGCAAGAAAACTCTTTCAATATATTGCCAAACTATTGATTGATATTTTTTGAGTAATTAATTTAAATTCTAAATTAAAAATTTGAATAAATAAATTTACCTATTTCGTAGTTTTTGTGGGTAGAAGGAAGAAGAAGATGAACCATAAAATCAGGGATTTGTTTCATAATTGATTTTACACCAATAGGCTCTTCAGGAAGAAGTGTGTTAATAACATTTTCTTCAGCAGTAGCAGTATCAAGGATTAACAAATTATTTAGATTTCTAAAAATAGAAGTAAAAATTTCATCGTAATATTTCTCCCAATTAAGACTCTTAAATTCACTTTTATAAAAAAAATAAATAAATTTTTGAAATAAGGCAATAATTCTACCGAAGTATTTTCATGATATTGTAGAGCGTCAAAGTATTTCTAGAGCAATATGAGAAATTCAAATATTAAACAAAGTCTTATAGGAGTTCTTCATATACTTCTTTTCCAGCATCTTAGTCAATTTTCAAAAAGAGAGTTAACAAATTCATATGATGATCTGCCTTTGATGGAGTATAATTCTACTTAAATATCTCATAAACCTAGACACATAAAAAGATATTATATTTTTAATAATCAAAACTGAGAATTTGAAAATCAATAAATAAATAAATAAAAATTTATTTGGGGAAACAAATTATTGAAATGAGCTGAATTATTTATGCTTAATTTAAAAGCATTCATTCTAAACAATTAAAATAAACCAACAAGTAGCGTATCTTTATTTTTTATATGTTGAATCAAAGTTAAATATGATAACCTCAATTTAAAAATTCTAATAAACACTTTGCTAAAAGTTAAAGCCTTAAGCTAAACATAGATATTCATCTTAAAAATAGCATTAAATTATAGGAAAGAACAAATCAAAATGAAAATATTTACTTCTTTTATAGAAGACACGTCAAAATACTACTTGCATCTCTTTACTAAAACGATAAACTCCGAAAATAAAGAGATATTGTTTTATTCATTTCTGAAAGGCTTTTCTTCGTTGTTATGGAATTCTTAAAGATAAAACTCGTAAAATGATTTCCAATCAAGTTTAAAATCATCAAATTCGGGTCTAGTTGAAAGCATTTCATTCAAGAAATTAAAGAGAAGAACTTTGGAATCAGTTCTAACATTTTTTCTAGTGAATAACATGTCAAGTAATAGACTTATTAATAACTGTTATTCATCGAGTTTGAGTCCATAAACATTTTTAAACTTAACAATCAACTATTTGATGTTACTACCTGCAATACCTGCTTGATTGACTACATCCTTTTGTTAATAAATTGAATAAGAACTTAAATTAATCTAATTGAGGAGCCAAATGCTCAAATAATAGAAGTTTATATTTCGAAGAGTTAATGTATTTATATTGAAAAGCTTGAAAATAAAAAATGGAGTACTTTGGATGTAATTGTGTGAATAATCTCAGACCAAAAGAACTCTCTTTCACTATCGAAATTCTAATCCAACCCTAAGGGAAGTCTGTTATGATAAAACTTTTGTCTTAAAATTTTGCCGCTATTCATACAAATTGTGTGTGTGTCTTTTATGTTTTCTACTTAGTTTTGATGCACTCTTGAGTTGATTATATCAGATAAGCTTTTAATGATGTATCTATCTATCTTTTGTTTAGGTTTATATATTTTTTAACTATTAACTTTTTAAGTACTTTTTTTATTTATAATTTTTTGATTATTTAGATTGTTTTATTTGATTAATAGAATGCTTAATATTACCTACCGCTCCTTTTCAATCTAATGAAATTATGATTTTCAGGCTAATTGCTACTAATGAAGCATCTACCAGCTTTTTACGCTATTTATTTTATGCAATAGGTCGTAAGTACATGCCGAAACAATTGCTTGTTTCGATCGATTATCCTTAATTTAAAATGCTTCAACTCTCAATATTTTAAGATGGGAAGATAAAAATTTGCTGTTTCTTATAAGATAAAGGGGAAAGATTAGGTAATTATTATTCTATTCGAAATGTCATTTAAACAAAAATAAATAATATTTAATTAAACTATGTAAAAGAGTGGTAGAATCTGTAAATTAGACAAATCTTTCTCACTAATAAAGAAAATAAAAATCTAATGAAAGCAAACTAAAGAAAAATGATAAGTCTATTTAATTTATTGTCTCTTAGGATAAAAGTAATACAATAATTTAGTTAATATAAGCATAGAATATTATATTTATATATATTTAGAAGTGCATTTGTCTATTCAAAGTAATTAATTTAAAATCCTGCATTCATAGCATTTCATTAACTAAATTTACATTTAAAAGCTTTGAAATAAAAGTGCTTATTAAAGTGAAAAGTTTCTCAAAAATAAAATAATTAATTAAATAAGCTCAAAAGATGTTTAAATGTTAAAAAAAAAAAATTTAAATTATAGAATAAGTTTTTCAACTGAATTTCAAGCAAAATAGTTTTATTTTTATTAATTATTTTACAATTAATTACTAATTTAAAATTAATTTAAATAGCAAATATTCTTTATTTATTTTCAAAATAAAAATTTTTAACTAAATACTAAAATAGATTAATTAATTATTTTTTTTAAACATAATAAAAGTTTATTTTATCTTAATTTACTTTAAATAAAATAGTTAATTTTTAAATTTTACCTAATAAATTTATTCTGTGAGTTTCTAATTTTTTCTAAATTAATAGCATTGAAAATATGTTTTTTCTAAAATTTTTTGTTAAGAAAACCAAATAAACAACTTTCTGATAAAAAAATTAATAACTTATTTAAATTAAAATATTTTATTATTACAATTACTATTTTAAAATTTGGAGAGCTGATATTTTAAACAATCATTGAAATAGATTAAATTTTTTCAATATAAATTAAATAGATTGTTTTTAAATCTGGTGGACTTGGTATTTTTAACAGTATTTATATTAAAATATTTAATTTTTACAATTACTAAAGGAGAAATACAGGTGTAATGAATGTATGGAGTAGTGTTTCAAACAAAAGAATAAAAGAATTAGTTAGAGTAGATAGAGCACTAGTAAGATTTTTGAGATTGGTTAAAAATTATAATGTACAATAAATAATTTGATTTCAAATTTTTGTTATATTTTTAAAATGAAGAGTTCTACTTTATAAATTTTTATTAAATTTTGCTTTTGGCCTTAAAAAAATAAATAAAATTTGAATTAAATTTTAATCATTTTTGATTATTAAAATTTATTATAATCATTTAGGTGTTAGAAATTGATATTTGTAATTTTTTTGCCTTTTTATTGATTTATTTGTTTGAAGATATGGTTAAAAAAAGATATACTTAAATTATAGTAAACATTAATACAAATTACAATTATTACATTGTATTAATATGATCTTTTAATCTATGACTTTTATACTACTTTGTAATTTGTTTTTGTGGCTATTCCCAAACTATTTTACGTTTAACGAACTCACTTTAAAAGGGCATAGACCTTTTATTTAGAAATAAATTGTAATTATATGAATTAATTTCCACTATCACTTTAAGCTCAGATTATTTAGGTATCTCAAATTAAAATCTAATTTACAAAATTTTCAATATAAAAAACAAAATCAAAATTTATTGAACTAGAACTCAAAAGAGAAAGAAGTAAAACGTTTTTATTGTGAAAACAAACATATCATAAAGTTGAAAGTTATTTGATAGCATAAGCCACTGAATTAAATATCTTAATTAGATAAATATTTTTTGCTGAGATAAGTTTTAATATATTGCTAAAATCAAGAAAATATTAGTTAAATAAATAGGAAAGCGTAAAAAATAATTATAATATTTTTGAAGAAAATAAAGTAGGATTAAAATAAAAGTAATGAGCAATAGGTCATCTTAAAGACAGCATTTAATTGCTTGTAATAAAGGTGGAGCCCACTCTGGAGAATATGCATAGTATATCTGTGCAAAGAAAGAATGTTAGGAAATTGATCCTGTTTTGTGTGAAGTATGTCGCAATAAGGGTCATAGAAATCATCGAGTTATACCTCTCCGTGACTTTTTTACATAGATAACTCACAGGGTAAATCGTTAGCGTATAAAAGATTATTCTAATATCTAAGCAGTAGTTGATGAATCAGAAAGAGTTTGCAGAGAATCTTTCAATAACTTGAAAGAGTATATCTCATAGAAAATTAAAGTTTTTGATGCATTATTAACGGACTGCTTTACAACTTGGAAAGAAAATGTTTCTTTGTTTGAGGAACACCATTGTCTGGAAGTAATTTCAGACATTTCAAATATGTAAAGAGAAACAGATATCACTCTTTTTACTTAATAAGTCAAGAAAATACTACCTCATATCAAATTTGATATAAGCGAAGACGGTGTTGGAAAACCTTCTTCAACTACTTATTAAAACTCAAATACAAATATCAAATCAATCACTAATGATATTCTAGGTTTACCACCACTTTCTAGACAGGAAGTATATGGCTTCTAATAAGCCTTTTTATTATCTTTAAAGAAAATATCTGAAAATCTAAATTAATAATTGCAATCAGTTAGCTTTGGTAGATAAAAGGGTAATACCAACTCAATACTTAATTTAACTCAGTAATAGCAATCACGAAAATAGGAAGAGTCGTTTATAAGCTAACTTGAAGCGAATACTACGTTTTTAGATAATGCAACTCCTATTAATGGGTCTAAAACAAGAAGCTAATATCCAAATTCTATTATACCTGATATATCTCCAGTTAACAATTTCATTAATGTAGAAAACTCTAGTAAATTTTTCCAGCAACCAAATTCTAGCAGTAACTAGTTTTACCAACCTCAGTAAGGAGCAGCTATCAACTAAAGCAGTTAATTAAATAGGAGCTATATTACACCTCGAGGAACGTATCGTGCTTCTGATTTAGTTTAATGTGTGAAGGGGTAAGAAAGTTAAAGTAAATTTTATTAGCACAAGAAGAATACCTCAGTTGCTTAGCTGTCAAATTAAAAAAATTAATTAGGTGAATATAATAATTTAAATCATTCTCTTCCAGATCACTCTGCTACAACTGGATTGGTAGTATTAGACAATGTATAAAAATAGGTTGATGATATATAAAAATCTCTTGATAACTTAAGAAATTCATTTGATTTTTAAAAAATACTTCAATTTATGGATGAAAAAAGTCCTAATCGTAGTGTTTCTCTGAAACCCAACGCAGAATAACAACAATAACAAAACTAAAACAATAAATAAGGAAGCAGAAATAGGAGTAATAGCAATTAGCTTGCTAACTTCTTTAATAGCAGTCAACAGCAATAATAATAGTAAGTCTAATCTTTGTCTGAGAGATCTCAAATAGTTTAAGGAAATAATATTTTAAATTTGAACAATAGTTTTTAAAATTAAGGTTTTTCTTAGGCTGAATAAGAAGCTAATTTAGCTATGAGGAAAAATTTAAACTAAATTCCACAATAGCAATCAATTTACAATTAGTCAAGCGTTTATAGCTAGTAATCTATGGCAGCAAAGCCCTTAACTTTTTCAGAAAAATTTTAAAGATTTAGGGAGATGTCAAAAAGCTAAAGCAGGGATAATTCACTTAACAACAGCTACCAGCGCTATCGTTTCGACTCAAATCACCAAAAGCAGTTATAAGAAGAATAAGAAAGTGAAGAAAATCGTAAGAAGAGTTAAAACAATAAGAAGGTTAAATTTTAGTTCTCTTAAGAATTAAAGCATGAATATGTTAGTGTATCAAAATACATAGCATAAGGTAAAACTGATAACTTTTCTACTAGACTTGTTCTGCTTGAACCTACAGTTGAGATTATCCCTCACAGAGAAGTAACCTTTTCTTTCCTTATAAAATCTTGCAAAAATTAAGAATATGGATAACCTCTTGCTATTGGAGTATGCCATAGGAATATAGTGCATTAAAATAATTTTGAGTTCCCTCAGAAAGAAGAATCTAATTATGGATTCAATGATAAATAAAAAGATACTATTTCAACAGCAGCCTCTGGGTAGGCTTCATTTAGCTCAATTCATGGTTGCTATTTACTAACCTCAACAGGCTTTTTACGTAACCATGCATATTAAAAGCAAGATATGAAGAAAGTACCTGTTCGTTTTGGGGCAAAGGATGTAATAGTCTGCCACTTCAATCCATTCAGAAAAACTCTAAAATTCACTAAAAAAAGTAGTGGAGAGTCTTGTATTTTGAATGTAGACACTATACCTAATGACAAACTCTACCCATGTGTGCGTATTAGTTATGCATAAGATTGTATTGAATATATTCATGAATGAATGAATGAGCGATAAAACGAATAGTTTCAATTTAAGTAGTTATATTAATTTATAACACTTAATTTAATTGTTAAATTTAAAAGTCTAAAATGTTAACTTAAGGCTGACCATTCATATATATATATTTTACCATGCATTTTAAAAATAGAATTATCATTTTATCAAATTTATGTTTTGTTAAACCAAATATTTCTTACAATAATCTTTAAATTTAAAAATTAGTTTTTTCAATAATTAATTATTTGAACATTTTTTTTGAAGAAATTAAAAATTTTCAAATTTTTAATCAATAATTTTATTAAAGTTTACAATAAAATATGTAAAAAGATAATTAGCAGCAACATATCATTCAATTAAAAGAATACTTCTATGAATGAAAAAATAAATATATAAATTGGTTTTTTTATTTTAGATTGGTTGATTAAGGTTTTAGAATTCATTTTGTTTTTGCTAGTTATAGAAAAACTATATTCTACAAATAAAAATGAAATTAAAATTAAAAATTAGTTTTTAATAAAATATTAAATATATTCAATATTTTTGATTTATTATCATCATTCCATTACTGTTTATTGGAACAATCCTCTAAATACTTTAAATTTATTACTATTGTTATGGTAAAAATACTCTCTATTAAACCATCTAATTGTTTTTCGCTCTGAAATCTGGAGAAACACTTGGGCTTATTACTTTAACTTAATTTGATTAGAATTATTACTATTAATATTATTACTATCTCTGTTGCATTTACTATATCTTCATTGTAGGTATCATTTAAGCTTAAATTTGCTAAGTTTAAGTTTATTGCATTTGTATTAGCTATACATTTTACTATATTTTGTCAAGATTTGCAGGCTTCTACATAATCATATATTTAGTAAATGTTTGCTTTGGTCTTGCATAAGTGTAATCAAATTCGTTTACATCTGTCATATTTGTATTAAAAACTTAATTGACTTACTATGATTAATTAACTATTGATTTTTACTATAATAACTATTTTTATTAATATTATTCCTATTACAGTGATGACTAATATTACTATAATTATAATTATTGTTATTGTTGTATTTACAATTATGGTTATTACAATTGTTGTGTTTATAATTATTGTTATTACTATTGTTGTGTTTATATTTATTGTTGTTATATTTAAATTTGCCCAATTTATTTATTTTTGCTTTGGATATCTTCATCATCTCTATTTTAATCATTTATTTCTTTAAAATCTTCTAAAATTTAGTCATAATATTTAGTTTGTGTTTGATTTCTTGAAAATATTTGAGGAGTACTTGATTGCCTAATATATGATGGTTTAATATTCACACTGTAAGCAGTATCTCTCTCATCAATACGAGATCTACTTTACTATCTCTAAAAATCTTATTAATCTTGATTATTAAAGATTGAAATAATTTTATTCTAAATCAATTGCAAGAATCCAGGTTCGTCTTTTTAACCTGGCTCAGTTGTGTGAGGAATACTTTTGCTTCTTGAATCATAAATTGTTTGTTCTTTTTTATTGCTCCCAAATCTTATATCATTTACACTTGTTTGAGGGAAATCAAATTAATTTAAGAGCATATTTGTTTATCTTGTTGAAGAAAGACTTCTCTAATGACTTTTTTTATGAGGAATTTTATTCAAAAGTGAAACACCTTTTAATTATTGCTATTTAAATTCGATATCTTAAACTTTTTACTTTTTTTATGATCTCCTTTATGATTATATTGAAGAAAGTTCATTGATATAATCAGCAACCCTATATGTATCACATAAAATAAATTGTTAAAAACTTAAGTTTAATAAAAATGAATTATATTTTCAAAATTAAATTGTCCTTAAATTATTATTTTTGCTTTTTACAATCACTAAATCTATCTAAAATTAAAAATAAAAATTTATTTTACATGGTGTGAGCATTTAACCTTTCTAAAATAGAATTAAGACCTTCAAAATGAGGTGCCTAAGGAAGAATTTTCCAATCGTAAACATTATTTAACAAGTGATTTTAAAAGAGTAAAATATTTAAATTGTGAACATTAAAATTATAAGAAGCATGCTATTCGTAAATATTTTATAGACTTAAAAGAAGTCTGTTTGTGACTTTTAATTAGAATGCAATTTTTATCAATTCTATGTCATTCACTGATTTTTAATTATGCTCTGCAAAATTTCTTATATAATCTGAGAGACTGTCAACTGGTTCTGACTTAATACTTTTTTCGAATAACTTTAAGAGAGCTAAAGCAATTCGGATGAGTACTTTCCACCCCTTTATCAAAAATAGATTCCATATTTTTAGTATCTTTAGAATAATTTGATTAAAATGTTGTGAAATAGTTTTAAAATGCAATCAAAAATTACTGTTTTGCTTTCCAAATCATAGGAAAAGAGAGTTATAAACCATTTAGTGCAAAAATAACTGACAGATATATTATTTTCTTTTAAATATTACAGCAGCTCTGGGAGATAATTTTGCATGAAAATTTCTAATTAAAAGGTCAAAATTTTTAGTCTTGGAAATCCTTCTTTATACATTTCTTTTAGTTTGAGTTTTTTTAGAAAATACAGAACAATCCAATATATTTCATTTTCTTTAAGATTTAAGGGAATGAGAGTTCCTACTATTTGATTTAATCCTTAGACATATCCAACATCTTTTGAATTATGACTGATTGCTCTTAGAATTTTTTTTAGTTTTTCTTTTCTTATTATTATCAGGAAATAAATTGAAAAGTTTTTATTTAAAATTGAATATTTTTTACTGCTTTCCTGAAATCATTTCACCTTAAAAAATAATTGTTCTATCTATATCTTTTAATATTTCCATGTCTGATTAAGAGGGAAGTAGCGTATAGTTCTATTCAAAATAAAATTAAATAATGTTTTTTTTGATGATTCTTGTGATTGAAATAAGTTTACATAGTATTATAGTTCATATTTTTTTTAAACAGAGTTAAAATTAATGTATTAGTCCCATAAAAAATATTGTTGGCTTTCAGTTAATCCCTAATTAAATGATAGAATGAAATTTTAAAATAAATAAATTAATTAATAAAATACTTACTTAAGATATAAAATAGCTCAATCTCTTTTTGATACTTTATGAATACTTATTTGAGCAAAATAACTTGCATAAATATTTAATATTTAATAGATCTTCAAATTATAAAAATTGAACTAACAAATTAAAAACTCGAAACTCTTTACTAAATTTGATAGAACTTTGTTTAAAAAAAATAATGTTAGATAATAATTTTTTTGTAATAAAATTGCATACGTTTCTTATTAAGGAGGTTACTTCTACTTCAGCAAAATATTAAATTCGTCTAAAGTATCCTCTTCATCATCGTAGTTGCACTGAGTATCTCCTTAGTTCTAGTAACTTTATTGATTACTGGCGTTTTTTATAACTCCTAGTAATCTTTTAGACATGCTTTGAGTGACAAAGCCCTTTTAAATGCGGTCTGACTAAGGACCATACATGTAGTTATTTTTAATATTCTTTGATGTTTCGTTGTTTCTAAGAGTAATTTCATGCTATCTAAATTATATTTAATCAAAAATTCTTCTTGTAGAAGTTTTTGAGAGCTTTTATTATAAATCTGTATTATTTGCGCAATCTTATTTGAATTATTGAGGATGAGTCTACTTATCGAAATAAACAGTGTTATGCTATTAAATAATTTCATTCTTTTATTCTAGAATTCTTCTATGCGCAGGAGGATTATCGCTGCTAATTTTGCTTATCTAACCAGTCAGTTAAAAAAATATTTTCTTCTTTAAGATATTTGGTTAGTTTTCTTTCATTTATTTGATTGTGCTAAGTTTTTTTGTAAGAACTATTAAATATATTATTAAGTGATATTATCAATCAATCGAAAGATATTTTAATCAGTTCTCTTAATTTTCTTTAAATTTAAAAATAAATTTATTAACTGATTTCACTCTCAATCAATTAATCAATCAATCAATAAACTAATATTAATAACGATATTAACCAAACTTAATATTAATTATTAATATTTTTTATTTCATTTAAAAATTAAAATGATAAATTTTTTTTTTGTTGAAAAATATTCAAAAATCACTTAATCAATCACATAATATTTATACTAGTTTTTAAAATATAGGATTAAAAATTTTACTTCCTAAAACAAACATTCATTTACTTATTTATTTATTTGAAAATTTATAATTTAAAATTTTGTAATTTTTACTCTAGTATTTAAAAATATAAACTAAAAAAAATAATTATATTTGTTTTTCAAAATTAATTCAGTCATAAAAAAAATATATTAGGTTATATTGACATTTAACTTTAATTAAATGTATTTGATATTTATTAATGAATATTAAGAATAAAGTTAATCAAACTTACTTAGTATTATTTAGTAATATTTTTTATTTCATATAAAATGAAAACCTTTTTGTAAAAAAAACCAATTTATAAATGATAAAATATTTAAAATAGTTTCTAAATTTTAAAATTTAAATCAATGTGCCTTAAACAAACATTGAGTTTTTTAATTTCAAAATCAATAATTCAAATTTTTTTCTTTTTTAAATAAATATTTAAAAACATAAATAAAAAAATTTCTTTTGTTATTAAAAATTAATTTAGAAATTAAAAATAAAAATCAGATTTTATTGATACATATTTTTAATTTATAACTCCATTTTAATAATCAAAATAATAACCAAATAAATTAGTTAATATTTATTAAAGAAGTATTTCAAAAAAAATATGATATTTAATAATGAAAACAATTAAAAATTTTAATTTTTTTTCAGAATTGTTTTATTTTAGAAAATATTTGTTTAAATTATTTATGTCAATTTAATTCCAAATATTTTTTATACAAAGAAAACAAAAGCATAATTCATTATTTTTAAGTAATTTAATAGCTTCATAAATACTTTGAATATACTTTATTTAAATCTTATTTTATTTACCATATTTTTATAAATTTTATTGGTTACTGCAATTTTTTATACAAACTATAATATCTAATAATAATTTATATTTATAGTAAAAATAATTTAATTTAAACTTGAAAATTTAGTTTTTATTTGATTATCTATTGAAAAGAGTTTTTGTATTTTACAAATTATATAATTTTTTTATTGATAAAATTTAATTAAAAATAAAATTCAGTAAATACTTAATTTAACTAAATTTCATTAAGGAAAACAGGGTATTTTTAATTGGTTTTAATTTATTTCAGTGAAAAAATTACAATTACAATTATAATGTAATAAAGTAAATATTTTTGAAAGTAAAAATTAAGAAATAAGGCATATCTATCTTTAAATTTCATTCTAAAGCTAATAATAATTATTTAATAAAACTATATGCACTTAAAGTCTAAAAAAATTAATCTGTAGAATATTTATTTTATTGATGAAGCTGATGCTTATTTTTTCAAAGAGTTCTAATCTCTAATTAATAAAAAACTCATATTTAATTTATTGGCAAATATTGATAGATTAAAAGTATCATACATAAAAAATAAATTTTCACATAAATATATATTTATATTGTAAGCTTTTAAGAATAATTAAGTTTGATAAAATAAACTTTTTTAATTGTTTGTTTTGATAAATTTAATATTTTGAAATAGATTTATCACACAAAAATGAATTTTTATTTAATATAGTTAATTGTATGATATTTTTATCTATTTTAAATCTAACAAGCTTATCACTAAATGTGGTATTTTTTAAATAATATATTTTAGTATTACAAAATAAAAAAATCAATGAAATAGCCACAATATCAAAAACTAATGTAATATGTAAATTCAAATATTTACAAGTTAACATGTCTCCAAAAATATTTTACATAAATGCTACAATAATCAACGTTACTAACTATTAATACTATTCTATATATACATTACTTACTGTAAACAAAATCTAATTAACATAAATGATACAGATTTTCAAAAAGAAATTTTTTTTGTAAACGCCATATTTCTAATATATAATTAATAACAATTAACATTTACAAGAAAAAATAGATTTTGAAACTAAGATTTTTTTTTAGTTTAGTGTTGTATAGTATAATTATTATATCAGGAGCCACATACCGAAAATATAAAAAATTATTTATTTTATCAGGTTAATTAAAATTGGAAGATAACAAAGCTTTTTTTGATATAGTTCAAATGGAATAAGAAAATGGAAATTTATAATAAATAGAAGACATGAGAGAAGGATAAAGCAATAGTTTTGAAGAATAGTAAGATTCATAGTTTGAAGAAAGCGAACATAAGCTTCCTGAACCTGAAATTATAAACTTTCATACATAAGACCTAGAAAAAGAAATATAACTATTATAATAAAATGACAATTAAAATAATTATCAAACAAATGAACAAAAGCAAAATGATATCTAACAGCCGGATTCTAAAAATTAACGTTAAATTGAAGATTCTATGGCTAGTTTTATGTCTTCTCTTCCTTAGTTAGTGGGTCCACATAATTAATATAAAGAATAGCGCAATCTAATAGACCAGCATTGGCTTTTGAATTCTCAACAATAAAATGAATCTGCTTGGTAGAGTTCTATTAATTCATTTCTTTCCATAGGATAGTCAAAAATGGGAAATGGAGGGATTATCAATAAGTTTACTCAAAGCTTAATCTAGAATTAATAAAATGGAGGAAATCCTCAATTAAAAGATATTGCTAGCAATTTAATTCATTAATAATCAATGTTTTAAGATAGTGGATAGCTTGATTAATTTATAAATATGTTTGCATAGGCTAATTAACAATTTTAAGTAGGGAATAAATTAACATCTAAAAATTCTTTTAAGCAAGATATAAGCTAAAATTCTTAATTGTAATACGAAGATGTTATGAACTAAAAGGTAAAAAATAATTTGAATAATTTAGGATTGGATGTAATTAGTGAAATTTAATCTATTAAAAATCCTATTGGTACGAACAATATACTTTCTGAAATTAAAGATAGTAGGTTTAGCCAAGATGTTAGTAGCGAAGTCTTTGTAACTAATAAAAATAATCAAAATGTTTTCTCTCATTTTAGAAACTTTTGCAAAAATGAGAATAGTTTAACTTTAATCCGCAACAGCAGTAATTTTGATAATAAATTAAATGATTAAATTTCACCTCAAAGTAATTTAAAATTGTCTAATAACTCATAGCTGTCATCTTTAAAAAGTTTAACAAATTCGCATAAGGTTGTTGGATAAAATTCTCAAAAAAATGTTTAAAAATAAAAGTTATTTAATTTTTTTGAGCAAGTACCTAAAGCAATTTCAGAGAAAATAGAATAAAAAAACTAACTCTTTAAAGACAAAATGTTAGAAAAGTAAAATTCAATTGGTTCTCAATTTAGAAAGATATTTCACAAGTTGATTGATAAAAATAAAGATTAAAATGATAGCTCTTTAAGTAAGGTATAGAATTCTTATGGATAAAAAAAATAAGATGCATGCAGCAACAATAACGGAATTATCTATTCAAATAGATAAAGCTCTAAGAATACTTAAAATGTCAATAAAATTTAAGAACAAAAATAATTTTAGCTTCCAACTATCAATATCAAATCGATAAATACAATAAATAGCTAAGTTCTGCCTATTTAATCATAGGTTTTAACTTAAACAGGCTCTACTAAGTCAATTAAATAATAAAAGAAAGGTGATAATTTAATCTAAGCTTCTTAGAAAATCAGTGATCAGTAGGATCAATTGAAAACAAATTAGCAGTAGTAGAGTGAGTCTAATATACTGAAGGTCAACTTGTTATCTGTAAATCAAAAAATAAGTTTAAATAACTCTGCTGACTTTCTATTAGACTCATATAGTTCCTAAACTAAAAATTAATAAAATGACTAAAATAAATAAAAAAATTATTTAGATATTGATTAGTTTGGCAGTCAAACAAATGCTTAAAGTGAGGCGAAACACAGTATCCTTAGTTAATCAAAATAAACAATTTAAAATTTTAATAGTAATCGTAAAAGAAATTCTTTTAATTTAGAATTTTAATAGTCAGATTGCTAAAGAGAAAATAATTAAAATTATTAAATATTTTTAAAAAACTAAGAAAATGAAGAATTTAATCTTTCTAATACATAAATTAACTTGAAATTATTTAATACCAATTTAAAGAAGTTAAAATATAGATCTAATACTTAAAATAAAGATAGAAATAAAGACCATTTACCAGAATTAACGAACTCGAAGTATTACTCTTTAGCTCAAGAAAAACGGGCTGAAAGAAAATAAAAAAACATTATGAATTATGATCAACCCAATATAATGAAGAAACTCATAAAAATAAGAACTAATAAGCAAGATAACAACAATATTTAAAATTCTACTATTATCTCAAATCTAAATAATAGTCTCATCGCTGCAAAAAAGATAAATCTAGAATAGAATAATTATAAGTTAGAAAATCTTTTGAGCGAACACATTCATTTGAAAGAGTTTGATGATTCAATCATGCAAGATCCTAATAGCTATTCACATCAGAGAATCAATAAATTTGCTAATCAAAATTTGTTAACAGGTGTACCAAACTAAAGAAATCTTTTATACCAATCTATCTCTCCGATTTTGAACACAAATAAAAAGTTATCTCCTTAAACATAAACAAATAGTAAAGTCATTAAAATAAGTATTTAGTAAAATCTACCTGAAGAATATTCTAAAAATTAGTTATAAAGTTAAAACCTAAATATGAATTATCTGTAAAGTAAAGATATCTCATTTAGACAAGAATAAAATAAAAAAACCAAAAAAAGGAAGATTGTCAACAGTCTTTAAATCCCTGTTTAAAATTAATAGCTATAATCATTCTATTTCTAATAGCAACCACATTTAGGTTAATTTTAAAGTCAATATGTAAAACATAATAATCTTGGACACAGTCAAATTAGATCTTAGTCTAATTAATAATCAGATATGCCCTAATAAAATAATGTAATGCATACAATTTTAAATACATAAACATCTATTTCAGCCCCTGATGTTTTTATGGTAAAAAAAGCAAATATATATAATAGACAAAATAATTGATGAATCATTGATACAATATAAGTTAAAAAATTATACTTAATTATTTGGAGCATTAAAAAATTAAATTAATGAAAACTCTCTATTTATTATAAACTAACTATCTTCTACTAACTGATTGAAATATAATTTATTTTATTTTATCTTTCTAAAGCTATTTATTTTCACTTCATATATTAATTTATTAAGAAGTATTAAGTTTCTAAAAAATTTGATGCTAGAATTAACTATGTTTTTATTTACTTTTAAATTTTTTTCTCTATTTTTGATATCAATTTTTAAAATCTGATCATTTATTTTAAAAATCTTTATAGAAAGATCAATATTTTAATTGCTTTTAGAATTTTATTATCAAATCAATAAAAATTAATTAAATAAACAATTATATTCTCTGAAAGATAAGTAAGAAAAAGAAGAGGAGGAAAAATGGAACAATCATAAACAGAAAAGATAAGGTTTCATTGCAACGAGCACGAAGGATATGAAGTTATATCAATATTAGTAAGCGAGGAAGTTAATTCTGATAAGAGACTATGCTGTTAAAAATGCATGATTTATACTTATAGAGGTTTAACAACCGATTAATTTATTTTGATTGAAGATCTACTTTAGGGTAAAGAATAGGCAACCTCCTATTTTCTTCCTGTAAAGAAGAGAGAGTTAGACATCATTTAAGAAGCTATAATAAAATCATAGAACAATGGGTATTTAAGAGCAGTTGAAGATTACTTCAGTGACTTACAAAAAAAGATTAACTAAATGATTCATGATAAAAAAAAGGAAGCTCTACTTAAAGCAGAAGAAAAGTAGTACTTAATAGAGGACCTGAGAGATTCCTTCAATCGTTCAGATGAAGTAAAGGAACTTCAAAGCATACTCTTTAATTCTTACAAAAACTCAGAAAATATCACTAAATTATCTGAAAAAGTAGATGCTTTTCTTTAAAAGCATAGATAGCTTTAAAATGAAGCTGAGAACAGATATTAAGCATTGAACAATCCTATTTAAACAGAAGCACAAGAATAACTGTAAGGGTAGCCATAAGAATCACAAGAAAATCAGGAAAATCAAAATTCTGTTGTAGAAAACATATAAAATTAAATGAGAAATCCAGAAAGTGGTGATTTCTACTCTAAATTTAAAAATTTTAGAAAGAAAGATTTTTAAATAAAAGTAACTCCACTTGAGATTTATATAATTCCTGTTTATGATCTCTCTATCTAATTTGTTAAAACTAGCACTAATGATTTAGTTCTTGATAAAAATGAGGAAGGATAAGCCTTTATTAAAAATAATGGAGGTTAAACTTCTAATTGTAGATCAGATTATATTATTCGTTAAGATAAAACTCATGTTTTTACATTTTAATTCAACTCAAAACCATCAGATTATATGAGAATAGGCATAGCTAAAAAAACTGATGATCCTGAAGACAAACTCTGCTAGTGCTTCGGATGGTCCAATAATTTTGATCTTGTGATTGAACGCGGAGAAAATTTATCAAACTTAATGGGCCCAAATACAATAGTGAAAATGGAGGTGAATGTAAAGCAAGATGTTTTAAAATTTTATGACTATGAAATGAAAAATATTGCAAAAAAGAAATCAACTTTCAGTTTAGATTCAAATGGAGAGTACAATATAGTTGTTTATTTCCACAGTGATTTAAAATAACCTATTATACTCACTCTTATATCTGCTGAGTTGATAGATTGATTTCAAAGCTATCTTAAATAATCTAATTAATGAGCATTAACTTTTTTAAATGTATTGCTGGTGTTTTTTTTATTTTTGATTAAAATATTAAATACAATTTTTGCTATAATAAATCCTGTTAACTAGCAACAAAGTAAGAAAGATAATCTTTTTTGTATTTATGGCATTTTTTTATAATATAAATTTACAAATAAGTAATATAGTTAGTTATTAACTACTACTAAAAATTATAATTTGTTTTTTCATTTTATTTATGTGCTTTAATTCAAAAATGATTTATTCATTCATGTTTTTTCTCAATTTACATTTATCTGAATTTTTTCAAATACTTAAGATAAATATTATGTTTATATCTACAATATGAATTTAATTATAATAAAGTTATTTGAATTAGTTAAAAAACTTTAATCAGCATTTATCTTTATTTCATTTTTATTATGATCTTTTTTGTAATTTGTTTAATAAAATCTATTTTTGTACAACAAAAAAAAAGACCGTTTTTATTTTGCGTTTATAGTGTGTTTAAAAATAAAAAAAGCAACCTATTCAAAAGTTTTACGAATAACTTATATAGTTATTAATCAGTTTTTTTAAATATTCTATTATGATTTTTAATTAAAAAAAGACTAATGCTTTTTCTCAGTTTATAAGAATATTCTTAATTTTTTAAAGTTAAAATAAACATCTTTATATAATTTTAATAATAATAAAATTAATATTAATTAAACAAACTTTTAAAAAAATAAAATAATTATATTTATATACCACTAAAAACTTAAAATAATGTGTAAAAACAGTTTCTGTATAAAACAAATTATAATTTATTCTATTAAATAAAAAGCATGGTATACCAAATTTCTTAAATAGGGTTTTATTTTTTAGCAAAATTAAAATAATTAATTTAAAATAGCAAAATATATCATTTTATTTAGACTTAATTTACGGCTGATGATAGCCTGCTATAATTGAATTTATGTATTTTTTGAGTTAATAATTATTTGTTATTTTTAACAAAGAAAGATATTTATTTTTTAGTTTTTGTAGAGTTCTAACAAATTTATAAATGTTTGGATAATTTTTCTTAAATAAAGTGTATAATTAGCAAGCTGCTAAATAGAGCTAATTAAGATTTAGGACTAAAATGCTTATTTCGATATTTTTTGGAGGTTTAGTTGGTATGAAATATGGATACGAAACATCTTAAAGGTAATTTAGTCATAATTGATATTTTAACAAATTCTACATGTTAATAATTTTGTCTTATAAACTTTAAAAATGTTTAAAATACATTAGGGAAAACTTAGAAAAATATTTAACTGAATATTAAGGAGAAGATTGGTTAGCATACAAAGTTAAAAATATGAAAAAACCTATATTTATTGTTTATTTTACACCTGCAGATAAAAAATTTATCTATTTTAGAAGATTCTTTTTAGAAGCAGCCTAAAATTATAATGAGTATTTAAAAGCTTTTTGTATTTAAAATTCATAATTTAAATGATAAAAAAAGATTTATTTTATATAAATTATAATCAATAATTATTTATTTTATAATAACAATTATAAACTCGTAGATAATGCGACTTTGTGCTTGTAAATTGTGCTAAGTACTATCACTAAGTTAAGAATATAGATATTAGTAAATATCCAAAGATTGAACTAATTAATACCAAAAGAGAAGTAGTAATCCCTGAAAATCAATAAACTGAATTTAGAAATCCAATAGTTACATACACTAAAGATTATTCATTTTATGGGATTAAATGCTTTTTAGAAGTAATTTATTTTATTTAATTATTTCCTATTTGAAATTATAATTCACAAATAATTATTTAGTAAAATGGTGTTATTGATTATAGAACTCCTCAAGAAGGATTAATACATTTGTATTCAGATGTACTTTCTTTAATGCTCGTTTGATTTGAATTTTATATTAATAATTTATTTTTTAAAATTAATAACTTATTTTAAGTTATTAAAGGTTTTTGTTTATGTTTAAGTTAGAAATATTATTTTATTTAAAATATAAAATAAAAGTATCTCATTAATAACTCTAAATGTATCTAAACAAGTCAATATAATTTTCTAAATTTTAAATGATAAAGCATAAGATTTAATTATCTTCTATAACACTTTATTCTTTTCTTAGTGATGTCTTATATATATGAGCCAGTTAGAACCTTTAGATTTCTGATATTTTTTTATTTACTTTGATATTTTAAAAATTTTAATAAAAAACATAATAAAATTTCCTTCGTTATCAATTTAACATTTTATAGTTCACAATATATTAATTGGAAGCTATTTATATATTTATTCATTAATTAATTAATTGATCGATTGACTAAGTTAACAAAATTTTTTATTCAGCATCAAATTATTTGTTTTAAAGTGTTAGGAAAAAATAAATCAAATGATAATAAATTTCAATATTAACTAATTTATTGAAGAGTTAATTAACAATACTTTTTTGTTTAGAAAACAGCGAAGGATTACATAAAACTCAATTAGGTTAAAAATAATATATTTAGCAAGTTACTCTCAAACTGAAGAAACATGCTTAAGATAAGAAAAGTGGCTAGCATATATCTTTTAGCATTTATTTTGTTTGGATGTGTTTAAACAGCTGAGAAAAATAGAATTTAAACTACATGCACCAACAATTCAGATAGATTTAAGTTCTAAGAGGGTTGCATAGAACTCAAATAAAATCAAAATTAGTAATCAAAGTTTATAAAAATTAATAGCTAATGTAATTGTACCAATAGTTTCATGGATATTTTAAATAAAACAATTAATTTATATGATACTTCAATAGTTTTAACTTGTGATAAAAGTAACTAACCTGTAGATGATAGCAAATCAAGACTGAGATACTCTTAAGAATAATGTAAATTTTCTAAAGAGTGTTTAAGCGGAAAGTGCAATTAAATCATTGGTATATGCGAAGGACAAAAGTTAGGATAGATTTGCAGTGTTTAAGAATAGCTCTTTTGTGATCCATAGTTAATTTGTGATTAACAAAGCAACACTTGCAAATCTCCAAATTAATTAAATTTAAAAACATAAACTTTTAGCTAAAATATTGAAAAAAATGTAATTATTTAAAGCTATGAAGAAGATTTTATTGAATGTCAAAGTAGCTTTGAGTGTGGATAAAATGAATTTTGTCATATTGGTAAATGTTTAGCTTTAATGAGTTTAGAAGAAGGATAAATAGCTGATTTTAATGAAAATAATTTATTTAGAGTAGGTGATTCTTTTGTAGATTTAAGATGCAAGAATCTCCTAACTTAAAATAATACATGCTCTAAAATTAAACAATTTAATGAAGAAAGTTTAATCAAAAAGTGTGCTGACTCAAATGGGTGCTCAGCTTCTAGAAGATGTGATTTATTGTGGGATTCTTCTATGGAATTCTACAAATAAGCCAAATACAATTTCTTATCCAATTCTTTTTGCTAGGTTTATCCAGATAATTTGTTGTTTGTTGAGAGCTTAAAAAACGCTTACATCTATGACCTTATCGAATAAAATGAATTATGTCCTTTAAACTTTAAATTTTAAAGTAAATGCAGTATAATTAAAAAATCTTTAGAAAAACTGAGATAGTTAGTTTTATATATAGATAACTATCATATCATAAAGAATACATGCATTAAACATATGCAGCACTTGTTTGATGTTGATGCATTATAATTTATGAATCAATATGAAGACTAATTATAGTTAGTTCAAAATGTAATGATAAGACATCTACAATAGGATTAATAGAATGAAAACAATAAAAATAATACAAATAATTCTCCTAATACAGATTAGCCTAAATAGACTGAAGACAATAAAGGAAATGGCACCAATAATACAAATTCAAATGATAACAACAAAGGAAATTAAAATAATGAAAATACAAATAACAACAGCGATTCTAATAACGATAAAAACTAAAATAACAATAATAATGGTAATAATGATAGTAATAACAACAACGATTAGTAACAAAAACCAGAAGATAAAGAAAGCGACTCTAGTTCATCAAATACAGGAATTATAGTAGTTTTAATTGTTATTGTTTTAGTGTTTGGGTGCTGTGGTGCAGTGATTTATATAAGGAGGAGAAATGAAAATGGATTTGCCAGTTTGGCTGCATAATTAGAAAAGGACAAATAATTAATGATTAAAAAGGGAGGAGGTATGATGAGCATGGGAAGTGGCAGTATGAATAACAATAAAGTAAATGCTAACAGTACAGATTCTTCAGGAAACATATAAGGAAAGCAGATTCAAAATGATGAAATGCAAATTGTAGACTAAAAAAAATTTAGCAAAAGAGTCGTTAATGACGACGTACGTCTTCCTTCTTAGTAAAAAGAAGCTTAAGTTTCACTGAAAAATCTAAATAAAACTGGTGGAGTAGAGCTGCATCTTGAGCAGAACAATGGAAATGAATACTAAGATAAAAGTGATAAAGCAATACATCATGCGGTTCATAGACCACACGCATAGCATCCTCATAGCAGTGGCAGCGTCCCGACCACAGGAATTCCATCACAACAGCACCAAGGACCTAAATCGTAACAGAAAGCATAAGGTAATAATTCTTAATCTGAAAAAAGATAAAACCCAACATAATAATAAGATATGGAACAATAAAAAAACTTAGATACATCAGTATAAAACAACTTCTTTAGTATTGACGGGGAGGACGAAGAGAAGCATGATAAAATAATGGATTCCATTTAGTTGGACTATCAATCAGACGACACTACTTACTCAAACGTGTTCAACTTAGAAGGAGAAGAATCATCAAAGCCACACTCGAATCGCAAAAAAAAGAAACAGAAACAAAAGTAATAGAATCACCTCTTTTTCGACGACAAGAACGAAGAATGAAGGAAAAGCAAGATTTTCAATCCATGAAACAAAGAAAGAAGGAAGGAAACACAAATACAAACAAACATAATACAAATAATACAATTAATACTTAAGTGAGTTAGATAATTTAGTTAGTGTAGAGAAAGTATGTTTTAATTTAGAATTTAGCTTCCAATTTATATTCTTATAAATCATATTTTTAAATTTTATTACATTTATTTCTAAAAAATAGAAAATATTTTATTTATTCAGTTTTTAAATATGTATTTTTTTTTTAATTTGTGTATTTAGTATTACAATTCATATTAATATCTTCATTCATTTATTCACTCGCTTATCATTCCAGCTTTAAAAATAGTTTAATATTTAAATGCATATTTACAAATAAACAATCAAAAATCAAATAACAAGCAAAAAAAAAAACAAACAAATAAATAAACAATTAAATAAACGATCTAGTTTATAATAATTTATTCGCTAACTCCTTAATCAAAAAAAATCATTCACTCTAAAATCATATAATTTCTTTAATTATTTATTTACTAAATGTAAAAAGTAGAAGAACTGAAGGAATTAATTAAATAAGTAGAATATATTTAAATTTACAAAATTTTTAATTTAATCAGTTAATTGCTAAAAGGTTAACAAAAAATTAAGTTGCTGCTGACTGAAATCAGCCATAATTATTTTAAACTATAGACTTTTGAATTTAAAAAATAGCTCTAAACAATTAAATAGCCCTTATATTTAAAATAGTATTGTTGAAAATGAATTCTTAGTTGTAAGGATCTCCATAATTAGATCGCTCATAATTAAAATAATCAATAGATTAAAAAAATAAAGACATTTCTCCAAACACGTCTAGAGATATGATGAATAAAGTAGGATTTAAATAATTAATCATAAAAAATAATTAAATAGTTTTCTACCATTATATCTGTTTTATTCAATTCTAAAAATATTTTATTTGATAGAGCAGAAATGAAGAATAAAAATCAGCACATAACACGTCAAAAAATACACAGAGATCTAAAAGAAAAAACTATTTTGTTTCAATAGAGCAGAAATCTGTGATTGAGTAACATAATTGCAATTTTATAAGAACTAATAAATCTTATACAAAAAAGAAATATGGTGAGGAAAATTGATAAAGTGCATTATCTAAGACAGTTTTTTGAGTCTAAACTTTTCAATAATTATGTCATTTCCTTAACAATTTTTTACACAATATTGATGTTTTGTGAGTTTTCTATTGACGATCCTACTGAAAATTTCTCAAACGTATAAGGAATGCTGCTTATATTGCAATATATAGAAATTGTCATAATATCTCTAATTATTTTAGAAATATTACTTAAATGCTATGCGTATGGAATAAAGGTAATATTTTTATTTTATAAAGGTCTCTTAATTTACAACATTTCAATTATCAAATTATTAGTTGTATTTTAAACAAAGGGTCAACATAATTGATGCTGTTGTTATTTCTCTGAGTCTTATTCTTGTTTTAACAGACTAATTTATTACACAGAGTAGTGCTAAAATCATTTCGAAATTCTTTAGGATATTTTTTAGATTTTTGCGTTTATTCATCATTTTAAGAAAAGTAATTTTTTGCTTACTGGATTTTTTTATGAAACAAAAATCTATTTTTTAATAAAAAAGATGAAAAATACAAATAAAAAAGCACTTGAGTACAAATTTGGTGACAAAACTCCAATTGAAAAGATATTAGCTATAATCGATAATTTGAAATAACTGGTAACAGACGATCATTACTATCGAGAACTTGAGTGGTAATTCAATTAATTCAAGTATTTCTTTACATTGATTTGATAAAAAATAGGGCTTCTCAAATGATATCTTCAAATAAGCTATATGAACCTATACTTGGAAAAGAGCAAAAAGAAGTAAATTATTTTTATTTTAAATATATGCTAAAAAAATAATAATTTGTTGAATACAGCTTGAATAGTGGATGCAGTAATATGATGGTAAGTCAAAAATAGAAATTAAGGAAGAAAAAAAGAAAGAAGAAGTAAAGGAGGTTCAATTAGAATAACCTATTAAAAAAGAAGAGAATAAATAAGTATCAACTCCAGCTACTGCTACACCTGTTGTAACTGCTGCTCCTGCACCTGTTGCAGTCACTCAACATATTGTTCCAGAAGTTGTAGAAGAATAATTTATATATTAATAAATAGAAACAAGCCCTTAAGTAAAGTAACGAAAACGAATAAATATTTTAACACTTTTTTTATTAAAAGGTGGAGAATTATTTTGAAAACTTAGATAGTAGAGAATTCATGGTTTTTGAATTTTTTAAAGAAAATTTAGGTAAAGAGCTTTCAATACTTTTGAATTATTTGTTTGAGTAGTACTAATGTTTTTAAGCATGGAAACTTCAGCCAGAAGTCCTCTACCATTTTTCTGATATAATCTAACAAAAGTAAACAGTCACTATCTTTTAGAACAAAAATAATTAATATTTTCTAAATAAATTAGATATTTGGGAAATCCTTACCATAACAAAATTCATGCATTTGATGTCACTCAAGTAAATAAATTATTTTCTATTTAACAAATTTTAAAGATAAAAATTTAATTATGCTTTTTTAATATTTAGACTATGCATTTTTTTTTAAAGAAATGCAATTTCGTTTAGATAGGAAAGCTAAATAAAATTGATATTGGAACAGTTTTTGTTGCTGCTGCCATTCATGATGTTGAGCACCCTGGCTTCAACAATCCGTTTTAAATGAATGCTAAAACTGATCTAGCTATCTTGTATAATGATAAAAGTCCTCTTGAAAATCATCATCTAAGTGTTACATTTAAATTATTAAGAGACAATCCTAGTATTAATATATTCGAAGGAATTGATAAGAAAACTTACAAGAATGTGAGAGAAACGTTAATTTAAATGATTTTAAAAACAGACATGAATCAGCATTTCACAAGTTTGGCATAATTAAAAGGAAGATTAGCTTCGAATGGTAATAAATCATTTTATAAATATGAAACAAATTTAAAATAAATTTTAATTTCAAAGAATTTGATGCTAAAGCAGCAGATAAGCCTTTATGTTTAAATACACTTCTGCACGCAGCAGATGTAAGTAACCCATTTAAACCTTTTCATATATATTAAGAGTGGACACACAGAGTTTTGAATGAATTTTGGATATAAGTAACTTATTTATTTTCCTTACTCCGTTTTCTGTAAAAAAATAAAATGTATACAATATTATAGGGAGATGTAGAGCGATCAAGAGGACTTCCTATTTCTTATTTATGTGACAGGTACACAACAAATATAGCTAAAAGCTAAATAGGTTTCATAGATTTTATTGTGTAGCCATATTTTGAAACAATATGTTAATTTATACCTGAATTATTAAATTATATGCCTCTATTTGAGTAAAACAAGTAAGAGTGGTAAACATACGAAGAATATTATGATAGATAATTAGCAACACTTCAAGCCTAGTAAAAAAAATTAGAAGAAAGAACAAAAACTATAGAAGATAAGAAAAAAGATCTAACAATTTCTTAAATAGACAAATTTTCAACCCCTTCTCAAATTAATATCTAACAAATAAAAACCTAATCTCAGCAGCAGCAATGAAGTAAGTACTTTTAAACATACACGTTAATAAAAAAATCAATAAGCAAGTAAAAACTATTCCTCATATATAATTGTATATAATTTATTTTTATTAAGTTATTTTTAGTAAACTAACTCTATATATTTATTACTCCTTTAATATATAAAACAGAAATAATTTAACTAATCAATCTTTTTATTATTTTATTTATAAATTTTTATTTATTTATTTACAATTAATCTGTTAAATTAAATTAAAATATTTTATTAACTCACTCACTAACTAACTAACTCAGTTTGTATTCTCTAAAGTAAACTATTTTATCTATTTAATTATAAATGGTATTCATTAATTTATTAAGCTAATTTATTGCTACAAAAACAAAATCATACCAAATTTCTAAGATGACTAATTTCCAAATCTTTTGTTTCAAGTAAATTTTCATAATACATATTCAAGCTACTATTAAAATTTGCAGTGTTTCCATTTATTGGCTCTTCATGAACTTACAACCCATTAACTTCTTATCCAGCTTAAAGCTTTTAACAGAATAAATAAATTAATAATAAAATAAATCAAATTTAATAATACTTATTTAATTAAATTTTCAAGTAATTGAATTTTTTTTATCTTAGCATCCTCTTCTTATCTAAACATGGCTCGTTCTTTTTCAAATTATTGATCCTTGTATTTAATCTATTTTTTTAATTAAATTTATTATTTTATATTAAAATACATGCTATTTTAAAGATTTTCTAATAAATATTTTAAATTAATTAAATGATTTTGAATATGAAAGAATTTCAAAAATCATTTCTAAATAAATAAATTTTTTTTAGTTTGGTGCACAAATTAAAAACTTTTCCTCTCTTTTCAAAACAAATAATAAAAATAATATTTTTTATCAAAAATTTACTCTTTGTTAAAGAAAATCTAAATAATATAAAATACAGAAATTATTGGTTTTATTTAATTTAAAAAATAATTTACTTAGCACTTCAAAGATTCTATAATTAAATGTTATTTATTTTCTCCTATGCTTGAGGAAATAGAAAGTCTCTTTGTTTAAGAAATCTGCTCCCTCATAGTAAGTACTTCTTATTATAATTACTAATTTTACTCCTTGAGCAATTAGTTTTCCTTGAGCTTTTAGTTTCTTTACTCTTCAAAAAGCTATTGATTGAGGGTTGCAGTCTTTATATCATTTTATAAGGAGTCAATCAAACCTCTAAGATCCCTACGTGAATATTTATAAAGACAGAATATGAAAAAACAATTAATTTAATCAAAAATTTACTCAATTTCATTTTGCTTAGTTTGCTATTTCTCTGAATTTTATCTTGCATTTTTCAATTCATTTTATGTGATTGAAAGAAGCTATTACATTTTTTAATATTTTTCTTCTTATTCATTATTTTTTTATTTGATTTTTTCACTTTCTTACTAAGAAACTGATAATTTTTAATTCAAATCTTCAAATTTTCTCATTTAATCTGACAATTGTGATTAGTATTATTATGTTGTCTATTTTTGTTTTACAATCTCTTCTTGTTATTGCTCACAAGTTGTTACTAACTTGCTCACGTCATTTTACATTCTTTCCATATCTTTTTACTATCTCTCTATTATCTTTTTATACTCATTTATTTCTTCTGCTAGAGAATTTACTTTATTATCAAATTAAGCAATTCTAGCAAGTAATTCTTAATTTTAATCTTAAAAATTCTTAATATGTGCTAATTATTTCTTACTAAATTCTTCTAAATCATCAATTGTTTCAAGTAATTCTTGGCATTCTTTTTCCTTTATCATTAACAAAAGAGTATTTTATAGTTTCTAATGATATAAATGAAACAATTAATACCTTTGCTTCTTTTTAGTTCTATAACTAAATGACCTCTTATCGAAGTTCATCAATTCTCTAATATAAATTTTATTTATCAGTTTCCATTATTATCTCAAATTAATTCTTAGTATTTATAATATTTTCTAAGTTCAGCTCCATGTCTTACTTGAAAAGTTCTTTTTCTCTCACTAGTACATCATTTTCATTTTTCTAATATTTATAAATAAACAATTTAAGCAACTATCATTCCAAATATTGTTGAAGATTCAAAATTTAATCATTAAGTAATTTCTAAAATAAAATAAAACTCTCTAAAGATATTTCTTGAACTAAAAATTTATTAAAATCATAAAATATCGACATTTTTTATTAAAAATTTATAGCAAGCAGCACACATTTTTAATTGATAAAAAAAATAGATTTATCTTTAAATAATTAATTGCGAAGAATGTACAATTAAGTTGAAATTGAGCACTTTTGTGTTTGCATAATTTATATTTCTATTGAAATATCTTGTTTATTAAACCAGTTAATTGTGCTAACTATTTGTTTCTTTTTTTAGAATATTTGCATAATATTAAATTCTCTTTTTATTAAAAATATCTTTAAAAAGATTTGAAAAATTACCAACTACTCATTTTCTTTTTCTATCTTCAAAATAAGATCTTTGAGAGAATCTACTTGCATATTTAAGTAAAAAATTTTTTCTTCTAATTATTTCACTATTTCTACATAACCCTCATACTTTTAATTTAAGACTGAGTTTTCTGCCTCTAATAAGATTAATTTTTCAGATTAATCCTGAATATTATTTGCCTCCTAGTCTAAATTAATTCAAATTGTTTATTCAGGAATAATATTTAAATAATTTATAAATTACTTGTAATGATGAGTACTCTTTATTTGAGATCATGAATTTAATTTTATATAGATTCTATGAGCTAGCAAATAGAGCTTTCTTACTTTGAGTTTTTTAAAAGAATCTAAAGATCGTTCAAAATTTTATTTGAATACTCCCTTATCATAATTTACATTGATGTTATTTCTTTACTTTTAGCTTTTAACTCTTCAAGGAGTTCTTCATTTCTCATTTAAATAACTTCCTTTAAAGAGAAAAGAATAAATTCTTAATTTTTTAAATTATTGAATTAATGAATGATACTTTGTTTTCATAAATCGAAGCATTAATAGCGTTCTTGAGGGTGTTTGAAAGATTTAAAGATTATTTTTGAATTATATTAAACATGGAGGCATATTATCTAGGATTACTTGAATTTTTTACTTAAATTTCCAAAAGTTATTACATATTTTCATTTAAAACAGAGAACTAATTAATCAGGGGAATAGATATATACTCAGCTTTTTGAATTTCTTGGCACATTTCATTAAGTGATTATATGCTTGATTAAATTATTGCAAAACTTTCTAATCTCTAATTATTTACATCTTTTATATCTCTTACTTTCATTTCGATTTAATCCAAGAGAGAAGTTAAATCCTCTCTTGAAGAGCTTATAGATATTCTAGGTTCTAAATCTAAAAATTTTGCTAGCCTCTTAATCTATTCACTAATGCTATTCATATCTACATTCAAAGCCTTTATTAAAAAATTAAGAATAAGCGTTGTAACCTAAAAATACTTATTTATTTTTTTTAAGAAAATAGTATCTATTGAAAATTAAATCAATTAATTATCTTGTCAAGATTTTGTCTTTTTAAATACTCTATCGAGCACAATTTTATATGAAAAATAGCTTTAAAAAATTAATTTACATCGATTCCATTTGAACTATTAAATGTTGATCTTAAATATTTAGGTTCTTTAGAGTTTAACTAGATCTCCATATAGTCTATTTTCTTGTTAAGTAAGATGATCTAATCGTATAGGTCCTTTGTTACAAATTAGATCTGTAATAATTATTATTCAAAATCTATTTGTAATGGATTTTAATTTATCTATGCAGTTGAAGTACCATTTGATTTTGTATTTTTTATATCTAATTGCTTGCTTATTTAATTAATTATTTTCAAATACTTAGATTCTTTTTCTATATTTTCAATTATATAATTCTAGTATTCTATTGAGATAGCTTCAACTTCATCTCGACCCTTTAAATGATTGAAAGAAAAGTTTGTTTGCTTATTTCTAAATTTTGAATTAAATTACACTAATAGGCTGAAATTTTTTATGAGTACTTTTTGAAATTAGTATACTGTTCTCTACGAGCTTTATCCATTAGCGCTAATCGTTTTTACTGTTATACTACTAGTCCATGAATATATATCAAACTTTGTAAATTTTTAATAAAGCTTAAATATAGTCTTAGATTAAGCAATTTTTAATTAATAAAAATATTTGCTTTAATTAAAGATAAAAATTCAAAAATGAAATTTGATAAGATTAAAAATTTTAAGATAATCAATCAATTTCTAACTGTTTATTTTGTCTAAAAATTAGTGATTGTATTTTGATGTTATTTTGAATATTATTTATCTATTTATTGGTCTAAATTTAATTATTAATTGCTGATAAAATGATTTAATTTAACATTGATAATATTATTTAAAACTTGAATACTTCAAAAAATTAAAATATATTTTTTATTTGAATTAATATTTTTATTTTTTTTATTATTTTAAATGCTCTTTGATAATTAAATATGATTAATAATATAGTAAGTTGCAAAACCTCAGTTCTTCTACCTCAAAAATTTAAAAATGAGAAATAATATAATCAATCATTTACACAGTGATAGAGATCAAAAGAGAAGAGATTATTACTATAATTTTAAATCATTAAAAAAAAATATTTTATTTTTAATTTTTATATTCTTGTAAGTTTAAATATTTTTTCAATTTATTTACATGGAAAATAAAAGATTTTTTTAAAATCAAAAATATAAATAAATATAGTATTTGCAGTAGATAAAATAAATTTTATTTTTAATACTGATTTATGTGAAATTAAAATATTGAAAGTGAATAAATATTTTATTTTTTTAAAATATTTCAATTAAATGAGCAAATAATAGAAAAATGCTTGACTAAAATAAATGTTTTTTTTTTAGATATACTTTTAAAATTCTAGATTGAAGTGTAGCCTAATAAACATTTTTAATTTACAAGTCTTAAACCCAGATTTTTTCAAAATATGTAATTATGGATAAAAAAGAAAATATTTGTAATTACTCTTTTAACATATATCCATTTCTGATAAAATATTATAAATAAATCTTTTTCATTTCTATATTAAGTAAAAATTGGTTAGAAGAATTATTACTATACCAAAACAAACCTTTATTTTATAAATAAAATATAATCAGTAGACACTCTATATTACTATATTTGGTAAATAAAAATTTTGTGACTTATTTTTTATTATAGTTTGTTTAATTTAGCCATCTTAACATTGAATAAATAAAAACTAGACCATTTAAGAAAATTTTGAAAAAGTTTAAGTAAAATCTTAAATTTATTTACTTCTAATGAGATTCTCTTTTAAAAAGTAACTATTTAAATAATAAGAACTAGGATTTAAAAATATATAATTAAGAATATTTTCTATTCTAGCTTTTTAAAAAAAGTTATTTAGAGTTTGATTGAATTAATATATAAATTTAGAAGTAATTGTTACTTTGGTTTTTTTCTCTATTTGAAAAGCGATCTTATTATTTATGATTTAGATAAATAAAAAATAACTAAAAAGCATGCTTTATCTATTTCTTTCTATATTGGGTTAGACGATCAGAAAAATTTAATATGAATAAATTTGTTCATTTGTATAACAATTACTTTTAATGCAATTTGCAATTAAATTGTGCATTTAGTTAATTTTATTCATTTTAAAATCAAGCAAATTTGCTTATTTAACTTCAATACATATCATTCATTTTAAATAGTAATAAATACTTTAATCCATTTTTAAGATATATATTTGACAATTGCAATTATTTCTTTTATAATATAACTAACGTTTTAAAATGACTTACTTTTTTTGAATTTTTAATTAATTAAATCTACACAAATGTAATGATTTAGAGCTAAATTAAATAAATAAATAAATAGTATCTAATAATTATAAATAATTTCTTATCCAATTTTTTACAATTTTTATATAAATCTTCTATTTCTTAAAAATTAAAACTAAAATTGTTAAAATGATTAAAAATAAACAGTGATTAATTTTATCTAACTAAAAATAAAATTAAATATTCATGTTTTGCTTAGAGAGTAATTTAAAAATTTTTTATTAAAAAAATAGTTATGGATTTCATCAATTTTTAATTAATTTAGTTACTAATGATCCTTTTGAAAATTAATTAGAATTTATCATATTTTGGCTAAATGTTATATTTGTTAGAATAGGGATAGTAGCTATTGATTTTACAAGTATCAGATTTAGAAGGGAAATTAGTTTAGAGCTTACAAGGATTTTGAAGCTTAATAAGTTTTTAGTATTAACTACAAATCAGTATTTATCAATTCAATATCAGCAATTTGATAATTATTCTAATCAAATTTTTGGTTATAATAAATGCGATCTATAAACAAAGTAAAACAAAATAATAAATTAAATAAGTAAATTTACAGTATAAATCAAATAATTCAATAAAATGGTTAGCGCAAAGGTGAAAATCAGTGAAGAACCTCCTTAAAAATAAACATAAAATGATTATAATTTAAATTTAGAAAACAGAGCTTCATTCATTAGTAAAGCTCTGTTTTTGTGGACCAATAAAGTTATAAAATTGGGAAACTCTAAAATAATTAAAGGTAAAAAAAATCTTAGAGTTTTTATTCCAAAAATAATATAAATAAATAAATATAAATAGAAAATGATTTATTTGATTTGAGAGAAGAAGAAAGATTAGAAAAGGTTCTCTATGAACTGAAAAAAGCCTAATAAATTAACAAAAATGTATGTATTTATTGCATAAATTAGCTATTTGAGTTAATTTAACCCTTTTTTATTAACAGAAAGGCTTTAGTTATGCAATTTTTAAAACTTGCTAGAAAGAATTCTTAATTACATCATTATTCACAATTCTTGTTTCTGGGCTTTCTGTAAGTTAAATTGATACATAAAAAATAATCTTATGAAATTTAATAATTAATAGTTTGCAGGCCCCATATTTTTAAACTTGATTATTAAAAATATTGCAGATCCGTTTTCTAATAAAAATGAAGGATATCTTTACTCAAGTCTCCTTTTTGGGTGCTTTATATTAAAAGCCTTTTTGACACAACATTTAACGCTCTTAACTAATAGAATAACATTTTAGGTAATTAAAATTATATTTTTTACAAATAGAATGGATATAAAAACAAACAAACAAACAGAAAAATATTAATTTGCAAATAATCTCTTAAAATATTTTACTATTCACTATATTTTTTTTTTAAAGTTTTTAATAGTTTCTTTTTATTAACTTTGTATGATTGATTCTACTTTAATCAAATTATATTTTTTTATCAAATTATTTAGAGTTGCAACTAAATTCTTGGTATAATGTACGAAAAATTACTCAAATTGAGTAACACAGGAAGAAAATATATGGATCCTGGTAAAATGACGAATCTTGTTATCATGAATACAATGGAAATATTGCAATTTTTTTTATTCGCGTTTACAGCTTTGACTGCACCTTTTATTATTATTGCAGCTTCTGTTTACATCATTTATGAACTTGACTATGTTGGTATTATAGCCCCATGTAAAATTGTTAATTAAATATACACAAATTCAATCAATCTATTAATATTAATTTAGTTATGCTTGCGCTTTCTGCTATTTTGGTTAATCACATTACTTCAAAGTAGGCTGATTTTAGAATGAAAGTGTTCTCTATCATAGATCAAAGAAGTAAGAAAATTACTGAGTTTTTTTAAGGTATGTTTATAATTTTGTAATAAATCTTTATTTGCAATTATTCTTATGAATAACATAGGTATTAAAATTATCAAATATTATGCCTGGGAAAAATGGGTTGTGAATTAATTATAGAATATTAGATTGAAAGAAATGAAAATTTTGTTTGGCTTCTTATTTAATATTGGATAAGTTGATTGTATTAGTTAAGTTTCTCCCAGTATTATAGCTGTGCTCGTTTTTGTTATTTATATTCTTTTAGATAATTAACTAAATGCAGCCAAGGCTTTCACAGCTCTTTCCCTTATAAATCTGCTTTAATCACCTATTATTCAACTTGTCTCTGGATGGGGTAAATTTATCTAAGCTAGGGTTTCTTATAATCGTATAGCTCACTTTTTAGACTCAGAAGAATAACCTCAAGACTACTATGATGAAGAATTAATGAAAAATTGTGAATAAGGAGAAATAATGATAGAAGAAGGATTCTTTAGTTGGGAAAGTGAAAAAAATGAAATGCACAATTTAAAAAATCCTGATGATGATTATATGAAGAAAATGTAAATCAAATTTATTTAAAAAGAAATTTAGTCTAAGAAAAAAGCAAAAGAAGATGTAAAATAATTGGAAGATGCTTTAGAAAATTTAAAATAAAAAAAAATCGCTGAAGTGCCAAAAATTTCACCCAACTTAACATCAATAAATTTACATTATAAGCCTAACACTTTTAATGCTATTTATGGAATATTTTCTAGCGGAAAGACTACCCTTGCTCATGCTATCATCAACGAAATAAACAAGCTTTCAGGAAAAATCGCTGTTAAAGGTTCAATAGCTTATGTGCCTTAAATTGTAAAATGATAAATTTTACTTAAATCAATCAATTAATTATAAAATTCTTTTTATTTAAAAGCCTTGGCTCAGATCATGCAGCTTGAGAGATAACATTTTATTTGGAGAGGAATATAATCAAAAAAGATATGAAAAGACTCTCCGTATATGCTAACTATTGGATGATATTAAGTAATTACCAGGTGGTGACTTAACTGAGATTGGTGAAAGAGGTGTAAATCTAAGTGGAGGATAAAAACAAAGAATCAGTGTGGCTAGAGCAGTTTATTCTAATAGAGACATCTATGTTGTAGACGACTGTCTTAGTGCTCTTGATAGTCATGTTGGTAGATTAATTTTTAAGAAGGTGTTTTACAAATTCTTAAAGCAAAAAACAATTATTTTTATTACTCATCATACCCATTACATGAAGTATTTTGATACAATTACTATCCTAAAAGAAGGAAAAGTAGCAGATTTTGGTTCTTACTCACAATTAACTGCTAAAAATTCTGAAGCTTTATCTTACTTGCTTAATAATGAAAAGAGTTAAGTATAAAAGGCAAAAGAAGGAGATGAGCTTGATGATCAAGAAGGATAAAATAATGAAATAAATGACGAATTGAGCTAAAATAATAAAATACCTCACAACCCTCCTCAATTAGGAAAAGCTTTTAGTGAGTAACAATCACAGTTTTCAAAAATGTCAGAAGAAGCCTCTCAATTCACATAAAGTTAATGTGAATAGCCCAATTAAGGACAAGATAAAGAGAATGAAGCAAAAGGTATGCTTGTTTAAAGTGAAGAAAAAGCTGTAGGATCCGTTCCTTTTTTCGTTTACAAAGAATATTTCTTACTCGGAGGATTAGGATATGTTACAATTGCATTGCTTATATTTGCAATTTCTTAAGCAGGATTAATGTAAATTACATTTTTATTTTAAGTTTCTCATTTTTTATTATGATGAACCAGGTTGTCAGATTGGTGGTTAGGCTAATGGAGTTAAAATGCTTATACAGAATTAGATAATAACTAATATGCAGGAATTTATGCAGGTTTTTAAAAGAATTTTAGCAAAATTATTTCTTAATCTTTATTTTTATTATTTAGGAGTGAGCATAACAAGTGGTTTACTTTACATTTTCAGATATTTGGCTTTCTTAGTCTTTTCTATTAGAATATCAAAGAGTATATTTAGAAACCTTTTAGTTAGACTGCTTTAAAGCCCAATGGAATTCTTTGATAAAACTCCACTAGGACGTATTGTGACTCGTTTCTCAAAAGATATAGACGCTATAGACTATATGTAAATAATAAAATTAATTTCAAGTTAAAGATTCAAATCATTTATTTATTTATTTGTTTGTTTGTTTGATTTTATAGGTTACAATTGCTTCTATAATAACTAATTAGTGGTGTAATGACTCTTATTGGTAGTTTTGTTATGATTTCATTGATAACGCCTATATTCATTGCTGTAGCAGTTTTTATTTTAATTTGCTATTACTTTATTCTCAGGAGATAAATTAAATGCTCTCGTGAAATCAAAAGAATTGTTGATAATATTAGAGCACCTTTAATCGGTGTTTACACAGAGCTAAATCAAGGTAAGTTCTATTTAATTTATTAATATTTTAAAAACAACTTCTTAACAAATCAAATTTATTTTAATTTTTTATATAAAGGCTTACTACAGATTAGGGGACTTAACAAAGAAAAATTTTTTTTCAAAACATTTAGCAAATGTGTAGATGGACACACTAGATCCACTTTTAATGAATTTTTCTGTAATCATTGGCTTAATCTTATTACTGATCTATTCTCTTCGATCATAGTCGCTGCTTCTGCCTATTTAGGTTTAGCTTAAAAAGAAATTAATGGTTATGATATATAATTAGCTGCTCATATTGGTAAAATTATCTCATTTAATTTAAATCTAAAATTTAATTTGATATTTTTTGATTAGGTTTGAGTTTAACATGGGCTTTAAGAATAAGTTCTTCTCTACCTGTAACAATAAGGTTTGTCGGTGATACTGAGTTGTAAATGAACTCGTTCCATAGAATTTTAAACTATATCAATGAAACACCATAAGAAAGAGATTTTGAAATTTTAAGTGAGACTAATTAAGCTAAAACTCTAGAAAAATGGCCTTAATAAGGAGATCTAGAACTAGAAAATGTTTCTTACAGATACAGAAAAGAAACACCGATAGTGTTAAAAAATATAACTCTTTCCATCAAAGCTAACGAAAAGGTACTCTAATAAAAAGTTATATAGTATTTATAAATTTTTCTTAAATAAAGATTGGTGTTATTGGCAGAACCGGAAGTGGCAAATCAACATTAACCTTAGGATTACTTCGTATTCTTGAATTAGTAGATGAAGTAAATAAAACTTATAGCATAATTTTTTGGAATTTTTCTTATTTTTTACTGAAAAATAAAAAAAATAGGAAAACAGTAAAATTCTATTGAATGGGTAAAATATTGCAAAAATAGGATTAAACTAATTAAGAAGTAATGTATCCATGATTCCTTAAGATCCTGTGCTATTTTAGGGAACAATCAGGTCTAATGTAGACCCTTTTGAAATTTATACAGATACTCAGGTAGTTGATGCTCTCAAAAAAGTCCAACTATGGGAAACATTACTAAGCAAGGCCAATCCAACTGAAAATAAAGATAATTCACCAACACAAAACCCTAAAATTATAACAGCTGAAAATATTCAAACTTAGACATTAATGAATGGAAGTGAATTAAATGAAAAGAGTATTAAAAGTATTTACTATTTATTTAATCACTTAATTATTCATTAAGCTTAATTTAAATTAATTTAGATGTCTTAGATCTTAAAGTAGATTCTCAAGGTGCAAATTTTTCTCAAGGAGAGAAGTAGTTGATAGCTCTTTCTCGTGTTATTGTGGTAAACTAAAGAAATTCAAAACAAATTTTAAAAATACTTATCTAAAAAATAGAGAAAATGTAAGTTATTGCTTATGGATGAAGCTACTGCTAGTATTGATGAAAAAACTGATTGGATAATTCAAAATATGATAAGAAGCGAATTCTAAGAGACTACAATTATAACCATAGCACATCGTCTCAAAACAATTATTTAATATGATAGGATTTTAGTTTTAAGTGATGGTGAAATTAAAGAATTTGATTCTCCAAAATCGATGCTTAACAACCCAAACAGTAAATAAAGATATCTATTGAAAAGTATAATTAAATAATTTTTTTAAAAATAGGCTATCTATTAAAGTTGATTAGAGAAAATGGTAAAGAACATGAAGCAGATATGAGAAGACTAGCATATAGCAATTGATTATATTATTTATTTACTATTTTAAATTAAACTATATTTTAAAAATAAATCAAATTATTTCTGTATGAATAAATTATTTATATTTTATATGTTTTAATCCTTCATTTTAATAATAATTTATCTTAAATTCTTCCATTTATCTATCATTCAATTTTAGCATCAAATTTAATTTTATTAAAAATTATTAGCCGAATTTTTTGAAAAAAATTATTTTTTCTTTCAACTTAACTTAGAGGGATAACGGTAAATTAAATCAATCATTCAGATTTTGTTGAAATTAGATAGTTATTTCAATAAAAGTAAGATAACCTTTTATAGATAGATTAAAAATTATAAGAGTAGCAAGCAGTTAAAGTGCATTAAAGATCAGATAAAATTTGGTAGTGTAGGTCTTAATTAATGAGGATTATGTTATTTTATAAAATTTGTATTTGATAGCAATTAAACCTCATAAGGTACAAACTTTAGCAATAAGATGCTTAAAATTTAAAGATCACTTGAAAAGATGTTTTAGATAATTTAAATAAGTAAAAAAAATAATAATGAAACTTTTTAAAATAAAAAAAATTGATATTCGACTTTAAAATTGATCGATATGAATAATTAAAGTTTATTATTTGAAAATAAAAAAATTTTATTGTAAACAAAGATTTTAATTAAAAATGAAGAAAAATTAATATGAATTATGTAAAATCACTCTCCTTACACATGAATAAAATATTATAAATTTAAAAAGTTAACAATTTAATTATTTATTTTTGTATTTGCAAGTTAAGTTATGATGGCTTTTAAAATTTAAACACAATTAATTATTTATCTTCAAATATATTATTTATTGAATGATTTGTATGGTGAAAGTAAACAACTTGGAGAATTTTAATCTAAAAAATTTTCTTGTTTGATTGATTGAAATATTGATTGTGGCTTCTGATAATAGTCTGTTAATAATTTGCTTGATACTAAATCGTTTTATGTTAACTAAAGGCTCTGTTTTGTTTTTGAATTATTTTTACTTTTAGTAATTATTTTACTTTGTTTCTTGAAATCAGTATTAATCTCAAATACAGAATTCGATTTAGCTCTATTTATAAAATAACTATTTTAGCTAGTTTTTTGATTATTATTATTATGAAATTATTAAATTTATGTATTATTTCTTTTATGGTCAAAATATTTTTCTTTAGATTACTGTGATAAATCTCTTTACTAGCTTTTCTGGTCTATGTAATTTTTTACGCTAAAATTTATATCTCTTTTAAATTCTTCCTTTAGGAGAAAAGAATTTTTTGTACTAAAATGATTAAATTTAGAATTAAAAGACCGCTTAGGTGTATTTTGTAAAGAGCTATACTGTGTATGGTCTGTATTGACAGTAAAGGAACTTCTTTAAGAATTTTACCTTTCTTTTGATTTCTAAAATAGGGATTATTTTGATTTGTTTGAAGATTTTTCGAAGCTATTTTTTCAAAATTATTAATTAATTTTTATGAAATTAAAATTTTAATTTACTCTTATTGCTTCTTTGATTCTTCTACATAATCTGTATGAATTGATGTACGAAATGGTTTATTGTTCTAAGAAATTAGATTATCGGGTTTTTATAAAAGTTATCTATGACTTTGAAAGCCATATTTTATATCAAAGTAACTTAAAAAGGGTTGATTATCCATTTTTAAAATCTAATTACAATCTTTCTCAAATCTTTTTCTTTTCTGCCAAAGATCTTTTTCTTCACTTTAAATTTTAGCTAATCTAAACTTTTTTTCTAAATAATTTTAGAATGGTTGTGAATTTGTTTAATCTGTTGAGGATTTAGATTCATACATTTCATTAATCTCTTATTCAACTAATTTTTTTTAATCTTTATTTTAATCTAAAAGGAATTAATCCTCCTCTGTATCAACAATATCATTTTAATCAAATTTTTAACTTTAAATCGATAAAATTGGTGAAGTTTCTGTATTAATAGAACCTTACTTTTGTGGCTATCCATTTCTATTAGGTAATAAACTAGCTCTCTTGCTTATAATATTAATTTAAAACTCTTCATACCCTTTTTACTATAAAATTTATCTATTTAATATTTTCTTTTAATTATTAAAATTACCATTTATATCTCTGAGATTTTCTTTTAAACGATTTCAGATTTCCAGTCATATTTTTTCTAAACAGGAAACTTCTATTCTGATGATTTTTACTTTTATAATTATCCTTAGCTTTATTCATTCTTAGGTGTTTAAAGCTTAGGTATTTAATTAGACTTTTGAATTGTGTTTTATTAATAACAGGTTTTTATTAAATAAGTTATGTATGAAAATTTATTATTTATAATTTTTAAAAAATTATCTTATCCTTATTACTTTAGTAGCTGTAAATTTTCTATAAATAGTTTTAGCATTATTTCTTTTTCACTGCATTTAATATTTGCTTCGTCGTAATAATTATTGTCATAATTATTTATTAATATGCTTCCTTAAGTATTTTGATCTTTTTATTGTAAGATTTAATATAACTATTTCATTTTCTCTTCTTAATTTTTTTCTTAAACTTTAAATTTAATTTCTTTAAAAAAATCACTAAAATTTCTTATTTTGCAGAAATAATATATGATTAAATCTTTTCTAATTAATTCAAAAAACTCTTCAAAACAATCTGACTAGTAGCTAAAAACCTCATTGAATAGATTCTGCAACTTTAAGTTTTTATTAATTTAAATCTGATCTATTTATATTAATTAATTAAGCATAAATATCCAAAATTTCAAAAAAATGATGAAAATTACTTTCTTATTTTTTAGCTTCTTTATAAATTGAACTTTTAGCATAATTGACAGGAGATTCGAAAGCTTAATTGGTTTGTGAAATATAGTTCATGATAACATCAAGTATTGAAAAAAATCTTTAATTTGAATTGATAATTTCGCTTAATTTCCCTTCATCATCATCTTCTTCTTCTTCGTCTTCATCTTCATCATTTTAACTATTAACTGACGAATTTGACATTTAATTTTCATCTTAAAATTCATCTTCATGTTTTTACTGAATTAAAAGTTTCTATTCTTATACTTTGTGTTCAATTGAATATATTAGCTACCTTACTGATATTAGATTCCTGCAGAACCTAAAAAGTATTTAGCCAACAAAAAGATAACATTTGCTTATTAGATACTCAAGGTCAGCTAATTCGTGTCTGCTGTTTTAAAACTGTTTTTATTTTTCTTAATCCTGCTAAACAATCTCAAAATAATTGAATTCGATTTTTTGTTAAAAATTTGTGATTTCTTTTTTTGTGTCTTACTAATTTTTATGTGTGACATGATAAGAAGGTGATTAATAAATTAAATTATTTTTTTAAATGAGTAAATCTCCTATCCTTGCTCTGAAAATTTCATTTAAATCTTAATATTTCTTTTGAATAAAAATAAATAGTTTACACTTTATTTTATAACTTATATAAATGATACCTAGTACTGAATTATGATTTATTCAGTCATTTCATTGACGAGTTAATTGTTAATATCTTAAAATTTATTAGTTTCTTCATTCTAAGTTTGCCTATCTATACCTAATTATTGACTCTCAATTTCCTAAACAAAATTTTTATTTAAATTTTAATTATATGTCTCACATACCAATAATAAATAAATTACCAATTAATCAGCATAATCAATAGCTTTTTAGAAATCTAAATCTGTCATTCCTTCCTCTTTGTCTACAAATGTTTTATAAAGCAAACAAATTGTATTTATATATTTATTTAGTGTTTGTTCTCCATTTATTTGCATCAACTTGTTTTCGTGGATCCCCTCTAAATGTTTAATTGATTCATCTTGTGATTCTAGCTTCTTTTGAATTTTTTATATTTAGTCTTAAGTTTAATTGTAGTTTTTAAGTTCTTCTTTGATATAAGCTCCTTCTTTATCAGAATTATTTTTGTAGCTTTGAATGTATTTTTAGTTTTTTTCAATTTCATCATTGATAAGCTTTAAAATTTAAATTTTATTATAATTTTAAAATTTTGTTTGTTTATTTAGAAGCAGAGCCTTTTCGTTAATTTCGCTTATTTACAAATCGTATTACTTGTGCAATAAAGTTAGATCATTCACTTATTAATCCAAATATATCTTATTTTTTTATATACAGCTTATTTAGTATTTCATCTGATTTTCTTTGTCCATCTATTTTAAAATTCAATACTTTATTTAACTCATAAAATAAATACATTATTATAATATACTTCATTATTTATTCTATGATTTGCAAAGTCTAACTCTCTTTTCTTATTCTAACCTCTCTCAAAAATAGCTTAAAAATTTATATCATTATCATTTGATTGCATTGATAAATCATAAATAGCTCTAACATCGACGAATTATTAGCTAGCTGCCTCTTTGTATGAAGAAGTAAATATAGAATTTGGTTAGCCTTCATACATTTTTTCTTCTCTAACAATACTCTACTTTTGCTATAATTCTTAAAGTTTCTTTAACTTCTACTCATTTGAATATAATAGCTCATCAAATAGATTTTAAAAATGCTTAGTATTAGATTTAAATTCTTCATTTTGTAGTGTTGCCTTTTCTTCTATACTGAATTATTTTTTTAAAGCGGCATTTCTATTTTGATGAACTAATGGCACTCTTTACTGATTCTATTCTATCATTTTCACTTTCTGCAAAAACAAGTTCTACAATCATTTATAAAAAATAAATTCATGTTTTAGAGACAACTTAGTAATTGAATGAAATAAATTAAAAACATTAGACAAACCAAATTACCTTTTTCATTTCAGATCTTTCTTGTGATCTTGATGCTACTATTGCACCTTAGTTATTCCCAAATGATATCATAGTATTAATAGAGCTTTGTCTTCTCAATCTTTCAAAAGAAGATGAAGTTTTCAAAATTTAATCCCCTAAATTACCAAATTCTAACTTATTCTATTTTATACTTTGTCTTCTGTCCATCTATGTATTTCTAATTATATTGAAGTTTCTTATCTTATTCAACTCTTTTCAGATTTAACTTAAAGCCAAATTGTATAAATTTATTTTAAAAGTCAATTATAATTTAAAATAATTGATACCTTTTGTTTTTTTTTTAGATAAATTAGTATATCAAAAATTTTAATATTACAAACAATTTATCTATAATGCTTGGTTTTTATGATATTGACATTACATTATAACCATATTAATAATAAATCAACTAATATATTTAACTGAAAATTGAAGAGATTTTATATATACATTATTAAGCATACAAATTTAATAATATAAATAACTCATTATTTTTTATGTTTATTTTGTATGTATGTAAGTAAGTAAGTAAAAAATATTTATTTATTTATTTCGATATTGTTATGTTGCTTAAAAGCTTCTTGCCTATTTCTAAAACAAAAATAGAAATAATAACATTAATATTTATATTTATACCATCAGTTACATATATTAACTGAAAGCAAAAACATATTTTAAAACAAAATTACAAATTAAGAAAAATAAATTTTTTTATATAATTAATAAAAACACTATTTTTTCTAATAAAAAAGGTTTTAAATCAAATAAATCTAAACTTTAATGTAACAAATATAAAAGGAATAATATTTATCAAATTTTTAAATATAAATTTTAACTTTATTTAATTTTAAAATGTTTAATAAATAAAATTCAAACAAAATAGATAAATAATATCTTTTATTTAATTATTAAGTTAAGTATATTTTTAATAGTCTAAATTAAGAATAAATATTTTGAAAATCAATTAACAATATTTTATTTTAATATTTTTTTTGTTATAAAATAGTTAGATAGATTCAATTAGAAAATTAAACATAATGAAAAAAATTAAACAAAATATTTTTACTTAAGAAACAAATAAATCATATCTTTTATTTAAGAAGAAATTTAAATATAATTAAACTGGTTTATGAAATATAAATTAAGAGAGAATTTATTAATAAATCGTTTAAGATTATTTTATATTACTTACTTGTTTGTTATAAAATATATAGATTGATTGATTGATAGATACAATAAAAATTAAACTAAATTTTAATAAACATAAAAAATATAAAATCAGTTATTCTTTTCATTTTTTAAAAAACTAACATCAACTAATTCATCACCTAAGTCTTACTTCTAGTTTTTAAACCAATCTTATATCATTTAGCATATTGGGCCTTTTTATCCGTCGTTAATTTATTTATCATTTAATTAAAGTACAGGTATAATCTAGGTTAAATTATAAATTTTAAAATATAATTAGAGAAAAATAAAAATTTATTTACCTTATCACCTCCAAAAAGAATAAATTCTTAAACATTTTCGTGAACATATTATAGATCAAAATATCTACGTTCTGCTGCCTTTATATAACCTTATGGTATCTATTTTATATAAAAATAATTAATTAACTAAATAAATAAATGATATCCATTTTTATTACCAATTCTTTTTCTATGTATTGCATGCATTTTTTAAGGGTAGTTCCTTCTATTATTTTATCAGCTGGAGGAGAAACAAATTCTTTGTTTTTCAATACCATACCGATACTTGCTATTGAAGCTTCTAACAAGAATCCATTTTCATCAACCTTAATTCCTAAATATCCTCCTTTACTCTTTTGAATAGTAATGAAAGTTAGTAATTTTTTAATATTTTTATTTAATTACTTTAGAAGCATTAGCTATGATGGCATTTTCTAAATATGAAATAGATTTTGCTTATTATATATTTTCTATTTCATGCTACCCCAGATTAACTGTAAATTCTTTAACTCCCTCTTTCAATTTATCGTAAGGGGTAGTAGGGATAAAAGTGCAAGCATAAAAAATAGGTTTTTTATCCTTTTAAATAAAATTTACTTAATATTAAAATATTGTCAAGTATTTTTCAATTTTATTTTTAGTAAATGCATTTAATAAAATTTTTAATTAAAAAAACAATTGACTTTGAATGAAATAGAAAAACTAAAATATATTTTTATCATAAAAACAACTTTTCACTCAAATAATAGAATAAATCCTATTTATGGTATATCTTAAAAGTTAATTTTAAAACCAAACTATTAATTTGGGTTTTTGGATAAAATCAAAAATAAAAAACGAACGAAATATTAATTTACATTTGAATAAATACCAAAATCTCCTCTTCCTGACGAAAGCCATATTCTTATATTTAATACAGTGCCTTCTAAATCTGCTTAATTATTTTGTTCGTAAAGCTTTTTGTAGGAAAATGAAGCTAAGTCCATCATAATTTCTTTTTTAATTAAGGAAAGAATTATTTTAAAATTAAAATGAATAGATCTTACCTTTAATTTGATCTATAGACATTGGCATTTAGATTCCTACTTTTTTAGCTGAGTTCTCAAATCTTTGCAAGTGCTAAGTAAGCTTTAGGATAAATAAAAATCAGTAAGTATAGAAGTAAAGAAAAAAATCAAAACATACTCTAAAGAACCTAAATTTTGTAATAGCCATAGAATCAAAGACGCCATGAGAACGATTAAGCATTCTTTCATCTATAGGAACTAACATAAAAGCAGGATCTATTGTTTGTTAAAATAAATATATTTATGCCTTTTAATAACTATTAATTATTTAATTTCTAAGTAGAGATAAAGAATTACCATCAATTATACAGTCCAAATCTGATGAGTAAAAGCCAAGCATTTATATATTCTTTTTGCGATAAGTTTATTCTAGCTTTTCAATTATCTCTTCTTTAGTTGCTACTTTTGTTTTACCTGGATACTACCCAACCTTAAAATTCTCCATTTACTTTAAACCTCTGATATATTATGTTAAATTGTATTTAATTAATTATGTAAAACTCACTTCTTATTAATTTTTGATTATATACAAAGATATTTATATTAAATTATTAATAAGCTTTAAATCATCTCATAAGTCTTAAAGTGGTTGATTCTCTTGTGTTTAATCAAAACTTTGAAATTTCATTTACAAAAGCTTATTTGCTAAAGTCATCATTTTCAGCCTTTATTTTGTTTTTTATGCGTCAATTAAAGGATTTAGTATTCTAATGTAACATGGCTAAAAATAAATTAACATTTTAAAAAACAAAAATTGTGACTAAGTAACAAATAAATCTTTAAACAATAAAAAATGAGCCATTTATTTTTGTTTTTTAAAATACAATGATGTAAAAAAGAAATTTCTAAAATAATTGGTATACTTATTAATTGGTTAAATTAATGGAATAATCCACAATCAAATTCATTATTAAATACCAGTTTAAAGTTTGTTATTACTTAAATTTTACTAGATTATATAGATAGTATTAAATATTTTTATAAATCTGCTATTAGAAATATTTTTCTATTATAAAGGAATGATTTTTTGAAAATATTCTTAACAAAATGCACTAAAATTAAATTTTTAAATAAAAGAAATTTACATTTATTATCGATTAATTAATAATATACAAAATAAAGAAATAGAAACTTTTTAACTAGTTACATCGTATGATAGAAGAAATAAAAATTAATTTTTAATTTGAAAGAAATAGATTGATTTAGTGATTGATTGTATATCTAAAATTACAAAAATCTTATTTTTATATATTTACTCAATTAATTATTTTTAAATAATTTATATCAAATGATATTTTTTTTTTATTTAATAGGTAATAAATACATTTTAAACATTGAAACAGAATGAATAAATCAGTTATTTAATGCTTACTTGAATAAAATTTAAAGTAAATTTCTAATAAATTGTAAGCTATTTAAAATAAAATAAATAATATTTTAAAATATCAATTTTAATTAAGAAAAATTTTTATAGCTTATTAGATGTTTAAATTTATTTTTAACTTTTAAAAATTATATTTATATTATCATTATAAGATAAACTAGAAAGAATTTCATATACTATTGTGTTATATATTCTTTAATTTTAATCTTCCTTCAATTTAAGAGTTAGGAATTTACTTATAGCTATTTAATATATAGTACTCCTTATACTGTTTATTATCTTATTTATTAATATTATGTTATTTTATTAAGAGAAAATTATTTTTAGAATGCTAAATAAACTCTTTTTCTTTATATGCTTGCAACTAAAAAAGCATGAAAAATATAACTTATTAATTGAATTTTTTGCTTTTAGACATTAAAATCTCTGCAAATATTAAAAATATTAGAATTCACTTTAATGTTTGTATATATTTGATTTAACATTTTTTGAATCTTTATTTATGCTAGAATTGTAAATAATCTCCTAAAATATTAAATTAGATAGTACAATATATTTTTATATTTAATTTCAATTAAGTAACGAACATTTAACATTTGAAAAAATTATTTTTTTAATACAGTTCATTTTTTATGTTTAATTAAAATTAAGTTTATTACATTTAACAAATTAAAGTGAATTAATTATTTTATTTATAAATTTACTAGAACATTGCACAAAATAATAAATTAATGAATCAATGAATAAATCAAACGTTTGAACTGTTATGAGTCATTTTTTTATCTTCCTAATGAGAGATATTAGATTTACTCAAAACATTTGTTTTACTATTTCTTTTAGTTGATATATTAGAAATAGGTTCTAAATATATTTTGTTTTATTTATAGTATTGTTTTCTATAAATTTGTTATGTCCTTTCACAGCTTGATAATCTCTTTTTATATTATGGGTTGCTCATTTCTTAACCATTAACAGTCTCTTGTAACGAAAAAGGTTTAAATTAGTCTTTAAAGTCTAGCAGAGTTTATTAATATGGAATATTTTAGATATTTAAGCTTTAGTTTAGTTAACCTAAGTGTTTTCTATAGTTATTATTATCATTATTTAGAGCTGATATAGATGTCATATTTAAAACATCTCTATTATCTGCTAAAGAGCTGTTGCTTCTTATATTTCTCTTTTAAATATAACTTTCTGTTTCAATCATAGCTGAACTTTTATATTCTTACAAGTATTTATTATTTTTAACTACTCCTAAAAATTTTTTGACTTCTTCTTTATTAGCTAAATAAGGTAGTTACTCAGATTTTTCAGCCTTTTAATTCAAATTCTTGTTAATAAACACTATTTTTAAAAATAATTTTACCTGTTAATTATGAGCCATAATATTTTATCCATTTTCAAATTGAGAAACTATGTCTTTAACTTCAAGGATATCTTAAGTGTATACCTTAGCTACTATTTCTGGATCATGAATGTAATGCTATATAGAATGTTATGGGTTGAATTAAATAAAAAAGAAGTAAATAAATATCTTACTTTTCTTATCTAAGTGTATTTTTATGCTGAATGCACTAAACTAAATGTAGGTAATTATTGCTTTACACTTTATTAGTCAGTAATACATGGTATCAGATGTATAACAGATTGCTTGGTGAGGGTATCTTCTAGAAATGCTGTCAATCGACTGTCTTTGTAGGGAATAAACTAATTTGAGTTGCTAGCAATTTTTTCTATGCAGTAATTTAAATTCGATCTTGAGAGAGCAGTCTATTGACAGTTGCTAATCTTTAAAAAATTAAATTTTTAGACCACTTAATTGATCTGCTCTCTACTTTCAGACATCTATTTGAATTAAAAAATTAGCACTGATTTTTCCTTTTAAAATTAATTTACTTTTGCTACTACGATTTAATAGATGACAGAAGTTATTTTTACACCTAGCTCATCTAAAATTCTTTTTTTGAGAAAATCAGCTTTTTATAATTTATAATAAGACTTAATTTAATTAAATAAAATAAATTTACATATTATAAATACAGAAACATACTCAGAAATGTTTCTAATTCCCATCTAAATTAAATTTTCTATCATCAGTAATTTTTATTCTTTTTTGGGTTTCAATAAAGTAAAAAAGCTTCCAGAAATGTCTTGCTCAAGGTTAAGTAAATCAATAGCTTTTTCTTCACAAAATCCAATTACACTAACCAATATTTCATACTATTATTAATTATCGTAGTTAATCAGCAAATGATTGACTGTGCGTTCAAGTAAACCTGATCTATCTTCAACTTTATAATAAAATGAAAAATTCTATGCTAAATAAATAAATCAAGAATATTTATCTACTAATTTGATCTTCTATTTACATAGTTGAATTATGTAAATTGAGCAAGGGTTTATTTAATAAAAGAGTATTTTTTCCTGTTTTAGAGGATCCATGTAGTATGAGAGTGTAGTTTAACTTTTTAGAGATAGATTCTTCTATACCTTATTTAATTTATAACCATATCTTATATAAAAAGAAATTAATTAAATTAATTATAATGTTATTTTTTTAGAAATTATAATTGAATGGTAATATTTCCTTCCACTATAACAGATAGCTAAAACAAAAAATTTGCAAGCAAGCAAGGAATTAATTTTACTTACAAAGTTTTTAGTTTTTAGAAAACTCAAATCATTAGAATAAAAGCTATTAATTAATTCATACATTTTTACCTCTTTGTTTGTATTAGTTTGATTTTCTTTAAAAATCTAATCGCATTGTATCTCTGTGAAAAGTTTTTAATCATACAATTCTAATTTGCACCCATCTTTTTCTATTATGTTTATCGTCTATTAAATGTATTATAAATATCTTGGTTTAATTCAACATTCTTTCATAGAATTAAAAGATTTTACTTGTTCACTAGAATTAGATTTCCTGTACTTACAAATAACCTAACAAAAATAAAATTTAAGAAATAATTTTATATTCAAAAAATAAATACTTTGATCATGCTATTAATAAGATAATTTGAACTTTCTAACTATTTTCCATCCTTCAAAATCTTTTTACTAAATATTTCATCAATTTATTACTAAGTATTCTACCTTGCATCAGATTCAGTAATAAGAGTGCATTGCTTTTTTGACAAATTATGATAAAAAGCTATTTTATTTCTATCAAAAGATCTCGATCGCGTATTAAGTGGCTAAAAACTATATCCTTTGTACTTCTAATTTTATGGTAAGGTATTCTTTTTTTTGCTAACAAAATCATTAAACATATTTACTATTTTACTATTTTTATACTATTTATTACTTATTAAATATAATATTGTTTATTAATTTTTCAATAGATAGATGATATCTTAAAATTAAGTAAACACAGCAAAAAATAATCAAATCAAAAATTATTTATTTATTTATTGATTTACTAACTTAAAATTTTATAAATATATCAGTTAGAGTAAAATACTTTGATTTAATAATATTATTATGAAATAGAATTATTTAGTAAATTTATTAATAGAACAATGAATCATTAATTAAATATTTTTTTAATAACATTTTATTTTTATTTTCATCGTTTTTATAAAGAAGATATTTTAAATAAATAAAAAAAGTCAATTAAATAAATTAAGAAGAAAAATTAATGTATAACAATTAAATTAAACTAACTTTTTATTTTATAACTTGATTGCATAGTAAATACAAATAATAATTTATACAAACGGAAAATAATTTTAATTTCTGAAATAAATTAACATAGTAAAATATTTTAAAGGTAAAAATTTACTAATTTTAATTTAGAAATGACATCTCTAAATGAAAAATTATCACTTTTTGATGAGAACAAGTTTAATGAAGATAATGGAGAATTTGCTGAGTTAATGAAAACACAACTTGTATCTCAAATGACCACAGCAATTTAAGAAGGAAGAGATCTTTTCTCAAAATTATAAACTCACTACAAAGAGTATTATTAGAATGGATTTACTATGTCAATACCCTTTTAAAAGGAGTTTAAAAGAATAGCTCATTCATGCAAAGGTTAAGCTAAATTGTGTTATGTTTACAAGATGTATGAAATCTTGGCTGCACTATAGGACGCTATTGGTTCAAGTAATAGAAATGAAATAGATAAATAGATGTATGAATCATTTGCGTTTAAGAAGAAATACTTTGAGTGTCTATATGCTGTGAAAGGTGAAAATGTTGAAGAGCCTGATTTTGATTTAAGATAGTTTGATGAATTTACTCATCTCAACTTAGCTTCTAATTATCAAAGTGCTCCAATAAATTCAAAAAGCTTTACTTTCAGTTAAATTGGAAATTAAAGTATAGCCCAAAATATGCCAAGTTAGGAAAATTAAAGAAATAAAGTACTAGTATCTGAAACTAGAAATGAAGTTGTAGAAAATATTAAACCAAAAAAAGAAATATAAGCAGCGGCACCATAATAAAATGGAGACGAGCAGCCAGGTTAGCTATTAAATGTAGGTGAAATAAAAATAATTGAATCAATGGATAATTTGTATTCAATATGTAAATAAAATAGAGAGAAAGGAGATTAATTATTTATATTTCGTAAACCTCAAATATCACATGAAGATCTACCTATAGACTCATCTTTAATGTGCTCTATTTTTTGATAGTTTAATTCATATTAAATAAATAAGTCAAAAAATTAATTTTGTTTTGTTAATTTATTTTATTTTATAAACTAAAAATGTAAATTTAACTTCATTAAGCACTTTACCAAAAAAATAATAATGATTAGTCAGTAAATTTTGTGCTAAATTTATCTCATTTAATCAGTTCAACTTGCTGTAAAAATTTTAGAGCCAACTTACAAATTTACATTTTACACGAGTTCACACAAATACTTTTTTTATTTTATGGTAAAAATTTCAATCTATCACTCTTAAATTTTCAAAAAATAAATAAATAATTAAATTTGTTATTTTAAAATTAAAATTACTTCAAGTATTTGTTTGTTTAAAAAAATTAAAATCAAAGTAAATCAGAAACAAATTTTGGATAAGATGCATGATTACATCTAATTAATTGTATCTAAAAAATATTAAAATTATTTATAAATAATTAAAGTTATTAAATATTCAATTTTTTAAGGTTAAAAAGCATATCCACAAAAAAAATAAAAAACAAAATGAGTGATAGTTAAGAAGTTAGAGAGGTCCATGAAGAAGACCATGCTTAATATGAATAAAGAGAAGAATAGCATGAAAATTAATAAGAGAGGTAAGAAGAAAGCAAGTAGCAACAGAAGGAAGAGTAAAGAAGCTAGGAAATGGGCTTAATGTCTAGCATCTAATAAGCTGTAGCTAACTCAGTTAGCACTGCAGTGGCAGGAACAACTGCTGCTAATTTACTTAAAACCCTCTCAGAAGATAGAAATTCTAGAGATTCTGCAATTTTGCAAGTTTGCAAGGAGAGAAAAAAAGAGGTTTGTTTTTCTATCTAAAACTTGTTTTTTTTTTTTAACAATATTGCAATTCTTACTGAATTACCATTTTTATTATGAAAAGTCATTCAATTAGCTTAAAAACTGGGATGATAGAAGAACTTAATTCCTTACTATCCACAAAAATATTATTGATTCAATTTACTTCAAGATTGAAAAAAGAATGAAAATATCTTAAGATTCTATGTCTTAAGTATTAAAGTTTTTTAAAGAAAGAAGGGATCAAGAATAAAGCTACTCTAAGTTGTTTTCAACCAAAATTCCTTAGCTTAGCAGTTGTTGGAGAGATGTTTCTGACTAGCAATCAGATTGGTAAATAGAATACAAATATAAATTATGCAAATTTGCTTTATTTTTTTCAAAAAAACCCAATTATTTTAAGTGAACTTAAATGCAACCAAAATAAATATTTTCTACAATTATTGAAATTGCTTCTATAACAAAAAGGTATCCAACTTTAAGTTAAGCTTTGAAAGAAACTGATGAATTAAATCAAAGTTTAGGTAAGAATGTATTAACTCTTGTGATGTATCTCGAAAAAAACATTATTAAAGACATGATTTTCCACGAAAATGAAGAATTTGAAAAGAAAATCAAGCTTTTAAGAAATAACATTTCTGATCAATAAGCAAGATTAGAAAAAGCTAGTTAGTACACAACTAAAAAGAATAATTCTTACTCTTAGTTATATTAATAGATGATGGCATTAGATGCTTATGACAATAAACTTAAGTTAAAAAGAAAAGATCTCCTAAATGTTGAAATTAAATTTAGGTAGGCAGCATTTGATATGATTAAAGAACAAAAGGAGTTAGGTCAATAAGTGTTAAATTATTGGGAAGAAGCCAGAAAAATGGAAGGTAATAAATTAATCTTTATGCAATTATACTTTTTAATAAATATAAATATTATATACAACAGGAATCAGACTAGAAATGATTCAAAAAGTCTTCTAACTTTATATGACAAAGCACTAAGAAACTTATGGAAAGCATCCTTTAATGGAATAAAGTTTACTTAATTTCTAAAAATTTGAAAGTGTTAAAGAATCGGGAGAGAACTTTAGTATAGCTAAAATAATAAATGAAGATGATCAAAGCTCAATTAAAAAGACCCTCAATACTTCAAGTGCACTTAACTGGCAAGATATTATCAAATATGTTATCAACTTTAACTTCAAAGATATTAGCATTAACTAACATCCATTGGTCTAAAAGAAATTTAAAATTATGAGAGATGTTGGAAGTGTAACAAAGTCTTTTAAAGAATGCTGGATGGTAGCAACTGTAGATGATTTACTTTTGTTTTATGATGAAATAAGTACTAAAGATAAAAGCAAACAAAAAGGCAGTGCTCTTACTGAAGGAGGAACAAAAGTGAATAACTAACCCAAGAAAAAATTGCTTTTGGATTATCTCAAAGTAAAGCCAAGAGAAGATCCTTCATTGATTGATATTATTGAAAAAACACCTGGCCTTTTATTTGACTCTACAAATAAATAATTAATTAAATTTACTAAAGAAGATGATTTTGAAGAATTCAAAGTATTTTTGACTCGTTATTAGCAATTAGATTTATAAAATGTCCCTGATTTAGGAATATCTAAATCGAAGTGAGAGAGTGAGTGAAAACTTAAGTGAATGAATGAATCATTGAATGGTTGAATTTATTTAAAAAATAAATATTTATCTAATTAATATTATTACTTGTTAAACAAAATCCAACTAAAATATTTATTTATTGTTTTATAATTAGTTTTGCTATAATCTTATTTCTTAAAATAAAAATAATTCACAAAATTTACAAAAACTAAGATAAGTAAGGTATTTAAATATTTAGTTTTCGATCAAAATTTTAAGAGAATAAATATACTTTAAAAGTCATAAAAGCGAGTAATTTGTGTTAATATTTTTAATACTTAAATTCAATTTCAAAAATGTAAGCAAATAAAAATAGTACAATATATAAATTTTTTACATAAATAATTTTTAAAGTATATAATATAATTTTAAAAGCAAAATAAATTAGTAAAAATAAGCTTCTATTTCATATAATAATATGAAATAATTAACTGAAAACAGAAAAAAGTTTGGAATTAAAATAAATTTAACAGTAAGTAACGTACAAGAAAAGATGAAGAATAATTTAGATTTAATATATAATATAGATACTTTATTTATTTGCTATTAATTATAAGAAGTTTTCATTTGTCTAACATTATTTTCATTTTAAGAAAAACCTTTTTTTTCGATTGTAAGATTTTATTTATTTTTAAAAATTAAAAAATGTAAATGAAACCTTTTTTATTTAGTAAGAAAGTAGATTAAAATTAAAAATGGCTTAGCTGTTAATAAGTATTTTTGATTATAAGAAATATATTTTTGGTTGATTTTAAATGATTTTTGAAAAAAATATTGTTTGTTAGTAAGTTTGTTTGTTTGTTTGTCATATTATATTCATTTTTAGAATTAAATTTTTCAGGAATTTTTATTAAATAATATACTTTTTATAATGAATTAAGTAAGCTGCTTGATTGGTTAAGTTTTTGATCAAAGTTTGAGTATTGGACTAAATGAATCCAAATAAAACTTTTGATTTTCATATATTTTTCTCCCTCTAAGATAAGTAGAAATAACTTTTCCTTGGACTTTTTAACTATTAAGAATATGTAATTAAGCAGGGAATTTTTATTTTTCATCAATTTAGGCTGAAAATTCATATACTTCGAAGGGATCAAATATGATAAAATCAGCGTGCTTTCCTTCCTCTAATGTCCCTTTTTATTTAAAATTACAAATTTTTGCTGGATTTCTTGAGAGGACATCTGCTATTCTTATAAGATATTTTTCTTCCTAATCAGTTAATTATTTTCTTTCAACGTTATTGCTTTTTTTGTTAGGAGTTGAGTTATTTGAATCTGTTTTAATGCTGATCATATCTTCATTCATTTAGAAAATTTGTTTATTATTGGGGTTTATATCTAATAAAAGATCATCCATTTTGTGGGATATTGGACTTTGGTTTTCACTATTGGTCAAATTATCTAATTGATTTTATTTTATCATCTTTTTTATGCTGAAATTTAAATCATCTTTCTTATCTTTTTAGTAAAATGAAGATTTCTTTCTTTATTTAAGTAATTTGCTATTATCACCATTGTTATCTTGTTCTATATTCTAAACTAAAGGGCTATTTTCTCTATTTGGTTCATTCGTTAAGCTATCCTCACTTCCTTCTGTTTTTTCTGCAGTATGTTCACCCTGATGCTACTTGAAAATACTAGGATTTTGAGTTAAATTAGGAAGACCAGTTAAATTTCGTTGAACATTTATTCCAAATGAAAAAGAAGATGACTTAGACCTACTAGCAATTGGGCTTTTAGCTTTTGAACTAATCTAGTTCTATTAATTTTAAGATACTGCAATAGTCCATAGAGTGGGCAGTTATCCACCAATTGAAAATAAACCGTTTATAGCTCTTTAAAAATCACCAGGAAAATAATCTGCTTATTATGTCATGTTCTAAATAGATTAAACTTGTTGGGAGGTATTTAAATTTTGGTTTTATGAAAAGAATTTGTATTTTGCAGGCACTGTAAAGTGGAAAGAGCCAACCATATGAATTAGTTTTTAATTATTAAAGAGACAACTCTGTAGAATTTACTTGTTTTACAAGTTTTGAATTGCAGGTTCTGACTTGAAACGAGAATCACCTGAAGTGATTTGAGTTGAATCAAAGAACAAGAAAGGCCAACTTACTTCAGAATAAATATTCACTATCTCTTCATATACTTTTTTCATTGAAAAAATCCTCACTATACTTAATCCATTTGAAATATTTTAAAAAATAAAAGTGCCAATTTAATTATTAATTTGTTTTCTTCTCATTTGATTATTTGTAATAGGGTTTTATACTTTTTCTTTCCAGGCACTAGTATTTTAGATGACTTGATTATGAGCATTTTTAGAAATATTTTTATTGTTGTCTACGTCTGTACTTTAGGTATTTTATTATAATTAATTTAAGTATGTTGAAGGAGATAGATTGTTAGATTGATTTAGTTTGTCACTTGCCTCATAGCTTGCTGTAAGTAAATTGCGGAATACTTGAGAGTACATTTGAAGTGCATAGTACTCCCAAAAAAAAGGTCGAGCAGAGAGAAAATGCAAATAGTCAATTTTAGGATTGTAAGTAATTTATGCAGGTTAGGTAATTTATTTAGAAGTGTCAAGATTTATGCTTTACATTTAACTCTTTTACCTCCTCTCGATTAAGCTCATGCTAGATTTTATCATAGAATCATCACCTTTCTAATTACTGCCATTAATTTATAGTTAAGAGATATTAAATCCTCCTTTTAAGCTATCTAAACGACTTATATTTTTGTTAGAATATGTCATTTTTTCTTAATATCCCTACAAATTACTCTTAGTTGACATATCCAATGAAACTAATAATTAAGATTTTATATTTTAGTTACTCATATCGAGCTTCTATAAAGTGAAATTTCTTCTTCTTACCTAGCTTTAGCAAGCCTCTTCGTCTTTATCTGACTATTTAAGCATTGTGTTACCATCTTCCTTATTTCTATTTTAATTTATTTCTTTGGGCGAAATCTTCTCTTTCTCATCTTACTGTCTCATTTCAATCTTGCATTCTTCTTATCTTTCTATCGAAACAATAGAATTGCCTAAAGTTTAGCTAGATGAGCTATTCGAGTATTCATTTCTTTATTTTGAAAATTGTGTTTCACTGATATTGTTGTTCATTTTTGAGTCAGAAGAGGAATCTTCCATATCATCTTCGCTATTTTCACAAATTGATTTAGCTCTCTTCATTCCTATTATGCCTTCTAAGCCAGAAAACTTTTTACCTATTGATAAATCTAGCAAATTCAAATCCTTTTATTCTTTGCGAGCACTAATTTCAGCTTTAATCTCTTGGAAGGGAGATTGCTTTTCTTAACTATTGAATTGCTTGTGACCTGTCCTAAATAGTGGACTATTTTTCCAGATATTTAAGTTATCATTTTCTGTTTTAGTAATTGGCTCATTATTTTTCCCTCCCTCGTTGCTGCTTTCCCCATCTATTATTAATATCCATAATGAATAAATAAATTTTAATTAAATGTAATTAATTTACCGTAAGGCACAAAATTAATTGGGGATAGCTGATCTCTTATACACTTAGATTCACTGTTATTTTAAGAAATGCTTTTTTATTATTGAAACCTAAATTAAGTTTCTTTAGTTTATTCTACTTCACCATCTTCTTTTGGGCTCTATTCTTTATTGATTCCTTCTTCATAATCTTAGATGATGCTGCTTCTGCTGTCATTTGTTTTTTCTTTAATGGAGACTTCTTTTTTTTAATCATCATACATTTCTATAGAGTTCATTTTAATCATAATTGCTTAAAGTTATGAGCTATCTAATGAGTTCTTGTCATTATCTACTTTCTCTTGATCAGCATCTAACTTATCTCTGCTACTGGTATTAAATTTATCTTTTTCAATTATAGGCATATCTAATTGCTATTATTATAGTTGTTTTTCTACCTCTGCGTCTTCAAGCTAGATAACTGATTAGTGAATATTCTAAATAGACTCTCGTATTTCATCATTGCCTAAATATTACGAATCTGCTAAGTATGGTATTTCCATTTCAACTTCTGCCTAATTTTGTTACATGTTTTTCTCACAATTGTAGTTATTACACTCTTAATTAAAGTAATTCCTCTCCTTGTCAAAGTCTGTTATTTTATTTTAAGGTAATCATTAAATGTGATTTTATTTAAATAAGAAATAAAGTGTATTTTTATTTGATGGGGAATTAGATTTGAAAAGCTTTATAATTAATTTTGTTTGTTAACAGATAATGTTAATTGTTATTAAATAAGAATAAAGAAATAAAATTAGGTCTATAAAGCTAAAAAGCTAGCGTCGTTTGAATCTTATGAATTTTTAATAAATTTCAATGGAGAAATTTTTATTTTTAATTAAATTAAGATCTTTCTTCCAAAGTTAAAAATTTATGTGATAATAAAGTGAGTGAATCAAAATTAACATTATTTTTTATTTATCTAATTAAAATAATATCTTTGTTAAAATAACCAACTTATATTATAAGGTAAATATTTTGATGTAAAATACGTTTTTTAAAAAGTAATTTACTTAAATTAAATTATGGCTGGGGCCAAGTGAGTACTTATTTTCCAAGCTGAAAATTGTACGGCTCATTTTGATCGCTTTCATCTAATAAGTCACTGTTATAGTCAGAGAGCTATGAATGATTAATTAAATGATCAGTATAGGCTTTGCTATTTTCTTTACTAGCTTCAAACACATCATATAAAATTTATTTCATTTCTTCATTATACTCATCTGGATCGTATTCAACTGTTTTGAGATAATTTATTGTTTCTTCATAGTCTTTTTCAAAAGGTGCTCTTAGAGCATCACCGCCTAGTTTTGGAGGATTTTTGTTACTTATTCTATCATTGAATTAGTGCTATCTGAAAGGACTACTGAGTGATAAATTATTATCACCTTGCTATGATGATGGATGTATAAAAAATATAGGAAGATCAACCTCTTAATATAATAATTTTTTCTATACTTTTTAATTTGCACTTTTTTAATCTATTTTTGATTCATCAACATTCTCTATTTTCTATTATTTTTTTATTTTTTCTATATTACAGCTATTTTATGTTTAAGATTACTGTGCTATATTATGTTCTTCATTTTTATAATTTTGATTTTCAAGCTATACCTAAAGTTTTTGCAAATCGTTTTCTTGATTATTCTAAATTTCATAACCTATGTTTTTTTCTATTTCAGGTGCCTTTTCTTCAAATTCTATTACAGCGCCTACTACATTATTTTCATCTTTATTCTAAATTAAACAATTTTTTTATAAATTTTCTTAATCTGTATTTTATTTCTCTTCGTTTTAAATACAAGTTTTACCATTTTATTAAATTTATTTTTCTATTTGTTATTCAATGATGCCACTTGAATTATCGATAACAACAGGATTATTACCACTGCTCAATTAATATGCTTAGCTACTAGAGAGTTAATTAGAATTTTAATTTTGTTGCTATAGCTGCTCATCAATTTATTAGATAGATTGCTAATTGATGAAATCTAATGAGTTTATAGTTTAAATTTAGACAGCGTCAGATTTTTAATGTATTCTATCCTCTTAAATACCTTCTTCATGAAAAAAAATAGATTGCTGGTTGTGATTTAAATTCTAATTTTAAGCAGCCCTTATAATCTAACTATTAAAAGATCCGCTGTTAATTAAGTTATTTGATATTTTAATTTGCGATTCAGTTATTTCCTAGCGTGTATAATTATTATGGGTTTCTGTTTAGCAAGAATGAACTTCTGGTATAATACTCAATTAAAATTAATTATTATAGAGATATCTTTCACTGCTTGATTTTTAACCAATTATAGGTAGCTCTTTTGAAAAGTATTCTGATTTATTATCTTTCTAATTATTTCCTTGCTATGAATAAATGTCAAACGGATTCTAAGGGTCTCCATGTGTTTCTTAAAAATTAAAGAGTTTAAATTTTAACTAATTTTATTAATATAACTTTTCTAAGCTATCTTCTTCTTAGTTTGCTAACTAAATTGATTTCTCTTGGTCTCTTAAAAAACTGCTAACATCATCAGGAGAAGATGATGAAAAATCTAGCTAAAATTCTATGTTTCTTTTCACTTTGTGCTCATAAATACTTTTTATATAGGCAGAAATGCTCTCATATTTTATAAAGTGAAATATGTTAGGTAAAAATGGTGGAGAAGTGTATAGCTTAATCATGTTTTTAGAGTAAGCATTGTGCTATTATCTTTATAGAGGCGATAAAAAATATAATTACTGGTCTTAATTACTGCTACACTCGAATGATTTTGATTATATTTTGATATCACTTCTCAACTTCGGTGTTTAAATTTCTAATTAGTTTTAGTAAATAGTCTTTTTGTTGATTTAGGATGACATTACTTCAGATGAATCTGGAACATGTATATTGAAAAAATCACAAAATAGCTCTAAGCTGTTATCATTTAAATTATTTTTCTTTTTTTACTACAACTTTGTTTGAAATTCAAGTAAGCTCGAAGGAATACGAGAATTTGTTGAAGGTTCTAAGCAGCTTTGCTTTTCTTTATCGTCAAATTAAAAATCATGTAAAGAATCTCCCTTTAAATTATTTTAGTTGCTGCTCTTATTTATATTTATTTAGTTGTTTATCTTATTATGATTGCAACTAGGATTTTCATCTAACTACTCTACAGTTTTAAATACGTTTTCATCACTAAAAATTTAACTCGTTTAATTTTTTATTGTAATTTAATTCTACTCAAAAACCTTTGGATAATTTTACTTGTTAGATTCCTTTTTCTTCTACATATAATTATCTTAAAAGATATTTAACTCGCTGCTCTTCACTTGTTAATCTGCTGTGTTATTTTACATTTCATTCACAGAGCTGCTTTACAACTTAGGTTGCAGAGATTAATTCACTAAGGTAGTGATTCCGTACTTGAGTGCGAGCATCGAGAGATGCTTATTATCAATCCAATCTTGGTCTGATAATTCAGTGTGGATAGTTACATTCGTATCTATTATTCCAGGTATTACATATTGATGTGGCTAAAGTTCAATAATATTGCTTTTTTACTATTCTGTTAGACTTGATAAACCTGCGCTTTCAGGAATAAATTTTTCAATCTACTCACCTTTAATAACTAAATACCCTGCAGAAAATCGATTGCTTTGACCTATCAATATCTTTTACGAGTGTATGATAGTATAGCTAATGTCCTAAGGGTTTTGAATTTCTGTAAATTGCATATCCTACATCTATGCTAAAGAATAGAAGTCTATTCTTACCAAAATTTATTTATGCTTTTTTTTCTAATTTGATTTATATAATTGTGTTTCTTTAATTACTAATTATCTTTAGTTGTCCCTCTTTAATATTTCTTTAGATTTTAATCTGATATATTTATATTTATATATTTTTTTTACTGAATATTGAGGTTTTTTGCGTTTGTTAATACCTTTGATTTTTCTTTAAGTTTTTTTATCAAATATTAAATTTAATTCACTGATTGAGTTTGTTTATTTATTTGTTTTTTTTGTTTATTTATTTGTCTTTAATCTAAATAATTGGCAAAATTTTACTCTTACTTTTGTTTTTAAAAAAGTCTTTTCTTTTTTGAAGAGTAGGATTAATTTACTTTTTTTAACTTTTAATTAATTTTACAAGAAAATTTTATCTCATAAAGACCATATAAAGCAGCACAATTAAATTTCAATTGCAATTAAATCCACACTAATTTTTCATATATCTTTTTTCTTTTCTTAATTACATTTAAAATTTAAGTAAGAGTTGAACACAAGATTTAAGTCGTCCAATAAACTTTATATAAAGTTGATCTATCATATTTTTAATTAAATATTGCACTTTCATACATACATACGAATTCCATCTTTCTACTTTAATGTACTTAAAAATTTATCTATACTATCTTGTTGTTGAATTGCTGGATTTTAAAATTTATGCTAGGATTGTTTCTTCTAGAAATTAGTGTAAATCCGCTTTACGATTGCTTAACTAATTAAATATTTTCTCTCTAAATATAATTTATATCTTTAAAATAACTGAATATTTAATGAAATTAACTTTGAGATTATTTTTATTTGTTGTATTTAATGGACGATACATTTTTGAAACAATCCTTTGCTACATGAAAATACTAATATTTAGCTCTAAAATGTTTAAAGCAATAGAATTTAAAACATCTCAAAAAAATACTTTAAATTTTTTTGTTTTGAAAAAAAGTGAGCATAAAAAGTAAATTTTTGAAATATATTTTTTTTAAATTTAAATTAATATTTGTATTTTATATTTTAAAACTTCTTTAAAATCAGTTCAAGATTTTAAATAATATGCATTAAAATTGAAAAAAGAATTGCCTGAATTTATTAATTTGAATAAGTAACAAGCTAGCAAAATAAAAAATAATTAAAAGGGACATACATGATTACAGTATTTTTTTTAATTTTGTTATACAAAATAAATTTTTAATCCATTATAAGCATGTAAATTTCCATTTAAGCTAGCTAATCAGATTTGCTAACCAATTAAAAATACAAATTCAATTCAATTAACATCCATTTATTTTTAAGAGCAATTTTTACAATTTATATACTTATAAATATAATTCATAATCTATTTTATTACTAAAATATTTTTCTTATTTAATTATAAAAGTATGTTTTATTGTAATTATTAAATTCTCCTTTCATTATCATATCAAAAAAATCTAAATAAATAATTGAATTATCATATTTATAATTTTTAGTCATCAGGATCTACTCAAAATTAATAAAAAATATTAACTTTTTTATCATAAAAATATTATTATTATTATTAATTAATGCATTTAACAATTCTAAGTAATAATTATTCCACACCATTAAAATATTAATAAATTATATAATTTACCAATAAAAACTATGATAAAAAAGAATTCAATTAATAATTATTTTTTACCTAAAAATATATAAATATTGTGTAGATCCTCATTTTTTAATTTATGCTTCTTACTAAAATTTCTGGAGTTTATTTTATTTAAGTCTCTCAATCAATTATAAAATTTGGTCGAGGGTTAAACTTCTATTAATGAGGATTGCAGTATATAAAGACAGTATAATTACTTAAAAAAAATAATAATAATTTCAAATCAAATTTTTAAGAGGAGAGGACTTAAATAAAAAGCAATAATATTATTTGGAATTTAAAAGTTAAAATGAGAAAAAGATAATTAATAATTTGCATCTAAAATGATTTTCAATTTTCAAACAATTTTTTTAAAAGTTTTTTTCTATTTAGTAAGAACTAATTATAATATTTTTATTTATATCTTCCATAAGTTATAAGGGAGAAAAAAATATTTATGATAATCAAGAATAAATTAAATTTAATAAAATTATTAACAAATTAATAAAATTGTAATACAAAAATTTAAGTAGAATTTTTAATTAATTAAGATTAAAATTAATTTTCGAAAGAGCTAAATGAACAGAAAGAATTAATTATAATATTTGTATTTGAAAGTAGAAAATCTAATTTTGATTAATTACTAGATATAATGAATGCAATGGATAAGGAAGAATTTATTAAAAAAAATATTTAAGCTTATAATTAAATACATGCTTCGTTTGGTAAATAATATCCAAAAGTATTGTAATTAAAAGAAGAAAAAAAAAACACAAAATTAAAATTGATCTCTTTAAAAAGCAAACACAAAATTATTAAAAAGCTAAGTAGATGAGTCAAAGTTTATTAAATAACTCTATTTCAACAAACGGAGGTCTTTAGATTATTAAAGCAACAGGAGAATATTTTTGCGCATAATGTCTCTTGCAATTTTAGAATGACAAGGAGTATAAAGTTCATTACAAAAGCGAGTTGCATCTTTATAACATAAAAAGAAGAATGCTTGATCTTATCCCTGCAACTCCCGAATAATTTGAATTAAAGAAAAAATGTAAACCATATTATTGAAAACAAATTCAATTATATTTAAAATTTAGCATTAGATTCTCAATCTTGTATAAAAAATAACTTAATTATCATAAAACTATTAGAAATTATCGATCAGCAAAAGAAGACTATGGATTCAACTAAAAGCGGAGTTTAGTTAGCAGATGATTTCAAGTGCATACCATGCAAGTACTACTAGAAATAATTTTTTTAAATATATTGGCAAATATTTTTAAGCAATTAAAATATATTTCGATCAAAATAAGATTACAATATATATAACAAAAACAAACTATAATGAAATTTATAAACTCATTTTAATATTTATAATAATAAAAGTAAGTCATTTAATACAGAAAGTACTTTTAAAGCTCACATAATATCAAAGAAGCACAAAGAAAATGAAAAAATTTATGAATAGAAAAAGTAAAACCCCTCCACTAACACTAAGGAAGCACCTAAGGCACCAACTGTAACCACAGATAAGGATTAAACTGTTTGCTTGTTCTGTGATAAGAAATCAGTTGATATTGAAAAGTAATTAATAAACTTATTTTTAACTCCTAAGATTGTATTTACGAGTTAACTAATGAATATATTTAAAATAAAATTTAGGAACTTAGTACATATGAACAAAGCCCATAGTTTCTTTATTAGCGAAGAAAAGTATTGTGTAGATAAAAAGGGTTTACTTAAGCATTTAGGATTAAAAATAAATATCACATATTTATGTATTCTCTGTGAAAACAAGGGTTGCAAGCAATTTATTGTAAACGATTATATTCTTTTTAAGCAAAAATCTATTTATACTCTATTTTTTTTATCATTTGGAAAGATAAAATTAGATTTTATGAATTAGCAATGATTTATTTATTTATTTTTTATAAAAAAAGACTTCAGATGCTGTTAAGATGCATATGATGGATAAAGGTCATTGTTTCATGTAATCAACTGTCTTTGATGAATATGCTGATTTTTATGATTTCACTCCTCAAATCGAAGAAGCTGTTGAATATCAAAAAACTCTTAAATAAAATAATACTCTTCATGAGAAGGTTATTGAAATTGTCCAAAACAAAAAGGATGGTGATAATGATGATGACTGCGAAGAATGGGAAAGTTGTATTGATAGCAATGAATCTGATTACGAAGATGTTGATGGAGATGAAGAACAAGAAGAGTCATCAAAGCATAAAGTTAAGAACACCATCAAAGAGTAGGACGAAGATGAAGATGAAATTTAACTTGAAAAGAAACCTACTAAAGCTAAAAAGCAAAACAATGAAGAAGAATGGGAAGATGAAAATGAAGAAGGTGAAGATGAAAGCAAAAAGAGAGAAAGAATAAAATAATAAAAAAAATATAGAATCCATAGGATAAAGTAAGATTTTTGAAAACCAATCACTTATGAGTAAAATGCTAAATTATTATTTTTATTTTAGGATTGCAAAAGCAACTTTAAACGAAAGAGGAGAATTAGAATTACCAAATGGAAAAACCCTTGGTCACAGATCATTCAGACATATTTATAAATAATATTATAGACCTATCAGCAATTATGCTTCTCGTATGAAAGCTATTTTGGGAGAAGAAGGATACAGATAGAGATAATTAGTTTTAGCCACATAAAATTTCTAGATTGTAATTCAATTATATTATCAATTGAAAGAATTCTTATTATTTATAAAATATCAAGCAATTAATGAAGAAATACGATGCAATTAAATCTCACAAAGAAGAAAAAAATTTATTAGCCTATCAAATGCACCGTAACAAAGTTAACTATGTCAAGTAAATAACTTAAAAATAGCAAAATATTAATTTAAATATTAATTTAATTTTAATTCTAAAAGCGTTGGTATTTCCCATAATAAGCTTCAACACCACTTTGTTCAACAATGTCCACTTTGAGAAAACTTTATTAAATATCTATCTTAATAAATATATAAATATGTTTTAAAAAAAAATATAAATATTAATTATTATATTCAGATATAAATTATTTAAAAATAACTTATTATCTCATCAAAAATCAATTATTTTTACCAAAAAAAATTTTATTTTAGAAATTATTTTTGAAAGAAAATTAAAAATAAAATTACATTTTGAATTTTTATTTGACTTAATAAAAATTAATTTTGTTTATAAAAAGATATTTTAAAAAAATATGTAAATATTTAACATTAATCTTTACTTTTTATCAAATAAAAGAATAAATTATTTAGGATCATAATTAATTTATAAAAATAAATATGTAAATCTATTGAATACTACATATTCTTTTAAAAATAACTTATTTTGTCATCAAAAATAAATAATTACGATCAAAAAATATTTTATCTAAAAATTATTTTAAAAAGATTATTTCAAAATCAAATTACATTTCTAATTTTTAATAAAAAAAAAAAAAATTATCTTAGTTTAAAAAAAGACATTACTTTTGAAATGAAAGTATTTTACTATTAATCTTATTTTCTTATCAGTTAAAAGAATAAATTGTTTAGGATCATAATTAATTTATAAAATAAATATGTGGAAATCTATTTAATATATATTCTTTTAAAAATATAGATTTTATTTAGATATAATTTATTTAAGATAACTTGTTTTATCATCAAAAATAAATAATTATTTTAAAAAAACATTTTAGTTAAAAGTTTTTTGGAAAGATTATTTCAAAATCAAAAAGCATCTCTAATTGTTATTTGACATAAAATAATAAATAAATTATCTTTGTTTAAAAAAAAACATTATTTTAATTTTGAAACGAAAGTATTTTAATATTAATCTTATCTTTTTATCAATTAAAATAATAATTTGTTTAGGATAATAATAAATTTATAAAAATAAATATGCGAAAATCTATTGAAAATTTAGTTCATTTACACATGTCTTATCAAGGCTAGACGATTTTTACATTTTTTTTAACACAAAAAATAGACAATTTATGGTAAATATCCCTAAGAGCTAAAACAAAAATTAAAATTGATGAAATTAAAAAGAATCAAACAAATAAATTTAATATTGCAATGGTAACTTATCTATATTAATTGTGTGGAAGAGATTTAAGATAATTAAAATCTAGATGTAACTTAGATATTATATTATTTGTGCTTCATCAGATTGGCAAAGATGATATAAAAATCTTATTTTCATTAATTTTTGCAAAAGTATGTTTTTATATGTGAAATTGTATGAAAGTATCCTATTGAAGAGATGGAAAAGATCATGTCCAAAACAATTAATTAACTAGCTTTTTAAAAAATTTATTGGTAATCTTAAACATATGTTTTTTAATCATAAAAAATTTTATAATCGCTGTGTTTTTAAAAGAAAGATTGATTAAAGACAAATAGGATTATTAAAAGCAAAAGGAATTAAACGGGAATATCATTGGATTAATTTAAAAACAAAAAATTAAGCAAAAACAAAAGTTAAGATTTCATTAAATAGCAATAGATAAGAGAAGAATAGTAATTAAGAAAAAGAAAAATTCAAAGCCAAAGAAAGCGATACATACATACATATACGAATTTATTTACTTTTGTAGTGAACAAATGAATAAAAGATTCGAAAAGCTTAAGACTAAAATCATTAAATGCTACTCATAATGTTTTTTTTCTTCTGAGAATCTTAAATATTTAGGACAATATTTTATAGAAAAATTTAAGAATCCTCATTGGTACTCTAATTATAATTATATTTTCATTCCAAATAAATCAATCCTGCTTTAGGATTGTCTCTTGATTTAAATTTCTACTAGCTTTTAATGTTTAAAATTTTTTAAATGATTAAAAATCAATAGTTAATTTGACCATAAAAAATTAGCTGATGAGCTTTAGGATGCCATCTTTAATTTGTAGTATCCTTCTTACATAAGATGTAATGCTGTTCAGGTACTAATCATTTTTTTTCTTAGTAAAAGTGAGTTAAAACAATATAAATTATTCTACAAAAAAGCTACTTAAGCAGTGTATGCAAACATCAAATTCGTTCTTGACTAATTTCGTTGAACAAAATATCATTGATAAGTTTGGAAAAATAGCTTTACTTACAAAGAAACCTAGATTCGATTTGCTCTATTTTTAAAACTAATATGGTAAGACTATTCATTTACTTAATAAAAATTGCCTGGCTTTATATCTTAGTTATTTAAGCATGAAATGAGATAGATAATCAGAGCAAATTTAATATTTTAAAGTAATTTAAAAGTAAAGAAATTTGTATTTAATTAATAGATGAAGTGTACTCGATTTAATTTTTTCAAGAAATCCTCAATTGCATACAACAATGGCAAACAAAATCTCGCTACTATGAGTCAATCTACAGGAATTTGGTAAAGTAGAATATAGTTTTTATTCTATAAAATTAGCAAAAGATGCCTTAAAGCATTAGTCTTTAAATGTAGTAAGGCTCAGTTTAAAATTTGAGCTAAAAAAAATACTAAAAATAATTCCCTCAGCTTAGCTTGGGAGACAGAGTGAAGCTCAAAATAAAATTGCTTTAGGATTCTCTTTACTTCATGTATTCATGTTTTGTTATGTAGAAGATGTCTGATGGTAATTATAATTAATTAAAGCAATTTAGCCACAAAAATAATTTGTGGGGGAATTATTTATCTGATCAAATAACAAAAGTAGAAAATAATACCTAATTGCATAGATAAGCAATTAATTAATAAATAAATAAATAAATATATTATCTTTTTAAAAGAAATACTTAAATAATTTTTAAAATTCCAAACTCCCCATATTATTTTATTTTCAATAAAAAATCTTTGTTTTTAATTTAATTTAATTAATATTATCATTTTTAACAAAAGAAATCTCATAGATTCTACTAGTATGCAACGACTTAATTATCAGTATAGACTAAGAAAAGGAGTAGCTACAAATGTAAAATCACAGCTCTGAGTAGATTAATTAGATTTAAAAGCTATAAATTTTACTTTAGACTATGAATTAAAACTACACCAACGGAGAGCCTATACAAACTTATGTGAAAAACTTTAAAGGTGTATTAGCAGAAGTCTTGGATATGTATTTTTAAATTAATTTAATTATATTTTTTTCTTAGAAAATCTTATTTTACAGCTAAAACTAAGAAGAAGAAGAATAAAAAATAAAGCAGACTTTTTTTGAAGAATTTGGATCAATAAAAAGCGAAAATTTTATTGCTTCACTAAATTCGCTTAATTAGTTAGACTCTGATTAATTGCAAAATAATTAAAAAATAAGGTCTTTTAATTGCATTTCAAATTAACTCTCTAATTTCCACTTATCGCTTCACAACTTAACTGCTAACAATCTTGATCATGTAAAGCACTTCGATAAATCGCCATGTTACAAAATTAATTTATCTAGGGGATAGTCTAATAATTACTCCTCACCTAATTCCCCAAAAAAACACCAATTAAGTATATTAGGTATATATAAAACTTGCATTGATTTATTGTTAATTATTAAGAGATCATTTTATTTGTCTATTTTTTCATTAATAATTTATCTTAATTTGAAAATTAAATAAATATCTTTCATCATTACATTTTAATTTTTTATTTTATTTGTATTTTGTAGGAAGTTTAATTGAAGAAAAACAACCCAAGAAAGCTCCTTTAATTTATGGCAAATTAAAATCCTTGAAATAGGAAACGAGTAATAAGTAATAAAAATAAAGCAACAATATGTATGAACAAGGAACCCCAGAGACAAAATGCACTACTTTTTATTCAGTCAATGAATCAAAAGAAAATTATTCATATTTCTCTTCTCGCAATAATAGTCCCTAAATGTTTTCCACTGCAAACCCTGTCCTTTTTTAATAGATTAAGGATTTTCCAGTAGATGCAGATGAAGTAATGGACGAAGAGCTGCCTGTAAGGGTTAGCTCTCAATCGCATTCATAATTTTCCTCATAAAACTAGCCAGATTTTTCAAGAAGAAATACTAACTCAGATTTTTAAAGTTAGTAAAGAATAAGCTAATAAGTTATTTAAAATAATATCCCTGTTATATCTTATAATCTTTAATCAGATAGTAATCAGCTAAATGAGTATAAAACTAAGTTCCCTTAACAATAACAGGTAACATAAAACAGAAATCAATTAAATAATAACTACTTTAGCACTTCAAGTTAGAACACAAGCGGGGTATAAAATCCTTTTTACATTTAGAATTAAACAAACAACTACAAAAACTCTAACATTATACTTCAACAAAGTTAAGATCTGTAGCAATTCTACTAAACTTGTTAGCAGCAAATTTAATAACAAAATTAATAACTATATTTTACTCAATAAAATCAACAGCATTAAATGAATTATTAAAAACCCCAAAGTTTACCTTAAATATTCTAAGCTCCTTAGAGCAATAACTTTTAAAATGTTAGCAATGAATAAAAAATAATATCTCAGTTATTTACTACATAAGGTTCTTAGTTACAGTAGTAACAATAACAGTAAACAAACTACCCAATTAATAATACCCTGTGTAATAATAATTTATAAACTAATTTTTACAACAATAATAAGAATGGCTCTCAAATTTAAGTTGTGAATATCTAAAATCAAAATAATTAAATTGGCAATAATTATATTCTTTCTTAATCAATGATTTCATAATAATAATAATAATATAATCAATCCTTGTAAAATAATAAATAATTACCTTTGTTTACATCTGGAGCTAATAATTCTAATTTTAACTCTTAGTTTAATAGCTAAAAAAACTCAGTCCCAAATTCTCCACCAAAAGTACCTTAAGCTATACCAAATTAAAGCAATCCTTTAGCCAATTCTAATATTTAAACAAACTAACCCAATATAACTCATATCCAAAATTCTAATTAACCAAGTATTAATCAATTAAAAAGCGTTTTTGGTGTACCTAACTCCCCAAATTCTTAAAAATAAATATCAAAAAGTATACTCAATTTATTATCGCAATAGCAAACTACTATCAAGAACTCTAATCAAATAAATTCCAACGCATTCCTTAACTCTTATGGTATGAATAATAGTAATAATGGTTAATTTGAACAATAAATTAGTAATACTAATGGAATTACCTTAATGTGTTCAAACAACAGCAGCCTAAATAATAATAGCAACAGTAATCAGATAAATATAGGAATAAATTAAAGTACTATAAACTTAGCTTAAACAGTAATGCACCATTTATAAAATAATCAGAATGCTGGTTTAATAAATAATAATAATTATTATTAAAAATACTTTGGAACAAAAAATTAAGTAGATTAACAATATTAATAATAACAATAATAAATACAGATGAACAACTAAAAATAGGCTTAAAAAGGTATTGAAGTATCACTTCCAAACTAAGCCAAGCCTCTAAATTCGCAAATAGTAACTAAAATAAACTAAGTTATTCCAAATGTATAAAATAAACCTAATAATGATGGAAGTTCTAAAGCGATTTAACAAAACTCCATTTAACAAATTACTAAAATTTAGAAGCCATCAGCTTGCTAAAATTTAATTTTAAATTCACAACAGACAAGCAATTAAGCACAATAATATTATATAAGCAGCTCAAATTTGGGTAGCCCTTCAAAAAACACAAGTACTAAAAATTCTTTAAACAATTCAACTAATAGATTTTCATAGCCTGTACTAATTTAACCCTCAACAAACTAAAGATTTAATAGATCATCTCAAATGAATCCTTCATTTTAAAATGCATTTGCTAAAACAGTAAATAATACCTAAAACGCATCCTTAAATAGCTCATTTAAAAATCAGAGTCTCAATACCTCTTCTTCTTAAAAATCAAATACAATTCTACCTAAGAGTTAATATACATTTAACTTATAAAGGATGTCATAGAATTAATATTACAATAACTGATCGATTTAATTATATTCAGTTTATTACCATATCTTATAAAAATAATACTTACTTTCATTATTATAAATTAAATAACTAAAAACATTTCTACTTGTTTTTCTATTTGTTAGTAAATTTTTACTAATTTTTTCTTTTTTATAATTCCTTTTTTGTTTTACTTTTAATTAATATTTAATTCAACCGCATACATACATACGCACTATTGACATAAATCTATTTTTTAATTTTTTTTTTTTTTGTTACAATCTTCAATTTATTTTTTCTGAATAATTACTTTAATTAAATTTTTTTTTTTTCGTACCTTAATCTATTTTTATCCAATAATTTTCTTTCAATAACTTTTATCCACAAAATATATAAAATAAACTTTTTAAATTCTTAATATAAAAAGTTCAAAAATTTAAGTAATAAAAAAAATAGAATACAGTATATCTTTTATTCACAATTATTAATTTTTTTAAATTATTATTTCATATTTTTTCTCCCCTTTATCAATCGATTTATTATTATTTTTATTCATTCGTATCTTTTAAATATTTTTATAAAAATTCAATTGAAATTTTCCTTAATTATAAATGTAAAATATTAAACGCAAATAGTGATGGAATGTTTTTACTTTTAAGTATTTCAAATCAAATTTTTTATAAATTTAAAGAAAATTATAATTTTCATTTAAATATTTTGAGAAACAATTTAATAAAATTTACTTTTATCATAAAAATAATTTAGGACTATTGATTTTCTATAAATTAAATTTATAAAAGAGTTATCAAAAATTAGGTAGGCTATTACCTAATTAAATTCAATAAAGAGTAAAAAATCAATCTCTTATAAATTGATAAGAAATTTTTTTTCCCATCAAAATCTTTAATTTAAGAAATATGAAATTAATTTTTGATAAAATTTTGCTAATTTAGAATTAATGAAAAAAGAATAAAAATAATCATCATAGCATCTATCTTTCTTACAAGCTTTAAAATACAAATATTAATTTTTAATAATTTAAATTATGATAATTGAAGTTTGCATAAAATAATATTTAAATTTATAAAGTGAAAAATTTCAAATTTGAATTTAGTTTACAGAATTTAAATTTATTTAAAATGATCCATTTTCTTGCTCGTTTAAAGTTACCAAAGATTGCAAATTTTAGCTGTGGAAAATCGAATTGTATTTTTCAGGCAGTTTTAAGATATTAGTTTTATTTTTTTTAAAATTATATAGGAATGATCCCTTTTCTTATATGATAAGAATATATTATTCATTTTGTATTTAATTTGATGGCAGACTAACATCTATTACACTACCAAATTCAGGTTTAGCTTGTATGCGAGTGTGTAACTTAATTTGTAAGTCGTATAATTAAATTTCATTTTCTATGATAGCCACAATATTAACTTCATCATTTATTTTTAAAAGTTTGCAAAATTAAACATTTTATAAATATTCTCTTGCCAAAATGTCTATTTTTTATGTATCATATTTGAATATAGACAAATAGTTATCTTATAAAATAGTAAAGTAAAGGTTATATTTACACTCTACAGTTTGGTTTTGGTCTCGCTTTACTTACCAAATACCTTAGCAAGCTGTAGAGAAACTGCCTTCAAGCAGACTTTATTGCAAAAATTTCGAATTAGCTTATTTCGCATTAGGCTTTGAGCTATTAATATCTAGTTAAACTAACTTAATCTAAGACGAATAAAATAAGATCATTTAAAGAGTTGTGCTATTATTAAAAATATAATAATTTGCTGAGATAGAAGGCTCTACAGATTTATAATATGGTTTCCATTTTATTAGATTATTAGATTTAACTACACTAACAAATCCATTTGTCTCAAACATAACTAATACGAAATAGCTTCCATATATTTCAAAGATTTCTGCAGATTTAATATTATTATATAAGATTTTTTTTTTATGTAAAAAGTTATAGTCTATTTCTTATTAACTTTTTGATTCTTATATTTCTTCTTCAGAATCAATATTATATTAGTCATATTGGGGTTACTTTCTAGACTTAGGCTTTTGAAATGTATAAAGAACGAGATTTTTTTGATTTAAAGCCAAAAGAGCTTTTTTATTCTTAAAATAGATAACTTTAAATTGCGCAAGGTAATTTTCATTTTTTCCAACAACTATTTCAGAATTTTCACCTTACATAGGTATTTTTAATTAATTCATCTAGGATATTCTAGAATATTCTTCTTCTTAGTTCGAATCAAAAGATTTCCTTTTCTCAGAACTTTATTTTTGCCAAGAATATTGCGTTACCATAAGTTTTTCAACAGATCCATGTTAATTTTTTATGATTTATAACTCTTACTCTAGCTCATCATCATCTTCGATGACTTTTTCATTTAGATTTGAACTTTCGCTGCTAGTTGTCATTAATTAAGTCGTTTTTGAAGAATCAAAGTTTTGCTGTTAATTTATATTTATTGTTTGGGATATATTATTTTTTATAGTTTCATCAGATGTAGTTAGTAGAGAATTATTAACTGAATTTCCACTCTTTTTAAAATTTAAGGGAATAATAATTGATTTTATATTTAATGTTGTTTAAGCAGATTAATTTTATTTTTAAAGATCTTAATCGCTTAAGGTTTAGCTATTTTATTTTGTTTCAGATAAATTTCCTTACAACTTTTTCTGTAGCTCCAAAATTTTTTGCTCTTTCGTTATCCTTTTTTTTCTTTATTTTTAATTTTTATCTTATGATGATGAAGCACCACCTTCTTTAATTGTCTCTTTTTTAGATTTTTTAATTTTTTTATTTTAAATATGTTAAGTTTAATTTTTTATTGCCTAATCATTTTAAGCTTCGTTAGAAGTTTACCCAGCTAAGTTTGAGTTAGTACTTATAATTATTTATTAAGAACAATTTTATTAATTATTTAAAAATTTATTATATTTCTGCTGTTGGTCTAGCTTCTCATCAATCATATTATGAAATTAGTAAGTTGATCTGAAATCTTAGACGTGCATCTAAATGTTATCTTCTCCACTAGATAATTCAACAACCTTTTTATTATTAAATAAAAATTTAAATTTTCTATTAAAAAAATAGAACACAAAAGTAATTTCAATAAAATATATTCAAAATAAAAAAGAGAATTTTTTTATTTAAAAAAATGGGAAGTTGGAGCTGCGCTAAATTTTTGATTAAATTATTTAATTAATGTAATCTTCAAATATTAATCCTAAAAAATTAAACATTTCTTATATTAATTAGAGTGATTATTTAGGAGTAAATTATTATGCCTATTACTTAAAAAATTAATTCGTAATTTTTATTAATAAATTTAAATAGATTGCGCATTATTTAAGTACCTAGTCATCTCTGCTCTGATTTTGCGAATTAATCTCTATTAATACGTGATTTTAATTGGAACCCTCTGCTTCTTCTTCTTCACCCAAGTATTATTTAAAATTAGATTGTTCAATAATTTAAATATCGTCGCCACTACTTTGATCATCATTAATCTATATGCAATTTTAAATGTCATTTTATTTTTAATGCATTTATTTATTATTTTTAGAATTATTATTATCAATTAAAAATTATTTATTTAATTCGAGATATTATTATCCTTGCTGAATAGTCATTTATCTATAACAGAAATATTAGCACTCAAACTTATAAACTTGTTCTTTGATTTAATTGATGAATATTTCTGTTTGAAAAAATAATTAGTTTTAATTTTTAATAACAAGCCAAAGTTTTTCAAAGTTAGAAATTAATTCAAAATGACTTTTTAGCTTGTGAAACATTTTTTGTTGATACTCTACTGAATCTTCTTACAATTTAGGAATATAGTGAAAAACTTCTAGAATTTTCTACAACTCCTAAATTAAAGAGATGGTTTAGTATAGTATTCCCATCATGCTATCGTATTAACTATGGTTAGTATTAAATTTTGCTAATTATGTTTTTATTTGCGATTTAGGAAGTACATACGCAGGATGTTGTTAGTAACACATCCTCTAATTTAGGTCTGAAGCTTCGCATTCCTCATTGAAGCACAAGTATTAATTGGTTAAGATATCTTTTTGATAATTTTAATGATAATTATCAGATACTTTAGGAATTTAATTGTTAAATTAGATAAAATTCATTTTTACAGATTAAGATGATTTATTTTTGATTATTTGTTATACAAAAATTTATTTTTGTTCTATTAATTATTGCAAAAAGTATAAAATGTAAAGAAAAATTTTCTTTTCAGAACTCACTTAAATAAAAAAAAATCAGTTGAGAAAATTTAAAATTAATCCTTTTATTCCTTTCTATTCTTGACTTTGTAAGTTTTTAAAAACTTTTTTTCTTTCAATTTTGCAAAAAGTGTTTAAAATATTTAAAAGCATTAAAAAAAAAATGTAACCAAAAAAAAAAAATTTATTTTCATCTCAAAAATATGTTGATAAAGTTAAAACAATTAATTTATTTATCACTATTATAATTATTCAAAAAATCATTCCTTCCGATATTTGAAAGAAAGTATCTCTTAATTATTAAAATATCAGATCGGTGAAAAAGAAATTTGAATGATTATTAAAAGAATACTTTATGATTTGTAGATAATTTATTTTAGTTGACTTCGTTTAACTTCTTTAAATCAATTAGTTACTTTTTTTAAATTAAAAAAATTCCTTTGTATTATCTATATATTTAAATAATGACGCATTTTAAAAAATTTGAATGGTTTCTTTGAAATCAGTTTATCATTTTTATTTTTTAATTTTTCTTTGGGATAAGGATGAAAGAAAGCAATCAAATTTTTTATTTAATAAAAATTTGGGGAAAAATATAAATTTACACACAATTAAGAAATAGATAGATAAATAAATAAATAAATCAGACAGACAGACAGACAGACAACAATATGTAGCATTAATTATTTGAAAGATCATATTAATCGTAAAATGATAAATTTTTATAAATACAAATCATTTTTAACAAACAAAAAAATAGTAAAATTATAATTATTAAAATAATGATTTCTGATATTTCAAAAGCTAGTTAAAAATAGTTTTGATAAAATAAATAATAATAAAGAAATTATTTTAATCTCATGGTACACTAAATATTCATTCAATCATTCCTATAAGATTCTTATTTAATATTAGATGATATTCTTCTAAAGTCGCTTAAGCAGTATTTCTTTATTTGTTCATTATTAAAGTTTTTATGCAATACATAAAGGTATATATCTTTGATATAGACACTTTCAATATTCTACAGTTAAGCTATACATTTGGGATTAATTAATGGTTATTAACTCTAATTCAAATTATATAAAAACAATCCCTATTTTTACACTAATAATAAAATTTCGTCAGAAATTTAAAATTATATCACATCTATAATAGGGGTAAAATGTTTTTGTAGTTGTATTACTTTTTTAATTTGGCATTTTGAATTATACAATGATAGCGTATTGTCTATTCCAGCGATAGCATAGTATATTTCATTATTATAACTAAATAGCTTCGAAAAGTAAATATACCCACTATAAAATATTATTTTAAAATCAGAAAATTCATTAAATTAATTAACTCCTTCCTAAATCATCAAACATTTTGGGGTCTGTAATAAAATATTAACGATTCTATCTCTTGAAGAGGACTCGTAGGTCAAATGTGAGATGCTTACAATGTTTGAGTCATTTAAATTTTTAGAGTAAAGCTACTTAGTTCTTTAATATTGGTTTTTATTTTATTGAATATTAAATGTTAATATTTTATAAAGTGATTGCTTTAAAGTTATCAAGTAGATCACACCTTCTTAAATATCAATAAAAGAATAAAAATCAGTTATGCTTATATCTGATTTATAGCACTCTTACTTAATTTTGTTTTTGATTGATGTTATTGTTAAATGACCGTCATTCTACAATTTTACTAAATATAAAATCTTTTCAAATTCATGAATTTAAGATTTCTTTACTGTAGAAAATAATTATTCTGATAAGCTCTCTGATATGTAAGTATCATTTTGTTTAAATTTTAATTTCATATTTTGTATTTCTTAATCATACAAACAAAATATGTGAGCATTTAAATCTTGTGCAGTTTAGCTCTCTTATATATACATAATTTACTTCAAATTCTTTTGTTCATCTTACTATGATTTTAATATTTTTGAAAACTTCAGTTAGTCTTATTGATTTATTTACAATTCAGATTAAGAGTTAAATTATAAAAAGTTAGTTTCCTTTTCATTTTCAGTATTTAATGCTTGTTTTTTCAACTATCCGATTTCTTCTTCTTCATAATCATCATCGTCTAAAACAATTAATTAGTCGTGTTCATCCTTTTTTTCATGATTTTAATTAATTATCTTTTACTCTTATACGATTGCCATTTTATTATCATCAATATTCTCTAAATTTGAATATTGTATTTAGCTATTTAAATTTTTTTTTTTTTGCAGTTCTTAAGATTTCATTCTTGTTTCCTCTGTTTTTTTCTAAACTTTAAGTATTTTTTGAGTTTTTTTTCTTTGTTCAGCATATGATATCCCGCCTTCTTCTTTATTAAGTTTTTTAATAGCTTTTTTTTTTGAAAGTGATTTTGTTGTTGACTAACTTTTATATTACATTGTTTTACAATTGCCCTGTATTTTAAAAATAATAAAAATTGTTTAAAATTTATCATAAAAATAATATTTTACTGCATTTTCTCCTTTGTTTCCTGCCAAAGGAGCATTCGCTAATACTTTGAAGTCCCCTTGACTAAAAATTAGGGTATCCTCTTCTTTTAAAGATTCTTATTTGATAGTCTTAGTCTTCTGTATTAACTTGTTCACGTGTTATCCAATCTAGCTAAAGGTTTCGAGAACTCTGTCTACTATTTCAAATTATGCTGTAAATTTTAATTCTTTATACTATTCATAGTTATCGAAGCTAAAGTAATTAAGAAACTCTGTTGAAACTTTTATAACATCCTCCTTCATCAATTATGGTAGATACTGGATAAAGAATACTGAGTCTAAATCTCTACTTATCTCATCTAAATCAATTTTAATAGAATCTATTTTATTTTTAAGATTTCTGTGTTCATGAACCTTTTTGATATCTTATAAAAGTAATGCTTGCTTGACAACATCAACATTGCTTAATACGCATTATGCATGCTATTCCAAACATTTCTTAGATGTGATTTCATTTTTGTAGTTTGTACCTTTGCAGTCTTCAGAAAAACAGAAAAATTCAGTAGCTAATTCGGGAATCTCTTCTATCATCTAAATATTATCAGTTGCATCCATTGTTTATGATTTTTATGTGAAATTTTCCTAACTCTGTTGGTATGCTATCTATATTCAACCGCTATTATTTATTTTTTCAAAAGTTGTATTTTAACCAAAAGACTAAAAAAAACAGAATATGTTAATTAATTAATTATTTTATAGTTGTAAATTAAAGGGGGAGAAACTTATTCTAACACATCTAATTTTTTACAGCTATTTAAGCTTTATAAAATTGAATTATCTCAAAAAACATTTTTCCTCAAAATAAATCTTAAAAAAAAATTATTATTCAAATATTTATTTATTAATAACTTATTTATTATTTATTTATATATTTTTTGTTAATATATATTTATTACTTACTTACTTACTTATTTATTTACTTACCTATATATTTATTAATTTATCACATAATTATTAATAGCATATATTATTTTACACTTTATTTACATATACCTTAAATCATCAATAATTAATACTATTCTATCTCATTATCTATAAATCAGAAGGTAAAAATGATAACATGTATTTCAATATTTTGTTTTACATAAAAATATCCTAGTTAATGAGAGTATAAAGTACATAATAGTAAATTTCGGGCTTATTGGAAAATGAATATAAAACTCAACCACTTAGCATCAGCGCTGGGAATTCAGAGTCCAATTAATTCTTAAATTTTTGTAACTAAATATATTTAATTAATTAAATTTGAATAAAATTTTTACAAGAAAATTGCTTAATTTTAAAGAATAAACTATTGATTTTATATAAAATAATTTACAAAATAAAAATAAAATTTATTAATTTCATTGTTATTATTTATATTTTTCCAGTTTACCATTTTAATAGTTATATATAGTAAAGAGATTAGAAAATTACTCATGCTTTTCATAGGAAACTACTATTTTTTGATCCCACAAGATAGCTGAAAATATTTTAGGAATTTCAAAGAAATCATATTTCTTATCTTGTTTAATTTTGTTTAAATAATAAAAAACTATACCCTTTTCAACGACTACTGCTACTGTATTTTCGTCAAAAACAAAACAATCACTAGAAATTCCATATTTTAGGGAATCAATCTTTGTGAAAATATGAAATCTATCTATTTCTAAAGACTTTAAAGTTTTTTGGCTTGTACCTAAGTAAATCTGTACTTAATTACATATTTTTAAACATTTAACAAAACTGATTCCTTCTTCTATCTTAACAACTTCATTTTAATTTATAACTAAAGACTTAGGATCATCATTTTAAATTTTTAATGTACAAAGTTATTCAAAATCATAAATAATAACTATATATTATTTTTTATCTGGAACAGCTTCACATGTTATTTAATAATTTAATAGACTACTCTTAAATATATTATCACTGAATGTATGCTTAGCTTCACATAGAATTTATAATTTCATTGAAATTTCATAACATATCACTTCACTTTCTTTAAGAATTGATAAAAATAAGCAGTCTTTATCATTATTATAGCAGCAGCTCATATGTTTGATAAATTCAGTATTATCAATATTTATTTTTAAATTTTTGCGCTAGTTATTTTAAATTTGTAACACAAAAAGATTATTATTTATTAATGAAACACTAATGCTCTATTAATGGTCTTTACCATTAATTACGCAAAAGCAATTAAGTTTTACACTTTCTTCAGTAGCTTTTTATGATTATTAGCAAACTTAACTTTAAAATATGCAACGATTTCTCTGAGCATATACTAAATTATTTGTACATCCAAGTAGTTTTTAAAATTTCTTTTTGTTTTTACTATTTTCAAGATAATTCTTAAGATTTTCTTAAAGCTTGAAAGATTTTATTTATGCTTAATCAACATCATCATCGTCATTTATTTATATATAGTTTTCTTCTTCATTTGAAATTTCTATGTTCATTTCTGTTTAGATTATTTGATGTTATTAATCTTAATTTTGTTAGAATATTTAATGATTGATGTCTACTTTTTCTTCGTCTTCTTTATATTCTTCTTTTTTAATTTCTTTCTGAAAGAAGTCATAAATTTTCTATTATCCCTTCAATTCTTACTTTAAATTTTTTTTAGATTATTTTTTAGGTTTATCAGCATTTTAATTAACAGAGGTACTTTTATTCACGTTAGTAATTTTACTTTTATCAGAGGGAAACAGTGTTTTGTTTACAGTATTGTGCTCAACATGTTATTTTTTTACAACAAAAGAATTATCTTACTAATTTTAGAATGGTGATATTGCAGTTGTAGAATTTATTGTGTTGTCATAATCTGCAATAGGGGAAGCTGGATATTAATATTTATATAGCAATTAATATGAGAGCTAGTCAGAAATAGATTATTAATCATTTATTGTTTATTTTTTTTATTTTTTTTTTATTTCCTCCTATACTTCATTATGTTCTACTTTTTATATTTCTTTTTAAAATCTAGCTAAAGGCTTTGAGCTCTAATGAGATTCTTAAACTTGTTAACAATGGTCTTGTTAAAAGCTAAATTCTTCATAAATATTTTTATTGTTTTGGCTTTCGAGCGCTTAAGTGTTTTTATTAGTTTACGACTTCATTTAAAACTTAGCTGAAGCATTTGAATTTTATTAACTTTGCTAATTATTTAATTGTTCTACTTAACATGGGCTTTATCCTTGTAGAATTTTTTCATTTTTTTGACTTTCTAATATTTAAGTGTCAAATTGATTTGATTACTTAGATTTTTATGAGTGATTAATTTAATTATTATTAGCTTATGGGAGACCGTTACTAGCTGTTTGGGTAGGTTTATTTTAGACATCATTACTCTTTTGAGATTGCTTTAACTAAGTGCTAACAAACGAATCCAATTTTATACATTTTAGCTACTCTTCAAATTAAGAAAAACTTTACTTGAAAATAGCTATTTATTATAGAGTTTTTTCAATTATTTTATAGCCATTAAATTATAATTTGCATTTATTTTTATCAATCAGCTCAATATTATTTAATATCCACTCAAAATTTTATTCATTTGCTTTACTATGTAAGTTGTATATTTCATTAAATACCTAATAAACTGATTTAAACTGCTCGTTTGCATTATAAAATGTATCAAGTTTTCCTTGTAATTAACTAAAGAACTCTACATTTGAATTGATTATTTATTCAAAGACATCATTTAAACTAAATATAAGAGTCTTATGCTTTCTTTAGCATTAAATAGCTTGCTCCTTGTTGCGTAAAGCATAAGAGTTGTTATCTTTATTACAAATTATTGAAAAACAAATGTATAAAGATTCCATCTATTTTAATTAATTTTTGTTTCTTTGTAATTTGTTGATTTTTAATTAATTATTCTGATTTTTTAAAATCAACTCACTTTGCTTTTATAAAAAAATTTGTTATTGAAAAAAGATTTGAGATAAAACACTTTTTGAGGAGATTTTATAAATAATATTGTTTATCAATTAAAATTTATTGAATTTTTTTACATAAATGTGAGTCTTTCTTTCAAATATATAGTTGAATATTATCAAACTACAAGTCAAAATTTATTGCATCTATTCTATTTTTGTTAATAATTTGTATGAAAGTAATACTTTGTTTCTTTATGAATCAATTTTTTTCTGATCGTATTTTTAATTATTTAATTAGATGAACACTCATTTTATTTAATTAAATTATAATTAAAAATTATTAACTTAATAAATATTTTGACGAATAGTAAATTATAAGGATAAAATAATTTAATTTTTTAGAAACTTAGTTACCAAAATAAATAAATTTACATGATTGAGTTTTTTTTATTGAAAATAAAAGCAAATCAATTAACTTTTTTAATAATTAATATGATTCTTTATTGTTTATTCTTTATTTTTAAGTAAAAGATGTGTTACAGAATATACAAAATTGTTCTAGCATATTACACTTCTAATTTAAGAATATGTTTTTTTTAAGGAGGAAATAAAAAATGCTCAATTTTAAGCTTACTTCCCATCTCGCTTCGTAGCCTTATCTATGAATTATGGTATAATATCAATTAAGATTTATTTATTTTTATACAAAGAATTTTTTACAGTAAATATTTTATATTAAACACTTTTGAAGATGCATTATAAATACTATGATATTTATCAATTAAAATTGATAATATTTTTTTCAGAAAATTGGTAGTTTATTTTGAAATTATGATTTAAGTATTAGTCAAAATTCATAGTATTAATAATATTTTTCTTAATTATTTGTTTTCAAATTTTTTATCTAAAAGAGTTAATTTTTTTCTGATCATGCCTTATTTAATTTTATAAGAAAATATATTGATCCTTTTTATTTAATTAAAAAAAAATATTAAATAACTAGACTTTTTTTTTTCTAAAATAAAATACTTTTAAATATTTTTTATTTTATAAAAATAAATAAATCTAATGACATAGTTTATTTTTTTACTTAAAAAAATGGACAATTTATATATATTAAGATAGCTGTTTAGAAATAAAATAAACCTGATCATCTATTTTATTACTTTTGTATTTTATAATAAAGATTAATCAATCTTTGCGGATTTAATAAACTTAATTTATACAATAGTAAGATTTTTATTGAAAGAAAAATATGAATTAGAATAATTTATTTTAGAGTACTAACTATTTTAAGTTAGATAAAACATTTTTTATGAGAATGCTTGAATTAGAGAAGCTTTTTCATGAGAAAGAAATTAATATATAATAAATAGGTGAATTAGTTGGTATGTATGCCAGATGCGTTGAGTATTATGATTCCATCAAGGATGATTCTAAATTTTATTACATAGATAAAATTCAGTATGTTCTTAGCAGAAAAGAATCCTTAGAAAAAATATTTAAAGAAAACGGTTTTCTTTAATAGGAAGAACAAAAAACTGTTCAAAAAACAGAAAATAAATAACCAAAAGATAATATGCTAGTGTCTGATTTTATAGTTGATTTTAATTTCGGAGATCAAAAAGGAGATGGTAAGCTTTATTACAAATTATTTACTAATCTTAATGTCTTTATTTTAATTAAATAAAAGATAGAGAATTTAGAATTAATAATATTAGATGCAGTATAGCAGGTAGATAGCTTCCGAGAGAAAGTGTAACTCGTCGTAAGCTGTAGGGTGAATATAAAATGAATGTAGATTTTTATGAGCACAAGGGGGAATAAGAATATTAAGTGAGGCATATAGTTGAAGAGACTGAATAAAAATTTGGCTAATACGATGAGATTATCAAGAAAGACTTAAATGATTAAGATGAATTATTGATGCAAAGAATTGCTAAAAAAAAAGCTAAGTTAAACCAGAACAAGAAGAAATAAGTTAAAAAAGCAAATAGCTTTGATGAAATAGACATTACATAAAATGGATAAAATAACACAGAAATTAACTTAGGAGACTAAACTAATATGACAAATAATATAGAAAACAATACTTAAACAACTATTAAGCTAAGTAAAAATTTAGAAGAAAAGAATGCGTTGTATCCAAATGATAAGAAAATGACCAAATAGGAATAAATAAACGAATTGAAAGAGACATTTGACTTATCTTACAGTAAGCTTTTTACATCAATCAACCAAAAAAACAATAGACTATCAGTAGGATTGAAATAATAATAGAAAATAGAAGATACTTAAAATGTATTTCACAAAGATGAAATATAAATGAAATTGGCCTCAAGCTAAATAGTAGAAAATAGTTAAGAAGATTAATTAAGAGATAGCTCAGCTGCATTCTACAATAAGTAGAACACAGAGGACCATTTAGAAAGTATTTTTTCTGCTCATGGAGGAAGGATAACCATAAGAGGAGAAAATCCTTTTGAAGAAAGTGATGACGACGAATGAGTATCTATCTGTATTTCTTTCTTTCTTTCTAACTCAATAAAATATAAGATATTAAATATGAAATTTATTTTAACAAATTTGTTAAAATTTAATCCAGGCATAAAAAAATGAATGATCTAACAGACTATTTTACACTATCAAGAATATTAATCCATATAATTAAAAAAAGCAATAACAAAAATAATACATTTATTATCTTATTTATAGTTTAATTTTAATTTTAAAAATATTTACATTTGTTATACTTTTAATGTATTCATCTATATTTAGTGTTTGTACTTCAAATGAATAGTTGTTTGTTTTTAAGTCAAATATTATATAGGCTCTTATGAATAAAACTACTTTAGATGATGTTCTATTAGTTTAATTCACATACACTTATAATATGATTTTTTTAGTTTATGGATTGATATTTGTTTTAATTTAAAATAATGATGGAAGGGTTATTTTATTAAATATATTTATTTGTTTTAATTAAAATCTCAATAAATTATTTAGATATTTTTTATGTAATTTGTTGTAATTAACTAAAAACATTTTTTGATAGCTAAAATTAATAGAATAAATTTAAGTTTCAAATTATTTATAATCTGAGAATACAATACAACAAAGTTCAGCACAATAATAGAAAGATATATTTAATTATACTTGAATTATTGTTTTATAAAAGAAAAATAGCATTTCTTAAATTAATTGTAACATTAAATGAATGACGCTTATTAAATCATTTAATTTTTAACTTTAGCAACAAAAAGTAAATTTCATCACTTTTAATTTATTTATTTTTTTAAAAAAGAAAGAATTTTATCGTAGTAACAAGTAATAAAATTTTATAAACAGGTAGTTTATAGTCAGTCTAATATAATTTTAGAATTTATAATTCTTTCTAGTACAAAAAATCTAACTTAAATATAAATTTATTCAATGTAAGCTCCTACATTTATTTTTTGAAAGTTTCAATGATAATTTCATTACTCAAAAAAATTGGAAAACTATTAACACTAATCACATCTCGAATTGTTTCTAGTTTAATTGTATTTTACTAATTGGATTCTGAAAAAATATAATTATACTTACATTAATTAAAGTACTATTGAAGTAATTTCAATCAAGAAACTATTAGATATTACAAACTATTAAATAATTAATATATTGAAGCTGAATAGATATTTTAGCAAAGAAAGAAAAATATGAATTTGCCAAAATTATAGGGAATTCTTTTAGTCCTACTTTTATGTGGGAGCTTGAGCGCAGCTCACATTATCAATCTAAATACTACATAGTGGTACTTCAAAGAATATACCAACTAAGTTACACTGTATAGCTCATTTATGAAAGCTAATATCCCATCAACTGTGCATTTAGATTTATTGGATAATAAGATTGTACCTGATCCTTATTTCAGAGATAATCTCCTCCAATTCTATTCACTAGAAGAAAAAGACTGGGTCTATAAAACAAATTTCGATGGAAAATCTATCCTATAAGAATATATAAAGAACAATTTCACAGAGATTTAGCTTATTTTTGAAGGTTTAGATACTCACGCTGATGTTTATTTAAACGGAAACTTGATCCTTAAAGCAAACAATATGTTTAGAAGATGGGTTATTCATGATTTACAAGAGAAAGTACAAAAAGGTGATAATAGCCTAGAAATAATCTTTTGGAGTGCAGTAAATCATGATTTAGAAAAAGAAAAATAGAATGAAATTCACTTACCTTATAATTACACTTACTCCAGAAAGGCTGCTTATTAATATGGTACTTATTCAAACACTCCTAAAAATAGAATATTTTATGAATATTTTTTTATATATAAAATAGGATGGGATTGGGGCCCAAGATTAGTTACATGTGGTATATGGAAAGATGCATACTTTAGATTTGTTAATAAAGGTATTTATTTAAATAATTTTAATATTATTTTATTCATGCAAATAAAATCCAGATAATAAATTGATAACATAAAAATGCTATTTTATCTTAAAAAATAAAATAATTCAAATGTCTTTTTAATTAATTGAAACATTATTTTTTGTTTTAAATATTGTTTTTTAATGAATAAATACAGCTGAAATTTTAAGTACTCATATCAGAACATTAAAGTTAGATAATGTAGACATTTCTACAGGTAAAGCTGATGCCATTTTAAAGGTTGATGTTGAAATTTCTGCTTAAGTATAATCTGAGTTTGAATCAGTACTTTCTATTTACAGAGATAATCATTTAGTTCATGAAGATTAATACCCTATTAGAGGAGGTAACTAAACCATTTCTACTTATTTGAGTATGTAAAATGCAAATCTTTGGTGGTGTTAAGGAATGGGAAAACCTCATTTATATCATTACACTGTAATTCTTAGAGAAAAATCAGAGCACAAGTCAGAACTTTAACAATAAGAAGAGGAATATAGCACTCTTCATCATAATCATCATCACCATAAGCATTCAAAAGGATAAATTCTATCCTAACAAACACTAAGAACTGGTATAAGATAGATTAAGGTAGACTAAAGACATGATAAGCATGGTAATGGAACATCATTCGCATTCTATTTAAATGGATACTACTTATTTGCTAAGGGCGGTAACTACATTCCTCCTGATATGTTTATGCCAAGAGCTTTAAAAAATCCTCAAGTATATCATAAGACTATCTAAGATGCTGTAAAGGCTAATCATAACATGATTAGATTATGGGGTGGAGGGTATAAAAATATATTATAAAGTAAATCTTAATATAAAATATTTAAAAATTAATTAGTCAGTTTGAATATGATATCTTTTATGATTTATGCGATGAAAATGGATTGCTTATATGGCACGATCTTATGTTTGCTTGTGCTATGTATCCAGCAGATAAAGATATATTATTTAACATCGAACAAGAAATGATCGAAAATGTAAAGAGATTAAGAAATCAGTAATTAACTATTTTATTAATATATTAACAAATTTTTTTAATTTATTTTTCAATTCAATCAGCCCTTCTATAGGTGTATGGAATGGTAATAATGAAGTTAAAATTGGATGGGATCTTTGGGTAATTTTTTTTAATATTTAAAAAACTATAAATTTGTTTTATATTCTATTATAGGGCTGGTAAGATAACATGACTGAAGTCTAAAAAGAGATAGTCTGGGGCTGGTATTTGGATATTTTTAATGTAACTCTGAGAAATGTTCTTGATTAAGAAGATCCAGATGTTTACTATTGGCCAACATCTCCTTCTTCAGAAGTTAATTTCGTGTATCAAGTCAACACTGGAGATATTCATTTTTGGAGTAAACAAACATAATCTTTTTATTTAGTTTTTAAATAATTTAATTTAATTTTTATTCAAGATGTATGGGCTTCAGGAGCTCCAATTGAAGAGTATGATGATTTTGTTGGTAGATTTAATAGTGAGTATGGTATGCAAGGAATACTTGCTTATGAATCAATTAAGAAATTCACAATTGAAGAAGATCGTACATAAGTGAATACAACAGTAATGGAGATACACGAAAGACATGTTAAAGGATATCCATTAATTTCTCAATATCTTTAACAATACTTTTTAGTAATTTAATGATATTGATTTGTTATATTAACATATTGATATTATTTTATAGGAACCTACAGACTACAAAGATTACATTTATGTAAGTCAAGTTAACTAAGCTTATGCAATTCAAACAGCTATCTTAGCTCTTAGAAGAAATAAACCTTACAACAGTGGTTCTCTTTATTGGTAATATAATAATGACTTGTCTCGCACAGTAAATAATAATCATAATTAATATTAATTATAGGTAAATAAATGACGTATGGCCTGTTGTTTCTTGGGCTTCAGTTGATTTCTATGGAAATTGGAAAGCTTTGCATTTCAGATAACAACATCTTTATCAAGTAAATATTTTTATCTTTTTTAAAATTTGATTAAATTTTTATTTTGATAATAGAACGTAATTGTAGCTGTTGAAAAGAATGGAACAAATTATAATTAAGGAATCAGCAACTCAACATCTAGTCAATATTTATACAATGTTAGAATTGTTAACGATTTACATAAAAAAGTTAAGGGTTAGCTCACTGTTAATTTGATAAATTAGTTTGGTTCAATAATTTCACATTTATTCGAAGATGAAGTTACTGTTCGTCCAAATAGCAATCACATATTCTTACAAGTAGATTTAAATAGATATTAATAATAATTAAATTCAACAGCTTTGTACCTTAACTTCCAATACAAAGATTAAACATGGGAATATGTGCACTATTTTGTCATTCCATAGAAATTTGAATTCTCAGAAGTCTAAAGTGTAGATATTAAAAGTATTGGCAAAGATGGCATTTAAGTTTAGGCAGATACTTTAGTCAGAGATTTCTATGTCTATTGCAGTGATGATACTGAAATTAAACATATTTCTAAAAACTATTTTGATTTAGTACCATTTTAGAAATATCACTTAAAATTCCCTCACAACGGAGGATGCAAGCAATATTCATACAAGACATTGAATAATATAATGCTTCAAAAAGAAACTAATTCTACTACTTCTCATATTTAACCTCTCAACAATTTTTAGAAGAGCGAATAATGAGATCCATTGACCTATTAAAATATTTTTTTATTAAATTTCTTTAAATTGCAATCAATATTATATTTATATAGTTTATAATATTAAATAAATTACATAAGTTTTTATATTTTATTATCAATAATTTAATAAAAATAAATTAATTATTTTAATAATTATAACATAAGCAATATAATTAATCTTTTGATAAATAAATAAATATATCTATATTTGTATTTGGTTGAATGAAAATATGTATCTTTGAGTGAATATTCGATTTGATTACAACAATTAAATAAAGAAAGATATTTATTTTTTTAATTAATAAATTAATTATTTAATGAATAATGATAGAGTGTGAGTGCACATTCGATTGAATATTCATTCTGTTTCGTTATTCAATATTTACAAAGGAATATTCAAAAAATTTCAAAAGAAATAACACTGAAAATGAATGAAGATTTAATCATAGCTTATTTAGCTAATTATTATGATGATAAAATATGCTCGCTTATATATTAATTAATAAAGTAAGGAAGACAAATTGAAGATAGAAGCACATGCAGACACTACATATAAATAATGAAAATCTAACAAAAATAAAATAAAATAAAAATAATATGGAAGATAAGATGGGTTTTTTGTAGGGGAGATATTTTGTTTTGTTTGAATAAAAATAAAAAAGTAATGGTAGCACAATAAAAAGAATAAGGCCATGAGTTTTTGCTTGTTTTTTTGTTTGCATTCATTATCTTTTGAAAGCAAAATAAATGCAATGACTGAAAATCTCCTTCTAATAGAATGAAGAGGAAGAAAGGGAAATAAATTAATAAGGAAAGAGAAGGGAAAAAATAAAAACAAAAGGAAAAATAAACCCTAAATTAAAGAAAGAAAATAAATTAAGAAAAAAAGAAAAAATATTTGTAAAAGAATGATTCACTGTTTAAGAAACATTCGTACCGTCTCAGCCCTCCAAAGCAAGATTTCTTACAATCTTGGTGGTGGTAATAAAAGAAAGAAAACCTCAGGTGACTTGGATAATTATGATGTCCTTTTTGTAGGAGCTAATCTTGGTGGTATCTGCAGGTAATTAATTAATTAATAAAGAAATAGTATAGCAACATAGTAGTCAACATTAAATCATTGATCCTCTATTAAAATGCAAATGCATAAATTCTTACAAGCATTAAGATAAATAAACCCTATACTCAAATAAGGGATAACAATACAATAAAAGTAAGTTTAGTGAGTCACTTTAAAGTACATATCAAGTTTAGGATGTTAACAATGCAGTGAATAAATTAAAAAAGGGAATGAAATCAATCTTCTTATTTCACAAATTAAGTATTTATAAAATGCATTCATTTATTTACAAAATCAATTTGTAAAATTCAATAAACAAAATAAAAAACAAACTAAAAACTAAACTAGGTGAAGGCTGATTATTTAAAAATATGCGAGCAATCGGTTAAAATAATTTTAAGAGTTAAATTATGATGAAAAATGAAAGTGATTTATATAATCAAACCTTATGTATATCTTATTTTTTGATAAGATACGCTACTTTAGAGAAAGCAAAGAGAATTTCTTCAAAAGAATAACTAAAAACTTTCGAAAATCAAAAATAAAAAAATTAATTTTAGGGTGAAATAAAATCAACAATAAATAATAAACAATAAATTGATATGATGCATGTAGAATAAATTATGAATTTGCATTTATTAAGTTAGCGGGTTGATGAGTTAAAGCTCTATGACAATGTTTTAGATCTCTTTTTTCTTGTTATTTTTTATATTTTCATTTATTCATTCATTACTTATTAATCTAATAGTAATCACTTCGACAAGGACACTCACGGTAAATACAAATGTTTCGTCTCTTTCGATCAACCTATAAATCAAATCTACTCTGTTCGTATTCCTTATGAATAATAAAGAGTCAGAAAGAGTGAATACATACATTTCTCCAAAAAATCTATCAATCAGTAAGCTTTTTTTTTCTCATTTTTATACAGAATATATATTATAAGCCAAGCACATAAGCATTATAGCATCCTTAATAAAGTATAAATATTGTTAAAGTGGTCACTTTTACATATAAGCTGAAATTTAGATTTAATATTTACAAAAAATAAAATAAAATCAATAGCAAAAATGTTTAGATATAAAAAAAGATAAATTATTTGATTAGTAAAAGCATATCAAAATTTATTTAAAATCTCATATTTTAAAAAAAAAAGATTCACTCCTAGTGAAATGTTAGCAGTTAAGGAAATTTTACCTGAATAAAACGCTGTCGTTTTGAGCAGTGGTAGAAGAATCGGATACAACTAATTAGTTCTTGCCACTGGTCTTAAGCACGATTTCTCATAAATTAAAGGTTTTTATGAAGCTCTTGAACACCCTGAACATCCCGTTTACGCTAACAGAGATCCCGAAACATGGAGATCTGCTTAACACAAATATTCTAGTACCTTAATTATTGTTTTAATATTTAGTTTTATAAAAATTTTAATTGTCTTATTTAGAGTATATTTCTAACTTCAAGAGTGGTGATGGTTACTTCTGCATTCCTGAATACCCCTATGCTGGTGAAGTTGAATGCTTCAACTTCTTCGTTTCTGACGAAGTATGGAAATGGGCTCAACACCATGGTGCTCTCTCTCCTAAGCGTAATAATTAATTGAAAGAATGAATTATATATACATAATAAAATTAACCATTTAAAAAAAAGACACTTTCACTATTGTTAATGCTAACGAAAAGTTTGTTCACTATTGTGACTCTGCTGATGCTTTCATTAAGGAAAGACTTGAAAAGAGAGGTATCAGAGTTGAATACAACACTAAGCTTCTCGGTATTGAATTAATTTAAATAAGTAAAAATCAAATATTAAATATTATTTTAAATTATTTAACAGAAGTTCACCAAGATGGCTAAAAGGCTACCTTCATTAACACCAAGACTGGTGAAAAATCTGTTAGAGATTACAATAATTTATATTCTATCGTCCCCTCCAAGAGACAAGAATTCTTAGATAAGGCTGGTTTGACCAACGGTAACGGTTTGTTAAACGTTGATCACTAGACCTTGTAACACAAAAAATATAAAAATATCTTCGGTTTAGGTGATGCTGCTGATTTACCTACCACCAAGACTTTCTGGGCTGGCTGGTACTAAATCGCTGTTGTCAGAAACAACGTCAAGAGAAACCTTTAAGGTTAAACCTTGAATGCCCATTATGATGGTTTCTCTAAGGTTCCTCTTTTCACTGGTCACCAAACCCTTACTTACGTTGCTCACTCTTACGGTGGTGTTGGTAACTGGTAACATCTCAAGCACAACAACGGAGTAATTTATAAATTTTATTTTTTATATATTTCATCATATGAATGTTAATTCAAACTTACAGGGTATTCTTGCTTGGATGAGATATCGTTCTTGGGCTAAGGGTATGGCCAAGAAATTCTAAGATTTCTACAATGGTGCTAGATTAGGTCCTCCCTACCACAAAGTTTTAAAGAGTTTCCCCGAACTTCCTGGAAGGTAATATTGATTAATTGACTATTATATAAACAGCATTAAAATTAATTTTATAAATTAGTCCCGAATCATAATAAAGCTCCGGTATTTCAAAGTACTTCCCTACTAAGACCGAAAATAAAGCTGCTCATTGAACGTTTAAATAAAAAATTTATTAAAAATTTAAATAACTTAAAAATCTATTTAGAGCATACTCCGAATAGTAGAATAAAGAATGCGAGTTTCTATTTATTTGTGAATATTACTTGAGTATACTTATGAAAAATTTCTTCTTATAAAATTAAAATTTAAATCTTATTTATGTTCATTCTAATTAACTAAAAAATTATGGTAAGACTAGCTGACTAAATCACCCTCACACACAATAACTATCTAACTATCTATCTGTCTATCTATTATTATTTTTCAAATATTTTAACTCAAAATAGGAATTTGTTAAAAATTTCTAAAATAATAATGTTATTGCAAAGCAAATAAATAAATAAGTAAATAAGTAAGTAAGTAAGCCTATAAGTTAGTATTCTAAATAAATTTAAATATGTATTCTTGCTTTTAATTTTCAAATTAATTATCAAATACTAATTTAAAAACGTTTATCTAAAATGATATTTTCCTTTTTATTTTAATGTTGATAACTTATTTTTTATATTTATTCAATAGCTCATTAATTTTATTTAAATTATAATTTTTTAAAATTGATTAGCGATAATTTAAATAAGAATACAAACAATCAAAGTTAATATTTTAGTAATTGATAAAATATATTCACTTAAAAATAATATTTTTTTAATAAAATTTAATAATTAATTAAAGAAAGAAAAAAAGAACGAATGAATTTTAGAATTCAAAATATCATTAGAGGAGTAAATTTTAAAAATTATAGAAACTTAAGGATGATTTAAAAATTAAATAAATTTATTTATATTTAGTAGACTGATAAATACTTCCTTAATCAGCAAACAGCTTAAATATATTAGGATAGTAATCAAATTATATGAGTTTAGTCAATAAAATCCTTAAATTTAATAAAATGTTCAATATCTTATTTAGATAATTAACAAAATAGCTTTCATCTAGAAAATAATTATTCTTTTTTTACTTAATAGATCAAATTTAATTTAGCTGTTGTTCATTTTAAAAGAAAATAACCCAAATAAACTATTTCAATATTAATTTAAAATATTTTTATAATTAATTATTAAAAGAATAGAACAATTTTTTATTTTTGAATTATTAACTAAAAAGATGATTAATGAAAAATACTTTAAATTATAAAAGTTGATTGAAGTGTTTATGTAACAGCAAGAAAAATAAGAGAAATTTTAGTTTTATTTATAATTAATTAATTTTATTATTAAATTAACAACTAAGAAATATTTTTCAAAAATCTACTCATAAATTTAACTCATTATTATTTTCATTGAGATTAAAGCTGAGTTCATTTTATCCTCCTTCATTTAGATAATTTACATTATTTTCTTACTCTCTTTTATATTTTAAAATTATTAAGAAAATAGGAAAAATCTATAATAAAAAATCATTTTTTTTACTCATCAAAATGTTGTTCTCCTTATTTAAAAACTCCGAATGTTATCCTTTTTTCTGAAATTATCTTTGAAGATTATGTCTACTCTGAGGAGGTTAGTAGCTTTATTAAAAATTGAATGCTTAGAATGTAAGTTATAAATTAATTTACTTGTTTTTAATTTTTTAGTAACCTGTTTTACTTTTTATTTGGAAGAAGCTAAAGATTATTTTTTTCTAAAATTTTTTATAGGTAGTAATTTTATATGCTTGATGCTGTTAAACTGTTAGAGTTTTAAAACCATGAAGATTAGAATTAATCTTCATTTTTTTCATCTATTTAAGATTATACAACAGATGTAGAAATATTATCAAGCTCTTTTTCTTCTTAAACTTAAAATATTCTTACTCTTTTTTATATTTTTAATTAAAAAATTTAAACATAAATTATTCAATTGTGTAAATAGATTACTTGGAATGGAGCCCATCCTATAACTACTAATCAATATTTTCTTATGATTTCTAAAAGTTTTCCAGATTTCCAAAGGAGGGCAGTTACTTTTTATTTGATGATTTATTTTATTACAACTATATTTATGATTAATCTAAACCATATGTACTTAAGTTAGGGCCTTCGTTTTAATCAGAATTTATTTTTTTTGGATTTTCATCAATTTTAGAATTTTCAACTTTAGAAATATCAAATTATTATAAACTTTTTTGCATTTAATCTTTTTAATTTAATTTTTAATTGATCATATTAGCATTTTTTAACTAGTTTATCTCCTTAAATTTGGTTTCCCAAGTACTTTTTGTTTATTCTTCAATACTTTTTAGTTTAATAAATTTTTTTGATGCTGAAACCTTTTTAATTTCTGATTGGTTTTCTGAGGTATTATATGTTAACTATTTTTATTTTAAAATTTAATTTACTTTTATTAATCTAAGATTGAAAACATATATTTTTAAAATTACCCCTTTGGTTTCATAATTCTATGTTTGTATTGATTGAACTGTTTTTTGATCTTGATTACTAATGTTAGAAGTTTCTTGTTTATTTTATGTATCATTTATCTTCTTTTTCTCTTCTTCATAGACTGAAGATTTCTAATTTTGTTTATTCTACTTTTATTAAAGGTACTCAAATGTTGTTATTTTCTTATACTTAGTTAACCATATATGAAAAATCAATTGATTTCCAGTAAATATAGCAATCACTACTGATAATAAAAGATTTATTATATCTGCTATAAATACAAAATTTTATACAGACCAACCTGCATTTTGAGTTAACATATATGTCACATTCAAAGTTGTCCATTAAATTTCCATTAGAAAGTAAGAAACTGTGAAATTTATAAAATAATTATAGTTTCTTCTACCTATACAATTATTTATCCATACACAATGGTGATCAAATACCTCAGTACATCTATTGCATTAACTACAGTGCTTGGATTTTTCTTAAGCATAGCCCTAGCAAACCACACACCAGATCATACCTTTTCCTTTGCTTTTTAAAATTTAAAATGTAAATAAAACCATGTTATTTATTTCTACTAATTAATCATTTTTAAAATAATTAAAAGTAAATTTACTGCATATTTCCTTTAAGAACTGATGGGTCTGTAGGATTGTTTATTGTTACTTTATATCCATATAACCCCCAAGCAAAGTGATTTAAAATTATTACTGCTAGCCAAATTACTTATACCTTAAAGTATTTAAATATAATTTGAGTTTAATATTCGCATTTTATTTATTTATTTATTAATAATTAGTTAATACTTGTATAAATTACTAAGAGAAAAATATAAACTTCAAATTAAAGACACTCTGAAATATGAAAAAGGTAACAGTAGCAATTTAATGTTTGCTGAAAGGAGGTTGGAAACCATGCTTTCTTACCTTTTTCGTATTTATTTATTTTTTTATCTCTATAATAGTATTTTGTTGATTAGTCTCTTACATTTGTATAAAATTTTTAAGCAAATTAATTAAAGGAATTTTAGCTGATTTAATAATTAATGTTCAAATTAAAAGTTAATTAATAAATTAAAAAATAAGGACACAATTTGATTGATTGATATTTAAGTAAGCTTCTCTTAACATACAAACATCTTTTTGAATTCATCATTAAAAAAAATGAGCTAGTTATTTTCATAATTTAATTTATGTAAAATATTTTAATAATTTAGAAAAATTTTTTAAATTATTATTTTCATTTAAAATAGAATTTTTTGCTTAAATTCTTGGTTAAATTGATTAAACAAAATATTTTTTCAATTTGAATTTATTAGATTGAAATGTAAAATAAACTTTTATGCTTTCTTTGTCTTAGCTTGAATGTATCAGTTAAATATTTGTAATTTAATTTTTGATTATGTAGAAAAATTTGATTAAAATTTGTTCTCATTAAAACAATCTTCAAAAATAAATAGGTACATAAATAAAATTGTTCATAGTAAAATCAATCATTTGAAATATTTTATCAAGAAAAAAAATGGGTAACGAGTGCTCATCTTAATGCAATTGTACTTAATCAAGAGAAAGACAAATAGAATATTAACTTGTAAAATATATTATAGATTTTGTGTAAAATGTAATTTATTTTTGATGATTTAGAATTAAGATGATATTATGGGAAAAGCTTAACAATTATCATTAAGAGATTCAAAGGATAGTATAGATCTCTAGTTCTACGATTAAAATAATAACATTAAAATATAAAACAATTTACATCCCATAGACTTATAGAATTAAGAGTATGGATATTTTGAAAATGTAAATAAATATTATTAATTATGATTGGTTTATAATAGTATTTTTTAACAAACAGCATAATAATATCCAACATAATAGCATTCTTTAAGATACATTAGTTCAATAAAATACTGTTTAGAATACTTAAATTAGTCCGATTAAATAGAGTATGAAAAATTTAAATAATCTTAGCATGAGTTAGCAAAATCTTAATACGGGTTTCAATAATACTTTCAATAATCTCTCGAATAACATTTAATTTACAAACCAAACTTTTTCATAGAGCAATGGATAGTCCAGAAAATTAGGTATTATTGAATGAAAAACTTTTAAATTCTTTGATTCTTAATATTTAATTTTAATTTTATTAACATAAGTAAAAGAAAAAAGACCACCTGTTCAGTTAAATAACGGAGCTATTTACACTGGAGAATGGGTAGGAAATAAAAAAGAAGGATAAGGAATATAAAAATGGTATTTTTTTTCTAATTCAATAAGATTGTAATAGTTCATATATAAATAAGGCCTGATGGAGCTGAATATAATGGATCATGGAAAAATGGAAAAGCAAATGGAGAAGGTAAATTTATTCATGCTGATGGTGATATATTTGAAGGTAAATAAATCTATATTTATATCAAATAAATCTTTACATTATAATTTATTATAAATAGGAACTTGGGTAGATGATAAAGCTAATGGATATGGAGTATTCACAAGAATTAATGGATCAAAATACTGGTAAGCTATTTTTAATACTGTCATTTTATGTAAATAATTTTACAAATAAGTGGCTATTGGAAAGACGATATGTAAAATGGACATGGAGTTGAAGAATGGTAATTAAATTTTGACAATTCAGATATCATTTTATCACTATTATTTAAATTTAAGGTCTGATGGTAGCAAGTATTAGGGTTATTATAAGGATGGAAAGAAACATGGTCAAGGAACTTACATTTGGGCTGATGGTAGTTCTTATGATGGATTTTGGAGAGAAAATTTCTTAGATGGTTATGTAAATATATTAACTCATTTATTCATTAAAGAAAGATGTTTTTTTTTTTGAAAAGGGTGTTTACAAGTGGCCAGATGGGAGAAGATATGAAGGTAGAGTTGTTATTAGTAATATCTTTTGAAAATTAAATATTTTAATAAAATAGGATATTGGCAAAGTAATAATATGCACGGAAAAGGAAAGTATAGCTGGAAAGATGGGAGATTTTACGAAGGAGAGTATTATGAGGATAAAAAACATGGGTTTGGTATTTATAGATGGGCAGGTAATTAGTTTGATTTATTATTAGTATAAAGAGCTCATAAATTTATTTCTTTAAGATGGAAAAACATATGAAGGAGAATGGATGTATGGAAAATAACACGGAAAGGGGAAATATATTTATACAACAGGTGAAGAGAGGTGGTGCCTTTATGAAAATGGTAAAAGATTAAGATGGTTAACTGATGAAGAAGTATATTTGCTATCAAAATATCCTCTAAATTACAATAGCAAAAATAGTTAAAATAATTAAGAGCATATAAATGATTTTAATCCTTAAAATTCACTTCACCAATTACCAATTAACTAACAAATTTTTTGAGTATTAAAACAAAATTAATAGAAATATTTAATTTTATTCAATCTGTATATAAAATGGTTTAATAAATTATTCCTTCTTTCTATAATAATCTAATTATATATAAATAATATTACTATATACTAATCAAATCATTCGTATCACTCACTGTATTAATTATTCTTTCAAAATAAATTCCTAAATTTTCTAATTTAATTCTACACCTTTAAATTATTTTCTTTCTTATTGTTTAAAAAATTAATTTAATATTGGTTTAAATTATTCCTTGTTTCATTTATAATTAATTTAATTAAATAAATATTACTATACTGCAATTTTTCTAATTTAAGATAATTCTTGAAATTAAGATACTCGAAAATGGCAAAATAGGTGTGAGACAAAATTTTAAAAAAATAAGAGTTCATTTTTTCTCCTAAATTTGAAGAAATAAGGTATATTAACAAAATCCTTAGTATCAATCATCATTTGAATTATTTTTCAAATACTTTCGAAACTTTTTAAATTTATTTCAATTATTAGATAAAAAATTTAATCATACATAATTTCACTCACAAATTTAAGTATTTATCTGATAAGTAATATTTAAATAAATTGTTTAAATCAATTTACACTTAAATAAATTTTGCTATATAACTAATTCAATATGCAGCTTATTTAATTATCATGTTATATAATAGAAAAAAAGAATAAACCAAAGCAATGTTTAGAGACTGTTTAATAGAATAAAACTAATTAAGGGTAAGTAAATAAAAAAACTAAAATTAGAATAGCACTTTGATAGCAAGTATTTTTAGCAGCAGGAGAAGCTAATATTAATGAAATATGACTATAATTTATTTTTTTTGAAATATATATTATTTTCTATTATTTTAGATAGTTAATAAATTAATTAACAAATTTTTCAAAGACCAAATGAAATACTAATAATAAATTAATTGAAGGTTTTACAAAAATTTAAAATATTTACAAAAAGATAAAATAAATATTTTTATTTTAATAAACAATGACAATTTTATAAATCCTTCAAAAATTATCAATTATTTTTAGGATATTATGATTTAATTAACCAATCATCAATCAATCGCCTTTATTTGAAGAAAACAAGAAACAGAAAGTATTAAGAATGAATTCAACTTTATCATTTTAATTATAGTCGCTGAATGCAATAAATATATGAGCACTTTAATCTGGATTACACACTATTTTCATTAAATAATCTTAAGGATTTCTTTCGTTTGAGTATTGATCAAGTGAAAATTGGAGACCCATCTTTTGTTTAAATATGAATTTAAAAATTTAGAAATAAATTTGGAATTAAAATTAGATACCTTAAATTTAGATGTTCCTTGAATGTGATCAAATTCACTCTCAGGATTTAAATCTACTAATTTTTCTAAGTACATTTTAAAATCTTGATGAGTTTTAGCAAATTTAGGATTGCATTCAGGAATGTAAATGTATTTAATATATTTTCTTTCTTTAAATTGTCTTTTGAAAAGATCTTTGTTGATATCCTTATATTAGAACATTTTGTTAACTGTATTTGGTAATCCTAGATACAAAGGAGAAACACCGCTTTTATTAAAACGAATTATTAAAAACTATTTAATATCAATCTTAAATTTACCTATAATTGATACTAATAAAGCAAGGATTAAATGGCATATATGAATAGGCTATTAATAATTCTTATTTTTTTTATTGTTTTGGTTCAATTTCAGCAATTATTTCAGGACTTACATGGACTTAATAATCTTTTAATAATTTAAAATCCTTAAAAATGCATTTTATGTATTGAAAATAACTTACTTTTTTATTCATCTAAAACTGTTACTTTTAAGTTTTTTAAAGATCTTGATCCTTTATTTGAATAGTACAACTAAACTCTAAAATAATTTCCTCCCTTTTTTTATATTAATAAAAATATGATTTAAAATAAGTCTTAAAATTTTGTTAATCTTTTTTACATTCTGCTGCTGATGATTTGTAACAACACCTATTTAAACTTGTGAATCTTCATAAATAGGGTATTTAGTTTTTAGACATGAAGCTTTGAATCTATTTAACTTAGCCACATATTGTAAGATTAAACTAAACAGATTCTTATCAAATTTAACTTCTTCCCCTTCTTTAACTTCTGAGAAATTCAAAGGTTTACTTTTGTTGGTATTTTTACTAACTAATTGCTAATCTTATGGGAGGTTATTCTTAGTTGAAAGAGGATTCAGTATTTCCTTGATTATAGTATTATTTATTTATTTCGAATCAATTTAATTTAGATAGAATTAATTTACCTTAACAGATTCATTATAAGATTGAGTAGACTAATTATTTTTCTGTATACTTTCAATTTCTTCTCTTTTATCATTAAATATAATCGAAGGTATTTAAGAAACATCTTTCATATCACCTATTCCATCAAATATCCTTTTTGGAGATGTATGGTTGTTCTACCCATTACCACTACTTGGGATCCTCTACCCCTATTAGGATGGTGGTGTGTTAAATTCTCTCTTAATATTTAATTTTTGTACTTATTAATCGCTTCCATTAAATTAAGAGACAATATTATCCATGCCTCCTTTATAGCTTTATTATTAAGGAGATTCAAATGTTCTTCTAATAATATTTGGGGGTAATTATTATGAAAAAATAGGTTAATGCTATTTAAAGTGGTTATTTCCTGACTGATTTACTTAAGAATTATAAAGGGAACCGCTATTTTATTTAAAACGTTATTAATTTTATTAGTCTAATTACAATCCATTATTGTTAAAAGTATTTTATGGTGCATTTTGTTAAATTTAAGGATTTTATTGTCTTAATCCCATCAAACTAGATTGATACCCTTAAATATTTAAGCTATCTACTGATTAACGAAGTACTTATTCGTCTACTCCTCCTAAATATAAATAAAATGTATATAATTTTTAAGTCATCTTTAACTGTTTTTAAAGTTAAATAAAAATTACTTGGCCTAAACTCTTAGAAAATCTTTGGAGATTAATATCTCTTAGATGGTTATCCTCCTGCAGGAACGCTTTAATAATTATCTATTCTTCCCCTAGCCTAAGAATTTGGTGACTATATAGGAAAATTAGATGAAGGTGGCATGGACGCTTAATTGTGAATTAAAGAACCATGATTTGAAGATCCTCCCTGTTAACTCAAACGAGATTTCAAATCCTCATTCTATTTTATCAAGGCTTAGTATTAGGGATGTGATTCAATATTTCCATCTGGGAACGACATCTAATTTTCTGATCTTTGAGTGTTTCTTTGGTGATAAAGTAACTCTTAGTAGTCATGCTATAATTTGCTTATTTAACTTTTAAGTTATTCATTTTCCAAATTATTAGAAAGTGAGGAGCCCTATGATTTCAGTTTATTATTTTCATCTTGAATCGAAGCAAGTGACTCTTGTAATTATTTTATTATTTCGTTTTACTCCTAAATCCTTCTTGTATTCTCATCGTTTTATTATTTTAATTCGACTAGCTAGATAAAATTATAAAAACAAAAATCAGATTAAAATATCATTTTGAATAATTAAGTAAGTTACATATTAGTTCTTATCTGCCTATGATAGCATTTTAACATTGCTTTAAAGTTCAACTATTTTCGATTGAAGGTTAACATTTTCTTGTTTTACTTCTTTTAACTTTTCATTTTAGCTAAAAACTGGTTTCTTTTTTTCTGGACCTTATGATTTAGTTTACTCCGTTCTGTCCATATTCGAAATAGACTGATTGAAGCCAACTTTTTGTAATTTTAGTTAATTAATCAAAACATTATTTGTAAAATTAAATTTTTTGTTTACTTTTTGAAGAAGCATATGGTTGAATGTACTTTTCAAGATTTTCGTTGATTGTTTTTGTGAATTTAGATTAAGAATTTGACTTAACAATCATTGACTGATAGTGCTTATTTCTGTAAGATTCGTTAGTAAAACTCTTAAAACTTTTTTCTTAATACTCACTTTAATATCCTATCCTGCTTTAGTCATTAAATTTCTAATCTAACTTCATTTGCTAATTCTGTTATTCAACCTCACTTTAGCTATTAAAATTATCTGCTTTATTATTATTGTTATTATTCTTAAATTCCTGCTGTTATGCAACTGCACGGTTAGGATCATAAAACTCCTCTTCCTAAAAATAATTTTTGGAGTTTTTAGGTTTGTCTTAATTTTACATAAAATTATTCTCATTTTCGAGTTAATCAGATTCAAAATTTTATTTTTATTTTTATTATTCTTTAATTTTATTTAAATCTGATAATTTCATGGATTTTTCTTATTATTATTATGGTTACTTATTTTAGATTTATGACAATGCTTAATGTTGGCTTTTCTGTTATTAGTCTTTCATAAGTTATTAAGCTATTTCGTATTCTCTCATTTATTACTCTATCATTTATTATTCATTTTATTACTATTCTCTTAACAATTATTCCTACTATTACTACTCCCTTAACTTTTATTCTTTTTATTATTGTTCTCTTAGTTGCTGTTCTTTTTATTGCTGCTCTTTTAATAATTATTCTTTTTATTATTTTTCTCTTAATTGCTACTCCTTGATTTATTGATCTTTAATTTATTGTTCTCTTTGTTGTTATTCCTTTAGCTACTATTGTTCTAATAGCTTTTATTGCTCAATCTAAGATTTTTGGTTTTGCTGCTCTATATTCTTTTATGATAACTAAGTTTGATTTTTATTTTGTTAGAATTGCTGCTAAAAGTTGTCATCATTATCTTCTTCATCTTCATTTAAGTTATATAAATTTTGTTAAATAGGTGGTTTTTGTTAAGGAAGTTAAGAATTTCTAATCATATTATCCTATGGTGTAGGGGTATTATCAAATTATTTATTTGAACCAGGATTTGTTCTACTCTCATTTTAATAATTTTTACTTCCATATTTAGAAAAAAATCTTTAAGGATCAAATAAACCATTTTTATATTTTTCAATATCTTATTCTAATTCAATGAAATAGCTTTGATACTCAAAAACTTTTTCCATCATCTATTCAAGTTAGAGGTCTTAGTTTTGATTTGTAATGCAAACCTGCAAATCTTGTTCAAGACTCTCAATATTTTCTTTAATCTACTTTTCAAGTATTGTCAATTCTTATTTTAATATTTTATAACTATCTTTATTCTTACAAAATAAATAATTTACCATTCTTAAGTTAATTTTCGTTTTATCTATTTTAATCTACACAGCTTTAAAGTTTTTTTTGAAAGCTTTGGTACTTCGCTAAATTCTCATTTAATTAGTTATTACTTTTTCCATTGTTGCCTTAATTTTTTTACTCTTCAGATCTAATTTATTCTCCATGCTATTTTTTTTATTTAAAAAAATTAATTCTCATTATATGATTTTATAATAATACATATTATCCAGCTATATTCTAATTATCGTAGTAGTCTTCAAATTATTCGTTGTCATAAAATTCAAATCTTGTGGGGAAGGGAACATTTTTCTACTTTAACTGTTAATAATTGTCCTTTTTTTATAAAAATTATAATTAAAGAAATCTATAATAAAATTAATGTTATTTGTAGATATCTATTTTTAAGTAGAAAATTAAATAAATTCATTTCTAAATTTTATATAAATTTAAAGATGATAAATTCTTTACTCTAAAAACTTGATTTGATTAAATTTATCTCCCCCAAACTGAAACGCTTTCAAGAAGTATTTAAAAAAACTTTCTTGCAGCTACTCTGTCTCTGTCGTTTTCTATATTAATTTCATTATTATAATTTAATTTAATAATTTAAAAAGCTAGTTCTCTCAATCTTTATTCATAAATTTTACATATTGAATCTCCAAAGTATTCTGATAATTTTGAGTCTATATTGCTATTAGCAAGTTTCTAAAGGATGATATTATAAGATGGGATAATTTCAATTGCACATAAATTTTCAAATCTGTTTTAATCTAAAATCATCAGATCTTTTACAAGCTTTAATAATAAAATAAATTATAACAAAGGCTTAACATTTTTTATAAGTGCAGTGCTAAATAATTACTCTTGCTGATAAATAGTATCTTATTGGAATTTTCTTACGAGTAAATAACGAATTAATTGTCTTAAAAATTCTACTCGCTAATTTTTATGCACTAGCCCTTTAATTTTTATATTTAATATGTTTATTGATATAAAAATTTTATGTTAAAAAAGATGCAAAAATACTCATCAGAAGAAAAATGAGAGACAAATAAGCCAATTTGATCTTCATAATCATTTTCGCTTTATAATAACTGCTTAAACTAGTCGTCAACTGACATTGAAATATATTTGCTTGGCTATTTAAAATATCGATTTATTAATTGAGTTGCTTACCAAACTAATAACTTAAATAAAATAATAATGATTTTTATTATTAATATAAAATTTTCAATTATTTATTATTTTTGAATTTAGATTTCTTTTTGATTAGCATTCAACCAAACATGAATAAAGAATTTAAGAATATAAAATAAACGTACTAATTATCTAATAAATAATAACTGATTTCCTATTAGAAAATGTTAATCAATCAAAAATAAAAATGAATTAATATTTAAGATAGATTTAAAAGATATTTTCATCATTTTTCAATCAAATCATGTTATTTATTTAGTTTTCAGTTTTTCAATTTATGAAATCATTTCCCAAAACTGTTTTTTAAATTATCATTTATTAAAAATCTAAGTCTTTTTTTTTCAAATTATTATGTTTAATAATATTACTTTTTAATTGGAATATTTTGCTTGACTGTATAAAATAATTAAAGCTAAAGGCCTGTTTAAAGAAATGAGTTAATAACTATTTAAAATAAAAAAACTTTCAAATCTAATTTTATTTTAAAGAAAAATACTTACTAATAAAGTAATTTTTACAAATTATAGCCAAACAAACTATTTTTTATTCAACAATAACTTATTATAATTAATTAATAAATTAATTTTTTTGTTATAAATTTAATTTTCACTCATACTTTAAATTTCATAAATTAATTAAAAATAATGTAAAATCATTAAAAAATTCAATAATTAAATTAACAATAAAATTATTAATTTTTACAATAAGGTAATTTTAATTTTATTATTTAAAATATCATATCTAAATTAAGCTTCTTTAAGTTAATTAAGTAATTCTTTCTATATCCAATAAATAATATACCTTAGATATCATATTTACTACTTATAGGAATTAGATTAATAAAATAGATTATATTATTATGAAATAAATTTTTACATAATATTTGAGTGTAAGTTTTAAACTTTTAAAAAATGAAATTATTGTATTTATTAATACTATTAATAAAAATACATTTTATTAAAAAATAATATTTACAACTAAATAAATAGGGAATTAATTACATGGTTTATTTTAATAAATTAAGAAATTTAATTTCATTTGTATATAATTTTATTTTTTAAATGATAATTAGTTATTAGTTTGTTCCTTTAAATTAACAAATTTTAGTTTGATTATGTTGATGAAGATTTCTCGATTAATTTTGCTGAAAGTGTTTTTTCTTTGACTGGACTATTATTTAAATTTTATGTTATATTTACTGTAGAAGATTGAGTGACAACTGAATTATTAGAGGCAGAAGATCCTTATCTGTATAATAAGCAAGAAGGCTTTTTAAACAATTTATTAATATCATGTGAAGAGTTGCTTTTCTTTTCTATGTTAAATTCTTAGTCCTTTCTTGTATTCACTTATGTATTATTATACTGAGAGTTATTTTTTGAGGATCTTTCTTTATGAGATGAAGAATCTCTTGATTATTTTATATTGTTATTTGAATTAGCTCTTGTAAACAAGTGTGTATGATTGCTTAGTATTATTTCTTAGACTCCATTTGAATTAAGAAAATCTTTGTGATTAGGATCTTAAGATGGAGATTTATAGCTGCTGTTACTCCTAGAATTTTGGCTATTTTCTCTTCCCTAGAGCATATTTTTAATAGTTTCTGAATGATTTCTCATATGTACTTTTAAGCCATTTGCTTTACTATAGCTATTATTGCTTCTAAGTCTGGCATTTTAACTCTAAAAGTTTGCCTCTGTTTTTAAAACATAATCATTTTAATTGTTAGATTCTGTCTTAAGTATATGTAAACTCTATCTATTTTCTAAGCTCATAGTTGGTGTTTTTTATTCTTACCTATAGTTTTATTTTGTTTTTGTATTTACTTGCAGTAAGTTAATTTATAAATTTTTTTCTTTATTTTCATTTTTCTTGTCAATTTATGATTTATTATCTGAAATTTTTGAACTCTAAATATTGACATTTGCTTAATTCAAATTTTAAAACTAGCTGATTGGCTTAATATCTTAAATAGATTTAGAAATTGAATTTTCTATGATTTTTATTTATAGTTACTGTTCTATTTGTTTTTAAATAAATTATGGCTATAATTAGTTTTATCTATTGTTTTTTGACTAGCTTTCCTCAAATTTAGATTTACTATTCTAATTTTAGGTTTCAGATTACTGTTTATATAAAGACTTATCTAGTTTCAGAAAAGTCTAAAGTGATTTTTATTTATCGTCAGATTCATTATCTACTATTGATCTTTGCTTTAAGCATGATTTTCTTTCTATTTAGCTGCGATTTTCAGATTTATTAAATTTTTAATATAGATTTGTTTCTATAATTTCATCTAATTTTTAGTATTTTTACTCTAAATTATGGTAAATGCTTGTTGGATATTATTCAGTTTTATTCATTTATTTATTTTCTTTTTTATTTATCTGATTATCTACAATATTTTCTTTTTGGAGAAGCGAGGAACACAATTACTTTTAGCCCAACAAAGATTCTACTTTAATTGATTTTTCTTTTTGCTTTTCAGATAACTACTAATCTTAAATTAAAGGAATTTCTTCAAGTGGTTATTCAGTCTTTAACTAAATGCTTCTTAACTAATCTTAAGTATTTTAAACATATCCACTATTAATTAAGGGCTATTCATAGCTTTTACTTGAGCTGACTTATATTTTAAGTGAATTGACGTCTTTCATGCTTTGATAGAGTTGGTTATTTTTACCAAATAAGCATTTTATATATAATTTACTTGTTGCAAAATTGTTTTTTATAGATAATTAAATATCAACAGCTCCTGTTTCTTCTTTAAATGCATTTTCTAATTGGTTAAAATAGTTTTTACAATTCAAAAGAAAATACAAAATAAATTACGATAGAATGGAGGAGGATAACTTGTATCACTCTATAAGACCTAAACAATTTAATTTTAATCAAATATACCAACAATCCAGTTACTATCTTAACCATTATAATACACGCCTTTTCCATGAAATTTTTAGTCCTTAAAATTCCCCTCATACATATCGCCATTCTAAAAGAATATTTTACCTTTGTTATTTAATCTCATACATTCCTAATATTTTTAGTAAATAAGGTAAGCAAAAGGAAAAATTAATTAAATTACATTAAATGAACCTATTTAAATATTATAGAAATCTTTTCTGCAAATGATGTAGCATCCTAATTCTTTTGTTCCTATAATGATAGATTCATCAACTCTATTTAATTTATAACCTCCTAATTTATCAGCTAACACTTAATCCTACATCCAAATAAATAATTAAAAATGATGCAGTTGAAGATAATTTTACAAAATAGAATTGATCTTCTATAGTTTACTTCAGATCATTCTCTTTATTACTCTCTCCATACCTCTTGTATGTCCACTTATATTTTAAAAGTGATTAATAATTCTTATTTAAATTTCAATTATTAAAGTTACTTATCGAGAGTTATAATTATATTTGATGCGTTCTCCTACAAGCTCACCATTTTCAAAAGTACCTCTAACAATATCTCTATTAACAAATTCAATTTAGCCCATCCCGTATATCTAATTGTGTTTAAAAAATTAAAGTTAAGCATAATATTTTTTATTAATGATTACAGTTCCATTCAAAAAATGTCCCTTAAGGATAGACCCGTTTTACATAATCAATACACCATAACCATGAGGTTAACATTTGCAAAATTAACCTTTTGATAGTATAATAATAATATTTTTAATATAAATATAAAAATTAAAGTCTTTACCATAGTAAAACTCGCCAGAATCGAAAAGAAAAGCAGATTCACCTGTAACAGTTTAGTTAATAATCTTGCCATAAAAATAACCATTTTTGAGCCTTTTATACTATAAATTATACTGACATATTGTTTTTAATATATTTTTGACTAGTTATTTAGTTTAATTCTCCTTATTCTACCCTTTGCTTTATTCCAAGAATTGTGTTTTATTGCTTTTGGGCTATAAAAGGTTCTTCATTTTCAAAAATAAGTATTTATTAATTTTGTTTCTAAATTCAAAACCTGTATTTAATATTATCAATTAAATTAAAAGCTATTGATAGATATAAGTAGAAATCAAATGATCAATATTAAATACAAAGTCTTCTTTGCAAATTAAATAATAATTGTTATAGAACTTACATAATTTCAATTAAAATTATAGAAATCCTTATTTTTTTATTGAGTTTAAATATCAAATTATTTCAATAAAAGATTAATCAATCAAATTAGATGTTTAACTATTTATTGGTAACCACAAAATTTAATTACTTTATTTTTTTCATGAAAGATTCTAAATACTTCATTTTTTTCCAAAATACTCTAAAAAAATTACAGTTTTATTTAATTTATAAAATGTTGGATTTAATTTATTATTAAATATTTCATCAATTAAATCAGTTTTACAAATTTTTCATTTTTATCATTTTTTTAAAAAAATATATATTTTTTGTAGAAATTTTATAAATAAATTAATGTTAAAATAAAGTTTTTATTATTATTTTAACTTTTATTAAGAATAAAACACTTATAAAAATAAATAAAAATTATTAAATTTGTTTTGAAAATAATATTTTTTAATTTAAATTTATCAACAAAATTACTTTTATAATTGAAGATTTTTTTAAATTAAAAATGAATGTGTAATGAATGATTTTGATAAACGAGAATAAAACAAAACGAAATTAAACAATTAGACATAAAAAATATTAATAAAATAGTTATCTAATTTTTTGCTAAATAATTTAAAGTAGACTTCTTATAATAATAATTTTTGATAGATTATTTAGCTACATTAAAATATTATAAATCAATCTAAATATAAATCCCAAAAAACGTGATAAGGGTTGACAGGAATCTAATCTATACAATTTCTTATAAAGGCAACAACTAAACAGAATATAGACCTTCTTTCAAGAATTATTTTATAACTTTATAACTCGCATAGCTTATCTGAACCAGTTTCACTAAATGTAAAAAGATATTTAATAAACAAACTAATTTAATAATAACAGTAAAATTACCCCTTAATAAACCAAGTGTCAATCAACTTTTGACTTGAGTATAAACATAACTAAAATTAATCCTTATAATAATCTGGTAGATAAAGTGAGTTATCACCACTTCCCTTTATATACAATCTTGTTAGAGATTAATTTTATGAAACCAATTAGATAAATGCTTTAACAAAATTAGTATCATTCATAGGTTAATTGCTCCTATTCAAAGATAACAAAATTATTTTTTTCACATATTTAAAATTTTTAAAAAATTTACTTGACATCCTAAATGAATAATTCACAAATGTTGCTATCCCTCAAGCCTCTCATTATACTGGGAAAATTTTATCTTTATAATAAATAAAATAAAGCAATTTATATATTTAGTTAATCAAATTGCTTACTGAGAGACCTTTAAATGAAGAGTATGTATAGATACCTTCATTTATGATAATTATTATTCTAGAGCTAAAGTATCAGCAAATGCAGTAGGAAAATAGAGTTTTAATACTTATAATTCAAGAGATTTAGATGAGTTTAAGCATCTAATAAAGGAACATAAATGATCTGATATTTTATCAATTGACTTTTGACTAATAAATTTAAAGTTTTAAATGAATATTTTTTTCCTTCACATCTGAAACAAATATAACAAATTTAAAAGAAATTTTTTTATTGAGTACCCTATATCTATTTCTAAAGCTTTTAAAGAAGAAATGTCCTATGAAAATACTTCATGCAAGCTATTAATAAACTCATGGCTAATAATATTTTACCTTTTTTGTTTATTATTATAAAATGTGTTTATATTGGAATATTTATTTAATAATGCCATAAATATTTTATTTGGTCTTACGATAAAAATAATTGGAGGGTGTGAAGATTTTTATTGAGATTTATTGTCTGCAATATTTCCTTAGGAATTTCTATATTCAATGATCTGTATTTAATACAAATAATTTAATATTTAAATTTAATGAGTAAAGTAACATACTCAAATTATAAATTGAGATGAGTTAACTTATCCATTTTAGCTAAACTCTTTCCAATATATTCAAGTGTATCCTTTTTCGTTATTTTATTATTTCTATTTATAAATAAAAATTATTTGATTAGTTAGTTATTTAGTACCTTCACACTTTATATAAGTGAATTAGTTACGAAAAATTTAATTTTAATTTTTTTATAGAAGAATGGGAGGTGAGTGAATCTATGAATTAGGTAATCTCTCCATCATTAACTTAATTATTTCTAATATGTTCAAATTTATAATTTATTTTAATTTTCATCTTTTAAGACATTATAAACAAGTTACTATATATTCAAACTGAAATCCTCAATAGACATATTAAGCTTCAGAAAATTTCCAAGCATGTTCTCACTTATTATACTTTTATTCATCTCACAAGACCTAAATCAGTTATATTATTTTTATAAAAATTATCAATTAGCAAATCAAATTACGCTATTGATATGCCAAAAACTTTCAATTTGAAATGACCAATTTTAATAAACTTAAAGAACTATTCAAAGAATTCATCTTTAATTTTTGTAAGCCTTTTTTTTTAAAAAATCATCAATCAGCTGATTTAAATTTTTTATGAAATATTATTTACACAATTTTTAACCTAAGCTTTTCAATTAAACCTTGTTAATTGTTTAAAAGCATAGCTAAGGAATACCCTGCTTTTTCACTGATCATGCTATTACTTTTAAATTATTAAATTTAGTTACTAAAATATTCATCTTTTTTCAAGAGTTTTACGATAAATTTAAAGATAACGATTCAATTTTCGAAGTGTAGAGCCCATCTAAAAAATCACTCAAAGATTAATCTCTCAATTGACAAGATCTTTTTAGAATGTTAATTAAAATCAAATTTTAATAAACTGTATGTATTTTAACTTACTCAAAATTCATTTCCAAATTTTTTAGTTTTCCAAATGATGAAATAGCTTTAGCGAGTTTTGAAACACCTAAATTAGATTAATCTTCTCCATCTAATTTATCTAGTTTAAAGTTAGAACTAGTAATAAGTTATAAAATAAATAAGCCTAAAATATTGAAACTATTTTAAAAGCTTACGAGAAATCTATTTTAAGATCTTTTAAATTTTATAATATTTCAATTTGATTTGCGAGCTCAACAATATCTGAATTTCTGAGATAGTTGCATGGCCTTTTTTTATATTTTATATGTAAAAATTAACTTTTTTGAATTCTATTATTATTGTCGCTACCCAAGTTTTAGCTAAAGACTATCTAAGTTTTTAAATTTTGATATAGCGAGAAATAGGTTTTATACATTTTCTGATAGTGTATTTGTAACTATCACCAAATTATTAACTCTATCTACATCGATATCTATGTGGAAGTTCATATAAGGGCTTTAAAATTACAATTAAAGCGATTTAATTTAAGATTATTGCTGTTTAATTACTTATAATAATAATGAGCTGAATGATAATAAATTTGAAATTGTGAACTCTTTTTAATAACTACACCTTTGGGATATTCATTCTATTAAATCGTGTTTTCTATTTTGTTAGTATTGTAATCCTTTTTTTTACGATGACTATGATTATTACCCATTCTTTGTTTGTCAACTAAACTAAATTTCTATTATAATTTATTGAGTTTTTTATTTTCTTTTCACTTTTAAATATAAATTTAATTAATTTTTCTTTTAGTTTTACGTTTGCGATATATCTATCTATAACTTGCATAACTTGGTTTTGGTTTGATTCTAAAAATGGATTTATCAGAAATATTTACAAATTAATTTAAGATAATCCTAACATATACATATGAAAGATATAAATCAACAAAACTCTTTTTAAGTAAATTATAAAGTAATTCTTTGAATCATTCATAATTAGTTACTGCCTCTTATAGAATAAGATTAATTAACCAAAGAGATAAAAACCAAAAGCGGTATACAAATACGCTAAAAAAATTTAAATACTTAATACATTTAGATCTTTTTTAATAAGAAAAAAGGAGCAAAAAAGTATCTTTTTTTCATTTTTAAATAGAAAGAATTTACAAATATTTATTAACAGTGTTCAAATGTTTGAAATTATTAGCAAAAATGCTAAATTAATAGGAGCTCTAGGCCTTATTGCATTAGGAGGCATAGTAAATTATGTTTTGTTTAAGGAAGATTCAGAGGAATAATAAAATTAAAATAAAATAAATGAAGAAAAATAAAATGAATAGCAAATGTAACAAAACTTAGGAATGACAAAAGATGAAGCAAAGGAAAAAATGCAAGAACTTTTATAAAAGGTAAACAATTCATAATTTTATAATGATGTTTTTTAACTCCTTCTTAAAATTGAAAATCTAAAAATTAGGTTAAGAAATAGTCTGAAGAATAATTTAAGGAAGTAATCAAAAAAGATATAAAGGTAGAATATTATGGTTAATTCATTAGTGATAAAACTATTAAAATAATTATGCATAGAAGCGTTTTGTTTTGCATTGATTCACTTATGAAAATTCACTCCAAATTTATTGAGTAAAGATAAGAAAAGTATTATCAAATAGCTGAATATGCTGCTATTAATAACGAGTTGATTCAAAATTACTTCTATATTTTAAATATTTCTATGGAAAACATTACCCAAATCTTAGAAATTTCTCAAGAACTTTTCTAAAGTAGCTTGCGTTACTGGTAGACTTAGCAAAAAATCTCAAAGGGATATTTAAGAGATTTAGCATACCATTTTATGGCAGAAGCAAATATAAAAAACTCTATATCTAAAGACTAGTACATCGATTACTTGCAATTTGTGTGTGAGGAAATACCAAAGCAAGCAAACTAACTTAAGCTTTTACTTTCATAGTCAACTCCACAGCTTTAAAAGATAGTGATTCTTTCTAGAGCAGAAGATAAAGCCTTTTTTGATAAAAATATAAGTGATTTATAGGGTATAAAAGCCTTATCATTATATTCCTAAGATGAAGAGTGCAAATAATTGCTAAATAAAAGAAATGAACTCCTTAATAATATCTACTAAATTTGAATAATTCTAGAATTAAAAATTAAAAAAAGTAGATATTTCTTTGTTTACTTTTATATTTATTTGTGTACATTTATTAAAAGATTAAATAACTTATTTCTCTTTTATAAATTTTTTTAATTTTAAAGGAATATTTAAAAGTTAATTTTATATTTATTAATTTATTTATTTTAAAGTTATAAAGTAAATTTTAAAAATAGATTTTAGCCTATTTATAATAAGTTAAAAATATATTTTATCTATCTTAAGAAAGATCCAGATAGATTTTGGTTTGGTTTTTGGCAACTATTTAATTTGTAAAAATCAAATATATATCTTATTTAATATTTTAATAGTAAGTATCTACTTTCAAAATCAATTAATTGTAAAAATCAATATTCTTTTAGAAGTTATGAGTTCATAAAGTGGTTAGTAATCAAATAGTAATTTGAGTGAAAGATAGGTCTTTTAGGAATAAGACGATTAGAGAATCACAGGAGATGATTGGAAATTAGATTTAAGTTAAGAAGATAGGGATCTCGCTAATGAAGTCGAAGATAAGTTGAAAGAAGTATAAAAACAAATGGAAATTATAGAATAAAAAACAAAAATGCTCTAAAACAGAATGAATTTCCCATTTGGAGGTTCTGGAAGTATGCCAAATATGGAATAAATAGTTGACAAGTAGAGATAAGAATAGTAATAGACTTCTGATTCTCCAGAAGCCATGCCTATGCCACCTAAGATAGATTACAAAGATTTTCCTGTTATAGATTCAAGAGGAAACCTAGTTTAAAGTAGAGAACAAGTCATAGAAAGATACCACAATTCTCTTCCATTTATCAGATGTTTGGAATTACCATTCTGTTATGTATAAATTAAAAAGAAAATTTAATTTTGGACAGTGTCTTCAGTAGGCTTGAGCTTATTATATAGTTCCTTCTATTTAGTTAGTAAATAATTTATTTAAGTTATTAGAGAGTTTTCTTGAAATATTTAATTTTTTAAGATAAATTAAAATATTTTTAAAAATAATTTAAGATTTGTTAATGCTTTTTACTTGTTATTAAAATTTATTTTATTTTTTTTTAAATTGACTAATAGAAGATAGAAAACCCTTAAAGACAATATAATTTAAACCTGTAATTAAACATGCTGGGCTTATATTTTTAGTAGGATCTCTATTTAGCACTTTAGAGACTATCTATTTTAACGATTATTGGTATAAAAAGCAAAATAATTTTTTAAAATTATTATTTTATTTTTTTATTATAAAAAGTGATATTAACAGCTATCATTATTAGGATAACAATAGAGCAGAAACAATTAAATACTTAAAATGTAATAAATTTATTTATTTATTTTTTGTTTTATTAATTATTTATTTTAATAGAAAAAATTTTAGCAAGTCAAAGAAGATAATGAAGTTTCAAAATGGCTAATTGATATATACAAGATATTTATTTATACATAAAATAGGTTAATATAGGTTGTTTATTAATTTAAATAAGTTAAGAATAAGATATTTTCATAGAATAATAATGTTTGTTTTCTATCTTTTAAATTATATTTATTTATATTCAGTTTTTTAGTTATTAAATTTGCCTACAAATTCATTTAAGAATAATAAGCTAATGAGATAGAAATTAAGATTTATTATTTTGAAGGGTTTAAGTTAATGTTTGCTTATCAATAATATTATTAAAATTCAAAAATAAAAGGTTGGTTAATCATTATATTTTTTAGCTTCAGTCAAAGCTTTCTTTATATTTAATATTTTGTAATAATCACAATGTAAAATGGTTTTATTTTTACACTGACTTATTTGTTTTATTATAAGGACTTAATTGATTAGATTTAATCAAAAATATTACTATCGGCTTTAATAAGGATTTTAAAATAAATATTCTGGAAAAACTAATGGTTTTAAATTATCTGTTTCAAATATTTTAATTTTGTTTTTGGCCAGAAAATTCCCAAGCGGGAATGTTAAATCTTAATAATAATCAAGCTAGTTATGCTTCATATCTTTTGGTAGTATCAGCTCACATATTTAAGGGCAATTATCTATTTAATATAATATTAATTTTAATTAATTTTTAAAATATTTACTGTGTAGAGTTTAAGAGTGTGAGATCTATATGAGAGAGTCTTTTTAGCCATGGCAAATAAAAGTAGGGCACTTTACCTTTTTAATATTTTCAAGATTGTTAAATCTTTCTTATACCAAGTACTATATTAAACTTCCAACTTTATCTTTAACAAGATCTCTAAGTGACGTAAAAGGAGAAAGCAGTGCCAGACATGCTAATTTATGTTAACTTGCAAGGAACGTGGCTGGACCTGTACCTATGCTTCTACCGAGGACTATAATTTTATTTTCTGGTATTTTCATAATTTAGTTGAAGTAGTAATATGTATCGAGTGCATCTTTTTCAATCTATTCAGCACTGGCTTATCCTTTATAATAAGTATAACCTGGATATTCGACAGTCACTATATGAATCTTTTTAATAAAAATAACATATAATAAATAAATTTTACTATTTTGATTATAAAATTGCAAAAAAATTATATTTTTTAATGACTTGATTTTGTTAATTTATGTTCACAACTCATCTCTTTAATATTAAAATTATTAATATTTTATATTTATTTACATTTAAGCTTTTGCGCAAATGGTTGACTAGTTCATAGCAAGTAACTATATCTTCACCATTTGAATGAAAATAAATCATAATATACTATGTTCCCTCAAGAGAGCTTTTTAGCAGACTAGCTAATATATGAGTATTGTGTCTTTGCTCTTATCTATTGCTAGGTGAGCAGCCAGGGCTTTAACATTTATTCATATCTAATATATGTTAGAGATTGTTTTTTTGTACTTTAGGTTTGATAAATTGAGAGATTGGTTGTGAATAAAACTCCCTTTCATCTGGTTATTCATTTACATGCCTGTTTTTAAAGCATTGTTCACTTTAAATATCATATTCATATTCAGCGAAACTTCTGTAGGTATATTTTTCATTCTAATTTTACTACTTTTTGCTAAACCATTTACTTTTTGTACTTTATTAATCGCTGCTTAATCTAGGAGATGAATAGTGAGATGAATAATCATAAGACGAAGGAGATTTTGTTTAGAAACTGTTGATATCTATAAAGTTTTTAGTGATATAATTATTAAGGTGACATGGTGAGGAAATAATATCACTAACTCTTTAAGGTATTTGCTCATCAAGCTCTATAAGCTCATCTTCTTCTTAAGTAGTAAGATAACAATTAGGGTTATATTCTTCATCTTCCTACATCTAAGGCTATGCAATTTTGAAGGTAGACTTTTCTTATTATCCCAATCGCTTAACAAACTATTTTTTATTCAAAACGTGCTTTGGAGAGTTATTATCAGTCTCATAAAATATCCTTCTGGGAATCCAAATGATTTAATCCTTTAAAATGAAACATAATTAAATATTATAAATGGGCCTACTAAGCTTTTGCGAATAGAATAATCGATATTATTTAACTAATTAATTTAGTAATTTAAAATTAAAAAATAACCTTAAAATCCTAAATACTTTGAGTGGTTTTGGGAGCAGGAAAGAAGATAGAATTTAATTCCATATTATTTATATTATTATTTTGATCTTTATTGTATGTTTGCAAACAAAATTTTTAAAAAAAGCTTTAGTAAGAATTAAAAAATTATGAAAATAGCCAATAGTTAGAGGTTTATGATTAATTTGTTTACTTTTAATAATAAAATGTAATAATAGAGCCAATTAAGATAATTTTATTCAATATTCATGAGTCTTTTTTAGTGTTACTTCATCTTTTCATTTGCATCAAACTTTTATCAAAATTGACCTCTAAAGTTTTTTTGAGTTATTTTATGAACACATTATTTTTTTCACAAATCACCTATAAGCAAATATTTACTTAAGTTAATCAAAGCTGAAGAGAGGCTAATTTATACATTAAATAATTTTTAGTCACACACATTAAATATTAAATTATTATGACTGCATATTTTAAATAACAAACTCGAAATACATTTTTGTTGTTTCTAATGAATGGCAAAAAACAATAACTTGAAATTTCTAGTAAATTGCATAAATTAATTGTTCATTCATTGATTATTCCTATCATACAAATTTAATTTTTTAAATAAATAATAATAAATAAAAATTATTAAAGAAATGTAAAATATGCTAGCTAATACTTTTATAAATTATTTTAAAAATATTAAATAAAGATCCAATTTAAAAAATATCTTCTAAAATAAATTTTTTTAATTGTTTTATATGTTTCAAGTTGTAATTAAAATAGAAAATTTAATAAAATATATAATACAATCAATTAATTTAAGGTTTATGTGAGAATGTTTAACTTTATCTATTTAAATTATTTATACAATATTTAATATGTTCTTTATTTGTTTAGAAAATATTTCTTTGTTATTTTGTAATAAAAAATCGTTATAATTTGATATTTTTATTTATTTATTGTTGCTTTGTTTTTAATTTAATTTATAGGACAGGTTGATTCAAGGTAATAAGCTGGTCTTGGGAAGGAGAAATTTATTGAAATTCTCTAATTTATTTATTTATTAATTTATTAATTAATTGAAAATCAATTTTTAATGTGGCTTTGTAATTAAATTAAAAATGATATTTTTATTTATTATATTCATATATTGTTATTTTTTATAAAATTTGATAAATATATTTAAATTAAGTATTTGAATAGAGTGTATGGCTGTAATTAAAGCTGGCTGGTTGACTGACTTATCAAAGCATAAATTTGATTTGTAATAATTAAATTTAGTGTAAGTGCTTTTTTGATAATTTTTGAAGCAATCTTTTTAAATGATAGGAAATTAAGTTTGTTTTTAATTTAGATAATAATATTTCATACCGTAAGCATATTTTCAAGATATTTTAAATAAAATTTTGTAATCATTAATTAATATTCCTTTTTTAGTAAGTAAGTAATTCATTTTGATTAATCTTAGCAACGCAAAGCAAAAGAAGATACTTAGATTTAAGGTTTTTAAGAATTATAATCTTTGAAGTCTTGCTCTATTTCTTGTAAAGAAATGTCATTAAAATTAATAGAGTGACGATAAAGACTAATTTAGGCTTACTATTCTGACTACTATGCTAGGTTATTTACATGAATTTAACATATACTGTGAGGAGATATAGATTTTTTTATGTCACTCAGTGAAACTCGTTGATTTCTTTCTACGATTGTTAAATTTTTAGTTTTCGTTGTTGTGCTATTCATACTGCCTACAGCATCAGCTTGGCTAATATTTTTAAATGATTTATTTCTTGTATTTTAATTTTCGGTACTTTATCTATTGTAAATCTACTTAGTTTCGTTTTTTTATTTTATTGATTCTTCTTTTTTGAGTTAAGTTTACTAAAGCGTATTTCTGTGTTTGTTTGTTTTTAGTTCTTCTTCGTGGTCAAAATGATCTTCTAAGCCTTCTCCTCCTTTCTTTTCTTCACTTATTGTATATAATGGTTGTTATTAGATTGAAGTAGTTATATTCTTTTTAGGAGTTTATACATTTGTAAATGAAGATGGATTTTGAAACCCACTAAAATTTATTTTTGGAGGAGAAAGACATTAGATATTGCTATATCTTTAAGCAAATGTTTAGTTTTTATTTTAATCTGTTCTATCTATAGAAGATGGAGAGTTAGAACAAGCGTCGGCTGTGCCTAGAGTAAGAATGTTTTTTGTAGAGTATGTATTTTATAATAGTCTATCTAATTAAAAAGGCCTACCTTATAGTGATGCTTAAGTAGGAGAAGTTATTAAGCGATAATTGGAGCTTAGGACGGCATTAATTAAGCCTTGTAAATTAGTTTGTAATTTTTCAGGCGTTTCTGAAGGAATATCAATAATCGTTTCTCCTCTAGTATCTCTACGTATTTATTTATTACTTTTTACAGCTTGCTAATCTTAAGGAGAAGTATATTTAGTTTACAAATGACTCAAAAAATCAGTGAGATCAGGATCATCAAATGAGCAATGATCAAAACCTTCGTCTTAGGACTATAGTAGAAAGCTATAGATTTTGTTGATGTGATGAATTTTTTCTTAAAACCCCTCTTACTCTATAATATTTTAGAGTTATTACTTGGAAATAGAAACCTGATTATTTTCCACTTGATTTTATTAGCTAAATTGGTTTTCAATGGATGGTCTCATCTCTCTCTTTATGTCATCTTACTCAATACCTTGCTTCGATAAATAAAAGTTTTTATTATCCTGCAAATCATTTAAATATTCATTTTTGTCAACATCTTAATTAGGATTTTCGTTATCGCATTTTGTGCGCATTTTATCAAGCTAGTCTGAGGTTATTTTACAGCCCGAATTTGCTTAACCTAAATACTTTTCCCTCTTCTATAAGTCTTTTTTTTGCTTCATAATATCTTAATGAGCTTTAGAGTTATAGCATCCCATCTATGATTAATTTGAATAGAATTATTTTAACAACTCAATACAAGTAAGTAAGTAATAAATCAATAAATATATATATATATAATTTGAGAGGGATGATATTTTTTTAGATTATTTTTATTACAAAAATTTGATTAATTTGATTTTGATTGATTGAAAAATATTTAGACTAAATCACAATTAATTAATCTTTTTGATTAATTTTTTTCTTGATTATTATCAAATTATTAAAAATGTAATATGGGTGAATTTTATTTCACTTTATATTACCTACAAAAAAGTTGATTGATTATTAGATTTTTGAGCGATTAATAAGTAAATAAATACCTCGATTCATTTATTTATTTATTCAAATTCTAGATATCCAAAAATTAAAATTGATCTTTTGATATTATTTACATTAACTCTCACATTTTTTAAAGAGAATTTTGTTTGTGGAATTCACACTATCCTGTCCAGCGAGTTTTTACTATTTAAAAGATCTTGTTTATTTGATTAACAAGATGTCAAAAACATTACTTTTATTATTTATTTTCTATCATATGCAATTCATTCAGCGTTTAATATTAAACATAGAGAAAGTGGATCAAAATTAAATTTATAATTGCAAAAATATCAAAAAAACTATCATTAGAACCTTTCATTTGAAGTAAATTTTAAATTGAGTAAACTACAGCATAAACATTGAATGAGGCTAAGATCGCATTTTATTTTTCTGTTTCAACAAATAGGTCTCCTTTTAAAAATCCAATTATAATGAGAATTTCATTAATTTTCAGAGATTTAACTGACTCTGAAATTACAATAAAATGTATTCAACTTGAAAAAAAGTTTATTTTACTAGGTTGAAATTTAAATTTGTTTATCATATTAGATTTAAAATTCGATAAAGCTCGGAAAATTATAAAAATATTCATACAAATTCAAATTTAAAAAACTTTAAATATGTATTTTTTTTGTTAATGCATTTAACTAACTAAAATAAATTCTAATTTTAAAAAGTTCTTAGAAATTCTTAAAAAGGCTTAACTATAAATATATAACGACGCAGTAGTTGTATAAAAATGATAATAAACAATAGTACGTAATAAAATTTAAATTAAAAAAAAACTAAAATAGACTGAAATTTATTTTTTGCTTAAAAGACATTATTAATTTATTTTCTTGTAACGAAGAGCATAAAGATAATTTTTTTTATCATATTTACATAACACAATATTTATATGCTCTAAACATCTTCTAAAATTTTAGTGAAAGAATTTTGAAAAATTTAATAATTAAGCATTTTTTGATATTTAGTGAAATATTCTTTTACTTTTATATGTTAGATTGTAACAAATATTTATTAATAAATATCTAACTTAATTTCTATCAAGCTCAAACGCAAATTAATTATTATTATTATTAACGCTTTTTTTTGATAAATATCATTAAAATAAATATTTCAATTCATCAAGAAATATATTTGCTTTATTTAAGAATTCAAATAAAATTTTTGATTTTAAATATTAACTAGTTTACATTTAACAAAATAAAATTTATTACTTTCTTTTAATCTTTATTTAATTCTTTTCTATAAACTGATGCAATTACAAATATATTTGGTATAAACTAATAAATAAATAATCTATGTTTTTAGTACTTTTAAAAAAGATATTCAAATATGTGCAATGTAATGCATCATAGTATTTTCTAATTTTTAGTTAACTAAGTGTTAAAATATTCTTTATTTATGGATTTTAGTGAGTAGAAATTAGAATTGGAAAAATCTGCCTCTTCATCAGTCAGCAGAGATAATAAAAATTAAGTTACAATAAACAGATAGCAAATGTATGTATGCATAGTCATCATATCATATATAATATTATAATTTTCTAAAAATTAATTAATTATTTATTTTATTTCAGCAATTTTTTTTATGTATGTAGGATATATAATTTTATTGCTATAATTACAGGAATATCTGTGTGCATTAATCACATGGTTTCTGGTAATCAAATTTTTGTTAGTGTGTGAATTTTATCTGTTTGCTTCACTTGATTAAAATTTGAGTACTAGGACTAATTGATTTTATTGTCTTTAAAACTGATAAAATTTCATATTTAGCTTGTGATTGATTCTACTTTTCTTGTAATTACTAACTTCGATTTATTAATTCTGCTAATTTATTGTTTGTTAATTTTTATTATCAAAACTATCAGGAATCTGCTGTGGTGACGATTTTCACTTTTACGCTAGAAAACTAAGATAAGTATTTAGTTACAATTTTAAGAAAGATTGTTATTATATATAGAGAAGTGGTTAAATAAAGAAGTATCTATCAAGCTCTGTAAGAACCGAGGACCATAGCGTGATCTCTTTCATAAGGTTCAAGAGTAAGTTATTATTCAGGCTTGAGACCTTCTTCTTTTAATTTTTGTACTTCAGCAGCGAAAACGACTGCAGGTTCGTTGGTTGAATCAATACAGCAAGCCTTAATGGAGATAAGGAAGTGACCACCATTCTTTAAGAAGTATTAACAGTTCATACCCATAATTCTAGCTTGATCAGGTTGGGCAACATCAGCGAAGACGACATCGACCATACCGACTAAGAATCTGTATTCTTGGGGCTTTCTAGCATCACCGATAATGGGAACAACATTGGTTCTCTTCTTAGCCATATTTACCAAATCTCTACCACTTCTGTGAGAGAATTCGACAGCATAGACAACACCAGTGGGTCCAACAATATCAGCAACGTGAGAGACAGTTGTACCAGAGGCACCACCTATTTATAATTAATTTAATTTAATATGTGTTTAAATAAAAATTTTGCTAGATGATTCTATTATATTATCGATGGGAATTAATTATTTCTACATCTTAAAAATAAAGAAATAAGTAAGTTTATAAAATATATCATTATTCATGAGAGATTTTTAACTCAATTGATTGAAATTAAATGATATAATCGATGTTAAATAAATTCAGATATAAATCTCTATGAATTTAACCATCATTCTTTCTTTGTTTGTTTGTTATAAAAATATCCTAAAATAAATTTTATTTTAGTAAAATTAATTGCTATTGACTTATTTATTTAGAATAGCAGCGTAAATTTTATATGGATTATTGATTAAAGCAAAATTTAAAAATTCTATTTATTTATTCATTCATTTATCGATTTATATATTAGTAGTATATGTTGTAAGATAAATATATCTTTCAAATGCTTTTTATTGTAGATAGAAATGTATTTATTTATTCAATACAATCAGCTACAATTTTCATTATGGGATTTTATATTTTTGCAAATGCTAACTATCTATCTGCATTGAATTAATCCTACTTTATATTTGTATAACAAATACTTATTTTATTTTAAGTAGAGTATCCCATACATACATACATACTTTCTATCTATCAATCTTTTTTAATATTTTGCAATAATTGATTGAGTTGATTATATTTTAAAGTCAACCATCTGATTAGTATCTAGCATTTTTGTTTTTAAACAGCCTTGCTGTATGCAAACTATTCAAAGCTGTATCAATTAATTGAAAAGAATTAAAATATATACCCAAATAGAGAACCTTGGAGCCAGGTTTAATATGAATATCAGAAATACCACCAACAACAGCAGCAGCAATTTTAGATCTGTAGGGATTCCAGACACGATATTCAATCTTTTCACCGTTTTCTTCAACGGACATACGTTTTTCATTGTAAACAGATTCACCAGGGAAGAAATTTTTAGTTACCAAAGCTTCTTATTGACCTTTGCAGATGAAAACACCTTCTAATCTATGCTTAACAATAATAGTCTTGGGACCTCTAGGACCCTTGGCACCAAATTTGCCACCAGGGCCACCGGGTCTGCCACCACCGAATTTGCCACCAGGACCACCGGGACCACCAGGACCCTTATTGAAGGGTCTTCCACCAGGACCTCCAGGACCTTTATTGAAGGGCTTTCCACCAGCATTGCCACCACCTGACTTGAAATCTTTACCCATTTTATTTTTGCTTTAGTTATGTTATTTAATTAGTTTTTTTGGTTTTTTAATTAATTTTATCTTTCTATTTTTTATTGTTAATTCTTTGAATTTAGTTTGCTCTTATTGTATTTATTATATTTATTAGACCTTCCTCTTTTAATATATTTATTAATACTTCTTAATTTATTAATTAATACATATTTTTGCTATTAATTCAACCTTTTCTATTTTTGCCATTAATAAAATCAAATTTTAATGTCTTTCTTTTATGAGTCCATAGTAGCATATTCAGATCAAAAAATATATATTCAAAGCAAGCAACACAATTCATTATATTTATGTAATTTATTTATCTATTAATAAATACAAACCTAACTTATAGCATTATTTAACTTTTAAAACAATATACACTTATCTCTAATTTATTTTTATTATTTCTACATTATTAACAACCTAATTTTTAATTTCATTTTTAAAGGGAAATAGTCTCCTTATGACTAAAATGATTGATGATAATATATGGTTATATACATCAATTCAATTTAATATATATTCATTTTAATAAATTATATTTTATCGTTAAATTAACAATAATAAATAAGTTCAAAATATTTAATTTTGACAATAGATTAATTACATGATAATTTACTATTTGATCAATCTTTGACTTAATTATTATTTCGATTAAAAATTATGTAATATCAAACAGATATTACTTGTTATTTAATTTATTATTCTTTTGTATGTTAAGTTTAATTTTAAATTTGCTCGCTTTTTGTTTTAAATGTATATCCAATTATTAAAAAGGAGTATTTATAATTTAAATAAATTATAAAGCATTTTTTTTGTTAAAATATAAATTTTATAAAATTATTTTTTTAAATTTTAGTAAATTGGTTAGAAATATATTTTATTGTGTTTTAAATTTATTTTTTTTTTAATTTTATTAGTAAAATATTATTAAAATATCTAAATTAAAAATCATATTTTTCAATTAAAATATATTATTTATTTTATTAGTAAAAGTGCTTTTTTTAATAACATTTTTTATAATATAAAATTTATTGTAAAATTTTTTAAAATGTCTTTACTTTTTTAATATTTAAAATTCTTGTATTTGTTATCAGCTTTTTACTTAACTTTAAGATCTTGAATAGAATTAATAAATATAATTCATCGTTTAATAATTGATTTAAAAATAATGATTTGTATTTATTTATGATTGACTAAAAGTCAATTAATTAATTACACTTATTTAATTCAAATTTATTTAGAATTTAATTTAACTTAAAAATAACAAAAATAAAACTATTTTTTTTGTTTTTTATTTGGTAAATAATTCTTTAATGAAATAATTATAATATTTATTTATAATTTAATAAAATTATAACGATAATAATTCTTAATTTTCAAAAGGCTAATTTTTAATAGATAAATAATTTTAAAATTAATAAAATAGCTTTAATGATAACAGTAAAATGTAAATAAGTAAAATTAATTTTTATGATTAGAATTAATTAAAAAGTATAAGATGGCAATAAAAGCAAAAGATAAATAAATAAATTCTTTTTATTGAAGGAAAATAAAGCATTTAATTATTAATTTTATTATTTATAATTTAAGATAATATTTTATTTTTAACAATTTACAAAAAAAATACATAAGCAAAAGTTATATTTTTGTAGATAAAATTATAAAATATGATCATCGCCATAAAGTATATCTATAAATTTGTATCAATAAATCTAATAAATTCGTATTTAAATATTGTATTTCGTAATTATTTAATTAATGCACAAAAATAATTTTAAAACTTCATTTAATAATTGTATTCTCGATTTCTAATATTGCTATTTTAAAAAATATCACCATCTTATAATCAACTAAAATGAAATTAGAGAGAATTTAAAAATGTTATTTTAGTAATAGTAGATAATAATTAAATTGAAAATCTTATTATTTTTTAAAAAAGTTGAGGTTATTTTTAAATTGTATTTCTCTAGGTAAGTTAACTTGTGAACCGACTCTACCAATCAACTTATTTAAAAAAAGTGAATTACTGAAATTAATATAAAATTTTTTGACTTGTAATTTGACTAACTAATTTAATAAAATTAAAAATCTTTTTATTAATATTTTTAACATATTTGTGTTAAATTTAATTTGAAAAATTAAAAGATCAAAAATTTAATAATGACAAAAGTAAATTTAAAAATGCATATCATTCTTAATTAATTATTATAATTAAACGATAACAAAATATTTAATGCTAATATCTTAATCTGTCACATAAAATATTAATCAAACATTGTAAAAACTTAATAATTACCAAAACCTAATAACCATAATATTAAAAGGAAAAATCATATAAATCAGCCAATTTTTCAATGAATAACAAATAATAAAAGCTTCAATTAATTTTAGAGAGCTTGATTACCAAAAAATAAGAACTCAGAAAAACTAATAATCAATTTAAATTTCTAAAATTAAATAAATTTTTTAAAAGTAAATTCATAAATTAATCGACAATATCCATTATTGCATGTAATAATTAGCCTTGATCAATCAGGTCTGATTATAAAAGACAAGAAAAACAATAAGATAAACTTAAATATATTTTTATTAAAATGCATATGATTAGATAAGACCGATCAGATGAATTTAAAACAATGAATTTGTGTATTAATAGATTAATTTTCATTTCTTTAATGAATTTAGAATATTAATTTATTTAAAAAGATTTTTTTAAAATGATCCACTTTATTTATAAAATAAATTTTATTAGAAATCAGTATAGTATAATGATAACATTTAAATAAATCTATATAGAAAGAAAAGGAAATTTTAAATTAAAAAATAGGGGAAATAGCTATTTAAGATTAAAATACCTTTTGAAAAGTTAAAAATTTATAAAGAAAATGAACTAAATTTTGCTAATTAAGTTAGCCACATTTATATTAAATGCTATTTTTATTTTTTTTCTTAAGTTGAATTAAATAAAAAGACTGAAAATAATTATGGAAATAAAAATAAACAAGCTCATAAAGTTCTAAATAAAAAAAATTTTAATTGTTAGTATATAACAACATAGTAAAATATAGAATAAAATATAGTCAAGCAAACCATTGAATTAATATAATATATATGAAATCAAATAATTTTAAAAATAAATAAACAATAAATTATATAGATAAATGTTTACAAATTAATACTTATTTGGGAATAATTTCAGTTATGATAAAGGTTTCTTTTAACAACAAACATTTTTTGCTGGAACTATTAATCATTAGAATAGTTTTTTCCTTAAATTTTTTTTAAATTCTCAAAAATTTTGTTCTTTTAATTTTATTCACTTTATATTATGATAAATTAGTGATTGAAAGCTTTAGTCAAATCAGTATTTTTCTAAAGATTATCCGATTTAAAAAATACATTTTTCTTTGAGAAATTGAATTAATTTTTTTGTAAGGTTTTGAGCTAATGCATTTCAGCTGATATACTTTCTTTTGGTCTCTTGATATTATTGAAATGATACTTTGCTTGATATGAGAGTTCTGATTAAAGATTACTGTTAAGGGTGTCTTTATTAAAGCAGTTGGACTGAATTAGTTAGGAATTATGTATAGTGGTAAAACTTGTATTACTATTTGAATTAAAATTCTGACTATTTTTATAAAAGCTTTATCTCAAACTCTAACTTTTTCTATTGTAAGAGCGGTGAGCTAGATGAGGATTTAGTATTGGAGAATTTTATTCATTAACGGAGTTTTTATAGTTTGAGAACACTGCATCATCTTTATTTAATTCATTAAGTTCTAGTTCGTCTACTTAAGAAAATTAAGATTTATTTATATCGTTTATGTGGTTACAGCGATTAAAGAAATTGGTAGTTTTTGTATTCAAAATACATGACTCACTAATTTTTAATTTGTTTAGTATGTTTAATTCGTTTAGTTACTGTTAGTATTTTATGTTTTTGTGGGTTGTTTCAGAGTTATTCCTAACTTTTGGAAGTATTTTTGAGTTTTCATCATATACAGATTGGACTGTAGATGTTGATTACTTTATTAATTTGTGGTCGAAAATCAAATCAACCTAATTATTTAATTTATTAATTGAATTATTAATAATTTAATTTTTAAACGTGTTCTCATTTACTGTTTCCAAATTTTGAGCAAAATTTGTTTGAGATTCTTAATTGTATTGATTTGATAGCAAAGAAAAAGAGCTCCTTGGTTAGAATGTTTATTTGTTTTTGGGATCTTAATTTATTTAATCAATACCTTTTTAGTCTTTGAAATACTAAAACGTTTTTTGAGAGTTTATCAGGTATAATTTAAGTTCCTTGCTTTTTATTTTACTTTGAATTTTCTCTTTTTACTCTTCTAAAGGGAATAAAAGATGTTACTTTTATTTAATTTTAGAGTCCATATTGGACTTTTAATCAATTTCTTGTAAGTAAAGAGGGATTGATACGTATTGTTGTTAATTACTCTAGCTTTTAATTAAATATTTTTATTGTGTAGATTAATTTTTCTGATCTGTTATTTCTTCAAAAGTAATTTTATTTTCAAGATTTTTGGCTGACTAATCATTCTAAAAGAATAAAATTTATTATTCATGAAATTTAGGCTGGGAAGGTGAGTATTAAGTGCTTAGCTTCTTTTAAATTATTGGTGACTACTCTTGTTTTTCTTTGACTTCTGTATTAATTTTAGGTTGCTGTATCTATTTTTCTTCAATTTTTTTATTTTTGTATTAGGTTCTAATGAAATTGAAGTCAACAAAATTTTAACATTTTTTGGTTTCTTTGTTATTTGGAAAGCTTTCAAGCAGTTACGAAGTTAATTCTTTAATTTCCTTTTTGATTTCTTGTTGATTAACTAATTTTTTTTCTTCTCTCACTGATTTTACGTAGCAAGATTTTTTTATCCTATCAATATATGTTTATATATTCTCACCTTTTTTATATAAATTTAATATGATTATCCACCATGTTTAAATAGATGTTGAAAAAGAAAACAGTTATTTATACGAAATCGGCTAGTTAAAAATTAATCATCTTTCAATTTATTAATTAGAAAAAACAACTATTAGAAAATAGCTAGCTTTTTGGGTTCCTTGCTTACTTTCTTATTGTATTGTTAGCAAAAATAAGTTCGTTTTACAAATAATTTTTTTAGAGTAGCTAGCTGGAAGTTAAAGTGTAAAAGAGATGTTGAATAAAAAAATAATGAATGAATAATTATTGAATTACCTTGATTTTATTAATAGGTTTCAGGCAGCTAAGGTATATTCTAAAATTTTTTAGAAGAATAATTGGATAATTAAGAAGCTGTTTGTTAGCAGTATTTTTAGAGGTGCTCCTTATTTATAGCACCAAATTTCTATGATTTTTATTGATTTTCTGCAATCAAACTAGCCATTTAATCACTAAATGAATACTCTCTCTTAATGGTTTATACATTTCTGAAAGTGTTCAAATTAAAATGAACATCTTCATCTTGGGATTCAAACCCAATTAGTTTGTTTTAATCTTTCAAGATATCGATTGTCATAGATTACTTCAAACTCATTGTATCTTAGCCAGTTATTTAGCTACTTTATCTTCTTGATGTCTATTCATTAGAGTTAACACTTTTGGTTGCACTGATATATTCAGATTTTGAGTTGGTCCTTTGTTAAAACCTATTACAATATTTTAACTATTTTTAAGATATTTATTAAGAATAAAATTAGCTTACTCTAATGAAGTATTTTCAAAATTTTTATTGCTTTTATCTTAAGTTGGTTCATACTCCCTCGTATTGGCAGACTATTCATACTTTGAATTTGGAGAGAAAATTTTAGACAAATTTTTTTTGTTAAAGATTTCCTTAGATATCTCTTTGGTTTTTTTGAATTCCTTCAGTTTTTGATGAGCCCATAGCTATCTCTAGCTAATTAGAATGTTTAGGCTTTCTTTTGTTTTTTAGTTCCAAAGAAATTTTTTTTCAAATTCATTTTTCGTTGTTTAGTACACTAATGCCCCTTCAGATATGCAAATTATATTACTTTCTCTTTTTTTATTAAGAACTACTTCCTCTTCACCAAAACTACAACCAGCTGAAAGGACGGCTATCTATAAAAATTATAAATAAAATAACTAATTAAAGATCTTAAAAAATAATTAAACAAATTTAGCTAAAACTAGCTTGAGTATATACAACATAAGGTATGAAATTTGATGATATTTTCAGTTGCAGAACAAAATTCAGTTATTGGAAATATTATTTTAAAGAATGAGGCAGTTTTTAATTAGAAATATTTTTGTACTTAGACATGTATTTGTTTTTTCTGAGTTGACGTTTCTAACTTTACATTAACAAGTTCACTTCTTTTTAATTCTTGCTATTCGATGGAGACATCAACTTCTATTTATTTTCTAATCTAAGCAAAAGAAGTTAATTTTATTAAGAAGCTGAATCAAATAAACAATTTCTTACTTCAAATTCCCCCTTTAATATAAAAAATATTCCTGATTCAGGAGACTCTCCCTATGAGTATACTGATTGATTTAGACAGTATTATTTAGAAGGTAATTTGTAAATAAGATTTGCAATATCTCTTTCATTCCAATGATTTAAATAAGAAACTTATCTAATAAGCCCCCACAGCGTGTTTAATTCATTCATGACAACATTCTCTAGAATTAATTTTTATTAGAAATGAATAAATAACAATTCATAATTTGTATTATTTATATTTATTCTTGACATAATTGATTAATAATTAAGCAATAATAAAAAACAAAATTTGCCCTAACAAAAGTCTTACTTAAATTCTTGTTATAAATTTCTCTTGGTACTTAAATTAATATACAGTCTGTTTTTGATTCTATTTCAGAAGATCTCAAACCATTTGGATGAATTAATCCTAATTCACCAAATGTTTGCATAGGCTCTAACTTTTTAACCTCAGTTAAGTGTAGGTATCCTTTGGAGGAAATTTAATTTGGTATGCTGATGAAAACAGAGCAATATCCAGAAATAATTAAGTAGAAGTATTCAGCTTTGTCCCCAATTTTCACTATTTTCTAGCCTTTATTGAAACTAATTATTTGAGAACTGCTTAAAATTTCTTAAATTTTAGTTTCTGAAATATTTTTAAGCTCTTTAAAATTATTTTAAAGCCAATAAATTAAATTGGTGCTTATCTTTTTTTCATTTTAATCTTTTCCCTCCATTTAAGCATGTTCTTATTTTAATCTAATAATATAATCCTATCAAAAAAGGATGTAAATATTTACTGTTTGGTTAACAATGAGGAAATTAATATGAAAAACTTACTTAGTTTTTTTCCGTGTGCTTATTCAATAATACATTTTCAACATCCCTCGTTTCATTTTTAGATTTAAATGAGTTTTTTTTCATATAATTTATGAAGAAGTTTTTTCAGTCACAATTATTAATAAGTTTTTGATTAACATAAAACTTAAAAGAAAGAATTTAGCATAAGTTAAATAATCTCTCACATATACATATTGTTTATAAAGAATAGCTACTCCTTATCAATTTAGATAATTTATTTTATATTTAATAAAAATTATTTCACTAAAATTAATTGTAAATCATTTTTAATTTGTCAATAAGTATCAATCACACCAATAAAATAAAATAAATAAACAAATTACATAATAATAATTAATTTTTTTAACAAATATAAATTATAAGTAATCATACTAGTATTGAATTGGCAGTTCACAGAATTTTTAAAATTATTTTGCCTAAAAAAAAATTAATTGATTTGAAACAGATTTTATTTTAAAAAATGTATTCATTTTAAATTTCTTTGTGAGATCTCTCTCATAAATTTAAAAAATGTCCTTGAAAGGCTCTGAAAGAAATAATATTGAAACTCATATATTTAGAAATTTTATGGTTTATGTATGTATGATGGGCTTTCATGGTTCAAAATAAAAAATATATATATTTATGTATTTATTTTTCAGGATAAAGCTTTTTTGAAAATTTTCTATATTTATTTTGCATTTTTTCTTGAAATATAACTTGATTGATGATACATGTAAAGATTTTTCTGATTGAATATTCACCTTAACTAAATTAACCTATTAAAAATTATTCACCCATTTATTAATTTTGTGTTGAAAGAAGCTTATAGAAACATGTAATAATCACTTAAAAATACGACTCAGATTAATAGTTTTTTATTAAAATACTAAGTTTAAGATTTTCATACTTCTGATTAAAATACTTTATTGTGTGTTTGCCTAGCTTATTTTAGCATTTACGTTATCTGATCAATAAATATACTCTATTAATCATTTTTTTTACAAAGTTGACTGTAAATGAAAAACACATAAATAAATTTACAAATTAATTAATTTATTTTACCAGCTTTGTTTACCTGTAATACTGTAATTATTATTCCTTCGAATATTTAAGAGTTTTTTTATAATTCTAGTTTAAGCTGGTTTAAAGAAAAGATTATGATGGTTGACTGGTTGTTATTTTGATTTTTTTAATTTATGATGATTTGTTATAAAAACAAAATCAAATTAAAATAAAATAAAAAAGGATTAACATTAAAAACAAAACAAAAAATATAAAAATCTAAATTAATAATCAAAAACAAATAAAATGATAAACATATATGATTTTGTCCAAAGAAACGATAAAGAAACCTTTAAAAAATGCTGCTCTGAAGTAAGTGTCATCTTGGAAAGCCATACTAGTAAATTAGTTGAGCTGAGAGAAACTTTATACAACTGTATTAAGTAATAATGTAAAAAATTGGAAGACAGTTAACTTGAAGAGGATATCTTACTTTTAGAAGACCTTATTAAAGTATGTAAATCCTCTCATAAAAAAAGTGTTTTCCTTTGTACGATCTGCACTTTTGAACAATACAAATAAGAATTCAATAAAATTGATAAAGTCATTTAAACAAACTTAAGAAAAATGAGTACTACATAAATGAGATCTTTTTCAACAAACATGAAAATGTATGATAACGTCATAAATAAGAGGAATATGTTATACAATTTTTATAATTCTTTTGATGATTTAGATTCTCCTGTTAAAATAAAAGCTGAAGTTTTTACATTCTGAACTAGACAAATTTTAACTTACTTTTTGTTTGCTAATAATTTATTAATTGCTGGCAAACATTTCTCAAACAATATTTTCAATTAATCAAACTAAAAATAATTTACTTCATACTAATAACAAATTATCAAAATTAACCAATTAACAAATACAAAAAATTATAATTAAAAATGTATTTTAATCAATTTAATATTTATGTTTTCTTTGTAAATTTACTCATCTTACATTTTTAAAAATTAAATAACTTAAAATATAATCAATAATATTTATTTTAACATTTTCCAAATAGTTTATTTAACAATATTAATTATATTCTTTGCGCTATGGGTATTTATTTAGAAATTATTAGATTATCTATTTTATTTTTTTAAAATTGATCAAACGATTGAAGATCATAAAATTTATTTATCTCACTAGCATTACTTAAATGTATTTTACTTCATCTATCTAAGTATGTTTATCTTCATAAACTTTGGTTTTATATAAAAATTTTTCTTTTTTAATATAAGTTAGATACCTTAAATCCTCATTAATTCTCACCTAATCCACCTCGAAAAACTCTAAAAGACCTTAGCGGTGCTAATCAACAAATTTTATAGGCTTTTAAACAAACAAAGACACTGATTAAGAATATTCACATTTGATTTTCTCTTTTCCATCACTAAAAAATGACTAAATGAATTAAATAAATTATTTATTGATTTGATTAACATTTAGACCTATTTCATTATAAAGTTCTCTTTAAATTTAGATTATAACTATCCTAGTAATTAACTATTAAATAATATTTATAATATAAATTTCTATTTAATTAGAACAAAACATCACCCATATTAAGGTATTTAATTTTATTAACAAATTCTATTAAGAAAAATAAGATTCTTTATTATTTATTTCATAATTAAATCATGCTTTTTTCAAAATACATGAGCCATTAATATTCACTCAATATACGAAAAATATGAATTAAATATAACTTACATTTTAAGTTTATCTTGATTGTAATTAATTAAAAATTTAAAAGCTTTATAGTAGGAATTAATTGCCTTAATTATTACTTCAATTAAGATGAGGCTGGTTTTTAAATTATAGCTGTTTAAAATTATAATGATTGATTTACCAGATTATTGCTGCATGAATTTTTTCTTTTAATGTATTCAAAATAGGAAAATTTTTATTTACTTATTTCATTAGCTAATAATTATTTGCCTTTAAATTTGTTTAAATGAATTCTCTTTCAATTGAATCCTAAACATTTTCTGTTAGTTTTCCTTTTCATTTTATAAAATCTATTTTATTTTTATGGTAAACAATCCTTTTTTTAAGTATTTTGATTTATAATAATTAAAAGAAGAATTCATTAACATTCTTTTTTTTGAAAACTTATACATAATTTTGTTTATTCTATCTATTCTTAGAAATAAATTTATTTATTAAGTTTTACAAGGTATTTTCTAAATGACTACACACATTATAATAACTACAATTTAGCTAAATAGGAAATTATTATTCAAAAAATTTTTTATTTAAACTCTATAAAGCTATTCAATTATAGGCTTTCTCATACTTATGAATTCACATAATTTTATTGGTTTTTTTTTTCTTGATTTAAATTTAAAATCAGAATTTTTTTCTTTTATTCTAGTTTTAGTTACCAAAAGAGTTTTGAGATACTTAGTAAGTGAATTATTTTATTTATATACATTATCCTTACTTATTATATTATCTAACAGAATTTAAACTAAGAATATTCTTCGATTCTATATATATATTTTTTACCTTCATCTTTTAATTTCAACTATTTTTAAATGTCATATTCAAATGGATCTTTATCAAGAAAATTCTTTTGATTCGATTTTTAAATAAAAATTAATCAGTTCGCTATATTTTGAAAGAAAAAACTTGCTAAAACGAACCAGCTTAATAAGATAATATAAAAATAATCATTTATTTTATTATACATTTCTATCTATGAATAATAAAAAGTGAGTATTCTTATTTCAAAGCCACTAATAAAACTAATTTTAATTTTATTCTTCAATTATGTTTAATATTTTTGATAGAGATTAGATGTTTAAACATATTATGCCTTTGAGTAAAAAAATAATTTAAGTAAAGATTTTGCAATTTTGATCAACGAAATGAATATATTTTCTTATTTTATTAAAAAGAGACTGGAATTATTTACTTAAAATTAATATAATACTAATTAAATAATTAAGATGTATCCCTCTTATAGTTACTATTATTAATTTACATTTATATTTATTGATGTATTCTGATTTTTAGTTATAAATTTGATAAAACCTAATGAATAAAATGATTTGTTCAAACCAATATTTAGTAAAAATGTAAACTTATCAATTAAATTTAATTAAAATAAATTTGATGCAGTGTTTTTTTTATAAGAATTCATATTAACTATTAGTTTTTTGTCCGCTTCTTTGTAAATAATTTTTAATACTTTTCATATTGACAAGAAAATTCTCGATTATTTTTTGCTGCTAATGTTATTATCCTTATAAATCACTTGATTTATTAAATTCTTTTCATTTTCTGATGAGTCAGCTATTTTTTATTTGCTAAGACTAACATAAAATCTAATTTCTTAAATTAGATACATTCTTTTTTAATTTATTTTTGATTTTACACCATCACTGACCATTTAATTCATTCTAAACAAAACTTTTTTTACTTTTACTCATAAAAGAAAAGTAATTCCATTTCTTTTTTTCTAAATCGTATTAAACCGCTCTCTATTCTTCCAAATAATAGTTACTCATTTAGTTTTTTGGTAAGAATTAAATTTTTAAAATCTGATTAAAAATTGTTTTTATTTATGAAGAAATATTATTTGGCTGGGCAGTTTTTTAAATAATATTATTTATAATACTTTAATACAAAAAAATTGGAATTAATTAAAATAAATCTTATTAAACCACTCTCTACTTTTCCAAATAATAGTTACTCATTTAGTTTTTTGGTAAGAATTAAATTTTTAAAATCTGATTAAAAATTGTTTTTATTTATGAAGAAATATTATTTGGCTGGGTAGTTTTTTAAATAATATTATTTATAATACTTTAATACAAAAAAATTAGAATTAATTAAAATAATTAAATAAATAATTTAAATTTATAATAGTAAAAATTAAAATGATTAACATATTCAATTTTGTAAAAAAGAATGATAAGGAGTAATTCAAATACTGTTGTTCTGAAATGAATCAAATTTTGATAATACACACTTAAAAATTAGATGATTTGAGAGAGACTCTGTATGGTTGTATAAAATAAAAATCTAAAAAGCTCGAAGACTCTTAACTTCAAGATGATATAGCTCTATTAAATGGCCTAATTTAAATAATTAAATGTCCTAAAAAAAGATACATTTTTTCCTGTACCATTGACTGCTTAAAGAAATACAAAGAAGACTTCAATTATATTGATGATGTTATTTAAAATAATTTAAAAAAAATGACTACAAATCAAATGAGAAAATTTTCAACCAACATGAAAATGTATGAAAATGTTATCTATAAGAGAGATATTTTAAATAAATTTTATAATTCTTTAGATGATTTGGATTCTCCTGTTAAAGTTAAACAAGAAATTTTTACCTTTTGAAACAAATAATAAATTATTAACTAAAGTTTAAAGCCAACAAAATAACCTAAAATTATTTTGAAATTTAAATATTAAATTTTATTCATTAAAATCTAACTAACATAAAATAAATGATAAATGAATAATAAATACTTTGTAAATCTTATCCTTTATATTTTATTTGCAAATTTATCATTTAAAATGTATGCTATAAATCAAATATGCTTTACAGAGTTTTATTTAACTATTAATTTGTAAGCTTTTTAATTGTTATTCTAAAGAAAGTAAGTAATCTTTCTTTCGATTTTTATTATTCTTATTAAATAAATTAATCTTCTGGTTTTTACTTACTACATTTTTTAATGCTTTTTAAAAATTTATTTAAAACGTTTTGATATCTGCACTTCAAAAATTAAAAGTAAATACTGATTAAAATTATTTCATATGTCATTAAGCTTTAAAATAATTATTATGTGATACAAAACTAACATAATTTATGTATTAAGTTCTTTTTTTTCCAGCTATTAACAATTTACTACTTTATTTATTTAATAAATTTATAATTTTTATTAATTCTTTAATTTTATGTGTGAGAGAATTTAGTGCAAATGAAATTATTTATCAAAATTTTTTAGAATTTTATATTTTATTAATTTATTTTGTATAACCCTAATTTCATTTCTTTCTCATTAGAGTGTAAAAGCTATCTTTTTTTGTGTGTGGCAAAAATCTTTTTGTAATATTTTTTATTATATTGACTAAATTAAATAACAAAAATCACATTTTTTGTTCTTTCTGTTTATTAATTACTAAATTAATTAACTCTTTCTAAACTAAATTCAGCCGAATCATATCAGAAAGGTTATTGAATATAAATTAATTATAATTTATATTAAATTTTGGATAAGTAAATTAACAAAAATAAGCTTGATATTAGGTTAATAAAATTAGGTTTTATCAACTCAGAAAATTATACTGTAATCAATACTTAATTCTAAGCTGAGTGAAATTTGAATTTTCAAAGTATTATGCATCCCTATTACTGCTTTAAAAAATATAAAAAAGATTATTTATTTATTGATTTTCTTAAAATATTAAAAAATAAATTTTTTTAAATTAATTATTAACTAAATTGAATTAAAATAAATATATTGTAAATAAAAATGATTGTTTATCGCTTTGTAAAGCGGTAACCATCTTTCAAGAGTTTATCTATTATTTATTGGTGAATAATTAATCATTTTTAAATAATTAAATTTAAAATCCGATTAATACATATTTTAAATAATTAATATTCGATAGCTGACTGAATTTTAAAGTGATTATTTACTTAGGTATTTTATGCTTGTTTGATTATCATTTGCTATAAAAGTTGGAATAAATTTAAACTAAATATGTCAATAATTTAAAATCAAATAAAATATCAATAAATAACCTAAATTAATAAAAATAAAAAATGATAAATAAAGATTATTCTCTAAAGAAGAGTGATAAAAAAGATTTTCAAGATACCTGTTCTGAAATAAGTTAGATCTTAGAAATTCATACAAATAAATTACTTGATTTGAGATAAACTCTGTATAGTTGTATTAGATAGAATGTTGTAAAGATAAAGTATTGCTAGATTCAAGAAGATATCTTTCTTTTATTAGGCCTAATTTAAGGATGCAAATCTTCAATAAAATAATACATTTTTTCTTGCACTATCAATACACTTTAATAATACAAAGAAGAATTCAAATAAATTGACAAATTAATATAAAAAATGGTAAAAAAAGTTAGTAATGAAGAAATGAGGCAAATTTTAACAAGCACAAAAATATATGCTAAAATAGCTAAAAAAAGAAATCTTCTTAATAATTATTACAATTATTTTTATAATTTAGACTCACTGATTAAAATGTCACAAACAGCTTTTACATTTTTAACTAAGCAAATGGAATAAAATATTATGACAAACAAAATTATTAATAAATAATGATTTTTAAACTTAAATATTGTATTATATATATATTAATATATTTTTGAAATCAATATATTTTAGAATTTTAATTTTAAAGAATAAAAATGTTATTTAGAAAATATTTATGATTTTTAAATATAAATAAAGATTTTAACGATATATATTTATTACGCATAAATGAAGGAATTTAATAAAAGATTATATTGTTATTTTAACTTTACTATTAATTTTTAGAAAAATTTTGTGAAACTCTTGCAAATTCGATTTTTTTATTATTGATACAAAAAGGTAAAATTTCTATTAGTTACTTAAATAATGTAATAAGGTTCTTTTAGATTTATAATTATTACAAAATTTATGGTCAGAGTATTTATACTTTTTATTTATTATGATACTAATATTTTTTTCTTTTTGATAATATTTTCATTTTTTATTATTATGTTTTGGTTTAGAGTTAGAAATAATATTATTTTAAAGTGCCTTATATACAAATAAATAGCAATCAACTTGATAAATTGCTAAACAAAAAATAAAAAAAAAGAATAATAACCAGCTTAAAATAAATATAGATTTTACTTATTAGTTTTTTAGCTATTTATTAAAATTTAAAATCAATAAAAACAGCTAATTTTCATGTTTAAGTTAATTATAAAAGCAAGGAAGGTAACTTAAACTGTCTTAGATTTTCAATATTATTATTTTTTTTTAAATTTAAGAGTATTTATTTAGGTTATTGATTATTAGTTTAGTTTAAATTACTCAAATAATTTATTTTGAAATATAAATTTTCATGTACTGATCCAAGTAAAATTAGGATTTTAATCTGATAATATCAAGATTGATATAGCTTACTTCAAATTTTTATAACCTAAGCCAAAAATTTATATTAATCCTATTTACATATTTTAATTATAAATTACTCTTATATTTACTGATGAATTCTTATTTTTATTTATAAGTATAATAAAATCTAATGACTGAGAGGATCCTATTCATAATAATATTTAATTAAAATGTAAACAGGTCAGTTTATTAATTAAATATCAAATTACTTTTAAGCAGTATTTTTTTTTTTGTTTGAAATTTTTGTAAATTACTGGTTTGCTTTCATTTTTTTACAAATTTTATAATTACTTACATTTTAGTATAGATAATTTTTTTATGTTCTTTCAAGACCCTGTTATTTTAATTTTAAATTTCATATGACTCAGCCTAAAACTAGTTTAACTGGCTCTGACTTAAGCAAAATTATAGTTCCTATTTTTTTTATTACTAGTTATTGACAAAACAAATTTATTTTTAGGAACATTTTTACTCATGCTAAATTTGTAATATTTAAAATTTCCTTTATTTATGGATGAACTTTTTTATTAGAAGATATAAAGAAGTTTTTAAATAAGTAAATAATTGGGCAGAAAAAACTTAAAAAAATAAGCATAGATTAGAATTTTCTTTATTATTAATCATAAAATTTAAATTTGAGGCCAGTTCTAAATTCTATTTATGCAATATTTTAATTACAATAGGATTAAATTTTTCTGATGAGTTTTTTAAGCTCTATTTTCTAAAAACTAAAAAAAAAATAGTTTATTTAAATTTATTTTCCTTATCTAACATTTTTTAATACATTTTAATATTTTGTTAGATTTTTAAATAGCTTTTCATATTTTTTTAGATTTTAATTTAAATCAGTTAACAAAACTAATTGGTTCATAATGAAATTTCAATAAAAAATCTAATTTACATAAAAATACAATTAAAAAAAATAGTTTTATATTAAAATACATGTTTTCAAGTTTTATTATTGTTTATTCAATACACTTATGAAGAAAGTTTATTAAATAATATATTATTTAGAAATATCAAGCAAAATTTTATAAATAAATAGTATCATTTTCTTTTATAATTTTTATAACTCTATAAAAATAAATAAAAGAGAGGTATTTTATAAATTTGAAGTCATTATTCGTATTCTCTTTTGGTAACAACTACATTTTATTAATCTAATTAAAAAGACCTTTTATATGTTAATCAATAAAAGTGGACTGGCAGCTTTTTAGATTCTAAATTAATGGCCATCTATTATAAAAATTGTCATGATTTGTATCAAAATATTATTAATATTTAATAAAAATATAAAAAATAAATAAATAAAACTTATTTTTAGTCTTAAACAAATATTATGATTCAAATGCGCGATTTCATTAAAAAGAATGATAAAGAGAACTTTAAATATTGTTGTTCTGAAATGAGTCAAATTTTGGAAACACATACTGAAAAATTAAAGAGCTTGAGATAAACTTTTTATAATTGTATTTAATAATAATGTAAAAAGCTATAAGATTCTTAACTTCAAAATGATATCATTCTAATAAATGAACTTATTTCAGTAATAAAAAGCCGTAAGTAAAAAAATGTTTTTTCCGGTACCGTCATGTGCTTAATTCAGTACAAAGAACAATTCACTTAAATTGATGAAGTTATTTAAAATGAATTAAAAATAATGAGTATAACTTAAATGAGAAAGTTTTCAACTAACATGAAAATGTATGACAATGTTATTGAGAAAAGAAATCATTTATATAACTATTATAACTCTTTTGATGATTTGGACTCTCCAGTTAAAATCAAAGAAGAAGTTTTTACTTTTTGAAACAAAAATTAATAAATTATCATTTTAATTTAATCCTCAAATTAAATTAAATAATTTATTTTGAGATATTTATAATCAAATAATTATAACTAAATATTAAAAAATATTTTATTTATCTTATTCTCCTCTATATTTTATTTGTAAATTTATCATTTAAATCTTTATTTCCAATAATCATATTTAGAAAGCTTTATTAAATAGTTGGTTAAAAGCTTTTTAAACACTATTAAAATTTTCAAAAATGTTTCATAGGTTTTTGATAAATTTTGTTTAATCAATTAACATTTAGTTTTTTTGCTTTTTTGTTTACAATATTATTGAAATAATATAATAATTAGTTAATAATATTATAAAACTTATTGAAAATGATTTGCATTATTACAAAAATAGTTGGTATTTATAATTTTTTATTAAATTTTAAAAATGCATAACAAATAAATATTCATAATGACAGTATTTCATAAAAGTTTTAAAAACTCAGTTAGAGTAAATAGAAAACTACCTTACTCTTGTATATTGATTTTTTTATTTATTATTTTTGCTTACTAATTACTGGCTTTTATTATTAAATTAATAGTTTTTATCAACTCATTACTTTTTATCAAAGGTATTGATGCAAGCTATTTTTACGAAACTTTCTATTCAAATTAATATAAATTATTAATTTCAAAAGTCCATGATATATCGCTGCTATCTATGTCCTATTAGAGATTTCAAGCTATCTTTATTTTTATTGTAAATAAACATTTATGCATACTAATTTTAGTTATGTTAGAAATTACTTAACAGATAAATTTAAATTATTTTTATTAAGAATACTATTTTTTCATTCCTTTACAAAAATCAGTTCTGAAAGTAAGTAAGCCTTATTGAACAAAAAACTTTTTTTTGATAAAAAATTTGTTATAGTAAACTTAATTTGAATGTGGCTTAAAACGAATAGTTAATATGGATTTTAAGAGATAAAAAAATAATACTGTAATTTATTTTAAATTTTAAGCTGTATAACCTTCCAAATTTTTAAAGAATTATAAAATTAATGATAAAATTTTAAAAAAATTACTGTTTTTAATTTGAGAAAGGGTTATTCAAAAACTACAGTATTAATTAATAATCATATTAAAGAAAAGAATAAAAATGAATAGCAAACATATCTAAAAATGTAAATACAAAGTTTCTTTCTTTTTTAAATACGAGTTTATTTTTAAACCATTTTATTATCTTGTTTTTAAACAGAATGAAAAATTAACTTAAATTTATTTTCTAATCTTAATAAAGTAAATCAAATAATATTGAAAAAAAAAAAATTTAATCAATTTTGATTCTAATTATTTATTAATGCAAAATTAATTTATTATTAAAAAGACTGCTTGTTTATTCTTAATATTGAATACTCACACAGCTTTTAAAATATTATCATTAAGAACGCTCTCATTATTAAGTTTTATATTTCATATAATTTACCGTAAAACTTTTATTTTTTTCTCTCTTTGTAATGTTACTTACTCACTTTCGATATTATTTCATGTTAATTGGAAAAGTCAAAATTTGTTTTTATATTAAGCATAATTGAAAACATAAATATAATTTAATTAAAACTTTTGATTTGATTTTCCCTAAATATCAAATAATTTTTTATTTCAAGTAAGCATTCAATCTTAAGATTTTTCCCTTTTTCTGCAGAATTACTAAATTTTTGAAAAATGAGTTTCAAATTGTTTATCTATCTATTTTAAATCCAGTAATAATTGGTTTCTAGGAAATAATTACATTTATAAAATCTGATTGAAACTAATTTTAAACAATTAATAATTGATAACTGACTGTTTCTTTAGATTAGCTAGTTGATAATACTTTGCTATATAATTAGAAATGGATTAAATTAAATATTACAATTATTTAAAACAAAAAAAAAAATAGAAATAAACTGATAATAAAAAATAAAATAAATGATACATAACAAAAGTTCTCCTACAATGGGCTTTACAGAAACTTAAAAAGATTGCTGTACTTAGATAAGTTAGATCTTAGATATTCATATAAATAAATTAATCGATTTGAGATAAACTCTTTATGGCTGTATTAAGTAGTCAGCTAAAAAGATAAAATATAGTTAAATACAAGAAGATATCTTTCTTTTACTAAGCCTAATTTAAGAATGCAATTCTCCTTCAAAACAATATATTTTTTCCTGCACTGTTAACACTTTTTAATAATACAAGGAAGAATTTTAATTAATTAATTCAACCATTTCTAAAATTTTAAAATAAGAATAAATGAAAAAACACTTAACTAATACAAAAATGTATCATAAAATTATTAAAAAAATAAATGTACTTGGAAATTTTTACAATTCTAATGATGATTTAGACTCTAAGATTTAACAAACAGCTCTTAAATTTCTCAATAATCTAAAAGAATAAATCGCAAATTAAATTATTAATAAAAAATAAATTTGAATAATATTAAATTCTAATATTTTTAAACCATTATTTTTAGTTTAGACTATATTTATTTTTTTATTTGTAATTTTAACTTTTATTGAAAGACTATACATATTATAAAAGAGAAAACTAGTTTTTTTTTAAATAAATAAATTAACAATACTTTTCTAGGCTTAGAAATAACAAAACAAAACAAAGTTTTATCATTCTTTTTATATTTTCTTGCTACTTTTAAAAAATATTATAAATTTTGCATAAACAAACTATTATTAGCATAAAATATTCAAATACCCTATATTTTCATTAATTAAGGATCCCCCTCTTAATTTTTTGCCCAATGTGACTTATAAATTAAATAAATAAAATTTAAAACCTTCTTGAGGGACTATGATTAATAGCTTCAAAGATATTATGGTATATTATAATTAGCATTAATTTAATTTAATTGTTAAAAATACCATAAATCGATTAATCAATAAAAAATATTATTCAGTTAAAATATTCAAGAAATATTGTGTTTAATACAAACAAAAGATCATATAATTTTTATGAGAATAAATTTATTTCTGAAAAAATTAAAAATAATATGATAAAAAATCATTTAGAGTTAAGCATTTAATAGAAAGATTAAGAAGGTGGAAAGTGACGCATCATATCTTAACTTTGTTCTAAAAAGAGTAAAAAAGAACTTCTTAAAATTCATTATTTTTCTCCAAAATTTATCTCCTAATATTAGTGAAGCTATCATATGCATGATTCGTATTTTTTGATCTTCAATTTTATAGATATGTGAATGCAAATGACAAAAAAATTTTATATTTATAACTAAAGGTGATGCTAAACAAATTTAAAACTAATTCAATTAATTAAAAGTTGATAAAAATTACAAAAAAAAAATTAGTAGAAATGATCTAAAATATTTCCAAAAAAGTTTTAGCTAGAACACTAAGCAATGTTTAAAAGCAAGGATTCGCATCTAAGTTTGCCAACTTCAATTACTAGGATGCTTTGAACTTAAGATCCTCACTCACTGAAGAAGAAGTCACAGTAAATATTTGATAATAGTTCAATTTTAATTACTGAACAAGATAATTATGATATTTCTTTATTTAAAATACAAATAATGACATAAATAATTAATTTTATTAAATAAATAGATCATGGAAAATGCTAGATAATTCGCTCAAGATTAACTTATGCCAGGAATCTTAGAAGCTAACAAAAATGAACACTTTGATAAAGAAATAATGAAAAAGTTTGGACAAATGGGATTTTTGGGTTGCACTATATCAGATTATGATCTTCCAGGAGTCTCCTCAGCTGCCTATGGTAGAATACAACCTATTTAATATTTATTTATTTAGCTACCCAATATTCTTTCTTAAGTGCATTAGATATCATATTTTACCTTACATGTTTCGCAGATATCATATCATTTTTATTTTCTTTATTCTTAATTAATTAAAAATAAAATTGATTTAACTAAATAACTACTAAAAAAGGTCTTATCAATAGAGAAGTCGAAAGAGTTGATAGTGGTTATAGAAGTGCTTTAAGTGTATAAAGCTCTCTTGTTATGCATCCTATTCATGAATTCGGTTCAAAGCAATTGAAAGATATTTATATTCCTAGATTAGCTACTGGTGAATTAATTGGTTGTTTTGGCTTAACTGAACCTAATCATGGTAAACTTTACAATTTTAATAAATAACAATATTCCTTAATTATTAATATACCAATTAATTAAATTATTTTTATTAATAATATATAGGTTCTGACCCTGGCTCAATGGAAACTCGTGCCAAGAAAGATGTAATTAATTATTTAATGGATTAAAATTAACAAAAATTATATTTTTTAAAATAATTATCATTTTTAATGCTTAGGGAGATGACTATATCCTTAACGGTTCTAAGACATGGATTACTAATTCACCTATAGCTGATATTTTCGTTGTTTGGGCTAAGGACGAGTAAGGTGATATTAGAGGGTTTGTATTAGAAAAAGGCATGAAGGGTTTAACTGCTCCTAAAATTGAAGTAATTTTTAATGGTTTTAAATTAGTAATTTAATATTGTATTAAATTTTTACTAGGGTAAATTGTCTTTAAGAGCTTCTATTACTGGTATGATTTTGATGGATAACGTCAGAGTTCACAAGTCTTAAATGCTTAATGTCAAGGGATTGAAGGGACCTTTCTCTTGCCTCAACAATGCAAGGTAAATAAATAAATACTATTTTTATTTTTAACTAAAAAATATATTATTTTACTTCAGATTTGGTATCTCTTGGGGTGCCCTCGGTGCAGCTGAATACTGCTTCCATGCTGCAAGATAATATACATTAGATAGAAAGTAATTCAATGTACCATTAGCTTCATTTTAATTAATTCAAAAGAAGTTTGCTGACATGCAAACTGAAATTGCATTAGCTCTTTAGGCTTGTCTCTAAGTAAATTATTAATAAAATCTAGAAAGCAAATTAATATAATTCAAATAAATAAATAATATTAGGTTTCTAGATTAAAAGATAGCGGCAATTTAGCTCCTGAAATGATTTCTCTAGTTAAAAGAAATTCATGCAGTAATTTATTTAATATTAATAAAAATGATAATTTATTGTTAATTAACTAATAATATAGTGAAATCTATTTAAATTTGCAGAGAAGCTAGAGATATGTTAGGTGGAAACGGTATTGCTGACGAATATCATATTTTAAGACATTCTATTAACTTAGAAACTGTAAATACTTATGAAGGTACTAATGATATTCATGCTTTAATTCTTGGTAGAGCTATAACTGGAATATAATCATTTACAAGAACTTATCCTTGAAAAATTATGTTTTGAGGATTCATTCGTCTTATTTTACTACTTTCATTCATATTTTATATTTTATTTTTAAGTTTAATATTTCTAAATAAATAAATAAAACTCTATTCAAAGATATTGTTTTCAAATTTAAAATCAAAATGTGTTTTTTATTAATTCGATTTAATTTTACTTGACCTAAAAAGTAATAAATCTTACAAACCTCAGAAAATTATCATATTCAAAAACTAATATCATGAATAATTTGTTTTGTTTGATAAAGTATTACACAAATTTTATTCTGTTTTTCAAATTACTATTGAGAAATATTCATATAAATTGATTATAAATAATATTATCTTAATATCTGATTGATTATTTTCTATCTTCGTTTGATTAAAATACTTATTTTGAAAAATTGTTATTATCTGTTGTCTTGATCAAAATGATTGCATTTTGACTTTTTTTACATTTTTAAATATCAAAAAAAATTAATTATTTAGCTTGAAAATATTTAATTTAATAAAATGAAATTAATCAAGAAATTCAAACATATTTATTAATTGAGAATAAATAGTTTAATAAGATTAAATATTTTTTATCAGGAAAAGTAAATTAATATTTATTTAAGATTTTTTTATTTAAATAATTAATAGCCTTTAATTTATTTTGAAGAAAGTCAGTTAATTACCATAAACTTACAATAATATTAGCCAAAAGCAAAAGTAGCAAAAGCTCCAATTTGGCAAATTTTAAAATAGGAAAGACAAATCAAAGACAAACAAAGAATTGTCTTTTTTAGGAGATAATTGCAAAATAGGGCAAAAATATGAATAAAAATAATTATTAATCATAGAGATCATCATACTCGTATGCTTAGAATAATATTGGCATTAACAATAAAAATATGTATTTAGTTGGGAATTAGTTCATAAAAGATAAATGGCTAGAAGATTCATAAAGCGATATAGACTACCATTTTTTTACAAATAAGGCATTTGACCTGCTAGACGCTTAAGCAAGATTATAGTATTTATCTTTTTATAGCATTTTTATTTAGCATTTATAAGCATTAATGGCTGAATGTATGATTACAAATTTTATAAATAAAATGTAGAGAAATAGACAAAGAAGATGTCACAAAAATAAACTAAACAATTAAAGAAATAGAATATATTAACAGAAATGATGACACCTAAGAGGAGGATATTAAATAAGAAAACCTTTTACACTAAATTTAAGAGGAGGTATTTGATGAAAGCAAAAATGTGACATTTTATAAAAAGTCCAAAATACTTGGCAAACCTCTCGTTAGATTTGCGAATATTACAAAATAATTCATTAGAATTATATATCATTCTAAAGTAAATCAATTTTGCAAAAAATTAGCTTTGAAAAATATTTTATTTTGTTTAATTTAAAAAAGAAAAATAAATAGATAACGCACGATTAATATATCTACTAAGTTGAAAAAAGAACATAAGACTCAGTTATATAAGTGAAAACATCTAAAAGCGTATAAAATTAAATCAAGTATAAAAATGAAATAGTCAAATTCTTTTAGGGCACACAAAATAATTAAGGCAATGAGGGAGAGCTTAGCTCATTAAAATGGCTTGAAATGTAAGAATATAATTACAGAATTATATTAAAGAACATTCCTGGTGCCTTACATAAATTCGAATATGCTCTTTACCTTTGTAATGAAAAAGAAGTAATTTCTAATCAAAACAATTTCATAAATTAAGCAAATAAAGATTTTATATGGATTTATTTAGACAAAATATTCCAAATTGAATTTTTAATTATTTAATTAAAATTAAAATAGGTTAAATAAGCTTTAAATACAATTAGGATAAGTTAAGCTGTTCATCAACTATAAGTTTTACCTTTGAACTGCTAAGGAGATATTAATTTTTTATTTTAAAGGATCACACATAAATGGAAGGCATGTGTAGCAACTTTACTGAAGAAGTAAATGGATAGCCTTAATTCAATAAATAAACAAAATTTTAAATCTATCACTTAATAAAATTTCACAGCAAATACTAGCTACAGCCAAGATTATTATAATAATAGAAACTCCAAACCTCTTTAATATAGAAATAACTATTCAATGAATGAAAATTAAATGTCAAATATAATTAGAGAATTACAAGGCACAAAAGATAATCGAAATAATTTTATTGAATAAGATTCAGAAAGGATAGCTCGTGAACTTGTAGGGAGCTCTATCATATAAAATAATTCAGAAATACAGTAAAAGTAATCCAAGATAATATTAAAAAAGGGAAGTACTACAGAAGAGTTTGATTCAAATATATTTTCAATGACTCCCATTCAAAAAGATACCTTAGGAAAAAGTGAAGAATTTGATAATTTTTTGAAATAAAGTGTAAAATATAATACGAAAACAGTTCCTAATGATGGAAATAATACAATATTTCAATCATAATAAACTAAAATAAAGCAAAATTAAGATTTAGAAGGACTCCCATAGCCTATAGTTAAATAAAATGACAATAATTTAATATCTGATGAATCAATCAATTTAGACATTTTAGATTAAAAAAAGGCAAACGTAGAAGAAATCAAAGATATATATATTAGCTAATCAAATGAAGAAAAACCTTTTCAAAACAAAAGCTCTTATTATAACCCAAGTATAATTAATAATATTCTTAATCCAAATAATACCAAATCATTGGCCTTCTTTCTAAACGATAATTCTTAATCAAATAAATAAAATTCAACAGACAATAATTCTTAATAATAAAAGATATAAACAAATTAAAGTAAATTAAATGAAAGTAATAAAAACATAAGCAGTTCAGGTATTTAGTCTGCTGAGTCTTAAAACTATTATTATAACGAACAATTGAAAATAACATAATCTATAACTACCAGTTAATATCAAAATACAGGTAGAAGTGACTTGCAGGCTCCTTAAAATAGTATAGCCTTTTCATCTCTTTAAACTAGCTAAGTAATAGATAATAACTCAAATCCTTAGCAATCATAAAGTTAAACTAGTGAAAAGAGTAAAGAAAAATCTTTGAAAGATTGTAAATATTTTTCTTATATAAATTTAATAAAAAATATATTTTTTCAATATTTTTTTAATTAAAAGAAAAAGAGAATGAAACCCAAAAATTTTAACAATTAGATAACAGCCATGAAGATATAAAAAATTAATCACCTTCAATTATGGGTTAATTATTGAGTAATAACGTATAACCAATTACACTAGATCCTTTACTAGAAGAGCCAGAAATTACTTCCATAGGCTCTATCACTCCTTAGAATAGTTACTAAAAACTTTAGAATACCACATTAAACTAAACTTAAAAGAATAGCTCAAAAAACAACTACAATTCATTGCAAAGCTAAAAGGGAAAAGAATTCTACTAGACTTAATTTTTACAAGAAAATATGTTAAAGTCGGTTGGGGAATAAAATAGTAAGCAAAATTCAGAAAGTTAAAGATCAAAATAAAACTCTGTATAAATTTTTGATTATTTAAACTAGTAAAAACCAAGCTCATAGAGATCTTTAAGTGTATCTTCAACAACAGGATCCAAGCCTCTATAATAAAATAAGCCATAAGACAACTCAATATAAATTAATAAATCTAATTAGGGTGCTAAATATGAAAATAATTAATTAGTAAAGAATGAAATTTTAGAAGGAGAGAATAATAAAAATGATTCTTTTATTAGATATTAGATGGAATAAAAATACTAAAAAGAAAGTGCTATTTTATAAAGCTATAAGAAAAAATCTTTGAAAGGTGAAGATTCTGATAAAGCTAGTATTAAAGAAATCTCAAAACTTTAAGATAATTATGAATTAAAATCTTCTGAAAGATAATTTGAAACAAGAAAGCAAGAGAATTAAGCCGAGGTAAGTGATAGGTCTAGTATATAAGAGTAATAAAAAAAAAAAGAGTAAATGCTTGAGTATATAAATATGAATAGAGAGAGTATTGTTTAAAGCTAATAAGAAACTTAATTCAATACAAACAATTTTGATAATAACATATCAGTATTTTTGCAAAAATTAGAATTAATTAGTCCCATAACAGATTACCCTCCTGAAATTTAAGTAGAAATGTATTTATTTAATGTAAATAATAAGTAAATAGTTGTGCAGAGTGAATGGAAATAGTTTAATAAACCCATTGAAAAAATAGAAGATAACTTTATTTATGAAGTTGAAGAATCTTATAAAGAAGTGGTCTTTTAGATAAGTAAAACAGAAAATTATGAAGTACATTTATTCATTAAAACGAAATTTAACTCTAAAGTAATTGGTACTATTGCTACTAAATTAAGTGATGTTATAGATTATGATAATCCTGGTAAGGATTTTTGGCTTATATGCCCAATAAACTATCCAAATATTCCTTTAGCCATTATCAATATATGGTCTAGCATACATGAAAACTGTGACAACTATAGAGAAAACATATACTAACTCTATTCACAGATAAACACAATCAAGAATCCACTCTATAAATCGTACACTCACTTTCCTGAAATCAGGTAAAAAAAATTATTTTTTTATTTTATTCAAGAATTTTACCATTTTCATTTATAAAAATAAAATTTTAAGCTTTTTTATTTTTTGTTTGCTATTTAAAATAAAATTAGTGATTTTCAGTTTAATCATTTAAAAATAATAAAAGGATAGAAGATCTAACAAGAATAGAGTAGCTTATTTTTAAGATGGGGTATAAATAAAATTGGCTATTAGATGATATTTTTGAAGAGTAAAGCTAGAAGATTCTTAATGGCTCTAAACTAAAGGAAATAAAAAGATAAGTTTAGTATGGTATGGTTAATAGGATAGGCTATTTTTCTGCAAATATTTTTATTTAAGAAAATTTATATAATCGACTTTTAACGAAGCTGAATGAAAAGAGTATTCCAAAAAAGGAAGTATTGTCTCATTTTCACTAGCTGTGCTTAGAAGGCATCCCTCATAACAAAAGATAGGAATTATACTTAGAGATGCTTGATTTTAAAGAAAAAATTGAATAAGTTAGAGATGACTTTATTAGTTATTGCTCATGCAACCCAGCCAGTTAGAATTCTACTATCTACAATACATCTGCTTAAGACATCTATGTTTCTTATGAGTTGAATCAAAGTGGAAACGAAGTAAAAACTCTTCTAAATGATTTCAATTTAACTAAATAAAGAGATAATTTTTACTAAATCCTTTATTCTGAAGCCAAATATTATCAAATTATTTTTGATCTTGACTTTGAGTTTTAATTTAATCAAGACTAATAAATGGCACAAAGGATTCTACGAACCTTATCTTTCGTAATGGTTATTTAAAGTGCCTCTATCTCGCCCTAATTCTACTCCGTTTACCATTAGCTCCTAAACAAATGTATTATTTTAAATAATTCTAATAAGAATACACAAGAATCAGAATCTTTCTGGCTACTATATACAATAATTACTTCATTTAATTCAAATCGTCAGCTCATAACGCGATATTTTCATCTAATTGAGTCCTCAACTAGTTTCTAAAAAATTTCTAATATAATTGGTAAATTTTAATTAAAATTTTTATTAATTATTAATTTTTAACTTAATAAAATAAAAATATATCTTTAATATTCAATAGGAATAGATTGCCTTATTGGCTTATTTAGTGGAAGCTTTAACGAAGAATTATGTTTTAGATGCTGGGACGTATTATTTATGGAATATAAGAGAAAGAGTTGGGATATATAAGGTTACTTGTCTTGTATCGGAATATCACTAGTCAATCAGTATCAAATAGGTAGTTAGAAGGAGTGGGAAATCTTTGGCAAATATTATTTTAATTTTACTGAAATGTTTAGATTAGCCAAAAGCACCTATGAAACCTTACTCAGTGATCAATCTAACTACAAGAAGTGGATAGAAAAGCTTACCTAATCAGAGCAATCCAGAAAATAAATAGTTGAAAAATATGAGAATTAAAGGGTTGTTGTATCAAAATATGTTCATAATTATAATATTACTTTTAATTTCATTGAGCTAGAAAAACTGATAAATGAGTTAATGGAAAATAATTACTATTAGAGCAAATATTAAATTTAAAATTAAAAACCTCGAATGAAGGAATACAGTTAGTATGAAAATTTAAGTCCTCGTCAACAATCTAAAACAGAAAGAGATTACTCAACTTAGCATGTTTCCCCTAAAACAATTTTTAGTAATTAAAAAGCTTCCCCATACCAAAACTCTCAATCTCCATAAGTGTAGATAAATAAGATTTAGATGATGCCTTCAAACAGGAAACAGTAATCACAACCTTAACAACAATAATAATAAAATTTTATGACTCTTTAAGCTAGTAATGATAATTTAATAAATATTAGAGATAGTGTAAATCAGCTAGAAACTCCAAAAATAAATTAACTTTCAAGCAATAGAGGTGCATATAATTCTAATTTAATTGAATACTCGTTAAAATTTAGAAATCAAGAATAATCTAATTACTAATTTACTAATGTGTTTACTCCATAAAAATCAAATTAAAATTCTATTAGACAATTCTCGCCAGTTTAAAATAATATTTAGAATAATCTAGCAGCTAAAAAAACTATAAATCCTTTTGGATCTTCTGTAAACAGTGCAGCATTATAAAAATCTCCATAAACATAAAATCTAGTCAGTTAAAGCAGTTCTAGTGGAGAGAAGTAAAAGGAGCAATATAATTTAAGGTAAAGCCAAGATTTCAGTGAATAGGATTACTTTGTAAATGGTCTTAAAAAATCATATGAAGAAAGCTTAGAATCTATAAGATTGAGCTCATTTTAAAATTAAGACGAAGAATACTTATTTAAAAAAGAAAATCTGCACATATTTATTTCAAAGATAGTTTGTGTGGACTTAGATTAATTATAATCAGGTGAATAAACTTTCACAAATTCAAAGTTATGTGGAAACTACCAAGATAGTAATTTTTAGCCTGATTTTATTGATGGTAAACGAGTGTTTAATAATGGAATTAAGAAGCTTAAGTCCATATATTTTCCTTCCAGACAAGAAAATAGTTTGAAATTAAATTATTTATTAGAAATTGGAAGAAGATAAGTGTAAGGAGATGATATTGAGAAAATTGATTAATATTAGTTTTTTGAAAGTGTTGAAAAAACACCGATGCTAAGGATAAAAGTTAGAATTAATGATTTAAATTACAGCCTAGACATTGATATAAGAGCATTCAATAAAAATACCATGTATCACTAAATGTCATTTATGATAGAGAGCCAATACCCAGATCAAATTATTTTAGAATATAACATTTATATAGAAAGTTTTTCACTTCTTGAAAATTAATCGATGCAACCTGTATTGTAATAGCAGATGATTTAATAATATACAAGTGTTAAATAAAAGATGAACTAAAATAACAACAATAGTAATCATAATTAATTGCAAGACTAAGCTTTGAAAGGCATATATGATGTTCAGTTACTTAAAAATGATGTTTGTCTAAATAACAGCTTTACAAATAGTAGAATAGAGAGATTTTCTGATTTTGAAAACTATTTTAACAATCAAGTGCTTCTCTAAAGCAACATATAGCATTTTATATACAGTAAAAACATTTTAACTAGAAATCACAGAGTATTTAATTTAGCATCTACTAGTGATGACAATAAAGTCATGCCAAATTCTACCTTGATTAAAAAATTGTTAAGTTTAACAGACCAGACTCGTATTACTTCTCTTTAGAGCCTTATAAAAGACTTATAAGAAAATGATGCTATTGAAATTCTTTAATTTATTTTATTTTATGTACCAGCTTCTTACTAATAAAAGCTAAAAATACTCTACTAGCTTTTCCTTCTAAGATATCCACAGTAAACTAGCGATGATTTAGAAGCTTATTTGATAGATTTTTTCTTGAAAACAGAAATGAACTTTTTACAATTTCGTGATATTTAATAACTAATTTTATCCCTAAACTAACAAAATGATAAAATTACTTTTGCAAAAATTATGTTTAATTCTGGTGAAACGTATGATGTGACTGACTTTTTCATAAATAAAATAGTTAGTAAGTTATGCAACACATATCTTATGGATAATTTAAATATATCTCAGCCATTTATTATAGAGAAAATAATATAAAGCATAAAAACATATGAAAGTTCCTCTTTGAATAACTTTACTAGCTAGTAAAGCACTCAGCAACAACAATTACTATAACGACCTGTTAAAAATGTTATAGACTACAACTTAAATTTTAATAGCCATCAATAAAATAATTTGGATCTTAAAAGTTAAACACCTTTCGATCCAATATTTGCTTAATCTTAAAACCCAAACAGTGGATAAAGAAAAAATTTTTTCCTAGATTAAGAAATAGATGGCTAAACTCACCAATTCAAATAAAAGGAAGGAAAATTTGAAGTATTCTTCAAATAATAAGGTAGGTTAGTTAAAAAAGATGTAGAGTTCACTCTAGATGAGTTTAGCAAAGTCACAATTACTTCAAACTATGAAAATACTTTTAAATTAAAAGAAATTTTCTCAAAAAATCAATTTATTATTAGAAACAAAGCCATTCAATTCCCACTCAGCTAATTTAGAAATTGGATTAATTTAAAACAATATTAGTACATAGGTGATTTTGATACTTTTAAGCAATATGTTTGCGGTATCAAATTACTAGAAGTATATCTTATGAAAGATAGTCAATTTGTTCACCCATCTTTACCTATTTAAATAAACATTCCTATTCTTTTACAAATCTAATATCATGACAACAAATAGCTTTATTGTGATTATATTTTTATTTCATCAAATATACATAATTTACTAAAGAAATCAGTGTCAATTAATTATCTACCCCATCTCACTCTTGATGATTCAATAATCTTTATTTTATCAAGAATATTAAAACAACCCAACCACTTTGTCAAAAAATATGTTTAGGTTCTGATAAACTCTAAAATAATAGATAAACTTAATGTACCTTTAAAGGAGATAGTATCACCACAAAAAGTAGTAGAAAACAATAATATCATTCAAATATTTATATAAGATAAGAAACCAAAAATAAATGTTCCTCAAAAATATTAATCACCATAAAATTTTGATTTCTAAAGCTAGAATTCTCAAATACCAGATCCCTAATATTAGTTTAATGGATACTCTATTTGGAATATATGCTCTACAAAATAATATCTACCATGCAAAATAGTTTAACCAAATTTAGTAAAATATAATAAACAAAAGTTTTATTATGATAATAACCAAAATGTTATTAGATGGTATTGAAATATTTATTGCTTAGTAAATAAGTTTAAATTTCCTAAATAATAACCAAATAATTTTTTTTTAAAAATTAAATTTGTAATTATTTTGACCTAATATGTAATATCTTTAAAAATAAGTCTATATTAATTAACATTTAAAAATTTTTATTTTTTTTAGTTTTTTATTATTTATTATATGAAATTAGTTCATTTTTAAAAGTTATTATGTTAAGTAATAATTTCAATGAAATTTATCATTTTTATATTAAAAATAAAAATAATTGTTTCGAAATTATACAATATTTAAGCAAATAAATATTTACCTTTCAATCTGTTTTTAAAAATTAAGATAAAATTCATATTAAAAATTAATATTTTTTAAAAGAAATTTTGTCTAAAAAAACAAATTAATTAACCTATTTTGGGTAATATTTCAAATAAATTTTAATTTTAATTTTTAAAATGAAAATAAAAACAATTTATTTGCTAAACTTTTTAAAAAATAGAATATAATTTTTTTATTAAATCTAAGCAAATAATCTGTGATATATCTTGAAAGATATAAAATAAACATTAATTTAATATTTAAAAGAATAATAAATGTTTAATTTTTAATTATTAGATTACTCAAACAAATTAAGATATTTTTAATATTTTTTTACACAATTTCATACATATGTAATAGATGTTGCATAACTTACAGAAGAACTTTTTTGAGTTTTTACTTGTTCACTTTATTCATAATGCATAAATTTAGTTTTAAGTTATCCTGCATATTTCTAAGTGCTCTTAATAACCTTAATACAAAACATTTTAATAAGTTATTTAGATATTTAAAAATATTTTTAAATAAATAATATAAGAAAGCTAATATTTATATGAGTGTTGTATAAGATTATTACTTGTAGCAAAACTCCAATAGGGTGGCGACCACATATAGTGTTTTCGGTTTGCTCCAAATACTTATTGAATTTTTCGCAATCATGATTTTCTATCAATTCCATACCTGCAGTATCTAATTTTTATATTGATTACCAAATCTCTCCATCTTACTTGTTGTAGTACTAATAATCGAATCTTTTTATTTAATTTAAATATAAATCTGATTAGTTCATTTTATGATAATTTATTCATTTATTTATTTACCTTGATCCCCAATGGCAAAAATCGCTCGAAATAATAAATACAGTGTTATCATCATCAAAGTATTTACTTAACAATTACCCATACTCTTGTTCCCTTTAATAGCTTAAGTTTCCAACCATGATAGGAACAAGTTTAAATTATTATCTTTAATATTAATTGAATTTTTAAGAAAAGTATTTTATATTTTGAAAATAAATACTATCCAAGGATTTTTTAGATATATGGTAAGTGCATTTCAAGAGAATGTTCGTCTTCTTCATTTTTCTTACTAACAACATCAAATTTGCCTGTGTTTTTCAGTTCCTAAATTGCTAAAAATAATTTCTTAATGAAATGCAAATTCACAAATTATATAATCTATTTCTACTTTATTTGTCAAGTGTAATATCTCCAAGAGGAGTTTAAAATTTTTCTAATCCTGAGATACCACATCCATTCATGTATATATGATGACAAGGTCCCAGCAAAAATACTCTTAGACTTAATTTTATAAAAGTAGATATTAATATTTGTTATTTTTATTATTTTATTTACTTTTCTATTGGCTAAAGATATTGATATCCCCAAGCTGCTGTAGGTCCACTATAATAATAACCTGCATGACTGTATTTTATAAACAAATTAAATTTAAAAATATTTCAATTTTATTTTAGCATTACGGGCCAATTAATGCCTTCACTTTTTATATATTCAGCTATTGTTTGTTAGCTTTAGAAAGATAACCTGATAATTCTTAATCTAATTCCTTTTCTAATATGAATTTTAAAATAAAAAAAGATCATACAATAAAGTAAATTTCTTTAAGATTTTACAGTTTCCTGTATACCATGAATTTGCATGTGATGCTAATCTCGTACTACCCTACATTTTTTGCTTTTTTTTCTTTTATTTTACTTTTTTTGATTTGTCTGTGCTTTTTTATTTCTTTATATTTTTTGACAATATATTTTTTTCAACTTTTGCTTAATCCATATGATTATTAAAGATTATACTTATTTAATTTTAAAATATCTTAATGATCAGAAAATGTTTGCTTCTAGTTAATTACTCATGACCAACAAACTTCAGATTAGATAATTTCCTATACTAATATATTATTACTTTATTGCTTTATCTAAAAGAAAGAATGAACAACAAAATAAATATTGAAACCTAATATTTGAAATTTTTGCAAAATATAAAAAATACATTTTAAAATTGAAATTATTTAGCTATTCTTAAAAAAAGTGTGTGCTTTTAAAAATTATTTGATGGCAAAGTTAATATATTTCAATGAATGGTATTAATAATTTTGATAAACTTCATAAAAAAACATTATTTTTTGCTTTATCTAAAATAAAGAATGAATAACTCTTTATATATAAATTGAACGTTCATATTTGGAAATTTTAATGAGTATAAAAAAATATATTTTAAAACTCAAAATTATTTTAGCTCTTACTTAAAAATTTGGTGGTGTATTTTGTTATTTGATCATAAATTTAATATAATTCAGGAATTAATAATAATAATTATGAAAAATTGGTTAAAATAATTTTTTTCTTTTAAAGCTTTGGTAAAATAGCCAAACATTCATTTTTTAAATATTATTAATTTAAGGAATTTAATTTAAATTTGCATAATTTGAATAATGTTCTAATGCAAAACTATAAAATAAATATTTATTTAGCTTTTTATGTGAAGGTTTTATGCGTTAAAGATATGATAAAAATAAGGCGTTTTGATAATTAATCAGTGATTTTATAAATAAATAAATAAATATGATATAAAATTTATAATTTATAACAAGGTTACTTTACAAAATATTTAAGTGTGAAAAATATATAAAAATCAATGAAATGAAATATATTTTTAATATCAAAAATGGATTGTTTTATGTAATAAATAGTAAGAGTTGTATATACAGAAGAATCAAGAATAAAATTATAAATTAGATTGTATTATATTTTGTATTAAGCAGTTATTTATAATGTATTATTTGTTTGTTTTTTTATTTAACTGAATGATTAGTAAAGAAAAATTAACAAGTAAGTAAGTAAGTTGTTAATTCTTTTATAGAATTTCTTTTCTAAACTGGATATCATTTCATTAATGTAAGTATATTCATTTTTTTAACAGTGGTTAAATCATTGAATGGAGATGGTTAATGTGCTTGGGAGTTAATATTTCTTAAGTGTAAAAGATTACCCAAATTTTGATTTCCAACATTTCTTACTTTTACTGGTGAATATGATCCTTTCTTTTACACCATAGACTCAGTATTAGCATTATGTTTTTATGCACTTTTATAAAAGCTCTCGTTGCCATTAATTTTGGATAAATTTATATTTTAAAGTTAACTTTAAGATAAGTTAGACATATTTGCGTACTTTTAAGCAGGGTTAACTGAATTTTAACGCTTTAATAATGATTATTTTCTAGTTTAACCGTCATTTGCTTATGTAATTTAAGCTGCTGCTTATTCTCTTAGTTTTTAATTTTGAATTAGTTTTATTTTATTACTTAAATAATTTTAGTAAGAATCTTCCTATTATTATTATGATGTACTTTTGAGTGCATTAATAAGCTAGTATTTGAATGATGGTTATTAGTTTTAAGTTTTGGTTGCTGTACTTTAAGCAGAATCAAACATTGCTGAAAAACTTTACTAGTCAAGGGAGCTCTAGCTGACATGATATTTTTTAGCAGGTGAAGAAAAGGTACTTTCGTTATTGTTGTTTACATTACTGTTTTAAGATTATTTAATGGGAGAATAGCTGACTGCTGGAGAATTTACGCTAATTTATGATTAAGAATTATGGAGGGAGATGGGAGATTGCTTAACTGGAGATTGATCTTTTGAAAGTAGCATTTATTATGAGATCAATTAAATATCATTAGAAGGAATACAACTTTGAGATTTGGCTTAATAAAAATTGAGGGGCTATTATTAAGTAGGATTATTTTAGATTTATCTAATTCTAAATGAATTAAGGCCAGAATTTATTTAAGATTAATGCTGATTAATCTATCCTACTTGGCTCATTGAGCGAATATTTTTTTTTATTAAAAATGAGTTGTTTCTTTTTCCATTACTAGGTGTAGAGTCTGTATTTTTAGTTTATACTAATTCGTCTTCAAGTGAAGGAATTTTTTTACCATTTTCGAGTTGAAGTTTTTATATGAAATTATTTTTAATAAGAGTGCGGTCATGGCGCGCTTTGTCGTTATTGTAAAATTGATTAAAGAGTTTATGGAAAATTTAAAAGTTTTTATCATAGTAAATATCGCTTTCATCACAATAGACGCGATCGTCATTGAATGTTTCCCATGGGAATCTTTCAAGATTTTTATTACGGCGGTTACGAGAAAAACGTTTCATCATTTTAATAACTTCTTCATTAGTAATTTCTTCTCTTTAGTTAGGATGAGTACCAAAACGAGCTTTGTATAAATGGAAGAGTGTAAATGTTGATCCATCACTGTCTATCCAATTTTCAGTATCTATTCCACGGATTTTTAAGAGATCATCATCCCAAATATTATGATCTTCTTCCTCTTCTTCATTTAGGCATTATTCAGTGATGTTATTATTTGATTTAATCTAAGTGGTGTCTTAGTTTTGGAATTTCTGCTTTTATACTAAATCCAAATTATGGATTGAGCAGTATGAAGGATTTATCGAAGCCTTTTAGTATTGATTATTTTTTAATTTATTGAAACTTTAGAGTTATCCTGTGCTTAACGAACGTATGCTTGAGTTATTATTAAATTATTATTATTATTATTATTGATTAATTCGTTCTTCACCTTGATTTTATTTTAGAATACGAGTGATAGTTGCTGTAGATCCAACTCCAGTAATTTTTGAGGAACGGTTTAAAGTATCGTCATCTTCAGTGCTTTAATCACTGGAGATGTTTTTTAAACTTTTAATAATGATATTAGTATTTGAAACTTGTTTAGGATAGCTTTAGTACTAGCTTTAATTAGGAGCATTTGTAGAAGATTTCATTTTTTTAGCACGGCTACGGAGTGGGGAGATTTCATAACCCACTAAATCGCTAGGCACAAGCTAGTGTTGTTATCTAGAATAGTTTTATCTCATTATTATGGAAAAAAGTGATATTCAAAAAGTTAGCAACTTATTTGATAAGGAAGTGAGAGAGCTGACTGTTTTTAAAGAAAAATGGTTTTTTTTCTATTCCAGTATTCTAGTTTTCTTGAATAAAGAATTGAAGATGTACTTTTATTTTTTTGTTTGATTTTGGAATTAACTTTAAAAATATAAATTATAGAGATTGATTGATCGATAGAGTCTATAAAAATAAGGGGAGACGATAGTCGAGTTGTATTAGAGATATACGAATGTAAATTAATCTAAAGTCGTATAAATGATAAATTATGTATTTTATAGATAAATGTGTGACTAGTAATACATACAGATTTATGAATTATCTTAATTAAGAATTCACGCTATATTCTTTACTATAACAAACATTGATATTTTTAATTAATTTGTTCAAAATCCTGCTTATTAAATCTTTTCACAAATTAATAATTATGATTTCAAGCTTTTTGTTTATTGTATGGATTTAGATTATTTGAGTCAAATTTAGTAACATTAACCCAAAATAAATATTATTCTTATTTTTTTCAATACTCAAGTTTGCTTATTGTTTCTAGCAATAACATTATTTAATTTTATAAATATTAGCAAATATCTATATTTGCGTAATAAGATTATTTAACACAATTATTGTTCTTTCCTAGCACTAGTGAATTTATTTGTGTAATTAGAGATTGAAAACTCTATTTCTTTTTTCTTTATAAGATTATTCTTGGCAATGCACCAATTTTATTTCCTTTCTTAAAATAAGCAAACCAGTTAAATAATTTTATAGATTTATGTGCACTTGCTTTTGAATAAGATTGTTAGCGAACTCAAGTCTCTTTTGTTAATATACGAAGCGATAAAAGACTTCATTATAAAGCGTTAAGATTTACTACTAGCACAATTTGATATAGTGTAGATTTAACAAAGAAAGAAAAGTTTTAAATTATCCATTGTAAAACAAAAATTTTTTAAATCATAAATAGAGAAGTATTGAAGTAGTGATATCAGATTAAATATAAAAGAAAATTTAAAATATAACATTAAATTAAATTTGTATTAATGCTAAAAAAACTAAATTAATAGTAAATACTTTTGTATCATTAAAAATATTTTTCTAAAACGAACATCTTTTTTTACTTACTCTAACTTACAATTGTATGCATACAAAAAAAATAAATACATGATTATCTTACAAATGCAAGATTAACATTAAAGAAATTCGAATTTACTAGAGTTTTTCTGTGTAAAATAAATTAATCAGCTTTAAATGTTATCAAATTAAAACTTCTTTTTTCGAAAAAATATACGTATTTTGCAAGGTGATTTAAACGTGATTGTAAAGACTAAATTTAATAATTCATCACAGCATCTATAAAATAGTTAGTTTTTGTTGTTAAACTGCTTTGATTAAAGGAATTTTTTTATAAATAAACCACCTATTTAAAATAACTCTCATAAATAATTTAGTATGCAAGTTCTTAGTCCTTATCCGCATTAGAATCAGATATATATTTTATACTACTGATGAGCAACTACTTGTAATTTGAGTGGGTAAACATTTATAAAAAGCAATATACACTTACTTTTATAATAGTTAATTTGAATGCAAAAATTAGTTAATTGAAATTTGTTTAATCATTTTGATTGAAACGATTATTTATAATTTTCCCACTTTATAAATATCATACTAAAATTTTTCTGTTTGTGATTATTGAAATACATTTCTAAATTCAAATCAAAAAAGCAAATGTTATTACTGCCAAATTAATTTCCAAATCTTTTTTAATATATGGTATGATAGTTTATTACAAGCTTTTAGCTTTTTATAAATCTATCCAAGATATTATACTTTTCCTTTACACTTAAATTTTTAATTAACAAGATTTTTTAATTTTCAAACAAAATAAACATATAAAGTTTTTTTTATAAGAGGAGAATTTGGTTATGAGATATTATGAAAGCCATTTGTTATTTTTATCATAGAAAATTTATTTTAGATTATTAGACATAAATTTATTCTATTTTGCTTTGGAGATAATATGAATGATTTCATTAATATTGAGAATTTAAAATAGATGAATTAATTTACACTTTAAAGATTCAAATTTTATTTTTAATAAAATACTATATACATTCTTTGTGACTAAAGTTAAGCTTCATAATCTTATTTTATACATTCATAGTATAATTTCAAATTTCAACCATTAATTAAACTTTAAATGATAGTAAAAGCAAATTGGTGGGTTTTATATGCATATTTGACTTATACTTTACTTCTAGTACTTTACACATTATTAATTTTACTTCTACAAAGATATTAACTTTAGAAATATATTATTTAAATCATAGAAAAAACTTTAATTGAACTAGAAAAAAAAAAATTTTTTTTCTACTTTCATGCAATATCTTTTATTTAATTTATCAATAAAAATTATGCATTATACAAATTAATAAAAAAATCAGTAACAAAGTGTTATACAAATAATTAGATTTTTTCATCTTTATTTTCATTTTCTGCATACAAATTTATCATAAATGTGTATAATTCAGCCATTTTAGAAAAATAAATACTTATAAATACTGAACTAAAATAGTTAAAATAATTTAAATTGAAATATATTTAACATTGTAAATCATAGAAAAAATTATATTTTTTCTTATATAGAGAGTTTTTAGTGAATATTTCCATATTACTTTATTAAAGATTGTAAATGTAATAAAAAAATAAATAAAATATTTATTGTTAAATGAAGTAAAATATTCAATTTACACTTCATTAATTCAACTTTCTAATTAAAGTATGAAGTAATTAAAAAATTAAAATTTATATAAGTAAAAATAAAATTGATTAACAGAGTAACATTAATTTGTGTATTGTAACCTAATAATTCTTATTTTGGACTATACTTTTATTGAGTATCAAAAACTTTAATCAAAACAAAAGCTTATTGGAGATGATTTCGCTTACAAAATCAAAAATTTAATTTACAACCAAGCTAATAAGTTGATTGATATATTACAAAATTAGCTAAAAATCTTTTAAAGGATCAAATATTAATTAATTTAGATTTTTTTATAACAATTATTAATTATTTGTATTAAATTTCTAGTTTTATTAAATTATTTACATCAATAATAGAAAACTTTCTAGATTTTTTTGATTTCTAAAATTATTTTTAAAAAGAACAATAAATAAAAATGAATTAAATTTTTTTTTGCTTTTATGATTTCAATAATTTTTACAAAATTTATCAACATTGAATTAATATAAAAGTTCATTTAATAACTATTTCTCTTCTCAAAACAATTTTAGCAAAACTATATTTAAATTACTGTCACTCTGAAATGCTTATTTTTAGAAATTTTAATATTGTTAAATACAAATTATGCTTAAAAAATGCTTTCATTTATTATAAATATTAAAATTTAAATTTTTAAAGGTCACTAAAGTAAGATTAATAGCTTCTTGTTTAAAATTTGTAAGCTAGTAAAAAATTTTGGTGAAAAAAACAAAGCAAATACAAATTCAGTTTTATGGTTAAAATTTACAAATTAAAATATAAATTTTTGTAAGATCATAAAATGTGTACAATTTTTACCAGTGTTTCTTAATTATTTACTTTGTGAGAAAAAAATAATCACAATAGCTAATTTAAACTATCAGATAAAGTGAAAACAATTATAATATGTAAAGTAATTTATTAGATCTTGATATTATTTTGTAATATTTGCCACAAACTGAATTTTTCAATTCATATTTTGATTCTTTAAATTGGTTTACAAATACAATTTATCAAAGGAATAAAAAAAAAGGAAAAAATAGTAAATTTAGTTGATAAATAAGTAAAGAAATAATATTTAAATTAATTTAATCATGAAAAGCAAACACCACCAAAACAAATTAATAAAGTAAAAATATCAGGAAATTTTTCTTTATTTCAATTTTTTTAGATTAGTTTTAACCCAAAAATAAAATTTAATAACAAATTAGGTTTATTATTTTATTCTTAAAAAGAAAAATGGATATCTCAGTAAATATTTAAATAGAAACAAAAATAAGATTTCTGAAATAAATTTTAAATAAATGAGCTAATGAATTTATTTCATACAAACAAATTTACAAAAATCTAAATATGCTTTAAATTCTGCTAAGTTTCTTTGAGATATTACTTTACCTTCTTGTTGAATATTGATATTACATATTTCTTCAATTTTATTATTAATTTTTATTAGATTTTTTTAAATAGTTGTCAAATAATTGGACAGCTTGCAAAGATAAATTTATACTAATTTTAAGGATAAAAAACCCTAATTAAATACTGAACAATCAATTTAAATTAATTGGGTTTATGCCTTTTATTCTTAAATATAAAAATAGATTTTTAAGTTAAATTATAAATAGACACAGAAAATTTGTTCTTTTTAATAAAGCAAAAATAAATAAGCTATTTAATATTTTATTTATTGCTTACAAAAAACTTTCAAAATTTCTAAATATGTTATAAATTATACTAAATTTCTTTGAGATATTTACTTTACACTTTAGTTTAGTAGAATAGGTATATTACATATTTTTTCTTCAATTTTAACTTTAAAATGATACAAATTTATATAAAACTTGTCAGATATTTGAACAGCTTACAAAGATACATTTACTTAAATTTTATTAGAAATTTTTTATTTATTTAAATTATTTACAGCTTCAATCAGCTATTTTTACATAAAATTTTTATGTAAGCAAGCCAAATAAAAACAATTTGAGCAATTTCTTTACAATTATTCTTAATTATAATTTAAACTCTATTAAATATTAAGTTTAAGTAGTTACAAATTTTAAGAATAAAAAATTCTAGTGAAATATTGAATAACCAATTAAAATCACAATTTTCGAATATGTTTGCTTTGATCAAAAATAATAAGTGCAAGTTCGTCATTTAAATTTAGAGAAGGCTTTCAGAATTTTTTTAATTAAAAAAATAAATTAATTAAAACTATTTATTTAAATTTTAATGTAAAATAGCTTATTTGTTTCTTGGACGTTTTAAAAAATATTTTAATAATATTTAATTTAAAATGAACTAAAAACTTAAAATATCTAAATATGTATAGAAGTTTCTGAATATATCTTTTAAAAAAATAAAAATATTGGATGAAAAAGAATTAAAAGTAAAATTAAAAAAATAATTAATTAATCTTTTATCCAATTAGGTAGAAAAATAAGTAGGAATTATGATAAGTTAATAAATGCTTTTAAGAATATTCAAGAAAGTGTCTTAACAAAAGAATTTTATTTTTAGACCATTACTGAGATATGGAATTCACAATTAAGATTAGAAACCATTTTAGAAAGATTTAGAGATAGATTAATTCTTTTAATAAACCATTTAAATAGACGAGAGTCTAACAAATGAATCTGAAATAGATAAATAAAATTAAGGATTATAATCAAAGCAATCTTAAGGCTATAAGATAAATAGGGAGTCTAAGAGCATAGATCAACTTATATAGGAAATTATTAATGCAAATTAGTAATATTAGATAACACTTTTGAGAGATTTGTACCTTCATTCACCTCTTACTATGGTATTTTACCTTTTTTTTATTGAGAGATATTTAAAAGCATAATTTAATATAAAAAGAGAGAAGGAATTAAAGATGCTGTCAAAAATACTTATAACAAAGAAATTTCTTCAATGTTGAGATTGCAGGCTAATTATTATTTAAAAAAGCATAATAAATCACAACTTTTCCTTTTATTCAAAGTGATCAATATGTATGGCAATTATCTATACAAAAGTTTGCATTAACAATGTTTTAAATTTGATGCTTTTGTAAGAGAGGAAATTTTGTAAAATGCAGAACCATTAAACTATATAACTCTTTCTAACATATACAGTTACTTCTTATAGAATTTCAAAGAAGAGTAATTTTTAGAAACAAGTAAAATAATAAACAGCTATGTCATGTCTAATCAAGATAAATATCCAGATAGTGCTATTACTACTCACTATCTGAGGTACAAGGATATATTCCACTTGAGTTAAAATGATGTTAAACTTAATTTTAATGAGAACCTATCAGATTCAACAATACTTTTAATCAAATTTACAAGTTGCAAATAAAATAAAATTGCAGATGATTTATGGAATCATATTAAAAAGCAGTAATTTGATATTTAGACTCTCAATTTACTTTTCTCTAACAACCTAAAAATTGGAGAGATAAACCTCAATCAAAGTTTGAAAAATATTTAAGAAAAACAAATTTATTCTTTCAAAAATAAAGCTGATATCATTTACACTTATACTTCTTTGACAACTCTTTTCAAGCATTTGATTCACTTCTTTGAAAAAGAGTAAAGAATATAATAAGTTAAAAATATTGGTTTGCAATCTACCTCTAAGAAACGCTTTCCTTTCGTAACAAACTGCATAGAAGCATAATCTATTTTCCTGCCTCTAGGCTACTCACCATAGTAAGAAGAATGTTTCAAAACTCTTCTAGAAATTACAAAATAATACATTTAAATTCTTGACAAGAATTCTTTCAAGACAAACTTGACATTAATAAAAACATCTCTTTTTTATCAGATTTCAAAGTAAATTCCTAAAAATTCATTTTTATTTTTTTAGAAAAAAATATTTTTTTTAAACAATAGAATTTAAATGGACATAGATCCTGAAATAGTGTAATATGCTTTTGAAAATATTAGAACCTACTACAAATATATCAAAGGAATGCCAATTATAAACTCTTTTTGCACTCTATGTAATTTTTACTAGCATGATTAATTTAAATAAGAAGTAACAGAAATTATTTAGCAAATTAGGTAATTTGATTTAAACTATGCTTTAAAAAATATAAATTTTTTAAAAATAAAATAAAGACCTAATATCATTGAAAACTTGCATAACCTGAGATACCAAAATGATATATTTATAATTTCATACTCTGCATACTTGTTTTTGACAAAACTTGACTAAATAGAAATAGCTCAATAGTTGATTGACATTTTAGATTAAACTGTTATAGAAAATAAATTTATTTCTTATAATACCATCTGCACAATCCTCTTTCTTGAGTTAATCGAATAGTAAATTCCAAAGGCTAAAAAGGTTTTAAACAATCTAAAAGAAAAAAGACTATAAGTAAAATTATATAAAATAAAAAAATTCAAATTTTTAAGCTTAATTTTAAAATTTAGATTAGTTTCATTCATATCAAACAAGCACTTATTCATAGCACTCCTTCTAATAAATTAGTTCATTAATTAATTATTGATTGGTTCGTTTAGAACGTCTAAAAGCTAGAAATGCAAGAAATTACTTTTTATTTACACTTCTTGAATAAAAAAAAGGTAAATTTTTATAAAAATTGTAAAACAAAAAAAGTTAAAGTTGCTTTTTTAAAATAGCTAAGCCACTTAATAAGAAAAAAATCTGATGTGATACAAGAATTAAAGCAAAAATTCCTGAATAGTAAACAAATTACAAATTATATGATGACAGAGTACAGAAGAAATTTTTTTATGGATGATGAGCTTTTATAAATGCTTGAATAACAAATTATATAATAAATAGATAAAAAGTAGGTAAAACTTGAGAAAGCAATCGATTCATTCTACAATATAACAAGACTAAGACATGCAAATTAATAATTTGTTGAAAAAATAAATTCTTTACCATAATATTTATACTAAAATTTGGGTTTTTCAGATTATGTAAAATTAATAAACTCCTATATCCATCAAGAAGTAAGCTAAGAAATTATCTAGAAGGCTATGAAGGATCTTTTATTCAAAATATAAAATGGCTAATTTGATTTAAAATAAGAACCTTTCTAGCAAAAAAAGATATTTTTTATTTGTTTATAGCAAATTAAATTCTAATATCCTTAATTAAATCTTTAAGATAAAATTATTGCTTCATTCATACATGAAATGCAAATAAAAAGTAAAGAAGAAGGGCTACTCAGTGCTTAAAGCATAACTGAGATTGATGATTCAGAGAATGAAGAAGAAAGTCACTCTTCAGCTGAATATTCTCCATATGAAAAGATCATTTAAGACAGCTTGTAAAATTTAAATATACCGTTTTAACGCGAATATGTAATAGAGTATTTCAAGACTGATTTCTATTTGCCATAATAAAAAATAATTATAGAATTCAATGGAGACCTCCACTTCTTTAATGGAGAAATTACTCCTCCAACCAAATAAAAAATTAAATACCTAGAACACTTAAATTACAAAGTGATTGAGTTAAGTGTCATAAAATAAAAATAACTTTTCAGCTAAGAAAATATGACTCAACATTTAAAAGAAATTATATATAAATGAAATTAATTAATTTATCATTACAAAATTATTTATTCTAAACCTAAAGTTATTTAGAAGCCAAAAGATTAAATAACTTGTAATTCACCAAATCTTATTTAACTTTCTTATCTCCTAAAAAATATGTATATTTTTTCATTATTTATTTTTTATGTAAAAATAGTAAAAGTTTATCAACATTCAATTAATTGATTTGATAAAACAAATAAAAATAGTTTTTTCATTCATTTTTGTATTTTTATGAAAATTCTACAAAAAAATAACAAATTAATTTTATATAATTTAATTTAAAAAAATTTCTAGAAAGTACTCCTTTATATTATTTTTTTAAGTAAACTTTATAATTAAAAATATAAATATAAAATGTGTTTGAAAGTTAATTAGTGAGTTAATTTATTTTCTTGTCTTCTGATGTTTGTAGAGAAGAAAATGTTTTAATTTTTTAAAAGAAAATTAGCTGATAGTAGACTGGCTAAAATATATAAATAAATACTTAGAAAAACATTTATTAGATTTATATATTAATATGTTGGTTTTTTGTTTGAGTGTGTTGTGAATTTTTAATCAATATTTTAATATATTCCAATGCTTAATTATTTATTAACATTTTCTAAATTATATCTTTTGAAAGAAGTGAAGTCTTTTTCTATTTTTACATGCTCATGGTGTTTCAAGCTTCGATAAGCATAGTCTCTTAAGAGTTCTTTTTAGTAGTAATAAATATTGGCTTTTAATCCATATTTTCAATACCTAAAGTTCTTTCTCTGAGTTTTTATTCAACTGACTAAATTCTTTATAGCTCTTAAGTTATACATGAATTCATTATTTTTTATTGCGATTCACATCCTTACAAACTATTCAATTAATTAAAAATAATCATGGTTATCCTACGCAGTAAATATAAAATTAAAATTACTCTATTTTTCTTCTTCTATTTTCTGCTGCAACTAATTATAAACTCATGCAATACTGCAACTCGCATGCTTTATCTCTACAAATCTAATTAAATCAAATAATCATAAATATTATCATATTAATTTTTATGTAATTACCAATTCTGCTACTGTATCATGAGTAATGTTAGGTGAGCTTTTTATTTAGTTTATGTATGGGTTTGGTGATCTACATATGCTATATAATTCAAGATGATGCTTTGGGTTTCTTTTTCTGTTGACATCGTTCTTAACATTAACCCAAAAAGGATCTGAATTTAAAGGATCAGCGTAGTATGCATTTCTATATCTTTACCAATATCTTTCAGTCATTTTAAAATAATGTATCCTAAATCTATTATGTATCTTAACCTTAAATTTTGACTTTGGTTGCTTAGCTTGTTTTGTGCTTTAGCTTTTTAATTATTATAAATATTAAATTGATAAATCAAATAATGATTATAAATTTAGATATCTTTGAAATCATAAAATGTTCAAATTTAATTGATTTATATATTATTATAGATAATTTCTTAGAATTAAATCTAAATTTTATCATTAATTCATATATTATAAATTAATCTAACTAATAATATTTTTAAAAGTAGAATATTCTTAATAATAAAACAAACTTCTATAGATTTGCCTAGAAACTAAGTAATTCAAGTAAAAAAAAAAAATATTTTTATAGAAAAATATGGCACACAAAAAAATTAAATACAAAACTAAATAAAAATAGAGCGATTTTAATAAAGATTTTGTTTTATTTTTTTTTAGAAACATAATTTTTTCTATCAATTTTACAAACTTTTGTATTAAAATTTTACAAATTAAGCAAAAAAATAAAACAAAATTATTTTTATAGATAAATATATAAAATAAAATATGTTTAAAAACAAAGCAAATAAATAATTAAAGATAGGAATAAAAGCTAGATATCATTTAATTTTTTGTGAATTGTAATTATTTCAATTAGTTTTATGTATTTTTCTATCAAAATTTTGCAAACTAAGTTATAAAAATAAAATAAATTATTTTTTGACAAATATTATCAATATAAATACAAACCAAAATAAATAAATAAACTAATAATAAATAAATAAATAAGAGGATCAAAAGCTAGTTAGGGATTTATCTTTTGAGAAAATTAAATAAAATTGTTTCTCATAGTTTAAATAATTTTCCTTAAGAAATTAAGCTATAAAAATGAATGAAAATAATTTTTATAAGCAACAATTCACGTAAAATCATAAATACAAATCTAAATAAATAAAAAGAGGATTAAATGTTAGATAAGGTTTTATTTTTTTGTGAAATATAATTATTTCAATTAATTTTATATACTTGTATCTTAACATTTTGTCTATTATTTCAAATTCTTAAAATATATCCATTCCTGTGTCTATTCTTTATTCTAGTAGTAAATCTATATTCATTAATTAAGAAGCCATTTAATTTATTATGGATTTGCAAGAACTATCTAATTCCACGTTACTTTAAATAATTATTAAACAATAAGTTGAATTTAATTTTAAGAGATTAAATTTAGAATTACAAGTTTAGTATTTCTAATTTTCTTAAATATTTAGAGTCTTTTAATTATTCAATTAACTAAATTTCTTCTTTCATCATTTAGACAGCTGATATAAAGCTTTAATTAAATATTATTTTCAAATTAATAATTAATATGATTAAAATAATTATAAATTAATTAATACTCATCATCAGGACAGTGCAAATGAAGTATTATTGTGGTCACGTTTTACAAGTTTGATAGATGCTTTCCTAGCTAATATAAATATTGATAGTTTTCTTCTATTTTTTAATTTTACCTATTTTTAAAACATTTCAAAAATAAATTTATTGGTTAATTTAGTCTAATAAAGAAAAGTTTAGATAATGAACTGATAGAAAGTTAATTTATTGCTAATACTCCTAATAACTTAATTAAAATAATTTCTTTTTAAATTTAATTAGTAATCAATTATTTTTTATAATAAGAATTTCACTTATTTTTTCTTTTATTAAATTTTCAATTTAAAAATGATATTTTGATATTTTTATTTTTTAATTACATAATATTTAAATCTAGTGTGCATAGGTTTTTAAGCAAATTAAAAGATTCAATTATTTTAACTAAACCATTAACACTAACCTAATTATTCCTAATAAAAAGTTAATATATATATTTATATTTCCTATACGAGTAATTATACATAATGTCAAACTTCAAATATCTAATATTAGGAAGATTAGTAACAAATGATAGAACATCTTCTAGTGAATAATCTGTTATTTTGTTAAAACTTAGAAAAATATATTCCTTAATTCAAGTAAAAAAGTAGAAATTTACCTTACACTTAAATTCAAACTTGTTAAATTATGTAAGGGTTATTATTAAAATTGAAATATTTAGGAAATTCCTTAATCACTCAACAGGTTATTCCTATTATTTACAGTTTTGTAAGATAAAAATAAATATGATTTGTTAATATCAAGCATACCCTAAATCTAGTATTAAGCTTTTTAAATTTGTTGAGCTGCTAATCAAATTATGTAAATAGTGGCCATTTCTTTGATGGAGGAGATTGTTATTCCTAAAATTTATATAAAAAGGTGTTTAGTCTTTTAAAGCAAGCTAAATTTAGAATACCACAAAATTATTTTCATTTCTTCTACATTTTAGGAAAATGCAGTAAGAAATTTTAAAATGTTTATGAATGCCTCTATTTGATCTGCTGAATTTATTTATCTTTTTCAAAAATGGTTGCGATATTTATTAATTAGTTTTAAATTAATCTTACGTAACATCAGTAAATATGCTCTTAATTTGTTGCAATTTATTCTGGATCTCATATTGTTTTGTATCTTCATTTATAATTATTTTTTAGTCATTGTTATCTACCAAGCTATTTTCACGTGATTATTTTTTAAGAGTTAAATGAGGAGCTTTTACTTTACTGCAAAAAATTACTAAATTCCAGGTTTTATTTGAAGATTTTTTGACAAGCTACTATACCACTAGCAAACCTTTATGTCCATTTTATTTATAAATAATGAAAAATATCTAAAAATAAGTAAAATATTAAAAAAGATTCAATCATACACTAATTTATTAATCTTAAATCCTTAAATTCTTTGACTTACGCAAAAAAATTATAATTAATTCTGAACAAATTTTATTAAATAAGATGCTGAAATGGAATATGTAATATCCCTTAAAAGCAAATAATAAGATTAGATAATTGATAATATTAAAAATAATATTTAAAATCTAAAAAAATGCAGGAATCTTGCTATCAATCTAAGATATAAATCTTAACTTTCAGTAGATGTATTTAAATAAATAATAATCTTGTTTTAATTAAATGGTTTTTATGAAACAATATTTTAAATTTCGATAACTATTGAGGGATAAAATGAACTCTAAAATGATGAAATTCATTTAATAAATGATTTTATTTAGAACTTTAAGAATATTTAATGCATATAAATTTCATTATGGAAAAATTGTCAACTAAGCGGGGAATTATTTTCGTAGCTTTTACAAAATTTAACACAATTATCTTCATTAAAAGGTTTTAAGCTGGATATAGAAAATAACTAAAACATAATAAATTGTGTTTAATTTTCATAGTAAATTGCAAACCTAAAATAAATATAAAATTTAGATATTTCTTCAATTGATTTATCAGCAATGTCAAATAAAAGTGTTTCCTAACTTTTTAAGAGTGGCAGTTCCTTAATTTAACTAAAAAATCTAAAATTTTCTATTACATTTTCTTTGGATTAAGAAACAATCAGCTGTGTATTTAGCAATTTAAGATAATTTTAATAAATTAATAATTTGACAATTAGGATTATGCAAAAAGAAGCAGCTGTCTTAACAGAAGATTTATATTAAATTATCAGTGAAAATATGAAAAATCTGGAATATTTAAATTTAACATTTGATAACTGCTATATCCATCTTCCAAACTAAGATTTTTATTTTTAATAAATAAATAATCTAAAACATTTATCAATTGATATTAAAGGTTATTCAAGAAGTACTTTTAGGCATCTAGGTCTTTTGATAAACTGTGTAAGCTAATTAAAAAACTTAGAAGATCTTGATCTATTTATTGTGAGCTCTGATTACAATTTACTTTCATAAGACCTAACAGGAATAAAAAATATTATTTACCTTAAAAGTTTGAGATTAAAAATTTTGATGGATAATTTTTATGATGAAGATTAGTTTATTTAGCTTCTTAAAGACATATTTAGTGTATAGTCTCTTTAGGTTATAGAAATATACAGTAATATTTGTCTCTTAACTGAATAATAAAAATTCTTAATTTATCATCCAATGATACTATAATTGATGTATACAAATGGAACTGATCTGGTAGAATATTTAGATTTTAGCCAATATTTTAAAAACAACAAACAACTTATACTCACAATTTTAGTTTTCAAAAAATATTTTTAATCAATCCTATTGAACAATCCGTATCATATAGCATTTGATTTTCATATTGAATGAATTAAATAATCTGATTTTTATAGTTATTTATAATTATATTTAATTAAGAGAGAGATTAAACTAAATTTAACCTTTAATTTATAAATATTTTCAATATCAAAGAATAAAATAGTTGCTTTGTATTTTTTAAAGAATTAATAAAATTTTTCTATTATTTCATTTACTGATTTTAAAAATACAATTTTTTAAAATAAATAAATTAGCCTAAAATTATTTTCAAATATATTTAATCTTGGATACTTTTGAATATTTACAATGAAATTTGAATTTATAAAAGTAATAAATTAAATGAAAGAAACTTTTCTTTTAGCTATTTAATGATAATCAAATAATAGCAGAGTAATTTTATTTGAGTTGAATGTTTAAAGTGTTGAAATCTTATTTTAATATAATTTTAAATTATTTATTTATCTTAAAATTATTGGATTGATTATTAAATTATGAAGAATATTAAATAAAATATAATAAACTTTTATTTAGTTAAAAAAATTAAAAAATAATTGAAAATTTAAATTGTAACTTTATTTGGATTAAATATTTAGAGTTTTGAAATCTTTTAAACATTTTTAAATTAATCTCTTATATTTATTTTATTTCAAAATTAATTTTTGAGCTTATGTTTTTATTAGATTTTTATATTATGAAAAAAAAATTAGAGTGTAATCTGTTAAAAAATTATGGACAAGAAAAAAATAAATATATGTATAATATAATCAATTCATTAATTCTTTCTTTTGGAAATATATCCGTTTAAGATTAACATTAAAACTTTATTTTTTAATTGAAAAAATTGTAGATAAAGTGTTAGAATTAAACAATAAATATTATTAAAGAGGTGCTTAAAAGCTAGTATCAAAGTCAACAAGTCTAAATTTTAGAACAATAATTAAATATAATATGATAAAGTAGCCTCCAAGCATTATCAGAACTGAATTAACATCTCCAAATTAAGCAAATAAAATCCCTTGTGGCAAAATATTTATGAAATCATTATTACAAAATAATACTTAATCAAGTCCTATTCAAAAAATTAAGCAGTCTTAATACTAAAATGCGTCTTATAGCATCAAAGTATGTAAATTATTTAGTATTCATGAAACTATCAAATTTTTCATAAAAAAACCTTTAAATTCTTCGATAAATAGTTTTTTAATTCTCTAAAATACAGAATCATTTAAAGTCAGAAGAAGATGAAGAGCTATCTAAATCATATTTAAATGATACAAGATAAAATTTAAGTTAAAGTGGCTGGAATTCAATATAGAGCAATGTTAATGCTTACGGGAAATAGTAGCATTTATTTTAATAAAACTAATTCAATTAAAACTAAGATTATTTATCTAAGAATGGGAAAAGTAAAATATTTTTGATTTGAGCAAACAGCATTTGTTAAAAATGAATTTTTTATTTGCTAACTATATAGGCGACTTCTCATTCAGTAAAATTAATGCTCTTCTTCATGAATAAAATGCTGAAAATAGCTATTTATTTAGATATAATTCAAAGAGAAACAGTAACATTAATTAAATATCATCGAAGTAAAACAGCAGAGCACATAGTGAGGATATAACTCAAAACAATTTTAATACTAATAATGTAAATTATATTTTTTGTTATGTCTCAATTTATAGTTCTATCTATATTTTATCTAACAGAAAGATGATTCTTTTAGAACAAAAAAATAATCACTACATCTCCCTAAGCAAGACCATTCCCCTCAAAAGAGTAATATGCTTACTGAAAATTCTACATATTTTAATGGGACAAAAAGTCCTCAAAAGAATTGGAAAGATATTGAGGATGAGATAAAAATTCTTAAAAAAGTATTAAAATAAAATATTGCAGATATTAGTACTACGAATATCTCTTTAAATAAATCTTAAATGTATGAAAGTTTGTTTACTTTATTGATTAAAATATTTTTCATTTTTTATTAATTTATTCAAAAGTGAGTCAAATTAACTATAGTCAAAACATTAAAGCTAGCATAGTCCTTTAAAAGAATCAAATTTTTTGAGTACCAAATAAACTTTGAATACATAAAATGAAAATGTGAGACCATTGACGTCTCTTTCTTCATAATCTACAATGATATAATAGTTGATGTAAGAAAACTCTAATTTGAAAAGAGAAATTGAGAAACTGAAGATAAATTAGTATTAAATAAAAAGTTATGAAGTATTTATTAAAATTTTATTCATGAAAATAGAAAAGTTGAGTTGGAAGAAGTAATGAATAGAGAAAGAGAAGAAATTAAAATAGTGATAAGTTAGTACAAGTAATTTATTGATAAATTGTTAAATGACAAGAAATCACTTAATGTAAATATCCACTAATTAAATGTGTAATTATAACAAATACAAGAAGAGTCTAGAAAACTAAAATCTAAAAACTAAGAACTTTAAACTGAACTAGATTAAGTTAAATAAGAGGTAATCATTATATCTTTTTTTAATGCTCTTAACATTTTTGTATAAATTTAAAAAGTATTTAAGCCTATTAGAAGAGTGGAATGACAAAGAAGAAAGAGAAAATGATTTAAGCCATCATAATTAAAATAACTTTAGCTAAGCATAGTAACAATAATAGGAATTATAAAATTTCTACCCTTTGAATGTTGAAAGAATAGACGAAGAGAATTCATAAGTATTTTATAAACATATTTGATTAGTTTTTTAAATAATTTTATAAATAGGAAGCAAATTCTTAGAATACAAATTAAACAAGGAAAATAAGCTCTGCAGGGACATAATCATAGGACCGTGCTATAGATAGTTATTTTGGTAATTACCAATTTGATAATCATAATGAAGAAATAAGAAGAAGTTCAGGACTAAATATTTCTAATGAATATCAATGTGGTGAAAATAACCAATTGAACTTAAGGCCACAATCTTAAAATTAAAATAAAGTTTAAAATATTGAATAGAATTAAGAAATAAATCCTGCTTAGCATTAATAAAGCAAAAGTAGATAAAATTAAAATAATTATTAAGGTTAATATAATTATTCTGAATTAAATAATAACTCTTAACGAAACTATAAAAGTGATGCTGATTTTAATCAGCCTTAGCAATAGTCTTTTAACGATATTGAATTTAACCAAAGAGAACATAGTATCAATTAAGAAAAAGAATATGAAAGGAAGACTTCAGCTTCTTTTAAAGTAATCGATAAATTTAATTTAATTTTTGATAAATATTTATTTATATTCAATTTGTATGTTAAAAAAGGATGGTCTTCTTGCCCATTTAAATGAAGTGATTAACAATATTTCATAAGAAAAAATGAAAATCAGAGATGCTCTCAAAAGTAATTTAGCTTCATCAACAAGCAATCCTTAGATTTAAAATCAAAACCAAACCGTTAATAATTAGTAGACAAGAAACTAATAAAGTTTTATAAATTAAGAAAGTTCTAAAATTTCTTAAAATTAATTATAAATTAGCTCTGAGAAATTGAGAAATAACTCTTCAAGAAGTTATAATGATTATCAGGATTTAAATATAAATTAAAATGAAATTAATTCATAGTCAGATGTTAAATAACAGAAAAAGCCTGACGATGATTTACAATAATAATACGAAAGCATTATATAAAAAATTAAAGAACAACAAATGTAAAAATAATAGAATCATAATAATATTTAAATTCAAATGTACAATAACATAAATTATGATTAAAATACCTTATAAAATAGAGAAGATAATGAGCAGCATATAAAAAATGAGTAATTATAACATCTGCCACTATCATAAATACAATAAAATAATATTGAATAAAATTATAAAAATTCTAGTGAACAATTTTCATTTAGAGAATATTCATGATTTATCTAACTAAACTGAAGAGATAAAAATGTTAAGTAAGAATTGTTTAAAAGTTTCAATAGAGTATTACTACTTGGATTATATTATTTATTATTTGTTAAATGAATTCTTTATTAATAGTTAAAAAGAAATTTATTTATTTTCTAGAAAATAGTTTACAATTATAAAAAGTTTAATTCATAAATAATTTTTTTTATTTCTTTCTTTAACAGAATTAGTTAATTAAAAGTTTGCCAAACTATAGAGATAAAAATCTTTAAATACTTCAATAAAATATTCTCAATATGATTTTATTTATTATTTTTTAAGATCATTCTTTTTTAATAGTTAACAATAAATTAAAATTCTTTACCTAAATTTAAGGTTGAAACAGTATGTAATTAAAATAATTTTAAATAATGAATCAATTTTTTTCTTTCTTATTTCATTCTTTAATGCAGTTTGTTGATTAAAAGTTTGTCAGATTCAAATAAAATCATTTTTAACATAAATTAACTAAAATTTTTATATTGTTTTGGTTTTAAAATTTACAAAGAATGAATATAAATAGGATATTTGATTGATGATCAGGATAAGAATAGTTGATTGATTATCTAGAAATTAAATTTAACTTGGCTTACAAATCTTTTTTTGGTATATAAATCAACAAATTATACTAATAAAAATACAAATTATTGAAAAAGCAATAATCTCTGAATTACTGCTACTTGGATTTGGGTTTATATTTGACTCACAATTTATTAAATCATTTAATACACTTTAAGCTGTAGGGTTTTTCGAATTACAATTTTAATGGACACATATACTATTAATTGTAAATGGTTAGTTATCACTATTATCTGAACAATAAATAATGCACACTTGGAGAGATCTAAGAGCATTTAAGCAATCAGTATCTCCTTATCTACAAACTTGATTTTGCTATATTTTTTTTTAAATTTCTGATCTGCATTAATCGGCAGCATCTTAAGCAATAACTATTCCTAGAATAATTATAAATGAAATAGTAATGTACTTCATTTTTATTTATGTTTTCTACTATTTAAATACTTCTTTTATAAAGTTTATGAAAACAATACTTGGTTTAATTAATTTATTATTTTTAAAATTTATTATGTGTGCAAATCAGATTATCAAGCTCATAAATAAATTATTAAATTCTAACCCTATTATCTATAGATTAGGATCTTGCAAGGTTTTTATTTGAAGAAAATTTATCTATTTCTAATAAAGTTAAGCTCTGCTAAATTTTAACTTGATAGATATCTAATAATCTCTTTTAATAAGGAATAAATTTTAGCTCTTTAAATAGAAGATTAGGATCTGATAAGGTTTTGTATAAAGAATATTTGTCTATTTCATAAATAATAGATTAAATTCATTTGAATTACTATATCTCTAGGCATATCTAAAAAAGTTTGAATGTAAACAGGTTAATAGTTTTTATTACAAAATACAATAGAATATTCAAAAATTATTTTCTAAATTTTAAAACCTATTTATACAAAGAAAAATAAGATCAAGAATGTATATTTTCATTTTTAATTCTTTAATTTGTATCGAAAAAAATCATCTTAATAAATACCTTCTCAATTTACCTATGGATATGTTCTTTTTTTAAACATAAAGATTTTATATTTTAGTTTTTAGGATTGTTTTCAAAAAATAAAAGTAAAAAACAAGAAAAAATATTTTTTAATAGAATGTAGAAAAGGTATTTAACTCTATGATATTTTTCATAAGAATTTTTATATCTATTCTATTCTTTAACTTTTTGATTAAAATATAACATTTTTATTTATTTAAAATATAAGATTAAAAAATACAATTTTTATGATTATTTTTGCAATTCTATAAAAAATAACACCAAATAATTAACAATTAAACAAATATTTTATTAAAACTTGAAAAAAAATAGTTATTTAAAATGATTTGTTTTAATAGCTTTTATAATTCTGTCTTTTAGTTTTCAATTGATTTATTAAAATTTTGATTTATTTAAGAGTGTTTTTTAAGCTAAAAAAGTCAAAAAGTGATACACAATTTTTATGATTATTTTAATATTGAAAATAATAAAATAAGCACATTAAAAAATTAAAAAATAAATAAATTTTCAAAAAATATTTTCTGATTGAACCCAAAGAAAAATAGTCATTTAAAATTTTTTATTTGAGCAACTTTTTTTTATCTGTACTATTAATTAAATTGTTGATTATAAAAATTTTATTTAAATATTTAAAGATGTTTATTTAAAATTATAAAATGAAAAAAATAAACTAATGTATTTTATGATAATATTTTAACAAAAATTCGTATATTAATAATATATTCACAACAATAATAAACAAAAAATAAACTATTAAACAAATAAATTTTATTTTTATGATCTTATATCTATATTATGAGAGGAAAATTATTTTCTAATCAACTAATGAGGAATCTATTTAATCTTTTGAATACATCAACCTTTTCTTTGCTTGTGGTGAGCTTACCTATAATTGTACCACGACATACTGCAATTGTTTCTTCAAATATTGATTTCTTCTTAGTTTTGTCATTATAGTTATGAAGCATAATATGATACACATTAATTTTTTTGTATTTTCCTTCTACCTTTCCTCTGTATAAGCCATCTTATAACTTTGTTAGATCTTTTGTTATTTTTTCAATGCTGTTTGTTGAGAGTAATTCACTATTACTATGTATGACAATACATTCAGAGGCAAAGTTGGGTTCACTTTGCAGTAATTTAACATAGTCAACAAAAGTACGCTCATCAGCTGATTCCCAAGAATTGAATAAAAGGACTAGTGCCTGAGCAAAATTGCAGATGAAATGCATAAAAGATTGATCTGCAATCAAATCTGATTCACATAACCCAACCTTTTTATTCATGCAAGAGTATCTATAAAGTTACATTTGTTTGTTACATGACTCAGATTTAGTAGTAATATCCCAATCTTCTTTCTTTATTGAGTTAATAACAGCACTCTTACCACTTTTTGAGCTTCCCACAAAACCTATTATAACGTCAAATACTTCACTACCCTCTAAGTTCTTGTCAAATTAATATCTAGTGTTGTCGCTAGAATTAGATGCTATATTTGAATAGTTTAAAATTTATTAAATGTCAAGCTCAATAAATAATTGATCTATTCTTGGTGTTTTTAAAGGTAAGATATTATAGTTTGAGTAAATAGGTGTTGTTTCTTATTGTCTTGGTGGAGGAGTTAAAATCTAATCTTTCTTAGATTGTAAAGGAGGAGTAACCATTTGCTATTGTTACAAACGACGGTTGTTCAAAGGAGTTGTATTTTCAATATAAGACTCTGTTTGCTAGATGTCATTAATTCTGATAATCTTGTTCAGGTTTTAATCTTCTTGAGCTTATTAATGTTGCTTTTATTGTTGTAATTACTTTTACTATTACTATTACTATTGCTATGAAACTTCATGATCCCTAAAAGAATCTATAAATCCAATGTTATCTTGTTTCTTAACTTAATCTAAATTATTCAATTGTTAAACTTTAGGAGTGAGATTCATAGGATGTATTGGCTTAAAATCTTTTTATTGATATTAGTCACTTAACTCTTTTAGCTGCTAGTGGAGTGGCTTCAAGTTATTTGGTGAGTTATTTGTTTGAGGGGATGCATCAGGTCTATTTTAGTTTTATTCCTAAGGTTTTTATTCTTCTTTAACATTATCGGAATGTACTCCAATGAGTTCTTCTATTTATTTAAGCTTTTCAATTTGATCAATAGAGTTTTTATGGCGTCCTCCAAACGTTTACTAAGAAGCATTATCACCTGCTATTTCCTAGTCTTAATTGGTTGGAGTATTTTTTGCTTACACTTGTGCAAGTAGCTCTTCTTAGTTTGTATCATCCTATTTTTTTTAATTTATGGAAATCAATTATTGGGTAATTGAATCCTATTTTGAAGGATGATTTTATTCAAATTAATTTGTAATAATTTAACGATTGGGTATAGTTACTTTTTTAAATTCACTTTTTAGATCTGCATTTAGATTAATGTGATTTGTATCTTAATTCTCATGCTTTGGCTATTCTGCTGCAGGTTTTTATTCTACTTCTTATTTACTTTTGGGATTAAAAGTTGCTGCTTCATTCTTTTTGGTATGGACTGGAGAGAAATCTGCTGTAGCTAATCTTTATCTATTATCATCTAAACTTTACTTATGAGCTTCAATATGAACTTGTCCATTTCCTTTATCTTCTTCATTAATGAAGTTCTTTTATTAATTTAAATCTTCCTTTAATTTTTCAACATCATGAGAAAGACTATTAAATTCCTTTTGAATTTCTCCAAAACTTTCAATTTGCTTTTAGTTAATTGTTTCAAATAATTATTAAACTAACTTAGAAAAAAATAAATAAATACTTTTTATTGCTGTTGATGATCAACTGACATACTATTGTCTCCTCTATTTGATTAAATAAATGATTCTTCTTTCTTGTTTAAGTCTAATTTGATTTAGTTGCACTTCATTTCTATTTTATCAAGCTACTTTTCTAAAATTTAATATTATTTTGTTGTATTTAAGGAGTTTTCTGGTTAATAAAGCTATTCTTCCAAAAGTCTATTTCTGTTAGTGATTCTTTCAAGCTCGTTAGCTAAAAAGTCAAGTTCTTGCTTTTATATTTAATTTTCTAGATGTAGTTGGTTGAGCTTCTCCTCTATTCCATTAAAATTCTCACCTGATTAAAATTCTTTATTTTCTTTTTCAAGCTATTCAATATGTGAAATCATTTGTTAAACTAGTACATCTTTATCTGTATTATCTTTCTCAGATTTTTTTAGTTGTATTTGGAGAATTTGATTGTCTTTGAGCAAAATTTCTGATTCACTTATCTTTTTATTTAATTCGCCTTTGATTTTTTCATGTTCTTATATTTTTTATTCTAGCTTATCTTTGAAAATGCTATTCTGAATTTCACTCTCAGATAACGACTTACTTTCATATGTTTTAAGCTTTTTCTCAAGTTCAAAATTGCGATTCCTTAATTCTAAGCTTTAGTTTTTTAAAGTTTCTATTTCTCTGAGATACAAATTGTTTTATTCATCAGACTAGTTGTGATCAGAAGCGCTTTGAACTTTGTTTAACTTATTTATTAATTTATTTTTACTATAAATAATCATTATTCATAATAATTAATTATCAATAAAAGTTTTAGATAATTCAAAAATAAAATGAATCCAACACAAAATAAAATAATATTTTGAATGTTGTAAAAAATTAAATTGTTTAATTATTTTAAATTGGAATAAATGTCTACATTTCTATTAATCTTTGTATGAGTTTATTATTTTGTAAAATAAGATTTTATCTTTGAGTTTTATAAAAAGAATTAATATTACCTTAGCCAATCTTTCTAATTCGTCATTTCTATAGCGTTAGCTTAACAACTACTTGTTTAGAGACTCTAATTCTACCCCAAAGTTTTTAATGTCATCATCCCACTTTTATCTTAATTCTTTATTAGTTTATTCAAATATTTTTAATTTAGCAGTTAGATCAGTCACATTAATTTCTGAGAGTTGCAATTTATTCTTTGTTTTATGAATTTCTTCTTGCTTTAAGCTAAGTTGTTCGTTGTAATAAGAAGTGATTCTTTCCATCTTTGCTTCCCACTCTTACCTTTGTTTTCTATTGTTATTTTTTTCTGTATTAAGTTCTTTTTCATATTTTTCCTGTAAATTAGTTAACATTTCATCCATTTCTCTAAGTTTATCAGCTAGTTGAGCCTTTTCTCTTTCGTATCTCATCAGCTCTTGCTAGTCTAATGTTGTCTGCTTCGTATAGTATAACTTAAGTTTCTAAATTTAATTTTCTAATTCACTTTTTTCTTTACGTAAACATTCATTTTACTTTTCTAATGATAAATGCTAAAGTGTTTTATCACCAATTGTATAAGTGGAAGTAGATATTTATGATTGAACAGCTTACGGTTGAGAAGGCAGATTTCTCCAAGGAGATGTCTCTTGCTAAACTTTACTTCCTGAGTACTATAGTGGAGACTAGTTGGGCAAAGACTACTAAGAACTTTAACCTGGCTACTCGTATTTGCTAATAGGAGAGGCTCTCAAATGATAATATTTGTAATAATTACTACTCATTTAATCTTTTAAATTTTCAATTTTCACTATTTTTTTTAGCTAAATAATTTTTATTAATCGATTTCTAAAATTTATTGCAGTTAAAATTTGCATATAATCAATCGCTTCCTTAAATTAATATCCAAAAATTTATTAATTATTTGAAAAGGATGAATAAGATAAAATATTCCATCCACTAAAAAAAATGCAAATCTTATAATTATTATTATTGCTTTAAAATTCAATACTAAAAAGAAATAGCTCATAATATAAAATCTTACATAAAGGAAATTTAATCATCCAAGTCTAGTATAAATAAATCAAATTTAGATACTGACTTCTAAGTAAAGATTGATTACTATATTTAAAATGAGTGAATTTCATCCACAGAAGCTTTTAAAAATAATTACTAAATTATTAATCAATAAATCATCACATTATTTATTTTTTAAGTTATTTTCATTCATAAAAACATATCAAAATAAATAATTTTATAAATAAGAAATATTGATTAAAATAATTTAATATATTTAGGTGGTTTATATATTTATTGAATTTATTACTAATTTTGAGCACATTAAAAAAATTTACAAGTTGATTTCATCCATGCCAAAATAGTGACTAAATAATCAATCAATTTTCCATAGAATAATAGACAAAAAAAATAAAAATTTTTTGATATATATAATATTAATTAAAACAATTTAATAAATATATTTAATTGAATTATTTATTTTTAAACAGATTAATATTTTTTTAATTCAATTCATCTACAAAAGCATATAAATTATCAACGAACAAATTATCACATTTTATTGATAATCTTTAAATTATAAATATTGGTTAAAATAATTTAATATACTTAATTGAATTATTTATTTATAAAAATTTTTATTTATTTTTAAGTGGATTTAAAAATTTTTAATTTGAAACGAAATATGAATGATGCAAAAACAAATTACTAATTGATGATGATAATATTAAAATAACAATTATGTATGACATTTATTTTCACTTTGAAAGAATGTTATTTATATCTAACTCAAAACCTGTGAGCTATTCTTCAATCATAAGATTGAAAACCATTATTGGAATGCTTCCCTTAGGATCCATTAACATAAAGGCTTAAAACTTAGCTGAGTTATCGCTTTCTTTAGAAATAAAGATGCTATAAACTTTACCTTCAGCTCTGACAGTGTCGGCGTCTTTAGGAGCAGCTGGGTGTTCATCGAGATGTCCTCTGGTGATAAGATATTCATTGGGATTTACTTTTCTTCTGTGTTGAATTCCTAACATTTCTCTAGAGCTTACAACAAATTTACCCTTGGTTTTGAATAAAAGAACTTAAGTATCTGCATCAATTTGCTCAATAACTTTAAGTTGATCACACATTTCTCTTGAGTTTTTCTAACCTTCTAAATTTTCAAAGAAGTAACTAACTACTTTTTCATAGCTAGCAGGAATGGTTCCTTCTAATTTCAAAAGCTTAAGTTCGTAATTTTAGTATTTGGTTGTAGAGAGTGTTAAGTATTTTCCTTTCTTTACTTCTTCCCAGTTAGTAAGTTTTCTAACTTCGTAAGAATCTGCAACAGAGGTTTCGATAATTTGCTTATTTTTATTTTGGATCATTTTAGTTAGTTAGGCTTTGTTGACTGATAGCTTTTAGATACTTGCTTTTATTTGTTTGATTGTTTGTTAATTTATTTTATTATTCTTCGATTGTGATCCATTTTTATGGAGCTATTTAAAGGATAAAAAAATTTGAAATCATTAAAATAGATAAATATTATTGCGTGAATTAATTATCAAATTTAATTAATTTACATTATTTCAGATTTTCAACTTAAAATTAATTTAGAATTTATCAGGAAGGTACACTCAAATGTTTACATTCTCAAATTCATTTTTTCTTTTTCTATTCTTTTTTTTATTGGTTAAATTTAATATTTCAATATCTAAAATCCCAGCCATGCACAGTTATAACCAGAAAGTAACTTTTTTTACCATATTTAAAATTATGTTACATAATATGTGTTATTAATTGTTTATTTAAATTAAATAATAACAAAACACTACATTTTCATATCCTTTTTTCCAAACTATTTATAGTAAAAAAATATCAATAACATAATAAAATTTAAAGTAATTAAAGTATTTTTTTTGATTTTAACTAAAATTCAGCTTGTTTAAGCTAAGAATTATAACAAAAGTGCATAAGATTTAAAAAATATGAAATTTATTTTTAAATAATATCCTTTAAAATTAGAAATGAACTTAAACAACTAACAAATATAAAATCTTAATCTAAAATATTTATTTTGCTAGTTAAAAATGTTTCAACTTTTATTATTTAATATATTTAAATTGTAAAATCTTATTTTCTTAATTTAAAAAATCATAAAATTAAAATAATATAATCGAATAAAGTTAAAATAAACTAAATATTTATCAATAAAGTATAAATAAGCACATATGAAACATTATACTGAAAATTATAAATTTGAAAAATTAGAAGTAAAAATCTTATAAAATTATATATTTGTTTGCTTTCTTGCTTGTTAGCAATGATATCTTAAATACAAAATTATTATAAAATTGATAATAATAAAATATTTTTCTTATTTGTTGTGAATAAAATCTAAATATTTTTAACTGAAAAAATTTTTAAATTTAAAGAATTATTGAAGTTAAGTTTTAAGTGATAAATTATAAATGTTAGAACGAATGAAGTGACAAAGATCAAACATGTAGTTACAAAAGTAAATATATTATTTAAATTAAACTATCAATGATTTTTAGTGTTTGAGGGTGAAATTCGAATCTTATTTGTTTTACCCATCTCAATGTCAATTTCTTTTTGAGGATTTTACTTATTATCTATTAAACTATATATAGGGATTTCTTTGTTCAGAGTTTCTAATTATAATTACTTTTCTTCGTGATCATATCTTCCTTCAGCAAAGTTATTGAAGATTTGCTCAATGGTTGCTTGTCTGACATTGTATGATGCAATATTGAGATTTCTTTTATTGTGCTCAAATTATTCGAAGACTTTACCTATTGAGATTGAAGGATTAGTTATTTTAAATCTATAAAGGTTAGAGAAATGCTCAATAATTGAGAATTTGCCGAATTCGGTACGAATAAAGTTTTAAATTCTTTCTCCATCGTTTTCTATGCAAACATATTCAGCTAATTATTCTGCTGTGACACCCTTCTTTTTGTTAATGTTTTAGAACATAGTTTTAGCTGATCCTTCCAAGTCAAATTACTTAATAAGTTAAGGACTTCCTAATTTGGTCAAAATATTTTATATTTCATCCATAGTAGTTAATTTTTATTAACCAGAGACATTAATACCTTTCAATAATTGTTCTGCCATTTACTTAGGAATTTCAGTCTTTACAACGACTTCATATCCTTAACCAAATTTATTTTTTATTTAAGTAAGAGTTCCAAGACATTTAAATGCACCATTAACCATAATAGTTAATCTTGTACAAAGTGCTTCTGCTTCTTCCATAGAGTGGGTAGTCAAAATAATAGATGATTGTTTTCTCTTGGTTGATATTCTGGAGATAACATTCCACATGAAACGACGAGCTTCAGGATCCATACCTGTTGATGGTTCATCTAAGAAGACGATTGGAGGATTACCAAGCATAGCAATAGCAACTGATAATTTACGTTTGTTACCACCAGAGTATGTTCCAGCTAGCTTATGCTCGAATTCAGATAAGCCCATTTCTTTGATCTTTTTAGCTACTAAACCTTCACGTAACTCATATGGGATACCTTTAATTGCTGCATAGAGTTCTAAGTGTTCCCTAGCAGTAAGATTTTCGAGAAGAGCATCGAATTATGGGCAATATCCGATGTGCTTTTGAGCTTCACTCATTTGAGTACGCAAATCATAACCTTTAATGTGAGCTTATCCAGAAGACTATTAAATTTCACCTGCTAATATTTTGAATGTTGTAGTCTTACCAGCTCCGTTAATACCTAAGAGACCAAAACAGTCACCTTCTTTAATACCGAAAGAAACTCTATCTACGGCTACTTTGGGATCATTTTCATCAGTATAGTAAACTTTCCTGATGTTGTTGACTCTAACTGTGTATTCCTTAGGATCAGTTTTAGCAACAGTATCCATTTCTTTTTGAACATCTGAGTCAAAGTTATTGTTAAGATATTTAATTTCCTAATTTCTCTTAGGACAAATGATTTAAGAGATAGGTTTCATATCTTTGAAGAATTCTATGATGAAAACCAACAAGAAGTAGGCAGCACCTTCAATAGCAAGGCACATAATATCACCTCCGGCCATATCCATGTCATATGTACCTGCAAGAGTTTATGAACCTACAACTGTGGCATATAATTATTTGTTAGCCATGTTAGTTACACCATACCCAAAGCAGAAAGAAGGTAAAATACGGAAAACCCATTATAACTTAAGAGCAACTGAGTTGGTTGTTTTAATAATTCTTAAGACCATTACAAGTACTGGAAGAACAGCACCAGTTAAGAAATTAAAGAAGAAACCAGTAACTTAAGCACTGCCAGATGATTAAAAGAGGAAACCAAATGAGTAAGTGAATGGAATAATACCCCAACCATATAAAATGAAGAGGATGCTGATAGCGCCAAGATTTTCGCCCGACGCAAACGTATCTATGTCATATGCGAGTACCATGCAAATACATATACAAGATGGGAAAAGATGCTTTATCATATCCACTGCATAGTTGCTTGTCCAATAACTTATTATGCTTACTCCTGATACTAATTATTGATGTTTACTTTTTTCTTCACGTTCCTTAACAGTTAAGGTAATTAAAGAAGCAGGAATTAATGACAAACCAATAGCAAAGTTGAAAGCAGCTACAATACCTTATGTAGTATTTTAGAATCCTTTTACTGATTTAGGTAGAGGGAAAGGATTAAGAGTGACTGAGATGCTTTTGGTGTTATCTCCAGTGGCTAACTAGAGGATAGCGTTATTCATTTAATTAATGAAAAGAGGAGGAGTACTGCAAGAGATAGTTTAAGTTTCGGTTTCATAGGCATACTACATATTTAAATTATCAATTTTGTTAATATAGTAAGAACCCTTTCTATCAACACTTCTGAGTTCAAAGTTTTAATTATCCCAATCTTATTTTGAAGCTGCGTTGTAGAAAGTAGCCTTCCAATCATGAGGGTTGAAGTGAGTGAAGAGAGTATTCATTTTGCCTGTATCTTCGATACCTGAATAAATAATATTCAATGGAGTATCGTAAATGGAAGGTTCAATTAAAAGAGAAGGACTGGATTAAATATTATTAATAAGAGTAATAGCCAAACCAACAATAACAATCAAAATAGGAAGGAGTACTTCACAAAGGAGACCTCTAATATCTCTTCTGAAATATAAGAATCTCTTGACACACAAAGCTCTGAAGTGAGCGCAGAAAATGAGGAATCTACTTTTGATACGGACAGAGTTAAGATCGAAATTATCAACTTCTTCTTCTTCTTTTTCTTCTTATTCTTCCTTGACTTATTGAGAAAGACGAGAAACAGCCATTTTATTAGCGTGCTCTAAATCAGCAACTCTTAAGAAAACTTCTTCAAGAGTTGTAATTGAAATACCGTAAGATTCAATTTTAAATTAGGATTTTTATGAATCAAGTCCTTTAAAAATAGTTGGGAAAACGTTAACAGTTTCTGATTTCATTTAAATGGTGATTTCAGCTGAAACATCACTGAGAACATTAATGGAAGGATTGATTGATTTGACAAAATTAATAATAGGGGCACTATCAACAGTGTTGTCCTCTTTCACAATTGTCAAATTGTAACCAACACCGAAACGATCTTTTAAGAATTCAGAAGAACCGCAACAAATCAATTTACCCTTACCCATGATAGCAATTCTATCACCTAAATAATCAGCTTCATCCATAAAGTGAGTAGTCAAGATAACAATTCTGTCATTTCTGTATTGCTTTAGCATATCCCAAATATATCTTCTTGCTGAAGTATCCATACCACTGGTAGGTTCATCCAAATACACAATTTGACTTCCACCAATGAATGCAATAGCTACACTCAAACGACGTCTTTAACCACCAGAGAGGTTTTTACTTAAAACATCTGCTTTTTCTCTTAAATCGACATCATCAACGAATTTCTCAACTTCTTCTTTGATCAATTTGCTATCAGTCATACCTTTGAAGGATGCGTAAAGGTATAAATGTTCACGAACAGTCAAATTATCGAATAAGATATCATGTTGAGGACAAACACCCATGAATGTTCTAATTTCTTCCATTTAGGTTTCAATATCCATACCATTTACTTCAGCCCAACCTCCAGTCATAGTAAGAAGACCTGTGAGCATAGACAAAGTAGTAGTTTTACCAGCACCATTATGTCCGAGTAAAACGAAAATTTAATCCTTGTACATAGTAAGATTTAATTTATCAACAGCCTTAAAAGGTTCACCTCTACCGTGGAATGTTTTTTGGAGGTTTCTAATTTTAAGTACTTCATTTCTATTTTCTTAATCTTTCAAAAGTTGGGTAACATCTTCAATGTTATTTTGATTATTGAATTCTAATTATATTTCTTCGTCCTTTTGTCTTCTTTATTATCTAATTTCTTCATGTGAAATGGCTACTTTATTTTTTTTAAGGAAACAATCAAGGAAGAAAAGTGGCTTTCTTTTACGGCCAAATTCGTTGGGAATAACTTGATCTAAATATACAGCCAATATTGCGAAAACAGCTATATTGAGCAAGTTCATAAGAATCTATGTCTAAACATCGAAATTGTTAATCTCGTAGTCATCGTTGCTAAATCCAATACCATCCATATTAGCTTCTAATACAAGAATTAAATTGCTTGAGCGGATAATACCACAATGAGTTGAGAAAGAACCTCCTGTATATTAAGCTCTTGATTTAATATCTGCACTCTAGAAAAAGGCATCAGCCATGTACATTAACAAAAACCATATCATAGAAATGATTGTTCCAATCTTAGAACGAGTAAAGAAAGCTTATACAAAGAGAGCTTAAAATATTAGAGAAATAGTAAAGAGCCAGAACCAAATAAACAAGAAGAAGTAATCACTCTTTTTGAAAATGGAAATTTTGAGAACCATGGCCATCAAAAGAGAAATGACTGTGTAAGTGATTAAATACTGAATGATATATGAAAGATAGAATGAAGAATCTTGCATACCCATAATTTTCATACCTTCTCTAATTTTTTTCTCCTTTTCTACCAATAGACTTTAAACTAGACGTAAGAAACTTAAAATCATGGGGAGAATCATAAAAGGACCAAAGTTATTACTTAACTATTCATCAATTTTATCTTATGTATATGAGGGTGATTGAATAGGATATATTTTAGCAGTAATTCCAGCAGAAGGATTACCAGTTTCTTTTTTTAAGATAAGATTATCGATATAGTGTTAGAGAGTCAAGAAACCAGAATCAACCCATAAGTCAAAAAGAGGATCCTTCATTTCAGTTTTGTATTTATAAACATCTGGACGAGTGGTATCTGGGACTTCATCATCTTCGTGAGTTGGTGGGCCAGTGTTGTTGAATAGGAGTTGATATGAATATTTACCAGAAACAGGAGCAGGTAATTCAATACCAAAGCACACTTCCCATCTGTACCCATCTTCTTATACAAAGTTATAAAGAGCGTCTACACTTGGCCATCTTTTAGTTTGGTAGCCGAATTCATTTTAAAGCATATGGTCAACCTAATCTACAAGATCACCTGTTTCAGGAATAAGAGCGACATATCCATTTCTAAATGAATTACCACCTTAAGTTCTTCCAATGCATTAAACAAGAGGTGGCTTAATTGCTTTGCCGCTTGCATCTACCTATCCAGTTGGAATACTAGGATAGTAAGTAGCTACATTAGGCTTATCAAAGTATGTTTGCTATGGTATATCTACTCTATCAACATTGCTTCTAAGAATAGTCATAGTTATGAAAGTTAAGACTACTGGCAAAAGAATTTCGAAGCAACTGCAGCCCCAACTTCTACGCCATAAAATCCAATTCTTTTTTAATAAAGCCTTCAAATGGCTTGTAGTTTTACTCATGGAACTATTGTTTGTGTTTTCAATCTAGGGAGAATCTAATTGATGTTAATTCTATGTTAAAGAAATTTAATATTAAGTATTCGATTAGTGTTAAACTTTTGGTTGAGAATCTTTTTTAGATGTGAAAGCTTTTAGTAATTATTAATTGATTTAACCTTACAAAATCTTTAGTTTTTTTTTAGCTTTTTGTATTAATAATATTTTTTACTTTTTAAATTAATAATATCATTAAATTAGGTTAAGATTTTAACATTTAAATAAATTTTGCAAATGATGTATTCAGATAGATTTGTTTTAAATTTGTAAAGAACTTTAAATTTTAAACGATTCTATTTTAATGAATATTAACTCTATTTTACTCATTTTTCTTAAAAGTCTTAGAGTTTTGATATTATTCAAGATTTAATTAACCTGATTTATTTTTACAATTACTTTTGATCAATATTAAAAAATAAAATTTTGTTAGAATTCATCATATAAAAAAAATTATTTACTCTAGTTCAACTATAAAGTCCAGTCCAGTTCTTTTATTTATTCATTTAGAAGCATATTAATAGTTTTCTATTCTATTCAAAAATAAAATGTAAATAATATCTGAAAATGAACGCCATCTAAATGAAACTCTAGACATTGAATACAAAAGCTGCTTTAAAATATTCTAAAATACTTTTTGGTGATATTTGCAAAGGTAAAATATTTTTGCGATAATTGCTTGTCTCATATTATATAAAATCCTAAAAATCACTAAATTTTATTTTTAACTATCAATTTTTTAAATTTATTTATTATTTTGATAAATTTTGATTTCCTCTTCTGATTAAACCTTTTTTGATTATTTACCTCAATTTTTTTAATCTTTTTGAAAGCTTACAAGATTTTTTAATTTGATTGAGAAGTTTTTGAAATCAAAAATTAAAAATTTACATTATCTTTATTTTATTTGTAAAAGTAAAATGAAATAATAGCATATTATCCAATCAATTTTATAAATTTCGTTTGAATCTTACCATACCATTATTCTAAATTTATAAAAATAGTTACAAAGCATTCTTGTTGTACCAAAAATATCAGAAATAGCAATTGTCTATTTTATAAAAAAACATCTAAAATTTTAAAATTAGAGATAAACTAAAATTATTAGAAATTTGAATTTTAAATTTAAAATAATAAAATTTTATCTTCATTTTTAATGCAAGATAAATTACAAATAACATTTTATCAATTTTGAATTAACTTTTTATTTTTGATTTCAGTGTAAAGTCGAAAAAATAAATTCAAAATCAAATTTATGAAATAATTAAATTTCTAGTCATTTTGAATTTCATTGTATAATAACAAAGTTATTGTGTTGACTTTACTGAGGATTAATTAAAAAAGTTAGTTCAGTAAATTTGGAAAATACATTATTAAAAATTTAATATATTTAACTAAATTATTTTTGATTTATTTTACTACATTTTAAAATAAATTATATATTAAGTTAAAAACTTTTTAATTTCAAGAGTTTAACATCTAAAATGGGATTTTTAAATTAGTTGAATGCAAAAAGAAAAATAAATCATTTTATTATTTTTTTAATTACAAAATGGTAAAAAAGGAGTTATTGCATATTTATAAAAAAGTTAAATCATTTTGAAATGAGAAAATTATTTATTAATTTATTTTATTTGATAAAAAAGAATTTGATCTCTCAAGTACTCTATTTTAATTAATATTACTAGCTAATTTAATAATTTAATCACATAGCAAAATTATAATTCAAAAGATTAACTGAGAATAGATAAATAAATTTTGCATTTTTATTAATTTAATATATTTATTGCATAGTTTTCGAAGAATAAATTCATTATAATATTTTATTAAAATACTAATAAAAATGAGATTTATTCTGATTCATATCTTATTAAAAAGATATATTTAATATATAATTCTGAACCTTAATTTTACTTTTTATTTTTTTATTTAAACCTTATTGATTAATGAATAATTTTAATAACAATAAAAAGTTAATTTTCTTAAATGTTATTTGAAAATGTCAATAAAAAAAAAATAGAGTTTATAAAATACTTTACAAATCATCATTATTTTTTATCAAATAAATTTTATATTTAATCAACAAGTCTGTTGATTTATTTTTTTCAATTTAAAGTTGAAAGTGCTAACAAAAATAAAAAAAAATTTTCCTAAAAATATAAAATGAAGCTATTAATTGCTACAAATCAAACGCAAACAGGGAAATAATTATGCTTATTTGTATTATTTTATATATATAATGATTTTCTAAAGTTGTACTTTAATAAACAAGCGTTACTATTTAAAGATTAGAATTATTTATAAAAAAATTTATAGTACAAATATAAATAAATGATGCAGATTTTTTCTCATTTTAATAATGTCTAATAAATTTTGTATTAATAAAAGTGAATGAATATACTAGAAATTCAAGCAATTATTGGTGCTTCAATTATAAAATAAAATCTATTTGTGGAAACATAAATAATATTTTAGCAGCATAAGACTTTAGAAAATAAGATTTATTTTTAGTCACTTGAACATTTTTTCATCAATCTTAAATTTTAAAACTATCTATTTCAATGAATATGTATCTATGTAGAATAGACATTTATTTATAAAATAGACAAGAATTTATTTAAAAGCAAACATCAATTAAAGATAATTAAATAATTTTTATTAATTCATATTAATTTAAAATGTTAAAACTGTTAAATGGAATTGTGATTAAAAAACAAGGAAAAGTAATTAAATTTCCTTTAAATAATAAAAAGTTATTCAAATTATGAGCGAATATAAAATTTTATAAAAAGCTAATTCCATCCCAATAAAATAAATTTATAACTTAATTTTTAAAATTTAACTTAAGAAGGAATTAGTCATTCATTTATTCATGCCTTTTATTTATTTACTTATCTATAACATCATTTTCAAATTTTGTATAAACAGATATTAATGGGTGTTTTTGCGAAATGTAAATTAAATATTTAAAAAAGATATTCATTTTATCTATCTATCTATCTATAAATTAATTAATAAATCAGTAAATATGTTCTTCTGTCTATCTCTAATATCTAATTTGAATTATAATTTTCATAAATATCTTAATAATATCTTCATAATAAAGATTAAAATTTTATTGATAGCAAAATAATTTAAAATATTCCTGACTATTTTTCATTAATTCTAGTAAGTAAGCAAATACAAATAAGATTCAAAATATTTTAACAAATGCTTAGAATAAATATTTTAGTTTGTGTTAAAAAATGTATATTTTATGAAATTTCTTTTTTATTAGATTTTAATTTGTGATAATATAATCTATCTATCTAAGAGAAAATCTGTTCGCAAAACAAAAAATAAACAATTTATTTAGTGTTGTCTGATAAATAATTATAAAAAAAAGCTAGATAAATAATATATAGGAATTATTCTGTAAAAAAATTATCATTTAGAAGTAATTCTGAAGCATTCATCTAAAATAAATTAAATAAGCAAAATAAGCAATTGGTTATGGACTTTATTAGGTTTCCTTTCAAGACAACAAATTAAACAAAAATAAAAGAAAGCTTTAGAAAGCATATAATATCTAAATATGGAGGCGAAGAAGCATTTTAAGCTGTGGAAAAAGCTTTTGAGACAATTAATGAACTTAGAGATAGATTGAATTTTGATCAAGTATCAATTAATAATATAGTAGAATGCGAAAATTTAGAAAGGACTATATACAAATACTTAAAATATGCTTAATAACTTTAAAAAAAGTATACAGTTTTTTTAATTTTATAGTTTATGTCTGCTTTTCATTACTATTTCTCATGATATTAAGTTTTTGAATAATTTTTTTATGAATTGAAAATTTTTAGATTCAAGTTTGAGAGTTGGCAATAAGATAGAGTAAACATAGAGTTTTAATGGACTGATTCTTTTAGATAAAAGGAAATTATAACTAAGACAAGCAATTTGAGAGTAGAAATGTGTTCTATTTTATATAATTTGGCTATCCTGCTTTATTATATTGGTATAGCCTATATGAGTAATGGATCATCAGATGGACGTAAGAACGCTATTAAGAAGTATAGGTAAAAAAAATTTGCCAACCCTTTTTTTTTTTAGTAGCTGAGATATTTAGCAATCAAGTCAGAGAAAAGTACTTATTCAATTAATTTTAAATGATTTAAAGGTATGCTTTGTGGGCTATTATGGAATTAAAGAGGAATCTTCCATCAATCATAAAGGATCTAAAAAAGCCTCATTTAGACTTTACTGTCTAAAATATTTCAACACTTGAAAATATCTTATATGGTCTCTGCTATATTTGTTTATTTTTCAACTTGGAATAAAATGAAAATTAGATCGGAATTTAGCACATTGGTAATTTATTTTACTATTTATCTTCCTGATCATATTTCTTTTTTCCTGACCTGATTAATCAATCAATCAATCATATAAAAACTTAGATATTTGCGGGAATAATTTTTATATGAATTTAATCAGATCTTTAATTGTTTAAAGAATATATAGAATCTTTCTCTCATTATTATTTGTTTATTATAAAGCATCTCTGGCTGGTGAAGCCAATAAGCATTTCTAACTTGCGTTAAAAATTACTAATGAAGTTTTCAATGACTAGAATACTAGTTTCTCAAAGAATTTCCTTCTTGAGTAAAAGAAATTCTTATATTCAAACACAGTATACTATTTTGGTATGACAGCACTTAAAATGGCAAAGCATCACTAAAACAAGCTTGAAACAGAGTAATAAATCCCTCATATGGGTATTGCGATTGCCTATCTCGAAAAAGCTAGAGGAATTTTACAATTAGCGATGAAAAATTTAGATAATATATCCCAATCAAAGAAGGATAGCATAAACAAACTAAGCTAAACTATAGAGTAAATGTACTAAGAGTTCGTTTAAAAAAATCAGCAAGTAAATAAATTATTATTCAATTAATTAATTAAATGTAAATTTTATTCATTTGATATTTATATTTTTGATTGAATAATACTCAAAGTATTTAGTATTTCATTCATACAATTTTTTGTGCTATTAAAAAGATATACAGACATTAGATAATAAACGAATAGCAATTACCCATGACATAGCTTTAATAGAATATAAGAATAGTTTTTGCTATGCCTCCTGACTTAGAAGTCGAGTAACCCGATGAAGCACAGTTTAGAAACTTACTCTCTCCAGATATAATTTAACTTCTTAAAGAAGTCAAGAAAATAGCAGAAAGAAATAAAACTGAAGTCTGCAATAATCTGAAAGCCTTAAAGGAATTTAGAATTAAGAGTTATTTAGCAAACTTTGTGAACGGGTACTTAGAAATGTTGCAGCAGTCATCACATTATTAATAGAAAAATGGTATGTCTGCCATGAGGATGTCTCGTCAACTTCCTTAAACAATTTAGTAAAAATTAGATGCTATTTAGAAAAAAAAAGGAGAAGAGGAAATTTTAAGGCTTATTACAGTTTTAGATGATAACAGCACAAATGCATAGATTTATATAAATGAATGTCTGGAAAAGCTTAAAAAAGAAGAAATAGAAGACGAAATTAATAGAAATAAATATAAGCAATCATGGGAAATAGTTCCTTCCACTTAAGCCAATCACAGCTACATAATGAAGATTAAAGGTAAACAAACTATTTTTGTATTTAGATATTATATTTAAGAATTCTAAAAGAATTATAAGGCAATTTAAGAGAAGGTGAAGCTATTGATAACCAATCAAAATAGTAATATTAAGATCTGTAATTCTACTTCTAATTAATAAGGTAAGGAAAGGATTATATAGTATCTCTAATTCCTTAAGCATAGGACTAGCAGTTTGCTAGAGAATTTACAACACAAATTGAGAATATAAATTAATTAGACGAAAGCGTCCGCAATATTATATCCTAAGTAGAATAAGAGACAGATTCAAACAAAGATTATTTAGCCAAAGTTGATATTTAATTATTACTATCTTAAGCAAGCTAACAAAGATTAAACAGAGATAAAACTATTGAATTTATTTGTTCATAATCAACTCAAATTTACATGACTCTCAATTAAATTGTAAGATTAATACAAAGCTTTTTTTTATTAATTAAAACATGATATTTTATGTAATTTAGATAAATTAAGCTTCTTTAATGGTAGAAGAAATATGTAAAATATCCTAATTTCTCAATTCTAAAAAAATGGCTAATGAAGCACAAGATTCAATTAAGGTAAAAATGAATGATATTTATATTATTTTAATACATATTTTACTTAAAATTAAGGAAATTGAAAAAATAAATAATGGATTAGGAAGAATTATGGAATTATAAAGCGATTTAGAGCAAGGAATTGAGTTTTATAAATTATTGTTTGCTGCAATTACAGACATCGATTCTGAAATTGAAGATTATCTTACATCAAGATAGTAGTTAAAAGAAAATCAAATATATGTAATTGATGTTAAAAAATAGAATGAAAACAATGATGGATATGTCACAGATCAACCCTTCTTTGGAGACGGAGGCTTCCCAATAGGATAAAGTAAGTATATTCCAGTTAACAATCAACAGCAAAGCTTTGTCAATTAAAGTTCAGAAATAGATCATACTTGGTGATAGTTGTTATTAAATACTTGATTGTATATAATTCATGTTACAGCATTTAACTTGTTCAAAATCATCTTAAATATTATTTGTTCATTAAAAATAATATTCAATTATTTAAAGAAAGTTATAAACAAACACTTATTTATTTGATTGTGGTTTTCTTCTGTAAAGATTTTTTTCCTTGTTAAATTTTGCATTTAATTGTATTATACTACGCATCCAATTTTGCCTGAATATATACCAAAAAAAGGAAAACTTATCTTAATATTAAAAATATTTAAAATATATTTTTCTTTGCTTTATTAGCTTTTAAACCTTTAAAATTAATAGAAAAATCAAAAATGTAAAACTAATAAAGAAATGAGTAAAAAAATATGCATACTAGAATCTAAAAAGATAGATTTGAGCCACAAAAAGATTTTGTATTACAAAGGTTAATAATTATAGTACTTATTTAATCATATATTGGATCAGTGCGATTACTACTTTTACTGTATTTTATATTAAAAAAACTAAAAGATTATTAATATCCTCTTTTTATTATTTTTTAAATAAACTATAAATCATAAAACAGTGTAGCATTTATAGAAGCTTAAACATAAATAAATAAATACTATTCAAAAGCTACTTAATCAATAAAGAAAGATAGTTAGTTCATATTGAATTATATTTAAAAAATATTAAGCTCATTTCAGAATATACTTTGAAGCTGTTTAAAAGAAATAATGATGCTACAAAAAGTATTAGCTTTGTAATAATTTTTATTATCTACAAACATTTTTGTTCTAAACTTTTTATTGTTAACAAAATTAAAGAAATGACAAAAAGTAAACAGATTCAAACAAGGATAGCGAAGAGTCTAATAAAATATAGGATCCGTTTTCCAAAGCAGTTATGCATATTATTAGCAAAGAATATTACAAAGAAAGCCTAATAAGTAATATTTTGAAAAATTTAATTTAATAATGCTTAAAAGAATGGGATGAGCTATAAAAGCTGAATTAAATTATAAGCGATAAAGAAGATATTTAAAAAGCAATAGCTTTAATTGCCGAGACTCTAAGTGAAGATATGCAAGTAAAATCAATATAAAGGAATACTCCTATTTTTTTTTATGGTGATAAGGACGAATAAATCTACTATGTTTTAAAGGGCTCTGTATAGCTCTTTATTCCAAAGTCAGAAAAAGAAATCTGGGATGAGGTAGATTTTAACAGGAGATTAAAAAATGCTTCTAATGACTAAAAGGTATTAGAAGAAAAAGATAGATTTGATATCGTTATAAATGCTATTTAAAAAATGAAAGGGTCTCACATTGATTTAATCAAATAGAATGATAAACTTAAAAAAAAATATTTTGATGAAAATTACTAAGTATCTAAAATTAAAAAAATTTAATAAGTAAAAGCAAAATAAATGTTTGGAGAGATAAGCTATCTACTTGAGAAACCAAGACCTTATACTGCAATCGCCTCAGAAGAGTGTTATTGTGTTATTTTTGAACCAAAAATTTATAGGCGAGCACTTGGAGAATATTTCTCATTCATCAACTGCAAAAACATATATTTAAATAATTATTTTAGCTCTATGAGGAAAGAAACAATTTTTCATCTTAGTATTTCGTTTAACTAAGAAACCAAATTATAGCTAGGGGATTATTTATTTAGAGAAGGGGACTAAGGAAGTAGAATATACCTTCTAAAATAAGGAAAAATAGAATTTCAAAAGAGATTAGCTTCTTCATCTTCTGTATTTCATTAAAAAAGAAAGAACCTTTAAAAATTAAAATAAAAACAAACCTAACAGAAGAAAAATTAGAAATCTTCATTTACGATGCAAAGTTTAACGAAGTTAATTCAGCTAGATGAATAAGATGATACTTAATAATAACAAAACAATCAAAGTTTTAAACGTAGTAACAAAAAAAAGAAAACTTTCTAAATTTAAGAATAAGAGTAACCCTCTAGTCAAGATTCTTTAACAGAAATTCATTCAAATAAAAAAACATATGATTAGCTTAATGTAAGCACTTTTGGAACTTAAGATTAAATGTAATCAATTAAAATTGCTTCAATGGTTTAATTTGAAGAGTTTGATAAAAATGATACTTAAAAAGAGAATTTAATAAAATAAAATGAAAACTTGGAATAAAATGATAATGCTGATAAATAAGACGACTTCAAATATAAAGATGTCAGCTTAGGTATTATCTAATAAGGAGAGTTTTTTGGGTTTGAGGATATACTAATAAGCAGCTAAAATAATTATTCATAGAATGTGTCTTAAAATAGGAGAACATATTCTGCTAAGGTAATTTCGTCAGATGCTATTGTTTTTAGCATTGAGCGTTCCACTTTTTTGAAAATGTTATCTTAAAATGAGGTACTTGATTAAGATATCAAAACAAAAGCACTTATTAAAATCTAATATCATCAACAAAGAATAGATTCGCTAAAAAAATTTGAAGATTTCAAGAATGTGAATATTTATTAAAAAGTTCCTTTAAAGGATATGCTTAAAGAAAAATACCTTTAAATGGATTTAAGAGCAGCTAGCTAAAGAAATTAGTAGTTATCAATCACCAATTTACCTAAAATCAAAGATTTAAAAATTAATCTAGATTAAATTGATAATAGTTCTTAAACTTAATAACCTTCTTCATTAAGTCAATCACCTTAATAGAATTAATATAGTATGTTTAGTAAAGATGATCTAATAGATAACATTCAAAGGCAGTAAAGTTTAGCTAAAAGCTAGAAAATGAACTTAAAGTAAGAAAAAAAACTTAGTGACGACATAGATTGCTTTGATGAGTTAAACATACCTAAAGATATTAGTAAAGGTAATATTTAATTTCTAAAATTCCATGATGGTCAGTTTTCAGATCTTAAGAGCATGAAATAATCATTCATAGATCAAGAGGAAAGGATTAAATAAATTAAAAAAACTAAGCATTCTGTGAATATAGCTGACTAAAATTAATTAGCTTTAGCAAGGCTGTATTAAAAGACCAATTCTCCTTCTATTAAAAACTTTAAAGATATCATTTTAAAAAAGAACTCATCTGCTGTTAAGTCTAATTTTAACAAGCAAGCAGAAGATTCTTAAAATATTAAAAACCAAGATGAAACGCCTAAAAAAGAAGAAACTGAAAACTAGAATTCAATTAAGGATGATAATGATACTTAAAACTCTCCTTCTCATAAAAAGTTAAAGTTAATACTTACTAAAAATAAAACTCTAAAATAAATAGAAAGTTAGCCTTATGCAAAAGATATTTCTCTTACAAAAAACTCATCATTTTAAAACATTAATTAAGATAGCCCAGGAAAAATAAAAATAAAAGATATGAGCTCTTCCAAGGTAAGATTCCAACAAGCAAAGAGCGAGACAGAAAATGAGCTAAACACATATCAAGATTAAAATTTAAACTCAGAAACAAAACAGCAAGAAGGCATTTAAGCAGATGAAAAACATGAGAGTAAGCTTTTATTTATTTAAAAATGTGAAGGAGTATTAGATGAATAAAAAATCAATAAAGAAGACTAAATTTAAATAAGCAAATATGATGGTTCTCTTTAAAATTTAGAAGAAGTAAATTCAAATATGAACACTTAAACTGCTAATAATGCTAATAACGAAGCAAATGAAATTTAATATAAAAATAAATACCAATTAAAAATGAGTGAAATACTTACACCTAGAAATTCAAAAAATAAGCAATAATAAGAATTCATATAGAATTAATATCATTTAGATACCAATAATAATGAAAGTATTATCATACAAGAATCTGGGTCTATTAGGTAAATTAATTATAACTAAATTACCAATAGAAATACAAGTAACGGCAAGCAATAATTTTTAGAATTACCAAAAATTTTACTGAGTAGCTAGAGAGAGTAAAATAATTAAAATGAATAAATTTAAAACAGCCCAGAAAAGTAGTAGAATAATTCTGAGTAACTCTACAAAGGTTTATAAAGTTATAGAGATTTATAAATAAAGTAAAATGGCTTTTAGATGAACAAAAATATTGAAAGCAGATCTAAATCTATGAATAATTTAGAAGAACCTAATTAAATGGGTACATTTAGCTCATTTTTACCATCTCTTCTTAATTTTGATATTAAATTTGAGTAAGATACTTCCTAGATTTTTGATAATAAACACACAACAAAAAAGAATAAGTAAAATAGCTTTAGAAACGTTTAAAAAAGTAGCACAGACATTTAGTTGTAGGAATGTCAATCAACCCAATCAATTTATATTAATTAATATTTATAAAAATATAATAATACTCATTAAATTGTAAAGGATTTAAAGTAGCACTTAAACGATAAAATTAACAGCCAAGATGTTTCAACTTATATTAATATGAGAAACAAAAGCTTACCCTCATTATATTCAATAAATAATTCAATTAATCAAAATATTAACTCAGATAGCAAAAAATCTCGTCTAGATCTTGATTCTAGATTAATTTCTCCATAAAAAAATAATCATAAATAACAAATAAATTTAAATTGTTTAAGCTCATCGCCTATGCTTGAACAAAAAAAAGCTCACCAAGTCAGGCTTAGAAATTTTGAAATAAATGTAAATTAGAATCTCTCTCACAAATTACAGTTAGGCCATCCTGATGTAAAGTATATGCTTTCTTCAAAATCTACTAAGAAGTCAGGTGATTACTTTAAGCATTTATTTTCCAATCCTAGAGAAAAATTTAGCATTTTATGAATATTTAAATTATTTTATTATATTAATAAAAGTTTTATTTTATGTTTTATTATCAAAAAACATATATTGAACATTTTGTTAAAAAACTTAATTTCTTACCCTAAAATAAAAATAAAGCATAGTTTTTACCTATTTGAATATACTTTTAATGAATTAAAAAATTATCTATCTTTAAATTAATTAAAACTAAATTAAGTAGCAAAAAAAATTTGTGAAAGTAAATAACTTTTTAACTAAAATTTTTTAAAAAATATTGCATATTATATTTTTAATTATTTAGCACCATATAAATAAAGAAATTTTTTTTGTCTAAATAGTGAAAAATTATTTATTAATTAAAAAGCTTTTCTCTTATTCGCTAATTAATAAATTTAGTATAAGAAAGATAGAAGTAGAAGTATCTAAAAAATAGGAGAAAACTTTATTCATTATTTATTCTAAGTAATTTACAAAAAATGAAAAATAGATCATAGAGCTCTTTTAGCGAAAACTAATCTGCATCTATAGGAACAAAATTTGTAGAAAATCAAGCTAATAAGCAAAATGATTAATAGAATGAAGATGATTAAGTAAGCTAAAATAATGAATAAACAGACAAAAAAGGATACTAGTAGTAATATACCTATTATTAAGAAGAAAATATTTTAGGCTAAACCTAAAAAAGATAATCATTAAAAAGCCAATAATAAAAGAATCTTTAAAATATGTAAAATAATACTAAAGATAATTAATTTAAATTATTAAGAACCAACCGAAGATCTGCTTTTACAAGAAAAAATCTGATTGTTGTTAAAACATTTAAACAAAGACTATTAGATCTATGGAAATCAAGTATATTCAATAGAAATAGTAAGTATAAATTATTTTATAACTACCTTTTTACAGCATTTACTCTCATTCAATGCTTTTATATTAGTGTTCATATATCTTTTGGTATAAAGTTACTTGATCTTGCTAGTATTAATACAATTTATGCCTTTTTTTCTTTAAATGTATTCGATTTAGTTATTTAGTTGAACACTGATATTCTAGTTAAAGGTCAAGAAATTCGTGTTAGAGACCTTATTCTTAAAGAATATCTAAAAAAAAGCGCTATCGAAGACGTCTTACCTCTAGTTATGTTCTCAATTTACTATTCTTTAAATTTTAATATTGATTTTAGATATATTCTTTTGCCTTTTTTAGTTAAAATGAGAAAATTTAATTCTCTTGTGAAACATTTTGAAGAATCTTCTACCTTAAATGTTAGGTAATATAATATTGCTTAGCTCGTAAAATTGGTCTTCATTATGCTTTTCGTTTCACACTTTGCAACGTGTATCTGGATTTACGAAGCAAAATCAATTTTTACTGATAACAATTGGATGGTATTCTTTAACATTAATCAATATCACTGGTAAGAATAATATATCAGAGGATACTATTTTATAATAGTAACAATGAGTACAATTGGATATGGTGATCTCTATCCTATCAATGCTTTTGAAATTATAATGGCCATATTTACAATAATTTTTGCTACAGGTATATTTGGTTATAGCATCAACCAAATAGGTTTCATTTTCAATCAAATTTAAGAGTAAATTTAAATAATAATAAATTTACTTTAAGTAAAATTTAAATTAAAAACTAGGATGGAGAAAAAAATTAATAATGACATTCAAATTATAAACAGGTAGGTATACTAAATTTAATCTTACTTTTATTTTTAAAATTTTTAATACTAAGATATATGGAGAGAAAGAAAGTTAGTCATTAATTACAGTATAAGATAAGAGAGTATTTGGATAGTTTTTGGAGAGAAGAGCTTTTAATTAAAACAGACAATGAATCTATGATCGTTAACATGCTCAATAATTCATTAAAAAATGAATTATTTAAAGAAACTTATTTTGTTGCTTTTTAAAATAGTATTTTGAATGAGTACTTCTCCAGTGAAGTTTTAACTCAATCTATCAAACATATTAAAGAAATTTAATGCATCCCAGAACAAATAATTTTTTCTAAAGGTATTTTATCAAAATTTATAAATAAAATTTTAAAACATTCAATATTATTTTTTAAAAACCTAATTTATAAAATTATATATTTACATACAAACATTCTTTTAACATTAGGTGATTCATTTGATCATAGTATTTATTTTGTTGAAAGTGGTAATATAGATCTCTACATACCAGATAATAGCTAAATTTCTGTTTTATAAAGCTTAAAAGCTGGAGAATGCTTTGGAACCTATTCCTTTTTTACCGCTGAAGATAGGACTTGCTGTGCAAGAAGTAAAGGGTTTTCTAACATTCTAAAAATAAATAGGTAAATTCAATATTTGATTTTAGATTATTTATTTATTTTAATGAAATTTTATATTATTTTCAAAAGAGAAGATTTTATTGAAGTCTTAAAGAGCCACTCATAAGATTATGAAATGTTTTGTCATATTAAGGATAAATTATATTTTTAAAAAGAATTTGGATTAATTTATGACTATTGCTTTAAGTGTGAAGGAAATAGGCATTTAATTTACTAATGTCCAAAATTACATTACTGCCCTGATAAAAAATAACTCATTTTTAAGGATTAATAAGCAGAATAAAAAAGGGACAATAAATATTAAAGAACTTAAACTAAATAGCAAGGTTTTTTCAGATAAAAAATGTAAATTGAAGAAGGATTTTTACAATTAATTGATGAAAAAGAAGACTTAATTGAAGAATTTGAAGATTTATATTTATATGGAAACATGTATGAAGTTGTAAAGGATGATTTAGATTCTCATTACTAAAAGTAATCAAGCAACAACAACAACAATAATAATAGCAATATCAATATCAATAATAACAGTAATATAAATCAATAAAATAAAAATGGCCAGTAAATTTCTTAGCATAAAAGAAATTCATAATTGTCATAGAATTCTTAATTGTCTATACACGATAGACCAGGCAACCAATCATAATTTAACAGAAGAGGATCAAGGGAATCTACAAGAAGAATGCTTGGAAGTAAGTTTTTAATCAAATATTTGTGTTTTAAATTATTTTTAAATTTAAATATGAAAGGAAGGGTAACGACTAAGGAAGATATAAGTGATTTAAATTAATATTTCAAAGGTAGGAAAAAAAGCACTTAAATAAGTTCAACAGTGATTGTACAACCATAGCACTAATAGCCTTTTATATCTTAATTATAGCAACAATGGATTAATCAACTTTAAAAAAAAAATACATCGCTGACAAGCATGAACGAGATTGAAGAAGAAAAACCATAAAGATAATATTTTAATGGATAATAATAAGAAAATCATTATTTGAATAAAACAGAGTCAATAAAAGATAATACTAAATTGTCTAATCAATAAACACAAAGTGAGCATTCTATAAAGTCTCATAAAAATATAAATAATAACAATAATATTAGTAAATAATTGACTTAATAATCAACAATGATATAATCTAACTAATTTATTATCAACAATTTGAATAATATCATTACTATGCTTTAATCAATGTGTATAAACCCTCCTACAGCCACAAATAACAGCTCATATCAAATAAATATTAAAAATAACAACTTAGAATAATAAAGTACTTTGAACAGCCACGCTTTAAATTAAAACTAAGAAGAAAAATAACAGTAATTAAAGTTAGATAATTATAGTCGAGGACAAACAAGTAATACCCGTAACAATACCCATTATAGTAAATCAAATAAATAATTCAACTTTAATATGGATCTAGATAGTATGAAAATAATGAAACAATACATGATTGAATCGAATTACACAACTGTGATTGAGTCTCTTAATAGAGTCTTTTTAAATGAAATAAGAAAAACTCGCAAAGCTTCATTTAAATCAAGAATAAAGACGTAAAATTAAATCAATTTTTTTAATTAATTAATATTTAAAATAAAATTATTTTTTTAAAAGCAATATGACACAGCACAGAATAGATATCTTCTTAAAGAATTAAGAGTTAAGAAAATCCAATTCTCAGAAAAATATAATAAATGTATAAGTAGTTTACAAGAAAAGCTCCTTTGATTGTTATGATTATGAGAATAAGAATCCAGATTTCGCAAAAAGCATGAGTTTAGATTTTATATAAGATGATAGAATGTCAAGAGTAAGTAGACTTTCTTAATCTAAATAAGATATCAATAAATCTAGAGCAAGCCACACCTTATTTGTAAATAATAACAACATCAATAATAATAGTAATAGTCTGTCATTAAATTAAAGCTAAATTAATTTATTTGAAAGAAATAATAATGATTAGAGGAAAAATTGGGATATGAATGAATCATAAGAAAGAGCCATTTTGGACATTAGTCATTTTACACCTAATAAACCATCATTCTGAAATTTAAAACTAAAAAAAAGAAAGAAAGAAATTATGTAAGATAAAATTGGTTTCATTCAAAATATTAATAATTTAAACAAACAAATAAAACAAACAAATTTAATCTAAATAAAATATTATTTAAGTTTAAACTTTTCATTTATCTCAATTTTTGTAAGAAATTTGTATAACAAATTTAATTCAAATTTTTTGTATCTCAAATAAAGATGCATAAATTACAAAATCCAATATTATCTCAATAACAACAAGTACTAAAAATACAATCAATCAAAATTATAATATGTCATTCCACAATTATTTATGTGAATTCCGTGAACCCATCCTTTCTCATCAACTCTTACTTTTGTTAAACACTTCAAAATATTACAGTGGCTTACTACTGTAACAGTTTTTTGCTATTCTTTTAATATCTCCTTAAGCTTATTTTTTAGATTTTCAGATCTCTTTAGCATTAGATCCCAAGTTTCATAAAAATCAGGATACATTTTTCTCATTTACTCTGATAAATGTTCTGCATACTGTTGTTCTGAAGTTACATTTTTAGCTAACTCCTTATAGTTTTCATTATTTTCCATAGATTCTATTTACCACTAAAGTTAAGTTGGAAATATCTTTTAAATTTAAGTAAATATTTTGCTTAGTTATTATTTTCAATAAAGCAATACCTTTTTATCATCTAAAATGGAGAAATCTAATTAAATATTGTGTTTAGAAGCTTCCTTTAAATATTTTTCTCTCATTGCACCATATATTTAGTTTGATATACAATTTGCGCAATTTAAAGACTCTGATAACCACGGGTAAACTAAGAATCTGTAAAAAACAAACTATAATTTTTTCAAAATGGTAAAATAAAATAACTACTTTATGTTCTATCTATTTGGATGCTTTTAAAACAAAAGGATTGCTGTTTGCAAAGTTCTTTATAAAGGTGATATTAAAACAAGTTCGGTTTCAATCTTAGCAACTTAATCTTAATGGCTTATGCATTACTTCTCACCTATATGAAGAAAATAAATAATAATTAGGAATAAACTAATCTATTATTATACCAATTTAGTGCAAAGGTCCATCTATGTATTCAAGTGAAACTCTGAGGTCAATAAGAGTAGGATCTGTTCTTTACAATTAAGGATTTTCAATGAAAATTCTTTCATATTTGAAATTGAACTCACTCAAAGCATGCCTTATAAGCAACAACTTTTTTCCATATTTTTCTTCATTTTATGGAGGCTAATTAAAACTACATTTGTAGATTTATGCTAATTCTAATTCTTCTTCGTTTATTTAATTCATATATCTATCAAAAGTTGTAAATTAAAGCTAATTAATTTTTATAAAACTCTAAACAAATATTTAACTATTTATCAATTGCATTAAATTAATTAAATACTATAATATAAATTCAGAAAAATCTGCCAAATTCTATTTAATTTTAGGATCACATGTTTAAATAATTGATCAACTTGAAGAAAATATGAAACACATTCAAAATATAATAAAAATTGTATCAGAATAAAAAGCATAATCCTGTAGTATGGGACAATATAAGGCTCATGAGTTATATCAGAACATATAATTGATCACCTGTAGGATTAAAACTTTAAACTCACTAAAAAGAGATGCAAAGATAGGACAATAAAAAATGAATTATAAAGTATTTTTACTGTAAATTATGTGCAAACTTAATAAAAAAATAACATTAAATCAATTATAAGGGTAATTTAAACTTTAAAAATAAATATTAAAATAATTTACTAGCAGTGTTATCTAAATAAAATATTTATTTAATCGCTTTTACTATTAAATTATTTAGCTCAAGCAAGCAGAAAGAACTAAAAAGTTGAGCTATTATATAAATTTATTTAAATAGATAAAGGATAAGCAATAAATAAAGTTTTTAAGTAAGTAAAAGACAAAAAAATATTTAGATAAATTATTAGAGTACTTTGAGAGCATAAGAAATAAATTTTAGAATTTAATTATATTGAGTAATGATTTTATGAAATAATACATCAATTAAAGAAATTTAATTATTAAATAAACTACTTTTAGTTTTTATTATGATTATTTATAATTTTATAAAAAAATAAATATGAAATTAAACAATTAATTTAATGAATTTATTTATTATTATTTTTATTTATCATTGTTGTTATAAAAATATAGCGTTTTAATTTTTTTCTTATATCCTCTAAGGGCTATCTTTTAAAATAGTATATTTATCAAAGTTAAAAACTTATTTAGCTACCGATTTAGAAGAGGATAAAGTCTTTCTATCGTTTATGACAGTTTCCATTCTTTGAGTTTGGTTACAGATCTATTAATTATGCAAAAAAGATTTATTTCTTTTGATTTCTGGTTAAGTAACTTAAGACTAAAAGCTTAGCTTTGGTAAAAAGTTGATAAATTGCTTTTCATGCTAGTTGTTGTTTTTCATTTAGAATTAATTAAATTAAGATATTTTAGTTGGAGAATTTTTAGCAGTCTCACTGATAGGTATAAAACTACATTTTATTGGAGAATTTTCTATTTTGCTTGTGTTAATGAATAACTTTTGTTATACAGCATTATCTAAATTAAATCTTAAACTATTTTATGGAACTAATGGGCTTTAAGTTTGTTTATAAACAAAATTTTCTCTGTTTGTAGAAATAAAATCTTATCCTTACAGAGCTTCTTAAGATTAATATCTAATAAGTCTCTTTTTTTAGGGGCTAGATTCTTTAAGCTGGGTTTCTTCGCTTTATACATCCAAATTTTTTAATGATTGTATATTATTATTTTAAATATTATTAAAATTTTATTTTTGCCCATTTTTATTTTCAATATTTATTGAAGGCTGAGTTGTAAGTATCAAAGGTTTTTACTAGTTTGAAAAATCAATAGAATCAACTCTTCTTGCTCCTATAAAACTAAAATTAGAAGTATTGAAAGAAGAAGAGTTAAAGTTGCTAAAATTTCCAGAGCTAAAAAGTAGATGATTATCTTTACTGCCTTTATTTTTAGGAGAATTTAAAGATGACTCTGTACTTAGTTATTTAGTAGAAAGCACTCTTTTTATTTAAAAATGTTTTGGAATTTTATCTGATTATAAACTATTGATTGCAAGGTTACTCCTTTAGCAAATAGTTGGATATTATTCTTTGTTTATTTAGCTATTGTTGTATTAGTAATATTCGTTAAGTTGTAAATTTTTATCATCTTACTAAGGATTTAATTAATCATTATGCTCCATAAGAAATTTCCTTTTTAGAGCTTCGATTGCTCTCTATTAAGTATGTTTGTTTTTATTGAGTGAATTTTAGCTATTCAAAAAGGCTTCTTCATACCTGTTGTATTTCAGTTCTCTTCTTTTTAATTTCTCATTTTATACATAATTGCTATAATAATCTTCAAATGTTTTAAATTAATCAGCTTACTTTAAATCTTTAACTATTTATAATTAATCATTTTAAAAAGACTTCCAATCATCGACATTTAAATCATACTTTTATTGAAAGTTTAAATTACTAGTTGTAAACCGCTATCTCTTTTTTTTCCTCATATCATCAATCAGTTTGTAAAGACTTTAAAAACTGTAAAGTATTTTTTAGTTTGACATAGTTTGCTAATTTTATGGTTAGTATGTTAATGCCCTAACTTTATAGAGCTGATAGATATTTAGCTTATCTAAATCGAATATCCCATTTAGAATTAATTCATCATTATCCCATATTGAGTGATAATCATCTTTACAATCTATTTCATCAATATCACTTGAGCTATAAATAAGATGATCATGTGTTAAATATTACTCTTCACTAGCTTTTAACTAATTGCTATCTATTGAGGAGTTGTTTTATTCTTCATTATCTTCCCTTTTTTCACTCTAATCTCGCTTATATTATCTTTTTATACTCTAAAAAATATCTAATGTTTATTTTATTATATCTTTATTGCTACTAGGAGTACTTCTATATAAAATGCTGCTCTTTTAGCTTCTTTTTATCAAGCCAGCTTTGATGATATTGTTATTATCTTCTATAAATAAATTATTCATTTTATTTTTGAATTGGAATTGTATATTTTTCCAAAGAAAAATCTCTTTTATTTATTATCAAATAATTAGATTACTTAGAGATTTATCAATTACTGTATAAGTAATTAATTTCATTTGCAAATAATTGATATGACTTCTTAAATTAAAACCAGTCATTTTAGTTCCTAGTATTTTTTATAAATAAAAACAAAATTACTTCATTTAATAAATAATATAAATCACTAGTTTAAATTGTTTACCTTACAATTTTACCTTTGAAAAGGAAAAAAATATTTGATGTGATTTAATTTTTAACACATATTCCACACTAAAAGGTATAACAAACATTATATAATATGAAAGAAATATCCTAAGCAAATTTTAGACAATAAAAAATTGTAATCTAAAATATTAATTACTGAAGAGATTTTTATTAAAAATATATTTTAAGGATTTTAAGCAAATCAATTTTGAGTCCAAAATATTCATTAAAAAAATAATGATCATTATTTATTATTTGAAACAAAATGTAGAAATCAACTTAAGATATTCAAACATGATTTAATATTTGATGAGATAATTAAACATTTATTTAAGATTTAAATAAAAAATTAATAATTGAAATAAAAAAATATTGTATAGTTCATAAATTTAAATATTATTTGATATTTGATGATAAAATTAAATATGTATTCAAGGTTAATTGTGTAGAATTTACTACATTTAACTTTAAAAAAATTGTATATTATTTTTAATAATATACTCACTAAACTTTCAATAAAAATGTATATAAGAATTTTCTAATTTAATATGTTTAGAATAATTCAATACTATTAGAAGATAATATCATTCTATTTTAAAGTACTTATTTTTAATTAAATACTAAATTCCCAATTTATGGATATTCTATAAAAATGTAATTTATTTTTTTATAAAATCAAAAAAAGACTTAATTTCATAAAAAATTGATTTGATCAATCGATTTATATTTTTATAAAAAATTAGTCTTATATTAATAAAATCAATTTGTTTTTTTGTTTTCTAGTTGGATAAAATATTTTTGATTAACCCTTAAAACTATTATATGCCTTAATTTTTTTAGAATCTTATTTAGCAAGGTTTAATCTATTTATTTAAATAAATTAAATGTTTTTAAAAATTAATTAATTAGATTTAAATTATTTTTTCATTTGCATTTATCTTGTTTTTTGAAAATATAAATTAAAGAGTAATATTTATTCAAAAAATATTAAAATAAATTTATAGTTCCTTTCAAATTAGAACAGAGCTAGAAGTTCATTTTTATAACCATTCATTTAATATCCTTTTTTTTGAAAATAAATATGCTTTATGAATTTAATTATTCATCTTACTAACATTTTTGATTTCAAACAACTATGCAATTATCACATTTATATATATCAATAAAATTTTTGATGCTCAACTCAAGAAATTAATTAAAAATCATCTGAATTGATAATTAATATATCAACATAAATTAAATATATTGTTATAATAAATTATCACTAATTGTATAAAATATAACTTTACAAGTCAACATGAGAGGAATAGGTTGGAATTTAGATAGACAAACTAAAATTAAGATCTTATAAGATAGAGCTTACAAATATAATGACGAGTTTGATGAGCTTGAATCTTAAGGTTAAGACCCTGACCAAATTAGAGTTAATCTCTTGCAAAAAGAATATTAAAAAAGACATGAAAATGAAGTTAAGCGTACTTTACCATTTGATGAAACATAAAAAGTAATCAGTGTTAATGGAGCTACTGATTTAGGATTTGATTAAGCACATAAAACAAAATCTGCAACAAAATAAATGTATGAAACAATGGAGCAAAAAATTATTAAGAGAAAAGAGAATAGATTATTGGGCAAAAAAAATTCAGATTCAGGTACTTATTTATAATTAATATATTTTTGACATTTTAAACAATAAATTACTGCAATATTAATGATTAAAACAAATCAAATGTACTAAGAAATATATTTTGCAATTAGATAAAAACTTATTTAGCAAAATTATAAAATAGAAATTTAAAATTTGATTGATTATTTTTGTTATTTATATAGATTTGGCTGAGAAATATAAGTAATAAGATGAATAGATGAAAAAGAAAATTTATTAAGACCATCTAAATGAACTCTTCTCAAATGATTATAAAAAAGTTAAAGATCTTTCTAACTATTAACAAAACTTCTGTAAATTTATTATTATTAAAATAAAACCAATAATTTCTAACTAATTTTGCATTAATTTCAAAACAGAGTTTACTTAGGATATGTAAAATGATTGTGATAATTAGAACTTTGATCATCATTAACGTAAAAATGATTTAAAGTGGTATTAAGAAGCATATATCAAATATAAATCCACAATGCGTAAATGAAAAAGAAGGAACCTGTAAGATTGTGTAAACAAAACTACATAACTCAAATAGTTAAACAAATATTGATGTTTTTAAATATATAATTTATACTTGTTTATTAAGATGAATTTTCTTATGGCAATCAATTATCGACTTTTTCTAAATTAAATCTATCACTGATCATATATTATTTCTGGAGTTATATTTATCAATCCAATTATTAACATAATAAAAATCTTAATATCAATAGTTATTAAAGCTTCATAAAACCATTTATTTTTAAAAGTGTTAATTTTAATTTATTTATTAAAAATCATAGCCCATTTTAAAATTAAAGATTAACTGCCTAAAATAATTTGTTCAAAATATTTTATTTTAAAAATATAATTTCTAATAAAATTTAATTATCAAAAATATTAAATTTCTCATTTTCATTAATTTGATCAATTTATCAAATAAATAACTATTGAATTAAAACTAAATAAATAAATTAATTAATTAAATATATGTAATCATATACACTTTTAAACCTATTAATTCTAAAACAGTCATCAAATTTATAAAAATTACAAATTATTTTTTTATAAAAACATGAAAAAATTGTTCATAATTATAAAATATCTATTTCAATTTTTCAATATTTTTTTTTTGTTCTTTTAATAAATTATGAAAATAAAAATAAAATTTTTTAAAAATATTATATAAAATTTTTAAGCATTTAATTTCATGATATTTATATAAGTGTTTTTATCATATTATGATAAAAAAATAAAATGTTTTTATTTATTAAATTAAATATATTAAACAATTATAAAAATATAAGTCATTAGTAATATATCAAATAAAATTTTTAATTAAAATTATATTTATGCAATTAGAAAAATTTAATATTTTTGATTACTGTCATCCATAAAATTAGAATTTCATACACTAAAATGAATTGTTTAATTAATGTCTGATTTCAGAAGGGGAAAAACTAACTAACTATTTACCTTTTTTCTTCTCTGTTAAAATTGTATTTTGAAGGTTAAATGCTTATTTGTTTACAATACTTAAATTTTTACATAAAGAAATTAGTGTTTTATCTGGAAGTAATACAAAAATTAAAGGGCTAAAAAAATTTTTAGAAATTCTTAGAAAAAATTGCCAAAATAGAAAGATTTAGATATTATAAATAAAGGATATAGAAGAAAATATAAACATTTTTCTTAAGTGTCCTTTTAAATTCATTTTATACTTATTATAAATATATTTTAGAATTTAAATTTGCATCAGAAACCGAGTACTGACAGAGAGAGTCTGATAAGCAAAAATTATATTAGGAATCACATAAAAATGAAGATAAATTGCTTTTTATTACTAAAAATAAATAAAAAATAAGTTAAAATAAGGAGAGCTAATAATAAATGAAGATTTAAAACTAACATGTGTTAATTAATTTAAATTTTCTGTTTATACTTAATTAGAACATAAAAACTTTTTGTTCATGTGCTTTTTCATTCAGTGAATGAAAAAAAATTTAGTACTATCTCCTCAATTAAATGTTTAGTTTCGAAAGTGTAATTTTGGGATAATCTTAAACTTAATTTTATCATAATTCAAATTTGATTTTTTATCTCCCTCTGCTTTTATTTGTGCAATAAATTTTATTTCGGATAATAAAAAATTTACAAAGTGAGTGTGTTTTTGGTTTTTTTTTATTTATTTGTTAATTTTCTAATTTTATAGTAGAAAGACGTGAATGAAATGTTTCATTTTACTTTTAAGACTAACAATAAAAAAATAAGTATAGCTTGCTGAAAAAAAATCTTTATGCGAGGTTATTTATTAAATTTTTTATAAAGTAGTTAAAAATTTATAAGCATAGATAGTAAAATACACAAAGATAAATACATTTCAAATTTTTTAGATTTAGAATAGATAAATAATTTTTATTTTTGAGATTATATTTATATATTAGTTATTATATATGAATTATGGGTTGATTGTTATAATTAGTAAACTATAGTTAAGTTAGATGAACTAAATCCATAAATTAATCGATAGACAGAAGTCTTTTTATTTCCTAGATCAAATTTATACTCAATACAAATATAATTATTAATTTTGATACTGATCCTCTTTGCTTGATTGATTGTTTGATCTCTCTGAAGTTTTTTCTTTCCACTTCTCATTTAAAGTAAGTTAAGGATTTAATTCGTTCGTTTGTATAGGGGTGATAAGATATTTTATATTGATATTGTTATACATTAGGTTTATAAATATTCATTATTACAAAGCTTAATTACCAACTCGCATTCAGTGGGCAGGTTGAAGACGATAAGAAACGTCAAATTCAAGGAAGCTCTCCCATTCTTCTTTGTATACCTTAGGTTACTGAACCTACATCTACTACTGCTACTATTATTATTAAGCTTGTACTGAGCTGGAATTGATTTCCTCTTCAATCTTAATTTCAGAGGTGGGGGCTTCAATTTAAATCTATTGCACGCTGGTGCTAGGTACTGTGGTAGAGGTTTAGTTGCTGCTTTCTTCGCTAATTTCTTATGAGGAGGACTAGACATTTGTGGAAGGAGTATTAGAAAAAATAACATTGGAAACGGAGGCGTTTTTAACGCGATTTGACTAGGAAGAAGATGAAGAAGAGCGTTTAGACTTAGCTGTTTCAGAGGGTGAAGTAGAAGAAGCATTAGCTTTGTCACTTGAAGCTGCTGTAGAGGTTTATGATTTCTATTGAGCTCTTTCCTTTTAACGAATGGCCTTCATTAAATTGTCCAATTTCTTTTTAAGGAATTTTTTGTGAGCTTTTTCAGTACACTTGGCATAGATGTCAATATCATATGAATCTAGCAGGCATTTTTTGATAATCTTAGGAGTTATTTTGAAAGACATCCCCTTCTTCTCGCGAATCTCTTAATAGATTCTTTCAATTTTTTCTGAGTGGCCCTCAAGCCATCTCTTGGCGAGATGAATCTTGTATTCCTCATCACTCATAACTGGGTGATTTCTGTGTTGCAATCTACAATTGCTTAATTTGAACAAGATAGAATCATTCTTTAAACCCTCCTTTTAAGATGATTGATTTTCATCATCATCTTCTTCACCGCTATCGTTGTCTTCTTCTTCTTCTTCGACTTTAATATTTTCCTCCTCTATTGCTTTGGTGGCATCTTCTGAGCCAGCAATAGGATTTTTTTAAGAGATGGTGTTGGATGTAGGCTAATTTTAATGCTACTACTATTGAGTAGCGGAATCGCCTTACACACCATCTAGAGAAAGATAATTGATGTCATGATTAGAAGAAATAATATTGAAGACAAAAGGGGAGATTGAAGGCGACATGAGTGAGTAATGATGAGAGCTCATTTGCTACTCATCTATCATATTGAGGAAACTTTCGTTATTTTCATCCTCCATTTATTACTACTCTTATTGTGCCTATTATTCTTCAACCCTGTCTTCTTTGATATTCTTGTGAACATCTTCTTCTTTCATTTGATTAGAATTTTACAATAACATCTATGAACTCAAATTAATTTCAGCCGAACTTGCCTTTTGAGCGAGGGAGACTGAAGCACATGAGTCACCCATCTACTACTTGGCAGCAGCATTTGCTCCTTCTTCTTATGAAGAAGATGAAGAAGTAGTTTGCTGGGTGTTGGCTTATTAATTCATCGACATCTACTCCTATGAAGACATTTGATTGTCTTACTTTTTAGGAGATGATGGAGAACTTTTGGAAGATGAAGACAATAATGGGTTGATTTAATGGGTTTATAAAGAAGAATTGGGGGAGCCAGTAGAAATAATTATTGGTTGGGAAGAAGAGGAAGAAGAATTAGAATTAGGAAGCTACTAGTTCATTTAAGTGGGGGCATTTATTGCCTTAAAAGTTATCTAGAAGGTACACTTCTTAGACTTAAAATGCTTGCACTAGATATGAACTTTGTAGGGGTTATTATTTTTAATTGTCATTTAGATTTACTACTGAGATTCGATTTGCTTGCGAAGAGATTCTAGCTCTTGAAGGGTCAAAGTATCCTTCTGATGTATGAGCTGAGAAAGTTAGCACTTATCCATCTCTATGGGGGAAGAGAGGCTAGGTGCTTGGCTTGATGATGTGGTAGTAGTAGTAGTGGATTACATTTATGGTGATGATGAAGGAGTTTAGAGGTTGGTGGCTGCGGTGGTGGTGGCACTTTCTTCAAGTAAAACTTATTAACTCATTTCAAATCTTTTAAACAATTATATCTATTCAATAATGATAGCTAATTTTTGTAAAGACAAGCACAGATATAATTTGTTTTTTGTTTTATTTTTTTAATTAAATAAGATTGTTTTTAATTTTTTTTTTTTACTTTAATTTCGTCTTCTTATTTTAATAGTTTTTTGAAGGATCGCAACTGCAATATTTTTAGTATTATTTTACTGATAAATCTATTTGGCCAATTTCTAATAATTTTGATTATAACATAATTCTTTTCCATTCTTTCTCTTTGTCTAGGGCAATAACAAGAATTTTTATTTCTACCGAAGAATTACTTATATTTTATTATAAATCATTCTTCTTAATAATCTTCCCCAAACTATCTGATCTATCAGATTTTTTCAAAATCTAAACTCATTTCCGCTAATCAAAACTAAAATAAATACAAAAAACCTTTGAAAATGAATGCAATTAATCGACTGAATAAAGAAGCAAACAATCAAACAAACAAATATAAAGAGTTAGAAAAAATTTATGTAATTATGTGAATGAGTGAGGTTGGATGAAGCAAGTAGTAAATTGAAAATTTAAATTTTGACGTCACAAAATATGACGGAATTCATTGGTAACACAGATAAAAGTGTCTATTATATATATCCAATACTTTCGGATTGGAAGCATGCGAAGGAGCTATGCCTTCTCATTTTTTCTACATTGTTTTTCCATCATTTATTTTTTTTATCAAATATTTTCTTCAATTTTTTTTTTATGACAATCAAAAACTTTTAAAAATTATTGATTAAGTAAATTTTTTTGATGTAGTCAATAAATAAATTAATCAATCAATCACCTTTGAATTACTTTTTTATTAAATATTTCAAACTATTAAATCAAATAATATCCTTATTTATATATCTGTTTTTTTTGTTTTGTTTATAGTTATTTTAGCACTTAGGCTTTATAATTGAAATAAATCCAACGACATTTTTTAAATGGGTATTACAAAATGAAAAAAATATAAAATATTTTACAGGCATTAACATATTATTAATATTATTAACATTGTTTTGAATTTCGTAACAATCTTCATATTTAAAAGCTAACAAAAGTGGGAAGATATTAAAAAGAATTTTATAAATAAAGGCTATTTGTTGCTTTGTTTATATCACTCAGATTATCTATTTTTAAAGCACGTTGTCAAAAAAAAAATTGCTATAAGTGGAGTGAAAGATATTAGAATTTTCCAGATCGATCAATCATCTACTTCTATAAAAGCATCAGTACCATCTAAATCCCTAAGAAGCTCAGACAATTTAGTTACTTACTATTTTAAATATGTTTAAAAATTAGAATTTTTAAAACATTGGTTTATTATATGTAAATTTAATATGAGGATGATTGTGATCTATTCTAGATTAAAATAAATGCCAACCCCTTTTTTAAATTAAATTTTTTAAAGAAAATAAAAAACTCACCTGCAAATAATCAGGATCATTAATAACTCTCTATAAGAAATTGTCACGGTCTTTTAGATATTCATCTAAAACAAATTCACTGCAGGCTACACAGCTTTTTATATGCAACGATAAAAATAAGTAAATAAATAAATAAATTCATTCATTAAAGCAATCTATCAATAAATCATAAATAATATGAAATATATCTAATACTATAAAATTAATTTCCCCACCCTTCTCTCTCAATAAATATATGAAAATAAATCTCTATATGATAAAATATAAACAAGTTTTTTACTGTTCAAATGCTCTGCCATACATCACTCTTGTCTCAAATTCACCCATAGTTCCTCTGATATGCTAGGGAAGAATACCTTATTACATTTGTAGACACAAAATTTTAATTAATATATGTCAGATTAGATTGTAAATTTCATTAAATGGTTGAATAGCTATTTCAAATTCTTTTACTACGTTAATACTTTATCTTCATCCTTTTTAATGAAGTATGAAAAATTATTTGTTTTCATGAAAGCATTATATAATAGATTGTATTATCTATCACTCATCAATATAGCCTTTAACCTATAAAATCAAAACTATTTTAATTTACCTAGATCAGTTTGAGGTAGTTTTTCGATTTCATCAGCTGCAGGAGCTCCATTTTTCAGTGGGTGGTGCAGTAAAGAAATCAATAATTCACTTGCATAGGCTGAGCTTACAAAAGATAAACCAGGACGAGTAACTGTGCATTGTTAATCAAGAGTTCTATCCTTCATAGTATTTCCAGGAGAAATAACATCGTTGCAGAAATAGCAACTCAATCTTTCACCATTTATTTCTAATTTTTTAATCAAACATTTTAATAAAATTATTTTAATTTAATAAAAATAAACAAAAATCTATAAAATCATTTCAAAAAGAGATGAAAAAAACTAACTTGAACTGATTTCAAAATAAAAAAACTATCAATGGAGATACACATTTTTTAAATTAAATTTACCGGGGTTATGCACTTTAGGTGATAGACCATGACGAACAATAACAAAAGAGTCAAATCCAAGGCCAACAGTAATACAAATCTATTGATATTTCAAAATTTAAAAGTGATAAAATTAAAGTAAATTAATTTGAATATGCAGAGAGAGATTCAAGCTCTGAAACACTAAATGAAATCAATTATTTTTATTGTTTGTCTTTTCTCCTGCTTAATTTCATTGTAAAATGGGGAGGAGTTTATTAAACATGGAATAAATATTTATATTTCTAGGAAAGATTACCTTATTGTATTTGTTTGCTAATATGGTAGGTAGCCAACGAGATTCACGAGAGTCAGTCATTAAGTAAAGAACATCATGCTCTTTAACAAGTTCTTCTAGAAGATCTACGTCTTTTAGTGTTTCAATAGCCTATAAAAAAAAAAAATTAAAATAGCTTAAATAATTGAACGTATTTAATTTAGTGGATAATTTTTTAATGCAAATTGCAATAAAATCAATTTGAAAAAATTTGAATTGATGTGATGAGAGAAATTTTTTACATGCTCAACACTTGCTAGATAGTGGCCAGGCATTGGAATCTTAATTTAATAGCCCTTGCTAACAATATCTGGAAATATTTTTTTTAATTTCTCAGCAGCGGTCTCAGCCTATTATTATACAATTTTAAAATCATGATTTGTTAATTATTTAGAACTGTGTGATAAACAGACAAACAAAATTATTGTAGGTAATTCAGAAAAGGAAGAAAGTTGAATTGATATAAAAGTTTTCCTTTTTTTGGTTGGGGAACTTTTGAAAACTTGCTTCAAGATTTTCCTCCTCTCTTTTTACTTACTATTCAACAGTTTGTATTAGCTCAAATAATTCTAATACTATCATCCTATCTTTTCAAACTGTCTATAACATTTTCTAGAATAAAGAGAAGGGTTTTTTAAATTTTTACCTTAGGCTTACCTCCATTGATAGTATCTTCAAATTCATAAAGAGATTAACGCACAGGGTTAGAATAAGATATCTTGCCATAGTCAACAAAAGTGATATGCTTAATACCCCAACCGATCAAATTACGACTTAACTAGCATCCTAAAGTACCTGCACCTAACATCAATACCTTTTGTAAATAAATAAAAAAATTAGCCTTCAAAAATATGGTAAAGTCATTGAAATATATTTTAAATCAAGCCATTTTTCTTAGGGAATATACAAAAATTAAGTTATTGACTATTTTTAATAAATTAATAAATTTCTTTAAACATTTTGATTCATTAAACTCCATTTTTAATTCATCAGTAAATAGTATTTTATTTCATAAGTGATACCTTTGTGCTCTTCAACAGTTCGAGATCAAGGGTAGGCAAGACCCTCCATTTCATTAGCTTAATATTTAAATCTACAGCATCTGTGGCTAAGGTAGCTTCATCTAGAGAGCTTTTTAAGTCTATACTTGGGGGTATTTAGTTTGGGTCGCAGCCTGTGTATGATTCAGCATCAATTTTAGCATTAGTCAAGTCAACAGACACAACCAAAGAATTTTTCATATCATATTTATTAGCAAAATTGTATATGAGGGAATCTTTAAGCAAGATAAATTTTAGGTTTGATAGAATATTTTTAATCCCTTTTTATTCTGCTAACTTAAGTACTAATGCAAGTAAATTGGTGAAGTATGCGTGTGTTCCTGTATTTTAGTTATATGGATCAAAAAATACTCCATATAAATCATTTGTTTTTCCTGTTTCTAATTCGCTAAGATATTCTCTTAATGTACCAAAAACAAATTTTCCCCCGTCAACTTCTTTACAGTAGAAGAAAGGTGAAATCTTTCCGCTTTTTAAAAATTGCTTCAAAGACTCATCAAATGCTTTTTGCTTTAAATGTTCAAATATTAATTAGTGAGCATTTTATTAACATTTTGTATTAAATACATATGTATATACTTAACAAAAAAAAGAAAAGTAATACTTTTTATTCATCGTTAAAAGCAGTTTTAAACGAGCTCTTTTCAAGTAAATTAAAATCATCCACTTTAATTGAGGGAGAACATAGCTTGTATGAATAATTATGTTTTTTTAGATCTGCAAATGTAACTAATTTCATTATGAATGCATTTAAATTTTCGTCTTTGCCACTTAAAAAGTTATCAATTGCAGAAATCTACTTTTATGTTAGGTCCTCTTTAAATATAAAATATTTATTAATTTATTTATACTCACTTAAAAAGCTTTGTTTAAAGTTTATTCTAAAACAAAATATTTTAAATTGAAAAATCATTAAATGCATTTTTAATTATTTTGAAAAACAAGATTAATTCTTACTAAACAAGTCATGGTAGTTTATTTATTTGAACTCTTCAATTGTATTGTAATTTTTTAACTAAGTTTAAATGACAATTTCTACAGGTCCCTATAACTGTAGCTCCCATTGTTGAAAGCTGTAAACATCTAGATTTAAAAATGCCTTTTTGCTTGTGAAATTGCTAATCTTAAATTTAACAAAAATATCTTAAGGATCTGAATTTAATTTCCATTCTTCGAGCTTTTTCTATATAATAAGAAACGTGTGAGTGAATTGATTACATTTCTCATTTTACCTTTGCTAATGTACTCCAAAATCCTATGTCCGCCATAGGAGAAAATGGAATAATTTCAAATTTTTTGTCCATATTTTGTTTTGATGTTATCAGAAATAAAATCTGTTTTCTAAGGTTTTTGATAAAAATATTAATATCTTTATAAGATTTATTGCAGACTTTAATAAAAAAGTAATATCAGTAAACCAATATATATTTTATTATAAATAAATCTTTCTAAAAGAATCGAAAAGACTCTGACCTGATTATACTAATTCTAATTATTTATTCGCTCATTATAAAGTTGTAAATTTTAATATTCTTTTATTAGTAAATTTATTATTTTTTAAATAAAATAGATTAATTAAAAATAATAAATTTTGAATGAATTTATTTTTAGTTAATCCCTGTTTGTTATTTGACATGTAATGATTTTATTAAAATATTTTAACTATATTATTATATTAGTTTCATAAATAAAATAGATTAAATAATTAATATTGCACTAATTTCTTTTAATAATTATAAACCAAATTAAAAGTTTAAAATAGAAACAAAAAAGAAACATATTTTAAGCTTTTTTGATAAATAAATTATTTTATTTAATTATATCATAATCTTTTAATTTCTTTAAATATTCTAAGTATGAGTAGCTTTTTAAAATTTTTTAAATCAAATAGATAAAAGTATGTTTTCATAAACATATTAAATATTTATTTCAGCTAATAAAATTCTTTAAAATTTTTTTTTAACATGAATAAATAAGTTTTAAAATTCTAATAAGTTTAAAAAAATGTATGATAAATATAAAAATATTTTGAGTTAAAAAAATAAATACTATTTTTAAAAAAATTGAATATAAATAATTTAAAACCTAAAAATCATTTTTAGTTTGTAATATTAACTTTTAATTTAAAATAATATTTATTTTTTAAATTAATACATATTTAAGATCAAAATTTACTTTTATATTTAGAATTCTATTTTATTTTTTTGAAAGAATTAGATTTATTTGTAACTGATATTCAAATATAAAATTAGATTGATATAAAATAATTAATTTTTCACCTTTAACAATTTTATAATATCTTTTTACTTTTTCTAAACTAAAACTTAAAAAATTTTTCAATTTAAAAAAAACTATTTCAGAAAAAATTTAATAATTTAAAGCATTTTTATTTCTACAATTTATATATTTAATAAATTAATTTTATATGAGAACAAATTTAAAAATAAATTCAATAATTTTCTTGTTTTAGATTTTGGTCAGCTAAATTTTATTTGTAATCAATATTAAATTACTCTCATTTAAATTTATTTTTATAAATGATAAATAGTTCTTTTTATTTTCAATTAAATTGAAAAAATAGTACCAAATTAATTTTTTTAAAATGATTAATATTTTAGTTGTAAATAAATTCAAATTTTATTATTGAATTTTTAGTAAGATAAAAATTGTTTTAAATGAATTTATATTTTATATTTAAATTGAATTTTAAATTTCATTCATTCAAATATAAATAGATACTTTTTCGAAAAACAAAGAATAATAAAAATAATTTTGTTTTTTTATTACTCTGGTTTGTAAATTTTTAGCAAATCAAAATTAATTGCTTCATAATTTAATTATTATTTGAAAAAATTTCATTCTAGCAATGAAAATTATCCTTTTTAAATATAATATTTGAAGTAGTTCATATATATTATAAAAAATGTCAAATCCTATCTCATTTAAATAATTTAAACCTATTGAAATGGAATATTCATTAAAATGAATAAAAAATATAACCTGCTTATGATATCTAGTAGAAAAAATAGAATGTAATGACCATTGAAAGTATATGTTTTCTTTATTTAATACTGATCTTATTTTATGATAAAATTTTAAAAATTTAATAAAATCTTGAATGTGTAATTTTATAAGTGTAAAAATATAATTAAAAAATTTAACAGATCAATCTTATATTTTAATAAAAAAATTGATTCATTAGATTAGATATTTTCTTTATGCCTTTTTATAATGAGTTATAATTAATTACTCTATAATTAGAAAAAAAACACTTTCATTTTAATGTAATTGCAATTATATGACAAGAGTAAAACAACTTAAAAATATTTCTTAGCATTAAATGTTATTTGAGACTTGCTAAAAATTACATTTCAAATTTATTTTCTATTTAAAAATTAAAAAAGTCATGATGGATAGATAATTATTTTATAAACATTTTATCAAATGACAGCTTATTGTTTAATTAAGTTGATTTTATTTAATTTTTTAAAAATAACAATACTTCAAACAAAAAATTTAAGAATATTTTAGTATCTTTCTGAAAATGAGTAATAAATGTGTATTAAAATTTATTGTAATAAACGATCTGAATTAAATAATTTAGCTTATCATTCATTTAAAAGCTTATATGCTTCTATCAAAAATTACTTAAGATTATTGAATGGTAAATTCAAAATATTTTTCAGCTTGATTTAGAATATTATAAAGTATTTTAAGGTAACTTGATTATTTAATTTTTGAATGAATTTTCATTAATTTTATATTATTTAACTTTTGAGAGAAAATACAATTTGTTTGTTTGATGCTTTTTAATTATTAATTAAATTTTTTAATTATTTCATTAAAAATATCTCTGTTGAAATTTAATAAAATACTAATGAATTTTATTTTGGATTTTCAGATTCTATTAGAAACTCTAATTAAATATATTTATGTTGAAAATAATTCCTAAATTATTACTAACTAATATTAAAATCCTTCATTTTTATTTCTATGTGCTAAATACTGCCATTAATTATTTTAAAAGAAAAATTCTATTTGAAAATTTTAGTAAAGAAGTATCTTGTTTACAATAAATAGAAAGAAGAACTTACATCGTAATACTGCTTTTGTATGACAGAAATCAGCTTGTGTAATTTGTTTAAAAATTAGAAGAAAATTTCTTCAAATTTATTAAATTATTATCTATACCATTTACCAAAAAAATCCTCAGAAAAATTCAAAGTAAGCCAAATCAAAGATTAAATTTATTTGATATAAGTAAAATTTTGAAATCTAATGACCCAAATTTTCAATGCCTTATAAATAAGTGCTTTGTCTTTAAAATCTGGATGTGGAATATTTTAGTTAGTAAAATGTAATTTCAAGTGAAACAATTTTTTAAATAAGATATTAATTGATAGCATAGGTGATATTTTAGATTATTATTTATTATGATTTAGTGATTTAAAATGGATGAAAGTAAATTTGATTTATATAGATGAGCATTATTTTATAAATGTGATTACTGCTTGTTTTATTGGGTGTTTTGGAATGATGCGCTTATTTCTCAATTAATCGCATTTTGCAATGGTGCATGCTATATTGAGGAGTATTGTTTGCTGCAAACAATTTTAAAATATTTAGAAATTAGTTTAAATTTTATTTTCAAGCAAGCTTGTGGTTATAGAAAGCCTTATTAAATTGATACCTCTGTAATCTCTTGATTCTACTCCCTGATATCAAAAATCAAAATTAATACCTTTTAATTACTATAGATAGAGTGATGTATCTGATTTAATGATTTGAACAGATAAATATTACAGTTATTTACATCTATAGAAATATTTTTTCTGACTAAATCTAAATATTAGCATTTCTTTTTAACTATAAAATAATGTTGAGATGCAAATAAAGTTAAAGAATGTAATTAAACCTTAATATCTGCTCTTTACAGATAATATGGTTAGGAAGAATAAAATTCATTCATAATAGTGTATTTTTTAGTGCTATGTAATATTGAACGAGTTGTACTTTGAACAGCATTTGGTTTATGAACTTAGTACAAAGAACATAGATACAAACAAAATGAATATATTTTGGGCTCTTTATTCTTGTAAGCTTGTTTAAAATATAACAAGGTTTATTAACTAGCTAGAAGAAAATTTCTTTTTAATATATCTTGATTTGCGCTTAATTTAATCAATCGAACTTCGATAATACTTACAAACCAGCAACATGAGCTGATTACTTTTTCTAATTGAAAGATTTTCTCAAACAAAAGTAAGAGATTTTTTATATCAATTCACTAAATTTTTAAATTTGTAATTGAAATTGAGGCAGTAAATTGTTAAAATAGAAAAAAAGTGAAATGAATGAGGTCCATTGATGTTAAGGTAACGCTTAGCTTGAAACGAGAAATAGTAGACTATATATTTTACTCAGTAAAAGTTGATGATTAATTAAGTTAGTTTTTACTATTGTGATTAAAGCAAGGGTTTTAATTTCAACTCATTGCACAATGCTATCAAAGAGCTTATTTGATGTATATTTCACTTTTTAATTTTAACAAAACAAGAATATTTTTTAACAGGTTACATTAAGCATATTGTTCATTTAAGTTAATATTTATATAAGAATTTAATCTGAAACAAAATGTATTTCATTACGCATTCTGAAAAATGATCTAAAAATAATTATTGTCTTTGAATTTATTTACAAATAAAAGAAAAATACTCAAGGATTTATGTAATTTCTTTTATATTCAGAAAGTAATGGGGTTTACTAAAAATAAATCTAAAAAAATCTAGATTTAATTTTTTTATTTTGTGGCTCTAGTAACAAATAAGTAATACTACAGTAACAATAATTTTAAATCACCTTAAAATATATTACTCTTTTAAATATTTTATTTAAGCATATTTTGCATTTTGTCTTCCATAACTAAATACACTCTTTACTACCTCTAAATTAAAAAAACTTTACTATTACTTTTTTTGAACTGACCTTACAAAATAGCATACAGATAATTATGTAAATAATATCGAATGAAATAAAGTAAAGATCTTTGTTATTTGCAGATTTTATATTCATCAGACTAGGTTTACATTAGTTATACATATATTTTCACCTTTTTATAGGAAATTTTGATAGGTAGTCAATTAATATGATTGCAGAAATATACACTTGCTATATTAAAAGAAAATAAATTAAGGAGGGATAGAGTAATTTACATTGCTATATTATCTAAATGGTGTTTTTTGTAACTGTAAAGTGCGTTAAACAAAATAATATTTATTTAAAATAATGTGTGTAATAAGAATATAATCGATTTCGAGTAATAATTTTGATTAAGATTCAAAAGAAAATACATAATAAATTTAATGAAATATGAAGAATAAATGAATGAATATGTGTATGTATGTATACTGCAATTAAATATATTAGTAGCTTATCAGATATTAAAAAGAAAGGTTTACATTTTTACTTTAATTAATCTGATGAATTATTTTAACCAAAAAAGAAAGAATAATTTAATTTATTTATTGTTACTATTTTAAAACAAAAAAAAATCTTAAAACTATTAGCTAGCTCTTTGATTGCCAATCAAAGTTTTTAAAAACCAAAGATTAAAAAAAATATAATAAATTGTTAAGTAAAAAATTAAAAAACTCATTCAAAATCTTTGAAAATTTATTAAATAAAATTTTCTTTCTAATTCAATTCATACTCAACTGATAACACGCTATATCAAAAGAGCATATATAAATTCATACATACATAGATACATAATCAATCAGTACAGAATACCTCTCTAAAAATATTTCCTAAACTCGAATCTCATTAAATTATTATACAAAAAACCCATACACTCAATCTATCAAGAATGAAGGACGGATTATAATTCTTTGACGCAAACTTAAACGAAGTTATTAAAATGATTGCTATTTCATAGCAATAAGGTATAAGCTAAGAGTAATTAATTTCTGCTCTTTAATAATAAATTATGCAATAGTAAGCATATCTTTAACAACAATTGAATTTTATGCCTTAGGCCTCTGAGTCCTCTACCTCTACCCTTGAGGAATAATAAAATCTCCCAAGATAATATTTATAAAGAAAATTTATCATTGGAGGCTTTGGTACTAACGGCTATGACTCAAGTTCTCATGCTATGGAATATTTATATGACTACCTTAACAATAATGAATAATTTGAATTCTTCGAATAGGTTAAATAATCATGGGAAGATATTGATAACTACATTAATGATTTGTAAGAAGAAATCCATTAAAATGAAAAATAAGGTATTGAAACTATATACATTCACTTTGCCGTAAATAATACTCCCTTCATACGCTTAGAGCAATGTGCTTACAACAACAAAGCATTTGTTTTACCTGAGATGAGCTGTCTCCCCAACGAATAAGTCTCCCATAATATTGATTAAAATAGACCTCATAACTCAACTTTAAAAACTAAATTATCTATTGATTATATAAAAACTTTCTTACACTCAGATAATTATTGGGCAAGTGAAAGTACTAACCCTGGATTAAACTCTAACAATTATCTTTACTACCGTGCTCTTCAAGTCACAAACTAAAAAGCCATTATGGTCAACTTACCAAGCCTATTAAATGAAAATAAAGAGAGTATTTCTCTCTTCTTACAAGATCTTATCAAATCATTCAATTGAATAGCTAATTTTTAAACCATAGACAGACTAATAAAAAGAATTCCTACATGAATTGTATGTATATTAATAAAGAAAAAATAGTTAAAAAGCAATCTAACCTAACAATAATAAATTATATTAATTATAGCAACTTTTGATAGAATAATTAGCACTTAACAAAATTTAAATTTTTTTCTGGGAGCTTTCTACTTGTTGACTTATCAAACAATCAATCACTAAATTAATTGATTTCAATACTACTACCTATCTATAAGTCTTATTAACTGAAAATTGATTGCAAATTAAATTAAAAATCATTACTATTTGTTGAATGACCATCCTTGTCAATTTAATAGATTGCTCATGAGACAATAAATTTCATTTATTACTGCTAAAAGGTGATTAATCAATCAAGCATAAAAAGATGAAAAGAAATTTGAAAAACAAAAACTTGATTCACCACAAAATTCTTTTCAGTCTCATAATACCTTTCTAAATATTTATCAAACCACTTCCTAATAAAATCTTAAATACTTAAACTGAAGAACAATAGTACAAGAAATTCATTCTTACTACCTTTAATAAATTATAATTACAGAATCTACTCTTTCAAATATTAAACAATCGATCAAAAAAAAAAAAAGCATACAAAAAAATCAATAAAAATATACATAGATATGTTAATTAAAACTATCAAACTTTACTAGTTTTTATATTACAAAAACTTAAATTATATGATTATATGCAATATATAATATTTCCATCTACTTTGTTTATTTATCTACATCTTGCCTACACCTTTAATGAAATTTACTAAATCATACAAATATTTGCTTTCAATTCAATCAAAACTACCAAAATTTTTCAAAAATATTATTATTTTTAGTTTATTTGACCTTATTAGATAACATATAGAAATGAGCTTCAGTCAAACTTTTTTACATAAATGTCAAAAATTATAAAATTTAAATAACCTGTAAAATGTAGAGAAAGATATAGAAAAAATAACTCTGTATTTTCTATAAAAAAACACAATTATAAAATATGTGTGTGGTAATAAATGATAATAAAAGGAGCTTTTTTATCTTTTAACACATAAATGGATTTAAAAAAAGTGCCTTTATTAATTTATTTTCATATTGTTAAGCTGAATATATTAAACACTACTTGTTAAAATTTACAATACAAAGCACACTAGGGTCAATATAATCTTTTATAATATGGAAAATATGACAAATTTTAGCAATATTTAAAAGAATAAATAATCATTGAATCGATTGATATTAAATGAAATTTAAAATAATAGAGATTGATACAATTAATAATAATAAAACTATAATATTGTTTATAAAAATATACACCAGTGGTTCTAGATTTTAGATCATGAATAAGAGAGAGGTGATAAACCTAATAAAATAATCTAAAATTATTTACATAGAATGTATAAGCATCTAATTAATAAATAGAAGCTCCTATTAGCAGAAAATATTTGAAGAAGGTGATTTTAAAAATCTTTTATGAAAAGTTATAAAATGCGTATCACTAAGATTAATTTGTAGGATGCTTTTCTTTTAGAAGTAAATTATTTTGATAATTTTGTTACACAGAATTTCTGCTTAGTTCTTTTATTAATTGATTTTTTTGTTTACATATTTCTGATGAATTCTACAATCTATTTTTGTTTATTTTTTTTCTTTTATGAGTAAAATTTAAAATCCTTTTTAAATAATATCTTTCAGCGCTCTTTAAAATATTGCTATGAGTATCTATTCATACTAAATACCTTTCCAATTAATTATTTTTATCATTCTAATATTTAATTGTTTACAAAAATATTAAAAATATACTGCCAACGCAACCTTTCCTAGGTTTTTTTTATTAAGAGAAGTTGCTTATTAATTATTATTTTATTCAAAGTATTTTAGAAAATAGGAAAATGTTTTATTTACTTAGCATATATTTTACTATGTATATCTGCAAGCAGACTTACTTTTGTTAATTTTGTTAACTTTTATACATAATTTGCAAAATGATCGATATAATCAATCACATTAATTAATCAATAATATTCAAGCTAATAAGTGCCATTTAAAAAAAATCACTTTTTAAATCAATTAATTAATTGACGCATTTTCACTTCACTATATAGCTAATACTTTTACATCAGGTAATGAATAGAAAGATTACATTTCAAAATTCCTAAGTAACTGTATCTATTTCCCCACCCTTTGATTGATTGATTTATTTATTTATTTAAATTTTGTTAAAGCTTCCCACTTAGCTTCTGACATATCTTCCTTAAAAGCAAAAAAAAACAATAATTATTTCTATTTATAATTTTATCATCAGGTATTAATGTCTATGATAATTATTCCTTGTTTTCATTTTTATTTTATGCTGAAATAATATATTTAATTTATTAAATTCATTAATTACGAAAATAGATTAACTTTGATTTCATAAATAGATAGTATTAATTATTTTGAAATTTGAATTAGGCAAAAACATCAGAGATTCTGAAAAATCCGATTTGGTTTAATTTTAATTACCAGAATTCCCGAATTAATTACTGAATTTTCAACTTTATTTTATGCTTCAAATAATAAAATCTGATATTAAAGCTAAACAATTTGTCAATCATTTTTATCAAATACAAAGATATTACCTTCAAAAAGATAATATTCTTCAGCTATTAATCTATTATCTTAAGCAAAATATTCTTTAAATATATTCTTATTTAAAATTTTCTTTTTAAGGTCAAATATTAAAAATAAAACATGAAAATAAAATATACTATCCATTAAAAAACTATCAATTATATAATTGTGTAATACTATACAGTTATAAATAACTTTTTGTTTAGAGATTACATAGAGGCGAAAAGATTAATTAAAGTTGGTGTGTAACAAAATTATTTAAAAAGACTGCATAATAATTATATGAAATTAAAACAAATCAATTTCTCTTAGCAAAAAAAATCAATCTTCTATTCAATAAAAACCTATTTACATTATTATTTTCTTATTACAAATAATTCACTCATTATTAATAAAACTTTCTATTCCTTGGTAATATATTATCTCATTTTTAAATACTCATAAGCTAAATAGATAAAAAAGCAAACAAGGTAAGAGGGGGAAAGAAAAACTCATTTAATTAGTGATTAAAAATACTCTTTATTATAAAATTATAACTGGCTAAAAACAAAGATGTTTCTAGAATTACCCATAAAGGGTTATGAATTTTTTATCAATTATTACTGAATTTTTTTTTAATATCTTAAGTAACGTATAAATAACTAAACAAAATACCTCTGCTATAAAATTCATATTTTTCTTTTTCTTCTAACTATCAAATAAAAATAAATATAGTCTTTATTGAACAGAACATAATTACAATTATAAAAATGTAAGAATATTAATTCATTAGATTATTTTTAAATCTTTTATTAATAATATCAAATTATCAATATATATAGCTAAAGCCTCTACTTTTATCAATTCTTAAAACAAATCAGGCTAAATAATAAATTAAGATCCTCAATCTTACAATTGCAGCAAAAATTTTTTTCAAAATAAAATGAGTTTTTATTTGTATTTATTGATATATTTTGATTTATTTTTGAATTTAATGTAAAAAATTTTAATTTTATATATTTTTATTTATAAGAAGTAACCTCAAAATATAAACAAGCAACTTTCTAATATTTATTATTTGCTTTATTTGTATTTTTATGTTTACTAATAAGCCTGAAACTGAAATTTAAATAATTTTAAATATCAAAAAATGTTTTCAAAGATTGACTTTCAATCTGTCTAAAGCTAATTTAACCCAGAATTCAGAACCTGGATTAATCAAATCCTCATTAAAGTCAAAATGACAATCATGAAGCATAGTGTCATTCTCAATTCTGCCTGATCCTAAAAAGAAGAAAGCACCTGGTCTTTCTTTGAGATAAAAAGAAAAATCTTCAGATGCTCTTGCTGGCATAATACCAATACCTACATTAGCTTCTCCAAAGTATTATTTAGCTACTCTTTCAACATGATTTGCTTCAGTTTCTGAATTAACTGTAGCAGGGAAGTAAATCCTCCAATTTAATTAATAATTTATTCCTCTTTCTTACTTAAGCTCTTCTAAAGCTTAAATCACATCCTTTTTAAACTCCTCAGACAATCCATCTTCAAAAGATCTAAGAGTGCCTGTGAGTAAAGCTTTATCAGGAAAAACATTAAATCTTTTTATGAATAAATATATCAATTAATTTATAAATTGTTTAATAGTTTTTTAATTTGAATACCTTTCTCCTGCATTGAATGTTGGTAAGGTACAAACATATTATCTTCCTTTATACTTCTCTTAAATTTTTCTAAATTTTATATGAAAATCAACTGCAGCAGATACAGGATCATTTGCCTTTTCTGGTTCACTTCCATGTCCTCCCTTTCCAATAATAGTTAAATTTATGACTGTTACTTCAGACATAACAGGTCCTGGTTTTACCATCAAATATCCTACTTTGTGAGTAGGCCAATTGTGAAATCCATAAACCTTTATGAATTAAATAAATATTTTTAATATTTAAAATAATTCTTAGACATATTTCCAAAAAAAAAAAAAATTATTTTGGTGACATATTTTCAATAATTATTTTAAGAAAAAAGTTAGTTATGAATGTATTCAAAAATTCAAAGTACCTCTTATACTTAGTCAAGACATCCATCTTAAATCATCACAAATGCTCCACTTTCGGGACCTTCTTCGCTGGGTTAGAATAGCAAACGAATAACCTACATTTTATTTGTACAAATTTTAATTAATTAATGAATAACTATTTGATGAGAAAAAAAATATTTTTTTTCTTTCAACCTTATTTTAAGGAATTTTGTGCAGGATATCCATATAAAGACTTGCAAATCCAAGAAGGCAAGTTGTATGTCCATCATGACCACACATATGAGCAGCTCCGTTGGTGCTTTGATATTCCAAATGAGGATTATCTTCTTTCATTGATAGTGCATCAATATCAGCTCTAAATGCAATCAATCTATCTTCTCCCTCAGAAGGGGCTTAACCTAAATTTAAATATGATTGGTATAAATTATTTAAGCTCTTAATTTTATAAAGTAAATACCTCTAATATCTACAACTAACCCTGTCTAAGCGCATACTTTTATTTAATTTTCTTAAATCCCTATCGATAGAAGATACTCTTTAATGTTTTATTGTGTTTAGAACTCTTTAAATCCAGTTTCAGGATTCAAATGCATATTTCTTCTAAATTTAATGAGCTTGTTAATATCGAATTTGCTATTTTAACTGGACATTTTATACTTTGGCAAGTTTAGTTTAAAAGGACTTATTGTATTTTCAATCTATTGAATTTGTTATAATTAAATAATATTTTCAATTCTAAAAGATATTTTATTCTATAAACACAGTTTTCCAATTCTTATCATTATTGAATATAAAAACCTTATAAGTATTTTTTTTTTAATTAATGGTTTTTAACAATATTCAATAAGCAGTAGATATTTTAATTTCAATTACGTGTCAATAAAGATTAGTTTACTATATTTATTTAGCTGACTGGAATTGGAATTGTTTCTTAATAATAACTTTTAGTTAAAAACCATTTTAAATATTGATAATAAAATATTTCATATATTATGTTTTAGCTAATAAAGAAATAATTTAAAAAAATAGAATCAGAAAGGATTAATTTCCAAACTCAGTTTAGCTGATAGAAAAAGTTTAGAAATAATTTAAAACTTTTAAATATAAATAACTTTAAAAGTTATTTAGTTTTAATAATGATTAAATACAATTTCATAATTAGATGTTTGACATAATTTCTAAATAATAATTTTATTTTAAAAATTAAATGTTTATTAAAATTAATAATATAATATCTGTGATATTTTATTTAGCTAAATTAAGAATGCTTTTAAAAATTAATGCCAATAAAGACTATATTTAGATCATTATAATTATTTCCTAATAATAATTATTAGTTTAAAAATCAATAATTCTAATATTAATAATAGATTATCTAAAATATTATTTTTTGGTGAATTTGGAATAATTTAAAAAATAATATCAATAAAGATTAGTTTACAAGCTTATATTTAGCTGATTGGAACTGATTTTAAATAATATTTTTAGTTTAAAAATAAAATAATTCTGGTAATTAGTAATAGAATATCAGGAACATTACTTATGACTTAAATCTGTTAAAAAAAATTTTTTTTTGAATTTTTTGAATATTTATAAATAGCGATCTATGAACAAATATATTTTTTTTTACAAAATAAATAATAAATTATTAATTAATATTATATTGAAATGTTTTTAAGTTATAGTTTCTTGAATTTTTAATTGTTGAAATAGGAAAAAATGTATTTTTTTTTATTTTTAGATATTTTATTAACTAGTCCTTCATCTTCTCATGTACACAAGAGATTACAGTTTTTTGAATTTCCATAAGATTTTTTTCCAATCTTTTTGGTTTTGACTATATTTAAAATTTTTTTATTAATCTTAAAATATTTTCAAAAAAAAATTACAGTGGAACTTAGAAAAGAACAAACTCTAGCAATTTACAATTATCTATATTTGATAAAGAAGTCTTCATGTGATCGAAGGTTGTAGCTTTATCTCTATTTTCATTTTAATATTTATATTTATAAATAGTTTCATTCAATAAAATACTTACGCCTAGATCATGCAGCATAAAGTCTATAGATTTTTACAAAACCCAAAACTATTTACGAGTTCATTTACACCATCTTAATCTATGCTATTATCACTTTTATTTTAAAAAGTTTAATTACTTTATAACGAAAATTTATCAGAAATAAAAATATACCCAAATATGTTAAACTTAAGGATTTTTAGTGAATCCATTTTTTTAATTGCATTCCCTATTGATTTGCTTCCTTCATTCCCAATATAGTTACTACTAAATATATTAAATTAAAATGATAATTTATGTTTTATTTTGATTGAATAATTTAGTACTATCCAATTGTGAATTCTAATTTTTAGAGATTGATTAGGGTTTCTAATCCTTTTCCTAATCCAACAGCTCCTTTTTCCCCAATATTATTGCTAGATTAAAAAGTAATTTAATTAATTGCTTTTATAGATGTAAAAATATAATACTATTCGATCAGGAATTCTAATGTCTTCAATTTTGTTAAATTAAAAATCCCATGTCCTATTCCTAAAGCTCCTTCTTCCCCAATGTTATTCAAGCTTTTTAACAAAAAAAAAATTTATTTAATCAAGCAAAAATAACACTTGTAATAGCTTACCAACCAATGGTAAAAGAAAGGTGCTTTAAATTTTTGCAATTTTAGAGTCCATTACCTATTGCAACTGCTCCATATGAATGAATTTGATTACACCTATTTTAAATATCATGTTAAAATAGTATTAAATAAATTTATATTCTTTACCTTTCAATGTTCAGCTTTAGTTATTATAATTTAAACAAGCTACCTAGGCAATCTCCAATTGCCATAGCTCCCTCTTAACCTATTTTGTTATCACTTATAAAAAAATTCAAATAAATTGATTTGAAAATTATGAAAAATATTACTATCCGATCTATAACGTTAACTGAACTAATATAGGACAATTTTTAATTCCATCAGCAAGATATTTTGTTCCTTAAGGTCCAATTTAATTTCTAATGTACAATAAATTAATATAAATTATTTATTTCTCCTTTTAGATATAATCTATTTTACCCAAAAACCCGGATGTTAAGTCTTTTGATAAGTTTACAGCTCTTTATTCCCTCTCCTATGTATTTCATTCCTTCACTCCCAATGTTATTAAGACTTTATACAAATAAAATGATAGAAATATTTTTTAATTCAAAAAAATTTCACATACCTATCGAAATATAATGAAAGCTATTTCAGCTTTTATAGACTTTGTAGAGCGTTACAAAGTGACTATGAACCTTATACACCAAAACAATTAAATCTAAATGATTTGAATGTATTTTATATGAATTTAGCTTTAAATTAAATTTACACTCCGAAATGAAGGTCTAAAACTTCTAAATTTTGCAATTAAGATATTCCATTCATTAAGTCCCTAACGCCATCTTGTGACATATCATTTTTACTGGATTAAAAAGAATATATGGATAAAAAGGCTAAATTAAAATATAGACTTTAATTGAGTCTTATATTTTTTTCTAATTTACCTATCTATGGTCAAGTAGAATTCAATAAGGTCTTTACAATATGCAATTCCATTTGCCAACTCCTTGGCTCCATCTTTTCCAATATTGTTTGCACTATATAAAATAATAATACTTTGTTATAAAAAGAGCAAACAAAATATTAGTGTAAGCAATATATTTTTAGTAAAATAAAACATACTGTCCAATATAAAGTGAGAGAGACGTAAGATTTTCACATTGTTTGATTCCTTCTGTGATTGTTTTACATCCATTAGATCCAATTTTGTTATCTCTGCAAAAATAAAAAAGGTTTTAATATAAAATATCATTTTAAATAAATATTTAAAGTAACTAATTACCCTTCTATTCTCATGGTCAATTTATTAAGTTCCTTAAATTTATTTAGCGTGTTAACAAATTCTACAACACCTGCTGCTCCTTCACCCCAATAGCTATTGATAAAATATTTTAGAATTTATTTAAAACACATTTAATTGAATTGTGTTTACCTCATTGTGACAAGCTAATTTTCATCATCGTAAGTGCTTTTAGTAATAGATAAATATTTGTTTGTTAGGATTCAGTAAATTAGAAAATTAAAATATTTACATTTTAGATTTCTCTTAAAAAATATCATTCATTTGATATTCTATCGAACAGTCTGCTGATATTTCTGAAATTGACATTTAATTTAACTAAAAAATTTTATGTTATTTTTTTAAGTAGAATTAGTTTTTCTTAAGTTATGTGTTTGTATTTAATTGATTTATTGATTAACTTTGATTGTGAATATTTTATTATTTTTATAAATTAATTGATTATTTGCTTGAATAGATATAAAAACTTAATTTAATGAAAAATATCTTAAATGTAATAGATCCAATAATATACTTATTTATTAATTCTAATCCAATCTTATTCAGAATATTTGAAACAAATTTTTCTATTTCACAATTAATTATTTCAATTTAATCAATAGAATGTTAAAATTAGTAAACTATTGTGTCATCAATAAATTAACCAGCAAGCAAGCGATTTCCTATTTATAGTAATTAAAAATCGACATAAATGTATAAACATAGATATTTTTTCTAATAAATTTTATTCATCCATTAAAAATCAAAACCTTTTAATTATTCTTATTAATTAACCATATTTTGAATAAATATTTCTCTATAATAAAAAAGATAATGAATTATTTTCAACTTAGTTAATAAGAAATAATATTTTAAAAATGTAAATTTTTTAATAACTTTGAAATGTTTCTTTTAGATGGTGAGCTTAATTTATATTAGCTTTAAAATAAGATTCTTGCTTAAATTTATTGCTTTAATTATTTTATTTATTAAAAGCCTAATCAAAGAGCCACAGGCTTTAAGGGTTTATAAATCTTAAAATAATCAAATCAAGTTTACTTTATAAATTATCTAAAAAATAAGTTTAATGATATCAGAAGCCCCAATTCTAAACAGCAAAATTATAGTGGTAAAGGATAAGTATCCTAGGATATATAAATTAAATGAAGTGTCTCTATCTCCTAAATAGAGCACTAAATAGATCATAAAATCGAGTTCATAAGATTTGTTGCAATCATAATTTGTTGCTTATACAAAAAGAAAGAGTGATTTTTAAAAAAATAAGTAAAAAAACTATCTTAATCCACATTTAAATCAATCATAAAATCAAAGCTATATTTATACTCCTAAAATATCATCTCAATAGATTCCTCTTCCACTTTTGAATATTTAAAATAAGTTAAAGCGCTATGAAGAAGACTCAATATCAAGTTCATAAATCGCATCAAATGTCTTATAACATTTTAAATTATAAAAGTAATTATTATTAGATCTTATCGATCAATCAATTCTCATTTATTAAAATATTTTAGAAAAAGAAATAGCAATAATATAAGCATAGAAGATTAAATTTTTCTACCTAGGATTTATAATTTAAAAGATATTAAGAAGAATGGGCAAGAACTATTGAGTCTATAATAAATTGATAATAGCCTTTTGAATAAGAAAACTATTTTTGGTTTTTAAGATTAAAGCTTCCAAGATAGCTATTGTCATAACATAACCACTCTCTAGTAATAAATATTTAATAATTATATATAAAATAATTTTTATCTATAAAAGAGATGAATAGGATGTAGAAAAAAGCATGTCTGATAAAATTACATCTACAAAAAAAGACAGTAGTAGAAGTTTAATCAATTATAATAATAATAGCAATTTTTATTTTAGTAGTAATAGTAATTCTTTTAAAAATCAGAATAATAGTATTATGAGCTAGCTAAAGAAAGATTCTCTTGTTTTAGCGAATTATAAGTAATAAAAATCTATGAGGGCTAAGAATATAGCTGAAATAGACTAATAGTTAACATAATTGAAAAAATATAAAATACATTCTTGAATTAATAAAAAGTGTTTGTTACTAATTCAGAAAACAAATAAGAATATAAAATAAATGTACAATAACAAAAAAAAGAAATAAATTATTTCACTTTTCTATATATTTTATAATAAATTTATTTTATGCCCGTTTTTCTTAAAATCTACTCAATTTTATTGTATTATATTAATTTGAGATTATCTTTATATGATCACTGAATTATAAAATAAATTATTTAACTTTTTACTATTTATGAATTTTAACACAACTTATTCATTTTTATTAGAATTGTATCTTTATATAAAAGTTTTTTAAATTATGCTCTTTTAAATCCTAAGAATTGTATATACAATTCTGCCTCTCGATATATTCAGCTCATTCATTCCTTATTTCTTTCATTGTAATCAAATAGCTTTTTTATCTAGAATTATCAAATTTCAAATTATAATTTAAAAGTGTAATAAGCAGTTGAAATAAAATAAATTTCATGCATGAATTAAAAAAGAGTATTATCAATGTTGAAGTAAATTTATAATAACTAAAATAAATATTTCTTTTCTTGTTTTTCTTAAATTCTACTCAATTTATTTATTGATTTTAATTAATTTAAAATAATAATTTGAAATAAAATTTCACTGAATTAAAAAATCAATAAATTATTTTTCTATACAAATTTAGTCAATTTAAAACTTTTATTAGATTTGAAATATTTTTTACATTCCTTCAAATTACAAAATATCATTATTTCTTGTTTTTTTTCTCAAATATTACCATTTATTTTTTAATCTAAAATAACCACCCTAATTAAATACTCACTGAATTAAAAAGTCAATCATTTAAATTTTAATTTAAAAAATTTTTGATTTAATTATTTTTTAAAATATTAAAAATTTTTTGAGTTAATAGAAATTTAATATAATTTATATTTTATTGATTATTAATTGATATAGTATTGATCTATAAAATAAAATCTATCTTAATTACAAACAAAAATGTTTATAAAATATGTTATATTTTTCATAATTACATTATATTTTTTCATTCTAATAGAATGTTTTTTTATAAATTATTTGATTCGTTGAATTAAACTTATTCGTGATTTTTTTATTCTAATTCAGGAATTTAATCTATTAATTGTTTTCCTTTTGTTTCTGATAATGGTAGAGTACATAATGTACCAATAACTCCACTAATTCCTAATGGTATCATAGGGGATAGTCCTAATTTTACGAATGCACTCTTTACAAATGGTGCTGAAGAACTTCCAACTGTTCCAGCTACTGAAATAAAACCTAAAGCCAAGCTTCTTATTGTTGTTGGGTAAAGTTCTGAAAACCAAACAAAGTTCATACATTAAACTATGCAGATAGAGAATCTCATTATTCCTGCAAATATGATTTGTAAAACTTTTTGGTAACAGAAACCTGATCCAGCACAATCTTCTGGAATTTTAAGAAATATGTAGCAAAAGGACATGATCGCTACTGCTATCAAACCTATGAGAGTAACTCTTTTTCTTTAGAACTTTAATATAATATAGTTAGATAAAAAAAACCCAACTAATTCAAAAACTGCTATAATTATTGAGTTTAAATAAATATTTAGTCCTATTTCAGACATAGCAAATGTAATTCCATAATAAACAACTTATATTACAAAGAACTCTATAGAGGCAAAGATGGTTTGCCATCTTTAAGACTTATATCTAATTAAATCAATTAGTGAGTATTAGTCGTTTTGACTATTATCTGGAGGATATTCTAAGCTCTGATAGCTTAATTCTTCTCTTTTATTAATACGAGCTATTTTATTAAGAACTCTAATAGCTTCTTATTGGTTTTTTTCATGTAGATATTTTGGAGATTCTTATACAAAAAATATACCAAAATTTAAGAGAGCCACTGGTATTCCGAAAACAAATAGAATTAAATATCTCCAATAAGGAACTAAGTAAGCAGCTAAAACAAGAAAGCTCTCTCCTATACCCCAAAAAACCTAGACTCCAATAGAACTTAATTCTCTAAACTTTCCTAGAGAATGCTCATTTAAAAATGAAAAATGTATAATAATTGCTGGATTAGTGCCAAAACCCTGTAAGAAGAAACCTATAGCAAACGGAATAATGCTATTAGAAAATCCTGATAAAAATACACCTACTGTTCCAATCATCCAGCTAAAAAATAGGGCAGTTTTCCTACCTTTATTATCAGCAAACCAAGAAAAAACTAAAAATCCTACTAAGCACCCTATTTAGCTTAAGGAGCATAGAATATCATACAAATAGCTTTAATCACATATCAAAGGAGGGTCAAAATAAAAAACCAAAGTATTTTTATTTACAATAACATAGTCCATAAAATTATCTTATTTACACACCCAATTTGAATTGCATTCATTTGCAGGTATTTGATTTTTACAATCGTATTCTGCTTCCATTAAAACAAAATTCACCTAAAGGAGAAGGCAAGAACAGAAGAACCATTGTAAACAAAAATATAAAAAAACAATAATTTGGTATCGATTTCCAGATCCAACTTTTTCAAGTGCTTGATCGAATGTGAGCTGTTATGTTGATAAACTACTTTGCTAATTTATATTTAATTCTGAAAATTCAGAATTTTGATGTTATTAGCGATTATGTATCTATTTTTATTTTTCTTCGAGATTCATTTAGTTTTTTAGTTAATAATAATTTAAAAGTAATATTTTTGATTTCATGCAACACTTAAAGTATGATTGAATATAATTAGCTTACTTTTTTTTGGGGCATGATAACTACCAAACGTATCAAAAAATTGATTTTTTAAAGTTGTAAAAAAAGCATATGAATTCTAAAATAAGTTCTTCTTTATTTGAATATTAATATTTATTTAATCTATCTACTTTTTTTTCAATATATAAATTAAAAATTATTTTTAATTAAATTATATTTAATATTCTAAAAAAAACCAAAGAGTTTTTTTATTTATTAAAGCTATAAATAACACAAAAATAACAATGTTAAAATAAACATATTTTTTTAGAGTGCACTATGATTATTATTTAAAATTGAGTCATTTAAATAAATTGAAAATTTGTATTATAAAATAATTTATATTTTAATTCATAATTGCTAGAATTAACTTTATTTTTTAATTTTTAAATGATATTTCGATATTTAATATAATTTATATAAAATATAGTTTTTCTTTATAAACAGATACCACTTACTTAAAAAATATAAAATTAAATACAGCAAATGGTACAAAGAAGATCCCCAAACAGTAGATGGAGAAATAAAATTTAAACATTTAGCTTAGTTATACTAGCAGGAACAATACATAGGTTTAAAAACCTAATTAATAAATACTTAAACATGAATTAGATCCAAAAACTAGCGGAAAAAGATTCTCCTTTTCTTCCTGATAATATGAAAGCATTATATCAAAAAAACAAATAAATAATATAAAATCAGTTTTAATACAATGACTAATTCTTAATCTAGTTTAAGTAGCACTAAGAAGAGCAAAAAAGAAGATAGGAAATAATAAATAAAATGAAAACTTATGAAATGTAGCAAAAACAATATGTTTTCAAGAAATTTTTAAAATTTTGAAGTTTATTTTATAGAACTTCTTAATATTTGCTTTAGAATTTTCCAGTATAATTATCTAATATAAATTAATTTTAAATGAAAAACAAAATAATTTTATAATTCTTGCATTTACCTGATTGTTTAAGATTAAAATTAATTTTATTTTAAATTAATATTTTTAAATATGATTATATTTTTTAAATCTCATGTAAATATTTGTGTTTTATAAAATAATCTGAATTTTTTGTTATTTATTTTAGTAATATAAATATTATTACTATTAATAATTAATTTATTTATTTTAAAATAATTATATTTTATAATTTAATCTGTTCAAGAATTGATTTTTTAGTTAAAATAAATATTTTATATAGCAACTAAAACTATAATAATATTAAAAATAATGTTAGTGTTTATGAATTAAAATATAAAACTTTACAATTATTAATGCTATCATAATAAGTAATACTCAATTAAATAAATAACATTTGTTTAAATTTTTATAGAAATAATTTATTGATTGAACATTTCTGAAGTATAGTTATTTAAAATTTTAATTTAATATTTGAGGTAAATTCAATGGTATAGATATTTATATTGACGTGTGATTCTATTGATTAAAATTAAAATTAATAAACAAAAATATTGAAAATAAATTGACATACTGCTGATAAAATTGTTAAGAAATTAATTCAAATTTAAAAATGTTTTTTATTACTTAAAAAATTTAATTTCCTTTATTTTTTTATTCTCTATAAAAGCTAGTACTAATTTATTTTAGAGAAAATTTTTTACATTTATAATTGAATGAAATATAAGCATCATCAAATCTACATATCGTCATTTATTTTATGAAATAAAATCTTTATGATTTTAAGACGCGCGTTGAATCTTAAGTAAATTTGTCTAATACATTCAATTATTATGTAATTTATAATATTTAATTAACAATTACTTAAAATAAACAGAAATAAGAAGATATTTTATTTAATTTATTTAAAAAATTAACAAATTTATATTAAGAAAAATAAATTACTAATTTGTTTAAAATAAAGTATCAATCACATTGTTTAGTTTAGTTTAGATTAGTAGAAAATCCAAAATATTTTAGCTTATTTAACCAGGAGTGATAAACAATTTGTCAACAAGACTTATATAAATATGAGTATTCACCAAAAGATGCTAGCAAAGCACTAGCAAAATAATTAGAACTAGCAATATGAATAAACTGGATAAAATCAAAGTATTTAAGCTCCATCATTGAATTAACAACAATAAGATTATCAGTCTCAAAATACCACATCTGGCAATACAGGTCCTTTTGTATAATAGAATAACAATATGTAATAAGGATAATATCAAAATAATGCTCAATACTAAAACGTTTACTAACAAAGTATGCAATATAATAATAATTTAGGAGGATATGTTCAGAATATAAATGAGAAAAATTAAATAGAAGAAATTTAATAATGGGCAGAAAACTTCAATGCACCTAAATTATATGTCAGAAGTACTACTGACTGCTTTCCTAAATCAAAAAAATTATATCAAGATTCAAATTATAAATTTGCTTTGATCATACAGCCTTATGGTTCTCAAGTAAAAATAATTATTGCTTTTATTAATGAATGAAAAATGTTTAATAAGATGAAATTATTTATGGCATTTTTTTAAATATAATTTTATGAATGAATGAATGAATAAATAAATAAATAAATAATTATAAAATTAGGATGTAGATTTTCCAGTAGCTTCAACTAAATGCAAAAATATTATTAGGTGTGACAATTGCCGTGCCTATCTAAATCCATTTTGTAGATTTATGAATGATGGATATAAAGTAATTATTATTTTATTTGTAAAACTTTCAATATAAAGACTAATAAAATAAGCAACAACTTTGAGATAAATTTATTATTAAAAGTAAAATGTAATTGCAAATATTCTATTTTTTTTATTAAAATTAACAAGTATAAATGCAACATTTGTGATAGATTTGAAAGTGTGCCTAATTTTTACTATAGTCCACTTGACGAAAACGGATATAGAAAAGACATGTATGATAGACCTGAGCTTTGTTATGGTTCTTTTGATATAATTGCAGGTCAAGAGTAATTATTCTTACAGTATTCCTTTGAAAAATAAAATAGTTGATTAATTTAAAATATATAGTTATGTTGCAAGACCTCCAATGCCTCCAACTTTTTTCTTCTTGATCGATGTTTCTAAAGCTTCTGTAGAATCTGGAATGCTTAGTGTAATTTCAAATCAAATAAAGGCAACAATTAATGATTAGCTTTTAGCAGGAAAAGAAAGAACATAAGTAAATTTTATAAATAAAATTAGGATAAGCATAATTATAATCATTTTTTAAATTTTATTAAGGTAGGGTTTGTGACTTATGATAGCAAGATACATATTTATAATTTAAAATCTTCTCTAAAATAACCTTAAATGTTTGTTTTATCTGATCTCACTGATATAGAAATTCCAATTCCTGATGATTTGATTGTCACCTTAAGTGATTCTAAAGATCTTGTCTTGAACCTCCTCGATTCGTTACCTAAAATGTTTGAAAACACACAAATAAATGAAAGTTGTTTAACTTTTGCTTTAAATGTAATCTATAATTTGATTCATTCAAAAAGTTAATTTTTTAACTAAATTAATTATTAAAAAGACTGTAAATAAAATCATTTAAACTGTGGGTGGTAGACTTTTTATCTTCTAAAATAGTGCTTCAATTATCAATGAGCCTGTATTTTAAAGCAAATAAGATCCTAATAAAGTAAATATTTTATAGGCTAAATAAAAAAACAAAAACTTTTTAATTTAAATATTCAAAAGAAACCTTAGCCTGGTGAGACCCTCTAATATTAATATCAATTACCAGCTTCATCTCACTTTAGAAATGTCTGCTCTGAAATGCACATCAATTTCATCAATCCTTCAATTTTTATTTTCTCTGATACTTTTAAAAATGCAATTACTCTTGGAGAACTAGCAAGATTCCTTAATGGAGACATATTTTATTATTATGATAAGCTGACAAGATGTAAATATCTTTAAATAACCTTCTTATAAATTTATAAATATATTATTTAAAATTAGAATAGCAATTAGAGTAAGATTTGAAGTATTCCTTAGAAAAATCAATGTCCTGGGAAAGTGTATTTAGAATTCGTATTACTCAAGGATTTAGAATTACTAATGTTATCGGAAATTGTAATTAAATATTTTACTTATACAACCATTTTTATTTTAATAAAACATAATAGTCTCAGTAAAGTCAACAGATCTTTTATCATATCCTTGTGATGAGTAATTAATTAATTCATTCATTACTTTCTTAATTCCATAAATATTTGCTTACTTACTTATTATTTATTTTAAGAATTGAAGATTTATTTACGTTAATTATTTAAAATTTAGGAACAAGTCTTTAATTTATGAAATCGAGATGGATGACACAATAGCAAGAGGAACAAACTTATCAATTTAAACTGCTTTGTTATACACAACAAGTGATGGAGAAAGAAGAATTAGATCACATAATTATATTATTCCTCTCACTTCAGATCCTTATGATATTTACAAACAAGCTGATTGCTCAGCTTTAACTGCCTACCTTGCAAGAAATGCAATAAGCAAAATATATCTTTAACCAATATCAAATTTAAAAGCAGAACTAATTGGAATTACTAAAAGAATTTGTTCGAGTGCTATAAGCGTTAATTAAGTAAGATTAAGTAAGTATCTATGAATTTTAATTAAAATTTATTGAATAAAAATAGAAACAACTACCTGATAACTTAGCCTAACTTCCTCTTAATGTATTGGGAATTATGAAGCATGCAATATTCACAAGCAACTATTGTAAAAAATTTTATTAATAAATAATATCTAAAAATATAAACATAAAAAAGAAAATACACCATTTACTGACTTCATAAACGTTTAAAGACTTTAATTTAATTCTATGCCTGTTGATGAATTGCTTGTTCATTTTGTGCCCTACTTATTCTGTATCGATGATATGAAAGATGAAAATGTGTCATACATTGATGATTAAGGGTTATTTGTATATCCATAATCATCCTTAACAGCATTCAGCTCATTAGGAAAAACAATTTATCTAATGGATTTAGGACAATAGCTTATATTATATATTAATACAAAGTATTTTATTTATTTTTTAAATAATTAATCTAAATCATAATTTAATCAACCTAACTAACAGCGGTACTGATTGGAATTACATTACAGACGTAATTGGATCCACAGACTTTAGTTAAGTTTTCACAGAGGTAAATAAATAATTAAATTTAAAAATGTTTAAAGCAATTAATAATCTTACTTTTTTATAAAGGAAAACCTCTATGCAAATACACATAACAGAATAAATGAATAGTTATCAAATTTAATTTAGGAACTAAGAAAGTATATATAATTTGAAAAGTCTTCCATATTTAATATTTTAAATTATTTTTAAAGGAGAAAGAGTACAAAATATTGTCCTCTAAATATAGTTATAGCTGGTACTGGTTCACCTTTAGAAAATTTGTAATTTTTAAAAATAATAAATATAAATAAATAAATAAATATAATATTAAATATTTTCAAAGGTTCTATTACAAACTGGTTGAAGATAAATACGTTAATTACTCTATGGGCTATAATGCTAGTTATGAAGAGTTTATTAAATTTTTGATGTGATTATCATAAACTCTATATATCATTTAATTAATTTTTCTATATATTTTAAATAAATTTTTTATATCTTTATTTGTAAAAATCTTGTAAAAAATAAATAATAATTAGACATAAAGTAAATTAAATATAAATATATATTATGAAGTTTTAAAATCCTTATTCTAAAAATTTAATTTTTAAAAGATATTTTAAACTTTCATAAATTTGAAATAAATTATCTTTTCAATACTAATTTTTAAAAATTTAGAATAAAGTTAATATTATTTAATTATAATAATATATTGTTAGCATATGACCCTAATTAATTAAAACTGTTTTAAATTTATTGATATTTCTTTGAAAACAAAAATTTTAATAATAAAAGACAAATTTGGAAAGTGCAAAATTTTATTTTACACAAATAAAAATCTTTTAAAAATGAAATTTAAAAATTTTAATAATTATTTTTATTTTAAGTAAATAATAAATGTTTTTTTTTCTATTAAAAATTATTAATTTCAAACTAAAAGCACCTCAGAAAAGATATATAATTATATTTTAGGTATTTGATTAGTAATAAAACCAAACCATATAAAAGCAAATTTCATATTCTTATAGAACATGATCATTAAACACAAAGAGACAAAGTTTTGTCTTTCAAAAGTAATATTAACATTTAAGAAGGAAATTGATAGAGGAAATAAAACTCAAATTATATAATAAAGAACTAATTAAAATAAATTAATTGATTTTTATTCATTATTTCTTAACTTTTAAGCCATATTTAGTATAATCACAAAAACCATTTATGAGTTAGTTGAGCCTGCTAAATTTAATATTAGATTTTAGACTATAATTTTAAGATCATTTTTTATTCCATTTTAAGGACCTTTGTGTCTTTTGTATACCAATGATTTTTCATATACTTTTAGCATAAGTAATAAGGCTCCTCTTCTTAAAGTATCAAATCTTTCAATATAACATGGATATTTTCTTTTGGAGATAAATTTAAACTATGAAAAGTTCATTCAAGTAATTTGAAATTATAATCTTAGAGCCAATCAGTAGTAGCTTTATTAAATGCATTCTACCTTCTTCTTATAACAATAATTGTGGCATATTTTTCTAATGTAAATTATAATGAAAAATGAATTAATTACTTTACACAAAATTGTTAAACACAAATTTTTTTAATTTAGATAAATTTAAAAAATGATTTTATTAATATTTTAATGAATTTTTTTGACCTTCAAAAAATAATTTCTTAAAATGTTCTTTGTAAATTTTGTTTATTATTATTATATTTATTAAAAGAGCAGTTGAGTTTTTGGTTAATTTTAAAACCATGAATATGAATTATATAAAGTAAAAGTGAAAGTATTTTTCAAAGTAATAATTAAAAGATTAATAAATTTTGTTAAAAAATAGTTTATTTTGTTTCTTTAATTAAATTTTTTAAAATTCAGAGAACTGATTAACTCATTAAGAAACAGGATTTTCTTAAACTTCATATGAATCTACCTCACTTATTTCTTCATTTTCTTTTTCTTTTTACTAATTGGATTGCTAGATTTGTTGTTGTTTTGCATTATTTATATTAAATTTACTTTTTCCTTCTTTTATTTGTTGAATTACTGGTAAAATACTGTTAATATCATTCATTAAAGGAGCTTAGTTAGTTTAATATAAATAAAGAGGTTCAGTGCTTTCCCAGCTTATCTCTTCTTTAGGCTCTTGGTAGTATTACTAAAAGAAGCTATAAATCTCATTCTAAAAATTAAAGAAATTCATATTTTATAAGTTACAATTAAGTTAGGTAGAGTTAATTAATTAAGAGTTATTTTGCATTTGATTCATATTAGAAACAGATTAACCCATATTAAATCTGGGTTTGTTGAAGTTTTGTAAAGAATCTGTTGGATTCTGAAGTAATTTAGTGGTGAAAAACTAGTTTTGGTAGAGATTATTTTGCTATAACTAAGCTTACTGCTATTGCAAAAAGGAAGACTACTATTCAATTTTAATAGGAGAAATGTCGTTAGCATCTTAATTACCTTAGTTAATTGATTGATTTAATGCAAAGTTTTTCTTTTAAGTAGCTTGACTTTAATTGCCTTTGTTTGAAGAATTAAATTAATTATTACCATTATGATTATGATTTGAGTTGTTTGCCATATTTTAAGCTAAATTGTTATTAGCATCTGCTCGATTATTTGGCATATTCTGCATAGCAGCAACAATTTATATGGGTAATAGAGAAATATTTTATGCATTATTTTAATATGAGTTTAGATTTTAGCTAGCTGCTAATATGAGTTCATTATTATATGAATTTTCCATTAAAATTTATTTTTCAGGGTTTAAGCTGTTGATAAAATTCTAACTGTCAGTGATTTTTGAACCAATGTTATTTCCTTACTAATTGAATTAGTTGAATGAGGATGTCATGTTAATTATGCTATTATTGATGCTGTTTCCTATTGGATTAACAATATTTTACTAAGCGCTCCCATTGTAATTTAAGAAATTGCCGTTTAGGCCTTGCTAGAAATATTAAGACTAATTTCCCCCATTTTAAAAGAAATTAGAATAATTTTAACCACCATTTAATGGCATAAAAGGATTTTAATTAGTGATATTTTAACTGTTTGTAAAAAACATGCTGTTGGTTTAGTTATTGAGCTAATTTTCAAAGTTGTTATCACCATTTTAATTAATCTAAAGAGGGTTTTATGAGTTGATTTCCTGTAAAAATTATTGCTATAAATTTTAATTATCTGTAGAATTGTTATTGTCTTCCGTGGACTCCTGCTTAATTGGGTTATTTTTAATTTAAGAACTGAAATTTTAATTTTCAATATTAATTATGAAATCTCTATTTCCTATTTAACTCTGACCATTGAAATAATTTTTGTGGTGCTAATTCAATATTTGTTACTGTTAATTCTAATTAAGTTCACCCTCGTTTTTGTTACTTTAATTAAATAAGTTTCCTGATTGCTAAGCTTGATTAATATTTTAAATTTAATTAGTGTTTGAGCTAAGATTATTTCCTGCATTAAATCTAAATCCATTTTATTGATTCACATGATTTTTTATGATATTTTGATTTAAAAACGAATGAGGTTGCTAGTGGAGGATGATGTTATTTGCATGCTATTATTAAGAATTTTGAATTTATTGATTCTATTAAGAGTTCAAGCAAAATGAAGAACCGAAATTCAGTGCACTCGAAATTCCGTTAGCTGCTCCACTTGTAAAAGGTTTTTAAACTTCAGATTTTTACTGGAGCGTATTCGAAGAATGTGTCTCATTTTTATTTGTTTTTATTTTTTTAGATTTGCTAGGCTAATGCTATTGTGCATCATCATTTGACATTTCGCCACCGCCGTTGTTATTATTTTTTTAATTATAAAGTGAATCTTCTTCTAGAGACTAAGAACTATACATATTTTTTTGATCAAAAGAATGGATTTTAGGATTTTTAAATTAGCGCTAAGGAAGAGGATTCTCTGGATAAGCTACTTTCCACATTTCAAAAAAAGATTAAAATTCATCCCTTTTATCTTGCTCATTCCAATGTACATATAATAATAATGAAAGCATTCTTTTTCGAGTGTGAGTGCGCCATTCTTCACTTTCTCTTGGATGCCTGCCGACATCAAGAATAAGAATTAAAAGCATATTGTTATATTATGAGTCTAATTAGTAGAATTTAATTTTATCTTCAAAGGCGTTAAGTAATTTTAAATATTTTGGACGACCACTCGAAATTGTACTCGAAATCTCTTAAAAAACAGCCCTATTATTATTTTTTCTCATTTTATCTTTAAGAAGATCTGAAACATAGTTTTCTAAAAAGTATTTCGTAAGGGTATCCTAAAGTTATTTATTGGCATGGGGAATAGTTTTCTTGAGGAGAACCTCTGTTAAGTAAAGAAAATCCTCTCTTAAGTTCTGCTTCACACTTTCGACTTACAACAAATAGGGTTTCATATAAATAATGATTAATGAAGTGAACTTTAAATGCCTAAAGCCAAATATGTTTAATAAATTTTATTTTATGAGATATTTAATCTGCTAAAAAGGCAACTATAAGAACTTGGTTATTCTGTTTGCTGCTTAAAAATTGCTAGAAAATCCTTTGATTTTATAAAAAGTATCCAAATTTTCTTAGAAATATTATTTATCTCTTTACCTATTATAAAAGTAGATTTCGAACTTGTTTTATTTTTAATTTAATTAAGTATTTTCTTTTCTCTTTCGAGCGAGCGAGATCAAACCTAATTCTAATAAAAAATATGTTCATATAATTTGGTATATTTTTCATCATGCATTAAGTAAGTATAGGAAAAAAATCATAAAAATAATACAAACAAATAATCAATAAACATAGAAAAGAAATCTCTCAAAAAAATTTTGATAATTCGACAATTATTTTTAGTTTCTATTTCCAATTAAAGATTTATATAAGCATTCATCAATGAGAGTATCTAGCAAATTAAATTTTCTTAAATTTTTCAAATACGAAATAAATTTTCTTCAAATTTTTATTGAATAAATGAATAAATAAATATTCTGATATTTTAAAAGAAATTTTTGTATGTTTAATATTAAGTAGTTTACTCAAATATTTTTATCTTTCTTTATGTTTACTAACTCACTCTTTTAAGTTTCTTTCCTGCAAAGCCAATTAATTTTCTTTTGGAATTCGAAAGTAAGCTAAAAACAAAATTTTAGTTTGTAGCGCTAATGTATAAAAAATAGATATCTTTGAATAATAAATATAATTTAGCAATAAAATAATAAATAATACTACAAAATGAATTGTCTGATAAAATATCTGATTTAAAAAAACGAGCAAAAATATCAAATAAGTAAGCTAAACTTAATTTATTTCATTCTATTTATTTTATAATTATTATTTTACCCATTAAAAGTTTGAATTTAACCTATTTAAAAAATATTTAATCCAAACTAATATAAAAAAAGAGTTAGACAGACACATACGGATAAAGCTAATAATAGTCTTCTTTATTTAAAAGAATATTCTTTGAAGAAAGATGTATTATTATTTATTTTAAAATATCTTTCCCTACATAGGTTTTTTATACAATCTTCAAACTATAAATAAAAAAATAAAGAAACAAATTCTAATAATTAAAAAGTAATATTTTTTAACAGAGAAATAAACTTTATATTGGCAAAATAATTAAATGTTTATCTTTCAAGAATTGGCTTTTTCGCTTGGTAATCTATAAACTGAATCCATAAAATGGGCCATAAACTCTTCTAATACTTCTTCATCAGGTACCTAATACAAATCTATAAAATATTTATTTCAATATTTAATAATATTACCATTCCCATCATACCATACATGGCAGCTGTGCCATCTTTAGCATATTTTTTTGGATTTTCCTTAACTATATTGATAGCTTTTTTTAAGTCAATGATAAATTATTCTTTTATTTAAAGGTGCTGTGGCATAAAACTGATGTGGATACATTCAGGGAATCTTTAATTTTCAACCTTTAGAATTTAATTAAATCAATAAAATCTTATGAACAATTTAATTATTACCTGCCAGTCGTTTATATCTTTTAAGGCATCTGATATGTGATAAATATTTATTTCTTAATTCTTCTTTACTCTAAATGCAATAATTGTCGTAACTGGATTTCCTAAAATTTCTAATTCTTCAATTTTTCTTATTTCATCTCTAATATAATTAGCACCATCAATAATCTTCTTCGTAACATCCATAAAACCATCTTAACCAAGCACCATCATAGAAGCCCATGCACCTTCATTATAAATTTAAAACTTAATTTGATTTTCTTCTTTATATTATAATTACCTGCTAAAGGTCCTCCACCCCTTGTTCCTAGAGTTGTAGGAGAAATATAAATTCCTCCGGGCCATCCAGTATAAGAATAAAATTGATTCAATCTATATTCTGAATCTTTAAATACAAGAACAGAAGCTCCTTTTGCAGAATAGCCGTATCTAAATAGTAAAAAATATAGTTAAACTTTGAAAATTAAAGTAAATGACACTAATTTCAGAAATTAAATTTAAATTACTTATGAACATCTGCTGATATAGAAGTAACACCATTATTTCTGAAATCAAACTATGGTATTTTATACCCCAATTTCTCAATAAAGGGTAACATAAACCCACCAATAGCGCTATCAACATGCAAAGGAATGTTAGCTCTTTCAGCGATAATTGATATTTAATCTATAGGATCTACTATTCCATGAGGATATGAAGGGGCAGAAGCAATAATACAACAAGTATTTTTATTGATTTTTTATTTGATTTAATCAACTCTCATTTCAAATGTATTTGGATCACTGTCAACATAAACTATTTTGACTCCATAATAATGAGATGCTTTTAAAAATAAATTATTTAAAATTTAGAATCTATGTAAATATTTTAAGTACCTTTGTTAATTGCTGGATGACCAGAAACACACATTATTAATTCAGGTTCGGTAATTTCTGGGTTAATTTTATATAGTCTATCTCTATAAGTTTTTACAGCTAGTAAAAGACTTTCAGATCCTCCAGAAGTTACTGAGCCAACACATTTATGTGGGTCTCCATTCATCATTTTAGCTGTCATTGCAACAATTTCAATTTCGAAATTTCTTAAAGAAATAAACTTCATAGGATTTAATGCATTAGTGTGTATACTATAATATTATCAATTAAATAATTTTTAGAAACAAATGGAAATAACTCTGATCATATATAAAGTGATATTTAAAATAATATTTTTACAATAAATTATGAGCTTTTGTGACGAATTCTGTATGCTTGTGTGAGTGGTCGTACACATAAGCCCAGCATTTTCCTTTAGTTGGATCTAAATCAAAAGCTTTGCGTTCTTTCATAATTTCTAAAACTTCCTCTTCACTCAAACCACTTGGAGGGAGTTAAGTAAATTTAGGAGGTGGTTTTCCTTCAAATTGTTATTTAACAGTTTTGGCAGCTTCAGTTTATAGCTCTTTGGTGAGTTTTTAAGATATGGCTGAAGATTTTTTGAGCAGTCTGATTAACATCTTTCCACAATTCTTGAAAAATCCCCCATTTTTATTTAGGCTTTAGTACATCTTAATCAAAGCAATAAGCACTATAAAATGCTCAAGCTTCCTAAGATGAGATTCCTTACTAAATGATTGCACAAGTTGCGTTAATTTTGAATAAATTTAATTTGTTGTTTCCATTATTTTTTATTTCACCAAATTATCTCAGTTTTTAATTTTTTAAATATTTATTTGTTATAAAAAATTAATTTATAATTGCAATCTTTTTAATATTTTTTCATCAAAATATAACCATTGTAAAAAATAATCGTGAAACAGCAATTAAGTTGTTTGTAAATTAAAAATAAATTTTGGATTTAGAATAATTTGTTAGAGTTTACATATTATATATTGAAAGTAAACAATTTATTTTAATTTTTACTTTTTGACCTTTTTTTTTTAAGTAAAAGGCATTACATTTACTAAATTTAACTAAAATTTAGCTAAATTTTATCCATTTAATTAAAAAATCATTAATAAATTTTTAAATCAATCAATTATTTATTATTTATTCAACATTTTTATCTTACTATTGAAATTATTAAATTTTTTGAATAAATTATAGTTTCTTAAATATATCATAAAGAAATTCTATTTTTATTGTTAATGTGGAGTTATGTTTTTTAAAAATTTATATAAAAGGTTATAAAGAAAAATTAATTTTTTTTATGATAATATAAAAAAACTTTTGAAATTTACAAATTTTTTCAAATAAACAATTAACGAACAAATCTATTATTTTATGTAGAGTAATCAATTGAATTTGAATAAGAGCTCAAATTTATATATTAATTTAATATCTATGTTCATAAATTTATGTTATCTTGTTTAATAGACAAAAAAATTATAAATATGAAATTGAATTGAAAATTATAAAAAAATGTATTTAAAATGTCAACTAAAAAAATTATTTATAAATAAATTTGAAATTAAATATTATAAAATTAATCTCATAAAAAACAAATTTAGTTATTTTTTGACATATATTTTTAAGAAAAATCTCATTTTTCATATTAAATAATAAAAATAAATTTCTTATAGCAATTAATACATAACAACATTTAAATAAACTTTATTATCGTAAAGATGTCGGATATTTATTTAAAGTAAGATTTTAATTTTTTTGTTTTGTTTTTTGATATATTTAGCATTAAATTGATTAAATGAAAGAAAGTATAAAGATAGATAAATAGATAGATATGAATTTCTTAGAAAATTCTTAAGTTTTGATTTTTAATTTCTTGAATTATTCTATTCCTGTCAAAAATGAGTTTTTATGATATCGTTTTGAAGTAATTAACATATTTTTAATTAAAGGTATAGATTTCTTTAATATAAAAAGTAATTATTTTTCTAGAAACAAAAAGTTTATTTGATAGTTTCATATAAGTTAATTACCTTATGAAGTAAATTTTATAAAAAGTAAATTGCCTACCATTAAATAGCATCATGAAAATTGACCAATCTTTTTTAAATTTAAGAATATAGGTCTCCTTCATTAATAATCGAGAATGTGGAGAATGGGCTAAAAACCATGTATTTAGATCTTAATAATGTTTAATATATATAATAATAATTGCTATAAAATATTAATTAATAGATTCTAAATTCTTTATGATGGGATAAAGAGATAACTTTTAAGTTTTGCAAAGCGAAATATCCAAATAAATAAAATATATACCTCAACCAGTTTTAGATCAATAGTTAATAGAGTAATATAAATATGCGGATTCTAATTTGCTATTAAAAGCTATTTCAGTAATAATTATCATATTGATTGATTTAAAAATTTTAAAAATGTTATTTTTCAAAAATACTTATAATAGGCTTAAAAACTGCTTTATTTGCAAAAGAAATTCTATTAAAATACATCCTATACAACCTTATATCCATATTTAAGAGTAACTTTTGTTTTTATAAAAATATTTTAATTGAAAATTTTACAATAAATAGGAGCTAAATAGATAGTAAAAACAAGCAGAGATCCTCCAATTAACATAGAGTATTTACAAAATTTTAGCATAGTTTAAATATTTATTAAAGAAAATTATACCTTATAATAGATTTAGATAAAAAATTTAAATTTAGTACTGATATTGATAAAGATAAAGTAAACGCATAAATTGTTTATGCAAGAACTTGCTTCGAGTTAAAAAATGGTCCTATGCAGTTAGTCCCCCAGTAATTAAACAAAATATTAATCAAATAGTTCTAATATGCTTATTTTAATAAATAGAATATAAAGCAAAAGTTTCACTTAGAGGATCTTTAACTATTTATTATATATTTATATTTTTTACCTCCTGTTTGGTAACTTTACTATATAAGCTGATTTTTCAAGTGATGAATCCTCCTAATCAGTAAGATTATTTTAATTCAATTTTATTATATATAATTAGTTATTTATTTTGCTTGAATTAACTAAAAAATCTATTTTTAAAAATTTAGTCTGAAGAATAGTCCTTCTTTTCTAAAATTTGGGAGTACATTGTTGGAAGCGATAAAGGTATAAATAATTAGCAAATTACTATTTAAAATAAGAATTTTATTATGCACTTAAACACAATAGATAATAACAAAAATAAGAACAACGAAAATAACAATAAGAATAGTAAGTAAGAAGCATAAGGAAATGATAATAAATAAAACTAAAATGCACCAAAATCTAACAATTTACTCAATAGGTAAATTGAATTTTATATGAATTACTAAATTTAGTATTCAATTTTTATCTTAGATTCTTTAATAGAGGAGTTGAAATTTAAGAAGAAAAAAATATTAAAACAAGATTCTCTGATGTTTTGGGCATCGATGAATTCAAAGAAGAACTCATAGAGCTTGTTGATTATTTGAAAAATCCTCAAAAGTATCATGAAGCAGGTGCAAAGCTTCCAAAAGGTAGAAAAATTGTTAATTTTTATAAATTAATCAAGCTCTTTTCAATTTTATAAATTTAAAATAAAAAAAGGTATCTTATTGGTAGGACCTCCCGGAACTGGTAAAACTTTACTTGCAAGAGCTTTGGCTGGAGAAGCAGGATGTTCATTCTTCTATAAGAGTGGTTCTGAATTCGATGAAATGTTTGTCGGTGTTGGTAAGATATTTAATTTAAAATGATTTGTAGCTAATTAAAATTTTTTATAGGTGCCTCAAGAGTCAGAGAACTCTTTAAAAAGGCAAGAGAAAAAGCTCCTTCAATTATATTTATCGATGAAATCGATTCAGTTGCAGGCAGTAGAAGAAGTACAGATCCATCAAATTCTAGAGATACAGTTAATTAAATTTTAGCAGAAATGGATGGTTTCAAATAAACAGACAATGTTATAGTTATTGGAGCCACTAACTTTGAATAAGCCATTGATCCAGCTATCAAAAGACCTGGAAGATTTGATAAGTTAATTCACGTACCTCTCCCCGATATACGTGGCAGAGAACAGGTAAATTACAAAAAAATTATAAATTAAAATTAAAATGAATTTCTAATCTGAAAAGCTCTTTGAATACTATTTGAAAAATATAAAATATGATCCTGATGTAAAAGCAAAAGAGTTAGCTAGATAAACAAGTGGATTTTCTGGTGCAGATATTTCAAACATGGTTAACATCTCTATCTTAAATTCCATTAAGAATAGTAAATTCCAAATAATTTAACTATTAATAAATAAATAAATATTTTTTTTATCTTTAGATAGAACAATAGCTAATTTGAAAGATTTTGACTTTGCTTTAGATAGAATAGCTATGGGTATAGGAAGAAAGAATATGTTTATTACAGAAGAAGATAAAAGAACTACAGCCATCCACGAAGGTGGACATACTATTGCTGCATTGCTAACTGATGGTGCTACTCCTCTCCATAAAGTTACTATTTTACCAAGAGGTGGTGCCTTAGGTTTTGTAATAATTTCTATTTGATTAAATATTAAAGCAATTTATAAACAATAAATAATTAAATTAATAAATAGACATCTATGATTCCAGAAACTGATAAATTAAATCACACAAAGAAATCTATGATTGCAATGATTGATGTAGCTATGGGAGGAAGAGCTGCTGAAGATATTTTTATTGGCAATGATTAAATTACTACAGGTATTTTTAAAAACTAAAATTTAAAGATTTATTGAAACTAACCAAAAAAATTAATATAGGATGCAGCAGTGATTTATCTAAAGCTACTGAAATAGCCTATTAATATGTAAAAAATTTAGGTATGAATGAAGAGTTAACACTTATATCTGCCAGCAATAAAATTTAAACCTCTGATACTTATAATTACCAAATTGACTTAGAAGTTTAAAAATTATTAAAGGTAAAGTTATTTTTTAATTTTATTTCATTTTTATCATAATATAACATAAAAAAAATAATATTAGGAGTCATATGATAGAGTTAAAAAGCTTTTAAAATCAAATGAAAAAGGATTATGGAACCTTGTAGACTCATTAGTAAAGAATGAAACACTTACAGGTAATGTTAATTGTAGAAAAAACCTAAATTAAATATTTATAATTTAAAATATAGCTGAATAAATCAAAGAAATTGTTTTATAAGGAAAAAAAATTTGAAGCTAAAAATAAAGAGGATTTAATTTTTTTTAGCAACTTTTTAATTAATAAAAAATAGATTTTTGTGTAAATTTAAATTAAAAATTTTTATTTCAATTTTGATGTTTTTATTTTTGTAGATTTGATTTTGTGTATGTATGTATAAATCAGCTAATATGTTTTTTAACATAATTCAAAAAATAAACTAAGATATATTAATTTTTTACATATTAACAAATTAATAAATAATTAGATTTTTAATTATATATATTATGACAAATTTTAAATTTTAATTATATTTTTAACAATTAATTGCTTCAAATTTTTAAATAATTTATCAAATTAAAAAAAATCATAAATTTAATTCCACACTTTATATCTATATTGTATATTTATAATTACATAAAAAAGAAAAAAAATGATTTTCAATTTTTTAACATAATTTATAAACAAGCTAAATACTTTAAAAAGAATTACTTACTTACTTACTAACAAATTAATAAATAATTAAATTACTAATTATTTTATTCAAAATGTTATATTTTTGTCATAATTTAAAGAATAAATAGCTTCATAGTTTTTTTAAAAAATATATTCCTTTTTAAAATAAAATATATGATTTTCAATTTTTTTAACACTATTCCCAAACAAACTAAGATTAATTAAAAGGAATAAATTACTTATTAACCAATTAGTAAATAATTAAATTATTCAAAATTTTAAATAATTTATCAAATTAAAAATAATCTATTCCATTTCAAAATGAAATATAAAAATTTAAATTAAATTCTCAAAACATTTTTTATTTAATAAATACATCTCAAAATTAATTACAGAAATTCTTTTAGTAACTTTAATTTAGAATTACATAAATTTTATTTATAATTTTAAATAAAATAATTATTCTCAAATATATTTTATCATGTCAATTTATTTTACATTTTTTTTTCCTTGCGCAATATCTGGCAATAATATTATTTTAAGACTTGTATATAACTTTCTATTAACTTTTTAATATTTAAATTACAGAATTAATACAACAAGATATAAATATTAAATCGGCACATCATTTGAAATACAAATCACCTCATCTGATTTACATATTAAATAAGGAATTAATTAATTAATCACTTTCTTTAAAAAGTTTTTTAAACTAAAAATTAATTTCGGAATAGATAGATTATCATTATTTTAGTTGAAAATATAAAAACTGATAAATAAGTATCTAAAAGCTAGTAAGCAATATTTATATAAATAGGAAAGGATAAATATAGCAAAAAGGCTTGAAATTATTTTCATAGTATAAAGTCAGTCGTAGATCTTCTCCAAAAACATTTAATTATAATATAAAGATCTAAACTGTTAAATAAATAATGATTGATTAGTATTCAATAATAGTTGAACCAAAGTATTAAGTATCAATATGCAAGGATATTTTAAGAGACTTTTCAAAGAAGAGTGTTTTAGAACCTTAGGTAATTTTTTTTGCATTCCATTTTATTTTATTTTTGCGTAAGTGAAATTATAATTTTTATGTTTTAATTGTATTTTTTCATTTTTCTATATGATTTTTAGATTCAATTATTTCAAAGGAGAAGTTTTGTATTTAAAATGAGCATATTTTTTTAAAAATTTAGGTAAAATTTATAAAGTAAAGCTTAATCTAGCAAATAGAAAAGATAGATGAAAAATAAGATGAAAGTATTAACATATTGCGTAGAATTTTTGATAAGGAGTGTGAAAAAATAATTAACCTAGAGGATTTTGCTCTTAATTTTGCAGTTTAAGAGAAACTTGAATAAATATGGTAGTAATAGTCAACAAGATTTATTGAATAAATGAAGGAAAATTACAAAAATCGCTAAGAAGCAGAATTTAATTTGCTGAATTTATTAAATTTTATATATTTGATTATTAAAAGACATAATAGTTCAGGATAGAGTTGCAATTTCTTTTTGTATCTATGGAAATAGACTCCTTTGTCTCCATCAATATTTGACGTTTTTATCTACTGTGATGATTGGGAGCTTTCTTATAGAATAATTTAGATTTTATAAGACATCAAATTTGAAGAGGCTATTAAATTTTAGATTAAACCCAGCATAGTCTAGTAAAGTTTTGAGCAATAAATACATATGGGATTTTATTTATTTACTAACATAGTTATAGCTATGACTAGTTAAAATCATTTTCATCATAAAAATCGCTATAACAGTCTAGTCGAGTATAAATATGATGAAGTAATTCTATTTAAAAAAAGAGGGTCATCTTCTTTTTTAGTCACAAATTTGTAGAATTTGAATTTAGGATAAGGAGATATAATCTACAAATTTGACATTTCTTCTTAAAATAATGAGAAGAGAAATCAGTCTTTATGGGATCATTTTCTTTAGACAATAGGCGAATAAACGTACTTAGAGAGCAATAAAAGTTAAAAGCAGATTGAAATTTTTGAAGCATTTATTGAATTTAAATATGCTGTCCTCTGTAAAGAAAACTTTAATCAAGCAGCTTATTTCTAAATATTTTATCGTAGATTAGCATCTTTTGCATCTTCAAGTAAAAATAAAAAGTTTAATTTAGTTTTATAATTTTCGTTTTAGAAAAATATTTAAATAATTACTTTATTATAAAAGATAAATTGAGCATTTTAAAAAATTTCTGTCTCCAATACATGAAACGTGAAATCCACTTCAATTATATTTAAAGATAAAACATATCCTAGTTTAGTCTTTATTTAATTAAAGATATAATATAAAAATTGGAGAAAAAAGGTTGGATATACAGAAACGGTGAAGAAGTCCAACAGGATGAGGTGTAATAATTAAAGAAAGATTAGCTATTTAGATTAGCATGGGACATTATATTATACGAGAATGGGAATATACTGCACTATTTATAAGAACAATACAAAATAGAAAGCGATTTATTTGGGAAAATTGAAGATTTCATTTTTCAATATTATCTTAATACTAAAAACAACGCATTTATTTATACTTATGAAGATATGCAATTTCCTAATGGTGCTAATATAGATACTTCTAGTGGATTTTTTTAGTTGTTCTTTTAACAGTTCAAGAATTGCTATGAAAAAATTATATTTAGCAACGATAATTGCCCAGTAAAAAAAAAATTACATGATTACGACAACTCTATTACTGTGTGGTAGATATAAATGCTAACAAATGTTTTAAATTAGCCAGAGACCTTTTAGGGAAAGCAAGGAATAATAAGCTAAATTTAATATAATGAGCTAATTAGGAGATACAATGATTAATTTCGAATCACAATCACAGATCTATTCAAAGATATTTTTATTATGATTCTTGATCGATGCTTAGACACTTAAAATAATAATTAGTTAACTGATATTTTTATTCATAGATTTGTCATAAACTGTAGTAGCCTGATTAGTGATTAAAAAAAATTAGAAATAATTTAGTTGAAGGGGGTTTAATACTTTGATTAATTATTTTAATAAATTTTAACTTGCAAAAATCGTCATGCTGCTTTTACTTTTCTTATGCTTTTAGAGCACAGTAGTGAAGTGTTGCGCAATTAAATTATTGAATTTATTGTTACTTCAAAGTAAACTCCTTTATTTCAACCTGTTTTAATAGAAGAAGATAAACAAAATCCTTAAATGAATAGCAGCTAATCTTAGGATATTGAAGAAAAATCTGAAAAAGATCCATAAGTTGAATAAGAGGATGTAGAATAAATAAGAAAAAATATAATTTTGAGTGTCGCTGAAAGTTTAATTAAGGATTATGGGTTTTGCTATGATATTTTTATGAATTTAAGTAAAACAGATCCTTTTAGCTTAAACTGTAAGTAAGATCTTGAAAAAAATAATAAGATTTATAATTTATATGTAAAATACTATCCTCAGATTTACCTAAATAAAGGTACAGTAATGATGCATACCTAATTCTTTAATTAGCCAGGGATTAAGCTTTAACTTAGAAATTAGTTACTTAAAAGCGGAGTTTTATAAGCAATAGTTGAAAAAATTGAAATGGATTATGAGTTAGAATTAAATTATTACATTAATAATATCAAAAAAGAGAATTTAATTTGCAAGTAAACTTATAAAACTATGCTGAATGCTAAGTACACTTTCTTAATACATAATACTAAATAATATATTGACACAACTATGACTTTGTGTAATAACAACGCAACACCCTCTGAAAAAAAGGAGATTAAAGAAGAAATATTGAAGCATTCATTTCTTCTTCTAAGACTCCTTCTCTCTCTTAATAATCTTTTCACTTATGGCCTGAGCACCTCTCTTTCCTATCTGAGCAATATCAGAGTTACTGTGCTGAGGTTTGTCGAAATAATCACTTCGAATACTTCTGAAGATGTTGATTTTAATCCTTTACTTTAAATATTATTCAGGGGCTTAGAAAATTAAAAATCAAAAAGCAATTAAAGCTCATCTTGCATTTCCCTTGACAAAGTTGTTAACGAGTTTTCTTATGGAAATTATATGTTAAATAAGCAAAGGATTTAGTAGCTGTTTTAAAATTTTACTTTGGTTTCTAACTTTTACTTTGATCAAGAAGGTTTTTTGTCAAGAATTTAGAATTCAGCAGAAGCGTAGTTAGTAAATGAAGCCAGAAATATAGAGACAATATCATTCATTCTTAAAAAAATAATAAAATAGCTGAGCGATTCTAGTAAAAAATAGCTAATCACAAAATATTTTCAAAGATATCATTTAAATAATATTAATAACTGCTATTAAATAGCGGCTAGCGTTTAAAGAAAATATGTAAAAGAGCTTTTTAAGCTTAAACTTGATGACATACTAATCTAGAGAAATTTACATTACTTTTTAGAAGAAAATAGTAGAAAATAAGCTTTGATAAATTTTATAAATGATGAAGAGCAGCTAAAAATTTTTTATAAAAGAACTAAGTGCTTCTTAAATGTAACAAGATTTGGTCTATCTATTGACGTGCATGGTGCATGTGCTGAGTAAATGCAAGCCTTTGTGTTTATACGCGATTCAATAATATAAAGTTTTAATTATGTTTTTTTCGGCTCTGTTGATGCGCCTAAAATTTTTAAAAAGCAAAAATAAACCCTTTAGTAAGAATAGCAAATTAAATAGTAAAAAGATGATAATTTTGCAATTAATAATTCTTAAAGAAATAATAAAAAAAATAGAAATGGCAATAAATAAGATAAAGGAAAGAATGGATTAATCTTATTTTTGAAATCTAAAAGCACAACTTTTAATTAAAAAATAGTTATAAATTAATTTGTTTGCATGAAATATTTTAACCCTCTTCAAAAAATGATGCATTTTCACTTATAATCACAATTCAATGCTAAATCAAAAAAGAAAGTATTATATATTGAAAGCAATTCATTTATTAACTCTATTATTCATCTGTTTAAAAATTCACTTTATCATATTTAGTAATGCAAAGAAGCTTTTGCTAAAAACTAAAGCCAATAACCTAATTTTATAACTGGTGGTGCTGGAGGTGGAGGCTCAAGCAACATTAATATTGGATATTTGGATGTTAATTTATACTCTAAAAAAAGCTGTCTAGCTATGAGCAGTTTTGTGCAGCTTATTTTTTAAGAATTCTCTGTATTTTTAATGCATAGATTTTCAGGCAGAGATTAATCATAAGAAAATGTACAAACTAAAAAAGAAAAACCAGATGAAAAAACTCCTTTGCTTGAGGATACCCGTTAATTAGTAGAGTCTGTAGAAAATGTCTTTTCAGGCTAAAGGAGGAATATTAACAATAATTAATTAATTTTTTAAGATGATAATTAATTCGATGATACAACACTAAGCTAATTGTCATCTGAGAGTATGATTGATATTTTTGAAGAAGAAATTAGCACTCTTGGAGAAGAAGATATTAACTTAGAAGAAATTATTTAAATAAACCAAGACAATAATTAACTAGATTACTTTTCTAAAAGTTTTGAAAGTGAATAGAGCATTGATGATGATGATGAATTTTTAGAATCAGAAGAAAACAATCCAATTAATAAAAACTCAAATTAAGAAAATTCAACTTAAAATTCACCTGAAAATTTAAATTCAGATTAAAATAGTTTAAATAGTCAAACCATAAATCATGACTCTAAAAATGTTGATGTCATAGATTAAATATCAGCTGAGAGACCTAACTCTTAAAATTAAAATGACTAAGAATAATAAATCTAGTAAGATGCATTAAAAAATATAAATTAATCATAAAAAGATGATGACGCTGAATAGATTGAATTAGAAGAGCAAATTTATGCAGATAAGCTGGAGTACGAGATTAATTAAAATAAAAAATTTAGTCAAAATGGTGATTTTGATTAATTTTAATAAAAATAAGAATAATTTTATTTGCAAGATAAAAATTAACATAACAGTAATTTAATGGAGAATGAAAATTAAACATTAAAAAATTCATTAGAAATTAGTAAAGCAGAGCATATTAAGTAGAGAGAAACTTTGAAAAAATAAAAATATGAAATTTACTTTATCAAATTAAAATATTTGTTATCAATAATTTTAAATAATTTGCAATAAATAGAAACTTGTGATGTTTCAGCTATAATGATCAAAATTTAAGAAAAATAAATTGGACTTAAAATAGACAGGTTAAAAGCAATTTAATTTTTTGAAATTTTATTTGACTCCATAGAATAGTTTGACTTATATGAAGCCATTTCTTTTAAATAATTTATGAATAATTTTTATCATCCCACTTTCAAAGATGATCTTAAAATTGATAGTAAGCATGAATAAATAAAAGTTTAGGATAACTAAAAATCAGAAAATAAATCTAATAGTCCAAGAAAAAATCCAAAAGAAAGTGAATGTTAAGTAGAATTTTCAGAATTACAAAATGAAATAGCAGAATAAATAAATTAAAATGAAAAAGCTACTATTGCTTAATAAAAATCTAATGAAATTATTGACCTAGAAATAAATAAAAAATAGTAAGAAGAAGATGAAAAAAAGAAAGAACAATAGTTTGCCTCAATAATTTAAAAAATTAATGAAAAAATTAAAAAAAATAAGCTAATGTTTCTTGATATCACTGTTCTTAATTCTAATTAAAGTGAGAAAATTATTTAAAACTGTAAAACTGTTTTAAATTACATTCAAGATGAGTTGATTCCAGAAATTTAAAATATCAATAAAACTATTCAAGAAAATATAGAATTTTTAAAAAGTAGTGATTAAAATTAGTAATAAAGTATTTAAAATGCAATCTAAGATAGGAAATGTAAAATAATCAACATCATAATTACTCTCTCAGTCATTTCATATTATCTTTAGTTTTAATTAATCAAAGAGAGTGAAGAGAAGAAAATAAAATAAACTTTTAAAATAATGTCTCGATCAATTAGCATATTTCAATATTGCTAAGACCAGGTTAATAGTGAAAACTTCTATTTAAACGAGAGTGTTTATTTGTAAAATTAGTGTTAGAAAAAGATTAGTTTAGTCCAATAAAATTTAGCTCAAAGATTTATGCAACTAAGCTTTTAATTAATCTTAGTACAAAGAGAATAAAGCATAAAATTATTTATACATTATAATATTCTGCAAATAGCTAGAGATATTAAAATTTCTTAAGTTGAAGTTTTTAGAAATAATTTATCTTTAGTTATTTATTCAATAATATACGAAATATTTAATACTCCATACAATTACTGCAATAATATTGAATTCTCTATCAAAAACCATATTTTAACTTGTTCAAAATCTAACTACCAAAAATTTTAATTTAGTGAAAAATACGCTTAGCCTTTAGATCTAAATTCATATTACAACGAAGCAAAGTAATTCTTATTTAAATCTTTTTATTTATTATAAATTATCACTTTTTATTTTATTTTTTATTACATTTTACTTACAATTAATAAATTTTTTATAATTTAGATAACTAATTATGAAGGGTCCAAAAAATTTTATGAAGGCTTTTTATCAAATTATGAGCTTTGACAAATAAAAAAAGCAGAAGCTTAAATGCTTAATAAAGAAAAAATACAGAAACAAATGGTGTTATCCAATAAAATTAGATGAAAATCAGTAAAAAGTAATTTATTAACTTTTTGAGATTTGCCAAAATAATGAGATGGAGGGATAAATTTATGAAGGAATGGCGAAATAATAAGATACACTAGCTGGCTCAAATAATTATTTAGTAGATGAAATCGAAACTAACTGTATGAATAACTTTTGCTTTGGTAAAATTATATTGAACTTACTTCAATATTATCCTTGCTTGGTGGAATTTGGATAAAAAATACCTGAATATTAAAAAATATTAATTGATTTTATGCTTTAAGATTCTATGGGAGCTACAAAAAGATTGGTTAAACTGTATTTCACAATTTATTCCCTTTACCACAATAATCTTAATTTAATTGATGATTATTGGAATTTATACATCAATTATATAGACCAGTCAATATCTGATTGGCTTGTCAGTACTAAAAATTTACAGAAACTCTTTTAATAATTACACATGATTGATTTATTATAAGAAACATCAGCTCATTTGAAGTTTGAATAAGGATTACAATATATGAAACGTTTCCTTCAAAATATTTTAACTAAGTTATGGGATGGTAAATAACTTTCAAACAATTAGTGCCAAAAATAGGATGATCTTTATTACTTTTAAAATTATTTGAATATTCCTTCTCTTTTTGCAGTATTCTATAAGAACTATCTGAAAAACTGCTTATATAACTTAGGGTTTGATGACATATTTAATTAAACATAAATATACGATTACTTGAAGGAGCTTAAATATTGCTTATAAATGACATCTATGCAAAATTATATTCCTGCACTAAATAATATATTTAAATAATAAAATAATCAAAGCAACAATAATTCAACTTAAAACTTAATAGAAAAAACAACAAATTAAGTATAAGAATAATAGGTAGAGTCTAATAGATAAGATACTAATTTGAACAATCTCTCTATTTCATAAATGGATAATATCCATCAAATTAATTTAGATTAAAATAGAATAGATGAAATATAGCTAGTCAGCTAAGAATTTCCTTTTGCTCTTGAAGACCAAGATAGAACATAAGAAGCATAGTAAGAATAACTCAATGAATAAATGCTAACTTGTTGTTAATAAGAAAGTGAAGACTAAGAACCTATTTCTATGCAATAATAAAGTTCTTAAAATAATCTTTAAAATGGCTTAGATTCATAATCAAATAATAAATTGTAAGAATCTTTTAATGAATTTTCGAAGCAACAATAAATAATAAAAAGATAAGATGATGAAAAAGAAAATTTATAAAAATGTGATATCAGTGAGTTAACTAATATGTAATCTTCATCAGAAAATGATTTGTTTGAAGGATTAAAGGAATTGCAGTACGGACTTAAAATAGATGGAGCAGCCATTCCTACAAATTATGTGTTTTAAGTTGGAATAAAATATTGTGGGATTGTAGAAAATAAATTTTGCAATTAATAGTCTCTAAGTTAATTTATGGGAAGAGACATATAAGTAATTATTAACGACTCTTCTTAGTATATTATGACTAATACATACTACAAAACTAAATGGAAAAACTCTTACAATTAATTTCCTCTTTCTTAGTAAAATTTGTAAGCTTCTTTATAAAAATATTTCTAAAAAATACCAACTGAAAATACAAAGTTCAGCTTATTGAAAGAAGTAAATAAAATAGCATTATTTAAATACTAACAGATTCAACTCAAAATTTAGAACTAAAAAGGAAAAGATTTCATAGAAAATAAACAACTATTTAAAATACTCTCGAATAAAAGAAACAATAACAAGTAAATTCATTCAGGATTAGACATTGACAAAAATGAATAAACAGCAATTAAAAAACTATTAGCTGAAGAGAAAAAATAGAGTATCTTAGATGACTCTCCTAAATCTAATTCTCAAAGTAAATAGCAAGCAAGCGATAAAAAATCTTCATCTAAATTTAAATCATATGAGGCTTTCAAGGATTAAGAGCTTAGCTCAGACGAAGAAGAAAAAGAAAAAGAAGATGGATTACTAACAGAAATATATGAAAATAATAAAGAAATAATTATTAATTATTACACTAATAAGTTAGCCAATGATGAATAGCAAAAAGAATAATTACAAGAAGTGATATAAAAACATATATAAGAAGTTAAAAAATTATTGAGACCTGTAAAGGCTAGCGAAATCCGCAACAAAATATTAACAGTAATAGCTAAATATTTTTATTACGATGTTTCATACATTTGTTAGAGAATTAAAGAAACCTTAGCAAACAATTCTTTTACTTTTGTTAAAGAACTATTTGAGTATTTTGCTCCTTTCAATAACGATATCTTCCTTTAAAATGAAGTAACATCTCTATAAAAAGTGTCTGAATCTAATGCTTAGATTGTCAAAACATTTATAACACTTTTTAATTAACTATTTCCTGGATAGAACTTATTAAATGTTCTCCCTATCAAAGACGATTCAACAAACCATTTAAAGATTCTAATATAAGGAAAAGAATACCCATTTTTATAAAATAGAAACCCATACACTATAGAAAAAGCTTCAAAGAATAAATTTGATAAAAAGATTGCTGATATCATAGTAGATTAAACTAAAAAAATTAATTAATACAATTAAAAAGTTAAATAATAATTGCAATAAAACAAAACAAAAGTAGACACTTCTATTAGCACTAAGCAACTTATAAACTAATTCCTTTCTCCGACCTCAATAAAAGAAGAAGATTCGTTGATTAATTATCAAACTATTAACATTTATTCAGTTATGAATAATTAAAAATCAGAAATCAAACTTAGAAAATCTTATTTTGATATTATTTTTGGTGAATAATTTTAAGATTTGCTGATTGAATTTCCCAACTAAAGTAAACTTTATTTTGAATTTTTTTTAACTAAAATTTTACAAACAAATCTTACTGCTTTTTTTCATAAATTCATTCAATTTTTAAAAAATTTATAAGTTATATTTAAATTTAAAATTAAAATTTTTTTTTCAATATTTAAAATAATTTCTTTCTTTAAAATAAGTAATCGAAGTATCACTTACGATGTAAGAATAATTATGCTGTGAAGAAGATTATTTAGCTACTATTTAAAGTAGTAGCGATTAATACGAGTTTCTTTTAATATTTTTCTAACATCCTGAAAATAGAAAATATTTAATGAAATAGATGAAATTAAAAATGGAAATTTTATAAAATAATAAATAAAAATAATTTGAAGAAAATAATTAAAACAAATCTTCTGTATATAATTTATAAGATTTAGGAGAATAAAATAATTAACTCCAATTTAATTCCTATTAGAGGAAAAACTACTCATTTGAAGAATTAAAAACAATGTTATAAAATAGATATCTTTTGTTCTTAAATTTACTTATTAGTAATAATGAAGGTATTTATGAATTATTCTTAGACAGTGGCGATGATTTTAGCATATAAACTAAAGAAACTGATAATATTTAAAGATATAAAGAGAACGAATTTATATCAGTAGATAGCAAAATAAATAGGAACTATAAGGATGAAAAATAGTCTAGTATGATATAAAATTTTATTAGAGAAATGGGAAAAAGTGAATACACAATAAAAAGTATTTAGCACTAAAAAACAATTAAAAGTAACTATAAATTATTTGTTACTTTTTACACTCTCTGGTTTGATAGAAGTTTCTTATATTTTAAGGAGAGTTTTGAACCATTTTTTGATGAATAAACTTTAAAAAAGAGAGAATCCTCTATAAATAAATTCATATTAAACTAAGATTTCATTAAAGTTTACACTGCTATGCTTTTGAACGACTTAAACAGCACAAATTACAAAGCTAAAATAAATTTCCATATTGAAAAGATAATGATAAATTTAAACAAAGAAATAATATTTTCTCTAATTAAGGAAATATCTAACGTAATAGTAGAGTAGATAGAACCTGTTGTAAATAAACTCCTAGAGTGCATAAAAAGGATATATAAGTAAATGAAATCAGACTTAGGAAATAATCCCCAAAATCTAGAAAAGATAGACAATAACGATAGAGATGTTTACTACAACTCCTTCTAATAATAATCAAGCAAATATGTTGATAATCTTCACTCCAAATGCGACAAGCAGTTTTATTTAATAAAATATATGAATAATTTATTTAAAATTATGATTGAATAAAAGGTTCAATCAGAATTTCCAGTTTAATTTAAACAGTAAATAATTAATAATATATTTGATTGCAAACCTAAACTAAATGAGTTTAATACTGAAGAAAGAAAAATATTTAATGATATATAGTAGCATCTAACTCATACTAATGAAGAACCTATAATTGATGATAATATTTAAAGTAATAAATAAATAAATTAGGAGTAGAGTCATCTAAATGCCCCTCTACAAAATGTTATCTAATTTTAGGAATTTGAAAATGAACCCATTGACCTGCTTAAGAAAAATAATACCTTTAACAACTAAATACTTAGTAATAAAGAATATATCTCTGCTGATAACTATTATTAAAGACTTTTAGAGTGTCTTCGCAACTATGAGGAAAGTATCAAAGAAAAATATGAAGAAATTTTACTTGACTCAGGTTGCTTCAATTTGTATTCTTAAATTTTAATATTTTCAAAGTATTATAGTATTTCATTGCAAGCAGGTTTGATATATAATGATAGGTAAAGCAAATACTTTAGCAATTATTCTTACTTTAGTAAATCGTATCAATCACTCTTCTATTTATATAAAATAATTCATTCAAACCATTACTCACAAGTAGATAGTATCATCAAAGGAAGTAAAGACTTAGACGATGTCGAAGAATGCTTTGATTTTCCTTCAGATAGTTCAATAGATTAAAACGAATTTCTGCTAACTCTGTAAAGATAATCCTTATCCAGAACATCTGATTTACCTAAAGAAGTAGATTTAGCAGATGAAGAGAGAAAAGATAAAAACACTTAGCTGCATCATAATTATAATTATGCTGATCACATCTACCAGACTGTATCCTCTGTTAGTCTTTAAGAAAAGGAAGAAAATACATCTTCTTTACTTCAAAATCATCATTTAAATATTTAAAATAATTCAGATAAAAAAGAATAATTTGGAAATTAAGAACATTATAGCAATAAACTAATTAAAACAGCTCATAACCTGGAAGAAGGATTTGATGATGAGGACTTTCTTGGATTAAATTCAATATCTCTATAGGAATTAAATTTGAGCAATGCTGTAAGATATCATGAGCTATTTAAATTTTTCATTCGTTTAGAAAACGTGATTTACTTTTGCATCGTGAGGTAATTTGAATTTTTGATTATTTCACTTATTCACTCTTTTTTAGCATATATTTTAATAAACAAATACTTAAATCGATAAAAAAATGTCTGTTGTAATGTTTGAAATAAATTTTACAAGACAACGAGTAAAATTCCATGAAACAAAAAAAATATTTTTAACAATATTATTTCATACTATAACAACGATAATATTAAGCTTCTTTTGAAAAAATACTAGTAAATTTTAAATAAAATTTAGTCATACTTATAGATAAATAGCATAATGAACTTTATTTTTTTTAATGCGAATTTCAAAAAGCAAATGTACAAATTATTTTAAAATAATGAAAAATAGGACACCTTAGGATTTCGCTAAGATTATAACTTAACCTTTAAAAGATATTTAAAACCGTTATTCTCTCCATTTGAAAAAAATGCTTATTGTTAGTTAAACGAAATTCAGAGTAAAAAAGAATATAAATAATAATTATACTTCAAACTCGTCGATCACGATTGACAGAACTAAAATGGTAGAGGAGAGTATTCCTGCTGTAATGACTATAAAAAGTGAATAACTCTGCTTAAATACTTTGTATGTCAAATGGAAATGTAAAAGTTTCTTATTGTTTTATTTACATTTTTTTTAAAAATTGAGCTCTATTTTTAATATTAATTTTTTGAAAAACAGATGAATCTGGTATTGATGAAGGTGGTCCTAGAAGAGAGTGGTTTAGCTTGATTTTTAATTAACTTCTTGACCCGAATTTCGGATTATTTGTATAAAGCAAAAAAAATTACACTTATATGCCAAATCCTTTTTCATTTTTAGTTCCTGATCACCTAATCTACTTTAAATTTTTGGGTATATTGCTAGGAAAAGCATTTTTAGAGAACTATCCTGTACAAGCAAATTTTGCAAAGCCGTTCTTGAAATTATTTTTAAAGAAAAAGATTGTAATATCTGATATAGAAGAAATTGATCCTGAGTTGTACAAGAATTTGAATTGGTTATTGAAAAATTAAATTAATGCTGATGAAATAGACATAAATTTTGCGTATTTATAAAATATATTTAAACTAAAATTTACAACATATATAAATATAAAAAGGTATGACAAGTTTTATGCAGGATAAAAGTATGAAATTGAGTTGAAGAAAAATGGTAGAAACATGTAGGTTTGTAACTAAAACAAGAAAGAATATGTAAAGAGTATTTGCCATGCTAAATTAATCAGAGAAATTTATTATTAAGCCCATGCTATAACTAGTGGTTTCAAAGAAATTGTTTGCGAAGATCTTCTTCAGATTTTAGATGAACAAATGTTATCTTTTATATTTAGTGGTAACCCAGAAATTTCTAGTAAATTTTTTATTCTCACCTCATTCTTATTTAAATTTAAATGACATATTTTTAATCGATGTTATATGATTAATTTTATAGTTCCTGAACTTAAAGAGACTATTCAGTTATAAGGATACACAAAAAATGATAAATAAATTAAATGGCTCTTCGAAATATTAGAATCCTTTAATAATTATGAAAAATCTTGTTTCATTTTCTTCATAACAGGTAATTATTTCTCAAAATTAATTTATTAGCTAGGATTTTCAGCATGGTTATCTAAAACCTTATTTACATTAATCTTTAAACATAATTATTTTTTTAATAACAGGAAGTATGAATTTACCTCATGGAGGCTTTAAACAGTTCCCTATTACAATAACTCTAACACAAAAAGTAGAAAGGCTTCCTGTTTCTCATACTTGTGCAAATTCTATTGATCTTCCAAACTACCCTACAAAAGAAAGGCTTGAAGATGCTCTGAGAAAAGCTTTATTTGAATGCCAAGGATTTGAATTAGCTTGAATCATGACTAATATTTAATTTTTGGATTTATGTTTAAAAATATAAAATAAATAACTTTAAATGTCAAATTTTACATCAAAAATTTTGATTTAAGCATTTTTTAAAACAAAATTTTTCTTAAATTTTATAAAATAATTTTATATTTATTTAAACAAACGAGTATTTGTTTTTTAATTATATATTTTACATTTTATTAGCATGTATTTTTTACATTTTTTGAGCTAATTAATAAGAGCAAATGAATGTATGATATACAGAAATACAATTCATTTAAATTTAATGATCAAGAAAAAAAGTAAATTTCTTTATTAAAATACAATTTGTATAATATATTAAAATAAATTGTATTAATTGAATGTGTGCTGTATCTTTAAAATTTAAAAGTACAGTAGTTATTAAAAAATAATTTTATTTCTACTATGATGTTCTTATTATATTTTAAGATTTAATTCATTTCAATTTCCTTTTAAATAAATTTTGTCTATTAACAGTACTGAGGGGGGTAATTAAAAAAAAATTTAAATAATTAACTAAAAGTCGGATTTTGATCTCTGAGGAAAAAATATAATTAATTATTATTATTTTTCTTGATTTTGATTATTTATTTTTATTAAGTTCTATTTTTTTAAAGGTAAATCAATCAAACAAATTAATATATAAGAAATATTTATATTTGAAGACTTCGTATGTATACATTTTTTTCTCCTTAAATGAATAATGAGTAAATAACTTTTTTTTAATTTCTTTATGTACACATTCAAAGTAATGAAGTATTTCTATGATACTAACTATTTGAATTTTTAAAATGGTTTCTATTATTGAAAATATAAATGCAAATTATTTAGAATATCTTTAAGTATATTGAATTTTAGTAATATTCACTTAGATTTTTAAATGACTTTCGCAAGAATTAATCAAGAAATACTTATGCAAATACATAATATGTTGGTTGTTTACCTATTTTAAATTGTAAACAAAAGGTTTTTTTATATGTAACATAATTATATCAATAAAGTACTAACCAAAGCTAATGGCAAAGGTTGCATAAAACGTGTTATTATTTAAATCAGAAAAGAAAATGGTGCTAATTTAAAAATAACTAATTAATTAAATATTAATATTCAACATTAATTGTAATCCTATTTGTTTATAATAAATTAATTTACTTTTTTTATTTTATATTACAAAAACTGTTTAACAATAATTAGATAACAAGAAGGTACTGAAACTATAAAGAAACAAACAAATAATAAACTTAAACTAAATAATATATCAATTATTGCAATAATAGTATACTTAAATTGCATGGCTACAACAAACTAAGTATCTTCACTATGCCATTCTCTCATAGAAAAACTATCTACTTAAGCATAATGCATTTTAGACAACGATGCAGAGACAGAATCTTTAAACTTGTTCACATTTACTAGAATAATTTATGAAGATTAAAATGTGTAAAGCGAAAATTTAAATCGAATATTCAAAATTCACTCGAAACTAAACAAAATGAAATACTAGGAAAACTATTTTGCGTGGTATAGAAACAGAAATATTCCATCCATATAAATAAAAAAAGATGAAGACTAAAAAAGTTAAGTAAAATTTAACAGAAAAACTACTAATTCAAAGAAAGATACATACACATTTTATATAAATGCATGTTATATAGAGAAAAGCAAATTTGCTATCACTTGTCTAAAAGGTGAAAATTGCTTGCAGGATCAAAATTAGTGCTCTTTTTAGTCTTTGAAGTTTGTAAAGACCTCATATATTTTGAATGTAAAAACTATTATTATATTCAATAAAAATCTATCATCTTAAAACCCTCAAATTAAAAAAAAAATAAATTCGTATGAATTTATATCGGTTGATCTATCTTCAAAAAATTAAAGAAAATCTATTCATAAATTAATCATTCAAAATGAATGTTATTAGTAATATAAAAGCAAATTTACCACATTAAAGCAGCTAATCTTTTGTTACAGATACTCAAATTAAATCAAATTATTTTATTTAAAATAGTTAATTCTAATCTAATTTTCTTCTTTTATTTTTTTTATTTTTTATTTCTAATAACCCTACCCATTTACATTATATGATCTTAAATATATTTTATTTTAAAAAGTTATTAATTATTTTGTAAAGGGTTCCTGCGTCAGACTATTCATTATTATATTAGACTCAAACAAAACGATTATAGAAAGTTATATATCTAGCAAAATTCACATATCATCATGGAAGAATTATTTAAAAGATAAGGTAATTTATATATCTAAATACATTTCTTAAGCTTTTCATTATTAAAAAAATATTAACTTTACTTTAAATTATATAGCCATCAAAGTCTTCAATTTTTTCGCCTTTTATGCCAGCTGTACTTAACCGCACTAATATAATATAATAAAAAAGTAAAATCTCTTAAGTCGCTACTCTTAATAATAAAGAAGCTGGATAAATTCCTATTTATGATAATATATAAGGACTTTCAGATTATTTTAAAGGATCGACGATTAAATAAAAAGTAAAGTATAAACTTAAACATTAAGGATTAATTAAAAATCAACATTTATCTAATAAATAGATTTGTCATCCCCTTTTTATAGCTATAAAATTTGCAAAAACAATAAAACTCTACTTTTAAAGCGATTTGCAGCCCACAATCAAAGAAGAAGAGGACAGATTAAAAGTAATAAATTTTTAATTGATTAAAAAATAATCACACATTGTTTCATTATAAAGTCCTTTTAGATAAATTTATAATTTTATTTTTAGTAGTTATGTATATTTAATTTATTCAAATTGTATTGATAAAGTATTAAGTTGAGCTCTTCGTAAACATTCACAAGTACTTCATAGAGTCAATAAGCAGCAAATAAAATATAAAAAAAAAAATTGCTTTAAAAATTAAGCATTCGTAAAATAAAGGGATGGATGAAAAAGTATTTTATTCCATTTTTTATTAAAATTTAATTTCTTTTTTTTACTTTAAAATTTAAGGTGAAAGGATTTCTACAATCAATATATAGTGAAATGGTTCAATTTATTGATAATGATACAAATATTTTAGATGATTTTATCTTATACAACCCAGATAATTTAATAAATATGCAATTAGCTTACAAGTTAGCCTATCCACAATTAGAAATGATGCTTATAAATTAGCAGAGCACTAATTTAATTTAAAAGTAATTAAGATATTATAATTAGGATATAATTTCTGAAAAAGATTTAACTTCTGATAATTTGTACCAGATCCCAAAATTAGAAATCACCTTAAATAGAGATTTCGTTAAATCAGATTAGAGGATATTTGTTATTTGCTCATAGATATGCGAAAGTTAACTTGAAAAATAGCTAATTAATAACTAAAAAATTACTAAATCTATTAAAAATAGCCAAAATAAGGATCTATTTGATTTAAATATATAAAATAAATCTAATAGTCCTAGCAAAAGCCAAGAGAGCCATTTAAGTCATAATATTAACATATAATAAGTCGAAAATATTTAATAGTAGATGGATGAGCCAGTTTGCCAGTCCTAATAAAAATATAAGTTTTTATAAAAAGAAGAAATAAATCCATCATATGAAATTAACAAAAAAATAGAATTTGATGAAAAATGTTAAGACTAGATAATTGAAGATAAATTAAATAAAAAACTTTGCAAATAAGATTTTGTAAAATAAGAAAATAATTTAAATGAATAAGATAAAGCTTAAAATTTTAATTTTGTAAAAAAAGAAGAAAATAATTAAAATTAATTTCTTGAATTTAAATAAAAAAATCATAAAATTAGTAAAAATAACTTTCACAATCATTAATATGGAAATGAAAGTGAGTTACCTCCTAAGTTTTCTGAAATTTACGTTAAGTAAATAGATGAATAGTATGATTAAAAATTCTTTGAGAGTAGTGAATTAAAGAAGTCTCATAAAAAATCTATTGATAGTTCTTATCTGATTAAGAAAGACTAAATTAAAGTTGAAAAATACTAAGAAAGCTAAAATTTATAAAATTTAAAATATGAAGCTTAATAAAATATTTAATTTAAAACTTTTGAAAGTGATGATTAAAATGATAACTATTATAGCTATCCAGAGTATAAAGAATAAGATTAAATGATACACTAAGCTAGTGAATCGCCTTAATAAAACTCTATAAATCCTTAATATTCTTATCCAAATTCTTCAAATACTTTTCCATATTATTAGCCAATTTAATATCAGTCTAATATGCACATGGTAATGCCAAATCCATAGTATCAATATGTATAATATCTACCTCCACAACCTATAGGCCTTTAACCTATGTATTTTTAATCAATTCAACCTAATTTTTAACACCCTCCAATAAATAATATAAAATACTAAAGGCAATGAGGAAAATACATGTTTGAAAATAAAATAATTAATTAATTAATAAGTTTGATCATTTTAAATACTAAAAATAAATTTTAATAAAGCTTACTTAATAAATATACAAGCTGCATGTAATAATAATTATTATATATTTAAAAATAATAAACAATTAGTACATTAAAATATGTATGTATTATTCATTTACTTTCCAAATAATTAATAAAACGAATATATATTTGCAAAAAAATATTGATTTTTTTTAATAAGAAAATTAAATTGTGTTAAGGCTAAAAAATAAGTTTTTAAAGTAAATAAAAGCTCTCATACTTATAAGCACCTTTATTCAATTTTTAAAAATTTTAATAAAGAAATTATTAGCAAATTTTCTTCAACATAAAAAGTTAAGTGAAATAAATAAACAAATAAATCAATAAATGAATTCAACAATAATTATTTGTATAGAAAAAGACAAAAATTTAAACATTGAAATAATCGAATCCATCAATAGTATTCATATTTTTATCATTTCTTTATCTTTTAGGGCGAGCTTACTGCACTGAAAAAATCAACAGAATAAATATTGTGACTTAGCTCACTTTAATCATCGTTGCCCTATTTAGATTTATTTTAACTAAATTAATTGTGTCCGTTGCTACCGTGTTCTTAGGATTCTTCATCATCTTAATCTAACTAAAATATTTTGTTATAGGTTTTTCTTTGCATGTTTATTTCTTAATCTTTATCGTATTACAGATAATACTCTTCTTCCCTGTAATCAAAGTTGCTTTGAAGGGCATTCATATACTCTTTTTCAACTTCTTTGAAGGAATCAGTATGCGAACAGTTAAGCTGCTTTAGAACCATTAAAGCCATACGAAGATACTTGATTTTTTTGTTTTCAAAGATGATCTCACTGTCTTTTTGCATATACTTAATATTTAGTCCATGAACTGATCTTCTACTTTAAATTATTTCAATTAAGGATTTGCTATAAATATCCTCTACTAGATTGCCTTGTTTTGAGATTGATTTTTTTTGCTCTTTATCATGAATGATCTATTCTAATATGTCTCTACTAGTATTTGTTATCTTACTCACTTGCTACTCCATTTCAAGCTATTATTTACTTTTTTAATAATAAACTAACTTCTTTTGCTCTTCATTTGAATCATTTTTATCAAATTGCTATTTAATCTTTATTTTACAATTTTAATAAATTTAAAGTTAATTGTTTGAATAAAATTTTTAATAATAATAATAAAATACATTAATTAGAGTATCAATTAAAAAGATAACTATTTTGTTTGTTGAATATTCGAAAAAGCATTTGTAGACAGATTCATCCATCATAATCATCCTCTTAATAGCGAATTCAAAGAGATTGCCTTATATCTTTTAGGTAACTGATGAAATATCAAGAGTTAAAAGTAGTTCGATATTTTAATGGATTAAAGCTATTATATGATCTTACATTTTCGCCATTTTTAAATAAATAACAGCTACACTATTCTAAATAAACGATTAATTTGATTGTTTAAATATCTTAAGCGATTATCTAAACCTGCTTATGGAACCTAAAAGATCTCTGGCTTCTAAAATATATTTGTTAAAAATAAACATAAAATTTTAATAAAAAATTTATTTCAAAAATGTTACAAAGTAAATATTCGCCATAAGACATATTTAATAATGCAAAATCTTCATTAGCTGAATGGTTTATGTCTACATTTGAAGAATATATTTTTTTTAGTAATTCTTCACATACCCTTAAATCATCATATATAATTCTTTTAACTTCATCATATGATACATTTCTATCTTTAGCATTTAATTCAGATTCAAATTAAGCTAGAATAACTTTAATTTTTCCTTAAATTCCATAACCCTCCATTTCTTCATCTAGTTTTTCAGAATAAAATCTTTTTAATAATTTTTGTACCTTTGGTTGCTTTAAAATTATTTTTTCATCTGCTTCGCTAAAGTTGTCTCCTTGAGTATTTATTCCAAAGATATTGTAAACCTAATTCTCAAAGTTTTAATTTTTTTCAGTTTTTATTTTTTTCTAGTATTCGATGAGACCGAATACACTATTTCCTCCCTAGTTTGATAGCAATTTAAGCAGTATTTGAACTCTGATTATAAGTATTTTAAAGTAGAACCATGACTATTCCCCTTTTCTGATTTTTATCTATTGAATAAATGTAATTTCAATTAAAAAAAAGTATTTTTTTGCAATTTACTGATGAAATCAGATCTTATGTTTTATAATATAACTCATATAGCTAAACGCCTGAAAATAAATTTTATTCCAATTCAAGCTCTGAAAGCTCTAAAGTACATCTAAAGTTGTCAATTAATATCAGATTTTCAAATAAATTCTGTTCCAATATATCAATGTTTTATTTTGGATCCACTTTATGCTATATTTCTAACAGAGTGCTAGGCTAGTTCTTTTTAAGTTTTAATTATGGGCTCTAATCTCCATCATCATCATTATCATCTTCTTCAATATTTACTAAAGTTTTCACAGAAATTCTTGTCTTAAAGTCATTTTCTTTAGCTTTTCTTTTTCTAACTCCCATGAGTTTATTTATAATGTTTAGAGCTTTTCTTACTGTTTCTAAGGCTTGTCTGTGCTACATTTAGCTTACACTAAATAAAAAATAAATTAATTTTTTCAATAAAATAAAAAAAATAAAAATACTGATAAATTGCAGTTGTATAATAGCAGTTTGAAATTTAAAGAAGCAAGAATGTTCTTTCATCTTTTGTATCTTTTTAGTGACGTGTAAGTTTTCTATTTAAATTAACAACTTCGTTTAATTTCTCTTACACATTTTCCTGCCCTAATTTAATACTTTTAAGAAAGATTAATCATATTTTTATGTTGAAATAAATAAATAAATATGATTTGCATACCTTGTAAGGAACAAGTAGCTAACGATAAAAGTTTATATTTATTCTATTGAATCATAAGTTTGCTTATAATAAATATTTGTATCCTACATCTATTCTTTTTTAGTTTACAATGTAGTTTCACAATATTCCTTTAATTTCAACAATTCTTATTGAGCTTGTTTGTATTGGTGCATACATAGCAAAATTTGTGCATAAGTAAAACTGATCTTGATGTTTCTGACTTCTTCTTTCTCATAGAGAAACTGCATTTATGAGATATTATCATTATTTATGAGAAACTAATTGTAATCAAACTAAAGAACTTTTTTAAAAGCAAGTAGTGATTTACTATATCTTCCTAATTCTAAGAAGACAATAGACAAAAAGAAAGTTAGTTCATATTGTTGTAATTTAAATTGCTAGATATTTTGAGAATTTAGTAAATTAATCAGTGTTTATGATTATTTGTGGAGATAGAATCCCCTCATTTTATATTGATTCTATGTCTCTTAATTCAATTCTTCTTCTAAATTAAACTAATTTGATCTATAAAGAGAGGGTCTAGATTTTCTGTTTTTTATCTTTTACTCATCTATGAAAACTTCTTGATCATCATCTTATTCTCCTTTCTCAAGGTTTCCATCTTCTGGCATGTTTTATTTCTATATAAACTCTCTAAACTCATCAAAAGAATAATAGAGCTCAAGCTATCCTGCCTCAAACAATACAATATTTTTTAGAATCTATAAATCTTGCAATATTTTTGTCTTAGATACTGAAGGATAGTGGCCAACTTTCTGCAAAACCCTATCAATTATTTCTATTAGCATTAAACTTGACTAAAATATACCTAAAGATCTGAATTTATTTTTTAAATTAAATTATTCAAATTTATTTTAATTTGTATAAAAATACCTGTAATCTAAGGCAAATAGAGTGCATCCTTTAATATTCCTTATGATGGTAAAATTAGGACCTAAATGGTCTATATTTTCTTATTTAAATACTCTCATTACATTAGTCTTAGCTTACTTAATATCATGCATTCCGTAATAACATAAAGCAATCATATTTAAAACGCTTATTTGATCAATTATTATTTTGATAGTAAGTTGCTTTTTCTCAGCAAAAACAGACAAATCATCTAAGATTTTGTCTTAATCATTTTAGTCGTCTATATTTTGTTTCTTTTTTTGCTTACTTAAATATTTCTTTTTACTGCTTTCATAGTTCTTAATGTAAGTTTAAATCAAGTTATTTAAAATTTTTAACTAAGTCAAAGCATAATCAAATTTCTATTTAGTTAAAAATATTAAAATAAATGTTAGATAGATAGCTTTTAATAAACTTTTTACTTTAAATTAAAGATATAACTTAGCTTTCCTCATAAATTCAGTATATTAATGAATGTAAGCTGCTTCAATCCTTATACTTTCATTGTTTTCTAAAATCACGTCTTTATTTGTATTCTTTTTTGTTTTTCTATATTCCTCAATTTCCTTCTTTTTTTTTTCTATATTTCTTTATTCAAATTTAATTTATTTTAATTTAGTTTAGTTTAGTTTGAAAAACAAAAAAATGTTACGATGTTGAAAAGTACATAGAAGATATTTTTCTCTAAGGTCTCATTCTATATAAATAATTGAGCTTTTCTATAATCTCTATTTAATCTTTGTCTAAATCTACATCGACACAATACAGGATATTTTCTATTAATCTTTGCTAAAAGAAATAAGATTTTTCAACCATTTTCATCTAAATATCTTCTACTATTTTAGTAAATTAATCATTATAAATAAAAACAAATTTGAGCTTCTATTATTTTTCATTTGTTTTATCAGTTTCAAGAGAATTTATGTATTTTGAAAAGTCAGAGTATTGCCTATCAGGTATATCACCTTAATCATCTTCTGCATTCTATTAAAGAATTAAAGAGCCTCTATTTTAAAGTAATTCCCTTTCTTATATTTAAGCCTTCTTTTAGGAATCTCTTACTGTAAAATTCAAAATTTTATATGCTCTGTATAGAAAGACATATCCTGCTTCTCTGTCTCTAGGACTATCCATACCTATAAACGACTAATAAAAAATAAATAATGTGTAAAGTCTCATAATAATCATTACTTTTCCAATAAGAAATTAGAAATAGGGATTGAAAAGCTTTTCTTCAGAAGCTTTCATTTCTAAAAAGGAGCTTATTGAGCCTTGTTACTTCTCTGGAGCATATTTTGTAATGTAAACAAACTATAGACATTTTTGTAGCTTATATAAGATATCATACTTTAAGGAATCCAATTCAATTAAATGGAAAAGCTACTCTAGTATATCGTAAAAGAAACAAAATGAATAACTTGCATTATTTATCATGCCAAAAAAGTTTCTCTTTAATAATTGATATTTCTCTTAATAGCCGTCAATGTTTTCTGTAACTATGCAGAGATCTGAATACAGTGAATAAAATATCATTTAATCTTTTAAAATCTTCACATTATTATCCAGATATTCTTCCTTAAATTAGCTGATTCTTTTGTATCGTGTGGTATTTTTTTTATATTCTTCTAAAACATTAAGAGCATCATTATACCTGCTTTGTTACATGTAAAATTCAGACTCAAGAATGGTAATCTCAAAGTAGAACTAATCAATTAATATTTTATTTATTTCTTATTTTGATAATTTAGATTTTATGGATGTGATTTGATTAAAAATTGTATTAAACTATTTTTAGCACTACCTTTCTAAACCTGAATCAATAAGTAATTTTATCTTTAAAATGACTGTCTATATATACCTATTTTTAATTTAAAATTATTAAAATGTTTCAATAAAATAAATTTTACAAAATAATTTCTTCCTCTCCATTTTTTTCTCTATTGTCATTGTTTTCATTAACAATAGTTTATATTATGTTATCCAGACATTGTAAGCAATTTTTAAATAAAGTTGGTATTGCCTTTTCTGTCTCTTCGTTTCTCTCTCTTCTCTCTTTTCTTTTATCGTTTACATTTTCAGGCTCAATGTACCTAAGATCCATAATGAGGAATTATGCATAAGCTTTCAGGTAAAAGTAATAATTTTAAAATCTTGTTATTATATCTCTTTCACTTTATTGTATTTTAGGATCATAAAAATTCTTTCTCTGATTAATGTTTCCTGAAATAGGAGATTCTTTTGTTTTAAACATCTCACTATTCTACCAAAATAATTAGTTTCCTTGCAGAATATTATCAATGGATTCTTTGCACAACTCTAATTGACCTAAAGCTGCCTACAGCTCATAGGTTCCTACAAAATTTTAAATTAAAATATTAATTACTTCCTATTAAATATATATTTACCTATATATGCTATGATCAATTGTAATTAAGACTCTATCTGTCTCCTAATGTCTTCAAAATTCATGTGTATTTCAGTATTGAAATGGTGATTTTTTAAAAGGTTAATAGTTTGAGGGAATAAAGAAATTTTATTATACAGCAAAACCTTTTGATATAAATTGTTCGAAATTTAGTATCTAGATTTCTTTTCATTTTCTATGTTTGATTTACTCAAAGAATCTAAATCTTAGAAACAATTTCTCAATATTTATTAGTTCTCATAAAATTACTATTTCTAATTTAATTGAATCATATTTAACAGCTTTTCCCTGCTAGGACGTAATTCTGGATCTGATTATAGGACAACTTATTTTATAACTTGAAACAATATTGGATACATTTCTCTCATAACTTTGCTACTTTAGCTATTAAAGTAATTCTCTAATATTCGAATTAGATTTTATCCTTCACTCTATTTTATTAAATTCAAATTTTAATTCAATAATTGATTTATCAATTTATTTATTATTTACAAGATTAGGATCAAATGTATTTTCTTCCATTTCTTTATCAATTTTCATTTTTTGATCTGTTCTATTAGCCATAAGCAAACTAAGATTACTAGTACTTTGTAACGGATTCTTTTTCTTTTCTTTAGTTCTTTTATTTAAAAAAATTTTATTAAATAAAATCAATTAAATGAATTGAAATATTACTAAAAGTTATTTGTTGTTAAAGAGTTTGATAAGCTTTCTGACTTTTTTGTTTGCATAATTTAAGAAGCATCACTCATAGAGGATGCCAAAGAGTTCATACTACCGTTTTGCTTAGTTACTTATTTTGGGAATGCAACTTTTAATGCAGCTTCTTTACACTTCAAAAATTCAGTTTAGCTGTCTCCTAGAGTAGCCATATAAAGTAAAACCATACACAATGAATAAAGGTCAGCTGAATACATATTAACTGTAACTTATTTTTCTTTTGATGAGAAAAATGTAGTTATAAGCTCTGGAGCTATAAATATCATTTCTTCTTCTGTGATTTATCTTAAAAGTTGGATATCAATATCACCAGATATTAAATTTTAGAAATTTATCAACTAAATTAATTATTTTTCATTTATTTAAACTCAAAACATTTGCAATTAATTAATAATTTACTTTATATTCACTATTAGAACTAGCAGTTTAAATCAATGTTTGAGGTGTTATATTGGAGTGATACAATTAATACTAATCTTAAAACCCTCCTAAATTTATTAGCCATTAATTCAAAAACCCAAGTAACTCATTTTAAGAATATGGTTTAAATTTATTATCTTTTCTTCTCATTCTAACAGCATCTTCTAAATTGCAAATGTATTTTTCATTAAATTATCTAATCACATAGCATTAATCTCTAGTTGTGAAGTTAAACATAGACTCTGGGTAAATGTAGCAAACATTCTACTTAGCTATTATTTAATTAAAAAATATATTTAGCCATATTTTATAAAACAAACTTTATTTAATTCAAAGAAATTTGATTTTATAGTTTAAATTATTCTTTTTTTAAAAAAACTCCTTATAGATGTTTTTTTCCAGTTTAAATTACTAAGAATGGATTTAATACAAATATTATGATTCATAAAAATTAAGAGATGATTTTGAATCTACTTTTACAATTAATTATATTTTTCTATTTTTCTTATAATATTTTACTCATTCTTAGATTAATAAAAATTAACTAAAATGCTATAAAAAAAATAAAATATAAAATTATAATAAAATTTTAGCTACTTAAATAATTAAAAGGAGTAAACATTCTAATGAAAAATTATTTTTATATATTTATATTTTACTAACATTAAATCTATTAAATTTTAGATAAAAAAAACTTCAAAAAATTAATAATTTTTCTGAATATTTTGATTGAATAAATACCTATGTAAAATCCTGGCTCTCCGCTGTTATACAATTCAGTTGAATGCGTCCTCATAGTTAGTTCAGTTTCTTCGTTCAAGTAAAGAGGAACTCCAAAATTTTCATCATATTTTACAATTTAAAATGATAACATTTATTCCTAGCTATTTACCTGTATTTTCCAATTTTCTTACAAAATAATAAAAAAACAAAATTTATTTTAATTCAGTGGGAATATGAATTACATATTATTGGGTAAAGTTGTGAAGGAATACATGTATCTAGCTATGGAGTTTGGTTCAGGGATTATGGCATATAAATATCTATAAGAAATCTTTATTTTATTATTTCCCATACTAATCTTTCTTAATGCAACTTTTCTTCAAAGTATGGAGACTAAAATATTTCATTAGGAGATTTCTGCAGAATTGTTTTCTTCATATTTATTGTTTACATAGAGTTTAATAATTTGTGATAAATAGAAGCTTTAAGAAAGCTTTCAGAAAATTAAAATCGAGGTCCTCTAGGAACAAAATATTTATCAATATCCTAATTTTAATAATAAACATTGATTGCTTAATATATTTATTTAGTTGTTTTAAAACTTAATCATTTACCCTTTAAGTGATCAAGTTAATGTTAACATCTATTTTGTCATATTCCATTTTCTCCTAATTCTATTCTGCATTCCTTAATCTATAAAGAATTTCCAATACCTACTCAGTGGATTTGTAATTGTCAACTACCCTAAATTAATCAGCCCAAACTTTTATTTAAAAGACACCACAGATAAAAATGTATTTAATAAAGTTAAATTAATCTTACTGGCATTTATATTGAAAACTTATACTTTTCTGTTATATTTTTCTATTTTTTCTAAAAGTATCTTATGAATATTAACGTTTTTAACAATCTGCAAATAAGCCTTTGTTTACTCATAGAATTTCTTAATTTAATTTATAATATAAATAAAGCATTAATTAAAAGAATTCAGCTGCAAATTGGATTTAAGTATTTATTTTACGTTTTTATATTCTTGAATCTGTTAAGCCAGTTATTATTTCATCATGATCGGTCTCTGAATTACTCCCTGAAATATTTTTAACACTAAACTTAAAAATTATAAAGAAAGTAGAAAAAAAATACCTAATGACAGTACCATTTATAATTTAACCAGAGCATTGGCTATATTTAAACAACTTGCTCTTATTTAGAGATTTAATCCTTATTTTTTTTCTTCTTATCAATAATATTTTCATCGTCACTTGATAAGATTTCGAAAGACTGATTTAAAATATAAGGTGTTTAATTTTTATTTTATAATCAATAAATTAAAAGAATTTTGTACTTGATTCATGCTATCATGAAGCTAAGACTACTCTCTCGGTTTGCAAATTGTTTTATATATCTTAAAAACAGGCCTTGCTTCATATTTGTTGTTCATAAAATATCTTAATCTATTCATTCTTTATTCTTCCTCTTCTGTCAACTAATCGAATTACTGATTCTCAATATGTAGTTTTTTAACTCCTTTTTTATGTTTTTTACCTTGGTTTTCATCTTCTTCTTTGTTTTAGTTTTTATCTGGGTCTGGTGTTGCTACTTTTTTAAATACTTCAACAGTAGATCTTAAAATATATTCTTATCTTTTTAGAAGATTTGATAGTCTATAAGGGATATCACCAAGAACTTTAAAAAAGAAAATTTTTACATAAATATAAATAACTTTATTTTTAGTAAATTACTAGCAGATTAGGTAAATTTAGACAAAAAGTTAAATACAATCAAAGAAAGGAAAATTTGAATCAAGTTATTCTCATCTATTAAATTTATTTATTTATTTAAATTTAAGTATTAGCTTATTAAATTTTGTAGATATTTGTTTAAATATTTTACTTATTTAGCCTTAAAGAAATGTAATTAAAATTGAGTTTGTTAAGATAGACATATATGATGCTAAGTCCATTAAATTTAACCAACTTCCAATACTTCCTTCATTTAGAGGGATTGGTCTTTAAGTAAATTTAATTAGTTTGGCTTTATCAGTCTATATAATATTAAATTAAGCATTCTTATTTATTAATAATTAAATATTTTTTTACCTAAAGTTCGATAACATTCCATATAAAGGCTATCCAAAAACTAAGAGGGAATATCATACCAAACATCGTTAATAGGGAGAATTGCAAACAAATTTCTATTTTATTATAAATGCATAATGTTAATTGTGGCTGCATATTTAAAGATTTGTAATTTTACCTAAATATTCATCGACTGTACCATAAATATCTGCTGATTCAGAATATTATTCTTTATCTGATTCTTAATTAATGTACAAATTTATAATATGGAATCTATTTTTTTGAAGATAACTATTTATAATCTTTTATTAGTCAGGAGTAAGGCCTTTGTAAACATTATCATTAAATAATTTTGATATTTTAATTTTATTTATAATATCATTAAATTTTATTTATTCCACATTCTAATCCATTTCTTCATAAAAAAATGAGTCTGGCTAATAAGATGAATCTGCTGCAATGACTGATTTATTTTAATTAGAATTAGTTCCACTTATTTTGCTTACTCCACTTTTAAGCTAGTCTTTATTTAGGATATTTGATTCTTTTAAATCTTTATTATTTTAGGTTATCAAAACATTTTAGTTTCTTTTTTTTATATACTGTTTATAGCTGCTAACTATTCTAGGGCCTATAATATCAAACCTATTTTCATTTAATTTTAAATGTAATTTATTTTATTCAGAAAAATTCTTACAGATTAATAGAAAACAGGCTAATAAAAATAGTTGCATAATGATATTAAGCGTGCTTATAGCAGTTAGAAAATGAGCATCTAAATATTTCTTCAGTGTACGCATTTTGGATTAATTAGCCTAGAAAAGCAATTAAAAACTTTAATTAGTAAAAATAAATTAATAAATTATTGTTTTTGGGTTATTTTTTTGAATATAAAGCAATTTACAATAGGTCCTGACAAAGATATGAAGGAGAAAATAAATTTTTTAGCAACATAATTTCTTTCGTAGTCAACAAAACTTTTATGATTTTCAAAGTCAGTGAGTACCTTTGAAAAAGGGCCATAAACTTAACCATCAAATATTAAAAATAGTATCACATTTAAGAATCCAGGGATAATTACTTTATAGACATCATTTTATAAAAAAGGAGCTTTATCAGCCTTTAAATATTAATATAATTTAAGATGAATGAAATCTATATATTTTTCATAAACAAATTTTCTAATTTTACAAATTTCTCTAAAAGCTGAGGAACAATAAAAATAGCTGCAACAAAAGAAAAATAAAGACCCAACATAAGTACACATGTTAGCATTGTCAAACTAAGTTTTACGAGCCTTTTGAACTATCAAAGTATAGATAAATATATGACAATAAAAATTAAGCAATATACTTCTGGGTAGTAAATACTATTCATATTATCTGTGATTAAAGACCTCATATAGATACCATCAAATCCAGGTCTTTCTTCATCTTCTACCTATTATTAATTTTATTGATAAATAATAAAAAGTACAATTAAAAAGCTTAATTTACATTCCTTTCATCGTCATTCCCTTTCTTGTCTTATAGCTAACCATATTTTGAAGCAATTAATTTTTCCTAACGTTTCCAATTATACAATGTTCTAGAAGTCCAAGCTATTTTCAAGCATCCAAATGCAATATTTAGATAGTTTGCATTGGCAGGATTTTAAAAAACAAATAATTACCTTTTATAAAAAATTAAAAAATTTACTTTAATTTGTTTTTTACAAATATTTTTTAATTCTCATTCATTTTTACATTATTTTTCATAAAAATTAAAATAATTTACAAAAATAAAAATAAAACTCATTAATTCGAAAATGATAATTTCTTATTTCTTTTTTAAATAATTTTGAAAATGAAAATAATAAAAAAAAATCAAGCTCTTTGGAGAATTATCTAAGCTCAAAAAAAACTTCAATAAATTAAATAATTTACTAAATAATAAAGATAATTAACCCAATAATGCCTATAATTAATAAGCTGTTAGTGTAGAACCCTAAAAAAGAGAAATATAGAGCAACCTTTTCTCCATAATAATCTCTAATTTGTTAAGTGGGAATGTACCTTTTTAATAAATAGATGTATGAAATTAAGTTTTTATTAAACGTAATAAAACATCATACCAAGGCATTTTAATTTTAAATGACCATTCGAAAATCAAATTTTTTATTTTTTTCTTAACATAAATTTTGTCTTCTTAAGATGTTTCAAGCATAAACTTTGGCTATTAACTCTAATTTCCTTTCTAAGCTAGCTAGTTTTACTTTTTTAAGAAATTTATAAGTTAGTATATATATTATGGTATCATATCAAATAAATTCTACTGAAATATAGTCATAATCATCTATTGTTTGCTCTTTGTTTCTAACTTGATTTTATTCTGATTCAGGTAGCATTAAAGCTTCCTAATTTTAAATAGTATTACATGTTAATTAATTCTTTATGAAACAAGTTGAAAAGTATTTTTTACTTTAGATTAGTTTAAGCTATCTCCACCTATTAGAGCTAAAGGATCTATTTAAGGACTATATTAATTATTTGGTTATTCATTTTTTCCAGTGTTAATTATAAAATTTCTTAATTTATTCAACTTCTCAGTTTTTTTAACTTCCTTATAATTTAAAGGGCAACCACTAAAAATATATTTATAAGTCTTTCCTTCTAAATCATAAATATCATTTAAGAAGAAGGATTATTTAATGTATCCTTTTTCTTGCAAATAATATAAATTAACTGCCTTTTAAATAGCTAAATTTACAATCTTAAGCCTTTCCATGTTATTGAATAACGATTATTTACCGTTTTAAGTTACCTAATATAGTTTTTAAATGAACAAATAAATATTTCCAACAAAAAAGGTGTTTTTTTATAAATAATTTAACTAATTTAAAATCTTAAAAATATCTATCAATCCAAAAAAGTAATAGGCTTTCAATAATTCTATTAAATAAGTTATTTATTGAAAATTACAATAAGACAAAATTGCTAATCTTTTAGTTAATCTTATTGAAAATATTTAAGATTTGAAAGAAGATAGAATTGAAATAATTTTAAATTCAATTGAAGCAAGTACCAAACATTACCAATAAATATCAGTTTTAATTAGAAGACAATTATTTTGTTATATAAAAAATTGTGATAAAATTGATAAATTACCTCGTATTTAACCCAAGCCTAGTTTAGTTTAACTTTTTTTTGGAATGAAATATTCTTTGGGGTTCTAAAGTAGTTTACATATGTTTCTTAAGGGTTCATATTCATATAATCCCACAAATTCTTTAAATTTTGATGAAAGGGATAAGGGTAATTTGCAGCATCTAGAGCTTTTATAAACTCCTCTCTGTATTTAAAAGCAAGGATTTAGTATTAGTATTGCTTTATATATTTAACATGAATGAGCTTATCTTATTTTAAGCTAAATATTTCTCTAAGTTTAGAATATTTTGTTTCGTGTTCTTTTACTTCTGATTCAAGCTGTTAAATGTTAAATGTAAAATATAAAATTTAATTCTTATTTTACTAAATATTTTAATAAGTTAATAGTTTACCTGCTCATATTTCTAATCTAAAAGATAAGGGTTATTGATTAATTCAAGCATTAAATACCTTATTCTCTTGCTTCTTATTTCCATAATATTTTGCAATAAGCGATGCTTTTTGTAAATTTTTTTCAGCTTTTTCATGTCATCTTACCTTTGTTTAATAATTTCCTTTTAAATATCTTATTTATTCTATCCTTTCTGTTTGGTAATTTTAGCATCTCTTACTTCTTCTAAATCCCTTTGATATTTTTATTTGAATAAGATAAATAAATTATAGCAAAAAATAAAATGAGTACTTCTTAATATCTTTTAAATGTTCCTTTATTATCCTAATTTATTTTTTAAATGGAAACAAATTTAATTAAGTAAATGAAAGACAAAAATAAGTTTTTTACCTAAATATGTAAGTCAATTCACTGCTTGACTTTTTAGCAAGAATACTTTCATCCTTTTCATCATTTTAAGTTTTTAAGTATATTACACTATCTTCTGTATTGAGAGTTCTATTTTCAGACTTTAGATTTTCACTTTTTTGTAAGAATTTTTTTATAATTTATTGTAGTGGATGCTTAAACTATTAAAATTCTATTATTTCACAAATCCTTTAGGCTCTTTTATCACCTTTTGTAAACTTATATTAAACTCTTAATTCAGTAATTTTATCAGCTAATTATTTTAAATACTAAAGATAAATTTCCCATTATGCATTGGTTAGATTTTAGTCTTTTTTTATTTCAACAGCTTTCTCACTTAAAATTTCAAGATTTAATTTTGATAAATTAGTTTCTCTAGCTATTTTTTTATAATCAATAACTTAAAGTAACCTTTAAATATCTCCTCTAATGTATCTTAAATAACCCGTTATTTTTTCATTCTAATTTATTTCTTCCTCATCTTCATCATCATCCTAATTCTACTGAGCACTAGAAAAACTCCTTAGTCTTGTATTTAATCTCAAAGGTCTAAGTGTTGCATCTACCTAATTTTATATTTCAAAACATGTAAATAAAATTATTTAAAGCATTTTTTATCATCATTTTACTGGTTCCAAAGAGAGTAAATCTGTAAATTCCAAATAAAGCTCTTTGGTGATCTATTCTTTTTCTGCTGTGATTTTTAAATTCTCATCAGTTGCATAACATACTGTGAAAATAGATTTTGCATCTTAACTTAAAAAGTGTCTTAATTTAAAGCCATACTTTATTAACCTAATCCAAGTTGTATGTCTTATTAGTGTAAGATAGTCTTAAGTTAAATTTTCACTTCTTTCAAAGGCCTTTTTATCTTCTGTCAACCTTAAAAATTTACCTCCTTTAAATATTTTTCTGATGTTCTAACTTTTTATTATTTTTTGTTAAAACTAATTATTTTTTAGAACAGCATTTAGTGCATCTTCTTCTTCATCATTTTTAGGATCTGTTTATATAATATCACTTAGATCATATAAATTACTATTAGAATCTTCTTATTATTCTTCATTATTTTAATCAAGAATTTTTTTCATTGCTCTTTAATTTAGCAAATGATTAGCTTTTTTAGTTAAATCTTTTGTAAGTTTTTTTTAGGTAACCTATTTATTTGTGAATAACAAATCTCTTAAGATAGTTAAAGTATCACTTGTTTTATCAGATACTCTATATTAAGCATTTTCATCATCCTCTTCATCAAAGAGAGACTCATTTATATGGCTATCTTAGTCTTCTTATTTGATTATTGGTTTACCTTCAGGGGATTAAGCTAATTTTTTGAAAGCATTTTCAAAGCATATCTAAAATATCTTACCCTCACTTACATCTGATCTAATTGAAGCATCAACCATACCTATTTTAAAAAATGGATTTAAATATTAGTTCCTTTGATTTAAGCAAAATATTTATTACTGAAAGCTTTTTTGAAGTCATCTTAAGCTTAATGTAAACTAATACGTTTTATCTTAGAGCCTTAATCTTTTTTCTATTAATTTTCTACTTTTTCATCTTGTTCTGTTTCCACTCTACTGCTAGCATCAAAGTTCGTAGTATCTTTTTCATCATAATCTTTATCTTAAGACTTTTCTTAAGGTTTATCACCAAGTTTATCTTGTTTTTTTTACTTCTTTTTCTTTTCTGTTAAAATAAACTCTTTTGAATAATCAGGATTCGGAAATTCAATAACGAGATCGCCCATATGAAAATCTTTTTCATCTAAATAGTCCTATTCATATTCTATTCCATTATTTAAGTAGCTTTTCATAATTTTATCTAAATCATATTTTTGATTTTTCATGCTCGCCTTTAGAAATAATAGTTAAATAAAATGTTTTTAAGAAGAGATTTAAATATCAAATAGCATACTTCGTCACCAAGCAGGAGATACAAATAAGATTTATACAACTTTGATCCTAAATCTTTAAATGTACTCTATAAAAATTATTCATTTTCGTAAGGATCTTCTTCTTCTACTTACTCTTCTTATATTTAGTTTTTTATTAATTCTTTTTAAGCTAATCTAGCAACATTAGTATATGCTCTTTTATTTTTCCTAAAGTTGCTTTCAAATTGATTTTATGAAGAATGAGCTAAACTCTTTTCATTATCTTCACTCATAAAGCACAGATCTTATTTTTTAATCTGAGTAGATGAAATTAAATTGCTAAGTATTCAAAAAATTATATTTAAAATTCAACTTTGTACTTATAATTAATATCTATTAAATAATTCAATATATAACTTTCTTATTTAAGATAATAATTTCTGCGAATTATAATGTATTAATAAATAAATAAATGATTAATTTTAAATATCGGATCAGATTAATTAAATTTTTTAATTTTGAATTTATTATACAGAGTATCTTTATTTTTTAAAAATATTAAAAAAAAATTAATATTGACTAAATAAAATTAACCATCATTAATAATGAGTATGTCAAAAGAACCATTTGCTCATCTAGACAAATGTAAATTATAAATTTTATTATTTAATATTTTATCCTTTTTAAGTATAAAATAGAGAAAAATTGCATGTGATTTCATAGAAACTGTTGGAGATAGAAGCGAAATACTACAGGGATATTTAATAAGATAATAAAAGGAATTAAGATTAATAGTTATAAAATAATAGTGATTACGTAGAGACTGAGCTTTCTACAAGCATAAATTAAGAATAATAATTCTAACTACCAAACGAAAATGATTAAGATTATGAATATTAGTAAGAGCTATAATTAACAAGTGATATGCAAGGCAACTCATAAATATCCTCGCATTGCTTTTAGAATTTTATATAACAAAATGAAAGTAGAATAAATGAAGAAACTCAAAGAAATAATATATGTAATTTAGAGCTCAGCAAGCAAATATAATATTAATATAATCATGAATTTTAAGTTCAGCCATTTATTTAATAACATGAACAAAAAAGCATGTAAAGCTAAGAATAAAGCAGTAATAATGATATAAAATGGAAATATACTGATGATTAATTTGATGATTAATAGATAAAATGTTATATTTCTTTAGAATAAGAATAAAATAAATTAATGAATAAACTTCCTTTGCTTTAAATATAAAATCAATAGGAAAAAGATTTGAATTAGTAAAATTAATATTAATAAACACAAAATGAAATTTATTAATCTGCGCTTTCTTTTGAACTTGAAACCTTTAAAGAAGAGGACATTTAAAATCCATAATTTCAAAGTTAAGATTTTAGTTAGTAATAATTTGAAAATAATTTGAATTTAAGAAATTAAGATGAATTACATATTTTTTTAAGCTATTTGAATCAAACAAATAACTAAGACAGTATTAAAAAGTAAATTTATAATAACAATTTTTAAATAATTAAAATATTTATTTTAAACCTAAAACAGATAAGGGGAACATTTTTTAAATAAAGATATAGTAAATGAGAATAAGCATAAATAAAAATAAGAGGAAATAATAAATAACTTAAAATCTTTTGGTAATTAGAGAAGCTAACTTGATAATACGAATTAAATAAAAAAAATTTTGAAAGACGAAATTTATGTTGATGATTAGTTTAGAAGTGAGTTTAAGCAGTTTTAAGATAAAAACTTATATGAAGACTATGATGAATAATAACTAAAACGCGTTCTTTATGTTATTTTTATATATTACTCTTCATATGGTGAAAGAAATAATGTGAGAAATTTAAAATCTTCTAAATTTATTAAAATGATGAATGATTGTGGATTTAGCTAGCATTAATAAAAGTTTGATCTAATTTTCTTTTAGTCGACTTAATAAAATGGAAATAAACATTATGCTGATTTTGATAGGTTTCTAATTATTTTGAATTCTGTTTCAAATATTATTTTTCAATCAAACTTTACGTAGCTATATGTGAAACACTTAAAACCTCTATATGAAAAAATTATTGAACACACAGAGTATGGTCAAAATATTATAATCTTTTTCAAATATAGCAGCATTAATTGGGATTAATTTCACTTTTCTCCTCAGTTTATATCTCTTTTATATGACATATATCAGGTATTTTATTTCAAAGAAAACATTCAATAAAATATATTTAAATAATGAATTTTTTTTACAAAAATTGATTAAATTTTTAATTTATTAAAAAAGTAATACTTTATAAAAGATGTCAGCAGTAAAATAATAAAAAAAGAAGTATTGTAAAAAGAAAACGAAACTTAATGTTCAAGGTTGCTAAAAGATTTAGATTTTCTCCCTGGTTTAATAAGCGTTGCAAGTATGCACACTTTATTTTAATTTACTTTTGATATGAATCCTCAAGATTTAAAAATAAATTAGATTCAAAGTGCTTTTCCTTGGGATCATTCATTAGGAAAGATATTTACAATTTCTAAATTTATATTTTTTTTGATAATTTGCACATCTATTTCATAATAAAGGCTGATTAAAAATATGTAGCAAAACATGAATATTATTTTATTTTAAGATCTTATAAATTTAATTTGTGAAAGAGTTATTTCAAGAGGCTTCAATATAGACACTGCTCTTGTTGCTACACTAAAAAATTAAGTAAATTTAAATATTTAGAATTTATTATTATAAAATTTATTAAAATTTAAAGATCAAAGAAGAAATAAACAAAGATAGCTATGAAGTCCTTGATAATTGTTAGAAAGAAAAATAAGAAATCGCTAATTAATATGGAAATCATAGATTGATTAGTGAAGCTGACACTCTTTTTGAATATAGTTTGTCAAACTAAAAAGAATCTAAATCTAAATAAATGATTAAAACAGAAGAATCTTAAGTATTAATAAGAGATTATTAAAATTAAACATAAGCATTAAAAAAATCTAAAGATGATAGCAGATAAATGTTTGATTTTAAAAATAATTAAATTTAAAATGATATAAATGATAATAGTTAAAACCTTTAAGCTGTTCTTGATTCTTATTCTTACGATTTGAAAGAAATTTATAACCAATATATAGATAAGGTAAATAAGCTTTTAAAAAAATTATCATTTAAAGAGTTTCTAAAAGATTCTCAGCTTGATTAAATTATCCCTTCGTAATAGATTGAAATAATATTTTTTTAATGCAAGAATTCAACAAATTCTTTAAATTTTAAGGGCTTCTTACAATCTATAGAAAAAATATTCATTTATTTTTCATCTCAGTAAGACTAAAATCTTTTAGACTAGGCTAATTATTTTGAAGAGTTGATAAAATAATTCATTTTGCCTATAAATAACTAGTCAGGCTAAAATAAATATATAAGCTTGCTCTAAAATTTAGCATAAAATGCTGATATTAATTAAGTTTTGAACTCACTTTAAACTTCTTTTCCTACTATATTCTAAATTTACTCATCCTCTAATAATAAAATTAATTTTAAAATGTACATCAAATTTTTTTCTGAATTTGAAGTATTTCCTACTTACATTTCATTTCAAAAGCTATAACAGATATTTAAAACTCTTGTTTAATATTAAAGCTTAGATAAAGAAAATTAGATTGATATTGATAATTAAGTAGGAATAAATTTTAAAATTGCAAATTAAAAACAAAATTTAGATAATTAATTATTGAATTTATAATAATTTTTAAGAGCTTTACTTTTGGTATCTCTTGAGGTGTCTAATTAGCAAGAAGATTCTTTATCTAAAGTAAATATTTTTAATAAAAGCAATGTTTAAATCTTTAAAATAATTCAATAATTAAATTAGTTTGTAACATTTCTTAGAAAGATTAATGAAAATAAAATCATCATATCTGTGAGGTAAATAAATTTCTTTAATTAAATATGTAATTAAAAATATTTTTTCAAATAAAAAAGTACAAACAAGCTCAAAAACATAGATATTTTAAAAAATATTCCTTAAAAGTTCTTAAATATTTTTTGAATACTCTTACTTACTAACAATATTCTTTAAACTTAAGATAAGATCTGCATAAATTAAATAACATTACAATCAACCATAAAAACAAATTAATTTTAAATTATTAATATAATATTTATTATGAATAAAATATATTTTCTGTGAAAAATCAAATGAAAGCTTAAATATTTTTATTTATCACCTTTATTTTTTAATGCTTTTAACATTTTTTTCTTTCCAAAATACAAGCTAAGCAATTTATTAATCAATAAATTATTTATTTATTTGTATTTAATAATAAAATCAAAATTATTAATATTATTTTAATTTAAAAAAATATTTATTAAATTGAAGTTGTAATTCTACTTTAAAAAACTGTAAAAAAATAATTATTTAAAAACGGCTAGTTTTTATTTTAAATACAAAAAAAATTAGTTTTTAAAAATACAAATAATAAATTAAAATATTAATAAAATAGCAGCATGAGACTTCATTATCTAATTTTTATTTTCTTCTTCTTAGGATCAATATTCTGCGTTTAAGGTAAAGCTTTAAACGAGAAAAACAGTCGCTTGCGCAGTTTAAGTGAAAATGAATTGTAATGCGTTTAAGAAGAAAATGAGTGCGATGTATTTAAGAAGTGTTGCTCAGGATTTAAATGTGTCAAAGTTTATAATAATGGAAAGTTATTAGGGAAGAAATGCAAAAAGAATCATTATGAATGAAATACATTTATAAACTAAGTAAAAATATGCTTAAAAGTTTTTAGTAATTTCTGTATTAACAAGAACATTGTTGATTTAATATTTTAAAAACAATAAATTCGTTGCTTTCAATTAATTATCTTTTAATGTTGCCATAATATTTATCTTAATTATAAAATATTTGACTTTTTTAGCTATAAAGCTATGTAATTTTAATGCATAAACCATTAAATCATAATAAATATAGAACTTTTTGAATATTTAAAGTCCATATAGATAAAAGTAATAACAAATATTTATTATCAATAAATAATATTGATTAAAATAATTTATCTAGTCACATTATATTAATTTATTCACATCAAAACAAGATTAAAACATGGAAAAAATAATTTAAAAATTATATCAATTTAATAAAATTACTAGCTAAAATTATAAATACTATTTTGCAATTTATAAAAAACGTATCCAATTTGATTTACAATTTAGTTCAAGAATATTTTTTTAAAATAAATTTAAATTATAGCAAAATTATTTAAAATAAAATCTTAAATTTTAATTTATTTCTTTTTGTGAAAATTATTTGGATTTAAATAAAATACTTTTTTTGTGATTTTATTTTTATTCACAAAAAAATGAATAAAATACTTTATTTTAATTAGAACTTCATGATATCTTAAAATTAGTGTTTAAAAAAATAAATAAATTAATAATTTTTTACATGTATTAAAGATTATCCTCTTACACTTTTTTATATAGAAACATTATTAGTTAACATTTTTTTAAATTTTGTGCATATTTATCTTCATTCAATTAATACAAGTAGAATATTTCAGAATTATATTATAAACATTTTTTGAAAAAAAGCAGTTTGCAATATTTTTTTGAAAAAAAGGATATTAAATATTTTATGATTAGCATAAAATATCAATTTCAATTCAGTGTATAAACTGCAAAGTAATCGTCGATTATATTAAAGAGTTAATAAATTAAGAAAATTTACAAAAAAAGTAAAAGGAATTAAAGCATAGCAAAAAATAACACATCAGTATAAAAAATACAAAAAAACTAATTACAAACTTTGTGTTATAACAAATATTTATATAAATATAAACAAGAAGTTTAATACCTAAAATGAGCATAAAATCTCTTAAGTAAATTAGACTTCCAGAATGTAATTGTTTGCTTTACTCGAGTATTTTAGTTGGATATATTTATTAAAATATTTAATGTTATAATTAGCCAGAAGCCCTAATAGATCTCAGAAACTTATAAATTTTAACAGTCCTTTGTCATAGGAAAAAAAATTCATTACTTTGAAAGAAATAAAGAGTGAAAAATCGATTAAATTACCTTCTATAATTTCTCCAAGGATACCATATACTTAGCGAGATGTTAAAAATACCCCTTAAGTAAATAAATCGTAAAAATTCTCCATAAACAATAAGTTTGTATCTCTTCTTGGATAAATTGATGATACTATAAAGACTGAAACAAACTATACACGCTAAATATCTAATTCGATTGATTAAAAAGTATATAGAATCAGCGAGCATTTCAAAGTAAATATAAGATTACTCAATCTTTTAATTTTAAATTTTAAGCATTTCATAATTTTTTTTTTTTTTTGGAAATAAAAATGGTGAATTTATAATCTTTTTTTTAACTTAAATTTAAATAGAACAGGTCGATCTCCTCGAAATTAGAAATGGATTAAGTTATGTTTAGTAACTAAGAAAAGTAAAAAGTTATTAACTTATATAATAACTCGATTAAATCACACTATACAAATACTGCTAGTGGTATAGTCTACTTTAAAAAGAATATTTTACAAAAAGAGTAGGATTTTGGGTTTTGACATTAATGTTTTAAATTCTGATATTATTTCTTGATTTAATTTATAAAAAGACAAAATACTAATTTGGAGAGATGTATATCTATTTATCTATTTCCTGATAATTTATCGACCCAATTTTAGTGTTCAGATCGATTAATTAAGGAATAGTATCACTATAACTCACAACCATACAGCAAATCATCTAGCTACTTATATAAGATTTAAAAAATAAAAATAATATTATTGACATTTAAATCTAAAATATCATTTTAATTCTAATTAAATATAAAACCATTTACCTCAATATTATTTATTCAAATTAAAACTAATTAAAAAAACTTATAAGATTATAATATTTATATTATTGTTCCTTCCATTTATTTATTTGTAATGCACTAATTTATTTATAATATTAAATAATAAAAAATCTTTTTAAAAAAATTATTTAAATTAAAACTGAAAAATAATGTTCTAAATTAATAACATTTTAATGTCACTTCATTGATATTTTAAAATTATAAAACCAAAATAAAAGCAATAATTTTTATAATTCCTTTAAATTTATTTACTTTTGTGAGATATATTTTGCGATTACTTTTTCTTTTTAATAATTATATTTTTAATTATCCAAAATTTTTGCTCTCTTTAATTTTAAAAACTCTACTTCTAGCAATATAAATGAATAAGTAATTCATCTACTTTTAAAAGAGATTTTATTGATAATTCTAACTTATGAATTTAAATTCAAATTTATTTTATTTTAATTTATTTTATCAAAATGAGTAGAGAGAATTTTAAATATTTTATTATGGTTATATTTTCCAAAACAAGATTAATCTTATCCAAGTGAAATATGAAAAGAGAATAATATTATAAAATCAATACCAAATAATTGGCTTTTAACCAGCGAATATTTTGTAATTTTATATTATTTTTGAATTTATTTTTCATACATAAAATAATTAAGAACAAAAAACTCATTTTTTAACAGTGTTTGAGGTATAATTTTATTGAAGTATTTAGTTTCAAATAATTTATTTGGTTTATTGAGTAATAAAGAAAGTAAGGTGAAAAATATATTCATAATTATACAAGATTTCATGATTAATATCAAATAATTTAATCAGAGAATATTTTTGTTAGCTTACAAAAGATTTAGAAAGATTTAAGTAATAAAAAAATAAATAATGTTAGTTTGGTTTATTAATTTTTAGTTACAAAATATTACTTTGAATATAATTAAAAAAATTATGGTATTATTTATTGTTAAACTAATTTTTTTTTCTAGCTTTAATATATCAATCTAAAGAGTGAGCAAGCGATTTAGACACCTTAAATATTGATTTTTATTAAATTAAAAATGAATTTTCTCAAAAATCTAAAAATATAAAAACTTTCTTTTATAAAATTTTATGTAGTAACTTTTGATTAATTGATAGAGGTATTTATTCTTTTTTATTTGGTTTGTTAATTATTTTATAAGTAACTTTCAATCTATTTATGATCTAATTGGTTAATTATTTCATAAAAGCTACAGAAAATATTTTAAAAATTTTAATATAATTTGTCTGCTTTATAAATTTAATTGAAACAGATTCAATTCATTTTTAAATATTTAAGTTAATGATAATGCTAGCTACTGTTTCAGAGAATCTAGAATATAATTTATTAAATTTATTTTTTTTTTATCTTACATTTATATTTGAACCTATTCTAGAAGTATATGATCTTAGTTACAATTAAGTGAATCTCAATAATGAGTGGAGAAAAAAAAAAAATTTAGTTATTTTATATGGCACTAGGTAAATCAAATTGTATAAGCTCTGTTAAAAAGAATGGATTTAATTTGAAAAAATAATAGTAAGTTTATTAGATTTAAACAAACTACTTATAGCATGATTGATATCAGTAACTATTATTTATATACTATAAAAAAAGATGATTTGGGTATTATTTGTGCATTTATAAATTAGTTAAGATATAAGCTGGTTGGCTTTATATCTTAAAGAGTGGTAAAAAGTTAATTAAATTTTTAGCTTATTATTTGATTTTAATCCTGCTTTAAGTCTAAAACCTTTTTGGCATTCTTTTGATTAAGTAAATTAACCTAAGAGATTTTTCCTTTTAGAAAAATTAATTTTCTGTTACTGGTTCTCCTTCAAATTTTTGTATCAAAGAATTATAAAAAATAAATCAGTTGTAAATCTAATCAGTTTATTCCAGCTGATTGTAAAAGCCAACTAATTGAGTTTTTGAACAGCGCATTCCAAAAACTTCTAGTGATAAATAAATTGTGTGCATGGCTAATTTTTTAGCCAGTTATAGAATGCAGCTTTATATGGAGAGGATCTTTTTAAATTAATAAATTTGTTTGTTTATCCTTTTTATGAAAAGTAAATATTTGGAAACATATTTTGTTATTTGCTTATAGTGAAAACACAAATGAGCAGGAGCAGTTAAGTTTTATTTTAAAGCATCTCAAAAATAAACATTTAATTAACTGAAGTTATATAAATAGAAAGTATTTGTAATGCTATTATATTTTAATTAAATAAAATTTGAGTTTCGATATAATTTACTTTCATTTTATATTTTATCAGAAGCAACAACGCATATTTAAAATTTAGATAATTAATTTTATTATAGTTTACGGGTTATTTGTCAATCAATTTGCTTTATTTTATTGATTTATTTGGATTTAAATTTTTCATAATTGTTGTATTGAAGTTACTTCTCATTGATCTAAGTTTTTGTAGTTGTGAAAAATTAAAATTTGTTAAGATAATTTAGTTAATTTAATTTAAATTTTGTATAGATTTGAAATCAATCTTTAAGTTACTGAGCAATATGGCTATTCTTTTTAATCATGTAAGCTAATAAAATTGATTTCTCAATGATAAATATTAATTAATTCATTCAACTGTAAAATTCAGTGTAAAGTGAACATTCTCTTTTAGAATATCTATGTTAAGTATGTTCTTGAGTTATAAAACAAAGTTATAAAATAAAATTAAATACCGAATATAATTCATTTTTTTTTTCTATCCTTGTAATTTTATAAAATTTCTATTCTTTCTGTTTTGAAAAATAAATATTATCAATCACACATACATAATATTGAAAATGTAAGAATATGATTTCTAATTTTTAACTTACAATATTTAATCATTAATATTTATCAAAGCAAAATCTATGATTTTTGTTGTGAGTAAATTTTCTTTCTTTGTTTATTTTTTTTCAATCAATCATCTAAGAATTACTGCTTAAAAAATTCAAAAGATATCTGATAAATTATATATTTTTGTATAAGCGATCTATTTGTGTTTAGTAAGGAAATAAAATTTATTTAAATAAATTTCCAATAAATTGTAATTTAAATTTTAAAATTGTAAAGTAAAATCACTTTATAGTTCAGCATTTTACTTTAGAATGCTTGGAGTAATTTTAGTTTTCATAGTACATATTTTTGTCCTTTAAATTATACATTTCCATCTCTTTTGTCCTAATATTTCATAAATATCTTTAAAATATATTGTATTTCTTTTCAGAATAATTCAAACTTCTTAAAAAAAAATTTTTTACATGAGCTATAAGCAATAAAATGCCGGATACTTATTATCATATATACAATAAGTTAGTATTTATTTATCTATTTATCCCTCTCACGCTTTTAGAAAAAAATTTCTTTTTTCCTTACCTAGAAAAAAATTCAGAAAAAATAATACAACTACAAAAAAAATGAGTAAATGAAAAAGCTTGAGCTAATTATTTAAAAATATACAATTAATTATTCAATAGAATATGTATAAATGCATCTGTATATTAATTATTATATTTGATAAAGCTACTCTAGCTTTTAGCAAAAATAATATTTAAATTTTGTTTACTACATTTTTCCCTAAACCTTCAATCATTAATTGATTTAAATTTTTATTTATTTTCAAATACCCAGAAAAACTAAAATTAAATGATAAATACTTCAGAAGGAATTAAAATCAAAATAAAAAATCACATAAAGTTCGCTAGGTTAGTAACAAATTACTTGATTGCAAAGGAAAATAATATATTTTATTTATTTTTAGTAAATATTAATAATGAAAGTAAAAAAGAATGAATTAAGTAAAATAATAGTAAATAAATAAATAATTTAGGTAAAAGTATAGTAAATAAATATACAAATAAACAAGCAAGCAGTCAAATAAATTTTATTCTGATGATGATAACTTAAAAAAAGTTCTTAGTAAGTACTGTCAGACTTTATCAATTCCTTTTGTTTTATCATTAGATTTATATTTATTATAATTATGTTGAGAAAATGCTTTTTATCAGAGTAAACATCCATCTTATGATGTCATTTAAAGTATCAAAATGTAAGATAAAAAATTCGATGATATTTAATTAATTTCCTCCTTAATTTGGTTTTGCATTTTTCAAGTAAAGTCCAATAGGCTAAGACAAATTTTCAAGTTTCAGCGATAATAGTAATAATGAAATATTTTTAGAATTTCTAGTTTTTAAATACCATCGCAATTGAATAAAAATGAATATTTTATAGTACTATAAATTTCGAGGTGTGAATACTTGATTCTGTTTCGAAAGAAATATCATGATTGAATTCAAGCATTTGCTAAATTAATCTTAAACACAGTTCTAACATTAATAATATTAAATTAGCAAGAAAGATAGGATATTAATGATTACCGAAGAATTTACAGTCAATTAAAATTTTTTACTCACTAAGTGTCCTTTACGTATTAAGTGAGAGTGATCTATGAATAAATAAATAAACAAAGAAATTAAGCGTTAAAAGCTAAAAGTATAAAGTTGCATATACTTAATAAGAATTAAGAAAATGTTTCAATTTTAAATGCTAACTAATATACTTCTATTCAATTACTTGATATTTTTATTTATTTAAGGCTGGCTAGATTTGTTAATTGGCTTTTTTTTATTAATTATAGATACAAGTATGTAAATTAATTAATTTACTAACTATTTAGTATGAGTATTGCTGAGCAAATTTGTTATTTAAATTTGTATTTTTAAGTATTTAGCTAAACTAAAAGTAATACGCAAATACTTTTACTTTTACATGCTTGTATTACCATAATAATGAAAAAGATACTTATTTTGATCTAAATTATTTTTGTGTAACATTTAAATGAATTTATGAAGAAAAAATAATGAGTATTATAAAATTATTAGCAAAATTACTGAATGAATCAACTTTTGGATGGTTGAATTGAAATGGACGATTATGTAATACAAATATCCCATTTATCAATAATTGGGCAATTTACATTTTATTGAATTTTTTTAATTATTATTTCTGGAAGCATAAACTTGTGGTGAATAATCAAAGAGTTTTTTATACTTTAATGTTTTTGCAATCTAGATTTAATATATATTTTGCTCGAATAGATAAATAAGAATCAATTACAAATAATTGAATTGTTTATGCCATATATAGAAATTGCAAAAGCTTTTTGTTTTGTTTTTCAAATATTTATTTATTGCTTTATTTTGATATGATGTTAATGCGCTTGCTTACATTGATAAAGTAAAATATAATTTAGCTTATCTAAATATATCATAAATCTAAAAAATTGTTTTAGGTTAATGCATTCTTGATTACTTACTATTGAATTATGCATCACCTAATACTAACTATTAGCATTTCTATTAAAAATATTATTAACTATTAAGTGTGTAATAATAATAAGTAAGACGTATTTAATATTTTAATATTATTATTATTAGACAGAGGTAGGAATAAACGAATTCACTAGATTGGCTTACATGTGTTGGAGGATTCAATAACATAGTGGGTACTAGATTATATTTTTAATTAATGTGAAAATCCCTCTGATATTTTTAAATCAACCTTACAAAATTAAAGCAATAGTCAGCTTATTTAATTAAAGATTTTCCATTTGGTTTGTTAATAATTTTTCTTTCTATTTATATTCGAAATAGTTAATTAACTAATTGTTATACATCAGAAAATAATAGAGTCAGTAAGCCTATGCAATTAGTTAATATTCATTCATTCATTTTCAATTAAAAAAAGTTCTAATTAAGATCATCTGATAGTAAATATTTGTAAACAATCTTATGAATATTGTTTTAATTTCTAATTGACCACATAATATATCCATTCGTCCGTCCATTCATTCATTTTAAAATTCCTACTCATAATTCACCATAACCTAATCGCTATTCAATTTAAATATTTGATATGCTAGAATTCTAGATAAACATCTTTTGGTTAATACGGTTGTTAATTTTAGGAATATGTGAAGGAACTTCAATAAAAAAATAATACTATTACATTTTTATTTGGAAGTAGAAATTTTTAACAATTTACTTAGTATTTATATTTATTCTAGTGTCATATTAATAAATTAATAAAAAATTATTCAATGTTTTTTGTGAATTCGAACTAATTTTAGTCTATATATAAAAATATAATTTAGCTGTACATTGATTGGACTAGTGAGTCCATGGTTTTTTTTAAATTCTTGTTTAAAATATTTTTTTTATTTTTCAAAAAATATCGTCCTCTTCATACATGTTACTTCATAAATATGCTTAAAAAAGAGAAATGCATAAAGCGATATAATAGATTAATTATATCAGTAACATTATATATAAATGCTTGAAAAATAGATAAATACAAGCAAAGAGAGATAAATAGATACGCGTATATTTAAAGATAAGCAAATTAATAAAGAAGATTTTAGAGTAATTTAATAATTATAAATATACTAATCATTTATTTCTTTCTCGTGTATGAAAATTAACTCAAATTTAATAGAAAACATAGGCTGCCCACCTTACCCTATCCTGCCCTTGAATTAATTGAATTTATCAAATATATTTTACAATTCCAATTTTTGATAGGTAAAATTTAGTTTACATTCATTCCATTTTTAAAGAGAATCTCTGATTGAGAGAGTATTACAAGGATGAGTGAGCATAGCCTAGGACAAAGCTAGATATTATTTTCATTTTAAACAAATAATAACTTTTTAGGTATTTTATAGAAAAAGTTTTTGAAATAAGAGTATTAAATATTACGAAACTTTATGCGTAATATAAAAGCATCGAACTTTCATTAAAGGATATATTAAAGGAATAATTGTTAATTTTATAGTAAGAAGAGAATATAAAATGAAGATTAGCAAAGTAAATGAAGGAACGCCTTAAACAAATTCTTGAATGTGATTTTAATCCTATGGTTGTTATAAAAATCAACTATTAAAATGCAGCTGACTTTCAGTACTAATTTACTGTATGCACTCTACTATATCATAAATTGAAGCAGCTCATCAGATTTGGCAAAAATTAAAAATTTTTTTGACTGGCTTCTGTTTCTTTTTTTCTTTGCTTTCTTGAAATTAATTTCTCGGATTCTTAGAAGTTTTGAGTTTATAAAAACATTTAGTAGAGGAGTAAAGTTTTTGATAATTTAAATTAAAAATATTAAATATCAATTAAAAAAAACAAAAGAAAACACAATAAATACTATTAAATAAAAGATTTTCTCTCATTTAATAAATAAATTAATTAATTAATAGTTTCTGCCTAATTACCTACTATCAATCAATCAATCAGTTTAATTCCTAACTTAAAATACACGCTCCTTACCTATAAAAACAAATAATAAATAAATAATTAAAAAATTATAAAAAATCATAACTTTAGTTTCCAATTAACATTTTCACAGATGGATTACATGAACTCTTACTACTACATGGAATAAGAACAACCTCACTTTGATTACTTCTTCGAAGAATAAGAACAAGAATAAGAATAAGAATAACAACAAATTCACTCTCCCCTTGGTATCCAAAAGAAAATTTCCAAAAAGAAATACTAGAAGGCTCTTAAGTGGGCTCACATTGCTTCACCCTTTAGCGAAAATTAAACTCCTGAAAAATTCTTACTTTATGGAAATATAAATCTTTTTACAAATTACAGCGAAGACACTTCAAAATGCCCTTACACCTCTGAATGTTTAGTCGAAAACGGGTATTACAAACTAGACTAAGTATAAGTTACAGAAAAAAAGGGAGTCGAAATGTAAGTCTCCACTTTGAAGCCTTGTTTGGACAAATTCCAATTTCTCATTAATTTATACAAGCGCTACTAAAGCTCAAAATACTCAGAACTTGCTAATGTACTTCTCTAATACTAAAAATTCATTAAACAAGAATTCGATAGATCCAATTGTATGTATAAGTAACTCAAGAAAGATTAAAATCTTTAATCTAAACTCTAAGAAGAATTTAACGCCTTCTAGTTAAAAACTATTGCTGAAATTCAAGCTTAAAATTCTTCATCAATGACCAGCTAATATTATTCCTATAGAACTGTAACTACCAATTATAAAACTGGATAGCCTGAAATCAAGAAGTACGGTACTTCAGAATCTCTCGTAAATCTCCTTGGAGTCTCAGTATAAAACGAATACTAAAATTTACTTTGGAAAATGCGCAAGTAACAAGCCTTCTCTAAAAATCAAGGTACTTACAGATTACACTTCTTTCAAAATCCTTTAATTTACTTTCATACAAATTTCTTTCTTTTTCAATAAGTAGTTACCCGATTTTGTAATTATTTTTTTCTGGGAAGCAAAAAAATTTTGAACATACAATTTCCTGAATTATATTAACATTACATCTAACTAATCTTAATTTTATTAATTAGAAAATCATCTTCTCAGAAGTCAAGAGAGTATTTCAAAGGCAATTTTTATGATCAAGAATATTGTCGGTAAAGAGAGTGCCTACAGCTTCTCCTAAACTCTACTCACCAGAGACGGATTCGAAATACCATGCACAGTTAAAGTACAAGTTATCTCAAACTAAACCCTCAATTACATAAAACACTACGAATCTAGAGACTAACAAGTTCTTCACTACACATACATTTTTAACAAAAGTGATATATAAACTCTCTAGAACAAGAGAGAGAATATGTCATCTTAAAATTCTACAATTTCTACCTAGTAGATCTCCTTAAATCTAAATTTAGGAATTGACAGCTGTGATGACAGCCAAGGATCTAACTTCGTACTTGAACACACATCAGAAACTTTCAGTGAAATTGATTTAAATAACTACTCTCCTTAACAATAATACTAATAATGCTAAACGACAAAGTGTTACCAAAACACCTACACAAACAAAACCTTAAATTAAAGTTTTTCACCTTTGTCAACTGTAACCTGCTCCATTTAGTAATATAATAGAAAATCAGAGCAAAAAAACAGTTGTGACTATAGTAGAAAATCTTAAATTTTCATTAACAAATATTACAAGCACCTACTTACTAAAAATACTCAAAATATTCAAAGTTCATAATGAGAATATCTAACTAATTACTCTAAATTAACTAACTAAGTCACTCACTACCAAACACATACTCAATAATTTCTATTAAAATTAAGTGTATAATTTAAAAAGATCAAAATAACTACCCTTACTGAACTAATTTATATTTTAAAATGTACATATACTTTAAAAAAAATCTTTTGTAATAACATTTGTATTACTTAAAACTAACTCTATATATACACACATTCTACACCCAAACTCTTTAATTTACTTTACAGAATTTTTAATACAAATTTTCCTTCTTTAACTTTACACTATTTACTACATTTTCCCACAGAAAGCAGTATTTAAAAGTATCTTCCTTACCCCTTAATTAATCATTCATTTTATTCTGCTTACTAAATTATCTAAAATTCATCTTCTCCTTCTCCTTGATAAATTTAAGACAATTATTTGTCTAAAAATTTTTGAATATCTAAAAAGTTGATTGAAATATTATTACCAAAGAAAATTTCCTAATTATTTAAATAGATATCAATCAAACAATTGTTATATTAATCAATTTTTAACCTCATATCCAAATTGCAAAATGTAAATATTTGTCTGCGTTTATACTATCCTAAAAAATATTAGTTGCTTACAAACTTTTATATAAGCAATTTCTTTTTATTCGGAGACTAACTTAAATCAAAAGTAGTTTTTTTATCAATTCCCTTCTAAATTAATTAAATCTGATAATATCGCAATTTCCAAGACATGTATGTGATTAATGTAGATAATTGCTATGAAAAACAAAAAATATATAAATTTAAGTAATTCCTATCATATCAAAAATTATTTTAGTTCTTATCAAGTTTTTTTCATTTTCTATGCTTATTTTTATTTCATCATTTACTCGAAATTTGATATAATTTCCAGCACGCATTTCTTATTGTGTTTGCAGAGTTCTAATTACATTTCTTTACAAATAATTATCGAAAAATACACTTTTAAAAACTCAATTCTATCAATATAATCTTTTAGAATAGATCAAATCTCAATCTTATAAAAGTAACCTATGTCTTCTTTAAATATATTTACTTGAAAATTTAAAATAATTTTTAAATCTTAGTATTTTTGTTTAAAAATAAGTTTTCAGCTACAAAAATTTATTATTATAAATACTTAGCAAAAAAATTACTGAAAAATGACTTGCTAGAGCCTTCCTTCTAAAAAATAGTACATCAAATTTACATAAAGTGTTATTTAATAGAAAATTTAAAATTGATTCATTGATATAATAAATAAATTTATATGTAAGTATGATTTTTAAATTAAAACTTGTCTAAATAAAAAAAAAACTGAAATTATAAAAATTCGATATTAAATTTACGACTCTTAAATAGTAAGAAAAGAATAGTTAAAATTGTTGAATTTTCAAGCTAAGTTTAGAGAATAAAATAAAAATTGGGATTTTTAAATGTGTATCAAGCTCTCATTAAAATTCTGCTTTGTAAATAAATCATTTTGTTAAATTTTTTTTTCAATGTATTTGTTTTCTATCACATTAATGTTTTAAATTTATTTATTTAAGGCTTAAAATCACTGGTTTACTATTTATAATTTTAATTCTTGCATATTATAAATATAGAATAAATTAATAATTATATAATTAAGCAAACATAATATATAAGTAAGCTTGCAAGGCCTATCAAAATTTTCAAGAAGGGTAAAATTTTTAAATATTTGTAATATAATTATGCCTATTTGCTGGATTAATAAATTAAATCATCGTTTATTCACAAATTAATTAGAAAAATTAAAAAATAACACCATCAACTTAATTTCTTACTATACTTATGTAAATTTATAGTAAGCAAAATTGTTTTTTAAAAAGTAATGTTAAATAAAATCGAATAAATGTTAAGACTGTTTTCTCAGATTAAAAAGTAATAAGTAAACAAACCATAACACATTTCCTACAATTGTTAGTATTACTAATAAAATATGCATTTAAAATAAATTTATTTATTTTCAAAGGTGAGATTTTTCAAAAATAGGTCCTTCATGAATCTTAAGGTTCCACTTCTTTAATTCTTCAGCAATTATGACACGAGCTTTGGGTAATCTGTAGAAAGGAATTTATGGGAAAAAGTGATGTTCAGTCTAATATTACATACCACCCATAATAAGTAGAGAGAATATGTCGTGGAAAGCGTAGTTTCTGCTTGCAGCTATTTGATGTTCGAAAAATGGTAAAGTGATTCTTCTTTCGAATTTCATTTCATTTTCATGATTTCCAACAAGAATAGAAGCACTGAAGAAACCAGCAATCAATTCAGAAAGAATTACGATATAGAAGTTTTAGTTGAATAATAATACCCAGTGCAAGGCAAGGAAGATTCCTTCAAATTCATAATAAGAAGCTAAGATGGAGTCTAATTTCCACTTTAAAAATAAGAAGGGGAATTACCACAATTTGTAATCGTGTTAGATATCTTCGTCCTTTAGAATGTTGTTTGTGAACATATGATGCTTTTATTAGAATTATATTAATTAGTTTTAAATTATTTTAAAGATGATTTATTATTGAGGAATAGTATGATAATATTTATCAGTGACGTCATTGCTTAAAAAAAATAGAGATTTGCTTATTGCGGTACTTAAATTAAATGGTAAAATTAATCTTTTACAATTTGTAATTAATTTTAATAGAAAAAAGATTTAGCTTTTTTCAATTATTTGTATAGCAATGCTTTTTATTAATTGAAAATCATAGGGAAAAAAAGTTATTTCATTTCTTAAAATAAAAAACTATTTTCATTTATTTTATTATAAAAAATAAAATGCTATGTGTAATCTTTGTGTGAAGTTGATTTTGTATTTACAGATTTTTGGTACAGATTTTGGCTTAATCATTTATTATACTTTAATAATATTATCTTCAAATTTATTTGAAATTTTTAAAAAAGGCTAAATTAAGATCTTTAATAATTTAATCATAACAATCAAATATTGTTTGTACTATTAAAGCATCAAAATATGACTTTTTTCCTCGCAAAACCAAAAAATCTTTATATATTTATATTAAATATTATGGTTACTTGATTGTGCTTCCTACCCCACCATTTATTAGAGAAACCACCACAAAGAGGAGCGTAGACTAAAGCGAATTTTCTTAATATAGGGTTACGATTGTGGTTCATAGAGTGACCAATCCAACCACTGATGATTTGCATTAAGACAAGAAGGGGAATAGAGAAATACCACTTTTGAGTCAAACATCCAGTGACAAATAAAGTAAAGGTAGTTAAGAATAAACCAATTTCGATAGGCCAGTTTGGTTCGAATAACTAAATTAATTTAAAAATATGTTCATTTTTATAATTTAAAATATGCTTATGAAAATTATCAAATTATGCTAAATATGCTCAATAAAGATATCATTTGAATGTATTTACATGCTTAAGCTTTTTCTTTAATATTGAGAATCTCTTTGAAGATTCAGTCTCCTCTTATTTTGCGCCAGTCTTAGGGAAGGATTTTAAAATTTTCAAAGCCTACTTAGAATGGAGTGTTCTGAAATATTCAGTCAAATCTTACTTCTCATCAATAAACAAATTGAGGAAATTAAGACCGCCAGGATGCTTATTTGATTTAGCATATTCAGTGCAGTCATATTCAGTATCCTTGTAAATAAATTTGTATTCGTTGAGAAGTTCGGGTTTATTTTCAAGAACAATTTCTTCTTAAGTCTTATCAACTCCCATAATGCTTGTTTTTTAAATTTAGTTTGCTTACTTATTTTATAACCTTTTAATTAATATTTATTGAAATATTGATAGATAGATAGATACCTTATTATTATTATGAAATATTGATTTTATTAACTATCATTATTTTTAATAATTTAAATATTTTGCATCATTTAGAATTGTTAATGATAACATTTGCACACTTTAAGATTTACGTAATATAAAATTTATTGACTTTAACTCTATTATTTTACAAAAAGAACTTTTCTAAACCTTAATTCTTTCAATTTCCATCTTACACGAATCGAATTATTTTGCTTCAAAATAATTTCAAATTAATTGAACCATCTTTCAATTTAGATAAATTATATTATTAATATTAGCACTTTAACTCTTTTTCGGTTTAATTTGTGTATATTTATAATCGTTTTAATAATAAAAAAATCTTAATTATTAAAATAGAAAAATTATTCTCAAAAAAATACTTTTTTAATTAGCATATTTTAGTGTATTTTATCATTTTATTTATAAATTGAAATAAAATATATGTTTAAATATTATAAATAATAAATCAAAGAATCTATAATATTCTAAAATATAGTTTTTAATATATTTTAACTTTAAAAAATTCTTAATTAAACTGGAAGTTATAAAATTATAAATTATAAAAATATCCATCTTAGATAAATTAAATAATATTTTATACTACTTTATTTATGTAATTTAAACGCTTTAAAGAAAAGCTAAGAATGGATTTTATTAAAAACTTGGGTTAAAAAATTTAATTTTTAATTGAATTTTTTACAATTTAAGTATTTCCATTTTAATATAATAACCTTGCTGATTTTTGATAATCAACCTTTACTATTAGACATAGCTTATCTATTACTATCTATCAATAGCATGCTTATTAAGCTCAACTTAAAAAAATAATAAATAAACAAAAGATAAATTAATTAGATATCAAAGATTTACAAAATATTAAATTATATTTTTGTGTATTATTTAAGTTATTTAAAATAAGTAGAAATGAAGAAATACTTATGATAAAGACAAATTAATTAAATGAATAATAGTTGTTAAAATTGTAAGAAAACATAATCCAATAAATTAAGAAAAATAAACACTTTAAAAGTTAGAAAGCTTTTATTAAAATAAACATAAATTATAATAAAAATAAATTTTTGCACATTTCAATATAAATATTAAATTATAGATTCAATAAAACAGTCATATGTTAGATATTTGGTGATCTTTAATAAAAAATATAAAATTTATAACAAAAAAAATTTTTTTTGTAGATTCTATCTTTACAAAAATAATAAAAAAATAGGTAAGCGTTAATCAAAAAAGTTTTAAGCATGTTGTAAAATAATTAATAAACCCAAAATTTCCAAAATCAAGGAATGAATAACTTTACCAAATCAAATCGATTTGAATAGAATTAGGTGGCTCATAATGATAATAATGAGGATTTTAACAAAATATTGCAAGGCATAGACGATGAATATGATGATTAATTTATGCCAAACAATCAAGAAAGTTAAAAAAATTTTAATTAAAATTAGAATTACAATCTAAACATCTAAACACAATAGCAATAAAATAACTTTTAGGGAAATCAGTTATAAACATTTTAAACTCCTAAATCTGAAATAGGCAACATAAATTTTCCACCTACGAATGGAAATCTTCCACCTTTTTATAATAACTCACCTCAAATCATGAATAACAATTTTAATTCACCAGCGTATAATAATATTTAGACAAATAGCTTAAGAGGCTCGCAAACTACGATATCTAATAGACCATCTGGATCTATTTCAAGCAATATGCTAAATAATTAATAGTAGATACCCTAAAATGCTCCAAATAGAGAAATTTTGGAAGCCTTAGTTCAAAAAAACAATGAACTCAAAAACGAATTTATTTATTAATTCATAAAGATCAGATAAACTAACTAATACTAACCTGGAATAAAAAAAAAGAGATATTAAGATAATTCTTTATACTTTGGTTAAGTAAGTATATAAGGCATCAATGAAGGTAAATATTTAACCAATCTAACATATTTGTAATTAATTAATTTTTGTAGGTAAAGGTATGTATATGGTGTAAAATGGTGACATTTATTTAGGTAAATAATAAAAAATTCAAAGTTTTATGCTTAAAAATAATATTTAAATTCAAAAAGGCGATTTTTTCTAAGGCAAGTTCCATGGATATGGCGTTTATATCCATCATAATTTAGAAAGATATGAAGTAAGTAGTTTTCAAAAAAAACTTTGAATAAGAGTAATTTTATTCATATAGGGTGAGTTCTAATTTGGTAAAAAGGAAGGAAAAGGTATTTATTTTTATAATAATGGTGATGTATTCAATGGATAATGGAAGAATAATCTCAAAAATGGCCAGGGATATAAACATTCTAATTTGACAAGTAATTTAAAAATACTTTTGTCTAATTTTTATGTGTCCTTTTATGTTTTAAAATTATTAATTAGATGATACCTACACTGGTCTGTATTTAAATGGCAAGAAACATGGTAGAGGAGAATTAAAATACGGAAATGGTATAGTTTATTTGTATTTTTGTAATTAAAACTAAAAACTATTGAATGTATTAAATTTATAGGTGATTTATATTTTGGAGATTTTGTGAATGATGTAAAGGAAGGAAAAGGGAAGTTGACTTATGCAAATGGTACAATATACACAGGAGATTTTAAAAATAATGAGCCATCTGGAAACGGTACTTTAGAGTTCATAAATGGAGATGCATTCGATGGTTACATGTAAAATTTAATTATTAAATCGCACTTAAATAAAAAACTTTTAAAATAAATAGAGCCAACGGAAATATGGTTAAAGGAATTTTATATTTTGCCAACGGAGATTAGTATGAAGGGTCATTTTAACTCAATAAGCAACATGGCTAAGGAGTAATGAGATATTCAAATGGAGATATATACGAAGGTCTATGGACATAAGGAGAAAAAAGTAAGCAAATATAAGATAAAAATAAATTTTATTTTATTTTAATATAAAGCAATAGGAAAGTAATACTATCCTGATATGTAAATTCAATATGGTAAATATTATAGGTTAAGCATTAGATTTGTAAAATATTAATGATAAAAATTAAAATATAGAAGGAGAATGGAAGAATGATACTCACTGGGGTAGAGGAAAGTTAGTTTGGTTAAAGTAAATATGATTGAATTAATTTATAAATAAATTTTTAAATGATGAATTAGAAGTTAATTTAATTTCAATTAAAAAGCTATGATGGTGATTATTATGAAGGAGAGTTTAGAAATAATAAAAAGCATGGAAAAGGTGTTCTTACTTATAAGGATGATAATGGAAATTTAGTGTAAGAAAATGTAGTATTTGTTGATGACGTGTAATAGTAAGCTATGCCTTTCTGAAGAAAGCACTTTATTTATAATTTATATTAATTTTTAGTTATTATGTATTATTATTTATAAAAGATTAAATACTTTTTTTCTTAGTAGCTTTTTACAATAAAAATCTCTAAATAAATTTTTAATATGAACTAATACTACAAAAATAATAAAATAATATATCAACCATATAAATGAGTAAATAAAAATCAATCAAAATCTTTATAAATTTGAAGAAGAGTATTACCATTATATTATTTCTTATTAAAATTTGCAGTAATTAATTATACTATCATACAATTTAATTACCATTATTTATCCATTAAGAAAATATTAATTTATTATATTTACCAACATTTAAATTAAAAAAACTATTTAAATATATTTTTACAATCTTATTTTATAATTTTCACCAGTAAATAAATAAATAAATAAATAAATAAATACAAAGCACAATGAAATTAGCAATTAAAAATTGCTATAAACACCTTTTTATTTTTATTAAGCAGAAAATTGATTGTAGATATTATTCTAAAAATTCTATTCAGCAAAGATATATTATAAATAATCATAATTTGCTTAAAAATACTGAACTTAGAATAATAAATAATGAAAAATATATATGAAAAGTAAAAGAAGAATACTGATTTTATTATGTTGTTATTTTTATAATAATATCTAAAATTTATATCTGAATTACTTTATTTATTTATAGTGTTTTAAGTTACTAGCTATCTTTTCCACACAATTATTTTACGGCAGCTGACTGATTAATCTTTGTTTCTTTAAAATATTAATAATAAACTAAATTATAACAATTAATTATACAAAAAATTTAGATAATTTAACATCCAATATTAAAAACAATCCATCTATTCCATCATTGCTAAAGCTAGTAATTTGTTAATTATTAAAAGCACATAGGACAAAGATTTATAAATATATATTGCTTTAGTATGAATCAGAAGAAAAAGGAAGCGCAGACAAAGACCAACGAAGAGCTGGAAGAGTATTATTTTTATTTAAAAAAGCATTATTTTTCATAGTATCATCATAATAACTCTTTTTTTAATTGTAATTCATATTAATTTAATTTTAATAACTAGAGAGAAAATAGATTTATTGGATAAATGCAATCAGATATTTGCCAAGATCAGGTAGGATTTTAACATGAAATTTCCGACTGATTAGTACCTAAAGTTTGATAGGTAATACGCTAATCATATGAAAAAGGAGTTTGATTTGTTTGCTCTATGCATCGAAGAGGTTTCTTAAACTTATGATATAGATGGAGAGAAATTGATAAGTTCTTTTTTGAATAATATCTTAATTACTATGAAAGTCATGCTTTTCACTTAAATAAGGTGTTTTCTCAATTATCTTGATTAGACAATTTAATATAACGACTCTAAGTCACTAAAAAACTGGGAATCTTCCTAAATTTAGCAAATGTCTAGGCACAAAGTAAAGATTGTTAGAGGTACAGTAGATGAAGATGTCATAAAAGCATAACAAAACAACCTAATTAGTGACCCATCTGATGAAGTCAAAAAGAGACTCGGGGTAAGTTTAGATCCTCTGTTGCGTGAATATTCAATGACAAAATAGTAGTTAATTGAAGTCTTGGAAGAGAAGAGGCGTAATTTAACTCTTAAAGAATCCAAAGCTGGAAGATATCTTTATAGATAAATAGAAGGTATCAAGAAAATAGTTTAGAAAGAAAAGGCATTTGTAACAGATTTCGAAGAAAGTACATTTCTTATTTTAAAAATTAATTATGAAAATATTTTATTAAATTAGAATCCCTCCAAGCTATTAAGTAATTAGCTTTTTCTGATAGTGTAACTTAAGTAAAAGGTATTCTTGACACAATTACTGAAAATTTAGATTAAAACGCCAAAAAAAGACTCATAAGAGTTTTAGAATACTTGTTTTTAAACATGAAAAATGTATTTGCTAAAAAAAATGCTTCAGTTTAAGTACTATAAATAATATATTTTTAAAGCTTAATTCTAAGTTATTTTATATCAAATAGACTTAAATTGTTGGATAAACCATTGATGGATATGAATCTTAAATCACTAAATTAAATAAAAGTGTTTATGAGGCAGATAGAAATATTGAATAGGTTTTAAAAGAAACTCTTCATAAAGATTAAAAGATTACTGAACTGGAAAAATAAATAAAATTCTTAAAATAAGCAAAAGATGGGAAAGACGAAAACCCTGAACATCTTCTGATGTAAAAAATTGAAGAGTAGAATAAATAAATAGAGAGATTAAATAACATCATCATAGACTTGAATGTTGATAAAAAATCTTTAGCAAACTAGATTATCACAATTAAGCAAGAGGTATAGACTAATTAGGCGACCGGTGCAGATTCAAATTCAAATAAAAAAGGAGGAATTAAATAGAAGGGAAAAAACTAGAAATAAGCTGCTTAATAATAAAATAAAAATAGTAAAACAAATATTAAATCAAATTAACAATTTTCTTAATCAGAGTTTTAACTTGATATGACAAATGAATAATAAAATGATATTGAAGTAGATGAAAACTAATATAATCCAAGCTAAAAGCTAATAACAAGTCAAACAAATATTCTAAGCCCATCTGGTGCAGAATAAAAGTAATTTAATTTACCTATTTCACCATAAGGATACTCATCTAGTAACAAGCTAAAGTCTAATGAAAGCAGAGAAAGCTTCATTAAGAAAGACTCCGAATTTATCTAAAGCTTTAATAATAACTTAAACATAAATAGCTCAAATACTTTTACATTTTAAGGAAAACCATAGATATAATAAGGTATATAATCTGAAATTAAAAGTACTCAGATAACTGATTTGGGTTCACCTGATAAAAGTAATAAATAAAATAATGCTAATGTACTATCTAGTAATTAATAAAGCTAATTTAATAGTTTCTAATAATCAGGATTTGAATAAAACTAAATTTAAAGTAATGTTGCAGATATTCAAAATAAAGATTTAAAAAATCAAAAGAACAGTTAAGCTGCACATTTAAATATTTAAATAAATAGTGAGCATGAATAAAATGATGCAAAGCATAAAAATTCTAAAAATAATAAATCTTATAAATAACAAATTCAAAATTCAGAAAATGATTAGAAAGAAGAAAAGAACCTTCATAATACCAAAAATAAAGGTAAGATATCTAAAAAAAATAGCATAGAAATTGAACATGGAGTTGATCATGATAAATAGACAAATTAGAAAACTAAGAAGAACATTAAGAATGTTAAAAGCAGTAGTAAAAATGCTTCGATTAGCAGTTTACATGAAGTAAATTCTCTTTCATAGCTTAATGAACAGCAGGCTGAAGCACAAATAAGAGAAATAAGCTAAGATAAGAATTAAAAAAATAAATTGATTTCTTCTGGGGGAGAAAACAGTAGTAATCACCAAAATTTAAAGGCAAATTCAAATCAAAACAATAAACAGGATTAACTAGATTCTTCTAATCTTGCAAATAATAATATGAATTAAAACTCTACGAACAATGTTTAAATGAATTAAGCCAATCATAATTCTAATACTGCATAATATAACTAAATTAAATCACAAGTTCATTCTTCTAAAAATTTAAATTTATAGCAAGAAAAGGAAGCATAAGTATAACTAATTGGTTAAATTAAAAGTGAAAATGATTTAAATAGCTAGGTTTACTTAGAAAGTATTTAAGCTTAAAGTTAAAATTAAATTAAAAACTCATCCAAATAAAATTAAATGAGAGGTTCTTAAAACTCTTTATTCCCTACAAGAGATACAGATTTAACTTCTATTCAAACTATTCCTTAAAACTTCTAAAATGGATTAGAAGAACATGAGCAAGGTAACCATCAAGAAAGACTAAAATCTAAATTCGATTTAAATGATATACTTGATGCCTTGGATCTCAATCAAGAAGAGGAAGAAGAAAAGAAGCACTCCACGAAAATTTTGGAAGTGTTAACAAACAAAGAGAATCCTAAAAGGAGAGAGATTATAAATACAATTGTTGCTGTATTGAACTAACAGGATCAGCATAAAAATGAGAATTAAGAGTTATAATAAAATCATGCAAAATAATAAAAATATTCAGAAAAAATAAGCACCTATACTGGATTTACTTCTTCAGATCAAGGCTAGACATAATATAAGAAGACATAAAATTCTATTAATTCTTCTCCTTATTCTACTTAATAGAATTTAAGATATACAAATGCTTAAGATAAAAAAAAATAATAAGATTCTTAATTAAATAATAACTAATAAAAAAGTACAAGATTTTAAGATATAGATAAAACAAATAAAAAATACTTTAAATCTGAAAATAATTCTCTTCATGCAAGTGCCAAAGAAATAGAATTAAAGGATTCTACACTTGAAAAAATAGATTAGAACCTAAATGAAAGTTCTTTAAATACCTCAATTTAAGGAAAATACTAATCTTAATCATAAAGTGAAATAAATCAATAGTACAAATAAAAGAAGTATGCCACTCAAGTATCTTTCAAAGATCTCTAAGTAAAACCAGTAGACTAAGAACACCTATAAAAGCTTATAGAAAAATAGGAAGTTTTGCAAGATATATTTAAAAAAAAGAACCAAATATCCATGAGTAGATTATAAGGTGATACACTTTAAGCATCAAATAGAGATGGTAGCTAAAACAATTAATAAATGCCAATAGAAAAAAATTAAAAAAGAAATCTTAGTAATATAGATTAAAAGAGAGGTTAATATCTCAATTAGTGGAAATCTACAAAGGATGAATTTAGAATACATGATCCTCATTAAGTTTTATAGTAAAAACCTGTATATACTACCTCACATTCCACTCAAAATTTAGGAGCTGACTATCCCAAAAAAAATATACCTAAATTTATCCCAAACCAAAATAATATAAAGGTCACTAAACCTTTCAATGAAGAATAATAATTTACTTAGTAAATTTAGCATTTTAATTTTTTAATTTTATTAAATACTTTTAATACTAAAAAGAATTTCATTTTATAAAAATAATTTAACAACACTTTATATTATTTAAATAAATAAAAGGGATTTATATGAGCACTTTTAAAAAGGTCAAATCAATTTTTCAAAACTTTAAGAGTTAGATTTAAGTGCTAAATAGATCAAAAGCTAAACAAACTTAAACACAATAGAATCTTCTGGATCTGCTTTGTAAAATAAGCTCAATACAACTGGTAAATACGATGCTAATAATATTGGATTCTATGATTTCTAAGAATATTATTCAGAATTGATACAATAGCACAGGAGATGTGGGCCTATGTGTATTCATTTAAAGAGATTTTATGAAAAGCTTAACTTCAATTACAAGCCATATGAAAAAAGATAAATGATAATATGTCCTACTTTAATAGTTCAAGAAGTCCCTAAAGAAACGAGGAGAGATCCTACAAGATTTAATATACAATCTTAAACTATGTATCAAGGAAGCAGTACTAAAATATGAAAAAATTTTCTAATAATTTTATTATATATATTATTTATTTGTTTGTTTCTATCATTAACAAATTGACAAAGCACTAAAATTTACAAATAATATTAATTTAATAACCTCCTCTAAACTAATTTATGTAAAAACAAATTAAAAAAAATAATTTAACTTATCTAAAATTTATTTATTTTGACTAAAATTAAAAAAAAAAAAAAATTCATCATATTTAATTTTAAAATAAGTTAAATTAATGAAAATAAATAACTCCAAAAAATTTTATTTTCATAAGTTTATTGGTTTAGCCTTTTATTTTGAGATGTAAGAGAAAAGTTTTTCATAATAAAAATTTTTTTTTCTGTTATTGTTATTGGAGATAGATTTATTTGAGTTTGTTTGTAGTTTAATTGAAAGAAGACATAAAATTATAAACATATAAAATATACATTTAATATATTGAAAAATACTAAATTGATTAAAATTTAGTGTTGGAATTTAATTTTATTAAATTTTAAAACTTTTTATTATTAACAATTTTTGCTAAGCCAAATATTTTATTTATATTTCTTTATTCCATAAAAAATCAATTTTTTAATATATTTATTTATTTTTCAACATTAGATATTTTTTCTTATAATTTTTCAATTGATTATTAAAGTATTTATTCTTAACTAAATTAATTTTCACCTTGCAATTTAAACATTTTTAGTGACTTCCCTATTGGAAACCAAGTAGTATCACCATTTTCCAATTTGTTATATACGTATGACTCAGTTCCATTAAATTAGCCTTATACTTTTTATTTTAGATGTATTATGAAAAACAAATAGTTCCAAAGTTAATGCTCCTTTTATCTATGTTTGTAAAAACTTAGACCTTCATTTTCAAATTTATCTCTATCCATATTACAAATAAAACATTTACTTTCCTGGTCTTTATCTATTAATTATTAAAATTTAAATATAAAATGGAAATTAATTTTTATAAATAAACAATAAATACCCTTTTCTTTTTTTTCATCTCTTAGCTCAGCGAATGCATCGACAATTATACCAAAAATAATATTGAGCCATAAAACACTAATGAATATATAAAATGTCATATCAAAAAAGTATCTCCCTACATAATTAGAGTAATCATATGGATCAGGATCTACCAATATATTTCCAACTCCGCCGTCTTTTAAATAAAAAATTAATAATTTATGTTAATTTGATCTATTTTTAATTTACCTTGTCTCAAACCTAAACCTGCCATAAAAAGAAAACAAGCAAAAGGAGAGTGACAAATTGGTAAATTTTCATCTTCTTTATAAACAATTGTTTCTGATAAATAACTATAGTAAGCAATATTAGAATAAATAGTCAGCAAAATACAACCTAAAATTCCTGTTAAAAGTAAAGGTTTTGCATTCTTCGTCACAGAGCTAATTACATTTCTTAACACAGGAGATCTATCTATAATATCAATCAGAAGAAATGAATAAAATATCTTTGAAGCCTACATTCCTAAAATGCTAAACAATATATTCAAACTCAAATAAACCATGTGACTATCTTTGATGAGTTTAAGAAATATAAATAATTTCTCATTGCTGATTGACATTTTAGTTTCTGTAGACTGAGAAGATAATAGTTTGTTTTTCTAAAATGTTCTTTTCGCTGAGAAGTAGCTATGAGAGTTAAAAAGTTAATTTACTTTCTGTTTTAAAATAAAAAATAGAAAATACTCAAGTGGTAATTCCATAATTGCCCAAAGAAGCCAAATACAAGATGAGGAAAGCAGTTAAATAATACCATAGATATTTTCAATTGCCTTAATATTTTCATCTAATCCACTAACAACAAAAAAGTTTGTTATCAGTATGATTATCAAATGAGTATTCTTAAAGTTTTATAAAACACTCAATTTAAAATAAAGACCTTTAGAGTTTAAAGTTAAAAAATGTTTCATTTCATCCATAAACTAGTCTTCCATAGAAAGAAGACCTTATATTTTTTCATTTGCACTGTCTCTATTGACATCTTCTAGAAACCTTCTCTATTGTTAAAAAGAATAAAAATTATATCAAAGCTAAAGATTTAACACAAAAAATTGATAGAACTAATAAAAAAGCAGTTTGAATATGTTAATATGAAAATTTTTAATATATTTTTTAAAAATATTATTTATTTACTTATTTTGTTGATGATAGATATCCAGCTATTTAAGGAAATGGGAAAAATACTTTTTGTAGCTTCCCAAATTAGTTAACAATCTCTATGGATTTACATTATGCAGTCAGGCTTTTATACTACTTCTAAAACTAAGCTGATTGCTTTTTCTTTTCTTCTTTACACTTTTGTTTAAAGTCTTAATTTTGAAATCTTAAATTTTTTAATAGGATTAAGCATTGATGAGAAAAACTTAAAAATTAATGTGCCTTTTTGTAAACAATGATAATCATTTCTTCATTTTTTTAAGATTAAGGTATATTACCGTATTTTTCAAAAACGTATCTTTTAAGTTATTAAGAATTATCTATCAATTTAATTTTTTGAGATATTTTTGGTGGGATTTTGTATTTTGTAAATTCTAAATAAACACCCTTATGTTTGTTACCAATTAATTGAATAGTATTGGTATACTCTTCAAAATAATAAGACATTTGTTTGTAAAGTATACTAGGGTTTATAAATTATCCAACTTTATTTATTATATAATTATCTCCACTACCTTCAAAAATAGATAAAGCTATTCTTATAATATTTTTCTTGAAATCCATAAGAACATCTTTTGGATATTCAGAGTCGTCTACTTCTTTTTCAAAAATTTCTAGCATCAAATCTTCAATATTTTCAAGAATCTATTTATAAAGGTTAATTTTTTAGTTTTAACAGAATTATCTATTTAAATTATACCTTTGATGAAACTAGCTCTCTTTAATTCTCTATGCACGGTCCTTCAATTAGTGAGATAAGGGTTTCTAAAATACTAATACCAAACTTTAGATTACTTTTATCTATTCTTTTCACAAATTAAGCAAAGATATCACATATAAAAGTTATCATATTAATTGAATTTTTTTTCAACTTGGAATTTTTTGTAATTTAAACCCTGAAGAAATGTTAAAATTTACCACAGTGATCTTCACAACATAGTCTAATTAAGGTGATAATTGATATACATTTATCTAGCTTGGCTTTAATTGCATTTAAGTATTCTTCTTATTATATTTATGACTAAATTGAAGATAGGTTATTAGCTTGAAATTCATTCCAATCTTCCAAAATCAAACTATTTATTTAATGAAAAAATGTAGTTTTAAAAATGAATATTTTATATTAGATACTTTTAGATCATAAATAAAAAAAGTGTTATCAATTCAAATAAAAATTTAATAAAAATTACAGCTTGTTTTCATTTTTATCAAATTGAGCTTTCTGGTATTCTCTATATTACTTAAAGTTTGTTAAAAGAAAATCTTTTAAAGTATGTACAAAATCATTTTATTCATCATTAAGTAAATAATCATAAAAGCTATCTGAAATTAGTATGTTAGATTCATCCAGGAAATCAACTAATCCTTCAATATAAAGGCTCTTAATTTAAGGATTTGCTTCACTAACTACAGCATCGCAAAGAAATTTCATGAACCCAATTGATACTAAATCCTATTAGATTTTCTCGTATACGGTTTAATTTTTTTTGAAATTAGATATATTTCTTAATATTTTAAGTGTTTCTGAACGGGTATCAGAATCAACTTCCTTCACATTACTTACAACGTTCAAATATTACATCAGAGTTTTCTTTTTAAATTGATAAAATAATTAATATGATAAATTAAATTTGCCAAAAACTATTCTACCTAAAATTGTTGTGTATCTCTTCTTCTTATGTCTATAACTAACTCAGCTAATTTATCGCTCTAAAGGTTATGATATATTTAGATGTCCGTTTCAGGAATAATTTTTGAATGGAGAACCTGTTACTAACGGATAAAAGCATTTCTTTACTCTTTTTAGAGTGTTGACTATCTAAATCTTTTAACACTAACTAATTGTATGTAATCTTTCTTGATGACAGAATCTAGCAATGCTATCACTTCTTGAAATAATATTTATTATTATCCTTAAGGATTTAGACTGCTTTCCTCAGTGTAAACTTACATGTTATTTTTAGCTGGTGATACTTCACCTAAATTTTATATTATGTTAAAAATAAAAAAATAAAAATTAAAAATTATTTATCTACGAATAAAAAATTATGAAGATCTTCTGTGAGTTTTTTTCCTTTCGTTTTTTCTTCTTTTGAAAACGAATTATTTTGTTAAATTAGGACCATTTATATATTCTTATAAATCTTCTATGATTTCTTTATACTAGCTCATGATTCCTAAAAATGTATCATCTGGATTATCCTATTACTGTATATAAATAAAGTTAGTCAAATCTATAAAAATTTTAATATTACTTTAAAAATGAAATATCTCAAAGACCTGAATATTCCCAATACTATGAACTAATAATAAGACTCCTCAAACGATGTTTAAATATAAGGTTAATTAGGAAATGTTCCAATATAAGTTTCATTGAAAATATTTTGCATTTCTGATATAAATTATAAATCATATTTGAGATTTTTCTATTTAGAAAGATAAATTTCGAATTAGTATAATTCTTCAGCTAATACCACACTAAACAAGTGTATTAATTCTAAGGTTTCTTCTTCTTCGATAAAGTTTGAACTTAAATAAGTTTCAGTGAGGTATAAGAGTAGCTCAAGTTTTAGAAGCCACCAATCATCTAACTCTTGAATTAAATTGCTGATTTATTTTATAGTAAACAATGAGCGAATATAGTTATTTACATAGGAGCTACTATTTTTAGCTATTTATCTGAAAGTTCTCAAAAAACTAATCAAAAATAATATATCCTCTGTAATTTAGATAACCTTAACTTATGGTTCCTAAAAAATTCTATTTTAAGGTGAGTTTGGATCAAAATCCTTGACTTGAGTAACTAAATTTTTGTTAGAAGGAGGAGTACTGTGTATATTAAAACCTCCATCTAAATACCAATCTGATTTTGGAATTTTGGATTCCAAAGCTTTATTGGCAAAATAAAATATATATTAGTTCATATCTAATTAATTCTCATTCAGTTACTTAATTACAAATGATTAGTTTTAAATCAAAGATTTGCCTTAAAGTAAAAATAGATAAGGAAGAAATTAAATAAAAAGTATGCAGAATAAGTTTGATTTTTTTTTGAAATTTTCTTGAAACTTTTTACTCAATCTTTAAATCAAGTCATGCTACTCCTTTTTGTCAATTTACAACAATATTTAATAATTGTCTGAATATATGTTTTTTAATAAAAGGAATGTTAACTCTATAATTTAAACATCTGAATGTTAAATAAGCTTTTTTAGCAATCCATTTTGCTCTTCAAGAAACTACTAGCTCTTTAATAGAAAGCTTTGGTTGTTATTATTCTTTAAGATAAAATAATTTAATAATGCCAAACAATCATAAATTAGTTGATTTTTATTATCTTTCTTTCCTATTGTTGTGGCTTAAGAAATTTAAATTAATATTTCAATCAGCTAATTTTAAATCCCTATACAATTCATCATCTTCTGAGAATTCATCAGTATGTTAATGTCAAGTATGTATCCTTAATATAGCTAATAATATACAGGCTTTGAATTTCTTAATGGTGATCCTGGATTACTACTGTCAAAGTCTTATTTAGAACTTAATTCTTTCTGACTATTTCTAAAATTAATTTAATTTGGACCTAGTTAATTTTCATTTTAATTTTCCTTATTATTCCCAAAAAAAGGTTAGATTTATTCACCATTTTAATTAAATTTGTATCTTGAAGTAAAATTCTATGAATATTCATTTAGTTAGTTTGATTAGCTGAAGATTGAGAGATGTTTCAATTCTTCTTTTAGTTCAGGAGAAGAAAAGTAATTATTTATATCTCTTGGAGATATACAATTCACTATTTTTAAATCACCTGAAGCCTAAGATGACTCTACAATGTCTTCACCATTTTCAGATCCCACCCCATTTACTTCTCCTCCAGTTGAAGATTTTTACTAATATAGATCTAAAAGAAAACAAAAGACAAATAAATTAATGAACATATATCTAAAAATTACAATTTAAAATTCCATTTTCTTGCTTTGATTAAGTAGATTGAACTCTAAACTTTCTCTAATCGTTTTCGTTTATTGAATTTTCGTGTTCTTTATATGTTTCTATAACATCATGAAGGCCTCTAGCAGCACTATCTCTATTACTGTTATAACCTCTATCTTAAATGACAGTAGTTCCATTACTTAGTGGTTAATTTTTTTTTTAATTTATATCTTATTCCCTTAAATTCTCACCCATTGCAACGATTTCTTCATATTTTACATTAATAGCAAACACTTCCTTAATTAATTCCTATATCCTCTAGCTCATTTTTTTGATTTAAGCTTCTTCTCTCTCTATTTCGTTTGATTTAACTCTTTAATAGTCAGTAATTTCAAAATTAAGATCGTAATATAAATCTAAAAACCTATAAAAATAAAAATTTATAAAGAAAAATTTACTTATTGTGATTAAATAAATAAATACATTTCATATTTGCTAAAATTTTAGTTATTAATAGTAAGAGAGTCGTTAATAGATTGCAAATATATTTTATCTGAAGAGTTTAACATCAAAACTAAATTCATAATGTTTGTATTCAGTTCTTAATGCCCTAAATTCATCCACAAGTGCAACAACATTATAAATTCTTCACTCAGCGGAGTGCTATTATTTGTCATGAAATTAATAGAGTGCTCCTTTAGAAGAATTTTATCTATCATAAGTTGCTACATTCTTTTTAAATATAACATACCATTACTGTTTTTCTTTCTATTTGTCCTTTTTTCAGCGTTTTTTATATCCAATTCCTCCTTAATTTCCTCTTTTCTTTTTGCTTGATAAGCCTAAAATTAATTAGTATTTATTTTTACTGTTTATTTAAAAATAAATATTTACCAAATCTGGCTTAGCTAAATAAAACTGATTTAAAAATTAATTTTGTTTATATTAACATATATCCTTCAATAAAGTTATGCAGAAATTAATCCATTCAAAATTCTCTATTGTAAAATTCTCACTCTCTACTGTATTATTAGAGCTTGCAATTTTTTTGTCATACTTTTTAATAAGCTAAACCAGTTCTAAGGATTTTATTAAAATCTAAACTATTTAATCATTGAGTTAGTCTATTTCTAAACTCGTATAAAAATCCCTCTTAATTATATATTATGTTAGTTTGAGTACAGACAACAAAAGAAGGGAAGAGTGATTATTTTTAGTGAAAACATTTGAAATTAAAAATTTTTGATGGTCAACGCCAGATTCACAGTATTTATATTCATTTTAAACTCTGTTTTAAAATTCTTTTAAAAATACAATAACAATTTGTTTCAAATTTATATTATAACTCCTTCTTATAGGACTTAAAGGAGATGCATCACCAAATGAGCTATCATTAAAATATCTTGTAGTTAAATTTTATCTTAAATCCTACAATTTCTATAAACTTTTACTTTCGATACAAATATCATTTGCAGTGTGGATCAATGTTGGAATTTTTATTTCTTATATATTTCTTTGAAAAATAATAAGAATTTTAAATTTTTAATTGTAATGTAATGTTACTAAAAGTCTCTCATTATGTAGGACTCTCGAAATAAATCAAGGAAAGCACTTCTTATTCTCATAGAGACTTGCTAGCTTTCGAATAAAAAAATTACATAGCTTTAAGGAAATAATTCATTAATATAAGTATCTATAAGCCACACTCCACCTCTACAAAGCTAAATGAATAGCTAAATAATTCCAACAATATATTGTAGCTAAATAATGTTTGAATTGTTATCAAAATTTTTCTATTTTAATTCTAAGTAGTTCTCGTCTTTTTTAATTTCTAAGCAAACTTCTCCCTTATCATTTTCAATGAGTCTCTTAAAAAGTTGCTCTCTATTTAAACAATTAAACATTAAAAAGTTTCTCTCCATTAAAAATTCAATTAACTTCATACCTATTTTCTATATTTTCAAAAAGAGTTTCAATAATCTATTCTTATTCCTACTTTTCACGATAAGTGTTGTATTAGCAAAAAGCCGTCATAAGATTTAAAGCTTTTAAATTATAGTCTTCAAAGTTTACTGATTCAATAATTTAATTTAAATCAGCTTTTAACCCAACATTCAGAAGAGTTATCTAAAAAAAAAGAAAGTTTACAAATTTTAAATTTTATGAAAATATTTTACTTAAAATAATTAATTAATTAGAATATCGAATCTGAAATCTTCGTAAACATTAATGTCTAAGATGATTTACTTAAATAAAAAATACCATTGATAAGTATATACAGAATTAGGATAGTTTTCATAACAAGCTAATTCCAATATTTTAATGGTAGAATTTATGAATGTTCTAAGATAATAGTTTTTTTTCATTAAGTCACTTGTCATCCACTACTGATTAAAAATATTACATATAATTTTTACTATTAAATCTATTATTCCAAGCTCTCTCAACAAGTTTTATCTTTATTTTAAAGGTTATTTAATTTATTGTTTTATTTATTACTTTCTTTGATCATCAATTACATTATTGTTACACATCCATTAAGCCAATCCTAAATAATTTAATTGAATATATTTTAAATAATATAATCTAGATAAGTTTTACCATAAAGGTCATCTTCTGCTTTTTAAAATAGTTATTAAGTTTCTATGTTTAAATAAGAATCATCACTGATTAGCAAGATCTAAGATATTTTGCTATGAACTGACATTATATCATTAATTTCTTTTTAATTCACCTTTTAAAAGAAGAAATAATCAGGCTTCTTTGTAAATTATGCTTTGAGTTTGTAAACATGTCTGGATAAACTATTCATTGGCTAAAAAACACCTTAAAAATTATCGCTGTTTATAAAGTAGTTTCCTAAAAAAAAATATTATCAGTAAAAGGGTTCAGTCATTAAAAGAAAGAAATATTACCGTCTTTCTAAACTAGCTCAGGGTTGATGAGTAGTAAAGGATCATCATTATAATCAATAATTAATTTTTTATGATTGAATTGGTTTTATATTGAAAAAACACAAGTTGTTGTAAGTATATTCTCCTCACTACTATTTGAGCATATTATAAAAGAATACTACTCTATTAGATCACTAGGAGCTTATTTATTTGCTGTATTACCGTTTTCATAAAATATGCTTTGCTTGATATTATATTTATCATCTTCTATTGTATCTTGTTTTTATTAAGTAAAGTAGATTAAGAATATTATTTTATAATTAAATGTCAATTTACCTTATATGCCTTCATTTGCTAAAGTGACGATGTAATTTGGATAGCTTGAATTACCCATTTAATCAAAAATTTAAATTTATTAATCTTAATTTTTACCATCTTTATTGTTATTTTAATTTTATTTCCCACTTTGTTATTAATTCTAGTTTTAAATTTCATTTTATTTTGTATTTTTATTAGTTGAAAATATATTTGATATAGAATCAAAAACTGATTTTTGAGCTCCTTTTTAGTCATTTGTTACTTATTCTTTCTTTTATTCTTGATTCTACTCTAAAACCTGAGACCCAATTTTACTTTTTGATGAAATTTGATTTGATGTAGAGTTTTATTGTTATTATTGCTATTGCTAATACTACAATTATTAAAGCTATTATTATTTCTTGAGTAGTATTTGCTATTTTTATTTGAAAATTTAGTATTCATCATAATTTTAGCCTATTATGAGTTAATCTTCTTCATTAAATTTAACATATCTGCCACTTAAAGCATGTCTCAATCTATAATAATTGAATTTGTTTTTTAATTGCATTAAATGATGGAATAAATCTACCTTATTTTCTAATATTTAAATTCACTACTGATTTCTAAATTTAATGGTTTTCCTATTAAATCAGACGATGGCGGAAGTATTTAAAATATGCTGGAGAAGTTTTCAGGTGAACTCAAAATATCAACACTATGAGTTTCCATCAATATTTCTTGACTTGTACCTGAAACATTATTTTCAGAAAATAAAACACCAGATTTTTTATCTTTTTGCAAAATATGAGATATCCTAACATAATCTCCCCAAACTAGTTATCTCTGCTTTACTAGCTAAACTGTTGAAACGTATGCAGTATGTAATAAAGCTTTAAAAGGACTAATCTCATCTCTTCTATGTCCTGCATCATATTATATAAAACTCTATACTTTTTCTAGAGTTGGAGGAACATCAAGAGGAATATCCAAAATAAACTTTTTTCCATTTGCTAGTTCTGTAGTATTTATTTGATTAGCACTAACTATTTTTCCTAATTAAAAAGTTAAATATATATTAACAAAGCTGTAAATTTAAAAACAATTTCTTATTGAATTTACCAATCTCGTTGATAGAGTTAAGTGTTTTGTCGTTTTACTAAATACCATAAACCAATGGCAACTCTATGTTAGTTATTATACTTTTAAACTTAATATTTTCAAAGTAAAAGGAGTCTTCGAAAGTTATTTTTTCACCCTCTTTTTTAAAGTTGAGAAATGGATTTATCTTGATATTAAAATGAGTTCCAGAAGAAGATTTATCACTTAATTTCAAAAAAAATAGATTAGAACTTTTTGAATTTTTTCCTCTTGTTGCTTTGACATATGCCTTAGAATGAATGTGATATCTATTTAATTAAAATAACCAGTAAATTCTAGTTAGTCGTTTAAGAATCTCTTTAAATAATCACAAATAATATAAAAATCTTTTCTATTATTGTGTTAAAAAATTTCATAAAACTATTTTCTTTTTTATCTATTTTTCCAAAAAATAATTTTGTATAATTTGATTGATTTCTTTTATTAATTTTTAAAAATATTTTGGAAGATATAATTACAATTCTTTAAAAACATTACTAACTAATTAACAAACAATTAAAAATATTACAATTGTATTTCTTAACCAATCGTAACTATTTCACCTAAATACTTTTGCATTCTCCTTTGATTTACATCATTTTCAGCTTCTACTCTTCTTTAAAGCATATTTAACTTAACTTCATTTTATATATCTCCTTCACTGATAAATTTTTAAAATTTTTAAGCAGCTTCATACATTATTTTAGGATGTATACAAAATATTAATTCTGAGAGATTAGGATATTCCATAAACGGATGATCATCTGATTGAATCATAAAAACGCTTTGTTCATATAAACTTCTAGCTGAAAGAAATCTTGTAGCACCTTCTGTTGATTAGAGAAGGATATAATCACCAAATCTCAAATATTTTTGAGCTTCATTTTTATCTTAAATAAAATTTTTTTAAGCACCAAAATCATAATTTGTTTATCCCTTTAAACTTTTATAATCGTTTTGATTGTTTTCAAAGCTTTTTTGCAAATCCATCTTTGTATTTAAATAATTGTTTCAAATTAATATGGGTATCTATTTAACTTTTGTTTTAAGTTGTTAAATAGTCCTTTGTTTAAACTATTTCTTAAAAAATAAAGAATAGATATTGTTATTTGATAATAAATGTTATTAATTTGATAAAATTACTTCTGAATCTTAATCTTTTACTTATTTAAAGGAGCACTATTTTTAAAAATATAAATATTCAATTAAAAATTTACAAATATTCTTTGCTATTAATAAAATTCAAAATTAGAATTCATTCAATCTAACTTAATAACATTTTTTGCAGATTATTTTTATAAATATTACTAAATACTTATAAATACTGTGAGTTAATACTGTATTTATAGTTCTAGCATCTCAATTAAATTATATTTATTAAATAATCTACATAGCATATAATAATCACAGAAAATCAAATTGGATTTAAATATCATTTTTTTAATAAATTGTTTTTTATGGGATTATAAATAATAATTTTTACTATCTTTAATTAGATAAATATAGAGATAATAATAAATTTTAAATTTAATATTATCAATCATATTAATATTGATACTAAAAAAAGTATTCAGTTTATTTCATTAAAATTTGAATTAAAAATCACTATTTTATTTTAAAATTTAATATTCATTTATTTTTTGAAAAGTTGCAATAAAGATAATATAGCTAATCTTACTTTAGTAGCCATAAAATTAATTTACATTATAAATAACTAATTAATAGGAACTTTTCTTAAAATATAAAATATAAAATCATAAATAAATATTATTCTTATTATATTTTGATTTTCATCTTATTAAAATTAATAAAACTTATAATTTAAGATGGTTTAAAAAAAAATTATTATATTGCCATTGAATAATCAAACATTATTATTGCAGGGTGAGGTGACCCCTTCCCCTATTACAAATTTTATACTACAATTTAGGTTTAAACTTCCTAAATTTTGGTGTTAATTAAACCTGTTTCTAATTAAGGAAGATTATGACATCTTTAAATTTTGGATTTGTATAATTTTAAAATTATTTTATGAGATTATAAATAGCCAACTTTTTTTAGAATAATATTTTTAAATTAAAAACATTAAATGTTTTTTATTAAAAATTTGAAGTTTCATTTAATTAAAAAATAAAATTTAATTAATTGGTTGGATAGAAAATAAAAAAGAGAGTAAATAAATATTTCATTAATTTTGTTTAAATTTATAATCATAAAATTTTATAAAAATAAAATAAAATTAATAAAAACAAAAAAATTTTTTCAAGATTACTAAATAAATATTTTTTTTATAGCTTTATATCAATGTTTCCTTACTATATAAATAGTTGAATAATATAATATCTTAAACATAAATATTAAAATTTTTAAGCAATAGTTACAATTAAAATAATTTTGTTAAAGTGATTTTTTAAAAAACATATTAAAGAGTGTTTTTATTTTAATATAAAGTTAAATTTCCTCATTCAAAAAGACAATAAATTATAAAATTTATTGATAATTTTAATAGAGTAACTAGAAATAGTTTCTGAGAAAAATCATTAATTACAAATGCAATTTTTTTACTTTTTAATACACTTCAATTTGTAGCTTTAGATATTTTAGATTACCTAAGAAATTCTTATTAAGATTTGATTCTTCTTTATCTAAGTCTACTAAACAAATAATGATTAACAACTTAGTTAGAAAGTTCTTCTTTTGTAAAGCCCTCCCAATTAAATTAATTAGCCTAAATATGTTAAAAAATTAATTTTTCTACCCAAATAAATTAATATATTACCTCATTTATTTGTTTTGCATGCTTATCTTATTCTTCTTAAATTACTTTTAAATCATTATTTATTTCTGATTTTTCTACTTGATAACAGTCTCCTGCTTATTCTACTTACTGAAGAAATTTCTTCATTACTCCTCTTTAAACAGTAAGAATATGATCAGATTTTTATCTTTTTTTAAGTAAACAATCTTTAATAAAAAAAATATTTAAGAACTTACCTAAAGAAGGTATTATGTGAATTAGATCTTAATGAATTATTTTATATGTTTTAGATTGATTAATCTAATTTATCATTTTTTGGAATATATTTTGCTTATAATGAGCCATTTAAAATTGAACTACTATTAAACCCTTCTTACTCCCTTCTTTCTCTTTCTTCTTATATTTTCTATACATCTTCTTTATAAGAACACAATATTTTACTAACTTATCTTGAAATCTTTTCTAAGCTGTTTTATGGTTTTCTAGTTATGGAACTCTGTGAATCTGTATCTATATATTCATTTAGTAAAAAATGAGAAAAAATATTTTAATTTTAATTTACTTTGATACAACTTGCTTCTTAATTCGCTTGATGCAACTGCTGCTAAAGATTTTACATCATCCACTGTTGAGGATCTAGCTTTTTTTTTGAAATCTATAAACTTTGATTTTATTTCAGGTACTTATTAATGTTAGATATAAGCTTGATAATGACGTGGAGTACCTACTATTGAAGAAACCACTGAGCCTTAAGAAGAATTGCTTTATGATTATATTTTTGATAATGGTAATATCTTGTTTGAGTTACTATTCCCATTAATATTTTCTGTTAGAAAAAAGTTTTCATTTGATACCAAATTACTATTTTGGTTTTTGGTTTCCTTAGCAGTTGGAGATAAAGGAGCTCCTTGTCTAGATTAATTATTAGATATATTTGAATTCGTTAGAAGAAAAGATTTTCTGAATTCTTTAGTTATTTGCTTTTTAGAATCTAGAATAATTTAATCAGTTTTTCTCTTAAAAGTTTCATAATATTAATTTTGAGGGAATTTCTATTAGCTTTATCCATTAATATCGTATTATGATTCCAAAATTTTTTATCTGAATTCCTATTCCTTTTAAGATTCAATAATATTTTATTTAATTTCTTCTTCCCTTATTTTCATAGCTTTAGATTTTTTTTATTTAATCATAAGATTTTTTAGGTAAGAATGCAAAGGACCAGGCAATTTACTCCACTCCAAACAATTTTCATCCATAACTTCTATTTTGGTATCGTTATTTAGAAAACTTGTCAACTTCTTAAAGAAAAATTGTCTCTAATTTTTAATTTAGCTAGTGTCATAATTTTTTTTTATAGAATTTAGCATATTTTCTTTAAACTTTAACTATTAAACCCCATCTTCATCTTCCAAATAATTATTTTTATTTAACTCCTCATTAAGCTAGCTTACTCTTTCTCTTATTTTCAGAATCTCTAAATTCTTTTTAAAATCTTTGTTCTCCATTATATTCATTTCTTAAATTTATTGCTTAAGATCAACAAAAGTCTTTAGTCCCTTGAATTCGGATATATTTTTCTAAAATAGCTCTTCTTTACTCACTTTTTAAAGTCTATACTTCTAGCTTAGCTAATTGTATAACTCATCTACTCTTTATCTTTGTGATTTATTAGATTTCATCTCCATGTAATTTTACTTCAATTTAGTAATATTGAATTATTACTTTTGTGGCTTTAGTTATTCTATTTCTTTTAGTATTTAAGAATAGCTACGTTTGAATTTAATAGTTTTTATTTATTTATCATTTTTAAGTATTTATTAGTTATTATCTGCTTATGAAGCAGAGTTTAATAATTATGAGTTACTAGCTTACAATATATTAGTAACAGAGTTTGAACCCCTTCTCCGTCTCAACTATGGAGTTTATTTTACTTAAGTTTATTCATTTTATAAATCATTTTTAATTTCAGCCATACAAATAGTTCGCTAAATATCTAATTTTTTTATAATTATTAAGTAAGCTGAAGTTATTTTTGAAAAATCATAAATTATAATAAATTTTGTGATGGATAAGTATTGTTAATTAGCTTATTTTAGCATTAAATGATACTATCACAGATACTAAAACATAAATAATAAAATATTTAAGAAAATATTTATTTGATTTAAACAAATAAAAATAATGTAACACAAATTTTATATTTTAACCAATTTAACAATTAATTTTAGTTTTTTCAAAATATTGAATTCTGCTTAAATCCAGAATAGCTAGAAATAACTGAATCTTTGCTTATCTTAGGTAATTTAGTCGTACTACCTGTTAAATTATTAACACTATTCTAGTTTTAAGATCTATATGGAGTTTTTGGGGAATCCGTCATATAATGGTTTGGTGAAGTTTTATTTTAAATTGCTTGTGAAAAACTGTTTTTGGAAATAGAGTTTGAATTTGAATTTCCAATTGCAGTTTTATTCTAAGGGGTTGCACTAGAACTTTTATTTTATTGCTCTATGAAAGGATTTAATTTTTGTTTTGTTGGCTTTATTTCTCTTCGATTTCCATATTTATTTGTTTTGAATCCTATTTTACTAAAAAATCTTGCTAAATGTGGACACTAATCTCCGCATCTCTGATGAATGGTTAACACTTTTATATAGAAATGTTTGAACTCATCATATGAAATTTATGAGTTTTTAGGCTTATTGTAGTATTTGCGGATTAATTCTTTAATTTGAAGAGCTCCCTAAAATTTATTTGAATTATTATCAAAATGAAAATTATTAAAAAAATAAAATAAAAAACCTTATTATCTCTTTGTTAAAGTTTTAAAAATATTTTTTTGATTGTCGACTCTGCTAAAAGATGTTTATCATCCAATATTTCGATTTACTTTTCATCTATTTCGTCATCATCTTCTAATATCTTCCCATTTTTATCATATTTTATAGGAGAAATTTCATTAAGCCTAAGTTGATAATTATAAATAAACTATTAAAAAACTAATTAAAATGCTTACATCAACAACTCATCTTCGTTTCTATTAAACATATCTTAGCTAGCTTAATTTTGCTTTTAGCTCAATTCATATTATTATTTTTATACTCTTTCTAGTTCTTACTCTTATTCTTATTTTTCCTTTTGCCTTTATTAAAATTACTGTTTTCTCTCCTACAATTGGTTAGCTAAATCCATTAAATTTAAGCTGATTCCATTAGCTCCTTAAGGGGAGTTTTCATTAAAGTATTTTTATTATATACCTTCAATCTTAGAAGGGTCTACATCTAGTTCATAAAGAAGTGCCTCAACTATTGGCCACAATAAAAATTAGTCTGTTTAAGTTGATTATACACTAAAATCATGAGCATTATTATTCTTATTTGAATCTATTAATTAATATATTTTAAATTTCATCTAAGCAAAATGACTAATTTATGATTTTCAAATTAAAAAACTAATAAATATACTTAAGTTTGTTCTACTTTTTTGTGGATTGTTTGTATCTTCAAAATCATCTACCTCAATCTCCTCAAACTTTGGAACCATTTATTTTTTTTTTACAACTCTTTAAACTTTTTATTTATTACCATTTTCATCAATTATTTCTTCTTCTTCAAGCACTTCGATTTCTTGTTCTACCATAACTTATCTAATTTATTTTTTCTTTGGTTTCATTTAACCGTTTTAAGGAGTATCTCTATTACTGTTTTATCCAAATGAGTTGTTTAAAATATTTTCATCATCTATTCTTTATGCTATTTTTTAGATTACCTATTTTATTAATAAAAGTTTAAAATTTTTACAAATAACTTTTCTAAATATACCTTTTTTTTCACTACTTAAGGTTAACCAGTTTCAGGATTAATAATGGTTTCTTCGATTTCGACTTCCTTTTCTTAAATTTTATAATTGTCTAATTATGTTTTAGGGATAGCTATTTTCTTTGTTATCTTTTTTATCAGTGAAATTTTTAATACAGTATTTCATATTTTATTTTTAAATTTTACTTTTTTCTAAATAACTTTAGATTAGCCAGTTTCTGGATCAAAAACTAATTCCTCAACTGTTTGCTCTTAGTCAACAAATTCATAATTTTAGTCTAATTTACTTTTAGGTACTGCAACTTTTCTCAAAACCTTTTATAAAAAATAAGTATTTACTCATATAAATAAATTAAAAATACCTTTTTTTTAATAATTTTCTATTATCCTGTTATAGGATCAACAACAGTTTCTTCTATTTCATGTTCTTATTCTACAACTTCTAGGTCATCTACATTTGATAATTTCTTTTTGATCTTTATAGTTTTTTTAACCATTTTAGGAACTGTCTTTTTAACAACCATAACATTTCCATGTTCATCAACAACCTACTCTTCAATTTCCTCAAAACCATCTTACTCTTCTATCTTTATTTATAATGAATAACTATTTATTTTATTAAATATTATATTTCTTAATTACTTCTTTTTCAACTTCTTCAAAAAAGTCGTCTTCATTCATAAAAACATTATCTCCTAACTGTTAATTACCTTCAAATAGTTTAAGAACAACTGGTTTTGGTTTTTCTCTATTCGATAATTAGACTGAATCACTTTTCTAAATTTCTTTTTATTAAGGGTTTTATTTATTTATTAACTGATTTTCAGCTATTTTTTCTTCAACTGCAAAACTATTTCTCCCACTCTAAAATTATTTCTTTTTAGGAGTATTTAGACTACTATTGCTATTATTATTTATTGCCATATTTTTTTAATTTATTTAATTGTTTAAATTTATTTATCCTCTGTTGGATGGTCTTCTACTATCGCTTGCACTAGGAGCATTACTTTAATTATTAGAAGTATTTTTAGTTACTTTATCCGTTTTTTTCTAGTCATTTTTATTGCTGGCTGTAGCATTACTGTTTTAATTTTTTTAATTTTTCTACTTGACTACTGGAATATCGACTTCAATTTCTACTTCTTCTTCACTTTCAACTTAAATGGGCTCCTTTATTTATTATCATTTTACATAAATTTAAAAACTAAAATTATTAATTAAAAATTGAATTACTTCTATTTCGATTTCTTATCCATTTTCATCTATGATTTTCTTTTTTTGCATAACAGTTTTAATGACTTTTTATTTTACAATCCTCTTCTCTTTTCTATATGTGACTTCAGTTTATTCTTCTTCTATATTTGTTAAGCTAGATTTGTTAGAAAGTTTAGCAGCTTTTTTATTTTTTTGATTTGGATTCTCTTTATCACTTATTTCCTCTGTTAAAATATATTAAAATAAGAAATATATTTCAAAGTTGCTAAAAATTACATTAAGATAATTTAGACAAAGATTATTTACTTCTTTAGTTCATTTATTCTAACTCTTCAAAAGTCTTAACATTATTAGATTTAAATTGATTCATCATTTATTGGATATATCGCTACCTTTCTTAATTAATTTCACCATTTCCATTTGATGATTCTAAATATAGTTATTAAATTTTCATTAAAGCTCTTTTTTAGTCTTCAGCAGACATACCAGAATCCATAACCATCTGACAAAGAACCTACATATTCATTTTTTCTTATTCATCAACATTTTTTGTAAGCTAAGATATCCTCATTATTTCATCTCTAAGCATGCTTAATTTTATTAAAATAAATTCATGAACAACCAAATTTAAAAAGTGTTAATTTTTATTAGAAAGCAATTATTACTAGTTTTCTCTTTCAATATCAATAACTCTATCTTCAGTTTTTTTGAGTTTTTGTTATATCTTTTCTCTCTACTTCTCTTCTTAAATTTTTTATTCAGCTAGCTTATCTTGTTGATTCTTCGATTTTTCAATTTAAGTATATAATGACTTCTTATCAACTTCAGCCTTATTCAGTTCATCCTTTGTGTAATTGATTTCATTATTCAACTTATTAATGTCCTTATCTTTAAAGTCAACTTAAAATTTTAGATCTTTTACCTCATCTTATTTTTTATCTAGCTCATTTATATTTTCTTCTACTTTATTTTCAAGATATCCTACTCTTTCTCTCAGAGATTATATCTCTTAATCTTTTTTAACTTATGTCTTTTCTTTATTTCCCTTTTATTTTTTACTCTTAAAAAAATGTTTTGAACCAAATGATCAAGTAATTTTTAATATAAATACATTAGAAGTTTTTTCGGGTATTGCTTTTCTTTCTTTAAGCACACGGTTGACAAACTCTAAAATTTTATGAGCGGTTTCTTTCTAAACATCTACAAACTCAGACTCTAAATATTCTTTTATTTAATTTAATTCTTCTTCAAGGTCTCCAAGCTCCTCATCTCTCACATTTTCTCCTTTTAATTAAATATTTTTATCCAGTAAATTTATAAAATTTATGTAATCTTAAATCACAATTTGCTTATTTATAATTAGTAGATTAATTATCAAACAAAAATTTTAAGAGTATTTTCTTGTTTAAGGAAATTAATATATTTACGAGCAAGCATTTAATCTGTGTCAAATTTTTTCTTTTATAATGCTTTTGCAACTTCTTTAATTGAAGAAGACACCCCTGAAAAGTTAAGTTTTATTTCTGTTGTTGATTTCAGATACTTTGTTATTTCTTATATGTTTTCTTCTGTTTCTTTTTATATTTAGCTCAACATATTTTCTTTCTCAATTCTATCATATTATAATCTTGCAATCCTCAAATCTTCAGTTGTATCAGTGGATTTATTCACAAATATTTTTGGCTTTAAAATTAAATTTGAATTAATACATTTTTAAAGATAATAAACTTTTTAAAATTTATTTTAAGTAAAATACCCTATTATCAAATTTCTTTTGTATTCTTTTAGCCATTTGATTACTTTTCTTGAGTTAGTGCTACTTTATTCTATAATCTTTTAAACTTTATTTGTAAATTGTTCCATTTGGTGACTAGATTTATCCTGTCCCTATCATTTTAGAGTTCTCTTCATTAATAGTATCATTGAATACGATAGGATTCTCAAAATTTAATACAACACCTCCTAAATTAGCGCTTTAAAGTAAATCGTCCAAGAGATTAGGATAGTTTTAATTTTATTTATGTTAAAATTATGTCTGCGAATGTTGTGATATTTATTATATAAGGCCAATCTAATTAATTGGAGTTGGCTAATTGTCTTAATTTTGCAAAAGTGTATTTAGTTTTATCCTCTCTATTTTTGGAGTTGGTGATGAGTTATGACTATAAGGAGAGTAATAGTTTTCTGAAGGTTAATCTACAATTTTTTTCATTTAAAATAAATAAAACTCTTTACTTTGAAAATAATAAGAAATATTATTTTTTAATTAAATCAGATTATATCAATATTATGGTAAAATACAATCAATATAGCTTCTCAAAATAATTTTTGATTAGCTAAACAATGAATAACAAACAAAAATTTTTGATATAATTTTTTAATATTATTTTGATTTAGAATAATTACCCATAAAAAATCAAATAAAATGTTTATTTGCATTCATATAAAATATAAAAAAAGATTTTAAATTTTTGTTTTTGTGTTTATTTTATCTAGTAGTAAAGATTTAATTTAATAAAATAGAAATTAGGCCAACATCTACTTAATTTTATCATTTTTTAAAAATAAAATTTAATAAAAATAAGAATATTTGATGGTTTTAAATTTTATAATTAAGTTTATCAAACTCAATAAAATTTAAAATTAATCAATAAATTAATCTCAAAAAAAAATCTAATATAAATTATTAAAATTTAATGTTCAATTAAATTTATTTTTTAATGAATATTAGAAATGACGGAGAAATGAATAAACTAAATGAAAATAATTATATTTAATAATAATTTATTTTTTTAAATGAACAAATTAATTTTTATAATTTCAAATATATTAAAAATTTATCAGTATTAAGATATATGAATATTAAATTTTACAAGTTTAAATTTATTGTTAAATTATTTATATAATTATTTCATAAAGGATTTTATTGAATATTTTCATAATAGAAAATAGAAATGCAACTAATATTTACTTATTTTTATCAATTTTAAACATATTTAATTAATTTTAAAGTTTATAAAATATCAATTGATAATATAAAATTAATCAAGATATTTATGTTTTACTGAAATAAAAAAAATGTATTATATATTTATAAAATTTTAATATAATGTAAAATTATATATTTATAATCATGATTAGAAAGGAGCTGCTGAATTATTAACCTTGTCTTGTAATTAATCATGAGAAGGGTCCAAAGCTGCAGGATGAACCTTTGCAGTCTCTCTTTGTGGAGCAGCTTGATCTACAGAGTGATCAATTTCAGCGCTTTGTACTGATAAAGCCTTTCTTTTTTGGTATCTCTTATAAGCAAAGAAGCCAACAACTGTTATAGCTACAACAACTAGACCAATAATAACTCCAAGAATAATAGCAAGAGTGTTATTTGAACTAGAAGAAGAAGATTATTAGACAATTGCTTAGTCTGGGTTACTATTTTTTCCATAAATACCTCCATTTGAATCTGTGGATACCATAACTTCTGAAGCTGTTACATAATAGGTGTTTGGATTAAGTCCAGGAACTGAATTAGAATCCAAAGCTGCCTTAAGCTTATTAGCCCTATCATTAAGGTCCTTAAAGACAGTTGCAGCATCCTTAGAAACTGAATCAGTAGGTTTATTTGTAATATCAAGTATTATTTCAAATGAGGATTGTGTATTAGCTGGGTTAGAACCTTAAAGGAATCTATTTTGTTAAGTATTAGCACCAACAACTTTGATTCGCGAGTAATCAGCTATTCCTAAAAAGGCCGCAACCTTAGAAATAAAGCTAGCCTTATTAGTTTCAGAGAAGAATTCTTCAACTTTTAAGACTACCTTAACACGAATACGAACAGTATCTAATACTTAGACACGTACAAGACAATCAGCTCTACCATTGATTACAAATTATACAGTATGAGTTTACCAGTCATAAATATTAGCACCACATATATCAGCCTTTTTGGAGAGGTCAACATTGTCAGATACTAAGTAAGGATCAACTACCTTTCCACCATCTATAGAAACTTCGATGTTCATAGGAACTTGGTATGTGTATGTAAAAATTACCCATTTATCAGCTTCACCTATATTGTCATTTGTTCTTTATTAAATTCTGTGGAAGATATTATAAGGATTAAGTCCGTTATACTCAACCTTATATATAGTACCAACAAGAGCTGTTGCAAGATATCTATTATCTCTCAAATTCATAGGCTCGTTACCATCCCATGTCCATTCTCTAAACAAATTAATCTTATTCTTGTAAGTGCCATCAAGAGAAGTTACATAAACAGGAGCAGTAGATCTTTTATTGTGATCTGGAGCTTATGATTCCCATTCTAATTAGACATATTCTGTACCTGAGCAAGAATAAGCATTATTCCAATTTTTCTAGAGTTGACACTTATTTGTTGTTATTCCATCATTATGGGAAATAGCTGTAGAAGGAATACCCTTGAATAAGCTTCCAGTAAAATCAACATTAAGAACATTTTCAGGTCCAGTACACAAGAAAAGACCACAACCACCAAACCAACCATTCCAAGCAGGATTAGGAGACAAGAAATTAAAGTAAGCTTCTGTATCACAATTAACGCAAGAGACATTAGTATTATAAGTACCAGCAGTAGCATCGGAGGCACCTGGATGAGTAGCCATCATAAAGTTATTACTACAATTTGATAAGTTAGCATCAGTATATGTCTTCTTAAAGTTGACATATTTAACATTTGTTTGGTACAAGGAGGCATCAAAAACTTCTGAATTACAAATAACATCAAACGCAAGAGGCATAATCTTGAGAGGGAAATCTTCACCACCCTTAGTAACAACCAAATTTTGAGCACCAGTGCCATTTGAGCATACTTAAGCTTTTTCTTTACTATCATATGCAGTTGGATCATTAGTAATAGCCACACCATATAATGCTGAGTTTTTAAATTGGCCTACATTATGTTAACCTTCATTAGCAAAACGTAAAATTACAGAACGATCCGATTCAACACCAAGAACATGTTCAATGACAATTCCAGGATTTTCTGGATTAACCAATACACCTTTTGTTGAACGAGCAACTGCTATTTTACCAGCCCATTAGCAACCTAAATTATTTCTTTTGAACATGGCACCCACTAAACATGTTTATACTTAGTTTCCATAGACACCTACCCTTGTTGTAATTTTACCAGCATTATCACAGCTAGTATGAGGTAAAACAGCACAAGGACCTTCAGAACCTTAAATCTGGTTATTGTTAATTAAAATATTATCAACTATTGGATCTTATGGAGATAAGAAGTAGATCGCAGTATTCATATCATATAACATTCCTATAACATCATAAGGATAGTCACGTTTACGTGCAGCAACAAAACTATTATTAGAAACAGCTATATTATTAACATTCTTAATTCTCATTAAAATGGGACGGCCATTATATAAACTTGTATTTATAATTTGAACATATGAAGATTCTTCAATATTAACACAATAGCCAGGACAATTGTGAATAGCAGAATTATTTACTTTGCTCACAATTTAATTTTTATCATCAGAACCTAATTTTTAGAAATCAAGACCACCTCGAACTGAATCAGCTTGACCACAGTTATCCATTTCTACACCATTCCAATTTAAGATACCTCTCATATGAAGTTATTAATCATCTGGAAGTGCGTTACCATTTTTGTCTGCAACAATCTACCAATAAAAATTGAGAACTCGACATCCCCATGCTATTCCTTAAGTAGGAGTAGAACCTATAATTCTAATGTTACGAGATAAGTAAACAACTTGAGCACGGAGATCTAATTATTAAGTATAAGAGCCCCATGTTTCAGAAAGAGTTACACCACTTGCACCATAGTGATAGTACTTTGAAGGAGCACTCAAAGTTACTGTGTTACCAGAAACAGCAGTAATAGTAAACTCTTCATTCTAAGTACCATCCAATTAAGTAGGAGCTATAGCAATTTTATCACCAACTTACCAACCAGTAGTATCTGAAACATTAATTGTGGTAGAACCTGGGTTAAGAGGATTAGTTAAACGAGCTACTGTAGAAGCGGGAGGATTACCAAGCAAAGTAAAGTTACCAGTATTAAGAATGACCTTATTACCAACTTCGATTGTGTTATCAACAATGAATTGAGTCTATTAATCTCTATTCCCTGTAAGTTTTATTGTCAATTTTTTAGTGTAAGGACTTCCAGCAGTGGCACCTTCTGCAATAAAAAGACCACCCTTTAACCATATTGCATCAGCAGATATATTAATATTTTAAGTATAATCAATACGCAAATTACCTTAAACAATAATTTAGCTGAATTGAGTCAAATCTTAATCAACTAAAATTTCCCAAGGGCAAGGAATAACTAAAGTTGTTGCTCCTACTGCATTAACAATATCACCATTAATACCATCCACCTTTATGCCTTACCAAGATTTAACATCACTAATTTTTCTAGGTTAACCATCTTTTATGCATTATCCAGGAGGTAAAGGACATCCAACCTTACACTTAAGTGCATTAACATCTGTACGTTCTAAGTATTAATTTGTAGTAGCTTTAGTTCTACCATTACCATTTAAACAGAGGTACATAGCTTTACCAGTAACATCGTTGTACCAATCTCCATGCTAACAGTTTAATTTCTTAAGAGTATCTAATTTAGCAGTATTTTAATCATTTGTAATATTTTTGTAAGGAGAACCATTCTTATTAGCAACCATTGAGAATATTTCCCACGTTTCTCTAAAATCTGAGTAAGGGAATCTTAATAAAACTGTATCAGATGCTCCTGTGCCTGTGTGGTATGGAGAAAGTTAAACAGAGAAATGAGTAAAATCTATCTATGATAATTCCCATTAAACTGAAAAGATTTGACCTGTAAGGAAAGTACCAACAAAACCATGTGACAGATCATTAGCATGATTTTTAATATTTACAGTCTTAGATATATAGTAATCAGCATCTGTATTTCCACCCAAAGGATTTCCGTTTGAGTCGCATGGTTTAACATAAAGAGATTTAGTTAAAAGATCATCTAATTTTTCAGGGTTTGAAAATTCTATTCTTACTACTTATTAGGTACAAATAACACCATCATCCCATTAGTTATTCTCATCACTTGTAGTAGCACATGCAATTTAAGATTTGAGATGGGGACCTGAAGGTGTAATCCATGAAGGTTTTCCTCTTCCTGATAAACTGCCATCAAGATCTTAATAGATTTCTCTGCGCCAATTTTCCCAAAAGATTTTATTAGAGTTAATATTAGCATAAGATATATCAATAAATTTGGTAAGTTTACCACCTTATACCCATTTCTTGAAGTTCCAGCAGAATGAACAAGATTAGAAAACAGTCATTTTTTTATCAAAGTTAGCAAAGTGTGTACTTTCAACTCTAAAGCCATCTGTACGAGGAGTAATTAAACCACGAGTATTTTCAAGGTCAGAATCATCAGCAGGATTACCAAGTGATTTTCCTACAATTAAGGAGTTTCTTAAAATTACTTCCTCATCTGTTCTATTAGTAAGATAAACATTGAAGCCAGATTATTTATTATCCAGTAAAGAGAAATTATCAAAGATCATATTTCCTACTTCTTCAGCTAAGACACCGTCTTCATGATTTCTGTATGAAACAAAATTTTTCCATGTGATAGTGAATGAAGGGTTATCAACGAATGGATTAGGTTTTGAATCATCTCTATATGGAGAGCATGGATTTTTAAGATTAGTCAAAACAAATATTCTCAAACCAAAACGATCATAGGAGTGAGCAACATTACCATCGAACTTACCAAGAGCCATACCTTGAGGGCAAATATCATTTCTAGCAGATGGGCCATCAGGGTGTTCTTTAATTTCATACCAGAAACCATAGAAATCACCTCCTGCAGCTCTGTTATTAACAACTGTATTGAGAGGATTGGTAATCCAATAAGAAGCAGCAGTGATATCTGATTAGAGCATTGACCATACTTATCTTGTACCAATAATAAGATTTTCTTCAATTACATTATTAGTTTCAATACCATCTTCTAAGAAAATATTATGTCCAGCACAATTGTATCCGACATTATTCTTAACATGAAGATAGTGTGTGGCATGAATTGTAAGAACTCTTGCAAATGAGTCGTGAACTGCATTACCTTCGACAATAGAACCTGAAACATCACCAACCATGTGGAAGTGAATTGGATATCTACCAATAATAGCTGGCTAACCTGTATGTCTGAATTCAGTGTGTCTAATACGGGCACTTGCCTTAGAACCATGAAGCATTAAGTGAGCACCATACTATGTCTAAATAGATGAATCATCACCTTCATAAACAACATTACGAGTAAGAAGACCAACTTCAGCTCTCATATTTACTAATTTTCTACCTCCTTGATAGGACTCTCCAGTAATGCTGATGTGCTATGAAAGAAGAGGATCTAAGAATGAGATGGTAACATATTTTCCATCACCACTCTTTTAAACATTTGTTATAACACGACGTTCAGCATGGCTATGAGCAAAATCAGTTGATGCTATAACAATTTCTTCTCCAATTTTCCAATCAAAGCCAGGATCTTTAATGAAAACTTAAATGCTAGTGTCTCCTATTTTAGCAGTCTATGAAAGTTCAGTCCAGGTGACTGGGCGCAAGGCACCTTAAATATCCAAGCTACCATTATATAAAGAGAGACCTTTATTACCAACAGTAGGGAATTATTTTTCATCTTAAGTACCATGCATAGTAATTCTAATATTACCAGTTACAGGAGAAGCTTAAGTACCAATAATGACTCTACCTTATTATACTAATATATTATGAGCTTCAAAATGAATGTTTTTGTCATTTGCAAAGATAAGAGATGCATTATCAACTACAACAGTATTGAGAACACCTACATATGGAACATCAACAATAAGATTTCTACCTTTTGTAACATATACTAAATCGCCATCAATAGGAGCAAAATCATTACCCCAAGTAACTGGATTAGACCAAAGATTACCATAGTAATAATAAATTCCATTATTAACAGCAGAGTAGGAATCAATGGTTACAACTAAAGAGCTTTCAGCAGTATTAGTTTTTTTTCCTGTAGTACAAGTAATAGTACTAGATGATAAACTAACAGTTCCACATTCGATACCATCAATTAAGACTTTAATAGTTGCAGATGGAGAAGGACTTCTATCTAAATTAATAGTGATCTATTTTCCTCCACTTACATCGCCATAATTTGGTGTTACAGAATTAATTAAAAATGTTTTATCTTTGTCATATACAACATTAGAGCTAGCAGAAACTGAAGGGGAATTATTAACAGAAATAGATACAGGACAAGTTAAAGTATTTCCCACTTCAGTAATAGCAGCTTGCTTCCAACCGAAAAGCTCAATTTCAACTAGTTAACATTTAGATAAACCTGATGCATCATAAATTCTAAATTTATTATAGGCTGCTTTCAAATTGTTTTGTAATGTGCTATCTGTAGTAGTTGAAATTAAATTATCAACTAAGTACATATTTTTACCAAGATGGAAATCTGTTCCAATAGTAAGTAGATCTTTCCAGTTAGAGCCATCTGTACTTCCTTAAAATATAACACCAAAGAATGCAGATGCATCTATAACACCTTGAGATTTAGGATATAATTAGAATTTAGTTAATACTACTTATGTACTACCAAAATCAAATCCAGCAAAGCAAGAAGCAGAATTTGAACTTGAATAATAAAAGAGGAGGTCTCCATCATTTAGGTATTAAGCATTGCCTACAGGATCATCACCAAAAGTAGTGAAACCATTTAATGGTGTATTATTATCAGCTACAAATTTATAATCTTGTCTTGAAGAAGTAGTGAAAGCAGCAGGTGTGGTGACTATGAGTGTTGTGGAAGTAGCGCTAACAACATTTGCTTAATTTCCACAAATTGTCACAATGTTTTATGCCAAATCATTAGTATTAAATCCAGATCCTTAAATAGTTAAAGATTAACCACCTGCATAAGAAGAGGTAACTTAAGTGGAAGTTAGATTTGGCAATTTGATTACAACTTGATTATTTGAGATAGTTGGATAATTATTAGATGCATCTAATAAGTAGAGATTATATGTACCTGCAGGGGCAATACTAAATGAAATTGTAGCGCTTGTTGACGTCTTAGAGCTAATGTTAGTTGAAAGAATTTAGCTTTTAGTATTTTAAGGATATGATAAATAAGCTTTTTGCAAAGAAGATATTCCAGTACCTTAAATTGTGATATCAGTTCCTGAAACAGTAATACTTGTTACTGCCCATTATGCAGAAACAACTTAGAAAGTATTTTCATGTTAAATCCAAGGAAGGGAACCATCTTTTTAAAGAGGGATAAGGGGGCTTCTAACTGAAAATAAGTTATATCCACTACCAACTTTAGTTGGAGGAAGCCTAATAGTAACTTAGCCAGCAGGGATATTGTTAGAAATAACTTCAGCTTTTATTCCATTAAATTTAAAAGCTGGGTCTTAATCAGGAAGGTTACCTGACATTGTAAGCGAGATTTCAGCACCTGCACTAGAAACAGTATATAGTGAGGCAGGGCTCAAACTGTAAGTTTTTTCATAAATATTAACAGTAAAAGGTGAACTATCACCTGTAGATTGACGAAGGACAACACTGTAAGTACCAAAAGGCAAGTTAGGAGTTGTATAAGTAACTGCGGTTGATGTAACAGAATTTATTGTTACTGAGGTACTTTCATATCCTATAAATACTATCTAAAAGGCATTTGGCATAGTAGGGATATTTGTACCTGAGATAGTATATTAAGAATTATAACCTTGATTATTGTTGTCTATACTTGTTACAGCTATACCTAAAGAAGTATCAAAAAGTAATTCCGGTTTAAATGGTGTGTTTTTATCTACTTTAGCCTATGCCAGTAACTTACCCCAAACTTAAACTTAGAAAGTAGATGAAGTGCTTCCATTAGGGAAATGAGGGAACATATTTGGAAGAGTGCATGTTATTTGATTTGGAGTAGCATCTGTAATGAGACAAAACTCTGAGTCATTTCCAGCTCCATAGTTAATTAGTACTTAATTATCTGGTTTATTTGTTGAGAAATTAGTACCTTTTATTACTAATTGAGCACCTCCAAAAGCAGATACTTTATTGATACTGAAAGAGCTTATGATAATGTTATATTCTAATTTATTATTAGCTCCAGTAGGATTATTGCTACCAATGCCTACTTATACAACTCTAAGTTAGTAGTTACCGGGTATACCACCTCCAAGAAGGATTTACACTTTAGTGTTTTCTACACTTACAATATTTACTTGATATTTTGCATAAACTAATAATACTCCTGAATCATCAAATTAATCTAAGAAAGCTACTAATTTAGTCTTGTCAGTACCAAAATTAGTACCAGTTACAGTAATTAAAGTCTTATCTACAGGAGAAACAACAGTCTTGTCAATATTAGTTATTGTTATTGCATTTGAGTCATCTACTTTTATAGTTTTTGGAGTTGATTATATTTTTTAATAAGTTACAACAACATTAACTGTGCCAGGAGTAAGTTTGCCTGGAGTACGAATAACAATTTATTTATTGTTAACTGATAATATTGTAGCAGGTTTTGAATCAACTGTAACCAATAAATCAGAAGTTAGGGAAGTAGGGAAGAAATTACCTGCAATAGTTACATCAGCTCCACCAAAACTATAAACGGTGTCTGAACTTAATGATTCTATAATTGGAGTAGTTTATTGAGGACTAACTGAAGTAGAGAGAGCAAAACCATTTGATTGATAGAAAACTTCTGGTTTGTAAGAACCAGCTACTTTATAAGGATATTTGCATGTCAACTAATTTGCCCAAACATCAGTAGATTTATTAGTGATGGCACATTAAACTCCATTGTATGTTACTACAAAATTTGATATTTAAGGAGTGAAAGGTGCAGAAATTCCAGTTATTTGAAGGGTTGAAGTCTAATCATCAGTAAAACCTGTAAAGCTAATAGCTTTGTCATCAGCCAAAACATTAACAATAAGTTGCTAGTTAGTCAAAGAAGCAAGAGTTAAGACATCATTAATCTTAAGAGCAGCATAAGGCTAAGTGGAACGTTATGTTAGCAATTCATTTTCAATTGCAGGATAATATAAAATAGAGTTAGATGCTTATCTAAGAGTATCTACATAAAGAGTTGCCTTTCCAATTTCACCACCAAACTTAGATTCAGCTTGGATGGGTTCAATCAATATTGGAGTTTAGATTCCATAAAAATCTAATACCCACTAAGCGCCATCAGCAAAATTACCTGTACGAGAGGAATCAATATTTGTAGTATTGAGAGCTTATTAGAAAGCATAGTTTAAGTCCCAATCTTGTATGTCAAAAGGAATATCAGGGCTTTTGTTTACTTAAAGATAATTACCATTCACCTTAATTCTGAAAGTACCTGATAAGCTACCTCCAGGTGAGGTAATAACAGTAAATACAGGAGAATCTGTAGTTGAAGGATCAAATTTGAAAGTAGGTTAGACTTAATTACGGTGTTCTATAAAAGTAAGTTCCCAAATAGAACCAATCTTGTTTTTGCTGCCATCAAGTATGTCCTTTTAGACGCATGTAGTTCTGACTGCGTTATAATTTGAAAAATGCCATTATATCTAATTACAAGTAGTATCTCTTCCATACTATTCATTAGTAACAACCCATGACTTGGCCTTACTTTTCAATTGAGCACCGAAAGGATCGATAAAGTTTATGCTGAAATAAGTCTTTTTAGCGATACTTCTATCTTTGAAAGTGATGGTAACAACTTCTTTAGTATATTAGTAATCAATCCTTATTCTTGAAACTTAACTGACTGAGTTGATATAAGAATTATTATCTCCTTTAGGTGTAGGTATTCTTACTCCAGTGCTATGATGGAAACTTTTAGGATTACTAGATAATGCATATATTTTGAAATAGTAGGCTTATCCTTATTTTAAAGGGATAGTAAGATTGTCTGAAGTAGATTGTTAGGAATCGTATCTTCCAGAGTAAGGTGATCTAATTGATGTATATTACTTTATTTAGGTTACTAAAGTCATTGTTTTTTCATCAGTGCTGTCACCGCTTAATTAAAGATAGAAGTAAGATGTGTATGATGATGATTATTAGAATTAGTAATTTCCATCTCTAGGGGGGTTAAAGTAGCCAGTAAAAACAAAGAATTATCTACTTTGATCATCTTAGTCTGATTGTTAATTATATTCTGTAGTAGGAATTATTAAATCTTGAGCTAAGTTAAGCGAGGAAGGATTAGTTTTCAGTTGATTAATTAAAACATTAATATCCCAACTATCAGTGTTATAAATTTAGAGACGGACACCAGAACCAGATTCATAGCGGAGTGTATTATCAACAGTGGGGTTTGAGAGACCTGGAGGTAACTTACAAGTCAATTAAGAATTTTAAATGCTTTAAATTTAGCATACAGAATTGTTCCAAGTTACAGAGACGTTAGATCCTTCTAATGGGAGACCGGAGGCATTTATAGTTATAATACCACCTTAAGAAGTAATTGATTAAGGATCTCTCTTACCATTTTATTAAGAAACAATTTATACGTCATAAGGATTAGGATTAGTTGGAATTTTAGTAGAACGCACTGTTGTTAATCTACTTCTATTGAAGGCTTTTCCAGGCTTTGAAATAAATGTAGTTCCATAGAATCCAGCTGGGTGAGAGTAATCTATTTAGCATGTCAATGAGCTGTATGAATCTCCACTATAAGGTTCATCTTCATTGAGACCCAAATTAAATCTATCACAAAGTAAGCTTCCAATAAGCATTTTATCTATTTAATTTGTGTTTGCAATTTTAAAATTACCCCACCAATTAACATCAACTTTAGGGAGAATAGAACGAGGTATGATTAAATCAACAATAGGTGTCTTAGATCCTGAATAAGAAAAAGTACATAGAGAAGCATCGCTTTATGCACATTGTGAATCACTTCTATTCAATACCTTAACTACAACAGGAAGACTCAATTGTTTAGTACTATCATAGGCAGGAGTTGTAATACAAGTGATAAAAACTTCGTTGACACCCATTTCTATAAGTTATTTTTTTATAAAATTTAAATTAGTTAAAAAAAAAGTATTAATACAAAAAAACTTTAAAAATAATAAATAGGTTTAATTTTTTAAATTGAAAAATTAAGAACAAATCAAAGAACTAATTAATTATTTTTCTTAGAATATTTAATTGTAATATAATTGAAATAATTGAAAAAAAAATATTTCAAATTAAATTAAGTTTAGATAAATTGATATAATAAATTTTATTTAATAAAAAAATATTTTAAAATTCTACCTGGTACAACACAAGGATATGGTCCAACGAAGATGGAATTATTAGCTGCGTTATGTGAATCATGGCCAACAATTTTTATGTAAAGTCTAGTACCACCATTAATTGAGCCTAGTCTTTAAAAATTTTCTGCATCAATTTAAGTGGAAACTGAGAGAATTCTCACAGAGTCAACATTAGCTCCAATTTCAATAGCCATACCTTTTCAAATAAAATAATATTTTTAATATTAGAATTATAAGAAAAACTTAAAATAGAAGAATTAAAGTAGACAGCTTGCTACACAATCATATTCCTTAATTTTAGTCAAAGTTAATTTACATGAAGTTGCAAGTATGAGCAAGATGAGTCCAAAAGCTTTTGTAACTCTCATTAGAATACAAGCAGTGGATTTATAGTAGTTATGAATAGTGTAATATAAAACTTATAATTTATAAGTGTTATTTTTAATTTTCAGTGTTTTTTTTATTCAAAGTTTTTATAATTACTTTTTATCATTAATTATTTATTTATATCCAACATCTTCACTTAATGTTTTTATAGTTTTTTCTAAAGTTTCAATTATTAAATTCAATGGTAATTTTAAATTATTAATGTTTATGGATTACAGTTGATAAAATTTAGTTATGAATTTATTTGCTTAGATCATATATCCAATTCTGTTGATTGGATTTCCTATCTAATTTACTTCTCTTTACTTATTTAGTTTTGATTTTTATAACAAATGTAATTCATGATTCGAGAGGCAGGTTTTTTACACTTTATTGATTCGACAAATAGGAATTAAAAATTGTCTATTTCTATTCACTTTTATTTCCGAATTTCACAGAAAAATTTGTAAAGCTCACTGGAAATGAATATGTTTTAATAAAATTCATATTATTAAATTTTTATAGAAATATTTCCATAAATTTAACATATATTAATTTAAGAGAAAAACCTATCTTTAATAATATTTCATTAATTATCATAAAGATAAAAAATATGTGATATTCTGTATTATTGTTAAGCCTTCCATTGATAAAAATTAGTAGCAAAGTAATTTTATATTCTTATTTTGAAATTGGTTTATGATAAAATTAATTAAAGAGTGATTGGTAATATTTGAATTATTTGAGTTGTTAGACAAAATACCTTAATATATACCATCGAGTTTAATAATCCCTTTCCACTTTAAATAATATATTAAAGGAAACCTTACATTAAAATAAATGTGAAATTCATTGAGGATGAAATATTAGAGAAAATTGATTATGTGATTAAATTCCATCTAATCTATGCTTGAGCTAATAGTAAAAAAAAAAAAATAGCAAACTCAGATTAGCAAATCTGTTTCTTAGTAAATTAGAAAAATCTACTTGTCAAACATACATGAAATATAGAAGAAAATATATTTTTAAGAGAGCAAGTATCAAATACCAATACTTATATTTGAATGGTATTAAAAAAATCAAGTAAATTAGTAAAATCATATTGATTAAAAGATAATTAAATTAAATTTACCACTTTTAATGATAAATTTTCTCCCCAATTAAATATTTTCCACATATTAAAATAATTCAGGTTTTAGTAAAAACTTCAGCTCTAAACCTAATATTATAATCATAAACCTAAATTTTAAGATTAGTTCATAAAGAATTGAGTTTTAGCCACTATGAATAATTACACGTAATCTGTAATAAAAGTAAATAAAATAATCTATTTAATATTTTTAGCTGGATGCCTCTCAAGTGACAATTAAATATTAGAGATTGTTTTAGATAGTAAGTCAGGTGAATTTTGAATAAACCAAGTAATTAAAATTACAAAATACTAAAACATCACTAAATTAGCCATATGGAAGAGTTACAGTTTATTTCTCTTAAAGAATAAATGAAGAAATAACATGAAATTTAAGCTAAAAAAATTAATGTTTTATTCATGAATTCACCTAAATTGTTTTATGAAATGATGTAGATAATATTCCTTTTGGTTAAGAAACATAAAATAAAAAAATTATGGAGATTTCTTTACCATACATGCTATATTGTTTGATTATTACATTATTTAAATTTAAATATATTTTACAAAAAAAAGTAAATAAAAATTTAAATATATTTTCCTATAATTATAATATGTCGAGTGAATAAAAAAATATTTTAACTTTGTCTTTTTTTAATTTAGTTGTTAATTCATATCAAAAACATAACTCAAACTTTATAAAACCTTGTTCTTATTGAAATCTCTAAAAACTATGATTTCAAAAGTAAAGTGTAGAAAGATTTAAATAAGGTAAATATTTATATTAGTCATTTACAGTTCTTGTTGAATGATAATCTTAAGACAAATCAAAATTTTCAATTATTAGCCACATTAATTTAAGTATTATATTTTATCAATTCACAGTTAGAGATATAATTACCATTAATAAAATAATTGATATTTTAATACTGCTAACTTTTTGAAAACACTGAAAAAGGAAATATGAATATTATAATCTTATAAGTGTGGTCAATTTTTTATCTGCTCAATGATGCATTAAAAATAATATTTAAATAGATTATTACAATAATGAGAGAGATTGATGAGCATAAAATAATTAAATTTTATTATTGAAATATTTTTAAGCTTCTTAAATGAAAAATTTAGTTTTACATTTCTATTATAATAAAAATTAAAAATATCAAACTTTTAAATATAATTTATGCTATATAACTATTATTTTATCTAAATGAACAAGTTTAAGTGTAAGTCATTTAGATTTTATCTTTAAAATATATTTAATCTTTTATTTCAAAATTTAACTTTTTCCCAAATAAATGATTAATCATTCAGCTTTTTGAAAAAGAATTAATTATACGATGATGATTTTGGGGAAAAAAACCTTAAAAATTAAGTCTATAATTAAATAAGTAATAGGGAATTGATACATTTGCTTAACATTTAGGAAATACCATATAATTATTTTGATTAATTATGATACAATATAAATCAAATTTCACGTACTTTCTTTTACTAATAGATTTGTGGTAAATATTTTTATATTGTTTATAATTATATTTTTTCCTAAAAATTTGTTTATTTCTTTTTATCATTACATATTTTCTTAAATGAATATTTTTTTTAAATATCTATTATTAAAAACGTTTTAATGCATATTTTTATTTTGTAAATATGGTAAATGATATTTATTGAATTAAATAGAATTTCATTTTAAAAATAAATGAGTAATTTAAAATAATAAATTTTATTATTTATTAAATATAATTCTTTAAATTTTTTAAAGAATTAGCAAAAATATAGATTGTTCCATAATTCATATCTCGCCTAAAAATTAAATTAATATTTGAGTGTTATGATTTGAATTTAAATTTTTTGTATAAATAAACACCCTCTTTCTTATTTAAAAGAATAAATAATATAGAGTAGTGTTTAAATATAATGTTTAGGGGGTAGATTTCTAATTGGATTTTTTAGTGAACAAGGAAATTTTGTTTTTTGATATTAGAAGTGTGTTTTAAAAAATATTGGTAAATCAGTGTATTAGGATACAGTTTTAAAAATGTATTGGATAATGAGATTTATGTGGAAAATTGAGGTACTAAAAGGAAAATCTATTTTTAAAATTTCTAAAAAATTTATAAAATTTACTGAATTTGTGTTCCTTTTTAAATTTCATGCTGTCATAATTCTCAGTGATATTTATAATATAAATATAACCTAATTGATTTGGCTAAATCTCTTAATTAATAAAAAAGTTTGTTGAATTTCATCCTCTATATTTTAGGATTTGAAGATGAGAAATGATTAACGAGAGTAATAGTTTTCTGAAATCTACAATTTTTTTCATTTAAAACTAATAAAACGTTATTTTGATTATCTTAAAAAATATTATTTTTAATTAAATCAGATTATATCAATATTATCTTAAAATACAATAAATATTGTTTTTTAAAAAATATTGTTATTAACGAAATAGTTAATAAAAAATAAAATTGAAGATAATATTTTTTTAATTTACTATGTTTTAGAATAATTTAAATAAATTAAAAAAAAGAATTTAATAATATATATTGTTATTTTTGTATTAATTTTATTTAATAGTGATAATTTAATAAAATAAAATAGAAAAATATTTACTTAATTTTGTCAGTCTTTTATTTAAAATTTATCAAATTCAATTAACTAATTCAAAAATATCAAAATATAATTGTTTTACTGAAAAAAAATGTATTGTAAATTAAAAATAAAGATTTATTGTTAAATTAAATATATATTAAATAGGAAATGAAAATTAATATAATAATGTAGAAATTAAATAGATATCTACTTAATTTTATCAATCTTTTTTAATAAGACTGAACGAAAATAAAAGTATTTAACCATTTATTAAATTTTTAAATATAATAAATTAATTTAAATTAAAGTTTATAAAATTTCAATTAAAAAGTAATCAAAAATATTATTAGTTTACTCAAAAATAAAAAAATGTATTATTAATTTATAAAATTTCAGTTAAGTATAAAATTATATAATCAATATTAGAAAGGAGCTGCTGAATTATTAGCCTTTTCTTATAATTAATCATGAGAAGGATCCAAAGTTATGGGATGAACTTTAGCAGTCTCTCTTTGTGGAGCTGCTTGATCTACTGAGTGATCAATTTCAGCACTTTATACTGATAAAGCCTTTCTTTTTTGGTATCTCTTATAAGCAAAGAAACCAACAACTGCTATAGCTACAACAACTAATCCAATAACAACACCAAGAACAATAGCAAGAGTGTTATTTGAATTAGAAGAAGATTATTAGACAATTGGCTAGTCAGGATTAGTATTTTTTCCATAAATACCTCCATTTGAATCTGTGGAAACCATGACTTCAGAATTTGTGACATAATAAGTGTTTGGATTAAGTCCAGGAACTGAATTAGAATCCAAAGCTGCCTTAAGCTTATTGGCCTTGTCAGTGAGATCTTTGAAGACAGATGTTGCATCTTTAGTGGCTGAACCAGTTGGTTTATTTGTAATATCAAGTATTATTTCAAATGAAGATTGAGTATTAGCTGGGTTAGAACCTTAAAGGAATCTATTTTGTTAAGTATTAGCACCAACAACTTTGATACGAGAGTAATCAGCTATTCCTAAGAAGGATGCAACCTTTGAAATAAAGCTAGCCTTATTAGTTTCAGAGAAAAATTCTTCAACCTTTAAGACTACCTTAACGTGAATACGTACAGTATCTAATACTTAGACACGTACAAGACAATCAGCTCTACCATTAATTACAAATTATACAGTACGTGTTTACCAATCATAAATATTTGCACCACATATGTCAGCCTTCTTGGTGAGGTCAACGTTGTCAGATACTAAGTAAGGATCAACTACCTTTCCACCATCTATAGAAACTTCAATGTTCATAGGAATTTGATATGTGTAAGTAAAAACTACCCATTTATCAGCTTCACCTGCATTATCATTGGTTCTTTGTTGAATTCTATGGAAGATATTATAAGG